CCAACGTCATTCTTCAGATCTTCGGCACGCTTCTCATCGTCGGCGGTCTTCTGGATGTTCTTGTCAAGATCGGCGACGAATTTGGCGGCACGGTCACGTAGATTGGCGGCAGTTGGCTCAACACTTGCTGGAACCTCTTGAACAGCATCGAGAAGGGTGGCGAGATGTGGAGCGATGCGATCCTTGAACTCATTGAGAGCGGTCACGTTGCTCGGGACAGCAGTCTTTTCAGCATCGTCGAGGGCGTCATCAAGTCGTTTGACAGCATCGTTGGCATTGTTCAACTTGTCAAGCTCATCCTGTTTCTCGGCGACTTGAGTGTCCAGATCCTTGACAAACTGTTCGAGATTGGCAACAAGTTGTTCGGCCTTGGTCTTGTCATCGGCTGGCAGATGTTCGTCTTTGGCTGCTTCCTCAATCTTCGGAATGAGCGCCTTCGCTTCGGCAGCCTTGGCGCTGATCTCGTCAATCACCTCCTGTGGATTCTTCTTCTTGTCCTTCTTCTTCTTCTTGGCCGATTCCTGGGCGGTGACATCAGCAGCTTCCTTCTCAAGAGCGGCAAGCTTGTCGTGAGCAGCTGCGCGAGCTTCATCGTCGGCCTTCTTGGCATCTCTGAGCTCTTGGATCTTGGCCAACAATGGTTCGGCTTCTTCCGGTTTCAGCGAGTTGGTGATCTCCTTCTCGGCGGTCTTCAAATCATCTGGGTTGAGCTGATCCAATGGAAGCTGGTCGAACTGCGAAATGGTGAGCTTGAGCGCAAGAACAAGTTGTTCCTTTTTTTCATGCTCATTGGAGGTCTTGATGGCATCGTCGAGTTCGCCTTCAAGTTTGGCCAGCTTCTTGTCCAAATCGTCAGCAATCTTCGGATCAATGACGACGTTCTTACGAGAAGCATCGGCGTTCACGATTCTGTCCTTGATGCGATTGATTTGAGCCTTGAGTGCAGGAACGTCGGTCTTGGAGATCGTATCAAGAATGGATCGTTCCGGATCGGTGGAGTCGATCATCTTGCTGATGTCATCGATTTCCTTGGCAACCTGATCGGCAGACTCCTTGAGAAGTCTCTCATCTTCGAGCTCAGCGGCAACATCGTTGAGAACGTCGTCGTATTGATGACGTGTTTGCTCGGCGTCGACGTCGAAGAATCGGACATCTGCGTAGGCACTCTCGAGTGGATCAAGTTGTTCGGAGATGCGTTGCAAGTTGGAAATCTTGTTGTCAAGCTCGTCCAGTTGAGGGGCGGCCTTTTTGAGGTTTTTCCACATCTTGAGCGGCCTCTTCGGTGGATCGCTTCGGCTTGTCGGTGACAGCATCCAAGCCTTGCTGGAGTCGCTCGATGAACGCATCAATGTCGTTGCGAGCGACAGTGAATTCGTTCCAAAGACGGGCACGATCGTCGAGGTCCGGAATGAGCTCCTCTGCAGATGCAATCGCTTGTTGAAGCTGTTGCACATGTGCGTCAGTAGATGGACTGTCGGCAATGATTGCCTTCGCGACTTCCACCTCCTTCTTGAGTTCTTCCGACTTTGGCGCATACTGGGTTGGCACGGCTTCAGCGTTGTAACGGAGCTCATCGGCATCGCGAACGAGTGGCACAAGACGAGACACGACACGGTCAACAGCGTCGTGCAGGGCTTTCTCATCAGCCTTGGCCTTGATGGATTGCTCGAGTTCGGCGCGTTTCTTCTGCAAAAATCAAATTTTGATTAGACGAACTGACTATTCAGAAAAAGAAAGAAGTTTGAAAAAAATGCGTTACCTTGAGAACATCAGCCGCGGTCGCGAGTCTGGCAAGCAGATCGTTGTACTCGGCGCGTTCCTTCTCATCCAGCTCGTCTGGCTTGACTCCGGCGACGGTTTCGCGAAGCTTGGCAACAGTTTCCTCCTTCTTGGCAAGATCGTCAATGAGCTCGTCTGGCGACTTGTTGTCGGCGTTTCCATCCTCGCTGGTGATATCGAGGAGGGCGTCTTCGGCATTCTTGCGAGCAGCATTGAATGCGGCGAGAGCGGCCAATTTGTCTCCGACAGCAGATCCAAGTTGTTTCAGAAGATCCTTGAGTCTTGACAAATCCCATTGACTCTTCTGTCTGAGCTCATCAGCAGCTGGGTCATTTTTCAGGAAGGTTGGCAAGCAGGTTCTCCAAGTTGTGCTTCTGGTTCTCGACGTCCTCCAAAAGTTTCTTTTGTTCGTCAAGCGAGGATGGAACCTCTTGTGGGACGGATTGGAGTTGTTGAGAGACAAGTTGGAGCTTGGGAGCAATCTCGTTGACAGCGGCTGCCTTGTTCAAAGCCTGCTTCTTGTCGTCGATGGCATGTTGAAGTTGGAAGACCTTCTCCGGAAGTCCGACAACCAAGTCGTCATGCGAGATGAGCGGGCTTGGAGCCAGAGCCTTCTCGTTGTTCGAATCAGTGACAGCCTTCAACGTGGTGGTGTCGGCGGCGAGTTGGTCAACGAGCGGAAGGCCATCTTCCGGTTTGAATTCGTCCACCTTGGTGAGATCCTTCTCAAGATTGTTGAGACGATCAGCAATCTCGGCTTGCTCGCGACGAACAGCCTCCTCTTGTGGAATGGCCTTCTCGAGAACTTGAAGCAGTTCCTTAGCCTTGGTCTTGGAGTCCTTGATGTCCTTGGCAATTTGTAGATCGATCTTATCGCTAGACTCGGCAAGCTTGTTAAACTTCTCGATAGCAGTCTTGAGCTTGTTCGCGTCCTCCTTGGCAATGTCGAGTGGTTGGGGTTGTTGGTATTTCGGCACAATCTCATCAACGCTCGCCACAACTGCTCCAACGTCATTCTTCAGATCTTCGGCACGCTTCTCATCGTCGGCGGTCTTCTGGATGTTCTTGTCAAGATCGGCGACGAATTTGGCGGCACGGTCACGTAGATTGGCGGCAGTTGGCTCAACACTTGCTGGAACCTCTTGAACAGCATCGAGAAGGGTGGCGAGATGTGGAGCGATGCGATCCTTGAACTCATTGAGAGCGGTCACGTTGCTCGGGACAGCAGTCTTTTTCAGCATCGTCGAGGGCGTCATCAAGTCGTTTGACAGCATCGTTGGCATTGTTCAACTTGTCAAGCTCATCCTGTTTCTCGGCGACTTGAGTGTCCAGATCCTTGACAAACTGTTCGAGATTGGCAACAAGTTGTTCGGCCTTGGTCTTGTCATCGGCTGGCAGATGTTCGTCTTTGGCTGCTTCCTCAATCTTCGGAATGAGCGCCTTCGCTTCGGCAGCCTTGGCGCTGATCTCGTCAATCACCTCCTGTGGATTCTTCTTCTTGTCCTTCTTCTTCTTCTTGGCCGATTCCTGGGCGGTGACATCAGCAGCTTCCTTCTCAAGAGCGGCAAGCTTGTCGTGAGCAGCTGCGCGAGCTTCATCGTCGGCCTTCTTGGCATCTCTGAGCTCTTGGATCTTGGCCAACAATGGTTCGGCTTCTTCCGGTTTCAGCGAGTTGGTGATCTCCTTCTCGGCGGTCTTCAAATCATCTTGGTGAGCTGATCCAATGGAAGCTGGTCGAGACGATCAGCAATCTCGGCTTGCTCGCGACGAACAGCCTCCTCTTGTGGAATGGCCTTCTCGAGAACTTGAAGCAGTTCCTTAGCCTTGGTCTTGGAGTCCTTGATGTCCTTGGCAATTTGTAGATCGATCTTATCGCTAGACTCGGCAAGCTTGTTAAACTTCTCGATAGCAGTCTTGAGCTTGTTCGCGTCCTCCTTGGCAATGTCGAGTGGTTGGGGTTGTTGGTATTTCGGCACAATCTCATCAACGCTCGCCACAACTGCTCCAACGTCATTCTTCAGATCTTCGGCACGCTTCTCATCGTCGGCGGTCTTCTGGATGTTCTTGTCAAGATCGGCGACGAATTTGGCGGCACGGTCACGTAGATTGGCGGCAGTTGGCTCAACACTTGCTGGAACCTCTTGAACAGCATCGAGAAGGGTGGCGAGATGTGGAGCGATGCGATCCTTGAACTCATTGAGAGCGGTCACGTTGCTCGGGACAGCAGTCTTTTCAGCATCGTCGAGGGCGTCATCAAGTCGTTTGACAGCATCGTTGGCATTGTTCAACTTGTCAAGCTCATCCTGTTTCTCGGCGACTTGAGTGTCCAGATCCTTGACAAACTGTTCGAGATTGGCAACAAGTTGTTCGGCCTTGGTCTTGTCATCGGCTGGCAGATGTTCGTCTTTGGCTGCTTCCTCAATCTTCGGAATGAGCGCCTTCGCTTCGGCAGCCTTGGCGCTGATCTCGTCAATCACCTCCTGTGGATTCTTCTTCTTGTCCTTCTTCTTCTTCTTGGCCGATTCCTGGGCGGTGACATCAGCAGCTTCCTTCTCAAGAGCGGCAAGCTTTGTCGTGAGCAGCTGCGCGAGCTTCATCGTCGGCCTTCTTGGCATCTCTGAGCTCTTGGATCTTGGCCAACAATGGTTCGGCTTCTTCCGGTTTCAGCGAGTTGGTGATCTCCTTCTCGGCGGTCTTCAAATCATCTGGGTTGAGCTGATCCAATGGAAGCTGGTCGAACTGCGAAATGGTGAGCTTGAGCGCAAGAACAAGTTGTTCCTTTTCATGCTCATTGGAGGTCTTGATGGCATCGTCGAGTTCGCCTTCAAGTTTGGCCAGCTTCTTGTCCAAATCGTCAGCAATCTTCGGATCAATGACGACGTTCTTACGAGAAGCATCGGCGTTCACGATTCTGTCCTTGATGCGATTGATTTGAGCCTTGAGTGCAGGAACGTCGGTCTTGGAGATCGTATCAAGAATGGATCGTTCCGGATCGGTGGAGTCGATCATCTTGCTGATGTCATCGATTTCCTTGGCAACCTGATCGGCAGACTCCTTTGAGAAGTCTCTCATCTTCGAGCTCAGCGGCAACATCGTTGAGAACGTCGTCGTATTGATGACGTGTTTGCTCGGCGTCGACGTCGAAGAATCGGACATCTGCGTAGGCACTCTCGAGTGGATCAAGTTGTTCGGAGATGCGTTGCAAGTTGGAAATCTTGTTGTCAAGCTCGTCCAGTTGAGGGGCGGCCTTTTTGAGGTTTTTCCACATCTTGAGCGGCCTCTTCGGTGGATCGCTTCGGCTTGTCGGTGACAGCATCCAAGCCTTGCTGGAGTCGCTCGATGAACGCATCAATGTCGTTGCGAGCGACAGTGAATTCGTTCCAAAGACGGGCACGATCGTCGAGGTCCGGAATGAGCTCCTCTGCAGATGCAATCGCTTGTTGAAGCTGTTGCACATGTGCGTCAGTAGATGGACTGTCGGCAATGATTGCCTTCGCGACTTCCACCTCCTTCTTGAGTTCTTCCGACTTTGGCGCATACTGGGTTGGCACGGCTTCAGCGTTGTAACGGAGCTCATCGGCATCGCGAACGAGTGGCACAAGACGAGACACGACACGGTCAACAGCGTCGTGCAGGGCTTTCTCATCAGCCTTGGCCTTGATGGATTGCTCGAGTTCGGCGCGTTTCTTCTGCAAAATCAAATTTTGATTAGACGAACTGACTATTCAGAAAAGAAAGAAGTTTGAAAAAATGCGTTACCTTGAGAACATCAGCCGCGGTCGCGAGTCTGGCAAGCAGATCGTTGTACTCGGCGCGTTCCTTCTCATCCAGCTCGTCTGGCTTGACTCCGGCGACGGTTTCGCGAAGCTTGGCAACAGTTTCCTCCTTCTTGGCAAGATCGTCAATGAGCTCGTCTGGCGACTTGTTGTCGGCGTTTCCATCCTCGCTGGTGATATCGAGGAGGGCGTCTTCGGCATTCTTGCGAGCAGCATTGAATGCGGCGAGAGCGGCCAATTTGTCTCCGACAGCAGATCCAAGTTGTTTCAGAAGATCCTTGAGTCTTGACAAATCCCATTGACTCTTCTGTCTGAGCTCATCAGCAGCTGGGTCATTTTCAGGAAGGTTGGCAAGCAGGTTCTCCAAGTTGTGCTTCTGGTTCTCGACGTCCTCCAAAAGTTTCTTTTGTTCGTCAAGCGAGGATGGAACCTCTTGTGGGACGGATTGGAGTTGTTGAGAGACAAGTTGGAGCTTGGGAGCAATCTCGTTGACAGCGGCTGCCTTGTTCAAAGCCTGCTTCTTGTCGTCGATGGCATGTTGAAGTTGGAAGACCTTCTCCGGAAGTCCGACAACCAAGTCGTCATGCGAGATGAGCGGGCTTGGAGCCAGAGCCTTCTCGTTGTTCGAATCAGTGACAGCCTTCAACGTGGTGGTGTCGGCGGCGAGTTGGTCAACGAGCGGAAGGCCATCTTCCGGTTTGAATTCGTCCACCTTGGTGAGATCCTTCTCAAGATTGTTGAGACGATCAGCAATCTCGGCTTGCTCGCGACGAACAGCCTCCTCTTGTGGAATGGCCTTCTCGAGAACTTGAAGCAGTTCCTTAGCCTTGGTCTTGGAGTCCTTGATGTCCTTGGCAATTTGTAGATCGATCTTATCGCTAGACTCGGCAAGCTTGTTAAACTTCTCGATAGCAGTCTTGAGCTTGTTCGCGTCCTCCTTGGCAATGTCGAGTGGTTGGGGTTGTTGGTATTTCGGCACAATCTCATCAACGCTCGCCACAACTGCTCCAACGTCATTCTTCAGATCTTCGGCACGCTTCTCATCGTCGGCGGTCTTCTGGATGTTCTTGTCAAGATCGGCGACGAATTTGGCGGCACGGTCACGTAGATTGGCGGCAGTTGGCTCAACACTTGCTGGAACCTCTTGAACAGCATCGAGAAGGGTGGCGAGATGTGGAGCGATGCGATCCTTGAACTCATTGAGAGCGGTCACGTTGCTCGGGACAGCAGTCTTTTCAGCATCGTCGAGGGCGTCATCAAGTCGTTTGACAGCATCGTTGGCATTGTTCAACTTGTCAAGCTCATCCTGTTTCTCGGCGACTTGAGTGTCCAGATCCTTGACAAACTGTTCGAGATTGGCAACAAGTTGTTCGGCCTTGGTCTTGTCATCGGCTGGCAGATGTTCGTCTTTGGCTGCTTCCTCAATCTTCGGAATGAGCGCCTTCGCTTCGGCAGCCTTGGCGCTGATCTCGTCAATCACCTCCTGTGGATTCTTCTTCTTGTCCTTCTTCTTCTTCTTGGCCGATTCCTGGGCGGTGACATCAGCAGCTTCCTTCTCAAGAGCGGCAAGCTTGTCGTGAGCAGCTGCGCGAGCTTCATCGTCGGCCTTCTTGGCATCTCTGAGCTCTTGGATCTTGGCCAACAATGGTTCGGCTTCTTCCGGTTTCAGCGAGTTGGTGATCTCCTTCTCGGCGGTCTTCAAATCATCTGGGTTGAGCTGATCCAATGGAAGCTGGTCGAACTGCGAAATGGTGAGCTTGAGCGCAAGAACAAGTTGTTCCTTTTCATGCTCATTGGAGGTCTTGATGGCATCGTCGAGTTCGCCTTCAAGTTTGGCCAGCTTCTTGTCCAAATCGTCAGCAATCTTCGGATCAATGACGACGTTCTTACGAGAAGCATCGGCGTTCACGATTCTGTCCTTGATGCGATTGATTTGAGCCTTGAGTGCAGGAACGTCGGTCTTGGAGATCGTATCAAGAATGGATCGTTCCGGATCGGTGGAGTCGATCATCTTGCTGATGTCATCGATTTCCTTGGCAACCTGATCGGCAGACTCCTTGAGAAGTCTCTCATCTTCGAGCTCAGCGGCAACATCGTTGAGAACGTCGTCGTATTGATGACGTGTTTGCTCGGCGTCGACGTCGAAGAATCGGACATCTGCGTAGGCACTCTCGAGTGGATCAAGTTGTTCGGAGATGCGTTGCAAGTTGGAAATCTTGTTGTCAAGCTCGTCCAGTTGAGGGGCGGCCTTTTTGAGGTTTTTCCACATCTTGAGCGGCCTCTTCGGTGGATCGCTTCGGCTTGTCGGTGACAGCATCCAAGCCTTGCTGGAGTCGCTCGATGAACGCATCAATGTCGTTGCGAGCGACAGTGAATTCGTTCCAAAGACGGGCACGATCGTCGAGGTCCGGAATGAGCTCCTCTGCAGATGCAATCGCTTGTTGAAGCTGTTGCACATGTGCGTCAGTAGATGGACTGTCGGCAATGATTGCCTTCGCGACTTCCACCTCCTTCTTGAGTTCTTCCGACTTTGGCGCATACTGGGTTGGCACGGCTTCAGCGTTGTAACGGAGCTCATCGGCATCGCGAACGAGTGGCACAAGACGAGACACGACACGGTCAACAGCGTCGTGCAGGGCTTTCTCATCAGCCTTGGCCTTGATGGATTGCTCGAGTTCGGCGCGTTTCTTCTGCAAAATCAAATTTTGATTAGACGAACTGACTATTCAGAAAAAGAAAGAAGTTTGAAAAAAATGCGTTACCTTGAGAACATCAGCCGCGGTCGCGAGTCTGGCAAGCAGATCGTTGTACTCGGCGCGTTCCTTCTCATCCAGCTCGTCTGGCTTGACTCCGGCGACGGTTTCGCGAAGCTTGGCAACAGTTTCCTCCTTCTTGGCAAGATCGTCAATGAGCTCGTCTGGCGACTTGTTGTCGGCGTTTCCATCCTCGCTGGTGATATCGAGGAGGGCGTCTTCGGCATTCTTGCGAGCAGCATTGAATGCGGCGAGAGCGGCCAATTTGTCTCCGACAGCAGATCCAAGTTGTTTCAGAAGATCCTTGAGTCTTGACAAATCCCATTGACTCTTCTGTCTGAGCTCATCAGCAGCTGGGTCATTTTTCAGGAAGGTTGGCAAGCAGGTTCTCCAAGTTGTGCTTCTGGTTCTCGACGTCCTCCAAAAGTTTCTTTTGTTCGTCAAGCGAGGATGGAACCTCTTGTGGGACGGATTGGAGTTGTTGAGAGACAAGTTGGAGCTTGGGAGCAATCTCGTTGACAGCGGCTGCCTTGTTCAAAGCCTGCTTCTTGTCGTCGATGGCATGTTGAAGTTGGAAGACCTTCTCCGGAAGTCCGACAACCAAGTCGTCATGCGAGATGAGCGGGCTTGGAGCCAGAGCCTTCTCGTTGTTCGAATCAGTGACAGCCTTCAACGTGGTGGTGTCGGCGGCGAGTTGGTCAACGAGCGGAAGGCCATCTTCCGGTTTGAATTCGTCCACCTTGGTGAGATCCTTCTCAAGATTGTTGAGACGATCAGCAATCTCGGCTTGCTCGCGACGAACAGCCTCCTCTTGTGGAATGGCCTTCTCGAGAACTTGAAGCAGTTCCTTAGCCTTGGTCTTGGAGTCCTTGATGTCCTTGGCAATTTGTAGATCGATCTTATCGCTAGACTCGGCAAGCTTGTTAAACTTCTCGATAGCAGTCTTGAGCTTGTTCGCGTCCTCCTTGGCAATGTCGAGTGGTTGGGGTTGTTGGTATTTCGGCACAATCTCATCAACGCTCGCCACAACTGCTCCAACGTCATTCTTCAGATCTTCGGCACGCTTCTCATCGTCGGCGGTCTTCTGGATGTTCTTGTCAAGATCGGCGACGAATTTGGCGGCACGGTCACGTAGATTGGCGGCAGTTGGCTCAACACTTGCTGGAACCTCTTGAACAGCATCGAGAAGGGTGGCGAGATGTGGAGCGATGCGATCCTTGAACTCATTGAGAGCGGTCACGTTGCTCGGGACAGCAGTCTTTTCAGCATCGTCGAGGGCGTCATCAAGTCGTTTGACAGCATCGTTGGCATTGTTCAACTTGTCAAGCTCATCCTGTTTCTCGGCGACTTGAGTGTCCAGATCCTTGACAAACTGTTCGAGATTGGCAACAAGTTGTTCGGCCTTGGTCTTGTCATCGGCTGGCAGATGTTCGTCTTTGGCTGCTTCCTCAATCTTCGGAATGAGCGCCTTCGCTTCGGCAGCCTTGGCGCTGATCTCGTCAATCACCTCCTGTGGATTCTTCTTCTTGTCCTTCTTCTTCTTCTTGGCCGATTCCTGGGCGGTGACATCAGCAGCTTCCTTCTCAAGAGCGGCAAGCTTGTCGTGAGCAGCTGCGCGAGCTTCATCGTCGGCCTTCTTGGCATCTCTGAGCTCTTGGATCTTGGCCAACAATGGTTCGGCTTCTTCCGGTTTCAGCGAGTTGGTGATCTCCTTCTCGGCGGTCTTCAAATCATCTGGGTTGAGCTGATCCAATGGAAGCTGGTCGAACTGCGAAATGGTGAGCTTGAGCGCAAGAACAAGTTGTTCCTTTTCATGCTCATTGGAGGTCTTGATGGCATCGTCGAGTTCGCCTTCAAGTTTGGCCAGCTTCTTGTCCAAATCGTCAGCAATCTTCGGATCAATGACGACGTTCTTACGAGAAGCATCGGCGTTCACGATTCTGTCCTTGATGCGATTGATTTGAGCCTTGAGTGCAGGAACGTCGGTCTTGGAGATCGTATCAAGAATGGATCGTTCCGGATCGGTGGAGTCGATCATCTTGCTGATGTCATCGATTTCCTTGGCAACCTGATCGGCAGACTCCTTGAGAAGTCTCTCATCTTCGAGCTCAGCGGCAACATCGTTGAGAACGTCGTCGTATTGATGACGTGTTTGCTCGGCGTCGACGTCGAAGAATCGGACATCTGCGTAGGCACTCTCGAGTGGATCAAGTTGTTCGGAGATGCGTTGCAAGTTGGAAATCTTGTTGTCAAGCTCGTCCAGTTGAGGGGCGGCCTTTTTGAGGTTTTCCACATCTTGAGCGGCCTCTTCGGTGGATCGCTTCGGCTTGTCGGTGACAGCATCCAAGCCTTGCTGGAGTCGCTCGATGAACGCATCAATGTCGTTGCGAGCGACAGTGAATTCGTTCCAAAGACGGGCACGATCGTCGAGGTCCGGAATGAGCTCCTCTGCAGATGCAATCGCTTGTTGAAGCTGTTGCACATGTGCGTCAGTAGATGGACTGTCGGCAATGATTGCCTTCGCGACTTCCACCTCCTTCTTGAGTTCTTCCGACTTTGGCGCATACTGGGTTGGCACGGCTTCAGCGTTGTAACGGAGCTCATCGGCATCGCGAACGAGTGGCACAAGACGAGACACGACACGGTCAACAGCGTCGTGCAGGGCTTTCTCATCAGCCTTGGCCTTGATGGATTGCTCGAGTTCGGCGCGTTTCTTCTGCAAAATCAAATTTTGATTAGACGAACTGACTATTCAGAAAAGAAAGAAGTTTGAAAAAATGCGTTACCTTGAGAACATCAGCCGCGGTCGCGAGTCTGGCAAGCAGATCGTTGTACTCGGCGCGTTCCTTCTCATCCAGCTCGTCTGGCTTGACTCCGGCGACGGTTTCGCGAAGCTTGGCAACAGTTTCCTCCTTCTTGGCAAGATCGTCAATGAGCTCGTCTGGCGACTTGTTGTCGGCGTTTCCATCCTCGCTGGTGATATCGAGGAGGGCGTCTTCGGCATTCTTGCGAGCAGCATTGAATGCGGCGAGAGCGGCCAATTTGTCTCCGACAGCAGATCCAAGTTGTTTCAGAAGATCCTTGAGTCTTGACAAATCCCATTGACTCTTCTGTCTGAGCTCATCAGCAGCTGGGTCATTTTCAGGAAGGTTGGCAAGCAGGTTCTCCAAGTTGTGCTTCTGGTTCTCGACGTCCTCCAAAAGTTTCTTTTGTTCGTCAAGCGAGGATGGAACCTCTTGTGGGACGGATTGGAGTTGTTGAGAGACAAGTTGGAGCTTGGGAGCAATCTCGTTGACAGCGGCTGCCTTGTTCAAAGCCTGCTTCTTGTCGTCGATGGCATGTTGAAGTTGGAAGACCTTCTCCGGAAGTCCGACAACCAAGTCGTCATGCGAGATGAGCGGGCTTGGAGCCAGAGCCTTCTCGTTGTTCGAATCAGTGACAGCCTTCAACGTGGTGGTGTCGGCGGCGAGTTGGTCAACGAGCGGAAGGCCATCTTCCGGTTTGAATTCGTCCACCTTGGTGAGATCCTTCTCAAGATTGTTGAGACGATCAGCAATCTCGGCTTGCTCGCGACGAACAGCCTCCTCTTGTGGAATGGCCTTCTCGAGAACTTGAAGCAGTTCCTTAGCCTTGGTCTTGGAGTCCTTGATGTCCTTGGCAATTTGTAGATCGATCTTATCGCTAGACTCGGCAAGCTTGTTAAACTTCTCGATAGCAGTCTTGAGCTTGTTCGCGTCCTCCTTGGCAATGTCGAGTGGTTGGGGTTGTTGGTATTTCGGCACAATCTCATCAACGCTCGCCACAACTGCTCCAACGTCATTCTTCAGATCTTCGGCACGCTTCTCATCGTCGGCGGTCTTCTGGATGTTCTTGTCAAGATCGGCGACGAATTTGGCGGCACGGTCACGTAGATTGGCGGCAGTTGGCTCAACACTTGCTGGAACCTCTTGAACAGCATCGAGAAGGGTGGCGAGATGTGGAGCGATGCGATCCTTGAACTCATTGAGAGCGGTCACGTTGCTCGGGACAGCAGTCTTTTCAGCATCGTCGAGGGCGTCATCAAGTCGTTTGACAGCATCGTTGGCATTGTTCAACTTGTCAAGCTCATCCTGTTTCTCGGCGACTTGAGTGTCCAGATCCTTGACAAACTGTTCGAGATTGGCAACAAGTTGTTCGGCCTTGGTCTTGTCATCGGCTGGCAGATGTTCGTCTTTGGCTGCTTCCTCAATCTTCGGAATGAGCGCCTTCGCTTCGGCAGCCTTGGCGCTGATCTCGTCAATCACCTCCTGTGGATTCTTCTTCTTGTCCTTCTTCTTCTTCTTGGCCGATTCCTGGGCGGTGACATCAGCAGCTTCCTTCTCAAGAGCGGCAAGCTTTGTCGTGAGCAGCTGCGCGAGCTTCATCGTCGGCCTTCTTGGCATCTCTGAGCTCTTGGATCTTGGCCAACAATGGTTCGGCTTCTTCCGGTTTCAGCGAGTTGGTGATCTCCTTCTCGGCGGTCTTCAAATCATCTGCTGAGCTGATCCAATGGAAGCTGGTCGAACTGCGAAATGGTGAGCTTGAGCGCAAGAACAAGTTGTTCCTTTTCATGCTCATTGAGGTCTTGATGGCATCGTCGAGTTCGCCTTCAAGTTTGGCCAGCTTCTTGTCCAAATCGTCAGCAATCTTCGGATCAATGACGACGTTCTTACGAGAAGCATCGGCGTTCACGATTCTGTCCTTGATGCGATTGATTTGAGCCTTGAGTGCAGGAACGTCGGTCTTGGAGATCGTATCAAGAATGGATCGTTCCGGATCGGTGGAGTCGATCATCTTGCTGATGTCATCGATTTCCTTGGCAACCTGATCGGCAGACTCCTTGAGAAGTCTCTCATCTTCGAGCTCAGCGGCAACATCGTTGAGAACGTCGTCGTATTGATGACGTGTTTGCTCGGCGTCGACGTCGAAGAATCGGACATCTGCGTAGGCACTCTCGAGTGGATCAAGTTGTTCGGAGATGCGTTGCAAGTTGGAAATCTTGTTGTCAAGCTCGTCCAGTTGAGGGGCGGCCTTTTTGAGGTTTTTCCACATCTTGAGCGGCCTCTTCGGTGGATCGCTTCGGCTTGTCGGTGACAGCATCCAAGCCTTGCTGGAGTCGCTCGATGAACGCATCAATGTCGTTGCGAGCGACAGTGAATTCGTTCCAAAGACGGGCACGATCGTCGAGGTCCGGAATGAGCTCCTCTGCAGATGCAATCGCTTGTTGAAGCTGTTGCACATGTGCGTCAGTAGATGGACTGTCGGCAATGATTGCCTTCGCGACTTCCACCTCCTTCTTGAGTTCTTCCGACTTTGGCGCATACTGGGTTGGCACGGCTTCAGCGTTGTAACGGAGCTCATCGGCATCGCGAACGAGTGGCACAAGACGAGACACGACACGGTCAACAGCGTCGTGCAGGGCTTTCTCATCAGCCTTGGCCTTGATGGATTGCTCGAGTTCGGCGCGTTTCTTCTGCAAAAATCAAATTTTTGATTAGACGAACTGACTATTCAGAAAAGAAAGAAGTTTGAAAAAATGCGTTACCTTGAGAACATCAGCCGCGGTCGCGAGTCTGGCAAGCAGATCGTTGTACTCGGCGCGTTCCTTCTCATCCAGCTCGTCTGGCTTGACTCCGGCGACGGTTTCGCGAAGCTTGGCAACAGTTTCCTCCTTCTTGGCAAGATCGTCAATGAGCTCGTCTGGCGACTTGTTGTCGGCGTTTCCATCCTCGCTGGTGATATCGAGGAGGGCGTCTTCGGCATTCTTGCGAGCAGCATTGAATGCGGCGAGAGCGGCCAATTTGTCTCCGACAGCAGATCCAAGTTGTTTCAGAAGATCCTTGAGTCTTGACAAATCCCATTGACTCTTCTGTCTGAGCTCATCAGCAGCTGGGTCATTTTTCAGGAAGGTTGGCAAGCAGGTTCTCCAAGTTGTGCTTCTGGTTCTCGACGTCCTCCAAAAGTTTCTTTTGTTCGTCAAGCGAGGATGGAACCTCTTGTGGGACGGATTGGAGTTGTTGAGAGACAAGTTGGAGCTTGGGAGCAATCTCGTTGACAGCGGCTGCCTTGTTCAAAGCCTGCTTCTTGTCGTCGATGGCATGTTGAAGTTGGAAGACCTTCTCCGGAAGTCCGACAACCAAGTCGTCATGCGAGATGAGCGGGCTTGGAGCCAGAGCCTTCTCGTTGTTCGAATCAGTGACAGCCTTCAACGTGGTGGTGTCGGCGGCGAGTTGGTCAACGAGCGGAAGGCCATCTTCCGGTTTGAATTCGTCCACCTTGGTGAGATCCTTCTCAAGATTGTTGAGACGATCAGCAATCTCGGCTTGCTCGCGACGAACAGCCTCCTCTTGTGGAATGGCCTTCTCGAGAACTTGAAGCAGTTCCTTAGCCTTGGTCTTGGAGTCCTTGATGTCCTTGGCAATTTGTAGATCGATCTTATCGCTAGACTCGGCAAGCTTGTTAAACTTCTCGATAGCAGTCTTGAGCTTGTTCGCGTCCTCCTTGGCAATGTCGAGTGGTTGGGGTTGTTGGTATTTCGGCACAATCTCATCAACGCTCGCCACAACTGCTCCAACGTCATTCTTCAGATCTTCGGCACGCTTCTCATCGTCGGCGGTCTTCTGGATGTTCTTGTCAAGATCGGCGACGAATTTGGCGGCACGGTCACGTAGATTGGCGGCAGTTGGCTCAACACTTGCTGGAACCTCTTGAACAGCATCGAGAAGGGTGGCGAGATGTGGAGCGATGCGATCCTTGAACTCATTGAGAGCGGTCACGTTGCTCGGGACAGCAGTCTTTTTCAGCATCGTCGAGGGCGTCATCAAGTCGTTTGACAGCATCGTTGGCATTGTTCAACTTGTCAAGCTCATCCTGTTTCTCGGCGACTTGAGTGTCCAGATCCTTGACAAACTGTTCGAGATTGGCAACAAGTTGTTCGGCCTTGGTCTTGTCATCGGCTGGCAGATGTTCGTCTTTGGCTGCTTCCTCAATCTTCGGAATGAGCGCCTTCGCTTCGGCAGCCTTGGCGCTGATCTCGTCAATCACCTCCTGTGGATTCTTCTTCTTGTCCTTCTTCTTCTTCTTGGCCGATTCCTGGGCGGTGACATCAGCAGCTTCCTTCTCAAGAGCGGCAAGCTTGTCGTGAGCAGCTGCGCGAGCTTCATCGTCGGCCTTCTTGGCATCTCTGAGCTCTTGGATCTTGGCCAACAATGGTTCGGCTTCTTCCGGTTTCAGCGAGTTGGTGATCTCCTTCTCGGCGGTCTTCAAATCATCTGGGTTGAGCTGATCCAATGGAAGCTGGTCGAACTGCGAAATGGTGAGCTTGAGCGCAAGAACAAGTTGTTCCTTTTCATGCTCATTGGAGGTCTTGATGGCATCGTCGAGTTCGCCTTCAAGTTTGGCCAGCTTCTTGTCCAAATCGTCAGCAATCTTCGGATCAATGACGACGTTCTTACGAGAAGCATCGGCGTTCACGATTCTGTCCTTGATGCGATTGATTTGAGCCTTGAGTGCAGGAACGTCGGTCTTGGAGATCGTATCAAGAATGGATCGTTCCGGATCGGTGGAGTCGATCATCTTGCTGATGTCATCGATTTCCTTGGCAACCTGATCGGCAGACTCCTTGAGAAGTCTCTCATCTTCGAGCTCAGCGGCAACATCGTTGAGAACGTCGTCGTATTGATGACGTGTTTGCTCGGCGTCGACGTCGAAGAATCGGACATCTGCGTAGGCACTCTCGAGTGGATCAAGTTGTTCGGAGATGCGTTGCAAGTTGGAAATCTTGTTGTCAAGCTCGTCCAGTTGAGGGGCGGCCTTTTTGAGGTTTTCCACATCTTGAGCGGCCTCTTCGGTGGATCGCTTCGGCTTGTCGGTGACAGCATCCAAGCCTTGCTGGAGTCGCTCGATGAACGCATCAATGTCGTTGCGAGCGACAGTGAATTCGTTCCAAAGACGGGCACGATCGTCGAGGTCCGGAATGAGCTCCTCTGCAGATGCAATCGCTTGTTGAAGCTGTTGCACATGTGCGTCAGTAGATGGACTGTCGGCAATGATTGCCTTCGCGACTTCCACCTCCTTCTTGAGTTCTTCCGACTTTGGCGCATACTGGGTTGGCACGGCTTCAGCGTTGTAACGGAGCTCATCGGCATCGCGAACGAGTGGCACAAGACGAGACACGACACGGTCAACAGCGTCGTGCAGGGCTTTCTCATCAGCCTTGGCCTTGATGGATTGCTCGAGTTCGGCGCGTTTCTTCTGCAAAATCAAATTTTGATTAGACGAACTGACTATTCAGAAAAGAAAGAAGTTTGAAAAATGCGTTACCTTGAGAACATCAGCCGCGGTCGCGAGTCTGGCAAGCAGATCGTTGTACTCGGCGCGTTCCTTCTCATCCAGCTCGTCTGGCTTGACTCCGGCGACGGTTTCGCGAAGCTTGGCAACAGTTTCCTCCTTCTTGGCAAGATCGTCAATGAGCTCGTCTGGCGACTTGTTGTCGGCGTTTCCATCCTCGCTGGTGATATCGAGGAGGGCGTCTTCGGCATTCTTGCGAGCAGCATTGAATGCGGCGAGAGCGGCCAATTTGTCTCCGACAGCAGATCCAAGTTGTTTCAGAAGATCCTTGAGTCTTGACAAATCCCATTGACTCTTCTGTCTGAGCTCATCAGCAGCTGGGTCATTTTCAGGAAGGTTGGCAAGCAGGTTCTCCAAGTTGTGCTTCTGGTTCTCGACGTCCTCCAAAAGTTTCTTTTGTTCGTCAAGCGAGGATGGAACCTCTTGTGGGACGGATTGGAGTTGTTGAGAGACAAGTTGGAGCTTGGGAGCAATCTCGTTGACAGCGGCTGCCTTGTTCAAAGCCTGCTTCTTGTCGTCGATGGCATGTTGAAGTTGGAAGACCTTCTCCGGAAGTCCGACAACCAAGTCGTCATGCGAGATGAGCGGGCTTGGAGCCAGAGCCTTCTCGTTGTTCGAATCAGTGACAGCCTTCAACGTGGTGGTGTCGGCGGCGAGTTGGTCAACGAGCGGAAGGCCATCTTCCGGTTTGAATTCGTCCACCTTGGTGAGATCCTTCTCAAGATTGTTGAGACGATCAGCAATCTCGGCTTGCTCGCGACGAACAGCCTCCTCTTGTGGAATGGCCTTCTCGAGAACTTGAAGCAGTTCCTTAGCCTTGGTCTTGGAGTCCTTGATGTCCTTGGCAATTTGTAGATCGATCTTATCGCTAGACTCGGCAAGCTTGTTAAACTTCTCGATAGCAGTCTTGAGCTTGTTCGCGTCCTCCTTGGCAATGTCGAGTGGTTGGGGTTGTTGGTATTTCGGCACAATCTCATCAACGCTCGCCACAACTGCTCCAACGTCATTCTTCAGATCTTCGGCACGCTTCTCATCGTCGGCGGTCTTCTGGATGTTCTTGTCAAGATCGGCGACGAATTTGGCGGCACGGTCACGTAGATTGGCGGCAGTTGGCTCAACACTTGCTGGAACCTCTTGAACAGCATCGAGAAGGGTGGCGAGATGTGGAGCGATGCGATCCTTGAACTCATTGAGAGCGGTCACGTTGCTCGGGACAGCAGTCTTTTCAGCATCGTCGAGGGCGTCATCAAGTCGTTTGACAGCATCGTTGGCATTGTTCAACTTGTCAAGCTCATCCTGTTTCTCGGCGACTTGAGTGTCCAGATCCTTGACAAACTGTTCGAGATTGGCAACAAGTTGTTCGGCCTTGGTCTTGTCATCGGCTGGCAGATGTTCGTCTTTGGCTGCTTCCTCAATCTTCGGAATGAGCGCCTTCGCTTCGGCAGCCTTGGCGCTGATCTCGTCAATCACCTCCTGTGGATTCTTCTTCTTGTCCTTCTTCTTCTTCTTGGCCGATTCCTGGGCGGTGACATCAGCAGCTTCCTTCTCAAGAGCGGCAAGCTTGTCGTGAGCAGCTGCGCGAGCTTCATCGTCGGCCTTCTTGGCATCTCTGAGCTCTTGGATCTTGGCCAACAATGGTTCGGCTTCTTCCGGTTTCAGCGAGTTGGTGATCTCCTTCTCGGCGGTCTTCAAATCATCTGGGTTGAGCTGATCCAATGGAAGCTGGTCGAACTGCGAAATGGTGAGCTTGAGCGCAAGAACAAGTTGTTCCTTTTCATGCTCATTGGAGGTCTTGATGGCATCGTCGAGTTCGCCTTCAAGTTTGGCCAGCTTCTTGTCCAAATCGTCAGCAATCTTCGGATCAATGACGACGTTCTTACGAGAAGCATCGGCGTTCACGATTCTGTCCTTGATGCGATTGATTTGAGCCTTGAGTGCAGGAACGTCGGTCTTGGAGATCGTATCAAGAATGGATCGTTCCGGATCGGTGGAGTCGATCATCTTGCTGATGTCATCGATTTCCTTGGCAACCTGATCGGCAGACTCCTTTGAGAAGTCTCTCATCTTCGAGCTCAGCGGCAACATCGTTGAGAACGTCGTCGTATTGATGACGTGTTTGCTCGGCGTCGACGTCGAAGAATCGGACATCTGCGTAGGCACTCTCGAGTGGATCAAGTTGTTCGGAGATGCGTTGCAAGTTGGAAATCTTGTTGTCAAGCTCGTCCAGTTGAGGGGCGGCCTTTTTGAGGTTTTTCCACATCTTGAGCGGCCTCTTCGGTGGATCGCTTCGGCTTGTCGGTGACAGCATCCAAGCCTTGCTGGAGTCGCTCGATGAACGCATCAATGTCGTTGCGAGCGACAGTGAATTCGTTCCAAAGACGGGCACGATCGTCGAGGTCCGGAATGAGCTCCTCTGCAGATGCAATCGCTTGTTGAAGCTGTTGCACATGTGCGTCAGTAGATGGACTGTCGGCAATGATTGCCTTCGCGACTTCCACCTCCTTCTTGAGTTCTTCCGACTTTGGCGCATACTGGGTTGGCACGGCTTCAGCGTTGTAACGGAGCTCATCGGCATCGCGAACGAGTGGCACAAGACGAGACACGACACGGTCAACAGCGTCGTGCAGGGCTTTCTCATCAGCCTTGGCCTTGATGGATTGCTCGAGTTCGGCGCGTTTCTTCTGCAAAATCAAATTTTGATTAGACGAACTGACTATTCAGAAAAGAAAGAAGTTTGAAAAATGCGTTACCTTGAGAACATCAGCCGCGGTCGCGAGTCTGGCAAGCAGATCGTTGTACTCGGCGCGTTCCTTCTCATCCAGCTCGTCTGGCTTGACTCCGGCGACGGTTTCGCGAAGCTTGGCAACAGTTTCCTCCTTCTTGGCAAGATCGTCAATGAGCTCGTCTGGCGACTTGTTGTCGGCGTTTCCATCCTCGCTGGTGATATCGAGGAGGGCGTCTTCGGCATTCTTGCGAGCAGCATTGAATGCGGCGAGAGCGGCCAATTTGTCTCCGACAGCAGATCCAAGTTGTTTCAGAAGATCCTTGAGTCTTGACAAATCCCATTGACTCTTCTGTCTGAGCTCATCAGCAGCTGGGTCATTTTCAGGAAGGTTGGCAAGCAGGTTCTCCAAGTTGTGCTTCTGGTTCTCGACGTCCTCCAAAAGTTTCTTTTGTTCGTCAAGCGAGGATGGAACCTCTTGTGGGACGGATTGGAGTTGTTGAGAGACAAGTTGGAGCTTGGGAGCAATCTCGTTGACAGCGGCTGCCTTGTTCAAAGCCTGCTTCTTGTCGTCGATGGCATGTTGAAGTTGGAAGACCTTCTCCGGAAGTCCGACAACCAAGTCGTCATGCGAGATGAGCGGGCTTGGAGCCAGAGCCTTCTCGTTGTTCGAATCAGTGACAGCCTTCAACGTGGTGGTGTCGGCGGCGAGTTGGTCAACGAGCGGAAGGCCATCTTCCGGTTTGAATTCGTCCACCTTGGTGAGATCCTTCTCAAGATTGTTGAGACGATCAGCAATCTCGGCTTGCTCGCGACGAACAGCCTCCTCTTGTGGAATGGCCTTCTCGAGAACTTGAAGCAGTTCCTTAGCCTTGGTCTTGGAGTCCTTGATGTCCTTGGCAATTTGTAGATCGATCTTATCGCTAGACTCGGCAAGCTTGTTAAACTTCTCGATAGCAGTCTTGAGCTTGTTCGCGTCCTCCTTGGCAATGTCGAGTGGTTGGGGTTGTTGGTATTTCGGCACAATCTCATCAACGCTCGCCACAACTGCTCCAACGTCATTCTTCAGATCTTCGGCACGCTTCTCATCGTCGGCGGTCTTCTGGATGTTCTTGTCAAGATCGGCGACGAATTTGGCGGCACGGTCACGTAGATTGGCGGCAGTTGGCTCAACACTTGCTGGAACCTCTTGAACAGCATCGAGAAGGGTGGCGAGATGTGGAGCGATGCGATCCTTGAACTCATTGAGAGCGGTCACGTTGCTCGGGACAGCAGTCTTTTCAGCATCGTCGAGGGCGTCATCAAGTCGTTTGACAGCATCGTTGGCATTGTTCAACTTGTCAAGCTCATCCTGTTTCTCGGCGACTTGAGTGTCCAGATCCTTGACAAACTGTTCGAGATTGGCAACAAGTTGTTCGGCCTTGGTCTTGTCATCGGCTGGCAGATGTTCGTCTTTGGCTGCTTCCTCAATCTTCGGAATGAGCGCCTTCGCTTCGGCAGCCTTGGCGCTGATCTCGTCAATCACCTCCTGTGGATTCTTCTTCTTGTCCTTCTTCTTCTTCTTGGCCGATTCCTGGGCGGTGACATCAGCAGCTTCCTTCTCAAGAGCGGCAAGCTTGTCGTGAGCAGCTGCGCGAGCTTCATCGTCGGCCTTCTTGGCATCTCTGAGCTCTTGGATCTTGGCCAACAATGGTTCGGCTTCTTCCGGTTTCAGCGAGTTGGTGATCTCCTTCTCGGCGGTCTTCAAATCATCTGGGTTGAGCTGATCCAATGGAAGCTGGTCGAACTGCGAAATGGTGAGCTTGAGCGCAAGAACAAGTTGTTCCTTTTCATGCTCATTGGAGGTCTTGATGGCATCGTCGAGTTCGCCTTCAAGTTTGGCCAGCTTCTTGTCCAAATCGTCAGCAATCTTCGGATCAATGACGACGTTCTTACGAGAAGCATCGGCGTTCACGATTCTGTCCTTGATGCGATTGATTTGAGCCTTGAGTGCAGGAACGTCGGTCTTGGAGATCGTATCAAGAATGGATCGTTCCGGATCGGTGGAGTCGATCATCTTGCTGATGTCATCGATTTCCTTGGCAACCTGATCGGCAGACTCCTTGAGAAGTCTCTCATCTTCGAGCTCAGCGGCAACATCGTTGAGAACGTCGTCGTATTGATGACGTGTTTGCTCGGCGTCGACGTCGAAGAATCGGACATCTGCGTAGGCACTCTCGAGTGGATCAAGTTGTTCGGAGATGCGTTGCAAGTTGGAAATCTTGTTGTCAAGCTCGTCCAGTTGAGGGGCGGCCTTTTTGAGGTTTTTCCACATCTTGAGCGGCCTCTTCGGTGGATCGCTTCGGCTTGTCGGTGACAGCATCCAAGCCTTGCTGGAGTCGCTCGATGAACGCATCAATGTCGTTGCGAGCGACAGTGAATTCGTTCCAAAGACGGGCACGATCGTCGAGGTCCGGAATGAGCTCCTCTGCAGATGCAATCGCTTGTTGAAGCTGTTGCACATGTGCGTCAGTAGATGGACTGTCGGCAATGATTGCCTTCGCGACTTCCACCTCCTTCTTGAGTTCTTCCGACTTTGGCGCATACTGGGTTGGCACGGCTTCAGCGTTGTAACGGAGCTCATCGGCATCGCGAACGAGTGGCACAAGACGAGACACGACACGGTCAACAGCGTCGTGCAGGGCTTTCTCATCAGCCTTGGCCTTGATGGATTGCTCGAGTTCGGCGCGTTTCTTCTGCAAAATCAAATTTTGATTAGACGAACTGACTATTCAGAAAAGAAAGAAGTTTGAAAAAATGCGTTACCTTGAGAACATCAGCCGCGGTCGCGAGTCTGGCAAGCAGATCGTTGTACTCGGCGCGTTCCTTCTCATCCAGCTCGTCTGGCTTGACTCCGGCGACGGTTTCGCGAAGCTTGGCAACAGTTTCCTCCTTCTTGGCAAGATCGTCAATGAGCTCGTCTGGCGACTTGTTGTCGGCGTTTCCATCCTCGCTGGTGATATCGAGGAGGGCGTCTTCGGCATTCTTGCGAGCAGCATTGAATGCGGCGAGAGCGGCCAATTTGTCTCCGACAGCAGATCCAAGTTGTTTCAGAAGATCCTTGAGTCTTGACAAATCCCATTGACTCTTCTGTCTGAGCTCATCAGCAGCTGGGTCATTTTCAGGAAGGTTGGCAAGCAGGTTCTCCAAGTTGTGCTTCTGGTTCTCGACGTCCTCCAAAAGTTTCTTTTGTTCGTCAAGCGAGGATGGAACCTCTTGTGGGACGGATTGGAGTTGTTGAGAGACAAGTTGGAGCTTGGGAGCAATCTCGTTGACAGCGGCTGCCTTGTTCAAAGCCTGCTTCTTGTCGTCGATGGCATGTTGAAGTTGGAAGACCTTCTCCGGAAGTCCGACAACCAAGTCGTCATGCGAGATGAGCGGGCTTGGAGCCAGAGCCTTCTCGTTGTTCGAATCAGTGACAGCCTTCAACGTGGTGGTGTCGGCGGCGAGTTGGTCAACGAGCGGAAGGCCATCTTCCGGTTTGAATTCGTCCACCTTGGTGAGATCCTTCTCAAGATTGTTGAGACGATCAGCAATCTCGGCTTGCTCGCGACGAACAGCCTCCTCTTGTGGAATGGCCTTCTCGAGAACTTGAAGCAGTTCCTTAGCCTTGGTCTTGGAGTCCTTGATGTCCTTGGCAATTTGTAGATCGATCTTATCGCTAGACTCGGCAAGCTTGTTAAACTTCTCGATAGCAGTCTTGAGCTTGTTCGCGTCCTCCTTGGCAATGTCGAGTGGTTGGGGTTGTTGGTATTTCGGCACAATCTCATCAACGCTCGCCACAACTGCTCCAACGTCATTCTTCAGATCTTCGGCACGCTTCTCATCGTCGGCGGTCTTCTGGATGTTCTTGTCAAGATCGGCGACGAATTTGGCGGCACGGTCACGTAGATTGGCGGCAGTTGGCTCAACACTTGCTGGAACCTCTTGAACAGCATCGAGAAGGGTGGCGAGATGTGGAGCGATGCGATCCTTGAACTCATTGAGAGCGGTCACGTTGCTCGGGACAGCAGTCTTTTCAGCATCGTCGAGGGCGTCATCAAGTCGTTTGACAGCATCGTTGGCATTGTTCAACTTCTGTTCAGCTTGATCGGCTGCTTCCTTCTTTTCACGGAGCTCCGCGATCTGCGCTCTGATCTTCTCGGCTTCTTCAGATTGGAACACAGCAAGTCCATCTTCTACGGATTTCAGCAAATCCAAGTCGATAGTGATGGCTGGTAATTCTGAGAAAGCGTGGAGATCCGCAAGAATCTGTTCAGCTTGATCGGATGATTCCTTCTTTTCACGGAGCTCCGCGATCTGCGCTCTGATCTTCTCGGCTTCTTCAGATGGGAACACAGCAAGTCCATCTTCTACGGATTTCAGCAAATCCAAGTCGAGAGTGATGGCTGGTAATTCTGAGAAAGCGTGGAGATCCGCAAGAATCTGTTCAGCTTGATCGGATGATTCCTTCTTTTCACGGAGCTCCGCGATCTGCGCTCTGATCTTCTCGGCTTCTTCAGATGGGAACACAGCAAGTCCATCTTCTACGGATTTCAGCAAATCCAAGTCGAGAGTGATGGCTGGTAATTCTGAGAAAGCGTGGAGATCCGCAAGAATCTGTTCAGCTTGATCGGCTGCTTCCTTCTTATCACGGAGCTCCGCGATCTGCGCTCTGATCTTCTCGGCTTCTTCAGATTGGAACACAGCAAGTCCATCTTCTACGGATTTCAGCAAATCCAAGTCGATAGTGATGGCTGGCAATTCCGAGAAAGCGTGGAGATCCGCAAGAATCTGTTCAGCTTGATCGGCTGCTTCCTTCTTTTCACGGAGCTCCGCGATCTGCGCTCTGATCTTCTCGGCTTCTTCAGATGGGAACACAACAAGTCCATCTTCTACGGATTTCAGCAAATCCAAGTCGATAGTGATGGCTGGCAATTCCGAGAAAGCGTGGAGATCCGCAAGAATCTGGCCAGCTTGATCGGCTGCTTCCTTCTTTTTACGAAGCTCGTTGATCTTTTCTCTAACTTGGTCTGCCTGCTCGGATGGAAGAGCGTTCAAGCTGTCTTCGAGCGCATCAAGCATTGCCAAATCGATGGAATCGGCTGGCGTGTCGTTGATAACCGCAAGTTCGTCCAAAAGTTGTTGGGTAGCTGCAGAGTCGTCTCCGACCGGCTCGGGGTTTTTGAGCTGAAATGAAAGCATTGGATAGAAAAATTATAAAACAACTGATTCACCTCATCGATTCGGTCTTCAATCGAAGTTATGACAGCTTCGTATTGTTGGTGAACGTTAGCGAGAGCATCAACGGCATCTATAGCATCTGGGGACTGCTCTCCAGTGAGTTTTTCGGCGTTGGCTCCGATCTGGTCAAGCAGCGGACGAGCGTTCTCCAGTTTGGACTTTGATTCCTCCAACTTTTCAACATTGTCGGTGTCGATTACAATGTCTTCACACTCGGCAATGACGTCCTGGAGTTGTTGAACGAGATCTTGGCGGGATGGATCACTGGTCGGTATCTCAATCTGTAATTTTCATGCTCAACTTCGTTAATTGATTCAGACAGGCTCACCTCCGACGACAGTTTCTTCTCAACATCCGCAACAATTGTGCCATATTGTTCGAGAACTGGCTGGGCAATGTCGATAGTCTCGGGGTTGTTCCAAATATTGGCTTCCACTGCATCCACTTGAGGCTTCACGTTCGTCAGAACTTGTCTGGCATTCAACAACTTCTCAGTGTTACACAAGTCACCGGAAATGATCGTGGATGCTTGTCGGGTGGCGTCCTCGACATCTTCCAGTGGTGTTTTCGACGGCTTTTTCTGAGCAACAACTGGCGACTGATCGTAATTGAGCTTATCAATTTGCTTGTTGATGTTATCACGAGCGTCTTCGATTTGCTTCTTGATGTTTTCTAATGTTGCGATGATCTCTGGCTTGTTCGGATCGTCCACTGAATCCAAGATGGCGAGGATCTTCCTGATTGTCCTGTCTTGCTTGGTCATCTTGTCGTTGGCAGTCTGAAGAGCATTCACATCGTCAGTCCCTTCGCACGCCAATGAGTTTGCTTCTTCAATAGCAGTCACCAATTGTCCAAACAATGCGGCGATCTTCGGAGTCGGGTCTTCAGCCGAAACAACTTCGAACTTGTCGATGGCGCTCGGATCCGTTTTGATCTCGATTCTTTCTTCAGAAAGGACTGGAGCTGGTCTCGAGAACTCGTCCGTTTCCCAGTTACTTGACGCGGCTTGAACATCTTGTACTTGGACAAAGTGGTGTTCTAATTGCGCTTGTTCTGCAGCAGGCGCAGCAAGCTCTTCATGGGCCTCTTCAACAGCGCTCTGCAAATTGTTAAGCTTCTCGCCGACAGAGCTTGCCACGTCGATCGCCTCGATCTTGTCCTGCTCCTTCTCCGCTGGAATTCTTTCAGCCACATCGTACAGATGATTGAGAGTGACTTTCTGATCAGTAAGCAGAAGGATGGCAGACTTTAGAGTTTCCTCATCGTTCGGCGCATCGTCGTACATCGAAGAAGCCGTGTCGATTGCTCGTTCGATCTCTGCGGCCAGTCGTTTCACCTCATCCAGATCGTTTCGGTTCTCGGTTCCAACTGGCGACAAGATGGAAGCTGGGTTCGGTGTTACGGTGGCCGTGTCCAGCTCGCGAAGATTTTCCTTCACAGTGATCAACTTCTGCTGGACAGCCTGGTGTTGTGGAGCGTCGAGGGCTTCTAGACGTTCCTCCACAACGTGAATGATGGTTGTGATGGTGTTGGAGACCATCACAAGCACCTTCTTCTTTCTCCTTCTCTTCTCCTGCGGTGAACCTTCCCGACTGCTGTCGATGAGTTCACACTCGACGTACTTGCGCGGCTTGTTGCACATAACCTTGACGAGGTCGAGTTGCATTTGAAGACGGTCGAGTTCGGCGGAAATGTCGAGGTCTTCAAGTGGAGAGTTCTGAAGGGTTTGCTCGGCGGATGAGAGCTCGGTGAGGATCTCCTGGTTCTTGGCCGTGAGCTCCTCTTCGTCGCGAATCTCATTCTTGAGCGAGACGAGAAGATCGTCGTAGTTGTTGAGCATCAGTGTGAACCGATGTTTGAGGCCTTCCTTTTCGGCATCTTCGATCTGACTGACCGAGAGCTGCTGGAGAATTTCAGCACCACGACTACGGTACTTCTCGAGTTGCTTGACATCTTCTCTGACGGCATCGATTGGCTTGGGGCCCTTCAAATACGAATCGTCAATGATGTGAAGCTTTTGAAGCAGTTTGTTGATCTTGGCTTCGAATGGTGATAGTTCTGTGACGTCAGTAGGAATAACTCCAATTGATGACGTCAGAGACATCACGGATTCTGGTCTCTCCAACTCAGATGATGCGATTGACGACACGGAAATCTGGAAAACTATGCGAGGTGAGAAGGAATCGAAGGAAAAAGGGACAAACCTGAGATTGGAATGGTCCATTGCGGTCCAGATTGGTGGAGACGTGCAACGGTAGGCCGACGGCAGACTGGAACGGAGTCAGTTTTTGCATGATGGTGTGGTAGCGATCGCAGAGGCGCAGCACTTCCTCTTTGTTCGCCACGTTCAGACGTTCGAGTTTGGCGACGAGCCGTTGCTTGGCAAGAGCCACGTCGAGCAAAGAAGCGAATCGATGCGAGCGTTCGGGCTCTTCGAATCGCCGTTCCGTTTGTTCAATGTCGTCTTCAATGGCGTTGAGCCACTTTTCGAATTGCGACAGCTTGACGTTGATCTTCGCAGAATGTGTCAGGTATTTGTTGATGCGGGCTTCCATCGAATCCTGTTTTCGGTGCAGGTCGGCAAGTTCGGCACTGAGTGCCTTCTTAGTTTCCAGCCCAACAAGACGTTCGATCTCGATCAAATCCGTCTTCCATTGATTCCATTCATTTGCGTTCATGCGACGAAGATCGTCAGCTCGGCTCGTCTGGATCGTCATTCCGATTTCCTCTTCCAGTTCGTCGAATTCACGGCTCAACCAGTCGAGGTAAATCAGAACGAGACGCTCGAAAACGATGCGATGTCTGTCGGCGCGTCGACGGAAGTCTTCGATCAAGGAGGCGAAGCTGGCCCGTTGTTCCTCGGTCAGCGTCGCCGCCTGGATCTCGTCAATCGTCTTCTCGTCACGCTTCTTCTCGTCCTTCATGCGGAGGATGTCAGCCAGAATTGCATCCGGAGACACATCGCGCGGTTCTTGGATTGGTCTGGCGATGATCTCGCGGAGGTTACGTCTCAACTCTTCGACGTCGGGTTCTCCGTCCTGAAATGAGAATTTAAAAGGCGTGAGGTGATGGGAATGGACTAACGCTTCCGAGTTGTCGGCGTCTGAAGGAAAGAATCAGAGCAACGACGACGAGGTCGGTAATGTTCATTTCGGCAAGCTCGCCGAGTCTTCGCAACTCTTCTCCTTTGATTTCGAGGGCTTTTGTTACTTCGTCGGTCTGAAATCCATAAGTGTTTAGCGGAAAAGTGGACATGGAAGAGCTTACGGCACGAGGAATGTCTTCAGTATGGTCGCTAGAGGTGGCACGTTGAGTAATATCAATAGTCGAGTCGGTGATCAGTTCGTTGGCGGCAGTCAGGTAATGGCGTCGGTGCACCATCAACTCGCGGAGCTTGTCTTTCTCGTGAATAAGCATGTTCAATCTGAATTTGAGGAATATTGTGATTGGTTTCGTTGTTGATCTCCCACTTTTCATTCAATCGATCAAACTCAAGTTGGAAGAAACTTCCGTGTATGCTGGCAAGCTCGGCGCGCAACTGATTCGCATCTTGAGTCCATTCCTCGTCGAGTCGGCTAATCAACGTGTCGATCTCAGACTGTACTTGATCAATCTGAAACCAATCCGATTGACTTTGTTTTCTGTTTAGCCCCGTTCTAAGTGTCCTTTGCGACACCGTGTGATAAGGACAACCCAACAGATGATGAATTGCTGATTTTTGCGAGAGTGACATGAAAGAGAGCGGCCGCAAGAGGAGGAGGGGGAGGGGGGGGACAACCACATGTTGTTTCGGTTGATTTGAGAATAGAAAGAAGATGATGATGACGAACTACTTCTTGTTTGCAGCACGATCAAGGGCAACTGTTGTATTTCTGCACTCGGCCTGTAGTATTTGACTCGTGGTTCTCCGATAGCTCAAAAGCAGGTGGAGCGAGTTACAGGTCGGGTGAGAAAGTACGGTAGACAAGGGCTTCGGAATATGATTCTTGGTTCAATTGGTGGCTACCGTACTTCTTTCCCATCCCTTCGTTCAAAGTTTTCTCCATTATCAAGCTACCCATGTCATCGTCAACATCAGAGCCGAATCGGTTTACACAAAGGTAATTAACATTCGAATTGTGACATTACCCAGTCGTGGCGCCCTCTCTTTCTCTTCTCCCTCTTCTTCTCTCTCTCTTCCGTTTGTCCTTCTGCCCGTGTGATTTGTTGCCTTTTTCGAATCGCGGGGCAGACAACGCAAAAATAACAACAGGGGACTCCCTTTTTTTCGAGGGATAGAGATAAAGGGAATGCGTGGGTGTTGGATAAATGGAAAGTCTAGGATTTCAGGAATAGTTTGGGATTTTGAAATTTTCGAATTCGTCAAAGAAGTTTTCCCCAGTATCAACCTATCAAAAAACCTTTTTTGTGCTCTAATCAGGTCTGCCACCTGATCCCCTTTGCAACCCGCCGTCCTACAGTAATCCTTCGCGCAAACATACGAAAGTTTGAGCTCACCTGCGAAATCTTGATTGCGTTCCATTTGGTGTTTTGCGAGCGCAGGAATTTGACGGCGTCGCAAAAGTTTTGCAGCCGTCGGAACAGCTCCATTTTGGTTCGGAGCACGTGTAGCGTGTAGCTGTATCGCTCGTCAACTGCCGCCGATAATGTAGAGACCGATTCGCGGCCAACCTCCTGAAAACGACGAATGAGCGGGGGATGGGTAGAATTGGATTGGGAGGGTTAGGTTAACAGAAGGGTGCTCAAGATGGGCAATGAGACTTTACTGGCGGTTAAATATATGAAACTAGCGGGTAGTTATTGGTTATTGTCGGAGGCAGTTGAGGAGCAAAGGGCGGAAGAAGAAGAGGAAGCTTTCGTGTTTGATTTTACATCTTTTTTGTGTTTCTGCGAGGGAAATGATGAGCAAATAGGACATAGTTTAAACGGCCAAAAGGACCCTTCGATCGATTCGTTTCCGACTTTTTATGAAGAATAAATATGCATCAGTTGGGGGGAAGGACACTCCACACAAAAGGCGTTTTTGTCTGCATGATCACCTTTTGGAAGTAATGCCTCGAAATGATCGAGGAGAGCAAGAGAGAAAAAAAGAGAGAGCGGGTGATTGGAAGTGTCGCAATATCAGTACGTGCACGGGTGAGCACAATTGAGCGAGCAGCACAGAGAATGAATGAGCTGAAGAATCAAATGGAGGTGGAGGGCAAGAACACGGGCATTAACAAACAGAATTTCGGAAGAGGAGGAGCGGAGGAGGGGGGCAAATTGATCAGATTGTGATAAGACGGACGGACGGCAAAAAAGAAAAGGACAAGAGGAAAGTGACCGATTTTGGAGCGGAGGAGATTTCGAAAAGTGGAGGAGGAGGGAGAGAAGGACTAATTGGACGAAACGATCAACAATCTCAGAAGGACGCCTGAGGTAATTGAGGGAAACGGACAATGAATTCGGATTCGATTCAGTCTCTGTGAAATCACAATAAGATTTTGATAATGAAAAGACAGCGCATGAACGGGAAACTAGAATCTGAGTGTGTAAACAAAGAGAGCTCGAAGATGCGGAATACAGTAAGATTCTGTCAAGATTACTCGAGTAGGAGATTGGGTCGAATCAGTCGAAACCACGTGAACAACTACAGTACCCCTCTCCCCAAACCCATATTTGCGGGGGGAATCCCCCTCTTCGTCTTTGTTTCTCATTTGCGCCTAATTTGAGTTTCGAGTGGAATTTTTTCACAAATAGATCGAACAACGACCGCAAATTGTTGAGGGCGAGACGGAAACCAACAGGCGAGATCAGATTAGCGGGGTCTCTTTTGAAATTTGCGAATTTGGATTCGACTTTGAATTCCACGTCGTATTCGGAATGGGACAGCATTCTTCGGAAGTAATTGTGTTTGCCGTTGAGAGAAAGAGTCATAAAGGAAGAGAGTGAAAGTGAAATGGAACAACAACTGAAGGATCTGAACTTTGATCAAACAGAAGGACATGTGGTTTGGCAGAGCAGCTGAGAATATCTCGGAATTGAGAAAAGAAATAAACAAATAGTCGAGAAAGAACTGTGTGGGGTATTGGTTTGCAACTATGAGTTTTGTTGACATTGTTCGCATCTCGGAAGCAACAAGAAGTTCGCACTTTTTGGAGAAAGATACATGCAACACAACGGCGAGAAGAGAGTGAATTGACGGGCAGGCAGGCCCCCGACGGGAAGGAAGGACGGGCGACAACCCACACGGGCGGCGGAGAGATTCGGAGTTCTCGCGACGAACCGAGGAGACGGAGACGCACGGAGAGGGACGAGGGGAGGATAAGATAAGAGGAGTGTAACGAGCGGAAAAAGAGACTCACCTCTAGGAACTCAATGGCATCCGGACAGTCTTGCTCGTTGCTCAGTTCCAGGTTCTGGAAGTGTCGGTGGACGGACGTCTCGCTCGTCGTCGCCAGTTGTTCGAGGGCTTCGCGGAGGGTTGCGCCCAACTCGCTGTGCTTGATCTCGAAGGATCTCTCCCTCAGAATCCAGATGGTCTGAATGACGATTACGTCCAATCGGGTCTGAATTGTCTGCGAGAGCACGTCCACTTGGCGCATCATTTCGTGCCAAGACTCGAATTCGGACAGCTTCACATTCCACGTGGCACGCAGCTCTTCGAGTTCTTTGCTCTGCCATCCTTCGATGATGCGGTCGCACTCTTCCATGTCCCGAATCGACTCGCGGATCTCGTCTTCGTTGTGCTCGCGACGAGCCAAAATGCGTGTTTTGCGGGTAATAATCTCCCGCACGTAGTCTTCACTCAACACGTTTTCAGTCCAATTCACCGGTATCTGAAAGAAGGCCTCCCGGTTCTTGTCTCCGTTCCCCGCAGTTTCCTACCTGATTGTACTCGTCATAGACGAACGCGTATTGAGTGAGATCGACAAAATTGGCGTATTGTCCTGTCTGAAGCCCGTAGATAATCGTGCCCATGTCGTGTCTGAGCATATTTCGATCGGCAGTGTCCACCTGAAGGCCGTTCCAACTTTGCGTTAAGTCCTTCCCTCGCCCTTTTCATGTACACTTTCTGCTCGTGGATGATACATGATGCTCTTGGGTGCTCCCGCGAGTATTGCCCGTCAGGTGGCCGTGTTCATTTCGTCAACTTTGATGTATATCCTATCTTTTTTGCTGCTGCTGCTTTTGCTCTAGCGAATTTCGAAATCGGCGGCGCAAAAAAGTTCACTAATCATCGCGGGGTGTCCGATTTCCTGCTAGTTACACTGCAGCAAAAAAGAGAAAGAAGCACCGCCGGCAGGCAGCAATTACGCGCAAATCGAGAAGAGGTGGATGACCTTGAGGTGTCGAAATGCAAACAGTTTTGATAAACACGGCCAGTTGCGAAGTCGTGTTTGTATGTACATAAACAGGCGCACTCGGTGATACAAAAACGGACGTCTATTCATCATTCGGAGCGATTTCCGAGTGCCGAGTGACAGACGGCGATGGATTGATGATAGCTGATTGGTGATAACGGAATTGCGAAGGACTGACTGATCCGGTTATGGTCAGGTCACTTTTGGAAAATGAGAAAAGTACGGGGGTACTCCAAAGATAACACAAAAACAATTATGATACTTTGAACTTGCTTTCTTTCTTATCTACCGTAATCAGAAGGCTGTCAAAAGTAACAGATCACCTGAACCTTATCAGAATTCGATGATTCAAGTGTTCAAGAACCAACACATCTGAATACTGAAACTCGTTCCTTTCGGTCTCTTACTTCAAGAATGTGTCACATCGCATCAGCAAATAATCTCACCCTCCTTTGACCTTACCGCGCACCCGAATACCTTCTTCTTTAGTTGTTTTCTACCACAACCTTACAGTCTTTTTTCTCTTTTTTCTTTTCTCATCTACATTTTTTTCGATCGCGTCCGTGTCAGTTTTTCGCCACAAAAAAACTATAAAACGGTTGTTTACGCGTCGCAAAACGACCTCTGGACCAATGGGATTTCAATTCGCTTTCGAGAGAAAAATAAGAACACATTGGTTGAGGGACTGAGAGACGCAGAGCACTTGAGAGCATCAAGATCACGTTCCGAGCAGAAACTCAGCAATTCAAAAGAGAGCCGGCTCACCTGATCTCGACTGTGTTTATCATAGAGCTCGTGAAGCCGTTCCACTTCGGCGAGCTTGTCACGGATGTTGCGGAAGGCTTCCGCGCGGTACTCGAGCGGTTCTCGTTCGGCAGAGTCCGTCTCTCTTTGCATACGGTCACGGAGCTGCATCTCCACTTTCAGCAGCTCATCAGATGCCTGCCAACTGTAGGAGATCTTCGACGCCTGCTCCGATGTGGATGGCTCGAGCTCGACGACAAGGCGGCCTCCGATCTTGATTGTTGTCTGAAATACGAGAATGAAATCGATGAGTACGTCTTATATCTGAATAAAATACCTTGGTGAGCTTCTTGAAAGAGTTTGTGAGCACATCGAGTCTCTGGTTGTTGGAGAGACGTGCAGAAGCTCCCAACTTTGGAGCCAGTTGATCTGCTCCGGCTGTGATGGCTGCCAGCATTTGTTCGTCTTCCGGAGTGGGCATTCGTCCTTCACGACGCCGCTCCTCAACGATCTCCTCCAAATGGCTGACGTGTGTCTCCCATTCGACCCATTCTACTTTCAGCAATTTCAGTTCGATCCACAATGATTCGAATCGCTTCAGTGTTTCCGAAACTTTTTCGTTCGACGTTTTCAGAATCGCTTCCTTGTCCAGTTTGCTGCTCTGATCGTTGTTCATCGCCAAAGTGAGCTTATTAATGTACGCGGCGCACTTGGCTTGCGGGTTCTCGGCGTTCAATTGTGTGTACTCCTTTATCCAACGGAGGAGCAATGTCACACTATCCGCCGTTCTGAAACAAATGAAATCATCCTGATTACCAAATTTTTATTTTCTTGGGACCTTGTTCGGATTACACTCTGAACCTTCAGTAGCTGAAGAGCCGGTGAAGAGTGACAAGGAGGAGGAACACAGAGGCTGGACAGGGTTCTACAGAGCGGTTTATTCTGGGTGAGTAGCCCATGCAGAATTACATACCCCTAGAGGAGGGAGAGCCCGAAATGCTGGCAAATTGTATATAAAACTTAGCAGGTGATTAAAGTAGATTAATAATCCATAATTATACGTCCACGACGTAACACAGTGAAAGAGACTGGATCAGAAATGTTTCAGGCTCACCTCCAAAGAATGATTTTCTCGTCAATCTGTTGCAGGTATTGTAGGAGAATATAGTGAGTAAGTAAGATGCGCAGAGTGGCAATGCGCGGCTCATTCTCCTCTTCGATCTGTGCGAATCTTGCTCGGAGTGGCCCACTGAATTCAGGAACCACCGGACGTCCTCCGAGTCCGCCGTGCTTCACGGCTTCTTCGAAATCGGACGTTCTCTTTTGCAAATCTTCTAGATATTTCTGATGCTCCGTGATCAGCTTCTGAAGCATTCCGACCGTCTTCTTGGCGTCGTGCGCATCCAGATCCAATGGTCTCGACAGAATGTGTTCGGCTCCGGCGAGCCACGTGGCAATCGAGGCAAACGGCTCCGGAAGATCTCGTTCCGAACGACGGGCGTACTTTTCAAGGGTCTCACGAATCGAGTCCCATTTCTTTTCGATTTCCACCAGTTCTTCCACGTCATAGTTCACTTTGGTCACAATGATTGTGTTGAAAAGCGGACGGTGCTCGATGAATTCGCGTCGGATGCGCGCGCACTCCTGTGGATTGAGGTTGTGTCGGGTGCAGAGCAGGTACGTAGCTTCGAGCCACGCCAAGAAAGTCTCGTGTTGCTCTCTTCCTTGCATCGGCGATCTCTCTCCGAACATTCGGACGAACTGCGAGACGTAGGTGATGACGGATCTCTTGTCCGGCTTCTCGATCATCATATCCTCAACGGCCAGAAGACGACGGATCCCGAGATGCTGGTGAGCCAGGTTGAATGCCATCTCGAGGTTGTCTCTCGGATTCGCATTCGTCACTTCCTTCATACTGATCACGTCCGGACGCCAGCGCGAGACGAGAGCACAGAAGAGCACTCCGTCTCTCCATTGCTTGTCCATGTTCTCTACACGTTTTCCTCCGACGAGATCTCCGATTTCTGCGTTGATCCATCTGAGGAAGACCTGCTCGACGGACTGCTTCACCGGCTGCGTCGACAGTCTCGGCGTCTTCTTGGTCGGCGTCAAAAACGAAGCGATTCTCTGTCGGAGCGGAGACGCCGGCGCCTTTTCCCCGGAGGCGAGCGACGTCTTGCTGCCGGACAGCGATGATGTTTTACTTTTCTTGGATGGAGTCGGAGACGGAGCGGTGACGACGACCTCTGGCCGCGAGGTCGACGCTTCCTCGGTCATTGTGGCCGCCCATCCCCACTCACGGAGCAGGATCATGTTGGTTTCGATCTGAAAATTTAAAATCTCAGACACCCAAAAATCGTTTTCATATTTCCCCCATTGAATTTCCAACGCCTTCACCTCCAATATCCGTTTCGAATCTATCTTTCTTATGTATCATTTGACACGTTAACAAATGACCCTTCTTTTTCTCTCTCCGAGGAAGTGTGATCGTTCAAATAACAGTTTTCTTTTCTTTTCATTCTTTTCCCATACGCGTACACCTACTTCTCTTTCCTTTTTTGTCGTCGCCAACAAAAAAGGAATCGGCACTGCGAAAGGAGGTGGCCAATAAATCATAGTCACAGAAAGGAAGCAAGCGGCCTTGGAGCGGGGTGCCCCGGGTGATTTGTGCGTTTGGAGGGTAGATAAAGCCTCCGGTGACGAATCTTTTGAAAAAAGGTGAAAAACGCACCTGGAAGTGGAGAATTATCTGCCAGACGAGGCCGAGCACGATGCGCGGATTGCCGTCCGCGATGTCGGCCGCGTTGTTGTTGATAAGCTCGAGACCACGTCGACGCAGCACTGTCAACGCGGTCGTCAAGTTGGCGATGTGGTGGACTCGCTTCGAAACGCGTCCTTTGTGAACCGCCTGCAAAGTAGATTGTGCAAAAGCCCATTCAGTTATTACTTCCCTCCTCCTCATCTTTTCTGTTTTCTCCCGTGCCTTTTCTGCATTTCCCTCTTCTGGTAACCAGATCAAGATGAGATGAGCCCCTGCGATAACCCTTCCTCTTGTCTCCTGTGCCCCTCATCATCTAGACTGACCGCCGATGTCTGGCTTCTCTGCGGATCGCGCACTTCCTCGTCAATCCGAAATAAAACAAACACGGCGGCGTGTCACTAATTGTATTTCTCAAAAGAATCACTATCTCCCTTTATTCGTGTTTGTCGAGCTCTCATTTCGTGGATATGACTTTTGCCACGTGGCACTCTCTTTTCCCTCTCTATCTCTGCGTCGATAAGCCGTTTTATCAATAAAATAGCGAAGGGCCGCCGCAGCATCATCATCATACAACACGGTTTTTTGCAGTGTAGATGATGGAAGAGCAAACAGAAAAGAGTACTATGTGGGAGATTGCCTGCAGAAAAAAAGAGAAAACACGTACGAGGGCTTCTCCGGTGAGAACTTCGATGAGATGGCAAAGCAGCACGCCATCTCGGATGTCCTCAAACAGGTCCTCTATGCGGCCCGACGAACTGTGCTGAAATCAAGACGAACAGAGTTACAGTTTTTGTAAAAGCAGTGCAAACCTCTTCAAGATGAAAGTTGATCCATCTGGTGAATGTGTTCTTCTGCGCTTTCTCGTCCTCGTCTGCAAAGAATTCGTATTCATTTATTTTTTGCAGATGTTCTCTAGGTCCTTCACAGTCTCTAGTGGTCCCCTCCTAATGGTTCAGAATGTGCCCGTTCGGCCGGTCACTTTGCGACGGACTCGCCGGTTTATTAACGGCAAATATTGTCACTGATTGGCCAGAGTCTTATTTCCGAGTCGACCTTCTTTAGAGGAGAAAACAAAGTGGCGGCGCCACGTGGCTGGTAGAAGTATACTGAAGTTGAAGTGAAACTCACGTGGTCTGAATCGGAAGCAGACGCAGCACGGTCTAGCCGGAGGAGAGCTCGACATGACACGCTACAGTAACCGGGATAAGGCTCGCTAATAATAGGAATAGTCTAATATGAACTGGGCCAGGGAGACTAGAGAAATAGGCTTGTGCGTTTCAAAGGTGAAATGGAAGCGTTGAGACCTCCCAGAAACACAAAACAGAATGCAACAAATATATAAATAATGGAGGAGAGAGGGAGAAAGAGAGAGGGCAGCACACTCACTCGCACAGCAACTAGTCGAAGAGTCTCTGCCGATTTGGATGATGATTCGAGAGGGAGAAACGCAGGCGGAGAGACACCGACACCCCGCGCTACAGATTATTATACACGGAGGGACAAATCGGAGGAAGAAGAAGGAGAAGGAGAGGAAGGACACTTCAGAAACGGTCCTTCGCTCGTGAATGGTCCCGCCGGTAAGTGAAGGGTTCGGCAGAAGATGAGAGGTCAGTGAGAATGTTCAGAAAAACAGGCACACGTGGCAGATTGGCAAAAGTTCGCAGATCAGAAATTTTGAGTAAGCCCTCTGAGACTCCGAAAGCTTCTGATACTGTAAGAGCATGTGAAAAGATCGGCTTCTTCTATGTTTTTTATTGACACTTTCTCCCCGCATGTACTCATATTCTCATTTACCGTACTTTCTGTACGCCCTTTCCCAGCTAAATGTTTCCATTCTCCGTTTATTTGTTGTCCAAGTCGTCCTCCCACTTATGTTGTTCCTATTTTGACTCATCCACCCTCTTTTCTCATTCAAAAATGTTGGGTAATTATGAGAGAAGGAAAACGTTGCCGAAAACGGATGATCAGTTTGGACGTGTAGGGATTCATACCAACTACAGTATCCTTCTCACTTCTGGCTGACTCAAACTCGAAAACTCACCAAAATGAGTGAATCTGAGTCCGAACAGCGGCATTTCGGAATCGGAATGTTTCGTTTTCCTCTGCTTCTACTCCCAGTTTCTCTTCGTTTTTCTTCTCTCCGTCTGGCTTCGCGTGGGTGTTTCGACGCGAAGATTCCGAAGAGTTGGGCAGTGATTTTTTGTTCTTGCTGCAAAATAAATGGACTGAAAGTGTTGAGGATAACAGAAAAATGAAGAAATAGGGTGGAAAGACGAATTGAGGGCGAATTGAACAAGTTGACACAGTGACTTATGAGCTGGTAAGTCGAGTAGAACGGAGGCAAAAAACAGGGCGAGTTGCGAAACTGTTTTGGATTTCTGGATCTTGGAACGTATTGATTGAATTTATGAGGATTAGGATATGATAAAGCTTTCAGAAGCCTTTGAGATTTATAGTAATTGGGTTGGTTGATTGAAATTCAAGGTTAAATATAGATTACACTAGATCAGAGATTCGAAAAATGAGTATAGAGGCACAATGCGAATCATTTCAAGGTTTCGTAATCCCACAACCGAAAAGTCTAGAAGCTGTATGACGTGGCATCCCGCCCACTCTGCCACGTCATCCTCAAGATCAGCGGACCGAAAAATGCAATTAAAGCAGGCAGTGATAAGGACGCAAATATGTGCTCCGGAAAAGAGAGAAATGCACAAAAATAGTGAAATTGGGAGGAGGAGGAGATGAACCAGTGATAAGGGCGAGAAGGGAGGTGTCTGATAGTGAATGTTGCCAAATTGAGTTGGCGGGAAACTGGAAATCGGATCGACCTGACCGGAGCCGAATCTTTAAAAAGAAGAGAAAGCTTCTTTGACAGTCAAAGCGAACCTCGAATGGATGGAATTTCTTTCGATTCTCTTCGATTCTCAACTGTCATCAGATCAGATTTTATGGTTTTTTTTGTGTCGGAATAACGGTGCGTCGTAATTCAAAAAGTGATTTGATTTGCACCCTTTTGAAAAGAGAGAGGAAGAGAGAAAGAGAGAGGAAGAGACTTGTAGCCACTCTTGAATCAACATTTACACAAAATGGTTTTTGTAATCAGAGACGAAGATGAAGGACTTGTGATACACGATTCGGCTGCACGCTGTGATGACCAACGCCGCCGGCGAGGGTAAGCGAGAAAAAACGAGCGGAAAGTGAGAATTTTGAGACGATTCGAGGTGACAGGACAAGGTAAACTGAAGGTGGAAAGCAAAGGGAAATGGGAAAACGACAAAGGAGAGGAGGATGACGTGGCAGCACAACTTCAGAAGGTTCGTGGCGCCGGCGAGTCGAGAACACTTGGAGAGAAATGGCGCCGAAAAAGGCGGCCCTTTGAAGGTGAACAAACAGAGAAAAACCCTTGTTGAGGAATATGACGTGGCACGAGGGATCAAAGGAAAAAACCGACTGGGACCATCGAACAGTTGGATAGGTCAGGGAGAATTCAGGAATCCGCTTTGTGAAATGGGAAGAACATAGTTTTTCGGTTCGGTTAGAAGGATTAGTTTTTTGCGGCGGTTGCGGCGACCGAAAATGCAAAATGGCACGCAAGGAAAAAGAGAGAAAAGTTGAGAGTGGCCGTTCGGAAAACCGAGAGCGACCTTGTGGAATAGTAGAAAGAAAGTTTTGAAATATCGTGGTCCTAGGTGACTTTGATGATTCACAATATCCGTTTGTTCCGTCCATTTCCCATCTGATCGCTTCTGCAAAAACCGTGTGGTAACCTCGAACAAGACACACTCCGTCACTTTTCTGCTAGATAACTGGTAACGAGAAAAGTGATGATACGGAATGACCGGATAAGAGGGACGAACAGGCGGTCGGCGGGCGAGGAGGAGGTGCTGTGCTTAGAATTGGGAAAGTTCATATTTGGATTGGAAAGGGCGGTGGGAATCAGAGAGGAATCGAATGAAGAGGTCGTTTTCATGGAAAACGACGTTCCAAATGCGCTCTACTGAACTTCGCTCCCTTCTATTCTGAGCGCGGGTCGAGTCAAAACAACGAGACCTTCGTTCCATTTTCAGCCGAAAACAGAAGCGAAAGGAGGGGAATTCCCGCGCTCTCCCTCTTTCTCCTACTTAAAATGGTCGCGACGAACATTCTTTGATTAGTGAAGCATTTGGAGTGGGCGCCAGATGCGCAGGGGTACTGTAGTTGGGAGAGTGAAAAAGTGGGCTCGAGGGCAATGGAAAGAGCGACGAATGTATGGCAGGTGTGCGTGAGATCGTACTTTTTGTGCAGAATGAGAAAAGCGAGAGAAGAGAGAGAGACAAAAAGAGCATCACTGATTTGAATATCTTATGGGGACCATGATGATTCGTAGTGCAAATTTTTTCGAGAAATGGAGGAAAAACAAATCATAAATAAGTGCTGTTCTGAGAAATTTACACGCGGAAGAGCTCATGGAGGACGATGTGCGCGAAGAGTGAGAGAGAGAGAGTGCGAGATGCAGGCAGTTAGAAGCAGAATGTTGCCACGGACCAATTGAGGAAAGCGGGCGGAATGGGAATGGGAATGGAGAGGGAGAGAGGAACAAGAAGCAGTCAGGGCCATAATGATTCATTTTTAATTAGTAAGTACCCGGGGGCAGAAGGGGGAGATTCCTTCGAGGAAGGCGAGAAGAATGTTGATGGATGTCGGGTGGCGGAGCAGCAAAAAGCAAACATACACGCAAAATGGCTCTGCGGAATTTTATGGTTTTGTTGGTTGTTTTTGTCGCGAAAAAAAAACGAGAGAAAACTTGAGTGAATGGGGTGTTGAAGCCTTGAACTTCAGGGAAAAGTGAATGGATCACTGTATTTGGAGGAAGTTTTTAGATTTGGTTACTCTGTTGGAAGAACTAGGTCAGAGCGGTTCAACAATAGCCATTTCGGAGTGAACTTGCCCACCGAATTAGCGACTTTTCTCTCCGTTTCTCTCTCGCTCTCGCTCTCCTCAACTACTGTTCCCGTCCCTATTTGACCATCTGTAATGGCACCTGCTCCCACTTTTTGACACATTTCAACTGCAAAGTGAAAGGAGAAAGAGAAATTGTGAGATCTAGAAGAAGGAGACTTTCCATTTCGTTTCCACCGCAACAATTCATTGAAACAGGCCGAAAATGAGTGAGGCGCGAGGCCCTCCTCAGGGCGCCACAAACAACATTTGAATACGCGGACAGAGAGAAGAAGGATTTGAGACGCAGAGTGAGAGAGGGGAACGAGGCGAGCAAATAAACACAACAAGTTGGCAGAACTACCGGCAGGAAGGCCTCAAAAAGGCAGGAAACGCGCGAGAAATGCGATACGAGCTGTATCATTTTGTGGGAGAGCGAAAGCATGCAAACAGAAGAAGAAAGAGTTGAGGCAAGTGCCACGTCATAACTTGTACGAAGAGTCACTGAGAGTCAGAAACAGAAACAAAAAGAATATAACCGAAAAGAAGAGGAAGTGCAACAGAGTCCAGAAAAAGGGTGACAAATTTTGAAGTTAACTCAGGCGGCACTTCTTATTTTTTTCCTTCTCCGTCTATTGTCCAAGACTTGTCACAACAAATTTTCTTTTTTAGGCCACCCCCCGCTTATCTTCCGCCCTCATCTTGTCTCAGTTTTAGGTGCGAATTCTCAAAAAACTTTTCTACATTTTTCAAACGTCGGAAAAGTGTGTCTGCGAATGACTAATCACATCGAATTATCGTGCGAACTGTTCCGTTTTCATTTCTGCGTTCACTGTTATTTCACAAGAGAAGTCCTTGACCCCACAGTTGGAAAATTCTGAAAAAATTGGACTTCTGTGGATCGCTGGATCGCGCTCTATCGCAAACCTGGCAGGAGTGATTTCCCGAGTTCTACAAGCCAGTTTTCTTTCAGAAAACATTTTGAAACAGCAGATGGAAAAAGGCAACGGCATTATGTGAATTCACATAAATTCGAGGTGCGGAGACCGATTTTATTGCGTTGTTTGTTGCGAAAAGACGACGACGACGGAGGGCAAGATGAAGATGAAGTTTGAATTCTCCCGCGGCGCGTGCCATTTGAAAAATGAGTACAAGAATCAAAAGTACACGTATTTCTTTTCAACTGAAGGTTTTTATTGCGCCTCAGCACGGCGAACATTTGTGAACATGCTCGGGCATAGTTTTATTGCTCCGTATCGCAAAACGTACCACTGAAGCACGCGGGTGAGTGGCTACCAGTGTTGAGCGGAAATAGAATTTGAAAACCCGGAAAACGGCAGACGGCAGAATAGTTTTTTTTACGAAAAAAAAAATTTCACGGAAGACTATTTTTCTCGTAAGAAATTCGAAGAAATGCGCATTTGTCTCGGAGAAAAAATAGCGCCAGAAACGCTAAATAACAAGGGATCTCCATTTAGTCAGTATATCAAAATTTGCTCAAATTTGGCAGAAATTGTTGTTAGGTTCTAAAAGTTCTAAAAGTTGTAAAGACCCGCTCCAACTCAGCTTGAAAAATGAAAGCAATCACGGAAAACGGCAGACGGAATTCCGCTCAACACTCAACACAGCGACAAAATACGGGCAGGAAATTCAAACCATATTCAAAAATGTTCGTCGCGCCCAGCGAAATCTGGGGTTCCAGTTCACAAGTGCCAAAAGGTAAAAGAAGAGCAATAATGGAGTTGTTGACCGATGGGACGAATGTTCTTCACTCCGATTACACGGACAGTGAGCACGCAAACAGAAAAAGTTGACACAGAGAAATGGACAGTTGGGCGAGGCGTTCGAGCACTTTGAGACGAATTCGGTAGAGCACCATAGCCAGAAATTTGTGAAAACTATAATATTCAGAGTTTGTTTTCTAAGAATATCCTAGTGCTCGATTGGTGTCCAAAATGTATAAGTGAAGGAAAGAAAGCAAAAGTAATTGTGGTAACTGTGAAACGGAATGACGAATGAGACAAAGGAAGAGCACAACGCGAGAAGGAGCGAGAAGTATTCTGAGCGTCTGCGCCTCTCCGTCCACCCGATCGCTCGTCGGTTCGGGTCAGTGCCCGGAGCAACGGCAACCAGATGTGGCGGAATTCTTCGGAAACGTCCCCGAAAATGCATTTATGAAGGAATGAACGTATGTACAACTGAGTTAATATCTAGAATACAATAGAATGGTGTGGAAATGCAATAAATTAATTAATAACAGCACATGAAAAAAGGGTGTCCCAGTGAGTTGGTTCGGCGAGAAAGGATAAGCAAGTCATCATAAATACCCCCAAGCAATGTCAGTAACTGTCAAGTTTTTGGTGTCAAAATTGGCACGTCCCAAGTGGGGCAAATACATATCACAGATGGTCAGATTGAGAGGAAAAGCCAAAGGCACTAGGAAGGATTAGAGGATTATTTGGTTTTTATAACTGCAAGTAAGCTCCTTGTACGGAAGGACAACACAGTTCAGAATGATCGTTTCAGGAGCCACGGAGACGTCGGAGCCGAGGATCGTCAGGGATGGAGTGAGGCGTCCGTCCGGCAGGAACAGCGGCTTGTTATCCATCTGGAAATCGTAACAGTTAACAATAGACATTGATAGTAGAATTCCTTGACTTCTTGATTGTAATTCAGAGAAAACACTCACTTTCGCAAACGGCAAGTTTGGGTTGGGCTCGATCGGAATGCCTTCGATCCGAGACCATACTCCAACTACAGAACGCCATCCGATGACCGATTGGAGCACACACGCGTACTCCTCGATGACAGCTTCTGGGAGAATGATCGATTCCTTGATGCGAACTCCTTTTCCGATGACGGCGTTCGGCCCGATGCTAACATTCGGACCGATCTTCGCAGTCGGATGCACTTTGGCACTCGGATCAATGAAGACGTCGCCAATAATCTGGGCGCCGTTCTTGCACAATCTGGCTGCGTATCGCTTTTTGTAGAGACGGAGATAGTGGCGATTGGCGTACAGGACAGCTCTGAAATCAGAATGATTTTATTAGGTGACAGCAATTTTGAACACTCACGCGGCAGTTTTGGTCTGACTCCACCATCTGGTTGTGTGGAGAGCGTACAGGTCCCCGGAGGCTGCGAGCTGCGGAAGGACGTCTGTCTCGAGCCAGATTCCGTCGCCGTTCATCGGAAGATCGAGCTTCCGGATCACTTCCGACTTGATCAGGTAGACTCCGCAAGAAATGTTCGTCGACACGAATGTAGTAGGCTTGTCAACGTAATGAACCACTTTTCCTTCGGAATCCGTCACCACCTGAAGAACTGATTTGGCGAGATAGAAAAGAAGTTCCCCAATTTGGAATAGGAACGCACCGATCCGAAGTTGATCGATTGCTGTCGCGTGGCTTCGGTTGTGAGCATGAGCATTCGGGATCCGGCGAGGGAGTCCAATTTGGCGCCCATGTCCTCGATCGGAAGGTCGCCGCAAACATCAGCGTTAATGACGAAGACGGCGTCTGGATCTCCAGAAAGGATTGTCGACTTGAAGGAGACGAGGCCACCGGCAGTTCCTGAACAGCGTCATGGTCTTTGGTTTTTCTTCTGTCAAATGGTATTCAAAAGCAAACATTCTTGTCCTCTTCATACTGTCTAGTCTTTCCTTTCATAATTCTTTTGATAAAAAGGTCTATTCAAGTTTTTTTGTGCCCCGCGACGTCAGTCAAAACACCGCCTAACCTGAACCACTCGTTTTCGTTCCACCTCATTTGTTATGTTCTCGGGAAAAAATGACAAGCAAATTGCATAAGAACCGGTTCGGAATGGGTGAAAAAGAACGAACCGAGCGGAGTGGGTTCCTCGAGATATTTTATGCTGACACGGTACGTCTTCTGGCAACGATCAATGAATTCGGTGAAGAGATCCGTTGGGAAGAAGCCGAGAAGCAGTATTTCAGACAGGCCAGAGAGCTGGAAAAGAAGAACTACTTGAAAGATCTGAAAAATTACAGGAGCAGGAATACCTGACAGAGTTGGTCGATATGATGCTCAATGAGAGGGACACCGGCGATTGGGAACAGAGGTTTAGGCAATTGTAGAGATAATGGACGGAAACGGGTGCCTGAAAAACGACCGCACTTCAATTGTTTTCTTTATGTTATTGTCTACTTATAATCTTTGTTTTTAAGATAAACCCCTAATTCAACTACTATTTGCCCTTTTCTGTTATACGGTCTCTTAAAACGAGTCCTATCAGTCTTTATCTAACGTCACCTAGGCTGTTAACTTTCGCCAGTGATCACCTTTTTTTAATGGAAAACTCACATTTTTGGGAATGAATAATAGACAGTAGAACTACGGAATCAAACTAAAACAACAGAATTCTATGACATCGGGCCTAAAGCTTTCGAAATTTGTGATCTACGTGTTCAGCTTTATCACTCTAAAGTCGAAGTGGATGATGCTGTGCCACATAAGCCATAATGATGATGGGGAGCACCAAAAAGAAGGCGTACAGGGAGAGAAGAGCTCCAGCAGCAAGTATCATGATTGGCAAAGCGAGTGGTGGCGAATGGTATGCAGGAAAGGGTCGCCTTTTGCGAGGAAGAAGGGGCGGCCGCTTTTCTCCGTTCAGACACTCGCCTCCTCACCTTTTTGTGGGCCTCCGACTAGAACGACCGCTTTGAAGGACATTTTGGTGGAGAGGAAAGCAGCGATGGAAGACGCGTTTCGATGGAACCGGGTCAGCGGAAGAGGAGAAGAAGGCCTGCAAGAAGAGATACAACTGGATGGATTGGATCCGAGGAAGAAGTTTGCGGCGGCAAAGATTCGATATTGGGATACAGACGGACAAGGCAGAAATGCGGCAGAATGGCTGATAGGACGGGGACTTTTGGGCGGTTCACCGCTTAGAGGGGAGGTTCTAATTTATTGAACTTCTCCTTCATGTGTGGTCTGGCAAGGATCCAGTTCACTTTCAGAAACGTATGCTGTTTTGTAGTTTGAACTTAATTTTCACAAAAGTGAGAATTCTGAAAACACTGGCTTCGGGATAATTTTTGAATAGTAGACCTACGAGTTACCATGTACATAGATTTCTAGGCTACAATATTCAAATGCCACATCGGAATGTGGCCTCCAGATTTCATCTGCGATATCTAGAGTTCACAATAAAGTTTCGACAGAATTCTTTGCGAAAAGAATAATGGAAATGCGAAAGTGAACTAATCAATGCACAATTTTCCAGTTCGGAGCCAATAATTTTACAACGGGGAATTTCAGAGTAACTGCGATCTGGTAAGAAAGCTCTTTTTGGGTGAAAAAAATTGCAGTTGTTTTTCATTGGAATTCAAGAAGGACTTTCACTTAATTTGGAAGAGGACCGGAGATTACAATTTTAGCAGAGCGAAATACCTTGAAATGCTCGGAAAGTGTCTATAAACACAAAAAACATATCAAAAGAGTATGCTAAATAGGAAAAAAGAATATGAAGCGGTTTTTTGACTGGCGACACAATGTCGGCATGGAAACGTGAATTTTCTATGGCTACATGTAGCCATTTTATTCAGATCAACAACAACTAGGTTTTTCCACGAAAAAAGAATTGTCAGAATACACGTTCCAGACAGCCAAGTCTAACGTAATCGCAAATTCTCAGAAGACGCATCACGTCGACCTACACAATTGCCTAAATACAATTCCCTAAAATTGTTCGTTTTCGTTTTAGAATGTTGCAGAGAAATAGTACTTTTAAAAATTGTCAAATGCACAAAACCAGTTTGAAATGGGGCGCTCTCCCAGCTGAAACATGTTTGCCCGCAGTGCAACGTTTCACTTTAAAGGCGCATCCAATTGTTTGTTCGGCAGGTCTCGCCGCGTCACACTCGCATTTTTCGCTCCAATTCAAAAAATATCGTTGTGAACTTTGATTTTGCGACACGAAAATGAGCTTTTAGCGAACATCAATGATTTAATCAGTTTATTAGTCGGAAAAATAGTAAAACTAGAAAAATGACTATCAAAAAATTCACTATGCGCTCTCTCAAAATTACATAACTTGTTCACGGGGATCGTTTCAGAGGGTGGTCTACACCGAAAGTTGAGTATGTAAATGGTGAGGAAGTACATGGCACGTCGTGCTCAAATGGAAGGAGAAGAAAACGGGCGGACGAGTATCAAGAACGGATGCAGTATACAGATCTTCAAGAGGGGACGGAGGGAGCCGGAGAAAGGCGGGGTAAGGAGTTGAGGTATTCGGGGCGTGATTGGGAAACACAACAACTGAATGAGAGGAACGAGCTCTTGGAAGGACTACAAAATGTACAAACAACAACGTGGCAAGATAGAGAGAGAGAGAGAGGGAGAGTGCCTTGCCATTGCTATCCTTCGACCATTTGCGGCTGCTTCGGAGCCACCTGAGTGATCAGTTGATCCTCATTCGGGGGTGGCGGAGGAGCCGGAGCCACTATTGGCATTGGAATCATCGGCTGTCGTCCCGGCCCTTCCTGCTGATGGATGATGCTGTAGAAGGGCACGTGATCACGGAGACGGTACTTGTGACGGAGGATCTCGCGCACATCTCGACCCTGAAATGAGTGGGAAATGAGAAAATAGTTTGCTACAAACGAGAACTGACCATAGTGGGAATGGCCTCGAAGAAGGAGCACAGCTTGAGCAGCTCTTTGTCGGATCTGTCGTGGAACCAGCTCTCGATGGGGATTCCGTTGTCGAGTTGATACGAAAACGACTGGATCGCATTATCGAGGATCATCGTCTTCGAAGGTTCTCTGCCCAGGATTGTCAGGTCTTTCACGTAATTGCCATATACGCAAACACAGTGTTCCCGAAAGAGTCGGTGCCGGATCAGCGTCCTCTGAGGATCCAGAATATCCTGGAAAGGATTGCGATTCGAAAGTGTGTCTTTGCGAAATTACGTACACAAAGCTTGTTGGCATAGACTTTCTTGCTGGCAGTGAAAATGATAATCTCAAAGGTTTTGGCCATTCGGTTGAGGAATGTGCGGAGATGCGGACGCAGAAGGACATACACTTGATAGGTGATGTCCTGGAATACCACCGGAAACACCATCGTCGCGTTCTCCAGAGGAGTGAGACTGCAGTGCACAAGCGTCTCGTCCTGGAAATTATAATTTAACAATCAAAACGAGGTCAAATGTTTATGAATGCACTTCTTGTATTATAGGGGCACCGCACAGAAATGACGCTCTGTTGAGAAACTCTTTTTGCAGTGCAAATTGAGCGAGTTTGAAAAGTTAGGCCACATTTTCAGTGGACAATAACTTCGCGGCCTAGAAATTCGGCCAGATTACGAACAGCGCGCCCTTTCTGTCCGGTGCCCCTATAAAAGGGATTTTTTTATCAGAATGATTAGGTACTATCTAGCCTATTCTTTTCAAGTAGAAGGTTTTAACAAAAGAATTGAAATTTGAAGGTGCATGCTCTCAAAAAGTCTTACCAAGTCGAGAACGAGCGTGAATTCGGGGGCTGATCTCGTCTTGACCGGAAGCGCCGGACACCTTGTTCGCAATTCCTCCGTCAAAGGCGGCAAGTTGGCAAGCATCACCAGCCTAAAACTTTCCATTTTTATCCTGATTAATAATACTGGCACTTTTTTTTCCTTCTTTTTTTCGACACTTTTTGAACCCTTATCAGTGCCGATAGAATGGCGTGAGAACAGTGTTGACACAGTTCGATTAGTTGTCACTTTTCAGTCTGTTGTCTTTGAAATTTCACAGTTTTTCGCTGTTCTGGCACTCTGCCAAAAGCCCATTTGGCTTGCTTCCAAGGTCTATTGCGCAACCCCCGCATCTATGTTTCTTCATCTCTCGCCGCCCTCCGACCGCAAGGTCAAATGTGATTGGATCGATTGATCGGAAGCAAGAAGAAATGGATGACGTCATCGGCAGGTGTTCTCTCGGACCTCCCAGAACGGATACAATTGTTGCGTTGATAAGAAGAACTGACAGAGAAGATCGAGGAAACCCCCGTGGACAAGAAACAGAAAAGGAAGTGTTGCCCATGTGATTTGGAGCGCCAAGAGACCGAGAGATGGAAATAGAATTGAAAAGGGTACCGATCCTTTTTTGCAGTGATTCGCGTGTGAACCCCGTCCCCATGGACAGGTTTATGGGTCGTGACATTCGACACCTCCCGTTTCAGAAGCGCATAAATATTGAAAAAAAAAGGAACTCACGCATAGTATTCGAGCCGAGCGGGTCCTTGGTGATCTTCGAGAAGAGCCTCATCCACGTATTCGTCTTCAGGCCAAACAAGCTTAGGAGTCACATTATTCATATTTACAGGTTTCGCAACTGTTCGGACTGGCTTGGCCGGGACAACTTTCGGCTTCTTGACAACCGCAACCTTCTTGGGTTTCGGTTTTGATTTCGGAGCCAAGGGCTTTCTGCTCTTCTTGGCAGCCGGCGGAGGTGGGGATGAAGCAGAAGACGAAGAGATAACGTTCTTCGTCTTCTGATTCCGATTGTACTTCAGACGGCGACGCAGCGTGTCGGAGGTGGGGTTGCCGACGGATAAACTCGGCAACACACGGGAGGGCGAATAAACCGAGGACGGCGTGTTTGGGAGGGAGAGAGAGAGAGAGAGAGAGAGAGAGCAGAAGGAGAAGAAGTCGGGGAAGAGAGAGAAAGAGAAAGGGAGAGTCTCTCTTTCTCGTGTGCTTTTGTGTTGTTGCTGCTGCTGCAGCAGAAGGAGGAGAAGGAGGCAGCAATGGTGGTCGGACGGCCGGCCGGGGGAGGAGTCGACGACGGAGAGAGCGGCGACCCACAGCTATGGCGTGAGGCGAGGGGGAGGTGTGATCGATAGTTAGTGCCTGACCGTCTCGCCGTCTCTTCAGGTCTTATTCATTCGTGTTTGCTGGCGGCGTGCCAACATTTCCCTCGTTTCCCCCGCCGCTCTCACTTCTCTCTGCCCTCTTAGTGAGGGGCAAAATGGGGGAAAAAGGGAAATGCAATCTATCCACACACGCCACAAAAAATAAGTAGGAACGAGAAAACAACAACGCAAATATGGGGAACGGCAGCAGACCGACCAAACGTCCGGAAAGACAGAAAATAGAAAAAGAGCACGTGTGTTTGCTGCGAGTGGATAATTTTTTAAAGATCACAGTGATGCCCATACTGCTTCAGTTTTTTCACCTGATCGGGCGCGATAATTACTGAAATTGTAACTTTTCATTGTTTTCTTTCCAGCCTTGAAGTACCAAGTAGGAAACCCGCGCCGATATCATCTTCAGACGTCACGTACATGCATGCACGAATCCCGTCGTACTTTTCCAACACGTTTTTGCAGAGAAATCAAATCATTTTCGCCGAACCGTAAGCGGAGGAGCACAAGTTCGACATTTCAGCTATTTTCTTCAAACTTATCAAATTTTTTTTCACAAAACGCATTCCCTGTTTAAGAATAATTCATTTTCATGCAAAACCTAATTATTGTAAGAGCTCCTGGTGCGATCTTCCAACTTTGCTAATGCTCTCCCATCACTAATTACTTGTCCGAAATAATTGCAATAAAGTAAAGTTTTCTTCAACGACTCGCCAGAGAATTGTATATCTATGTTGCAATCCTATGCTGCATAGGCTATGCAATTGCGAAATGGTCCCCATTCCCACAATTGGTTCCTTTTGATCATCAAAAGGTAATTAGGAAAGAAAAGGTTCACGTTGAAATGAGACTGATTCTGAGAGTGATATATACACTCTTTCATTGAAACCTTTTTGAAATCCAAACTCTCAAGTCAAAAAGAGAAACCAAACTGCTGAAAATTTTCGTTTCGGAAATGGATTTAATCGATATTTTGGGTCGAAAGTAGAGCTATTTTGTTTGATTGCAACAGCAGAGCATTTTATGTGACATCGTGTCTTTCCGTGCCAATCTGTTTCACATCTGCGCAGATCTGTCGTCTTCGAATTAATTCGTTTCGACATTAAACAAAGAGCGATGCAAACGCGCTCCACTGACAATTCACAATTTTCGCGCCGATTTCGTCCCATTTCTGTCGATCTTCTGTCGAATTTCTGTCGATTTACTTTGTTTTCTCTATTAAAATGTTCTATTTATTGTTTATAGATGAGTTCTAATCTGAAAAAGACAGGGCAGCCTCGAAAAGCGTGTCCTCCGCCCGCTGAAACATCGGATAATGAGACTGCACAGGTAACAAACCTTTTTTCCAATAAATCGATAATGGGTCAGTTTAGAACGAAGGAGTGGCTCGTAGAAAAAGCACGAGATTGTCAAGCAAACCACTTCTCATTGAATCTAAGGTAGAGTTATAGTTTACTTCATGTTGAAGAGCATGTTAGTTTTCCAGAAAACGTCAACGCCCATGTCCACAAAGCGCATTCCAGTGGCTCGAAGAGTTTTCAGAAAAGAAGTGGGTTCGTGCTCAGATGATGATGACGACGTGAGTATTCACACGTAACATTTTCTTGAAGTTTGCTGCGATTACAGAGCATGCCACCGCCCAAGACGACGTCTTCTGAGAAAAAGAAGAAACTTCTAATGAGTCCGCGAACGACTACCCTTACCAATGAAGTAGAATCCCTTTCGGTTAGCTTATTTACGGAAGCCTCGTCTGTTCAAAACTTCAGTTGTTTCAGATTTCCAACACTAGGACTCTCCGATCAATAACGGTGATTGGAAAGAGAACTCCTACAGCCACGAACCTCAAATCTAAACTGACTCAGTCGCAGCAGCGAACTCCTGAGAAGAAACCAAGGGATCTGTCTCCAGAAACATCAAAAACTGAGAAGAAAGCGAAATTCACAAAAAAGACGGACCAGAAAGTCGAAAGTTCCAACTCTTCTGACTCGTCAGACTCGGAACCCGAGCCACAGTCTTCTACTGCTAGCGGAGCCCTAAAAGGAAGAGTGGTAGAATTTGATTCTTTGAAGTCGTGGATTTTGGAAAGCAAGGTGAAGAAAACGTCGCTGTCAATCTACATCAGTGGACAGCCGGGAACTGGAAAGACGGCCACCACTCTTCGAGTATTGAAGGATCTCGGCTCTTCCGTTCGCAGTTGTATGATAAATTGTGCATCAACGAATACGAAAACCGCACTGTTCAAGACTATCTTCGAAGCGTTGGACTTAGACGGAAAAGCAAATGTGGAGAAATTTGAAGAGCACGTGAAAAGTTTCAAGGTACCACTGGTGCTGGTACTCGATGAGATTGATCTTCTCGCTACCCGAAAAAATGCGGCTCTTTACGCGGCTTTCCAATGGCCCGACACTCTTTCGCACAAAATTATCATTCTCGGAATCGCGAATTCTATCGATTTGACAGAACGTCTTCTGCCTAAGCTCATGCTCGCCAAAACACCGAAGCGGCTGGTTTTCGAACCGTACACCAAAGATGATATCGTTGAGATTCTGAATGAAAAAATGAAAACAGAAGAGGTGAAAACAATAGCGCTTGAGGAAAAATTTTAACTGTTTGAATTTCAGGCTGTGATTGATGCAAAGGCGATCGAGTTGACGGCCAGAAAAGTGGCGGCAATGAGTGGAGATCTTAGAACCGCTCTGCATATTTTCAAACAGCAGAAAAGTCGTCTAGCTAGTTCAGAAGAAGGAGCTGCTCCTCCAGCAACTCCTGGAAACGGTTGTCGTGAAGTTCTCGGCATCATCAACAGCGTCTACTCGTCTCCTCTGGCTCGTGCTCGTCTTCCTCTTCAACCTCGCATTCTGCTCGCCGTCTCACTCGCCCTTTCTTCCAACAAAAAGAGCCACTTCGATCGGAACTCGCTGCTCCGGGCATATTATAAGGCATGCGAGGCTATCCGAGTGCCCGCTCTCGATGACGATGATCTACATTCCGCGTTCCAAACTCTCGAATCACAGTCGTTTGTCCGTCAGCTGAACGGGGGCAAACTCGTTCTCCAAGTTGATGCCCCGACCGCCAAATCGGCAATCAGCGACAATTCGATGCTCGATCAAATCGGACTCCTTCAACTTTAATCACTTCTTTGCGTTCTTCCATTGTCTAATGTATCACATTTTCTCTAGCTTGTAAAAATTTCCATTTCGTTTTTTCTTTTTTCTGCCTGCACTGCCCCTCCTTCGGGTCATGTATCCTATAAATGCATTCCTATATTGTGTCATTTTTGACCCTCGTGCTATTGGTTTTGAAACCAGTAATTTACCTTGGTTTTTGTTTTTGTTTGTTAGTCTAATGTTCGATTCCAGATGCGTCCGCTCACCGAAGATGAGACTTCCCTTGTATTTGCCAAACTGGCCACGTTCATCGGAGACAACGTCTCAATGCTGATCGACAGAAACGACGGAGATTACTGCTTCAGAAACCATAAGGTCCTTCCGTCCACTTCCCGTTCTCCCAGCCAACCTCATAATCTCACTTTCAGGAACGCGTTTATTACTGCTCGGAGAATCTGATGCGTCAGGCGGCGTGCATCTCTCGCGAGCCGCTGCTCTCGTTCGGCACGTGCCTCGGCAAGTTCACAAAGTCGAAGAAGTTCCATCTTCAAATCACCGCCCTCGATTATCTGGCTCCGTACGCAAAGTTCAAAGTGTGGCTGAAGCCAAACGCCGAGCAGCAGTTCCTCTACGGAAACAACATTCTGAAGTCGGGAATCGCCAGAATGACCGATGGAACTCCGACGCACGCTGGAATCGTTGTCTACTCGATGACCGATGTTCCCTTGGGGTGAGCGCTCTGCGAAAAGTATACGAATGAGAAACGGATTGATTTCAGATTCGGAGTGTCAGCCAAGGGTACCGGAGACAGCAAGAGAGCCGATCCGACGGCGCTCGTAGTCCTGCATCAGTGCGATCTGGGAGAATACCTCAGAAACGAAAGCCATCTCAACTGATTTACCACTCTCATTCCTCCTAATTTTACCCCTTGTCATTGTTATCTTTTGTTGATTTGTCTTGTTGGTTTTTCCGAATTATCAATACACACGCCTTCATGCGTTAAGATCTTTTTACTGAACAAAGAATTTGAAAAGGTTTCGAGTTATTGGACGTGTCAACTGAGGCATCATCTGAAGCATTCTTATCGGCGCATCATCGCCGTTGGCCCGGAAGTAAGCGAGAAGAGCCGGCATCGACGGGAAACGGTTGGCGATCGCTTCGGCACGGGCGTGCGACATTCCGGGACAGACCATCAGCTGCCGGATCCACGCCTCCATCACAGTCTCCGCCTTCTTCTTCTGCAGCAGATTCTGGAGCTGACTGAACGGCACTCCGGAAATCTCCTCGACGGACGCTCTGTTCTGCAGCCGAACGGTAACTTCCTTGAGAAAGGCGGCCGTGTCCCGGGTGTCCGCGCACCGTTGAATCAGGTATCCGCCGTTGGAAAGAGTCGAAGCAATGGCCTGCTCACAGGCGACGTCGCCCTTGCTCGTCGCCTCGATCAGATAGATTCGGTTCTTGATCGGCGCCATCCCAAGCCGTTTCTTCTGCTCGTCGTATCGTCCTCCGCGGATGCTCGACTGCAGATCGTCCCAGGTTTTCCGCTCGACCACCCAATCCATCACAATCTCCGATCCGTCAATCTTTCGGCAAATCCAAATGTAATCGCCGACGGAAAGCGCCCGAATCTCTACTCGAATGCCTTCTTTTTTCACGAGATGTTCGATGACCGACTTGAAACGTGGATTGTTCCGATGCTCCCGATTGTCCGCCACCAGGTACACCTGCAGTAAAAAAATGGGACTGTGCACTAAAATAAGAAACTCACTGTCGGGTTTTCGTATGGTTTGCAAGTAATGATTCTGAAGCTGAGTGGATCAGAGGCAGAAGACGTTCCGACGACATGCCCACTTTGCGAACGAATGAAACCGGGCACAGTCGGTGCCGTTTTGGTCACTTGGAGGCTGTACGTCTTCTGGAAAGACGGCTGAGCAACTGGAGCACGCTGCTCTTCTTCGTCCGACGACAGAAATTCGTCGTCTTCGCCGGCCTTTTTGTCCATTCTCTCGCTCATTTTCTCCGCCCGCTTCGCGTCCTTCGCCTTCTCCGTCGTCGTCTTTCGTCCATTCTGAAGGCGTCGAAAGTCGTCCGTCGTCAATTTTTTGACTTCCTTCAAATTCAATTCTTCTCCGCCGTTTTCTCGGACGGCAACCGTCCAAGTTTCCTCCAATTTCAATGCAATATTCTCTCCAATGCCTGAAAAAAATGCTGAGAATGAGTCCAATTTTCACTGCTCGGATACCCTGCACATTTTTCAAATCCACAATATTCTTGATTTCAAACGGAATTTTTTTGAGATTTTCGTGCGCTTTATGCAGAACAAACTTCAATTTTCGGTCTTCTTGGTCTTGGTGCTGCGTCTTCAGAAGTCTGTAAACTTCCAGAATTATTGGCATTCTCTGACATCTTTGACTTCTCGAAAAACGTATTCTTTGTGTGCTCTATTCTTATCGTCACTCGCTTAGCCATCTGAAATGAGAAAAAACCAGGCGTTTCTGGCTGACTTTGGTTGAAGTCGAAAAATACATTTAAAGAGCCCTACCAACTTTTTGTGAACTGTGCAACGCATTCGATTGATACCGGTAATTCATTTCTACAAAAGGAGGAGTGCGGTTTTTTTCAGGTAACAATCAAAAATCTGCATATATTCGGCAGGGTGACAAGACATTAAAAAGGTGCCTTTGGCAACTTACAGAAAGCAATGGGAAACAGCTTCCGATCCCAACAGGAACGATAAACGTAAATAATTAGATACAGATACTCCTTCGAAGTGATACAAAATAGATAAACTCGTTCGGTTGGAGGTGATCAGGGAGCAAAACAGAAATCGGTTCAAAGTGTTTGGGGAGATCGACAAAGAAAGAGAGTATTCGAGGCAAGAAAGGAAGAGCAATTGGGGAAATACCAAGAAAGAGCATTGAGGTCGGGGGTAAAATGGTTTTGGCGATTAGTAAAACGGTTTGCAATTGGGGCGATGATTTCAGCGTTGTTGTTGTTCCGCGTAGCCCTTCCAGAGGTCATCCGATTTGAGCTTACGGTCGATCAGCGATTTGGTGTAGTTACGGACCTGAAAACAAGTAATGTTGCTGGCCGCATCTTGTGGTCAGCTCCTTACCTTCTTTTCTGTATTGTCAGTTATTCGGTGGTCAAATCCGTTCTGGGCACTCTCCCGTTTGTACATCTCTTTGACGACCAGTTTGATTAGCCATTGAATCTTGTCGGCCGTCGCGTCTCTCAACTGTCTCATATACGACTTCACAACCGAACAGATAACTCTCTCCAGCTCTTTCTTGAATTCACGGATGCGACGTTCGGTCGAGCTTTCGCCGGTTCGATGCGATGAGTGATGATGACTCTGATCCCGATGCCGACTTTCTTCACGGCGATCACGATCACGGTCCCTCTCCCGATGTGATTTGTGGGAGGATGCGTGGTCCTCAGTCCTCGTATGCTCGTCGGCTGATTCAGAAGCTTGCTTCTTCTGCGCAACTTCGCGATCTACCGACTGGAGCTGTTGTGCTAGTTGCTGCGGTTGTTGTTGCTGTGGAGTTTGCTGCTGCCGTTGCTGTTGCGGTTCTTCAGCGGGAACAGTCGTGTCTGGTGAGGCGCAATCGCCGGGCTCCAGCAGTCCTTGGTCGTTCGTCGGCGGCGTCCATTGAGTCTCTTTGGTCAGCTTGTTGTAGTAGTACGTCTCTCCAGTGTCTGCCTTCGCTCTCGCCCACACGTATTTGCTCGCTGCTTCTGCCTGCTGCTTCGCTTCCTCTTCTGCACGTCGACGGGCGGCTTCGAGAGCTTCTGCGGCGGCTCGCTTTTTAGCGACATGTTTTTGTAGCATATCGACATCACATTTCGCTCGTTCAAGCCTCTCACTGAAAATATAATCAGCTTAAGAAGTGAGTTACAGGTAAGGATTCTTACGTCAGTTGCTCTAGAGTGGCTCTCTCGTAAACCTCATTGAGTCGCTCGTTCGACGGCAACATTTCCATTGTGAGCATATGCGGATGGTGTGCCGGATAAGCATGCGGATAGTATCCCGGGGGTGCCGCATGATACACATACATTCCAGTGTTCGGATCGTACATTCCTGAAATCAGAATTCGTATTTTTTTTTCGGAAAAAAAAACATCACTCACCGTATGCTTCATATCCGGGCATTGCATATGGATTAGCGGGAACCGCAGCAGCAGGGACAGACGGAACACATGGAACGGCAGCAACTGCATGTGATGGATGCTCGTGCGGAGTTGGATACGATTGAGAGGAAGGAGCCTGTGGAGTCGATGGGCCCCGGACTTCTGCATCAACCGTCATAGCATTGGAAGTTGTCGAATTCGCAGGATTACTTTTCGATTCGCTCTTCGGATGGTGTCTCTCGACGGAAACCGAAGATTCGGGAGTTTTTTCCTCGGGGGTCGCCGGGCGCCGCTCGTAAGGCGGAGAACGATAGCGGCTCTCTCTGTCATCCACTCTTCTTCTCTTGTACGTCGGAGGCGAAAAACTTCTGGAACGGCTTCGCGAGCGACGATTGAATCGACGGCGATCACGATAAGAATCTCGGTAGGTGGACGGTCGTCTGTTGTAATTCTCCTTGTAGTTGTTTCCGTGATAACCAGCAAACCTATATTGATGTACATCGTTTCCGTTGTTGAAGAAGCGAGGATGCGTTTCGCGTTCATAGTATGAAGAATGATGATGACGTTGATATGGCGGGGACGCATCACGTATGATATCAGGATTGCCAGAGGATGGATGTTTCTGATCAGATTCCTTCGGCTCCGGCGCACGGACTTTCTTGGGAATTCTGAAGCTGACCGATCGATTGAACCAGTGATGTTCCAATCGGAACGCCATTTCTTTGACTCGTGTGAAGTTGGCGACGATCTCGTTGTTCGACGCTTCTTGCACTTCCTTGTAATTCCTCCCTGGATCCTCGACACACGTCAGCAGAGAGTCGACGACCACGTGAAAGTCCACCCATTGACCCAGAGTTACGTTGTGCCAACGTCTCGACATTTCCAGCAGGAAAGGGTCCGATTTGGCACACGCGACGAACACGTCACTAAGAAGAGTTTGGAGAGTCGTCTGGACGAGCTTCAGGTTGGCCAGCGAGTAATCGTCCGCAAAGAGCCACTCGCCCATCAACGTGGCCATTCCTTCCTTCGCGTAGTATGTTTGAGTTCCTAGCGAAGTGTCGGCAGAGAAAATATCCTTCAGAAGATTCTCTCGTTGGGTGTGATCGGTCATTTTGGCAGCCACGGTTATCACTTTTCTTGCGTATTTCTTGTTCCTAATGACCATATCGGCGAGCAGATCGTTGATAAGATTGATTCTCTCGTGTGGCTCCAATCCCTGCAACTCCTCAAGCTTCTCCTCCTCTTCTTCGTCCATGTTAATTTGTCTGGTGGTTATAATGTCTTCATCGTCGTCATCTTCGTCCGATGAGAATCCTTCAGGCTTTCTGCCGATCCATCCAGTACACGTGGTGGCTCCGCAGAAGCACTGTTGGGCATCTCGTCTGGAAAATTTATTATTTAGTTAGTAGAAGATTTCTTCTCATAGAGTCGGCTCGGCTCACCCGTAGTTTTCAAATTGATAATCAAAAGTGATTTCTTCTCCGGCCTTGATGTTTTTCTTTGCGAAGAATCCCACTCGATTGACGTCGCCAGGTGTGCGCGGCACCGACCATCTCTCACAAATCGCATTCGGATCACAGCTGTGGTTGACAAAACGAGACTGGTTTCCGTAGACGGTGGCGTCAATGGTGTAGGTGCCCGTGTCGCACAGATAGTGGTGCTTGTGTGCTTTGTCCGCCGCATACTTCTTCTTCCTCTTTTCGTAGTCATCTCTTTCCACGACTTCGCCGACGTACTCAATAATAAATCTGCCCTTTTTGATGTCCTTCAGCGCTCGGAGACCACATCCTTTGCCAGTTCCCGTGTGGAATGCTTCCACTGCCGCGTACTTCTTCTTCGCGAACCTTTGATTTTTGCATTTGACCGGACAGGAAGACGGACATTCTGTGAGCATTGCACGGTTCACACAAGAGGTATCCGAGCAGTTTCCGTTGTTTTGAAAACAGTCACACCTGAAATAGAACTGTTATTAGCACGATAATCGGGTGTTTTACTTACACAAGAGATTCCGTCTTTTTCTTATTCGCATTCTTCATGAGGAACTTGTTCTCACTAATTAGCTCATACTCGGGAACTTTCATATCTTCCACTTTTATTTTCTTCTCCTCTTCCATCCTTCTTTCTTCCTCCTTCTCCTTTCTTTCATCCTCTTCTTTCTGCTTCCGTTCAGTCTGAATTCTTTCCTCCTCTCTCTTCAACTCTTCTCTTTCGTGCCTCTTTGCAAATTCTCTTTCTCGTTCCCTTAGCCTCCGCTCGTCTTCCTCTCTTTGCCTTTGTCTCGACTGTTCGACCCTCTCTTCTTCCAGTTTTCTGTACCTCCTTTCTCTTTCCTCACGTCTTCTTTCCTGCTCTTCTTTTTCTTCTTTCTGACGATCTTCATCGTGACGACGTTCAATTTCCTCGGCGACCTTCCCGACCCTTGCCTTCTGAAAGCACAAACATGTTTAAGAGACGAAAATTGAAAAGTTTCGCATGCTCCCACTGTCAGTCTGGTTAGAAACACAATAAAAGACAACGTTGAGCAGTTAACCAATCGAACTGCGGCTCCCGTTGGTTGGCTCACCAGTGCTTGGATCGTTGCGTCCGTGTAGCCTCCAGGAAGCGGCGGCGTATAAGTTGTTCTCGCTCTTTCGTGATGCTCCTCTTGTGGAGAGTCGTCCTGAATTAATTAAAGTTTTGTGTGAGTTAGACAAAGAAACGCCTGGTCAACGCGCAAATGATCTTTTCGAATCAGGTACAGGAAGCACATCAAACAAACCGGAACGCACAAAAAATCTGAACTTGAACTTACAGCTGCAAAAACGGAGTTTGAGTTGGGAACGTTGAAAAATGAGAGCTGTGGAAGTTCGACCATCTGTGGAGGCGGAAGAGCATTCGAAGTGGAGCCTCCGAAGTTTGTGCTCCGTTTCACTGGAGACGGCATCATTGGAGACACTTGAGTTGACGGTGGAGCCAGAGATGCAGCACTGTTTGAAAGCAGAGCCGGCGGAGGAACTGGAGCAGGAGCGGAAGGTTCCGAAGGCGGAGCCGGAGTCGGCGGTAGTGGAGGCTCGAGAGCATTTGCCTTGAACAACGGGTTGCTTTTCAATCCGAATCCCATTTTGACAGATTTTATGGACATTGGCTTGAATCTCAAAGAAACTCCATTCTCGGTGTCCCGAAGTGGAGTGTGCGGTTCCGGTGGCGGAGGTGGCTGCGGAGAAGTGAGCGATTCGCTGGAGAAGCTGTTGAAAGCGGGATGAAGGAAGTGTATTCTCGGTCTTTGCATATCAGGAGATCCCAATGGTGTGACTGGCGGTTTATGTTCCTTCCTGAAACACTAATATATGTTTGTTAAGGTATGGCGATTAATTTTCACCGTTCCCAAGACGGCAGAGGAGTTTGTTTGTTGCTCGAGCATTGATCAACATCCACACGAATTTCGGACACAAGGTGTTTTACATTCAGAGCAGGAATATGGTCGGATGAGACAGATGACGTGGCAGAAGCGGCAGTCGGAGTAGTCGCTTCCTCCGGATCGGCAGTCTGTTCCGCACCCATCTCACTATCGGAATCCGCTATGTCCATTGACTCGGAATCATTTTGAGAGGAAGCTGAGCTGGCGGCCGGAAATTTCAGAGACTCTGGCTCTGCATCATGACTCTCGAGCCTCATTGAATCCAGCTTTTTCAAACTGTCTTCCTCGTTGAAAACTGGAGAAAAAGCAGTGGACGTAGAATACTCGGCAGCATTTTCTTGTGATTCCGGTTCCTCTGGCTCCAGTTCCAACTTCGGCTTCATTGGAACAAACGCATTAGCAGAAGTTGAAGGCTGAAAACAATTTTATATGCTTTTTCATTTTTGCAACAAAAGCGAACCTGTGGGTCATCCGGATGAGCCGGTGATGAACCGAGTACAAGCTTGCTAGAGGCTTCTTCTGGCTCAACAACTGGTACTGCCTCCGGACGCTTCTCCACTGGCTCATCCTTGATTTTTATCTTTGTAGTAGAACGTCGTTTCGCCATAGGTGGCGGTGGGGGTACTGCCGCAGTTTTTGGTCTTTCTACTGAAGTTTGTTCCTTTCTGGTTGATGGCTGAGGTGGATATTCATCTTCTTCATCTTCCTTGTCCAAAAACGAATCCGCTTCATTTGTCAAAAGAGATTCGGATGATTCTTGACTTTCACAGTCTTTGGCATTTCGTGAGCTGTTCAATTCTTCCTTTTTACTCAAATTCGATACATCAGTTGGTCCGGAAGTACTTGGAGCGTTCGCTTCTGCAATGCGTTGGTTGAAAAAATGAGAGTGTGACAATCCCGTAGAAAATTCGAAACCCGTAGAGTCAAATTCCGTAGAAATGGGCGGCGCCTAATTCAAGGTTGGCGCAAACTGTTTTGACTCTTTTTTCATTGCCTTTTTCGCCCCTTTAGTAACTATTCATTTGAACATTTGAAAAAAAGATTAAAAAATGCCATGAGGAGTCCAATATTCTGAGTTTTCTGCATTGTCGCGTATGTGTTTGCGTGCATTTTTCTATGGGTTTCGACATTTTTTTACTGGATTTGACTCTACGGGTTTTGTAATCTACGGGTTTCGAATTTTCTACGGGATTGTCACACTCGAAAAAATCTCGATAATTTGAGTTGGCTTTCAGCTTACCCGGTCTTATTTTGGGAGGGCGACCTCGACGTGCTCGTTTTACGGGCGTCTGCGTCTGTGGTGCAGGTGGCTCTGCTTTGTTCTCCTTCACGGCACCGTCCTGCGCAGCTGCTGCCTTTTTACGTCGTGTCTGAACCATATCCGATCTGCAAAACAATCAATTAAACAATAAAATATTTAAAAATATGGGGAAATGTTGAGTTTGAAAGAAATTTGAGCATTAAACACGTTAACGTCGTTTTTAAACACAAAAAATTTGAATAGACTAATGTTGCATGCGGTGGTTTTCTTGGCGAGACCCGCGCATTAAAAAAGACACACGTTCCTTTGAGTTCCTACAGCACCTCTTGTTCAAAAATGAACGGGCATCTATTTCTGTTGAATTCGTCCGTTCCTATTCTGTAAAAGTGCTGTAAAACTTTTCGATAGGCTATAAAAGCAGCCGAAAAAATCGAAGACCTCTGTGAGGAACTGGTTTTCGTAGTGAAAATTCGGGGGCGCGTTTCAAATTTCCGACCTTCGCTTTGACCGGCTGCAGTGGCGAAATGATGTTTCGAAGGGCATGCTGGCCCGCTTTTCCCCAATCTGATATAATTCGCAAAGTCTCACCGCTTTGTTTGAATGAGCTGCAGCATTCGGAGCGCCACTTTCAGCACAAAAATCGATGGGGAGAAAGGGAGAACGAAAATGGGTACCTTTTTCTTCTTTTGCCTCTTCTTTTCCTTTTTCTTCTCGTCTCCTGTCTCGTGTGTCAGAAGAGGCGGTGTTTGCGTGAACGTCGACGTCGTCGCCGGCAGACGGATGGCTTCAGGGAGCAATGAAGAAGACGGAGACGGCCTGTGTCAGAGTGTGCCTATATCGAATTGAGAATGTGTCGCGTCTCGGTGGACTGCTGCTCTCTCTCCCCCTCTCAGAGAGCTGTTACTGCCAGCAGAGAGATTAGAGATGGAGAAGGGAAAAGAAACGACGCATTGTGACGAAGGGACGGCAGAAACGGGCAAGGCGAAGAGACGCCGAGAAAGAGCCATAGAGTATGTAATGGCCGGAGAACCAGACACGACCGAGAGGTTGGAACTGCACATGCCACCCCCGTCGGCTGCCGCGCCGCCGATCGACGACGAATTCACTTGTGCGCGAGAAAATGGACAGAGAAACGCAGACATCCCGGCGACCAGGCTACTGTCGGCCAACAAAGACGCCTAGCGCACACATTGAATGCTTTATTGATGAAACGAGGAACACAGAGAACTTTCGGGCTATTTTATTCTGGAAATTCTGTTCATTTCCCGCGAGGCTGCGTTCGACTCAGAGCGGCTCTGGGAGCCGCATCCGCCTTCGCGGCGATTACGGATCCTTCCGTGTTGACGGACGTCAGAAGCGCCTTCTCGGCGGTGAGCATTGTCGATGTGCAAGAGATAACTTCCAGCTCTTTTCCTTTCGATTGGAGCACAATGTTCGTGCCGAGGTCTTCGTTCCACGTGCCAGTGTACAGGGAGTTGTTTATCTGTAGAAAAGTGAATGTTTCAAGAGATCAGCTATCATCGAAACCTGAAGTACGGGCGCATCTGTCTCTGCGTATCGTAGCCTGATGAGATTCTTTTGGACAGCATCTCGCACCAAATCAGCGTCAAGGATTCCGTTCACAGTGACCACCATCGTCATTTCTTCCCACTCTTCTGGGTCGTCTTCATCGTCGTCCTCTTCTTTTTCTTCTTTCACGTCGTCAATTTCCATCGACTCGGGGACTTCTTCTTCTTTTTCTGCTTCCTTCCTCTCGACTAATTCTTTTTTGATTTTTGGCATTTCGATTTCTGAAATTAGGGTTGGAAATGGGGAAATTAAGGGCACAACCATATATGAATTCGGTAAAGAACCAAAGAAAAATAAAATAACGCAAAAACATCCCAATAACTAGTTTTTCATTCAATAAATAAACTATCACATCAATAAATACAACCCATTTTGTTAATTCTTGTGGTAAATGATCAGAAAGCGTCTTGGAGAAGTTGCAGAATGCGCGGGTAGTGCTTCACATATTGTTGTTGGCCACGCGAGATGACCGAATTATTATAGGATGTGATGAGTCCGTTGAGCAGGGCGAGAGCCTCTTGCTCCGAGTGCTCTTCGTACCACTTCACGTATTCTTCTGGCTGAAAACAAGGGATGATTCTTATGAAATGTTTAGTGAAACTGTTTTTACCGTCCATTCGACGGATTCATTCGGAAGAGGTAATTCTGGAGGACTGTCAGAGAGTAGCAGCTGCACAAGGATCGACTTCTTGACGCCCTCGACATTCGCCATAGCGTCAACGTCACTTCCGAAGAGATCCAGAAGGCGTGAGGTGTCTCCGTACTTGGACGGCCATTCCATTGAACGCACGGCTTCGAGCAGTCTGAAATTAGGAAGATCAGTCGGTGGATTCATCGGATTGAAACCTGGAGAAGTCGATAACAATGAGTTGCCTCTCATCAGAAGCGTACGATCTCACAAGAGTGGCATTCAGAACGAACGAGCCGATGACGTATTCGGCAATCTGGGAGAGGACGTGAGAGTGGCAGACTGCGCGGGACACGTGTGCCATGTGCATGTCGATGTGGTTGATGTAGGTGAGCAGTTCGCTCATGTACGGAGCCACGGACCGGCTCATTCCACGCGTCTCCACGTGCATTCTGGCCACAATCGCTCTGATTGAGCTCTTCACTTCTGCCACGATGGCGTCGAGCGTCTCTTTCTGCACGCCGGCCACACTTTTCGACTCACTAGGCCAGCGTTTGAGGATGCCATCGGCGGTCTGGATGAGTCGGTAATTGGTCATTTGGTTGGCGGTCAGACGGTCTCCTGAGAAAAAATATGATTGGATTATAATTATCAGCTCTGTTAGTACCTAGAAGAAGATCATCTCTTTGCAAGTGCAAATTGGCTTCGAGCTTTTTCGCGATAATCTCAATGCACTTCTCGATGTTGCTGCTCATTTTCTGGCTCAATTCCACATCCCAATCCACTTTTCTCAATTCTTCTTCCATTGCCGAATTGATCAAATCAACGAATGCATTTGCGTGCGCCGTGGAGAAGTCGTGCTCTTCCACAAGTTTATGAAGACGTGCGAGTGAGTGTGTGAGAAGAGAGTTCTTGAGTGGGCGGAGCGAATCGTTCAGAGCGGGAGAACTGTCTCCCTTCGAGTTGAACACTCTTCCCAGTTGTTGCACGAATCTCAGCGCGTACGGAGTGTCCAACGGAACTCTGCTTCTAATGAGTCTGGCAAGTTTTTCGGAGAACTTTTTTTTGTATGTCTCTCCGAGCATCGAAGCTTGTTCCAAATGTGACTGGATCGTCGCCGCGACCACCGGAAGACTCTTGTTGGCCGCTTCCGGAGAACTGTTCGACAGTTCCATCAGCTTCTTGTCCAAATCGACCACGGACGAGGAGAGGAGCACTTCCAGTTCGGAGTCCAAGTAGTTGAGGGTTCGGAGAGCTCTTTGAGCAGAAGCCACCATCGAACTATTCAAAGAAGCCAGTCCCCTTTTTAGTTCTTCGGCTCCACTTCGACGGACTTCATTTTCCGTTACTTTCAACTTAGTGTCCACCATATTTCTGAGCCATCCGATCTTTCGCAGGTTCTTATTGTCAGTGAGAATTTCCTTAATCTCTGCCGTAATTTCTGCTTTCTTCACCAAATCGCTCCGTTTTTCCAGCGATTCGAAGAGTTCCTCGCATCTCTGAGCATCCGCCGCCATGTTTCTTTTGAGCATTGTCGCCTCGAGTTGGCGGGTTTGTTCCCGTAGTTTTGTGGTCAGATCCTCACAGACAGTGGAGAGCCGATTAGATTCGGTGGTGACGGAAGTCATCCGCATTTGAACAGAATGCAGAGTGTCTTCGAGCGCCTGAAGAGCCGGAACCTGCTCCAGAAGGCGTGGAAGATTTGTCTCGACACCCTTGCGGAGCTGTCTGTCGAGCGTTTCGTGGAGCCCGGCCACTTTTCGATTCAGCGAGTCTGCCACGGAAGAATCACATTCGGCCACTCTGATAATTCGGAAATATTACAATGACCCGGAAATTAAGAAACTTACTTTCTTAGGTAATCATTCACATCGGTCTTTCCCCAGAGAAAGTCGTCGAGCTGCTCGTCGACCCTTCCTGACATTCTGGAAATGAAGATATCAGACGATCGAAAAATTAGAAATTTCAAAAGTAATAAGCAGAACAACACTGCAAATTAATCGATGAAAAGTTCGAAAAAATATGTCTTATTTGAGAGAAAACAATAAACAAATTAAATGAAATAAAAACAAAAAAGTTAACAAACTAGATATCTAATTGTAAATAACCTAATGAAAACTGTATCATTATCTAATTTTCTCCCATTTTCTCGGCGGACTTCTTCAGATTGTGCTTCTCTACGGACACGTGCTCCTCCAGATCCGAAATAATTCCCCTGGCAATGGTCGTTTTGCTGCTTCCCTCTCTCAAAGTGAACGGCATTCCCTTCCTCAGCGGCATGTCCTTCATGAGAAGAACCGTCGCGGAGGTGTGCTCTCCGGGCATCAGAAGCTCGTTGCTCATGTCGAATCGGCCGACCTGGTCCCATGTGCTGCAGTACATTTTGTCAGTGAATCCCGTTCGGATTCCGATCTTCCGGCCATTCTCTGCTTCCGAAAGCAGATAAAGTTCCACTTTGACTCTGTTCGTGATGGAAACTGCTCCCGGATGTCCTGCCCACATTCCTCGTTTTACAGTATCCGCTTTGACTCCTCTGCAGAGAACTCCGCAGTGATCTCCGGCTCTGACTTCCTTGACACTCTTGCCGAACACTTGAATATCGGATGCAGTCGTTTGAAGAACTTGTCCGTCTCCCTTGATCTCAACCTTGTCACCCTTCTTCAGAACTCCTCTTTCTAGTGTTCCGACGATAACTGTTCCTAAACTTTCACATATTGAAATAGCGATTCGATTCACAACTGTAAATCGGTACCTCTTCCAGTGATTGCAGTCTTCGATCCGATCGGCATTACGAACTTGTCCTGCTCATTTCTATCTGGCTCTGGCAGTGAATCGAGAGCTTCCAACAAACGGTCAATGCTCGAAATGTCGTCTCCCTCGAGGGCGGCCAAAGCGGATCCACGGATGACCGGAGTTCCATCTCCATCGAATCCGTGCAGAGACAGAAGTTCCCTGGCTTCAATCTCTACCAAGTCTAGAACATCTTCTTCTACCAAATCAGCCTTATTGATAAAAATGACCATATTCTTCACTCCAACTTGCTTCGCCAGAATCAGATGTTCTTTTGTCTGCTCCATAACTCCATCAGTGGCAGCAATCACCAGAACAGCAACGTCCATTTGCGAAGTTCCACAGATCATGTTCTTGATGAAATCCGAGTGTCCGGGACAGTCAGTGTGCGAGTAACGGCGCTGAGGGCTCTCGTATCCGATGTGCGCAACATTAATTGTGATTCCGCGTTTTTTCTCTTCTTTTCCCTTGTCAATCTCGTCGAATTTGATGTGCTTCGCGAATCCTGCAAAGTTATTTTTCAATCATAACTGTTCGATTGGCGAAATCCGCTTGCCTTTCTTTGCCTGAACTCTTGTGATCGCCGAGGTCAACGTCGTCTTTCCGTGATCGATATGTCCGATTGTGCCCACATTTACATTGACTTTTGGAGTAGCAGATGCAGTGGCAAAGAAAGCAATTGAATTACGAACTGATGGATTAACGAGGGAACTCGCAGAGCATCGATTGAAGAGTAGAGATCGTGTGAACGCTGACAGCGCAGCTGGGCTCATTTTTCTGTAAAAACATTTTTGTGCATAAATTTTTTATCTATTTTACGATGGGAGTAAAAAATGTGACTGAATAGTATTTTTTGGATTAGAAAACAGGTAAAATCAACTTGAAAGTCTAAAATTGCGTGGCAAATTAGACTTGTCCGCGAGGACTACACGGCCGCGTGGCCTAGAAATTCGGGCTGTTTGGAATATTTATTTTGTCAACTTCAAGTGTTTATCACATGTTTTCCGATGGCCAACGAAGGAAATGCGGCAGAATCGATTGCCAAAAAGTTGGCACAAGTGAGTGTTTATCAATTCAAATCACTTGAATAAACGAGCCATGTTCAGGAAGAAGAATGGCTTCAAAGCTTCCAGAAAAACATAACAAAAAGCTCCCAAATTCGTCACGGAATCGAGCAAGTTGTCGATAAGTTTGATCAACGGCTCAGTTCCCTCGAAAAGAATGTTCTTCCCATGCATATTTCCAACGGACAATTACAAAAGAAGCAGCACAGTGAGAAGAACATTCCAAACTATTCCTATATGAAATTGAACTTCCAGATATCCAGAGATTGATAAACACAATCGATGCGACACTTCAGTTTTACGGTAAAACAAATACAGTAGAAAATGCGATCAGAGACGGAAATCCCCTCGGAGATCTGACAGCCTATTTGGAGAACATGGAATGTCTTCAGCAAGCAATTAACTTCTTCGAAACGCATCCGAACTATGCAAGCCAGACGGAAAATATGAAAATGACACTTGATACGGGATACACAATACTCGAAAAGGCTTACAAGTCGGTTCTCCAGAAAAACAGTGTCACGGTGGAGCCGAAACTGTTTGTTAGAGCTAACGAACAGGAAGAGATGACGCCGCGAATGAGCGAGATCAAAATAATCAACGACGAAGAGGCGATCATAAAAATAGGAGTTTGGCTTCTTAAACAACATCGTGTTCACTTCCTGAGCCATTATTCTGACATTCGAGGAGCACAGCTTCTGAAGAACATCAAGAACATTGCAGAGGCTCAGAAGACGTTCCAAATGGCGTCGAGAAGTAAATTGTACGTTTAAACAATTCAGAATTGTTCAAATATAACTATTAATCAGATCTACCGTTCGTAAACCAGTCCAGCGAAACGAAAAGGTTGAAGCTCTGATTGAAGTAGACGCGTGCCACGTCATGTGCTCCACGCTGCTCACTTTGCTCGAATTGGAAGAGAAACTGATGGTTAAAGCGATTCCGGACACTTCGAGAAGAGCCCAAGTGTTCCGAGAGCTCGTCTCTCGCCCTCTCGCTCACGCAGTCCTTCAAACACAAAAGATCGTCAACGAACGGGACATCGGAATAGTCCCACTTCTCCCTCTTCTTCATCTTCTTTCGCAGAACTACGCACGGTTTCATAATCTGGCCACGGTCAGTGTGAGCTATAAAAAAAGTGACAAAATAAAATGAAGAGTGGATTCAGAATAGTATTGGCGACGTTCAATTCGATTCGTTGATGCGTCAACTGCAAGTGAAATGCTCTTCTTATGTGAACGAGGCCATCGAGAATTTGAACGAGGACACGACGAAGTTTGTGCCTCCGGATGGGAATGTTCATCCTACCACTGCATCTGTAAGCCATCTTTCGGCATTCTCATCTTTCACTATCCGATCTTCAGACTCTGAACTTCCTCTCCAGTCTCACAGTTCATCGGGTGACAGTCACCCAACAAGTACTCGCTCTCACGGCGCCACAAGGCCAGAACACCAATCTCCTGCTGCCGAAATTGTTCGGTAATCTACTCTCTCGACCGCCCATCTCTTCATCACGTCTGTTTCAGCGAGAATATTGTCCGCTCTTGGAAGTATGCTAAAAAAGAAGGCCAATCTGTATGATGACCCAACCCTGGCCACCATCTTCCTTCTCAACAACTACAACTACATCGCAAAGACGTTGGCCGATGAGCAGGATGGCCTTTTGCCCGCTATAACCGAGATGAACACGAACATTCTGTCTTTTTATCGCGAGGAGATTGCCACGTGTACAAACGAATATCTGAAGAGTTGGAATGGAATTGCGACAGTTCTGAAGTCTGTGGATCGGATCGGAGAGGATAAACAGATGGCCAAGCAGATTATGAATGTAAATTGGATCTTTTAAATCAAAATATAGTTATTTTTCAGACATTCGTCCGAGACTTTGATCAAGTTCTCGCTCAACAAACTGACTACTGCATCTCGGATCCGAGCATCTCAGCGAACGTGCAATCCCAAGTGAAGGGACGGATCTGGAAGAACTATTCGATGCTTCTGGACGCTTGTCAACGGCTGCACGTCTTCCCGCAAGGCATCAAATACACGGAAAACACATTTGACATGGCCATTCGCAATCTTTTCTCTTCTGCGAGAATCAACTAGCATCCAACTTGTCTACTTGAATTTCTGTGATATGTACTTATTTGCTTCACTTTTAATATATTGATTGCTTTCTTTTTTAGTTTCCTTCATAATCAAGCCTTATCAATGGCTGAGATGTCTTCTTTTTCCTCTTTTCCTATAATTTCGAACTCTTTTCTAGAATGTGCCTGAGAAAAGTGACCTCGAATTGGCGTTCAGCGGCCTCCATTATTCTGGGTAGGCCCCGCCAGAATCCCCTCCCTCCCTTTTAGACTTCGCCACTTCAGCGTGCCAGTCAACTCGCAGAATCCTCATGCTGAAACGTGGCGAAACTGCCAAATTCATGCCGAATTCGATGGTTTTCCCGGGCGGTGTCATTGACAAAAACGATGCGAAACTGGGCGACGAGTGGAGAATCGCCGCTGTCCGCGAACTTTTCGAGGAGTCCGGAGTGCTTCTGACGAAGAACGGATGGACGACGTCGGCGAATAATCCGGAGATGACGGCGTTGAAATCGGAGATTGTGAGCGACGCCGCCAAGTTTCAGAAGCTGTCGGAGAAGATTTGTGCGGAGCGACTGATTGAATGGAACACTTTCCTGACCCCGGCAACTAATCCGAGACGATTCCTCACCAAATTCTACTTTGTTCTCGTCGATGGTCTTCAAAAAGAATCCATGCAATGGTCTGAACGATTTTCCCCATTTCAGAAGAGCCGGCAGTCGATTTGTGCACTTCGGAGATGTCCGATTACAGTTGGGTCGATCCGAAAGAGTGCGTCGACGAGGCATTCGGAGGGAAGTACGCGCTGCCGCCCCCGCAAGTCTACGAACTCACGAGACTCGCGCAGATAAACGATTGGAAAGCATGCGAAAAGTATGCGAATGTGAAGAAGCCAATGTGTCCGCAGCCAATCAAAACGATCGGAGAAGACGTGATCACAAACTGTTTCCCCGGCGATCACTTGTACATTGGTCAGTGCTTTCTGCTTTTTCTTTTTTATGCCTTTTTTCCAGATGAGAACAGTTTCCACCAGCCACTCCGTCAGCTCTCCGCCGATCGGATCGCCGTCTCATCGACTCTTCCGACTCATCGTGCCACGTATCAAACGAAGCCAATGTACGCCCGATGCCGTCTCTATCAGCATCATCTGAAGCCGTCGGATGTCGCCGCGTTCCATCAGTTCCAAACGCATTCCAAAGAGCTTTTGTGAAAAGCAAAGAAGTTGTGAACGGCTTCGGGTGCATATTTAGTTCATGTTTTATTGTCCATAATAAAGAACTCTAGGAAACGTATTGTTGTTGCTTCCATTCTCTGTCCAGATTCGGCGCATACTCATCATTTTTTTAAAGCACTTTTGACTGAGTTGGAAAAGTTCTCGATGTGAGTCAGTTTTATACGCAAAAATGGATAGTATTGTAACAATCTCTCCTTTGAATGGCCCCGATTACGGTTCGCAGTGCAAATGCGCTCTACCGAACTGTACGCTAATTTGGATTTAAATTCCAATCTGCTCGTGTTTCTCAACGATTTTCTGTGGATTCAAGAAAATATTTCCCTTTTTCGGGTATTTTGTACGTAGAAAATAGTATTTTCTTCCGAAATAAAGCATTGCCACCGCCTTTCATCAAAATCGAGCCTATATTCCAGGTCAAAACCGCTCTACAATGCACTCTCAACACCGGCCCAGCCAGCAAATGGCGAGGCATCCGCACCAAGTGAGTTGAACTTAGAACGGTGAATAATTCGGCAGAAACCAACGTTACAGGGTCCGGGAAGTGCTCCCCAAATGCGCCGTCCGGGAGTGTTCACTGCTCCGCAGCCACAAATGCACGGAGCTCGTCCGCAACCTCCGCAACAAGCCGTTCCGAAAAAGAAGAGATACGCCGACAAGATTATTCATCCCAAGGTTCAATTATCGATTCGTTCAATTGTTGCAATTATATTTTTAGATTCGTGAGCTCGAGCCGGACGCGGAGAACTACATGTCCTTGCTGGCTTCTGAGCAACAACTGGACTCAACTCTTTCGAGAAAGAAACTGGACATTACTGAGGCGTTGAAGCGTCCTCTGAAAGTCAAGAAACGCCTGCGAATCTACATTTCGCACACGTTCATCGAGGAGAAGCATCCGGAAAAAGAGAACGACGAGGCGACTCTTCCGATGTGGGAATTGCGTGTTGAGGGACGTCTTCTGGAAGATACGACCCCGGCGACGACTCCCGGACAGAGACCGCTCCCGAAAAGAAAGTTCAGCTCTTTCTTCAAAAGTCTCGTCATCGAGCTGGACAAGGATCTCTACGGACCGGATCAGCATCTCGTCGAGTGGCATCGTACTCCTCAGACTAACGAGACGGACGGATTCCAAGTGAAGCGCGCTGGTGACCGTCCCGTCAAATGCCGAATTCTTCTTCTTCTGGACAATCATCCGAATAAGTTCAAACTGCATCCGCGTCTTGCCAAAGTTCTCGGAATCGCCGCGGAGACTCGGCCGAAGATCATCGAGGCTCTGTGGCAGTACATCAAGACGCACGGCCTCCAGGATCCGCAGGAACGCGACATCATTAACTGTGATCCCTTTTTGTTCCAAGTGTTCGGAGTGAAGAGAATGAGATTTATGGAGGTGCCAACCAAGCTGCATCATCTTCTCCACCAAGTCGATCCGTTGGAGTTCAATCACGTAATTCAACGTCCAAAAGACGGACTGGAGCAAGTTTCGACTTGTTATGATATTGATGTGGAGCTGGAGGATCCCGTGAAACAGCAAATGATGGCCTTCATCCACAACCCGGCTCTCATCAACGATCTGCAGATGCTTGACCAGAAGTGCTACGACATCGTCGAACAAATCAACGAGCTCAAGACTCGACGTGATTTCTACGCGCGTTTCCACGCCGATCCCGTCCAGTTTATTGAGAAGTTCGTCGTCAGTCAGGCGAACGATCTGAAGATATTAGGCGAACTGAACGGAGACACCGAGGCGGATCGGCATGTGGAATCCTATACGCGTCCAGAAGCTGAAGAAGGAGTCCAACGGTTCGTTCAAAACGTCTTCTTTCTTTTAATTTACATATTTTTTTCAGGTATATGTTCCAAAAAGTGAACCAGAAGCGTATGGAGCTGGAGCAAAGTCTCGGAGTTCGCATCAACTAATTCATTCCGTTTGCATTTCAATTCCCTAATTCATAATTTGAGTTGTAACGGTCTCAATTGCATTTTACCAATAATTTATTCGTGTTGTACCATGCTTAACCTGTATTTTCCGCTCTGATAAATGAGTTCATTCATTACCCGTTCGGTTCCGAGCACGTGAACTTTGCCGGCAATCAGACGTGAGCGGGTTCAGAAAAGAGAAGGTCGAACCGATTATTATTTCTTTTGCTTGGCAATTGCAATGGATTCTGATGAAGAGATTCTGTCTTCGTATTCAACTTTGACCGTGACCTCCAGGTTCCCATTCTCAGCCATTACAATTGCAATTTATAAAACATCCTCAGAACGGAAACCACCATTTCGACAAGAGATTCGGTCAGTAAATCGGGCGTCGTTGTTGTCGAAGATGACGAACAATTCGAGGACGCGAGCAGCGATATCAGCATTCTGTGAGAAAACAGTTGAGCCGCGGAATTCCGCCTTCCGCTCAATTCTGCTCGAAAAGTGCAATGGAGCGCAACTGCTTTGCAGAACGAAACGGCAGCAATCGTCGGTGCAGTTGGATCGGTCGAAAATGCGAACGGCGGTGCATCAGGATCTGTGCATGCACTCGCAGAAAGTGCTCGAGCCGTTGTTCCTGCGAAAGTGCGAGACGCAGAAAGTCAGACAAGGAACGGCGCCGCCGAATGTGTTTCCGATTCAGAAGGTGGAGACGATGCAGGCGAATAAGGTGAGCGGGGAAGAAGAAGAAGAGCTGGATCCGGATACTTGCAGAAGCTGTCCGGTCATTCTGCGCTGCTCGTCAGCCTCGACACGCCCACTTTCTGCGTCCGCTACCTGGCCGCCAACGTACTGCAGAAGCCGAAGAACGTGCTCGTCTACGTCTCTCCGATGTTCTTCGTCCGCTTTGTCGCCCGTCCGGATCCGCAGAAAACAAATGTTCGTTCTTTCCCTCTGAACGCCTTCAAACCCATTTTTCAGCAATCGACATTCGAGGATCCGTCGGGGCCGGTGCGACTGATGCTGCCTCCGGACGAGGCGAAAGTGGCTCAGAGGCTGTTGCCCAAGTGGCAGACGGTCACTTTCACGCTCGCATTCGGCAAACACGTGGCAGTCAAGTACCGTATCATCGAGACTCGCAAGCAGCCGATCACGCACGTCAAGGCTAAGCTGGACAGGGTGAAGAGAGTCTCGACGAGCACGCTCTACCGAACTGAGCCCGTCCAGGTGGAGTATTCGAACGCGCCCGAATTCTATCATTTCTTCAGAGAGCCGAATACTGGCGCAGTTTCAAACCAAACGAATTGAAGCTGTCGACGGTCGAGGAAAACGATCCGCAAATGGTAAAAAGAGTGTTTTTGGAGCAGCAGGCGGGTATCGATTCGAATGGATCCGTGAGCACTGTGCTCGAGGTGGAGAAAGAGCCGAAAAAGATAAGAAGTGGGAATCCGATTAATGATCATTTCCAGAATATATTTTGTTTTCAGAAGTGAAGACGACCGTCCAAACGGAGGAACTTAATCTACTTTGGCAGCGGACTGACAATATTTGATCTCTTTCCAATTATGCGTCTTTCCCGGTTCTTTTTGTAAATTTCTAGACCAATAAAGTACAGTGAATTTTATTGAAACCGTTTACGGGAGAGTGAAATATTTAATACTCGTGGCAATGAAAGGAAAAAGGCATTTTGATGACCCATTACAAATCGGGGTAGAAAAATGAAGAACCGCATCTGGAATGTGGATGGAGTATAAACGATTAATAAGCGCATCTAAAAAGAAGCTGTATTATTTTAGAACTTATCGGACGGATAGGCAATGTGCCGGTAGCTGCAGTTGGTATCCCAGCATGAGAGGTTGGCGTATCCCTGAAAAGATACTTTGGTTAGATGATGGAACGCCGAGGAACTCACAGGACAAATGGGCGTGCTCGGGAGCTTTCGCTGCCAGAAAACCGGAGTGATCGTTTTTCTGAATCAGAATAAATTAACAAGCTCGTGAATAACAGAAATCTTACCCCGGAACCTTTGTTATTTCTCCATTATGGCTGTACTTGCACACTTTCGGATCTAAACAATGACCGTACTTGTAGAGAATGCACTCCCGAACCGGAGGAATTGGCGCCGTCTGCGACAACGAAGATTCCTTAAAAGTAGAAGGACTCTTTTCACTTTTCGATGTCGTCTAGAAATGAAGAAGTTTAAATATATGAACACTGAATTCTTACTGGTGTTGGCTCGGGAACTGTTATTTGTGGCCGTTTGGGCGATTTGGCGGATTGGTCGGGCGCAGGCTCCGAATCGATCGATGCAATCCATCGAGTGAAATTGGTTTTTGAGGATGAGTTGCTTGCTGAGAATAGTGAAATTTTATTTGGTTGATGGAAATTATTAATTTACCATCTACAAATATCGCATCGTTATTTTGCGAATCGGAATGCGGCGAAGGCGCAGATGATGTCGTCGCCAAGGGTTTTACTTTTCGGTTCAGCACGAACCGGCTTCCTGAAATAAATTTCGAGATGTTGCCCGTTTCTTTCAGTGAACTCACTGTAATTCTCGCGCCACGTTTGCGAATCTCCACTGATTCCAGTCGCCTCCGCATCCCATTCGTGCTTTTTCTTCTCCGGAAACGTTCGGAACTTCGCATCGACTTCTTCCGTAGGAATGCCCATCAGTCGCTGTAATACTTTAATTGTTCCGTTTTCTGTACGGTGAGATATGCCAACTTTGGTCACTGAGCTCTTTTCTCGCATATCCTTTTTAAATGCATCCCATTCATTCAACACTTCTTCTGGTACTGTTCGGAGGAGCTCTTCTCGCGCTTCGACGTTTTCCGGATCATCAAAATTCCCTAATGGGATCCGCCCTTCATCTGAAAACTGCTTCACACGCTCAGCATGCTCAACATGTCCAGCAGGATCATTGCTTGTTGTGTGTCGATCACTGACTATTGTGTTTTGATAGCGCTTTATACTATCTGAAAATAAGTTAATTCCTAAACGCTCTGTTGTTTGGCGGACTTACTTGTTGAGTACCAATTTACGTTATTGGGTTCCATCCAAATCTTCGGTTTTCACGAGTTCGGAGTGTTTTTACTGAATATTCTACTGAAACTGCGTGCTTTTTGCCGCCAGCCGCATTTAATGAAAATATAAAAAGCGACTCGTAAATCGGCGCGGACTAAAAGCGCCGAAAAGGAAAAGTTCGGCCACTCGTCGTTTTGGCGCCACGCGCTCCGTCGTTTTGGCGCCACGCGCTTTATCTAATTTTTTTATGCCGCGTCCAAAGTCTCGGAAAATCCGCAAATCTCGCGGATTCTGCAGTCCGAAGTCGGCAAAAATTTGCGGGAAATCCGGAGTGCGCACAGCTGAACGAGTTTTACCGTACACCATAAAACTACGGTATTTTTTGAAAAAATTTTAATTTCTCTAGAATATTTGAAATTTTTCAAATTTCTTGGGTAAATTTTCAAAAAATACCGTAGTTTTATGGTGTACGGTAACACTCGTTCAGCTGTGCGCACCCCGGATTTCCCGCAAATTTCTGCCGACTTTGGACTGCAAAATCCGCGAGATTTGCGGGTTTTCCGAGACTGGAAGCGGCATAAAAAATTAGATAAAAAAAAGAGCATCTGAGCAGGAGCATCAATGTAAGAATAATTCACAGTTGCTTTTTTCAGATTTCACGACAAAAATGTATTTATCGACGAGAGATTGTGATCCTTTTGATTCTCTAGCAAGTCAAAAACAGACGGAGCAATGAAATTAGAAATCTGTTTCACCTTCTAGTCCCATATCTGAAAGAGTTGTACAACTATGCATTGTAGTTGAAGTTCCGTACCTTCGTTTAATGTCCTTTATCTCTCTCAAACTTAGGTAATTAAACCATGAATTAACATTATAACAGACGAGGAGACGATAGTAATAAAGCCTACTCTCAAACAACAAATTAACTTAAATAAGAGTCACTACTACAATTGAGAACGAAGGAAATGAGTGCAAACTAACACAAGAAATTTCAATCGAGCAGTAAACAGATCACTGAAACACCTAGAATTGGCGGGCTAAAGCTTGCGTATATTGGCGCGGGGGAGCATGATAATACGCGCAATTGCGGATTTAGTATGAAATAGGTCTGAAGTGGGTGGGATTGGGGAACATTTGATAGGAGGAGGGGTCAAAGTATTCTAAGTGCTAGAAGATCTTGCACATGCATCTTGTTAGCGGACCATCTTCAATCCTGTGTCAAATCTATGGAAAATGGTAAAGAAAACATTCAGCTTATCAAATACTTGACGATTTCTCCTTTAGATACTCGAAAAAATTTCCCAAGAAAACTGTATCCGATCGGCGTCAGTGACTCCGCCCCCTCCGGGAATTCCATAGCGGAAGGCGGAACCCGCGAGATGTCGGCTGCTGAGTTGAAAGACCTAGCTCATTACTTCTAGTCTCAATGGATTTAGTAATTTTTCGAGAGATGCTCGTAAGAGCATTGACAAGTGTCGTTGGACTGATGGAGTTCTGGAATTCGTGTTCCAGAGTTCTAAGGGGCATTGGGTGAGATAATCGTCGATGGGATGGCAGGGATCTTTGCAGCTTTTCCCACCTTGTACTCGAAAACGTCAAGGATCTTAACGATACTCATAACTCATGCACACTATCCAGACAGCTGAAGGACGGAAGGACTCAATTACCCCATCAATGCTCGGCGAGCTCTGAATTTTGTCGGAAACGTCCGCTGGGAATGACCATTCTCTTCCTTCACTACCTCGTTTATTTGCATTTTCCTCCATCTTCTCACTTTCTGATCGGTCCGGCTATCCGGAAAGCAGAAGAGGCTAATCGAAACGGCATTCAGTCAATTAGATCTAGCACTTTCTGTTTCTCATTCCTATTGTCGTTATTATTATTATTATTGGCCGGTATCCGCGAGCGTTTCTCTTTCTCTCTTTCCTCCTCCGGGGGCGCATTTGTACCTACAGTTCAGTTGTCGTTCGACCGCCGATTACATTATATCGGATCTCATTTAGAGAAACGGAGGGAAGAGACGAGAAGATACCACTTGCCGCGCATTACTTTCTGGATTCATCATCGCTTTCAAAGTCCAATGTCTTTTTTCTCATTTTTGCTTCCCATGTGAAAACTTCGGACCTCTGTGCGATGTGTAAACATTTTCGCCTTCGAATCATAACATTGGCCTCCGGAGAGAGAGAGAGAGAGAGAGGGAAACAGAAATAATAAATGTTGAATTCGATCTGCGATAAACGTTTCCCGGGAACTTTTCGCGTTATTTTTGTCGGCTTTTGCAGCCGCCTGTTGTCAATTTGGCTGAAAACCCCGATTTTTGTGCTTAATTTTTTGGTTTTCCACTCGTTTTTGAAAAACTAAGTGGCAGGCGCTTGAATTCATTACATTTTGTCGAAATCAAGCAAAAATCGTGTTTAAGCCAAATCGGCAATTTCGAGAGGCGTAAGAAGCGGAGCTTAACGGTTAAGGTAGACAACATTAGTCTGCAAACAACCGTACGAAAAGCACCGTTAAGAAACGAAAAAAAGACATGAGGGAAAGGGAAAGGGGTCCGTATTCTCTTATGGAAAATCTCACTGTGAGCCACGCTTTTGAGGTGATTGATCCACTCAATCCGTATCATTTTCATCCGATCCGCCGCCACTTCGTCCCTTTCCAGTCCTTTTCCATTCTCTTTTTCATCCACTCATTCAGTCGTTTTCCAGTGTTCCGCGCGACGCCGCATCCCATCCGCGCCCTTTCCGCGCCTCATTTCAATATCCGAATAGCCCCTTCTCTCGTCGCAATTAGACACGGACCTGTCCACTTCTCTCCCTCTCTCTGCCTTCCAACCGACCACAATCCATCCAATTATTATGAATCTGTCCGATTTCTTTCCAATAAGAAACCCTCCCTCTTCCTCTTCTTCTTCTTCTTCTTCTTCTTCTCCCTCTGTTTCATTGTTCGTCTGTCAGCACTCGAACAAAAATGAAATATGGGCTTTCCGGGCCTTCTTCCGAGTCTTCCCTTTCACTCTCTCTCTCTGCGTCTCTTCGTCTCGCAAACTCTCTCGTCCCATTGCTCTTCCGAATGGATCATTTTACCACATATCCAACGGCTTCCGGAAAAAGACAACGTCTTCTCCCGTTTGCTACTTTTTTGGGTGTGTGTGTGAGTGTGCTCCGGGATCGTCGAATACAAACATTGTCTGCGGCTCGTCGGTGAGCCGCCTCTCTCGCGTGGTCATGTGACTGGAAGGGTATCCATTTCCGAAATGGATATGGTTTTCACCTCTTTTTTCTTAGAAAGTTCTAGCTGACTGCCTACAGTATCCAGCGGGGGAGGCCAGAACCCTTTGGAAGTACTCTCAACCAGCATTGAATTGGAAGAGAATGAGGAGTATATTCATATAAATTCATAAATAAATCACAGGATCCTTCTTCCCCCTTCCCCTTCTTCGTCTTCTTCCGTCCACTTTTTGCACCTCGTCCACCCACTATAGCGCCCCTCGTCCGCTTCTCCTTCCATCCTTCTTTTCTTGCCCCCATCCATCCGTGTATTATTATGACGATTGGCCATGGCACTCGAGTGTTCGCACCCGGTTTGCGCAACCGTTTCGTCCCCTCGTCAGTCTCTTTCCGCGCGGCGCCGCCTCGCGGACACCCCGCAAAAAAACAACTGATATGCGTCGGATGGAGTACAGCCGGACGGATGGCAGATCCAGTCTGTCCGGTCTCTCTCTCTCTCTCTTTTGTGAATGACGAATGAATGTTATTAGTGGTGTTGGTGGCGTATCCTACCAGTTGAGACTGTACTCGGAGTCGTTCCCACCTGCTCCTCTCTGTCCTTCACTTCTCAATCACAAGATCCTCTTCGTTTTCGTCAATCATTCATTCGTCCGACGTATGTTCTGCCCGCGCCCTTGGTCACCTCCTCCTCGACACGTCATAAATCTTTGCGCAGTCCGTTTCATTTCGGAAACCACCTCAAGGTTTCAGCTCTTTCCATGCCGGAAGTCGTGTCTCGTCAGATCTGTGTGCGCTGTCCCAATGCGCGGATATGGCCACTTCACAAATACTGGCCGTTCCCGTGCCCATCCGCGTTCTGCTCTCACAAAAGTCACTTTTCGCCCCCCCCCCCTCTCCTTTTTCGAAACTCTTTTTGTGTGTTTCATTCCGAAAAAGAGAGGAGACGAAGACGTTGTTCATCTTTTTCTCGTCGCATATTTTATTATTCACCGCCCGTTTTTCTCCGCTCCGACATGCGCCTTTTTTCCTCGAATAATTTGTATTCCCATCTGGCGATTATTTTCGACCTAATCAATCGAATTTGGGTTGGAGAAGAGAAGAGAGAGAGAGAAGGAGAGAAAGAGTATTATTGGGAATCTTTGAATTCGAAATTTTAGTACTGAATCCCGGTCCGGCCTGTGATAAGTCTGTATCTTATGGGCCTATTCAGTCGGATAACAAACTGGTAAAATCTGGTTTCTACTGGTTTTTTTCCTTTTTTCTTTCATCGGACTGGCAAATAACCCCCCGTCAGTTCGCAATCACATCTGGTACATGACTCGTCCTTTCACCAAGTCACTTATTCCTTTATTTATAGCTCTCTCCTAGAAGTTCCTTTGCTCTCCGTCTCTCGGCCCAGCACACTACCCAAATGAATGGCATCGTTAGTGTTGTGAGCTTCGAAAATGTCAAATGGGAATGGGAGAGTGTCCCGGATGGGCGGCACAAAGCGAAGGTGCGGAGAGGTTATGACGAGGGAGTAATTAGAGGCAAGAGCGGACCATTAGCTGGAGAAGATCAAAAAGAAGTGGCTTCCGGCTTTGCCGTCTATTTTTCGACAGCCTTCATTCACATACATATTGGATGAGAAAGCGAGAGCAGTGCAATGTCCACTCGAAAAGAGCACCCTTCTCTTCTTGTGCTCGTCACGGAGGGCGCGAAAACGAGAAGTGTATTGGAGCATGATTGGATTGTGCTCACTCGCCCTCCTTCTCCTCTTTTCCGCGTTGCTGACTGCGTGCTCTTTCGTCCGCGAACCTCCCTCCCCTCGGGTTTGCTGGCCATTCTGGTTATGCCCGTTCGCCTTCTGTTGAGCTCTGGCCGCCCGTGTCGAGAGCGCATATTTCGCGCGCGTCTGCGTCTCGGATTCCAGATTATTACAACTGTGTGCACGTCTGCGTCAGCCCGACGGGACCCTCTCCCCATTCCCGTTGTGCTTCTTCTTTTTCTTGTCTCCACTAAATCCCGCTCTTGTGTCTAATGCATTATGTGATGGCGGGGTGGTCAGTCAGTGTCGTCCCGAAGAGAAACATACACGATTCGGTGCGGTTTCACTCGCTACGTAATCCCCCTCTCGTTGATGCCCATTTTTCCATTTGTTCATGCAGCCAAAAGAGACCCTCTCCTGCAAAATCTAAGAAAAACGTTTCGAAATGGCCCCGATAGGTTCTGACTCATTTCGCTCTTCCAGAGTTCTTTATCTCTCGACCTTGATGACTCACTAACCTTTCATTCACTTTTTCTTTAGGCTTTGATCACAAAAAGCCTCCACTTTTTTGTGCGTTCCCTCAAAAACCTAGACTTGCGTGTGACGCCTCGCTGACCCTTGGCTAATCCAATGAATAAGTCAGAAGGCTCATATTGTTCTTTTCTTTTTCAGTGTTCAAAAAAAGTGCTTCGGAATTACAATAAGCTTTAGTGTGTTGCGAAATGAACAGTGTGAATCAGAATAAGGCCGAGCGGATCAGTGTCATCAAAGTTCAATACCAAAATCGCAAAGCAAAGCTCATCCTCATCCGTTATCCCTCTCAACTTTTCTTTTGCTCTGTTATCACAGCAAGCGTTCACAATATGCCAAAAGCAAAAACGTTTTCCTCGTTTTTTCTCCATTTCATACCTGTTCTCACTCAATTAAACGCTCTCTCACAATCGCGCCAAACTGAACTTTGTTTGACACCATTCCTCGTTTCGCAACCGTTTTATTCTCGCCTCCGACTCCATAAAAAGGAGGCAAAACAGTTGGCATCTTCTCGTGAGTGTTTGCGTGTTTGCCCGCGTGTTGTCCAACTCTTCTTCTTCTTCTTCTTCTTCTTCCTCATTTGCTGTCCACCTCTTGACCATTCGCCGACTTTGCGTGCTCTGATTATCTTTGAGCCGCCGGTTCAAATTGTTCGCATTTCGTTTGTAGCTTTCTGCTTTGACGCGAAAACGCCGAAAAAGGGGAGCGGGGGAGGGGGTGCACTTTTGTTTTGTGAGAACGGACACCTCGTGAATCCAATTTGTCACTTTCATTTTTTGAAGTTGTGTTTTCCGTTTGAAGAAGGGGTGACACTGAAAAATAGTACTAAAGCTACTTCCTCCCTTATATAAGTACATCATTTTTTCACAAAAAAGGTCCTCAAAGCACTTTTTTTGTTGCGCTACTCAAAAAAACATCTATATCTCGAGATCCAATAATTATTTTGAGAAGTAGCAAACTGAAAATGTGTTGCAAATGTTGGTATAACTACAGTAGCTTGTGCACTGATCTTTTTTGAACTGTCATTATCATTGCCTTTTCTGGAGTACTTTATCAGCCCGTGTTCTCATAACTCATGTTTCCTCCGACCATCTGTCTTGCTCTCATGCACCATATTGCTCAAGTGTCGTCCTAAAAGTGATTCTCCCCCTTTCCTTTTCACTTCTTCTTCTTCTCCTTCTTCCTCATCATACGCCCTTCTATTCGACCGTCTGTTTCCTTTCCGAATCTCCGACACATCTGATAACCTTCACTTCTTCCGTTCCGTTCCGTTCGTTCATCCGTTAGGTTGTCCCCCGTGTTCGCGTTTCCCAATTATTCGCTCGAATCGTCGTCTATTTGCCCTCTTTCCTATGGCACTCCTTCTGACTCATTTCTTACATCAGAAATCGAGCGAATCGACACTTTTCTTTACTTACTTTTTCCCTCCAACCTTATACAAACATTTCCTCTCGAATTTGCCTCCGGAGAAGGCTTCCAGCTCATTGAGCACCGTCATTCCGACTCGTTTCCTTTTCCTATTATGCCACGTCATTTCTAGAAGATGCAAAGATGTTCAGGCCCCTTTAGTATTCCAATATTCCGAAACAAAGGTTTTTATCAACAGATGCACACGGAAAATAGTCCAGTGAGTGCGAAGTTCGAGTTGCGAATGGGGCCTATTTCTGCTCGAAGATAGTGTCCTGGACGATGGCCAACGTCTGGTAGTCGGGGTCGTGCGTGGGCGCCAGAGTGCGACGGTCCGACGGCGGCGTGATCGGCGGCGGGTTCGACTGTCCAATCGACGGAATCTTGAACTCGGGGAGCACGAGCGGAACGACCGGGCAGCCTCCGGAGTTCTTCACCTGCGAACAGCAGTGTTGAGTGAGGGAACTCTTCCTTCCCACTCCCCCCTCAACTCTTTTTTTTAGAAATAATACGGAAAATACATCAAAAATTTAAAATTTATTACTAGAGTTGAGGGGTTAGAGGTTCTATTGCGGGGCCGGAGCAGCGGCTTCCGCGGGCGGTTGCTCGGCGACGGGCACCGGAGCCGGAGCGGCGGGCGGAGCCGTGACGCTGATCGGTCCGGATCCCTCTCCATGGCTCACTTCATAGGTCTCGATTCCGAGTTGTCCGACAGAGGCGAGCACGTGGATGAGCACGAAGAGCGAGAAGAAGGCGTGGCCGGAGATGCACAGGAACACGAAGATTCCGGAGAGCACCGGGACGAGCACAACTGCAAATGAGGGACCGGATTACTGTAGATAATTACGGTTGACTCACGGGCGGCCGATCGTCCACGGACTTCGTTCTCCGACGATCCGAGCACCTTTCTGATCTCCTCACGTCCGTCGATGTTCAACGCGATGTTGTGGGCGGAGACGGCGACGGAGGCTCCGATGAAGAGGAAGTAGAAGAGTTTGGCGAGAATGTTCGAGTCTTCGAGCGAGCCGAAGAGCACTAGGAGCAGCTCGAACGAGGAGCAGGTGACGACGGCCGCACGGGCGGCGAACACGTACTTGGAGTAGTCGTACGGCGGGATTCGATCCATGGTAGTCAAGTCGAGTGTGCAGCAGAGGACAGTCGAAGCAGTGATGTGGTTTTTGTGGTGTTCTTCCCAGTTTTATAGGGACCAAAGTGGGGCGCCCCGGTCGAGAAGGGCAAGTGCCGAGGGCCAGTGTTAAAGGTCAGATCAATGGAGCGGTCAGGAAATGAGGGGACCGGAGCTACCGTAATCCCATTTCACTAACGGCTTCGTACACAAATTTATGCATGCTCTCCGCCGCTCGTATCGTCATGTTTACATCGTCAACTCTTCTATTCCATCTCTTGTTTTCATATTCCTCCCCCTTCTCCTTCTTCCTTTTCTTTCTCACACTTCCTTTTTCATTCTGCACACCCAAAGCATTTCTGAGAATTGATGTCTGATAAAATGAAAGCTTCCTATAAAGCGGGGGAGCCGTTCTCGGATTGATGAATTCTTCATCTCAACAGCACCTCCCACTTTTTTTGGTTTTCTGCTTCAAGAGGACATTGCAGCTTCGTGGCACCTTTCTTCTTCTTCTTCTCTTTCTTCCCCCTCCTTCCTTTCCATTCATCCGCGTTTTCGCCTTCAACGCAATCCAATTAGTTCCCCTTTCCATATATTCGTGCCGAAACCAGTCTCTTATCACCCGTTTTGCTTGCCTTCTTTTCTCTGTCACCCCGTCCTGATATAATTATTATCTCAAATTTTCACTTTTCCGTAAATCCGTTCCCCGCCGCCCTCAATTCAATCCTAATCAATCCTGAATTCGGAATAATCTCAGAAAAGAAGACGTCGCCCGGCCAACAACAAGTGGGCGGTGCATGCGTGTGCGCCGCTGATAACGCCAAGGAAACAGTGTGCGAGGCGGTGAGTCGCAGACATCAGATCGCATTTCAGGTCACTGTCCGGACGGCGCCGCGCGGAATCCGTCGCTCTTATTGTTGCGGTTATGCAATGATAGGCCGCGTGGGCACGCACTTGTTGTTATCGACACCCCGGCCCACACTTTCGAATCAAGTAATAATTGTTTGCAGCAGCCGCCGATCCATTCGATCCCATCCGTGATGACGACGGCTTCCGAGCTGCTGTCCGACGACGCGAGAGCCCGTTTCTCGCACACAAAGGCGCTTTTTGAGCAGCTCGAGCGGCAGCAAGATGTGAGTCTGTTTTCTGTTTGTGCCCATCCTCAGTCAGCCTTCCTTTCTGCCAGTCTTGCAAATTTTCCTGCTCAGATATTTATGCGGTTTTATTTGGTGACGAATTTCTCTTTTTTCCGTGAACATTCCATAAACCCGTCCGTAAACGACCCGAAAGGAATCTTACTAGTTTATTTTTGTTTGAGCAAAAGAACATATTATATTTCTGCGCTTCTTGAATGCCATTCAAGTATCAAATGGTAGGCAGGGCTTTTCTAAGATATGCGATCGAACACAGACTCTGCAGACTTCATAAGATTGGATTGAAGTTTCGGCCCGATCGGATTAACTGGTCTGGAAATGTGTGAATTCGAGGTCGAGAATCCCAAAAACCGATCGGTCTGAAACTTCGACCCAAGTTACTTGAATCCAAGACCAAGACTTCCACCCCATCCACCATAATCCGTGCACCGTCCACCGATTGCAGGTTCCCTCTTTCTACTCGCCCCGTCTCCAACGTCAACCGCCGCCGCCACTGCCTCCGAAACCGCCATCCCAATGTCCGCCGAGTCCGATGTCGCAGGTAACAAACGAGCGGCGACCACATGACTCTTCTTCTCTCCCCATCCCTTCACACCCCCGCTATTTCGCGTCTTTCACATTTCAATGTTTCTGTTCGCCTAATCCGCTCATCGATAATAGATTCATGAAACTCACTCGCACGCCACTGACTCCTTTTCCCATTCCTCCGCCACTCTCCCCGTAACGACGAGTCTGCAGGTCGAACGGAACTTCTCCGAGCTCGCCGCTGATCTCGACCGTATCCAGTCGTCTCCAGCCACCTCCAGGTTTATCCAGCAAAAGTGAGTCGGCTTTTTCGATAGCATTTTTCGACAGCTTACTTTTCATTTCATTTTTCATCCACTAACATCTTCTTCTTCTTCTTCTTCTTCGCTTCGCATGCGGTTTCCTCTTCAGATCCGCCACTCTTCCGCCGCCGTCCTCTTATTCCGAATCGCCGTATTCGTTCGAGAATACGGTGGCCACATCGCAATACGGACTTCACAGCAACAACAACAACAACTCGTTTGAGCCCTATTGGCGGAATGGATCCATCTATCGGAGACAGTTCGAGAAACCGTATGTACTTCTTCTCATTCTCAAGCATGCGTCTACTTCTGTTTCTCTTCAGTTCACTAACCTGAATAAAATATCAAAGAGGAATGGTTGGACTCTGAATGCTCTGTTCAACTTTGAGAGAAATCGACAGCAAAGCATTCCGAATTCCAGTCTTCCTCTCTTTCTCTTTTCCAAAACATACTCATCTCAATGATCAATTTCAGTTTCGGCGACGACAGCGATGGCAGCAACGGCTCCGCGAACGGAGTGAAGCACACGACGTACGCCGTCGTCAAGACCCCACGAGAAACAGAAATCGAGGCGTCGTCCGAGGGTCGGGGATTGATGGAAACGAGAAGAGGACTGAGTCCCGAACGGCCCGACGCGGATCTCGCCAACCGAAAGGTCTCGTTCAGCACCGCACCCATTCCGGTAAGACACCACCCATCACGTACTTACAGTAACCCACCGCAAACGGCTTTCTAACCAACAACGGCGAAATGTATTTATGTGTGTTTGAATGTTTGTTCGCAAAGTGACAATAATAAGTACAATCCGGAATTAGGTCACTGCCGTTCGAAGATATGATAAGAGGAGAAGGGGAGAAGAGAGCGCGGTGTCGATGACATTTCCAATTTGCATAATATCTCCGCACTCATCATATCCGTTTTCAGGTGTTCTCCGCGTTCTCCGTCGAAGACTACGACCGCAAGAATGAGGACATTGATCCGGTGGCGAGTTGTGCCGAGTACGAACTGGAGAGAAGGCTCGAGAGAATGGACCTGTTTGAGGTGGATTTGGAGAAAGGAGCCGAGGGCCTCGGCGTCTCTATAATTGGTTTGTGCTCTCCTTCCGACAATCCCAAACTACCGTAACTGTTTCCTTTCAGGCATGGGCGTCGGAGCTGACTCAGGGCTCGAGAAGCTCGGAATCTTCGTGAAGAGCATCACTCCGGGAGGAGCTGTCCATCGGGACGGACGCATCCGAGTGTGCGATCAGATCGTGTCGGTCGACGGGAAAAGCCTGGTCGGAGTGTCCCAGTTGTACGCAGCGAACACTCTCCGATCTACGAGCAATCGGGTCACTTTCACAATCGGCCGTGAGCCGAATCTAGAGGAATCCGAAGTGGCACAGCTAATTCAGCAGAGCCTCGAGCAGGATCGGATGAGAATGCTCGGCGACGACGAGGACGACATCGAGGAGCCGCCTCCGCCGCCGTCGCAGATGCCTCAGATGACGTCATCGTCGCTCTCCTCTTCCGAATCCGATCGGCCGACGACGTCGATGATCTCGAAAGAGGAGGCGGAAATCCGATCAAAGATTGCCGCACTCGAAATGGAGCTGGACGTGACACACAAAAAAGCGGAGCACTATCACGAGGTGCTCAGCTCCACGAAATCGCATTGCGACCAGTTGGAAAAGCAGAACGAGCAGGCAAATCACATGATCAAAAGCTATCAGGAAAGGGAGAAGGAGCTGTTGAACAGAGAAGAGAACCACGTGGAACAGCTGAGGGACAAGGACATCCGCTACACGTCACTGGTGCAGCAGTTGAAAGAGCGAATCGACGAGCTGGAGAAGAAGCTGGACGAGGCGGAAGAGAGGCGGCATTCCATCCAGAACCTGGAGCTCATCGAGTTGAGAGAGAAGCTCAAGGAGAAAATAGAGAAGCGAGACGAGGGGTTGGCCTACAAACCGGGAGGAGAACTGCCGCACGAGGACAAGGCGGTCATGGCCAATCTGGAGACTGTGGCCGTCAGTTTCGACGCCTCGCTCGTCCGACCTCATCTGAATTCTTTGCAGACGCCGACGAACAAGAAGGACGCGGAAGTGTCGGTGGGCAGCAGCTGGACGGAAGAGTACTCTTCGCCGTGCGAGTCCCCGGTCCCCCGCATCTCGGAGCCCGCGTCGCCGGCTCTTCCCCACAAGCTCTCTCACCGAAAACTGCTGTTCCCGCTGCGCAAAAAGTACGCGGAGAACGATTTGTGGCGTGCCACGTGTCAACCAGTCGGACTGCAAGCCCTTCACTGGACCGTCGACGACGTGTGCCAACTGCTCGTCTCGATGGGACTCGACAAGTACGTGCCGGAATTCACGATCAACAAGGTGAATGGCGCCAAGTTCCTCGAGTTGGACGGAAGTAAATTGAAGGTAAGAAAGTGAAAAAGGCGCTCCATCGCTAATTTATGCGATTTTCAGACGATGGGAATCCAGAATCACTCGGACCGTTCTCTGATCAAAAAGAAGGTGAAAGGGATGAAGAATAAGATCGAGAGAGAGCGGAAGCAGCTGGAACGGGAGAGCCGAACACGAGTGATCGCCCACACGATTCCCATGTGATCCCAATCATTTTCCCCCCCGATTTGTTCTTCGAAAGAGGGTAATCACGCTCTTGCTCTTTCTCGATAGAGCGCACATGTCTCGCCGTCGCCCACTTCTCCCCGTCTCAAGGTTGTTTTGAATCGCCAATCCATGGGTTTCTTTTTCTCGTTTTTTCCCTCTGAAAATTCGAAATTCGTTCAGTTTCCCGCCGAATTTTCTTCCCATTTTCAAGTAGATTCTGCCGTACTTCAAAATATTCCCATTTATTTATTTCTTCCACTGTTTTCAGTCGACGCACCACCAAAAAATGTGATATATTCTTTGACACTTCCTCACTAACTTTTTAATTGATAAATAATCTGCTCCTTCCCTTCTGACCAATCAATCAATCATTTCAACAATAAATCAATTTACAAATATCAGCGCAAACCTACGTGTCAAATTTATTTCAGACACACACACACACGCCCAACGGAACAAACGAGCACAGACCGTCGATTACGGTAATAGAATGGGGCATGATTCGGAGAGTTACAAGAGTAGCGCCTGACAACAAAAAGGAATAAATATGGTTGAAAAGAAGGTCTCATCATGTACATGAGCGGGTAGGGGGATAAAAATAAATAAATAAAAGATCGATTCGTGAAGACTTTCAATAAATAAATGGGAGAAAAAAAAGAACACAATAGATGAGTGGAAAGGCGGCAATTTGGAATGGTAACATCTGACGGGAATATATTTAGTCGCGACGTCTCGGACGGTCGCGGTCGCCTCCACGATCCCCGCGCTCTCCACGGCTTCCTCGGTCACGCTCGCCACGGTCCGCTCTGTCAGCACGCTCACGGTCGGGTCTGTCCTTTCTCTCCGCTCTCTCTGGCCTTTCAGATCTTTCGGGACGATCAGAAGATCGTTCCGGTCGGGCAGCTGCTCTTTCCGGACGTTCCGCCGACTTTTCACCCTCGCTCGGTCGCTCCTTCTTGATGGCCTTCGCGGCGATCTTAAACAGATATTGTTATGCTTTTGGTCCGTTACTTGATGTTTACCTGTTCCTCAGTCAGTGGAAGATAGTAGATAGACGGAGTTGCGACCGTCTTTTTGAAGAGCTGTTCGAGAGACTTCACGGGGACCTCCTCTTCGACGCGACGGTCCTCACGACGAGAATCCTCCCGTCGTGGTTCGTCCCTCTTTTTCTCCTTTTCTCTCTCCTCGTGTTTCGCCTTCTTCTCATCCATGAATCCGGCTCCTCGCGAGAACGGCGGCGTCTCCGATCGAACTCGCTTTCTCTCCTCCTTCTCCTCTTTCGGCTTCTCTTTGTCGTCAATGCGAGTGAGTCTGGAGGCAAGACTTCCACGCTTTTCCTTTCTTTCCAAATCCATCTTATCATTGTCTCGCAAAACGTTTTGGAGCTGCAAATGCTTCGTTTTGAAATCGAACATCTCAATGTAGTCATACCGTTATCTGAAGACTCGCTTTCCCTCCAATAACTGAGGGTTGGGAAGCAGTAGAGAGACGGTCGGCACGCGAACCCCCAGTCAGAGTGCCGATTGTGACAGCTTCCGGCAATTTGACCTCGCCCAAACCTTCCTTGTACCGATTCATCTGAAATGGTTGAAATTAGCACACTTTCTCGCCGTTTTAGAATCTTACGTTTTCCTCAGTCTCGTAAACGATCGCCAACTTTTTCGGATTGCCTTCCGGCCACGTCTTGTCGTGCAAAGATTTCAGAACATTTCTAGCATCATCTTCTGATTTGAGCTGAACAATTTAATTGTTTTATCTACAGACTCTTTCATTTTCGGTGTACCTTTGCAAAACAGTGGCTCTTGACTTTATCGATCCAGAAATCGACGATTTCACCTCCGTACTTCTCGATTTCGGCTCGAAGATTTCTCTCGGTGAACGGACGGACCAGACCGCGAATGTGGACGATGTTGGAAACCGGATGTCTGAGGAAAACGGATAATAGAAAAAATATTCCATCTGGACGATTACCTAGACGAAGGAGAAGATGCACGACGGTGAGACACCGATCCGCGCACCTTTTCCTCCTTCTTGACACCCTCGTCGATCACCACCTTCTCCTCGCTCTTCTCTGTTTCCAGCTGCTCCGACGCGTCCTCAGCATCCATCGGCTCCTCTTCCTTCTCTTTTTCTTCATCGTCTCCGTAGTCCAGTTCGTCGCTTTCGTCCTCCTTCGGAAGCTGCTTCTCCACCGGCTTCTCGATGACTGAAACGATTTCGGATTAGGCATATGACAGTCTATCATTCTCACCTTTGTCCTTATCCTCATCAAGTTCGGTTTTTGACTCCACTGGCTTCGATTCTTCGGCAGCATCGACTCTCCTGAAAAATTAGAAGATTCACTTGAATAGTTTGCACTTCACGAACTTAGCCTTCTGTGGAGTGGCTGGTGCGACCTTAACGGGAGTTTTCACTTCCTCTTTCACTTCGACTTCCTTCTTTCTGAAACAGAATAACTGCTACTAGCATCGGGAAATTAAACTCTTACACTGGAGACGCATCAGTGCTTCCGTTGTTCGAAGACTCAGGATTAGAGGAAATGTTTGACTGCTCAGTCGATGGCTTTTCCTCTTCTTTAGTCACCTGTTCCGGGCCTCTTTCTTCAGCAACCGGCACTTGCTCAGGAATACTTTCTTGCACTGGTTCCGGCACAGTCTCAGCAATAGGCTCCGGAGCCGGTTCGACTGTTTTTTGCCTTAAAAATCGGATTTTTTGAATTCCGGCCGCCGGACAATAGTTCTTACCCTCTTCTTGGAGTGTTCCTCTTAGTCGGAGAGACCTTCGACGGCGAAAGTTGATCCTGAAAGTGTGGATAGAAATTGCGACTCTTCGACTGTTTACCTGTGGAGTGTCAGCTCCAGATGCTTCACTCTCCGTTCTCTTTCGGGCTTCTTCCAGAGCCGCTGTCTGTCTAGCCAAATAGCCGGCTACGACCGGATTCTTCTCATCAACAGCGGAATCTCCACTGGCAAGAGCCTGAAAACGTCCCAAATTGGAACTCAGATTCGAAAAACATCATCTTTACCTCTTTAAGTCTCTCCTGAAGCACAGCTTTCACTCCTTTAGTGGAAAGACGTCGATTTTCCAATTCTTCTTTGAGTTCAGTCACTTTTAGGGACGACAACGGTCTCCCGTCCACCATTATATCGTCGTCCGACATTTCGCTATTGATTTTCAATGACAAAATCTGAAATCTCACAAACTTGAATAGGAAACAAATTTATTTGGATGGAAACGCTCAGAACGTGATTGAATGCTACGAGACCAAATAAATTCGAAAACGGCGGACACGGCGACGAGAAAACGCACAAACGAGGCGAAATGCGCAAGGAAACGGCATATGTGTCAGCAGAGACCCGCAAACGCAATGCAAGCGTTCACTGGGAAAGCGAAAGACGAACATGTTGGGAGTTTTGAATTGAAGTATCTGAACAACGACTAAAAAGAAGGAAAAATAGATGAAATAGTATATTTTTTTTAATAATTACCCCCAGAAAGAATGGTTTTTTAATTTTCCGAATGCATGCTAAAATAAATGTAAATCACGAATTTGTCAGAAATTGAACACCTTTTTCTCAAAAAATTGATTATGGGGCTATTCAGCGTATGTTTGTTTTCCGTTTTTCGCTGAATCGCTGAATTGGATTTTTTGAAGTGAAAAAAAGGAAAACAATCATTGTTTTCACAGCCTGAATAACCCCATTAAAAAAAGCAATTTAAATTCTTTCAGTATCATTCGTTGCGAGACCTCTTCTGAAAATGTAGTCACGTCCCTTTAAAGATTATGGTTCCTAGACTAAATCGAGCTTATCCGTGAAGTTCAATTAAAAATGCGTCCGACCGGCTACTGTTCGTTCATTATGTAAAAAATTGATAAAATAGTGAAATGAAAATAATTTAAGTGTTAAATACAATTTCAGATGCCTTCTAAAAAAACAGTCTGGTCCGGAGCATCGCTGGTTCGCGTGTTGTATCCCGTTGGGCTCTGCTTGATATTTGTCGCCGTCAATGTCAGAATCAGCAAGCAACGCGACCAAAGATTCCGTCAAGTGTATAGTTCAGCAAAAACCCGCAACAAAGAATGCACAAGTCATTTTCAGAGTGGCCGGAGTGTTTCACTCGTATGATTCCCACCACAAATTGAGTGATACACGACGAGCATATGAAATTCTGTACACGATGGCGTTTATCATCGTGGCAACTATATTCGGAGTCGCTTGCTACATGAAGAAGCTCTACAGGGTTGGTAGGAAATGTCGATCACCGACTTTAGAAAACTGATTTGCAGTTGATAACCGTGTATCTCGTCGGAAACAGCCTCTTTCTCCTCCTCCTTTACGGCCTCTTCCACTTGCGGAACCTGTTGTCAGCGCTCTCTTTGCCCACTTCTCTGCCCACGGCCGTATTTCTAGTCTTCAATTTCGGATCCCTCGGTTTGCTCGCTCTGCACTACGAGTGCTCCCTCCGCCTTCATCAGTTCTATCTGGTCATGCTTGCCGCCCTCACCGCCATATTTCTGACGGACCTGCTAGCCGATTGGACTGTCTGGATTTTGTTGATTGGCATGTCGCTCTGGGACCTGTTTGCAGTTCTCGCCCCATGCGGACCGCTGAAAACGCTGGTGGAGACTGTGAATCGACGTGGTGAAGAGTACTTGCCAGCGCTCGTCTACAACAGTGAGCCGATTCTATTTGAACAAGCCAGACTCTGTTGTGAATTTCAGCGAGCTCGTGCGTGAATGAGCGAGAAACGGAGCAGTTCGAAAACGTTGAAATGACCGTTCCCGGGAGGATTCCATCAGTGGTTGCTCCGTGGGACGACGAAGAGGAAGGAGAGCTACGTCTTGGGATGGGCGACTTTGTCTTCTTTTCTCTGATGCTCGCCAACGTCGTCCTGGCATGTTTCTTCTTCTTCTTTTAACTTTAAAGATTCCGCCCCGGCCCGGTCAGCCCGAAAGTCTTATTTGAACGAAATTTTAGCGGAAAAAAAGAAAAGTCTCTAAAAGTGAGTGTCTATTGATCCGACAACTTAAAAAAAAAATTTTTCAAATATCGCAAGCCTTCTTCTTTTCCGGTATCCAATTAGTTTAAATTCGTTTTCAGACGGCACCATTGCTCACAGCCGTAGCGTGCTTCGTATCGAACATTGCCGCCCTCACGATCATCCTTCCGATCGTCGCGCTCCATCGAAAGGCGATTCCTGCCCTGCCGGTTCCACTTTTCTGTGCCGGCGCTTTCTACTTCTCGTCCCTCAAAACACTTACTCCATTTATCGCTGAGATCACGACGAGAATGATCTTGATTTGAACTGATCCTCGAAACCTCTCATTCTTCTTTCAAAACTAAACCGAGATACTTCACATCGGGTTCAATAAAACATGGACAGACTGATTTTCCCGAAGTTTCTAAGCAGAAAATAGTGAGAAACGTTTATTTCAGTGACAGTGTGGCGAACTCCTGAATTTCAGGAAAAAAGGAATGCTTAGAAAAAATAAGTGGAATGCATTCTCGAATTATGGCATAGAAATGACATAAGTATGCAAATTGGCACTGTCTAACTGGAGGGGACAAGTTTGCAATATTCAAGCGGAGGTGAAGAATGAAATGGTTCAATGAGATGGATGTGCATGGATGATAAAAAAAAATCGGGTTATTATATATGTTATTAGTCAATTTTGTAGGGTGGTCGGTAGTCGAACTTACCATTGAAGTAGAATGAAACGTGTTCTTGAGAGTCCATTCTCACGTCGAAGACCGTTCTGACGAGGTCCGCCACCAATTTGCTGCTCGCCTCCTTGAAGTCGTCCAGAATCGTTTTAGCCGATTTGCTGAGTCCAGCCTTCTTTTTGCTGGAGGGTTGCAGCAACTCGTAGAGTTGGCCGCCGAGAAAGCAGCGAGTCTTCCCCACGTCTGCGTGCTTGTCTCCCGCACTGACGAACAGTTTGGCCTTCGGATCGAACACAGCCTGAAAGCAGAACTCTTTAGATCTTTCGAGAAGAACTCGCCGAGCTTACCCATTGCTCAGGGATCACAATCTTCTCATTGCAGCCGCTGATCGTGAAAAGTGCGACGATGTGTCTCTTGACGAATTCGTTCACTTTCTCGATCGGAATCTCCGTGTTTTTCCGGAACGATCTTTGAGCGTCACGTCTGAAAAATAAAAAGGAAAATTATGAGCGGCCAATACTTTTGAACTCACTCGATCTTCGTTCTGTCCAAGGCCATCCGGTTGGAGACCAGTCTGCTCGAGATGCGCTCCACTAGGTCGAGCTTCACATTGCTCATCTCGGACTTGCTCATGAACATCTTCTTCCATTGCTTTTTTGTCGTCACTTCATTCCACGTCCTGTGCAACACTTTGTTCTTCCGTACAATGAAGTGCAGCGGTCGGGAGGAATTGTACGCAAGTGTCGTTTCGATCTTCGGAGCCACCGGGGGAGGGATCATTCTTTTCGAGTGTCCAGAAGTAGGATTCGGCGTTCGCTCTCTCGTTTTCTTCTCAACTTCCTTTCTCTTGATGTTGGTATCGATCGGCTTCTCTCCTCTAAACGCCGCGATTGTCGTTTTCTGGATCAGACGAGAGTTTAGTTGAAAGCAGATCGACGGTTTTTCGACGATCTCATCGCTTTTCGAATGATCGCCTTCGACTGTGGAAGAGCTCGCAGAAGTTGCAGGGAATGAGGACGGTTGTGGTGGTGGTCTCTGCAACTCGGGAGAATCGAAGTGTTCGACCTCATCAATAGTGGGCAGAATATCTTCGGAAGGTTGGCTGTCACTCGGCTCTTCATTCACCTCGTTCTCGTTTCTTGGAGAGACCTGCACGGCTTCCTCTGTCTGGGTCGACGAATGCGAGTTCGATTCTTCAATGAGTGCGTCATCGGATTCCTGATCAACTGGTGAGGAGTGAGCTGAGGTTGATGCTGAGGTATTCGCGGAGCACATGCTCCCGACAGATCGTCTTTTCTTTGTGGCAATCCTTTCGGGGAATGGGTCGGCAGAATCGGAGCATCTCTTGCGTTTGTCCACCTCAAAGTCATCCGACGGGTCAGTAGACTGAGACTGAGCTACCTCGACGTCATGAAGAATTTTGTTGAGCCCATTGAAATCTGTTTCCATTTCCCGACTATTTTCGACTGGTGGAATTTCTACTTCCGCTGGATCTTCATTACTCATATCAATCTCGTCCTCATCGACAAAGTCATCAATGTTGTCCTCGACGTTGTGCTCAACGTTACCATTATCGCTGAGGGTAATCAGTTCGGGGTTTTCTTCGGGCGACTTAATTTCTTCTCTAACGGGCTCTTCCGGGTATGGAATCTCATCGGGAACGTTATGGTTATTGCAAAGTGTTCCCAGCCGGAGTCGCTTCATTTTTTCTTGTCTCGCATTGAGTTCCTTCTGCTCTTTCGTATCTCGCTCATCATAATCCTGATCCATTCTAGCGTAAATTTCGTTCTCTCTGGCCTCTTTCTCGTTTTTCAACCATTCCACAACATCTTGCTCTTCATCCTTTGGAATGTATACTTTGCATTTGTCTGTCAATTCACTGAAATATAAATATGATTTTCTTGATCTCTTCGGGCTTTCCAAGTACCAGACGGAATCATGCACAATATTACGGAAGAGCCGATGAACACTGTGAAAGTAGGACTCATTGGTATTGAGTATTATTTCCGACGGAAAACATTTTCCGACCATTGAACTCGAGAATCCAATTTTGATATTTTCGATAACTGTAATCAATTGAATGCGATTTATCCGGAAAATCAGTTCAACTCACCCAAAATCTGTACCTGAGGGCACATCACGTTGATGCCTACTTTATTCTTCTCGCTGATGGGAAACTCGAAACAGAAATCATCTTCGGGAAAAGCCTGAACAACTTATTAGACAAGTGCATTGGTCAAACTCGAACTGACCCATTCGACCGGGAAAATTGGATCTCTGTGATTACAGAGTAATTCATTTATGGTTTCGCGCAAGAAATCCTGGATGAACAGATGCATCTCCTTGAGTCTCTGCATGCGGGAGTACCTCTCGAGGCTGAAATTGTAGGGAATAACTATTTTTCCTAACTAGGGAATGATCCATAGATAAGTATTCAGAAGTCGGCAGCAAAACTGAGGAAGGCGTTCAGAATCCTCGCGTTAAGATCTCTCTACCCATTACGGTCTCATTCCGAACGGTCCCTGACCATCTCTCAACCGGTCACTTCTTCCATGATCACACGATCGCCCGTCTGCCTTCTCTTTCTTCTCTTCCCCTCTTGCGTGAATGCGTTTCCGACACGCGTGAATACTGTGACACCGGCTCATCGGTGTCGCTTTTCGCAATATTAATCTGGCCTCACCGCCTCGTGTTTCTCTTTAGTGATACAGCCTTACCTACGACTAATCGCTTCGATTGCTGTAACAAGATTATTAGCGAGTTGCGGGTCCGCGGTGGAGTTCTCCAGTTTGGAATTCCATTTTGGACCATATACATAAGAATAGAAACATGACGTAGGCAATTCGTAAATCTGAAGATAACATTTCGAAAAATTTTGGCCGCTGAAAGCATCGAACCTCTGCGAATCGTGTGCCCTTACTCCATCGTCTCACCGTCGCATTGAAATCTTTCTGATACTTCTCGGCGACTGTCAGTTCCAAAGGAGCCATGAGTAGTTAGTGTGTCTGAAGTAGACGGAAATTTGTTTGAAAATGATCTTTTAAACAGGTCAACGGAGAAGGTCAGACAGACGAGCAAAAGCTCGCCGCGAGTGCGTCTGGTGGCCAGAACGAATAGAATGGGAGAGGAGGCGGAGCTAGAGTTGGGCGGGACGTGCATGTCGGGTATACGGGGAGAGAAAAAGAGGGTGAGAAGACAACGGAAGAAAGATTTATGGAAGAGAAACGAGAGCAGAAGTAATGCGTGATAACAACAGGTGGAAACACAGAGACGGCGGAGGCTTCCGCACGTGAGATCTCAGTAATCATCCAAATCGAGTTCCCCGAGGAATACCGTCTTGTCGCTGCCGGCGGAGAGCACTGAAAAATAGGAGATTAGAAGGGAGAGCGGAGCAAACGCGGATTCATTAGCGGCTTTCGGCATTGTGCCTCCCTTACTATGATCTGGGCAATTAGTTCAAATGTCAAGGTAAGCCGAGTTGGGAGGTGAGCGTGAGGCGGCTCTAATGTGGGTTAATTAGCCTGTCGGTCGGTCGGGAGAGAAGAAAAAACAGAGGGGAACAAGGGAGCGAGCAGCCGGCGCGGTTATCAGTGCCTTATCAGGTTCATAATTCCTTTTTTCATGAAATGAAACTGTTATCGGCAGGCGAGGGCATCTATACGATTCCTTTCAAAAGTAAAGTCACAGCAGGAGTGAAGAACTGTTTATAATTGGTGCACAATGTTTAGAAGTAGAAGAAGAGTGCTGTTCGGTATTAGGTCCGGTAAGAGCAATATATCATGTGACAAGGACTGTTCGTCTTGTGTGTACATGTAAACAAAGATCTGATGTAATAGCTCGTTCGCAAGATGCCACAGACGCGCGTGAACCCGATCGGCTGGCGGAACGCGGTCCGTGAGCACGTGTTGCAAAGAAACTGAGCCGGCTGCCTCCCGTATACGCTCCTTTGTGGAAGTGTTTATCGCGCGAACAAGTCCCTTTGGTATTTGCTGATAGGGTCAGACGGCCGGCTGATAACGACTGTTGTTATCACCACAGCCGGTCTCTAGGGACATGGGACTTTTCTTTAAAAAGTAGATCGATGAGTAAGCGTTGCGAATTGCGTTTGATAGCGATGTCGAAATAGAAAACAAAAAAGCGTGCTAATAGTGTCAGCCCCAACAGGTGCGTTCCATCTGTGGAAGCGAGCGGAACACGAGGAGAGCATCTGCCACCTGTGGGCCGGCGCCCATTCGAAGAGAGAGAGAGAGAGAGAGAGAAAGGAGTTGAACTGGCCTGCCTCAACTTCAAGGTCGATTCGTCTCGACGCATTAGTCAGTTTCAAACACAGACCTTTCGCATTCTTTCTGTTTTCTTCCGTTTTTTAGTCACCGGAATCTTGATCTGAACGGATGATAACAGACAGTTGCGAGTGTGACGACGGCAAAAAATAACTTTCCTTTTTACGTTTCTTTCTAAGCGACCAATTTCACCGAATAGCATGTTTTATGTTGTGCAACATGCACGATAGGATCCAAAGAGGGAATTATTGATGAGTATTGTGCCGAAAAGATAATGTTAGGAATAAAGATATATGTCGGTCGAGGGTATTACTCAGCAGGATAGACACCAACGGATGGACAGGGCATACGAAATATGCCGAAAATAACCGATGTTTGAGAGTGTCGGAGTGGAAGGAAAAGAAGCTAATGGGAGAGCGACCTGTGCATTGGTGGACTGAAAATTGGCACTTTGAAGGCGATTACGGTATCGTTGATGAACTGAATAATGGATGTTTCGCTTTACGAAACGGAACGGCTCGTGCCCATTTACATGATTTCATTGGCGCGTCCGCCGTTTCGTAATGTTTCAGAAGACAATGGCGCCGAACGAAACGATGACTAATGGAAAACATCGGGAGCGAAGCTTTCGGAATCAACTCTTGTGAAACCATCAAATATTCCATTCATGTTTTTCTTCTTCGTCGACTTGGAGGAAGCACAACTTTCCAACCGATTAACATCATTTATGCACAGATTCATCCGAGATGACACTTTCCCAAATGCACCCAGCCACTACCTTCTCTTCTTCCGATTGAACACTCCGTTTGAAGTACGATGAATCATAATTTGACAAGGGATGCATACTGTAGCACTTGCGCAACAGTTGCGCAATGACTCACGGAGCCAGGTATGGAAGGAGCACACAGAAAAGAAGAACGGAACAGAAAAACTCAATTATAAACGCAGAACGTTGGGTTAGTTAAGTCATTGGCGCGTATATTTGGCGCTCAACTAATTTGCATATTGGCACCAAGGCTGTGAAGAGATCCATCTTTTCGACGCAATTAACGAGGCTCGAAGGAAAAACGAAATGTAGACGGAATAAAGTGTCGACGAGATTGATGGGCTAGGAAAAAAGGACGAGAACAACGAAGGCACTTATTCTCAGTTTTTTCATGTAGCTCCGACCGATGGATGACGTGGCTCTTTTCAAACAAGTACACGTCACACAAAAGAGGAATGGGCATTCGAAATAAAAACTGAGAAAAAGGACGGGCGACGGGGAGGAGAAGGCAGCTGCTGAGTTGAGGCGACGCGCGATACGGCCGGAGAGAGGGACCGCCGCACAAAAATGGCGCCCTCCGGCCTGCACCGGCGACCACGAAACACTGGCGGCGAGCGCAGAGTGACAGCTTCGGAGCACTTGCACACGCACGCATTCGCTTTTTTGAACGAGACGACCAGGAAAATAAAAAGAAGAACGGACCCGAAGGACATTTGGAGGAGAGAGAGAGAGAAACTGGAAGAAAAACTGAGGGGATTTACGGCCTCGAGCAGATAGAGAGAAAGAAAGAGAGAGCGACGGGCGAGCTAGTAATCAGTCATGACTACTGCTGTTGCAGGAGAAACATAGTTGGCAGCCATCAGTCGGGTTCTACAGAGACGGGGAGAAACATCTGCGAAGAACAGCACGTAACAATCAGCTGTCGGTGATCGAGACGGTCCAAATGTGTGCGTGACAAAGGCAGGGGAGCGGCCGAAAAGAGAATGAGGGAGAGTGGCGACGGACGATCGGTTTTATGAGGCCGAGAGAGAACAATGTGTTATTAGAGCAAGCGTCCATTATGACGAACGAAGACACTTCGAATAATGTCGGGCTCATTTCAAATGTTCTGGTCGAAACGAGGCAGTATGCTATTCGGATCACTTTAGGTGAAAAATTTTGTTTTCTCCCGAATTCACGAGAAAGTAAAGAACGTTGTCGGTTCAGTGTAAACAAAGCGAGGTAATGTGATTGGGAATTTAGGCATTTGAAAAGTTGTGTCGCAATAATACAAGTCGGCAGGTGTAGGTTATCCTGAAGTGTCCTGTCTTCTGCGCCAACGATGCAATTTTAATCGAAAGAGTTCTGACTTTGTGCAGACTTGTCACAACATTCTGACTGCGTTGAGCATTTTGTCTGCATCATCGATAGAACTTGTTTGGATGGAAACAAAAAATCGGTCACAGCAATCAGGGTGAGTTGATATTCTCGCTTTTGTGTGACTATCAGACACAATAGCCCGTCTAACCAGCGTTTCGATCCGGAACTCTCGAAAGAACTTGCCCTCCGCGGCTGTTACACTCTTCCCCCGTACAGCTGTTTTTCGGCGTCCTTCCCTCCTTTCTCTAGCTCAATCGGAAATTAAAAGGGCCGCCCGTGAAAAATAGCGAAAAGAAAACTGAGACGAATAGAACGTGCGATGAAACGTCGGAAGGGCCGTCCGTGTGCAGCATGACGAAGCGAAACTCACGGATTTGTTGAGTTGGATGGAGGTCCGTGCAGTTAACGGAGCCGAGATGTCCGGGAAGTTTGTAGACGGGCGCACGCGTGGAGACGTTCCAGACGTAGGCGAACCGATCGGAAGATCCGGCGGTGATGTACTTGTCGCTGGGGGACCAGCCACACTTCAGCAGGTTCTGGAAGGGAAAGTTGAGGGGAAAAAGAGAGGACAGCTCGTGAAACCTTTTCAAAGTTATGGACGAGCCCCTGATATTTGTTTATGAAACGTTGTGCCGGCACAAACGGGCGGACGTCCCACGTCATCACTGAAAAGTTTAGATTAGTTTACTACCGCATTATTATTATTTCAAGCGAGGTCGTACAAGAACAATCCATCGAGTTTGAGAGCAGGAAGTTGCCATTGTGGCTGACGGAAAGCGAGGTGACCGTATCGCGATGACCGGAGAGCACGTATTTGATGTCATCGCGACGCATATCCCACACCTGAAAAGCTCGAAACTCGCAAACGTTCACTTGTTCTTTTTGTTTTTCGTTTCTTGTTCGCACCTCCCGTGATTTAGATATTCGAGGATTAGAATGCGCGCCGAGCCGTCCATTTTTGTCACTGGGACCGGATGAAAACGTTTTTGCGGAAATCCAAAGAATGCGTTTCTCATCCGACATCTAATTAACATGACACATTTCCGGTGCATTGATATTGTCGATGAAGAGAAAGAGACGCCCAATTACGCATCGGAAATGTGAACAGAGTTGAGCAAAATGAGCGAGAGTGGAAGGAAGGTGCTCCGCGGACTTTTCTTTAATTAGATTCTCGCCGAGCCCACTCAAATCCGGGGCTCTGACGGAATACCCCGTTCTCACCTTGATCTGATTGTCGATTCCTCCGCAGATAACATCATCGGACGGATCGTTGAAAGTGACAGCCGTCTGCTGGTACTTGCTTCCGAACTTTTTGACGGCTTCCTTGCTTCGGAAGTCGTGTACCTGTCAACGAGTGCCCGTTCCTAATGAATACTCGGTGCGCTCTCACTCACCATGGCGGTTCCGTCGTCGGACGCCGAGCAAATCATCTCCGGTCCGCGTCGGTTGACGTCGACGGCGTTGACAAAGTCGGTGTGCGATTTGAAGTTTCGTATGCACGCGCCGGTCTCCATGTCCCACACACGGACCGTTTTGTCGACACTTCCGGAGACGAGTCGCCTGAAAATCGTGGGAAAAATAGTACCCTCTTTCTCAATTTCAAAAAATAAAATAAAATAAATGGTCTCTCTCCATTTCTCTTCGTCTTTTCTCGACACCGTCTGCTCTTTTCAATCGAGCAATTTGTCTTTCTGGTCCATTCGTCGTTTTTTTTTCGTTCGGACGGCCATAGAAACAGGGAAACATGAATAGATTAACATAAAAATGGGGTTATGGTCATGGTTAGATTCTTTCTCGTATATGGAAATCATTTACCCACGGAGCTTTACTCTGCAAACAACGAACAGGAAAACAGTAAAGGGAGGCGATATGGACCGTCCGAGGAAGTGATGACAGAAAATGCGATTGGAAAAGGCTAGACATACAGCAAAAATTCCTGAAAATTCTTTATTGCCAAATTTGAGTATTTTTAGGCATAGTTGGGCTTTTCTGTGATAATATATACTTTTCAAGAACATTTACGGACCGGCCCGGCAACAATGGCCCCAGAACTCTTACGTCGAATCGGCGCTGAATTTCACATCCATCACAGCGCCTTTGTGCCCCTTGAGCACAGCGAAATTGTCGCAATTCTCGTAAACATTCCAGAGAAAAATCTGCTGATCGTATCCGGCACTGGCCAAAAAGAGGCCGTCTGGACTGAAACGAGAAGAGTAAATCTCGCCGCCGTGCCCTTGGAGCACCATTGTTGGAGCCTGCAAAAAACGAGAAATGTTCGACGTATTTATGACTTCCAGACCATTAGACTGGAAGTTCTCGTTTGTTCCTGAAGCTGTCCGCCGGCCATCAGATGGCTGCCTTGGGACGAAATCAATTGTCGATTCATCAGCACGTCCACCATCTCGAACTGAAAGAAGACGTTCCAATCGAAGGGATAATGGGGCTATTCAGCGTATGTTTGTTTTCTGTTTTTTTACATCGCTGAATTGGATTTTGACGTTAAAAAAAAACGAAAAAAAAACGGAAAACAATCATTTTTTTCACAGCCTGAATAACCCCATAAGATTTTATGAAATAGCAAGCGGCCTTCCAGCACCAAGCTTCCTCAGAAGTCTCGCAGTCTGGGATAAACATTTCATTCACATAAAACAATCGTTTCAAGTACTTGAGAATAGCAATAAGATCGGAAACAGTCGGCTAAATGCAATTAAAATTCGTCCGAGACCACCGTTTTCAGTGTCTTTCCGACGATGGACGTGGTGTACTGTTCCGGAATCGGCAGCTCGGTGTAGTCGTTGTCAGATTCGTCGAGCAGCGCGAAAACGTTCATTTCGCTCGATTTGGAGGTCACAAACTGAGCGGAGCGAGCTTCTCGCGACAGGTACACGTGGCAACCGTCCGTCTTCTGAATCGAGACGGTCGGAAGCGATCCGAGAGCTTGAACTTTGATATTGCGCGAGTTGATGACCTCGAACTGGGAAACAAGGCTTTCGAAGAGAACGACGACATTATCGCATCCGTCAAGGGTGATGCCATTCGCTTTTCCAGAAACCTGTAATAATTAGAATTAGTGTTCTTAAAGGTGCTCATTCTGCTACTTTGATCATCGAATGCGTGCATCCGAAAACGTAGATCGATTCCTTTGTTTCCTTTACTTCCACAACCACACTCTCATTTTTCTTCTGATGCTCGACCTTCCAGACCTTTCCGTCAAAGTGAATAACTGGATCTTTGCGGACGGTTGACTTCTCCTTCGGAACAGTGTGCAAACTCTTTTTTTTGAATTCCGACGACCGGAGTGCCCGATTCTTGTGGTTTTGCATCTCCGGAGTCACTCTCTTCAGACGGCTCGTCGCTTTGTCTCCTGCGTTCAGCTCCTTCATAAGATCGCTGATCTTTATTTCCTCGGTTGCATTGAACTGAAACGGTGCTGGCGGCGGCGGTGGCGGCGGAGGAGGCGTGGCTGACGAGGAATCATTTCCAGTAGTCAGAGTGGGAGACTTTTGGATCGGCTTCGCTCCCGGATGAGTATTCCACCTCATTCCGGTCGTATGATGCTCCTTGACGTAGTCACGAAGGGCGATGAACAAGCTCTTCAGAGCGTCGACCCACTCGACGTGTCGATCGTCTTTTATCTTCTCTTCCTTCCGAATTCGATCAGTGTAGAAGACGGCCGCATTGATGTATTCCGTGATCAGCGGAGCCGGCTGATCACAACCGATCCACGAGAATGCTGGAAATTCTCGTTATTCTAAATACCGCTTTTCCAGAAGACGCAATACCCATTGCTACGTCCTCGAGAGCACGCAAATGATTTGGAAATTTCGAGTCCCGCCGTCTGTTTGTCGAGAAGGCGGCGAGCTCGCCGATTTTGGAGAACAGCTTGTTGAAGAAGTCCGGAATTTTCAGAGGACTCGTACTCGGATTATCGATGCCGCACGCCGTCCACAGCACCTCACGGTTGATGTTGAACAGAGAATTGATCTGAAAATCTTCAAGTTCTCTGTCCAAATGAAGGACTCACAAGAACGGCGGCCTCGCCCACGTCTCCTCCAAGTTCATTTGAAATCTTGACAAAAAGGAACATTTTGCCATCGACAGCCTCGTCGAAAAGAATGACAAGTTTCGGCGGCGAATCGATCTCCACCGCGTCAGTCTTCGGAACGACAGGCGGTGCAGTTAGGAGCGTCGGAACGCCATTCTTCTGAAGCAGAGTCTCCATTTGGACCACCGCTTTTTCGAAACGAGCGACGAGAGCGGAAAGAGAGTCCATCTGCAGAACGTAATTGCGCAAAAGGGCAAATGGGCAATTAGAACAAAAACAAGTTATGCACACGGCGAACATTCGTGAACATGGTTTGAATTTCGCGCCCATATTTTGTCGATGCGTAGCGACTCATCCGCGTGCTAAAGCGGTACGTTTTGCGATACGGAGCGATAAAAATAGGCCCGAGCATGTTCACAAATGTTCGCCGTGATGCACGAGAAGAGAATCCGTCTCAAAACGAGAGAAAAGCGTTTTAGACGTGCGCCTTTAATTTCGAGCTCGCTGATCGGTTAATTTCACGCACAAAACGCCTTTATGTCGTTTAGACAGTCATCGAGACGAATCCAGCACATCGAGAGAATCTCCAACAACTCCTAAAATACAGATAAAATTGTAGGAATCCTAGTAGAAACCAAGAACATTTAAATGTGAATTCGACCATCTCAACCCTTTATTACGAATATATGTAAAACAATGAAAACAGAAGAGACAATGTGGGATAGAAGGTTTTGGAATAGGAAAAGAGGTCGTGGGATATATCAACAGGCATCCAAATAAATGGGTCGCGGACGAAGGAAATCAACAGACGGGGGGAGATCTTGCATCGGGTACCATGAGTCAAAAATAAAAAAAATGGTCCCTGTTCTATGCAAGACCTCTTTTGATACCACGACCACCCCCGCCACAAGCCGGGACCACCCCCGTCACGAGCCGTTTGGATACCTGATATATCAATTCAGAGAAAATTGCTGTTTTGAAAAAAAAAACCATATTCAACAGGAAAAAAATCAAAACAAATTAATTTTTCGAGAGAGATAGGCGCTTAGGCGTTGAAACGGGTTTCTGCCAATTTTTTGTCCCCGTATCCCAGCTGCTTGTTGGTGGCCTCGAGATCTATTACGCCGTTTGTGTAGATCACACTTAAAATGAGAATCGATTTTACTTAACTTCTGAGAAGTAGTTTACCCATTGGTTGCGAGGATCATGGCTCCTCTCTGGCTGTAGCGTCCGGCGATGTAGAGCGGGACTGGAAGGCCGACCGGGTGGAACACGATTTGATGATCATAGCACAGATCGTTGGTCAGAGTTTCCAGGTTCCACAGTGGCTCATTCTGGTTTGTGGTGAAAATCACCGTGAATTTCGTCGTCTTCGTTGTTCCCTGACGAGCCACTGCTGAAGCATGGTACCACTCGCTGAAATGCGGGTTCACGATCGTGTGGTCGACTACGGTTCCGGGTTCCAGGTTCGAGACGCCTCCCTGAAAAACACCAATTGTAGAAATTATTTTAACTCTTAACTAACCCCAATGGACTTATACAATCTTTCGTTGTGCGTTTTCGACGAAGCAATAATCGTGATGTTCGGTCTGTAAGAAGCGCTCATCATCGTGCACGCTTCCTTGACGCTCTTCGAGAACTGCTCATTTATCTGAAAATAATAAGGGTGAAAAGGTCGCATCAAATCTGAGCTACCATCGAGAATTGACCCTCGCTGACTCCGTTGAAATAGATGAGGATATCTGTCGGAGCTCCGCGGTTCTTCTTTGTAGTTTTCAGAATAGTGGCGACGGTGTTCTTGACCAGCGGTCCGTAAATCTGAAAAAAAAACATGAGTAACAGCAAAAATGTAGGAACACACGTCGCGATCTCTTTTGACGTATATGTATCCACCAGCAAACTTTTGGAAGTGATCGAGCATGTTGGCGGCGAAGCCAACGGAAACCGGCATCTGAAATCGAGAAACAATACTTTTGTCAACAGCATCAATTCATACATCCCCGCCTCCTCCTCCGCCGCCGCGCTGAGACGTTTCGAATCCGATTATCAAGCGACCGGGATTGTTGAACGAAGTGCTTCCGATCAAGAAATTGAGCCCACCCAGCTTCATGTTCGTCTGAAACACACCCCATTACGTTGTTTGTCGACCTTCAATCCTACCTTGTTGACGATGTTGAGTCTCGTCTGCGGTTGACGGAACACCTTCTCCGCAGTCTCGAGCTTGATTTCCTGTGTCAGCAGATCGTACTGCTGCTCCAGGGACTTGATCTGCTGATGAAGATTATACCGTGCCTTGATGACGAAGAAGACCAGCTCTCTCTTCGCAGCCTTCGCGTTTTTGAAGACGCGCTGAAACATTTTCGAATTTTTTATACTCAATTGAAACACACATCAATATCTCCACGGACGATGAAACTGGTGACTGGATCGCGGACTCGCATTCCGTTGGTCCTCATTTCGGACACCAACTGTCCGTCCAATCCACTGAAATCAAGAAAACTCGTAGTTAAAAAACAGGTGTTTGACTCACCGAAGTTCTTCGCCCTCAACAAAACAAATCTCCCAGTTTTCGAGACTCTTCGGGATGTAGTAGGTTCCGGCACGAGCGAAATCGGTAGGAAATTTGCTCTTTGGGTTGTTCAGATCCGCCAGTTTATTCCCGTTGAATACAATCTGCGGCTTGGCGAGAACAATGCCTTCCACTTGGACTGGAGACTCCAATTTTACGAAATCCGTAGCGTTCTCTCTATCAGTGGGAACAAGCCGCACAGCCTTTACGACGGTGTCGGTGATATTCTTGCGCGCGTGTGGTTGGGCAGCCGACAGCTTGATCATATCCGCTTGCTCATTGTTGATCATTTGATCATTGGTAACGATTTGAGACGGACAGAGAATGAGAAGCTCGGCCGGCAAGAAGATCTTTCCCATCTTTCCCTTCGCTTGAATAGTGAAGAGCTTGGGATAGCGGAGAGTGATTTGGTACTTAGTCTTAAAGTACTGAGCAACGGAAACCTTTTTTCCGTCGTGCTCGAAGAACGTATCCTGCGCGGATGACGAAAATCCGCGGATTTTCATGACAACGCCGTCTTCTTTCAGTCCCTTGTGCGGTCCGTAATCGAGGATAACGTCAAGTCCAATGAGAGCTTTTTCGATTCGGCGAGCGGTTTGTGAGGTAGCGCTCCAATCAGGAGTGAAGCCACGGTACGTCTTCAGGACATCGACAACATTCTCCCAATCCGGATGGAACAGAGTGGTTTTCACTGGAAAGCAAACATTACAAAATCCGAAATAAAAAACAGCCATCTCACTCTCTGTTGTCATATAAAGACCCAGATTCTTATTTTCGCCTTCCAAAGTCTTCACAGCTTTCGATGCGCCGACTCCAGAGTACAAGTTTCCTTCGTGGCACGATACGGTACCAACCCTGAAAGTTACGAGTTAGTAATCATACAATCTTTAAATACGACTTACTTGAAATTTTTGGTGTCGTAAAGGTAATGGACGCACGCTCCGATGGTGATGACATTATCGCTGAAATTAATTTTTTCGACAGAAATTCAGAAAGTTGTCCATACTCGTTGTATGCGCGATTGCTGACGATGATATTGAGCGCTTCGAGCAGAGTACGATCAGCGTTTGCCGGGCATGGGTTGACAGTATTCTTGATGTCATTAGACGTCGATTGGAACGATTCGTCCACTTTTTTGACGCCGAACTGCGCTTTGACGAAGTTCTTGCGCTCGGACACCCCATCGACAACAGTGAACACGATATTCTCCTTTAGCTGCTTCAAGGAGTACAGGGAGGCCTGTCGATCGTAGAAGAGCGAACCCGCATCGCGCAAATCCGGACACAGCTCGACAGCCTTCTTGAACACTTTCTGGCAGCGAACTTTATCATTATCGTGCTCCGTACCCTTCTTCGTCGATTTCGACATCTCGACTGCCGTTTCAGAGCCGTCCGGCTTGCGATAAACAAAAAGAACTTGCACCGCGTATTTGAAGATCGGCTGATTTGCAGGAATTGCTGAAATTATAATATAATGATCGGGAACCTGCACACAAAAACCCACAAATTCTGCGAATGTTCGTGTCCACCAAAACTTTAGTTCCATGCGTTTTGTTGGCCTCCTTCTTCTTCGCAAGTGCAACGAGCCCGGTCTTTTGCTGGCCGCTTTGCGGTTGTTCCGAGAGGACAACGCTCTGTAGTTGATGCTCGAGAGATTCCATTCGACTGAAAGAAGCAATGGAATGAGTGGTTAGAGGTGAAGTGAGAACGGAAAAGTGCTGATAAGAGGTAAGAAAGGGTTTTACGTATGCCTTGCTCAGCCTAAAATCAGCCAACGCTGAAGTCAACGTGAAACGTTTTGAATTTGAAAAACACGCCTCGTTTGGACACGCCAATCTTCAGAAGTGTTCGAACCTATCAGGCCTGAAAATTTCAAGTTTCGACGCGGCCCGGACCGTTGCAAGTGGAAAATACTAGTTTGATAAGCAAATCAGGCGGAAACCCGGTTATTAAAAATCCAGAAAACATGTTTTTCCCAGTTCATGAATCATGTTCGTTGCGAGACCCGACGCTTTAAATGCATGCGCCTTTAAAAAGTTTGAATACCCGCCAGAAATTATGAGTATTTTTTTGTGCAAAGATTCAAATTATTTAACGGCGCAATATTTCATCTAATTTTCAAGCTTTTTTAGTTAAAAATTGTTTCAAAAAACCTTCTCATAAGCCCATGGAAGAAGTAAAAGAGGAGAGTGAGATAGACGGAGAAAGGAAGCCACGCACATGTGCGCTCTTAAAAAACCGGAAAAAATCGTCTCGCCGATTTTTCGCCGAAGAAAACCAGTTGTTCACCAGTATTCAAACTGGTTAACCGAGTACTGTTGAAAAAAAAGTTCGACATTAGAATCGGAGTTGGCAGCGAGCCAAGGACACGGCCTCCAAATAGCGTGCGGCAGTTGCAACGAAAACTATTTGGGGGGAGTGTCCTTGGCTCGCTGCCAACTCCGATTCTAATGTCGAACCTTTTTTCAACAGTATTTTTCGCTATCAGTCGGTTGAGCGCACTCTGGCATTTCGTTATTAATCTAATCGTAGTGTACTCGAGTTCTACGGCGGCCTAATAAGATTGATATGACACCTAATTAGATTAATAAATTGTCTAGCTAGATTAATAAATCTTCTAATTAGATTGATATGTGCTCAAATCAAGTTTCACGCCAACCGTCTGCTGGCTCAAATCTCGATTGCGCCAAGAAAAAACAGTCCAATCTAATTAGGTCGCGTTTAGATCAGTAACTTTCTAATTAGATTAATATCGAATTGCCAGAGCAGAGGGCGCAGCAAAAGACCCGGCGAGTCCGACACATTATTAAAGGAGATGCGCGTCTGGCATATCCATGACAACAAGCACCGAATTACTCTCAGAGCACAAAGAGTACGCGCGAGAGACGGCATAAGTTTATATTTCGTTGGATCGCGCGGGCGGAGTGGCAGATGGTCTCCTCCGGTTACTAATTGCTCTGCTCCAAAGACAGCGCCGCCACACGCCCGCTACTGTCAAAAAGCGATGAGTTATTGTCGCGCAGCCAACTCGTGCTTACGGTAGAAAAGCTTCTATGCAATAACAAGGTCGTTTGTCCGCGCGCCGCGTGCTGAAGCGTAAACAAACTTTGAATTTCGAAGGAAAAATCGCTCGTTTGAATTGGCTGCGAAGCGACTCGATTTGTGTAGCTGGCACGGTGCCAGTGTACAAACGCGATAAACAGCGTCAATGCCTTCTCAATAGAGCTCTCTTGCAGCACATATGCTTCAACTCGCCGCTCGTAAAATACACATTACGGCCGGCGTTCCTTGAAAGCGACGGGTGAAATCATAACATTTTGCAGGTGTCATTATGCTTTGGAACTTATGAAAAGACGGCGTGAGAGTGAACCAATGAATCGTACATCAGAGGAATTCTAAATTGGAATAATTGATTCTTTATACAGCTAATTTAACAGACAAGGTCAAGTATGATTTCTCAGTTTGCTACGTCACTCCGGTGTCTTCCTTCCGATCCGCTCTCCCGATCATCCGCCAACCGCACGACTCCAACACCTCCGCCCAGTCTTCGGTAAAACATCTGCGAGTGCATCTTCCAGCGATTTGTCTCTTTGTCGAACACTTCGACCGACTTCAAATACGTCTGTCCGTCAAACCCTCCGATTGCAAACAATCTGTCTCCGACGACTGCCACTCCGACGCCGCTTCTCCGGCAGTTCATCGCCACCACCGGCTGCCATTCGTTCTTCTCCGCACTATACCTTTCCACGGTGTTCAGCTCCGTCGCCGTATCCCTTCCGCCGACCGCATAAATGAATCCGTCGTAGACGGCCGTTCCGAGGTGCTTCCGTCTTGTGAGCATCGGACGAACCTCATCCCACTTACCGATCCGGGGATCGTATCTCTCTACTGTGTTGAGCGGGGCGGATCCGTTCGATCCGCCGACCGCGTACAAACATCCGTTGAGCACTGAGACCGACACTCCGAGTCGTCTCGTCCCCATGCTGGCCACCTTTGTCCACTCGTTTCTCCTCGGATCATACATTTCCACCACATCCAGGCAGCTCTCTCCATCCTGGCCTCCGACTGCGTACAGATATCTATTGAATGCCGCTACTCCGACACTCGTCCGACACGTGGCAGTTGGGGCAACATCGCTGCTCCATTGGTTCGTCATCGGATCGTACCTCTCGATGCTGTTCAGGTAGGATTGTCCGTCGTGCCCTCCGACCGCGTACAACAGATTCTCGAGCACTGCCACTCCGACTCCGCACCTTCTTTTGCCCATCGGAGCCATGCACTTCCACGCATTGCCCGAGTTTCCCGTCTGTTGTGGGTCCATCCGTTCGATCGAGGCAATCGCGTCCCCACTGCACCATCCGCCGACCGCGTAAAGCCATTCGGCTACTTGCAACGGCTTCCGATGCCTAGTCCGCGGTCCTTGCATGTTGGGGCGTTCCACCGGCAGCAGCAGATAATTCTTGGCTTCATCCACGAGGTCCCGACTCGCCGGGTCCGACTTGACAAGGATTTCCTCACTGACGACGCTCACCAGAAACTTTGGAGTGCACAGGGGAAGACGGACATGGGAGAGGAGCTGAAATTAAATGCAAAAATAAATGCGAAAATGGATGCGAGCGAAAGGGCTCACCATGGAAAGATGCGGTTTCCGAGTAGGAATATCGTGCCGGACCCATTGAATGACTGCGGAGAACACGAGCTCTTCGGACGCCGCATTCAGGCGGTCGCTTTTGATTATCTGAGTGAGACTCTCCACTGTCAGCAGAAGGAATTCTTCCTTTCCGACGATGCTCGAAAAGTTCTTCAGTGCAAACTCATCGGCCGAACTGAGAAGTTCTTTGCAAGCATGCGTGTCCGCGAAGGCGCGAATCCCGAGACAATTCGACGGATCCAACTGCTTTCGGAGGTATTCGCAGCATGAATTCTGGACGTCCTGGAGCTGTAGAAGACAGGCGACCGGGAGGATGTCCTGCACGTTCACGTCGTTGATCTCAATGCATCCCGTGTAGCAGAACTCGACGAGGGACTCCAGTGTTAGTGGATCAATGTCCTCAAGATTCACTTCTTCTGGAAGGATATCTAGTTTCGTCTGATTTTCTCTATTTCCTGGACTCACTCATGTAACACTCCGACATTTGAGAGGTAAACATTGACAAAAAGTATCCGGAGCAGGCGGAGAGCACCAGACGATGAGCATTGATTCGCTTCCACCCACACACCTCAAATAATTTCTTCCTTTTCCAGAATTTCCGTAAATTCTCACCAATGTGACATCGCAAAGGACGTCTTTGTCTCTGAGAGTGCGGAGCTGCTGGAGTACGGTACTGGCGAAATAAATATTCTGCAAACGACCGAATTCACAAATGTGAAATGTGTGCCGACAAATTTATGGACAATTACAACTGCGAGGCGCTTACCTTGTACTTGTTCTTTTTGAGATCGAAATCTGGCACGAGTACCGGCTGATCTTGCGAAGTCGACGGGCGGCTCGTTGACTCCGTGCTCCTCGGCATACACTCTTTCATCTGGATGAACATGTTGTCTTCGAAAATACACAATTTAGATTTAGATAAGCTTATTCGAGTCTCATACTCTTTTTTATTTTCGCGCTTCAGATGGATTGAACAAGTTCATTAGAGAAAACAAAGAAATGGGCATAGAGCACAACACATTCGACAAACAGATCAGATTTATTTCTCTCGGTAGATGGTTTAACACCGGTTTTACGGCGAAAAAGGACCCTGTGAAGCATGCACAGCAAGCTGAAGAAGGAAGAAGGAAAAAAGACATTGAATGCCGGGAAAAGGGAAACTTGTGACAGAAATCGATAGGAAGGCAATTTGATTGTAAATGGGAAACGAGAGAAAGATAGGAAAGAGAGACAAAACCCGTGAGAAGTATTCTAGCCACCGATTAGTTATCAGTCTACGCTATACAATTTCTAAGCAATCTAAACGAGTAATCTATTCTGACTCCTCGAAAGTGGGCGTGTCCTCTTTTGGCTGCTCCGTTTCCGACGAGCTTTCGCTGTCCTCCACACTCATCGTATCGTCCGCTCGAGACCGTCGGCCTTCCGCCAGCGCGTCCTTCAGAAATCGTTGATTCTGCTCGAATTGCTCTTCGATTCGAGTCTGTTGAGCGGCGAACAGGTTGGCGAGAGCCGTCTCCAGTTCCGTCATCGCTTTCCGATTGCTCGACGATTTTTCAATTTTGAGCGCCGAGGAAACGGCGGCAGTGACCGCGAGTTCCGCTCGTCTCATTCCCTTCGCAATCATCTTCCGATTGTCCACTCCCACTTTCGCAATTCGCGATCTCAATTCGTTCTTCATCATCGTCTGCGTTTCTTCGCATCGTTCCTTGTTCCGCCGATGAATATAAAAAACTCCGGCGAAGAGGAAAGCGAGAGCGACGACGTTGAATGTGATGAGAGCGACGATCAAATGATCGGTCTGAAAGAAAGTAACCAGTACGGTAAGTGATGAAGATCCAGATCGCACTCACATTCCACGTCACCGATCCGAACATGACCGACTTTGCCGTCTCGTAAATCTTCTTGATCCTCTCTTCGAAGTTCGTCAAGTTGTCAAATTTTCCGGAGACGGATGGAATGACGAGAGGAAGCCGTGCGAGGGTCGGATCTTTAATGATTTGCCGTTTAATGCTGAAAAAGGAGCAAACACTCACGGGGAGGGACATTGGAACTGATGTGGCATGACGACATGAATATGTTCCTGCTCATCTCGTTTTGCGCCTGCTTGTACCGCCTGCTCTCCAGTTGTTGAAGAACGTAAACTGACTGCCGAAGGTCGCGGAGTTCCCTTTTCACAATGTTCATTTTCGAGCGCATCACAGTTTCGACGGACTGCGCAGACTGTCGGGAAGCCCTCAGCGTCTCTTTGAGCTCTTGCTGGTAACCGCTCATTTGGGAAACGTACTGCTTGCTGAGCTCCGATAGATATTCCGTGCTCAGCGTCAGATTCATTTCGACGGCGGCAATTCTTTTGCTTAGCTTCATGAGAACGATTTCTCGTTGGCTCGTGGATCCGCCAGCTGGAAGAATAGATTCGGCTTTCTGCTTCTGTTGTTTCTGTTGCTCTTGCATCGGCTTCACATCTTCTGGAGTCTTCACAGGCTCCACAGATTTCTCCACTTTCACAGTTTCCGCTTTCGGGTTTGAAGGAAGAATGGAGATCGGCGCAACGGGTTCTATTTCCTTAATTGGCTTCTTCGGCATAGATCTCTGAATACTGGCCAGATTCCTTCTTCTGGACTGCTCGAAGCTCAGTTGACGGCTCCGTTCCGCCCACATTCCGAGCTCAACCTTCAGGCTTCTGTTTTCAGAAACTGCCGGTTTGATTTTGGATGTTTTAGGTGGAAGAGCAGTCTTTCTAGTTGGGAATCCCCTCGGAAGAATGTGGCAGAAGAGGTAGGAGATCTTCAGAACGGAACATTGACTGCAGATGGATCGATGTTGACGGAAGCTGAAACAGAAGAAAATCGAAGTGAAAGACGATTGGAAGACTCACTTGAATCCTTTTTCTCTGATGTGGTACGTCTGGTTCGGAGCTCTCGGCGGCACTGGGAGCTGCGTCTGCATCTTCTGTTCGGAAGGGGGCGGAGTCGTCACCGGCTCTTCCACTTTCTTCTCTTCGATCACGTTCAGAAGATGCGCCGCTGCTTCCTCGTTGTCGTACTCGTCCGCCAAAGTGCTTCCCATCACATTCACTACAGACACAATACAATAATGCTCTTTTCCGTAGTGATCTTCCAGATTGATTCTCACGAATTTTGCATACACGTTTGTTTCCGGCACTTCAAAAGTCTGCAGATTTTTGTGATGGTCTTGCAATTGGAACGATCCCAAGGAGATCCAATTGGCGAGAGGAGGGTATCTTTCCGAGATAAACACGTGGATCGTTTTGGGTCTCGAAGCGAACAGCTCGAAATTTCCAATCGCGATTTTTGTCACCTGAATCGCCTCGCACAGTTCGATTACAATGAACTTCTCCTTCGCCGATTGGCAAGGGTTCCGCATATAGTCGTCGACGTCTTTCTCGTTCACAACAGCTTTTGCATTCTCCGCTTCCGGGTTCGCCGCGATGATCTTAGCACCGCATTCTCGGCTGGCAAAGTTCCGTGTCGGACGGGGAATCGGAGGAATGACCACTTCATCGTGACGGAGGACTGCTCCGGGAGAAGACGGCTCCACTGTCTTCTGTTGTCCGTTTTGATTCTGAAATTGCCGATTTCACACACACAAAGAAATACGGGCTCACCGCGACTGCGTCCCTTCTCTTTTTGGTCCACTCGTCAAAGTTTTCAATACTTTTCTCGGTTGGAACCGTTTCCTTTTCTGATGCATTCACTGAAAAATTGAATTTCTTTCAAAAAATCCGATAACTCGTACCAATGGAAGGGGACTTTCCGATTTTCTTAGTTACATTATAAGGCGTGGATCGGGCACATTCTGCCAGTGACAAAGAGCAGATCGACCTGAAAAAGGAGGAAATCTAACTAAGAAAGCTCTTGAAACGAAATTCTTACTGATTATCCTGGTCTCGCAACAAAATATCTCTCCAGCTTTTGATCAGTGTTACTTCTTGATTAGATTCAACTTGGGGTAGTACTAGTAGTACGCTGAAATTATTCATTACTACTTAAAAGTACTTAAAATGTTTAAAATCTATCTTGAAACGTACGAAAATATAAAAAGCCGCTCGAGTTTCATCGCCTGCTCCACCTTTCTTGCTCGCCCATGCGTTCCAGTTTTGAGAGCTGAAAAAATGGTTGTGGTACTAGGGATGGTTTGGAGGTCAGAATCGTTCGAAATGGAAAGCGTGATAACAGCCGTGTGACTTTCGATGGTCTTGTGATAAAAGTGGGCGTCTATCGGCCACAAAAATTGACGACGGAACCGAGGAAGAGCCGTGTCATGCTAACGCGTGCTGACGTCATCATCGGACACAACGCTCACTCGCCGCTGCCGACTAGTCGGCGACCTTTGGAGTGTCGTACTGTCGCCCGGTTTAGCAGAAAGCAGCATTTTCAGAATTCGCCATAGAATTTGTTGAAGATAAGAAAAGAACAAAATATATGCTTTTTTTTACTTTAGCGCAAAAGTAAAAAAGCATAAAAACACAAGAAGTGAAAGTGACTAGTATACAAATTCGAGAACGCATTTTCAGAATCTATATCACATTTATTTAGCTACCTTACAGCAAAATCCCTTCAGTTTTCGAAAATGTAGGGAAATTGACGCTGGAAATGCTGCTCTTCCAGCATCCGAGGATGCCGTCGTGAGATTCTGATAGGCGAGGTTTCTGAGAAGCCTTGAGAAGGCATCAGAAGCTTGCTGCAAACAGCAGGAGCGCGTAGAAGGCAGTTACAGGTAGGGACCGCAACGGGTTTCGCAAAACTCCGAATTTCCATAATATTTTTGATGGAATGTGTTCTCCCACTCTATATTAGTGTACGCTTTCAATTTTTTCTCCAAAACTTTCGGTACATCCCGAGTTACACCCCCCTCTGCCACTGCGCCACCCGGGCCACAGGCAGATTACAACACCTCCTAGGAACAGAGTCACGGGTAAAACTGTCTTGACTCCATCAATTTCCACTTCGACCTCCTCGAGCTCGTTTAATTGATCGACAATATTTTTCAGGTTTCGCTCGATTTCCGCACTCGACTCGTCGCCATCAAATATCCCCAATGGCTGATGACAGCTGTTTGGAGTGTCACAGTTTCCGATGGACAGTGCCAGTTTGACGTCTTGGCCTCCTTTGTCTCCTGAAAACCCGTGTAAGTCATTTCCTTTTCCCCTCCTCTGTTATTAGATAAACCTTGCAATGACAGCCGAATGTTTCTCCCGGTAGACTCATCGAAGATCAGCGTCCCATTTTTAGACATCTGTGTCAGACGGTTTTGAACGTATTCTTTCGCATTTTTCAATTCGGCAACTACCACTTCCGCATCTCCACCATTTTTGGCAGGAGTGGTGGAAACTAGGAAGTCATCGCAACTGGCGTGTCGATTTTCCAGATCAGTGATGGTTTCTTGCGAGGGGAGAGGGTCGATTATGCCGGCTTTTCGAAAGTAGGTCTTAATGAGTCGGAACGACTTTCTCGTCAAGCCAGCCTCCACGTACATCGCGAATGCTTCGTCATCTGTCAACGTGCAGCGATGCATCCCTTCTTTTTCCATTTCGAGGCAAATTTTGCGGCAAAATTTCTCCAACTTCCCTAAAAACAGAAACCATTCGAATCTCACACTCCGCCTATTTCGCCCCACCACCAAGCTTTTGGATATCCGTCATAGCCTGTTTAACCCTGAGCTTTTTGCATCTCTTGTTTGACAGCTCCTCGTACAGCTTCAAAGTCTTCCCAGTTCCAACTTGCGGACGATCTGCCTCTCTTAATCCCACGTTTTTCAGCTTCTCTTGGAGACGCTCGATAGTCTTCGATTTGTCGCGTACGTTTCGCTCAAACCACTCGTGGCGAGTTTTCGACGCCGAGAGCTCAGCGACCTGTCGATTCAACTCTTTCATCTTCTCCTGTGCAGCCGTCAGTTTTTTGTAAGCTTCATTTCTCTCTTCAGTAATCAGTCTCAAATTATTACGGTAAATTTTGCGAGAAGTGGTGATGTGACGATCCAATCCGGCTTTTAGAGCATTAACTTTGCCTAGAGAAAACTCTAGGTTTCTGTTTCGTGTTTTCAGTCCAGTTTTTCCTTTTCGGTCACTTGACATTCTGGTTCGCCGTTGTCCATCCAGAAACCTAGAAAACGGGCACCGCTCGGTGCCAATTTGGCACGAGCGCCTTCTCTGAGCTGATCGGAATTTTTAAACTGCCGAAATGTGAATTAGCAAATGAAAACCTTGTTTGATTGCATCTTTTGCCGTTAGCTCACCCGAAGCTGGTTGCACGTCGAAAATCATCTCATGGTGTCTCCTGGAAGAAAGCCGTCTTTTTACAAACATTTTTTAATTGTCGGAACAGAGTACTACACATATTACCTGAACTTTCGTCCGTTTGATCCTCGCTGTAGTTGTCCAAATCCGTTTCCGGTTTCAATTTTTCATCCGTCAGAGATGAAAGTGGCTAATTTCAGAGTTTATTAAATTTTTGAACTTTTAAAACTGGAAAATTAATTTTGTCACAATTTTCAGTTATTTTTTTCGAAGAAAAATGAACTAGATTTGGGAAATTCACTGCAAACATCAATTTCAAAAACAGCAAGCCCGTAAATCGACACAGAAATTGCGTCATATCACGGTCTCCCAGGGCGCTAATGCTAAACACAGTGCGCTCGTAAATTGCGGAGTGTCGTTGTAACTTTTGAAAATTTGCAGGTCTGAAAATGCAGTTCAATTCGAGTTTACGACCTTTATTTCTATCTTTTTGACTTGAAAAACGTCTAGAAAACAATATTTTATTGATTGGAAACCGTTCTTTACAGAATTTAGAGTTTTACTTGTTTTAAGCGTCTTTTTCGCATTTCGTCAAAACTTCAAACCTTTATATTTCAGCTCATTTTGCATTTCATGAGCCCAACGAACAATAAAAATGTTCGCTGAATCTTTCTTCACAAAATTCAGGTTCCTGCGGTTAGTTTTCTTGAGCAGTTTTCGAAAATTATTCGAAAAACATCAAAATCCAGGCCAAAACCTTCAAATCGAAATAACTCGGCTAATTCTCAACGATATGTGGGATTTCTGTTACCAAAACGTAGCTAGTGCTCTAATTATTCGAATCCAGGTTCCAGGCGCACAAAAAATAAGTGTATTGTGCAGAAAACATCAAAAGAACGCGAACTCCCGTTGAAAATTAATTAATCGGCCGCCGCGTAAATCGACACAGCCCGCCTGTTGCAAGTGCGCCCCATTGAAATTATTCGCGCCCTGGGAGACCGTGCATATGACGCAATTCGGCGCTGGCCTAAAAGTGTGCGGTAGAGCGCACTTGCGCCAGTGTACCTCTCCACGACTCCGTGCGCCATTGTTCGCCCATTGCTTCATCCATCGGAAAAAATGGGCGTAAAATGGGCCAAAGGGTGATGAGCGAAGCTTGGCCCATCGATGTCCGAACCGATGGGTCATCGATGGGTCACGCTTCGTCCATCGCTGAGACATCGGCCGGAATGGGCGTAGAATGGGCGAACATGAGACGCAAGGATGATTCTCCATCTGATGGGTCATCGATGGATCATTTGTCATCCTTTGGAATAAGCGCATGGCTCATTAATTAATCACATATTCTTACAGTTGTCTTGTTTTAGTTTTAATCTCTGATATGTTCGCAGGTTCTTAAACCAAGGAGGTGGAAAATACGGGAGACGAGCGTATCGCTAAGACACGTTTATTCAGAGTGAATAAAGTAGGAAAGAATATCAGACAGAATACTCCGAGTCGAGGAACTAGGCTAAAACAACGGAAAAGCTAATTGTCGTCAACTATAATGTTTGCGGCACCGAGAGAGTGTGTGCGCAGAGAGTGACAAGACTGGAGGAGAAAAAAACAAGTTTGTGTGTATGGAAGAGTACACAACATCTCCCCACGAAAAATAAGAAAGTAAATGGGGGCAGAGAGGACCTAGTTATCAATGATAACTTTTCTGTGTCGGGTCCATATCGAATTGTTTGACGGCAGTTCGACTTCTAGCAGAGCGTCTGACGATCGGCACAGTCGGCGAGTGCACAGGCGAAGCAGGCAGCGATTTAGCATCCAGACGAACCAACGAATCCTCCTCCGACTCCAAAACATCCTCAGAATCCTTCGAATCCTCGGCATCCTTCGGAACCGCGGCATCCTTTCGATCCTCCTTCCAATCTTTTGGGCCATCCAAGTCCTTCGTGTCGTCCAAATCGCTCGATCTTCCCAGTCCAAACGTGTCGATCAGCTCCTCCAGCGGTTGACGGCGAATCCTCGGTTTCAGGTGATTGGCGTGCCTTTTCCAGCGGAAACCGTCCACTTCGACCTCGTAGACGGTGTTCCCGAACTTCTTTATCACAATCCCGGCACTCCAAGTTGGCTTGAGTGGATTGCGAAAGTCCTTGACGTAGACGGCTTCCTGCGGTCGATACTTTTGCAGACGAGCTCCGTGATGATCATCGAATTGTCGTTCCATGACCAGATTCCTTTCAGAGATCCCAGAATCCGTCCTTGGCAGCAGTAGTTGCAATGGCGTGCGGATCGGCCGTCCGAGGAAGCTTTCGGCGGGCGACTTTTGCTGCGGCGCCGCCGCGCACGGAGTCGAACGATAAAGTTGTAAGAAGACGTTGAGCGCGTCCTCTCCCTTCGACTCGGCTTTCAGCTTCTTCAGTGAGCGCTTAAAAGTATCGACAAACCGTTCAGCTTGGCCATTTGATTGCGGATGATAGGGTGGTGCGAAGACGTGGTTGATCCCTCTCTCCTCGCAGAATGACTGGAACAATTGCGCGGCGAATTGTGTTCCATTGTCCGTCACCAGCGTCTCCGGATTCCCGAATTGCCCAAAAATCTTCTCGAAGAGCTTGATGGTGGCGGTCGATGTGATCGATTTGGTCGCCATCACTTCCGGCCATTTTGAATATGCGTCTACTACCACCAAGTAGTAGACTCCGTCGACGGGTCCGGCGAAATCGGCGTGCACGCGTGTCCACGGAGCAGCTGGTTTTGGCCACGAGTAGAGCACGTTCTTTATCGGATTCTTGGCAGCGGCGGCGCAGTTGTCGCAGCTCCGCACAACCTGCTCGATATCCTTGTCGATTCCGGGCCAGAAGACGAGACTGCGAGCGAGTGCCTTCATACGGACGATTCCCGGGTGTGCTTTGTGAAGCGAAACGAGAACCCGTTGGCGAAGACGTTGCGGAACGACGACGCGATGAGCCATCATCAGACAGTCCTCGACAATCGACAGTTGTTCCCGGCGTCTCGAAAATTGCTGGAACGCGGGCTCCTTTTCGAGATCCTTCGGCCAGACTCCTCGCTCTGCACACGCCATGGCTTTTTTTGAATAAGCGGATCCGTTTTTTTGAATGATTTCGAATCATTGCGGCGGTGACTGGAAGCTGGTTGCACTGACTGGCGAGTTCCGGCGAAGCTTGAACTTCGATTTGCGCGATGATCACCTCATCTTCTTCAGCTTGTCGGGCTTTCTGGTTGATGAGGCGTGACAGGGCATCGGCCTGTCCGAAATCTTTTGTTTTGACGTACGAGATTTCGAAATCGTAGTTGAGCAGAATGGTGGCCCACCTTTGCAATCGATTTGCAGTATAAATCGGTACTCCTTTGGATCCGCCAAAGATTGTCAGCAATGGCTTGTGATCCGTTCGGAGAGTGAAGCGGCGGCCATGAAGGTAACGATGGAACTTGGTGACGGCGGTGACGAGAGCGAGTCCTTCCTTCTCAATCTGACTGTACCTTTGTTGAGTGGCCGTCAGAGCACGACTAAAGTGGAAAATCGCTTTTTTTCCGTCCCATTTGGCCAACGATGGGAGATCACGCCACCGATTCCATATTGCGAGGCGTCGGCAGCGACGATGATCGGCAACTTTGGGTCGTAATGAGTGAGCAGAAGGTCGGAATTGAGCATCCTTTTGACAGCCTCGAATGCCTTCTGACAGTCAGCGCTCCATTCGAACTTGACGTCCTTTTTGGTGAGAGCGTCGAGCGGCCGTCGATGCGCGTGCAGCGCAGGCACAAAAGATCCGTAGAACTGGACCATTCCAAGGAAAGCTCGCGTTTCCGTCACATTTTTCGGCGGCGGCATGTCGAGAATCGCCTGGACTTTGGCTGGATCCGGGCGGCGTCCTTCAGAGTCGATTTGGAATCCCAAAAAATCGATTTTTGGCATGAGAAAATGGCATTTCTCCGGTTTGATGCGGAATCCGTACTCGTCCAGCTTTGCAAAAACGGCGACAACACGGTTATTGTGCTCTTCGACCGTTCGTCCACAGATCATCAGGTCGTCCAGGTAGACCGTCGTTCCTTCCATTCCGGCAACGAGTGAATCCATGATTTGTTGAAAAATCGCTGGTGCCGTTTTCACTCCGAATGGCAGACGTTGATAGCGAAAAAGTCCAAGATGCGTATTGATGCAGAGAAGTTCTGACGCTTCCGGATCGGTTTCCACTTGTAGGTACGCCTCCGCCAAATCGATTTGAGTGAAAAGTCGACCTCCGTTCAGTTTTGAGAAACTGTCCTCGAGAGTCGGCAACGGATGTTGGTGCTGCTGCAGACAATCGTTGAGTCCGGTTGAAAAATCGGCGCAAAGTCGAAGTTCGCCATTCTTTTTCATCACAACAACGATGGGCGTGGCCCAGTCTGAATGGTTTGTTGGGGCGAGGACTCTTTTGGCGACGAGTCGTTGGAGTTCCCCAGTGACGGCCGGCAGTCTAGCATATGGAACCGGTCGAGCCTTGCGAAAAACGGGTTTGGCACCTGGTTTCAGCCGCAGCGTCGCTCGCGTTTTGGTGCACGTACCCAGTCCGCTCTTGAAGACGTTTGGATGACTCTTCTTCAGCAGATTGAGAAGTTCCTCGCGGCACATGATGAGCGGCGCCTTCTTGTTAGTCACTTGGACACTGTTGACGCAGGTGTCCGGCGAATCGACGAGCGAGTGCAGGAGAGACGAGTCGAGGGCCATCCAGTCCATGCCGAGCAGTGTAGATGTGTCGGCGACGTGGGCGGCGCCCTCATACTCCTTTCCGTGCAGTTGGAACTTGCATTGGAAAACTCCTTTCGTCTTGATCTCGTTTCCGCAAGCGGACATGAGCTTCTCAGACGATTTGACGAGCGGCGGCGTTCCGATCCTCCTCCAGTCACGCGTATTGATTACGGTGACATCCGATCCGGTGTCCAGCTGCATTCGGACATCGGTGCCATTTATCGGAATATTGAGGTAGATTCTTCGCTTCGGTGGCACAGTTTGCACGACAGCTACGACGCTGATCTTCTTCTTCTGGAACTTTTTTCGTCGACTTCTTTGAATGATTCTTGTTTTTGTAGCAAAACTTAGCTGTGTGGCCGTCCTTTCCGCAGACGTTGCACGTGACTTTCTCGATTTTGCAGTCACGGGACCAATGATTTCCACCACATTTTGGACATGGGGACGGCGGCGACTTCTGCGGTGTACTTGCCTTCTTTGCCTTGATGGCGTTGATTTCAGGCTTTACTTTCGACGTGCCCACTCGCTGCGAATCGTCACGAATCTCCAGAAGTCGTTTGATCTTCGTTTCCAACTCCAGAAGCGTAATTTCTGTCTTACTTTCCAGGAGTTGCAGCGCTTTCGTTCGAATGTCGGCGAATGATTCGTCTCGTAGTCCGGCGATCCAAATGAGACAGCATACTTGATCGTCGGTCATTTCCTTCCACCTTGATGTGGTGAAGCGTCGGAGAATGGTGCCCGTGTACTCTTCGAGAGCTCCTCCAGTGAACGACGTCTGCAGGAAATCATATCGGCGGCGGAACTCCGACGAAGTTGACTTGAACGTCTCCTTCAACTTAGAGATCAGCTCGGAGAACGTCAAATTGTCCGGGTGCATCGGCAGCAGTCGATTCGCAAAGAGCGAGTATTCCCGGCCATCCAACTTTGAGAGCACGAGGCGGGCCTTAGCTTTGTCTTCCAGAAGTTCTCCTTCCTCGTCAAGAAGCTTTTCGTATCGCGCGTACCAATTCTCGAAGGTCGCCTCTTCCTCCGGGTCGTATTTGAAAAGCGCGAGGCGAGCAGACAGCGAATCGATTATGCGCGACATATTCACTGATTTTTCCTCCTCCAGTGGCGGCTGACGTGGCGGGGTTTTAGGAGCCAGCGCTTCCTTGACTGCATCCGCGACTGCTCTTGCAATCTCAGCAGAGAGGCGAGACAACTCGCCAGGATTTGAGGGTTCCATCACGTCTGGATCCGAGACGGTCTCTGTTGAGTGGTAAAAATGTTATTTACCGGTGCGAGCAGAAAAATCCGAGATCCTGATCGCCAATTTGATATGTTCGCAGGTTCTTAAACCAAGGAGGTGGAAAATACGGGAGACGAGCGTATCGCTAAGACACGTTTATTCAGAGTGAATAAAGTAGGAAAGAATATCAGACAGAATACTCCGAGTCGAGGAACTAGGCTAAAACAACGGAAAAGCTAATTGTCGTCAACTATAATGTTTGCGGCACCGAGAGAGTGTGTGCGCAGAGAGTGACAAGACTGGAGGAGAAAAAAACAAGTTTGTGTGTATGGAAGAGTACACAACAATCTCTCTAATTAATTTTCCACGTTTTCAGGAATAAATTTTTTCTCAAATTTATATACTTCGGAAAGTGATGCCGAGACGTCGACAGACTCCTGGTCGACGATGATCTGCTCGTGATCGACAACGTTGACGTCGTAGAAGAAGAAGTGCGGGTGGAGCAGCAGCTACCGCTTCCTCCGCCATCGCCAAAACCGATTTCGTCCGGAGGAAGATTTTGCCCAGTCGAATTCATAAAGATGACTTGCATCGATCCGAATTCCGGAGAACTTCTCACGCGAAAAGAATGCGACGTAGGTGTCTCATTGTAAATTCTCTTAGGAAACTTGAAATAAATTTCAGAGCAACATAAAGCAGGAGTTGAGAAACAAGAAAAAGATCGACTATTATCACATAATGGCGAAATCGCAGGAAGAGCACTTGGTCGACACGGAAAGCCAGTATCTGCTGATGCTCTCCGCCTTCCATGGAGTTATGGTAAGCTATCGGAAAGTGACGCCAATATCGAAGTCCACGTTCAGATCAATGAGACGATGAAGAAACCAGATAGTCGCTCATGCAACCAAGAGGCTGATGTTGTCGGATTCAACATTAGACTGGCGTTTTCTGCAGATGATGGCTCCACTCTTCCAGGAGGACGGAAAATCAGAATTTCTTCATTCATCACACACAATATGGTGTCATTCTGGCGCAAGATTGACATGGAGGATGCAGTGGCGAAACCGCCGAAAAGGTATTTTCCAATACCCTGAAGTGAAATGCTGAGTGTCCTTTCAGATCGCCAAGAAGGACAATCTGTTCTTTCTGTACGCGGCTCCGAAAAGCAAAAGGGCTACGACATATGTATCCCTTCCCGATGACTTCTTTGTTTCGTTCGGAGGTTTTCAACTATTGATCTTTTATAGCTACAGTTGGCTCTTGCAGGCATTATCCACGCCGGATTCGGCATATCACCGGAAGAAATGACGAAGACGATCGCGCTGACACGAGATGTGCTGACAAACTTTTTGTAAGAGTTTCAAACGTAATTGCGGAGCAAAATTTTCTATTTTTTCAGATATCGCCTAAGAAGTGATTACAAAGAGATTCATGGCAAAGATTCCGTCAAATCAGCGCTTCTGTCTTTCCGAAGTGTGCTCGAGAAAGATTCCAGCTTCCGCGCCGAGGAAGACACACTATTGGGCTCAGAACTGTCTTCCGAATAATTCAACCCAAAGTCGCCCATTTGTTATTTATTATTAATTCCTTTTTTGCAGTTTACCGGTGTTTTCTATTGTAGTAAACACTTCTGCTTTCTAAACGGAAAAGGCATAGTAAAAGTAAAAATAATGGGCCATCGATGGGTGAAGGGAGCGGACGAGCGACCACTGAAGCCGGATGGGCGTACGATGGGTCACCGATGGGCCATTCTAGAGGTCTTTGGTTGTTCCTCAGTCGCCATATTTCGCCCGTTGCAATCTGCCTGTGGCGGAGGCGCGCCCACCGCCAATCGCATTGAAAAGCTCGGTGTGCGCGGCCCCTTACAGGGGTGAAGTTAGTGCATTTTCGCGCTGAAATTCGAAACATATGTGACTGTAACTTTTTTCGGCGACTTGGAAAATTGTCATGCTAAACGGAATTTTGTCGAGAATTTCACGCAGCAGAATCCGATTCCGTAAGAATTAGCCGCGTGTACGGTACCTGTGGCCCTCAAATCATCGAAAAACTAGAATTTCGGCTGAATAGGCTTTACTCAATCGAACAGAAAATGCTCCTAGGGGGTCTAGAGCTCTGAAAATTTATATTTGGGTTCTCAGAGAGTGTATCTACAGATTACGAAAATAAAAAAAAGGGGTCATCGCTGAAAATTTTCCGCTAACTTTTCTGGCAGTTTGAGGATCTGTAAAAAATTTCGGCGACTTGGTAGTCAAAATCTGACTTCAAAAACGGATTCCCCAACACTTAAACTGTAGGAATCACTTGAAAATAGGCGCGTGTAGCCATAAACTTGAGACCACACAGGCTCTCAGACTGACTTCCATTTTCGTTTTCGCGTTTTTTCAAGAAAACGGTACGTTTTCACGTGAAATGGAGTTGTTCATTGGATTCAGCATGGTCGATTACATAAACTAAAACTTTTTGGGTATGGTACTTCATTTGGGGGCCTCGGTACAGGTAGTGGCGGGGAGAAACGGCGAAGGGGATAGATTGGGTCTCCGCTCGCTTGGAGTACCGGCTGTTCGCACGTTCGAAGATGACGTCGTGATATTCTGATACGGAGGGGTTCGCTTGGAAAAGGTTCAGAGTTTTGAGACACGAATTTTCCAGGTGTTTCAGAATCTCTCCCCATCAGAATCCTACGACGCCACCCTCGGATGCTCGAAGAGCAGTCTCTCCAAGCGATGAGAGCCACTTGCGTGGGATCGTTCCGCTTCGCCCTTCTCTCCCCGCCTTCTACGCGCTCCTGCTGTTTCCAGCAAGCTTCTGATTCCTTCTCAAAGTTTATCAGAAACCTCGCCCATCAGAATCTCACGACAGCATCCTCGGATGCTGGAAGAGCAGCATCTCCAGCGTCAACACATCTCACTACATTTTCGAAAACTGAAGGGATTTTGCTGTAAGGAAGCTAAATAAATGTGATATGGATTCTGAAAATGTGCTCTCTAATTTTTAAACTAGTCACTTTCACTTCTTGTATTCTTATGTTTTTTTTACTTTTGTTCTTTTCTTATCTTCAACAAATTCTTTGGCGAATTCTGAAAATGCGGTTTCCTGCTAAACCGGGCGACAGTACGACACTCCAAAGGCCGCCGATCGAGTCGACGTCGGCAGCGGCGAGTGATCACTAGTGACTCAGGAAAAAAAGGTGCCTGAACGGCGTCGACACCTTTTCGGCACCACCGGCACAGCCTCGGCGCAGGCGCCTTTTTTTCCTAAGGAGCACTTATTAATCTAGCTAGACAATTTATAATTCTAATTAGGTGTCATATTAATCTAAACTCAAATCATCGCTATTGCCCCTCTGTGTTAGCAGACAGAGACTCAAGCAGACAGAGACTCAAGCAGACTCAAGCCAAAATTTCCTAAAATTAGGCTTCAGTCTGCAAACACCGAGGGGGCAAGAGTGGTAAATTGAGTTTAATTAGGCCGCCGCATAACTCGAGTTGACTGCGATTAGATTAATAACGAAGTGCCAGAGGTTCTTTGGTCTCCTATCCGTTCCAAGTTCATTTTCTAATCGGTCGCTTTGTCGTCCCGTTTCCGAACTTCGAGATCATCATTCATTTCTCTCAAATGATTACCCTCTGTCCTTTCCCAATTCATCGCTCTCTTTTCGTTTTTTTTTTCTTGCCCTAAATCTTTCCCTTCTCTCTCGCAAACCCTTCCATTCGTTTCTCTGCGTGTCGTTGCGAAAGAGAGAAGCGAGCAACTTCTGCCATTTCTCACGTCGTCGCCGACCAAATCGAAAAGTTTTTTGTCGACAATCGCTTACTTTCATCATCTCCTTTTCGCAATCCTTTGATCATTTCAGTAACATTGTCATTGTATTGATATCTTCGATTTTCAGCAGGAAAAAATGAGTTCTCTGAACAAGCTGGCCATCGACCAACTCAACCTCGCCGGAAAGCGAGTCCTCATTCGCGTCGACTTCAACGTGCCGCTCAAGGAGGGAAGAATCACCAACAACCAGCGCATTGCCGCTGCCGTTCCGACCATCCAGCACGCACTCAAAAATGGAGCCAAGTCGGTTGTCCTCATGTCTCACTTGGGACGTCCGGACGGAAGGCGTCAGGACAAGTACACTTTGAAGCCAGTGGCCGACGAACTCAAGACCCTTCTCAACAAGTAATTGTAGTTTTCATTTAAAAATCAACATGCTCGTGTCTTTCCAGGGACGTCATCTTCCTTAATGATTCTGTCGGAACGGAAGTGGAGGCCGCTTGCGCTGACCCGACTCCAGGAACCGTCATCCTGCTCGAGAATCTTCGTTACCATTTGGAGGAAGAAGGAAAAGGAGTCGATGCGGCCGGAAACAAGGTCAAGGCGGATCAGGCGGCAGTGAAGAAGTTCCGCGAGTCACTCACCAAGCTGGGAGACGTCTACATCAACGACGCCTTCGGAACCGCTCATAGAGCTCACAGCTCGATGGTTGGAGTGGAGCACTCTCAACGCGCCAGTGGATTCCTGCTCAAGAATGAGCTCTCATACTTCAGCAAGGTATACTGATCTCCTCAACGTTTCTATTCGACACTTTTTCAGGCTCTCGACAACCCAGCCCGGCCTTTCCTCGCCATTCTCGGAGGAGCCAAGGTCGCTGACAAGATCCAGCTGATCAAAAACCTGCTCGACAAGGTCAATGAGATGATCATCGGAGGAGGAATGGCCTACACTTTCCTCAAAGTTTCGCAGGGAGTCAAGATCGGAAACTCGTTGTACGACGAAGAAGGAGCCAAGATCGTGAACGACTTGCTCACCGCCGCCAAAGAAAAAGGCGTCCAGATCCATCTTCCGGTCGACTTTGTCATTGCCGACAAGTTTGCCGAGGATGCTTCCGCGAAAGTCGTCTCCGCGTCCGAAGGCGTTCCAGATGGCTTCATGGGACTCGACGTCGGACCGGAGTCCTCCAAGATCTTCGCCGCCGCCATTCAGCGCGCGAAGACCATTGTCTGGAATGGACCGGCCGGTGTGTTCGAGTGGGACAAGTTCGCTACTGGAACAAAGGCTCTGATGGACGAAGTGGTCAAGGCGACCGCTTCCGGAGCAATCACCATCATCGGAGGAGGAGACACCGCCACTGCCGCCAAGAAGTACAACACCGAGGACAAGGTGTCCCACGTGTCGACCGGAGGCGGAGCCAGTCTCGAACTTCTCGAGGGCAAGGTCCTCCCAGGAGTCGACGCGCTCAGCCCGGCCCAATAATTTCTCCAAAATTCCCTTTTCCCGGCCAGGTGCCCTCCAAAAGTAAATTGAGTCCAGTATTCATCTTCCCCGTAGAGTATACTTTCCGTGTAACATGAAATTCAGTAAATAAAGTGTGCATAAGTTCGATTCCCTGTGATTGACTTCTTCCGAACCGTTTCAATCGATTGTGACTGTTTTTTCTCTCTCGATCCCCTGTGCACTTTTCTTATTCTGATCAGATGTCCGCTTCCAAACTCTATGCCGCCCATGTCCCACTGACTCCGATTTCTCGTACGATCCTGGGAATCGGATCGGCTGCAGCGGCCATCACGGATCCAAAAAGAGGAGATATGGTGGCGGCGATGGGCGAGACGACGGCAATCGGACCAGTGCTCGAGAATATTCGAAAACGAATGGAATTGGATGTAACGGGAAGAAGACTTTTGAGTGAGAAGCCGAGGATTTCAAACGAAACGATTGACAGAAAGTGGTTGGCTGGACTACCAAATGGAACACTCGGGAGGCATTACTCCGAGTGAGAAATCATCTGAACAGCTCTGGAAATAGATAATTTTCAGTTTCCTGGATCGTCTGAAAACTTCTCCAGACGCGCGACCTGTTGTCAAGTACATTGATAACCTGGAGCACTTGTATGTTATGCAGAGGTTATTAAAATGCGTTTAACTTGAAATCTATAGAAGAACTAGTTCAGGTACCGAGAAACGCACGATTTCACGCACATTGCCCTTCAGCAAAAGACGAATATGCTCGGCGAAGTGACGGTGAAGTACTTCGAAGGAATTCAGTACGGACTGCCGATGTGCGTGACTGGAGGCATATTCGGAGGCGCCCGCCTACTCACCAAGTACAAAAAGAGTGAACTTCTTAGAATTCAATTATTGTATTCAGAAACCGACAAGAATTGCTGGAAAAGAACCTTCCGTGGGTGATCAAACAAGCAACGAATGCACGATTTTTCATGGCTTTCGATTGGGAAAATCATTTTGAGACGCAATTAAGCGATGTGCAGAAAGAACTGAATATCGTGCCATTGGAACAATAAAAATCTTCGTAGAATGAAATCACTCGTTTAGCATAACATTTTTTATTTAAAACGTGACCTTCGAAACATGGGCTGACTGGTTTCATTCTCGGAACCGTTACAAGTTCACGTGTTTATTTCTTAATTTCTCCATTACAACTTTTTCCGTTTTAGAAATGAAAAAATGGCCGGAAAAACGGAGAAAGAAAGAAAGAGTGTTGTGTGTTTATTTATTTGGCCACTTTTTCATTTCTAAAACGGAAATAATTGTGGCGGAGAAATTGGGAAATGGACACGTGAACTTTTCAATGGGACAGCTCTGAGGGACAAACAAGCGGCGAAGCCGCTTCCGATCGTCAGCTCGGACCGCGCAGCGGGCCCAGGTTCTGGAAGTCTTGTTATGTTATTAATAAGAGTGATCCTGATCAGTAATCACTTTCCTTGAATTCAATTGAAATTCGCGTTTCAGACGCATTCTGTGATTCTTGTGCGGCAAGTTTGCAAAATAAGGCGCCGCGGGCGGCAAAACTGCAAAGTGGGCGGGGTTTCGTAAATCGACACGTAGTGGTGCACTGGGCCGCCGCGCCAGAGAATTGATTCACCTTTCCTGAATCTCCAGTAAGCTTCCGCTTCTTCTCTTTTCAGTGCTCTCCTCGATCGATTTCTTCCATTTTCTTCAATTGAATTCATTTCAGAAGATGTCAAACTCGCAGGCGGAGGACGTGGGCAGTTTGACCAAGAAAATGGCTGCTCTGACTGCCACACTGAACGATTCGATAGCGCAAAACGAGGAGAGATTCAAGAATGCTCCGTTCCATCCCCGTACTTCGGAGCACGTTCAGCAGAGCGCCGAACCGTCAAAGACTGCCCCGGCTGCCAAACAAAACGTTCCGTACAGAGCGAAAATCGAGAAGTTGAGTGGCGAAGTGGTTGATTCGAACCCGTACAGTCGTTTGATGGCACTGCAAAGAATGGGAATCGTGAAGGATTACGAGAAGATTCGCGAGAAGACGGTCGCTGTCGTCGGCGTCGGAGGAGTCGGAAGCGTCGTCGCCGAGATGCTCACCCGTTGTGGAATCGGAAAACTGATTCTCTTCGACTACGACAAGGTCGAAATCGCAAATATGAATCGCTTATTCTACCAGCCAAATCAAGCTGGACTCAGCAAAGTCGAGGCCGCCAGAGACACTCTAATGTGAGCTGACTTTGCTCTTTTATGTAAACGAAGCTTTTTGCAGTCATGTCAATCCGGATGTCCAAATCGAAGTTCACAATTTCAACATAACTACTTTGGACAACTTCATGACATTCATCGACAGACTCAAGTGAGTACCAACCTCATCGAAAATAAAATAGTGACTTTCTTCAGAAAAGGCTCGCTGACGGACGGAAGAGTAGATCTCGTGCTCAGTTGCGTCGACAACTTTGAAGCCAGAATGGCAGTGAATATGGTGGAGAAGCTGAATGGCCATTCAGTGACGATCAGTATTTTCAGGCTTGCAACGAAGAGAATCAGATCTGGATGGAGTCAGGAGTCAGTGAAAATGCCGTTTCTGGTCACATCCAGTACATCGAGCCTGGAAAAACCGCCTGCTTCGCGGTATCTTTCAGAAATTGTTTGCAATGTTCATAATTGAAATGTTTTCAGTGCGTTCCGCCGCTCGTCGTCGCTTCGAACATCGACGAGCGAACCCTGAAGCGTGAGGGAGTCTGTGCCGCTTCCCTTCCGACAACTATGGCCGTGGTAGCCGGATTCCTGGTGATGAACACCCTCAAGTACCTGCTCAACTTCGGAGAAGTCTCCCACTACGTCGGCTACAATGCTCTTGCTGACTTCTTCCCCCGTGAAAGTATCAAGCCGAATCCAAGTTGCGATGACGAGCACTGCAAGCTCAGACAAAAGGAATATCAGGAGAAGCTGGCCAACGAGCCAGTGGAAATCGAAGTGGAGATTCAGGAAGAAGAAGCCGTTGTGCATGAGGAGAATAACTGGGGAATCGAATTGGTCGACGAGTCGGCTCCAGTTGCTGTGGAACCAACTACCAACGTCGGCGAGGGACTGAAATACGCGTACGAGCCGGTAAAGAAGGAGCCAACGGAAGATCTGTCGCCAGCACAAGCTGCCACCCATGATATCATGCAGTCAATTAAGGATAAACTGTTGAAGGAGGCGAAGCAGAAGAAGGACACCAACTAAACACTTGCCACCGTAACATTCATGTTTAATAGACCACCGATTGATTGAGCTAGTCTAGTCCGCGGACATTTTTCATTAAATTATTGGCATCCTTGTTTTAGGAGCAAATTTCTGGGCCTTTTCTCCATTTCTTTTTTATTTATTTTCCCGCATATTATACTGAGTCCCTGTGATTGAAATCAGTTTTATTCCCGTTGCAGCTTCCTAAATACAGTGGTTCATTTTTTGTTCGTTTTGCCCTACACAATTTTTAACGAAGAGCTGACATTCATTTACAAAATAATTTTCTACCGTTTATATATTTAGAAAAACCCGTGTTTAGATTGATTGACCGAATAATTAGTATTATGCAAGAGCTTTCACAGATCGTATCGAGACGGACCTCCTTCCAGTTTGATCTCTTGAGACTCTAGTCGCATGCACAGATATTCCGCGAGAACTGTGCACACTGTTGCAGAGATGACTTGCAGAATCCACCTAGAACACGTGTTGCTGCTTTCATTTTCAGAGTGGCACAAACCAAGTAAACTGGGTGGGTAATGACCGATTGTAGATGATAACGAACAGAAGATGGAAGAAGTGGACGGTACAAACGAAGTCGAGGCACTGTTTCGCCCGCTGCACAAGGTGAGAGAGGGCGATCGACACGCCCACTGCTGCCAGCAGTTGGATTAGTGCCATTGATCGCTGAGCCTGCAAATAACACACTTTAATTTGTGGTATAATATCGACTTACTTGTGCTGAGAAAATTGTGGAAAGGAGAGGTTCGTATCCGAAGAAACTGCAAAATATCATAACAATCGTCTCGGTGGCGTAAAAGCACGTCTGGAGACACGTCATCTGACTAACTAAGAGCACCGGATCCCATACAAACTGCCGGAACGATGACATTCTGAAAAAACTATGTCCATGAGTGCTTCCGATAAAATCAGAAAAGCCAACGTCTTTCAATTTTGTAATACGGTTCGCATTTGCCAATTCTGAAATTGCGTACGTTCGGTATCCGTAGGCGCTCTATTTGACGAGCGAGTCACCCGCTATTTTCGAAAATTCTTTGTTTCTTTCTTTTTCAGTTCTGAAGCAATAATTTTGCAGAAAATGGTTGACAAAGAAAACAGTGCAACAGCTAACACCGAAATTAACGAAATTTCTGCAAAGTTTGAGAAGATCTCCAACCTAGAAACCTTGAAAGGAATCGTAAGTGTTTTGCATTTTTTCTCGGACTAAAAAGCGTATTTCAGTCGTCAGAAGATGTTCCTTTCGAAGAAGACATTCTTCGTAATCCAACATCCGTCAATTGTTGGCAGAGATATATCGATCATAAAAGGAATAACAACTCTCCCGCAAAACAAGTGTTCCTGGTATAAAAACAAACACTTATTCCGGAATTTTGAAGCTGTGTTTTTACAGATCTATGAACGTGCTCTGGCTATTTTCGAGAGAAGTTACAAGTTGTGGTATCATTATCTGAAATACCGAGAGAGCACAATTGTGAGCAAGTGTCCGACTGATAATGCATGGTGTTCGCTGTGCGATACTTATGAGAGATGTCTGATGCGACTGCACAAGGTATTTTGTAAGCCCTAAAGACCCTATCGTTATTTTGCTAATTTCAGATGCCCCGAATTTGGATTTGCTACTGCGAGTTGATGGTTAAGCGAGGCCTCATCACGGAAACCCGACGCGTTTTCGATCGAGCCCTCCGCTCACTTCCAGTCACTCAACACATGCGTATTTGGACCATTTACATCGACTTTCTCACAAGCCACGACCTTCCGGAAACCACGATCCGTGTCTACAGAAGATATCTGAAACTGAACCCGAAAGCCCGCGAGGATTACGTCGAGTATCTCATCGAAAGAGACCAAATCGACGAAGCCGCCAAAGAATTGTCTACTCTCGTCAACCAGGACCAAAATGTGTCGGAGAAAGGAAAAACCGGTCATCAGCTGTGGACGCAGCTCTGCGATCTCATTTCCAAAAACCCCGTCAAAATCTTTTCTCTCAACGTGGATGCTATTATCCGACAGGGAATCTACCGATACACGGATCAGGTCGGATTCCTCTGGTGTTCTCTCGCCGACTACTACATTCGTAGCGCAGAGTTCGAAAGAGTGAGATTCAACTTTATGAATTTCTTCACTTTTTTATTCTTCCAGGCTAGAGACGTTTATGAAGAGGCTATAGCAAAAGTGTCAACTGTTCGGGACTTTGCTCAAGTTTACGACGCGTATGCTGCATTCGAAGAGAGGGAAGTGTCGATCATGATGGAGGAAGTGGAACAAAGTTCGGATCCAGAAGAAGAAGTTGATCTCGAGTGGATGTTCCAGAGGTATAATTGAAGCTTCGGCCACAACTAAATGACGACATTCAGATATCAAAACTTGATGGAACGAAAGAATGAGTTGATGAACAGTGTTCTCCTGCGACAGAATCCACACAATGTCGGTGAATGGCTAAACAGAGTGAAGTTGTATGAAGGAAACTACGAGAAACAGATTGAAACTTTCAAAGAAGCCGTAAAATCGGTAAATCCGAAGATTCAAGTCGGAAAGGTCAGAGATCTGTGGCTTGCCTTCACTAAATTATACGAAGAGCACGAAGACCTGGATATGGCACAAAAGACTTTCGAAACGGCAGTCAATTCTCAGTTTGGAGGAGTTAGCGAGTTGGCCAACGTGTGGTGTGCCTATGCGGAAATGGAGATGAAGCACAAACGACCGAAGGCCGCACTTGCGATTCTGCAGAGAGCGTGTGCCGTTCCGAAGCCTGGAGACTTTGAAAACATGCAATCAGTGCAGGCAAGAGTGCACCGAAGTCCCATTATGTGGGCGATGTACGCCGACTACGAGGAATGTTGCGGAACGGTTGAATCGTGCCGCAAAGTCTACGACAAGATGATCGAACTGCGCGTCGCTTCGCCGCAAATGATTATGAATTACGCAATGTTCCTCGAAGAAAACGAATACTTCGAGCTGGCGTTCCAGGCGTACGAAAAGGGAATCGCTCTGTTCAGATGGCCGAGTGTATTCGATATTTGGAACACTTATCTTGTCAAATTCATAAAAAGATACGGTGGAAAGAAGCTGGAACGAGCTCGTGATCTGTTTGAACAATGCCTCGAAAACTGCCCTCCAAAACATGCAAAATGTAAGTTTCAAATCTAGATTACATATTTACCTTCTTACTTTATTTCAGACATCTTTCTGCTCTACGCAAAGCTCGAGGAGGAGCATGGACTCGCTCGCCACGCCCTTTCCATTTACAACAGAGCAACTTCTGGAGTCGACCGATCGGATATGCATTTGGTAAAATCAATTTGAATTATTTAAACATTACGAGTGAATTTTTTCAGATGTATAATATCTACATCAAAAAAGTGCAAGAAATGTACGGAATCGCCCAGTGCCGTCCAATATTTGAAAGATCCATTTCGGAGTTGCCGGAAGACAAATCGCGAGCTATGAGCTTGCGATACGCTCAGTTGGAAACTACAGTCGGAGAAATTGATCGAGCCAGAGCAATATACGCGCACGCGGCTGAAATTTCGGATCCGAAGGTGCATGTCAAGTTCTGGGACACTTGGAAAAATTTTGAAGTGGCCCATGGGAATGAGGCCACCGTGCGAGACATGCTCCGTGTCCGTCGCTCCGTCGAGGCTTCTTACAACGTGAACGTAACTCTGACATCTGTTCAAATGCGTGTGGATGCCGAACGGAAAGCCCACGAGACGACGAGCGGAACCGCCAATCCGATGGATTCTTTGGATCAGCAAGCACAGGACGGAGGATCGATTACGCAAGTGTCTCTCAACAAGGGAAACATTTCGTTCGTTCGCGGAGAGAGCAAAACGGTGCAGCAAGGAACGACAGAGAATCCGGACGAGATCGACTTGGACAACGACGAGGAAGACGACGAAGAGGAGGACATGGACATCGAGACGCAGACGGTGCCAGCACAGATCTTCGGAAGTCTGAACCCGGAGGAGGACAACGATGCTCAAGCTTGATCTTTTATTTATCTCCAACCCAGTACCAATTTATTTTTTGTGTTTGTCATTGAAATGAATTTTTAAATTATCGTTTTACTGATTGTTGCGTGCCGTTGTGGTTTGCTTGGTTCTCGTGTGTATTAACACCTCTTGCCGTACTTCCATTCGGTTTTGTTCCCGTCTGAGTGTCTGGTTGTTTCAGAATAACGATGGGCGACGAGGAAGAGGATCTGTATGCGGTGGCGATGGGCACCGAGTATTTCCCCGAGAGCAACCAGCCGTCCACTTCATCTGCCCCTCCGACGATCCCTTCGGATCTGACGGAAGTGCCTCCGGAATACGTTCAGTTGTTCCGAAGCCTTCTCGTCGGATCAAGAAGCCAGATAAATCGACTGAAGGCGGAGAATGAACAACTACAGAAAAAGTGAGCTCGACTTGAGTTTTAGAGTTGTTCCGTTCTCATTCAGTCTCAAAAACGCAATCGAATCGGGCGGTGTGGTCGTTTGTCCCAATTGCACGCATCACTTCAACGATCGGAAATGCTCGTTACGGCCGAGAACGATGAAGGTTTGCAACGATCGGAAGGCGGGCAAATGGCACTGAAATTACAGAAAATGAGGGCGAGGAACTGTGTGGAATTGGAGTTTCACACCGAACAAGATCTTGAAGAATGGCTGTATTTGAACCAATTGGAAACGAACAACGACGGACTGCCGACTGTTATTAAAACGAAAAAAGAAACGGAAAAATCGTTGAAAGGAGCGGGAAGCCTCCTGCCGAGTCTGGTGGAGAAAAAGAAGAAAAACGAGCAGGAGGACAAGCGAACTCCGATCAAATTGGTTATAAAGAGAGACAATTTCGAGAAGGCCATGAAAATTTTGAATAAAAATGAAGAGGCAAAAGATCCGAATGAAAAAGAAAACAAACAGAAACGGAAGAAGGAGGAAAAGGATACGGAAAGATTGGAAGTATTGAAAAGGAAAATAGAACGAACGAAAGATGACCGGCCGACGAGGAAGACTTCGAGAAAAGAGGTGGAAAAAGAGGGAGAACGGAGGAAACCGATTGCAGAGAGATTGGGATTCCCAGCACCGGAAAGGACTAATTCGCCGCCCAGAGAAGTCTCTCAGCCTGAAAATAGATCGAAAAGATCTCAAATTGTATGGGACGATCGTCCGGCCGCCATCCCCGAACCGTCGAAGACTGTGTCCGCGCCGAAGCAGTTTGCATTCAAAATCCCGTCGACAAGACTCGCTGCGAGGGTGACGCTTCCGAACGCTTCCGCAAATGCTCCAGACCTCCCAAAAGCCATGATAGAGAAGCCAAAACCTGAAGTGTCACGTCCATCTGAAAAATCGATAAATTCTGAAGTAAAGAAGACAATTGAACAGCCGAAACCATCGGGCGAAAAGACCAAGTTCAAGTTTGTTCCGACTGCCAAAAAGAGCCATCTCTCAGAAGAAGCTGGCATTGAAAACCCGCCGACCGAGAAGCCAACCCCGGTGATGTCTTCCTCTTCGCAGCCTATTCCCAATCAAAAACCGGCAGAAACGGTGTGGTGTCTGATACCTGTAAAGATATCGGCTGCAGTCGTCGATCACATATACGCACATGCGATTCGCCGTCAAAAGGAAGGACGCTTTTGTCCGAAACGTATGATTGTCGTTGACTGTACTCGTCCTTTTATTCCCCAAACACAAACCAATACGAATCAAGGATCGAGCACTTCTGCGAGTCATTGTCTTCTCGCTTCTGAATGGGTCGGTTCGAATTTAGAGATAATGTGTTCAAAAAAAATAAACGGTTGAGTTCTTATATCTGAATGGTATTTTCCTAAATTCCCGTTTTACAGAGACTATAGTGTTGGTGGATGACGTGGATTCCAAATTACTGCAGAATGACGGTAACTTCAAAGGTAACAATAGAAAATCACGATATTTGCGTTTCATAAATACTTTCAGCTGCTGCCGTCCAACAATCCGCGGTTCACTTCGAAACGATCGTCCAATCGTCCGAGTTTCCGCATCAGAATGATCCGTCGAAACCGTCTTGCTCCTACAGTTTGGAAGACAACGGAAATGACGTGCTCGCCGAATTTTTCCCGAACATCGCTCCTCAACAATACAACTATTCTGCCAGGCATACGAATCCAACACCATTCAGACCTGAAACGGCGAGCAGTCTCGGCTCTTCAGCGGATCAAGAAGAAAGGGAACTGATTCAGTTGATCGAAGAGGAATCCATTATACATCCGGATGGAGACCTGATCGTACAACAGAGGATTTCTGAGACGGAAGTAGTGGAGAATGGACTGGAGGAACAGATGGAAGAGCAGGCTCGTGTGCAGAGGGTATCCTCACGGACAGAACAGAGCTGCGATGATGACGGTTTCTGTTTGGAAGATGTTCAAAATTACGAAGACGAGACGATAACAGAACGGAAAAGCATGGATTACTCGATGGAAAAGGCCGGTTCGGAATGCAGCGACTGGGAGAAAGAGCTGGAGAATCTGGAGATTGAGGGTGAGAACGGAGATGAAGGCCAGTCGCAGTACACCGAAGAGTGGTACGACAAAGAGGTCGAAGATTCGAGGGAAAAGAGAGATTCGGACGGCGATCAAAATGACGACGAGTACGGAACAAAGACAGAACTTCCGAAAAGTCAGAAAAGAGAAGAATCGTATGTGTTGAAAATGAGCGATAATTTCCGTTTGTCAGACGACGATGAAGCGATATCTCCGATGACTTCTACGCCGAAGGACAGAGGCGAGTGAAATAAACTCTTGTTCGCTTGTTCTGAGTATGCGTTTTCAGATCAAGACGACAACCTGAACTTCACGATAAGAGACGCTGAAATCAGTTTCGTCGACGAACTCGATTGGAATTATGGATCAGAAGAAGAAGTGGAATTAGGTGAACGCAAGTATTTAAACTCAATTTATTGCTATTGCCCCTCGGTGCTTGCAGGCCCCAGCCAAAATTTCCTGAAATTAGGCTTGAGTCTGCAAACACGAGAGGGCAAGAGCGGTAAATATGTGTTGTGCATTGAGAAGAGGGTTGTATGAATTATGCTTGCATTCAACGCCTTCCTTTTCCGATGATGGCATCAAAAGGGATGTTTCATCCTCCGTTCGCGCATCGGCTGCAGACGCAAGTCGGCCGGCCGCTCCTTTTCTGACAGTACCCAGTTCCGCAATTCTGTAATCTCAAGTAAATGATGAAAAGTGAGAAATGCTGACCTGCATGCTGCAGCTAGTGATGCAAAGTCCACGGGCGGCCTTGTTCAGAACGGGAACGTCCATTCGAGCACAAGTGGTCAAGTCGATCGCGGCAGTGACGAATGTCACAATACAGAAAAAGAAGAGAGAATGGAAGAGCATGAGGATCGGAAGGTTGCCGTTCCCTTCCACAGGTGCCCTTTTATAGCATCGCTGAATTGTTATTGTAGACGGGTAAATGGTTTTTGATAAGCATGCGAAATGGGATGGTACTCGCGTTGTTTGTTGACTCATTCAACAGGTGTTAGCAGAAATTGAGATGAAAAGGTCACATTCGGCAAACAAACATCGAGAATTCAATTATACTATAACGGTGACTAGTGTGGGAGTGGAAGCATGGGCTGCAACAAGTCCAGTGGCACTTCCCCGTTGCTGCCCGGAGAACAGTTGCTGCAGAAGCACGCCGGATGAGATTCCATCTTCTTGCAAATTCCCGTGGTGCACTTCTTGAAAATGACGATCCGTTTTCGGTTAGTCTTGATTGTTACCTGAGCAGTGCATCGGGTTGTGCACAGTCCGTGAGCGATCTTCTGAAGAACGGGAACGTTCATTCGGGCGCACACATTCGATTTCTCAGCGGTTAGGGTAGAGACCAAGATAGCGAGTAGTAGAATCCGATGGAAAAGAAGCATTGCGGTTCTGGTTCTGCAATAATCTTCTCGCGGACCGGAAGGCGCTTCTCTTTTATGCGTTTGCAATAACTGCTTTTTCTTTGCTTTTTCCTTCGGTAATCGTGCTTGTAAACACGTTCAGTTCGCTCGCGAATTTTGGGTTCAATTTGAGCGCTCGTTTGCGGGTCAGACTGAGTGGGAAGAATGTGTCATCGACGGGTTTAGTACATACGTTTCGTTTTTGCAGAAAAAGAAGATACAACGAAAATCGCCGTTGTGACCGAAAAGGTCGAAGAGAAAATTGACGAGGATAATCGGGAGGATGGAGAGCTCTCGGACGGCGAACTGTTGGAAGCGGAGGAGGTCGCGAAGGAAAAGCCGTTGCGAGAGAGAGTTCAGTATCGGGTGAGCCAAATGGAAAAGAAGACTGAACTGAATTCTACTTCAGATTGGAAATCGGAAACATATCGAATATGCCCAGAATCGTCGAGCGAATTCAGATGAGCAGAGGGGAGAGAATTCACGGCGCCGTCGTCGCAGTTCCGAAGAGAATCTGGAACCGACGCGGAAAAAAGAACGTTCTTGTCAGAGAAAAAATCTTCTGAAACATTGAAATTTTTGAATAACTTGCCATATCCGTGTATATTATAGTGTTTTGTACTTTATTTTTAAACATAATGTGTCACCGTACGAAAATGTGTACTGTTTCGGAAAACGAAAAAAGAACAACTAGCAAATGGACGAGTTGGGGGCAAAAGTACGGTACAATACAGCTGAGTATGCGCGGCCCGTACGAAGAGTTCAACTGAGAGAAGTTACACTAGAGACACTTGTAGTTGAGAGAGATATCCTGACCCGACCACACTTCAACGGGCTGTCGCGAGAATCCATTGGGACAGTTGCAGAACATCATCGCGTTGGAGACCTCTTGCACGCTGTCTCCTGAAAAAACGATGGAATTCGGCGGCCAATTGCACACAAAGTTCAGACGGCGACGAGAGAGTCGGCGGCTCGGGGAGTGTGCGAGTGCACCATCAAATGACAATTGTTGTGACACTTGTGATGCAAGATCGCGGCAGGAAACGGCAAATAATCAGTCAATGGGGGAAAGGAGCAATCGGATGAGTCATTCGGACGAAGATCCATCATAAAAGCGATGAGGCCGCACTTCCGGACGAAATGGCACGGAATCCGGACATAATGACTTTCGGAATTCGGAATCAGTTCATATTTCTCTCCAAACTCCGTCAGCCTATTTCACTCGGAAGTACTGTAAATACCGCGATTCCCCCGACTCACCAGATGCCTGCGAGGCCCCGATGACTCTCAAATTGATCGAATTGCGTTTGCACACCGTCGATATTGTCCCTAAACTGCAGAATCGAAGGGTGACGTGCTACAAAAAAAGACGATTAGATAGCACGGACACTTTTCGGTTAATCACTTACGTAATCGACCTTTACGACATTTGAATCAGATTCAAAATCGCAGACCGCATCATCCGGACACGAGCAGAGTGTGGAGTTGCGCATTTCGGGAGTGGCATTTAGGTCGTAGATTTCGTGCTGAAAATGAGATCAATCAATAGTGGGAAATGTGGAGAAATGAGGGTACCGTGAGGATTTCATCGTAGACGGGCGGAGATGCTCCACTTCCGAATCCTGACGATTCTTCGACATCTGGCTCCAGAAGCGGAAACGTCGAAACAGTGGCTCCGCAGGGATTTAGCTTTTTGCACAGACCGAGAGCCGGCTTCAACTGAAAAAAACAAATCTAGAAGAGTCCGAAGATTATTTGATTTGTGATTGACACGCTGTTTTCTTCTAGAGATTTCTGAGGGTGATCACTGAGTCTTCGAGACATTTTTCGAATCGTTCGGAGAGAGAGAGAGGCCGGACTGACCTCAACATCGGATTCATCTGAAGCGACGAAGACGACGAGGACGGAGCAGATAAGGGAGGAGCAGTCGAGACGCATGATCGGCAGTCCGAGTGGGTCCGCACGCGGTGATAAAGAGCACGAAGGCGAGCAACAGCGATCCTGTCGACGAGTCTGCGGCCCCTCGATCTGCGCGCTCTCTCGTGGACCCGCCCAACTCAATTCATCGAGTCGGAGTCAGTTGGGAGCACGACGAGAGAGCACGTGAATAGGAGAGACACTGATACAGATGACACATGTTGGAGACATAAAAACAGAAAGGTGGCCACGAACGAATGAAAGGATGAGAAGGTGGACGGAATGCACTCATTCGGCACATCTGGACAGTCGATTATCCAATCCATTCTTCACAATGGAGCACCCCTCGATTAGCAGCCGAATTGATGGTCAATGGAGAGACAGATGCGAACCGAGTATTACAGAAATGGGGTCGGAGAGGTTTCCTCTGGGATCGGAAAGATTACTGGAAAAGCACGATGAAAATTCATTGAAAAAGAGATCAGTTATCAAGATTGAACCCGTCTTTGTTCAAGTTGTAGTCTGTGGAGCATCGGAGCGAAGAACTGAACGATTTGCGGGCCGGACGACGTTTAACCCGTTTCGAACTGAACACCGAAATGAACATTTCGAAGAAGAAGCACGCCACCTGAGACGGATTTCTGTCAAGGGGAACAGGGGTGGGACTCACTTCTCCGATGGTGATCACACTGACTCCCATCCAGAGACCGAGTTGCCCTCCAAAGTCGGACAGAAGGTTCGACCAGCCGTAGGCTTCGGATTCCAAAAGCGATTCGTAGTTGAGTTGCTCGAAATAAACTTCTATCATTGCACCTTGCTCTCTGCGCATTCGGTCATTCTTGAAGTCCCGGAAAGCACTCACCTTTTGTAGTGGAGACAATGATGAGCAGCCATTCCCAATGGACATCCTGATAAGTCTCCCGCAATTGCCGGCCACCGAGAAGCCGAATAAGAAACCGAGTAGACGTCTTGGCTGCAAATGGGATGAATAGAAAGAAACTGAATCGGAAGATGACTCACTTGCAGGGCTGTTTGCAGGAACATCCCAATTTCTTTGAATCTCTCGTTGCCACGTGCATCTCTTTCTTTATGCAGCCTCCTGAAACATTTAAAAACATTTCAATTTCAATGGTATTTCTGGCTTACTTTTGTACGGATCGTCAACAGGACAGTTTTTAGATTCTCGGTACGGAGGGAACCGGGGATCTCCACATCCGCACGTCTGCGAGAGATGCTTCTGAATGCAACTCCGCTGGCATCCTTCCGTGTTATACTCCTTGTGCGTGTAAATGAAGTCCTCCGTTTTGCCCTCTTTCACACAGTCTCCGTACGGCGCGGGAAGCCTTATCATTGACTTCTAAACATTCGCCTTTTCTGCGAGTATCACTTTGTCACTTACCAATTTGATACCGAAACTGCTGACGAAGCCAGTGGGCGCGGAGAAGCCGAGGGTGTCCGGGAACGGCTGCTCATCGGTCGCGTGAACTGTCAATCGGACGCCCGCGGCTTCTGTCGTTGGCAGGTACTCAGTGATGTTCACGAACACTTCCAGACGCAATCCTGAACTAAAAGATGAGGAATGCGTGTGTGGGAAGGCGGCAACCGTATGCGGGACCGGATCTCTCATTTGTGATGTTTCCCAGTTTCTGTCCGTATGTGAAGCATGCTCCGTACGTCGGATCGAGATATTCCACAAAGTCACTGAAAGCTTTACGATTGCAACGTCACGCGATACGCCTTTCTTACTGTTTCACATTACACTCTTTTCCGTTGAACGAACACTTCATGATGAAATCTGACTTATTGTAAGAGATTTTCCACTTCTGCTCTTCCGTCAATGCGTCCACAGCAAAGATAATGTTCTCCATTGCCTTGGCTCGAAGAGCAATTCGATCTTTCACGCCCTGCAACTTCTGATTCTTCTCATCCTGCCCGTTCTCCGTTTTCTACCGAATATCCATATGCTTTATCTCTTTCCTCTTTCTTCTTCACAATCGGAGACATCGTCGTGGACGGCTGAATGTCCCAGAACTTGACCAGACGATCATCTGAACTCTTTGGTAATATTTCCCGGTTTCCCGTAATCCTCAACCTAGCGTCGTCATGTTCGTTTGCGGCGGATCAATTCGAACGCACATTCGAATCGGCGTGGCGCACAAACACGAAATCGTCTTCTTTTTCGGCTTTTCAGTGTAGACGCAGTCGCCGAGAGTGTTGCATCTGAAGGAATTCAGAGTTCAAAGAGTTTGGAAAGGGGGGGGGGGGCCTGCCTGCTGCACTTCCGCTCTTCCCAGTCCACTTGTTTGTAGCACGGCCAAACTTGCTCGTTCTTCTTGTTGTAGAAGCAGAGACACGTTTTGTTGGAGTTCTCGAGTTCGGATTCGGGGACCTGAAACGAACAAACTGGGAAGGGATCGGGATGAGTGACCGACTGAAGTGGAGACGCATCCTTGTTGTTTTGTGCAGTTACAGTGGGAGTACACTGCCAGGAGCCCTTCATATCTACTCAGAAGACGTTCGTGGACTCGCTTCTCGGGAGTTCGTCGCTTCCGTTTCTGGAACATTCCCTCAGCTGGATCAGTATATCATTACCTACTTTCACCACGTTTCTCGTTTTGAAACAGTTTCCATGATGGCAGATGCAGACACTGTTCTCTTCGGATTCTTCCATCCCGTCAGATTGTTCACATTTTCCGAACCAATCACAGTTGCGACACGTGGTCATTTCGAATTTCTGAGCCTGCGCACAGTATCTGGGACTTCCCGCTTCTGGAGAAACGCATAGTTTCGTGCCGTTTCTCGTCATCTGAAGGGGCCACGTCATCTGTCTCTACAATGACGTCACGTTTTCCATCTCTGTCAATGCGGTCTTACTGTAGTTCCATCCTCGATGCAAACGTCTTCGTGGCATTTGCAAGTCTTCAATTGATTGTGTTCTTCTGCCACGTGGCAGACCTTATGGCTCCATTCCGTCCGAGAATGACAGTTCCAAAACATTTGGCCATCATCGTCAGCGACATCAGAATCATCAAAAGTCGCGCAGGTCTGTAAAGTGGAAAATGATCAGAAGATCAAAAGAGAATGCATACACATTCCACGTGTCCGAACTCGTGAGCCATTAGCATTCCGCGCTCATCTTTGCACATCAGATCGATCGAAATCATTTTCGAATTCGTCGCTCTCTTTTTCCTCGAATGTGCATTCCCGTCGCTTTTATCAATTGCCATTTCGAACGCTTCCAACTGAGTGAAAACCGAATAATTTCCCGTTTCACCCAAAAAACCTACTGCATTTCTGATGGCTCCCAGCTCGCGCGCCGCTGAATTCTTGTACGGATTCATGTTACAAATAGTGACCGCCGGGAATTTGATCTCTTCGAACTTGATCTCTACACCCACAATTATGTCATTTCTGAAAATGGAGGTGGATGCTCCGAGAGAGGAGAATGGAGAAGAACGTGCCTGTTGAACCGATTCACAATGAGATACGCCTGGTGGACGAAGCAAGAGAGACAGGAAAGGAAGCAGAGCAGCCACATGTAACGTCTCCATCCGGTCGACACGTAAGCCCTCGGGATGCCGTGAGCACTCGTGTGCTCCGCGAAGTCGACCACATCCAGCTCGATCGCCCGTTTCAGACTGATCTTGCCCATCTTTGGAGCTTGTCGAAAAGAAAAGGAAATATCAAAGAGTGAAATGTATCAAACAACGGTGTAATTGTCGGAGAATGGCATGTGTACGAGAGCGGCTCAATGTGCACTTGTCCGGAAACGAGCAATCAGTTTACCTTGTCTCCAGTGGGCCCTTGGGCTCAATGAGCACCATTTGATGGGAAAATGAGCAGAAGGGGTTGGAAAACATGAATTATGAATCGGCGAGGATTATGAAACTCCAAAAAGTCTGTAGACTGAAACGAACGGAACTCGTTCTTCGGTCCCTAGTGGCCATGTTCAAACTCATTTAAAAATTGAGTGTTTTTCGGGAAAAACAAGGTTCTGACGGCAAGGAGTAATCGAGCTAACTGGTGTTTCCCCGGCCGCCAGACGAATAGTAAGTGACAATCTGGCACTCCGCCCCAACTTTTCCGGCTCTTCACCTCATGCATTTCTCATTGTTTTCCTCGAATTCAGGAGCATGGCGAGCACCTCTCTCTCTTTCTCTATTGCACTTTTGCAAATCGATCAGAAAGGACGGAGATGGAAATGATGAGGAAGGAATACGAAAAAGATGGGGAAAAAAACATCTGCAAAGCGTAAAAGAAAGCATCTATAAGTTTGGTGGTGGGAAAGCAAAACAAAAAAGGATTAGAAGAATGGAGAAGACTTCAGAAGCCGTCATTTTTACGGGAACGAAAGTTTAAATGATTTCCTCGGGGACCTCCTTTGACACTTAATTAACGTGACCTCCTGGAAGTTGTTAAAATAACGAGGTTGTCGAATGGAATGTCCTGAAGACGTGCCCATCCGGAATCTGGAAGGCGAATGTATTAGAAGAGGGAGAATGAAGGAATCCGTTGAAAGCCGATGAGTGATGGTCCCTTTGGGATGTCCTTTTTCACATGTTGAACTCGCTTTCAGGACGGACTCTGATCAAGTTCTTGTTTGATGCACTCCGAAGGACACCGTCCTTTTGTCGGTTTCCCAATAAATTTCTCTTCGAACTGTTTCCTATTGTTCTTTTGATCGATGAGTCAGAGACTAAAAAGAAACACTTTTTGGCGCCGGGATAGACAAATCAAAACAAAGTGGATATTTTGAAATTGCAGAGAATGGATGGAGATATGCTTGATTGGACATTGGGAAAGTGCCAACATTTAACGGATCCCAACGCCACTTTTTTCCATATATAAATATTGTACTAACATATGTGAGTTGAAAAGTTCTGAAAAAAATGTAGCTAGAAGGTTGGCGCTCTTCTGATTCTACGACACTCTCGTTTTCAGAATCTCCTTCCAGTTCTCCAGAACAGTGCACAACCTTGTCGGTCACTTCAAAAGGATCCTGCCCATAATCGCCTTTTCTCTTCCCGGGATATCTCTTTTTCCCTTTTCGAAAACGTCGTTGCATCCCCAAACGGACGCCTCGTTTTTTTTATGTGTTCTGCGATTATATTTACAACGTGTATGAGTCAAGAGGAACAATGTTTTGGCGCCGAAAGAGGGCTGGAAAGGGAGAAGAAGAAGCAAAACATCGCGTTTTACGAGCAAGTGACGACTGTACGAGCGAGGCTGGAAGACACCTGGAAGTGCGGCGATCGGACATCTGTGGGCGCATCTCGAGACGGAAAGCACGCAGCTGTTGCTATTTCTTTCGCAACCGTCCGAGCAACATCAATCCTTCTCGAAGCCTCTTCCGCGAGAATTACTGTAGCGTTCCCACCATTATTCCATTCCGCTCCCCCGTTCTCCCCCACTTTGCAAATCGGACACTCCATCTTTTTCGCTCTTTTTGCAGCTATAAAACGCAATTTTGTTCGACCACAAAGTGCACAGTTTTGGATATGCAAAAACGGGTAGTTGGCTACATTCATCATAATTCCTAAACGCTTTCTTTCTCGATTGCACTTCATTAATATTCTACAGTACGTGCGCCCTGTTTCGCCCTTTCCTCTCCACATCATGATCTGTCTGCGTCTCCGAGGTGCCTGTAGAAACGCAGACGCCACCATCGCCTGCCTTCGGGCCCCGCCCCCTCTCGTCCCTTCCATCGTTTCTGTCGTTTCTGTGAGCGGGGGCGAGACGCAGACGACCTCGAATGCCGATGCGCCGACTGCGTGTACTGTCCTTCCGTTTCTTTCCCTCTTCTTTCCCTCCCCAATTCGATCCTCATTTCAGTTCTCGTCCGAAGTGTTTCCCGTCGTTACCAGCGGATTCTGAGCTATGAACGTCATCCAGAATCTGCTGTCGGCGGTGTCGCCGCAGCCGGACGGCGACTTTGTCGACAAGCTCAACTATTGTGCAACGACCGTCGGGCTCGTGCTCTCATCGGCTTTTATCACCGGATGGAGGTGAGTCCCCTGCCAGCTCATTCCTCCAATAATCAATTCGAATTTAGCTTCGTCGGCAGCCCAATCGACTGCTGGTTCCCGGCGTACTACAAAGGCTGGTGGGCTGAATACGCATTAGACTACTGCTACGTGCAGAATACGTTCTTTGTCCCGTTCGCAGAGGACAAAGCGGAGCGTTCGTTCAACTGGGAGCATCTGGTCGCTGATCATCACAACACGACTACTCTGAAACAGACTAATCAGATCGGCTACTACCAGTGGGTGCCGTTCATTCTCGCTCTTCAAGCCATTCTTTTCTACTTCCCAGTCGTCATCTGGAGACTATTCTACGGAATGGCGGGTGAGTTGATCCGTGACTCATCCTCAATCTAAACTGAATGTTGCAGGCCAGAACGTCACTTCTCTCTGCAACACTTGCACTGCGACCGAGGGAAACGAGGAGTCGCGGAAACAGACCATCTCGACGATTGCCGGGTACATCAGCCAGAAGAGAAGCAGGAACTTGCACTTCACCACGAAATACCAGGGAACCTTCAACAGATCCGCCGTTCTCATGTCCTACCTCGTAAGTCTTTCTAGTCTTTCTAATTCGAACACTTTTCCATTCCAGTTCATGAAAGTGATGTTCCTGATCAATGTGCTCCTCCAATTTGTACTTCTCAAGCGAATGCTCGGAGTCGACTCGTACTTCTGGGGAGCCGAAGTGACCGGTGATCTGTGGGCGGGACGCGAATGGCCAGAGACCGGAAACTTCCCAAGAGTTACAATGTGCGAGTACGAAGTGCGCAATCTGGATAACATCCACAAACACGCGGTGCAGTGCGTGCTCATGATCAACATGTTCAACGAGAAGATCTTCGTCGCCCTCTGGTGGTGGCTCTCCGTGCTGACCGTCGTCACTCTCACCAACACCATCTACTGGTTCATCAGAGCGTCCGGCACCAGTGTCTCGAAGAAGTTCATCCAGCCGTACGTCGAGGACGTGAGTGCCCTTTTCCGCCGTCCGACTGATTGGATATCTCGTTTCAGATTGATCCGAAAGTGAAGAACAACCGCGGGAAGCTGCAGCAGTTTGTGTCCGAATTCCTCTCTCCCGACACCGTCTTCCTCCTCCGACTCATCGAATTGAACAACGGAAAGACGCCGGTCGTCGAGCTGATTCGGGACATGTGGAAGCGGTTCAACACGGCCGTCCCGCCCCCGTACTCGGCGCCTCCGCTGCTTGTCAAGGACGCCGCGCCGCTGCTGAAAAACTTCCAGGACGAGTCCGAAATGTAACGAATCCCTTGTGCCTCTCTTCATCTTGTTTAGTCCTTAACTTCTCCTTTTTCTTCTTCTTCTTCTCTTTAATAACTCTTTCACACACACCTCCGATTGTTTGATTTGATAATAAAAGTTTTAATGGTTGGAAAACACTCCGAGTGTTTTTCTTCAATTTCTTTTTATTGGGTTGACATTTCCCCAAACATACCTTCTTTATATCCGTTCGTTCTTTATTTATTTACTCTCTTTATCTTTCTTTCTCTCGTTCTATTTTCATCATTACTCTTTCTTTTTGTTATTTTTTTGAATTATGCGAAGTTCGCTCCACTGCTAATCAGCTGATTAGCGTTGGAGCGTACTCCGTAGCTGTTGTAGTCACTTTTGTGATTACAAAGGCGATTCGGGTAGAAACTAAAACTCGAAACCTCGCCCCGATCATCGTCATTCAGTCGGTGAAAGTGGGCGGAGCTTGCATCGATTGTGTCCGACTGATCGGAGGCGATGTGGAGACGCAGACGTTCGGAAGGCTCCAATCTCTCGGCGACGCTTTCGGGCGGCGGTCTCTCGCCCCGGTTTGTAGCAAGGGACTGTCCCTTTCTACTACTATTACTATCTATCTCTCCCTCCTTCTCCCTTTTCTCTCTCTTTCTGTTTCTCTCGCTCGCAATTCTGGAGATTCCTGCAAAGTTGGAAGCGCGCCCCATCTGCCAATAGGGCTACCGTACTCCCCACTCCCTCGCTCCCTCCTGACTAACTGATAAGAGCGTGTTTTTGAATGTGGCGGCCTCCCATCAAAAAGGAGCAATGGGCGCATCAACACACAATAAAAGGACACAGACCTTTTCGGCTTTTTCCTTTGATAATCGTACCCAGCAAACAATGTCTTTTTCCCTTTCACTTCGAAGGGGTTCATGGTCACCCGCGCATGTTTAGTGTAGAAATTCCGCGCAGAAACAAAGATAGGGACAGTACAATCGAAAGTCAATGAGATCAGTTTCAGAGCACGTCTGCCTGTTCTTTCCTCTGCAAACCAAGCTGATATGCAAATTGTGGTGTAGTCTCTCGTCCTCCTACACTTTGTGTTCACAATAATCGCATCATAAGTCTCTCTATCCCTCGGAAAGTGCTTGTCACTCTGTTCTGCACTTTCCCCTTTTTCCGTATCCCTCAATTTCTCTCGTTTTTTCTCTCCCCGTCCGTCTGCCGACCGTCAGCATTTGCAGTCTCCTTCCGACCGTCGAGACCAACCACTCTCTCGGGGAAGATGTTCTTCTTGGACGCGTTCCTCAAGGGCCTGCACAAGCAGGGCGACGATGACTCCATCGACAGGCTCAACTACTACTGGACCCCCATGCTGCTCGTCATCTTCGCGCTGACGCTCTCCGCCAAACAGTACGTCGGACAGCCCATCCAATGCTGGATCCCAGCTCAGTTCACAGGTATCGCCTCCCTGGCTCTCCCCTCTTTTCAAATTGGTTTCAGGTGCTTGGGAGCAGTACAGTGAGAACTACTGTTTCGTGCAGAACACCTACTTCATCCGACCGGAAAAGTACATCCCAGACTCTGAGATCGACCGCGACGCCGCTGAAATCGGCTACTACCAGTGGGTGCCGTTCATTCTCGGCCTCCAGGCGATCCTCTTCTACCTGCCCTCCCTCTTCTGGCGCCTCATGAACTTCAACTCGGGAGTCGCCCTCAAGAAGATGCTGTTCGGAGCCAAAAAGGCGGACCGGGTCGACGAGAAGGCCCGTCGCGAATCGGCGAAGGCAACCGGCGCCCATCTGTACGAATCGCTCAGTCTGCAGTCCCGTTTCGCAAAATACAGTGAGTTTCGTTCATAATAAGCCGCCATCTGTGTCGTTTGGGACGGTCGGAAGACACATTTTTGGGAGAGGGCGCGGTTGATGATCCGGAAGAAAGAGAGGGACAAGAACTGGTTTGAGCGAGAGGCAAATGGTCTTCGAATTCAGTTGCCTTTGATCAAATATGGCAACTTTTTTCGAGAGGGAGGGACTGTCTGGAAGTTACTGAGCAGAAAGGAAATATGAACTTTGAGGAGGGAATAATTTAATATTAGGGGACCGTTATGACGTGGCAAGAGGGCAATCCGACCTTTGTCTGGTCCGACTCATTGACAATTACGCGCCGGTGATTTGTCGAAATTCGTTCTGTCCGATTTGGTGCTGACCACCTCCTTCACTCGTAATTGACCTTGTCGCATAAATCGAAAAATGTGATAATGGGGTTAGAAAAAGAGGATTAGATGACGTGGCAACTGATTTGAGTGTCTCGGCGTCATAGGAATCAAGCGGAAAAGGGAACGAGAGAGAATACAATTGACGGGGGATCTTTTCAGCCACCGGATCCAGCATCGCCTACGGAGGATCCTACCTGACCAACCTGTATCTCTTCTGTAAAGTGCTCTATCTTGCCCAGATCATTCTCCAATTCATCATTCTCAACAAGTGAGTCCATCCCGCCCATCCATCCCAATCTCCAATGATTTCAGTTTCCTCGGCACTTCGTACACCTTCTGGGGAGCCGGAATCCTCTCGGACATTCTGAACGGACGCGAATGGGAGGAGAGTGGTCACTTCCCGAGGTAACGAATCCAAAGTCATCGGAAGATTGGTATCTCCTCTCGAGATGCCTGTGATGCCCACTGAAGGGTGGCATCGAGGTCATGCGCGTAATGCGGGGCACCGCCGGGAGTGTTTACCACTTCGAGGGACTGACTGTTAATGGGGACTAATTGAATCGATGCGACGCTTTTCGTGCCACAACGCAAACACTGAAAGTGTCAGTGTCTGATGACGCATTGCTTGTTTGAGGGAGTACAAGAATGAGAAGAGTACGGTAACGGTGACTGTCATGTTTTTGGGTGTAAAGAGCACTCAATTGAATGCTCTCTCAATCCGTGGGCACCCAATGGTCAGTGGAAGGGGGGTTCACACCCGAATTGGGGGAAGAATGGCTCATAAATCATGAAGAATGCGCCGAATATTCATTGTTTCGAAGCGATGAATTCGTCGGAATTCGCCTGTTTGCACGACTTCCAATAAACGTTTACGGCATGTATTTGCAACGCAAATACGCCAAGGAAATGAATGTGTTTACCGCGCGAATCGCGCCGCAATGGTATCGAAAAGGGACGATTTTTCCAGAGTCACCATGTGCGATTTCGAGGTGCGAGTGCTCGGAAACAAGCACAGACACACTGTGCAATGTGTGCTGATGATCAACATGTTCAACGAGAAGGTGAGGGAGAGGGAAGATAAGCATCTGAATAATGTGACTGGGTGTGGAGACCTTGACACCTTCTGCCGAAAAGAAGACTGTAAAAGAGGCGTCGAGGAGACGTCAAGCAATTATTTTGATAGAAAACGACTGGGGGATACTGTGGCCTCTCGATCCAAAACCGTCCCGTCTTGCAGGTCTACGTCTTCCTCTGGTTCTGGCTCGTCATCGTCGGCCTCGTCACCTTCCTGAACCTCATCAACTGGACGCGCAAGCTTCTGTTCCGCACCGCGCGCAAGGCTCACATCAAGTCGTACCTCCAAGTGGACGGTCTCGTCGACGAAGATCGTGGTAAGTTTGTTGGCGTACAATGTACTAATTGCGGGCGCTTCGGTGGCCGTATAATTTGAGTTGACAAGGCCGTACCCGTCCGTTTGACTGCTGCCACTCTCAATTGCATCATGACCGTATTCGCCCTTTGCGGGTGGAAAACACGGCCGGGAGGTGTCATAATAGCGAAACCATGGGAATCTGCGAGGCGCGCAACCGGAACCAGTCACCTCTTAGGGAATTGTCCGGGAAACACTTTAGGCGGGGCAGTAGTCAGAAAGGAAATACTCAAGTTGAATTGGATGAACATTTCAACTTATTTCAGCCTCAAGCATTCTCGATAAATTCGTGGACCACAAGCTCAAATCCGACGGCGTCTTCATCACGCACCTCATCGACAACAACGGAGGATCCGTCTACTCGCACGACGTCATCGTCAACATGTGGGAGCGGTTTTTGGAGGAAGAGGGTCGTCGGTCCGAGAAGAATCCGGCCGAGTTCCGCGAGATCTGATCCCCTTCCCAAGCGCCTTCTCATTCCAAATACCGACCTAGACATTCTGTCCCTCTTCGCACTTTCCTCCCCTCTTCTTTCTGTTTTCCTTTTTTCTAGCCGATCAATTGTTTTCTCATTCTCTTATAATAATTATCGACCCATAATGAACGGTTTTCTGAGCGTAACTGCTCTTTTTCCAATAATAAATTCAAAAATGGCAGAGGGCAAACATAACAATGGTCAGAAGACGAGTCTGTATGTGTGCGTTGTGGGCTGGCGACGGTGACATTAAGCATGAGAATGCGCAACGACCCGGACGAGTGGTATTTTATGGACGCTCTTACATTTGTATGAATGAATGAAATAAGGGCGAGGTACATAAAGATTTGATCACGTCTTCTTCTTGAACATTTGTTTTCTTTTCAGCTTTCGCTTCTGTTCGGCCGTCACCTTGCCGCGTACGAATTGCTTTTTCCGCAGGTTAATCTTCTGGAAGTTCTGATTTGCCTTCGACGATCCTCCGAGCTTTCTGGCCGCCGTCTTGTACGCCCTCGTCTTCGCAACATCTTCGGTCCTGGAATCAGTTTAAATTTGCTCCATCCGATGTTCGGATCACCTACGTCTCATCGTTAAACTCCTCCACCGCTTCCTCTTCCTCCTCTTCGCACTTCTCCGGCGTTGGCATCAGAAGAACGTTCAAATCCTGCAAATAAATGTTTTGGTTCTACATGGTTTTTACACTTTCAGACGCCAGTTCCAGCACGGTTAAAAATAATCTGCGAGTAAGCGAAACCCCACGATTACTGGCCTGTTAATCGCATCACTCAGGCCTTTGAAAACCGTGCAAACTGGAATTTCGTTGGTGTCGAGAAATATGGTGAGTAGTGTTTGTATTGAAACACTCGCTGTTCAATCGGGTGGCAAACCGCCAGTGAGCGGCTTTCCAGGGGGACGAACCGCCCGGGCAGCGCCCTCTTTAATTAGTCGTAAAACACCCTGCAGTGTCGCTTTTGGAGGCTATCAAATCGGCAATCGACTGATGCGGATTGCTAACCGAAATAATCACAAAATGATTGGGAAAGTAAGGGACTGACTGAAAATTTCTGAGCACTAGACGCCGGCAAAACGGTTTTAGGGATTATTCGGGATTTGCAGCTCGATTGTCAGACTCCGACAGGATCATAAAATTAAAATATATTATATATACTAAAAATACGGCAAAATGCCTTGGATTTCGTGAAAAGTGAAGCTTTTCCGGTGTCAGATTATTCAATCGGCTCACATTTTTACAGAAAAACGTTCTGCCAAGAAAAATCTTCTAGCGAACATTTTAAATTCGCGAAACATAAAAGCTTACTTGATCGGCAAGTTGTCTTTGATACGCTCGTTTTGTCGGTGATTTGATCGGAGTCAGCGAACTCTTCAAAACGGAGCTCGACGCACCAGCAATGAACGATTTGATGGGAGAGAAATCAAGCAAATCGAACTGCGAAGAAGAGCCTGCTTGGTTCTGAAATTTACTCTTTTTATAAACTGACTTTGTAAAGTTAAGATCGCTTACTTTCATCGGCGAGAGCTGTGCTGACGTCGTCGTCCCTTTGAAGAGCTTTCTCGGCGATCCTGCCAATGGCAACGTTTTCTGGAACTTGAGAGTGTGAACAGATTGAATTATGATTGGGCTCGCACCTTTCTCGGAGACGTTCTCGGTGCCGAAGAGTTCTCATCGGATCCCATGCCGAATTGTTTAATACTCATCCGTTTCTTGATCGGACTGAACTGCTCACCCTTCATCATTTTCATTTCGAAATTCTTTCTTTTTACTCCTCTTTTCGAAGATTTTTCTTTTGTCTGCTCTTTGGTATGGTTCTTTTCAGCTCGCAAAATGTCTGAAACCTAATATGTCAACAGAATAATCGCGAAACGAATTACCTTTCACATGGTTCGGAGCAATTGAAGTGTCTTCAGCAGTGGGCGATCTCCCGTAGATATCTCGGAAAGACGCCTTCCACTCTTCCATTTTCTACAGACTGGAAAATTTAAATTTAACGGAGTGAACTATAAGAGCAAGCGATAAAAATATTGCGTTTCACTGATATGGAATTCGTTTGATCAAACGAGAAAGAGGAGGATTCAAAATGAGTTAATTATGTAAGCCATTGCTTCAACTTCAGTTTTGTTTAAAAAATGTTTATTTACATGGAATACACAGATTTTGAACAGTCGAAACTTCACTTATCAATTTTTTGCATAAAATTGTGGTATTCAGCTGAAAAAAACATCGAAAATGGCATTCGAATGCCGCGCCGAATTGACAAACGCAAACGCGCTCCACTGCACTCTGTCGGCGGCAGAATCGAATTTTATAATACCCCCATGGGGGTATTCAGGCTGTGAAAAAATGTTTTTTTTTCCGTTTTTTTTTTCGTTTTTTTACGTCAAAAAACCCAATTCAGCGGTGTAAAAAAACGAAAAAAACGGAAAACAAACATACGCTGAATAGCCCCATTAATTAATAGACCTATTCAGCCCGGAAAAGAACTAGTTTTTTTTTTACCGAAATCCCCTTATTCAAATGAAAAAAAAACTGAAAAAAAACTCCCGAAAATGAGGTTTTTTCCTGCTGTTCGTTCGTTGAGACTCGCGCTTTAAAGGCATGCCGCATGCGTCTTCAAACAATTTAAATGTCCTCCAAAAAAATACAGGTGATTTTTGGCCGTTTTTTGAATTTTTTAAAGGCGCATGCTTTTAAGGTGCGGGTCTCACAACAAACAACAGGAAAACATCTCTTTTCCCGGAGTTTTTTCCCAGATTTTTCCTAATTTGAAAAGGGTTTTTTCAGTTAAAAAATAGTTGTTTCCCGACTGAATAGGTCCATAACACACCGTTCGTTTTTTTAAAATAAAAATGCTCTATTCTAAACAAGACTTTAAAACCCAGCTAACGCTCAGAAGCGGCTTCGCCGCTCACTTGTTTCTCATAACCGAGAGAGAGAGAGAGAAGTTTGAAAGTTCACGTGTTCATTTCTCAATTTCTTCGTCACAATAATTTTGTTAGAAATGAAAAATGGTCGGACAAACGGAGAAAGAAAGTAAGAAAGAAAGTTACGGACGGACCCGTAAGCTTTTTATTATCTAAATAGGAATAATGATGATGATTATATTCTTTTAAAAAAACTCAATTTTTTAAGCTTGTTATAAAACTTTTCTAAATTTCCGTCATTATTTTCAAATTACCATCATCACATTGGACTCTAGTCGTTGACGTAAGTATCTGTGTTGATTTAGGTGATTGAGACCCAATTAAAGAAACATTTCAATTTTCTATCTGCAAGTTTCCCAATTTTTTTCGTTTTCCACTGTGCGTAAATTTCTTCGCAAAATTGTGAAATTAATCGAAGAGGCTCTGGAAAAAGGGAAATGCGTGTGCTTCGGCGGGTCCCTAATGATGGCAGAAGAGCCGTGTCGTCAGTATATTCCAGGCTTTTCGCTAGAAAAAACAATCGAGGCGTCTTCTCCCCTCCAGTCGCAGCCATCCGTCTGTTCCTCTCGTCGTCTGCGCCCCGTCGCCCTCTTTCTCTCCGTCCTTCCGCCATCTCGGTCTCTTCATGGCCCTTTGCGTGTGTGCCCCCACAAAACCGGCTGACACGACACGGTCAGAGAAGTAGAGTGGCCTGGCCGCTGCGCCCGCCGTCTCCGTCGCCACCGCCTCCTCCTTCTCCTTCCCCCTTCTCCATTCGCTTCCATAAGTCGGATGACGTGATACTGACTTCATCTCGTTCCCTTTCTCCACGTTGCTCCTTCATCGATGGACACGTTCGAGCTTGATTCAGACGCCTTTTACATTTGCACAGAGGTGGCGCCGCGAAATTATGTAGTTCAGAAGGTGAGTGACATTGACACAAGCAACCCGCACACGCACGCTCGACGCACTTCCCAAAAGTTAGAAATCAGTACGATAATAACAGTCACTGTGAGCTACACACCGCGACAGGATCGCTTTTCGTTGAAAGTGTCACATACTTCGTCTACTTTCGCTTTTCTTGCACCTTCCACAGAACCGGATTCTTTCGCTGGTGGTCTTACCTCCCCTCTTCCTCCCCGGAAAGTCCAAGCAGTTGCTTCACGTGCTTTCGTGTCCGCAGCTAACTTTTAATTTTCTGTAATCATGGATATATAACTGTAAACTTCTAAAAAAATTCGTCTCGGCTACTGTATGTGTATAGTTCACACTTAGCTTTCTAATTCTATGATTAACTGTTCATTTGAGTGCGCTTTCTTCGTTTCCCTGAATAGTATACGTGTTGAAGCGTGGATGACGTCAAGCACACATTTCCAGACGTCTCCGTCTCTGATGTCATTTTCAGAATGAGTCCCCCTGGAGCGAACGATTGTGCGCATTTCTGTGAGCACCTTTGTCATCTCATCCCAATTTATGCGCGCATAGTCTTCCTTTGTCTCCAATAGTAGCGTTAGCCGAAATTAGTGAATATTTATAAACTTGGAGAGGAAAAGGGGTAAAAATAAGCGTATGCTAAAGTAATATTTCTAGAAAGAAGCGAGAAAACGGGTATTTCCACGTCATATAAACTCGTTGATAGATAGAGTGCTGCGAAAATGGTCGAAAAGCACTTAAATTTTCCGGAAATTGACATAAAAACGGGGACGAAAAGAGGAGAGATAGGGCGAAGTCCCTCTTTTCCAGCGGCCTTTTCTTCCGAAGGCGATTCGGAAATTCATATTTTTTGTTGCCTTTCCCTGCACACGAATCAATTTTGTCAGCCCGCTCACAGCGATTCGTCATTTCCGTGATTTTGCACGAATCTTCTTCCTGTGATAACACCTCCGCGAACCCCACCCAGAAAATCAATCGCCACCTTATCATATTGAGTTTTGCCGCGAAAACGATACCACCAACACCGTGTGGCGCTTCGCAGACGAATCCAGCTTGATTTTAGGCGATCCAAATCGACAAAAAGCAAATCGAGCGAATGGTCGGAAAGCTCGATGGCAAGGCGACGACCGCGGAAACGTCGCCATCGGAAACGTCTGATGGAACGTCGACCGCCCACTCACCTGGCACGTCGCCTTCCACTTCCGCGTGCACTTTTGCCGCCAAGCCGCCGCCTATTCCCTATTGGTAAGAACGTAGTGGAAAGAGAAGAAAGGAGAAATCGTCGTCGTCGCTTATCTCCTCTATTGATTACCAATCTGCTTGTTCGTAATTTCGGTGCCATCTCTCTCAGTGTTGTCGCTTCGCGTCCTTCTTCGTTCAAAAAATTGACAGTGCTGATGGTGCGTGCGCATGTTCGCCGGCACCTTGCATCTCCCCGCACTCTCTCCCCGCGCGCGTACGTTCGTATCGGCTAATGAATCACCGTGCGCGGCGACTCGCTCACCGATCGAACGCATCTCTCTTCTTCTCTTCACGGCGGCCTCACAGTCCGTCCGACCACCATCCCCCACCGAAAGTGGTTTTTGTCGCCTCTCGCATCCATGTCCGCCGCGCCTTTTATCCAGTCTTCTTTTCTAAAAATTGACCAGTTCCTTATTTGTTAACCTATATCGTATGGATGGCAATCAGTTCCCATGATATTGCGATGATTACGTCCCAGGATGGCACGTCATTCCCACAAAGTTTGTTTTGCACTAGCATCTCTGTTCTATTGCCCCAATCCTCTTCTTCTTCTTTTCGTACTTTTCTCTCTTTCTCTCAAAAGTGACGTTTCTCTCCAGCCCACTCATGCCATTGCTGGAACTGAATTGTTCAGGAAATATCGACTGAAAACGGAAATTTTCCTGTTCTTCCTTCTATTTCATGACTCATGGCGCTGATGTTTCTGTGAAACTTGTCAAAAAAGTTGGAATCTATCTTCTCGCTCGGTGGTTCATTTAATCTCCTTTTCAAATTCGCACGTTTTGTTGCACCTACCATTTTTGTGTTCGTATTGTTCCGTTTTTAGCTTCAAAAATGTATTCTGTCAGAATGACGTGATGATGAATCCTGATGATGTACTGTTTGCTGTTTGGCGACGGGGAAGCAGTACATGCTGCTTCTGACTCAAAAAGTATTGTCGCTTCGTTCCTAACATTCCAAAAAACTTGGTTCGCTTCGATCTTCCGTAGACAATCCGAACGGGGGCGATGTGCCCTCGTGACCGCCCAGCGGGACGCCTTCTTCATTCGGAAACATCCCCTTCATCCCACTCCTTCTCTTCTGAAATCAAACAGACGACACCATTCATTCATTTCATTCGTTTTTTTCCACTACGGCCTCTCCATTCGCCTTTCCTTCCTCTGTTTTCGTGCGCTCGTGTTCATGTTTCTCGCCGCGTCCGTATGAGCCGTCCGTCCATCCTTTTCGAATGCACTAATTAGAGGCTCCGCGGATAGAACGACATGAAAACGTCGACACGAATTCTCCGTCGCGCGACTCTCCATGGCTACATTCCGCCCGTTTGTGTCTTCTTCTTCTTTCGGCTTTCCTTTCATTCTTTTGCCCCATACTAATTTATCCATCTATTTCTTTCAGGTTCAATCGTGAGGTGAAGTCGACGCTGATGATGATCGGCCCTCAGCCGCAAGGGTCCCTTTCGACACCCTCGTCGTCTGGAACCCTGACGAATCACTTCGTTCCCGCCTTGCCAGGAGCCCCTTCAATGACTCGTGACGAACTGAAACAGCAGTTGAAGGTCCAGTTAGAGTACTACTTCTCAAGGTGAGCTCACAAAAATGAGTGGGTAAGACTGAAAACGAAGAGAAAAGCGGGCGTTTTCGAGTCAAGCTACAGTACATAATCCCCGGAGGCTTCGTCAGAGTTCAAAATGAGCATGTCAGAGAGTTTTCTTGACGTCAAAGCCAAATTGCTGTCGGCTATAAAACTGGGAGAGAAAGACGGATTAGTGAACAGACATAAACTGGCAGTGTTGCAGAGAAAACCTGATGACCGATCGGTACTTGAAGTGCCAGATGGACGGCGAGCAGTATGTGCCAATCAACGTGCTGGCTGGTTTCCGAAAGATTACACAACTGACCTCGGATATTGATCTGATCACGGAAGCGCTGAAAGGTGGGGATTAAAAAGAGGAACTTGCTGCAAGAAGGGCTTTTTATCTGCAGAATCGGCCATCGTCGAGCTGGATCCGAATGAAGAGAAGGTGAGGGCTATCACGAAGAGAACGACCATCATCATCAGAGAAATCCCCGAGGAATACAGAGAGGTGACTTTTAATGAAGAAGCTTGAGTTAACGCGCTGAAAGACGTTCAGGAAGTTGTCAAGCTGCTGGCTGACGGACCTCCATTTCTGGAATTGACGTACGGTTCGAACGATAGCTGGTACGTGACATTCGAGAACGAACTGGACACCCAAGTCGCCTACGTGGCAGTTCAACACAAGAAAAACGAAATCACGCAGAGACCCGTTTGTGTGAGTGATTACCTTTGAGACTTGATAAGAAGAGTGAGAGCAGACACTAGAGTTGTCATGGAAACACATTCTTCTGACTTTGATTACCCATCTCTTACTCTCACTCACTTCATTTCGGCTGTCTTTTTTCCACTTGCCTTTGAAATTCGTTGTCTTTCAGGCCAGAATAAAAGCGGGAGGACCTCCATCAGTGGCACCAACCGAAGTGAGAAACGGCGAAAACGGACGACTGGCCACGTTGAGCAACGGGGAGACGGGAACGATTCATTTGAAAGAGATCGGAAGAACACTTGCGGATTATGGGTTCGTACCTGTCGCCACTTACCGTCCTGGAGAACCGATTTTGAGCCACTTCGAGTACGTAACTCCGACGTTCCGCTTCTCCGGAAACAACCTCGCCTACCAACCGCAGCAGCCGCCGCAGCCGACGTCTCTTCCGCTGCAGCAACAGCAGCCGCAGCAGTACTATTACTCGTCGTCCAGTGTTTCGACGACTCCTCGCAACTTTGACGAAATGTCGTCGGCTTCTTCCAATTCCACCCGCACAACCACTTCGAATTACAACCGGAGTGGCAGTCGCAACAGTGGATCCAACCAGTACAATGAGTCGCGGAACTATCCCAACTCAACGAACTCGAATGAATGGCGTGGTCGTGGTGGTAGCAATGGGGGAGAGCGTCGCTTCCCAAATAGCTATCAAAACGGCGACAGCAACGGACGACAGTCGCAGAGTTCGCGAGGCAATTGGAGAGGCGGATATCGCAACGGATCCAATGGACACTATCAGAACGGTCGTGAGAATGGAAATGGTGGAAATCAAAACAACTGGAGAAACGAGCAGAATGGTTATGTCCAGACGTGGCGCAATTCCGGCGGCCACTACAACAACTATCGGAATGGGAACCAAATGTCGTCGTCGTCTTCCTCGAGTGCCAGCTCCAAGTACTTCTCCCCGGAAGCTAATGGTACTCCAACCAATTCTGGCCCGAGCACTCCGCCACCGGCATCGGCACAGCAGCAGACGTACAGTGTGCCCACTCCCACTGACCTTCCGTCTCCGCCTGTTTGGCCAGCGCCGAGCTTCGACAGAAGAAGAAAGAGTTCGGAGGCGTCGTCGACCACGATCACTACGACAACAGCTCCGAACACAGTGACTCCGTCTACTCCGGTCACTCCGCCAGTGCTCCGGCAGACATTCGTGGAGGAGCCGATGACGGAGAAGAAGGAGATCAAAGAGCACCATGTGCACGAGCAGTACAAAACGCCATCGACGGAGACAACGTCAAATAACGTCACAGAAAAAGTGGTGAGTAGTACATCAGAAGAAGATGCAAGCCGTAAATAACTCTGATCTTTCCAGCAATCGCCGTCTGCCGTCGCCGCTCCGCCTGCTGCTTCTCCTTTGTTCTCGTTCGAGGAGACGGCTTTCCCGTGTCTGCCGAAGAAGGCGGAACCCGAGGCGAAGCCGCAAAAGCCTACGTTCAGGTAGATGATGACGACTGTCTCGTGGCAGTTGTTATTATCGTTGTCAAGTGATTTGTGGTTGATGTAGTGATGACGTTGAAGGTGTGTATGAATATTCATCGAGCATGACTCGTCACATTTCCTGTCGGTTGTTCGATACACTGGTATTTCAGTTCGGTTCTCGCCGGCCGTCGTAATATCAAGCAGTTGATCCCGGAGAAGAAGACGTCGTACGCCGAGAAGCTGAAGCAACGTCAGGCTCTGCTCTTCCACTAACCAATTTTCTCCCTCTAGGCCCCGTTTCCACACGTTCCTCTCTAGTCATTTTCATTCTTTCCTTAGATTCTATGAACCTATTCTGGTCACTGCCTAGACGACACAAAAAAACAAAATCAATCCCCTTCGTGACGTGTGATTGTACATCCCTGTTTGTTCATGTAGCTCCATATCAATCCTCCGTCTTCCTGTCCTCTTCTTCTCTTCGTGTAGTCATTTCACTCCCACTCTTCAGTCATCCGTTTTCCTGTCGCTTTACCTAGAGATTCCCCACTTTTTTGGTGTTCACTTGCCACTTCTCTCTTCCACTTGGGACCCATTTCCGCTTTTTTCCACATGCAAGTATTCATTCTGTTGCCAAGCGTTTCTCTTTGCTTTACTGCATTTCAAGTGCTTCTCCTTCTATTCCCCTTCATAACACACACCCATTTCCCTGGGACGGGACGCCCGCATTTTGAAGCATTTCCTCTGGTTTATCGGTATTTTGGGACTTTTCGAAAGCATTAATAAATATTTACAATTGGGACACCACAATTGCGTATTCAATTCTTTATTTATTAGAATCGTTAAGATGTTACGCAAAAAGGAGGGAACTGAATAAAACTCTGTTTCAATGTGGGGGGCAAAAATAGAAGACCAAAATAGAGGAAGTGAGTGAAGAGGGGGAGGGATTATTGGGGATCCCAGTGCTCGAAGTAGTACAGGTAGTTGGCCGGAACAAAGCCGTCTTCGTTCTCATGAACGACAGCCGCTGGGCTCGGAGGACGTGGCGGACGCACGGGCGGAGTAGTCGCCGTTTCGACGGGCGCCTCCTGAAATCATGCTATTGATTCGTTCGATTGCCTCCGACCCACTACACCACTTTCCAACTCGGCCGCCCACTTTTCGACTTGAGCCGTCAGCTTCAGAACCTGCTCATTTTTGTAGGTGAGCAGTCGCACGAACTGCTCAAAGTACTTCTTCTGGTCGAAGCTATTCGTGGCGGCCTGAAAGAGTCCAATGCCCGTCTCATGAGCCTCTTTCCACGAAAGCCAGTTTTCCATCGTCCGTTCCATGTTGTCTCGAAACTCTTTCTGTGATTTGTATAGAGTATCTTGAAGACTGACGATGCGACGAAGATTCTCGAGTCGCTGCATTTCTACCTACAAACGGGAAAACAATTAGAAGCGGAAGAGAAGAGAGGCAGACTCGGAGAGGTTGGAGCGAAGAGAAGAGGTGCCCTTGCGGCATGTGCTTGTTGAGAACGCACGTCGAACAGAGCGCATACTTTTCCAGCGATATTCCCGTTTCCAACAGTTCGAGCGGACGCGATGCTCCGTTGATTGGCGAGCAGACATTACAAACGTTCACACTGAAAAGGACAGAACGAATGAAGATTGATGTTCCTAAGGGCAGAACAAAAGAACGTACTCTCTTTCGTGGTACACTCCGCTGCATTCAATGCACATCAGAAACGAAATGTTGTGATTCGTTTCCACTCGCGTGCTCTCGACCAAATCTGCAAAACTAAGCGTGTTTCTGATTTATTTCGGCTTCTGACTGACCCATTAGCTGATAATTTGAGCGGACAAACGATCGAGGAACTTGTGTTAGTGCCTGAAACAATGCAAATTAACAACAGTAATGCTCCTGATCTTCTCCCTTTCTGAACTCACTCGACAGGTTGGACACCGTACCGAAATGTACCCCCGATCCGTCGTCAGTCTGCCGATATTCCCTCTGTTCTGCTCCTCGAGAACAGTGACACAGAAATCGCAAAGTGTGTGAGCGCACTGCAATATCTTCGGAAGGTGCTTGTCGTCGTCTGAATTGGAATCGTAATGGTGGGATCGGCGGGTAAACTGACCGAATGGCTCGCAGCACACACCGCAAGAAGGTGCTCGGAGGAAGTTCTGTCCGGACACACAGCTCTTGAAGTTGTACATAACGGATACTGACTTTAAGATCGGGAATTGGCTTACCGAAGGAAGCGATTTGGCGCGAGCACATTTGAAAACGCGCGCCCTTTGAGAACTTTTTGGTAGATCAAACTACTGATCTACAGAGTACATTGCATTTATTGTATTAACTTGTTGTAACCACTTGCAGCAACAAGGGAATAACAGTGTACACAAGAAGCGAGGAGATACATTTGTATTCAGATTATAATTTTGCAGAAAATATGAGCGAGGAAGGTAACGAAAACGAGCCCGACGGCAAGAACGACCCATTTTCTCATGATTCCATCGACCTCTGAAGTCATCATATATAATGCTAAATCTACTTCGCGACTATTCCTACCTTGATTGTAGTTGTTTTCATTGAAAGCAGTATTAGCCACCGAAATGGTTTCGTAAATGCGGTTAGTCTCGATGCGGACGTGGTTCCAAGCAGAATGGAGAATGTTTGGAAGATCGGCTCCATTACGAGAAATGTCTCCCATTGAAAGGTTGTGAGACATTGACTGTTCAGCAGATTGAGAAAAACCCTCTTCGTTAACTGTCAGTTCGTGATCCGATGGGTCGACGATAGTCTCTTCCACATGGCTGACCGCCTCTTCCGTCGGCAACACTTTCGAGATCGGATCCGGAATCTTGAGTATTTCTTTCAAGTCTGGCATTTCACTGAGACAGTGTAGCGAGTTGGTCTCTTCATTGCTCTTTTCAAGAATGCCAACTTTGACACTGACCATCTCGTTCAGCTTTCCCCCGTCTTTTTTCAGAACGTCCAGAATCTTATTGATCTGAATTTGCAGATTAGATCACAGAAGTCTCTGGGGACTAACATCGCCAATTTCTTGCTTGTATTTCTGGAAGATAAGATCCTGATGCTGACTGGACTTGGCTCTTTGCATGAACTCCACCATTTTGGACACTTGCTTTTCCTTTTTCTCGACCAGCAATGGTATCGTCGCAAGAATGACTCGGACATCTTGGAACTTTTCGATAGTTTGCGCTGTCAACACATTCACACTTATCATGTTCTTTTTGAACTGGTAGTTAAGCTAAAAAAAAATAAGCATATTTAGGTTAAAGAATGACAACTTACTCTGATCGGAACGTAGTTAACTATAGTGTGACCGATTGTATTGTGCTCTTTGAGCACACAAGTAGAACAAATCGGATAATTATCCAGATGAATACTCGGGTCCGACGAAATAATGCTGTGTACGTCGAAATTGTGGATTGTAATCGTGCATTCTCGGCAGATATGGAACGACGATTCGACTCCATGCAATTTGCAGGTCGTGCATGTCACGAAACGAGAATCGTGCGGAGCAATGGCCTCTGAAAAACACAAATAATACGAAAGGATGTACTTTCAAATCGGACCGATCAGCTGGTAGTTACTGGAAAATCCCATAGCACCACGAGATGGAATTGGCATCGAACTCTGAAATTATTTAATAGAAACAGGAGCCGAATTGCCAATCAACTAACCGAGCACATGGGACACGAAAAGGCGGTGTGAGCCTCTCCATCGCCGGAAAACGAGACTTGTCTGAAAAAAAGCGCTCGGCTTCTTCGTCCGATTTTCAAAGCTTACACCGATTTGAGCATTTTGTCTATGCATTGCACACAAAATGTGTGGCCGCAGGTCAAAACCTTTGGAATGCGAACATTTGAATCTGAATCAAAATTGTGGAATTTTTTTTGGGAGAAAACAGAACGAAATACCGAATTCTTCCGTGCAAATAGAGCACGATGGTTTCAAATTGGACTTGATGTCGCGAATAGTTTCCACCGCCAAATAGTCTTTCGGAACAAGAGCCATCGTCATTTTGAACGAAGAATTTGAACGAATTTTGACGAAATTGGTGGGAAAAAGCGTCACGGAACACCATTAAAAATGAGCAATTTAGTTCGTTGCAAGACCTTAGGCAAAAAACAAAAGTGTGCACCTTTGACTACCGTGTTCCCGCAGAAATCCACCGAACTTAAGTACTGTAGAATTGGGGCTACGCCGAACCAGAACTGTTCGAATCAGAGCTGTCCCGAATCAGAACGAATTAGCACTGAAAATAGTTCTGACTCGAACAGTTCTGGTTCGGCGTACCCTCGTAGAATTACTGCAGTCTTACTGTAGAAAAAAAGAAAAACTACAATATTCATTAAAGTGAATAGAAAATAAAACGTGGAACAATGAAAACAGAAAAGAAGGAAAATCGACTGAAAAATTTAGTTTTCAAATTTCTGAGAGCCATGAGCGATTCGGAAGAGCCACCGGACAATACTCGTAGGCCGAAGTCTACTATGTTACCGATAAGAGTAAGTGCGAAAAACAATCGACGTCCTCGCTGAGCAGATATTTCAGAGAACACTCCTCGGGGTCGTAATGAAAGAAAATGGTATGAACGACTATTCGAATAGCAGTGACTCACACAAAAGTACGAAAACGTCGTCGGCTCGAAGCTCACATTCGAGGCAGTCGGAACAATCCGATGAAAGGAATCGGTCTGGCCGTGATCTGAAATTTGATGTGGATTCTGAAGATGAAGAACTTACGGAGAGATCAGATGCAGCCGGCGGAGATATCGTTTTGGACTTGGATGAGACTCAGGAAGACTATCTGGAAGACGAAGAGGAGCGACTCCAGCCACCATCGAAAAAAGGCCGTTTCAAAGGCATGCTTCTAATGAAGCAGCCGTTCTGTATGATCCCCCAAAACTTTGCCTTCATCAGTGACTATTTCAGACAAGGCAATGAATGCCTTCTCGCCCAGCGGCCGTCCAATTCGCAACCGTATCCCTCCGGTTCGCTGGTGGCTCGGAGAAGAGCCTCTCTACAAAAGACAGGGAGATGGAGAAGTTGTTCTCGAAGGGGTCACGGACGTGTACATCACCGACAAAGTGTTCATGAAGTACAGAACGGCCAGTCCGTTCGATTTGATGGACCAACAATTGCGAGAACGCAAGAGGAAGAGAGGCAAAACGGCGAGAAAGCGGAATCCCAGTTGAACCTCATTCTACTCGTTTGATAAATCCGTTGTCATCTCTCTTTTTATGTGTTCTTCTTTCATGTAGATTCTCATCTCGTTGCCGGCTCCCAACTACAGTTCCAAGTGGCTCTTTGCCCTTATCAGTGACGGAAAAGCCGAACGTGGGCCAACAAGGGGGGCGGGCGGTTTCAGTGTCTTGTCAAAACAAACACAAATTGTGCGGTTCGACGACCTCGTCTTCGCTTTCCACTCGGTTCCCTCCCTTCATACATGTACATAGTCGCGCAGCAGCCGGCCGGCTCTCCCTGCCTCTCCGCCCGTCTCACCTGCCCCCCGCTGCATACCTGCTGCTGCTCTCGCGGCTCTTCGTCGCGTATCCTCGCGTAGCCATGCGACCCCGTCTTCCTCCTATTTCCATGATTCTCCTCCTGTTGCTATCCATTCGCTTCGTCGGAGGGATTGATGTCTTCTGTGGCCAACTCGAAATTTTCAACGAGCAACGATTCGGTCAGGGTGCGGTTACCGTATCCTCGCAGACGACGGCCGACCTGAAACAGTGTCTGGATGTGTGCTGTTCCATTCCGAGTAAGCGTTCTGATTTGACTCCTTAAAGAACCGAGACAGTGTGAAAGACGGAATCTTTTTTTCAAAGTATTCTTCCCATGATAAGTGTTGTGTGCTCAAAAGTGTGGGAATTTGTTTTGAAATCTAAGTCAATGAGCTCATGTGTCTAATCCTTTTCTGTGCTAAAAAAGTGGCGCGTTATCCGGTCTCAGTTATCCGGTGTGTTGCTCGTTTCGGTACTCCAAAATGACAAATGTATCAGCAGCAGTGTCTCGCGTCGGTTGTTTGCCGACTCGAACTACCAGTCGCTTCCTTCCCTTCCGCGGGAAATGCTCGCGCAGAGCCGCGCACGGACAGTGTCGCGTCTAATCCGAGTGTCATACAATCGTTTGTTTTATCGTCGACTAAACCGATTCTCGCGCCCTCAACCGGGCGGGCTCAGCTCAGCAAGAAGCGGCCGGAAACGGCGAACGCTCTTCTTTTTGAAGAAAGAGGAGAATGGAGTGAAGCGTGTCCTTTTATTTCCGTTTCTATGGAGACATGAAAATAGACGAAAGAATAGAGTTGAGCCGAGCGGAAAGAAGGAAAGAAGTAGGGTAAATAGAACGGAAACAGAAAGAGAGTGATGGACAGGCGAAAGATCTTGACGTGCAGAGGGTACTCCCAATTGGAACCATCGAATTGCCATTTACAGACTGCGACGGCGTCACTTTCGAAGGCATCACTTCGTCAGAATTCGACGACGCCAACTGTCTTCTCGTCTCGTGCGAACCGACGTGCCAATTCAACGGGCCATCCGAGCACTCCTCCGGCGTTTTATCCGTGCTCATCCATCGGATCAGAGTAAGCCATTTCCGTTTGCCATCTTTGTCTCCCGAGATAGACAGATATAATAGCCATTTCACACACGCCGTGAATAATTCACTCGGGCGGTGCTTATGCCAATAGCCAAAGGCCATCTTTGTGTACGCTCTCGCTTCAAGCAGCGGCACGGGTAATGAGAAACAGGGGGAAAGCAGGGGCATTACATATTAGTTACCCGGGCGGAGAAGGAGGGAGGGAGGGAGAGAGAGAGAGAGGTTTTATTACTACTATAATTATTTCGGGATTATATACATAAGCGGGCTTGAGATTCGGAGCACGTAAGAGAGGGATACAATAACATAATGAAGAAGATTTACGAAGGGAATGGGGGATAATTGAGCGTGTCCGATGCATTGGTACAGATCAATTGTTGGCTAATGAACGGAGGGATTGGAAGGATAACGAGAATGGGTTACATAGAGCAAGACCCCAGAAACTGAAATCACTTCTTCTAAAGTAGTTAACTAGCCAAATGAGCTCTCGAATGTCTAGATTGTATTGGGGAACCATCAAAAGTATTCTTGCTTTCCAGAATGACACGACGACGCTGTCTCCGTCGACCACAAAGTCAAGGTTCGTTCCCGAGGTCCGAGCAGCGCTGACGCCGTTCTGGGTGCTCGCCGTGGCCATCGGCGTGGCGGCCATTTGCGTCGGTCTGAACGTGACTCTCTGCGTCGCCTACTGCTGTTACTGTCGACGGAAGAAACGGAGTCAGAAGGCACACATATCCACCGTCAAAGGTGGACCGACACTCCACGCCTACAACCAACAGATCTGATATTTGTTTTCAATGCTCTTCCCGGTGCTCCTGCTCAAAACTCCTGTCTGTACATAGCTGGAGTCAGGCCGTTCTCTCTTCTCCCGCACACGGGTCGTCACTCTTCTGTATCCCTTTCTACCCATCTATCTACCTCATCTTGCCTTCTCTGCAAACATACGCAACCCAATTTCCGAATAAACAATTTCCGTTTTTCTCTCTTTCATATCCACAAGTACTGGCCGCAAAGGATGAGAAGACCAAACGGAAGAGTTGATGCGCCCATTTCGGGGGGCCAAAGTGATTGAATTTCTGCCATTGCGCGCTTCCCGGCCGCTGGCTCTTTCCTCCTCCCACCCGAATTCCACTCCCATTTATTTCACTCTTTTCTTCTATTCCCAAGGGTCAAAAATTGTTCTTCCCCCACACTGACACTTGACTTTTTTAGGCCAAAAAGGCAACAATAAAGTCTGCCATCAACTATTTACGAGTGCATTTCATCGTGGAAAAGTTAGAAGTATTGTCTGTGAAAAAGAGATCCTTTGGCTTTCGGACGGATAGGACACTTTGGATTCTAGTAGCTGAACACATGTTTGTTGACGTTGTCATGGTTTCTTGCCAGTCTGAAGAGCTCTCGAGAGCTCCATTTGGTATTAGTTCCGAAAATTTTCGTTCGTGAGCCTCGTCCAACTCGTTCTGCAAACTGAGTCTTCCTCTTCAATGCAAACTGATGCCGTGCGCGCGTCAAAGCGCTATCGAATTCATCCCATTAGCGGGAAGACGTTTTCTCCTCAGATTCCTCCATTTTTCTCCCAGAATATGTAGTTGTAAATGTGCATGGGCGTGTGTGTGTGTTGAAAAGAAAAAGAGAGAAAAGAAGAAGAAGAAGAAGAAGAAAAAGAAGGAGGAGGAAAGCCTAGAAGAATTATCGAGAGCGGCCTACGAACAAGAATAAGAAGCAGAAGCAGAAGCAGAATAAGAAGAAGAAGAAGAAGAGGCGGAGGCCAGTGGGGCACGCGACTCTATCGACTTTTCGGGTGGCGCCCTGTTGCTCCGCGAGCCCGCTTCTGATACTTTTGAGCATTTGACAGGTTCTCTCGCGAGCCCAGCATTATTTATGCGAATCTGTGAACCATCCGACAAAGCTTTCCGTGGTTTTTTTCGTTAGAATTTTCGGGACATGTTTAATTTTCATGTTTTCAGATTCCGCCAGCATTTTTTAAGCCGATTCTCTCTCACCGAATTCCAGCCGACTAATCCCTCGCCGACCCTCGAGCCATCGTTATTTTCATTTTTGTTTTCTTTCGGACCGCCCGTCTCCACGTCACTTTATCGTTTTCTGCTTCTTCTTCTTCTTCTTCTGCTCAGCCATTCTTCTCCCATTCCGTCGTATTGGTTGACTCCAAAAAGCATTCTTCTTCTTTTTCTTCCTCCTTTTCTTCTTCTTCTTCCTCCTTTCTTCTTGCTTTTCCCTTTCTCCATTCAATAATAGACTGTTGTCCCCGTCTTCGGCTGAATAACAACAAATGAATACTTTCTCTGAATGCGCCGACTAATTTTAATTGTGGAGTGAATGGAAAACGGCTCAGTGAGCCCTCTTCTCTTCGTTTCGCTTTCACATTTTGTGGGGTGCTTCATTAGCTATGGCTCGACATGTTTCATTTCTAAAATATCCTTTCTCACCTGTCCAGATGACGTCACGTCGTCTTCTTTCCAGTTCGCCGATCTCCGAAAGTCAACACATGCGAGAAACGCTTCCAAACTTGCCCCGTTTGGTCGCGAATACTCCGCTCACCACTCTCAATTTCCCATAAATATCCTATCCGATTCGTATAATCGAGGCTCCCGCGCTCGCTGCTTTTCTCTTCATAATTGCTCCATTTTGCTGTCAACATTCTCCCAACTTCTCCTTTCCAGACAACTCCTTCTCACTGAAACATGGCATTTCTGAGTCAACTGCAAGACGGCATTGCCCAACTGAAACAGAAGGCTGAGCAGGCTGCTCCGTCGATCGCCGGCTCGCTGAGCCAGTTGAAAGAGGCGCCGAAGTTCGTGGAGAGCGCATTCAAAACTGGTCTGAACAAGGTGAAGTTGGACTCTCTTGGCAAGGTTCTGAATGTTCCGTCGTTGGGAAGAAGTCAGTCGCCGATCGACATCGTTCCGGTCATTACCGCGTTCGGGGAGCAGCTCCAAAATGCACACTTCGAGTGAGCCATCAGTTTCAGAACAAGAGCGAGAGAGAGAGAGAGAGAGAGAATGATTTCAGAGTGACATACGAAAGTAACGGAGAGTTCAAAGCGGTGAACGACGGCAACTCTGTGTGGCTAATGAGAGAGGGAAACAGCAGCGAGTTGGCGATCTCTTTCCTTCCCGAAGAGCAGTACCATCTTGATGCGGTCAATTTCCATTGGGCTACGGAGCCGATGAACGGATCGGAGCACACGATCGGAGGCGTCGGATATGCGGGGGAAATCCATCTGATCCACAGAAACACCCGCTTTGCCACGATGGCCGATGCTCTGAAACAGCCGAACGGCGTCATCGCCATCGCAGTCTTCCTCAACGTTCGCGCTGTGATTTTAACATTCTGTGAATAGTTATATTGCAGGAATCGCATGACGACAATCCGTCGTTCGGCCCGTTCATTAACCTGCTCCCGCAGATTATCTACAAGGGAAGCGAGTGCAAACTTTGCTCGTTCGACTTCCAGAACTTCTTCCCGGTTCCGGAGAAGACCAAAGAGTTCTGGATGTACGAGGGATCGGAGACGACGGAGCCCTTCCGCGAGACTGTCAACTGGATCGTCATCCGAGCTGCTTTCCCGATCAGCTCCCATCAGGTACACACTTTTGATACCTACCAAATGGGAAAGAGTGGTGCGTTTTCAGTTGGATAAACTGCGAGATGTGCGTGCCGGTCGTTACGACGAGGAGACATCGGACAAGAATCCGATGAAACCACTCCGTTCCATCCAGGTATAAACGGGAGTTCCTAGATAGAAGTATCCGAAAACATTCAGGCGGCCAATTCGCGCACCATTCTCAGTAGCTTTCGATCGGTCGCCGGAGCTCCGGATCTCGGATTCCGACAATGATCTGGCTGTCGAACAAAGCTGTGATTCCCGTCTTCTCATTCATTCCTGCTTCCCCTACACCCACGTTCTCCGCTGATTCTTTTCCGATTCTCCTTCTCAAAAGCAATAACTTTTCCTGCGCACATATTTTGGACTCACTTTTCTTTTTTTTTGAAGATACTTTGCGATATTTCACATATGCCAAACGCAATTTAGCCAAGAATTAAGTTATTTTTATTCTCTTATTCATTCTTTCAGTACTAGTAGTTGATTTAATAAATATATTTGGATAGACAGCTAGCTGGAACGATGCTCTAAATTGATTTATTCATAACGATTTGACAGAAATATGAAACATGAACAAAGAAAAACAAAGAAAGAATGTACGGTTAACAGAACAATTATGAATAAAATTCAAACTTACAACTGGTTTGAGACTATTCCTTATTATTGATGAGAAGGACTCCGATCTGGAAAAGACGTTGGATCGCATCGAGCTTCTCCTTTCTCGTGCTGGTCTTCGTTTCTTGCGACGAGAAGATCGAATCGAGCGTTCTCCATTCGGGATAAGAGTTCGAGAGAACACGGAAGACGTCGATTCCCGAGGCGGGAAATTCGACGATCTGCTCAGGACGTCCTTCAAACAACCGTGAGTTGTTCATGCGATGACTGATGAAGCATGAATCCTCGCTCTCCATCAGAAGCCGTTGCGTATGCTTCCGGATCAGACGGACTTCTGTGCGGGCCGTGAAGACAACGAGGTCGTCTCCAAGCAAATTGATGGACGAACCGAGCACACTGTGCTTCTTCTCTTCTGAAAACCGGAGAATGACGATGCGAACTCTCTGCCCAATGCACTTACTTTCAGTGAGAAGAGGCGGCAATGCCTGCTTCATGAACTCCTTGGCCATACTATCAACTGCACTTTCGAGCAATCCGTCGGCCACGAGGTTACGGAGCATGCTCATGTGTCTGTCTACGACAATCTTGAACTTCTCTACGAAATGATCTTCTTGTGAGTAGTCCAAATCCACGACTCCGCCCATGTCAAACAAGCCGATCGGCAGGCCGCGACGTAGTTTTTGACGATTCTCAGAGAGCGCCCCGACCGCCTCCGGGACCACCTTCTCCATGAGATCCGCGAAGCTCCATTTCCTGCCGGTCGAGACAGTCACATGCAGCGAATGAACGTTGTCGTCAGTGCGTGCCTGATGAATGAATCCTCTCGGGATGTAGATCAGGTCTCCTGCCTCGATCCATCCCTCGAAAACGGGCTCGCGGTCCTTCATCTCTTCTTCGGTGAAATTATCGCTAGACTCAAGAGGAAGCTCGTCTTCTGGATGCTCAGGAGCCCACACTCTCCAATATTTCCGTCCTTCAACTTGTAAAAGGAACGCATCGATTTCGTCCCAATGCGGGGCGAATCCGGAGCTTCCGGCTGGAGTCAGATAAGTGTTTGCGCCAACGAAACAGCCGAAAAGCTCCTGAATTACCTCACAGAGGTACCAGATACGGTCGTCAAATGTTTGGGGATTCACGAGTTGGACGGAACAGAGATTCTGAAAGAGACAAGAGTTAGGGAATGTCGGAGACGACCACGCTCACGTTGAGATGCTGTTTCACAATCTGTGGATAGACCCGTCCGCTCCCGTTCAGAGTCGTTCTTATTCCGCCTTTGTATTGAGCAATGTTTATGTTCGAACCGTACTCCAGATGATTCTTCTCAAGAAGTTCGCACAATCTGGCAGTGGAGAACAGATTTCCGTAGAACGAAGAATGTTTGCGATGGACGACCATCACGTTCGACTGGTACCACTTGCTGAAATCAGAAAGGAGTGTATAGTTCACAAAGAGGCCAACTCACTCGAAAAAGGTTTGCACGTCACACGGAGAGATGAGGAATCCGAAGGCCCGCGAGGCAGTGACCACGGAATTGTGGTCCGTGAACGGGAACTTGTCGAAATCTACCGGTTTTCCAGGGCGAGGGCTCTTTTCCGCTTTGATGACGTGCGTCTCCCTGTGCTTTCCGGCGATGAATCCTTCGTCATCTGAATCGGCATCCATCTCAGACACATCGGACTCATCGTTTCCCTCTTCGTCTTCTACTTCTTCTCCTTCTTCATCCTCAAACTCTTCCTCATCTGAAAGGGATCATTGGAAAACGTTTTAGTGTTCAGTTCCATTTCTACAAACCTTCCAATTCTTCGTCATCAAAATCCACTTCTTCATCTTCAACTTCTTCTTCGCCTCCGTCAATGTACCGAGCGATGTCTTCAGGACGGAGCACCATTTCCTCTTCGTCAATGTCCGTCTCGTCCTCATCCATCTCATCCTCGAATTCCTCTTCCTCCTCAAACTCATCGTCGCTTGAAAGGCCTCCGAACTCGTCCCTTTCCACAACCGCAGCCTTCCCGCCGTTTGGTACAAATAGCACGTCGTCGTCGTCGTCCAGAAGCTCCACAACAGGAGTCGAGGACGTTGTGCCCACTGAAAACAGTTCGTTTTGCTTATTCTCGTCTTGCTCTCCTTTCCTACCTTTCTTCTCTTTCTTTTTCTCAACTTTCTTCACTGCCACTTCGTTCTTTTTCTGCTTCTTTGACTTCAACTTGGGCGGCGTCTCCTGATGCTTCCTCTTAGTTCCTCCGCTCTGCTTCCCGTTCATCAGCACTCTCGAGACGTCCAGTCCGTCGTGGATCTTCTTCGGTTTGGCCAATTTGGCCGGATGCACAAACTTCGGCTCGTCGGACGGTGCCTTAAAGTGCAGTGAAGCAGCGCTCCTCGCCTCTCCTTTCTCGATGCTCGCCCATCGATCCGTGTGTTTCACTGATGATTTCTCCGTCGATGAAACTCCTTTCGAAGATCCGTTTCCGCGCTTCTTTTTTCCCATTTCACAGCAGAAAGCTATTGTAAATGTGGGATTCTCGAAAAGAATATAATAGGAAGAATGAGAAGTTTTTAGGCCAGATTCAAAGGAGTACTCTTCGCGCTGCCATTCTGCGAATCAATGGGAATACTCGGCCAAGGCCAGTGGGGCGGTAGCAACCAATGGACGGACGGGGAAAATCGATGCAATCGGAGCAAGACTGTGTGGCGGGAAGAGAGACTGTTTCATGGAGATATCAATAGATTGAGCCGTGAGTTGATATGGAATCGACTGTGCTACAGTAACCTCTGTCATCCTTCTTTAACGATCTGAACTTGGTACCGAAAACATGAAATTTGAATCAGTTGCTGAGTAGTTCTTTTTCAAATCATGTTTTACAACTAAATGCACGCTATTTTTACTTTTATCTGTATAGTAACGCTCATGGAATACCCCAATAATCGTTGCAGACTCTTCCTGGTCCTTTGCCAGTTCGTGGCCTTCGAGTGCTGGCCTAACATTCTCGCGTCTCCCCTTTCCTCTTCTCTTCATCATCCCTTATCCCACATTGTACTGAGTGACCAAAAAGCGAGAATATGGTAAAAATACGTCTGGAAACTAATCCAATAAGGATACATTTTCAGAAGTATCATTTCCTGGGAGACATGGAGTGTCCGTCTTGGCTGCTTGAAGAGATCTGCACCAATTTATCCGATATTGTGAGTATCTTTCTATCTTCCGTTTATAATTGAACATCTACAGACAGTTCTGTCGTTCAAACGATTATGCGAACGGGCGGCCCACTTCATGATCCACGACAATGATTTTCCCGTAATGGGCCATCTTCCCGAACTGATAAGTGAGTTATCATTAACTGAAAGATGCTCATTTCTGCCTTTCAGATGTTCCCACACTTGTTCCAAATCTCAATCTTGTCGGACACTGGCTTCTCCTCAAACCAGCCGGCTACGAATGTCCTTCAGAAGACCTCGAGAAAGAAGTCGTTCAGTTGGGACTGCCTCCAGGTACCCACGCATCCGTGATTAAGTAAAATACATGGTTCAGAGCATGGAAAACAGCTGAAGAACGTTTACGAGATTTATAAAGATGAACTGAAAAGAAAAGTGGTGGAATCCGTTCATAGAGGTATGTATAACACATTCACTTCCATCCCAATCCTTCCTCCGCAGAACCCCACGCGTCAATCCTCAACTCGACGTCTTCTTCGTTGACAATGCAGTCTGGCGGTCTCGTTTACGAAGTTTCCATGGGTTCGAACATGATGAATCAGTTCAAAAGCGGTAACTTTCCGATGGAAGTGCGGCGAATCACACATTAGTTGCAGATATCGAGAACTCGTTCTCCAAAATGAAGGACTTCGCGGGCACTTTGCCAATTTAATCCGAATGAAGCCACGAGTACCATCATCTCATCTCACTTTTCGAATTTTTATTTCATGTAAATAAATGCAACATTCTTTTTTCACTATTTCGTCCAGGTATTTACTGTCACAGTGACTTTTGTGTACTGCTGAAGGAATCGCAATTTTTACGTTGAACCTCTTCACAGCGACGCCCCATGTTACTCACTTGTGTTTCCCCCCTCACTCCTAACTTCTTTACTAAAACTGTCCCCCTCTGGAATGCTATCGTCAAAAACTGTAATGTCTTCCTTTCGTCTCCCAATTTCAGTCACTCGTAGATATCTCAATTGTCAAATATTAACTCCACTTCTAACGTTCACTTTCCTGTACCCCCTACCAAGGGCGCCCTCCTCTTGCGGGAATGGTTCCCTTCCCTTCCTATTCATCTTGCAGCCCCCTTCTGGTGTTCCCCTCTTTTACCGGTGTTCCGTTTTTTCCTGCGATGAATAAATGAATTTGAATTTGAATTAGAATCGAGCCGTGCCAGTGATGATTCAGAAAAGGTCACATCGAGAAGAGCGCAAACTGATAAGAATCATTGGTTTATTTGTTTGCATTTGCCGGTTGCGTTTGGTCGCACACTTGCGGGAACCAAGGTGACCGGCCGAACAATGGCCTTCTCCCTTCTTCTGTTTTCGCTTTCAACTATATGAGCGAATGTCCTCTTTTCTCGTAACGTTTTTTCATATTTAGGGTGTGCCCTGCTGCAAATTCGAATTCATCTTGACGATGGGAAATTAGCGAGCTGACGTTGTTCATTTCTCTGAATGTTTTTCATGATCCGTTTCTGGTCGAAGAAGAATCAGGTCTACATTGGCTTGTTGAGTGAGACTCTTGATGCTTCAAAAGTAAGAAACAGTTGTGTTTTGCAGTCGTTTGCATAATTCTGGTCATTTTGACTGTGCCACGTGTATACAAAAACCATGAGATTCGGAGGTTGGTCTATTGTGACAAGGTGATTTGATAATTGCGAGTCAATTTACAAACTGATTGAACTATTTCAGAAGGTTTATCACGATCACCGATACATATTTTTCCCGATGACTTCGATAGTGCACGAGGGAGGAATCGGTCAGTTTTGCATTACAAAAAAGCGGAATTCTCACGGGAAATGCAGGAAATCAACTGTTCGAAGTGTTTTCTCTGATCGGAATGGCCAGGATGCTCAATCGAACGGCGATTTTCGACGGCGACAACTGGGACCTCCACGCGCGTCTAGATCTGCTCCAACGGCACCTTCCTCAGGTGGCTCGGCAGGTCATTTCGATTCCCATCGACGTTCCTAACACGACAAAGTACGTGTACTCTCCCGCCTGCTGCCACTTCCAGATATCACCTCTGCTCTTTTGTGAACAGACAAAGTTTCTTCTCATTGACGGTTCTTACTTTCAGGTGAAACAATTAATTTCGTGATAAATTCTAAAAATGTGTAAAATGTTCAGAGTTTCAAATACTTTGCGCCAATTGAGAATTCGATCAGGGAATGGCTGAAACCATCGGAAAAGGATAGTGAAAGGCTGAAAAAGACGGTGGCAAAGAAGGACGAATTACGTTTCAAGTGAGAATTGGGAAGTTGATTTGCAATAAAGAACTGCTTAGAACGTGTGTGCACATTCGGAGAGGCGACTTCCTGACGGACGGAGTGCACGAGGGAACCAACAGCACGTTCACGATCAATGCCATCGAATACCTTTATACTCTCCGTGGGAACTTTCTTCCATTTCCCTTTCATTCACTTTGTTTTACAGATCCCGGTCTCGTTTTTCTGTTCAGCAATGATCCGGAATGGTCGAGAACGCGAATCGCAGACTATCTGGACTTCCAGAGGGATATCAAAGTGATGGAAACTCCGAACGATGAGGCCCTTCATGATCTGTACTTTTCTCGGATTCACTGCGACGCCGTACTGATTACGGGTGAGACGAAGACGGAGAAATCTTGTTATAACTGTCGTTTTCAGCGCCCTCGTCCACGTTTGGATGGTGGTTGGGATACGTTTCGAAGAACAGTTCGAATGTTTACTACAGAGACATTCAAGAAGTGAACGATTCTGTCAAATACCAAATGATCGAGGAGGACTACTTTCCTCCCGCCTGGCGCAAAATGGGAATGACTCGGAACAAACGCATTTTTGTTCATGAATCATGAATCATAAATTGTAAATACTTGAATTTTTAATAAAAAATAACTAATTCATTATCATACAGTTTGCAAAACAATTTCTCTGAAAGATATGGTGGACACGGAACTGAAATACATGGGTGACTGAGCGGGTTGGACGGTCGGTGAGAGGACCATTAAAAAAGAGAAAAAGGAAACATTTTATGGTAAAAATTGAAGGGGAAACATAGAAAATCTCTAGAAAACCAACTCGTAATCGCGTGATGTTCAGGACTCGGATCAATGCGAAAAGATGCCATTTGTTGCGAAAGAAACAGAGATATTCAATCAGAACGAACAAAAAAAGGAAATGGAAATGGAAAGAAAGAGAGAAGAAGAAGAGGAAAGAGAAGAAGAAGGCAACTGACGACTGTTAGTACCTATAAGTGCCCTTCTCGTACTGCCTTTGACCCATGTCCATATCGTCGTACTCGTCGAATCCGTGACGATCGTACGATGTCTGTCGTTGGGGCGCCGACGGAGGAGCGGGTTGCAAGTGCGGTTGGATGCCGTAGGAAGCGGGTCCCTGCTGCACACTGATGCTCGGCATTCCGGGACGGCCTTGCATCGGAGGCACCAGGTACGGAGGATTCATGGTTCCCATTTGGCCAGAAGCCATCTGAGACATCGATGCGATGGACTGCTGAGGCTGTAGTTGGGGAGGACCGCCCGGCATGCCCTAAAATATTCCCTTTGCACATGAAATACCGTTCTCTCCACTGACCTGCATCATTTGAGCCGGCGTGAACATAGTGCTCGGGCCTCTGTTCTCCATCGGATTCCGTTTTATTCTCGGCGGCGATCTGACCGGCGGATGCGTGGCTCTCCAGTAGGCTTCCATGAAATCGGCGAGGTGTTCGCACGCGTCTTCCAGCTGGTTCTCGTCGAGCAACACGTCGAACAGCTCGGCCTGGCACTGTGCCAACTTCTCCGCAGCCACCATTTGCACGTTCATGTTCCTTGATTGTGACTTCCCGCGCGATTTGATCAATCGTTGTAGAACCTGAGAAAAGGGAGAGAGTTGGAACAGAAGAGGGAACAAGGAAAACTCACTTTTGGACTGGAGATCTTGATGTATACGTGGATGGGAGCGAGACTCGTCTTCGCCAACTGCGACGGATGGTTGATGGTATCACAATCGAGCACGACCAACTGCATTGATCTGGCCAGTTCGAAGATCCTCTCGATTTCTGTCTGGATCTCCGCGAGACTGTTACTCGTCCTCGAGTTGGCCCTTTCCATCATCGCTCTTTTGTTCGGATTGTTTAGAAGACTTCGTTTGGCAAGTGAAATATCAGCTGTTACCCGTGTGATAATTATTCTGAAACTCAGCGAATTTCAAAGTAAACCAAACAACTAAAAGCTCGCTCACCTTCCTTCGAACCTATGCTTCAAGTAGTCGAACACGGCCTTCTGCATCATGTCCGTGACTTCGTACCCTTTCAACGATGGCCCCACCAGCACCACCGGCCTCATCGAAGGAACCACGTCGTACGGAGGCACATTCTCTTGCTGCACCTTCTTGAATATCAATTTCTTCTTCTCTTTTGTCGGCGGCGTCGTCACGATGTTCGTCATCCGCTTCGCATTGTATTCATCGTCATCTGAAAGAGTTGCCATCTGAGTTCAGTCCCCCATTCATTCTAGGATTACCGGGCGTCGGAGGGGTGGATCCTCTCGATCCGCTCCTCGGCATCATGTTGTCGAGTGCTCCGAGATTGGTTGCAGATGTCGATTGCTTGCTGTAAACCCCTCAATCTTCATCAGCTCCGCGCCCGATCACTCACAATTTGCCCGACTTGGCCGTCTGAAGTCTGAGCGATTCGAGCTTGGCCGGCGACGGAATGAACCCCAGATCGTGGCCTTCCTTCACTAACCGTCCAATCCACCAGTCATTGTTGTACTTCTGAAATCGAATTATTGATAATTCGCCGATTGAGAGTGACTGTAACCTCTTTCACGTGTAAAAAGTCTTTGACCTTGAAAGAGACGGCGCACCCGTGCACTGGTGAGTCGTCGTCCACACTTCCGTCGTATTCTACATTCGTAGAGACCGCGAAAGCCACCGGTTTGTACTGTAAACGGCTCAAAATAAGGAAGACCTATCACAGTGATCCGCTCACCTTGGCCCTCTCTAGTTGCAGTGCGGCCTGTCGTTCGGCGTCCCTCCGAAGAGTCTCTCTGTTTCCAGCCTCGAGCTCAAGATCATCGTGATGACTGAAGTTCGAGTCTCCGCTCCCCTGCAACCGACCCATTCTGTGATCCTTCTCTCTGCCACTCCCGAACTCACCCTTCTACGGAAAGCCATCTAGCGGATGGCTGCTGCGTCGGCTCCTCCTCGACCCGGCGTGACCTTGTCACTTTCGGCGCTTTCCTCTGTGCCTCCTCGTTTCGTCTTCGTTTTCTTCTTCGTCCCGCCGCCTCCTCGGTCTGTTCTCTACTGACGACTTCAATTGTTGTCGTCGTCGTCGTCGTCTTTTTGTGCCGACTCTCCCCCCGTCGTGCCGTTCTACTGCAATTTCATAAATCAAAAAAAGTGCAATTGGTTATTCATTGGGTGTGCCACGGGCAATAGAGCCGCTCCGGGCGCAAGCGTCAAATGTCACTTTTTGGAAATTGAAGACGTCGAGCGGCAAGCAAGCGGAGCCGAAATAAATGACAAATCAACGGGGGAACGGACGAGGAATTGGACGAGAACGGGGGATACTGTAGGAAGTGGAAGACGTCAGAGGGAGGGCTCGAAATTGAAAGCCATAACAGTGTCCGTCACACGGAATTTGACAACTGACTGCATAATTTAGAACGTCAATGTATCCGTGACAAGACGGGAATCCCCCTCTTCTTCCCGGATCACTTTGTGGTCGATTCCCGAGTGCAACTGGATTTCGTGAAAAGAATCAGCTGATATACATCAGAGTTTGACGGATAAGAGAAAGCGAGACAGACAGAAAGAAAGAGAAAGAGTGATCGTTAAGTACTTGATTGCCGGTTGTAAGAGGAGGCAATCGTGCTCTATGGCACCCATTAACTTTCAAAATGGAGTGGAGAAGTGAAGCGAAAAGCAATGGGAGAGGCGGCGAACGAAAACGGATCGATCGGACGTCTCTCGCCTTTCTTCGCCGTCGGCATTGTGCAAAAGTTGGACGGGAAAACACTCGAAAAACAAAAAAAGTGCCAAACATTTATGAGCACCCACTACCGCCAGCCGAAGCAGAAGGCCGCATACACAGAGGGTTTGGGAGCGAGCGAGAGAGTGCAGAAAGGGAGTGGTAAGAAGAAGATGGAGAAGGAGCAGGGACGAGAGCGCGGCTCCTTCTTCTTCTTCATCTCTCTCTCTCTTCTTCGCCTTCCTTGCCCACACTACACTACTTGAATCCAGTCGGGGGGCGAAAGAAGAGCGGGTGGCGGCCGAGGCCTCTACGGCTGTTATGTGGCAAACGGCGAGGAGGCGAGGAGAGTCCGCGTGGCTAACGGAGTGGCGGGGATGCGCGAGAGAGCCTGAGAAAGCCACGCGGGCGGAGAGGAGCCGGACAGAGAAGACGCGCTTTCATCAATACAAAGTCAATAGAGAAGGATGAGAAGGGGATGTAGAGGAGGATGAGAGAAAGGAAACGAAACGGAGAGAGATTGTGATGGGACGGTTCCAGTTCAGAGGTGATCAGTACAGCACAATGAATGCTCGATAGAACGGCCCGGGAAAGTGAGCGGAACGATGGTTGTGGAATTGGCAGGTGAAACGAGACATTGTGGTGCCGGTCGTCCCCCAAAAGAGAGGTGTTTCGCGTGTCTCACGCGACTCGACTCGCACCGCTTCTTTTTCGAAGGTGCCAATTTGATAGACATAATTGCGTTTGCGTGGAAGTGGTTTCACTCGGAAGACGCGATGATCAGAAGAAAAAGACGGTTTCTCGGCGGAGAAGCATCAAAGGACGCCTTCGGAATGTTGGCGATGAGGTTAATTGGTTGTTTGGAATCTGACGGGAACCAATCTGAAAGTGAAGCGGTGGAGATCTCTGGAAAGACGCTGTTTCCCGCATCCGATTTGTAGCCATACTCGGATCGTTTTACGTCACTACTCATATTTCGGTGCCATCTTGTCGTCGCGTCGCGTCAACTAGCTTGACGTGGCACTGGCAACATGGCCGTTTCGTGACTCATTCCGACTTCTGACTCCTGCTTTCCTCCTACTGCTTCTTCTTTTTCCGCACGGACCCAAGCCACAGCTCCTCTGCCGCCGTTGTCCGTACCAAAAACAATGCACGGAATATGATGAGAACGGAGAGTGCGTAGACGCAGAGCAGCCCGCTTCATTGTGAATGCGGCTCACACGACGACGACGCCGACGACGTCGACAAGGGGACTCGGCGCGCCGCCGCCGCACACATGCAGACCCACAATACTAATGGAGTTAGGCAGAAGAAGAAAAAGAAGAAGAAGAAGAAGAAGAAGAAGAAGAAGAAGAAGAAGAAGAAGAAGAAGAAGCAGAAGAAGCAGCAGAAGCAGAAGTAGAAGCGAGAGTAGGGAAAAGGCAGCGGGATGTGTTTCTTGCGCACTTGTCATTTTGGGAGAAGAGACTAGAGTGGTGGTGGAGAAATTAAAATACAAATTGGGAAAGAAGGACAAAACCGAGCGGATAAGACGATTCATGAAGAGGGAATGAGAATATCTTTGCAGAAAGGTACGTGCCAGCACCTCTTCCATTATTTCCTAATTGTGCCCGCTTAGTGTGGGCACGAGTGCACTCTAATGAATGAGTAGATGCCAAACCAAATAAACTGAGTGTCCTTGAGCAAAAACGCTTTATTTTCTTTGCTAGCTAGAAGGAGAGGGATTGTGATGTCGTTCTTTTTATGCTCGGATGAGGCGGACACGCCGGACCTTCTTGCGGCGATACTGTCCTCCACTTGGTGCAGCGACAGCGGCTCCTCCAGCTGCTCCGCTTTGGTATCCTCCAGAAGGTGCGGCGCCAGCAGTAGCACCTGAGTATCCTCCCGTTGGGGCGGCGACTGCTGGAGCTGAAGCTGGAGCAGCAGCGGCAGCTCCTCCTCCATATCCACCTCCTCCGGCTCCCGCAGCGGCTCCAGCGTCTCCAGCACCTCCGTCAGAGTAGGCACCAGCTCCCTGAGTTCTTGGTGGACATGGGCAATAAGCGGCATCGGATCCTGGAGCTCCATCGGTTCCCGGTCCTCCGGGCGGTCCGGCTGCTCCTGGTTGTCCGTCGTTTCCTGGTGATCCTGGTGGTCCTGGTGGTCCCGCTGGAGATGGCTGAGCGAGGCCGTCTTCTCCATTTGATCCCGGAGGTCCTGGAGGTCCTGGTGGTCCCGGAGGTCCTGGTTGGTTGGTGCTGGTAGTTCCGCCTGCTCCTGGTTGTCCATCAGGTCCTGGAGCTCCTGGCTGTCCGTCTGGTCCTGGTGGTCCTGGTGGTCCCGCTGGTCCTGGCTCTGCATTTGCCGCACCTTGCCCGTCAGGTCCTGGTGGTCCAGCAGATCCAGCCGGTCCCGCATTTCCGTCTGGACCCGGAGGTCCTGGTGGTCCTGCTGGGCAAGTGATGCAGTTTCCAGCAGATCCGGCGTACGTATCCGCGGCTCCGGCGTCTCCTGAGGCTCCGTCCTGTCCTGCCTCTCCTGGCTCGCCATCAGCTCCAGCCTCTCCTGGTGGTCCTGGCGGCCCAGCTGGGCATCCGGATGCCTGAGCAGCACACTGGCACTGTCCTCCGCCGCTTCCTCCGGCGCCTCCTGCGGCAGCATAACCTTCTCCACCCGCTCCGGCAGCAGCAACTCCACCGGCGTACTGTCTCTTGACACGACCGAAGAGTCCTTCGAAGGCAAGTCTCTCGGTTGGCTGCTCGACCCGTCGTGCGGCTATCATTTGGGACCACGCGTCGTTGGCTTTCAGCTGAAAGAGAGAATGAGTTCAGTGAAATTTTCCATTCAACACTGACCTTGAATGCGCTCATGTCAGCAACAAACTCGTTTTCGAAGGACTGCAGGTCCCCAACGATCGAAGCCATCGACACAATGGTGGCCGTAACGAGGACTGCCGCCACTGCGGTTCCAGCGGACAACGCGTAGAACGTGCCGCTCGACATTATCTGAAAGACATAAAGAGAACTGGTTTGCGCTGAAAAAGAACGGAAGCAGTTCCAGGAACTAATGGATTACCTCTGATTGTTTCGCGAGACGGTCGAGTTTGAATCAAGTGCCTATTCATCGTCACTTCCGCTTTTATACTAATTCAATTTATCTTTCGATATAACTTTTACCGCTGGTAAACGGTTTGCGAAAACAATAACAAATAACGAAAGAGCGTGTGATTCCAGGAGACGCAGCACCGATTCGTTTCGGAGATGTTAAACGCGACCAGTTCCAGTGTGTGAGGGCAGATGCCATCTCAACGGACACAAAAACAACAACTGTTTTGAATACCAATTGCCACTTTCACTTATCAAGAACCATTGACCCATGAACAATTGACGTGAACATATGATTAGAGATGATAGTCTGAGGAGGGTATAAAAGAACGGGCGCCCGACGAGAAGGCACTTCATTCAGCCGCCACACAGCTGATAACGACGTCTTCTGAGGTTTCCCTCTCTTTCGTAATATCATCTTCTGAGCACCTCCTTGCAGATGTCGTCAAACGCTTCCTTCTATGCGCTCACAGGCGCTACAGGCATCGCCGCGATCGTCGTCGCCGGTGTCGTCTTCTCGTACCTCTCGATTCTCGGAGATATTAACCAGTTCGAGAACGAGTTCTCCAACGAAATGTCTGTGTTCAAGGTAACTGAGCCCGCTCCGATCGTATTCCCAACTCAATGTTTCCAGGTGAAAGCCAATGACGCTTGGTCTCAAATGATGGCCTCCCGAAGAGTCGAGTCTCCGACTGAGAAAGTTGCTTTCGAGGGACTCTTCCGTGTGAAGAGACAGTATGCCGCTGGAGGAGGAGGAGGAGGAGGAGGAGGAGGATATGCTAGTGGAGGAGGAGGTGGCGGAGGCGGATGCCAATGTGCTGCTCAGGCTTCCGGCTGCCCAGCTGGACCACCAGGACCACCAGGACAGGCCGGAGCTCCAGGAGAACCGGGAGAGGCAGGACAAGACGGACAACCAGGATCTGCAGGACAGGCAGACTCGGGAAGCGCCGGACAGGGGTGCATCACTTGTCCTGCTGGACCACCAGGACCTCCGGGACCAGATGGAAACGCCGGACCAGCTGGAGCTCCAGGACAGCCAGGACCAGACGGAAATGTCGGAGGATTTTCTGCTCCAGGACCACCAGGACCCCCAGGAGCGCCAGGAAACGATGGACAACCAGGAGCGCCTGGACAAGACGGACAGCCAGGAGCCCCAGGAACGAGCACTGTTAACACGCCGGGAGGACCTGGACCAGCCGGACCACCAGGACCACCAGGGCCACCAGGACAAGATGGAGCTGGAAGCGCACCTCAACCAGGACCACCAGGACCACCAGGACCACCAGGAAATAATGGACAACCTGGAGGACCAGGACAGCCGGGAGGACCAGGACCAGACGGAGGACCAGGAACTGATGCTGCGTACTGTCCATGCCCACCAAGAACTCAAGGAGGTGGAGGAGGAGAATACCCATCCGGAGGCGGCGGTGGTGGCGGATACAGCGGAGGTGCTGGAGCAGGAGCAGCGGCTGCAGGAGGCGGAGGATACAATGGACGAGGTGGAGCCGGCGGTGGCGGCGGCGGTGGATACGCCGGAGGAGCAGGTGGTGGCAGCTACAACAACCGTCGATTCCATCAGTGATCTGATTTTTGACACGCAAATAGCGAATAAACGATTTATTGGAAAAAAATAGATTTGGACCTGTATTTACATACACATTTGAGAGGGATTTGTGGACTTCTTAGGCATCATGTATGACGGAAGGAGCTGTTTCGGAGCGACTCCTCCTGCTCCGAAACATGGACGCGGCTCTTCCTCGAGAAAGGTGCTCCTTTATGTCTTTGAGATCGAACGGCAGAAGCGTTGATTCCTTGAAGTCCTTGTGCTCTTTCAACGCAGAATTTTGTCTTGTCACTTTTGCGAGTCTCCGCTCGATGTCCGGCTCGTTCTCCCATGCCAGTTTGCACACGTTCAGCTGCTCCGAAGTGACCCGCTGCATTGAAAGTCCTTTGATTTTCTCCCTGCAACTCCATGTTCCCTTCGTTCTTCTTCCTTGTTTCTCACCTCAAATGACTCATGTCATTGCCCGATTTCCTCGTTCTGAACAGCTTGAATCCGGTCACAACGTCTTCCAGCTCCTTCTCGTGCATTTCCTCGTTCTTCTTCTTTGAGTACATGTAATCTCTTCGCTTTCTTGAAAATGCAATCCATCCGATTTTTGAGAGAAACAAGGTCAACTCGATGATTGTGAAAACGGACATCCCCATGAACATGCCCATGTTACCTCCAATGTCGGAGAGAAGTTCTGTCAGAGACATTCCCTGTTTTTGGATGTATTCCGTGTAGGACATGTCTCGAAAGAACACATTGACCACTTGGAAGTTGGACCTGAAACAATTGGTTTCTTTTCGCTCATCAACCTTTCGCTCACTTCATGTGCTGAATCCTCCACTCTCCCTGCTTGCTCAGCCACATCAATGCTCCCCTTGACAGTCCTTTTCCGTATGAATTGAACGAGTGATACACTTGGCTTTTGCACTCGACCCTGCACTCCTCGCAAGTCGGCATTTCAATGTTCAGATTCGTCGGATTCACCGCTTTCTTCATCTTGGTATCCATGCATCGGTACGTCTCGTATGGTGTGCAGTCATTGAAACCTTAACAAATTCATTCTTCGAGAGTTATTGCCGGGTTAACTCACGATTGAGATGATTATAAATGGAGGGAGAGCAGCCACAAAGCTTTTGAAAGTGTTGAGCCTTACAGACCGTCGAGCACATCGCGGCAGTATAGGGAAAGTCGTAATCATAGCCGGGCGGCCAGTGGTCCGAACAGTTTCCCCAGGCGCTGGACGACAAAAGAATGTACTTGGAGCTGGAGAGAGCAGAATAAACGACGCTGTCAGGGGAGATGGCGATGCCTTCGGAGGCCAGGAACGGGATCTCCTCGGAGGCATGCACGTAGTACCGGAATCCGTTCTCAAATGCACTCGAGAACACCGGAGTGACCCCGTCGGTCTCCGAATCGAACTGCTCCTCCAAGTGCGAGTCCAGGATTATTTGCAGTCCGGCCGCGATTCCCGGTTCCGTCTGCATCTTCATCCACGGCTTCTCACTGCTTTGCATGTTCAATGTGAAGCACTTTCCCAGATCGGAAAATACTGGCGTCGCGTACTTGCAGCAATCGAACCGTCGGCCTCCGAATGAACACATTTTGAACATGTCACCGCAAGGGAAGCCCGCGTTCATAAAGAATCCGTCTGCGGTAAAGTTCGGATGGCTGGCCACGTACTGTTTGTAGACGTTGTCTCCGGAGTGGAGACTCTGGCCGTCGGCCCTCCCGTACAACGTCATCGCATCACTGTTGAACATCATCAGATAGTCGAGCAAGTCATCGGAAAGATCTTTGGTTGAGTTGAGTTCTGCAAGAGATCGTTGATCATCATCGAATCCGGTTCTTCTCATTTATTTGAGGAACTTACGCTCGACATAGGTCCGTTTTATTGGGTTAAAACTGCATACAGTGACTCGTGGAAACTGCATTCCGCCCTCGCTGAGCAGAAATGATACCTGCAAAGAATCGGATGATATCACATTTACCAGAATAAACAACGCACCTGGGATACTGTCGGCCTTGACAGAAACATACTTATAAGTGAGGAGACTTGGGCAAGAAGCATTATCATCGAAGCTATCATTATGAACATCCAAAACACGAACGACCATCTTTTCCCGTTGTATATCCGTTTCGGACCGTGTAGTGTTGTTGTATCTGAAATGTATGCATTTCAAAATAGTTGGTCGGAAAGTGACCGACTGGAAAAGTGTTCGGATTCTCTCGTGATCGAGGACACTCCTTCCGTGTTCTTGATCTTCTTCAATTGTGCCACCGGAACGTCCACAATCAACTGCGACGCCCTTTTCGAGAACGGTCTCAGCTCGGAAAGGAACGATCCTTTGCTCGCGGAAGGTCTGAAAACGAGAATGATAAGGAAAAGGGGAAAAATAAGGCGATTACTTGATGTTGGGCATTTCGCCGACGGTCGAACACGACGAAGACGGAGCATTAGAGATTTCGTCGTCGAAGCTGTCAGCTGTGAAGTGCACCTGAACCAGTTTTAATATTTTGCATTCTTCGGTGTACTCGTGATATCAGCGTTTTCTTATCTTTCCGTCATTTCACATAATTGATTGCCGATTCTACAGGTAGTTCGAGAACTAATTTCAACGTTACGATTGAAAAGGAAACGGAAAAGTTTTGTGGTTTTGAAACGGGCAGTCAGGTGGGATGGATGCTCAAAAAGGTGTCAAAACAACAGTGCCCTTTCACGAGAGTTCAGTTCAAATTTCTAGTCGAAAGGAAAACAATTCAAGTGGAATAAGAGGAAGTGGTACTGGATTACTGTAGAACTCACCGATTCAGCTTTGCTCCGCTGCCCTTCCGGACTCTGGTGTTGGGCGGAACGGCCCATCGGTCCGTCGTTGTACAGAAGCGAAATGTTTCTGAACGCAATGGATCTGTGTTGGTGACGAAAGCAAGAGAGAGAGAGAGAGAGAGAGAGAGAGTAGAAGAGAGAGAATTGTTTGAACTCGATTCCCAGGCTCCCCCGAATTATCGCCGCTTCTTTACACTTCACATTCGTTTGCTCACCGGATTTGGAAGCGAGAAAGGGAGCGCGAGCACGATACTTTTGGCGAGTTTCCTCGTGGAACGGGAACTCACCTGACGCGTCGCATCCTGAATCCTCCTTCTGTGGCTCCTCGTCGTCGTCGTCGTCGTCGGAGAGTGACTCGTACAGTCCGTAATGTTCTTATTGTTGTTTCATTTGATAAAAGGTGGAACAGAGAGGCGAGAAGAAGAGTGATGTGGCCGGAAAGTGATAAGAGAGCGGTGACGGCGGAGCACACTCCCAGGGCCGCTTCCAATGTCTCCTGCTCCCGTGCTCCACGACCTACTCACTACATATTCACTAATTTGAATTATTCTACAGATATCTATCGGTACAGCACGTCCTTCCTGTTCTCCACTCCTTCCTGTTTTGAATGGCTGAATGAAAAAGGGGAATGGAGAACAGCGAAAGTGCTACAAACATCATCTGAATAGGGAAAATGTCAGTCAGAAAAGGAAGTTATCATTAAAAAAGGCGATTAAACGGGCACATTCCGTCCACAGAGTGATTTATTTATCAAACAACTGATAATAAGTTGATCGCTTCATCTAAGGACAAAACGGGAAGAATGGCGGGCGAAGAATAACATTCCGGAATCGTCTGAATACAGACAAAAGCGAAACTTTGCTTCTTTCTCAGTTCTGAAACATTATGCATTCGGGTTATGATCGAATGCAAAAACAGAAGAGAACTTTTTGCTTTGCAATAATTTTCTGCTATTCAGAATTCCATTAATGATTTCAACACTTCATTCAGGAACGGCTCAAATTATCCCCTTTCCAGACGGACTCTTGGTGGCATTGGCGATGACAAAGCCGATTTGGCCACCGAGGATAATCTGAAAAAGGGTCTCACCACGGAAAAGTTCAGAGTTCCACTTGCCTTTGCACCGGTTCCCATGAACACGAATGCGGAGAGAATGACGACGAAAACTGGGAGCAGAAGTTTCATTTTCAGTCAAAAGTGACGAAAATGAACGGCTCCACGATATTTATACGTCGCGAAAAGCAGTTTATGAGGTAGTAAACGGATGAGTGGGAGGAGGACATTCATGAGTCATTTCGATGATTTTATAGATACAGTAATATTGTTGTTTCGGAGAAAAGGGGAGGTTCCGAGCGATGTATGATTATGGCAATGATCGGGAGAATGAGAGCGAATTAGGAGGAATGCGATGGAGGGGAAGCCATCGGATACTGTCATTCTCTCGGAAATGTCACGAAGTTTTGGTCAAGAGTTTCTCGATGAACTTTCAAAGTTTGGATCGAAGACTTCGCTGGTTTGTTTGTTTTTTTCTGTTTTCTCAAGAGAGATCATTCAGATATTTCGAGATGCTCACATTTCATTCGATCAGCTGGTCTCCTATATCAAGAAATGGTCCTCACGGCTGAAGAATCTGAAAAAGAGGTTAAAGAACGAGAAAGGCTTTGAAGCGAACCTCTATTTTATTGTTTAAAGATCCACTGATCCTCTTCGGATCGCTCTCTTCTCGACCAATTCGCCCGATATCATCGCCATCATCGTGGCCGTTCAGTGCGTTGGTCTGACCGTCATCCCTTTGAATCCTTCATATAAGAAATGTAAAAAGTATCCAGAAGCGATCACTCTTCATTTTGTTCCTCAGATGAAATAGAAGAGTACCTCCGTCTCTCGAACGCGAATTTTATCATAGTCAGTGATGACGTAGATTTGGAGAAGTTTGAAGAAATTGAAGTGAACACAATCTCGGAGATGTTGGCTGAAGAAGAAGAAGAAGAAGAAGAAGAAGAAGAAGAGGACGGAAACGACGACGGAGCACTGCCCACTTCTGGAGTCATTTCATTCTTCTCTTCTGGAACAACTGGACCGCCAAAGCTCTTCGAGTATTCTCATCGTATTCTTTGTGCTCAACTTGATCAAATAAGAGCGATCCAGTCAGATTCCCGCTTTTTCTCCCCGTCCGATTCGGATATTTGCTACGGAGTTCTTCCGTTTTTCCATGCTGGAGGACTCGTTACAGTATTATCTATGCTCTTTTCCGGCTGTACCATTTTGGTAAACGAAAGATGGAGTGAGCAAGAGTTCCTCGCAAACTGCCAGAACTACTCCGTCTCGGTGCTGTTCCTCGTTCCGCCCGTTCTTCATTTCCTCGCCAACAATCCGCTCGTTGCCAGTTTCGATCTGACTTCTCTGAAAACAATCTACGTGGGCGCGGCGGCCAGCCCGCCTGTGAACTTCTCGAAAATATCGAAGCGATTTGCGGGATTGGAGAATTTGATTCAATGTAAATACTATGAATAAGTTCACTTTGTCTCAACAGTTTTCAGTGTACGGAACCACTGAATGCGGCGTCCTTTTGTGCAGTACTGGCAAGGGTATCGCCAGTGGTCTGACGGTCGGACTGCCGTTCCCGTCGGTCGAAGTGAGAATCGATCGGAGCAAGAGCGAGATTCAGGTGAAGTCGCCGACCGCCGTGGAAGAAGGATTCGTGGACACAGGTGGAGGGAAATGGGGTGACGGAGTGGCCGACGGGCAAGTGTTTCAGGAGATTTGGGATGTTTCAGTTATAAAGCGAACGAGTTAATGATAGTCGGACGGTCGAAAGAAATGATGAAAGTGAGGGGTTGGCAGGTGAATCCGAATGAGATCGAGGATGTCATTCGGATGGTTTCCGGGATTGTCGACTGTGCAGTCTACCAAGTGAGTCCCTCCGCCCCACGTTTCCACATTCGTTCCCCCTTTCAGAAACCAGTCTCTGGCCAGTTAGTCGCCAAAGTAATCGGAGATTCCGGAACAAAAGAGGAGATTATGACGGTGGTGAAAGGTGAGAAGAGATTCTCGGAATGAAACGCCATTTCCCCCTTTTTCCAGATAATTTGGCGTCCTACAAACGACTCGATGACGTCCTTTTTGTGAAGGAACTTCCGAGAAATCCGTCGGGCAAACTGGTCCGACATCTTCTCTAATAATGAAATAATGAATGCTTGTTTGCTTTATCAGAAGAATAAAATCAATTTCTCTTATCCTTTTTTGGTGTTCTCGACGTCAGGTCCGCTCGTAGTCTTGACGATCATTCCGGATTGACCGCCCATCAAATCATGTCCTCCCCTCTGTAAGCAGTAAAAGTATAGGAGGGATTACTGTAGAACTGTTCCCACTTCGAACAATTTGTTCCAACTGGCTTGAGAGTTGGTCTTCAACTGGGGCGCTGAGAAGACGTCGACCAGCAGAAGGGTGAGAAAAAGGAAAAGACCGAAAATGTTCATGGTTGACGAACAGACGAATGATCGGCGGAAGAGAAGGACGGTCAGGGCGGGAAGGGGAGGAGAAGGAAAGGTTCTCATGCAGACTGCTGAGAACAGGGAGAGCATTGGGAACCGGAGGAATCTCCGAATTCAGAAAAATAGTTTTTATTGATCGTATCGGAACTACACATAAGTTGTTGCACAACTACAGTTTAGAGCAAGTTTTCTTCGTTTTGCATGTCAAAGTTGTTGATCAACGACTGCCAATCCTGCAAACATTTTCCCTTTTTTTTCAAAATTCAAAAAGAGAGCACAAACCAAAGAAGCCGTATTCGACAAATTCGCCGTTTTGCTGCCATCGAAAAGGGATAAAATGTCATTGGATGCGGTCGCAGAAGAGGAGCCCTTCGAAGGTCCCGGAGGAGGGAGAATTGGAGGGACAAAAGAGGAAGTGTCGAAGAGAGTGGCCAGCGGGCCGATGGGGAATGCGACGGAGGCGGCTGATTCCAGGTCCAGCAGGTTGCCTTGATTCGCCGATTCTTCGACGTCTTCGATCAAAGGACTGTCCGGCCTGCTCTCTTCCCGTTCCTCGCCTCCGAACTGCGGACTTTCCCTTCCGAACAGCAGGGTTTTCAGCTCTTCTTCCGATCCTTTCGGTTGCGCGTTCTCCGTTTTCTCCTCATTTCTGACTTCTCTTTCCGGTTTAGTTCCAGTTGCCAGATGCTGGAAATTTCAGAAAACTTACTTATAATGGCAGAATGTGTGACTTACACTGAGAATCTCAAAATCGTAGTTGTTGTAGCAGTTTATGTTCTCCGCGAGTGTTTCAAATGCTCGAGACGTCTTCAAATAATACTCATAGAGCTCATTCTGATAATGCGTGAGCACGTAGGAAAGCAGATTCGAGCGGGAAGCGGACAGAAGATCGACCTGGAAACGAGCCACATTTCCTTTTTTCCCTTCTGGCTACCCTATAATTGGAGACGTGTCACTTCCCATCTGGCTCACCTTCTGCAGAGTGTCCGTCTTCAGCCGGTCGAGCCTCTCTTTGTTCGACTTCACCGTCGTCTGCGCTTCTCTGAACTTCTCCATAGATCCATCCACCTCCGGATCGAGCTCTTCGCTCGTTTTCTTCATCCAGAGAAGGCTTCCCCGGTACTCGGTCCGGCACATTTGCACGGCTTCAATCGTCTGCGAACAGTCCCCGATAGCTCGTTCCACAAACACACTCAGCTTGTTGTAGAATCTGGAGAAACAGTGAATGAGAGTGGGAATGAATGGAAATGAACTCACGTGGAGACTCCGATCCTTGCGGCATTTAACCGATGGCTCGAGAAGAGAAGGGACCGCCCGACGGCTATCAGAATCCTTCCGACCGCTTCCGTCTTATCCACCTTTCCTTTCTCTTTCAGATACTTTCCTAACACATTCTGGACGAGCGTTTCATCTAGAATAGCGAGAAAATGAATGAAATTAAAGTAGAAAGGGAACTGTTACCAAGTAGGAAGTTAGCATAGTTATCCACATTGCTCAGTAATTGAAAGGAAGTTCCATGGACCGATCTGTACAGATTCAGACACGTGTCCAGTTCGTTGTCGCTCGCTTCGAGGTGTTCGTCCTCCTGTAATCTCCACTTGCTCCTCTCACCTCACCCATTTCTTCACCTTCTTTCCCAATTTGGTCCGTATAAATTGCCGGGCGGTCCAGTAGTGTCTCTGCATTGTATTCACCGTCGACTCGTCCGTCAACCGGGCCATAAACCTGTCCGCATTCATCCCGCTGCAATCTTTTTTCATATTCTCTCAGTCCAAAAACAACTCACCTCGTGTTCCGTTCGTAAAACTGCGCCGCCATGTTCGAAGTGAAGAGCAATTCTCGTTTCGAAACAGCACAATTTTGGCAATGCTCTCTCTTTCCGAAGCAGGAGACGTATTTGGGGCACGGCTCGCCGCTTATCGACTTCTTCTCGCACTGCTCTGCGTCTCCGCGGCTCGCCGAGCTCCCTTCGCGCCCTCTTCAGTCTCAATGATATTTCCTTTTACGGAAGAAGACGACGAAGACTGGAAGTGTATTGAGCAGGAGGGACGCCGCTAGAACAACTGCCCCTTTTTCCGGTGTCCATTTCGAATTCTCCATAATGGACACTGCGGCGAATAAGCACGTCTGAAGCAAAAGCATTCTTTGTTTTTCACATTACCCGGCGTAATGAGCTCTCAAACCTATGCCGCATACGAATTACATTTGAATTGCCGCCAAAATTTGTCTACGTGGATTTACGATAAAGAGGGCGCGTATGTGCAGATGGGAGTGTCGTTGTGTGTCTCCAAGTTTGCGTATTCATTCATTCGTTTGTTTCCCTAGATAACCTTGCACGTTTTAGTAGCTCACGCCTTCTTTTCCGAAAAATCAATCAATTTTTAAATTTCAGAAACAACTATGGGACGCGACAACTCTCGTGACAAGCGAAACTCGAACAGGGACCGATCTCCAGGTAGAACAAAACACTCAAACTTTGTGTGTGGGTTGTTACACTGAAATTTTAGAAAGAAGACGTCGCTCTCGTTCTCGCTCAAAAGACCGACGCGAACGACGAGATCGGAGACGAGAGGACAGTCCGCCAATCAAGAGAGAAATCAAAGAGGAGCCCTTCAGTGATAGGTATGTCTTTTTCGTATATTTATTCTCATTAACAGAATGATTACAGTGATTCTCCAAAAAGGCGTCGAAATGACAGACCAGCCAGGAGAGACCGTGATGAGCGTGATGACCGTCATCGCTTCCAACGACCCGATCAGCGTGACAATTTCAGAAGACGTTCCAGGGACCGTGAGCAAATCCGTGAAGACGGAAAACGTTACGGATTAGAGAAAAAGACAGAGAATTGGGCGAAAAGCGAAGAATCTAACGAGCCAGCGAAAGAAAAAGAAAAGGTAAATCTCGGAACGTCTGGAGCACTGACTGAAGACACGAACACTTTCCGCGGAGTGGTGATCAAGTACAACGAGCCGCCGGAGGCAAAGAAACCAAACGCTCGCTGGAGAATATACCCGTTCAAGGGCGAAGAAGCTCTGCAAGTTCTATACGTTCATCGGCAATCGGCGTATCTCATCGGAAGAGACCATAAGATTGCGGACATTGCAGTCGACCACCCGAGTTGCAGCAAGCAACATGCAGTTCTGCAGTTCAGGTAAATCGCCACTTTCATCTTTTTTGCTCACACGCTTGGTTTTCAGATCGATGCCTTTCGTTCGAGACGATGGAACCAAAGCTCGCCGTATTTTGCCGTACATCATCGATCTCGGCAGCGGAAATGGAACGTTCCTGAACGAGCAGAAGATCGAACCACAGCGGTATATCGAACTGAAGGAGAAGGACATGTTGAAGTTCGGATTCTCGACTCGCGAGTACGTCGTCATGAAAGAACGAGAGATCAGCGAGGAAGAGCTCGCTGAAGGCGGAGTGAAGCAAGAAGCCGACTCTGATTAACTTTTTTCCAATCAATTTTTCGTTTTACTGCTTCAAAATCTTTTAATGGATATCTAAATAAACTAAATTTTAGATAGAAGAAAGTTCCGATTTTCTTTGTCAACTCTGAGTACTTGAAACGGTCTCTTGTCTTTTATTTTTTCTTCCACAAAGTGCCTTTTAGTTGTAATGCTTTCGTTTTCCTCTTTGCCTCCTTTTCTGAAAAAAATGCCAACGATTCATTTCCCACATCACATTTCATCGGAATAAGATTGACACTGAAATGAGCTCGAGCGACGGAGACAGAATTCGAAATGAGCGTACATAATGTGTATGTTGATTCCTTTTCATATAAACATCTCCGTTATGAATGATACGTCATCCGTTTCCCTCGTGTTCTCAGTTCGCCCTGCTTTTTCCTTATCGAATTTCCATTGTTGACACACAAACCCATCCGTGTCCCCACCCTCAAATTTTCCTTTTTTGTTGTCGCCACGCCCGCAAGTCACTATTTTTGCTCCGAGAAAAAGAGACGTTTCAGCACCGCTTTCAATCACCCGAACTATATAATTTACGAGTATACTCCGTAAAAAGCCAACACACCCGGGAGAGCAGTAGTACAAATCGGGCGGCCCCTGAAGCACACAATGAACATATCAAGTTTCGAGTTGACTGCTACTTCTTCTTCTTCGTCTTCTTCTTACGCGAAAGAAGACGTCCAAAACGAGGAGGGTGTCAATTATGGAGTGAGAGACGAAGAGACTCAGACGGCGCGGCGCTAATCTAGTTCCCCTCCGTCAGTCGTCGTCGTTTTTGAATGAATTCGCCCAGTGTCCTCCACCGTTATTTTCAAAATTTTTTTTCCGATGTTTGTTGTCTTGTTTTATTGCGCCGCGCGCTCTCTCCCTTGCCGTGCACATATGGTTCCGAACCGAGAAAAGAGAGAGAGAAAGAGGACGGAAAGGAGCAGATGACTAGAGAAAAACTAGGCGCCTCTTTTGAGATTTGAATTTAGTCTCCGTCTAAACACAAACGAGTCATGCATTTCAGTGCATTTCGCTTCTGCAGCAATTTCTCCTCACAACCAATTTAATTCAATTCGCACTTTTCTTTCTTTCCTACTACAAAGTGCCCGGCTTCTTTCTCTAATCGCCTCATAAAGACATCAATAGCCGAGATTGATCGTATTTCCTTCCAAATGACAATTAGTTTGGGTCCCACCACGAACCAGTCTCTTTAGGCCACGCCCCTTTTCCACCGTCGGCCTCTCCGATCACAATTGTCCAGGTTGTGAAAAGTTCATCACGGATTCATGAATTCCCACTGCGGCCACTCAATTTCGCAATTTGTGAAAGCCTTTTTCACTCCTCGAAATTCTCCTATTTCGCAATTTTTGTTCTTCGATCTATCCTCCCTTTTATAGTCGGCCCGCAGCGGTGCCTTGCAGAGCATGTCCTACGAATGATTTATCGGTGTACGAGAGGTCGAAACGGAAGAGAGAAACGCGTGAAAACACCTCGACGAGTGCCTTCTCTGCTCTCTCACTGAACGCCGTTTGCCCTCTCTCTCTTCTTTTGCCCGAAACTTCTCGTGTCCTCCGCCGCCGTCTCCACTAATCACCGTCCGAATCTTTTGGCTCGTTATGTTTGCCACGGACGGACGGCGCAATTAGGGAATAGGCTTCGACGGCTGCGCGAGGAATGAATAGATAATAATCTTGGCTCCGCCATTGTGCCCCCCCCCCCTCCCAATCTCAGCTTCTGTCCTTTCCATAGACACATGGCCGTTTCTGTCGAGTGTGGAGGTGCCAGAAATTCGTTTTCCTCCGCTCCATTTTAATCAGGTGACTCCGAGCTCACCTAATCTGGCTGATACCACATGACACTCTCGGCTCGCTGTGTTTTATGGCCTTCTGCTTTCCTTTCTCTCTCTCTCTTTCTTTCGGAATATTCCACGTTTCCATGGTTGCTCTGCCGGATGCGAGCCCCTTTTCCGCCCGTTACCCTATTCTTCTCCTCTCATTCTTTCTATACAAACACTTTTTCTTTTTCCAGGCCAACATGTCTGCTGAATTCAACTGGGATAACGCTGACGTGAAGAAGAAGTGAGTTATTTTCTGTTTCCCGCCAACTCGTAATTCATTTTTCCAGATGGGACGCGTTCACCAAGTTCGGCGCGGCGACTGCCACTGAAATGACCGGAAAGAACTTCGACAAGTGGCTTAAGGATGCGGGGATTCTCGATAGCAAGACTATCACCAGCACGATGACCGGCATCGCGTTCAGTAAGGTTACCGGGTAAATTGGCCGATTTGACCTGAATGAAAGGTATAATTGTTTGAATAGTTTAGCCCGAAAAAGAAGGCCACTTTTGACGAGACGAAGAAAGTGCTGACGTTTGTGGCGGAGGACCGTGCGAGACAAAGCAAGAAAACCGTCCAGGATGAATTGGACGCTATCACCGACAAATTGGCCAAATTGGACGCGCCGAGTGTCGGAGGTGCGGCCAAGGCGAATGCCGCGGGCGTCTACAGCCGTCTCACCGACCATACCAAGTACACTGGGGCCCATAAAGAGCGTTTCGACGCTGAGGGAAAAGGTATGACCGATCCGAGAGAGGCATGCGAAACGGATATCATTTCAGGAAAGGGAAAGGCTGGCCGTAATGACGTCGCTGACAACAGTGGATACGTCGGAGCTTACAAGAACAAGGACACCTACGACAAGGCGCATGGAAAGTAAATGATCTCTGCAGACCAGATAAACGAACAAATATGCATTGCCAAACTTTGTCGATAATCTTGAATATATAATTTCCAGTATTATTGTAATTTTAATAAACTCGTATTTACGTTGTCCTGCTGCTTCTATTTTTTTTAAAGTAATGGATAGCGTTCCAGAGATTTTTGATGCGTGCTGCCGGAGAAATACTGATTCCTCTTGTTCATTCTCTACGTGAATCCGTTCATTATAATTAAAGCTAGCAAAGAGCAACAAGAAACTCGCAAAAATTTCTATAGGTCACTGAAAAAATAGCTTTTTTCGAAAAATGGCTGCTCGTGCGTGCTTTTTGTGTCTCTTTAATAGTTTACATCATAATGAACTCATTCCCAAAAAAAGTAGGAAAAATGAATCAGTATTCTTCGAACAGCACGTATCAGAAGTTTTGGCGCGCTGAAAAAGGCTTGGGGAGCGTGTCGCCGGCCGACGAAAAAAGCACCCGACAGTTCACGGGACGAAGGCCGAACTTTTTCTTCCTCTCTCCACTGCGCCCCCAGAAAAAATCACCGTGCTCCAATAGTTTCGATGCATATGCATGTCATTGGAATTTGCTTGCAACAAAAATTCACTCTGCACGTTTACAAAAATTAACAGAAATTCTACCGGAAAACATTTAATTTTTCATTGAATTCACTGACATTTTTTTCTTTTTTTCTCTGTGCAATGTTCGCAAGGTGTCTCGTAAATCGACAAAAGTTTAAAGGCGCACTCTCCCAGCGATCGGGTCTCGCGACGATTGGCATCTCGCAGCCAAATTGTTGGCTGAGTATTCAACGCTAAAGCATTGCGTCAGGGGGGAGGCTGCCGATTTTGCTGAATTTTTTCTTTTCTTTTGAGATGAAAAACCGATTTTTTAAAAATTTTCAAGTTAAAATATCCATATTAAGTTCCACACGTTCTCTGAAATGCATACCTGCAATTTTGTCAAATTTCGCATATCCTAATCGTTACTATGGCCGTTTTTTTATTCCACAAATGTTATTGTTCAGGGTACAATGGCTCCGCGTGGAAACCAAATGTTGGGCAATGCCCACTTCCGCAAGCACTGGCACAAGCGCATAAAGACCTGGTTCGACCAGCCAGCTCGCAAACTCCGCCGCAGACAGAACCGTCAGGCTAAGGCTGTCGAGATTGCTCCTCGCCCAGTTGCTGGACTTCTGAGGTGGGCTAACTTTAATAAGCTGAAAAGTTAAAATATTTGTTTTCCAGATCTGTCGTTCGTTGCCCGAACAAGAGGTACAACACCAAGACTCGTCTCGGACGTGGTTTCTCCCTCCAGGAGCTGAGAGCTGCCGGTATTTCCCAGGTTGAAGCCCGCACCATCGGAATCGCCGTTGATGTCAGAAGAACCAACAAGACTGCTGAGGGACTCAAGGTAAATTTTGAAAAAAAAATTTCAATAGAAAATCGCAAAATGATCGTTTGTTCTAAAAAGTGTATTTCGTTTAGACCAACGCTGACCGTCTGAAGGAGTACAAAGCCAAGCTCATCCTCTTCCCGAAGAAGGCCAGCGCCCCGAAGAAGGGAGACAGCTCTGTAAGTTTTAAAACAATTTTCTCGAGAAAATGAATGAGCCAATTTTTCAGGTTGAGGAGCTCAAGGTCGCCGCTCAACTCCGCGGAGACATCCTTCCACTTACCCACACCATTACCTTCGAAGAGCCACGTCAAGTCACCGAAGCTGAACGCAAGGTTGAGATCTTCAGACTTCTCCGCAAGGAGCGTGCTGACAAGAAGTACCGTGGACGACGTGAGAAGAAAGCCAAAGAGGCCGCTGAGGAGAATAAGTAAAATGTTGTTGTTTTCCGCTGTTCATAAATTTGTTATGAAAGTTAATGTAAGTGTACGTTCAAACGAGAGAAACAACTAGAAGCACTTGGAATTTCATGCAGTCAAAAAAACAACATTTCGGATGCCTTAAGCATGGAAGTTAGCAGCGCTTCTTTAGAAGTTATTGGAGATTTCAGGTCCGAACTATGTTTCAAACATTTATTCACAAAAAAAAACAGAATGTTCAGAATATCCTATAATACACGTATTCAATAATGATAAACCAGAGAGGGCAAGCTAGTCGAGGTGCTCAGATTTCATGGATGATTTCGACCGGTTGTGAACTGTCGGAGAATCATCCGTGTATTCGAATCTATGTGGGAAATTGATAGGTGAGGAAGCCCGTAATGGCGCGACCGTGCTGTAGTCAAGAGGGCTAGCGATAGCAGATATTTTGATGCTCTGAAAATTAAAAATTTAGATTTCATATTTTTGAGAGCAAACCTTCTCAATCTTTTGTACGTCTGAATCTCCGTGTGGTGTACTCGGAATGATGCAGCAGCCACGAACAAAGATGGAAAGGAGAACCGGAAGGAATACGAGCCCATGCAGAAGACCGAGGGAAATGGAGAGGACGACCTGAACAGAAGATTGTTACGAGAATGAGAAAGAGCAGTTTACCGTTTTGAAGAAAGTGACGATCATGTAAGCGGGAATATCGGCGAGAACGGACACGGCGATGATCGTGGAGAGACCTCCTTGGAAAAGGGGCCATCCGAGCGCCGAAAGGGCTTCCTGAACTCTTCCCGCGGCTGTGTCTCTGGTGGAAACCACGTATCCGTATGCGATGTGTGCCGAGTAATCAACAGAAAATCCGATGGACATGATGATTGTGATCATCGAGATGGCGTCCAGATTCACATTCCACAGAGTCATGTATCCGATGACGCCAAAGTCAATTGAAGCACACGCTAGCGCGACCCACAGGGAGCACATTGGTTGGGGAATGATGAGGATGGCGATGCAGATCATGACGAGCAAGGCGATGAAGATATTCTGCACAGTGTTCGGGATGATGATAACGTATTGATCGGTGAAAAGCCAAATAGGCATGAACGTCGTCACATTGAATTCAGGCCAGCGGGCGGCGACCTCGCGGAACGTGGCCGTCGCGTCCGTCTGGTCCATCGTCGTCACCAAATCTTTCATTCCGACTATTAATCGGAAGCTCTGCACGGTGGTTCCATTCTCGTCGTCAGGCATCCGTCCCCAATAAATGTCCTCTGCCAACGGATTATTCGTCTTCGAAGCGAGGAAATGCTGGAGAAGACCGTAGAAGGAGGAGTCGATTATCTGCACTTGCAGCTCCTGCTGGTAGTACCTCTCCATCTCGAACAGCCAGAACTGCACCGATTCCATTCCGATCGCGTGTTTGCTCGTAGCAAAATCCAGCACCATCGCGTGAATTCGATCGCGGGAAGTGTGATTCCGGAAGTCTGGAGCATTGTTCACTACGATCTGCACTTGTTGTCCGTACTTCCAGAAGTACTTTTCGAGCAATCGGTAATGCGGAATCGCGTACGAATCCTCGACAAGCAGGTTGACAGGCTCGAGTCCTTCCTTTATCCGAGAGCATCCGTAACTGGCTCCGAGCAAGTAAATCACGAACCAGACCATGGAGATTCCACGGACGACGGGGTGCATCAGGACGGGAGCGTACCATTCTCCGAAGAATCGGGCAGTCAACGGCTCTTTGACGTCGTGAGATGCCGACCTGTCCGGCGCACTTCCGAGGTTGAAAAGACGCTGCATCAGACCGACCGACTCCTTCTTCTCGGCCGGAATAGTGTCCATAAGGAAGAGAGAGTTGCGACCGGATGACTCGTGTTTCATGGCCAACGCGAGGCACGCGGCGAAGAAGGTGATCTGGTAGATGAAGGCGAAGAAAATGGCGACTCCGGTGTAAATGCAGAAGATTTGGACGGCCGGAATGGTCGTGATCGTTCCGACTCCGAAAGAGAGAACGTCTGTAAAATGAAAGTCAATCAGTGCGCGAGAGGAAGTTGCCTACCGGTGCTGGAAGTGATGAGAATCGAAACTGCCGCATCGGCCATGCATTCTCCCATTCGTTCGTGAACTGTGTGCGTTCTCGATGTCCTCCGAATAGCCGCCACCATCAGGAACATGTTGTCCGTTCCGACGGCTACCACGAGGAACGGCATTACTCCGACGATGTCGTTGTATGGCATTCCCATCAGCGAGAGACATCCGATGCCCGTCAAGATCGCGATTCCGGCGTTCACAACTCCGAGCACAGAGAGAATTGGTTTCGAGAGGACCCAATCGACGCAGAAAGATCCGTCGATGAAGCTCAGCGAGCAGATTGTGGAGAAGACGACGAGAAGAGTGAAGGAAATTACGAAGCGGGGCACGAGCGTGTCGGCGTTCCGTTTCAACTCGTCCGCCAGTGTCTGAGAGTGGAAGTAGGTGACGGAGATGTACGGATCTTCCGGGTACGCCGTCAGCATCCGGCCCAATTCGAGCTCCCATTCTCCCGAAATGTAGCTCATTTCTTCGGGGTGGAACTTGAGATGGTAGATCATGAACCAGGCCTTCGCGGATGCGAGGATGTCTGTGTCATTCTCGCCCTTCATGACCGTCACGCCACCCAGACTGCTTCCGATGTATCCTCCTCTGAAATTGGGTTTGTTCGAGGGAAACAAGAACAGTTTGACTTACTCGGATCCGAATCTGAAGTATGGGTAAGTGATATTGAATCCGTGATTGTAGAGATCGGAAAGTATATGTACATGTTTGTTAGAAGGGCATCCGCCATCTGAATTCAATCGTTATTCATAAAAAAAAACAAATAAAAAATTCACTTTTATACTGTAGGCACAGATTCTTGTAACTGTAGTAGTGACCATTGTGAAGCACGCGAACTCTGAAGGGAGTGGGAATTACGAGGGAAGGTGCAGGAGAACACTGACCTTGTCTGAATGTATTTGTCCAGCTGATAGACTGCGTTGGCGAACTTGGAATCCAGAATGTTCGAATCGTTCCGCGCGAGAGCCGTCACCTGAATCTCACGGCTCTGTGTCACCGCCCGTCCAGGAATGTAGTTGTTGTCGGTGAGCGGCCACTTCTCGTGAATCGACATCCTTTCCATTTTGCTCTGTGCTCCCAGCGGAGTGAACAAGTAAACGGCGTCGGTGAGCGGATTCAGATGAAGAAGTCCGACTCCCATGGCGGCGGTGAAGAGGAGCGGGAAGACGATGAACGGAAGCGGATGGTCGCAGACGATGAAGCCGAGCTGACGAAACAACGACGCCGCGCGCCGCTCCACACAGTCCCACGCCATTCTGGAAACGGTGACGGTTAGATGGTGATGACAAAGATGACACAAATGAGCAGAGCGGGAGACGAAGAACGGGTTGTAGTGTGTTTTATGACTACAATATAGTCGTTATATCCCTGGATTACACTGTCGCAAATTGGCATGGCATGTCAGTTGCAATGAAACAGAGCAGAAAAGGCTACAGAAAGTCAAGAAAACAGCGATGAGAAGAAATACGATTTTCGGATCGAACCAATCAGTTCTTTGCTCAACTTCCAGCGCCCAGTGACTCAAAATGAATAGATCAAAGTGGGAGATCAAACAAAGAAAGCCGAAAAGGTTGCGGAAAGGGAAGAGGGAATTCGCAGCAGAAGTCGATTGACGCAGATTTGTTTCCGCGCGAAAGAGACGACGGTCCGCGCGTCATCCGCGTCTGACCGGTTCTTGCGACGTCTTCGAACTTTCTGCGGTTGTGTCATCAGACGAGTGGGGGAGGATTGAATTCCGACGGCAATGTTCTTCTCACCTGCGGGCACTCTGGACCGGTCCGTTTTCGTCGTCTGGCACGGATTATTAGCTTGACAATATCGAGAAAGTGCGTGAAATGGAGGATGAAAAGTTGGCCGACGTCGCATAATACCCGAACGCTTTCGCTCTTGAATGAAGTCGCCTATTGTTGAGATGAAGAAGAAGACGTCGTTGAAGCTTCTGGTTTCAGTCTGGAAGGAGGAAACGAGGAATAAAAGCGGGATGATGTCAGTGAAAACAGTGAACTTCGCATGTCACTCTCCATCTCCGATTCCCTCGTTTTTCGCTTTCTAATGACTTTTTGACAGAACGAAACGAAGGGAATCGGGTCAAGATTCGGAATGCTAATGAATGCACTTGTGGCGAATATTGAGAAAACAAATTCAAGTTTGCAATGTCTCCCACACGATTTATTCAGATCTATCCAATTACTTTTTGACGACAGCTTCCAACTGCTTCTGAAGTGCCTTCCGATGTGTCTCCCCAGTCCAAACTGCCTCGAGCACCTTCTTCTGAGCCTCCCCTCCCTCCTTTACCGCTCTCAGCATCGCTTTCTGAGCCCTCGTCACTTCGAGTCCGCTGCTCGCCACTTGCTTGATGAAGCCCTGAATTGTATTTTCTTTCTCCTCTCTACTTATCCCGATTACCTCGGCTTCCTCCTCCGTCTCGTACACATAATCCACGAATCCATTACGGTTCGCTTCCTCCGCCGTCATCACGTTGGCGCGTCCCATTGCCGCGAGAGCCCGTCCTCTCCCCATTATTTTCTCCAAATATTCGGCTCCACCCCACGACGGAACGATGCCCATTTTCGATTGGAAAAAGGCTATTTTGGCGGAAGAATGGGCGATACGGATGTCGGCGGAAGAGCAGATTTCAGTCGCTCCCCCAAGAGCATGTCCGTGGATTTTGGCGATGGAAATGGCGGGAGAAGAGTGGAGAGTGGAGAGGACGGACGACATGTAATCGAACATTTGCACTCCGAGCCCTTGGTCCGATATCTGCGAAATTGAAAAGTACATCGGTGGGACCATTCATGACTTCCAACATCTTTAATAAGCCCGAGATCTGCTCCAGAACAGAATGACTTTCCAACGCCCGAAATGACGATTACGGCATTCTGATCACTCGAAAACTGCTGAAAAAGGTTAACTGATTTTTCTTGATGAATAATCAGAGTTGCCGACCTCGGAATGCTCTCCAAACTGCTCCATCATTATTCCGGAGAGACAATTATTCTTTTCGGGACGGTCCAGAATGACGTCGAGTCTCGTTTTAAAACCTTCGTTTCTGTTTACACGGATGGCACCGCCTTGCCATGATTTGAATATTTCCAGAAGTGCAGAAGACGGTTTCACCTTCGGAATACCCGAATTAATCTAGACATGATCTGAAACTCACCACTCTTCCGGCCATTTCCAACTCCTAAAAATCATTGACGCTTAGAAATCAGAGATCGGAAAAATGCATCGGTAATTTGATAATCGAGATTCTACGAACGTTTATTGCCTTTGATGGGAGAAAAAAAGTTTTAAAGAAGTTGGCCTTTTAATATAAATCTTACAGGCAAATAATTTATTATTGCTATGAAACATGGAAACGATCGGAAGAGTGTCAATGAATATTTTCCAAAGGCGAAAATAAATTAGAGAAGTTTGATTTGAAAACGAGAGAGAAAAGAAGCAATAATTCGGAGGAGGAGAAATGAAAAATGCCGCTGATTAGAGACGCAGAGATGGGGGTGGGAGAACATCACTGATCTGACGAAGACTGGGCACAAGGTTTGGCCGAGGGGAGAGAGGAGGACCTAAGTAGCATGATCTAGAGAAAGCGGTAAGGGAGAGCACAAATTATGACAATCCGGTCGATTGATGAGAAATAGAGTGAATGGAAATGGAAATACTAAGTGACTGCAGTGGCACCTGGGTTCTAATTTGAACAGACTATTCATGTCGCATTTTGCATAGATGACTGGTTGCAGAGAAGAGAAACTGGGTTATTTTTACATAGTAAGACTAAAACTGGAGAGTGGAATGTTGCGAGAAATCAGAGAATCACTTGAGACGACGGTCTATAGTCCGAACGGATCGGCGGCAGCGGCCTGTGCCTGTTGGACCTGTTGAGCATTCTTCGCCGCCGCCGTCTGGTTAACCATGTTGATAGTATGCTGTTGAGCAGGCGGCACATGCGGGGCGTACGCAAACTGCTGCCCGTAGGCCGCTGCAACATTGGTAATCCTCAATGCGCTTTCTCTTCTTATTTCCTTACCGATTTGCGGGTTCCACATTGGCTGAGCACCATAAGGTTGCGCGTACATTCCCATGGGAGCCGTGTACATCGGAGGAGCGGCGACTGCACCGAACGGATTACTAGAAACAGCCGTAGAAGTGTTCCATACAGGCGCGCTGAACAAAATTTGGTTATGGATAAATAAACGCTTTGAAGATTATACCCTTGCTGAGCTAGCGACATTTGAGCAGTCATTCGAGCTAGATCATCGGCTTGAGGGGTCGGATATCCAAACGGAGCGGCGGCATGTCCTGGAAAAGTACATTGAGATCCTCTCCATATCAAAAAGCGGATGTGAGTGTCAGTTGTATTGTGTTGGATTGAAAAGCATGGAATCTCAGGACATATTAGCTTTTTGCAATAGCTGGACATAAGGAAGTGTGAGATCACCTGGGTCCCCGAATGGCTGTGCCGCAGCCGGATCGGCGAACGGATTGATAGGCGCCGCGGGTGGCGGGACATGCGCGGCAACCACTGATGCGGCGGTTGGTGGGGGAGGAACGGGCGGGGCGTGGTGCATCGGTGGCGGACCGGCCGTAGCCGTTATGAACGGGTTCTCCGGTTCTTAAAGCGCGTCTGGTTGGAATTTAATTGATTTCCAGAGTTACAACGGAGATCACGACGTTAAAATGTTAAAGTATCAGAGGGAATCAGGCCTAGGCGAGCGATTTGGTTGGCGTTGACTGCCCAGGCTTGAGGGAATACCACAACCACGGAAGGAACCGAGGGATTAGTGTGACGATGATTTAGAAAAAAAAAGTGTTCATAAGCATCACAAATTAACAACAAGAAACAATGACACACGCACAGAGACCATCACCGAACTGCCGACTGGCGTGACTCACCGTTAGTCGGCTGAGGTGGCTGCTGCTGGATGTTAGCGTAGAAGGGAGCTCCAGACTGCGGGGGAACCCCGAACGGACCACCGGGAGGGGCAGCAACTAAAACAAAGGAAGCTGAATAGGACGAACAAAAGGAAGAATATTAAAACGAATGTGAGCTGGTTCAATAATCAGATTACTAACCGTTCTGGCCTGCGAACGCATTTCCGGCTGCGAAAGGATTGAATGGATCGACAGGAACTGGCTGTGTAGGCGCAGCAACTGGGGCACCCGAGTTCTGGAACATATCCAGAAGATCCGGGTGGGCGACAGAAGTTGGTTGCTGCGAGATCACTGGGGCTGCTGCCACGTCGCTTGCAAACGGATTCGCCGAACTAATAGACTTTTTCTGATCTTCGAACTGTCGAAGACGTTCCTGTTCCAATTCGATGTACCGTTGTCTTTCGGCTTCTCCTAGAGTCGGCTGTGGGTGAACGAAAGCAAATCCGGTGAGCTGTTGGTGAGCAGAGTGTTGCTGTGCTGGAGCTGGAGCTTTCCCACCCTCAAGATGGATCAAATGGGCTTCGAGGGCCTCCAGAAGACTGGCTGGAGCACGGGTAAGATCAGGAATCTCTCCGCGGTCAATTCCAACTGACTCGGCAACTCGAAGGAACTCGGCGACCTTGTCAAGACGAGTCAAGAACGACTGAAAGACTCTTTTTGTCATGAAAATTATTTCAAATCTACCTTATACGTGTCGAGAGCGTCACGGCACTGCTTCTTATTCATGTCAAAGTACTTCTCGAGAACATTGATTATTCCGTCATTGTAGCAAGCGAACAGACGGATCAAGTCACGGAAAAGAAGGATGAAAGAGCAGTTGATGACTCCGTTGTTGAGTTCCGAGCTGCTCACGGAGAACTCCAAAAGCGCATCGATCTGATTCTGAAGAATCGGCAACGTCTTGAGCAGTTTGTCCGTGTGCATCGTACGCAAAAGTCCATCCTCACGACCTCTTTTGACCTGGAAATATTTATTTTTTTTTTATAATTGCTAATAAAAAGTATAGGAAAACCTTGCAAAAGTCAAAGGCGCACATACGGTACGTGTTGATCTTCTCGCCGATGTATTTGGCGTACCGCCGTACATGCGTCGACATGTCATAACCTCCAGCACCTCCGCTTTTATCAACAAACGACGTCAGATTGAACGTCGTGTTGCAGGAAGCGAGATACTGCGAGAAGCGCTGAAAAGTGCAAATTAAAACAAGAAGACATTTGAGCAGACAGACCTCATTTCCGTAGCACATGATGTTGTGAATGGTTATGAGAGCCTTGTAGACAACAGTCCAATTCGGATTTTGCGTCCGCTCGATCAACAAGTTTGCCATCGACGGAATCGACACATTTGGCTCGTTGGTGCAGTGAAGTAGATCTGCAAAAGGAATAAACTGATACTATCAATAATTGAACTTTTTTCTCACAGTCCAAATGTTTTTTCTTCGGAGCCATAACTTCCTCGGTCGTCGCCTTGCATATCGTCTTTCCGAGCTGACTTCCGGCCAGAGAATGCTTGGCAGCCGTCAGTCTACATTATTTGAATGTTTTTAGGTTAAAGTTGGTTGAAAAACGAACCTATCCGAAATGGTTTGCCCGCCGGTCGTGAAGGGCATCGGTTGATGCAGCGCTTTCTCGATAGTCTGCATGTCGAGCAGAGGGTCGGCGCCGGTCTACCTGCAGTAAGCAAACAAAATCAGGTGCATCGATGCGTCATCATCAGTTGAAAAGAACGGGAAACTGGGTGACGGGCAGAGAGATGCAGAAAACACGCCTGTCGGGCGCACGTTTTATCGATTTATCAATGAAAAGCGTGAAATAAACGCTTCTTTTCCCTGCTCACAAATTTTGACACTTTAGAACGAAAATTTCACGTTTTGTGGCATCTGATGGACACCCGCAGAAAATGAAATCTAATGGTATTTAAGTTCAGTTGCAAAATAAAGGTGAGCGAGTACTGTGATCGTGGCGAGACCAATGAAAAGTTCAGAGGCTATGCGCCTTTCTGGGCAGTTTTATCCTAATTCAAAACGGTGAATATGCGCGTGCGGAGAACGGAATAACAAAAAACATTGTGTGTGCTCCGTCTCGGAGCCACAAAAAATAACGAAAAAAGAAAGCGGAGAAGATGTGGACGAGTGCGGAGAAAGAGGAAGGAGCCGTGGACGAAGCAAGAGAAGAGAGAAGTTATGTTGGCGACGAGGCTTGACGAACCGCGAAAATCGATGGAGAGAAGTAGAGAGGGAGTGTTAGGCCGCCGCGCAGTAGCCTCCTCACTGCTTTAGCAATGCCGGGAAAACGGGAATCGAGGCAAGGGATATCGGGAGACGGAGAGACGCAGACACGCTGGCACTACGACGCCGTCAAGCCGAGATTCCGAAGGAAACGAAGGAGAAGGTGGCGGGGAGCCGGGCACATAAACAGATTCGACTGAAACTGATACTCTTCCGGAATGCGAGTGAAAGAAAGCATCGGAAGGACTGAAACATAAACAATTTATCAAAATGTTTGAGAATCGAATAGGAGAAAGTCAATCCCAATTCCTCTACGAATGAGCGGCAGCAAAAGAGTGTCATGAAAGTATTGAATGGGTTTCCTGCCGTAATAACTGGAATATAACTTTCCAAAACGTGGCAAGTGTTTATAATCGGGGCTCCGCCCCCTCAAAACCCGATAGTGTGCCGTAGAGAGCTGCCCGAAAGTGTGCTCATGGGCCCAAAAAGAGCACACAAAGCGGAGGAGCCGACCTCGCGCGGTGACGTCATCTTTCGCAGCAAAGCCTTCTGTTTGCCGGAAATGAAGATGTGCTTCCTGCGATTACTTCTTTTTACTTGTTTTTATTTCAATATTCTATTGAAATATCAATGAAAAAAAGAGTGCATTAACAATGAAGCACATTGTTCGTTTTCCATATTTTTGAAGAACAGGAAAAGTTTACAGAAAAATTACAACTAGAACTGCGAAATGAACTCGATAACACATCTGGGTGGTCACAGAAACAAATGCCGGTCTCCGACTTGAATTGGCGTACCATACTACTAGGAACACGCAATAAACGTTTTGATTGGGTCCAAATAATCATACAATACAAACTCAATAGAAGAGAATAAACGAATGGAGAATAGTTTTTGCGAACACACTTTTCTGAAAATGTACTCGGAGCATTGACTCTAGAACAAGACCCACACAAGGAGAATTATGAGTAAGAACAAAAAACAAAAACTAAGAGCGAACAAGAAATTGAATTAGAAATGCGCCCAGTCGTACTGCACATTACGGTAGTCGATTTCATTGTAATTGACAACCTGAAAGACATTGATAATGCGGAGAACTAACTGAAGTAGTCACCGTACCTCTTCAGTGATTCCCTGTTGAAGCCACAGCGTTTTCAGTTTCTGATAGAGTTCATTGTTCAAATGAAGTGGATTTCCACGTCGGAATCCTTGATCAACCTCTCCGAACTCGTCGACGTACGGCGCTGGACGGAAGCATCCTCGTTTCCGAGTTGTCATCAGAACTAGAGTGCAGTCGCGCACTCTGAAATATCAGCAGATTTCGTTTTCTAATAGTTTATTCATTTTGACTCACCGTAGGAACATTCCGACTGACCCGGAACATTGAGACATATGATAGCGACAGGCTCCGTGTGGCTGTTTGTTGATCTTAAGAAAATGAACGAAATTGCAGTGAGAAGGATGGAAACTTACAATCTTTTGGCAGCAATACGCTTGAGAGCAGAGGATAATTCCGCACACGAGGCACAAAGTGGGCACGTTCGAAGTGGACTCCTCAATTGGGATCGAAGGACACTTGAACGTCGCAACTTGGTTTATCAGATGACTGTACTTCTCCGGCAACTCGACGAGGAGATTCGGCCGGACCGGTTGAACAACGAGATCGCGTCGAAGGAAGCCGTCTTTCGGAATGGATGAGGACCACATTATGAAGAGATTTTCAACCAGAGGACCACCGATCAACTCTTCCATTTTCGGAGGAAGTCCGACATAACGGAATAACGCTTCTGAACTTTTTATCGACGGATCCTTCAGTGCCTCTGGAGGATCAACAAGAGTGAGGAAGTGGTATAGAAGAGCAATCGGACGTATCAGCGACATGGCCCCTTCTTCCATTTTCTTGTGAAGAACGTCGATTTGTTTCGGTGGAGGCTCATCTGGACGGCAAAGCGAGAAGAGTTTCAAGATGATCTGCGCAGTGGACGGGTCAACATCCATTTTCGACTCTTCTTCGTTTTCCATATTTTTATCATCTCCGTCAGTTTCATCGTGAGTGGCAATAATCTATAAATGATAGATGGTTTGATTGCATTCAATTCTCAAACTAACTTGGAAATAGTGGGCGAGCAGTGAGAGACGCAGAACGTACGCCTCATCGACGGATCCATCCGGAGTGAGCATGCGAGACTTCTGATGGTTCGTCGAGCTCATCGACTGAATGCCGTTATTCCATGTCCATCCGATTGTCATCATCAGAGAAACCTAAAAGAAGGGGTTCCTTCGTTATTGCTTCAAATTGAGAATCGTACCGCCAAACTCAAAATATCCACTTGCAGAATGTTCAGATTTACATTCTTTCTGGGACCAGCTGGATTGAACAACTGTACCAAAAAGGCGAAATTCGTGCCAGTGGATGTGACTGTTGGAGTTGTCGTGGAAGAGCTCGGGGTTGAGCTACTTCCGAGCAACGGAGATCCAGGGGTCTGCGCGAGCTTAGCCTTCGGTGGTTCGCAAAGAAGCACACGGAGCATGTCGGAAACGGCGTGCAGCAAGAACTGCATGTTGTGGGAGAGGGAGGCACAGAGACGAGTCATTGCGGACAGACAGTCTCTTTGACGCGTGTTGAGGGCTCCAAACAACGGCTTCTTATCATAGTGGAGGTACGAAGAAATGGCTCTGGCCACGTGGGCAGTGCTCTGCCACGTCACAGTCGAGATGACGTACCCTTTGAGATGTTTCTCTATGAATTTTGTCTTCGTCTCATTTCCACGTCGGCGGTACTATAAATGAGCAAAAATTAACCAGAGACCATGAGGCCTAACTTTACTACCTTCACTTTTATCATATTCTTCCCCAAGTCTTTTATCGGGTCCTCAAATCCGTCCAAAGCGGAAGAGCAGATGCGATTCGAATTGATGAGGGCAGGGAACGGACGAATGAGCGTGTAGAGAGCGTGCTGGATTTGAGTGCTCAACGGTTTCCTTCCCGTCTCACTTGGCGGAGATTCGTTGCTGCGAGGAGTCGAACCGCTGACCGGCGTCGTTTCCGGAGTCGCAGTCGGAGAGGCTGCCGGATTCACTTCATGGTCCACAAACATGGCCGCCAACTCGTTGTAGAAGTCGGCGTCATCGTCAGATGGCGATACGTTCTCCAATAGCTGCGACTCCGCGCTCGCTTCCGACGGCAGTTGATTCGTGCTAGCGACGTCACTGTGAGCAACGAACGAAAGGACGCCAGCTGCAGTGTTCGCAGATTCGGGTTCTTTTGACTGCGATTGCTTTTCAAGATCAAGCAGAGATCTCTCCGAATGCGACCGCTTTCTGCTGTGACCCTTCTTTCGAACGGAATCGGCACTGACCGGCATGTCCAGGCTTCTCTTTATTCGGGAAACCCAGTCTTCAAAGTTTTCTTTTGCAGCTCCAGAAACAGTCGAAAATCTGCATAAAAGACGTTACCAACAGCTTTATCCAGAGATCTTACCCATTCATGGATGTCAATTGATAGGCTGGAAGCACTGGAATCGCCGCGTTCGAAAGTCGTTTGCACAGCGGACATTGATATTCGCCGCTTTCCGCGTCCACCATTTTGTGAGAATGTTGGCCGACTTGGCGGGCTCTCAAACTATCACGGGTTCGATTGGATTCCGAGAGACTATGGAAAAGAGGAGAGTTAGAAGGTGAGGACGAAACTAAGGAGACACGCGAGAAGAGTGCAACCTCGTATCTAGAAACGGCAAACGGTGCGGGAACGGTTACCTACCTTTTGTAGCACTCGTAGTGCATGCTGTGCGAGCACGTCGAAACGTCCACTCCGTATTGCAAAGTGGCTGGAGCCGTGAGCAAATCACGTGTTGAGATGGTTCCACTCGTCGCCGTCATCAGCTCCCCGTTCTTGTTCTTGTGAGTGAACAGTTGCGATCTGAAGAGGGAATACGAGTAGAAGCCGTTCACGAAACCGAACTCACTGTTGAATGAACGCAGCACAGACCATGGGTTTTCCCTGATGTGGAGCAATGATTTCGTCTTCCTGGCACAGAATGCACGTCAATCTTCTCGCCTTCATAATCTCCGTCTTCCATTTGTTGGCTCCGATGCAGACGGGGAAGTCATGTCCGACCTGTTTCACAATGTCCTCATCGAAGTAATCCTTGCTATCGAAAGAAGCATCGCCCGCGACGCTCTCCTTTTCCGTTTGCGCTCCACTTGGCACATCCTCTTTCTTTTCTTCGTCTTCAATTTTTTTCATAAACTTTGACTGCATACTCGACATTTTCGCCAACGCTTTCTGTCTCATTTCGGCTGCTTTTGCTGCTCTCCTTGCCTTCATTTCTTCCGCAGATTGCACGACCTTCTGCACTTTGACAGGTGCCGCTTCCCCAGTTCCGGCTCTCTTCTCTTTCAGTTTTTTGTATTTGTCGACAATGACTTCGAGAAGAACGGGGCAAATGGACGCTTCTTGTTTTCCGATAAGTCCCTCCAGCATAGCCAGGAGGCTGGATGACTCTTCGGCTTTCTTCGTGAATTCGAACGACGGATTCTTCTCTTCTTCATTAAGAGCGATTCCAATAAGGTAAAGAGCCTTGTGGAACAGACGATCACTCGAATAACGACTTCTTCTGTTAGTCCTGTCGATGACCAATCGGAAGAAGTGAATGAGTACAGGGGACTTTAGAATCAAGGGCACGTTTTCGAAGAACGGCAGGAAATCTGGAAGCGGATGTGGAGCACAAGCACGAACAGCTCTGAAAAAGAAACTGATTACAAAATTGAGATCCGTTCACTTACTTGTCCATTTTTGCTCGAACTCTCGCTTGATTCTGTTCAGCTGCCGACTGATCACTCTTCGAAAAATGCATGAAAAATGGTGAATAGAACGGAAGGCATGACTCTTTGCAATGGAACTGTCCGGCCGAAGTGGCGAGCGGTTTTCTGAAGTCGGCCACTTGATTGACAGCGTCATGAAGCGAGAGCCGTTTCGAGTTGGTGTCATTCGACATTTTCTGCTGAATCTGCAAAAGAGAACTGTTGACAGCAGTTCAAAAAAGGAGCGACTGACGTGACTGAAAGTTTGGGATCCAGTGCACAGAATATGAACGACTTCTCTCTTCATGCCATCGATCGGCTCCGTTTTTCCGACTCCATGGGTGTACCTTTCGCACAGAATCAGAATGAGACACTGCAGAAACTCTTCAGCTATCGTGACCTGCGTTTTGCTCAGATCTTCCGATTCGGGTTTTCCCTGGGCGTTGCTCGTCTTTTGCATCTCGACTTCGCTGGTCACCCATTTGTCAAGACGGAAACGATGAATGAGATGAATGAGGAATTTGGAAGTCGGCACGATGGCGGCTCCAACTTGCATCATGAGGACGTCCCGATCGAACATTTCGTTGCGGCACAGTGGAGAAAAGTAGTTGTGAATCTGATTTATGAGAGAGAATCCATTTCTTCTCCATAATTGGGCATTCGATTGGGCACAAAGAACAAGCACCCGAAGACTCAGTTCGTACAGATTCGTGTCGTCGCTGGATCGGAGAATGGCCCTGATCTTTTCTTGAAGCTCAGTTCCTGGCTCATTGGTCAGCACGAATGCGGCATGTTTGTGAGCAGCGAACAATCCGGCAATAATGCGAACGATCGGTTGATGGATGGAAGTGGACGATTTGAGCACGTCGAAATGCGATATTGTCGCCTCTTCTCCGTTTATGCGAATCGTCAGGTAACTGTTGTCATTCTCTGCTTTCGTATAAACGGGCGGCATTCGATTCATAAGTTCTAGGCACATCAAAAGAAGCCGGTTGTGGACCTCTTCATTTGTTTCCGACCACGTAATCGTGAGAGAAATGGCATCTTTCATCCTCAGAAGAATGTTGAACGCTGTTTCCCACTCTGATTCCCACACTTGATGCTCGACTGCTTGTCGCTTCACTTCATCCATTCCTTGCAAATGTTGCACGAATATCAGGAACTCGGAAAATCCTTTTGTGAAGTTTTCAATCAGATCGGGTGTCCAGTCACTCTCAGAAGGCACCGCATTCAGAATGTATGCCAGATCTCTCGTAATATGAAGGGCTCTTCTCAAATCATTCGGAAATGGTCGACCAGTGAAGTCGAATCTCGCAACTCTCTCGTCTGTGTTCGCTGAAATCGTTTACTTACAAGCATAGGTGTAACAAAATTTGGCAGTCAAGTTGTTCTAACTGTCTGAATTACTTCTATGGGTCAGATTCGATCAGTTTCCATTCATTTGAACCCACTACGATACCTGTTACATGCACTACAGTCCACTAATGAACAGATTGCTGGAATGTCCTTAAGGGGCAGCAATCTGGACATTTCCGACTTTACCGCGACCGTAAGAGGTTGTCAGGTTGCGCCAAGTTTTTTAGCCTTTTCCACAGGGGGGTCTTATGGTTGCCGCTGGTTCGAAAATTTCAATCCGACCGCCAGGTCGGAAAAATGTTTTGGCGTTTTTCAAACATCCCGAACCTAAACTCACAAGCTGTATCTCACAACTTCCAACTTACGTTTCACATATTTCTCTGTCTGCTTCCGAATAGATTTCGAAATGATGCTGAAGGCGTCATCTTCAGCCACAAGCCGCCGAGCCAGTCCGGGAACAGTCATGAACTGCACCGACAATCCAACGACGGAGACGTCCATCTCGTGATCGTCTTTGATGAAATCCTCGTAAATCTCATTGTAATGTTGCATGAACGTCTTCGCGAATCGCACTTTTTGATCGTAAATCATGAAGACGGTTCGCATGAGCAGCTGATGAAGAATGCACCTGCCGGCTTTCCACATCTGAGTGTCCTGCAGAAGAACATTCTCGAGGATGGTGAAAGTGTCCGGCTCGCGAGAAGGTCCTTCTTGCTCCGCGAAGGCGGTCACAATCTCTTCCTCTTCGTCCACTTCCATCGGCTCTTCCACGATTATCATAGGATCGACATCTCCAAACCTTCCAAAACCTTCAATCTCCCCAATGTCTTCGTCCTCAGGCAGCTCATCAAGCATCTCTTCTTCTTCTTGCTGCTGTTGAACCAGTTCAATTGCTTGAGCGAGAAGTGCTCCTTCATCAATGATAGCTGGATCGAGCGCTCGCATAATTTCTCTGGCATCTATCACTTTCTCTTTCACTGGCGGGTTGTAATCCTTCATCAGCTCGAATTTAGAATCCAATAGAGCTTCTCCCACAATTTCACGGAGTGGCGCTGAAAAAAAACAGGTGAATGGTTTTTCTTTTGCTTACTAGGGTATGATCAACAGGTAAGTTGACCTTATGGGCCGTGACTGACATAGTTCGATAGCTAATACCAAGAGGATCAAATGTTCTGTTGATAGTTTTTGCTGCCGGCACCTGGATTTCGAGAAAATGGCGCAGACACCAAAGAGGCAACATATTAAGTGAACAGAATTGATGTTTTAAGAAAGCAAAATACTTCTGTTTTTAACCGCCATTCACAAAAAAAGCCAATTGTAGGGCCGGTTTTTATGTCGAAGGAAATCACAAGCAATGGAGAGAAGGTGACTTCACACGTGAAAATGTCACGGAAAGCGTGCACAAAAAACCCCTCTGAAAACTACAGGCCAATGAAAAATCCACTTTTTGGCCCTACATTTGTACACGGCAATTTTTAAAAATTGGCATGGACCCCTTGACGGTCACGGGTACGCGGCAATTTTTAAAAATTGGCATGGACCCCTTGACGGTCACGGGTACAAGACATTTTTTGAAAATTGGCATAAACCCTTGACGGTCAAGGGTACAAGGCATTTTTTGAAAACTGGCATGAACCCTTGACGGTCAACGGTACAAGGCATTTTTTGAAAATTGGCATGAACCCTTGACGGTCACGGGTACAAGGCATTTTTTGAAAATTGGCATCAACCCTTGACGGTCACGGGTACGCGGCAATTTTTAAAAATTGGCATAAACCCTTGACGGTCACGGGTACGCGGCAATTTTTAAAAATTGGCATGAACCCTTGACGGTCAAGAGTACAAGGCATTTTTTGAAAATTGGCATGAACCCTTGACGGTCATCAACAGAACATTTGATCCTCTTGGTATTAGCTATCGAACTATGTCAGTCACGGCCCATAAGGCCAACTTACCTGTTGATCATTCCCTAGTTAGAAACATATGCCGATCCATTTTCAGCACAATTCAAGAATATTGGACTCACGGAAGACATCCATCTGAGTGTTGAGCCACGTCAGCAGCGAAATGGCGAAATTCTGAAGGGAGAAGAGAGCAGTGTCCATGACTTTGACGCTAAGTGGCGAATGCTGCGAAGTGGCTCTGCGGATCGCCGTCGTATCCCGCAACGTCTTTCTCTGAACGTCATCTCTCGCCTTCGAACAATCGGTCTTATTGCCCAGTTTCACTGCACTGCGACCCTCCCGATCAACTATTGTCGCGACGAGCATTGCCTGATCTTTCGTGCAATGTATGTACAATTCCAGAACTTTGATAACCTGAAACTATCGAATTAAATATAGTTCGATTTAAAATGAGAGAACCGATTCGTAGGTGTGCGTTTCGTCGTTGTACAAGACAGTCAGATACTGTTGTGGTTCGTTCTGAGCATCGGTCTTCAAACTTTCGAGAAACAAGGGCAGAGTGATGTCCTCTTTGTGCGTAATCATGGAGAGAGCAAATTGGAGAACAATCTCGACCAACTGCTCACAGCGTTTTTTCAATTCCGGAGCCAAGACCGAAGAACTCTCCTCTTCGTCTTTTTTCTCGTGATTTGCGCACGCATATCCTTCCATCCAAGCATCTCTATCACCGCAATCACAATATCCGGATCCTGTGGATGAGTGCATCTGAATGGACAAATGAGAAAATTGAAATTAGGGAGATTGTTCTAACCCGATACTTGTGACCTTTGTGAATGGAGACTTCGAAGCATTTGAGACACATCACACAAGTTCCATCTGTAGCACAGTCCAGGCACGTGTAGGTCAGTTCTCCGTTCTTGAACACATGACCGCAGATCTGTCCTCCCTTCGCCGGGTCCACTCCAGCAATCTCGTTCATTCCCTCCAACGTGTTTTCGGTGTTACGGACGTCCAGACAGAACGCACTAACAAGCGGAGCGAGAAGTAGTTCTCCGGGCCTGCCTAAAAATTTCGAAATTCCAACTACAAATCGGATTTTACGACTGACCTAGCATTTTCTCGTTCACTCCGCTGTTGTCCCATGGCATCTCCCCATTGATCTCGAACACTTTGGGAACCTGTACAAGCCAGTGCTTGTGCAGCAACTGACACACTTGGGCCCATTCGCCCTGCCGCGCTGCATTCACCAGATCGACAATCATTCCATTTGTGTCGAACTGGAAACGATACATTTTCGGTGAAAAGATATTGGGGACGTGAATCAGGGAACACGCAGGTATTGATCACGATTTCTTGGAAACAAACACGCGCCTATCGATTACACCGACCGTATCAGCGTTTAAAATAGTATGCGAGAAAGAGAACGAAAGGGAATTGGGAAACAGAAAGCGGGAGGCAAAAATGATGACAGTGGACGACCGGTGGGACACGAGAGGCGCGGAGGAGGAGAGGGCTATCTATATCTTTGCCCGTTTATCTGTGTGCGAGAGTTTCCTCGTGGCGGATAAAGAGCTCTCGCGGACGCTGGCGCGATGATGGAGACGAATGGATGGCGGTGGGCAGAGAGCGCGCCGTTCGCGGAGAATTCGCCGCGGAAAGCGTCAGAGATTGCGACCGACGGGGAGGTGGAAGAGGTCAGAACGGAGAAGAAGCGACGCAAAATACAAGCCGCCATTACTGTCCCTCCGTTCAAGAAATCTGATCAGATCGTGACAAATCTACATGGCGACTGGATTAGACAGAAAAAGTATGCGAAGCGCAGAAGAAGAGAGGGGAAGAATTCTGGTGTAACAAGATTAAAGGCCTTTCGTTAAGAAAGAAGATTGGCACAAGGCAAAACAGCATCTGTTGAATAGAAATCCGTTGTTAGCACTTTCAGGCCGGTGTAAGAATGAAATGAAGAACTAGCAACGACTAGGTATTCCCACACTTTGCACCGTTTAGAAAGATTTCGCAACACTTATAGTTCGTCATTATCTAGGTTTTCAGAATGGCCCTAACAAAATGATTCCCAGAAGATTAGTGCTTATGAAACTTCTCACCTTTGTCATAGTTTTCATGGATTTACGTTTTTCTGACCGAAACTTCCACATTGAGAACTAAAAAATTTGGATCGTCCGATAACTGCGTGATAATAAAGGTGATTACGTGATAAATAATCAAAAACTAGGACAAACTACCGCTTTTTGATAGACATACACTTGCGCCAGACAAAGAATTCTTCGATTTTTTCGCCGCCTCGTGCTCTCCTCGGCCAGCGGCCGAACTCAAACTTTTAGGCCACTGTTTTCGCGCGACCCTGAAATCTTTTTCGAATCTGACCGTCGACAGCTTTTGTTTCCGACCTAAACTCCGGATAATTGAGTTTTAGACAGTTTTTCATTCGCTAATTTATTGTTCTCTTTTTCCGCATCATTTACCAGTTTAAAAAGTGTATTTTTCACCGCCGTTTCTCCTGTTTTGCCGAAAAAACGAGGTCTGTGCAGGGTGGAGGGACCATTGTGAGTACTCCCGATCTGTTAACTAGATCGATCGGCACACATTCATTGATTTTCTCAACGCTCTATTCACTTTTTCGCAGTTTTCAACAATTTTGTTCAGAATGTTCGGCAACACAACTAATAAACCGTCGATTTTTGGCGGTGCAAACACCACAACTTCTTCATCCGGCTTTTCGTTTGGTCAGAACACCCCGACTACTACTAATTCGGGTACGATTTTGTTTTTGCCCCATATTTTCCAAACAATTATGTTGCAGGCGGTATGTTCGGAGGAAACACAGGCGCCGCCACTGGAGGAAGCTTCACATTTGGCGGCAATTCGACGCAGCCCACTTCTGTTGGAGGCGGCCTTTTCGGAAACAGCACAGCTGCGGGTATCCCAGTCGTTTTGTGAAAAAACGAAAATAAATTATTTTCAGCTCCAGCAAGTGGCAGTATGTTCGGAGGAACGACTGCTCCATCTGCAGCTCCATCCAGTGGACTTTTCGGTGGAAGCACTTCTGCCGTCCCTGCTTCTACGAATCTTTTTGGTAGTTCGAACACAAGTGCTGCTCCGGCCGCGACAACAGGTGCATTCGGCGCTCCCGCTCCTTCTGCTGGGCTTTTCGGACACAGCAACAATAACGCGGAAGTCCCCGCGACTGGTGGACTTTTTGGGTCTACAAATGCAGGAACGACTCAGGCACCATCTGGAGGTCTCTTTGGAAACACTAATGCAGCTGCACCAGGTACAGGAGGATTTTTCGGATCAACTGCCGCTACGACTGCCGCTGCTCCATCGGGAGGATTATTTGGAATTACAGCGAACACTGCTCCGGCGACTACTGGCGGTCTTTTCGGCTCTACTACAGCTGCTCCGGCCACAACCTCAACTGGCTTATTCGGATCATCCACAGCAGCTCCAGCAGGCACTGGAGGCCTCTTCGGAACTGCCCCAGCTGCCACAACTGGAGGAATCTTCGGAACGACGACCTCAGCGGCCGCTCCTGCGACCACTGGACTTTTCGGAACAACAACTAACCCGACAACTACTCTATCTTCGACTGGCGGAATATTCGGATCAACTGCTCCGGCCACCGGGGGATTGTTTGGTGCTGCTGCTGCAGCCAAACCTGCGACCCCAGCTGCCTCGACTGGATTGTTTGGAGCCGCGGCTCCAGCATCTAACACTGTAACCACTGGACTTTTCGGGTCAACTACTCCTGCCACAACTGCTGCTGCTGCTCCCAGTGGACTTTTCGGAGCAGCTCCAGCTGCTGCTCCGACTACAGGACTGTTCGGTATATCCTCAGCTGCGCCAACTGCCACTGCTCCGGCTGGTGGATTCTTTGGATCTACCCCAGCAACCACTTCCGCCGCAGCACCGACCGCTGGATTGTTCGGAACTTCCACTGCCACCGCCACCGCTCCGGCAGCTGCGCCTTCGGGAGGATTGTTTGGAACAAACCCAGCCGCCTCCGCAACTACTACTACTCCAGCCGCAGGAGGCTTGTTTGGATCCACCCTTGCCACCACTGGTACTGCTCCTGCCTCAGCTCCGTCCGGTGGTCTTTTCGGTAAGACCACAGCTGCAACCACTGCTTCTCTTGCTCCGGCCGGTCTTGGGCTTTTCGGAAGTGCCCCAGTCACAACTACCGCGGCGACAACGGCTCCAGCTACTGGAGCACTCTTCGGAGCTACTCCATCTGTCGCAACAACGACCGCTCCTGTCGCCGCACCGTTCGGGGCTCCGGCAATTTCCACTGTATCTACTGGCCTGACTCTCGGAAAACCTGCTGCGAGCACTACTCTCACTCTTCCGTCCACTATTATAAGCACGAGCACTCCGAAACCAGCAGATGGGACTTCCAGTATCGGTCTTATCGGCACTCCATTGGCCAAGGGATCTGGGTCAGTTTTCTACCTATTAGTTCACGTTTCGAAAAACAATTTACAGATGGACTACGGGCGCTATCGGAGGACTAAAAGGCGCGGCGAGTGGCCCGACAGATTTGAAGATCGGAGCGAGTGGAAGTGACACTCTTTCTGAGGAGGAGATCAAGGCGGGCCTTGCCGGAAGTGACACGAAGGCATTTTTTACTGCTCTGCAGGAAGTCGTCAACAGTTATCATGCCGAAATTGTTAAACAGGAACGCACTTTCCACACAAAAATGCTCGAGTTGAATGCATACGATCGAGAGCTCATTTCCTTGGAACCAAAAGTTCTCGGACTGTACACTGAGATGGATGAGCTGAACGGAAACTGCAAGAAGCTCAATTTCAACATTGGATCGATGACTTCCGTGCTGAATGATGTCGAAGAGACGGTCGCAGAGCTGGAAAAGAAGCTGAATCTTCCTGAATGGACTAATCTCGATTACAAGTTCCCACTGGATAGCAGATTTGCCAGCAGACACGATGTGCAGAGAGTTCAGATGTAAAAATGGGCAGTTTTTCAAACAAATTCAAATTTTCGTTCTTTCAGTGCTCAAATGATGTTAAATGTGGACGCACAGATGAAGTCAGCTGATTACGATCTAGATCAGATCAGTGAGTCGCTCAAGTCGATGCAATCGAATTCCCTGAAGACGAAAACCGACACTCCATTGGAGAAGACCGAGTTGATCCTGAAGAAGCAGTTGCAGAAGCTCATTGAACTGAACGCACAGCACGGTACAGCAGGCTAACTGAACAGCTCAATTAATCTTGTCATCTTTCCAGAAGACACCCGTGCGAAGCTGGCCAAGCTGAAGGACGACCACAGTCTACGACTGAACAACTCGAAGGCCTAATTGTTTGTGTGCTCCGTTCTGCACTCGTTTCATTTATTTATTTATTCATCAACTCTCTTCCACCTGTTCTCTTTCCGCTTCTTTTCAATCTTTCTGCTCGTATCATTTTGTTGTTTTGGCTGTTGTACTGAAGTGAATTGTAAATGAATGCGTTTACAAATTACCACTTGAATCCTAAAATGATCACAGTTCATTACTGCGTGGGTTTCCCTTATCACTGTTTCGCTATCATAATTCCCCTACTTCAATTGCCGCTCGGAAAACACGAAGTTTTCTCCACTAATTGGTCTTCAGGCTCCTTGCGGCAGTTTCATCGTCATTTCTGCCGTCATAAACCCCCAATGGATCCAGCAGACGTCACAGATATCTGATGATATCACATTGGTCGTCAATTTGTATTCCTTGAAGTGGAAAAATGCCGTTCTCCGCCTCGGTCTCTTCCCTCAAACTCGTCCTCAATAGTGCTCATTTGCAATTGTCATCGTCGTTTCATTTTGACGGCTCCGACCGCTCGAAGAGGCGCGAGTCACACCATTAATCTTCTCTTTTGGTACACCTAACAGAGCCCGTGTGAGCTTCTGAAATGTCCCCTTTCATTTCTTCATGTTTTGTTTCCCCCTCCCGCTCATTATTTAAAATCTTGCCCTGAGGCCCTATTTTGGTCGGCTTGAAAAGAAGAAGAAGAAGGATGTGGATGTCTTGTTTGAGATGTCTTCTTGCCATTCCTTTTTCTTCTTTTCTGCTACTCGCAGTAATTGGCCAATGAGCTGGCTCTCGCGCGTGCGGGCTCTCCGTCTCTTCATCGTCCTCTTTTCAGTCTCCTCCTCTTATTTGTTATAGTTGACGTCTTCTGCGTCTCGCCACTCCGATCAGCGTCAGCACGTGAATTCACCACCGTCAACGACGCCGCGATTCTCGTGACTTCGCCTCCGTCGTCTCAATGTCTGCGCCTCCACTCTATGGGTATGGTAGCTCAAAAGGGACCCTCGCTTCGAGCACGTCGAGATAAGCGAGCCAATCCCGGGGATATGTATCCGTGGTTGCGTGTTGTGCTTCTCTTTTTTCAGTTCTCAAACACGCGTTACTCGAGTGAATACGACTGTTATTATTTGAGGAGAGAAGCCTTGTAGCGAGGATTATACTTTTCTGAAACAGAAACCCATCCTCATTAATAGATTTTCGGTCAGTTTGAATAATGTGGACGATACGAAACTTTCGTTTCTCAGTTAGAATACACTAGCGATCAGCAGAAAAGATAAGAGAGTGTAGACTAGGCAGTTTCTTTTTACACTCTCCGACCGATGTGTACATTGCGCGTTTGATGGTCGACAGTAAGAACATCGGTTTAGACTCAAAACCTAATGCAAGGCAAACAGACGGATCGGAATTGAGCTGATTGATGATATTTAATTAAAAACAATCAAGTTTTAATCTGCTGATGTTTTTTTCTGGGACTCTTCCTCGTCTCTGTGTGATATCCCTTTGACCGAAAACTGCGCCGTATGAATAGAGCTTTTCGGATTTTCATCTGACGCATGACTTCCTCCCCTTTTCCAATTTTGTCGACGTACGAGACCCGACTCGGCTGACCCAATTAAACGAGAAAAAGGAGAGCCGGAGAGCCGTCCGTCGACGTCTCGCTCATTTCCGATTCTGGCTCCTCGGGCATTTGACATTGCAGAAGCATGTGAGCTCGCAGGATTCCTTCGAAATGGATTCATCACTGCGTATTTCCGTCGTTTCCCTTTCACCTTCAGCTCCCATCGAGTTTTTGTTATTCTCTTTCTCCCGAAATGGACCCGTTTTTAGCGTGAGGATATGCTTTCGTGTGTGCGAATTCACGCAGCACGTCATCCGAAATACTAGCATCTTTTTGCCTGCTTTTCTCGCTGACTAGACGCAGAACCACTCTCGCCCCGCTTCGGAGGCCTTACTCTCTGCCCCGCTCACAGCCACTCACAAGACACTCACCACGCGCTCACTCGCTTCGATTTTTAGGGGGGCAGCGGAGAGAAAATGCGGCAGGCACGCAGGCCTTAGGTCTCAGAGAACATGTTCGGAGGTCGTGGTTCGTGTTGACAAATGCACTCTTTTCACTTACCTTGCCTTTCACTTTTCGATTGAGGTGGCAATCAATCGACGCTCCGCACCAGTTGGCTGCCCGCAGAAGACGGCCGAAATGTTCCTCTCGATGGCCTAGCTTTCCCCCTCAATCATATGATTCTTTCGTAACAGTTGGCTGTCCTCCTGGACAAGTCACGAGGAAGAACGGAAACTTCTAATCGATTCATTTTTACTTGCCACGTCATTGTTGCCGAAGTTTATGTTATGATTCTCTGTCTTTTTCCACCTCGAAAGCTTTCAAACTCTTCTTCTTCTTCTTCTTCTTCTTTTCGCACTTCCTCTATCGTGTGTTAGTCCACTCTATCACTCAGAAATTCAATTTGTTTCAGGAGAATGTCCTATGCGTATCTGTTCAAGTACATTATCATCGGCGACACTGGCGTCGGAAAGTCGTGCCTGCTGTTGCAGTTCACCGACAAGCGCTTCCAGCCGGTCCACGATCTCACGATTGGTACGTTTATTCAGGGAAAGAGCATGAATGAAAGCATGGGTTGCAGGCGTCGAGTTTGGAGCACGTATGGTGACAATTGACGGAAAACAGATCAAGCTTCAAATCTGGGACACCGCCGGACAGGAGTCTTTCCGCTCCATCACCCGCTCTTACTACCGCGGAGCCGCCGGCGCGTTGCTCGTCTACGACATCACCCGACGCGACACTTTCAATCATTTGACCTCGTGGCTCGAAGACGCACGGCAACACAGCAACTCCAACATGGTCATCATGCTGATCGGAAATAAGAGGTAGGCGTGTGCCCCACTTGAATATTCTACTATTTTGTGCCTTCGTTTGCAGCGACTTGGAAGCTCGCCGTGAAGTGAAACGCGAGGAAGGAGAGGCGTTCGCTAGAGAGCACGGACTCGTCTTCATGGAGACGTCGGCGAAGACGGCCGCAAATGTGGAGGAGGCGTTCATCGATACCGCCAAGGAAATCTACCGTAAGATTCAAGAGGGAGTGTTCGACATCAACAACGAGGCCAACGGAATCAAGCTGGGCCCGCAGCACTCGCCCAGCTCTCCGAACTCTCCAGGTGGAAACGCCGCCGGAGGACTCGGAGGAGGATCCGGATGCTGCTAAATTACCTCTCTTCACCGCTCGATCACTTCTCTAATGGCTCTTGATTCCGATAACAATCTATTTCGTTCGCCGTCAGATGTCGATAGGTATCCTTCTAGTCCCCATCGCTCCCCAATAATTCTAACTCGACATTCACTGTATATTTTCCACACTTCTTTTCTCTCTTTCTCTCTTTTTCCCTTTTCTCTCTCGTTTGCCCGCTTTTCTTCTTTTTTTCTATTTCTTCCGTCTCGAAATCGAATTCCATTGAAAGAAGTTATTGAATATCTAAAATTTCTGTGATTTTCCATCTCGACCCACCAGAACAGAATGTTGTGAAAATCCCATGCTTCTCTCCCGTCCTCCCCATATTCAGAGTTTGTATTCGTCTTCCTTCCGCCTCTTTTTACTTTTCCCCTTTTCCTTTTCCCCCTATTTTTCCTCTCTGTAATCGCAATTTCAGTGGAATGAATCTATTCAATGTGAATTTGAGCGTTATTTCAGAAAAGAGGTTATTTCTCCGATTATTTGAAGTGTGATAGGCGAACAGCAGGTCGGGAAACTGATTGATAAGAGAGAAAACATCACGCGATCGGATGGGGGCAAAACGGCAGAGATTGGGCTTATTTTGTACCGATTGAACTGTCGTTTCTCCTCGAGTTTTGCCATTCACTAAGAGACAAAAATACTAAATTCTCATCAAAAATGCATTTCTGTCAGCTCGACGTTCTAGTTCCCGATCGTAAACATCGGGTGAAATGCGATATTTTCCGTTGGTTCCCCCTTTTTGACCTTCCTCTGTTCGTCACATTTCTCATCAAAAATCAGTGATCAATTGAATTCACAAAACACAAAAATAAAGATGCATTTTCATTTTCAGTCTCCAGAATGGGCCCGCACCGTCTGCTCTACCAGGCTCTGTGCAAAGCCGGCGATAAGTTCGTTTATCCGATCCTTCCGGCCTTCGCCAAGCCTGCCTGGAATCACGCCGCCGGCCCCAAGACTGTTTTCTTCTGGGCTCCCACCATTAAATGGGCCCTCGTTGGAGCCGGACTCGCCGATTTGGCCAGACCCGCCGATAAGCTCTCTGTTTACCAGGTGAGCATTGATTGTGAAACAAAAAAACATAAATTACTGAACAGAACTCTGCTTTGTTCGCCACCGGCGCCATCTGGACTCGTTACTGCCTGGTCATCACTCCGATCAATTACTATCTGAGCAGTGTCAACTTCTTCGTCATGTGTACCGGACTGGCTCAGCTGTGCAGAGTTGCTCACTATAGGCAATCCTCGACTCCTCGCGCCCATCAAACTTATTCTCTTCGTTTCAGGTACCAAAACCCCGATTGGGAAGCGAAGGAGATCATGGAGACTAACTGAGTACCCTTGCTTTCGAACTATTCTAGGAAAGACAACAGAAAAAACGAGTTGAATTGTATACCGGCATGCGAAAAACTGAATAAAATGAATAAAGATTCGATGTTCATCTGAACGTGTTATCGGTCTCGTTGTCCACGTCCTCGTCAATATTTTTCTGTTCTCAATCTCTGAACGTTCGGAAATCTGGTTCAGTGTTCATGTCCGAGTGCGGACTACAATGCGCCTTCTCGATTATTCTTATCGGATTTGTCTGGGGAGCTACTAATCCGATGCTCAGAGATGCTTCTAAAAAACAAGAGGAGGGCGAAACGGACGGAGCACCTCTCGAGATCATTTCAAAGTTTCTGAAATCTTTCCTCAACTGGAGATTTTCAATCCCTTTTGCTCTCAATCAAACTGGATCTGTATGTAGTTCATTAAACTGAACAAAATCAAAAATTAAGTTCAGATTCTGTTCAACGTGCTCGTCGTCTCCTTTCCAGTGACTGTCGTCGTTCCGTGTGTCAATGCAATTCAGTTCATTTCGACAATCTTTGTCGGCCGTCTGATGGGCGAGAAAATGGAAATGTCGTCTGCGAAGCAAACGATCGGAATGATTTTGGCGACAAGTGCCATCATAGGAATGCTTATTTTCGACTGAATGAATCATTTGTTTCGGCTTTTAATTTTGCCCTCAACGCGAATGACGTCATTCGATAGAGTGTTCTGATCGGAGAGGGCGCAGAGAAAAATTAAAAATTAGAGCGCGATTGCAACATTCCATCAGTTTTTGTCACGAAACATTTCTTCTTGCGTGCACTCTGTTTTTCTCGTGTATTCTATTCTGTTCTTTCTTTTGTTATTGTCCGGTGTTGTTCTCATTTTTCGTTCTTTTCTTCGTTCTCAGCATAGGCGCAGAGAACCGATCAGAAAAAGTGTAGAAGATACTTGGCTAGTGCTCTCGTGATATCGCCTGTCTGGTAGCTATTCTCCGTTCGAAGCCAAGAATATTCTTCTGGGTTACGAAATCTAGCAAAAAACTCGTTCCCTGACCACATGAAGAGGCATGTGACCAGCCGTCGAAAACACGCCAAAATAGAGGGAGGCATTGTGCTCGCGCGGTCTTTTCCACTGCTCACGGAGCCCACTTTTCTCTGCTCTCTGGCGCCGAGTGTCTGCATCTTCGCTCTCTCGTGCCCGCTCTCAAACTCTCCCGTTTCTTCTATCTCCCTTCCGCCCGCTCACTTTTCTTTTTTCGATTCCTATCATCGCAGCTTCGGCGGGGGCGATTCGAAGATGAACTTATTCGCCCATTAAACTCATTTTCTCAAAATAGTCGTCTATTTTTTGGGCACATACATCCTGTTCCCTCCCTTGTCCATTTTTTTGACTCGCCGCGTCGGCCGATCAGATCGCACTGGCGACCTCGTCTCGTATCACACGCTGTCTACTTTGCCAGTCCTTCTTCTTCTTGTTCTTCTTCTTATTTTGGCGCTTGCGATTCATTTTCTATCCACTGTAAATTTATTTATAGACTGAAATTTTAAACCAAAATGTTTTGCAGTAAAAATACGTTTTGAAAAATATATAACATACATTTTTGTGTCTTTTGTCATGCGAAACCTTTTACTGTAGCTGTGTAAGCGATTTCGGAATGCATGTTTTTAAGATAAGCAATTTTTGAATGAACGTGTTGTTTTGGGCACAAATTATGTTTATATTGAAAAGTTTGATAAATCAATGAGCCAACCTCGGTCGCTCGGTTTATTAATTGGGTGCCGCCAAAACCAGTTGAATCGGCGTTGGACGATAGAGCGAAGATTGCGAAATCGTGTTCTGTTTGACTCCGAGCACAGCGACCTTAACTGATTTCTGGCTGTGGGAAGAGAAAAACGCCAATCACACAGTTTGATCGGTGTATGTTGATTGTTTAAACTCCCAGAATCCGCCGTTTTCCTCAAACCGGACATAAAACAAAAAAAAACATTTCCACTTTGTTCACGTGAATCTGAATCATCATTCTCTCCTCACCTGTTCTTTCATTCTTTTTTGATTTTCGAACCGTTTGCCTCCTCCTCCCCATCCATGAAAGGAAAAACAAGTAGCTGTGACATCATTCGATGTCTGCTCCAATGGCTGCATCTCTACTCCGTTCTTTTCCTTTCTCTCCTTCCTGTCATGCTTCGAGAAAATTCAAAAAGTTTGCTGCTGACGACGTCTTAAGGCTCGTGACGGCCGCTCCTCTTATCATTCTAAATTGGGCGCGGGCTGTTTCCGTCGTGCGTTTCTAGCCTTTGTTCCTCCGGTTTTCTTAATTGTCCTTTTCGTTGATAAGCCCCCTCGTCAATCATTTTCTGCCCGTCGCCTCTCTACCAGTGCTCGTTTAAAATACGACTTGCAGGTTGAATCCGTGCTCAAAAAGTGCCCGGATTTGCTCGACAGACTTTGTGTAGTCACACTCAAGAAACACTTTCCTTCCCGTGCACTCCGAGGGAGAGAGTGTGCATGGAAGCTTGCTTCAACTGTCCCCAATCCTTCCAAGATTCCCTCCTCCGAGGAATCTAACGAGTCTTCCATACCGCCCTTAAGTGGCGCAGTGAGTCATGAACAATACCGTCCCGATTGAAATTGTCATGAATTGCAGGTAATCCAGCAGCTCGCGAAAATCTACGCAGAGCCGCAGCTTCGCGCCAGTCAAATCCAACTCGACAAGAACGCCGAGCCTCCTTGGGATCCAGATCCGAGAGCTTGAGGTGAGCGCTTCCTCCAGTGTTCTGATCCGAACCCTATTCATTTTTTACAGTTCCTTCATTATCTTCACGTTTGGACCGCCTGTAATCTGCCGACTGACCGACTCTCTCCGCCTTCACCCTATTCTGCTATAGTCTAACTCTACCGAGAACCCGTTCCGGCTCATTCTTATTCTCTCCATTTGCCGTCATCCAGTGGCGTGTTACGAGTCGGTGCCATCTCCGCCGTCTTGTTACCGCTCACTCGGACTCTTGTCGCCCAAAATTTCGACAGTGTCCGCCTCGTCACCAACCCGTCTTAGTCCCCCGGACGTCGTTTCGTGGTGCTCGCGTGAAGAGCTCGCATCGCGCGTCTCCAACAACCGCCACATCCCGCCCTAACTTTCCGTCTTCCACCCTCCATTATCTTCACCTACAACCACCAACGTAAGTTCACCTCTCAACACCTCCCCGCACACAGCGATCCAATTCAGAACTGATGGTCAGACAGCGCCTTCCTTCGTCTACTTACTACACTCCGGCGGGCGAGCCGGAATGGTCCCGTGAGCAGTTCGGCGAGCAATCGATCGCCGTTCTCTCTGGAGCCTACCGTAACCCGATTGAAATGGCTCGCCACGTGGCCTCCCGTTGCGGCTCTCATCATCCTTTCTTCGTCATGGACGTCGCCGCCATCGAAAGACGCCTCGACGCTCTTCAAGTTATCCTTCCACGTATTCGCCCAAGCTACTCGGTAGCCTGCAACGCCGACCCAGTGCTCGCTCGCGTTCTCTCCAACAATGGCGTGACTTTCGAAGTTGCTAACTCTTCTGAGTTCGAGATGGCTAGCATGCACGTGGAACCTTCAAGAGCCGTGTTCTGCTCCCAAATCACGACGCGTAAAGCCATCAGAACTGCAGTCGCCGCCGGTTGCCAAACTTTCGTCGTGGAGAGCGAGAAGCATATCGCCGATGTGATGAATGCGTCGCCAGAAGCCGAGTGAGTCCTTAGCTACCAAAACTGAAGTTCAAACTTCTGTTTCAGAATCATTCTGGCCGTGTGTTTGCCGTACTCGACCGCAGACGTTCCCTTCGGATGCTCCGTCGACGAGCTCGAAGAAGTGCTCAGCATGGCTCACCCGCTCGGTGCCAACCTCACCGGCATCCAGTGAGTAAAACAATCACTTTTAACCCGCTAATTATTTTCTGTATTCAGTCTCGAGCTCGGTCTGCGTGCTACTCTTGACGACTACATCTCTGCTGTCCACGATGCTCGTTCCATCTTCGACACCGCCGCGGACAAGTTTTTGTCGCTCCGCCGTGTTTCCTTCGGGAATCTCGTCGTTCCGGTCGGATCCGACGGCACCATCAACCACGAGTTTTTCTCCCTCTGCGACTCTCTCAACCGTTCGATTGCCGATTTCTTCGATGTCGGTGTTGATTTTTCTGCAAATTTCGGTCGTTTCCTCGTTGCCAACGCATTCACTCTCTGCACAAATGTCATCGGAAAGCGTGCGATGGATGCGAAATTTATCACCAACGACGATTTCGATGACGGCGTCGGATTCGTTTATCAGACGAATGACGGAGTTTACGGATCTTTCGGATGCAAGCAAATGAACATAAACCCACTGTGCAAGCCATTGGATGGCGACGAAGCACCGGAAGAGCAGCAGCTCCACTTCGGAACCATTCTCGGACCGAGCCTCGATCGGACCGATGTGGCACAAAGAATCACTAGATGCCGACAGTTGAGAGTTGGGGAATGGCTCGTCTGGGAACAGATGGGACTGTTCACAATTCCAGTCGACAGCGAGCATACTGTGCCGCCGGTCTATTACTATTCCGGAAAGGAGTGCTGGTAAGAGACCCTCTGACTGGGGAATTATTATATTTTGTTTTCTTTTCAGGCAGAAAATGATTAACAAAGACGAGCAGCGCCGTTCTCCGTCGCCAAGTGTTAGCGATGTGGACGACATGGGCAGCGACGGAGAGGGCTACGCTTCTTCCTGCGAAGATTCGGATGCTGATACGGTGTTGGAGCCGTTCGCCGAGGAGATGAACGATTTTGAAGGAGCCTACTGAATCCATCACGTTCTGGGGGACATCCCTCCTCAAAAGACGCCATTCAATTCTTCCCCTTATTTCAATTTTATAGGTCATCATCATATTCCTTTTTAGCCCCCTTCTGTCCCATTCTGTTTTCTTTTCCCTTCAAAGCTTTGAAATTCCACTTAGTGATTAACTGAATTCTGTCTTTTCAAACTTCAATTCCACTCTTTTCTTTCACACATTTTCTCTATTTCTTTTCGCTTTTTTGGATCTTGACGCTTTCTTTCGTCTAATTCGAAAATTCCACCAATGAACACGATGTTTTCTGAATTCGACATCACTACAATATTCCGTTGTTTACTCTGATTTTTCCCCGTGTGGTTTTTTCGTGGATTTATGTTGATTATGAAATAAAGTTTGGGAAGAGAATAAGAAATGTTTTACGGTATAAGCTGAAGGCGCACGCTTAAAACTGGATGGGTCTCGCAACGAAAACTAAAAATTGTTTAATTCGAACTCTTTGCCCACTGTAAGCTGGAAGTGATTTCCTTTTTCTTCCATCGATTCCGTCGATTGGTTATGATATTTTTCAAATACGGCGTTCTCATTAAATCTCGACGAGTGCGCACTGTCAGTCAAGTAATGATCCCATAGGCCCTACATTCTCTGCCAATCGATGTTTTCAGTGGCGGATCGCGCTAGTAAATCATCCAGTTTCCGAAAATGAATGTGTTGATGTGGAAGAATCGCTCTTTAATTTCCGCCCGACACTCGGCGCGACAGTGAAAGTCGGATTCGATGAAAGCGGCCATCCGATGACTGTGAACAAGAATTCGGATTCCGAATGGATTCGAGACGTGAAAGTAGTCCATTCGACAGTTGTTGTACGTTTTCAGTGTAGTTATTAAAAAATAATTTACTTTCGTTTTAGATTTTCGCAGTAGTTCACTTGAATAGAGAATGCACAGAAGATGCACACCGCGGACTCGGTCCAAGAGACGACCAAGAGTACTATCTCATTGAGAATGAGAACACTGATTTTTCAAAAGTCGCGATTCGGAAGGAAACCGTCGACAAAGAAATATCAGAGCGATCTACGATGCAGAGAAGTGAAGAGCCTCTCGTGTACCGCATCGGCATCGTTTGGGATCCGTTTGCACTCGAAAACGGAACTTTGGTCAAATGGAGACACTATCAGGACTTTCTGCCTGTGCCGATTTTCGAGCATTATTGGCGAGAGCCTGTGAGAAGCACAGGAAGAAGAAGTAATGATTATCTCTTTCTTTTCAGACATTGCCATACGTTTCCGAGTCGATGGTCTACGGAGTTCTCGAGGGAATAGTTCTTCAGCGAAATGCGGACGGCGCCCTTCTGTGGTCGCCGCGAATGGGATGCGCAGTCCTTTCGAGTGCGACCACCGGGAACATACCCGAGCTGGGAAGCGTCCATAACTTTCTCGTCAAACGATGCATTGCCGATCCGACGTTCGGAGTTCCGTGCTATTACGAGTTATTACCGCGGCTTTTGTGTCACATTTGGAGAGAGATTCGAGTTGTCACTGACAACAAATACGCATGTGTTTATGTCTGTGAACGAGTTGTGTGCTCTTCTAAATTTCTTCCGTTGTTCAGATCGACGCGTACTGTGAATGCGGTCGATTGTTCGAAAAAGACGGAACGGTGCTTTGCATGAACGTTCCATACATTGGAAAAGTCACGAAAGGCCTCGAAAACTACTTGGACGTGCTCACAGTCGGCGTGAGCTACGCTTTCCGTCTAGAGTTCCAGAAGACCGATGACACGTTCGAACCAGTTATTGTTGATATACAATTGGTACGAATCAGAGAAAAAAGAGAAGTAACATTTGAATTGAAGGATAGCGATGTCGTCGTAGATTGTCGGATCGTTTACGCGTCACCGAAGCTAAAAACGTATTTCGCTGTTTTGGAGCCGAATAGTCCGAACTTTAACAATTGTAAAACGGCGATCGACTTCATCGCAATACCATTCCGAGTTCTGTACGGTCCGATGAAAATTCACATAGATGCTGGCCAACTGCTGCTGCATTGCTTCGGAGTTTCTGTTCGGTCAGACACTTTTGAATATTCTTTCACTGTTGTGCTGCTTCCAGTGCTCCGACCAAACGACAAGACCTGGTCACCGCCCTCACCATCAAAAGATATGACAAATCCCCTGCGGATAGTGACTTCCGAGTATTTCAGGGCCGAACCTGGGTAACCTCGGCATTTCCGCTTGTCAATCATATCACATTTCAGTTTCGAACTATGGCCCACTTGCATACTTCGGCCCCTGATGGACCATTAGAGTTGATGTGCACGCGTCTCTCCCAGAAAATCACTGATTTCTCACGCGTTTCTGCCCAAATGCACTCCCGTCGAAGTATTGCCGTTCAGGCTCAATTGTGAGCACCGAAGTAGTTGCTTCAAGAGAATTCTGTGCATTTTTTCAGTGCCCTAACACCCACGCATCAACCGATATTCTTGCTCCGCCACGCAGCTCTCACTATTCCACTTTTGCCAAAATTAACAGTGGAAATGTTGGGAAGACTGCCCCCACTTAGAGAAGTGTTCGCTTCTCTCTTTCCGGACAGTCAACCGGCCGAGCCGGTACGATCGGTGTCTCGTCAAACACGCGAACGGTTGAACGACGGAAATTCTATTTTGGAATCGACGATGGATGAGAATCCTACAAGACCTCCGACTTGGCAGATTAGGAGCGCGCGACGATCACCAGAGCAAAAAATTGAATCGGAGGGATACGATGAAGTGGCGACGATTCTGGATGAATCCGAATACGCACGGAGATACGGCGATTCAGTGCCGGATAGCTTTCACAATATGAGCATAGGTGGGAGCAGCACGAGCGGTGAAACCGGATCAATCGGAGGAGAAATCATCACCGAGTCGTGGCTCGCTTCTTCGTCGTCTTCTGCCATCAGCTCTTCTCCTTTTCATGCCACGTCAGCCATCGACGTGGGCCGAGTGGGCTCAACGTCGTCGGGGAGTACGATCCAAAGAAGACCGAGTCTCTTCGGATACAATATCCACAGAGGAACCCTTACGAATCAAAGAACGTCACCACGTGGATTCGGAGGAGTCGGGAAGCAGAAACCGGTCAAATATGGAATCAGAAAACTGTTCACTCACAATAAAACTGCTCCCGACATCCTGTTCGAGATTTGCTACAAACATTTGTGAGAATCAATATTCTACATTGAAATTCCGATTGACATTTCAGGGAATTCCGTACGATGCTCGTTGAGAGTCAGTACGACGCGATTTTAAGTTGGTTGCGTCGGCCAAATGCAAAAGTGACGAGCACGAAACGACGGACGATCGCCATGTTCGGAGTGGAGAAAGTGGATCTGACGTTGTGCTTCGAGCAAGGACGAGTTCCGTTCAAGTATCTCGTCCGTTTTTCCACTCGAGATGACATGCCGGTGGCCGATAAATCCATGGTCGTAGCATTCGAGTACGATTTCTCTGTCTCTCTTCTTGATTTTTGTTCGTTTACAGTGGAAATTTCCCGCCTTTGCCGAAAGATTTTGAGTTGGGACGACGGTATCGTGCTATTCAGTTCTCGTTTTACAGTGATGTGAGCATTCGGAAAAGATCTTAATAGTAATAATCGCATTCATTTGTAGAGAATGGTCCGTATTGGTGCGCACGCGAAAGACGTTGGAAACGTGGGATTACAGACACTCGAAGGTTCATTAGATGGGTTCCACCAAGTGGTTCAGGACAGAAACGGAAGGGAATGGATGCGATTCCGGACGAAGGCGTACCGGCCGGCGACTCCTTTCGTGGAAAACGATGCATTTGAACTGTGGGATGGCGTCGACGATTCTGGACTCGTTATCGTCGAAAAAACACCACAATTGGTGGGTTCGAAAGAGAAACATAGGAATACCAAGTATTCTGATTACAGCTTAAATGGTTAGAACCTTTGAATCCTACCAAGTTCAAAATGGACGCATATCACTTTATCGCCGAGCCGATCGCAGGAGTCAGTCTATTCCAAGCCACTTCCGATTCTCAGCTCATTTCTTTCAGGGACCGATTGAGGTCTGCAATCTTTTTCCTGGCAGAGGTTACGATCCGGATGCGATTGTTGTTTGGAGAATGGTCGTCGAGTTCTCGGACGAAGTTCCGGTGCCAGAGTTGTACAATAGAGTGTTGAACATGCTCCCATCGAAAGTGGAACTGGGAAGACAAAAAGTTGATCCGGATCAGATGATCAGAGACTACGGATTGTTTAAAACGATGGATATCAACGCGAAATTGGCTCAGCAGAAAATAGATCATCTACGTGAACTCGGAGATCCTCGAGTCAAATGGCACGAAGGCCCGGAGTTGAAGCCAGAAATTGAGAGAAGAAAAGTAAGAATGCTACTGAGAATGACATGGTGGAATGGGCATTTCAGGTGGGAATTGTTGAGCGACGAGAAACACTTCTTGCGACGATGCGAATGCTGTTGGCGGAACTTCGCAGTCTGCAAGACGAGGGATTATTTTTGCACGTGAAAACCAAAGACGTGGAAGACATGATCACAAAGTTCGACGGAATGGACGATGACAACCACGAGTACTGCTTCAAACGACGGTCTGTCGACCTCGACCTTGTAAACCGAAAACCATAAAATTTCAGAAACAGAGCGCTCACTGTCGGCTGCAATTTCATGACCGACATTCTGCTGAAAGGACAAGCCTATCTGGCGTTGAACGAGAAAAAACATTATGCGGATCTTCTGAAGGCGATGTCCAACTGCATCGGACTCAATTCAACATACATCAAAAAGAGCGACGAAGTGAAGAAGATGTTGCGATTCATGTACAAGAATAAGCTTCATTTCTACTTATGAAGTCGATTCTTTTTCTTAGGCTCTTTTTTTTTGTTAGTTTTCATTTTTATTAACAACATCAAACTACTGCCTCTTTCCTTGTTCAAACATTAATAAATTGGTCGTTATTCTAAGTCGGGGGATGTGTAATCCTTCTAACCAAGGGTGCCACGTGTAGTGTTAGTGTAAATATCCCGTTCGTCTCCGGATTTCCTTAGTTCTCAATTTGAATCTTCGAATAAATCCCGAACGATTAGTGAAAAGAAGGCTCCCACCACTCAAAATCATGGACGCAACCGATTCCTTCGAATCTTCCGGATCGGCACATGCTCCAGTCGGTGTCGACTACAAAAAAGCAGACTTGCCAGATTTCGGGCCGACCCGGGCCGGGCCGGGTCGGTGAAGTGCCGGCCCGGCCCGGCAGTCGGCCCGGTTCAAAAAGACGGAATTCAAATTTTTCGCGGAAATTTTTTTCGTTATTACAAAAAAATTTTTCAAACTAAAGTTTTTAGTGTTTCTTCTTTGTTTTTTTGCTATTATGAATTTTTTTATGAGAAATACATTTGTTTTTCAATGTTCGATGCTTGCAAAAAACCCCTAATTCTACAAAAAATGGCTTCATGCGATCAATAATTCAAATTTTGAATTCCCGCTTTTTGAACCGGGCCGACCGGTCCGGGCCGGGCCGGAGTTTTGGAAATTTCGGCCCGGCCCGGCCCGGCCCGTGGCAACTATGCAAAAAAGAAGAAAAAGACAGCGGGTGATGTATGAAATCTCTTCTGAGATTCATACTTTCATTTCCCTTTTGATCTAATTCGTTTCAATCATGATGTTTGTCTTTGCTTACTTTCCTTCCCCTTAGTCACAATTCTTTAGTGTAAGCAGTCCCACCCCATCTCTCTCCCCCAAGGCCTCCTCATTTTTCTTCTCCTTCCACTTTTCTTTCCCGTTCTGATTCTTTTACTTTTCTTTATGTTAATATTGTTATCATCATCATTCTTATTAATAAAAGTCTTGAGGATTCTGTCCCTCTGTTTATTCAATTATTTTTTCTTGGTTTCTCCGCACACTTTTCCATTTCTAAAACGAAAATAGTTGTGACGAAGAAATTAGAGAAATGAACACGTGAACTTTCGAACGGTTCAGCTCGGTCTGCGCAGCGGACCCACGTTGATGTCTTGTTAGTCCATCATTTGTATTATTACCCAAGTTTGAGCGCTGAATCACAATAGATGACCACTGCCTTGCAACCACTAAAACCAGTGGGGTATGCGGGTGGGTACACGTGAAATTGTGTGGCCGCTTCCTGACTCGGCAAAAGATACTCAAGGCTCTGAGAGCAAATACATAATGGCCTTTCCCTTATATAAACTCCCGAGCAATTGGTGGTCCGGTTCGGCAGGTAATTACCACTGTTGCGCCCCGGCTCGTCGACACACTCCGAACCTTGCAGGTACCAGGACGTGCCCTGCCAGGACCTATGCATCGTCAAACGCGTGCCGTCAGCGCCGACTAGCTACATCCACGCGAACTTCATCGGCTATCCGATGCTGCCCGATCGCCGCTTCGTCGGTGCGTCAGTTGCACTGGACCGACTGGCCCGATCGTGAAGTTCCGCCGTGCAAACTGACCAGTCTGGAGCTGCTCTCGGCGGTGCGCGGATCAAAAGTTCCGATTGTAGTGCACTGTTTAGCAGGCATCGGACGCACCGGGACCATCGTTGCCATCGAATACATTCTCGGTGAGTGGGAACCCGCCGAAACACGTTGAACCCGCGTCTGAATTTAGAGAGAATCGCCGAGGGAAATCAATTGGAGGTGATGCCCGAACTGGGGAAACAGCTGCGCGACCAGCGGGCCTTCTCGATCCAAAACGACCTTTAGTCCTGTGCATCCATCGCGTGATGCTCAATTATTTATTATAAGTGCAAGGAAAAGTACGCCGCTTGGCTCCCGACAACATGGTCAAGTACGATAAATTCGTCAAAGACTACAATGTGGCCGTTGGACAGTCATAGAAATAAACGACTTTTGATCCGTTTTCTTGTTTGATGTAAATACATATTTTTGTTAATTGAGAGCCCAGAATGGGCACTACCAGCTTGAAGGTGTAAAATCCATGAAAGATCAAGTCGAGATCGGAAAAACTGGGCCGCAGTCGGACTCTCCTATTTAGCAGTGAAATCAAGTTCACTGACGTAAAGCGTGTATACAGAACTTTTCTGGCTCGTGAGAAGCATATTATCTTTTCGCAACCCAACAATCAATCAATTTGAACCACATCATATCCTTTACTTTACTTTCAGGCTTATAAAAACATTTGATTAAGATAAAACGTGGTATAAAGAGTCGGAACTGGTAATACGAGCTATACAAATAGAGTAATGACATAGGAATTGAACAGGTTATTCACCATTCCTCTTCAGCATCCTGTCCATTCTCATAGCCAGTGTCTCTTGGATGGTTTATATTTATCAGCCACTCGGGAACTTCCTTCTTGGCCTCCGTGAGAACGGCGACGAGTCCTGGGATGATCTCACTGTCAGTTTCCTCGTCGACGAAGGCAGTCGCAGATCCAGTATATCCAGCTCTTGCAGTTCTTCCGATACGGTTGACGTACTCGTCGAAGCCGTTCTTATCAGGCATATCGTAGTTGATGACATGATCCAATCCGGCGATGTTCAGTCCACGAGCACACACGTTCGACGCCACCATGCATTCATGTTTTCCGCGACGAAAGTCGTTAAGAGTTTGATCACGTTGCTCTTGATTTTGATGGCTGTGCATCTGTAATGAAATGTTTGAAAAGATATCCGAACTTGATCTGTCACTAACCGAAATCGTATTGATGCCAGCACTGGCGAGAAAAGAGCCCAGCGAATCACAAAATTTAACAGAGTTGACGAAGATCAGCGTCTTCTCTTTCCGGATACGAGCATCCGGCAGCAAATCGTACGTATTTTCGTCCAATCCGAGCAGCTTGCACAGCTCGGTTCTTTTCTCTGAACGCGGAACTGGGAGGATCTGTTGATCGATCTTTTCGTTGGCAGTTCCAAACTTGTCCACTTGAAGCATAGTGTAACCTTCTTTCACAAACTTCGGAAGATCTTCACGTTGCAGATTCTCGGAAAAGGAAGCGCTGATAATGCAAAAACAGATTCCGACAAAATGCTAGGAGCTTACCTGAACAAAATCGTTTGAATGGTACGTGCTTCCGGTAGCCCGATGATTTTTGCAACTTCTTGGCCGAAGTCATTGCTATCCACCATGCGATCAGCTTCGTCAAGCACGACGTATTTCAATTTAGCGAGTGTAATATCTCCTGACTCCAAAAAGTCCTGAAGTCTTCCAATGGTCGCGACCATAATATGAAGTTGCTGAAAACGGCAAAATCAGAAAGCCTGCGTGAATTAAACCTACGTCCAATCCACGGAGATGCTGGAGATTAGCGTTGCGGGAGTATCCACCGTAGGCCAATCCGCACTTGAGGCCTGTCTGGTAAGTGAGTTGGCGAGCGGTGTTGAATGTCTGACTAGCAAGCTCCCGAGTCGGTGCCACAATCAAAAGGCTGGAAATTCAATTTTGATGAGACACCCCCTTTCAATTAACCAACATCGGAGATGGATGTTCATCTATAGCACCTTCGCTGTTCTCGTAGTCCTCCATTAGTTTCACAACCATTGGTATCAGGAAAGCCACTGAAGCAATTCTAATGTAGTTATAATCTTATTTTCCTAAAACTAACAAGTCTTTCCACTACCAGTATGGGCGCAAGCAACAACATCGGATCCGTTGAGAATCGGGAAGAACGAAGCCTTTTGAATTGGAGTCGGTCTGTTCATTTTCATGCGTTTCAGATTGTCATTGAATCTCTGATCGAGAAGCTTGAAGCCATCGAATGCGGCCAAATCCGGCATGGCATATTCTCCCATAGAAGCGAAAACTTTCTGGTCGAAGTTGATGCGGTCATCGTTGTTGACAGCATCATTGAAAATTTCCTCTTCAGGGATAAACTTCACTTCGTACGGCACAAGAATGTTTCCGGCCACTGCAAACGGTAATGGTTATTTAGAAAATTGGAGCAGTCACTGACAATCTCTCGGTCTGGTTGGGCACTCGTAACTCCAATGGCCTTCTTCACCACAGCGACGGCATGGTTCAGTCGGCTCCATACGAACCCTTTCGTTCGTACAGTCTTTGGCAAAATGGCCATCTTGTCCGCAGTTACGGCAAGGTCCGTGCGGAGCTTTCGGTTCTTGGCACTCTCTCGAGATGTGACCCTCTTTTCCACAGTTACGGCACTCTCGTGGCTTTTGTGGTTTCGTGCACTCGTCTCTTCGGTGACCCTCCTCTCCGCAATTGTAGCAGCCACTTTTGCGTTCACCTGTAAGAATTGTTAACTGATCAAAAGCTATGGTTGATTTTCGAAACCTCCAAGTCGTTCATTATTTTCTCCGAAGGCACTCGCGGATCCAAAGCCATTATCGTCTCCAAACCCGAAGCCAGCACTTCTCGGTGGCTCTCCAAACTCCCTTTTTCTCGTTGTAAATCCGGCACCAGTACTTTTTCCGAATCCAGAACTGTCTTTCCCTTCCGTTTCACCAAATGCACCAGATGACGGTCCTCCAAATCCACCGCCTATTCCAGAATTTCCGAATCTATTTGACGACTGACCTCCGAAGCCCTCTCCTCCAAATCCACTGCTGGCACCGGTTCCGCCAAATCCAGATTTAGGTTTGTCAAAGATCTGACCACCGAATGCTGCTGAAGGTTTTCCTCCGAATCCACTACTGATTGAAGATCCGCCTTTATTTGATGGCTGTCCACCAAGTTCTCCTCTAACACCACTGGTGGTTCCAGATCCTCCAAATCCAGTTTGCTCAGAATTTTGACCACCATATCCTCCGGACGGCGGTCCCCAAAAAGCAGAGTTAGGTTTTTCAGATATTTGTTGTCCTTGTCCTCCAAAATTTCCACTGGACGCCTGTCCGCCAAATCCAGATTTAGACTGTTCCGAACCACCAAATGCAGTCGCTGACGTTCCGCCGAATCCTCCAAGTGGAGGTTTTTGTGCGTCAGAAGCGCGTCCTCCGAATCCAGATGGTTTCGACGGCGATCCGAAATTTCCACCCAAGCCACTAATCGGCTTCTCAGCATTGTTCCCTCCGAATCCTGAATCCGTCACCGAACTGAATCCTCCGCCGAAACCAGACGTTTTATTTGGGTTCTCTCTTTGAGCAATGACGCCAGTGGCCGCCGATAGATCAACATTTTGTCCACCAAATCCAGATGACTTCGGAGCATCGTTGTTTCCGAATCCGACAGACGACTTTTGAGACTCGCTTGTTTTTCCACCAAATGATCCTCCAAATCCAGCCGTTTTCAAAGAATCACGGCTTCCAAATCCAGAAGACTGCTTTTGAAGATCAGTGGATTTTCCTCCAAATGATCCTCCGAATCCAGATGGTTTTGGGGCTAGATCTCTTCCGCCGAAAGAAGGCGTCGGCTGACTATCTCCTCCAAAACCAAGTGGCTTGGTTGTTTTTGGGAAGTCATCCGATAGTTTGTCAGTTTCGGCAGTTTGTCCTCCGAATCTCGCACAAGATTTACCGTTCTCCATCGAGAAACTTTCAGTCTTCATCTTGTTCTCGCTTGGCTGTCTCGCGAAAGAAGGCTGTTTGTTGGCAGCATCGTTTCCTCCAAACTCCTCGATATCTTTGAGTGGGATAGCTTTGGAACCGCGATCTCCTCCGAATCCAGCAGTTTTGAGAGATTTCTCTGCAGAGGAAAATGATCCAAAAGACTTGGCGGGTTGCACGAAAGTATTGGTATCCGGTTTACCAAAATCTCCGCCTTTGCGTGAAGATGCACCTGACTTGGTAACTTGAGGAGGAAGCAATGGCTCCTGTCTCGTCGCTTTCTCGACTGGGGGAGTTGGCGACAAGTCACTGAAATAATACGATTTCATTCTGTCGAGATTACATCTTTCTAACATCGTTATGTCGAGATCGATAATGTCATCAGCAACTTTAGGAGGCCCAGTTGTCTTGTAGAAAACTGCTCCTTTACTCGGCGGTGGAAGTTTCAAATCACGCTAAAAACGGGCCTCGTTGTAAAAACGTATTTTTTCTTACAGGTTTTGCAGGAATAGGTACGCGAACTTGCAGCTTCTTGACAGGTGACCTGCAAACAAGCGACATTGGATTCGAAGCTCCAGAAGCTTACTATACTTACGCTCCCCATCCATCATCACTTCCGGCGTCAGTGGTGTTAACGTTAGTTTTGTCCGCGTCTATGGTGATTTCCGCAGTCTCTGTAGCCATCGGAAGAGCTGGTTGACGACTCAGCGCCGTAAATTTAGGCGCCCCCGCATTTGCGAAGCTTTGTGGCCCTCCACCTGGCTGACCAAAAGTTTTATGTGTTGGTTTCACGGGTGCGACAACACGAATCGGTTCCGTTTTTGGTTGCGGCACTGAAAAATAATGATGATGATGAGAATCAGTTTTTCAAACAAACTTTTTTCGATAATCTTTGGAGGTGTTACTGCGACTTTTACGTCGGCGTCCAGCCCCCATCCATCATCCGAAAAGCTGAAAGAACAATTTGGAAAATAAAATTGCAAGAGCTCACCTCATTTTTAACTTCAGATTATCTCTTCTTGGCTGGACAATTGATTAGTTCTGAAATGCAAATAAGTTTGTCTCGACTGTTCTCTGACTGATTACAAAATTTTTCCCGCAAAGTCCTAAAACAAAAAACTAATTTTTTAAAAACACGGGCGCCCGGTTAAAGGCGCACACACTGTAGCCAAGCGCCGGGTCCCATAGCGACTTCTCGTTTTATCATCATTTTTCGAACAACTTTGTCAAATCTACCATTCCTTGTTTTTCCTTAAGAATTACAGGGTGTGCAATTTACAGCTTTCCAGAAAGTAACTCCCCCAAAAATGAGCTTCGTTAATAAGAGACCAGCGACTGAAAGACCACTCAGAAAGAGAAATTCCGACCAAGCGTCTAGCGCCAAGAGATCATCCTCGTAAGAGGGGAAAATTGAAATCTGGCCTCATTTGTGATTTCCAGATCAGCCACCGTCACTCGTAAGAGATCAAATGCAATGGATCTGGACAAAAAGAAAGATATGGCTCGGAAAAGACCTCTGATGGTGGGGAATGGTCTATTCAGAACAGCGGCTTCTGCGAATTTTTCCGCCGATTCAACGAACGAAAATATCGACTCTGTTGACGAGACTGCAAACTACGATTGTAGCAAGATCGAAGAGACTTCTGTGACTGTCGACTCTGTGATCGAGGGAGAAGATCTTCAGAACGAGAAAGTCGGATCTCTCATCGAACATGTGTACGAAAATGTTTTCCCGATTGATTTCGATATGGTTGGCGGAAAACTGTTTATCATCGGAAAAGAAGACATGGCTAAGGTAATAATCAATAATAATAAGGTTCTAAAAGTCTCGTACTAACAAAAATATTGAAGAGAATAACAATTTCAGCGCATTACGAATAAATTCAAAATCATGCAGAAAATGGCTCATCTCGTCGGTTGTGGATTGGATTGTCACTGTAAGAAAACATAATTATTAAATTAGAATTCAAAAACATTTCAGTTCGCATTGTAGAAGATCGGTTTCTTCTGTTCATGATGGTTCGTGGAGCACCGAAGATTGTTTTCGGAGCTACCGTCACAGTGATACCCGATCTCACCAACATCAGGCAACTGACCGCGTTAGTTAGGAAGCCAATCGTCAGGGAAAATTGTTTTTTTGTAGAAATGGAGATTTTGTCGAGCTTGGACAGGCGAAGTTCTTCGAGTCTATCTTGGCTCTGTTTCCGTCCAGCTTGAAGGGTGGAAGGGATGTTCTGAGAATCCCTCTTTTAATCGGCGCCGAAAATGTTCGCTGTTTTTGGTTTTCACTCGGTGACAAAGATGGTTTTTCAGGAAATGGTTTACAAATTTTACGAATTTCTGAGAACAATACGGGAGAGCGTGTTGCTCCACATTGCATCGAGTTTGATTCGCAGTGATAGCATTTCTGAATCAGTTACTTTACAGTGCCCATTGTCTGGACTTCCAATGATCATGTAGAAGATAACGGAGAAATAGACTTCAATGCCGCCCTGTAATAAGATAAAAACTATAAATTCAAACATATTGTTTATCTAGGACCATCATCGAGAGTTGCGGAAACAAACATTTATCTCGTCTCGACAGAGAACAGCCGGGATATTCGAATCGGTGGCGCGACGACTGGAAACTCGTGCGCTCTCAATCGTTCTCCCAAATGATGGAGAACAAGTTTAACACCTACTAGCTAACTGATCCAAATTTTTACACTGTATATTATTGATATTGTCTCTTGCAGCCGTATATTGGCACAATGTAACTTTCTTCCCTTTGCTTTCTACTTGATGAAATATCTTCAAGACGCCAATGTCTTCTTCATATTGTTTTTCTTATAGTTTTCAGCTACAATTTATTGTGTTGCGAAAGCGAAATGAGGGAATGGAGTAGTCGTCAGGGGATATACGGAGAAGAATGTCGAAAGATGCGCGGCCGATGATAAACGGTACGGCGACAGAGAAAGTCGACCTGCGCGCAGTCGGGTCACGCTTTTTTGGAAAGGAAGGGCAACGAACGAACGGGTTTGCCTCCTAAACAAGGAAACATTTGAATGCGTGCGCCGTATACACGTGGAACGCATTTCCTTCTGCCATTCCAGAATCTTCTTTTGAATAGGTCATTCCTGTCATCGGCATCAGTTTCTTCTCTCGGAAAGTGACACTTGATGTTCTCATTTTGTTGTGTGAAAGAGAAAAACGAGCGGTTGAGAGCGAGAGACACACAGAGATACATGTCAATATTTATTTCAAACTGCCTCGTTTTCGTACACTTTCGGCGCGCGCCCGATGCCGACGGAATAAGGTTTTCGAAAAAGGACGACATCGTCTTCGCGCCTTTGTATGGTGACGTCGCATCGAAATCATCAGAATCATCAGAATTGACGAGCTCGCCCTATCGTTCTCGATCTGTTCCGAGTTAATGAGACGGTACTCCCACGTTTGAAAGGCCGCTATTTAGATGTGTTGTGTAATTGATCAAAAGATATCATCAGATGACAAATGATGCTTTCAATTCCTCGCCTTTTTCTGATTGATGAGTTGTCAAAAGGCATTGCCCTTTTCTTATCACTTCTCTCCACTATCTCTCTATCTAACAATGTGTTCGGTGTTCCGTTCGCGAAAGGACCCCTTTTCTCGCCGACATTGTTATCATCAAAACGCAAAGAGGCGCGAGGCGGTGTAGAAGAGCGGCCGGCAGGAGCGGAGGAGAGGAGGAGGAGATTCTCGACTTTCTTTGGCGCGACGATGCAAAATAGCGGCCGTTGTCTGTCTCTGGCTCATTGCCAAATACGTGCAACCTGTTGTCCTTCTCGCCCCGATGCCTGCGTCTCCAGTATCAGATGCCTGCATTCAGCCGGTCTTTCTCTCCTCCGACTCGCTCGCACAAGACCCCCATCTCTTTCTCTCCTCACAAATAACACCAAAGTGAAACACAGGCCGATGCGACGGCCGGGGAGGCTGGTGTCTTTCTTTTCTCTCGCATCGCAGCCAGCAGCAGCAGCAAGCCAACAGACGACCGCAGCGCACGACCGCAGCGCGTCGCCTCGCCTTCTAATCGTTATTATATTCACTACTATTGGAAGACACCCCGGCTTCTCTGTTCTCTCCGCATAGGTTGCCGCTCCCTCGGTTTGACTGTCGAGCATATCTGCGTCTCCTCGCATCCTCGCTACACTCGTCATTTCTCCTCGCCATCGGCCCTTGACATCCGTCTTTTTGTGGGTTTCCTTGAAAAGCTTGTGCCTCCTCATCCCATCTCATAAAAAACACCCAATAATTTCCATTCAACTCTTCATTACCCCTTTTCTCCTGATTGGCTTTTCCCTTTTGCCGTTTGTTTCGGCGTTTTTCCCGTTATTTCCCGTATGTACTACTATTTCAATCATAATGAACGTCAATCGAATCTACGTATTATAGCATTAATTATTCCATTAGTACTTTGAAACAGTTTCAATTAACTTCAACTTGAGTTCGTCGACAATATTAGTGTTTTTCAGAGCTCGAAGCGACTCAAAACAAATCAAATTTTCACTGAAATTTCCAAACGTGGGCGACCTGAAACAGGTCGCACGAGATGGTCAAGTGACGACGACAGATTCGCCGAGAATGCACGGAGCCGGCGAACAGCAACGATACCGATATGCTCGCAACGATGAGGTTTGTGATAAACCGTTCATTTTCTTTAATTTCAATAATAACATACACGCTTTGATAAAATCACAACAGAGTAGAAATACTAATTAAAATTTCAGAAAATATTTACTTTCAGCTTATAAGTTAGGTAGAGCGCACTAGTATGAGGAAATCTGTACGCGTTGAGATCACCCCGCTGGTCGTCGACTAATTGAGGCGCAAAACAAACTTAGAGGTGTTGAAACACGGCGGACGACGGTCGACCCGTGTTTTCCGAGTCATCAATCACGCAAAGGTCATCGGGCTGGTGAGCCTTATCGCCATGAGTTCGATTTCATCAAAATGAACTCTTGCATATTCTGCAATTTCGAAGTGTTTCATTTCGTCTGTTCGTCGCGCTTCCTCCAAACCGAACAATAACATTGTTCATCGGAAGAAGTGATGTCATTTCTTTTTCGCCGTTGTGCTCTCTGCCCCAAATTTTGAAATCTCAGAAAACAAGTCATGCTGGGAACGCCGAGTTTGTGAGCGCTTGAAAGTTTAGAGCACTACAAATAAAGCTACATCAGATCAGAAAACATACGGACTCCTTCTCTCTGTCTGGCTATTCCTACTTCTTCCCTTCCCCTCGGCTCAATTCTTTCTCAAAACGCTTCTTATAATTACGAGACTCCTGCTCTGCTCCTCTGACTCTGCATGGGGATAATGTTACCCCGCTCATTTCGTCTTTCCACGCGCAGTTTATAGCTGAGCAAGTTTGTATTGTAAAAGCTGCTCAGCGGGACCACCTGAACTCGGAATGCAACTGTCCTTTAATTGGTACCTCGCTAATCTGCACTCTAATCTGCCCGCTCATTCCGATGACTATCTGTGTCTCTGTCTGCATTACATCGCCTTATACCTCCTTTTCAACTCTCTCATCACCTTTTTTGAATGGTCCTCGCGAGAACAATTGCGACCGAGGGGGCGATCAGAAAATGATGACGGCGAATGCGGGTGCACACAAACTATTACACGGGTTTGTGTGTGCACTATCCGGCAGCAGCCAGAGCTCTTGCTCGCACCCTCTATCGAGTACAAATATTGGTTTATGTAGATTTGGTTATAAATTAGATTAGCATGCATCCCGTTCTTTTATCTAAAATTCTTAAATTCCAGCATCAGCCGTCAACGTCTTCACAAGGTCACCAAATGCATCCAATGCAAAGCCCGCAGCAAATAACATTGATGCACAATCCGACGACGTCGACGGCTTCGAATCCTTTGACCGTAACACCGTCGGGCGCCCCAATAGCAGCTCCCATCGTGCGCTTTGGTCAGCCTATCAAAATCGGAGACAACATACTGCAACCAGCTGGAACTCTTGTGTTTTCGCAAGGAGACAATGCAAGTTGGTCGTCAGGACATCGAGTTTTGGTGCATCACGCAAACAAACATTCGGTAAGTCGTCCGCTTTTGTTGGCGCTACAACGAAGTAGAACTCGCACGGAATGGAACTGTTACGATTTGGAACTCGCAACGTTAAAATATATCTGCGAGTTCCAAATCGTAACAGTTCCATGCCGTGCGAGTTCTACTTCGCTGTAGCGGCTTTTTGTTAATTGCTGGAAGAGTAGGAAAATGTGCTTCAAATTTGAATTCTCTCTGTTCTCACCGTCTCTCCTGTCTGTCGCACACCTTATCAACTCCGTTTATTGTTTCCTAATCAGCTGCAATTAAAATTTGCAAGAAAATACGAAATAGTAAAAGAGTTGGCAGCTGTGCAGACAGCCATTTTTTGTGTCGCGTGCAAATTCCCTAGGGAATCATTTGTTACCATGGCAACGGGCGTGTCTGACTCTCGCTGAAAGTAGCCTGCAACTCTCATTCCCATGTTTTCCAGGTTGTGCAAGCAAATCTCTTCCCAATTGGATCGCCTGCTCTGGTGCCTACTGGGAATTGGTACATCAATCAGCAGCCGGTTACCACTTCTTCGAATAACTCTGTTGTTCCCAATCGTAATCCCGCAACGGCCTCTTCTGCCACACCGGATTCGGGAATTCAAAGCGTTCCAACGTCTCCGCCGAGTCCCAGTTATCAGCTGCTGAACGAGAGAGATGAGGAGGAAGATGAAGACGATAATGATGACGGACCAGCTGACTTCACAGACATGCCCACGTTGAAACCGGCGCATGAGGACGACTCGTACGACGGTCCTTTGACGAGCGTCGGACCGTCTTCCTTCTCGGAGACTCCGACGACTACAACTCCTGTTCCATCGACTTCTACTGTTGCTGCTAAAGACGATCTGAATGGAATGAACGCGGAAGAGTTTTTGGCAGTTTCAATAGCCAGAAACATGGATCTTGACGAGATCGTCAAAAGGTTAATTGCATTGGATCCGGACAAAGCTTCGTCCATTGCAACTCTCATAAAAGAAAAGGCAGATGCGGCGAAAAAGAAAAAAGATATGGAAGCTGAGGTTTCTTCGACGACTCCTTCAACTCCGAGAGCAAGAGTGACTAGGAAAACGACGAAAATGACTACAAGGAGTACAAATTCACCAGATGTGACGACGAGTACGGAGGAACCGAGCACTTCATCAACTGGAATGCTCGACGATTCCGAAACAAAGCGACAAGGAAAAAGGAGAGGGCGAAGACCAAAAAAACGAGAAAACCTTGAAATGATCGAAGATACTCCTCTGCACGAAGAAGTGGTAAAAAGAGTGAAGGTGAGTGCAGAAGGTGACATAATTTCTTAGAATAGTCCAATTGCAGACTGAAAGAGTGAAGTTCTCTCCCGAACCAACAAGTTCTCGGCCACAGTCATCGACAGCGGTTACTGTAACGTTGGATCCAGTGCAATACCGTTTGAAAGTTCGAGAAATGATGGAACGACAATTGGAGCAGCAGACGCAGAAAATGAGTGTCGATATGAGTGAAATGAGAGTTTCTCACTCGACCACGAACAAAACAATTGCCGGAGGAAAACGGAAAGAGTCGTTCTTCCGACAATTGAATGAACAAAGCAAACGAATCAAGAAAGGACAGTTTGGGAAGAGACTGAAAATGTTCATGACCGAAGAAGAACTGAGAAGGAAAGACGACGAGAAGCCGAAAGAAACGAAGGAGAAGGAAGAGGATGTTCTGAAAATGAGAGGCCGATTACCATCCAGAAGATCACGCGTTGATGACTCCCCAGAAGTCGCATTCACAGTCGAGGAGAAGTATAATGGAGAATATTACGAGATCTCGAAAAGTGTTCCTTCTTCTGACGACGTCATTCCACTTTGGAGGGCACCAAGTTTGACGTGTGGATGCACAAAAGGCGCTTGCACTTCCGACATGGATTGTCTAAACAGGGCGATGCGCGTGCAATGCAGCAGCGATTGCACACTCTCCTACTGTTCAAATCGTCGATTCTGGAAAGAGGACAGCAACAAGCTGTGCGTATCACATGGACAGAAAACGAGGAAACTGCTGAGGACGAAAGTTGCGAGAAGAGCCGGAGAGTTTCTTTGTGAGTATGCCGGAGAAGTGATCAAAAGCGAAGATGCGCAAAAAAGATTTGAAGACGATGAGAACGCTCGGATCATTGCCATCGGATCCCAGCTTTTCATCGATGCGACCGTCCGTGGCAATGTTTGTCGTTTCGTGAAACACTCTTGCAAGCCAAATTCACGATTGGAAGTATGGTCAGTGAACGGATATTATCGAGCCGGAGTGTTCGCTCTCATTGATCTTATGCCAAACGTGGAGATTACGATCGACAAAAGCGGTCTCCTTCCTTTCGCGAGATCTTGCACCTGTGGGTCGTGGGAGTGCAAAAAAGTTATTCGAGGCGTCAGAAGTACAGCGATTGCCGTTGCCGACGAGAAGGAGCACATCAATACCAGTCGTTTCTTAACTCGCAGCCGAAGGCACACAATCGAACGAGCTCGTCAGCATTCTGGCCTCCCTGCTATTCTTACCACTGAGGTTCCTGCAGAGGCTCTCCCGTCTCCACGACTGCAGATGAAGAAGGTGTTGGCAGCGTTTTCATTCCGAGTACGGAGGATAGACGGATCACTTTCTCGTTCAATGCTCCCTTACTACACGGCGATTTGCAAGTTCTTAAAGTGCTCTGATGACAATGCGAGTCCTGATCAGTTCATTTCCCTCTGCCGAAAATGGCTCGATGCAATTGACGACGATGATTTGGAAAGGGCTTTTGTGTAAGTCATCTCAAACACTGCTTCACCGTTCCATCTAATTTATTGTTTCAGTGCTATCGAGTCCCACTACATGTCCTCGTCCATTTTGTCGTCGGCACAGTCGAAGAAAGCGAGGGAGAATGCTCCACGGCCGCGAGCACAGTCAACTTGCTGTCAATCGCCAGTTCCACCGAAACGAGGCGATGCCGATCTCTCTTATCTCGAGTCTTCGTGGCCGGTATGCAGATACCCAATTCGGTTCTGAAAATAGAAATTTTTTGTTTAGATTGGATCCTACAATCCGGACGACGCATGGGATGAATATCATGCGAATGCAAGCGACGATGCGGTTCGATGCATTTGTGGAGCACTCGACGAGGACGGAGAAATGGTGCAGTGTGATGAATGTCACTTCTGGCTCCACATTGATTGCACCAGTCATGATCTGTCGTCGAAGAATGAAGACAAGAAAAAGTCAGAAAAGGATGAAAAGGAAGACGAATATAGATGTGACTTCTGCCTCGGAAAACAAGATGGAAACCGGCCTTCGGCTGATGTCAAGCTGAGAAGTCGCCTGGACGTTCGTTTCGAGCACTGCGACTACTACAGATCTCTGGTTAATCGACGTGGAATCCAAGTACGGTTAAACGAGACCGTCTTTGTAAACCGTGTGATCTCGGAAGACCACAAGGCAATGCTGCGGCATCTTCGCGAAGAAAAGAAAGGAATAAAAAGTACGAGCCGACTGGATCAGTTGAATTTCCCGAAAGCGCCGACTTCGCCACTTCCACATGAGGAGTTCGACCGGAGGGAAGCTCGTATTTTCCGAGTGGAACGGCTCTTCGTCTGTCCTGGAAACAACCGTTTCGTCTTTGGATCGTACTACGCGTGGCCGCATGAGACTTATGCTGAGACGAGTCGGCTATTCAGCAAAAAGGAAGTTTTTGCGACAAATTTCTACGATACACTTCCCCTCGATGAAGTCTTCGGCAGATGTCTCGTGATCGACACGCGAACCTGGTGCACCGGGCGTCCGAAGGTGCCAAAGTTCAAAGAAGACGACATTTACTTGTGTGAAATGCAAATAGGAAAGAATAAACGCGTTTTCGAGAAAGTTCCGGCCAAAAATAGATATCCGATCAACATGCAGCCGTACGTCTTCACCGAGTTCCCTCAACGGAAGGAAGTTGTCAGAGACTTCAGAGTGAGTAATTGCTTATCTCATCCAAAGTGCTTACTTATTTTTCTATTTCAGCCCTACGATCCATCAAATCCTTCTCCGAAGCCACCTAAGAGTCATCATCATCAGCATCCTTCGGATCCTCGTTCAGAAGCTCTGCCAAAAGTGGATTCGAAAAGAATGTCCCGCAAAAACATCGACAGAGTACTTCACTTGCTCTCTGCCTCTTCGAACAAAGGCCAACTGTAAAATTCGTTCCCCTTCAGATATCAATTTAGATCAGTTCACGAGTTGTGGTTTTTCTATTCCGGTGTTCCTACAGCCTTCAATACGTGCTTCATTACCCTTTTCTACCTTCCTCAGCCTGCATTTTATCACAGTGCCAACCAATTTGCCAATTACCAATAGCGCCTTTTCCCATTTACCGACTTCATTCCTCTGTCAACTTCCTATCATTATCCGGTGCTTTCTCCCTCGCTAATCACTTTCATCCCACCGGAAACTGTTTTGGTATAAGTAGCTGACTGGCTCCTCACTCTCAAGTAGATCAACAAAGTACGGTTATTCAGTCGAACTACAAAGTCGTTCCACAGTCTCCCTTTATTACGTTCACCCAACCCCAAACTGCTTCCTTCTCAAGACATTGCAAGTTCCTTTTCAATTTCAATAATTGTTGGTTATTTGATAATAAATATGTTTATCGCAGCTCTTCATCGTTTAGCAAACGCGAAGTTTCCCCAGCTGGAAAATCCGATCTGTCCGAGATTAGTCCACTTCTTCACCAAACTGTACTCGGTCTTCTCGTCAATCGACGAGGCGTAGTATATTTCTGACGGCTTCTCCGGGTTCTGGAATTCGTTGATCGAAAGGATTTCTCCGAGACACCGACGTGCGGACGACTCCTCCCGGAACACGTATCCCGCCCTCCGAACCGCCTGAAAACATTCAGATGACATCGGAATTCTTCCCGTTCCGTCCACGAACCTCTTCGTTTTCTCCCACCTCCTTCAGCATTTTCAGTCGGTACGCCTTCGTCTCCGAATTGAATATCTCGTACAGAAGACTCATTTTCCCGCACGCGTCCCCGATCACCGTCAAATTTGTGGTCTCATCGATCAGCGAAACATTGAAGACTTTGTCGAATTTGTAGTCCGTCAGGTAATTGTTGTTCTGGAACGAAACAGTGAATGCGACCAGTCCTTCGGCGCTTTTCACGCGGATTATGGGACGAAGAGCCACGGAGATTTTATTCTGAAAATTGTAGAGAAGGAGATGACGTGGCAAGAGAGACGGGTGCTTACGAAGACGACGTTTTCGTACGGACGGATCGAGTTAAACGGATATTTCCTGAAAAAAAAAGCATGGAATGAGATGTGGGTATCCAGCTCACTCACACAGTTCTCTCCGGCTCGGTCGCATTGAACAGATACCCGAGCACCTTGGTCGGCCTCCAGAACATTCTGTCCTCGTTCCATCTGGCCTTCAGCACCTCTTCGTTCGTCGTCACGTACCGATACGTTTGCAGAATCGGAGAGAACATTTCGACGAGCGCCCCGTTCGCAGTTCCACAATATCCGGGCCAAGCGCCCACATAGCCGGCCTCATCCAGAATCTCCAGAGTGTCGTTGTTCTTCACTTCACTCCAAACGGCCAATCGGGGTGATCCGCCGACGGTGACGTGGAAGACACGTGTCAATTGAGGGCAAAGAGTGTCGATGACCTCACAGTCCGTGTCCGGAGTGGCCAGTCCAAAAGCTGGAGGAGAGGAGGAGTTGACGGGCGAATAGCCGGAATATTCTGGAAAACTGGAGTGGAGAGAGGGAGTAAGGAGAGGGTGAACTGACTGAAATACAAGTTGATACTGTCGTCTGTGAAGTATAATCTATTGTGATTCGTCGGATTCTCATTGAACTTCAACGGTAGGACAGTCAGCGGAAAACTGCTCTCCAAACCATTCACCTGCAAATATATTCGATTCATAGATATCAATCAGAAGGCTCGCAAAACTCACAGTTTGAAACAGGAAAGTGAAGCACACGAGGATGGAGGCCATCTTCTCCGAAATGTGCTTGTCCGTCGCCTTCCGGTGTTCCCAGTTATCACCCTTTTTTCCGATTTTATCATTGTTTTACGAGCACCTTCCGTTCCCCGTTTCGCCGTTTCTGCCACGTCATCACGCTCTTCCACTCTCGTGCCCATCAGCTGTTGTTTTCCCGTTCTGCTGTTGCTCTCCGCAATCATTTCGCAGTGATAAGCATATAATCAGGACCGCTGATTCAATTCAACTGATAGGGACTGCACAACGCCTTTCGCTTTCGTTTCTGCTCGTTTTACTATGAACAACAACACGAAATCGACCTAGTTAATCGAAATTGGTAAGAGATATAAATGATTGTGGAATCGGGCGACGAGATAGGGATCTTGGCGAGTAGGAAGGATCGTGATAAGAGATAATACAGGGAATGGTGCGTCGCCGCATTTCTTCCACACTTCATTACTTTTACACTCATTTGGATCACCTATTCTTTGTGAGATTCAGAAGTGTGAGTAGATGAACTTTCTGAAGTAGATAATAGTACCTTCCGTATCTTTTTGAACAAGTCTGTCAACTTCTACAACCATAGCTACTATCGGTCATGAGAAACGCCTCCCTAGCCATTTGAATTCTGAAAGAACGTTATCTGCTTTTTAATTGGCGTCGGGCCGGAGATAACAATTTTAACAGAGCGCCCCGTTATTAGTTATGAATTACAAACTTTCTTCCGTACCTCATCACTCATTCTGTTCATTCTATTCGAAAAAGGGTGATAAGGAAGGTCTTAGGAACAGGTCAAATGGTGATAAATTCGAGAGGAATTCTGATAATGACCAATCTCAGTTAGTTCTCCTCGTTCTCTCTCCCTCTTTCATTCTCAAACCCACTCCATTCTCCTCTTTTTCAGCTCCACCAACTTCTTCTCCTTTTTCTCATTCTTCTTCTCCGTGTTTCTCTCCCGTTATCATCGAAATCTGGCGGTGACGAAGTCTCCGGGGCACGCACACACAACTTGCTCCGCGCCGTCGTCCCTCACAGATCTTATCTTCCGAGCACATCTTTCCCGGAGCTCTTCTTCTTTTCTGCTCCCTCCCCAACTGCTTTTCTTCTTCCTTTCCCACTTTCTATACGAAGAAGACAATATGGACGCCAAAACGTTTCTGCTCCACAATATAATCGAGGTGAGTGGAGGGGGAGTGGGCGGCCGTCATCTACAGTAATCCTTTGAGACTGTTGGAAGACGATCGCTCGCTTCGGTCGAGTTCAAGTGCGGCGACTGCGTGGGACCGTACGCGCTCTCGAATAATGACGGAGGAGTCCGGGTTACGGTAGGTCTCCCTGCAACTGGGTACTGTAGTTGGTACATTCAGCTGTCCAACTTTACCGGTGAGCCTGTAACTCTCGAGTTCGAAGCGAATTCAGTGGTCAGCAGGATCCAATTCACTCCAAGCCCCCTCTTTGCCAATTCCGTCGTTCTTCAGACAAGTACTTAAAGTCTTCTTTCTCATCGGAATCTTCGAATGTTTATCCTTTTTCAGGCGCTTTCGTTCAGATTCTTTTCACGAAAGACGTGCTGAAGAATGAGCCGTTGCGAGCGATTCTTGTGGCAGATATGAACTACCAACTGGAGAACGAAAAGGGGGAAAAAGGGAAAAGTGAGCACAGAAATATCGGATGTGCCCATTGAAAACGAGTTTTCAGAGTTTGAATGTTCAAAGTGTCACATGGCGAAATTCAATTCGATGCAGAATTTGAAAATTCACGAAGAACAGTATTGTGCTCACAAAGAGAAGGCTCCGGAGCCGCAGAACCTGATTCTTCTGCCATTGGCATTTCACGACATGCCCCAACAGAATGCAGTTCAGGCGAGGAATCACGGGAGCAGCTCACTTCAATCGGGTCCCTTTCAGGTCGTGGGACCAGTGCATTCTCTCGTTCCGGTGGCCGTCGGGAGACAGACAACTCTTGTGAATACGAACCCGGTTTTCGTTCACAACAACTCAAATTTGGAGATTCCGAGCAGTCTGAGCGTGTCCCATCCGACGCTTTCGATCAAAATTCCCGTGATCGATCTGGATGAGAAGTGCTCTCTCGCTCTCTCTCCGTCCCGTTCCCTCATTCCGTGCATTTCCAGAGTGGCGTCCACCCCTCTCGACCTGTCTTCTTCGTCCCGCGCCGCCAGCATTCCTTCCCTTTCCGCCAGCTGTTCTCCCACTTCCAAGAGCTCCAGCAGTGAGCCGTTTTCGCCCGAGAAGCCCTTCTCCTGCTCGTGCGGCGTCTCTTTCTCCAGTCAGAACACGTTTGACGCCCACAAACAGTTCTATTGTCAGCACACTCAACCGGCTCTCTCGGCGGGAGCTTCTCGAACCGACGCTTCTCGAAAGGTGCGTCCCATTTATCGCCGCTCCGAATTTCTCTTTCCCCTTCCCCGATTGCAATCTTGAATTATGGCCGGAGGGCGGGTGGCTCTCGAGCAAAAGAGAAGGACTCCGCGTGATTTGTAGGTACCGGAAAAGTGCGGCAAATGCGATTTCGTGCCCGTCTCGACCTCCCAACTGGCGATGCACACTCGTACCGCCCATCAGACGACGAAGACATTCACCTGTTTGGTGTGCGGATACAGGGCTTTCAGTATGCGAGGAGTGCGCACGCATATGAGGTGAGAGAAGGAATGGAAACGGCCGAAGTAGTTGAATAATTGTTGCAGGTCCCACCCGAGTGAAGATGCTCAGAGATTCAAAGTGAACGAGCCGGATGCGTGAAATCATATTCCTGTAGAATTTATTATTTCCTTCAAAACATGAGATCAATAAACGGGTTGGAATCTTTCAATCTGACACATTTCCGACGATGAACGAGAGGACGTAGTCTTCGTTGTGTATGTTGAACTCGGCCATCCGATTTGAGATGATATCTGAAGGGAAGAAGCTCATTTAATAGACTGACGGCTCGACTCGGGGCTCACTCATTTTGACACGGGCCCTTGTGGTCGAAAAGCTTTGGAACAACGTTCCGATGTTTTTGATCATGAGCTGCACTTTGGCCGTGTCGTCTTGACTGTCCGACTCGGCTGTATTTGCGTGGAGATCCGAAAAACTGACGTCCATGCCGCCTTGGTCTGTATTTGCAGATATCCTCAAGTCGCCTGACCTGCTCGCAGTGAACTTCTAAAATTGGAAAGAGAAAATCACACATTATGATAATTTTGTTCGTACCACAACCCGTACATTCATATTTTTGAATGCGTGCAAGAAACGGGAAACTGCTTTTGGGGGCGGCATCGTGATTGCCATCTGAATCCGTTGTTTGCTGTTTTCGTGACACAGACCGATTTCCCGACCTTTCTGTGTCCAATTGACGGCCTTGCGTACGTATTCCAGTACTTTGTGAGCACAATTGCGACGGGAACCTGATGATTGACGATATCTGAGCCCGAGTTCCGTACTTCTACTGCCAAAATTGGCTCGTCATTCTAAAACACAGCACGTTTCAAATAAGAAACCATCTTTGAAACCTGACTCTTCGAGAGCTTCAGCTTTAGGTAACAGTGTCCGCCGGGCAGAACTCGCATTAAACTGTCGATATCGATTTCGAAATAAATCAGATTTTGCTCTTCATTTCGTGGATGCATCCCCACCATATCCTGCAACAAAACTTTTTTTTAATTTAATTTTTATTCAAGGAGGCACCTACAAATTTCCAAAAAAGTTGGCTGCTCTTCGGAACGGCCAAATTAAACCAAGCGCCACCATCATGGAGTCCAGAACAGCTGATAAAGTTAAGAGCTGGAAAAACGAGTATTACAAGCGTACCGAAACATAATCCCACTTGATTTCTCTATTTTTACGCAACATCGTTTTTTGCTAAGCCGAGTGGTTGCTGATAGAATTTCTGCAAACAAAATTTATATTTTCGTATCCAAAAACCTTTTTAGTACTGATAAAAGTGTCGATTGCAGAAGCGTCGTGCAATGTTGCACTGAATTTCATAGTGATTATTTTTCACGCCTGCAAAACTTCATTTTGAATAAAAGTGAGAGAATAAGAAGGAGGGAAACAAATGGAAGAGGGAAATTTGACGGCCGTTTTTTTAGCGCGCGCAGCGGTTGAATTTAAAAACACAACCGAAATTTAATTTTGTTTCTTGACGTAAAAATTTATAGGGTTATTCTGGCTGTGAAAAAAAAAATGATTTTTTTATGGGGCATTATGGGGCTATTCAGCGTATGCTTTTTTCCGTTTTGTTCGTTTTTTTACATCGCTGAATTGGGTATTTTGACGTCAAAAAACGAAAAAAAAATGAAAAATCATTTTTTTCACAGGCTGAATATCAGTATTTTCCGAGAGAAGTACACAGAGGCACAGTACCCTTTCTTCTCGAAAACCAAGATTGTAACTTTTCTCATGCTCCTTTAAATGTTCATTGGAAGTTTTTCCCGTTCTCAGAATACTTCCCAATTTCAGACAAAATGAGCGGCGGAAAAGACGAAGTCAGCGACAACGCTCTTTTGAAAGTATTGAAGAAAAAACCGGCAAATACCGTCGCCATTTTCTCACGAGGAGTGAGTTCCATCAGCTTTCCATCGAACTAAAATGTATTCTTCCGCAGGAATACTTTTCTGTCTACGGCGACGATGCGAAGTTTGTGGCGAATAACATCTTCAAAAGTGACGTATGCGTCAAAACATTCACTTTGCGCAGTAAGCGTCAGTGACTCAACTAAATTCGAAAACCTTTTTCAGCAAACGACTGCCAACAAATGAAGTACGTATCGGTGAACCGCGGTCAGTACGAAAAGGTCGTTCGCGAGACGATTGTACTGCTCCGATGCTCCGTCGAACTGTACACGAGTGAAAGTGGAGAATGGAAGATGGTCAAAAGGGGATCACCCGGAAATACTGTCGAATTTGAGCAGGAAGTCGGAGTGGCCGATCAGGCGCCAGTTATCGCAGTCTATCTTCATCCAGGAGAGAACGATGTTTGCGAACTGGAATATGACTGTTTAAAAATTGTTTTTTTTTTCAGAATAGAGTGACTGTGTGCGCTTGGGATGCCGGGAATGTGCGAATTGTGACTAGCGAATTCAACGACACTCCGAGTTTCTCTCAGACGGAGCAGTGCATTATCGGACTGTGTCCCATCGAGTACATTCTCGTAAATGACCAGGCTTCTGGTCCGAAATTCAAAAAAATCGCTAGTTTGTTCACAAAAATGGAAGTGCACACGAAGCAACAGCTAGAGCCGAAGTCCCCATGGGAAAGTGTTATGGAGTGCATTCAGAAAGATTCCAAAGGTATTTCCGAATGTATTGCAAGCTACTATGTCTATTTTCAGAAGACGCTGAGAAACAGAACGAGCACGTCAAAGAATGTCTCCAATTGTTGCATGCGAATGGTGGACAGGAGTGCGGAGAGCTCGAGAAGTACAGTATCTGCAACTATGGAGCTCACGGATACATGCAAATCGATTCGTGTGCCGTCGAAGCGTTGGAATTGTTCCAGCTCAACTACAATTACCTCGGCAGGTGCAAGACCTCAGGTGCAAGTTTCAAATGCACTTTCCAGAAAAGTCGAACAGCTTGACCCTGTACAATGTCCTTAACAAGTGCAAGACTATGCCGGGCGAGAAGCTGCTTCGTGACTGGATTTCCCGTCCTCTTTGCAATATCGGAATGATCAACGAACGTCTGGATATTGTTGAAGCGCTCATTGAAAACCAGACAATTCGCCAAAAACTTCGGGAGAATATACTGTCTAAAATGCCCGACTGTTCCCAGTTGGCACGTCGTCTCATGAGAAAGGTCACTCTCCAGGATCTCAATCGTTTCTATCAGTCCGCCTGTCTTCTGGAAACCATCGAGAGCCAGCTAAAAAAGTTGGCGGAAGAGATTCCGCAAGCCAGCTCCATTGAACGTCTTTTGCTGAAAGACTTGGCCGGAATTTTGAAGAAAGTCGGCAAATTCCAGACTCTTTGCGACGAATTCTTTGATTTCGATCATGAGAAAGAGGCGAAGGAGATCCGTGTCCGCGTGGATTTTGTGCCGGAAATTCAGGAGGTTCAGGAAAAACTGGATCAAATCGAAAGACTGGCTGAGAAACTGAGAAAGAAGTATAGTGCAAAGTTCGATTGTGATGGTGTCAAACTGGACAAGAACACTCAATACGGATACTACTTCAGAGTCACTTTGAAGGTGTGAAAACAATGGCTTTATTTTAATAATCTAGATTTCAGGAGGAGAAGGCAATCCGAAAGAAGGATGTTCACATTCTGGAGACGACAAAGGGAAGCGGAGTGAAGTTCACTGTTCAAGAGCTTACTGACATCAATGACGAGTAAGATTTTGTTCTCAAAAGTTTTCAGAAATCACACCCTTTCTCAGATTCTTGGAGTTCCACTTGAAGTACATCAAAGCCGAAGAGCAAGTGGTCGAGCTTCTTTGCAAAAACGCGGAGGAGTTCATTCCACTGATCCCCGCAATGGCTCAAAACGTCGCCACCCTCGACGTGTTCGTCTCTCTCGCTACCTTCGCTTCGAGTTCGATGGGCGTGTACTGTCGTCCGACTCTCCGTCCGCTCGGATCGAAATGTCTCCAACTGAAGCAGTGCAGACATCCAGTCATCGAGGCGAACAGTGAGAAACCGTTTATTCCGAATGATGTGATTCTCGGGAATCCGTCGGGATCCACTCCGAATGATAACCGTCTGATCATCCTGACGGGCGCCAACATGGGCGGCAAGAGCACCTACCTCCGATCGGCTGCTCTTTCGGTGCTTCTGGCTCAAATCGGCTCGTTCGTTCCTTGCGAGGATGCTGTTATTTCGGTCGTCGACGGAATCTTCACTCGTGTCGGCGCTTCTGACAAGCAATCGCAGGGAATCTCCACCTTCATGGCTGAAATGCTCGATTGCTCTGCGATACTGCAAAGAGCCACAGAAAACTCGCTCGTTGTGATTGACGAGCTCGGAAGAGGAACTTCCACTTTCGATGGATTCGGAATCGCCTCTGCCATTGCCCAGTAATAATAATGTTTTGTTCCTGTCTTCATTCAATAACTATATCTTTCAGAGATATCCTGAACCGTATCAAGTGCCTTTCCATCTTTGCCACGCATTTCCACGAAATGGGAGAACTTGCCCAACAGCCAGGAGCCACAGCCCTCCAAATGGGCGTTCAAATCGAAAACAACGAGATCCATATGCTTTACAAGGTTCTGCAGGGAGTTGCTCAGTGCTCATTCGGTCTTCAGGTCGCCAAAATGGTTGGAATTGATGAGAAAGTTCTCAAGGTAAATTGAATGTTGTAATTGATTGAATTAGAGAATATTTTTCCAGAAAGCGTCTGAAATTTTGAAACGTCTCGAGAAGAAAGTGGTCATCGACAGCGAAAAAAAGAAGGCACTTTTGAACGCATGTGACCTTAGAGAAGCCATTCTCGGACTCGAACTGACCAACTAAATCGGATGATCTCACAATTTATTTATCTGCTTACTGTCATAATCTTACACGTTTCGATTTAAAATATAATCTCTTGAATTCACGCCGTTCCGTTTTCATTTCCCTGTCCCTTTCATTTCCAATGTCGAGACGGCGTTCATTATCGCGGCTGCGCAACAAAATGTTCCGGAACCGTTCGAAGAGCAACGACTCGAAACGGCAGAGCTCGAAAGATCGAGCGCGTGCCGACCATTTCACATTCGACTACGATTTATCAGTGAGCACAAAAACCGAGTGGGAGGTTTTTCAGATTTCTTTCAGAATGTGTGCAATCATTTGGAGGCTCTCATGAATGCTTCTCGCTACGGAAACACGGATCTCATTTACAAAGTGAGAGCTTTCGAGCTCTGGAAATTGCCTTTTTTTTCAGCTGTACGTGCACCACATCGATCTGAAAATGACTGACGAATCAGGGAACACGGCGATGCACGTGGCAGTTATGAACAACCAGCAAAAGGTGGTCCGGATGCTCGTCGTGCTCTGCGCACCGTTCGAAATATGGAAGGTGAAGAACGGAAACGGACTGACTTCCATCGAATTGTGCACCGACGAAAAGTTGTTCCTCTTTTTCTCCGAATGACATTGAGAATCGATAGAATTCAGAATCCGTGCCGACTTCCACAACCTCGACAGTCCGCCGTCGCCGGCTCCAGACGGATTCGTCGACGTCGACCACTACTACAACGATCTGCTCGTGGAGGGAAAGAAGACGTGGAAGGAGGAGGAACGCGTGCTTTTGTCGCTGGACGGAGGCGGCATTCGCGCGGTTATCACCATTCAAATGCTCATTCACATCGACCAAATGCTCGACGGAAAACTCGTCGAAAAGATTGATGACGTGGCGGGAACGAGTTGTGGAGGAGTCATCGCACTTCTTCTCTCTACCAACAGTTGGGAAATGAAACAGAGAGAGAGAGAGAGAAAGATGGGAACGGATGTTTTCAGATCGGAACATCGAAGAGACGCGCAAGTTGCTGCTCGACATGAGAGAAAGAGTGTTCGCACGCGGGCAGGACAAGGGAGTGTGGCCCAAGTACAGTTCCAGCGGAATGGAGTACATCGCCCGACATGTGACGACGTGGGAAGACTCGAAGATGTCGGTGATCAAGAGACAGCGGGCGATGGTCACTGTGGCCGACACTCGGATGGTCCCTCCGCAGCTGCTGCTCTTCCGTTCGTACCGTCCCGAAATGCCCGAAGAGGCCAGCGAACATTACAAATTCTTTGATCCGACGAAAGTGGAACTGTGGAAGGCCCTCCGATGCACCACGTGAGTTCTCTCTTTTCCCTCCCGTCTGAATGAATGCTCCGTTTCCAGTGCGGCTCCGTTCTTTTTCGAGTCATTCAACGGCCTTTCGGACGGCGGACTCATCGCGAATAACCCGACTCTCGCCCTCATTTCTGACTTTCTTCTCACGAACAAACTGGAGAAGTCGTTCGCGAAAACGGAAGAGGAAAGGGCTCAGAAGGGAAATTGGAAGATCGGATGCGTGATTTCGCTGGGAACCGGAGTGTTTCCGACTGAAAAGATCGACGGAATCGATCTCAGTTTGCCGCATGTCGTAAGTTTTTACCATGGAATTGGAGGTATTTACGAGTTCAGAAAAACCCGCTCAACTTCGCCAAGTCTTTCTATAAAGCCATTGGAAACACGAGAAACTTGTTGCATTTGCTGGTCAAAGAGGTGAGAAACATCTGGTATATTCTGTAGAATTCCTTACGATTCAAGTGCACAGCTTCTAATGGTCAGCCGGTGAAATACGCGAGGGAATGGTGCCATTCGATTAACACGCCCTACTTCAGGTTCCTCAAGAATCCTCATCTGATACCCTAACCTAAAGACTGGTTCCAGATTCTCTCCGCATTTGTCGCAAGGCATTTCGCTCGATGAAATCGACCTGGCGAAGGTGATGCAAGTGATGTGGGAGACCGAACTCTACGTGGCTGCCCATCGCCCCCAATTTGTGAAACTTGTCAATTTCCTCGCCACGAAACCGAGACGAGAAGTGAGAAAACATTGCTACTTCATAAGTATTTACATTGCTTTTCTAGGGATTTGACCCGTCTACATCTTCCCGAGACTCAGAACCAATCGACCATTCGGAGGCAACGTCTCTCAGTGAAGCGACTACGACGGAAACTGAACGTCACTAAAAACTTTAGAATGATTCATGGTAAATGAGATTGTCAATTCAAAGATGTTTAAAAATTCAGTTCATGATAACTGCGAGATCGGGGTCCCGTGGTAGCACTCCCAATGACTGCAGAGCCACCTGTGCAGCCACTGCCTTCCCTTCCTTCTTCTGCTTGGATCCGCACATCGGTCGATATTCGACGTTATTAATGACGACGGTCCACACGAACACCTTCATGTGATCCGCACCAGATTCTTCGCACGAGAACGCCGGAGCACTCCATCGCCGTTTTGCGCATAGTTCCATCAGCAAAGAGATCGGATTCTTGGCTGAAAGAAAATGTTGGGAATTTGAAAAAAAAACAACAAAGCGTACTTGATAAGTCGACGGGAACATTGTTCTGAGCATTCAGTTTATGCCTCTGTTTGATGGTCATTTCCTCTTCGGCCATCAATCCTTTCCGATCATTTTTCACGTCCAAAACGAGTGGCTCAACTGCTCCAGTCGCATCCTTTCCGAGGCCTTCTCCAGGTCGCCAGCCCATTCTTTCCATCATGAGCTTTCCTATTCCACCTGTAGCCGGAGCTGCGTTCTTGAACTGATCCTGGAAACAAAAATGTTATACTTGGAAAGGAACAGAAGGGTATCTGAAACAGGAAATTTAAATTAATAAAGGGAACAGATGTCGTCGCAAACTAGACTTCTTCTCTCCAGAATGAAGAAAAGAAATCGAATTTGAGAACGACTTACGAAAAGAAAGTGCTAGGAGACGGCAAGGAGGCAGCAATTGTGATGAATCCAAGGAGCAGGACGATCGAGGAGAACGGGGAAACGGCGGACGGAGTCATAGACAGTCGGCACATTCTGCATGATCGAAAAAGGTTCGGAAAGAAGCGGAACACCTCCAGACAACATGGAGGATTTCCGCTTTTTCCCGAAAATCAGCAGAATGTGCCAACTGGAGCCAGTGTAACTAGATGCAAAGGGACCGACGGAGCAAGCGACTTACTCTTCTGACCCAGGCGTGGTACTTCGGATTGTGCGGCTGTAATTCATCTGCAGTCAACAACTTCAGCCCTGTGGTTCCCGTGTATTCTCCAGGAAGACTCTTCAATGCAGCCCACGATTCGATCTGAAACCCTTCTGTAAGGTCGGAAAAATCACCCTAATCGATTACTTTTTCATTGGCTTCTCGTAGAGCCCGATGCGCCTCGAAGTCATTCGGGGTCGAATACAGTTTCTTCTGAGCCTCCGTCCGCTGCTTTAGCACCAGTCCGATGTCACTCGGAGCAGGAATAAGAATCTCCTTCGGCTCTTTTATAATCATCTTGTCCTTCTGTGGAACGTATAAAACAGACGGTAAAGAAGGCGGGGTGGGCGGTCGATATGCTGGAACCGAACAGTTGGGCCGTGTTTGGAAACTGAAAAGAAACTTACGATCTGAAAAGTTGGGAAGGAACTTGGGAGGAGCGGGCGGCGGTGGAAGGATTGAGTCAAGGAACTTGGGAATGGGGACAGGGGCAATTGGCTGAAATATGGTAAGCTAAGAAGGAGAAGAAACTAGCCGATTGCTCACGATTCCTTGTGCTCTGCACCGATCGATTTCCAAACTTGTGAGAGCAACGTGTTTCTTCTGCTCAACGGAACAACTCTTGGGAACATCATTCTTCTCGACAGGAACCCACTCGGCGTTCTCTTTGTGCACAGCTCCCGAGGATACTGGGAACACAATACGCAGTTGAGAAGAATTGAGTTGGGTCGGTTCTTCGGCGGCACAAATCGCTTTCTGAGCCATACTTGCCGATGCAGCGGTCTGGAGAGAGGATACACTGTGTGTAATGGTGTCTGGAATAAAGGAACACTCACGACAATGTTGATTCGGATGGGCTCTTTGGGAATTGCGTACGGATGCTTGTATTGAACGGTTTCTCCGTCGCTTTCATGATCACTCACTGCCTGGCCTGCCTCCCTTTTCTTCTCTCGTTCCTGTTTCCTCTGTAGTTTCTTGCAGTACGCTGAACACAGAACGTTTCTTTTTCAGTTGGATCCCTCCGAAATACTTACTAACGAAAGCCTCGATCGATGCATTGTTTCTGTCCCCATTCGACATCATTTCTGCATGTTTCGTTTTTGCAATCGCCAACAGTTTCTCCTTGTCGATGGCCTCACGGCTCCGCGATCTTTTCCTTCGGTACTCATCGTACGCTCTTCGTTCTGTTGCCGCATTCCTCCGTTTCGATTCTCGCTCCCTGCTTCTGCCTCGACGACCTCTCGAAATGCTCCTTCTGATTAGTCGGCTCTCGCCTTTTTCGCGGACTGGAACCGGAGAACTGCGACGATGAACAGGAGAACGACTTCTTCGCAGATTTTTAGATCGGGAGCGACGACGGATGGATCGACTTTCTTTTTTTGCGCTCGACGTGCTCGTTTTTCGTTTTTTGTCTGATTTTTCCTTTTTCTTCTTCTTTGGCGATTCCTCGTCGTTCTTCTCTTTCTTTTTCCGGTTTTCTTTCTTGCCGTTCTCTGATTCTTTCTTCTTTTCTTCCTGAAAAATCATATGATCTACATTCTCCTACTCTTTTTGACCTACCTTATTTTCCGTTTCGCTCCGATCGTCGCGCGCTTCTATCGCATAAGCAATATCCGCAATTTCTCCGTCTTCGACTTCGATTCTTTTCTCGGGTTCTGGCAAAACTGTTGTGATACTAATTTCCATTTTCGCCTCCTTTTTTACAAAATCCGTCGGGAAAATGGCTCCCTCTGGCAGAGTTTCTTCTTCCCTTTTTGGCCGAAACTCTTTGAACTCAGAATCGGGAATTGATTTTACGTCTTCTTCTTCTTTTTTGGGATTCGGCTTGGTTGACCTAGTAATTTACTGACGTTTTCAGCCATTTTACCTGTCACTTACTCTTTTTGCTGGGAATCTGGCTTTGTCGGAGTGTTTTTCTTCTTCTCGACTCTCTTTTTCGAGGGGCTTCTGCTCCGACTCCAAGTTCTGATCAGATTCCGGCTTCTGTCTCGTCCTTTTCTGCTTCTCTTCCTCTCACGACTCCTGCTTCTTTCCACCGAACTGTTTGAATACGTTCTACTTCTTTTCCGATCCCTTTTACTCTTTTTCGACTTGTGACTGCGACTCTTGTGATGTTTTTTCTTTCTCTTCTCCACCACTCCCGTTTCATCACAACCAGCAAGTTTATCGACAGAAAATGGCTGAAATTCAATTTTTTCGAGATTTTATTTGAATGATCGTCAAAGCGCACCTGCTCAGATGATTTTACATCATTTAGAAGATCCGCAATTATTGCCTCACTGCTCTTCCCAATGTTTTCCGTCTCATCGGCCATTTTCAATCTGAAATTTAATGTGTTTGCCGTTGTCGTCGACGCGATAAACAAGAGAATTGGAGGCGCTCTCTGCGAACGACACTCCGGCAGGACGGCTCGTCGAATCGCGGCCGCCGGCCGGCTGTTTTGTCCCCCGCCGCCAGTTTATTTGGTGACCTGCTTCGCGTCTTCCAGCCCTTCGTGAGCAACATAAACCCCTGCCGGTCACTCGCAATCGCAAATTGATTTTCATTCATTGCGAAATGTCTGCCCCTAGAATTTTCTCAGCCTTTACACCCATTCTTTTCTCTGTCGACCGGATATCGTGGGAATCACTAATTACTCGCTCTCACATGACCCGTATCGACTATTTGCAATGTGAAGACTTCGACAGATGCTTCAATTTGAGCTTGAGCGAAAGTTTAAAGAGCTGTCCGGACGTGCCAGTTCGTGTTCAGCCGCCGCTTTCCATTCGCTTCGCTGCTTTTCAAAATGGATTTTTCGTCGCTGCGAAAATGTATCTTTTTGAGAGCGCCTACAAGTGACTCATCCTTTCGTAACGAGACCTTCCGCTACAACATATATTTTGCACCTTTGATCGTACTTTTTCTCGGTTTATTCAAACGTTATCGGCTTCAAAAACAATATTTTCAGGGTACTTACTACTCTCACTTACACTGACAGAATGGCTAAAACTTACGATTACTTGTTCAAGGTATTAATCTTCATTTTTAACACTATAGCGTCAATTTTACAGCTATTGCTCATCGGAGATAGTGGAGTTGGCAAGACGTGTGTGCTGTTCAGATTCTCGGACGATTCGTTTAATAACTCGTTCATCTCGACTATTGGAATCGACTTCAAAATCCGTACGATCGAGCTCGACGGAAAGAAAATCAAACTTCAGATTTGGTAAGTTGACCAATTTGTCTGGCTAATATGAATCAGATTAATTTTAGGGACACAGCCGGACAAGAGAGATTCCGAACCATCACCACTGCCTACTATCGAGGTGCCATGGTAAACTTTTAGTTTGAAACGAGCCAACTAAACGCAATCATTCAGGGAATCATCCTTGTGTACGACATCACAAACGAGCGGTCGTTTGAGAACATCAAGAACTGGATCCGCAACATTGAGGAGCACGCAGCCTCCGACGTCGAAAGAATGATAATTGGAAACAAGTGCGACATCGAAGACCGTCGAGAGGTTTCGAGAGATCGCGGAGAGCAGTTGGCCATCGAGTACGGTACCAAGTTCTTGGAGACGTCGGCAAAGGCGAATCTAAACATTGACGAGGCGTTCTTCACTTTGGCGCGCGATATCAAGAGCAAGATGGAGCAGAACGAGATGCGCGCTGGCGGCTCCGCTTCAAACTCTGGCCGCGTGAACGTCGGCGGACAGGGCAGCCACAAGAAAAGCTTCTTCAGCAACTGGAGCTGCTCCCTCCTCTAAACATCTTCTTTTTACTATTGATATTGTATCATATCTCCTTCCTCGTCTTCCTTCTTCTACTCTCTTCCCGTTCTTCCGCTTCCTTCCGTCCACACATTTTTGTTATCAGTACGGTTCATTGATGATAAATTCGAAAGTAACCCCCAAATATTTTTCTGCAGAAACCATGGTTCCACCCCATAATAACCAAAACTTGCTTAGTGGATTTTCGAATTCTTTCTCGCCCCTCCAAACTTCTCCGCTGCTCCTTTTCGCCCTTCATTTTGCATATTTAATGCATTCTGATGAGATTTTATCCGTGAATGTATGAAAAAATTGCCTGTTTAATTTATTTTTATTCATCGCTTTCTTTCTGTGCAACCCGGGTTTCGTCGACCCCCGTTTATTTGAACCATTGTTTAATTTCAGAATCTTTCTTGTTTCAGACTAACCAACTAACCACCAAAATGGCCGCGCCACGAGGTTTGCCCTTATTTTTTAGTTTCAACGGAATAGGATACCGTTTTCAGGTCTCCCAGATCAGTCACTCATCGTCGAAGGAAAGCGTGCGCGGAAGTCTGTCGATCGCTTCGGAAGCCCCTGGACACCAGTTCCCGCGAGAAAGTACAATGAACACGTCTTCAATGGAAGCGGTGTACCATTGGGCGACATCCAAGGAGGTAACAACAGTCAGTCCATCCCATCTAATCGCCTACCAGTCTTCCAAAAGATCGACGAAACCGACGCGATGCGACTCAGACCGCTTCACAGAGCCCTCTTCGGAAAGCCCGGCCAATTGGCGAACTTGAAAAACGAAATTCTCAAGTTCAACGGGTTAGTTTTGTGGAAAATGTGGTTCATGTTCAGTAAACGACATTTTTGCGATAGGAAAATGCTGGCGAATCGGTTTAGTCTGATAAACTTTGACGTTGACAAAACGAGAAGAAAGGTCGTGCCACAGTTTGGGCAGCCAAATCGGCAGAGGCAACTAAATCAAACCTTTCAGATTCGATTTCGCCGTTGGAAGTGAGGCCTATGAAATGAAACAGAAGGCGTTCGGAAAGCTGACCGTCGAAACTCTGACGCTGATGAAAAACGTTTTCGGTTTGGAAGGGGAGCTGAAGCAGATTGGAGCAGCTGCTCTGAAATTCTTGATGGCTCCGGGAAAAGTAGAGACGCCTACAAAGCGGAAATCGAGCGGGAAAGCAAAGCGAGCAGAGAAAAAGGCTCGCATGTCCGATTCTCCCGTCACCAGACCCGCGGGTCTCATGCTTTCCGAGTCGTCGTCCGACGAAGACGAGGTAGGTGAGGTGGGAGTAGTGATAAAATTCAGGGTAGATCAAGATTGGAATACTGTTTTACGCCGAGAGAGCAGAAAACCGGCGATCAATAATCACACTACGAAATTGATGCAGTTTCAAGGATGATAGCAATTTTGTTTCAGAAAGATGAGATCGTGAAGACGACAAAGCCGAAGAAACGTGTCTCATTCGAAGACGACGCTCGACTCGTGAAGATCAGCGGTCAGACGGACACGGAGGATCCGAATGTCACCGGAACTCCGCAGCTCACGGATACATCCAGTCTCACGGACACCTCGAGTCTCGTGGAAAAAGAAGACGACCGAACCGAACCAAAAGAATGTGGCGTGTCTGCTGAGGTCAAGAAAACGATCAAAACAGTTATCAGAGAGGCCGAGGATGTCTCCAAGGTATCAAAAGAAAAACAAATACGCAGACCTTGTCTTTTTCGTTCAGATCACTGTCGGTCCGCTCGTCGATGAGATCATCAAGCATAATCCGCAACAGTCTGCGAACAGAGAGGCCATCAAAGAACAAGCAATCAAAGAGCTCAGATCAATGAAGTAAAACGCCCCACAATGAATTCCCCTCATGTTAAGTATCCTCTTCTAACGCGTTGTTGTAGTTTTCCAGATCCCTTGTCCCATTTTTTGTACACAAGTATAACCTAAATCCCAAACATTGTATAGTAGATCTCAGTATATTCAATTATAGCTTTAAATGTGATTAAATTGTCGAATGACATTGCCGGTTCACCGTCTTGTCAAGCGTCGTCAACAGCGCACGTAGCCATTGATAAGAGGGGCACGTAGAGTCGGTTATCACCGGAATCGGCCGTGCACGCACACAAAAAGTTGCGCTTGGGTGATGATGAGCTCATGTGATCTTGGGAACAAAGGCGTCTCTTGTCATCTTTTCATCGACTATGTGATGGGAGGGTCAGGGACAAATGGGTATCATCACGGGATGCGACCTAAATAAAGAAGAGACTATCATCATCAGTAGCGACCGTCCGATCCGTCAACACACACGTACTATAGTCATTCTTTTCCGCCGTCACTTCATTTCACTTCTTTTCATTTCCGAAATGAACTCGTTTTTTTTCGTCCGATTATTCGCAGCAAAGGCCCTCAGACCGACAATGTCAACTCGGAAATTTGTCGGATTACCAGTGTCAGTTTGGGTAGATCGAATCGAAATTCGAGCGGCAGATTTTGTCTCGCGGGAAACGTACCACTCCAAACCAATTGTTCACTCGTTTATAGTCTCCGCTTCCGATTCGTCATTCGATTTCCCTTTTCGATCTTCTCGATACTTGTACTAATGTGCTGACTGATAGCCTTTTTTTATACTAATTCCACTAATTCGATTTGTTATTGACGCTGATCATTGTTTTGCACAAGTTATTTCGTTTCCCTCCGCCATACCGAGCCTTATCAGTTGGACGCACAGACTCCGCCCTTTCTCTAGCTCCGCCCACACGTTTCCGCTTAAATACGAATCCCGAGCGGCTCATTGTGCATTGCAGTATCAGCAGCAGCAAACACTCACAAACCATGTCGCTCGCCCGCCAGAACTACCACGCCGAAGTCGAGGCTGCCGTCAACAAGCAGGTAATCGATTCTGTGAAGAATGTTTCGGGTCTTTACTGATTCGCATTTCCAGATTAACATCGAGCTGTACGCCTCGTACGTCTACCTGTCCATGTCGTTCTACTTCGACCGCGACGACGTTGCCCTCCCGAACATTGCCAAGTTCTTCAAGCAGCAGTCGGACGAGGAGCGCGAGCACGCCACCGAGCTGATGCGCGTGCAGAACCTTCGTGGAGGACGCGTCGTGCTCCAGGACATCCAGAAGCCGGAGAAGGACGAGTGGGGAACCGCCCTGAAGGCGTTCGAGGCCGCTCTCGCCCTCGAAAAGTTCAACAACGAGTCGCTGCTCAAGCTGCACGCTACCGCCGGCGGACACAACGACGCCCATCTGACCGACTTCATCGAGGAGAAGTACTTGGACGAGCAGGTGAAATCGATCAACGAGTTCGCTCGCATGGTCGCCAACCTGAAGAGAGTCGGCTCGGGAGTCGGAGAGTACGTCTTCGACAAGGAGCACTTCTCGGACTAATTCGGACTAATTCACTCGCCATCACATCACATTCCCATCGCATCTTTTTCTGTTTACTGTACATAATAATTTGCGACTTGAATTTGAATAAAAGTATTGCATTATCGAGAATCGTGCCACGCATTATTAGCAAATCAAACTGATAACCGAACTGCAATTAGCGGACAACTTGTTTGCTTTCATCGAATCGAAATGGGAACAAACGGCGACGAAAATGAGAGATTTGCATCGGCCTTTGCCGCTTTTTTTGGGATTGGAGCGAGACAAATGGGATGGATTGGGCGAGATGAGTTATATGCGGAAGGGCGCAGCCGCTCTGTTTGTTTTGATTTGTCTCGTTATGCGACACGACACAAGAATGGGTCAGTCGGCTGATGAGAAGAAGAAGAAGAAGAATAGGGAGGACACTTCTGCCAAGGGTGCGGTGTTCTTTTGCTCTCGAGAAAACTGAACTGTCGCATTGTGCTGGCTTACAGTTACAAGCACAATAATTTTCCCTATTGTTGACATATTCAAAACTTCATCTTATGTTCTAGAACTGTGGAATTGATGTTCCTTGATTGCATTGTTTGTCCATAACATTCATGATTTTTATGTTCTCCTGTTCTCCTGTTCCTCTGTTCTTCTTCTGTTTTCCGTTTCTTCCAGCTGATAACAAAACTGCAATTTTTCTTCGCATTCATACTGATTGTCTTCAGATTCCTTCCAATTACAGAAGACACGACTTTCGTAAAAGCGTATTAGACTCATTCAGAACTTTCTTTTTGCCTTTCTCAATGAGATATATACAATTGAATTCCTCGTTTATGAATCCGTTGTGTGTGTTTGTGTGTGAATGAGTGGCCACCCACTGAAGACACTCATCACTCCTTCGTTTGGACATCTGGGCACGACGACTTCGACCGTTTAGTTTGCCAATGATTCAGCGACTTATTCAAAGTGCAGTCAACAAATGGTCCCCGGTAAACAAGATGGCTCCACTAGCGAATGTTACACCCCAATGTGTCCTTCCCAACTTTTGTACAGAGTCAAATAGGTTACGGTATGTATGGTGACCTATAGGATCGCATAAATGTCAGGCTAACCCAGTACTAAAACCAAAAAAGTGCGACTTTTCTCTCGTCCCCCATTCGGCCGATTAGCCTTGTCAATCCCGTCATACTCGTTCGTTTCTCTCCCGAAGAACTTCTCATTTTCGGCGTCAAGTACTTGACAAGAACAGTGTCTGTTCGGGGCGTCCGTCCGGCCATAAACCTTGTTTCCTTCCCAATGTTGTTGTTGCCACGTCACGCGGCTTCCGAATACGAACAACCATCAACTTTTAATTGTCCATTTTGTCTGGCCCTCCACCTTCTCCCATCCGGAGATATTACTCATTTATTCCGACTGTTTGTCCTATTCCCTGACTTCTTTTCCTCCTTCTCCCAATGATTGAAGACTCCAGAATCTTCCTGGCGCCCGGGTATAATTATGTGTGGTTTTTTAGGAGAAAGAGAAGAAGAAGAAGAAGAAGAAGAAGAAGAAGAAGAAGAAGAAGAAGAGAAAGACCAACTGGCAGAAGAGTGGCTCAGAGCGGTGGCGGCGCCTCGGCGAGCATGTGTTGTTGCAACATTGTAACACGCGAGAGGAGAAGTTGCTCCGCGAGCCATCGTCATGATGAACATTAATTAGAGAGGATGTATGTTCTCGGAGCTCTTCTTCTTCTTCTTCTTCTTCTTCTTCTTTGATTCTCTCGCAAGGAAACTTCCACTCCTGGAGGCATAGTCCAATAGAGCAAAGTTTCGCCCGAATGGTAATCCAATACAAGAGAAAAATGGAGTGTATTCAATGTTTGCGAGATAATCCCAGTGCGAGAAAACAATCGAAACTCTTCCATTCACTTTCCGTTCGTCTCTTGCCCTAACTATAGTTGGCTAAGAGGAATTTCAGACTGAAAATAACCGATAAAACTGGAATTGGAATTCCGTTTCTTCCCAACCATAATATTGTTTTCACTTTGTTTTCTATCCTATTTGTCTCCAAATCTCCGATCTTTCATGAATGTGGAACGTGAGGAGGCCCCAATCTCATCTTGCATCCGCATCTTTTGGCACTCACTTAACTCGCTACAAACTGTTCATCATCCACGTGGCAATCGGTGGGAACCTAGTGGGAATGCGCGTTGTTGCATGACTGTTAATGTTGCGTGACTCGCCGGATCTCGTTCCGAAAGCATCCCGACAAAAGGTGGGCACGCACTTCATGCTGCTGCTGATCGCACCTTCCTGACCCACTATCCCCTTCATAAATTGCCACTCTCTATCTCCTTTCAACACTTTGCTGCCAGACGCTCATTTGTCCGAGAGTTATCGGCAGTTCCATAACTCACTCTGATTGATCCCCGCCCGTCGTCCCACCAACCACACCCATCCGCCCAATTGTGGTCACCTCTCCTCGTTTCCTATACACAAGTTTTGATGCGAATTTCTCGATAAACACTCTGTGCGCCGAGTGTCGAAATTAATGGTTTTTATCGAGATTTTATCGTTGCGCCTTTTCTGGGACGGCGGATCCGGGGCCTTCAGAGAGAGTGAGAGAGAGAGAGAGAGACAGTGTCGAGGGATGCCCGAGCGTCACGAGAGAGAGAGAAAGAGAGAGATTGAAACGAAACGACGAGGAGAGTTCGTCTTAATTGATAACTGCTATCAGCTTTTTGTGTCGAGACTCTCAACTGTTTCCATTTGAGTGCCAAATGACGTGCGTTTCCTTCCTTCCCTTCGAATGTTTTGTACAGTGTAAGCCTGTTGGATACTGTAGCGTACACATTGAGGCCCTCTTGACATTTGGACCCTCCTGACTCACAGGCTCGCATGCTCCCATAGTCCCTCCCTCCCTCCAGTCTCATTCATACCCATCTACCGTACCTCTCATGGGAACCACCATGCTTTTTCCTGTTTACTCGACGGCCACCTCGCCGCAGAGTTGTTTGTTCGAAATGTGACACCTCTTGGTCCCACAAGTTCACACCTACTCGTATCCGTTGTTGACGTGGCGCCGCGGCAGTTGGCCGTCTGCCAAGTAGACCTCTTTTCTCCGCGTCTCTTTCTCCCTCTCTCTCTCTCTGTCGTATTCCAATCACGAATTCATCATGATTCCCTCTTCCAAATCTGGCGAATCTATCAATGTCCGCATGATAAATTATCTCTTCCTAATCAGGTGTTTCAACGCTTGCCTCTGTTTGCAGGCGTCATGCGGCGATGAGCTGAACTCTTATCCCTCGAAATGCTCCCTGTCCATCTGCTCCTTTTGGTTCTGGCTCCGTTCGGCTCCGCCTCGTTTTTTAGCCCGGATACGAATGTGTCACGAGTGGATGTATCCCACTGTAAGTATTGATCGTACTTATCACCAACCACTAAAATACGTAGCAAACAATCAAAATTTCGGAGCGCGAGCGCCAGCATTATGACGGTTGCCGTCGCATTTAGAGACAGACAAAACGGCAGCAGGCGGGGAAAGATTACTGTAGGTTTAGGGTGCACTTCTAGGACAACAACTGCCGTTTTAATTACGAAAAAACACTGTGAGGGAACTGGTTTCTTTCGAAGGAAGTGTGTCATTCCTCACTCTGTGATCTGATAAGACTGGAGGAGTGTAAAGTACGGCGGTAGATCGGAAAGGAAAGTAGTGAGAAAGTGTAACAAATGAGCAAAGCAGTACACAAATACCCTTTACAGTAACCCAGACACTTTCCTATCCTCCGAATGAGAAGTTGGTGGTCCTTTACAAGTTTGCCGACGATTCCGTTCTCCTTGGTGGCCGCAATCGGGTCTATAATGTTTCGATCCGTTCGATGACTGAAACGAATAGGTACGAGTGGACGGCAAGCGAGGACGCCCGGAGCAATTGTGCCGCCATCAGTCAGGTATTCAAACGGATCCTTCCGTTCTTCTGATCAACAAGATCGTTTCCAGAATCCGTCATCCTGCGAGAACTACATTCGAACGTACTTTGAGCTGACCAACAACACGTTCATTCTCTGCGGAACTCACGGCCTTCAGCCAACTTGCGCCGAATTCAAACGGGGAAATCGAGGTGAGTGCCGTCTGAATAAGGCCTGAATATAAAGGGAAAGACACGATTTCAGAACCTGTGCGTCTGATTCCTGCCGTCGGAATGTCCCCCATAGACGCAGATTCGAGTGCCCCGTTCATTCGGTCCAACGAGAATATCATAACTGTGAACGTGGCGGAACTCTCTTCCTCCGAACCTCTGCTCATTCGTCGGAATGTCATCAAAATGTGGAAGGGCATCGAGAATGACGTAATTCTGCGGACTTCACGTGGATTGAGCTCATTTGAGCAGGCGACCTTTCTCTCGATGCACCGGGTCGAAAAGGTTGAGCCGATCTCTCTTTCGGAATAATGAAATGAGGGAAACTGTTTGCAGGAGGTGTTGTTCTTCTTCTCAGAGTCTCCGATGGAAGCCGAGGGATGCGGACTGCATAAAGTGGCGCGAGTCGGACGGGTTTGCGAGGACGATCCCGGCGGCAGGTATCATCGCATTCGCGTCACTTTCGCCCGTCGCTAATCAGAGGCGACTGGCGCATGCGACCCACTGATTACGGCCTTCTCATTGCAGACTTTCGTACGCCAAAGAGTGGAGTTCGTACGCGAAGGCGAGAATTGAGTGCTCGATCGAGGAGCACGACACGGACACCTTCTACTTTAATCAGTTTGCTGGAGTCGCCGAGTCTCCGAGCTCTTTCTACGGAGCATTTCGGTCCCAACTGGCCGGAATCGGAGCATCGGCCATCTGTAAGTACAGCAAGAAGAAGATCTCGAAGGGGTTCGCCAGCGGGTTCAAAGATTCATCCGCTTCTTCGTCGATGGCTCCAGACACGTGTCAAAGGGCAACTGACCTGGAGGAATTGAGCAAGTTACGATTGAAACCTTTGATTAAACAAAGTGAGAAAGATGCGCTGCGATTAATATTATTCGTGTGAGTTTTGCAGAAATCTCTGCGAATCCAATCTACATCTTCCACGGAAAGGATCGATTTGTAAGTGTTCTTGCTCAAGAGGACGTCCGCGATCTCAACAATCATGCCTATGACATTCTGTACATTGCCACGAATCTCGGAAACATTCTGAAGGTCGTTGTTCCGAGTGCCGAGACGAATCCCTTGAACGGAACAGGAAGGCACGCGGTCACCCTGAAAGTGCTACCGAACAGCTCAAAGATTGTCGAAATGAGCCTGCATACGGAGCAAAGGAGAGGGGTGCAATCCCTGGTCGTGGTCACTGATCAGAACGTGAGCGGCGACCGTCCGATCTCTTTTCTGAGTGTTCCCTTTCCAGGTGTTCCGAATGCCCACTTCGACGTGTCACATGGCTTCCAACTGTGCCGAGTGTCTGGCTCACGGGGATCCGCATTGTGCCTGGGCGGATTCCTCCGAATGCATAGACATTCGAACGGACGGACGGAAGACGGCCAGTCAGGACAGCGGCACTTGCAACGTCATCAGCTTCGAGAACAACAAACCGGTCATTCTGGCTCCGCTCAAGAACAGTAAGCTTGCGCTTCACAAGTCTTCCACAATAGTTATTCTCAGAAGAAGCACCAAGTGTTCCAGTCTGTCTTTGCGAAACTGAAAAGAAGAAGCCGTGTGCGACAGAAGTAATTCAGAAGGAGATCATACTTTCGACGCCTTCAGGTACCTTCTGTCGTGTCTCGGAGGCTAACAGAAACAGTTTCAGAGCTCTGGAAGTTCATCGCCGTGTTCGCCCTCGGCTTGCTCACAGGATGCATCTTCAACTACTGCTACTTTCACTTCAGCAGGTATCTAATTTGCCCTCCTCTTTCCGAATGTCCACTAACTCCATTCTAACCCAGCAAACCTCCACTAACCGATGACGATTTGTCCTCCGAGCAATTTCTCTTGTGAGGCCTCCGTCACGATTCCATTTCATAGTTCTCTTGCAGGCGCCTCGGCAGCAAGACCGTCCCGTCGTCCCGGTCCTCCTCTTCAATGACCCGTCCGATCACCACAACCTCTTCCACGCGTCTCCCCATCGACGCGTTCACAACTTCTTCGATTGCCGACGAAATGTTCTCCTCGACGCTTTCCTCGGCCAACCGATTCAACACCGTTTCGATGCATTCCTCAATTCGCACTTATTGTTGATTCTTTCTTCTTTCTGCTTCTCCGTCACGGGTTTTCTCACTTCTTTCCGGGTCATTCATAGAGTTCTATTTGGTTTTTACACTTGTGCAACTACAGTATTCTCACGAGATGCCATGTTTTCATTCATTCACTTTTCTGTTTTATGATTCAATTTATGAATCGCAATTTTCCAATCTTTCTGAAATAATCCGGTTTTCTCGGACTGGGGCCTCATAAATCTTGAAAAATCGGTCGCGCGACGACAGAGAAGACGTCAAACCATCGGAATGAATTCAGGGGAAGATATGGTCAGAAGGGAACATTTGGGAACACTTTTTTGAACACACAATATTAGAGAGTTCACGAACTTTGCAAGAAAAACCTTTCTTCCATTTTCTAATTTCCTCGCAAATGGGAGCCGAAATCTCGACTCTCAAGGCTGCTCCTCCCAAACAAGAGCCCGAGAAGAAGGCGCAACAGTCACAATATCATGATCTAAGGAACCCGGTAAGCTCCGCCCAGTTATCGTGCAAATCGTTGGCAATCTGCAGAAATACGTGGAAAACGACGGAAAATCATCTCGATCGACGTCATCGGAATCTTCTCTTTCGTCCGAAGACGGCGACGAAAAGAGAGAGCCGAAGTCGTGTATGGACGGGGAGAAAAAGAAGAAAGAGGAAATTTCGACGCCTTCTGGAAACATTCTGAAGGCTCTTCAAGGGTTAAGCCAAGAGGAAAAGAAGAAGAAATCGGAGGAAATGCTCAGAAAAGTGTGGAAACGACCGCATCCGACGTGGCGAAGAATCACTGCGATGACGAACAAAACGTCAGAGAGAACGGACACGGAGGGACAACTGAGCGAAGATGTGAAGCGGGAGCTGGACTTTGACTCGGAGAAGATCATCTACGACGTGCCGGGCGACCACTGCAACCTCAAGACGCCCAAGAACCGGACGACGAGATCGTGCCCGGACCCGTGGAGAAAACACGGAGCACACGCGAAACTGTGCGAAGTGAGCCGTCGTTCTCCGAATAGTCTGCCTAATTCCCCCTTTCAGATTGGGGGATCCATGCCCGAGAATCGAGCCAAGAACTCAAAGTGCACGGCCATCAAGAAGGGAACTGTTCCGCCGGCTCCTCCCAGTTCGTTTTTATTTTACATTCAAGAGCCCGACATTTCTTTCAGAAACTAAACCTCTCCTCACTGTGGATGATTACTTGAAGCTGCTCAACAAGAAGTAGACTGGAGTACTCAGACTGGAGTACAGAATTGTCATTATCGCTTATTTTCTCTAGTGTCTTCAATGAAATCATCACAAGATTAGTTGTCTTCGAAAAAAAACACAGAAGCACATTCTTTTCGCCACCTTTTTCGGTGTTGGAACAATCTTTATAGCGGTTTGTTGAGTGGGGAACGGGGAGAGAAAATAGACTATATAATGTCAAACTCAGAGTCAGAGAACGAAGTGAATCGACTCATCGCTGACTGACATGCTAAATAGCATTTCAAAGGGGGACTGGGTGACAACAGTCTATATTAGAATGTGTTGGTCCCTCAGTCGACTAGCTGGAAAGAGACTAGGAGCAGTTGTGGTGGGATAAAAATTGGGAGGGATTCTAAATTCTGGTAAAGATAAACCTCTAGTTAACTATGTAGGTGGGGGGACAATGTATGGGGAGGGGTAAAAAGGCACAAGAAAATTGCTAAATGTTGATAAGAAAACTGAGACCTGATTACTGGCAATTAGTAGATTGGATGTTTTTGATTAGAAATCTGTACGGGTAGGTAGGCCAAAGTTTGTGTGGAATGGGTGAAATGAAAAGAGAAAGAGAATGTATGTACAATCAAAGGGAACACATGGGAACAATCAGGGGATGGGCAAGCAAACATCAATCTAATAATGACCGTGGTGTCCGAGGTTCTCCTCTGACGTCCACTTTGTGTTCAGCGACATGCGACGTTTAGTCATTGGTGGGTGAACATTACGGCTGGCAGCATTTCTGAAAGCGAGAGCTGAGAGAGAACAATGCTTTTAACTATTACCGTCTCAAGTGCGGCGGAAGATTTTCCTGGCTGTTGTTCGGTTTGGTGAAGTCGCCTCCAGCCATCACGGCATCACGTCCGGTCTGCGACAAGCACATCATAGAACTGTAACGATCAAAATAGAATCAGATCACAGTTCACGCCATACCCAGCAATATTGCGGTGCTTCAACATCACTTTCGTCGGCGTCGTAGATCTACCATTGGTACGCGTGTAACGCGGCTGATGCCTCGCTACTACGTAGTCCTCTGGAGTGAGATCTTGATCGTAGGCTTTCTCGTCGACCATCATCCGCTGCTGAAAATACAGTTTTCTAAAATGATGACAACAACTTTCTTACGTATGGCGGGATGTTCTGGAACTCCTTATCAGTTGGATGAACGAATTCGCAACGGAGACCGTATGGACAGAAACCAGTTCCTCCACGAGCAAAGTTTTTGCACAACTTGGTCTTGTACTTGTTGTTCGGATACCGGACTGGCTGCACACAAATGCGACTGTGGTATTATAGACTACTAGGCACCTACCACATCAGCCGATCGGAGCTCCTTCAGGCCATGCGCGAACTTGCAACGAGAGCCCATCTCGCAAGGCTTGGTTCCCGAAGCATGCATCATGCAAAGCCGTGTCTTGTAGTTGGACGGTTGCTGGCTCTCAACCTCCTGGTTCATGTAACCACGACGAGCGAACTTGTCGCCACGCTGCTGTAAATTACAATTTGCTAAAACCGCATCACCAAACTCTCGAACCTCGATAATGTGGTTTTCCTTCTCAGCACTCATCGTGTCATCGTTATGGTTGTCGCTAGTGATCTTTGAGACCTCCCCGAAAGGAACTTCGTCATGCTCCATAACTCTGAAACTTGTAGAATTGATAAACTTACCAACGCGACTCTTCCTACCGATGGTATCTGAGCTGAATGTTTTTGTTTCGAGCGTTGTCGCGTTGCATTGTCTCGTACTCGAGATTCGTCGGCAATGGTGTTGACGAGGACAACGGAGCTGCACGCAGAGCGCCCATCTCCATACCATGAGCCATTCCCATATGCCGTTGTTGAGGCTGCTGCTGCATGACCCCCATTTGATCCCCCATTATTGGGTTTGTGGAAGCGGGCATCGGGTGGAAGTAGACTGGAGCGGTCTGTGGTGCCATTGGTCCCATGTGCTGTGGATAGTAGATGAGTTGTTGTCCTGATTGCATCACTGCCGGTTGTTGAGAGCCTTGCTGAGGAGCCATGTAGATGTACTGCTGGCCGGGTACCATCATAGACTGCTGTGGAGCCATCGGTCCATTCTGTCCAACTGGCACGTACTGTCCGTTTTGGTCCTGGTAGTAGGCTTGTGGAGCAAACGTCTGGCCGTTCCCATTCTGTGGCACGAAAGTCGGAATCGTCGGTGCTCCAGCTGGCATCGGAGCTGCGTAGTAGTATTGCATCTAAAACGCAACAAGTTTTTGAGAGACGGCGAAAAAACCGACCTGTGGATCGTACATCTGCTGCTGCTGCTGAGATGATTGTTGCTGACCTGGTGGTTGCTGAGTCTTCGTCTGAGCCGACGGAGACGTCGCCATTCCGGATGATGCACTGCTGGACGCTGTTTGCATTCTCTGTCTGTAAATGACGGAGGATAACGAGCAGTTCAGAGGAGAGGAATGGCAAAACAGGAAGAAGAATCGAACAAAATGATCGGAAAGAGGCGGTCGGCATCATCTCGAATATTCGGGGAATTTCAGCGCCGGCGCCGAAGATCGATGATCAAAAACTGACGAACCTTTCAAATCTACTACAGTAACCACAATATCGTGGCGAGACCCTAGCTACAGAAAAGTAAGTGTGTCTTTAAATTGTATTTTCACAACTGTTTATTTTTCCCAAATTTCATTAGAAACCTTCCGCTTTTCGTGCGAATCACACATTCAGATGGTCGTTTCTGCTGAAATTATCAAGAAGAAGGCAATTTTTCACGTGGCATGGTAATAATCATTTTGTTCAAACAAAATTGCTGAATTTAGGAGATTTGCCGTTGGCGAAGGAAAAAAGTTGTCTCGGAATGAAATTTTAGATCAAGATTTGCCAGAACTTTGGTATTGTTTACATTATTATCAAAAATTAATAATTAAAAACCGATTACCGATTTTTAGCAAATCAATCGTGAGATTGGTTCCTGGAGAGGACGGAAAGCCCAGTCAGAAGGCCGGCTTGTATCTGCTCTCCCTGTTGACTTACGGAACAGTTCTCATTCATCAGACACAAGTTTTGCATTTGTTTAGTGAGTGTGATGACGTTTCGTGCGTAACGTAGAGTAACCGTTACAGGAGAAGCCGGCAGAATGAAGGAAGTCCTGCTGAGCTCTGACTTTTCCCGAATACTCTGTGAAGAGATCATCCGAGTGCCAACCGTCGTCATAAACGAAGTGGAGACAGGCCAGAGAAAAAGAAAGAGTAGAGTGAGATCTAAGCCAATTCTTCGAGTGGAGGACGTGGACGACGTTGACCTGGGAGACCTGAATAAGATCAGCGAACAACTCGGAGTCCGTACTTTTCGTGTTGAACTGAATAGATAGTTGTTTTTCAGATCAATGGCGACGTTCGAGAGATCACAATGAAAGATGCACTTCCGAATCCTTCTAATAACTGGGCCGAGTATAATGCTCTTTACGGAGACCTGTATGGATCTGTTGATAAGCTTCTAAGGTCTATCAGTAAGTCTATAAGATGGCATTAAATGAACTCTTACAGCCAGGAAGAGTATTCGAGACACTCCACTTTCGTCGAGGGAAACGGCTCAGATGCCAACAGAGAACGAGCAAACGCTATATTTGCCACTTTCGATGATTATGTGGTCAGTTGAGAAAATGAAAAATTGTCAAAATAGAACCGTTTATTTAAGCTACCGCATCAGCCAGGAAGGGAGAAGCAATCGATCGCTGATGGTCCAAGAGTGCAAACAGTTGATGAACTTCCAGCTGAAAACGAGAAATCTAGAGTTCCCGAAGAAAACGGAGACGACATCAGATATTCCAAGTGTCTGCTTCGGAGCCCAGCGCGAGATGATCTACAACTGACTGAGCAAGTACAGGTGCCTCAAGAGCCGATGGAGATAGACAATCTGCGCCAAGATCTGCAATCACTTATTCCGCAGGAAGAGCAGAATCAGGATCAAAACCGCCCACAGACACCCCTGATGTCGTCGCCAGAGAAACTAAAAAATCAGCCTCCAGCTGCAAAAGCACAAGATACCGCCGAGACATTGCCTATTCGACAACCTCCGCCCGTCGACGAGCTGGATCTCGATTTCGTTCCACCACGAATGCAACAGCAAGTCTCGGCGTACCTTCAACAAATTGCAAACCTGCCGGACGAGAGTGTTGCGTTGCCGCCTCTTCCGAAAAACTTCGGAGATGAAGAACTATTTGATGAGCCGCTCGCCAAGAAGCAGAAAGTAGACGGTGAGCAGGACGAAGAGGACGAGGAGGAAGTGGAGAAAGCGCGTCGGAGAGCGTCTTCTCGCCCAGTCACTCCGATCACTCCTCTGAATCGGACGAATCTGACTAATCTGGATACGACGGACAAACCGGAGGTAGCCAGCTTCGAGCTTGATTCTCAAGTCGTGATCCCAAGAAAAAAGAAGTCGGCTCGGAACTTGCCGCCCGTTTTCGGAAATGATATCGAGATCGACTTGACTGTTCAGAAGGCCTCGCAAGCTGACTATTCCAAGCTTGTACGACTTCTGGTGATTCCAAAGATTATATCAAAATCTGAACGGATTGTTTGGGATTTGGAAAGTCCGATGCCTTTCATCGGATTGGGAACAACGAGTAAGCAAAGAGAAAAATGATCGAAATGACTGAAAGGTTCAGAAATTGCTGTCGAATTCGAAGAAGTTTTCCATTCGGAAAGATACAAAGGCGGAAATCCGACTACCTTGAGTGATTCTGAAGAGGAAGAAGATGAGGAGGAGGAAGAACTGGAAGCTCCGAGACATCTCGGAGAAAAATTCTCGAGTGTGTGTCTCGTGTCAACGCCACAAGAATCGATTCGATTGGAAGAAGAGTTGCGCACGCCGCTGTTCATGGACGAGTTCAGACCAATGCAACTTGATGAATTGTTCGGGCCGCCGCAGCCTGGCGGACCCACTAAAATGCTTCAGGACGAACCAATGGATGTTGAGCTGCCGCCGAAAGAGAAAGAACCAGAATTCTTCGCGAAAAGATATCTTGTCAGCACGCCACCGTCTTCTCCGAAACGCAGAGGAAAGAAGGAAAATTACGCATTCAGATGTCTCATCTCAACACCGGAGAAAAGACAAGAACAGAGCATCATGGATCAGTTGATGCTCCAGCCGATTCAAGAGATGCTCGACCTTCCGCTGACTGATAGAACACAAAGAGAAGTGGCAGAGCCGACGCCAACAGTCGAGCGAAGAGTGGAGAAGGCACGACGGCATCAGAAGAGCAGTCTTGGAATTAGACAACTCAGTGGTCCGAATGGCACGATATTTCGAAATTTATTCTTTCTTTTCCAGCAGAATCTGTAGTAGAAGATACCGAGGGAGTGCAGTTGAGAGCTGAAGGCACAGAACGGTTTGAAGCACGCAGACGACTAATGGAAGAAGCGATGTTCGCCAATTCAGACGACAAAGACTACTACGTCTTCTCTTCTGGATCTCTTCTCCCGAGCTATCGTGGAGTAGTTCATGAGGAGCTTCTCGCGTGAGTCCGGTGATTTTGAGAGAGGAAATAAGCGAAATAATTCAGAAAAACACGAGAGACGTATCCGAATTGGGTGGATTTCAATCAGTTCACTTCAAAGTACAACAGGAAACAGGCCGCCACGGCCTTCGAAGTATTGCTTCGTACGTTCCGTCGGTTCGTTTCATTTCCTTTATTTGAGCATTTTCAGTTGGCCTGAAGAACATGAAGCTCCGCGCTAAACAAGAAGAACCATTCGGCACCATCTACGCCCAGCACGTAGAAGTGGAATGATGACCATCTCATTCTTGAAATCTGTAAAATTGTTACTTGTTATTGCTTTTTGTTTTTCTTATTGTTTTTTTTTCATCCCTAGAAACGCCGCAGTGCTTCTGTACCATTCTGTACCAGAGCGGCTAGTGCTTATAAAGAGTGAAGTTACTTTATTTATTATCATTTGTCTCAAAAACAACAACAACAACAAAAAAGATCACATTTTACAATAAGTAGTCCCCGTATCATGCAAAAGTGGTTAAGTAAGATGAAATGAATTGGCAAGAGATAAGTTTAGAGCTCGTCATCGCGAGAGATGAGCTTCTCGAGGGTGATGTCGAAGTAGAGGCGAGCCTTTCCGGGGATGGACGGCGATCTTCCGTTGTCTCCGTATCCGAAGTCCGACGGGATCACCACTTGACGCCGTTCTCCCTCGCACATTCCGGTCATTGCGATGTCCATTCCCTTGATCACCTCCTGAAAATGGCACGTGGAAATGGGGGAAGAGAATGAAGAGAAACGAACGTTATTGTTGAGACGGAAGATGAACGGCGCGTTGCGGGAGAAGGACGAGTCGACGAAGGTGCCGTCCTCGAGGTGCAGCACGTACTGCTGGTGGATCGTGTCGCCGCTTTTCGACTTTCTGCACTTGTCCGCCTCGATTTTGTGCGTCTGTTCGATGACAATTCCCTCGTCGGTCGTCCACTTCTCTCCTGGAACGGCGCGGAACAGATCGACGAGTTGGACGGTGTAGTACAGTGTCTGATCCTCCTTGATGCTGTCCCTCTCGCGGCCCGCACTTCCGAAGCCCAGACTGCCCGGGATCACCACCTTTCTCTTCTCGCCCACGCACATTCCGGTCATCGCGCGCTCCATTCCGGGGATCACTTGCGCCTTTCCGAGGGTGAAAGTGTATCTGCAAATGGCAAATGAGCTCATTTCCAGCTCCCTTCCCCTTCAAACTCACGGCTTCTTGTTGAAGTTGGATCCGATCTCCTTTCCGTCCTTGTCCGACAGCTTGTACCACTGATCAAGAACATCTCCGTCCTGCGACTTCAGCTTGCACTTCTCCGCCTTGATCGGCCGGATGATCTTGACTTCGAGACCGTCCTCGTCCTTCCAACTCAACTTCTGCTCCTCCTCGGCGAAAGCGACGGCGACGAGCGCCAGAAGACACAGAAGAATGACGCGCATTCTGAAAAGAAGCAAAAATGGATTGCGAAGGGAGTTGTGGGGGAAGAGTTGGGGAGGAACGAATGTATAAAGGAAGAGAAGTGCACAAAAATGTTTATGAAGGAGAGGAGGTCAGCATCTGGCGGACGGACGCACGACGGCGCGCAGCTGAGTAATGTCAGTGTAACACCAAACAGCTGCCACGTCACCCTTTTTGTAGCACACAGCGCTTTGCTTCGCAGTCCACCAAGATTGGGAAGAACTCGGAAATCGTCGTCGAGAGACCAAACTTCCTGAATCCAATTGAATAGCCGCCGACGGGAACAAGACGAGAAAGGGGGGAACAGGCTTGTGAATGAAGGAGATCTGCCGAGCGGGTCATTAGTGTCCTCGTCTGCAGAGACCTCAGGCCGCCCCGATCCGTCGCGCTGTAACTTTCTTCTCTTGCGATTTCTCTCGGCGTCGCCGTCTCTTCTCCGCCCACAGTCTGTCAGTCTTGCAGTCCGGTGGTCATCGGCGGGAAGAAAGTATGGGGCCGGCCGAGGGATAGGAGTATAACTGGGTTGGCGGCCACGAATCGATTACTTTATTCTGTATATGTATAACAACATGGACACGAGAAGAAGCGGAGGTTACGGTAGGAGGGAAATCAGGCAGAATTGTAGGCTGAGTAGGGCACATTGTTGCCAACTGATCGGCGTTGGCAGAAGAATCGGACGAGAAGCACGGCGATTCCGATGATGAGGAAGGCGACGATTATGCCGACTGAAAGAAGGAATGGGCGAGAGTTCAACTAGATGGAATCAAAGTGTATCTAGTGACTCAGCGGAAGATCTTGAACAAATCTGATTCGAACTATTCGAGGCAGAGTAGCGAGCTATAGATTATAGTCTACGCAATCTCCTGATGACAGGAGGACCTAGTGGTTCCAAATGTTTCACTCACTGAAGAAAGACCATCCAACAAAGGAAGGAGCTCTTGGCTTCCCTGATTTCGGCGTAGTTGTCTGCACTGTAGAGCTCGAGGGAAGAGAGGATGATTTCGAAGCGGGTACTTTTGTTCCAGAAGTGGTCATCGTCGAATTGTCTTCATCGTACTGCTCCTCAATCGTCACTTTACCGTCACTGCTGTCTGTGTTATTGCTGACAGTCGCATCTGACAACAGATTCTCCGCCGAGTCGCTCTGAAACATTCTGAAACTGAAAAGGAACGGTCAACGGATGTGTCTCACGTTGTCTGCTGTTGAGAGAAGTGCAAAAGAAGCAACTAGGAATGGAAGGATAACTGAGTATTTCATGACTTTGTTGAAATGGCAACGATTGGGAGAGCCAATTCATCGGAAACAAGGTGTGCAAACAGTCCAGTCACTTTTCACTTTATTTGGGAGGGATGAGATCGACTAGGGATATGAGGGGAAAGGGAAAGGGATCGGAGAGACGAGGGGGCAGTTATTGAAAGGGAAGGACGCGAGGAACGGAGCTAGCACATCCAACTGTGCGGCACCCATTGTGTCTCGTAGCGAAGAGTTTCCAATGCATCCACGAGCCTGAAATGGATTGGAATGAACAGAATTCGGAGGAGGGAGGACCTTTTGAAAGTGACGTCGATATTTCGGTTGACGAGAGTCAGATGGATCTTCGATTTGCATTCCATTCCGATCTTCGCACTCTCATCAGAAATTGATTGCAGCTGCGCTTCTGTTCTGAAATCAAATGTTGGGGGACTTTATCTTTTTCTTTCTTATTGAGTCAAACCTGTGAGTCCTCCGAACTGCTTCCAATTGGAGAAATTCTTCGAGCGGAGGAGGCACAATGTGAACTACGAACGGCATGAACTCGGCATTGTACAGGTAATTGACAGCCTGAAACCATTATTTTCTCCGTTTTTCCTCTTCAAATGTTCTACCTGTGGAGCTGAATCCAACACGCACATCCGTCCGCTCCTAATCTCCGTCCTCACCGAATCGGCCGTCGTTCCGTACAACTGATTGTCCAGCTCTCCCCATTCGACCATTCCGCCCTCTCGAATGATTTGATAAACATCCTCTTTGCGTACGAACTGATATTCTCGCCCCTCGACTTCGCCGGGCCGCTGTGCTCTCGAGGTGACTGTAACAATCGGTCATGATCTTAATTGCTATGCTCCTACTCACGTGGAACGATTGTTGAGAAGTAGTGTGGAGCCAATCGGAGGAGCATCGATTTTATGTCCCTTCTTCCCGTTCCGACTGCTCCGAGGAGCACGAGAGTTCTTCGGCCGAACGGACACAACATCGAGACTTTTTCCATTGTCAGAGAGGCAGGAAGGTATCCGACTTGAGTCAGATCTCCGAGTTTCCGGGCCTGCATCCACTTCTCGTCCCTACTAAGAACCTGCACAACGTCTCCTTTGGACACCTCCAGATCCAGCCAAAGACACGGCCGATTTAAGTCGTTACGCGAACTGTAGCTGTCTTGAATTCTGAAGAAATTCTGAAAAAATACAAGTTTTGAAGCTCGGAAGCTACGCAAACTGACGGGCGGAGCACAATGAATGGCAGCCGGCTCGAGAGTCAATTCGACGTTTCCCTTCAGATTCTCGATGTCCGCTCTGAAGAAGACGTCTTTTCCGTCGACACGAGTGATGACGTCACCCGGCTTCAAATCATAATTCGCCTTTTCGTTGATCTTCGTCACGACCAGATGTCCACCGTGCTTCTCCACTTCCACCTGCGCTAATTGTCCGGCGTCAATTGTGGTCAGTCTCGATTGGTATTGCGGTAGCAGAATGGCCGATTGATGGATCGGAGCATAGTTGTGATTCTTGGAGGATCGGAGGATCGGAGTCATTGTCGGCGAGGGACCGTCCAGGGCCAACGCGTGGAACGTCTTCGTCGTGAGCACTCTCTCCGTCACGATCGTCCGTTTCTTGAGTCCCGTCTTCGGGTCCACTTCCGTTTTCTCCTCGATCTCGACCTGCTCGAACTTTTCCTTTCCGTCCTTGTTCGAAGAAGACGTTCCGCTGCTCTGCAATTTATTAATCAAATACGAAAGAAAGAGAGAGAGAGCAACCTTATTACTGTCCGCATCGACTTCTTTCTCGTTCTTCTTCTCGATATTCTCAATTTTCTCAAGAAGAACGTGCAGACATCGCGACAGATTGTCGGCGTTCGATCTCAGCTGAGAAAGCTCGTCCTCGTCACTCATTTCTCTGAAATGCTCTTCTTGAAAACGGTAAAATAGGGAGTGTGTGTGTTGTTTGTGAGAAAACCGACGGAAACGGCATGGAACAAGGCATTGCGAAGCAACGAAAAGCATACAAAAAGAAGGGCAAACAAGTGCAAACGACTACGCACTTCGAGGCTTAGAGCATTAGAGCATACAGAATGCCACATTGGCACGGCAACTACAATGGGTTACTGTATGTCTGGAAGGACGGCGACTCTTCCGAAGAGCACGTTGCGCATTCGCATCGATTCCCCGAGAATTGGCCACGATTATTTGTTGTGGAAATTGCAGTTTCGACTGTGAAAAGTCAACAAACTTTTGGAGAACTTTTCTGCCGTGGGCGGGTCGAGCAATAAGATTGAAGCCGTTTTCGTTTCCAGAAAGACGACCCCAGGAGATCGCATTAGCATGCGTGCGCAAAAGGGAAAAGAGAGGAGAAACAAGGCAAAAGCGCGCCGCAAACATGTGAATTCATGTGCTCCGGAGGGAGCAACGACTACTGGAGAGAACGAGAGATTGGAGCGCAGAAGTGCGAGGGGCGGAGAATCGATGAGAAGCAGTGACGACGAGTTGATGGAAACCCTCGAGCACGCGGAGAGACTGCTAATTTAGGCACAGAATAGGAAAGAGCAGAAGAGAGGGGGAATGTGGTGAGTGACGAGCGGTACTGTAGGAGGGACACTCCTGAATGCTCCGCTCGAATCAGAAGCAAATGCGAGAGAACTGTCGACATGAAAGACTCGTGTACAACGAGGTTCTGTCTGAAAGGAGTCTGAAACATCGTCCATCATGACACTGTGGTTAACGCGAAAACGAGTTCATTTGAATGCATCCTAATGAATCCACGGACCGAATGAATGGAAACATAACAAGTTGAGTGTGTCCGAGTCTTCCAAACTTTTGAATGGACAGGTGACCGTGAAGGTCTCGGATGCCACCACCCAATTGTTTATAAACACGGCGTCCTCGATGGTCGGAGTGCTTCAAATGATGGTGTAATCCGAATGTCCCGCCCGCGAGACAATGATTAATTGTCGCCGAGAAACCGCGAGCACATCTGTGTCCCCGCGAATGAATGAATGAACTGGTGAACGAACGGACGAATTCGAATCGACGGGGAGCAGATGGTAGTCCGTTTATGCTGGGAAAATTGGTTCCACAATGAGAGCATAATCGGAGCAGGCGCTGACTTGATGACGATTGAGAATGAAATATGAATTGAGCTCGATAATCGGTCTGCAAAGAGGTTTTCTGGCATTCATTTGTTTGATAGTTGGATCCATATTGACTCAAACACTTGATATGTTTCACACTTTCCAGGAAGGATAAGGTATTTGTTTCTTTCTTTCCGGTTTAAAATGTTTAAGGAAATTTTTTAAAGAGTTAATTTTCTATATTTTCTACTTGATTTGTGAACATCAACTGCTTCTTGCTTCTGAAATCTGAATTACCGCCTCTGGAAATTATCTCAAAAATGTCGTCAAATCGCACGCCTTGAAAGTTCACACACCATGTTCTACGACACACTGCAGATAGTCATCATTTTTAAAGTTCCCACTATTTTTCACAGATTCCCGTTGATCTTTGTCGTTCTTTCAAAAGCGTTTTTGAAAACTTAAATATTTTTTAGACGAAATGGCTGGTATGCACTTTCTCGTTGGAATTGCAACCGAAAACTATGTCATCCTGGCTGCCGACAAGGCTACTTTCGCCTATGGAGCGATCCTCGCTGATAGCGGTTCGTTTGTGGTTATTTTTGCGTTTTATCAAAATAAAAATATTTAAGAAAATGACAAGGAGTACAGACTCGGCAAAAAGCTGACAATGATGTGCATCGGAGAAGAGGGAGATGTCGCTCAGTTCGGAGACTGGACCAAGAGAAATCTCCAGCTCTACTCGGTCAGAAACGGTTAGTTTCGAAAACTTCGTCTTGTGAAAACATTGTTTTTAAATTTCAGGCTATGAGGTGTCACCGGCATGTGCCCATCACTTTGTGCGCCGCAGTATCGCCGAAGGACTCCGCTCGCAGGACCACTACACCGTCGACGTGCTCATCGGAGGGTACGACGACAAGGAAGAGAAAGCGTTCCTCGGCTCCGTGGATTATCTTGCCAACGGACTCGCTAAGCAGCCGTATTTGTTCCGTGGATTCTGTGGGCGCTTCTGCTACGCCGTCATGGATCGCGAGTACAAGAAAGGTAATTCAGCGCAATGTTCTACTTACAAAAACTGCTTTCCTCTTCAGACATGTCTGAGGCTGAGGGTCTCACTCTCATGAATAAGTGCATCGGAGAGGCTAAGAGACGTTTCGTGGCCAATATTCCGGGATACAAAGTGGTCATCATCGACAAGAATGGCTACCGCAAGCTCGACGACGTTCTGTTCTAATTCTGTTCTCTCGCTGCCCGGATTATATTTCGCCACCGGTTTACTCCCGCTCCCCAAAATTGAATTTCCGTCCGTTCATTTTCATCTTTTTTGATCGGTTTTAATTTATTGACACATTCAAATGTAATTTCGAGGATCTTTATTCGATGAGCGTTTCTACAATCTCACAGATTCACACAACTTGTTGCAGCAATTGTTTGCGCCGATCTTCGATAAGCAGAGCCCCTCTCTGTTCAGCGGCATGCTTCATATTCAACAACGATTCTCTCGTCTTTCTTGCATCATCGGGTTTGGAAGCGAACTCAGTCGACGACTTTTTGTCGTTCTTTGAATAGATCTCGTTGATCGCCTGTTTATACTCGTTCATAATTTTTCCTTTCGCATCGGCTGCCATTTTCTCTCGTCGTTCTTTGCTCATCGGAGGAACATTCACATACAGAACGACTCCTTCTTGCTGGGGAGTCACGTTCAGCGTTGATTTCTGAAAAAAAAAACAATAAAATAAGATTTTTTCCAATTTTAATACTTGAATGGCAAGCTTCGCAGCCTTGATTGCTGACGGATTATCCTGGAAGTTGATCATAACCATCAGCGGAGACTTGAGAGTGACTCTGGCCACCAACGACAACGGCTTGTCTTGCCCGTTCTCCAGTTTGACCATCACGTCTTCGTACTGCCGGATATCCACCTAAAAAAGAAATGATAAGTGTGATACAGCGGATTTCGGAGCACGTGCCTTGAGCGAGAAGTGCCGAGTGAGTTCTTCCACGAGAACCGCTTCGACCCTTTGAAATTCTTTCAACGTCTGCTTCACAATCGAATTGTCTTCCAGATTTGTGAACACGGTCGGTGCTCCCTGGAAACAGTGCCTTAAACTGGGTCAAAACGGAAATATCTACCTTCTTTTTATTATCCGCCTTCTTTTTCGCCTGGAAGGCGACTGTCGTCGAGAGTTTCTGCTGATTCTGGAGCACGAATGCTCGCGGAGCTCTTTGGAATAATTGTGTGACTGCCGAACGGAGCATCTGTTATTATTAAAGCGTTCATTTCAGTAACATTTTTATCAGAAAAAAAACTACTAAAATTCTTTACGGAAGGACTAGAAAAGCGGATTGAAAAAAGTTAGGCCGCAAGGGTTATGCTCGCTGAAGCAAATAAACTGCCGATTCATCGTTGAAATCTCTTGTCACGGAACTCGAAGAGGCGATGTATCTTCTGACAGTTTGACTGAAAAAAATGCTATTGATCGATTTAACGATTCTACTTGCTGATTTGATATCGCCATATCAAATCAAGTTTCTAAAGCTGTCTACGACCCCTTCTAAATATTCCCTTGTTTTGAAACTCCGCGATAAACCTGGTAAATCCGGTTGGCACGACCAGCTGATCATTTCTGAAATAGCGGCAAGTAAAAGAGGTAGAGAAAGTGAAAGACGTACTTGACGGCCAGATCGAAAGATTCGGCATACTCTTCCGTGGAGAACCTCTCTTCTGAGAACGTTGTTATATTCAGAATGAGTGGCGTCTCAAAGTGCTGAAAAGAATTGAGATGTAAAGATTTCTTCTTTCAATAAGAAGCTTTCACCTGAACATACGCCTTTTTCGGATTAGAAGTGTTGATGGAGACGAGAAAATAAATAAGTGAGGGGAGAATCAGAAGGAGACAAATGTAGACCTTCGTCTTCGTTTCCATATTCTCCGAGCAGTGTTTGTCGCAGAAAGCGGCTAGTTTTCCACGGACGCGCGGTTCCGAGGGAATCTCGATGGCGAGGGGCTCGATGCGGACCACGGCGCCTGTCGGTTGCACACTTTCCGTCATCATATTCTATCGAATGAATTCTTCTTTCCGTCGTTTCCGCGAATGTGGGAGACAAAGAAGTGATGGAATTGAGGAATTCGCATGGGTTATTGGACGGAAAAAAGAGAATGGACCGACTGGAATTCGAATATTTATTGTGGAAAATGGTGAATTCTCTTCACTAGCGACACAAAGTTACGGGGAATAGTGGGTGGATTCGGGGGACAGTCCGTTTACACAATGACGTGGATTTCAGATTCTGAATTCGCAATTCAGATGAGCGGTTATATAGATGTTTTATTTGTGGATGAGATTTGTTCCAAACGAGGAGGTAGGAGGGTGCTGGTAAAAGCACGGAAGAATCAGAGAGGCTGTGATTGGAGCCACGTGGATCGTTGCGCCACTTTGGGAGACGCACTCGGTCTGAAAAAGAGAGGAGGTGGAACGAGGACACTTCGATCGAAGGGATTCTGACCTGACAGCGATGGGTTTCGCAGCGAACACAGTCTTTGAGTGGAGCTTGGGGGAGCGTATCTTGCAGGGCTGCGCGTAATGCTGACTCGAGACTTCGATGGGGAAAGCACGACGGACTGGAGGGGAACGGGCGGGCGAGAAGCGGACCGTCGCAGGCTTCACCGGCTGTTCCGGGGGAGACACGTAGACTACGTTGGCACGGAACATCGCGTCCGCCTTCTGAATCAACACTTTCCCGTTACTCAGTTTTGAATAAGTTTGCTCACTTGTTTGCTCCTCTTGATGACTTCTGCCTTTTGTGGCGTCTTAAATTCTTCGTTGAGACTCAGCTGACTGAGGCTGCTCGGAAGGCTCGGCTCCACACTCGAATGCCGCTTCGACGATTGATTTATGATGGTGAACGCGGAACGGCGCTGCAAAAATGAGATGAGAACGAACGAACGGAACGATCGGAATGCTTACATCTTTGCTCAAATCAATCGGATGTCTAGGCGGTTTTCCATATCTGTAACAAAAGTGTCATTTTATGAAAAGAGCTAGATGGCGGCTCACAAGTATTCTGTGGTGGAAGTCGACGAATCGAACATGCTCTTCGGACGAACTCGCTGCGGAGACGTCTTCCAGGCGCCTCGGTGACAGCTTCTTGAAGTGATGATGGGCGGTGCGAAGGCTGTTTTCTCGATCGGCTCGTTGTTGTTGTTCATCGAATGGGAAGCGCTGTGCGTTGACTCGAGCGACAACTTCCGAAACGTCGAGTAGTTCATTGTGGTCGAATTGTTTCTGTAATCCAACCTGTTCCTACTCCTTCTCTTTCTTTGTTTCTTACTCGTAAATGTTTGAATACCGATTAGACTTGTTCGAAAAGTCTTCTGGAGTGGAACTGCGAGTCGAACTTATCGTATTCTGTGACGAGATTCCCGAGTCGACGGATTGAAGGGAGAACCTGTCGAGGAATCCATCGCGTGACCTCTTCTCTCTCGTTTGAACATCGTCTAAACTTCCAGGGATCACTGGCAGTCTAGAGCGGAGATTCTGAAACAAATCAACACGATTGGACTTCAGGGATGCTTCTGGGATCTCACCTGAATGAGAAGGGTGTGCTTGGCTCTGAGCACGTCGAGCTCGTGCATTCCACTCCTGCACGCTTCGTACCGGTTCCGAAGTCTGTCGTCATTGTGAAGTGAAGAACCCATTCTCGGATTCCTGTAGTTCCTCTCCGGTGGTGGTGGACCGTACCCAGAAGGACCACCACCGATCTGAGCACAGTCGATGTCACGTGGCAATCGAACCAGATTCGGTGCTGCAAAAAGAGTGCAACAAGTGTGTACAAGGGAATAGTTAGTCGAATGAATGCACCGAGAGGGCACTTGAGACCACCGGGACGGGGTGTTTATTCGATGAAATGGTAGGGGAGGGAGGAGGAGGAGGATAAGACGACATTAGGCGGAATGGACGGGAGCACACGCCGAACTGAGCAAACTGCCCGATGCGCTCGGATGAGCAGCCACCGGAAACAGTCTCGAGAAGGAGGCGGAAGACGGTGTGAATGGAGCGATGAATCGGGTCAAAGACGACAATAAAAAAGGGGGTAAGTAGTGGTTGAAGGCCGAAAAGACGGACGAAAAGTCATTGATGAACTGGTATAAATACAGTTTAATGCGACACAAATAGAGAGGGTAATAATATCGGAAAGAAAAGAGTCGACGGGGGATTTGATGATAATAGAAACGAGATGATTATGAGAGGCAGATGATCGACTGGTCGGCGGCCCCGAAAGAAAGAAGAAGAAGGCGTCGGTTGGCGGCAAGTGAAAGCGGCCAATACAGGAAGAGAGGAGATGGGGAGGCTGAGTGTCCTTTGCGAGACATAATTCATATTTCGATAATGTTGCCTGATTGTTGCAGGAATGCTGAATGACCAGAAGTGTCGCACATACCACCATCCGAGAAAAGAAGCGGGTGGCCGCCATTTGGAATCGAGAAACCCGCTTAGCAAAATTAAGCGAAAAAAGGAAAAGGGATCACCAGAGAATGGGGGACGTTTTTATTAGAAAACAATACAAAAAACAAAGGAACGGAAGAAAAAGGGATTCTAGTTGGAGGGAACGAGCTGTCACACATCAGACACACGAGCCACATCCGGACGGAAACAGTGATTGCACCTCAAATCTTGAACGCATCGCTGAGATGTTTTGAATGAATCGAGTACGATCTCAAACCTTTTTCTCATTATTCGGAGGCGGCGTCTTCGCGATGATCGGAGCAATCGGAGCCGCGGAAGTTTCTGGAGTGCGGACTGGGGTTGCCGGAGAGTTGGCCTGAAAACACGGGAGTTTCCGAGAATACTAGTGAGACACTACTGGAACGGGCTCTTTGGCAGTCGACAGATCCGCTGATTTAGAGTGAGAACTCTCGAGAGGAGCAGTGGAGGAGGTTCCGGAAAGAGTTGTGGCAGTCGGGGTGGACGGCGGGGCAGGATCCTTTGGGCCGAGGGCCAGGGACACGTTTTTGGTGCGGTTGGAGACCTCCTCCTGCACTGTGAACGACGTCATCGAGTCATTCGGTTGTGACTTATCGGCACTCGCGATCGGAGCAGCCGAAGAAGACGGAACGGTTGGAGCAGGGGCGGCAGGCAGAGCGGAGAGCGACGAAGAAGGCATCGGCTCGACGGCGGTCGTAAGATCGGTCGTCGACGATCTTTTCGACGCAGTCTTTTCCGACTCGGTCTTCGATATCTGACTGTCTTCGGAGACGGTCTCTTTCGGGGCGACGCGGACCTTTTTGGCGGTCGACATGCTCGGAGAGATGGCCACTTTCATCTTCATCGACTTCGACGGCAGCACGTCCTTCTCGTAAGTCGTCGACATTTTTGTCCGGTCGCTCCGTCCTCCCTTCTCCGATTTCGTATTGTTCGGCTGAATGACAATTGCTTGCGGCACCAAGTTCTGTTTCTTCTTCTTTCTTCTCTCCAGGATAAGCAGACACATGTTGACGGCGGCGAACATTGCCAAAAAGCTCAAAGTGATGATGAAGAGTACTTCTTTCGCACTGATCGAAGCCAACGTTTCATTGATTTCGGCGCTGAAACCGTTTCCAGTTCGGCCTCTCAGACTCAGCCCACTTACAGTTTCTTCTCGATGTTCACCGAGACCGTCGTCTGATTGCTCGTACCGTTCATTTCCGATGATAATTGAACGACTTGACAAAACAAATAAACCCAGGGAATAGCTGCGAACTCGCCAAACTGATACTCGTTCGAAGAAGCGGTTCACGTAGACGTTTGCGTGATGAGTTTATTCACGATTTATGCAAACGAATGTATTTGACAAACTGTATTAGCAATAAATGTCACATCGCTTGTTTATAAGGATGCAATATTATTCTGGGGGAGATTGGGCAACCTGTGGGGGGATAGTGGGTTAGGCATGCAATAATAAAACTAATTAAGAATAGTGAGAATTAAGGGGTGGAGTGCAACATAACGGAAGGGTTAGAGAATGAAATAGCTCAGTTGTAAGATTCCAAAGTCTTGTTCTGCATGGAAAGGGCCAGCGATGGGATCGATCCTTGCAGAGCCTCGATTATCTTCTTTCCGGAAGAAAAGCGCTCGAGACGGGCCGAATTGCGGAAGACACGCTCCTTGATTCTCTCGAGCCATGTGGAGTACAAGTCGACTTCTCTTTTCTCGAGATGACGTTCTCTGAAGAGAAATTTCATGAGCAACTGAAAGGAAACTATGGAAAAAGAACCCTTGTCCGATAATGGCGGAGCAGCAGATGTGGATCATCTGCTGGATGACGTAGTTGCCGTACTGGTGGAAGAGCAGAATGTCAAGAGCGTCGCGGTTGGTTTCAGGATGCGGGATGTACCCCTCGAAGATCTCATCCATCATCTCGACTAGCAAACGATGTGGGGCAAAGAGGAAGGCAACTTCGACGACGTGCGAGGCATACTTCTCTTGCGACATCGAGAGGAGGTTGCGGCTGGAAACAGAGGCTTTCTCAGTCTGTTTTCTGAAAAAGTGATACTTACAGAAGGCACTTTTCGATTATTATGTCTCGGTAAGTCTCCATGGCTCCGCCACACTTGACAACGTGCTGGACAACGTAGTTGGCGAACTCGTTGGAAGCGAGTTGGGGGCAGTTGCGGGTGATACCAGACATCAACTGTTGCAGGAGGGCGACGCGCTGTTTGTAGCACTCTCCGTTCGGATTCTCCGACAATTTCTCGATGGTCGACTGAACGACGCGGCAACCGTACTTGTCCTGGCAGACAGCAATAAGGTTGTCATCGTTCGAGAAGAAATCGACGACAAAGTTCCACGCGGAGATCGGCAGAGTCTTGATGATTTTCTGGATGACATGGTTTCCGTTCTGATCGATGCTCAGAAGGACAAGGTCAGTATCCCTCAACTCGGCTGCCAAACGAGACGACAAATGAGTTTCCAGTTTCTGAAACATTGGAGATAATTGGGATGCAAAAACAAATGGTTACCTGGATGGCGAGTTGGATGACACGGCAAGCGCTTTTGTCGAGGCAGAGAGCGAACATGTCAGTCACCAAGTGCTCCATCACGACCTCTTGCTCTTCTGAATTCGAGCACTCGACAATGCGCTGCACGAAAAAGTTTCCGAACATGTTGCGGCACATCGAGAGGAAGACTTCACGATCTTCGACCATCTTGCGGAAAATTTCGTCGTGTACTCCGTTGTCAGAGGCGATCGGATACTGCTCCTGGAGGAAGCGGCAGCCGTTCTTATCCGCAGCGAACTCGAAAAGACCCTTGTTGAGCAGAACATCCTGGAGAGTGACAGTCGCGGCGACACTTCCTTGCGAATCGGACGCCCAGGCGGGAAGAGTGCTTTTCAGCGAATTGCGTCCACTGGAACTATATTGAAAGTTGCAGACAGAAAAATTACTCGGAAAGGTAATGTCTCACTTGAACGTATTCGAGAAACCGGTGTTGGACGACGCGAATGTGTCGTCGAGGTCGACGAGACGGAGACGGACACCATCGGCATTGTCTCGCATGCGACGCGGCGTCGAGTTCGGAGTCGAAGTTCGCCAGCCGCCGAACTGAAACAAGATTGATTGATGTGAAGGCGCAATGGCACATACTCTATACGGCGCCGTAGCGTGCTTCGGAGCAGGCGGACAGCCAGATCCGGACTGCAGTCCGTTGTTTCTCGCCGGAGTCCACGAAGAGTAGCTGTTGAAGCATCCTCCGTAGGTGACAGCGGCCGACTCGTTGTGGGCTTGCGAAGGAGCCGGGCTTTCGTAGAGACGCCCGTTGATGATGTTGTTTTTCGAAGCCGGAGATGCGCTTTTCTCTTGGAATTGTTGTTGTTGGCTCATAATTGCTAGTAGAAAGTCGGTTAGTACGGAATACCCTGAAGATTAGAAATTCATAATTCAGAAGCGAAGAAAAAAGTGAGATGATTGAATGGCTGGAATGGAAATCTGGCACGAGGAGATTGCTCCGATGATCAGTCATTGTTTGCGACCGGACCAAGCTACGGACAAAACCCGGAAATCTTACCTTTTACAGAGAGGAGAACGACTGTCCGTTGTAGAAGAAAACAACCATACTGACCAAGAAACCGGGTTCAAACTAGAAAACAAATAACTTTGGAAGAATCTCGCGCTAGCGCCAGTAGAGCACTTTTTCAAGCGAAGGCGCATGTCTCTGTCGACGCAATGGGTCTCGCCCCGACATCCATTGATTACTGTTCTGAGTCACATTTCGGAGTTTCGTCACGATTTCCAGCATGTTTTGAGCTTTTTCATTTTTCCTTTGAAAAAATAGAAACGTTTATTAGATTGGACACATAATTTAGCACAAATACAAAACTAGACACATTTCCGGGGTCAGTAGGTACAAGAATGAGTTGACGATGAAGCGAAAGAGGGGAAAGAAAGGGTGAGAAAGAGATTCAAATTAAAAGTGACCCAGTGCGGTAAGCAAAATGAATAACGAATTGAGAAGAACGGACAGAGACGGGCGGGCGAGAAGTCAGTGGCGAAGGTGAGAAGGAGTTAGTACGGCGGTGTATTGTTGATGAATGACTGGATCGGCATCGTTGGAGGCGGAAAAGCAGTGGTGCATGGATGGTGGTAGTCTGTAACCAAACTCTTTCATTTTCAGTTTTTCCTCTGCTTCTGATCACTTACAATCAGGCACTGCTACTCCGTTGCCGTATCTTGCCTCCTGCGTCACTTCATCCCATGGCCGCTGCTTCTTCACGTACCCGTCTCCGTAAGGTGATCTCAGGTCCCTAGACCCATTCGCCTGTCCTAAAAAATCAAGGGGCATGATGACCTTCGATGGCTGTCCGACGGAAGGCGGTGGCGGCGACGAGTTCTGAGACAGCGGCGGCGGACTGGGGCCCTGTCCTTCCCCCGGCTGACCGCCTCCGCCCGACGTGCCGCAACTACTCACAGCTCCACTCGTGTTGATGCTTCCGATACCCGTCAGCTCCTCGAACAGTTGATCTGTTGTCCGCTCCAGTGCTGCCTGCTCCTGAGTGAGATTTCCCTCGTCTGAACCGATGGTATCGAACGAGCCGCCCATGGGATCATGCAACGGATCCACGTCAGGATTGAACAGGCCCTCATGAGGATTATGGGCAATTACATGGTCTTCCGGGTCCGAATCAGGCTGCGTATTCAGGTTGATCGCAAGGTGCCGGTAGCCTCCTCGGCTGCCTCGTCCACCTCTGAAGCCTCCTCGCCGCCTTCCACCTCTTCCGCCTCTTCTTCCGGCCCTTCTGACTGGCGAGACTGAGATTCCTTGGCTTAGCAGTGCATCATTGGCCAGGTGAGTTCCTGCCATGTTGTACGGAACAAGCTCTGCGCCCATCCGCACACTCATTCCGTTCATCCCATTTTCTATCATATCACTCGTTGACGGCTCCGCCTTCCTCCTTCCTCTCTTTTTCACCACAACTTCTGGTTCCACTTCATTATCGTCATCGACGGCGTAGTTCTTCTTGGTGTTGCCTCTTCTCGGTCTCTCGTACTCGTCCGGAATATAGAATTGACTGTGGATAGTCCTCTTTCTGGACGGAGTCAGCTCCGATTCGTTGGTCGTTTCTGAGGATCTCTCGGCCACTCTCTCGTCATCGCCTACCGGAGACGGACTTAATTTGTGCTCTCCGATCGGCATCGCCGTTCGCAGCTCTCTGATGTTCTTGCCTATGACCACACTGAGTTCCTCATTTGGGTCGATCTCCGCTGTCGGTCTGCCGGGTGGTTCCCATTTGCCAGTTCCACTTTTGCGTGGAGTGTCTATCACATGCTTCACGAGAGTTTCAAAGTAATCCAGAAGTAGGAGAGCGTCCTCACTAGACTTTTGAATTCCAAGATTCCATTTTCTGATTTGCCTTGAAATCACATCCACTGCCTTCGTTATGTGAACGGTCGAGTCAAGGGGGAATTGTCCGTTGCTGATTTTCAATTTGAACACTTCCAGCGTCTGGAATTTGAATTAAGTGAAGGAGGCACGGGATTGACGTACCTCACTGAAACTGTCCGCCAACTGATTGATCTGTGTGATGGCTCCTCCGCGGAGCACATCGAGCAACTTCTCCGCCGTTCCCAGCTGCGTCTCTATGTATTCGGTGGCGATTGGTGTGTCCCAGATGCGCTGTAAAATGTTTTCCGTCGAAACCGTTGATGACTAATCGAAATCTCACATTAATGATATCAATGGACATTTTGTCGTGAGCCGCATGTCTGCTGGTTTTCGCGCATATTTGACACATCAGTGCACTGATCGGCCTCTTCGCAAAGTCCGTGGCCTCCTCCGTCTGCATTCCCTCACTCCAGCCACTGCACGTTCGGCACACTGTCATGCTGAAAGCCCATTCATAGTCATAATTCGCTTGGGAGTTGTGCACTTACTCATTCTCCCTATACAAAATATTGCACTCTCTACACCGATACTTTAGTGGAACTCGTTTCATTGCCTGCTCTTTTCCATAGACGATACCCAGCAGGTCATGACTGACTGGCGCCGATCGGTCGGATTGCTTGCGCATGGAATCACAGACCATGCAGAACTTGGGGCCAGTTGACAGTCTCTGACTGCCCATACATTGCTCGCACACATTGTGACCACAGGGCAGAACTCGTGGCTTCAGGCTATCCGTGTCTGAAAGCGGATGAATAGGTTAGAAGCAGGGATTTAAAAGAAACTAAACGAACCAAAGGGCCTGCCACATTCTCCACAATGGAGGAACTTTCTCGAATTTCGAATGAAATTTGTGTGCTCAATGTTCATCCGTACCTGGAACGACGATCAACTCGGAGACGGATTGGGTGGGGGGGAGAGAAGTCGGGAAGGCGAGTGGATTGACCGAGATGTGCGAAGTCTCGGAGGTAAACGAAAGAGCGCGCGAATGGTGGATGCGTAGGCGTAGGGGGTAACGAGCGAAAAGGGAGGAAACAAGGCAGACGGGGAGGTGGAGGATGCGCCTCTTCGCGTAGCACGGAAGGACGGCAGAGGGAGAAGAGAAAGAGAGAAATGAGAGAAGGAGTGGCCGGACGGACGGACAGAAGAACGAAGAAGGAAGGAAGAAGAGAAGAAGTCACGGACACGGGCTACTGTAGAAAAACAAATATAGTTTACACCTTTAGATATCGCTTGCCATTTAAATGACCTCGCGGCAAAAGTGATTACCCCGAACAAACATGAACGAATCCATTCGGAACAAGTTGTGCTCCGTGGTCCGCAAAGTGCTCTTCCACTCCGGAAATGCAATAGAATGTCGGATTTGCAGTCACGCTCTACAGAACACATTCCCCAGGAGGGGAGCGAAGAGTCACGAGATGAAAATGGCTGACATCCGTCCGTTGTCGTCTCCGTCTTCTGCCGGCCCGCGGCCGTCGATTAATCGTGTCGTACACACGGAAACTACCCAATTTGGTGGCGGAGGCGACGTCCGTGATTTGACTTCTCCGTTTTTGGTGTGTGTGTGTGTGCGGCCAAACAAAGTGAAATTGGTGGGAAGAGCCGCGGAGGAGAGCGAAGACACGTCCGGACGGCGTAATGAGCGGTGACGGAGAAGGAGAGAGAGAGAGTGTGTGTGGCAGACGGAGAGACACGGACCGAACGACGGACGGAGCAATCGGAAATTGGGCGTGCGCGCAGAGGTTTGTTAAATCAGGAAGTTTTCGAACTTTCGTTTTCTTTTTTTATTCCCTGAAAAATTAGAGCGAAGAATGACGTTGTTTCCATCGAAAAGTGTGATAAAAACTGACGATCGAAGACGATGACATCGTGGAAAGGGGGCAAGTGAAAGTGAGCGATGACGCCAAGAAAAGAGAAAGCGAAGACGTTGTTGGCGATAAAAACGGAGAGGAGAAGCATATCTCACCCCTAATCGATAGGCAACACGACGAAGTGGCGAGCACGAACGAGACGGAGAGAAGACGTGCAGACACAGGACCCGCCGGGCACGACTGAGAAGATTGGCAACCGCCCCGCCCAGAAAGCTTTCTACTGTCAAGTGTGTGCCGGGATAAATTATTTATTTGGTGTAGTAGGATAATCAAGCAGCCATGAATATTAAGTGATAAAACAAGGCGGGAAATTATAAAATTATAAAATTCTCTGTCACCGGGTGGTTCATCTTCTAGCGCGTCCGTCTGAAAATTGAGATTTATAGGATTCTGGGGAAAGGAGATTGACCTCTACGGTTTCTCAGTTGATATCTATGATTCATTGGTTCGGGACGAACTCGTGCAATTCGCCTCGCATTGTTGGCCTGGCCAGGCGGTCTCCCTCTTCTTCGAGGCTGTGGCGCCTGTACCGGAGGCATTGCTGCCGGTTGCCCAGGAGGAGGAACCAGTACCATTCTTTCTTCGACATTTCCGCGTCTTTCAAATGCTCTTTGCACAACCCTTCGGAGTCGCTCCACTTCTGCCTGTGCGCCATGATGGTTAGGATCGAAATTGATAATCATTTCATGTCGAACTTCAAATTCGGCATTATCGGGCACTTCTTGAGCGTGCAACTGTTCCAGAGCTCGAAGACGTGCCTGGCGAACTTGCCGATGCAGGTCATGAAGCTGGTCGAGAATCGGTTCTGGATCCTCGATTATAAATCTTGCTTGCCCCTCTACATCCCGAACTTCGTCATCGTCTTCATCGTCTTCTTCTCCGCCTCCATCCTCTTCTTCAGCGTCTGCATCGATTCTTTGAATATTTTGAATATCGTTTCCGCCACGTTCCAAATGCTGCCTGAGCACAGGCAATGCTCCCACCAGATTGTGTTGAATTGCTTGCACGATCTGATTCTCAGCAGCCACCGGATCTTCGGCGTCGTTCAGAGCAACATTCATTTGCAGTTGGATGTTTCCGTCGTTGCCGATTCGAACAACTGCGCCGTCTCCGATCGCTAAACCGTCAGCATTTTCTGCTGCTCCATCGGCCCTGCGTAGAAGAGGCAGTCGGTTGGGGTCATACGGAAGTCCTCCTTTCGTTGAGTACTCTTTGACAAATTGCGAATTTTTCTAGAATGAGGAACTAATGATATCTATTAGGGGTACATTTGACTGAAATCGCGCTCTACCGCAAATACCGTGAATTCAGTGCTAAAAGATCGCGATCGCGACCGGGTTTTCACGTGGGATTGCGGTAGAGCCCGATTGCAGTCAAATGCCGCCATAATAAATGACAAATATTTCCAATTACCTCCATAATACCAGTGTTCGCGAAAACCGCTCGACTCATGCCCGTCATGTCTTTTTCAATCGAATGCAGTTTTGTGTTGAAGTCCTCGAGCGTTCTGAGATGGGCAGCTGAAGTCGGTCTGGCAGCTAGTCTATTGCTTGTTTTCTCAATTTTCTGAAAAGTTTCGAAATTAGATATTGGGTTTGACTAGCCTTGAACCCACTTGATTCAAATTTGACAAAACTAGCAGAACGTTTTTCAGAGACATCTCAATTCCCGCCGTCTTTTCGCGCAACTTTTTCGCCTGTATCTTCATATCAGTGCATTCTTTCATGCAGTCCCACGCCGCCTGAAATGTTGTACAGTCTTCGAGACTTCGATTCTACTCACAGTAACCGCCGGAAATGGCTTGTAGTCGTGCTCGTGGTGTCTTTCTTCGATACAATCCAAACAGATCAACAAATTTTTAGGTCGATTCTAAAATTAGAAATTCCAATTTCGAGCAACTTCCTCAAAACAATCTGACCATGAAGTCAACTTGTCCACAGTGAACTCCTTGGACACATTCACACTGGGTCAACCTGAAAAGGCAGAGAATTTAGGAAAGTGGAAACGGAACAACTGACTGATGCTCCTGGACGTCCTGCTGACACTCTCTGCACGTGTTTCTTCTCTCCGTGAACTCTTGTTCGTTCTGTCTGCTCCGCAACTCGCTCACTTTCTCTATTATAGCCGCCATCGTGTAATTCTTCGGAAACGGCATTCTGCCCGCGTATCTCACATCATGCATTTTTCTGCACACCGGACACATCATGCTCCGAGCCCGTCCGCCATCCATCAAGCTTCGAGTGCAACCCTCGCACACAGAATGACCACACTTGAACACCAGCGGAATTCTGTCCGCCGCGTCTATAAAAGAGACAATACTGTGCTCTGTGCGCACTTCTTTTCAACGCACTAAACATATCATGACACACCGGACACGATAGGTAATCGCTCACGAAGGCCGCGTCCAGAACTTCCTCCATTTTCTCGCGTTGGCGGTTGAACCCCTACAAAAAGCATGAGAAATTCGATAGAGCTTTATCAGACACCTCTGAATCCCCCCGTGTACAATAGACACAGATAGTGCGCGAAAGAGGAATGAAAAGAAATATTTGAATCGTTAGACACGTTTCCGAGGAGCGGTGAACGAGAAGTAAAGCGTAAAATGTTTATAGAAGTTGAAAATTGATTGTAAAAACGACACAAAGATGTATTGATAATCACGAAGTTGAATATAAGACTGCACCGTGACGGTGAACTCATTGAACCGAGTAAATGAAGATTTGCATAAGAAGAATAATTTTAAACGGGAAGATTATAGATTAAATAAATTGACGGGCTGGACAATAAGATTATTAAAACTATTAAAAGACAAATAGATTAAAATCATCATCATAATTATTATTTAACAGAAATCCAGCGGGGTCTGCCCGTTTCTTTCTTTTTCTTTCTCCGTTTGTCCGTCCATTATTTCACTTCTAAAACGGTAAAAGTTGTGACGGAGAAACGAAGAAATGGATACGTGAACTTTCGAACGGTTATGCGAATCAAAAAAGCGGAGAAGCCGCTTTTTTGAGCGTTGGCACCCTCCGCGCAGCGGGCCCAGTTTTAAAAAGTCTTGTACTATATAAATAACTTGGAGGTTATATAGATAAAGTAGAATTGTAGTTCTATATAGGTTGTGAAATGGAAACAAATGGACGATTAAAACTGTGGAGTGAAGAAGCATTAATGCAGAAGAAGCGCGAAAAAGTGGAGAAATTGAAAAGGAAAAAAGGCAGAATCATTCATTTTGGCGAGTTCGTTTCGCAGCTGGCTCGCCGGTGGCAGGGGGCTCCACTTGAGGTCCTCGATCTGAAAAACGCAAATTTTCGATGACAAGACCCGACAAATTCTCTCACCGGCACGACCTGCGCCCTCTTCTTGGTTCTCCTCGACTGGTTGCACTGGAATCTCCGGTTGTTCTTCCGGTTCCACGCGCTCGGCCAACACCGGCTCTTCAGCTGGTGGAGCGTTTTCGGCAGCAACTCGAGCACGCCTATCGATGGCTCTTTGAATCCACTCTCGTTCGAGCAATCTCAGCTCCTGAAGGAAAGGCCCCACCTGCCGTGGACGCAAGTGATTGAAATCGGGCACATGCGGGTGCGCGGCTGGGTTGAGAAGTGGTGGCATCACAATAGGATTCGGCACTGGGAGTCCATCGAAGGCTGCCTGCGCATGGGCCTCGTTTCTCACACGATTCATGACTCGTTCGACGAGAATAGCAATCTCTCCTCTCATGATATGATCCGGATTAACACCGGCGACGAGTGGGTGATGAGGCAACGGATCATCGATGACGACGTCCACCCATTGAGCAGCAGGAGCAGCTTCAGCGACTGGGGCACGACCACGACCAGCAGCGCGACGAAGGCGACGAGGAAGAATGTCCTGGCCAATGCGGTTTTCGAGCACCGCCAATTGGTCTTGCAGAATTCGCATTTGCTCCTCAGCTTGTTCCAGCTCACGTCTCATAATGGCTTCCTCTGCTTCGAAATCCCGACGTCTACGTGGCGGCGGCGGAGCGAAAAAGTCGTCCATATCGTCGAGAGCCAAGTCGTCTAAAAATTGATCTCTAAGGTCTCGGCCCCTGACACCTTCCATTGCATCCAATGCGCGATGAACAGCCGGAACATCCACCAAGAATGGGTTGTTTTCCATAGCATTCTGAAGCTCCTCTCGTGCTCCTCTGATGTCTCTTCTAGGTTCTCTTTCAGCGCGCTGACGTCTTCTCAGGAATCCAAAGTCGCGAGGACCTCTCACGGCCCACACGTTCACACGATTTCTCGGACGGGCGTTGGCCGGGTCAGGATTAGCAGGATCTAGAGCTCGAGCAGCCGCATCACGACCGGCTCCAATATTGTCAATAGGACCTGCTCCAGGGACAAGACCCTCCTCTCGCAATGCCATAAGATTATTACGAATGGCCTGGACTTGATCAAGGAAATCGGCATGTTGCGGACGACGAGCAGCAGGTGCCGGAGCGGCCAGAGCGGCTGGAGCGACTGGAGCAGCCGGAGCGACTGCCACTGCCGGAGCGAATGGAGCAGCCGGAGCGACTGGAGCAGCCGGAGCGACTGGCGCTGCCGGAGCGACTGGAGCAACCGGGGCGACTGGAGCAGCTGGAGCAGGAGGAGCGGCAGGGTGGAAATGAGGAATCTCGGGGCCAAATCTACGTAGATGTTCGAAAATATCAAAGCGCAATCCGAAAGCATCGCGCCGAGCAGGCCTTCTTTCGATCACCGGGTCCCTTGCTGCTGGCCTCGGCTCCTCTTTTGGCACCAATTGTCCGTTATTTTCGCTTACGGGAGTACGGGCGATTGGACGGAGCACATCTTGCCCGAAGACACGGTAGTAACGGACCTGAAAATATCACGTTGGCCCAGTATTCAGGTACTGAAAAATTTCCGGCGGAAATTACCTTCGAATGGCGATCGAAACTATCAAGATCACTTGTCAAAGAGTTGAACAGAGCAGCCGAAGACTCGACGCTTGCCTTGAACCGTCTCAGGTACTCGTAGATTTGCGGATGGTTGGCTTCCTCACGAATATTCACCATTGCGTTCACCATACGCTGAAATGCTCCGATAACCTACAGTTTCTGCGTTTTCTCTTACTCTTCTGTGGTCCAACACTTCTTTCTTCACCAGATCTATCTGAAGGAGACACTCATCGGCGGATTTCAAATTTTTCTCAAGGACGTTCTCAGCATTAACAATCTTTCTGTTGGACTCGAACTGAGCCACGACTTTTTCGAACGGGACGAAGTTGTGACGAGAATGCTTCTCCTTGATGCAATCGGCACAAATAAGAAGGTTCTTGCAGCGCTTCTAAAATAGAATGAATGATTGAGCAAGGGAAGAGATGATCGATCACTTACAATGCTGTCGAACTGCTTCAGATGCTTCTCGTCGAGACCAGGTTGGCACAAGTCGCTGTTGCATAAAGTCACACTGAAAATGAAATGAGCACTTGTGAAGTTGGAAACATTGTCTTACGCATTGCCAGCAAAGAAATAGTGGCACTCGTAGCACTGCAACGATTCCCTCATTTCATCCGAGCCGATCAACTCTTCTTCGCGTTGTTCGAGCATTGCTGAAATAACAAATTTCTAAAAATCACCAGAAAACATCCTTACCGAGAATGCTATAGTTAGTCGGGATTTTTGTAGGGTCCGATTTCGAAGAGTACTTTGTCGGCTGGCGGCAAGTGGGACAACTAGAAGTTACCATGTGGTAGTTGCCACCTTGCAGAAGCCCTTTCATGCAGCTGAGACAAAACGTGTGGCCGCATGGGAAAACTTTCGGAATTCGAGCCTTCGTATCTGCAAACAATATCTCGTCAAAAGGCTTCTCTCTGAAGAAACACACTGTAAGGATCGAAGCAGATCATGCACGAAAATCCCTTCATCTCAGTTCCTTTCGAAGTGAGAAGCGGAACAATTTCCTCTATTTGTTCTTCTTCTGGTTGCTTCTCTTCAAGCATGGCGTCGTTTGGATCCGCGCGGTCACCACCTGCCTCGTCATCGTCTTCACCATCACCATCGGCATTGTCCTCGCCGTCCCCGTTGCCGACATCGTTATCACCACCCCCATCGCCATCATCGTCTCCATCAGGGTCGCCGCCAAGTTCATCCTGGTTGTCGACAGCTCTGACGCGAATTCCGTCCATCTCATCGACCTGATTCTGTATAACCAACTCGATTTCCTCGAAATCCGCCATTTGCACTGAAAAAAGCATTAGTTAAAATTGATTGAAGTCTAATAAATTCGTTTTAAACGGAAACCATTTTAATACTTCGTTCGAAAAAATAATTTAAAATATCAGAACTTTGTGAAAGATCTCAAGCTTGCAAAGGTAAAAACGAGAAGTGCGACGGACTAACATTTCGAAATTTGGCGACGGCGCGGAGAAGGGCAAAGAAAGAAAGCGCACTTTGCGTCTGTGGGCGGGCCTATCTTTTTTCTTCGATTACAGTTCGCGGCAAAAGATAAGAAAATGTTTTATTGTTTCCATAACATTTTGTTTGGCCAATTATTTTTCGGTGAATTGTTTTGTTCGCAATTTTCGATGCAGCGCATTTCCGAAGAAAACTCACTCTCATTTTCCAGCTCGCGTTGTATTTCTCGAGCTAGGTTGAATTCTATTTCACGATCGTCCATTTTTACCAACCAGTTACAGCGAAGACGCTTCTGAAAAAGTTGTTAAATAAAACAGCAGTTACACTAAATAATACGAGACTTTGAGGTACGGGTTTTGCCGGATTAACGGTTATAAAAAAAAAGAGAAACAGAGCACAATACGATTTTCTGACAACGTGTTTTTTCTCAACATAACAAAGAGAGGGGAGACGGATATAACGAGAACAAGCTTATAGAAATGATTGAACGACTGTGGAGACCTGTAAAGCGGTAACAATATGACAGAAAAACAAAATGACTGTTAACACCATAAAGAACATATACGCATGATATGGATAAGTGAAACAAGATGATAGAAGTAGAAATATAAGGATGCGGGCAGGCAGGTAGTTCTGGTTTCAATGTTCAGATCTCCGACCACGTTTCGGGGCAGCCGATGGAGATCGTCGGGCGGACGAAGGTCGCGTATTCGAAGCAGCAGCAGCAGTCGCATTAGCCTGTTCTAAACGACGTTTGGCAGCTGAAATGTTTTTATTTTCACCGCAGAGCGCACTCGTTTACTCACCTCTTGTGGCATGTGCTGGCGGCGGTGGCACCAGATCATTCAGCTGAAACGTGTATCTTCCGCGTTCCTGGCGCTGCAGTGCCCTCAGTCTATCGTCTATGTTTTGGTCTGCAACTTCTAGGGCTTCTTCGGCTTCTGGATGAGGCGGAACGTCCGCAGCGACTGGTTGTTGCTCGAGGTGGACGACGACTGGTGCCTGGGCTTCTTCATGGGGAGCTTGTGGTTCTTCGACTGGCACATTCCTAGGGTTGGCAGGCTGCTCCACAGGTCTGTCAGCTGCCATTTCAAATCTGACGAGTATATTCTCGACGTCAGTCATCAAATATTCGAAAACGTTGAACGGAAAGCGATCATGCGCCAAATGTAGCATCAAACTATCAAATACTTTTTTGATTTCCAGGTATACACGACGAGTGAAGTTCGCATTCGGAGTCAGCTCTTTGAAGTAATCTTGCACGTGCCCACGAATTCGGAGATTGGTGATCTTGTCGATGAAGTGGCCCATGACTTCGCCAAGAGTGTGACGGAAGAGTCCTGTCTTGAGCTCATTGAAAACATGGAACGGCACATCATAATAAATTGGGAGAAGGCGATCCCTCGGTTGCAGCGCTGGACGAACATTATCGGTCCACGCTTGAACCGCGTTCAAGAGTCCCCTCCGCACTTCTCCGAGCTGACCAAAACTAACGCCGTGGAATCGAATTGAGTCCACACACTGATTTCGTTGTTCTGGCGTGAGCTCAGCGAAATAGTGAAGAATTTTGACGTATTCGTCCCGAGAGAACGGTAGCACAGGAGGATTGTTGGCAGAACGGAACGAAGTCGACATCAGCTGGGGGACTGGCATCCTCTTCTGCACCTCTTTCCCGTTTCCGATGAGTCGATTTATGTCCGGATCGTTCAACTGCTGATTGGGAGCAAAGGGCCGGTTAGCTGCCTCGGAATCGATGAAATTACGCTCGAGAGTTTGTTTGTAGATTCCAACATCATACTGTTCATGGTCCTCCTTCGGTTGCTGGAATAGGTGCTTTCCGAGCATCTCATGTCTCTCGTACTGATGCATCTGAAAAGAAGCATTGAAAAACTTTTCTTAAGTGAGGTTATTCCTCACTTTGGGCATTGTGAGATGCTCGACGAGATCGATGATGTGATCGGTGGATTTGGCTGATCCGTTTGCCGCCTTCATGAAGTTACGCATGACAAATCCAATGTTGCTTCTTCCGGCGTTCATATTAATTTGCCGGGCAGTCTCTTCCAGATTGGCTTTGAATTCCTTTGCAGCTGTGATTCCCTTTTGAAAAACTTCTGTTAACCGATCAACGCGAGCCATCTCCGCGGCAGCAGTGGTTGCGAAACGATCAAACTTCGTGCGATATTTCCAACGGCCGCGAACATTTTCAACATCCGCATATGCGTGACCGTTATGATTTGCGCGAGCACACGGGAAGCACAGAAGCTGTGAAGTCGGCCTTTTCTAAAGAAAAAAGACAGTCTTGGTCTCTGCTATCCGTTACACACCATGAAATCTTTCCGTTCGTGCGCCATTGACGGTCGTTTGCACGTTTCGCACATTGCCATTTCCTTTTCATGAGTCATAGAATTGCAGTGTGTGCAAGCATACGTCTGGCCTCCTTGTTGCTCAACAACTTCGTGTTTTTCGATAAGTTCTGGAAAGGTATTACGTTCTTCCAACAGTTTAGTTATTAATACCTCGGAGAGAATAGTTTGTTGGGAAGGCTATGTCCGGATTTGCCAGGTTCTCGTAGAAATTGAGTTGTCGACATGTGGGACAGGGAAGAGATCTATTAACGCGCGAACTCTGCACAAGCATTTTCATGCATTGATGGCAGAAGGAGTGCCCACACTTGAGCATCTTCGGAATGCGTCTGGTTGAATCTGAGCAAATATCGGTTCAAAAAAGGAACAGAAAAATTCTAAACGTACGGAAAGTGTCGAAGCAGACATTGCAACCTGGTGGTGCTCTTGCGACAACTGCAACTCGCTGGACGTCGGCCACAACTGCCACTTCGTCTGTCATAGCAACCTGAAAACGAGATTTCATGTGATAGCAGACACGTTTTAAGAGTGCGCGCTCAGAAGAGGCACCATTTCGATAATCTCGCGACTGCTTCTTCCCGTGAAATCGAGAAGATGTTTGAGAAGCAGTGAGTGCGAACGTACTATCGATTAATGGAAAGCGACGAGGTGGCACGGACGGCTGGGGCCCAGAACAACCGCCGCACTATTAGCATATGGGGCCGAGCGCCTAGAAGAACTAAATAGAAGAAGCGAAGACTCAGACGAGCAGAGAGCGCGTGGCAAAAAAGGAAACGGGCGCGCTGTGGAGTACTGTAGTTTTAGTACAACACTCGTTACACAAAGCGAGGGAAGTGAGGCGAAATTTTAAAAAGTCAATGACTTACCTCCTAAGTTTTGGAAGTGATTGAAGACGGTGAAGCTGTAAATATGAATTAAAGAATGGAAACCGACAATATCAGAGAATAAAAAAAAGATAATTAATCTAGCTGAGAACTAGTAAATAGACAGTAATCAATATGAATTAATAGAATATAAAACCATTTTTATCGGTATCACGAAAAAATGCACGGAAGTGCGAAGAGCGAGAAAAGTGTGAGGAATGGAAAAGAGAAAAAAGAGAAGGGAACGATTACAAAAATAAAAAAGATTGGTTTTAACAAAAAAATGGTTTGAAATCAACAAGATCATAGTGGAACTATACAGTAAAGGAGCGGTAAGAATGAAGCGAGACCGACCAAATGTGCTTAAAGGATTCCTGAAAATATGTGAAAAAGGTCTGTGCCATAATATTATTAGAGGACTTGCGATTCGATGGAATAGGAGGGATACTTAATACATTTTAGGAAGGCGTTATTAGTCTGTCAAACGGGGGTTAATACCTTTGCACACTTCGAACATTAAATTTACTTTCCCCGGCCACGACGAGTGCGCTTCGCCACTGGCGCCTCCGATCCGTCGCTGGCGGCATCAGCCGACGTGGAGGGACCAGCGGTGGACGTACTCGGCTCGTTCATCGCTTTCAGACGCTTCTGATTAGGTTTGGCCATGGTTCCTCCAAACACTGAAGAGTACTAGAAATGGAAAAAAATTCAGAAACGTGCATTTCTTACCTTGGAATCCTTCGGGTTTTTCTCCGGTCCACACTAACTCGAGACGGATCTTCCCGTCCTCCTCAACTGCTTTCAGCTCATATGACTCGGAGATCTCGACTTCCTCGAGCTTGGAAGGAGGACCCGCGCATTTTAGAGCCGACTGGCCGGCTCCCACTTCGTTCACTTTGGAAAATCGTTCCGGTTCACGGCCGTTCCCCTCGTCGTGCACGACCCGAGTGAAAACCTTTCCCGTTTCAACGGCGAATCCGTTCTCGTTGATGAACTTCATTATTTCAGTTGTTGACCCTGTTTTCCCAGCAAATACGACTGTCGTGGAACCGGCTGCGTCTCTCCGGACATACATTTCCGGAGATTTCAGGTCCTTCTTGCTTGCCACGTGTATTTTCATCTTTCTGTCACGGCCCATCCGGAACTGAAGACGTTCGTCAACTTTGTTTCCTTTTGCACTGCTCGCCGCCTTCTCCTTTTCAATCTTCTCTTTTTCGGCGAGGAATCCCATTATTTGGAAGTTGGTTACGAACTGCTGAGCTTGTGCACGAGTCGTCCACGTGCGGCACACCGGGCAGCGGACGGTAGTTTGAGGGGTGCTGAAAATAGGGAAAAATAAGGGTCAGAAAACTGTAAAAGAACTCACAAAGCGGCATTACTGAGCAGCTCCAAAATGCATGATTCGCAAACCGTGTGACCACAGTGCAGCACTTTCGGTTTTCTTTGTGTTGTGGTGAACTCGCGGATGCAGATGGTACAGTTTATGAGATCGGCGGTTGAAAAATCGAGTTTAGTGGTCATGGTACCCTGTAAATTGATCGTCGGACGAGTACAAAAAGAAGCGAATATGAAAAAGGTAAGATATCAAAGGTCAGCAATCTGCAAATGAAGCGACCACATTCGCATATATGATAATTTGAATTCATCCCTTTGGATTGTTTCCTCGGTAAACAGATGCAGCAGTTCATCAGTGTTGCTCCTTATTTGTTGGCTGAATATTCAATGTTCCCATAGTGATAATTCAAATTTTGGGCCTACGTGTATTCGAAGAGACAAAGAGAAATACAGATAGGCGGGGCCTGCTCTGATTGGGTAGCGGAAGAGGTAAGACGCGTCTACTTTTCGGAATCGCCGATAAACGGAGAAGCTGGCAACATACAACTATGAAAGGCTTCACACATGAGAAGATAGAAAGATTAGAGAGAACAGAAGTACTCGGACTAGGAAATCGGATCGAAACGAATGGGGGAAAGGGGAAAGAGAGGTCAGTTGATAACGAATGACACGTTATCAAGAAACAAAAAACATTATCAGAAAGAAATCGACATCTCCGCCGACACGGTATCGATTCGGTCTAAACACTGCTGAACATACAAGTGGTACGAAAAAGAACGGAAAAACTGACGAGGACCCATTTTGAAGGTGTGCCATGAAAGTGAGCAGACGAGCCTCTTCGTGTGAAATCGATGAACACCCTTCGAAACGACGGTCGACGTTAACTGGCTGTGCGGCCGTCGTCCGCCGTCCGTCTTCCGCCGTCCGTCTTCCGCAGTCTGCGTCTCGTGTCCTATTAGCAGTCGGAGCGTACTTGGTTGAAATCGATGCTCATTGAACACACTCGCCGAAGGCAATTTGTCGAAGATCATCTATGCGCGTCTGCGGACAGGACAATGAGAACTAATTTCTATCCGATTGCGTGGAAATATATCTATCAAGTGTCTTTGGAAATGCGGTCTGAGACATTGCTTCAGACGGAAGTTGTATGAGCAATTTGGTTTTTAAAAAGAAAAAAAAAACAAACTACTCTCAACCTTTTTGAATTTTTTTCAATCAGCCACCTATCGAACAAACCCAAAAAGGCTGAACAAATAAACGCTGATAAGAAGTGTGATGAGTCGTTCTTTCGCTGGTTATCGACAGAAACATGCTCCGGAACACACGGCCACATGAATAACTTCGGCCGCGGCCAATGTCAAACTAGAAAGCCGTTTAAACTCACCGATTAACCAGAAAACAAAAGTCAATGCCGCTGAATAGTGGATATTACTCATCACAAAGGATTAGATGAGGGTTGTTGTTACAAGATACCGTAATTTTTTAAAGCTCCAAAATAATGTTGACGCTTGACGTGCTATCCTATTCAAATTGAGTTTTCTCTACTTGACACTTTCGCAAATTATTTCTACTGTTATGATTATCTAAAAATGATGGCACCGATTTTGGATGAGATGATTTTTTTTGCTATATGTATAGGTTAGGTAAGATATTTAGAATTATCTGAATTCCTTCGTTAAAGTCGTGTTCGTTTCGTGCTCGAAAAAGACGTCAAAAGGTAGCGAAACAAAGTCTCCAGGACCTGTGACGGCTGTGAAAATTACTGCGACGCCGGCATCGGCTCGTACTTCAGTTGAAACTCCGTACGCAAACCAGCGAATCTCCAGAAAACAAAAACCTGTTTTACAGAATCGTTGAGGAAAAAAAGGCGGCAGTTTCATTCACTTCTACGACGTCTACAGTATCTTGTACTACCCAACATGAGGATGAAGGGAAACTGAAAGAACAGAGAAAAGGACAGAAGAAAGAATTGAGAGAAAGCAGTTCAGCCACTCCTCCCGGGAAAAAGAAGCAGAGAGTGGAAGAAACACCGAAGAAGCCGAGTGAAAAAGCGGGCAAACCGGAAGTGAAAGAGTCAGCTAATTTGAAGAGTAAAACGTCGGCGGAGAAGGGGAAGGATAAGCAAGAGCCATCTCAAACTGTCGTCGACTGTGATAGAGAGGTGTCTCCGAAGCCTGATGAATTTGTGAGCAAATTTGACGGGATTTTAAGACAATTTGATAATTTCAGGAGCACAGACTTCATTTTACGAAAAAGGAAATGAAAAAGAGGAAAGACGACTCAACGGACTCAACGCAAATGTCGTGAACTAAATAATCTCTTGCTGAATATATTTAAAATTAAGAACGCATGTTTAAAATTAAAGTTTGAAACAAAAAATAGAGAGTCTGCAAACATCGACACTCGAATTGCAGACTTTGCTTACCGTAATTTTTTTAATGAAATGGGCGCGCACGTCTACTTCTTTGGCGCGAAGTCTCTCTGTTACTTTGTCTTCTGGAAAACAACCATTAATGGCTTACTGATTTGTGCTGTTCTTCTCATTGGGCAGAATTTCCAATAGATTTCGGTTTTTCAGCCATGGCTCTGAACAGCGAAGTGATGTTCCGAGAGCAAATCAATGCAATGGTAACTTTTTTTTAGTATCCCGTTCAACCGCTGCTTTTTCAGCGTTCGCAGGCCGGCCGAAAGCGCGCCACTTCGCTTCAAAGCTTCTGCTCGGGAAACAACGACGATTCGTCGACGGAGAGCATCGATGACCTGTAAGTCGAGTGCCAAAAGCGACTTACAAAATACAAAACGTTTTCAGGGAGTTGATGGTAGATTACCCGCAACAGAAAGGAGTCAGTCGTATGAGAACTCGGTTCAACAGCGACACGACGCTCAGCAAGAGCTTTCGGAAGAAAGTAAAGAAGCTCGCGCAGAAAGATAGGTCGGTCGGGAACAGATGTTAAGAAATTATTTAATTCGATTGCAGACGGTCCAAGCAGCGAGTTAACGACGATTATTCCGGAGAAGACGAGATCGAAGTTGCCCGTGGAGCTCCGACTACCTACGCGGCTCCGTCGAAATTGCGTAAATCGAAGGCTCTCGACTGTCTGGTGTCCGAAAAACAGAAAAACGACGGTGGAGAAGTCGGAGGAGTTGCGGAGATTGATGTGGCCAAAGGACACTTCTATAATGTGCGCATGAAAGTGTTCGCCGCGAGAACCGCAATGCAAATGGAGCCGGCTCTCGTGTTGAAGGCGAAGAAGGCGTTAGAAACGAAAAATGCCGTTTTGGTATTGTAGCGTCCTTTTCTTTAATTGAAATAATTTTTCAGGGATCTCATCAGTCTCCCGGTGCTTTTTCTCTTCATGCTGCTTACAAAATCGCGTCAACTCCTGACTCTCGTATCGGGTCAGTCACTCAGAGCAGCAAAAAGATTACGAAAGAAGCGATGGCCAATCTGATTCGCACCAGTTACGACGACACCGAAATCACGCAGGAACTGTTGTTCTCTTCGAAATTTGACACGAAATGGAAGGGACGCTACACTGACATCTACATCCGCCGCGATGAAAACGGCAGAAAACCGAAGCGTCCAGTAAATGGACAGGGCTGGGTGATGCCGTTGAAAAGCATCTGTGACAAGTTCGGCATCAACCCCACGTTCTTCACTGATCATCGGGTGGATCTTCAGTCGGCCAGAGATCAAGTCCTTTTGATGCGTCTTTTGTCAAAAGATCAGACTAGCACGTGGATCTCGGAGATTCATCCGGATGCTGTCAAGAATGAGACAATGGGCGAATACTTGCTGCACGACCTGGATGCGTCAACTATGCAGAAACGAGTGCAAGCGTTCAAAGCGAACGTTCTGGCTGACAGAGATCGTGTGCGAGTTGCTGGGCAGTGTATGTGTAGCTCTTTTTAAATTTGTAATGTGCTGTTTCAGTCTACAATAATATCCGTATCGGTAAGCGGATGTTCGGAACAGCAAGAAAAGCCAAGTACATGTCGACGATTATCGGAGGGATGGAGCGTCGCTTTGAAATCTTGGAAAACTCTGTCAATCACATTCCATTCACTCACAGAGCTTCCGATTCCAATCAGGACAAGTGCCGTAATTCGCGTGTTCACTGCAAAGACTCCACCCGAATCACCTTGGAATATCCTCGGGATGAAACGCTCGGCGACTTTATTCACGCAAATCGCATCAGCGGGAAGCCACTCTTCAACGAATTCATTCTGACTCAAGCGCCGATGGCGAACACTGTCAACGACTTTTGGCGGATGATCTGGCAGGAGGAGGTGCCTTACATCGTGATGCTCATCAGCCGGAAGGAGCCAGAGAGGTGTGCTCACTATTGGCCGAGAACTCCTTCCGATCCGGCTGTCACGGTTTCTGGCGGCATCCGAGTTGAGAATTTCGGAGTCTATCAAGCGGCAGATCCCCTTTTCCGTGTGACACACCTTCGTCTTATCGGCCCGAATCGGGAGGAACGCCACGTCGAACATTGGCAAGGAGACGTCAACAACTCGTCGAATATGTACTCTCCGCTAAACATTCTCCGTCTGCTTAGAAATACTTCGAAGCCGGTGGTTGTCCATGATCATTTGGGAGTCTCTCGTGCGGCGTGCCTCGTTGCTGCCGAAATTGCCATTTGCAGTTTGCTCCGGGGACCCACTTACAAGGTATTTGTTGACTGCTTTTCACACACCTTTTTTTGCTTTTTCAGTACCCCGTGCAGCGTGCAGTTCAATTCCTCCGTCAACGTCGTGCGTTCAGCATCGAAACTCCGATGCAGTACGTGTTTGTCCATCGCCTCGTCGCCTTTTTCTTCCGCGACGTCATCGGCAGCGCCAAAGAGCTCGACATTGACTACGAACGGTGGCTGCAGGAACGCTCGGAACGCATGTTCCTCGACGACATCAACGGCCCGATCCCCGGATATCGCTTGCTGTCACCAAAGGCCGACCCGGACCTAGTTCGTATGGTCGGAAGACCGGAAAGACCCAATTACAGACGGTAGGAATGTTTAACTTTTGTCAACCATCATCATTCGCTTTTAGTGAGGCCCCGGACTGCGTCGGAGAGATGCCGAACAAGGTGAACAACGTCGACGGAATTCTTTCGCCGGCGAAGAGCGTCTTCGAATTCTAGTCATAACCTCAATACTAACTATCACTAACTTCATTTTAACTCATTCCCAATGTGATATCTCTCAATCTCTCTGCTCGACCAATCGGGTTATTTAGAGCATCCTGTGAATATTGCATGACACTGTATAAAACTGATTCAGACTGTAGAAAAACGGTTTATAGTTCACTTAAAAGCTGCACAGTACCTGTTGGGGAAAAGTCGTTGTTAGTAAGGAGATGGGGATGAAATACAACGTTTTGATTTTGGGAGGCGACAGTGGCATTGTTAATTGAAAGTTGAAAAATACAAGAGGGGCGTGACCCTGTCGAGAAAATGTGATATTGTTAATGGGATTGAATTTGGGCAAACTGAGGAATCGATGGAGAAAAGGCAAGTGAAATGAAATACTTAAAAATGGAGAATTATTATTGATTTAACTGGAAGGCAGAAGCTCGTGATTCTCGACAGTGTCGTTGTAAATAGGAACCATTTCTTGCTCGAAAACCGGATTGTTGAACGATCCCCGCTGCAAAGAAACGGAATTGTGCTCCACCGAACGACACTTTGGTTCGCTTACATCGTGAGATGAGACCAGACTCGTATTCTGAGTGACTAGTTCTATTCCGCCTTCGTCGATTAAATACGCCGGATTGCTGAATTGATCGACGGGCGTGCCCTGATTTTGCAGCGGATTGTGACGGAATTGGCGGAACACTGTGAATCTGGAAGGAATCAGAAGTGAAGGAGTGACTTTCTGAAATGTTTGAATACCTGGTAGATTTGTTTGCAATTATTCCGATAATTATTAGAATCGTGAGGATGACGATGGCAATGATTATGATATTCTCTGCAAAAACATTTCATTCGTCTTCGCTCTCGACAGTCTGCACTTACTGCTCCAGGAGGATTCGACTTCCACGACACGCGGTCCTTTCTTGAGAATGCGGTACTGACAGCGATCTCCGTGAAACGTGTCCGCGCAGAGACACCGCGGCTCGAGGTCGTTGTCATAAATGCACTTTCCGTCGTGATGGCAGAAGTTGTCGCAGATGTGCTTTCCGCAGAGAGCTCCTTCGTAGCCTGGCGTGCACAGACATGCGGGAGACTTGTGGATACCTCCCGGCTCTGCACAGAATCCGTCGTTAAGGCAAGTGATTCCGCGGCACGTCTTCGCAGTTATCTCTCCGCAAGTGTCTCCTCCGAGGCCCGGCGGGCATTCGCAGAAGACTGTGCCCGACGGCTTCTTGATGCACTTGGATCCGTTTTCGCACTCACTGCAACGCGTCTCCTTCTCGCAACGGACTCCTTTGAAGCCGGGCTTGCACTCGCACTCGAAGTGAGTTCCGTTGATTTCGGTGCATTTCGAGTTGTTTGTACAGTAATCGTCGCACGTGAGGGAAATGTCGCAGCGAGGTCCCGTGAATCGAGGCGGGCACTTGCACTTTCCGGGCAATCCGGGCATGTCGAGGCACGTGCCTCCGTTGTGGCACCAGTTCGGTTCTTGATGACAAATTGGAGCACAGTCTGCGTTGTGGGCCGCCGCGTTTGGCTCACAAAAGCATTTGATCGGGTCGAGGGGCTTGGTGACGTCGTACGAGCATTTGGAGCCGAACGGACACGCGTCTTTGCACAGATATTCTTCGCAGTTGAGGCCAGTGAAACCGGATGGACAAACGCAATGGGACAGGGATTTGTTGGAAGGAACGTAGGCACAGAAGCCTCCGTTCATGCACTGATGGGCGTCGCAGTTCTGACAACGATCTCCGACGAATCCAGGTGTGCACACGCACTTTGTATCGGCCGCGGTCTCCCCGGACACACAGTCTCCGCCGTTGAAGCAGTGTCCCGAGCAGAGATACGCGTCCTTTTTGTGCCTGCATTGGGGACCAGTCCACCCCTCGTCGCATTCGCAGAAAGTGTACGGTTGACAGTTTGGATGGTCTTTGGGGCACTCGTAAACACGACATGTTCCGCGGGGACCACACGTCCCATGACAGACGTGCGTCGAACAAGCTGCATTCATGAAGCCTTCCGAGCACTCGCACACGATTCCCATGCTTTCGGTGCCGTGAAGTGCGACTGCACATGTCTCACCGTTCCAGCAGGACTCGGAGCACTCGTTGATCTAGAGTTTCGAATGTGTTCTATCTTGTTACACTAGCACTATCTTTTCTCACCTCGCATTGTTTTCCATAAAATCCATGAGCACAAATGCACTCTTTGGTGAGCGGATGGCAGATGGCATTGTTGTAGCAGAAGTAGTCGCCGCACTCTGGAAGCATTTGACATTAGGTGGACACGGGGAGTAGATGCTATGCTCAATTTACCGCTCTTGCCCCCTCGGTGTTCGCAGACTCAAGCCTAATTTCAGGAAATTTTGGCTTGGGTCTGCAAACACCGAGAGGCAATAGCGATGAATTGAGTTTACTCACGCATTGCTTCCTGATCCTTCTCCTCAACTCTCTGACACTTTTTCGTGGAAACTTCGAAGAATCTGTTCGGTCCACAGAGACATTTCGGGACGAGAGTTCCATCGCTCTGAAATGATGAGCTTAGAAGTACACTCTGATGAAAAACTCACCGATTCTTCTGGAATGCAGACTGTTTCAGCCGGACAGTAATCCGATTGACATGGATTCTGTTGGTGTACAACGTGAGAGACGGTATGCTTTGCGGGATGGGCGACTCGAAGTTTCAGACGAGGAGAGACATCTCTGATGGTTTGCGGGAACTTGGTCAGCTTCCCGGTGAACTTGTGCATTTTGTAGATCGCTCCTTGATTGGTCACTAGATAAATGTATCCTCCGAGAAGATCCATGGCAACGGGAACGTCGAACAGCTCGAACTTCCGCACGATTCGCCTATCTTTGCCTTCGAATGTGACCGTTTCCACAGTCCTTTTGAAGCTGTCAATCCAGTAGATTCTTTCATTCGGAGAGTCCACTGTTAACGATCGCGGGTCGAATATGTTGAGTTCTACAAGAGGTCTGTGTGGTTGAGTGTTCGGATTACTCTTGTGAATTGGAGTTCCATCCAGGCGAGCAGATAATATCCGAGGGACAGCTGTGTCTGTCGTCCAGAACACAAGGCGTCTCATCGGATCGACAGCCAAGGAAGTGATGATTCCGGTCGAATTGATGATGAGCGTTCGGGTGCGAGTGTTGCTCGATTTTGCCACATAAATGTTCGTTTGAAGGTCAAACACAAAGTTATCGAATGGATCGGCGGCTCCGGAAAAGTAGACGTTACTGTTCATGAAATCGTAGGCGAGGAGAGCGGCAGAACTCTCATCCGTGTCTTCTCCCCACGACTTCATCAGATCTCCTTCCGACCATTTCTTCGTTCTCACATCCACAATTCCATTGCCTTTCTCGATGGTATACATCAAAGTGGCTCGGAAAATATCGTAACCGAAGTCGATTCCTCCGGGAATAAAGTCAAGTTTGAAGTTGAAGATGGGCCGGAGAACAGCATTGTCCACCATTATCAGATGCATCATCTTTCCGTTCGAAAGGAACATTTCAATGGCTTTTGAAGTGGGCTCACAACTGAGAGGGTCATGTTTCGTTCTGGCGTATCCTGGAGCACAGTGACAACGCGCCGTTGTATTGTAGGCGATCCAACACTTCTGAGGACAGACCCCGAAGTGCTGGCACTGCAGACCGCACGTGTCCTCGTCCGATCCATCGCCGCAATCATCACGTCCGTCGCATCTCGCACTCTTATCGATGCACCTTCCGTTCGTGCATTTGAACTTTCCTTTGCACATGTCTCTGCAATGGACCGTGGTCTCGTCACTTCCGTCCGTACAGTCTTTGATTCCATCACAAAGTCCAGTGCTCACATCGAAGCACTGCTTCCGATCGTTGCACGAACTGGCACGCATGCAATCTGCCTTTCGAGTGTTGCACATTTCGGACGACTCGTCCAATCCGTCTGCACAATCCCATCGTCCGTCACATACTTGCCACGCACTGATGTATTGCTTGGAGCAGTGGAAGGGATCGAAGTTGTCGTCGCGGTGACCGAAGCAGTTGTGCTCGTCCCTTCCACTGTCGCAGTCCACTTTTCCGTCGCAAATCAAAGATTCATTCATTGTCAAATGACACTTCAGATCCGGACATCCGTACTCATCCGATCCGTCCGGACAGTCGACAATTCCATCGCACGCGAAGCCGCCACACCTTCTCAAACTATTCTTCTCCAGAAGTTTCTTCGTCGCACACGCGTTCTCGTCCTCGTCCGATCCGTCGCTGCACTTCTTCTCACCGTTGCACAGATCGTCGGCATGCACACAATTGTCGTCACAGATGAGAGGACATTCCTTCGAGCATCCTCTTTCGTCCGAAGCATCTCGGCAATCCAACTCTCCGTCGCACCTGCTCCGCTTCGGAATGCACTTTCCACTGTCACATTGAAACTGCTCGTGTGTGCACTCTCCTATTCCGAAGCAAGTGTCCGGCTCGTCCTGTCCATCTGCACAGTCGTCCTCCCCATCACAGTAGAAGTCCTTCGGAATGCACTGACTGATCTGAGTTGTGGTTTGGTTGATGCACGCGAAGAATCCCTTCTCGCATGACTTGATTTCACATTCCTTTTCGTCCGATCCATCGTCACAATCCTTCTTTTTATCACAGACAGAAGTGAGCGGAATGCATTTCTTTTTGTCTCCACACTTGAACTGCGCTTCTGTGCACTCGAAATTCTCACAGAACTTTGAATCTTCGTCATCGCCAAGGAGACAGTCTTTCGTTCCGTCGCACAGTTTCGAAGCGTATAGACATTGAGCGGTAGCGTTGAGAGCTGTCTTCGAGCACATGAACTGGCCGGCGTCGCACGGGAACGGCGGGCAGACGCCCTTCACGAAGTATCCTTCATCCTCTCCGTCTCCGCAGTCATCCTGTCCATCACACCTCCACCATGGAGCAATGCACTTGTAGGTTTTCGTGCAAACGAAATCGTTCGGTTTGCACTCGGACTTGCAAGATCTTCCTTCGGCACGGAATCCCTGAGCACACATGCAAGTGAAGTCATCGGGAGTCTTTGCCGGAATGCACAGGTTGTCACATCGAGCCGGCTGAGAGCAAGGGTGTTTAGCCGTCTTGAGGCTACCCAGACTTTGCAGAGACGGATGGACGATCTTGAAGCCCATCGGACGATACTGCTTATCTTGAATGAGCACTTTCCGCTGGTTTCCGGTAATCTTGTGAATCCGTTCGATTGTATGATTATGCCAATCACTCCAATACAGGAAGTCTTCAAAGATCGCGAGTGCAAAAATATGTCGAACGGAGTTTCGGAGCACCATTCGTCTCTTTGTTCCATCGTAGTTACAAGAGGCAATGTAATCCCGATGAGCATCTCCGAAATAGAGACGTTGAGCAGGAGCATCGACAGCCAAAGCATTCGGCCAACGTATAGTTCTGTCTTGCAGAATGACTTGCACATCCGATCCGTCCATATTCATCCTCCCGACATGTGCAGATGTTCCCCAGTCCGTCCAGAAAAGCAGAGCGTGCAGAGGATCTAGGACAATTGCTCGCGGGTCGTTGAGAGGACTGCCCTTCAGAAGAATCTTGTTGAACCGGCCTTTCATGTCGCTGACAGCAATCGCATCATGATTTCTATCGGTGTAGTAGATGTTCCTTCCGAGCCAGTCCACTGCGATTCCATCGATTCCCTTAGTCGGCAGAGAGCTGATGATCCTGTAGGTGTTCGGCTGATTGCTCATCGAAGTGATTCCGGCCTTGTTTCCATTGTGGGTCACATCCGTCCAATAGATCAAATCACTCTTGACGTCGTAATCGAGAGCAACTCCGTTTGTCAGATTGGAGAGGAGCGTTGCTTTGGCGTGTCCGTCAATCGTGAAAAGTTTGAGTCGATGGCCGTAGACCATGAGTATTTCCGGTTCGATTGTGTCATTTCTTCGACAGTCCTTTCCATTATCGGCCAGAATGTAGCCAGGGGCACAGAAGCACTGATGGCCTATATCTCGACGATCAACGCAGAAATGAGAGCAGTTGGCCATCGGACAGGACGGAGAACGGAGGCAGGAGGCCTGGTCGTACGGGGACAGATGGAATCCCTCGTCGCAGGAGCAAGTCTCGAATCCGGCGTGCCGTTGGCAGTTCCATGGCTGTTCGCAGGAATTGCGAGAGTTTGAGCAGTTTCCCTGAGGCAGATAGCATTGCTCGTCGAGTCTACAAAAAAAGAAATGAGAATCATGAAGCAGAGGTGTCTCTTACCCAGACATACAGTCAATTCTTCCGTCGCACAACTGTTTCTCTTCCAGACATCCAATCGTTCCGTTCTTGAGAGCACACGTCCATCCATTCGCACATCCTCTTCTCGGCGGCTCCGACAGAGAGCAAATGTCCACCCATTCGTCGGATCCATCGATGCAATCAACGGAAGCGTCGCACACTTTCCCGGAAGGAATGCACTGACCGCTATTGCACATCCACTCATTCGGCTTGCAATGTCTGTCCAGAGACGCACAGTTCTCCTCGTCGAATCCATTACTGCAGTCTTTGATTCCATCGCACAGAACTGCCGTCAATTCACACGCCACGACGCACGCCTCGTCGGCACAACGGGAAGGAACGTTGAAGCTCGTCTTGCCTGTTTCGCAGTCCATTTCATCCGATCCGAGAGACTTGGCGTTGTCCATGCAATCGTCGGTTCCGTCACATCGCCACGCCATCGGAATGCACCTATGATTTGTGCAGCGGAACGTCGCATTTCCAGTGGAGTCACACTCCGTTTCGCACGCTTGCTCGTCTTCGCCGCCCGGACAATCAGTCCTTCCGTCGCATTTTTGCTCCAGAGGAATACACTTCTTCGAAGACTCGCAACTGAATTCGAAAGAAGTGCATTTCTTCGGAGTGCAGTCTTTCTCGTCCGATCCATCCGCACAATCCGGCTGTCCGTCACACCTCCAATGCTTCGGCATGCAAGTTCTCGTGGCCAGACAGGCGAAGTGCGTCTGCGGATCGCACTTCTTCGGCGGAGAAACACTGGCGCCCGCCGCGTCGAACTCAACCAAACAGTCTTTTTCGTCCCAACCATCGAAGCAATCGTTGCGTCCGTCGCACTTCCACGAAGGCAGAATGCACTGCGAAGTGGTCGCACAGTTGATGAGTCCCTTCATTCCGTATTCGGAGAGATCCGAGCAGTTGCGGAACGGACAACCGATCTCGTCACTCGCGTCGTTGCAGTCCTGCGTGTGATCGCATCTCGCTTTCGACGGAATGCACGCGCCGGACGTACACTGGAACTCTTCGACTCGGCACGTGCAGTTGGATTCGTCCGCGTAATTGGAGCAGTCGTTCACTCTGTTACACCTTTTCTGCTCCGGAATGCACAGTCCGTTTCCACACGCGAAATAACCGGGACGGCAGCTTCGAGTCGAACAGTAGATAGTATCTTCGTCGTCGTGAATCGGACAATCGTTGTAGCCATCGCAGGTCTCATCGTATGGAATGCAGAGGTCCGAATGCATGCATTTGAACTCATTTTCAGCGCATTTCTTGCCCGCCAGATCTGTAACCTTTCCTTAAGAATCTATTGCAATTCCAGTTCTCTCACCTCCTGTGCATGTTCTGTTGTCCGCATTGAGCCGTCGTTCTCCATTACAAGCACACGTCGGCTGTCCGTCCGCCATCAACCTACAGTAATCCTCGCACTTCATGTCGTTTCCAGAACAAGGATCAGACGCACCTGCAATGGAAAACTTGGAACATTTTGAAATATCATGAGCACTTACAGTATTCTCTGTCCACATCGACCACGACGAGACCGACCGGCACATCGAGTGCTCGATTGATTGTTCTTTCTTCATTTCCAGTTATTTTATTCACTCCGCCAACTGTCTTTTTTATCCAGTCCGTGAAGATGATTTCGTCGTCATAGATGGCCAGCTCAAATGGATGAATCGCTTGGATGTCGGTGTTCGAAACGACCATCTGAAACGTATTTGACCCATTACAAAATGTTCGATGAAGTTCGTAACCTCTCTGTGAGATCCGTCGAAATCACATCGTGAGACCTTGAAATCTTTTGCGTCCGAGAAGTAAACTTTATCCGAGTCGAGATCGAGAGCAAGTCCACGGAGATCGTGAAGGTCTTCTTGCAATACCATCTCCTGCAAACGAAACATTTGAACCCTGCAAACAGATGGGAACTGACTCTCTTGAACCCGCTGTAGTAAACCCGTTCAATGACGGAACCAGTGATCGCGTTATTTGTGAAGAAGAGAAGCATTCGGCACGGGTGGATTGCAATGTGACGAGGACGATCCCTGACGGTCAGCGTGAGAACGATCCTCGGTTCGGTCGGATACGCCTCTAAGTTGTTGTCGGCCAGATCAATTCGCCAAATACTCGCAGGATTGGCTCGGATGAAGTACAGCTCTCGGTGCACTTCATCGTAGGCCATACTCGGAATGACCCCCACATCTTCTGCAATTACGACGCATCCGGTGCCGTCGAAGTTGACCGCTGAGATGCGGAACTTGTCGTAATCGGCAAAGTAGATTCTCCCTCTTGAAGCATCGGCTGTGACCGCTCCGATCTTGGACATCACACACGTTTCAGAACCAATTCTTCGATTCGGAGGAGCCAAATCTTCTGGTCGCGGGGATACGAATTCGATAGAAAGGAAGCGAGTGAAGGCGATGAATGTCCGACTGGGCACGCACGTTCCGTCGTCTCCACGAACAGAATGCACACAGACACACTCCTTTTTGACTGTGGACGTTCCGGATGGAGTGGTTATGCACAGATGCTCGCAGCCTCCGTTGTTGTTCGAACATGCAGTGTAGAGGATGGAGTTCTTCGTATCCATCACGTCCAAATCGTTCAGTCGCATCTTCTGCCGAGACGATGACTTTAGGACTGCATCGACCAAAACGAAGGTGTTGTCCTTCTGGATGACTCCTCTCACGATGCTTCCCGACATGTTGAACTTGTCGTAGAAGAACAGTTCGTCTCTGTTGAAAGCGAAACTGACAGTCTCCCCGAGTCCTTGCGGTTTGAACATTGCCACGTTCCGTTGCTCATTCGCGCCGTCGTAGTCAACGCAGTCAACTGCAGCTTTCTCGGAATCCACGTAGCACAGGCGTGAACGATCTTCGTCGACCGCGATTGCGGAAACGGACGGCTTCGGAACGATGCATTTGACACCGCTTCCATCATAGTTGGAGGATTTGATGCAGTTCGCGCTTGCCCAGAATAGTTTTCTGAAAAGATGAAATACAATTGAAGATTGGCATGAAGGGAAGCTGACCCTTTGGGCGGATCGATTGCAATCTCGTATGGCACTTTCTCTTCATCTTCCACAATAACGGCGTACATTCCCTCGTCATGCCTATCCGTATCCAAAACGATGATGACTCCCTTCACGGAGTTGGCTTCTCGGGCAGACACCAAAAGATACCCGGTCACGCGGTCGACTGTGATCGCGGCGATTCGATGGGAATTCGTAGAGTAGATCTTGTGGGCGAATGAGCCGTTCGTTGCACACTTCCACACTTCATTGATTCGGTTCACGACGTACACCTGTAAATATTACCGAGAATTTAACTTCCTGTTTTCCTATCTTACCAAGTTCTTCTTGGCATCTGCTGCGATTTTGAGCAGCCTCATGTCTCCGACGGCACTGTGCAGAGCGTGGGCTCTCATCATTTGGTTTGTCTTTCCTGTCTTTGCCTCCTTATACCACCCGACAGATTGAAGGGTTCCGTATTCAGTGATCCAGAATACCCTCTTCTCTGGAGATTTGCACTTCCCGTCCTCCATGAAGAATCCTTGCGAACACACGCATTCGAATCCTTCCGGAGATTTTCTCAGACACATTGATTCACAACTTTCACACTCCTTCGGCACTCGCTTCACCGCTCCAGGGCCAGTTTCCACAGTTGCCAAGAAGAATCGTTCCGAGCTATGGATGGGAACAAGCATCACACTTCCTCTCTGAGTAGCCTTCGTCCCCTTCATTGCGAGTCTTCTGACCGTTGTTTGATTGGCAATCCTGACGAACTCTCCGATGAGGATGTCTCCGTTCTGCATGTCGACGGCAATCGAACTCACGTTTCCGTCTCCTCCCGGCACTTGAATCTCTTGCAGTTGCTCCGTCGTGGGGTTAAACTGAACAACGCGTCCCTGGGAGATCCAGTAGAGTCTAGAATTGAACTGGTCAACCACCGGATTGTAAAGTTTCTCGAGAAGTGTCGAGTTTATCTGGATCTTCTTGGGATCCTTTCCGTTCGCATTCATCGAGAACATTGACACAGGTCTGCTGATATCATCGAACCAAAACAGCTGTTTAGTTGAGTTCACGAAGAGAATGTCCTTCGGCAGCTTCATTCCGCTCAGCGTACTCGAATCCACGAGCACTCGTTTTGCTCTCCCGTCCGCACTGATCACTTCGACTCGTCCAACCATATCCGTTGAGACCGTGATGTACGTATTACCAAGTACGGGATCCACAGCCATTCCACCCGCTCCCAGTACGTCACTACCATCGGCCAGCACTTGATCCTCAACTGATCCTGTGAGGTTCACCAGTACAATATGATTGTTGAGCGTGTCGAGGATGTGCAGTCTGTTGTTGAAACTTCCGACCGCTTTGATACTGTCAAACTGTTTTCCGGAAACAAGTGGGAACGCATGTGGATGGGGAGGAGTGGAGGAGAATCCGCGGACGGTGTTCTTCGAGGCGATCAGAATGGTCTGGCTAATGTCGACGCACCCTTCGTCCGTGATCCATTGAAGGTTCGTGCACTGACAACTCGCTTTGTTCTTTCCATCGATCAGACAGATTCCATTGCATTCGAATCCGTCACACGCGTTTTTCAATTGCATTTTCTGCTTCGATCGGTGCACAATCTTCATGGAGAACGGCTGAGTGGCAACTCTCTCGATGACCGAAACGTTTCCACCGCCCCACTTGTCCACTTTGCTGATCGTATTCGTCCGCCAATCGGTGAAGTAGACGTGTCCCTCGTACACATCGATTCCGAATGCATGCCCTAATCTCTCGGAGTCTCTGAACACGATCACATGATCCTGTCCTTCATAGGTGATTGTATGAATTGAATCGGATTTTGCATCCACCCAGTACACTCTTTTCGAAATAGTGTCACACGCGATCCCGTTGGGCCATCCGGCGTTTGCCACGTCGAGAATCTTCCAGATAACCATTCGATTCTTCCCAGCCAAAGTGGCTCTTTCGATCCGCGGCCTCGCTTCCTGCCAGTCCGTCCAGAACATCAATCCCTCTTCGACGTCGATGGTTAGTGCCCGTGCGTTGCCCATATTCTCGCTTATGACTGTAGCTCTCTTCGCTCCATCGTCCGAAACAACTTGAATTGTGTGTAGAGTGCTGTCGATCCAGTAAACATTGCCGGTTATCCAGTCGACTGCGATGCCTTCCGCATTGAACACTCCGTAGGAAACGATTGTCCTCGGGTAGAGAATGGTTCTTTGCTCCACTAATCCCGCATGAATTTTATCCGCAGTCAGGTCTGTCCAGTAGACTGTAACTGAACCATTTTGATGGTAATTGAAATCGAGTCCGATTGCATTCACGAGGTTCGAAATCAGCGGAGTGCTTCCCGGGTATTTCGACTGGATCATCCGGATTTCATGTCGATTCGAGTATATCAAATAAGGCTTTTCTGGATCATCGGACACGCACGAGAACTTGTCAGCGGCAAGTTTGAAACCAGCGGCGCAGTAGCAGTAGTGGCGGGAGCCATGTGGAACGCAGTACTGGGAGCACTGTCCGAACCGGCAAGGATCCTTCTTCGTACACGTAACTCCGTCCTTATCCAGATAATGACTTTCCGGACAAGAGCAGATCGGACCGCTCGGAGTGGCTCGGCAAGTGTGAGAGCAGCCAATGTCGTGCGAGTCCGTGCAATTGAAAGAACACCACAGTCCTTCGTCGTCCCCATTTTCGCAGTCATCTTTTCCGTCACACAACTGACGATCGGATATGCACTTGAACTTTGCGCCGTCACACTTATACATCGGCGCTTGGCATCTTAGATCGGCGACGTCCGTTCTGATCTCGAGACAGTGCTCTTCATCCGTGTTGTCCCCGCAATCATCGACTCCGTCGCATTCCAGTTGCCTCGAGACACACTTTTGGCTCACCAAACAGCTGAGATGAGTGGTGCTGTCGCACATAATCGGCGGGCAGTATTTCTCGTCCTCGCCGGTCAGACAATCGGCAAAACCGTCGCAGACTTCAAAGCTCCGGAGGCACTTTCCATCTGCGCATTCGAACTGATTCATCTTTCCACAGCTCGGCTTTTCCTCTTTGCAGAACTTCTCCGATTCGTCACTTGAGTCTTGACAGTCGGCGACTCCATCGCAACGGAAAATGAGATCCAGACAGGGAGACTTTCCGTCATCGCATCGGAACTGTCTGCCCAAGAGACACTTCTCTTCTTCGCAGTGTTCCTCGTCCAATCCGTCCAAACATTGTTTCTTTCCGTCGCAAACTTGATTCATTCCTATACACAGACCAGTTCCGCATCTGAATTGATCCGGATCGCACATAGTTTCACGCGGGCAGTTTTCTTCATCATCTCCGTTTTCACAGTCCTTGAAACCGTTGCACTTCTTGCTCATGGAAACACATTTCGTGTTTGAGCATCGGAATTGATTCTTAGAGCACGCAACCTTCGGAGGTGATTTGCATGTGTCCGACGATTCGTCAGAGCCGTCATAGCAATCGGATTTCCCGTCACAAATGAATTCCATTGGAAGGCAGGTGGTGGCATCGCATTGGAACTTGTTGCCGACGCATTTGTAGTTTTCTGGAACACTTTGAACTTATAAATAGGAAATGAGAAGTGAGAACTGACTGCAAACTCCATTCGGATCCTCGTCACTTCCGTCTCCACAGTCGTCGTCTCCGTCGCAAAGATTCGATTTCGGAATGCATTTCTTACTGATATTGCATGAGAACTCCAGCTCGCTCTCGCATTTGAACGGATCCACCCACGCACTGTCCTTCACACACGTTCCGTCTTTGTTCGCTCTCATTCCATCAGTACATCCACATTTGACAGGCTCACAACCGACTGATCCTTTGCACGAACTGGCAAAACAGAAGTGTTCACACTTGTTAGAAGACGTGGAGCATGGAGAAGTCTCTGAAACGAGAACTTCAATAAATATGGAGTAGAAGGAGCCATACCATTCGGAGCGGATAATTTCAACACTGAGAGCTCGAAAATAGTGGCCGAGTATTGGAAGATCTCCTGAACTTCATCTGTGAAATCCACGTTCACTCTCTTCACCGCTCCTCGTTTGAATTCGGAGAAGAAGATGTGATTGTCAAAGAATGCGAGACCGTATGGATGCGAAAGCTGAAATGATCTGACTTAAAGATGACCGAAAGGAACGGACGTTCTCACCTTGTTCACGCCTTGCACTACCGTTTCCCGGTCCGCTCCGTTCCATCGGATTCTCTCAATGACGTTTCTGTAGGCGTCACACCAGTAGAGGAAATCATTCTGAGTATCCAGAGTCAATCCGTTTATCCACATTGCATTCTTGGCCACCAAAGTCTGAAAATGATATAAAGACTGAAGTTTGAACGCGCTTTGCGGTTCGTACCTTTCTCTCAGTTCCGTCCAACTTTGACCGCTCGATCATTGCCGGAAATTTCTCGTCGTTCTTATCCTCATTCCAACTACCCCAGAACAGATAGCTCTTCCCGATGTGAATGGCGATCGCCCTTGGATTGCTCATGTTCCCACTAACAATCACCTTACGAAGGGAAAGATTCGAGAGCCTCGTCACTGTGATCGTCTTCTTGAACTGATCAGTCATGTACAGATTGTCGGAGGTGTGATCGTAGGCCATCCCTTCGCAGTTCATCACTCCGTCGAATCCGTGCACAGTGAAGTTGAATTCGTTCAGTTTCTGGACGACGAGAGAATGTCTCTTCAAATCGTAAATGAGCATCCGCTGTCCTTTCGGGTCATAGGTCAGTGCACTCGGTCTTCTCGCGGCCAAAATAGCGGGCACTCCGATCTCCTGCGTCTTGTAGTCCTCGTCGAATCCGAGCACTCTCACACGGGGCGGTCTCAGCTGAGCCACAACCAACAGCACTTTGTCTCGGAGCCCGTTCGCTTCAATCTCAATACACTTGTTATCCTTCTTCATCATCCCGTCTCTACAAAGGCACGCAGAGGTAGTGTTGATGTGCCCGATGCAGATATCGTCACACGCAGCTGCTTTGCAGGCGTTCTTCCCCTTGTTCTTCCACGCGTGTTCGTTTTTCCGGAAGTGCAATACTTTCAGAATCACCTTGTTATTTCCTCCATTCGTGGGCGGAGTCATCTCTTGCCAGTGCTTCATATCTGGATTCAGAACATCCACGAGGAATACTCGATTGTCCTTCAGTATCAGAATAAGTTTTCCTTCCGCGAAATCCATTATTTTTACTTGATTCGCAATTCTTCCGTCAACGGCGATCCTTGAGAAACTCGAGTTGTAGTCCATTGATCTGATGACGTTGGCACTGTTATCCACGTAGTACAGTCTTTCCGTCATCGGGTCAATAGTCAACGCGGGGGAAGTCATTGGCTGTGCCGTCAGTCTGAATCTGGTCCCTGTTGCCACGTCAATCCTCCAGATCCCTTGATACAGAAAGTCGCTGTCCGTGACGAACAGTTGTCCGTTCAATGCATCGTAAGCCACGTCCTGTAGAGTGCCCATGTCTCCGGCCGCAAATGTGTGACACTTGGAAATGCGGACAATATCGTGTTTGCAGATGAAAATGTAGTAGGAGGCGTCGGTGAAGATCCAGTTGTTTCCGATGTTATCAAAACGAATCATGTTGATTGCGGGAAGATCAAAATCGACGGCGTACGATTTCGTCGCCGGTTCGGGGCCTTCCACGTTCCCGCACGTGACATAGCTGGCGTTCGGAGTGGGCGATTCGGTGAGACACAGTACGGGAGCGGTAGCTTTCGGAAAGTCTGGATGCTGGAAAACGAGTGTGAGAGCCCCCGGCTTTCCGAGTGGGCGGGGCATGCTCGTGAAGTTGACCATCGTGTTCTTCTGGACGACGTACAGTTGTTGCTTCGTGAGAATCGCGATGTCGGGGTTGAGAACTGAAATGTGAAATAGTGTAAGAATCATCTTTGTTATCAATCAAATTCCCTATCTCTTGACCCAAGGTGACAAAAATGTTCCGTTTTCAATACCTTCTTTGTTGGCTACACAGCGTGTTTCGTTTGCCAAGACAAGACGCGGGTCGAAGCAGGAGCACGTGAACGAGCCGTTCTGATTATCGGTACAACCTTGAGAGCACACCGGAGTCAGACCGTTCTTTTGTCGATCGCAGTGGTTCACAAACTGGCACTTCCCGTCCTCGTTCAGATACTTATTGTTCGGACAGTAGCACTTGATTCCGTCGATCGTCATCGCTGCCCCGTACTCGCATTCGTCCGCTTTCTTTGTGTCGGACACTGAGCACATTGCGTGCTCGTCCGAACCATCCGCACAGTCCATTTTGCCATCGCAAAACTTGTAAAGAGCCACACATTGAGGAGTTTTGGCGCACTGATACTCGTTGTATTCGCACTGTAGCGCTTGTTTGCCTGTAATCTGGGCGTAGAAGGGAGAAAAAGAATAAAAGACTCACAGATTTCGGGATCTTCGTCCGAAAGATCTCTTTCTCCGTTTAAAAGCCGACCACAGTCACTTTGACCATCGCAGACGTAGGCACGAGGAAGACATTTACCCGTCTCGCACACAAACTCGTTTTCTAGACATACCCGCTCTGAAAATGAGAGTTTTTGCAGTTTTTACTCATATTGAACTGAAGTTTACCACAAGTGGGCGGCTCATCGGATCCGTCCTTGCAGTCCGCGTAACCGTCACAATGCCATTGCTCCGAGTAGCACTTCGGACCGCTCGACATATTTTGATCGCACACTCGCATGGGAGGAACGCATATTGGGAACGAGGAGAGTGGATCTGAACATTTTTATGAATAGAAGAGGTCAGTTTTGGCCGGAAGTTACCATGATTGCTCTGTGGTGCTACGATCGAACCCAAGAGGGCGACGAGAATAACTAAATGACGGGTGGAGAGCATCGGAAAGTGTGCAAAACCTTCATGGAGAGCCGGTGAGAACAGGTTTCGACTGAAAACTTTATCAAGTGATTGAGTGACTAGAGAGAAGAGAGAAGAACAAGAAACTAATTCGATACAGCCGAACTAATTGCCATTTGAATTGGCAATAGTGTGTTGATTGGAACAAAAGGGGAAAGGATAAGAGGGGACGTGAAAAGGAAGAAGAAGAAGAAAGAGAACGAGTAGGAGGAGCCGAAGGCAATAAACACAATTATATTGGGGAAACGGAAGCATTCCACAGAATTGAGGGGAGAGAGAAAGAGAGAAAGTAAAAGAGAAATAGACTGTAAGGCAATATTGCCGATGGATTGAAAGGCACTTTCGTGCGCCGATGCGGTCAAAAGGGAAATGGTCGAGCGAGAAAAAAAGTAATGTTTTGTGACGGGGACGACGGGGTAAACAGTGTGTGAATGGGGGAAAAGGGCGAACGGTTTCTTCACTTTCTGATGAAACGTTAGAAGAAGAAACGTTCGAAGAAACACATTTGAAGATGTGTCACGTCATAATCTCATGCATGAATCATCCAGAAGTTGAGCTTTTTCCTGGACCACATGGACACAAAGACGGTCGGCAAAAGAGAGTAAGTACCCCATAAAACTGGAGAAATTTCAACCCCGTCTTGACGTCGCCATCGAAGAAAAATGAACGGAAGTGCGGCGAAGGGGAAAACGGAATAGCGTGACGGCGGACGGAATGAAAGATTGAAGGGAAATTGGAGCACTTTATCAGGGGTTTGGAGGGGAAGGGGAAGGATAGGGTTCGGGTTCTTTGAAGACATCTCCGAAGGGGTAAAAAGTAGAGGATGGCGATGGCGGAAGGGCGCAGACGGGCAGAAATCGACGAGAGTGTGGAAATTTGAGAGAGAGAGATCGTCTAGAAGGGAAAAGGGGAGGTCAGTTTGAATGGGCGAACAACGAGTTGAACAAGAAGGTTTTCATTGCGATTCCCAAGTACTTCTTTCAAATTTACCTCGGTTGCAAAAGATTTCTCTCCTTCTTCGGCTGCCTAAATCTCATATCTCTCTCGGGCACTCCAAAATAGTGGCCTCATGCCCAGAATGTGTTGCAAACAAGCAAAGCAAGGACAACAACGAATCGATTACAAGTTTTTGTGTTTTGGTGATTACGCCCGAGACACGGTGATGTTTTCTGGGGGCGCAGTGGAGAGAGGAGGAAAGTTTGGCCCTCGTCCCGTGAACTGTCGGGTGCTTATTTCGCCGGCCGGCGGCACACTCCCCAAGCCTTTTTCCGCGCGCCAAACCTTCTGATGCGTGCTGTTCGAAAAATACTAATTTTTTTTTCCTAATTTTTTTTTGGGAATGCGTTTATTATGATGTAAACTAACAAAAAGACACAAAAAGCATGCACGAGCAGCCATTTTTCGGAAAAAGCTATTTTTCTAGTGACCTATAGAAATTTTGGCGAGTTTCTTGTTGCTCATCGTTAGTTTTGACTATAATGAACGCATTCACGTAGAGAATGAATAAGATGTATCAGTATTTTTCTGGCAGCACGCATCCAAAGTCTCTGGAAAACTGCATTGGAGCCTTCGTGGACGACCGGTTTCCGTTCGGCCATGTTTTGGTACCAAAAGTAAACCGGTCGCTCAATTTGCACTGCAAAAAGAGTTTCTCAACAGAGCGCCATTTCTGCGAATATAGATCTAGTAGAACGGCGATGGCCGCGGAGGCCAGGGACTAGAAACCTCCGCGCGACCTCCATGAAAAATCACCGTGAGGAGCAATTCAGCGAAAAATTTCACGTGGACATTTTCTTATCTTGTTCAGAACAGTTTAGATTGAAAAATTATCTTGACGACTCTAAATATTACACTTGAAGGCCAGAAAAATGAATTCCATAAAGTTCTCGAGACGAATAGATTCAACACTCTTTGCTGCTTGGTCAAGAAGTTCTCCCGAGAGTCTGAGGATCGTGGCTAGATAGACAGAAGTGAAAAAGGGGGTCAACTCTGATTGGAACTTCTTCCACTGTATGATACTTGAGCCCTTCTGCCGCCCGTAAACTACCATTTTCTCACCGCCGCCATTATTAAATCCCCTCTTGAAACAGCTTTGCTTTTGAGTTCCTAATTTTCGAGAAAAGTGTAAATTGTGTTGAAAACAAAGCGACAAGTTGCTCTCGCTCTTCTCTTTCTCTCTCTCTCCTCTTCTTCTTCTCGGAGCCTAACATAATCCGAGAAGCACTCGAGTGAGAGAGATAGAGAGATGGGACCATAATTGGGTAAGGCGACGAAGAATTAGGAATGGAGCTCCGGATGGAAACCGAATAGAATCGAATCGAGAAGGAGACGATTGGCGGATGAGTGAGAGTGCACGGGACGGACAAAAAAGCGGCGGAGAGGGTGTCTGCGTGTCTGTCGGATCGCGTGCTCTCTCGCGTCAGGAGCGATCAAATCAGAAGAACATTGGGCCGATGCCACCTGGTTGAGTGGTCGAGAGGTGCGAGCGCGCTCCCTTCAGTTTTGATGAGTTTGAATGAGAGTTGAGAGGATCCACAGGGGGGGGGGGGAGCGAGGAACCTTCTGGAAGTCAGTTATAGCAGAAGGAGGTTTGAAATAGGCGCTTTCCCGTTAGAGAGGTGGTTTCTCAGAGTGTGCTTCATCACAAAGAATCTGATTCTGAGGGAACTCAGATGCATGAATTACTCGTTGTTTTCCGGAGTGGGAAAAGAAACACAGAAGGTAAGAATGGCGGAAAGGAAACCGTTTTTGAGGGAAGGTCGGCCGGGCGGGTGATGGATGCACACGCCGGATGGCGGAGATGACGGCAGATGGTACGGAGACGCAGAGAACGAATGGCCGAAGGGAGGCTGCGCGGAGAAGTTGCCGTGAGCAAGCCATGGTCAGCCTAAAATATAGCATTTTAAGTTTCCTCTCGCTTGAGTGTCTTTCAATTTTCTCTCGTGCACGAAGAACGGACAGTTTGGGCACTCAGAAAAGCAAGGGAGCGCAAACTGTCGGCTACTTGTGTCCGCCGACGCCTGCGCGCGTGGTGAGCGTTTCCGAAGCTTCAAGTCAGTCAAAAACCGTTCGTCTTCAACCATTTATAGCCTATTAAATTATAGGCTTTCCTTCGTGGACGACAAGTAGTTTGTGTAGAATTGTGCGAAAAGGCGCTTGAACATCGTAACTATCGTGGGACCGGAGCATTTGACCCATTTTTTAGGCAGATTTCGCGGAAAATCCAATGAAGCGTGCTTTTTCAACCAATTTTACATGTTGCCTTCAAAACAAGGGAATTACAACGAGAATTGTTGAATAGAACTTTTGAAAGCAGAAAGATGGTGTCAAATGACATTGCGGAACTGTTTGTAAACGACGTATTCGAAAATGCGTTTTTTTTTTCTGAAGATTGATTTTATAAAATTTTTCGATGAAAACGCTCACAAGGCAAAAGTCGTCCACGCCTGCTTTCCTCGTTTCATCAGCAGTTGTGAATGGCCAGCGTCGTCACCGGATTTGAACTATTCTGTATGGGGAGTTAATTCTTCAGTCGTAGATTCAAGCACATCCACATCCCAATTTGGAGTCATTGTAGAAACGTTTGGAGGCAGAATGAGCCAAGCTATCTCCAGAATACCTCCGTGCCACAGTAGAGGCATTCCCGAAGAGACTCAAAGATGTTGTCAAGAACAAAGGCAACCGCATCGAACAACTGTAATATTTTCTCGTTTATAGTGGTTTCAATAAATTATAGTTGAATTTTCATGTTGGTTTGAGTATTTTTGCAAAGATTACATCACCTTGAATGTGTTGCCATACTTTCGGCGCACCCTGTATATTGGGTCCAAGTTACAGACCGATCGGACAATCGACTCTGTGTTGAATGATTGCATTCGAAATCGGAAATCCTTCAATTCGTTATTGCTCTTTTTCCGAATCCTCTTGGCATGGTGCCATGACATTTCGAAATCCCAATCGTTCTTTCCCATCGGAGTCCTTTGTCGGCGTCCTTATCACTAATCTCCGTCTGTAATTAAGTCGGCTTCGTTGAAACTTGGCGCAAATCCGCTTGAAGCTCATATTTCCCAACCTGCGGTCTTAATTACCGGCGGAGATTAGTGATAAGAATGCCGACAAAGGACTGTGATGGGAAAGTATGCCAGGCCCACAACAGGAAGAAGGAAAAGCCAGGTGCAGTGGCCACGCCCACTAACTATTTACACTCAGTAGCCACGCCCACTAATTAGAATGGCCACGCCCACATTATTGCAATGCAAGAAATCAGCTCTTCCTCTCTTTCTCCCTCTGACGTTATTTTTTATTGCCCCTTATGTTCTATCTCGGTAAATGCCGACATCTTCTGAGCAAACTTTAGGGTGATAGCAGCTCTTGAACATCATTTCAGCAACTTCTAAGCAATTTCTGGGCAAAATTTGTTGAAGTTCTGCTCAAACGTTGTAGAGGTTTACCGAGTGGCTGCTGGCAGGGAGGATACCTACTACCGCTCCGGATGAACAACAACAACAACAGAAACAAGCGAATGTTTACTCAGGATCCTCCGGATTAACGAATTCTAGCACGTTATTCCTCCATGTATGCGTTCAAGAATCGGAAGTGTCGGTTTAAGGTGAGAGTGTGACCTTGAGACATATGACCCTTGTGACGTCGCAACATGTGTCGTCATTAGTGGGTACTTGAGGATGATTGGCAATCTGAGAGAGAGAGAGCGAATATAAATTGCAAATTACGTCAAGACAGCCTTTTGCATAACGCAACAAGGCTCCAGCACAGTGTCATTCATAAATTGAATACAAAACGGAGAAGAGAGAAGGAGTCAATGCCCTTTCCCTTTCCTTTTTGTTCTCTTAACCCCATCGCACAGTCCATAATTGCCCTCTTTCTCCGTGTGCACTTTGTCCATCGCCGTGTCCAATAATCTATTGCACAACAATCAAATGGAATCGGTGAGTCATCTGCAGACGGCTGCAAGGGACCAAAAAAAAACACAGAGAATGTATTTACAGGACGATTCATTGAGCAAACGAGAAAACTTAAATTGAATGTGTTGCTAGTGTTGCTGCTCCGATTTGAAGTGTATCCACAAGGGTTTCAAGAACTCGGCCGCCTCAAAGATGGTCGCATTCGCATAAACCAAATGGGTCAGATTGATTCCGTCTATCTTGAGCACTTTCCTAGCGAACTCTCCCACTTCCGTTTTGCCGATTGTGGTGTCGCCGGTGCAAGTGAGAATTCTGGAGATGAAGGAGATCTGATGGTGAACGGTGAATCGGAACAGGAATTGGAAGATGTCGATGATAGAGAGCACTGCCAACACTACGTACCACCACCAGAGAGCGATAAAGAGCTTTTCGTTGAACATGTTCACCTGCAAGAAGTTCTCGTGTTGTCTGAGTTTCACTTTGATTACCATGAGAACACATTGTAGGGACCAGTTGTTCACATATCCCAGTTCTCTGACTTGGAAATCACAAAATGTGACTCTCGGGAACGTTCCACTCTCTTGCCACTGGCGCCCACTCAGAAGATCTTTGGTGATGGTCCACCCGTACAATGGACCGAGTCCCATGAAGTAATCCAAGAATCCCATTGACAAGAGAATCAGGACCGTCGCCATAATCTTGGTCGTCAGAAGACAAATTGTCAATCGGGAGCCCCAGAACTCGCCGTCAACTGGAAGGAACGCCATGAACAGAATGACCGCTCCCTTCTGGCTCACCTTGCTTGTTCACAAACTTTCTCTTCTTGTACTGTATCTGCCTCCTCTTCTTCTCAATGTCCTCACTTTCGTTGGCGAACCCACTTCTGGCATTCTTTCTGAGGTGAGAAGTGACTATGGAAATGTTGATTCCGATGACTGATTGCAGAGCCAGCCAGATGATTCTCGGGATGTAGAGAACCAGTGCCAAACCTAGCAGAATGAACGGAACCCACTGAAGAACTATTTGATATTAGAACTCATCCGTCTTCCTTACGAACCTGATAATACCTCAATTCTTTGTTTTCGCGAGTTCCAGCCGCCGGAAGATTCGTCTCGTTCATTCCGACGTAATAAGTGTTCTCGATGAGACAGTACGTCTCCGCGTACTGCTCCCATCCGCCCTTGAACTGCTTTGGCAGCCAGCACTGAACGCTTTGGCCCACGTACTGTTTGGCCATGATAAAGGCGGCACAGGAGACGAGGATGAGCACTGTGGCAAAGTACCGAAGTCTGAAAAGAAGAGAGTCTCGGCCAGTCAGTCCGGATATTGTCGATTTACCTGTCGATGGCATCTGAGTCATAGGTCGGCGTTATCTGTTTCTTATAGAAACCTGTATCAATCTTCATCTGAATTCAATTGATTGTGAGCAAAAATGTAAAAAAAAAAGACAGATATCACAATATGGAATTGATCCAAATTCAGAGAAAAAAGAAAGATGATGATAATTGGAATCTCTTTTTCATAAATTACAAAGTTTACTATACGAAGAAGATGATTATTTCATTCCACTGTCGATCGAGGCATGCGGAGCGTGAGCTGGAAAGGCAACTCATTATGACGTGGCAAACATTTCAATTACTTGGATAGTTTTCCATGAACTCTTCCAACACCAAACTCTCACTATGATACAAATCGACGGCTCCTGAACACATCAGTGTCAGTTACAGTAACCCTTCTCTCCTTTTCTTTCCCCGTGACTTCCCTTCCCCTCTCTCTCTCTCTCTCACTTACCATTTCCTAATTTTCTTCAGTTGGAGAACTCGCATTGGATCCATCTGAAAAATGAGATTTGAAAAAAGGAGAAGGAAGTCCCGAGAAATGAAAAGAAAGAGAAGAAGGAAGAAAACTCACTGCCGATTGAGATATTGTAGATTTTTTTCATGAGCTCTTCGGAGTTCAGGCGGCCACTGTTCGAATCGAGAAGGCGGAGGAAGAGCACTCCGTCGTCGCGGAGCACATTTTGGTACAGCTCGTTTGCCTTCTCGGGAGAGTGATCCACACCTTCTTGGGTCTAAAACTATGATGTAGCTGGAGGAGAAATCCTCTTCGAACTAACCAGAAGGTCGAGAATGAATCCGATTCTCGATTGCTTGTCAAACCGTCTCCAAACCCAGACGATGAAGTCGAAAGTAGTGGCGACGAGCAGGAAAGCGAACCAGAACCAGAGGAAGATGAAGATCTTCTCGTTGAACATGTTGACCATCAGAACGCATTGCAGGCTCCAGTGATGGACGTTTCCCAGCTCTCTCACATTGATATCGCAGAAGGAAACTCTCGGGAAGTGCCCGCTCTCCTGCCAGTGACGCCCGTGGAACATGTCCCAGAAGATTCCCCATCCCCAGAAAGTGTATGCAGTGTTGAGGAAGGAGTTGAGGAGGAAGAACTGGAGGTAGACGTTGATGAGAATGAGCAACTTCATGACGAGGTAGCAGTTGAAGATGCGCGAGCCGCTGTGTCCTTTCTGCTGCACAGTTCTCCAGTTAACAAGAGCGACCTGCTCGAGGGCTTTGTCCGCGCTTTCCAACTGTTTTCCGTTCTTTCTGGCTGCCGTGATCATGTCCGCAATGGTGAGTCCGCTGTACGAAGGGAATATGATCCAATAGGCGCGAGGGATGCAGAAGAAAAGAGCTTGGATGATGAGAAGGAAAGGAACCCACTGGAAGAACATCGGGGATCATGAAGAAGAGCGAACGAACGGATACCTGATAGTAGATCATTTCCCTATCTTCTCTCGTGTCCGCTGCTGGAAGATTTGAATCCTGCATCGGCACAAAGTACGTATTCTCAATGAAGCAGTATTGCTCGGCGAAAGACTCCCATCCGTCGTTGAACTGATTCGGAGTCCAGCATTGCATCGGCTCTCCGACATAGTTTTTGGCAAAAAGAAGGAGGGAAAATCCGATGAGAATGGAAGTGGTAATCACGTAGTTCAGTCTAGAAGAAACTAAGGAACTAAAGGGAATAGTGGAGAGAAAACTTACCTGTCAATGGAGGAGTCGTCATGATCGGATAGCTTGCTGACGGTCTCCGCATAGTGCTTTATGTTACTTAACATCTTCTTTGACCCTGGAATAAAAATGTACAACCTGGAGAGAGAAGGCCCGAATATGCACAGAGATAAAAGCGAAGAGTGAGATAGAGAGAGGACGGCACTGCGCGGCACTAATTTGCTCTCTAGTCAATTTTAATAGAATTCGGATGGCTGAAAGAGTTATGGAGGGAGAATTAAAATGAAACTTTGAAGAATGAGAAGGCTGAGAATTGTGATAATACAACTCGGTGTCGCCTTTTGGAAAGTTGTGACTCATTCTCACATTCACTATCATCAGATTCCTTATCAGGTAGGATCGACCACGCACACTCCAGATGAAACTTTCAAAAACTGCCAAGTGCTACGGATCTTCGAAACTTTTAAACCGAGAAGAAAAGGCAGAGAAGAACTGTACTGCTCTTTCCTCTCGTTTCTCGTCGCGGCATGCCAAACTATAACTTGCCTGATAACCCGATTCCAACTCTTCTCTCGTCCTTCTCCGTCTCTCCCTCCTACACACTCTCTCGCTGAGTCACCGTCTCAAATAGCTGATAATGAGGAGAAGAAAGGGAAACGAGTACGGCCCGAAATATTATTGCTTCCCTCCATCCACTCCCCTCCATTACGGTTCTTCTTTTCAGACGATGGATCCGATAATCGGACTGGTGACACAGTACACGGATAAACGGCACGAGGATGACTTCGTCGACCGGCTCAACTTCCAGTACACCTCCTACGTGTTTGCCCTTTCTGCTCTCATCATTGGCTATAATGTGAGCTCATCTTTCATAGTTGCTCTTCACGAACCCATTTTTCAGACGTACTTCGGAACGGCGATTTCGTGCTGGACACCGGCCGAGTTCAAGAGAGGATGGGTCGAGTACACTCGTGATTTCTGTCTGATCGAGAATACCTACTACGTTCCGCTGGAAGATCCGAACATGCCGCCAGAACGTTACCGAGAGGAGCGGGAACTGACCTACTACCAGTGGGTGCAGTTCATTCTCGTCTTCCTCGCCTTCCTCTTCTACCTACCGTATCTGTACTGGAGTACTGTCAACTGGTGGTCTGGACTTCAAGTGAAAGCCGTCGTGGACGCGTCCTGCAAACTGAGTAAGACGGATGTGAAGAGCAGAACGGTGCAAGTGGAGAAGATTGCGAGCCATCTGAAGAAGTTCATCGACAGAAAGGGAAGGAAGAGTCCGATTCCGTTGATCCCGAACGCAGTGGGAAGGAATTGGGTGGCCATCAATTACATACTCACAAAGTCTCTCTTTGTCCTGAATCTCCTGGCTCAGATGATCCTGATCCATATCTTCTTGGGATTCGACTTCAATGACTTCCTCAGTTAGTCTATGTCCCGATAAACAACTCAATAATTCCACTTTTAGATCTTCGTGTTGGATTCGGAAGTAACTGGATTGCGAACGGAATCTTTCCCAGACAGACAATGTGCGACTTCGAAGTGCGCAAGAAGGGAAGCATCCAGAAGTACAGTGTTCAGTGCGTGCTCTCGATGAACATGCTCAACGAGAAGATCTTCCTCGCTCTCTTCTACTGGCTTCTCGCTCTTCTCGTTCTCACCACCTACAACCTAATCGTCTCTATCGCTCACTTCTTCCAATCGTCCGCCAGACAAGAGTTCGTGAGCCGCATGCTAAATGCTGGAGGTCATAGAGCACTAGATGACGACGACAGCAATCCCGACGAGAAGATTCCACTCATCGACAGACCGACAACCTATTCGGTAACTCCTCCGTAAACTCTTCTCTAAATCGCTCTTCTCCTTCCAGAACGACTATAACCGCGTGCTTTCTCTCAGCCCGGACGTCATCGTCGTTCTCCATTTAATCGCGAAGAATGCCGGTGACAACGTCTGCCAGAGTGTCGTCAACGTGCTGTTTGAGAAGCTTTCCGAGAAATCTCAATAAACAAACAGTCGCCAATTATTTATGTCATTTGTGTATTGCTGTTTGAAACTATTATGAAACTTTTAAACTTTACTGTTTTCCCAGATGTGCACGCGTTGGCCCATGCTCCAGTCCGTTCTGTTGGCTCAGCCGTCCGTCCGTTCGCAGACTGACCAGTCGCCTTTCCCTTTTTGACCATACTCCCAAATAACACTAAAAATGCGCTCTCATTCTGTGATCTCCTCTTTTCTCCTACTATCTTCAGTACATTTTGGGTGTCCATCACAAGACATTGGTGAGAACCTCTTCACGATCGAGTATAAAATCTCAGTTATGTTCAGAATACCGAGCGTGTTGCCAGGTCGGCACCAAATCAGAGAACTGCACCGCCTTCTTGGATCCTCGCGAACTCGTCAGAATCGCTTGTTGCGGAAGCCACGTTTACAACACTTCGAGTATGCTCTGCTGCGAAGGAAATGTACACAATCGGGACAGAGGTGCGTGCCATTTACTTTTTTATCATTGACCATAGCTAACTTCGTTATCATTGTGTCCCAATATAAGTAAATAATCGGGTTTTGTTTCAGGCGGTGTCATGGCTCATTCGTGCTGCGGCACACAACCGCTCCGCCTCGATCAGACCTGTTGCGGAGGGACTGTGAGTTAGCAAAGGGGCTGTGAGAAAGCATTGATCCAAAACGTTTTTGATCTGTGTTAAACAGTTTAACTCAAACTATGAAAAGATCTCTGCGTGATTGTTCTGAACCTCAAAAATCATCCCGCTGGAGTGTATCATCTTTCTGATCAAGCTAGAATGATTACGCAAGTTCACAAGATCAGTGGAGATATGTAATGTTTTCGCTGTCGCCAAACGAAAAACGCTTTCAGATCCACAACATGATTGCCGGCGACTGCTGCGGCACAGAAGTCTACTTCAAACGGGACACCACCCTCGTGTGTTGTGATCATGTGTTATCAGTGTAAGCGAAACGAACGGAAATTGACGGGATGCCATTCCACACACTCAAAAACAGACTTTCCCAAGCTCGTTTAGCGGTGTTTCGTCGTAAGACGTTTCTGATCTCGTGGCGCTCGTTTCGAGGTTGATGCCTTCGTCACCGCCACGAAGCACAGAAGAACGGACGGATGGGGGAACGACGGGAGGCTACGGTTGTAATGGGCAGATTGAGAGAGATGGGGGGAGAGATGAATGTGTAAAGCGGCGAAGGACGAAAAGATGAAGGTGTACCTCACGAATGAGTAATCGGGTGTAATGGCACGACATCAAGGTTCAGACTTCCAAAAAGACAACTCCAGATGAATTCCAGAAAGACAACTCCAGATGAATTCCAGAAAGACAACTCCAGATGACATGTGCTGCGGAACGTCCACTTTCGACGGCGGAATCCGTGAAATGTGCTGCGGGGATTCGGTGTTCGAGTCCTCGCAGTTCGACTCTTGCTGTCAGGCCAACAACGGAACCGCCCGCCCTTATCACTCGTCGTCGCATGTGTGCTGCGACGGTCCGCTCGAGAAGGCATCGCCAGCGCGTGCGTGCTGCTATCTCCGGAATGGCGACGGCAAATTTGTTGATACGGTGGGTAATTTGCTCGTGAGCCAATTGGCTCGCTGATAAGAGAGCACTGATAGACGGCACTTGTTTTGTTTGCAGCAGTACGACAAAACGAAGCAGTGCTGCAAGTACCCGTACGACAAGATTTATCCGATGGGAAAGAATAAAACTTGTTGATTTGATTGGTAATGAAACATACAAAAAAATGCGTTACGTCATCAGAATTTCCGCCCAAAGCCCCGAAAGATATCACATTCTGTCATCTGTTTCGGGGTGTCAAACCAATTACCAATGGAAATGAATCCGGATTGCAACATGCCCGTGTCTCCTTCTAAAAATGGTGTTACGATTGCAATTTGCATACATTTAGCGGTGTGTTTCGTTCTAAAAGTGCCTCTCCGTTGTTCAATGAGGCTTCTCCCTCTTATGCTTATTTTTCCGTTTTTCGCTTGTCATTCAAGAAGTGACGGCTTCCCGCGCCTGCCAATGCCATCCATTTGAATAGGCCCGACAGGTAACGAGATCAAGCAGCAGAAGCCCAAAAAGAGAAAGGGAAGAAGGACATCGGCAGGTGGGCGACTCGTCCCGCCTCTTCACAAAGGCCTCCTATAAAGAGGTGGCGGATCAGACCGTCATGCCATCTTTAGTAGCACCTTCTTTCACTCAACCAAAATGAGATTCTTCTCCGCCGCCGCTTTCGTCGCCGCGCTCGTCGCCTCCGGCTCTGCCTGCCTCGGAGGATCTGGAGGTGGTGGCTGCTGCCCTCCAGCTCAGCCGTCCTGCGGAAACCCATGGTAATAAGTACTCTTTCGCTTGCAAACTTTCCAATATTCAATGTTTCAGCGGAGGTGGAATCGCTCCAGCCCCAATCGGACCAGCTCCAGGAGGCTACGCCGTCGCCCCGGCCGCATCGTACGCCGCTCCACCACCACCACCAGCCTACGCTTCCGCCGGAGCCTACCCAGTCGGAAAGTAAAGCGAAACTCAAAAGCAACTCGATTGATGCCATGAGCTCTCAAGTTCCCCTTTCTGTATATTTCGAAACAGTTTTTGACCCTCAATAAATCGTTTTCATTGCAAAGTATTATTTGAACGTTTCTCTTTTCTGTCGGATTAAAACACAAAGCCGTGGATCTTGTTCGGTTCGGAAGAAAGTGACGTAAGCGGTGATTGGTCGGAAAGAATTCGAAAGTGAGGAGAAGCACGCAGACATGCAGCCGATTAGCTGAATTGGGTAACATGTGAGAGCGCGGCATGTTGAGGTTTGTGATATGGTCGTTCCAAATCGGTTTGTCCGCCAACATTCGTACTGTTGTCCTGTTACGGACTTGGAGAATGCGAAAGAATGTACTGAAAAAGGGAGCAAGCTTGAGATATCTATGCTTTCAAAATTGACCATGCGAAAATGTATTCAAATCGATGTATCTCAGTTGCCGGTAGAGATAACAGAAAGAAGTCACTTGATAAAATGTACTAATTGTCTTAGTGAGCAATTTATTAGTTGACAAGGTTTTTATATCTCCACCGGCAGCTGAGATATATCGTTTTGAACAAATGGTATTGGGGTGCCCTTCTATTACACACACACACACACACACACTTTTTAATGGATATCCAGTCAGCGCCAAGTTCATAAGATCAAATTTTGCTTTCCACGTTTTCGCGGCGAAGAAAGAACACTCAGCTGGCAGATATCTCGGGCAGTTTGCGCAATCTTTTTCGATAAATCAGATGACGTTGTAAGCATCAGACTATAAACGCGAGGAATTCTAATTGATCTTCGCTCCCTCAATTGGTCCTGGCTATACTGTGTATTGGTACTGTGTATTTAAGAAGTCTGATGAAAACTGAAAGCGAATTCGATTAGTCCTTTCCTTTAGTTGAAAGTGCGGATGGATCGAACACATCTGTAATCTTCCTCCAGAAATCTGTCTCAAGTCTGATCACATTTCTTTTCTCCCATTGCCTACACTTTTGCCAAAGACCAAAATGTTGCCCATTCCGACGGATTGCCGCCCGCTGACTTCTCCATCTCCGGTTTCCAACGCAGGTAACACCACCCGCCCCTCGTATTCCAATGAGGTATAAAAAGGAGCGAATGGTATTCGGACGCACATCCATCACGTTCCAGCCATGAGATTCTTCGCGCTCGCCTTCCTCTTCGCCCTCTTCGTCCTCGGCTCTGCCTGCATCGGCGGAAGCGGCAGCCAGTGCTGTCCACAAGCTCAGCCGTCCTGCGGCAATCCATGGTTCGTTCGTCAGCTGGCCCCGATCGCCATCTGATCCTTTCCATCTTTACAGCGGAGCAGGAGTCGGTCCAGCTCCCGTCGGACCCGTCGCCTACGTCGCTCCTCCACCAGCGTATGGTCCTGCAAACGCTTATGCTGTTGGAAAGTAGAACCCTGGCACAGGCACTGCCCTGCGTCGTCTTCGCACTGTTCATTTTTCTGTATATTTGGGACATTTTGTTTAACTTTCGGTGAATAAATCGCATCTCTGATATAAAGTGCGCTGAATGTGACAGAAGGGGCCATCCATTCCGCGTGAACTTCCCTCTAAACCAATGTTACCCTGGGCTAGGAATAGAGAAAAGAGAGCTGATGGACATTTCGCGATTGCGTAGCTATACAAATCTCTGGCGAGTCGTTGAAGATGCCAAAAGAGGAAAACACTGGTGGGAACGAAGGTTCTCGAGAATCAGCAGAACCGAACGACTTGCAGATGTTTCTGAGAATCAAGATGAACCAGAGGAGCTGAGTGCACAGACAAAACTTTATGTGCCGACGCTCGAGAAGGAGTACAAACTCAAGATTGATAAGATCCTCGGTACATCCATCTCCCGCCGATACTTCCCCATTGAAAATAGTCCCCTTCAGGCAGTGGTTCTTATTCGCGGGTCGCCCGTGCCACGTACGGAGACAAGAAGATCGAGGTGGCTGCGAAGATAATCAACATCACTCCGACTCGCGAGAAGGATGATTACATCAAGAAGTTTCTGCCGCGAGAGAAGGAGATCGTGAAACTTCTGAAGCATGACAACATATGTCGCCTCCACGACATGATCACCTTCCCGGATCACATTGTATTCGTGACGGAGTTCTGTGCCGGAGGAGACCTTCTTCGCAAGATGAAGGACATAAAAGTGATGGGTGAGGAGGACGCCAAGTTCACGTTCAGACAGTTCATCGCCGCGCTCACCGTAATCCCCAATCTTTCGCTCCCCCGTTCACCCCGATCCCATTCCAGCACCTCCAATCCTACAATATCGTCCACCGTGATCTGAAGTGCGAGAACATCTTCCTGGACAAATACGAGAATGTGAAACTCGGTGACTTCGGCTTCGCGCGTATTTTGAAAGCGGGCGAGAAGTCTGGAACCTTCTGCGGATCCCGGGCTTACGTGGCTCCCGAGATCCTCCGCGGAAGAGAATATTCGGGAAATGCGGTGGACGTCTGGAGCACTGGCATCATCCTCTACATCATGCTCACCGGCTCGATGCCCTTCGACGACCGTAACCCGCAGAAGATGATCGAGAGGCAGTTGGCGCACAGAGTCAAGTGGGAAAAATACGCTCGTTCCCTTGCAATCACTACTTTTTAGATTCCCAAAATCGTGCACGGCGTCGACTCACGCTAAGGCTCTCATTCTGGAAATTCTGCAGCCGCACGCTCCGAATCGCCCAACGTACAAGTCGATTTGCGAATCGGAGTGGCTCCGAAACCAGCCGTATTACATGAGACCGAACGAGCCGCCGAAGATGGGAGCAGAGAAGGTTTTGACCCCGAAGGTGCCAGTGAAGGACAGCAAAAGACAGCATGCTTGAGATTGTGAACCCCTCTACCGATATAAATGAGGTTTCGGTCTTTACTCTCGAATAGAATATCTCAAACTGAAATTGTCCACTTTCACATCTTGATTTTGATTCTTGAAATGCAGAAAAATGCATTTGAACTGAAATGGAGAACAGCAAGTCAATTGTGCACGTTTCCAATGATTCCGAAACTGATCGGTGTGATCGTCGGCCTATTTATCACCACGTTTTGCAGTATAAAAGAGTAATCGCAAAACGGAGAAACACGTGCCTCTTATCAATTTCTTTTTTCTCTTGTTTACTGCCTCCCGACCACACTGTTTCCGTTCCCTGCACTGACACTTCAGTCTGTTGTATGCAAATGGGAAGCATGCTGAAATTGGTGCTCGTTGTTTTGTTGGCCTTTCTAGTTCAGTACGTCTTTAAGACACTGTAAGTTTTGTTTTTAACTAGAGAATAGAGAACAGCATTTATTTATCACTCAGGTTGATGTTCGATATAAACAAAAGAACGTACAACCACAGGCCGGGAGAGTGCAGGAAAGTGGAAGGGCCTGTGCACGGATCGGAGGACATCGCCGTCGTCGAAGAGAAGAACGTCGCATTCGTCACCTCCGGCATCGTCTATTTGAATCCGGATCCGACGCACGCCACATGGAAGGGACAAGTGTTTTTATACGATTTGACGAAGAGAACGTACAAAGCAGAGTCGCTGCCCATTCTCAATTTGGAAGAGCCGGACTCATTCTATCCGCACGGCATTTCCCATTGGATTCTGAAGGATGGGTCCGTCCGTCTCTTCATTGTGAACCACTCGGGATCATTCGAACATTCCATTGTGATTCTTGATTTCGATGAAGCGAAGAGACAGTTGAAGCACGTTCGGACTGTGAAAAACGAGAAATTTGTCCGTCCGAATGACCTAGTCGCCACCGGGGAGAACTCATTTCTGCTGTCAAATGATGGAGGGGCTCAGACGAGATTGGGAAACGCTCTGGAAATGTTCACCGGGATTCACAAGGGAGGGATCGTGTACTTTGATGGAACGGTTCGGAATAGTCGAATTTAGGATGATCGGCTTTGTTTCAGAATTCCAAATATCTTCTAGAGAATGACGTTGCGAACGGAATAATTCTCTCGCGAGATCGGAAGACTCTGTTCGTTTCCCACATAAACCAGGAGACAATCGGAGTCTTCGAATGGGATCAGAAGAACGTGGCGATCCGAAAAATCTCCGAAATTGAAACTCTCACAGGCTGTGATAACTTTTACATTGACCAGAAAAACCATTTGTGGTCGGTGAGTATCAGCACTTTCCCCGCAAAAACTCTCCCTCTCCAATTCGTTTCAGGGCTGTCATCCAGTGCTCAAAGACGCTGTCGCCCACATCGCCGACTACACAAACCCGTCCCTTCATTCGCAATCGCAAGTGCTCCGCTTCAAGTTCTCCTCCGATCTGAAAACGGCCGAAATGGTTGAAGTGTACTCGGACGACGGCAGATTCACGAGTGCGAGTGCCGTCGCGACGCCCTTCGATGACGGAAAACAACTGTTGATCGGAACGGTTTTCCGCGATTTGACCCATTGTGATATTGTGGTGCCACTTGATTTTTGATGTCGAAAATATAAAAATAATAAACATTAAATACTGATCCCTTGTCAATCAAGAAAAAGATAGTCACGATGCAATTGATGATAGATTCTGCGCATTTGTGTATCGATGATATCTGAAGGGACACATCAAGATAGAGCAGAAACCGAAGATGTGTTCTTCGATAGAACTGAGTGACCTCCTAATTCGAAAAACAGAATGGGCCATTCATCGAGAATCACTCAATTCTCTAGTCTCCGCTGTACCCATTTCCGTCTCGAATTCCCAATTACCCGCCACCGATTGAAGTTCTCGATCATTCGATTATTTACTTCTTCCCGTCTCCTCTCTTCCATCTTTGTTTTTTCTTCGGTTTTCGTCTGCCACACTTTTTTGTTTTGTTTTTGAAGGTTTCACTCTGCAAAAATGCTGCTGAAAGTGTTGTTGCTCGTCCTTTTGGGTCTCGCCATTCAATTTGGATTCAAAACTTTGTGAGTCGGCATTTGATTTATCTCCTTTCAAAAGAGCCATTTCCAGTTTGATGTTCGATATCAACAAAAGAATATACAACCACAGACCCGGGGAGTGCAGAAAGATTGAGGGACCGGGTAAGGAAAAGGACTATCCCTCGTTCGGCTTTCATCTTTTTCTTTCAGTGCAAGGATCAGAAGATATTGCGTTGATCGAGGAGAAACAGATCGCATTCATCTCTTCTGGACTGGTCTACCTCCCAAAGGATCCGTCTGAAATCACGTGGAAAGGACAGATCTTCCTGTACGACCTGACCCAAAGGACTTTCGAAGCAGAGGCAGTTCCGGTTGTGAATCTGGAAGATCCGGAAGAATTCCACCCGCACGGACTGTCCTATTGGATACTGAAAGACGGGACCGTCCGTCTTTTTGTAGTCGTCCACTCGAAACGCTTCCAACATTCCATTGTGCTTCTCGATTACGACGAGAAGAAGAAGCAGTTGAAGCACGTGAGAACTGTGAAGGACGAAAAGTTCGTCCGTCCGAACGACGTCGTCGCCACCGGAGACAATTCGTTTTTCGTCTCCAATGACGGAGGAGCGCAGACGAACGGCGCGAACGCCTTCGAGATTCTCTCCGGACTCTACAAAGGAGGACTGGCTTATTTTGACGGAAAAGTGAGTGATCATGCATACTTCCTAGGAATTTGAATGTTTCAGAATAGCCAATACCTCCTCGAGAATCATGTTGCGAACGGAATCATTCTCTCGCGAGATCGGAAGACGTTGTTTGTTTCCCACATAAACCAAGAGACCATCGGCGTATTCGAATGGGATCAGATGAATGTGGCGATCCGGAAGATTTCGGAGATTGAGACTCTGACTGGCTGTGATAACTTTTACATCGACCAGAAGGACCACTTGTGGTCGGTGAGTACATGTGCACCATTTTCCTTCGACTGATTGCGATTACAGGGATGCCATCCAGTCATGAAGGACGCTCTCGTTCATCTCGGAAACCACTCGGACCCCACCGCCTACGCGCCATCGCAAGTGCTTCGTTTCACATTCTCGCCAGACTTCAGAACGGCAGAAATGGTCGAAGTGTTAGCCGACGACGGACGGTTCGTCTCGGCGAGTACGGTCGGTTGTTCGTTCGACAATGGGAAGCAACTGCTGATCGGAACCGTCCTTCGCAATCTCATTCACTGCGACATCGCAGCTCCGTTAGATTTTTACTAGGTTTATATGGCACTATCACAATGAATGAGGGAATAAATAGAATGAGAATAATACAGAAGACCGGATGAGAAAAGAGAAAAAAGAAATGGGAAATTAGTCCTGTTTTCGAATGAATTGCACGATGTATCCCTTTGAAGTCATGATTGAGCGCTTTCGGACCCAAACGGAGTACCGAGAAAGCCACGTCGTCTCGAAAAGAGGGGAGCACATGGAAGTCGAGCAGCTATCACTGACCTGAACACAGATTTTACAATTTCTGAAGCGAGAAAGTCTTCCGAATTTCAAAATGTCTTTTGAAAGTTCTCCAAAATTTTCCCCGGTTTACAGCCTATTGAGGATGATATAAGTATTAATATCCGAAACCTACTTGACAGAAAGTTTTGAAAATGTTGTTAGTTGGGAATGGAGTGGGATCGTTGTGCACAAGCAATTGGACGTCGTTGTCATTGGCAAGTGCCTGCAACTCTGGAGGAACTTGGCAGCATCCGTCGAGGCGAACGTGGTTGATGCTGGGCTTCACGTCAAATTGCGCCAGAACTTCCTTCAGCTGTCTGGCCGAGAAATCCGAGACTCCGATGGAGGCAATCTCGGAAGTGTCAACGAGTTTCTCCATGTACTCGTACAACGGCTTCACTTTCTCAAACCAACGACGGTGCTCGTCATCTTCCGATTCTCCGTCGATCAATTCCAACTCCGGAAACGAAAGAATGAGCACCTGGAATTTCGATTTGTTTTTACACTCATGCTCACATTCTAACCTCAATATCTTTCGTTTTGAGCTGCTCTTTCAGACTCGTGACTGCCTGGTCAATCTGTTGAATATCCCACGCAGACAGAAAGACCTGCAAAAAGAATGATTGCATTCCAGATTCCAACGCCCTCTAGTCCCACGTACTTTCATCGTAATTTTGATCTCGTCTCTCTCGTAGTTGTCTATGTGGTCATTGTCGCACAGCAACAAGCAGCTGTTCTCCTGGAAGTCACGATTCATGAAGAATTTGGGCGGCCGGGAATACCTGGAATTCGGCGGCAATCGGATTTGAGTTTAATTGGAGGTCCAGACATGCCGAGAGCTCTTCCGCAGAGGTTTCGAATCGACGCACCTGCAACATGAATTGCATTAATATTACGAAATATTTTGCATTGTCCTAATGAGCAAGTTCCTCATTATTCCCCCTTAATTCCTACTTTCCCCGTCTCGTTTCCATCTTGTCGCTAGCATTATACGGTCGACGTCTCCGACGCGACGTCCAGACCCTGTTTTCTGACAAGTTTTTATCACGCGCGCACTCTTTCTCTCATTCGTTTTCGTACTGGAAGGTCAGTCGGTCTCGTTTCGTGTCAGCCAGTCCTCACCTTCAATTGTGTGTATCCATTGACGTTGCCAGTGTGAAGTCGGAACCGAGTCAACGGCGTCAGTCTGTTCAGGAACGTTTGGCAGTACGTCATCCGGAATTGCTGTACTGAAAAGGAACTTTGAATGGACAGAGAGAGAGAGGGAGAGAGAGACTGAAGCAAGAAAACGAAGCAAGAAGAGGCAAATAGAGCTCCGCGAGCACAGCTTTTGTTGATATTGAGGCAGTGCGGCAGCCGCGAAATGAAGGTGGAAGTGACGGAAAAACATGACAAAATGGGGAATTGTCATCATTTTTTCGAGGTTTCCTTCTCTCGTCTCGCTCCCCGACATCTCCTATTTCTCATCTCCCTCTTCGGCTTTGCCTTGGAAACCAAGCGCGCACACAGCTGAGGAAATAAGGCTTGAGATGTGATTGCGATCTCGATTACATCACTTGTCAAGTGGAGGATCGACAGTTTCGGGACATAGAGGGGGCTTTTAGACGCAAAAGGGTGCTATAAACACACAGAAGGCCTCCCCAAAACAGGAACAAACTGCTTGTCTCCGGCGGCTAATTAATACCCTTTCTATCTTCTTTTTTCTCGCAAAAATTCAATGTTAAACAACGAAATTGACTTTACACTGGACAGAGAAAGAGGACGAAGAGATAACAGACAGAATCACGAAAATTGATAACTTCTCTTCTTCACTAAACGAAATTTTCTTTCTGATTCGTTGAACTTTTGCGTTACGAGCAAAGGTAAACTTTTCAAAAGTTGAAATGTTTTCGACCAACAGCCCGAGAAAGTTACACTTTTTATACTTCTTCACAGCGTTTTTAATCTCGCTAATCGCATCTCCTGCTTTTTTCAGTTAATAACTACTAATGCGACTCGAAATGTCATTCAGCATACCCAAATGCCTCGCAATCCGTCGCATTCCGAACACAAAATGAGTGGGAAAATGGGGCGGCGCCCGGCTGTTTGAACTGCCGGCGCAGTTTGATTCGCAGGTCTTCTCTACAGTATGCCCGCCGATCATCGATTTTCTCATTTCGCATCTTTTCGCCTGTTACCGATCCGTCGATTAGTCCGGCCCAACTCGCCCGGCTCTTCAGAATAATCCGAGAAGGCGCCGTCACACGGAGCACGCATTTTTCTCCCTCCCGTCTTCTCCGCTCGCTAAGCTAGCCACTGCCCGTGGGGAAATCGATTTTCGGGTCGATACGTCCGTCGACGGCCCGTCTCCTCTTTACACAGCATGGCCTGCTCATTTATCGCATTCGCCGTCGTTTGGGCCTTTCCTCTTTTCTCCCCAATACATATACTACACGTCTCAATGTTACATTGTGTGACACGTCCATTTTTGCCCGAAATTCTGCGTGTTGCGTGGAAAGTTTGTCATCGAAATTGCCATGATCGCTTCATTTTCTATCCAATTCGTTTTCAAGCCAGATATTTAGTCACTTGTCTCTCGGATATGTCGTCGCCGTTTGTGTACGCCGTTTCGCGAAAAATTTCGTCAGAATGACTCAATCATTGATTTTTCAGAAGCGAAACAATGGCTTGTGGACTCGCTTTGAAGAGACCTTTGCAGCATGAATATGAGTCTTTTTTGACCGAGGAGTCATACAGCAATGAAGCAAAGCGAGCACGGACGCAATGCCCACCTTTTCGGGCTCAAATGGGAACAATTGCAGCAACGTTGCCATCGACTAGCACATTCGCGCAGAAGTTCAAGGAACAGGTTTGTGATTCCGAATTTTACATCGCCGAGTTATATCATAAAAGTAACGGCCGTAAAGTGGCGAACAGTCGCGAATTTTATAGGATTCTGGACATACTTTTTCAAGACAACATTTGTTGCGAAATTTAGAAAAATCGATTGGTCATGCCGATAATCGTCAATTTTTTTTAGGGGGAAAGTGTTTTCCAAGCGGCCACATTGATGACCCGTCTTTCGAAAAACCAGCTCAAGACTTACCTCTGCTCTGAGGTCAAAAATCTCCGGAAGAGAAAAGCTATCCCGCGATACAACGACACGGACGATGACGGTGATCAGAAAGGCGATGGAACTTGCTCGACATACTCGAAGTCTTACCGTGCCCCGTCCTCACCAAAGGTAAAGCCAGCCATTAATTTCAGAAAACTAGGCATGTGTCTGTTTTTCCTCTTCAAAGTTTTCAATACTTTGTCGAGCCGAATCGGACACAATAGCAACGGCAGATAGCAACTAGTTTAGCTCCTCGTTATTGGACGAACTATACTAATTTTCTGACTACAAAACTAGGTTTTGATGTGAAAATTTTTACTTTTTTACAATACTTTGATTTTTCAGTCCGGTTCCGACTCGGAAGGCGAAGCACCGTCCACTTCGGTCAATTTGCGCATTACCACGAAGCGGGAATTCACGATGGCCAATGTTCAAGCCATTTGCGAGCGTCTGCTCAAAGAACAAGAAGTCCGCCTGAGAAACGAGTTCGAGGTGGTTCTGGCCAAAAAATTGGATGGTACGACATAACTGCGTTCAGTTCTCAAAAAAATTGTCATTTTCAGAGCAACATCAGCAGTATGTTCAATTTGCTGCCGAACAGCTCGGACAGAAGTGTGTCACTGCCGGAGACGACTACTCTTACTCCTACCTCTCCTAATGCCCTCCGTCTAAGTAATCCCATACTCCGCTTCCCTCTATCCAGATTCAAAAACAAACCAAATAAAATTCGGATCACTTGCTTTTGTCAGCCTTTTCTTCTTTCTCATTTCACAACTTCACATTATGATACTTTACAGTTTCTCGCTCACTGGTACATATTATAATGCGGCTATTCTGTTGGTCTTACCCCTACTTTCCGCCTCGCACGTAACCTGAAACCGTTCACTTCTCGCCTTTGACTCTTTACCTCTCATAGGCATTGACTGTATAAGGTTTTGAAATTAGAAAGAGAATAGATTTTCTTAGCTTTTGTCCACTACTCAATCCTCCCTATTGCTCTCAACGCTTGTGTGCCTCGTTTTCAAGCACTTTCTTTCAATTGATATTGTGATAATCGCAGTGCGGCATAATGCTCACTCAAAAGCTTCCTCACTACTGTTGTGTAGTTTTATGTCCGTTGTCAACATCATCTCTACACCGGCGACAAAATTTTACGATATAAAATGTTCAAACAATAAAGTGCGTCAATGTAATTTATTGGAACTGTTTGTGATTGACGCATGTTTTTAGCATTCAACACATTCTTCTAGCGCTTCGCGTAGTTAACCTGGTTTCAGTGTTCAGTTGCAGATGGAAGTGGTTGGCCTGATTTCGGGCGGCAAGGACAGCTGCTACAATCTAATGTGCGCGGTCCGAGAAGGACACAAACTGGTGGCTCTCGCCAATTTGTACCCACCAAAAGACGCGAAGACCGACGAACTGGACTCATACATGTATCAGAGTGTGGGGGCGGACGGCGTCGAGGTACGCTTCTGAAAAGATAAAAAGAGAGAAACAGTTTCAGTTGTACGGAGAAGCGATGGGATTGCCGTTGTACCGGCGGGAAATCAGCGGGGAGCCGAAAAATCAGAAGGCGGAATACGAGATGACGGAAGGCGACGAAGTGGAGGATCTGTACGAACTGCTGAGGGAAGTGAAAAAGAAGCACCCGAGCGTACGCGGAGTCTCCGCCGGAGCCATTCTCTCCAGCTATCAGAAAGTGCGCGTGGAGGACGTGTGCTCGCGGCTCGGACTCACTCCGCTGTGCTTTCTGTGGGAAAGAGAACAAAATGTGAGTCAGATAGAGTTTCGAACGTTTAAATTTCTTAATTTTAAAGCAACTTGGGACGCGTGCCTAGCGAAATAGGGTTTGCAAAAACGGACCAAAGCTTGATTTGAGCAACAGTGGAAAATTGGTGTATTAGGACACAAATCGGGTCATTTTATGTTTTTTGTGTCATGAACCTCTGGGACATTTCTGAAATTGTTTCTGGAAGGATGCACAGGCAATTATCTTCTAAAAATTAAAATTTTACCCAAAAAACTAGTAAAAGCTTTGACTTTCCGAAAGTTGACGATACTCTTTCCGGCAATTGCCTAGTTGCCAAAGTTTGGCGTTGCCGCACAACCCAGATTCCGATCAAAAGAATGAAAGTTAAAATATGGAAGAATTCGCTGCGCATCGCACCAGAAACGTCCAATTCGTCGTCATGGAAACCGACAGCGTCTATTTATATCTTCAGTGAACAAAAAAATATATTAAACCGTAAAAATGACAGAAAAGCAGCGAGAAATGGAAAACCCGCCGGAAAGTTTCAAATTTCCGCCGCGCACTTCGATTTCTTGACGTCATCATCATTCAGGGCCTGCTCGCTGAAATGGTTTCCGACGGACTCGACGCGATTCTCATCAAAGTAGCCGCGATCGGGCTCGGCGAGCAACATTTGGGAAAGACGCTCGCGGAAATGGCGCCGATTATGCGTACGCTTCAGGAGAAATACGGGGTGCATCCGTGCGGAGAGGGCGGAGAATTCGAGTCGTTCGTCAGAGATTGCCCCCTTTTCAAGAAGCGAATCGTCGTCGATGAGACCGAGGTATTCTGAAGAAGCACGTCTACATTCTGTATTTGTTAATTTCAGACTGTGACCCATCAGGACGACCCGATTGCTCCCGTCTTTTACCTCCGTCTTAAGAAGATGCACTTGGAGGATAAGTGAAGATAAGCTTTCACTTTTGTTGAAATTCATTGTTACTGACTTGTGATAAATTCTCCAATAAATTATATTCTTGTAAAGTTGAACGAATAGTCGAACTAGTCGACATTATAAATACTTGAGGACAAAAGAGAGAAAGGGCTGACAGGTTGGAATTATTTTCCTCATTAGATAAAATAGTAATTGAATAAACGATTATTACGGGATGTCGTCCGGAGCGTCTAGATCACGGTAAGAGATCTGCGGGCGGCGCTGGATGTTGTCGTCGAAGAATCTTCCTCCGCCACCACGTCCTCCGAGGCTTTGTCTCGGTGGCGGCGCACGATTCCTGTCGTAACCGCCATTACCAAACGAGTTGCCTGAAAATGAATCGTTCCAACACACTAAGAACTCCGTTTCCACTCACGATGTCCTCCGATCGGTCCTCGATCATCCTCGCGGTCCCTTCCGTATCCTCCACGGTCTCCACCACTGCTGCGATCTTCTCTCTGCGCCGGCGCCTTAGGCTCAACATCAACTGGCCGGGCGGCGTCGGCGAGGTAGTTATTGAAGAAATCCGCCTCGATCTTGGCCTCGTCAAGCTTGTCCTCGTGCTTCGATTGCAAGTGCTTTCGGATGAACTCGGGCCCTTTGAACTTCTTGCCGGACAACGGACACAACCATTTGTCCTTGGCCAGTTCGACAGTGTTCTTCAGAATGAACGCTTCGACTTCTCTGAAAATAAATTCGTTTTTTTGTAGAAAGTTTTACTGCAACTCACTTTTCTCCGTCCTTCTTTCCCATTTTTTCCATTTCATCTTCACTCACATACTGCTTCTCGATGAGCGCCTTGTCGACACGGCTCGCGAATCCCGAGATGAAATCGGTGACGAACTTTGAGGAAACAAGAAGCTGCCCGTCGGCATCTTTAGAAACCAAGGTTCCACTTGGCATCTGTCCACGGACATGAATCAGGCCGCACCGATTTGGCATCAAGTCCTCTTGCGTGTAGTGTCCGTGATTGTAGAAGTCAATCGAATGAACGATGCGAAGGTAAAGAATCAGAAGATCGAGGGCCTTCAAAACGTTCGCATCCCTGTCGAAACGGACCATATCGGTCTGCGACTCTTCTCCGTTGGTCTGTCCGAGCAGCTCGGCTTCTTCCTCACTGATCTCATCCAGAATATCATTCGGAATCAGAGTACGGATTTCCTTGAGAAGCGGGTTCGTAGATGCTGCAACAAGATCGACTCCCATGCGGATGTCCTTCTCTCGATCACTTTCCGATTCTCCGGCAGCGTTGAACAGACCCTGCTTCTTGTCGTACAGAGCAACGAGCTTCACAACAAGTTTTAGGTCACTGACGGACGCAGGCTTGTGGCCAGCGACTCCGTTGATTGTACGAATACGGCGAGTAATATCCCGGTTGATGATGGCATTCAGGTCGGTCTCGCGGAGCCTGTGAGAGTTTAGAGTCCAGCAGATCTCCTTGATGTTGACATCACGCTTGAAAGTAGCCCACCCACGTCGGAAGAATCTTCTCTCAGCGATTCCGTCGGTGAGAGCGAGACGAAGGAAACCCGGACTTCTCTTGCACAGAGCCTCTAGTTCTTCGTAAGTGATACCTGGCGGAATGTTTCTCAAGAAAACAGAGCAGGTTTTGTGAATGTTGACTTTGTTCGACGACTTTTCACTCCCATCGTCGATGGCTCCCTCCTCGAGCTCTTCCTTAACAGCCGGCTCTTCCTCTTTCACTTCTGTCTTCACTTCCTCGATTCCGTTGCTGTTTAACTTTTTCGCATCAGCCAAGGACTCGTCGTCAACCTTCTGGGCGAGAACTGCCTTCAGCTCGTCTTCTGTTCCATTTTCCAATTTGACAACCACTGCAAAGCCACACTTTTCTCTTCAATATTATTTTTCAAAGTTTTACCAGAATCGAGCATACGGATAATAGCTTCCGCATTCTCGAAATCGAGAGAAAATCCATCAAAAGTTCCTTGGCTCTTCAGCTCATTGAATACCTCCAATCGATGCTTGACATTTTCCAAATGAGCTTCTTTAACCTTGCTCGCATCACTCGGATTGTACTTTTGACGGAACCTGGAAAAAGCACATGGACGAGGTGTGCGCAGCTCATTATGGCGGGAAGATGGCAATAATGAATGGGAAATGGGGGGGGGAGTCATGGAATCAATCGAAAGAAGGCATCCGCGCCGAGCAAAACGAATCATGTATCTTATGAATCCATTCGTTTTGACCGCGGCATAATGCGCCTCTGGTCTCGATCAACTGCTGGAAAAGCTGAAAACTCAAATTACCATTCTTCCTCTTTGTGAGAACGGAAAAAGCGCTCGAGCTGATGTTTTTTATGCTCGCTCTTGTACTCGTTGTACTTTTTGATGGCTTCCTCCTGAGAAATGTCATCCTCCATGTTTCCGAGGAATCTTTTGAAGGACAGAAGCGGCCCAGAATAGGCGTCATCTCCTCCGACAGCCTCGTCGTTCGGACGGTCTCCCCGTCCAGCAGGGTCGAATCCATCGTCTCCGTCACTGGAAATCAATCATGTCGTAAAAATCAATAAAAATATTACTCACTCTCCACGACTTCTCTTGAATTGATAATCGTCTCTCCTTCCTCCGGGTCTTTTGTTGTTGTCATAGCGGGAGTATCCACCACCGCCACGTCTATAGCTGCAATTTTTAAGAAAAATCAGCATCGAGACGAATCCGAACCAACCTGTCATCGTCACGACGTTCTCTGGCGAATTTATCGCGGCGGCGATCAGCATCATCATCAGAGTCCATCATTTCTGGAAATATCGATTGATTTGTTAAAAATGCGTGGAAATTGAGAAAGTTATGAAAAAACGGATAGACTAGCAATTAGAAGAATCTAAAATGAACATAAGCAGAAGAACACTAATATGTTTGCGTACGCGAATGTCTCTTTTTTGTACTGTTTTGTGCGTGCTCCGTTCGAAGCGTCGCGGTTGCGCGCTGCGGCATGGTGCGAGTGGGCGGAGTCTGCTGTGCGCAAAGACAGCGCGCACTTAGTCCCGCATTTATTCAAACATTCGAAAGTGTTCATAGATTTCTGGAGTTTTCAGTTCATTTCGGTCTGAAATTGTTTTCAGTTTTCTTTAACAAAATGAGTGATATTTCGCTTGATTACGAAGGCAGTTCGCGCAGTTCCCGCTCGTCATCTAGAGAAGTAAGTTAACTTTGCCGGCCGAAAAAGTTTCAAAATAGAAATTGCTAAAATATTTTTTGTTTTGTTTTCAGAACCAGAAAAGAACAAGTCGGAGTAAAAGTGAAGGTAAAGATGACAAACCGATGTGGAAATCAAAAAGGTTCGCGATAGTCCGTAAATTTCAGTTTTTTTGCAACGTACTCTTTCAGATCGTACTCAAGTGGCAGTGACAGCCGCAGCAGAAGCCCCTCTTCTTCCGGCTCATCCAGTCCAGCGAGAAGTCCGTCTCCGAAACGGAAGAGAGAGCCGATTCGTGCTCCGAGTCTTACCCCGCCACGAAGACGTGACTCTCCGAGAAGACGCAGCAAATCTCCGCGTCGTCGTCGTAGTCCATCTCCTATCCGAGAAAGAAGACGTTCTAGAACACGATCTCCTCCTAGAAGACGTTCTCGAACACGATCACCTCCCAGAAGACGTTCACCAGTAGGCAGGCGACGTCTGCCAAGCCGGTCGCCGAGAAGAATGAGGAGCTTACGATCGCCGTCTCCAGCCAGAAAACGCTCTCCAAGAAGATATCAGGGGTCGGCTAGTCCTAAATCTCCATCCAGAAGACACGAAAGAAATGGGTCTCCGATGCGAAGACGTAATGGCAGTCGGGATAGAACTCCGCCAAGAAGAAACTACAGAAGACAGAGATCAGGATCCAAGTCACCTGAGAACTGGAGAGACGCTGAAGAGAAACGTAAAGATGCAATGTGGATTTCAAGAAGAGAAGAGCGAGTTGGTATTCAAGCAGATGGGCTGATCAGCGTGTGGGGACACTCTCCGACACAGGAAGAAATACATGACACGTATAAGCTGAGAGTAGAAGCCGATGAAATCGAAGCAGAGAATGAAAAGAAGGGAGAGCAGCTGAAAGAAGACAGAAGAAAGGCAAGAAAGAGAGAGATGCGAGCGGTGAGAAACGTGTCCGAAGACGATTCGTCGACATCTTCCGAATCAGAAGACAGTGGAAAGGAGGAGGAACGAAAGAAGAAGGTCAAGAAGACAAAAAAGAACAAAAAAGAAAAGAAGAAGGACAAGAAGAGCAAGAAAGCGAAAAAGGAGAAAGAAGAAAGAAGGGCCAGACGAGAGCAACGGAAGAAGGAAAGAGCTGAGATCAAAAGAAAGATCAACAATCGATCGGACACAGAAGATGAATGGGAAGAGAAGAAGCCCGAGAAAGTGTCCGGAACGATTGGAACCTGGAAAGAAGGAAGTATGTCACCTACTCCGATCCTGCCGGATCACATAAAGCAGCGAGACCAGGGCAGCGCGTTCTTCGACGTAGAGAAGCCTGGAAACTACGGAAAAGATCTTCTGAAGGGTGAGGGCGCCGGAATGGCCGCCTACGCAGCACGTGGAGAACGTATTCCGAGAAGAGGAGAAATCGGACTGTCGTCAGGAGAGATCGCCGAGTACGAAAAGGTCGGATATGTGATGTCCGGATCGAGACACAAAGCCATGGAAGCGACGAGATTAAGAAAAGAAAACCAGGTAAAATCAGAAACATTGAATAAGTATACATTGTTGTTTACAGATCCTGACGGCCGAAGAAAAACGTCTGCTAAGTGGAGTGTCGTTCGAGGCGAAGAAGAAGAAGGAGGAGGCACAGCTCGAGCAGCTCCGAAGTTTGATCCGCAACAAGAATATGCGCAATTGAACTTTCCATATGATATACTTGTTTGCTACTCTCTCTTTAATATGACCCCTCGAACATTTCCCCGAAAAAAAACGAATTTTTTTCAAAGAAGTTTCATTGTCACTTTCCCCGGAAGTGTGAGAAAACATGTGTTGCGAACGGAGATTGATCGGCGGGTCCGTTGTCTTCCGACCTAAATGGCCGACTTCCGAGTCACCTTGAAGGGCGACGCCAGCTTGTCGTCGCCACCAGATCAAACATTTTTGACACGAATCCATCGCCCGGAATGTACGTAATACATGGCGGCCGCGATCACAAAAAAGTGTCTCATCCCGGTTGGAGAGCGGACTACTGTACTTTGGGGTCGTCCAACGGAAACCATTCGAAACGAATCAAATAAATTAGCATATTTATTGGAGAAAAGGGCGCAAGAAAAGTGGGGGCGAGGAGAGAGGAAAGTAATTAGAAAATGGACGGAAAACATGCAATTGTACATATCGCCAACACAACCCGTACAAGCGAAACGAACTGATTCAGCCGGACTGAGAACGAAAAAAACGAAAGAGAGAGAGAGAAAACGGGGCAACGCCGAACCAGAACTGTCCCGAATCAGAACCAATTAGCACTGAAAATATTTCTGATTCGGGACAGTTCTGGTTCGGCGTGCCCTCGAAAAAACGAAGAGGATTCAGAAGATGAGGCTCTTTGGTGGAGTTCCGTTGCACGTGGATATCCATCGGTGCTGGATGCAGTCCTTGCAAACCAGGTTGCAGCACCACACGAACTCGCAATCACACTTCACGCGCACAACTTCGTGGCGAATCTGGAATCAAAGGGAATTCACTTGATTTCGCTGAAAATTGTGGAAATTCTAAACTAACACTGAATCCGTTTCCGCAGCACAATCTGTCGCAGTCCCCTTGAGTGTGGGTCTCATTCCGCCACGCACAAACCCTTCCAGCTACTGTCTTTGCCTGAAATCCTTTATTCTTACACTCACGTATCTCCCAGTGAATTCTTACTTTGCAAACATCCGGGGAAGATTCCAAATAGATCAGATCAGTCGTTTTCACCATCGAATCATCTGTGTACAGTTTGGCGCGAGCGTATCTAGAAGTTAAAGTAGAATAAAGAACAGAGTCATTCGAACTTCTCGACGAGGTAGTCCGTTATGTGCTCCAGAGTCGCCGTCCGCTTCCAGCACGTCTTCTGCTGACACGACCCTGACACTCCGTGGCATTTGCACGAAGAGATCAGCGTCTTCTTTATCGCCTGAAACCCCTTTTTCCGTCTCATGAGACGCTTCCGGCGCTTGCTTACCAATCTGCCCGCTTTCAAGTTGTGCTTCTCCACCTTCCGCAACAAAGTGTTCACGGCGCCGACCTTTGTGAGCAGCTTCCGACTGGCCGTTATTCCGTGCTGAACACCGTGCGTGCATCTGCAATACAACCGGAATCGGTGCGCCGTTCGGTTCCCTTTGACGCCTACCCGCCGAATTCGTACTCGTTCTGGCCCAGATTGTTATTGCACGCACAGTCATCTATCCACCCTTGGGCGCATGCCGTCGCCACTCCCCAGGCGGCCGAAGCGGAAGACAACGCCCAAATGAGTGCTGACTCGCGGAAACCTTCAAGTGGAAACGATAATAGCGAATGGAAAAGAAGGGAAGGGCACACCTGATCGGAGCAACGGAGGGTCGTGCATTATATTGCCGGCTTCCGAGCAGTCCCATTGCTGGAATCTCAGTCGATTCGCACAATTGGCAAGTCCTTCTTGGATGCCTTCAAACGCTGAAATCACTGTGGCGGGATGAGATCGGCACGCGAGTTGGATGGATCGGAGAGCTCGCGAATGAAGCAGATCCGATGGACATCCCTGCAAAGGTTGCGGGATTTGAATGTTAGTTACCAAGGTGGATGAACTGACCTGTTTGAGTATATTCGGCTTCGGAGGCTGTACGACCGTCCGAGGAGCACTCCGCGGAATCTCGTTCGTCGCCAGAGAACAGAGCAGGAATAGCGTCGAGAGAGCCGTGGATCGTGCGTAGAAGTCTGCTCGCATCACGCTGTGTCACTCAGCAAAGTGCGTCGATTCCTCGTTTCCGTCGCCGATGTTTCGCGTCTCTCTCATCCACACACTGTTTCTCACCGGACACCCAAATACCGTATCCCTCATTCCGAAGCCTGAGAAGACGAAAAAGTGGGCGTGGCCTCGGTGGGGGGCGGAGTCGAGTTTACGACTCGAAAATCGGGTCCCAAACCAACTGAAGAGATTGCCGCCGCCGCCGCGCACAAACCCGCCAAATTTTTATGGCTCCTTGTCGCGAGGGCCTTTTTGCGCCAATTATGCCATAAACCATAAACGGAGAAAAGGTCTTTTAATTGGCGGGGACTCGGAAAAAAAAGACTGAAGGGAACGGATTATCCCTGAACACTCTCCGATCCTTTATTGCCGCAGCCGAGTGTGACCCTGTCCTTTTCTCGAGATTTCTATGAAAAGGGGAATGCACTGATAGACATTTGACTGACTCTTTCCGTCATGATTTCCTGTACGTCTTCTGATAATCGCGTCGGTCCGTCGCTCGCCTATCATAACATTCCTCTCTCTTTTGCCGCTGACTAATCAAAACGAAATTGGAGGTAGAACGTGAGTCTCCGGCTGTCTCGCATCGTAAAACGGACACAAGATTGCCAATATAAACGATGTTTCGTCTACGTCTTCTTCTTCTTCTTCCTCTTCTTCTTCGATACTGTAGCGACGACCTCGAATCATCCATCTGCAATTCTGATTGTGGTGTTTGGGCGTGAAAGAAGAACCGATTACGGCGCGAAAGAAAGATTTCATTCGAAAACAAGATGACTCATTTACAGACATTACGGCTTCCGGGCAAAGATTATTTTCCTGCCGTCGGGTATTTCGATTGAGGAGCAACTGGAACCGCCGGCTGAGCATATTGGGGTGGTGGCTGGGCGTACGACGGAAGAGGGACCGCATAACTGGCGGGGCCGGAGGACGGAGGGGACACGTAGCTTCCGGAACTGCAAAAACGGACAAATTGCAAATGTTCAGACGGGCGAACTGAAATTGGAGCATGCGATACGCTCAACGAGGAACTCCGTTTCATCTGAGACTAGGAAAGTGTCTTGTGCTAACTAGGAAATGATTCATAGAAAAGTTGGCCTATCGTAACAAGACCTAGATGGGTGGAATGATCTCAACAAGGGGATTCCTTCATCAGTTTTGCTGCCGACCTCTGAAATCTGACGTTAGACTATCTTTTGCACTAAAACACTATTTTTGTGGGCGAGCGAATGTAATTAGACGTTCAGATTAGTTTTTTTTCAAGTTTCAGAAGTCGGCAGGAGAATTGAAGACGGAGTTTGGAATCCTCTCGTTGAGATCTTTCGATCGACGTAGGTCTTGTTCCGATTGACCAACTTTTCTAAGAATCTTTCAGGATTCCGGTTGAACTGCCCTACTCGTTTCCTCACTGCCAACTCACCACTGACTAGCCTGATGACAAGAGGGACCGGGAGGACAGCAGCCACTTCCTCCTCCTCCTCCGCCGCCGCCCAAAAGATTCGGAAGACATGCGAGTGAAGATCCAAGCAGCATGGAACAGAGGAAAACCGCAGAGAAGGGCGACATGATTATGCAGATGGAATAACTGGCCAAGTGATGGAATCTCTTTTATATGAACAGGTAAACAGGCGAGACATAACTGGTTATGAGGAGACGCAGAGTCGGAATGGAAAAGCCGCAGAATGTACTGGTCGATCAACTTTTTTGCGGACTCGTTGATAATGAGGCGTGAAAGACGCAAGAAAAATGAATTGGATACGGATTCCGGATCAGCGGAAACGCCAAGAAATGTTTCAGAAGGATGCTCAGAAAAAACAGGTTTATGAACATAATGCAAATTACCCGAATGGAGAACAATCACTGACCAGAACATGGAATTACATAGAAAACAACAGAAAAGTGAGAACAGCTAGTACTTGGAAGTGTTGGTCCGGGACCGCTCGATGTCCGTCCGAATGTAGGCGGAATCTGCGTTGTACTGCTCGGCCAGGTCTTGCAGATTTATCCGGAATTGTACGTTTTCGTTTTGATCCGGGTCTTTTATCGTGGCGCCGCTGGTTATTCGGGCGAGAGTTCTGGAATTGAGAATCTGAGGGAATAAAGGGGAACTCGCTCACTTCAAATTGTCCTCTGATCCGATAGCCTTCATCTTTTCCACCGTCTCATTCACCTCTCGCACGTACATCTGAAATAGTCAGATTCAGAATTCAAACGGGAAGCAAACACGGTTACTTTTTCGTTAATCTTCTTCGAATACATGTAATCTCTTCGTCTCTTCGAGAATCCGATCCAGAATACTTTGGAGAAGAAGAGACAAATCTCAGTGATTGTGATGACGGACATTCCGAGGAACATGCCCATGTTTCCTCCGATGTCACCTGAATATGAATCTGTTTAGAGCGTTTCTGATGGGTATCTTACTGAGCAATTGGGTGATGGAAGCGTCTTGAACTTGATTGTACTCCGTGTAAGACATGTCTCGATAGAATACGTTGACCATTTGGAAATTGGCTCTGGAATGAATGCATTTCTACTTCAAAACTGTGCCCACTCACTTCATGTGACCGACAGTCCAGTTGGTATTCTTGGCACGGAGCCAATTGAGTGCTCCAGCCGAAAACTTGCTACCGTAAGAGTTGTAGGCACGGAAGACGAGACTGTTGCACTGCTGAGCACACTCCGAGCACGATGGCTGCTTAAATGTCAGCTTTCCGGTCTCTTAAAGTTTAAAATTTTCCCTTAGAAGTGCAAATCGAATGCAAACCTTTGTTATGCTCGCTGAGTTTGTTATCGATGCAAGTGTAAGTTTCGAAGGGAGTGCATTCGCGAGTACCTGAAAGTACGGACCTTTTGCTCAAGTTCTTATGCCAATGTACTTACGGTTCTCGATGTTATAAAGCCCAGGAGCGCACCCACAGTTATCCTCAAAGTATTTGGCCTTGCACAGCGAAAGGCAATTTCCAGAAGAGTACGGTAGGTTGGTAGTGATGCCGGCGGGGTAGTCTTCCGTACAATTACCCCATTGTTTCGAGGGGAGAAGTACGTACTGAATAGAATGAAATCATTGGATGAAAAGAATCGAAGCAAACAGACTCGGTCTCCAGAAATAGCTGAATAGGCAACGGAGTTCGGTGAAACTGTGAATTCATCGGACGCCAAATGAGGAATCGTCTCCGGCGGATGCACGAAGTAACGGAATCCGTCGACAAAAGAATTCGTGAAAAGAGCCGGCATCGAGTCTTCGAGCCCGTCGAATTGCTCTTCGATGTGGGCGTCAAGAGTGATCTGGAGACCCGCCTGGATGCCCGGTTCCGTCTGTTTGTGCATTGTCGACTTGTCGCTCTTGGAAAGATCCAGAGTGTAGCACTTTCCCAGTGGGGTCAGTATCGGCGTGGACAGACTGCAACAGTCGAATCTGCAGAGAAGAGAGTGAGATTTGGTGGAACGACTCGCAAAATATTACATTTCTCCCTGGAACGAACACAGTTTCATGACTTCGGAGCACTCGAATCCGGCTTCCATGAAGAAAGAGTCGGCGGAGAACGAGGGATGATTGGCCTGATATTGCTCGAGATCCTGATTGCCCTGATGGAGACTCTGTCGATCGGATCCGCCGATTAGAGTCGGAATTTCCGTGAACCACTGCATAAGATAATTTATCATTTCTGGAGCCACGTCTCCCGTTTTGTTCATTTCTGAAATCAAAGATGGATGTGGAACAATGAATTTTAATGGGAGTGTGACAATCCCGTAAAAATTAGAAACCCGTAGAAATAAGTACGCAAATACAGATACGCCAAAATGCAGAAAACTCAGAATATTGGACTCCTCATGGCATTTTTTAATCGTTTTGTCAAATTTTCATGTCTCAAATGAATAGTTACTTAAGGGGCGAAAAAGGCAATCAAAAATGAGTCAAAAAAGTACTCTAATTTTAATTTACCTGCAACATAACTTTTCCTAACAGGATTCAGATTGCAAATAGTAACAAGCGGGAAGTCCATTCCATCGTCGTTGATAAGAAATGAAACCTGAGAGAAGGAATTTCAAATGGAACGGACCAAATGAACTCACATCGGATACTGTGGGTTTCGAAAGATATTGAGACACGAGTATGACCACTTGAGTGATGAGAAGACCCAGAGAGAAAGAGACCATTATAGCCCAGAATAGAGTTGCCCATCTGGAAATCAGTTTTAAAACGTCTCCGAGCAAAAATTACAATTATTACCGTTTTCCTTTAAACACTCTTTTCGGCCCGTGCATCGTTGTCGTTTCTGAAATTGTCATTCATGGTCCCTCTTTTCAGATCTGAACCAACCGCAAAAGTGTTGAGTTTCCCTTTTGACAGAGACCGTTCCCTCGGCCTGCTGCATCTTTTTCAGTTGAGCCACCGGCACTTCTATGATCATGTGGGACCTGGATTCGTTGTAACGGAGATTACAGTCAGCAGAAGAAGACCTGAAATGGGAATCACGGATGCGAATTGATGAGCAGAATACTTACGGCGTCGGAGATTCGCCAGAAGAGCCGGCTCTGAAGTTGACCAGGTACGTGTCATCGTTCTCGTACGCGGCGTTCTTGTATTCGGACGGCCGCATCACCGAGTTGATCATCATTTTGCGGCTGCTGCAATTTCAGAATTCGAAACATTCGGAAGGCGGTTACCGTAACTGCACAAATGAAATGACGAGCAGTTATAAAGATAACGGAAGGAGTGGCGGGCAAAAGTTTAAAAACATTAAAAAGGGGTTTTGTGTTGGTTGAGACGATAAGGGAACGAAATGGAAGGAGCTGAATGGGATTTTGGAGTGAGGGACTCTGGAATTGAACAAAATGTTCCTGTGCATTGAGTCACATGTGGGTGGGTGTGATTCATCGATAACTGAGAAGATTCTGGAACTTTCGTGACCGCCACCGAGTTTTTAAGTAGGATTAGATATTCTCTGGTATTCATTTGCTCCACCTTCTTCTTCCACTTCATTTCCCTTTTTATTTCCCTCGTCGATCAAGATAAAATCATAAATCATTTAGAAAAGGGCGGCCGATGAGCTGATAAGCCAAAGTTCGTTCACGTGAACACTGCTCGCCGCATTCTTTTCTCTCCCTCCCACAATACTTTGCTCTATTACCGTACTATTCGGCAACATGTTGATATCAAAAAGGAAAAGGCGCGGTTGGTTTCAACGACCACGGCTCAAAAGCGGATCAAAAAGAGCGTTAGCGGCCAGCGGAATAACGCCTTAAAGATAAGGAATACGTATAAAATGAGCACTTGCCTTGGCCTGATTTCCATTACCCGATTTGAATTCGAATTCGCTTCGTCTATTCTGAAAATTGTTTCTGGTTTTCTTTTCCTTTTCATATCAACAAAACAGAGAGAAAGAGAGAGAGAGAGAGAAGAAACATGGCAACATGTAAGGATCGGAAGGTTCGGACGCCGACGGCTCCTCCTTTTATGCTCGATTCATCTTGTCAAGGGGTCGTGCCTTCGGTTTACAGTTCCGCAAACATAGAAGACGTTCTCTCGCTTCTCGCCGGCCCGCATACTTTCTCGTTCGTACTATTATAGTCACTTACAATATTTGAATGCATCTCTTGTCGTTACCATTTTTGATTTATCAGAATTCAGGTCAAATGGCTCGAAAGTTACTGAAGACTTTTGAAAGTTTGCAAGTTTTACGCGTTTTCGTTTTATAACCTTGGAAATTTTTCGAGAATTCGAGAATATGTTGATCCAGAAGTTGAAGAGGTCAAAGAATCGGAAAAAGGCTTTCTAGAGTATACCGTACGAGATAGTGAGAGAGAGAGAGAGAGAGAGAGAGAGAACTTTAGCAAGTCGAAGAATCAGTTGGAAGTGATCACCTAAGGAAACGTCCTTCCCAGTCATATGCTCGGCAGGCAATGGGGCGGTTACGACTCGATTCGGTAATCGAAACCTTCGCTATCAGGCTCTCGTTTATAACCCCGAATTCCGCGCTTTGGATTCACAACCACGTGTCTGCCATGAGGAAAGTTCACTTTCACCTTGGAAGAAGTTTGAAGCCGAACGAATCAGTTTCACATGGTCTGAATGGGCCACATTCTGTCTTCCGGCGGCCATTGTGAAGCCCGCAATTCAACCGAACCATCGCAATAACTTGAAGTGACCACAGACGGGCACAAAACAATTTTACGAGGTGTTGTGCTGACGCGTGAGAAGGAAGTGCTCGTTTCTAAGCTGTCATAGAAATTTAAATTTTCAAAACGCTATATTTCGGCTGTCGTTGGAGATCTCAAAAAGTTATCAACTAATAAAATGCTCACTAAGAGATGGTGTACATTTTCTCAGACGATCACTTGTTTCTATTTATACAGGCAGATGAGATACATTGTCTTGAAAATGCCAGTTTCTACGGGAATTCCTTTCCACTCGTTCTCTTTACTTGTAATCCCTTCTGATCTCTCACTATTCTGTAGTTTTTTTGCCCTTTTAAATCCCACTCAAAAAAAAACAAAAACAGTTGAAAACAGAAGCCCCGTTTCTAGTACTCTACACTTGTGTTTGAGCAGTGACTCACGACGGCAACTCTCTCCGGCGGTCTCCTTTTCTCGTTTTTCTGGCACCAAAGTCTAACTACGAAAAGGTACACCGACTGATACGGCAGATAATGACAAAAGAGCACCGAAATACTCAACGGGTTTTTGTGGCATCTGACCGGTCAGCGAGCGATCGAATCGTTTCCGGCGGACGGCCATAAACGGACAGAATCGCAACACTTGCACCGGAAACAAGAGGAGGAGAGTTTGCTGGAAATGCAAAGAAAAGAAGAAGCAGAAGAACGAGAAGAAGAGAGCCAACGAAAAGGGAAACAGAAAAGGAATCATGGGAACGGCGACGCTTTCCCCCGTTTCTAGTGATATGATCTTTATGGATTATCATGATGTACCGGAGATATCCTTAGACCGATCACATTCTCGTTGATTTCTGAACTTGCCGGGCAGTCAGACAATTTTCGGAATACGGTAGAAGTCACGGAATGTGTGTGACAATTTCGGCAAATGATGAAGCAATACCAGCGTTTTTATCATTCGCTTCAAATTGAGGTGCAATTTTATGTCCCCACACACGGTAAACAGAAAAGGGAAGAAAAACTTGATCCATTGAGTGGGCTCGAGAAGCCGAAACTGGAAGTGCTGTCGAGGTAAACACTCGTTTATTTTACACAAATAAGAACAAACTGTAACTCGTCGGAGGCGCTTTTCATTGGAAAAGGAACATATAAGTCGGGATTTGATCTGAGGGGCAGAGAGAAGGCGTTTGATACCCATAAAAGAGACACAACAAAGTCGGATTGGGGGAATTATGCGAAATATGCGGTAATGAAAAAGGACAAGGTGGTACATATCAATATTTACATTCATCTGGAAGACGGGAACTTTGGATGCGGAGGGCTCGGCGTCTCGGAGGCCTTCCGCGACGGAGAAGCTTCTATTGTGAAAATGGGTGGAGTATTCGAGTTGTTCTCGACTATTTGCGGCTGGCTGGGAAGACGGATACGGGCGATTCCGTCAGAGTTCGCTTGATTTAACTGGCGACGCAGTTCGTTCACATCGAATTTCAACTCAATCTGAAATCTTAAAAGTTGATGGGAAAGAGGCGGAGAGTGGTTTTCCGATAGGCACTCGAGGTACTGTATCACATTAACTTTATGATATCATTTGCTCACAAACATATATCAGCAAATAACCTACCACACTGTCCAAACTCGAATTCGAATAGTTCTCATCAGAGTTTTTGTAGCCAAACTTGCGCGGCAACTCGTCAACTGGCGCTATCCGATTACTGAAGTTGCTCAGGGATGAGATGTTTTCCCTCGAGTTCCGTCTGGATCTCCTATCCTGGAACTCTTTGACCGCTTCCTCCAGCTGCTGCTCTTTCTCCTTCTCCGTCTTCTTCTTCGAATACATGTACTGTCTTCTTCGTTTCGAAACCATTATCCAGAAGATTTTCGAAAAGTAAAGGGAGAGTTCTGTGATTGTGATCACCGACATTCCGAGGAACATGCCCATGTTTCCACCGATATCCGATAGGATTTCCGTGAGTGACGTGGACTGAATTTGCGAGTACGAGGTGTAGAACATCTCGAGGAAGAAAATGTTGATGACTGCCACGTTGTCGCGGATGTGCGTTTCCGACTTGTTCGTCAACTTTTTCAGCCATTCCAACGAGCCTCTGTTGAAACCGTCTCCATAGGAGTTGTAGGAAGTGTAACTCGTGCTTTGGCATTCCATATGACACTCTGTACAGTCGGGAAGTTCCAGATAGTCGGTTCCGTTCAGCTTCCGCAGCATGTGATCGTCCATGCAAGTCACCGATTCGTACGGAGCACATATTTTCTTCTCTGAAACTGACACTATTCGCTGGTATTCAGGACGAACGCACTTCCATCGACGTTGTAAGTGAACGGAGCACATCCGCAGGTGTCATTGAAGTACTGGGCAATGCAGAGAGCACGGCACGCAGACGAGGAATACGCGAGGAAAGTGTCGTAGTGCTCCGGCCAGTGCTCCGAGCAGTTACCCCAGTTCCTGCGGTTGAGAAGGTTGTGCTGAACAGAGAGATAATTGAGCCGAGAGGAAGGGAAACCAACCGAAACAGTCTTGATGGCCGAGTAAACAGTGCGGGAAGGGGAAACACTGATGCCTTCGGAGGAGAGTTCCGCATTGGCGCCGGGCGGATGGATATAGTAGCGGAAGCCGTTCTCGTAGATATCCGAGAAGATCGCATTCGCATCCCCCTGCTCGCCCTTCAACTCTTCCTCTAATCTCGCGTCAGCAATGATCTGAAGCCCTGCCTCCACTCCCGGAGATATTTGTTTTCGCATCCAGTCCGGAGCCAAATTCTGCAGGTCGAGTTCCCAGCACTTTCCGAGCGATGTAATCTTCGCGCTCATGTACTTGCAACAGTCGAATCTGATGAATCAGTGTTCATTGAAGCTACAGAAGATCTCGAATACCTTCTGCCTCCGAAGTAACAGGTGAGAAACATCTCGCTGCAATCGTAGCCGGCCGTCCGGAGAAACTTTATGATTTGGAAGTCTGTGTGGTTCGCAAAGTACGTTTCAGCGTCTTCATGGACTGCAAATCACGCCTTCTGCCACGTCATTTCCGATTATCTCACTCTTTTTCAGATTGTATCTGTCTAGATTACTGAAGACAAACATCGTGTCCATGTTCGTCTGCAGAAGGTACTCGAGTGTTTCCCCCGACAAATCCCCGGACACATTAAGCTCCCTGACGTAGGACTTTTTGATGGGATTGAAGTTGCACACGGTGACGGCCGGGAAGTCCATTCCGCCCTCGTTGACAATGAACGACACTTGCGAGAGCGTCGGCTTCGAGAAGTACATCTGAAGGAGGACGACGATCTGGAAGACGAGCATCGCCAACGCCAACGCGACGATGAGGATCCAGAAGGCGCGCGCGAATCCTTTTCCGTAGAATATTCGTTTCGGACCGTGCATTGTGGTGGTGCCTGCAAAGAGTGAAAGGAGCAAATAGGGGGAGACGACGTCGTCGTTAAGGGCTTCTTATCACAAAGGAGTTTGCTATATTTGGACTAGGACGAAAGTTCAATGATTTTGGAAAGTTGGACACAGAGAACTGTGCCAGTGGGATCAAAACCAGTAGGACGCAGTATTCTTGTTCGCATTGTGATCTAATCGTATCCGCTTGAGAATAAAAACTGAAATAAACTTCTAAACCCCTACTATTTTTTGAATTACTCTTATCAGAATTATCACTGATCAATTAGAGCCGATAATATTTCTCTGATAAGAAGACCTACTTGTGAAGTGTTTCGTTTCGCGGTGCGCCGACCCGACTCCATTGTACTTTTTGAGGTTTCGGTACGATTTGATGGGCACCTCGATCACAATTTGATTGGCTAAATTCTTGCTGGATGAGGCCCTGGAAACAGTTTTAATGCGAGTAGAAGTTAGGAAACGAGTCACCTCATCGGGTTAAATAATAACAGTTTCAGACGTCGAAGCCTTTCCGACTGATACTTTCATAAAACGCAACACAACTCGAAGAACATGTTTGCCAAGATTACATTGCCATTCATTCAGAAGGCGTACATCGGCCAGGCTAGATATTTGCTCGAGAATACAAAGTTCTCTCCCTCTCCCTCTCCCTCTTCTCCTCCCCAAACTCACCAATCTTTGAGAGAACGCATCGTCCGCACGGTCACATTGCTATCAAAGTCAACCTCGGACGAAGCCGTTCCGATTTCCGACGTCTTCGTTTGCGTGGACGGCGGTGGCGGTCGTTGGATGTCGTGGTGCATTGGCAGGAGAATGACTGAAATTGACCGGTCAAATGTGAAAGACACATGGATAGTTGTTTGTTTCAGACCGAAAACAGAGGTGGTCGAAAATAGTGGGTAAATGGAAGAATGAAAGTGACGAAGAAATTGCAACAAAAAAGAAGAATTTCCATCACTTTTTGATAGCTTCATAACAAAAGAGGACCGGGAGCTAATTAGTGTGCTCTTCGGTGGACTGAAACTGGTAAGGCAAACAAAAAAGCGAAACGCCCAAAAGTCACAACACGCACCGTTCCCACTATTTTATTCGGTTCACAACACTTCCGTTTCGATGCTCTTTTCCTGGCCATATCGTAACGTTTTCCGTCTATTTTTAGCCTGTTAGTCAGCACAAAACGCACAAAACATGAGTTCGAATCTTATCAGAAAGAGCAAAAAAACGTCTGCCCAGTTTAAGTGTGAGTTTGAGTTTGAGTTCAGAGTGACATCAGGCCCAAACGACAGAAATGAATTGAAAGATCTGAAAGAGAAGGTACGGTATTCGAATTGAAACGGATTATGCAAAAAGTACAGAAATGTTTGCTCACCTCGGAGAATACGTACTCTTCGACTTAAAAAAGTCTCCTTCTGGCTGTCTCACTTACTAGGGAAGCATCTTGGAAAATTATGAAAAAAGTCAGGGTGATGAAGTAGACAATGCTGTATAGTTTGCAACTTTTGACAACACGCATAGATTCAGCATAGCCCTGATTTTTGTTCATAATTTTCTAAAGTCTTTACAAAAATACTTCCCAAGTTAGTTGAATTCTGATTTTGTCCAACTACTACGCACTTTTAGGGCAGCCTGTTACGCTCAACTATTCTAAAAACTATAATAGGACGGCACCCCAATACCTTTCATTTAGGAGCATATATCTCAATTTGCCTGTAGAGATGTTAAAAAAGGTGTCAATTCATAAGATGTACAAAATGTTTTAACTAGCAATTTATTAGTTGACAACTTTCTGATATTTTTACCGACAGCCAAAATATATCGTGATGAATGTACGGTAATGAGGTGCCGTTCTTTGAGAGGAAGAGACTGTCTTTTCTAGAAGAATCTGGGGCTTTAAGTACTGTCGAGTACAAAAACGGTCAGATCAGACATTCATAATTCAGAAATAGAAGTGCCAGAATGACGTGGACCAAAGAGGGTACTCAGAAATGACATCAATCCAGACGAGACTGTTTCCGTGAACTGAGTAAACAATGAACAACACGAGTATTCTGGAGACAGGTGGGTAAGTGCTTACTTTGTAGAAAAACTATAAATATTCACAAATTCACAAAGAGATGAGTCATTTACGGGCGGAAAATTGACCCGCAAATTGACCCGCGGTTCCGATGATTCGGGTGAATCACGGACGAAAGCGATTATTATCAATTCGAATGTTTATCTCATTGTCGGCAGTTGCATATCATTCAATGTCTACGGGAGGAAAGCATCGAACATTTGAAAAGAGAAAAGAAAGAAGATAAATTTCGGCCCAAGGACATCAAAAGAATCCTTTGTCATTACCTATTAGTTTCCGCCAAAGGTCTTTCATTTGATACGAGGAAACCTGATTTCAACAGGTGTCTTCTGCCTTCGTCGTCTTCGTATTCACTAACTTCTTGTTTCAAATTGAACAATTTTCAGATTGAGCAATTTGAAACAATGAATGAGCAATGAACAATGAACAACAATTCATCGACTGGCGGACGGAGAGAATCTGAAAAAATGGAGGGCGGAGAAGTATTTGCCATTCTGTCCAACTAACCGTCATTCCTTCGAGCACGCGTCTCGGTATCCGCGGCGCCTTTGTGCAAAAGAGCCAAATGTTCGTCGATACGCTGAAAATTTGCGCTTTGTAGAAGACAGTTGGTGATGATTGGTTTTTACGAATTCGGAGTGGATATTTTGCGCGCAAAATATTGATAACAATTGTGTTGTTGGCAAGAATAGCAGGGAAAAAAACTCGGATGGTCTAGACCACGGTAATTTCTGTCAAAATCCATTTCAGGGCGCTTGCTTCTCATTCAACAGCAAAAATTTGAATTTTCACAAGAGGGAGGGAATTTTGATCGTCAACATATTTCAAAGCATTCAACCATTTATCATTTTAAAATTGAGTTCGGCTTTAAAAACACGCATGAAAATGTACCGGTCATATCTGTGATAATAAGATCTAAGTGAGAATGGAAAAAAATGATATTTAGACATGATCAAGTGTAAATTCGATTCGAAATGTAAGTACTGTAAGTCACTCTCTCTCTCTCTTTCTCTTTCAATGATTTTTCCAATTTACGGAATCCCATTTTCCTTGTCTGACAACTTTCCCATTTCATCCTACTGTGAAAAGTGTTCCGTATTTGTTTAGTAGGAATTTTCTAAAATTAGAATATAACTCTAAGAAAATTCTGCGGACACTTTAAAGCAGTTAGCCTAAACTGAGACGTATTTGCAATCTGAGCTCACGATATTTTGCTCTTTCTAAAAACCAACACTTCCACGAGGTGCAGTAATCCTAAGATCATTTATATGTGTATCTTTTTCTGCTAGAAAGTTAAACTATTGCTTTTTTCTTTCTCGCTATCTCTCTCTCTCTCTCGACCCAAAATCAATCTCCTTAACTTTATTTGCAAGTACATACATTTCGTTCAAATTTAATCTTTGAGTAATTAAAACAAGACGTTACACCAGAGAAGGAAGGCTACTCTATTCAGAATATAGTCATCGTTGCATAAATAATCCGAAGTCTCCGGTCAATCTCCATCCTCTTTTGGGCACTAAGACAACGGAAATGTTCGGGAGAAATGGACAGAGAAGAAAGCACAGAAAGGCAAAATTCGGGGGCTGTTTTTCTATGAAATCTACTCGTAAAAACGATAAAAACCAGGAATCGAACGGAAGATCTCGGGCACTGAGGACGATCCGGCGACTCTGGGCGGAAAGTGTTTACAGAGAAAAAAAAACGAGTTTACAATATATGAGAAAATATATTAAAATAATGTTCAGTTTCCGTATTTCGACTCGAGTTCGTCGCTGATCGGGCGAGTGAACTGTGGCTGACGGATCATGGCGGCGAGTTTGCGGAGTCTCGAAGCGGAGTATCTGAGAGGGAAAACGAATGGATTGAGGAGACAGTTGATGGATTTCCGAAGACTCACTTGATCGATTCTCTCCTTCTAACCATAGAAGGATCTGAGGAAAGGAATTTGTGCGAGAGCGCCTCGTCGGTTCGCATTCTCCGGACGGGCGACTTCTTGAGAGCCCACGTGGCGAACGAGAGCGCCTCTTGCGAAGCGTTCACCGGAATCAGGTTCGGATCGCATTTCACGTTGATCACGTTCTCTTTGATCTCCTCTTCCCTGTCGTATTCAGAAGTGAACGGATGGAATCCGGCGAGGCTGAATCAGAAGTTATTTGGAGTGAGAGCTGAAGGGTAACTCACAGGCAGAACGTGACCACTCCCATTCCCCACATGTCACTTTGAACTGTGACCGGAGTCTCCGGAATGTGGAACTCCGGGGACGCCCATTTTGTGTCGAATTCGACTGGTTTCACAGCCGACGACACCTTCTGGGCTCTTCCGAAATCGACGAGCTTCACAACCCAACTGCGTTTTGATTGGAACATTATGTTGTGTGGATTCACATCCAAGTGAGCAATTCTGAAATCGAGAACTGTTTCGCAGACATTTCTATGGTCAAGTTACCCTCTGAAATGCAGGAAGTGCAATGCAGAAGTGGCCTGTCTCATCGTCAGCGCCACTTGTTCTTCGGTGTAATAATCATTGAAAACGAATCGGGAGAAGACGTCTTCGTAGAGTCGTTCCGTGAACAAAAACAGGAAGTTGTTGTGGTTGAAAGCGGCAATCAGACGTTGCACGTTCTCGTGCTGTCCGTCACGAAGGGATTCGTATTCTGCGACCGCATCTAAAGATGGATGACGGATCTTGAGGGCGCAGTGGGCGTGGCCTTCGGTTGTGGAGTCGACGGCGTCTCGGATCACGGAGAAACGGCCCTTGAATTTGAGACCAGCAATCTAAAAGAAGACGACTAATTCGGAGCCTGAACTTCTTTTCTTACCTGGAATCTTCCACTCGGATCAGCCGTCTGCAACTGCAAGTTGGACTTCAAGTCCTTGTTCGCGGTCCTTGATTCCGAATCCTCTTCACTTTCCTCCGAGATTCCACCCAATTGGCTCGTGGACTTCTGCGGCATTGACACGACGTTCAATCTGATCTCCGACTTCAGCACGTCGATCTGCAGCTTCGGAGCTCCCTTTCCGTGCGTTTGCACAATTCTGCTGCTCAATGAGGGCAATCCGAGACCAAATCCGTTCTGAGCAGTCACTCGGAACTGGTAGATTCCGAGCGGAGTCAGGTGCTTGACAACAACTGACTCATCGTCAATTCTCTCCGAAATCGTAATCCATGGAGCTCCATTATCATTTGGTCCGGCTAGGCGGTACTCCAGACGGTAGGTGATTCCTTCCAGATAGGTCGGTCCTTCGGGAGCTTCCCATTGGATGAAGATTTCCGTATCGGAGGAGAGTTCGGCTTCCGGCCTTCCCGGGCGGGACGGAGTCTCTCCACTGATCATCCGACAACTGGATTTGTCGGTTCCAAATTCGTTCGTGGCAGAGCATACGTACTCTCCAAGGTCGTACGGGGCCGGATTGTGAATTGTGAGACGTGCAAAGTTGTGGTCCTGCTCGATCTTGATTCTGTCGTTGGACTCCAGAATCTTTCCTTGGAAATCCCAAATGACTTTCGGAGCTGGGCTGGCGGCCACTGAACACTCGAATACGGCAGTATGGTTCTTGCGAAGATAGGCGTCACGGAGTCGAGATGTGAAGATAGGAGCGAACGCTGAATTGGGAATTGAAACCTTTTCAAGGGAAATTTCAGGGGTACTCACTTCCATCGGCATTCTTCCTCGTGGCACATGGGGTCACTTTTCCGATATCTGCCTTGATTCTCTCAATGGCTCCGCTCGATGGAGCTCTCTGAAGAGCCGTCGAGTTCTCGTGGGACTTTGGCTCCAATCCTTGAGTGGACTCTCTGAGGATGTCAGTGTAACGACGACGTTCACGGACAGTGATGTCACGGTTGCGGACACCGAGGAATCCTTGTTTGACAGTCGGGGCGCCGACTCCGAAGAGCTCTTCACGGTAATTGCGGACGCGGGAGTTGAATGCAGCACCACGGGCGGCCATCAGATACGTGTCTGGTCCGATCTAAAGACAAGTAGAATTAGAATAATCTCAGTGTGAGAATAAGAACCTGGTAATGGGAATCCCACGGGCAATCATCCACATCGTATCCTGGATGTCCGAAATCATTGTCTTCTTTGTAGAAGTTACCCGGACGGTACTTATCCAGGTCATCCAAATTGACGGCTCTTCTGTTCCTGTCCCTCTCCAAGCGTTCCTTTTCATCTCTGAAGTCGTCCTTTCCGTCGTGGTCCTTCGGCTTCACTTGTTTCCTTCTGTCATCCATGAATGCATCCTCATCGTCTATTTCTCCAGCGAGCTCTCCCGGCGGAAGGAATCCTGGTTTTCCTCTCTTCGTGGCAATCAAAACTTCCATCGAATGCTCCTGTCTCGGACTGAGCATCACCGGACTCTTCGTTCCTGGAGTGGATCTGCGTGGAGACTTTAGATTCGGGCTGAGCGTGACGGCTGGAGAAGTGACTTTGATGAGTCCGGAAGCCGAAGTAGTGTCGATGGTCAGGTCGCCGCCGTGAAGTCCTTCGAGGAACAACGGAGCTCCCACTGGGATGGACGGGTCGTTCTCCGCGTCTTCGAGGATCTGAAGACAAAACGATTGGAAGGGAAGATTTGAGAATCTTGAAAAGGTTAGTTTCTGTTCGGTGCGGTTTAGCAGTGCGTCTGTCCCCAGTGCAGTGCGTTTTTTTTTCTCTTCCATCCGGATACCTCGTCTATCCGAATCGCATCAGGCCGCTGAATTTCCGCGACGGCACCCTCAGATTTCTTTTTTCGCGCCAGTTTTCCGGGCGGCTTGCCCACCTTTTCGGTGTTTAGCAGCTTTTGCTCTATTTTACGGTCAATGCACGAGATTTTGACGCCGCCGCCGTTGCTGGTGACGCCGTTGACGCGGAGCGACGGCGAGATGAGCATGGTTGTGGGACGAGCCACCGAAGGGCTCATCGGGCGAGAACCTTCCGTTGAGCTCATTCTGCAGTTTCAGTCGTTTCGAAGAGAGAGAGAGAGAGCGATCGTGAGACGTGGAAATGCACAGAGAAAAATTTGATTTTCGAACAGGGGAAAAAAAACTGTGAAAATCGATGGAAAATGCACAGTCTTGCCACCTACGCACTTGAAGAGGGGGCAAAAAGTAAGACGGGGGCTGCGGTGCTCTCCCGCTCCCACCCATTTCTTTTTTTCCTCTAACAAGTAGGTTCACTTCATTGCTTGTCTCGCTCGCCAACTCAGTTTGTGCGCGGATTTTGAAGAGCTCTTTCCCCCCGAATCGTTTGCTCGCCCGCCGTCGCGTGCTCTCTCTTCGTTTGCTGACCCTCCCGGATATACCAGTTATACTCATTTTGTTTGCTTTCAAAGTGTCTCACCTTTTTATCGGCGTCTGGAAGCCCGGCAAGAACAGTGTCCGGATAGGTGACTTTTGGCGGAACGACGGTTCCCTCTTGTGGCGGAATCGGAGACCTTTGGGGAGTGGATGGGGATGGGGTCGGTTTGGGAACAGTCTCGCGGATCGTCACTTCTGGAGTCAATGTAGGCGTGGAGGGCTCGGAAGCTTCAACTTGGAAGTCCTGCAATACAAGAGAAGGGGTCAATGGAAACGGAAGAATTACGGATGAGATGCATACGGATTACATCCCCCATGAAAGATGGGAAACACATCAAGTTTATGTGTCTCCCCGCACATGTCACCCTCTCGTCACCTTGGGAATGTCAAAGTCCTCCAGACTGGCGAGTGAGCCGGCTATTGAACCTTCTTCGGAAATGTCCGAAAGAATCCGATTGGCAATCTCTTCCTCGATCTCTCGTCGTTCGCCTCTGATCATTCTGATCGGCACCTTCGGCTGCTCTTCTTTGCCCTGCTCCAGAATCGGAGTAGACGTCGGGGTCAAAGTCTTCTCCTTCTTCGATCGGGACGGCGTTTCTCCCTTGTCCTGCGGAATGAGCTTCCTCTTCTCAACATTTTGCGGAGCCATTGGCCTTCCGAACTCGTCAATGTACACCGGACGACCGTACTTATCCACGTAGAATGGAGCGTCGTCAAGACTGCTCGGCCGATGGGCCGGATCGTTCAGATATCGGGGATCCACTAGTGGACGGCCTGAACGTATGTATGCGCTTCTAGAATTTAGTTTGAGAAATAGGTTACCGTATTGGTCGACTGGAATTTTCTGTGGGGGACCTTGAGGCTGTTCGAATCTTCTAGAATCGTGAACTGGCTGATTCGGTCGTTGTGGTTGAGGAGGTACTGGTGGAGGTAGTCTGCAAATGAATATACCTCATGGAGAAGAAAACAGAAATCTCACCTGTCGGGACCTTCGAAGCCAGTTCCCTCGGGTCGTTCGAATGCGCCTCCGTCGATGAGCTGTCCGAACTCGTCGATGAACGGCGGATGCTCTTTTCGCGGTTGCGGCACGTACTCAACAGTCGGAGGCGGCTTGCGAGGCTGTACGCGCAAGTAGTCGTAGATCTCGGCGGGCCGTCGTCCTTCGGGCGCTACAGGAGCATTCTGCTGCGCGCGAGCAGTCGCCGGACCGAGGATCGCTTCGAGAATCTGCTCCGACGGCGTCTGCTGCACGAACACACGACGTTCCTGCAATGAAATGCAATCGAATCTTGGCAAAAAACGCGGCAGCTAAGGGGGGAGAAAAGTGAAGTTGGTGTGTATTGTGTGCTCTTTCGGAACGAAGAGAGCACACAATCCAACTGATCGGATGAACCGACGACGGATTGGGCAACTAACTAACCAGCCATTTGTGTTGATATTTGAATTCGCGCAAAGTGTCGGCCGACAGCGGTTCTGTCTTCAGCTTCTCGTCGTTGATCCAAGGATGATTGAGCGCTTCGTCGACTGTCAGGCGGTGAGCTGGAATTTCCATGAGCAACTTCTGCACAAAGTCGCCAGCATCATAAGAGAAGTTTCCGAGGGGAGAAGTGTCGAACTGGCAGCGGTCGACATTCGAAAGAGTCTCACTGTCGTTGTCGCCGTGGAATGGAGACGAACCGGTGAGTCTGAAAAGTGGAGGTACTGAAGACTATTGGCTGATAAGTTTGCTTACAGAACGTAGGTGAGAACACCAGTACTCCACATATCAGTGGCCAGTGTCAATGGATAGCTTCTCACAATTTCAGGGCTCACAAACTCGGGCGATCCCTTGATTTCTCCAGTGATCAGGCCACGCAGCAAGCGTCGGGTCTGTCCGAAATCGGCCAACTTCAACTTGTCATCCTGGAGAAGGATGGTCTCGGGACGGAGATCCAGATGGACGATTCGCAGATCGTGCATGTGTTTGAGAGCGAGAAGAAGTTGACGGACGAACACTCGCACACATGTTTCCCGGTTGACGCCTTTCGGTTCCGCGAGGTCAACTCCTGGATGCGTGAGGCTGGAGAGGCCGTCGATGGTTGAGTTGGCGCTGAAAATAGAGCTTCGGGACTTGTTTAATTGTTTAATGGAACCTGATGACCCGCATACTCACCCAGTGATTGTGATCCTCACCATTATTACGAAACCATGGAACCAGAGAGACAGAAGCTATAGCCCGTAGGCATGAGTCCCTCTCTCTTCTCCCCCGATTCTTTTATCTCTGACACCCTATCATATCTTCTCATTTATCTTTGTGTCAAAAAAACCCATTGGCAAATTGCTCAGTTGCTGCGAGCGTGCTCGAAGAGCACACACATCTCGGAGGCTCAGACTACTGATAGGGAAAACATCTTGTCATTGTAACAGGCGAAAGAGTGCATGGAGCTGAGAGAATCGGAGAGAAAGAGGTGGGAGCCGAGTGTTTCGAAATGTCACTCAGTTGGGGAGCCCAGACGGGGATACGTTCGTATAGGTTGGAGGTGTCAAGTGACGTCACTACAATACCCACCGATTGCCACGCCATACATACTCACCAATCGTCTATAATATGAAACATGGTCCCAGGATAACAATTGTAGTAGATTCGTACATCTATCGGGCTGGACCAAGTCATAAAACCGAAGGGATCAAACACATATTGAAATGATTCGACGGAAGGAAAAACAGAAGGCGAAGGGGGGACGGAGAGGGCGATAAAAGTGGGCGAGCAGTCACTGCGCACATCTGTTTTTATTCCATTCTTACACTCATTTCGAAATACGTTCGCCCCTGAGAATTATTCAATGCGATCGGCCACCAACTGGCTCAGCGCCCTACACATTTTCCCTCGTTTTGATTTGAGCCGAAGATTACTATGCACAGAAGAATCAGTTGTTGGCTTTTTCTACCGTTTTCCCGGTGACTTTGGCTCCATTTTCTGCGTATTCTTCATAAGTTCTATACGATCTCCAGCCGCATTCATGATCTTCTTTTCCCTATTTCTCACCCTGAAACCAGCCTATCCTTCTCGGTAAACCCACCTTTCAAAGACCACGAGTGCCAGTTTTTCATCTCTAAGCACTCTATGCATTTGCACAATTCCGGGATGATCCAACGAATTGTGGATGTCCACGTGGCGGAGCAGTGCATCATCAATTGGTCTCAGTTGAGCCAAAAACTCTCGTCCGGTCGCTTTTTCGCTGACTCGAAACGGTGCTCCATCGGCCGCCAATCTGCAATCAACCACCAGCGTCAGTGAGATTAATCGAGGGTCCTAGGGCCTACATTTCCTACGTAACTTTCGACCTATTTATAGTCTAAATTCTCCTAAACTCAGTCACGTTTGAATCGGTTCTAAAGCTCAGAGACTGGGACACTGGACGCTGGTGGTAATTGCAGTTGGCGGACGGAAACGTTCCCGAATCACCCGCCCTTTTCCGCCATTCTTTTCATTTTCAGCCGGGGCCTTTCTCGGAAGTGCTCTTTCACGATTTTCCCACATTCCAGATTTTTCAGATTCAGCTCCCGATCAAGGATGTTTCCAGACGATTCCAAGAAGCCGACATTTTTGTAATCTGTAATTTTATCTGATAATAAATGAGGATTATCATTCAAGAGCACTTCCAAGAATCAAATAAAACTCGCTGAAAAATCAAAGAATGACACAAAAAGAAGGCGGAAGCTTCGGAACGAATGGCCGAGCCGCCGCGAGACAACGATCACCGACACAAGACGAAAAGGACATGGGAAAAGGGCGTTCCGTCCGGCAGAGTCCCTTTTGAGGACTCTTCCGGCCGGGCTCGGCTCTTTCCCCCGGTGGCTACTGACTAGGTTAGTGCTCTTTGACGTGGACATGACTTGGACACATGGTGGGAAGAAGTTAGTCAATCTTTATTTTGATTGGGGGGAAGACAAAGTGATATGATCGCTGAAAATGAAAAGAAAAAGAAAAAGGGCAGATGATGAAAAACGAATTGAGCAAACGAAAGTTGGTCATTGGGCACGGGGGAGTCATGCGAAGCCACGTGGCAATTGGGCACTTTTCCACGTGGAATTCACGACTTGAGATGAGCTTTCGCTAGACGGAAATGACTACCGGGTACATAGAAAAGAAAATGGGGTAAGTGGACTGGGTGAAGTTTCGAATCGGTGTGAACAGCATGGGATTTCACTACTGGCTGGGGGCTTAGGGCACTGGAAAACAATCGAAATAGGTCTCAATTAACCGGTATAAGTGACAGAAAAAAAATGACTGGAATTTTCAGACTTTTCAGAGCGGAAATGAGACGATTGGGCACTTCATCTCATTTTCCGAGTCGGTTCGGTTGAAAAGTCATGAAGATTACAGTGTAATAGAAAAAGACAGATGAAATAGAAAACAGCACTTGATACATATACTTTTGTAGTTTGGGAGAAGAAAAAGAATAAGAAAATGGCGTTTCGATGAAAGATTCTGGGGGGACATTTTCGATTACTTTTCGTCCTTTTCGGAGATTTCGTAGAGTTCGCGCACTCGTTTCGACTCGATCGTCACTCGGCGACGTGGTAGTTCGACGTCGTTGTAATCGCCTTCCGCTGAAAAAATCAAGAGTTGTTTTTCATGTTTCTCACGAATGAGCCCACCTTCAACTGTAACTGTGCACGAGGTGGTGGCCTGTCCGGCGTCGTTGACAGCGACACACGAATAGATTCCGGAATCTCTCCACAACGGATCGTTGATGATCAAAGAACAGAGGTAGGGTCCGTCTTGAACGAACTTGATGCGGGAAGACTCGACGATCGGGCGCCATTCCTGGAATGCGCAAATTAGAGGATATTGAGACAAGTGAGCCTATAATACTCACCTTCATCCATTTCAGTTCTGGGAACGGCTCTCCTTCCACTCGCACGTCCAATCGCATCGGTTGAGCCGACGAGAATGTCTTGTTGACGAGTGGCTGGATGAAGTTCGGCCGTGCTGAAATTATAATTTTATCTGACTGCCATCTGAAATTATTTGCTTACTTGCAAGATCCACAAGAATGTTCTGCTGTGCATCTCCGTATTCGTTCTTCGCGAAACATTGGTATTGTCCCACGTTTTCTTTACTGAATCCGGTGATGGCAAGCGTCGTTTCCGTGCCTCCGTAGGTGTAGACCTTGCATTTGGAGGTCGGCGAGGAGGTGTCAATATCCCATCCACGGAACTTCCACGTGATGTCTGGATCCGGGAATCCGGAGACGTTCAGGATGATAGTGAGTGTGTCATTCTCGGCGCAGTATCTCTTCTCGACGACTCCCGGAGCGAACCACGGAGCACACGCGTACTGCTCGGCATACTTCAGGTCGAGAGCTCTTTCCGCATACGGGTCGAGCAACGGAATGACTTTGTTGGTTCTCCTGTCGAACACTGGCTGTGGTGGGGCCATCAGTCTGGATGGTGGAGAAGCTGGCGACGGGTCCGAGATGCCATAGATGTTCTCAGCACGGACACGGAATTGGTAGGACTTTCCGAGTTCCAGGTTGCGGACCTTGCACACTGGCTCCGGAATGTTGTAGTCCAGAAGAGTCCATTCCTTTTCTGGCAGCTCACGAATCTCAATGACATACGTGACTTGCGGGTAGCGTGGCGGAGCTCTCTTCGTTGGAATCCAGGAGAGCGTGAGGTAGTGTCCAGTGACTTCTTTGATGAACGGACCACGGTCCGGTGGCGTCGGCAGGCTGGCGGTGTTCAATTTCTTGAATCCGTACTCTTCGGTGAGGTATGGAGTCACATCGATCTCTCCGTTGAACTTGATGCTGTCCAGGAATGGAACGGTGACGTCCAAAACGGCGGATGAGCTGGCGGTTCCGTGCGAGTTCTTCGCGACGGCAACGTACTCTCCCGAGTCTTCGAGGGTCGTGTCCAGAATGATGAGGGCGTGTGAGCCTCCTCCACAAGCCTGGATCTTGACGCGTCCTCCCGGAATGATCTTCTTTCCGTTGTGGAACCATTCGACTTCCGGAGCTGGGTGCCCGACAACGAGACAGTCGAAGATGGTCGGCATATGGTTGAAGACGTGCTTGTTCTTGAGCTGACGAACGAATCCAGGCGGGAACGGCATTCCTCCCCTGTCGTCCTTGTCTGCCACGTGTCTCGGTCTGATGATGTTCAGCGATGCTTCGGTTTTCGCGGATCCCAGTTTGTTGGTGGCTTCAAGGGAGTACTCTCCCTCGTCATCCGGGCTCGCATTCACAATGACCAAGTGGTGGATTCCTCGCTCATCCGTGAAGATGACTCTCTTTCCGTCCGGTCCGTCTCCCACAATCTCTTGTCCATCCTTGTACCATTTGACGGTCGGCGTGGGCACTCCGGTGGCACACACGATCATCTCGACGACGTTTCCCTGAAAACCGGAAGCATGTTTATTTCCATTTTTGACGTCGGCGCCCCTCGCCGCTTTTAGCCTCGCCCTATTCCGAAAGAAAATGCGGACTCCATTGTGCTCCATTGAGCACCGCAAGTGATTCATTCAAATTCGTCTCGCCGCCCTCTCGGGTCTTTTCGCAAGATTTCACACCTCGCTGCTAAAGAGTGGCCGCCACCTCACTTTTGTTTGTTGATGAGGTCAACTTTTGATGATGGATGAATCATTCGTGTAAGTGACACACTGTGTACTTTAAGGGGAGGGGTCACCCCAAATAAAAGAGGCACCAACTCGGCAGACTTTGTGTTATTTTGATCTATTCTCTCTGGCTGGAACAACTTCCGAACGTTCTCTAAACTGTTCGCAATCTCTTTTTTCTATGTGCAAACATCTGTCTCAAATGAGCTTTTCCACTGTTTTCTTTCGCGTGAATTGGATTACTGTCGGTCTCTCGGTGGTAATCTTTCGGCAAACAACATGACGTCCGCCGAATTGCATGTTTTCTCATCACTTTCTCTAGAGCTACTGTCACATTAGAGCTTCATAAGCAGACTAGGAAATGGTCAGAAGCAATGTTGGCCTTATGGGCCGTGACTGACAAGGTTCGATAGCTTGTACCAAGAGGATAAAATGTTCTGTTGATAATTTTTGCTGCCAACACCTGGATTTCGAGAAAATGGCGCTGGAATATTTTCACTGAAATCCTGTATTTTACGCAATTTTCTCCTCTCGTAACAGTCGCGTGAACTCTCTTGTTATCATTGTATTCGGAAACAACTGATCCTCTTGGTACAAGCTATTGAACCATGTCAGTTACGGCCCATAAGGCCAACTTTGCTTCTAAGCATTCCCTTGTGAATTTCTTATTGCTTTTAAACGTTTCGTGAAGTTTGGCAAGTTGTGTCTCTACGGTTTCAGTTTCATATTTCCGAGAAATCTTCTTTTCGCAGTCCGGTCCGAAAGTACAAAAATCGTAATTCGCGACCCGCCACACGTGACTCCTTCCGTGTGTGTTCTCTCAAACAGACGTGCAAACTGCGTCAGTCCACACGAGGAGAGGCTTCGCATTCTTGCTCTCTCCGAAAGAGAGAGAGAGAGAGAGAATGAGCACAAAACTAGACTTCGAATTTCAAAACAAGCCTATCGGTGTCCGATGATTTTCCCGTCTCCCCCCACTTCTTATTCTTTTTTTTTGTGTTTGGCGATGCGATAAGATAAGAGGATTATCATGTGTGTATGGTCAGTTGGCGACAGTTTGGCGCGGGCGGCTTCATGATTCGTATTCAACGATATTTCCTTGTCTCACCTCGTGAATACTCATGTTGTACAGTCCTCTTCTGATTCTCGGCTTGCTCTCCTCCGGCTCTCTATTCGACTCCGGCAACGGACGAGATCCGATCGAGCGGTCTCCTGAAATGATTCAATTTGTTCGTTTCAGCCGCCCTCCCTCCCTCTATGGTACGGTGACATGAGCCGCCTCGTGTCTCTCCTTCTAACATCCCTCCTGCCGGCTCTCGGCTTTCCGATGCCCACCACTTTTCCCAATTGTCCTAAAGTGAGTTTCTCTTTGACCTCTTCTATTATTCATCCATGACCTTCCAGGGATGGCATCACGACGAAGCCGGTCGAACGTGCTACCATCTGGCACGTCGACGGATGCGGCTCACAGATGCCCATTCCTATTGCCATAAAATGCTCTCAGATGGTTCCGCCCATGTGCTACGGGTCGAGTGCGGCGGCGAGAATGACTATATCAGCGAGTTGGTCAAAGGACATTCGGCCAAAGTTTGGATTGACGCGCGCGCTCGTTTCGATATTGTGGATGGATCTGCCGGCCTCTTCGGGCCCGGATTCGTGTACCGATGGCCGAATGGAAAGATCGTGCGGTACACAAACTGGGCAGACGGGAACGGGCTCGAAGAGATTGGCACTTCCAACAAATGCGTCACGATCAAGAACGACGGACAGTGGGTGAATGCAAACTGTTCGACGACCGCCGCCGTGATATGCGAAAAGAAACTGCACCGTCCGTACTCGAAGTTCTGTCCGAAACATTGGGTTTATAACAAAGAGACGCAGGCGTGCTATCGGACAATTTCCAAGACTAATATGACCATTCTAGAGGCTGATAACAAGTGTTTCGATTACGGTAGGTCGCTTAATTTCAAAATTTGAGGCTTTGAATCTTTCTGATTGAAGGGTTTGAACATCGTCAAGATGCTATGCTTACGAGCATCAGCAATGAAAGTGAGAATCAGTTCGTGATGAACTTGGCGAAGGAAAAAGATGCGAACTTTGAGTTCATCTACCTCGGCGGCTACGGTCGATCGAATAACGGAAACAAATGGCATTGGATGGATGGTGAGATCATTTGAAAGTTACCTAATAACTAATACTTATCATTCAGGCTCTGAATTCAACTACCTGAACTGGGATCGAGGAATGCCGTTCGGAAGGCGTGCCTTGGCAGTTCTCGTCATGAACAAGAGAGGGAAATGGATAAATCACTACGCCGACAAAATACTTTCCCAGTACAACGCCGTCGCCGTTTGCAAATTCAAGTCCTAACTGTTAGCGAGTCTCTAGTTTGTTCCTAGTCATTGCCCAACCACTTTCCCTTCGAAATCTCATTTGTTTTGATCTCGTTCTAATAAAACAGTGTTCCCACCTTCAATCACAAGCTCGGCCTTGGTGGAGGCAGTTCCGTGCTCGTTGGTGGCCACGCATCTGAAGTATCCCTCGCTGAGGAAGGTGACGTCGGAGAGGATGAGGCGTTGAGTTCCGTCGGCAGCCGACTCCATCTTGATCTTGTCATCAGCAAACAGCTCCAATCCATCCTTGAGCCATTTGATTGATGGGAATGGGTTTCCGAACGGAAGGCATTCGAAAGTGACAGATTCTCCTGGCTTCGCGCGACGGATTGTCAACGGAGTCGTGAATCCTGGAGCCTTTCCTTCGCGGATCGAAGAGTCAATGTCGCGTGGCTTGCGATCTCCACCTGAAAACATTTATGAGATAAGGGAGATTGAGTGCTGTGAAACTTACGAATGACGTTAACATCGCAGGAAGTTCTGGCCGATCCGTAGGTGTTCTCAGCCACGCATCTGTATCCTCCAGCATCCTGGCGGATTGAAGACTCAATGACGAGCTCGCAGACGCCGTCAGGAGACTCGATGAGCTGGAGACGTCCGTACGGGAAGACGCGCTCTCCGTCCTTGAACCACTTGATCGACAGTTTTGGCTCACCACTGAACTTGCAGCGGAGACGGAAGCCTTGCTTCTCTGGGATCTGAAAATGACAGATTGAGTTCTATTCCCATTTTCCCATTACTTACTCTGACGTTCTCCAGTGGTTCGATGAGTTTCGGTGACTTGTTCGCATCGAAGACGTCTCCTCTTTCGGCAGATCTTCTCGCTCCACTGTCTCTCGGAAGTTTCTTGACAGTCGCGGTCCCCTTATCCTGGGCAGTTCCGGATGGATTGGTGGCAATGACACGGTAGATTCCGTCGTCATCGTAGACGCAGGAAGGAATGAGCAGGGTGGCGACTCCATCTGGTGACAGACTGATTTGGATTCTGTCGGATGGAGTGACGATGGCTCCGTCTTTGTACCAGGTCATCTCTGGAAGAGGGCTGGCGTCGACCTTGCACTCCAGCTTCAGTGGCTGTCCTTCGGTCGTTCTGACGTCTCCCATCTTGAGAGTGAATCTTGGTGGCTGGCTGGCACTAACTGCTCCCGATCCGAGTCCGTCGTCGATTCGGACGAACGACTTGGTGGTGGCACTTCCGTTCTCGTTCGTGGCGACGCATCGGTAGGTTCCCTCGTCGTGCACGGTTGCCTTCTTTATTCTCAGTTGATAGACTCCTCGGCTCTCCTCGTTTGACCATTCAAATCTCGAATCTTCGATCAGTGGACCTCCGTCCTTCGACCATTTGACGGACGGGTTCGGGATTCCGGTCACCTTGCACTCAAGATCGATGACACTTCCGATGGAAACAGTCATATCGGTGAGCTCCAGAATGAACTTTGGCGGTTTTCCCTCGTCCACCTTCGGCTTCTCGGTCTTACCGAGAGCCATTTGGACGTGAGCTGTCGCCTGCGTCTTGGCCTTTCCGTGAGCGTTCTCAGCTTCACACCGGTAAATTCCTTCGTCGCTCATCGTCGATTCTTTAACTGTCAATAAGCAAGTTCCATCCGGACTCGTTTCCAGAATTGTTCTTGGTCCATTTCTGACAAGTTGTCCGTTTCTGTACCACTTGATTTCCGGGAACGGATCTCCGGTAACGGCGCATTTGAGCGTGAACGAGTCGCCCCGATCGGCCCACAAATCGACGAGTCCTTTGGTGAAGAAGGGCTCTTCTCCTTCCTTCTTGACCTCCAGCTTCGGCACTTTCACGTTGACACTGCAGCTCGTGTTGATGGTTCCGTGGGCGTTGGTGGCCACGCATCGGTAAGCTCCGATGTCGGCCTCAGTGCTTTCGTTGATGGCAAGAGTGGCTGTGCCGTCGTCATCGTATTGAACGGAGATTCTAGAGTCGGCGCGGATCGGAAGTCCGTCCTTGTACCAGACAACCGATGCTCTTGGGATTGCATCGACTTTGCAGGAAAGGCGAATTGGTTGTCCTCCGTTCACAGTCTTGTCCTCTAGTGGAGGATTGATTCTCGGAGCGTACTCCTTCTTCTTTTCCTCCTCGACGTGCTCGACCACTTCCACTTGGTAGGTAGCTTGAGTCTCAGCCTGTCCGAGCTCATTGACCGCCACACAAACGTAGACTCCGCAGTCGTCCTTCTCGAATGGAACAATCTTGATTCGACACGCTCCATCCACGGTGTTTCTGATCTCCAAGTGGGCGGAATGCTCGATCTTCTTGCCATCCTTGAACCATTCGATTTCGGCAGTTGGGTTGGCATCGACGTGGCATTCGATGAACATCGGATCTCCAACCGGAATACGTCTGTCCCAGAGGGGAACGTTGAATCGTGGCGGGTATCTGAGATCGTCTCTCTTTCCTCCGTCGTGGTCAATTCCCTTCTCGAACTCGCAAACAGTCTCATCACCTCCATTCTCGTTCTTGGCGATGCACTTCAGAGTTCCAAAGTCTTCCTCTCTGACGTCACGGATCGTAAGATAGTAGTTGCCATCTGCCATGTCCTCCAGAGTGACCCTGTCGTCGAACACAAGTGGGATTTCATTCAAGAACCACTGCAAAGTCGGCTTCGGCAGTCCGCGGACTTTCACGTTGAACTCTTTCTTATCTCCTGGCAGAGCGGCTCCGGTCTTCAGTGGAATCACAAACTTGGGCTTCGACGGCTGTTCTCCTTGGTCCTTGACTGCCACTTTGCACTCACTTGTGGCACTTCCGGCCGCGTTCTTAGCTGTGACCTTGTACTGGCCGATGTCACTCTTCTTCGCAGATCGGATTCGCAAAGTGGCGGTTCCATCAAGTGCCACTCTCATCGTGATTCGGTCGTCCTTCTGGAGCACAACTCCGTCCTTCTCCCAGATTATTTCGGGGAATGGCTCTCCGGCGACAGTGCACTGAAGAGTGAGCATGTCTCCTTCCGTCACCTCGGTGTCCTTCAATGGCGACAGGAAGTTTGCTCCGGAAGTGGCCTCAGCTGGTTTGGCGGCCTTCACATGAACCACCGATCCGCTGTAGACCTCTCCCTTATCGTTTCCAAGAACCACTCGGTAAGCTCCTCCGTCGGATTTTTTGGAGCTCGGAATCAAAAGAGAGAACTCTCCAGACTCTGGCTTCTCCTCGATCTTGAACCCGTCGGTATCTGGCTTCAGCTCTTGACCATTCTTGTACCACTTCACGACCTTCGGGATGCCCTCCAGCTTGACCTTGAGGGCGACCGGCTGCGGTTCTTCCACATCGACGTCCTTCAGTCCTTCGACGATCTTCAGGATGTTCGGCTTGACGACTGTGAGCGCAGCAGAAGAATCGCATTCTCCAGCAGCGTTGGACAGAACAACCTTGTAGTCGGCTCCATCGTCTAATTGAGCCCGATTGATCGCCAGTTCGTACTTCTTCGGTCCGATCTTCTTGGCCTCCAAGTGACTGTTCGGCTTGATCTCCTGTCCGTTCTTGTACCACTTGACTTGTCTGACTGGAGCACTGACTTCCACTTTGAAGACGTCATCGTCTCCTTCGGGAATCTCAATGCCCTCGAGTCCGCGAACGATCTCCGGCTTCTCGTCGACCTCTCCCTTCGCATCGCTCTTTGCCTTCCCGCTCTCATTGATAACTTCGACGGTGTACTCTCCGGCATCCTTCAAGTCGGCAGATGGAATGGTCAGTCTGTAGGTGGTGTCGTCAATCTTCTCGATGATTCCGTTCGCTCCAGCACTGATGACGTTGCCGTCTCTGAGCCATCTCACGTCTTCTGGGTCTCCCTGAATTTTCACTTCGAACACCATCTTGGCTCCCTTGGCGACGACTTGATCTTCCAATCCTTTCACGATTCTGCACAGTCCAGCCTTGGCCTTCTTCACGGTCAACTTGGCAGAAGACTCGACCTCTCCGGCAGTGTTATCCAGAACAACCTTGTAAGTGGCGGCATCGTCACGGACGGCGTTCTTGATGACCAACTGGTACTTGGTATCAGTCTTCTGTTCGATGACGAATCTGGCATCCGGTTTGATCTCTTGTCCGTTCTTGTACCACTTCACAGTTCTTGGTTTCGTGTTCGTCTCGACGGCAAACTCGGCATTCTCTCCCTCGGTAATCGTCTGATCCTTCAGTGGCTTCAAGAACGTGATCTTCGGCTCAACAGTGATCTTTCCGCTGCTGTTGGCCGATCCAGCCTCGTTGGCCACCTCGACTTTGTAGTCTCCAGTGTCCTCGACAGCGCTGGCTGGGATCTCGAGCACGTAATTGTTATCGTCGATCTTCTGAATCTTGATGCTCTTCGCGGCGGCACCAGAAAGTTCCTTTCCGTTCCTATACCACTTGACAGTTGTCGGAGATCCGGAAGTTTCAATATGCAACTTGATCGGTGCTCCAACTGGGACGGTTTGGTCTTCCAATCCCTTAACGATCTTCGGCTCCTTAGCTGGCAGTTTTACAGTCAAAGCACAGAATGAATCGGCTGTGTTTCCATCTTCATCTGTGATCACAACCTTGTAATCAGCGGCGTCTTCGTCTCCGGCGTCTGGAATCACCAGCTGCGGCTTCGTGTCTCCGTCGCTTCCCGGCTGTGCCGTGTCTTCCGGCTTGATCTCCTTTCCGTTTTTGTACCACTTCACTTCCTTCGGTTTCTTGTTCGTCTCAACCTGAAGAACGGCCTTCTTGCCTTTCGGCACTTCGGTGTCTTCCAGTCCTTTAACGATAGCGATTCCAGGAAGTTTGACGGTGAGAGCAGCCGACGAATCGGCGTCTCCGGCATCGTTCGAAAGGACGACCTTGTAGTCCGCGGTGTCGTCCAACTGAGCATTCGGAATTTCCAGAGAGTAGGATCCGTCGCCATTGTCCTTGGCTTTGGCGTCGGGGATTTCCTTTCCGTTCTTGTACCATTTCACTTGCTTCACTGGACCCTTCACCTTCACGTTGAACGTGGCGGTCTCTCCTTGCTTGACAGTGGTCGGAACAAGTCCGGAGACAATCTCCGGCTTCACCTTATCCTTTCCGTCGTCCGTCGGTTTGACATTGAGAGCAGCCGAAGAGTCAGCATCTCCTGCATCATTCGAAACGACGACCTTGTAGTCGGCGGTGTCGTCCAACTGAGCATTCGGAATTTCGAGGGAATACGATCCATCTCCGTTGTCCTTGGCCTTGGCGTCGGGGATTTCCTTTCCGTTCTTGTACCATTTCACTTGCTTCACTGGACCCTTCACCTTCACGTTGAACGTGGCGGTCTCTCCTTGCTTGACAGTGGTCGGAACAAGTCCGGAGACAATCTCCGGCTTCACCTTATCCTTTCCGTCGTCCGTCGGTTTGACATTGAGAGCAGCCGAAGAGTCAGCATCTCCTGCATCATTCGAAACGACTACCTTGTAGTCTGCTCCGTCATCGACTTGGGCATTCGGAATTTCCAGAGAGTAGGATCCGTCACCATTGTCCTTGGCTTTGGCGTCGGGGATTTCCTTTCCGTTCTTGTACCATTTGACTTGCTTCACTGGACCCTTCACCTTCACGTTGAACGTGGCAGTTTCTCCTTGCTTGACTGTCGTTGGCACCAATCCAGAAACAATCTCCGGCTTGGCGCTCACATCAACCTTGGCCTTCGACTCGATCTCTCCAGCCTCATTAGCAGCAGTCACACTGTACTCTCCGACGTCCTTCTCATCGAAATCTGGGATCGTCAGTCTGTACTTTCCGTTTCCAAGGTCTTCGATCTTGGCCTTCTTGTCCTTGATCTCGTCTCCGTTCTTGTACCACTTCACATTCTTCGGCTTTCCTTCGATCTCGACATCCAGAACCAAAGCTGTTCCTTTCGGAACCGACTGATCGGCCAATCCCTTCTTGAACGATGGAAGGCTATCTTTCTCGGCGGCCTTGGTGACGGTGACAGTGGCGGAAGACTCGACAGAAAGGGATTCGGTCGAGAGAACGACACGGTAAGATCCAGTGTCGGAGAGCTCTCCGCTTTCGATCTCGAGCTTATACTCCGACTCGGTGACTTGAGTAATTTTGGTTTTCTGCTTGCTCAAAACAGTCTCGGATCCCTTGTACCACTTGACTGTTTTCGGTTTTCCTTCCACTTCGACGGACAGAATGATCTTGGTTCCCTGAGTGACGGATACGTCGGTCAGTCCCTTCTTAATCTTGAGAGTCTCAGCAGGAACGACAGTGAGCGGAGCCTTGCTGTTGGCCACTCCGGCGTCATTGGATACCTCGATGCGGTAGTTGCCCTGATCGTCAGTCTTCGATTCTTCGATGACAAGTCTCTGGGTTCCGTCTTCCGTAGACTCGAAGTGAACTCTCTTGTCCTCCTTGAGCTCGGATCCATCCTTGAACCATTTCACGTCCGGCTTCGTTCCAGAGACCTTGCACTCGAACTTGGCAGTCTCGGTCTCCTTGACTTGAATGGCCGATAGTTCCTTGAAGAATGCAGGAGTAACGTGGGCGGGCTCCTTGACGGTGAGCGTGACGTCACTCCAAACGTCTCCAAATTCGTTCGACGCTTCGCACCGGTACTCGTCCATGTCGGACAGTTCTGTGTTTGTGAGAGTGAGTCGTTGAGTTCCATCCTCCAGATTCTCGATCTTGACTCTGACGGACGGTTTCAGTTCTTCTCCGTTCTTGTACCACTTCACATTTGGCTTCGGTTTTCCGGAGATCTTTCCTTCGAGAACGGCAGTCTCTCCAACAGTGACAACTGCCGGTTTGACTGGCTGCAAGAAGTCTGGAGCCTCTCCATCAATCTTCGGAGCGCCCTCCAAAGTGACAATGATCGGTCCCTCAGTCCAGGCGCTTCCGTACTCGTTCTCAGCTTCACAACGGTATTCACCAGCGTCGGATTGGGTGACATTGTCGAAGGTGAGCGTGAGCGTTCCGTCTTCCTTGTGCTCTGCGCGAACACGAGCAGACATCTCGACTTCCTTTTGTTCCTTCGTCCAACGGATCTTCGGTCTTGGCTCTCCCTTCACTTTGCACTTCAACACGACTTGTTGCTTTTCGGTGACGGTGACTGAACGGAGAAGTTCCACAAACTCAGGAGCTCCACGTCCGGTGTCAGTCTTGGCGGATGCCGTTTCTGGAAGACAGAGTTTTAGCTTAGTTCTAACTACATTTTCAACTGAAAAGGAAAGGTTCCTAGGTGCTACACTACATGCAACAACGCACTTACCTCCGACGGTTTCGAACTGTCCGATCTCCTCGAGTTGTCCGCTCTCATCCGCTACTGTTTCCTCAGCCTTCGCAGCATATTTCAGCTTGAGCTCAGCATTGGTATCAGCCTTTCCAGCCACATTGACCGCCTCGCAACGGTACGCGCCGACGTCTTCTTTCTTTGCGTTCTGGATGGTGAGGCGGATGTTTCCGTCCTCGAGAACTTCCAATTGCATGTGCTGTCCAATCTCAACCGGCTCGTCGTTCTTGAAGAACTTCACTTGCGGATGCGATTCCTTGTTCACCTTGCATTCGAGAACGACAGTGTCTCCTTCTGCGGCGAACGTCTCCTTGAGCGGCTCAATGAACAGAGGCTTCACTTCTTCGGCGGCCTGCTTCTCAAACGAATACTTTGGAACCTTGAGTTCACCGATAGTCTCGTCCTTCCCGGCTTTGTTGGTCGCCTGGCAGGAGTACTTTCCGAAGTCGGTAGTATTCGTGTCCTTGATGACGAGAGTGTGTGATCCATTCTCTCCCTTCTTCTCGATCACGTGCACATTGTCAATGGCAACTGGAGCTCCGTCCTTGAACCATTTCACTTCTGGCTCCGGCTTTCCTTCCACTCTCACTTCCAGCTCGGCCGGCTTTCCTTGCTCCACTTCGTATGGCTTCAATCCTTGCACGAACAGCGGCGCTTCGATCTCTTCCTGCACGGCCATATTGGCAGTCGTCTTGGCCTCTCCCGCATCGTTCGTCGCTTTGCACGTGTACACTCCGATGTCTTCACCTCGTGCTTGCTTGATGGTAAGAGTGTGGTGTCCTGATCCGTCGTCCTTAGCAAAGATGTGCGAGTTGTCAATGTTGATCGGCTTATCATCCTTGAACCACTCGACCTTCGGAGTTGGAGTTCCAATGACAGTAACTTTCAGATCAAGAGTCTCTTGCTCTCTCACTTCCAGAGGTCTCAGTTTTTCAGTGAACTCTGGCGGAATTGAAGTTCTGATGAGTCCGAAATTGGCAGTTGTGAGGGCTTCTCCAGCCTCGTTACGAGCACGGCAAGAGTAGATTCCAACGTCTCCTTGTCTGGCATCATTGATGGTCAAAGTGAAACTTCCGACGGCAGTCTGCTTTTGGACGATATGCACATTGTCAATGTTGATAGGAGTGTCATCCTTGAACCATTCTACAGATGGCTCTGGCTTTCCAACCACCTTCACAGACAAACTCATCGTTTCCTTTTCCTTCACTTCCAATGGCGACAGTTTCTCGACGAATTCCGGTGGAACCAGGTCTTTGACGACTGCGAAACTGGCTTCTGTCTTAGCCTCTCCAGCTGGGTTCGTGGCTCTGCAGGCGTACTTTCCAGAGTCCTCGAGTCTAGCGTCCTTGATGGTGATTGAATAGCTTCCGGATCCGTCGACTTTGGCAATGACGTGGCTTGAATCGGTCTGCACTGGCTGTCCGTCCTTGAGCCATTCGACAGACGGCTCCGGAACTCCCTTGACCGTGACCGAAAGAGTGGCTGTCTCGTTGATCTTCACTTCGGTTGTCACGAGCTCTTTCACGAATGTCGGTTTTTCAAGGGCCTTGGTCACTTCGGCTTCTGCAGCCGATTCCGCGGATCCGGCCGGATTGGTGGCCTTGGCAGTGTACTTTCCAGCGTCGGAAGTCTCCGCCTGCTTGACCACAAGAGTAAAGACCCCAGTCTCCGGATTCTTCTTGATTTCATGGTTGCCGTCCTCGCTGACTGGCTTGTCATCCTTGAACCATTCAACATCCGGAGCACTTCCTCCGACCTTCACTTCCATTTTGATCTCTTCCTTCTCTTTCACGCTGGTCTTCTTGAGTCCCTGCTCGAACACCGGCACCTCCACCTTCGTGGTGACTTTCGAAGTGGTCGTGGCGGTGCCGACCGAGTTGGTGGCGACGGCCTTGTATGAGGTGATATCCTCTCTCGTCACTTGGTTGATCACCATTCTCCAGTGAGTGTTCGTCTGGTCGTGCTCAATAGCAATGCGACTGGACGAAATGATCTTCGTCTCGGTCCTCGTCGTCTCCGAGAACGAGTAAAAGTCGACGTGTGGTTGAGGAGATCCTTTGACGGAACACGAGAGGATGAGCTTCTCTCCGACTGTGAGCTCCTTGTTCTGTAGCTCCTTGGTGAACACTGGAGCTTCGCCTGGAAAACGGGAGGGTGCAAGGTGGAGGAAGACCAACAAAAAGAGCAAGCGGTGGGCACACGCGTGAAACAGAAAACCGAGGAGAGGATATAGAACGTACCTTGAACAGTCAGGAAGGCCTCCGTCTTCGAGGTTCCTTCCGAGTTTTCGGCGATGCAGGAGTACTTTCCTTGGTGGGACACTTCAGTCGAGGTGATCGTGACTCTCTCGACGCCCTCCACGGACTCCACGGTTATTGTCTCTTGCGAGATGGTCTTCTGAAAAAACAAAATATTCATTTGGTTGCAGTTAGGGAAACTCACATTATCATGGAGCCAAGTGACCTTCGGCTTCGGTTCTCCGACAACCTTACACTCGAGAACGACCTTCTCGGAAGTCTTCGTCGTCCTATCCTGAAGAGCGACAATGAACTCTGGCGCCTTGTTTGCTGGCTTCTCGAGGGTTTCGACGACGGTCAGCGACGCTTCGCAAGTGTCTTTTCCGGCAGTGTTCTCCACAATGCACGTGTACTTTCCGGCATCTTCTGGAGTCACATTGTCGATAACCAGTTCCTGGGTGATATGTCCCTCTGGTCCGGTTCTTGTTTGCACGCGAATTCTGGCAATCAGCTCGATTTCCCGGCCGTCCTTCAGCCACTTGCAGCAGACTCCCTTCGTATCCGGAACGACACATTCGAAGACGGCAGAGTGTCCCTTCTTGGCCTTCGTGTCCTTGATTTTCGTGATGAACTTCGGAGCCATAACTGGGGTCGGAGTGCGGTGCATTTCCTCACGCAGACTCTCGTCTTCAGTAAGGTCATCGCCGACAAACTCCTCGGCTTGAGCTTCACTCTCGGACTCACTGAACATGTCGGAAGTGTAGGTGATCATGTTCGCAGTGCACGACACTTCTCCCGCGTCGTTCTCTGCTTTGCAGATGATCTCTCCGACGTGAACATCGGGGTTGAAGCTGTTGATCGTCAGCGTGGAGGTCTTATCATCAGTGACAATGGTGTAAAGATCCGAGTTGAGGATCTCCTTGTTGTTGATGTACCAAGTGAGGCTTGGCTTCGGATCTCCAGTGAACACGACCTTGTGCACGACCTTCGTCCCGGTGCGAGCACGCACGTTGCTGAGCCATTCCAAGAAGTCTGGCGGCTCTCCACGTGGCAAAACGAGCAGTGTGGCCTCAGAAGTGGCTTTTCCGTACTCATTGATTGCCTCGCAAACGACTTGTCCGGAATAGTCGCAAGTGATGTCCTTGATGGTGACCGTGTAAGTTCCCTTCTCTGAGTGGATCTTGATATTCTGCGACTCCTCCAACTTCTTTCCGTTCACGTACCACGAGACGACTGGTTCCGGCTCTCCGAGCAAAACGGCCTTCAATTTGAGTGTGTCTCCTTCTCTGCACGTGGCGTCGCACAAAGAGGTTTCGAATTCGACTGGAATCGGAGCGACGACCTTGAGCGGTCCTTCCGTGCTCACTTCTCCGGCCTTGTTGTAGGCGACGCACTTGATCTTTCCAGTCATATCGGCAGTCACTCCGTGGATCTTCATCGTGTACACTCCGTTGGCGTTCGATATCTCAGTGTCTTCGGTGGCACAGACGAGTTGTCCGTTGATGTACCACTTGACGAACGGAGTCGGATCTCCTGTGATGAGCAGTTTGCACTCGAGAGTATCTCCCTCGGTGAGGTTGAGCGGAGCAATGTCACTCTGGAATGCGGGCTTGGCCATCGGACGTCCTTTGACAACTCCGAGAGAAGCGGAGCACTCGGCCACTCCGAACTCGCTCTCGGCTTTGAGTGTGATTCTTCCTTTGTCTTCCAACTTGGTAGTCAAGATTCTCAGCTGAAGAGAGCCGTCCTCTTCTTCCACGAGCTTGTAGTGATCGTCCGATTTGATCTCAACTCCGTCTTTCAGCCAAGTGATCTTCGGCTTCGGCTTGACAATATTCAGTTTGGCGTCCATCAGAGTCAACTCTCCTTCAGTGATCAGCCGATCCTCGAGGTTCTTGGCGAACGTCGGGGCATCGCCGACCTTCTTGACTGCCAATTGGACATCTCTCTTCTTGTGTCCAACTGCATTCGTGGCCTCACACGACAGCTCTCCGGCTTGTTCCGGAGTCACGGCGGCGATCTCGATGGTGTGCTCTCCGTCTTTATCGGTGACTGTGATGTTCGCGTGCTTGGCGACCGGCTCTCCGTTCAGAGTCCAGGCGACACTTGGCTCCGGGTATCCTTCGACGTTGGCAGTGAACTTCACATTGTCTCCCTCCTTCACCTGCCGATCGTCCATGTTCGTCGTGAACTTTGGCACTTCGGTTTTCTTGTCGACCTTCAATTGGGCAATCGCTTCCACTTTTCCAGCCACATTTACAGCCTCCACCCTGATCGTTCCGTTGTGTTCCATCACTGGTTTGTGGATGCGAATGGAAGTTTTTCCGGTCTCGTGCACGTACTTCACCTTCACTTCCTCACTCTGAATCAGCTTCTTCTCGTTCAAAAACCACGTCACATTTGGCATTGGTTTTCCGGTGACGATGGCGCTGAACTTGACACTCTCCTCTAGCGTCGTCTCGTGATTCTGCGGCGCCTGGACGAACTCTGGCTTCTTGTTGGCTCCGTTCACATTGACCTTCGCAGACGATTCGGCCTCTCCGGCCGCGTTCTTCGCTTTCACCGTCAGTGTTCCGGTCATCTCTGCTTGCGCCTCCGCGATCGTGACGTGGTATGTTCCGTCTCCGTGATCAACCACTTGCACAGTGTCACTCTTCGTCAATGGTTTTCCGTTGAGCGACCACGTGACTTCCGTTCCTTGGAATGGTCCGTCCAACTCAAGGTTCCATCGGAGCGGCTCTCCTTCATCGACGTTCCTGTCCGTGAGCTGGGATTTGAACTTCGGTGCAACCACGTTCGGTTCCACTTTCAGGTCAGCCTGCTTGCTGTCCAGTCCGGCAGAGTTCTGTGCAGTGACCTTGACAGTTCCGGATTGCTCGACCTTCGCACTGCTGATCTTCAACGTGTAGACGTCTTCCGTCTTGATGGTCGTGACTGTCGTCGACTCTTCCACCACCTTTTCGTTGATTGTCCACTTGACAGTGGGTGCCGGGAATCCTGTGATGGTTGCCTTGAACTCGGCTGTTTCCGTTTCTTTGATGGTCACGGATTTCGGTCCGTCGACCACAATTGGAGTGGTGGCTGGTGAGTTGACAGTCAATTTAGCCGAGGATTCAGATGTTCCGACCTCGTTCGACGCCTCCACAGTCACCTTTCCGGAGTCTTGAGTGTTCGGAATGATCAGAGAGGACTTGTTCTCCTCGTTCTTGATGCTCACTCCGTTCTTTCCGTCTTCCAGAGGGTTTCCATTCAGATACCATTTGTATTGTGGGGAGTGCAGTGCGATGACATCCATCTGAACAAGAATAGTAACGATGGGAGCATTGGCCTATTCATACCTGCACAGTATCTCCCTTTGTGACCTCGATATCACGGAGCTTATCTGTGAATTCTGGCTTTTTCGTTTCCTTCGGTGTCTCCAGAACCTTCAGTTCCGTCTTGGTTTCCACGGATCCGGAAATGTTTGAAGCGACGACCGAAACAGTCCCGCTTCCGAACACGGTCGTGTCGATGGAGCAGCGGAACTCGAACTGATCGTCCTTCGAAACGGTGACCCCCTGGGCGGAAGTGATATCCTTTCCGTCCAGGAACCATTTGCACTCGGTCGCGTGCTCCACGACCACTTCGAAGTGAGCCAAATCGGTTTTGCTGACCGTCTGTGACTTGAGATCACGGGTCAGTTTGGGTGCTGGTTGCTGAAATACGTGAGAAATTATTGAAGTGAAAAGAACTCAACTTTTTTTGAATTTTCAATTCAGGTGCCTATTCAGTTACATTTCTTTAATTCAAGTCTTTCTCTAAACAGTATTCCTTATCGAAAAAGAGACTTTCGTTAAGTTTTTTGAAATGTTTTTCTAAATATTATCAAAAAACACCCCATCAAGAGAACAAATTTCAACGTCAACTCTCAAAAAACGTTGCCAGAGCACAACAAAGATTCCGGCATTTCCAAACATTCCAGAACTTTAAATCAAGTTTTGACCAGTTTATTTGAGCCGCAAATCACGGACAACCGTGCTCAATCTCAAGTGAAAGTTTTTGAAATTCACACTAATTTCACATGGCAATAGAGAGTGATTGTAAAAATATTACGGCACTAATGAATGTTTTTTTTTCAGCCTACGATGAGTTTTGCCCAATCTAAATACATATCAATTCTGGAAATTACGCTTTATTGCACTCCACGTGAATTTGGTGCTAACTTTAAAAAATTCGTGGCCGCGACCATACTTTATCGTGGATTTGCAGCAGAGCGCAGTTTTCAGAGTTTTGTGGCTCAAACGTTTTTTTTTAAATACTTTCTCATTGCGAAATTGATTGTTTTTTTTCAACATTTTCTCAGCACGATCAAATCTAACCACTTCTTTCCAAGTAAGTATAAGTTTGTTCAAAATCACTGTCAGTCTCTCACGTTTTTATTCCTACCAAACATTACCTTCTCAGCCTCTGGAGACTTGGACTTTTTCTTTTTTGGCGAGCCAGGCGGAGACGTCTTCTTCAATGACGTCACTTCAGAAGACGTTGTCGAGGTGAGTTCGGTCTTCTCAATGATTGTATCAGATGCCACTTCAACGACGTTCTTGGACGAGTCTTGGACTTCTGGAGACTTTTCCTTTTTGACAGGAGACGTCGGTTTCTCAGGACTCTTTTCCTTCTTCGTAGGAGACTTCACTGGTGACTTCTCCTTCTTAGTCTGACTCTTCGGTTTCTCGTCAATTTTCTCTGGGCTCTTCTCCTTCTTGGTTGGAGATTTCACCTCCTCTCCATCAGTCTTCTTAATCGGAGACGTTGGTTTCTCCGCGGCCTTTTCTGGAGATTTCTCTTTCTTCACAGGTGACGTCGGCTTCTCTTCTGCCTTCTCCGGACTCTTCTCCTTCTTGGTGGGAACCTTGTCGTCTTCTCTTTCGGTTTTCTTAGTAGGAGACGTTGGAGTCTTCTCTTTGGTTGGCGACTTCACCTCTTCTCCAGCTGCCTTCTCGGGCGACTTCTCCTTCTTCACAGGTGACGTCGGCTTTTCTTCTGCCTTCTCCGGACTCTTCTCCTTCTTGGTTTTAGCCTTGTCCTCTTCTCTTTCGGTTTTCTTAGTCGGAGACGTTGGAGTCTTCTCTTTGGTTGGCGACTTCACCTCTTCTCCAGCTGCCTTCTCGGGCGACTTCTCCTTCTTCACAGGTGACGTCGGCTTCTCTTCTGCCTTCTCCGGACTCTTCTCCTTCTTGGTTGGAGCCTTGTCCTCTTCTCTTTCGGTTTTCTTAGTCGGAGACGTTGGAGTCTTCTCCTTGGTTGGCGACTTCACCTCTTCTCCAGCTGCCTTCTCGGGCGACTTCTCCTTCTTCACAGGTGACGTCGGCTTCTCTTCTGCCTTCTCCGGACTCTTCTCCTTCTTGGTTGGAGCCTTGTCCTCTTCTCTTTCGGTTTTCTTAGTCGGAGACGTTGGAGTCTTCTCCTTGGTTGGCGACTTCACCTCTTCTCCAGCTGCCTTCTCGGGCGACTTCTCCTTCTTCACAGGTGACGTCGGCTTCTCTTCTGCCTTCTCCGGACTCTTCTCCTTCTTGGTTGGAGCCTTGTCCTCTTCTCTTTCGGTTTTCTTAGTCGGAGACGTTGGAGTCTTCTCCTTGGTTGGCGACTTCACCTCTTCTCCAGCTGCCTTCTCGGGCGACTTCTCCTTCTTCACAGGTGACGTCGGCTTCTCTTCTGCCTTCTCCGGACTCTTCTCCTTCTTGGTTGGAGCCTTGTCCTCTTCTCTTTCGGTTTTCTTAGTCGGAGACGTTGGAGTCTTCTCCTTGGTTGGCGACTTCACCTCTTCTCCAGCTGCCTTCTCGGGCGACTTCTCCTTCTTCACAGGTGACGTCGGCTTCTCTTCTGCCTTCTCCGGACTCTTCTCCTTCTTGGTTGGAACCTTGTCCTCTTCTCTTTCGGTTTTCTTAGTCGGAGACGTTGGAGTTTTCTCTTTGGTTGGCGACTTCACCTCTTCTTCAGCTGCCTTCTCGGGCGACTTCTCCTTTTTCACAGGTGACGTCGGCTTCTCTGGGCTCTTCTCCTTCTCTCCGGCCTTCTCCGGGCTCGGACTCTTCTTCTTTTTCTTTTCCAAATCAATCACTTCTTTGGGCAATTCCTCCTCGGCAAACGAGACTCTTCTCTTCGGAGTTCCCTCCCGTATATCAGTTTGAGATTCCGTCTTCGAGACCACCTCGATCTTGCTCACACTGATGATTCCCTCGGCATTTCCGGCGGATTCCTTCGTCTCGACCGTCACTCCGCCGACCGTCGAACTGATTTCCGTTGTGGACATCGTCGTCGTTTTTGTCGACGTCAACGAAGTTTCCATTGTGATCGTGGTAGCTTCCACAGGAGAAGCCTCTTTCACCTTGAATGACAATAGGTATTTGATTGATCCTAGTTATTTCTCCGGTTAGAATTCTATCCGAGTTGCTTGTTCCGAAGACGTTCAGACAATTTACAAAACTTTGAAAAGATTGTGTTCTGAACAAGCATCTCAGTCTAAGGTTAAGATCGAGAAGTATTTAGAAAAGAAGTGGTTGATTGTGAATCGTGCTAAGATGAAATGGAAAGTTTGACAAATTTAATAGAGTATTTTCAAGATTTCTATGAGAAGTTTGTTTAATTTTTGGTCTGGAATATCTGGGAAAGAACGGAAAGGGCACGGCAAGCGGGCATGCATCCATTTGAAAGGCCTACCTGCTGGCCAGAATACACCGTCTCTTCGGAAGTGACGGTCGACGTCTTCGAGATGGAATCCTTCTCATCGATGACGCTCTTCTGAATTCATGCAAATAGAAATGAAAACGGCAAGGCAACGAATGCGATGTTGATCGATTGAAGGGAAACATTGGGCATCTTGGACGTGAATTTGAATTTTGGTGTTTTTTGGTGAGAGTACAGGAATGTTTCTAAGGTTCGGATGAAAATTCTTTGAAATTTTGAGCGAAATATCCTAGAGTTTACCGAAAATGCCATGCCAAAATTAAGTCACTGTACTTTTTGGAATTCTATGCAAACTTCGAGATGCCTCTTTCTCAAAAGTTGTAAACTGTAAAGACCCCCTCTAAAAACACCTATAACTCGAAATACTACAATCATTTTTTAAAGTGGTCAACTGAAAAGGCGTTGCAAATTTTGTGTGGAATAATTTGTAATTGATAGTATCATTTCAAAATCTGTCATTCTTGAGTTACGAGCTGGTTTATAAACATTTGAACAAGAATTCTCCAGTTTCCTTCAATCAAATCCACATCACCACGGCAGAAAAATAACTCAAAAAGAAAAATGAAATTCTCAATTCTAGAATCACCTGAATATGACCTGTCCGTTTACAGTTGAAGCTACTTTTGTGGGTTGAAATAGCTTTCAAAGCCTTTTCCAAAGTAGCTCCCTCTGTACTCGGTCAGGTCATCCGATCCTATCCCACCTCATCTACCGATCCCTTTCACCAACCTTCTTCGGTTCGACCGTCAGCTGGGCGCCCGTCTCTTCTGCTCCGAGTGTGTTTTCTGCGACAACAGAAATAGTCAGATGGTTCACTTCGGAATAATATGTCGCCGTGTCGATCGTCAGGATCGATGCGCCGTCGACGGTGCTCTCGTCTCGCGACACGCGCGCCCCTTCTTGTCCATCGCGCACCTGAAAGGCATTGCTTTTAGTTTGAGAATATTCTTGTCTTCTTTAATACTTGGATCGAAACGAGAACTGACCTTTCTTCCGTTGATGGACCATTCGTAGGTGGGCAACGGAATGCCGAACGCATGCGCAGTGAACACCGCCGCGGCGCCCTTTTCCACAGTCAAACTCTTCGGTCTCAGATCGAATTCTGGCGCGAACGGCTTCTTTTGGACCGTCAACGTAGCCTTGGTCTCATCAGATCCTTCCGAGTTCGTGGCCACCGCCTTGATCTCTCCGGCTTCTTCCAATTTGATGTTCCTGATTTGCAACTTGATGGATCCGTCGAATTCTCTGATTTCGACGCGATCCGACTGTTTCAGCTCTTCTCCTCGCAAGAACCACGTCACCGTCGGCTTCGGTTCTCCTTCGACGCGCACTTCGAAGACGACGGTGCTGTCGACGGTCTCCGATTTGTCGACGAGTATCTCGACAAACTTTGGTGGCTTCTTTTGTTTCTCCGGGGCCAACACAACGAGTCGGGCCTTCGTTTCGAATCGACCCACTACATTTTCAGCTCTAAAAATGTCAGAAATATGATGGTCCATGCATGATTATGAGAGAGATGGCATACCTGCAGAGTACGGTGCCCGCGTACTGTGCCGAGTCGATGGTCAGCTTGTGATCGTGATTGTGCGCCTCGATCTTGACGCCCGGACTGCCCTGATCCATCTTGTGCCCGTTGATGAACCAAGTGACCTCCGGGTTCGGATTTCCGCGAACGGTGGTCTCGAAGACGGCAAATTCGCCGGTTTTTACGGTCTGAAAATGGAATATTCGAAAGTTGGAAAGTCGAGGAAGAGCACGGGAAATCATTTTGTATTAGGCACTATTACGAATTCTAATCTATCTAGAAACTCTTTCACATTGACACGGTGATTTTTTCTGGGGGGCGCAGTGGAAAGAGGAAGAAAGTTCGGCCCTCGTCCCGTGAACTGTCGGCGGCAACTTCTGATGCGTGCTGTTAGAAGAATACTGATTCATTTTCCCTAATTTTTTAGGAATGAGTTCATTATGATTGAAACTCGTAATCAGCAACGAGAAATTCGCAGAAATGTCTAGAAGTCAGTGTCAAAAGAGACACAAAAAGCACGCACGAGCAGCCATTTTTCGAAAAAAGTTATTTTTCCAGTGACTTATAGACACTTTTGCGAGTTTCTTGTTGCTCTTTGTTAGTTTTGATCATAATGAACGCATTCACTATGTCAATGAATAAGATGAACCAGGATTTCTCCGACGGCACGCACCTAAAGTCCCTGCAACACTGCATCTGAGCCTTCGTGGACGGCCGGCCTCCGCACGACACCCAGGAAAAATCACCGCGATTGAAATTGAGTGAAAACAAATCAATAACTCGAAAAATGTCTTCAAACCGCCGTCGGAAAAGCGGGGGAGAGCTCAAGGAGCAGCCGGCGGGAAGAAGAGAAAAGAGCCGGAGCAACTGTTTTGCGAGTAAAAAATAAGACTGGATCTAGTTTCTAATGACCAAATTCGAATGTTTCTGTGACAAAAGTACACATTCCCAGAATGGTCACTTCAGATTTAGGATGCTTAAAGTAGCGGTAGATCTCGAGTTTCTAATGAAAAAAAACAAGAGAGAGAGCCATAGAAAAGATTTCGGAAACGATAGAATTTCAAAATCGAAACAGATGATCAGGTGTTTTCCCGCAGAGAGATTCCGACAGAAAAAAAAAGAAAAGCGTGTGAAAATTCTCTATAGGTCCACCGTTTCCTGATGATATGATTGGATGTCGGCGTCTCCTACACCCGTCGGCACTCTTTCGTTCATGATGTTACACTGATCAGCGAGTGGGTCCCGAAACGGTGAGAGAGTGATCTAATCAGAGAGACGGCGCCGAGACGGAGAGACCACGGAAGGTGGCATTCTGGATGCCATCCACCTCCACAATGAGAGCGGAGAGAAGAGAGATGCATTTTGTTTACCAGACGGAACCCGCAAAAAACCGAGGGATCAAAATGTGAATGCGTGGGGTTCGAACACGGACATCAACTGGGAACATGACTCGAAAAAAAAACACTCACCTGATCCTCGATGTCCTTGAGGAAAGTGGGCGCACTGCGCGACTCCTCCTCTTCCTGCTCCACGGTGAGCCGTGCCCTGCTCTCCGCGGTTCCGTGCTCGTTCTGAGCCTTGGCCACAATTTCGCCGTCGTGCTTTTCGATCGAAGTGTTGGCGATCGAGATGCGATAGAAACCGTCGTGCCCTACGATTTCAACGCCTTCTTCGCCGTGTTTCAACTGAGAGAAAAGAATATTTCATGGATGCAAACGGAAAACTCACTTCTTTTCCAGCAAGTGTGAACGTGAGTGTTGGCTCTGGCCATCCGCTGACGTCGACTTCAAAGACCACCTGAAACGAGGATCTTCAGGATCTTCACAAGAAATTAAATCAACTCACTGTGTTCTTTTCCTGCACAGTCTTGTCCTCCAAAGGTTTGTTGAAAGTTGGCGGGGCAGGTGGAACTCTGACCTTGAGTCGGCCATCGCAAGACGCGGATCCCAATCTGTTGGATCCTTGGCAAGTGACCAGTCCGTCGAAGTGCCTCGTCACGTCCTTGATCGTCAAAATGCAGATGCCGTCTTCCGAAATGAACTTGACTTTCTCGGACTCGCTGAGCGGCTTTCCATTTATGAACCAAGTGATTTCTGGGTTCGGATCTCCAGTGATCACTGATTTGAATCTAACTTCCTCTCCCTCATCGCATTCCACGTCTTCAATTGTCGCTTGGAACTCTGGTGCCACGTGGTTCTTATCCGGATCGGCTTGCACAAAGAGCTCAGCTTTGCTCTCAGTCGTTCCGAACTCGTTCTGAATCTTGACGGTGTAGACTCCAGTGTCGTCCGGCTGAGCATCACGAATCTCCAGCTTCGCCGTTTGTCCGTCGTACTGTAGGCGGAAATCGTGCGACGGTCGGAGAGGTTGGTCATCGACAAGCCAGACAAGCTCCGGCTCCGGCCAACCTTCGACTTCGCATTCGAAATCGATGATGTCTCCTTCTTTGCACTCTTTGTCTCTGAGTTTGGTGACGAACGCCGGCGGAGCGGCCTCCTTCTCAACCTTCATTACTCGGAAGAACGCGGACGTGGATGCTTGACCGTACTCATTCGTGGCCATGCAAGTGTACCGTCCAGTGTCAGACACCTAGAACAAAAGAGAACACTTTGCAAGTGCAGAAGAATGAAATACTCACTTGAACAGGATCAATGGTCATGGCGAAGAAGCCGTCCTCATCCGAATAGAAGGTGTGCCGCTCATCTTCGTGCAACAGGACGTCGTCTTTGTACCAAGTGATGTCCGGAAGTGGGTATCCGGTCACTTTCAGGCACATTTTGGCCGAGGATTCTTGAAGTGTTCGGAATCCGTACTGTGTTCGGGTCACTCGTGTTCCTTGCATTTCAAGCGTGGTTCCGGTGGTGGCTGAAATTGCGAAACTTCCGATAATTCCTGAGATTTCTGATGACTCACTCCAATCAATGCTGCTACTTCCACCAGAATAGATACTGGTGGATGAGCCGGTCGGTGAAATAACTGGCGGTGATTTCACCTTCTTCCGCGGCGGACCTCCTTCTTCCGGACCTGAAAGTAATTCGATGTATTTCCAGATTTCCATCTAATTCCACATTCATGAACACTTTTCAGATCACACTGCTACAACAAGAAACTATGACGTGGCACTTTTTTCACATTTCTTTTATGACGTGTCATCAAACGACACCTGTTTCAAGACAAGTTACACTTTGAGCGAAACTAGTCGTTAGTGCTCCAAAATAATAGTGTTACAACATGTAGACACAAAAACACGTCCAAACCGGGGAACAAGCTGCTCTTCCGCGAACCGGACCATTCCGAGAACTCGGACTGCTGGTCCGACACGTTCACGTCGAAGTCGACCGACGAGGCGGTCATCTCCGACGTGGCCGTCTGCGAGACCGCCTCCCGTTCGGCAGCTACAAAATCGGAAATGGTTTCAGAAAAAACTTACACCATGATGGATCGACGAGCTCGAGACCTCCCTCCTCGGTTTCGGTCAACTCTATGATGTAGAGTGTCTTGAGCACCATGTTGGCACGATGCCAAGAGCAACACTTGGCTGACTATCTATGGGGGAAACTGGATGGGTTCGAGGGTGGAATGGAATGGTAGCAGAGAGGTTCGAAAGATGGAAAAGAAGAAGAAGAAGAAGATTTCTGTGTGTATCTCGTCCTTTGCGTGTGTGTGTGCCCGAGACGAGAGTATGTGGTGTATAGCCGGCAACCGCTTGGGCTAAAGCCTTGCTTCTTCCACTGATAGCGGCTCCTGCTGGCCAAGTAGAATAGAGGACGCCGATCGGAGAGACGCAGCACGCACCGGTGGGCGATTACACACGGTGAGTGAGAGTGTGTGGCAGATGCGACGACTCTCGGGATCCCCGCCACCACGAGCAGCTTTTTGCGCTTTTTGTGCGTCTGCGTGTCCGTCCGTGTCCCTTTGGCAACAGGACAGTGGTCCCAATTGATTTGATTGGAGAGAGAGAGAGAGAGAAAGAAAAAGACGGGGCAGGAGACGCCTGTTGTGATGTTCGCTTGATGCTGTTGCCGAACATTGAAAAGAGGAAACACGACAGGAACAAAAAGCAAGAGTACATGCTGACGTCTAGCTGAAATATTCCGACTTCCTACTTCCTAGTTCCTAAATCCATTTTATATGAATTTCTATCTAAGCTCCCATACTTTTCCCAATTTGACCTCATTTCCTCCTTCCGTATCCCTTTCTCGCCCGGTCTGATCGCGGGGGAGTTTGAAACATTTGTTTGAATTGCTCGCAGACCTCCTTCTTGCTCCCCCTTCTCCTTCTCATCACAAGTGTTTTATCATCCCTTTCCCCTCTCGCTCCCCATCCGACTAAATGCCAAAGTGTGCTCACTCAGCCCATCCGAACAGCCAGTCAGTCCCGAGCTCGTCGAATATTTACGTGTCTTGTTTGTTGCAAAAAAGAGAGAAACCGCAGTTCTCAGGGACTTTTCAAAGTGCATCCTACCCTGAATCCCTTCCGGAACATCCCCCCTCACCGTAGTTCTCCTGCTCTTCGGCAATGTCCTTCAGCCAGGCTTTTCTCACATATTCGGCAGTCTCAAAGTCTTTCGGTTTGATTCTGAAACTCGGCAGTCCCGGCTCCTGCGGTTGCAGCACGATGGTGTCCTCGTCGGCCGAATGCTGTCGAACATTGTACTTGTCCAATCGGATCGACGAGTAATGCGTGTAGCTCGGAGGAGTCGTCGAGCTGTCCTGTTCCGTGAACATCATCTTGTTCCGGAACAGGAACACGTACCGCAACTTGGGTTCTTCGTCTCCTTCCCACACTTGGAATGCATCCTGCAACACCTCATTTCAGTTGACTTCTCAGAGACCAACGTGTACATGTCTGATGATCCGTCCCAACTTTCCGACGTCTCCTGGATGTTGCTTCAGATTGTGTGTAAACTCCAGATCTTGTACTCTTTGTGGAATGGTAGTAACCAGTTCCAATGCCTTTTGGATGCTCTTCGAAGATCCGTGGGCTCGGGCCGAGTACTTGACAAACTCTTTGAAGTAATTCTGATACTGAACCATTCGGTCAGCAATCTCTTTGACGTGGTCAAGATAAGAAGACACTCCAGCATCGTTTTTGGCAGAGAGACCCTGGAAATTTTAGGTAAAAGTATGCAAGGAACGCACTTGGTTTTGCAATATTATTATTCGAAACTTTACCAAAATTCTCACATTCAGAACCAAACAAAATGAATGTCTCTGGATCATTTTCTAGTTAGAAAAGAGAAAATTTAGAGTGCTTAAATTTCTAGAATATTTCAGGCTTCGGAATTCTCTCCGGGATGATCTTGTGAATCATGTAAACGAGTTAGGTTGGGAAAGCTGTGAAAAAGATGAGCAGGAAAATAATGTAGTGAAAGAAAATGGGTCACGAGAAAGAACTTGTCTTTTTTCTTCATGTCCTTAAACAAAATAATAAGATAGATAATATTGGAAGAATTTGAGTGAAACAAACGATAGGAAGAAACGAACATGGTGACAGGGGTAGCGAAGAAAAAGTAGGCTAGGGTGAACTGAAGTGAAAACAAAATATTTGGAAGTTTAACTCATTTCATTTTGAATTAAACAGTCACAAACGGTCACTTAACTCGTGAACTTTGAAACTTCTACGTCAAAAAAGATCGTTATCTGAGCTTCCGATCAGTTTTTCTTCGACTCTAATTCAATATTCGAAAGAACTTTCATAAAAGCCTGTGTATGTCAATTTGGAACATGGCCTTGCTTGACATTCAGGCCGACTTACTGCAATATTGTGAGTTTGATTAAGATGAATTCAAGAAGAGGTTGAACTATTCTAGTTATAACTGCCGCCGTGGCTTCCGTCTCTGGAGTGGCGGTCGCCATCGCCTGCACCATCGGACATCGTGAAAACGCCAGGTGAGGAAGAGAACGGAGAAAGATGGTACTTAGCAGAAGTATTCGTTTCAGAAAGAAGGACAAATCTTCGAGAAGTAAGAGAAGTAAGAGGAGCAAGCGAGGCAAGAAGTCTCAGAGAAGCATGCGCAAGAAGAAGGCTGCTCCGCCGAGCAAGGAGCCCCCGAAGAAGTCGAGTGCCGAGAAGGAAGCGAGCGCCAGAGCCAAGAAGGAGGCGGCCGAGAAGAGTGCTCGCGCCAAGAAGGAATCCGCCGAAAAGAGTGCGAGAGCAAAGAAGGCGTCTGCGGAGAAGCCTCCTGAGAAGCCGGCGGACAACGACAAGTCGGAGAAGCCTGCGGACCCGGCTCCGTCGGTCAAACCGAAGGTCATTTCGGAGTACGGAACGGTGCCCGAAAAGGACCCGGCGGTGCTGGCCGAGATCGCTGCGAAACAGGGAGAGGAGAAGCCAGAGAGCATCATGGTGCTCGACGGAAACATTGCCGGCGCTGACAAGCGACTCTACGGAGCTGATGCGGAGGCTGCCGTTGCCGAGTGAGTGAACGGAAGTGCGCTCTATCGGACACTTATGATTACAGGGCGAAGAAACAGGCGGAGATCGAGAGGAATACGCCGAAGGAGGGCACGGACGGAGGATCGAAGTACCTTTGAGCGAACGAGAAAGACCGGACCACAGCAGCGTTTCTCAATTATCCTGTTTCCGGAATAAAACATTGTCTTGCTGGTTTTTTGTGTTTCTTACAATTGAAAATTGGCACGGACTCAATGACCGTCACGGGTCCATGGCATTTGTTGGAAATTCTCATGGACGCATGACGATCTATTATTTTTTCCTAGAATCCTACATGTCAGCTACAGTAGTTTCAGGAGGAGGGAGGGTGCAAGAAAGTTGTCAGCGATGTGACCAAAAAACTGGATGCATTCAGAGAAAAAAGGCGCCGGCACTTTTTTTTCCTGTGTGCGCGCGAGTTTGGGCTTTGGGGAGACGGGCAGGACTGAGTGGACGAGAAGAAAAAAAGAGAATGGTTCTGGACGGAAGTGAGTGTAGAGACCCTTACTGACAGACGACTGAAAGGATGTCTACGAGCATAGGCGACCCGGTCAGGGACAGTTCATCATGTCACACCTGTCACATGGAACCAAGAGTGTTTACGACTGTTTTATTGGCACATCGTCACGTAAACAGATCATCAAAACACGTGGACGTAGTTTACAAACGTTTGATGTGGGTTACGGTCTCTCCGCTCGACGGTCGGTTCATTCAGACTGACTATTTCCGGCCAGGACCACCGTCTTTTTTTTTGCCCAACCCTGTCTTCCCGGAAAGATATTCTTATGCTGCATAAGTTATGCACAGAGCGGAGTTATGGACGGAGTGTCGTTGAACGCATAAAGGAAGAACTGATTTCTGATCGGACAAGGAATCGAAGGCGAGGAGGAAAGGCATGTTCAATGCAATCAGTCACGTTACAACAAGCGATCATGTGGTCGATCAGGTCAGTTGCTCATTCGAGAACGAAACAATTTTATCGAAGACTGACGTATTCAGATGAAGAAGGAAAACAACTTATTACCATCAAAAGTGGAATATCATCGGAGAAAATCAGGAAGGAGACAAGAGAATACCATGAAATTCATTCAAATTTTTACTCGGCTGTGTTGGTCAGAATTTGCACAAACTTTACGCAATTTCTACTAGAACTTTCGCTAAAATTTCTCAAAGTTTGCGCAAAAACTGCGCTTAAAGTTAGCGCAAAAATTGCTTTACGTTTTTCAGAATTTGCGCAAGCTTTAATGGCCTCCACAATTTCAACGCTAGCCTTAAGACAATTTTTGCGAAAAGTTCAAGTAGAAATTTCGTTAAGTTTGCGCAAATTTTGACCAACACTGGCGTTACACTGCCGAGTAGGAAGAAAAATCTGATTGAAACGAGTAGAACGCATGGAATCCCAACTGTATGAGCGACTTTTTCGAAAGGGGAAGGACAAATCGAATGGAAGTTTTGATAATTTGAGACACTGTGATACTTGTGATGGAAATTATTCGAGTTGGAACGATGCGCAGACAATTTGAAGACGAAGGGAAGACATTTGAGGAAGATAAGTGAAGTTGCGCAAATGGGTAAGGTTGAGAAAAGTCAGTTTCGTAAACGAAGAGCCAAATTATTGAAATAAACTCAATTTATCGCTATTGCCCCTCGGTGTTTGCAGACTCAAGCCAAAATTTCTGAAATTAGGCTTGAGTACGCAAACACCGAGGGAGCAAGAGCGGTAAATTGAGTATAGTAACAAATGTAGAGAAATGCATCGTGTCAAGTTCGAATGGTCAATAAGAAAACGAAACAAGAAAATGAATTAATTTTTAGATATGACAATGATTACAACGTTTTTTTCGGCAGATTTATAACTTGAAGAGAATCTAAAATTGCAGGAATCACAGGTAAAATGCGATTTAGCAATTATACAATTGCGCTAATTCTGGGCAAATTCTCGCTCAGGTAAAATTCAAAGTGATATGTTCGCAGGTTCTTAAACCAAGGAGGTGGGAAATACGGGAGACGATCGTATCGCTAAGACACGTTTATTCAGAGTGAATAAAGTAGAAAAGAATATCAGACAGAATACTCCGAGTCGAGGAACTAGGCTCAAAAACACCGAAAAGCTAATTGTCGTCAACTATAATGTTTGCGGCACCGAGAGAGTGTGTGCGCAGAGAGTGACAAGACTGGAGGAGAAAAAAAAACAAGTTTGTGTGTATGGAAGAGTACACAACACAAAGCTTTTCTTGGCTCTTCTGAAGACATTCTCAAACTTTCTCACGAAAAAAACTTTTCCAAGACCTTTTCAAACTTTCTGAAGCACTAAAAAAAAACTTTTCTAAGCAATTCTCAAACTTTTCCAATAATTTCTTAGGTGGCGTCTGGAAAAGTTTGAAATTTTACCGGAGCGGCAAATCTAAACAAAAATTCCCAAATATTCGTTCGGGATTTGTCTAGAATTGGCGCAATTGTATAATTGCTAAACCGCGTTTCACCTGTGATGGCGAATTCACAAGAATTAGCTTCAGAAATGCGGCTTTTGTTTAAAAAATTAACGAAAAAGAAGTTGAATGCGGAAAATGTGAAAGAGTGTTGAAATACTACAGCTCTTTCTTTTCAACTTCTTTTTCGTTAACTTTTTTAAACACAAGCCACACTTCTGAAGCTAACTCCTGTGAATTCACCACGATAATCGACCCAAAATTTTGTCGATTATCGTGTCGACACGTTATTCTTCAACAGAATGAGAAATCGGATAGAATCGAAGTGAATGACAGTATGGAAATGAGAGAGATCAAAAAGTTATGGAAGATCAGAAATAATGGTACAGAATTGAATAATAGTAAAACCAATGGAGAAGAAAAAAATGTTCATTTATGTTTATTAAAAACAATGTTTGGAAGAAAATCTGATCGATTGAATGAACCTTTTTTTCTTCAGAAACTGGGTTAGAAGAATAATAGAGTAGCGAATATCAAAAGAACAGTAACCGTACTCAGAGATCGAAAATTATATGATTGTCGATGCCAAGACTCGAAAAAATGAACGAGAAATGTAAGTGAATAGTAGCGAATAAATAGAATTTCGAGGAAAATCAATGAAGCAGTGAAAAAAGTGAGGAAAAGTGAGTCTTGGCATGTGTGGTACTGTACTTTTGTGGGTTAAAATCAATTTGTAAAACATAGTTTGAAGCAAATATATGTCGAAAAGAATAAGACAAAGAAATCAAATCAAATACATAGATTTTCAGAACGTTCGCAGCGCATAGGAAATAGAGGACAAGTTCGTGGATCGTTACCTCAAAGAACTTTTTGATTTCGGGTTCTTCGAGCAGTTTCAGAGTGTCCGCGTATCTCTGATAGAACTCTACGTGGCTTTCGAAGTCTTTCTCAAGACGAACGAACGTCTGACCGACCTTGCCCGGGTCGTCAGAGTAATAATTGAGCCCTTTGAGCATGACACTGAAAACAGAAGACAGTGTGAGACAAGAGACAAGTTGAGATGTGAGTACTTTGCATGGAAGTTGTACAATTCGGGGATGTTGAGTGTCAGCTCCTCCTTGTGCTGTTTGATGGCTTCCGGAACTCCCGGATCATCGAAAACTTTGATGTAATCGTCGACGCAAGTCCGCAGAGACGACACGAATTCCTCTTCGGAACGGAGCAGCTCGTGGTACACTTGGCTGCAAAATTCCAATAATTTCATTTTCCCCAACAGTTTGGCAGCAAGAACGTGAGCTCTTCGGAATTGTTGCCCGCTATTTTTTCATGTTTACTGCTCTCCTCAGTCTCTCTGATTCTCCCAATCTCTGAGGCTCGTAGCGAAGCGGCTGTTCACCCATTTTTCTACATACAAAACGAAGCCATTGAAACGTCTGTTTCTTGTGGCTCAAGAGAGAAAGAGAAACAGAGAGTCGGACGGACGGCTCACTCGTGTCGTCATTGATCGAACATCTGGCATCGGGAGAACATCCATCGGAATGTGCCGATTTGATGATAATGGACCCGGGCGGAGCCGTTCTAACATAACAAATTGCCTCCATTTTCCATTTTGCGGTCAGAGGAAAAGAGCACTTTTTGAGAAAACGAGCTGACATGCTACCGTAATCCGGGGTCACAGAGTGCTGGTGCCACGTGGCACCTCCTACTCACTCTCTCTTCACGATCGCCGCCTGTTCGTCCGACAGACTGACGTTCTCGATCTCGCGCGTTCTTCTTCTCTGCTTGTAAAACTCCGTCGGCGTCTCAAAGTACGATCCCGGAACCCAGCCGGAACGAGGCGGACGCGCCTGAAAACATTGGCTCGATTAGGCCGGGATTCATAAATTTTCAGGTCAACCTTAGTCCTGACAAGCCATCGGACCGAGTTTTTCTTGTCGAGCACTTCGACAATTTGGCCCTGCTCAAGAGGGATCCCCTCGACGTCTTCCTTGTCGGGAGTGTAGTCCTGGATGGCAATGTAGACGGGATACGAGCGAGACTCTGATCCGGCGATAATCTCGGAAGAGGTGGACCGCCCGCGTCCATCGGTTCGAGAAGTCACCGACTCGGAGCGGTACGAGGACCGCGACGAGTGGGTACTGTAGTTGACATCTTCGGTGGCGGTGAATTTTCTGAAACTTTCCTCGTTTTGCACTTAAACATGCCGGAACTTTCACTCTCTTTGCTCTTGCGCAAACATTTGGTTTCAATTCGAGTGGCAAAAGCGTCGCAAGATTCCGAGAGTACGGTGGATGTGGCGAGATTAAAAGTAAGGAAACATCTAGATCGCTTCGAAGAGCGGCAAAGAGCAGTGACTGGAGGACACCTACCGATAGGAGCTGTACTTCCGATCGAACTGTTTCTGGCGTCGGCTGGCCATCGTTGGAATCTAGGCGCCGTCGACGTCTTCTTCTTCCGAATGGTTTCTATTGTCCAGCTCGCTGAGTGACGAAAGGGGAAAGGGATCGCACACAAAAACGGCCCAATAATGATGTTGGCACACCGATTCTTCTCTTTTCTCGAGGCGCTCAACCAGCCGACCGCTTGGATTTGTGTGCTTGTCTGGCCGGCTCTCCGGGCGCCGCACTCCCTCGACCGCCCATTGGGGAGGGAAGATCCCGCGGGTAAGATAGAGCCAGTCAGACCACTTCCCACGCACATACACACACACACAAACGCATATATACACTCACACAATATCTCATAAAACTCTGCTCCCGTCTGCGTCGGCGGCCTCTCTTCTCGCCGCCGGTGCCAATGAGATAGGTGAGAAGGCCGGCGGAAAGCATGGAGCATCGGCCCTTCCTCACCTGCTCCTCCAGCTTTTTGCTGCAAAAAAAACGAGAGCGGGGGACGTCTTGTTTCGAAATTCTCGCCCCGGGAAACACAAAACTTGTTTTGGACAGCTGCCGTGAAACCGAAAGTTCGGGGGGTTTACTGTGACGAAATCGGTAAAGACGTCTGAAATATTTCAGCGAGGATTGGATTCAGTGGTATAGAAAACGTTAAGATTGTCAGGGAACGTCGACCTGGAAGAATAAGTGAATCTGATTACAGAACAGAGCGAAAGTGCAGTGACCGTAACCTTTCTGAAAATGTTGTCGATCCCATTCTTATTTTCACTTCTTGAGCGAACCGCATGCTTCTGCTCATCAATAATTCGAAAACACGAGAAAGCATGCGAATTTCGAGGTCCAGATTTAATGAAACTGGGCCCACAAATTTCAGTTTTTGAGGTTCAGGACTGAAATTCACCAGCACAGTGCAAAAATGTGCGTTTTCTTGTGGGCAAGACGCTTAACTAAGGTCACATCTGTCATTAACGATTCTGATCATCTCTGTTTAACCTCATTTTCTTCATTTTTGGATGAATTTTCGGGTTTTCGGAAAAAAATCCAGAAATTTCAGACTTGCTTTTGTTTTCAACGACACCCTGTTTTAACGCGGCGCTCAATTTAGCATTGGCTATTGGAGATGATCGTTGTGAGAAACTGTTCCAAATGCTTTTTGTCAGTTCAAATTGATTTCCGCCCTGAACTGATGAAAAAAGATCCGTTTGTTTTCAAAAGCGAAAAAAGGCAAACAGACACGGACAAACCTCTCGTTTTCCTTTTATCACATTCAAAATATTACAATCCCTATGTTCAGTTCTCGCTCTCTTCCGCTTCATGTGCCAAGACTGTCCGTTCATTTGGAGCATGTGGCCGTTAAACCTTTAGTGAATGCAATCCGGGACCATGTGGCATTGGCTACTGTTTGACCAGGCCACTATGTATCAAGAAGGGTGCACAGATTGCGAGGTGTTGATAAACCGATTATCACTGATAACTGTACTCTCCGACGGTCAAGGGTGACTGCTCTTATCACTTCCCTTCCCCCTTCGTCGTTTTTGTTTACGATTCTGCTTCCTCTCCATCTTTCTGTGTCGAATAAGTACTTGAAGTGCCTTCTTCTAGATCCGTTTACGTATAGTGACAGTAATTTGATTTGGGTGGTTTAGTGAGAAGAGAAAGGAAGAAGACGAAGAAGAAGAGGAGATATTTGAATTCGTGGCGGATTCAAGTGTTGCCAACTTCGTCATCTGTCGTCGGCTGCACCTGCCATCTCCATTCATGTCGTCCTCGCCGCCCGGTCAGTCAGTCCGGTCCGTCATCTGGCTGCCCGTTGACCCCGCAGTGTTCTCTCCGACCTCCTGCGCCTCTCCGCGGAACGCGCTGCCTGTGGCCGGTCTGCTCCGACCGCCGTTAGCCTCCCATAACAATTCGGTCGCCTCCCGCTTTCGTGCACTATTCGCCCGGGGCTCCATTTAAACACGCGCCAGGCCTCTCAAGAGTTGGAACGTTTTCTTCTTATCGCTTCTCCCCGACTCTTCCATTTTCACACCAGCTCTTTCGGGCGGAGCACTGAATTTACGGCCGTTGCGCAACTAATTATTCGAATTTTTGCATTGGATTACTGGAGCGGCTTCCGGTGCCTGTTTGCCTATTCAGACGCTGAATTATTTATTGCTTGCTGAGAAAGGGAGACGAACTCGAAGGAGCCGCAGGCGGTATCATTTCGTAATCTTTTGTTGATTGAGTCTTCTATTTATGGAGCGCTTCTTTTTTGTGTCTTTCTTGAAGTCTGGAACGCACTTCTTCGTTTACTTTCGCGCCTTTTAATGTTTGAAAAGTGTCCTCATGGCCTAACTTTTTCTTATTGACAACCCTCTTCCGTTCTGTAAAATTTGTCCGCTTTTTTAAAATTAAAGCTACTTCTTTCAGTTAACAACGGGTCCCACACCTTCTTTCCATCGACAATCGCATGCTGATATCGAATGCAGCGATCGCATTCCCATAAAACGTCTGTCGACACGCATAAACCGTCGTGCGATCAGGATGGAAAAGTGAGTTTTCAACAACAAAAAGAACACTGCTGCCGCCGCTGACTGGCCGTAATCCATCGAGGCGATTAATGCGAAAAGCGAGTGCAAACTGTGGAAACGGCCGGATGGAATTGATTGATAAAAAGTAAAGCAGTAGTCGTGCCGAAAAGGCGGAGAGAGAAAACAGACCGACCATTTTTATTTCCGTTGTCCAAATTTCCCCGGTTGCCCCGTGAGGCCATCAGGGTGTAAAAAGAGTGCGTCTTATCAAATGTTATGAGTCAATTGTTTTGTGTCACTCATTGGCCGTCCGGTGCTCTTGTGCCCCGGCAGATTCTTTCTCACCCATTAATTCCCACGTCAGGCGCGGAGAGACGAAATATGGGAGAGACGGAGATGTTCAGACGCAGATAGTGACCGGTTGTAAAGTTGTGGCTCGGTCCAGTCTCGAGAGATGTCAAGAGAAATCCGAAACAGATGGTCCTGGGTGTCCTCTGGAGGCGCCTGGTCCTCTATTGTACTCCGCCGATTAGCACCACTTTAGTGCGCCGAGAACGGAAGAAGACAAGATTATGACCTCGAGCGAGAAAGGAAAAGAACAAAAAAAGTTGGAATGCGTGCGAGAGCGTCTAATGGCGGCAGTTTATGGCAATCTGGACGCGAGGGCTTGCTGGTTGGCGACCGGAAATTCGCAGAGGAAGAAAGAAATCTCTCCAGACTTTTGCGGGTTTTCTTTCTTTCTTCGCCGACTGACTAGCGCCAACTCCGGTCGGAGAGTCCTTTTTCGAATAAGTACTACTACTAAATACTGCTACTACCAGTTTCTTCGTTTCTCTGATCGCTCCACTGATTCGCTGATCTCTCCCGGTTCCCGCGAACTGACGGACGGACACATCGCACACAAGCGACACACACTCACAAAAATTCGATTAGCAGATTGAACTTGGTGATAAACCCTGCAGTGCGTGGCCACCCACCCCGACGACGCAGTTTCATCCATTTTTCGTTCGACTCCTCGGCCCGACGCTTCCTTCTCTGCGACTCCTCCCTCTCTCGTTTCGCCCAATACACGAAGGACGGCGGGGGACGAATTGAATTCCGGAGGTCCTCTTTCCGCCCCAAAACCACTCTGTTTCTCAGCAAACAGATATTTTTGCCGTTTCGTACCCGACTTCCATTCTCCGTTTCTAAGTTGCGAAGCCAGTTAACTTTTTTTTTGCAGATGACGATGAAAGCAGAAGACATTGCACACGTCCTCAGGGACGGGATTGCTCTGCTACCAGGAGGACGATGTCGAGCCGGTCAGGCGATCATTGTGTGCCCTTCTCGGGAGCAGCCTGTCAATCAGGATCATCTGCGCAATGTGTTTCTTTATCTGTTCGAAGTAACTGCGTAAGTATTTCTTTTCAAAAAAGTACGGCTCAAAGGTGTTTTGCAAACGAAATCCGAAAGTTACCTTGGTTTTATTTACCGCTCTGATGATAGATTGGATTTGCAGAAAAGTGGCACGCGAAAAAGGATTCTCAGTGGTAATTGATATGCGTGGAAAACAGACATGGACCAATGTTCGGCAGATTCTCAAAGCGCTCAGCGTATGTTTTTTTGAAAATGAAAATCCCAAAAAAAACTTCATTCAGAGTATCGAATCGACGTCCACCATTCAAGTGTTCATCATTAAGCCGGACAAGTTTTGGGAAAAACAAAAAGCACAATTGTCGTTAGGCACGTGGGATTTCGAAGTGGAAATGTACTCGTTCGAATCGCTCGTCAAGTTCATCGACTCCTCGATGCTGCCAAAATGTGTCGGCGGAACGTATCCGTACGATAACGACGAGTGGCTCGAGATGAGGTTGGAGCTGGAAGCGTGGATATGGAAAATGACAGATCTGATGGAAAAGTTGGAATCTGTGCGGCGAGACATTTGTGAAGGAGAGCAGCCAGTCGACGTGCGGACAGCCGATGCGGCATTGAAGAAGAGCCACGTGGCAAAAAAGAACATTTTCACCATTCCCGTAGAGGAATTAGGAAACGAAGCAGACAGAGTTGGTTTCAAAATTCAAATTTATGCCAGATCATGAAGATAAAAAGGAGTTTTCAGATAATTACTCGAATATCGGCCGCGAAAGTCATTAACCCCGATCTCCAGGCAACGATTCCTTATGTTTCCAATCTAATAGACTCTCTTCGGTTACTAAAGTAGTTTTTTCTCCTTCCTGATGACATCTTGACACCTTTTCTTTCAGAGGTGACGTCTACACATTATGGGGAAGTCGTCAGGCGGAACTTGAACTTGTTTACAAGCAGAAACTGTTTGTGCACGACGCCGAAAAAATGATTGAAAATCTGCGCTCCTACAAAAATACGGCCGAACGGAGCATGGGGAACGTCGGAAACGTGGAAGAAGACGTTCATCGCCTCACCGCAGAGTTCGAACAGTTTCAACTCGCCCTTCAGAATATGGAGGTGTCCGTCCAGCAAGTGTTCCAACAACTTCAGCATCTCAGCTCCATCAACGGGCGAAATCCATCGGTGAGTCTTTTTTGAGATGAAAAATAGAATGATGTTTAAGATTGATCAAATGGCAAAACGATTGGACGAAGAATGGCGAGTCGTCAATGAGCAGAAAGAACGAAGAAGAATCATCCTTCTGAATGCGAGAAACTTCTTCGTTTCCGCTCAGAGATACTTTGCGGAAGTGCCAGAATGGATGAAGAACCCCGGAGTGAATCCGAGCGACGTGATGCTCAATCAAAATGAGCTGGAAACGGCGATAACATTGCACGACGCGTTCAGGACGCAAGTGGAAGATGTGTACGCGCAGGCGTACGACGATTCCACGAAAGTCTCGAGAGCATTGAAAGACGCCCACGTGGAAGACAATGTGTCACGGGAGCATGCGAGTCGGTTACAGAAAACACACAAGCAGCTGTTGGAAAAATGGAAAGAACGACAGGTTTGTTAAGGATTAAGGATCTGAATTTAAAGTAGAAATTATATTAGAAAATGTGAAAATTTCGATGCTTCCAGACACTTCTTCACCATATGCTCGCAATGATTGCATTCGAAAAAGACGTTCAATTGGTGGTCGATTGGCTTGAACAACACGGAGAAACCTATCTTCGACGAAACAATCAAATCGGGAAAGATTTGCCGGAAGCTCGGCGAGCTCAACACAACCACAATAAGTTCCGAGACGTGGCTTCAAACACGTACGACAGCGTGAAGAAACTCGGAAAAGTTGTGGAAGACGTGACTTCGCAGGGCAGCAGTCAGTCGCTCGTTTCCTAATTCCACATCAGCCAATCGTTTACAGAACTGTGTGACATTCGAAAAATGCAAAGTTTAATGGCGGAGTTGAGGAAGAAGATTGAGAAGTTCACCGCTATGGAGCAGTCACGAGACAAGCTGCTCAGGTACTCGACTCTTTTTCATACTCACTACAAAGAGCTGACCGATTGGTACGCGAGAATGAAAGAGAAGTACGAGGATCGGACGGTCGATTTAGGAGTGCAGGAGTGCGATGCCAATAAAGAACTGTTTGTGGTGGAGATGGATGAGACCGCTCAGGTATTTGCATCCTTTTCACCTTCGTCGCAATAAAGTCAGAAGTTCCAGGCTTACGCGATGACTTTCGAGGAAGGGAACACGTTGCTGCACGAGATGAAAACAGCGATCACCTCGTTTGGTGTGGATTATACGGAGAGCGTGAAGCACATTCAGACACTGATGGCTGATATCGGTGAGCATTTAATTCAGCTTTCTATTACCACATTTTCAATTTCAGAGGAGAAGAATGCGGCGGTGGTAGCACAATATTCTTCTCGGAGGACGCTTCTCTTCTTTGCATCGAAATTCGCAATGTTCGAACAGAACAAGAACGACGTGATCGAACAGATAAAAAGTTGGGAAGATGACATGCGAGAAGTGATTGGCTCGGAAGCATTCTATGAAAACGCGAGCACTGTCATGAAGTTCCACGCTGATAATCAGAAACAAGTGCGCAACGCCATCGACGACATCCAGAAAACGGCGAAAGAACTTCTTCAAATACTGGGAGATCAAGTCTTGAAGGACAGAGCCGGGCGGAACGTGCGCGACGTGATCACAGAGCATCGGAGAGAACTCCAACGCGCCGAGTCGGAAGTGATGGAGTACGCCGACGACATATCAATGAGAATCCACGCGGCGTGCGAGGTGGCCGAATTGAGAAAGTGCTCAAACAAAGTGTGCAGGATAATCGAGAACCAAATCATTGCTCTTCAAAATCTTCTAATCATTCCTGTGGATTACAACGATGCCATGAAGAAGCAAGAAGATCTGAAAAACTTTCGAGACAACGTGCAAAGCCTTCTCAAAGAGCCCTACGATTATTTTGTGATCCGATTCCGGCAACTGTGCGAAAACGGCCTTGTGGACAGGGAAGAAGTCGTTATCCACAACGAACGGATAGTGAACGTGCACCGACGACTGATGGCGCATTGTGAGGAGAAGAACAAGTTGCTCAAGTCGGCACACGGCTTCTACAAAACGTATGAGACTATTCTGCCGCTTCTCGAGTACCTAGAGAACGATTATCACACGGATAAGATCAAGGATTGGTGCGACAGTTGTCCTTCTCCAGTGCACGCCGACCGGGCTGCGTTCGTGGCAGATTTGCTGAGCAAGCACATGAATTACAAAGAACGATTCGGAAAAGGATGCCTCTATGCTCAAAGGCACGCGGAATTCCTGTTGCGATACATTCGCAGGACTCAAGTGAATGAGAGTGAACAGTAAGTCACACGCCTTCTCCCAAATGCATTTATTCATCCCGTTTATCTTTCTCTTCGCAAATTAAACGTCCTTCGGGGGGCGTTTTATGATTGTGATACGAAACAGTGAATGGGAAAAATTACGGTTCCAGGAGGCGACACGAGGCGAAAATTGCGCATTTGAAGACGACGATCCGAGAAAGACAGTCCAACATTCTTGGGTTGTGGACGCACAAAAAGGAACTTCTTGATGGGTTAGTTGTGTTTTTACGTGACCCTTTGTTGACTATTCATTTTTCACGTGTCTTTTTCATTTCAATCGTCATGGATTCTGGAGACACTGAGAATCTGGACTCGTCCGTCGTTGACGTCTTATTCTATCTACAATTCAAATTTCAGTTGTCAAGCATTCATCTTCATCGATGCCAGTGCCAAAGAATTGCTAGATTGGATGAGCGGAGAGGGAGAGCAAGAACTGAAAAAGTTTGAGAAGAAAGGTCGAGGATCATCTTCGAATGTCGACGACGACGAGTTTGCCGCGTTCAAGTTGGAAGTGAAGCAAAAGAAACTGAACATCCAGTCGTTCCTCCACGTCACAACCACAAATGAGCAGCTCAAACGAGGTGTACACGACATAGACATCGAGAACTGCATTCGACAGGTTAGTGATAAAGAAGAAGAAAAATCTTACCTTCACTTGGCCATCTTACAGGTTAAGGATAGTTTTGATCGGTTCTCGCGGCGAGTCCGTGACTGCGAAGTCGTTATTCGTGGCGAGAATGGAGGAACGCAGCCGCCGAAGGATGAGTTCTCACTCGACCGCCACTCCGATCCGACCATCTTCGCGGAGGGCAACATCTACGAACGGAGGGAAGAGAACCGGAAAATGCTCGAACCGATGCGGGAGCTCATTCAATCCGAAAGGGACTACATCAAGGATATTGAGAGATGCGTCAGCATGTTAGTTTTTAACATTTTTCTTTAAATTTTCATGCGTCTTTTCAGTTACGTCAACGAGTTCGACACGGCAGTCAACAACGGAACGATTCCAACCTCGCTCAGTTCGAAGAAAACTGAGATTTTCGGAAACATCGATAAGATCTACTGGTTCCACAATAAGTTAGAATTCCTGATTAAACAAATTAGCATTACTCTAACTATGTCTTTTTCAGCAAATTGATTGACGAACTTGTGAAATACGAACATCAACCAGAGACGGTAGGCACGGCGTTCACAGTCTGGATCGATCTGCTCAAGGAATTATACACGGAATACTGTGTCAACAAGGAGCAGAATAACAATGTGATTGCCACTCCAGACGCCATTGCATTCTTCAATTCGATACGGGAAAAGCACAGTCTAGAGATAAACAATGAAATTGCGAGTCTTCTGATAAAACCGGTGCAGAGGATCACTCGATATCAGCTCCTGTTAAATCAACTGCTGAAGCTGTGCCCTTCGGACAAATCCGAGGATCTGAAGGAGGCGCACAATGTGGTGTGCAGTGTGCCACGGAAAGTGAACGATCTCATTCACTTCCACTGTCTCGATCTCAAAGACAATAATGTCGACGAGTTGGGTCCGTTCGTCTTCCAAGACACGCTTACCGTCTGGGAGCCGAGAGCGTATTTCAAGGGACGCGGGAAAGAAAGACAAGTTTTCCTTTTCGATCTCTCGATCGTCTTTGCCAAAAAACTCGAAATCTCGCAGAAGAATGTGAAATATGTAATCAAAGGAAAACCTCTCCCGGTAAGAATTCTGGAATTATGAATTATGAAACCCCTGGATTTCAGTTGAGCGAAGTGTCAATCGTCGAACACGTGGAAGGTGATCCGTGCCGATTCGGACTCCGCCTGGGATCTGTCGCATCGAACGAGAACCGAACGGACCTGAAAGCGGCGAGTGGTAGCACAAAGATCAAGTGGGTGCAGAAGATCCGCGAGTTGAACTCTGGATTGCTGCCGATGGGTCAGTTATCCTCTCTTAACTTTTCGAACTCTGTCTCTTCCAGGTCTCAGCGTCTCTCCTGCCTTCTCAGCAACAACACTCACTTCGGCGCGAACAGTATCCATCCGATCGGGAGCGTCAACCTCTTCTGGAGGCGACAACCGACAGTCCCAGGACGTCGAGTCCCTCTTCCATCACCGGTACAGTGCGCAAAGTTTCGAAGAGAACCCGGTTAGTTTATTCATTTTTCTTCCTACACTCTTCTCGTCTTCTCCTTCTTCTTCTTCTTCTTCTCTCCACTCTCATAAAGTGAAGATTTCATTTTATTGGCGGGCGGGTAGGTCGTGGCCCGTATGAACAGGTGCTATCTGTTGGAATGTACGCGTGGCACACGCATTTTTTGAATTTTTTGCGGAGAAAAGACAACATGTAAACGGAGAAAGAAGTGTATGAAATATCTGCCACGTCACTCGTCAGTTCTTAATACAGTTGCCACGTCAGACGTCAGTTCCTAATAAACTCTAACTTAAAGTCCAAGATTCCCCAAACAGACGTCCATACGGACACAACAGTGTTCTCTCACTCATTAGCCGTGGTCAAACAGATTTGGTGCACGATGGGTGAAAGTGGACTCGGGAAAGGGCATGTGATGGTCCCCGGGCACTCTGAATGATTGCATCACAAGCACACTTACACAGATAGAGAGAAAGAGAGACTCCCCGCGCTCTTAGTTTCTTACACACAACAAACTTCGGTCGGCTCCTGCGGGAAGACGGCTGTCGTCTGCGACCTCGTGCTTGGAGTCGCTCTCTTCCTGACTCTCCCGGATTTTTCACCTTTTTCTTCATCCTCATCTTCTTGCCACCTAATCGATATCATTCATCAGTTTCGAAAAACGAGCAGCCAGCAGCGCATCACCGACTTCCATCCCCCCGCCTGCTCGTCGTTTTTTGGCCTCTTCTCTCAGACACTGGTATGCGAGCAGATTCTGAGGAGTGACGATTAGCGGACCCGTCGTTCCGATTCCACCATCGACCATCGATTGATCGGCGCCCCCATCGAGAGTGGTTTATCGTCTCTGCAATCTATCTATTCCATTGTTGCTGCTGCTGCTGCCTTCGTTCCGATTCTCCCACGGTCCCGGCCGTCCGACTGTCGACTCTTTCTGCCCGATTCCATCGTACTCTATTCTCACCTTCAGCTATGGTTCACAGTTGCTTTTCATGCTTGAGGAAGGTAAGATCGCGCGAAAGCAGTAAGCGACTGCTGATGAAAATAACAAATTGGATGACGTTAATCAATTTCCGGCCCGAAACGTTGACACTGATGACGGCTGGCTCTGTGTGTGTATGTGTGATCCGTGCGTGTGCTCCCCTTACATAATACACTGATTGGATTTGTGCTCCCCGCGCATTCGTCTTTGCTTCCTTTCCGCTATGCTACTCTTTTCCAGAAGCGGGCAGTGTTTGTTTTTTGAGCGAAAAGACTTCATAAACAATTTAGGTCCCGACCACGTCCCCTTCTCTCACTCGCATTCTCTCTTTTTGCGCGCCACCGAAAGGTTGGAATAACAATGTTGGCAGTAATCTGCGCGGAAACGAAAGAAAATGAATTAATCATGAAAGCGACACTCGCACAGACGAACAGGCACGCGTTTTAGTTTCTTCCCTCTGCTTTCGCGGAAAACAGAAACGGCAGCTGCCACGTCACTTGTGGTTGTCTCGGCTCGTACTGCAAATGACAGGTGCATGCGCGTTCAGTGGCCGCCTCTGTGCTCATTGAAATGTGTCTGGCCAATTGCCACGTCATAATATGCTTTCCGCTATTTCGAGTTTGTTCTTCTGCTGAGTTGATAGCCGCGTGGTTGTTCCGCACGCCTGCACTTTTCTATTCGTAAAAGGAAACGTGATCACTAGGCCGATTATGAGCTATTCATCAAAATTGTCCATCTTCTTCTTTTTCTCCCACTCTTTTTGCCTTTCTAAACCTCCCCACCTCTCCACATCTGAATTCCGACACCCTACTTCCTTCCTGTCATTTCTGTCTTCTGATCCTCCTTCACCGCCTCCTTGCCGTAATTATGTGGTGGATCAAATGTGAGGAATCCCTAAGAGCTCGTCGTGTCCTCAATTAGCCTACTAGTCGTAGATGTTTAATATTTTTCTCTAAATTTGGTTCATTTTTTCTTCGTCTCAGTTTTCGGGCGTCACTCGCCGACTCCACCCATCTCCGAATTGGCTCCATGCATACGAGTCGAGGGCCCGCCTCTCTCCAATTGGCTCAGATTATGGACGAACAAAAGAATAGGAAACATCCTTCGAGTCTCCTTTTCTCGTCGGCTCTTATTATACTAAACCGTCTTATTCTTCTCGCCAAAAGGGGAATCAATTCAATTGTCTTTCTCGCCAAGCCCTAATCCGGTGCTTCTTTCCTTTCTCTCAGTTAGGTCATCTTTTTTCCCGTTTGCCTTAGTATTCGACTTAACTGACGTCTCCTTCGTTGTCCTCGGCTTTTCCTCATTCTCCCATTCTTTTTACTCGTTTGTTGGTTCTACTGGTGGCGACTAATTGGTTCGGTGGTCTCCCATTTCGCAGTCCCGCCCATCTTCCTCATCATGGCTCCGCTCGCAGTCTGCCTGTCATTTGACAAACAATCGAATTTAGTTGTCGCCCTTATACCCGGTGGCCGAATGTCTCGGATCCACTTGATATTTACCCTTGTACATGTATCCATTTCATCGTTTTTTGCGCCCCCGCCATCATCCTTCGTCTCCTCCTTCTTTTCTTCCCTCCTCCATCCTCCATCCCGTGGTTCTCATCAAATCAGATATTGGATCGGATGTCATTTATTCCTAATTTCTACCTCTTTCTTCAAGTTTTGAAATTCTGTCGAAATCAATGGACTGTTTTCTGACTCATTTCGCCCCACTGAATCACACCGAATCAGACCAAAGCCGCCGCGCAAACAGAAAATTCGTTTTGTGACTGCCATATTTTTCGAAATGTGCGAAATGGGACCGATGCCTTTTGCATCCTTTTTCCCCCAGAATATAATTGACGTCCATATAATAATCACGCACTTTTTATTGAATAGACCTTTTCCTTTCTCTCTCTCTCTCTCTCTCTCTCTCTCTCTCTCTTTAGCTCGGCCATTTTCACTTGGCTTCTTCTTTCGCCGTCCGCTCTGTTTTCGGTCAGGCAGGTGAAGCGTGAAAATTAGATCTGAAGCTATTGGCGAAGAAACCTGGAAAAGCACGCAAAAGTTCGATGGAACTTTGTGTTGCAACGAAAGAACTCTCACTTCGTCACAATCGTCTGATGTTTTCTTTTTTTTCGCAGTTCTTTTTCGTTTATTTAGTGGATGAAAGGGATTTTTGAAAATACGCTATCCAGTAAATAAATGCTCGGGGCACTTTGTGAGTAGATGTCATCTCCAAACGCCCACTGAGGGACACTAGCGGGTCAGATTTTTCCTGGATTAATTCGAAAGAGCCATATGATTTGTGTTTTCTTTTTTTACAGCCGCAGGCGTCTTATACTCTCCAGTTATTCCTCTTCTTCGTTCTCTTTTCATTTGCGAAATATAATTACTCGGCAGTTGTTTCGTGGAGCCGCCCCTCTCGGCTCCGAGCCTCGCTTCGTTTTATTCCGACATTCTCCTATCGACTCGCTCGATCTGCGTTTTTTTTTCTTTCTTCTTTCTACGTTTTATCCGTATTCATCTCTTGTTTTGAGCACCTCCAAAATGCTCGGTTATTCCAAATCATGGCGCTCGCTTCGATCCCGAACGGGCAGTCTGTACACACGAGCTCGCAATCGACTGACGAGCTCATTCCGTGGCGGCACCAAGCCCGAAAATCTGGCGGTGGCCGAGTTCGACGATTCGACGGTGAGCAACGCGCGCTCTCGTCTCTTTGCCCCAGGGCTACATGTGTTTTTGGAACGAATTCATTAATATTTGAGAGAAGAGAAAACGAGAAAAGACTCGGTTCACCACTCTCCTCCATCGTGTGTGTGTCTTTCTGCTTGTGGTTCAATGAAAAGAAGAAGAAGAAGAAGAAGAAAAATGTGTGATGTCGGAAGGGGGAAGAATGAGAAGAGGAAAGAAAAAGTGTTCGAGATTGTCACTGGTTCTGAGTGACGGGTGATGATCCGAGGGACGACAAGACACTGAACCTTGTTTGTGTTTCAGCAGTCCTCCGAAGTGTGGATCGTGACGGAAGACTTTGATGGACAGGACGAAGGACATCTCAAAGTACAGAAGGGAGATCGCGTCGAGGTGAGCATTTATTGATTTAAATTGGCATATTTATCAGTATCGAAAAAACACCGATTTTCTGACTTTCTGTCCTACTCCAATTCCTAGTCTCGATTTTATTAGAAATGACGAACGCCAATAACGGGGACACCGATTTCCGTTTACTCTCTTTATCCAAATTGGCCCAATCAATGCGTTTGTAGATTCTCGAGGAGCAGGCAACCGACGCCGCCGATTTCTTGCAAGTTGTGCTCTGCGAGCAACCAACGAAACATGGGCTTGTGCCCAGGGCCATCCTTGTATCACGTAAGTTTTTTCTTCGAATTTTGCGGGTTTGCTTTTTAAGTTTTTTCGTTGTTAGAAAAAACTCAGGTTTGTGTGAGCCAACGGTCAGAGTTTTGAATAATTCAGAAAGCAAAGAGTGAGAGGTGTGTGGTTGTGCCTGTTCAGTGATTCAAGTGCATGCTCTATCATTCTCGTCGTCTGTGATCCCCAGTTCGTAACCAACTTCATCATCATCATCATCAGTATTTCTTCTCTTTCCTCTTATATCTTCTGTATAACTTTCTATCACACCCATTGGAAGGAGGGCTCCCGAAGCACACACGCGCCCGTTCTCTTCTCTTCTCCATGTGGTGCGCCCGTAAGCCTAATGAGCAAAGGCACTCTGCTGCTCGGTGCAGCCCCTTGCTTCCTGCCTTCTCCTCTATTCTCCTCCCTCATTTTCTTGATTTTTGTCGTTTTTCGATTGGAAGAAGACGGGGAGGAGACAACAAAGCAGCAGAAGAAGAAGAAGACGTGCGTGTAGGCAAACAATCGGTCGGCCCTCCTTCTGTCCGCTTCTTCTGTCTCCCAGTCCCAATTCGGTCTTTCGTTCTGTCATTATTAGAATGGCAGTTGGCTCCCAGATAGATGACACCCCCGCCCACCCACAACTCGCTTCCTGTGCTCCACATTTCCAGCTCCTCCCTCCCTTCGATTCATTTCCTAACACACATCACGACCATTTCAATTCTCCGTTTCCATTTCTTTTTCACCATTTCTAGCACGTTGTTTCTTTTCTCTCTTCTCTTTTGTTCTATTCAGGGTTTTTGTACAAACGAGTGGCCATGTATGTATGAACTGAACATTCGTTCACAGTTATTATCCACTTCTGGCCTAGCGCCATTCTCTTCCGGGCCACTGACCGGAGTCCCGACCGCAATAAAACACTTGTTTACCTGTTCCAGTCGCAGTGCTACGAAGAATTATATAAATTTGCGTTCGAAAATTAAACTATTCGACTACAGCGGCGGCCATTTCGAAATTTTAGGTTCTTGCTCGCGGTCACATAAAGTCAGGGGCACATCTGGACGGATGTTTTATAGACACCAGATCGCGCTTCCGTCCCTAGCTCTCCCTTCACTTTCTCATTCTCTTCGGAGATTTCTCTGTTCACATGGCTATTTAGTGGTTTCGTTTCAAGCCCCCACACGGCTCCACAAATAGCATTTCGAGTATTTCAAAAGAGAACACAATCGCCTCCATTTCGTAACCCATTTTTCGGTAGCAATTATTCAGAAGGCGTCTTACCATGATGCTTTGTGAATTCCCACGGAAGTCACGCTGCTCCGCTAATCCGGAGCCCTCGGGCAGCGCTGTTCTTCTCCGCCATTCTCCCACGTCTCCTTCCCCACGACGTCTTCTTCTTCTTCTTCTTCTTCTTCTTCTTCTGCTTCCCAAACTTTGCTTCCCGTAATGTTTCGCCGGAAACGTGTAATTCCGGTGAGCCCTCCCCTTTTCATCTACCTGCCCATTAGTCTGCCAGGCTTCTGCTCGCATCTTCTCAAATCGAATTTCGCCGAATCGCCCCCTTTTCGTGCACAGTTTTCTCTCTCTCTCTCTCTCTCTGTCTCTCTCTCTCTCTCTCTCTCTCTCTCTCGAGTTATCAAAAAGTAGCGGCTTCCTCCCGGCGAGCCCCTGTTTGCTCAGGCTCTTCACCGAAAAAAGTGATAAAAGATGGGAGGCGGGCACGAGTGCGAGTGATGTGCGGAAGCGCAGATGCACCGATCCACTGTGTTTATTCGATGGCACATAGAAGTCAGCCGAGAAGGTCTTTCTGCCAATTTTGCGATGATGATGGGCGAGAGAGAGAGAGAGAGAGATAAAATTTTCTCTCTCTCTTCGGGGAACGCCACATAGTAGCTCTCGGAACAGTCGGAAGTTCAGTTGGATCAAGATGCACCCCCGGGTACTTATACACCCACAATATCTGAACGATCAGACTTCTTGACGGCAGATCAAAGTATAGTTCTCTACTTCTTCTCCCCCTCCTACAAGTTCTTTGTTACACCCAATTGGACGAACATCTTCTTGTTTTGTATACTCCTTCCATTTCGAAAAACATCGGTTATAACCTGCCTTTTCCTTCTTCATTTCTGTTATTGTCCGCGGATCCATTTCCAGCTCTTCAATTAATTGGCTTCAAAGAGAGCCCGTGGCCCTGTTTTTCCCTGAGCATATTTGCTGAATTGTTGTGTTTGGGAGCCCCTGCCCAATTCTTTGTGAAGAAGAAAACCGACGAATTGTTTTGCGTCGTTGTTTTCCACTGATAGACGATCATCGCCGATGAATAATTCATCGAAGGTGTTCGCGCCGATCTGACGTCGCTTCCTCAACCTTTCCCTCTCTCTTCTCTCTCTCTCTCTCTTTCTCTTTCTCACGTGTGTTTCCTTCTCGAACTGTTCTGCGTCTCTCCGAATCGCACACTATTCGCCCTCTTCGATCGGATCCCTCTACAAATATCGACGGAGCAGCCGGGCGCCGAACCACACGTGGCCCTCTCGGATCCGTGCGCTCTCTCGTCATGATTTTTTGGTTGGTTATGTATATATTTATATACATATCTATATTGTATGGGAGAATAGAGAAAGAGAGAGAGAAGGGGGGGGGGGGGAATGAGCGAAAGAGTTTGTGTGTGTGCTCATCAAAATGAGCTCTAGGCGCCCGGGTGCTCGCGCGCCCGAGACTCTCCCTCTGACTCCTACAGACCCCGGGGCAACTGTTTTTTGCGATACCACTTTGATTTCTTGGTATCGAATGAGAGATGTGTCACTGTTCTTTTCGGGGGAGGATTACTGTAGTATTGTTCTCATTAGTGTCTTCCTTCCTGTCAAGTGACTCACTTCTAATTAGTCTTTCTCTTGATCCGAGATTCCATTCAGAAATGAAAAAAGAAGAAGAAGACTGCTCATTTCCGTTTTGTGCCCGAGCAGTTTCTCATTCCTTTTTTCTTCCATCTTCTTCTTCTTTCAATTCAATTCCAATTTCCTGCTCTCTTCGTTTGCACATTGCACCAGGCGACAAATCTCAAAAATCAGAGGGGAAAACGAATGAGAAGACGTGGCACGCGTCTTTATTGTTTCTCGAATGCATTCCTTCCGAATGACAGTTTCTGCGAAATTGAATTTTTATTGTTGACCGAAAAAAACGAGGAATTGGCCTGACTGGCTATGAGCAGAGAATCACGTGAATCCGCGCCGTTTCTTGAAATGACTGAGAGTGAGAAGTACTGTAAATGTTGTGCGTTCGTTTAGGGAACAAGCTCTTGAGCGGCAGTGATAATCATTCTGTGAGGTCAAAGAATGCAACCAATATTGACTGGTTTCAATGTACGTACAGAGTCTCTCTCTCTCTCCCTTTTTCTCTTTCGAAAGTTTGATCAAGGTGTTTTGGGTCAAGAGTGTTGGTTTTTTGAGTGAACAGATTTCTGAACTTTCCCCAATTCCACATCCTTCTCCTCTTCTTTTTTCTCTTTATCCTCTTGTTTCCTGTTTTATTCTGTTCTCAGTTCAGTTCGCCGATGATGCGACGGTCTCAAACTGTGGAAGGCAGCACAGACTCGTCGTCTCCAGAAGGCGGCGGAGGCGGCACGACGCCTACGAAGTCGTCGTCGAAGAAAGAGCGATGGTCGTTCGCGCTCAAACGACGATGGTTCTCCTCGTCAACGAGCAGACACAGTCACGATCATGACGTGGCAATTGTGCAGCCGGCCAAAACGACGCTAGGATCGACTGGAAACAGCCATGGTAGACTGTGATACTTCTGGCAGAATTCTGGGAAAAAATGTGACCGTTGGCCCGCCCCTGCCCCGCATGATAAATTACCAGAGAATTAGGAAAAACAAGCTGACATCATGCTTCCCTAACGCGTTCGTTTTCAGCAGAGCCCGGCAGCGTGCCCGACCGACCCGACGACTCGACCGGATCCGCCGTCTCAAAGCGGAAATCGTTGCGGTAAGTCGTCTTTTAATCCTTCAGAAGGAAAGTGCCACTTGAAAAATTGGATGGGTCGCTCGCCCTCTCACTTTTTTGTTGTTGTCGAATTGCCAGTTGTCCGGCCACCCTCTGGCGTCGTCGTCGTCGTCTTCCGAAAAAATGATGACGAAGGAAAAGAAGAGAAGAAAAAGAAGGCATTCCCTTCTTCTTCTTCCTCTTCTTTCGCTCGTTATTCGATTCGAAAATGCGGTGCTGCCATGCAAAATCAACGCTTCGTCGACGCATTTCACTTCCCGTCTCGGCCGCCTTTTTACTCGCTTGCCAACTCTTTTTGAAACGCCGAAAACTCGCAATTCGAGCCCACTTTAGCTGTTCTCTGGCCATTTCGAAACCGAGCGCTGAAAGGTGTAATAAGAATGAGCTCAATGAGCAAGACGCTTATTCATATTTGTAAAAATATCCGATTTCATCTTCGATCGCAATTTCTTATTCAGAAGGCTCGTTTCTTCGAGTCGAATTCATAATTTGCTCCAATTTGCCGCCGAAGACTGTCCAAGTTCTCTGGCCGCAAACATTCGCTCTTTATCGGATTACACTCCCATGTTCTGGGACTCGTTCCCGTTTCTGCTGTTATTAGCTCCTTCTTATTCTTCTTCTTCGTCTTCTTTCATTCTCTTCCACATGTTGACCGTCTCATTCATCCTCATAGCATGCTCAGGTTAGTCTCAGTCCCCTTCATCGAATGCTACTCCCGAAAACATTCTGGAGGCCCTCTTCTTTCCTAATCAACTCGGATGCTTAATTTTATTTACCCGCTCGCTCCATTCTCGAGAACAACGTCATCAATTGCAATTCGGTTTCATGAGTCACTCTGTCGTTTCGTCCTGCAACAAATGCAAAAGCAGCTGCCGTCGCTGTAATAGAATTAAGAAAGGAATGCGAAGAAGGCGAAACACCGCAGTCGTTCTCGAAGTGAACTTGCAAAGCTCGAGTGGCTTCTCAGAAGTCGTCTCTCTGCCCGATCCGAACTTTGCTCTCATGACCGTTCCATCTCTTCGCTCTCTTCCGATCTTCTGTTCTTCAGCCTGCCCACTGTGAAATAGAGCCCAATCAAATTATGACGGTCTCTCTTCCTTTCTATCTTCCTCTTTTTGTGTGCTTCCTTTCTGGCCGGCAGCATGCACACAATCGAATCAACCCCCGATGTTTTCGGGACACGGCGCCTCCTTCTCTGCCTCTCATCCATTTCGGTCCTCCTCCTCCTCCTACCGCCTGTATTATAAACATTTGTCGTATTTCACTGCCTCTCACTTTTGGCAAACATCAAAACAGTGATTTTTGTCGTCATCATCGCGAGAGTTAGTTGCCTCCAGAAGGACATCTACTACATCCTATTTTGGAGAGAACCAATCTGTGCCCACGCCTTCATCCTCATCAAATAAGGAGAGGAGGAAGAACATTCTTCGCTGCGCTTTTTATCGCCGTGTTGCCCGCCTTCACAGCATCGGCACCTCCTCCCTTCACTTCACAACAAAACGAAGAAGAACAAGAAGAACAAGAAACGAGTTTCGACGTCTGCGTCACTGTCTCTCTCACCCTCTTTAATCATCACGACACGGTTTTACTCCTATTCCTACTTTTATTGATCATGCCGTGCGCGAATCTGATGCCACGTTGCAAGCAAGAGTTCAGGTAGGCACTGTTTGAGCCCACGTCACTTCTGTAAACACGAGCGGAAGACACAATACGATGGAATTATCTTTCTCTCTCTTTCTCTTTTCTTTCTCGGTATGGGGGAGGAGGAATGTGGAAACTGAGGTTCGTGGGTGTTATCAAAACAGTTTAAATGGAAGAGCCTCGTGCAATCATTCGGAAACTCTTCTATACTTCCTGATCTTCCGACCCATTTCCTTCTAACATGTTCCGACTGCTCGTTGCGACGTGTCACAAGTTGTGCGTGTGCCCGACAAGTCCCTTGTGTTCCGAACCCCATTTGCCCTCTTCCCTCCCGGCTCTCCTTGTTCCTCCTCGAATGTTTTTTGTGTCGAATAGGAAGAGAGGGAGGAGGAGCGCCAGAGGCTTCTTCTTATTCTTCTTTTTCTTCGTCACTTTTTTTTCTTCTTCTTCGGACCGAGGAAGGAGGAGCTTCATGGGCTGCTCTATCTTTGGAGCTCCTTCTCTACCGAGCAACTCGAAAACGGGACCCTTTTCACCCTCTCTCTCTCTCCCTCTTTTTCTCTTTCGCGGTGCCGCCGTCCCCTTTCTCAACTGGTCTCGTTTTTTTCGGAAGCATTTAATGAAGTGGAGCTCTTCTAACTGCTCCACCACCAGTTCTCCTCCTCGCTCCACTCCATTCCCCTCGAGAAGAGTCGTAAAACTGAAGACCGCGACAAATGTCTTCGTTTTTTCTTTTCCTCCCTCCCTGCTTTTCTTGTCCTCTTCTTCTTCATCTTCTCATATCCGCATTAGTTTTATGTTCGAAGCTCATTTATAATCCGCTTCGACGCCCTTCTTCGGCCCTTGATCCGTCGTGGAGTCCGTGCACTTTGTCTGCTCTTCAGAGCTCTTCTCCACTTTTCTCCCAAAGGCCAATACCAGAATTGAAGAGGCCTCCGTGTTATTCTCAGGATTCATTAGTATACTAATAGTAAGCAACCACAAATACAGAATGATTCCAATTTGCGTTTTTGCGCCGTTGAGCAGTCTCTTTCTGAGAGAGCAGGTTCGTTGCTCTCAGTGTCAGTGTCAGGAAAAGAAAGAGAATTGAGAGGGGAAAGGCGGAGATTCCTTCGGCAGATTCCTCCTTCTCGTTCTTGTTCCGTTTTTTTCGTGTTCGTCTCTTCTAGAACCGCGCCTGTTTCCATTGCGATACGAACCTGCGGAAGAGTCGACTCGTCGATTGAAATGCCATAAATGATGGACCATAAAATATTTATTCACTCAGCTTTCTCCTCTTCTCCCTCCTATCTTACTCTCTTTTTTCGCTTTTTCATCCGTTTTCGAGAAAAATGCTCGTCTCGAGAGGAAATTGGTCGGGCCGTCCTCCCGTCCGTACTGCTTAAGCAAGAAGAAGGAAAAAGAAGAAGAAGAAGATGGAGCACGAAAAATGACGAATGGGCTAGTGCAGTTAGGTTAAGATGCTCTTTCTTCTTCTCTCGCCCCGGACAGAATAGATTGTCTTGAAACGTGTTCCGGAAACTGTCAGTCCTCAAAAACCACAGCGTCCGCCCGCTCGCTCCTCATAATTGCCTCCCACGTAATCCATCTGCTTTTCTGCTTCGCTGAACTTTTAAGTTGTTTTTTGGAAAGCTGCGTGACGCTCCGGATGCCACCGACACATTCATGCTTTTGTTATCCTTCCCCATTCCTCTTGAACACATCTCGATCATTCGGCTATCAGAAGAAGGGAAGATCAGGTCGAAAAGATCCTCATCGTTTCCTCGGGGCATTCCCTTTAACGCCTCCCGCGTTCTGTTCTATGGATGTGTTGTTTTTGTTGTCGCGCTCGTGGCCCCCTGGTGCGAAGCGGTTAGAGGCGGATAAGAAGCTCGACGACGCCACCGAGCTTCTCTCTCTCTCTTTCTCTCGCTCCTCTGCCGCCTGCAAAGTTGTTGCCCTGCGGCAGCTTCGTAGTGGGGCTGTGAATGATGCGGGCAGCAGAAAAGAGAAGAAGTAGGAGCGGGAGAAGTAGGGAGAGAGAGAGAGGGGCGAGGAGCCTATGAAGGGCTACCATATATGTATATTTATCTGAAGGGCTTTGCCTGGCCCCTACCGCCTCCTTCTCCTCCTCTCATCACTTTGTCGCCGCCGCCGCCGCCGCGTCCTCGGCCGTTTCATCGACGTCTTCTTCTTCTTCTTCTCCTGCTGCTACTGGGGGAGAAGAGCAGCAGAGCAACGGAGTCGGCCGCCGCTCTAATATCTTTTTGTGTGCCTGCCTTCAGCTTCAGGCTCCTCAACTGCACACCGCGCGTCCGCATCGATCTCTCTGCTGTCTCTTCGCTTGCTTTTTTGCATTCCTAATTCGTAGTATCGTGTTTCTCTTCTTATTCGTCGTCGCCGCTCGACTTCCTCTCCATTTTGTGCTCTCTCTTCAATTTGAAAGGCGCCTCCCTCATTTCCGCTTCTCATGAGTGCGAATTGGCCAGAAGAAGAAGAATAAGAAGATGTACTTGATTGAATACAAAACATAAATGGCACATTTTCGCTCTTCCGATCTCTGGGAGCCGATTGTCAGACAGACTACAATAGAAGCCCCCTTGCACATTTTGCTGATTTTCGATTCAGGGGGACATAACATTTGCATATGTTTATCGTCCCGCAGTGCGCCTCCGATTTGTCCTCTTTTTTTGCAAAGTTTTTTGCGAAAAAAAGTGGGAAGAAAAGTTGATGTTTTCGAAAAACGCGTAGGGCGACGATAAGCGGGAAGCAGAAAATGCAGAAAAAGAAGATGGAAAAGAAGAGCTCATTCCAATTTGCTCCTTCTTCGTCTTTTTCTCTTTCTTCTTCGTCTTCATCGTCCACTTTTGTGTATCCATTCCAATTCCTTTCTCGCGCACTTTCCCAACCTATTCCGACCCAATAACAACTGTGTACTTTTCAGACGAATCTTCGCCAACTCGAGTAAAGAGCGTGCTTCATCGTCGAACAACAGCCCGGCAGCGAGACAGGCTACCTCGTCCACGGTCGTTCCGTCGCCAGTTTTCAGCGCCACAAACGGACACGTGAGTCTTGTTCTCTCTGCAAACCTGCCCTCATACTCCGCCCTTTTCAGACCGCCGAATCTTTCTCGACCGGAGTGCTCTCGTCAGGAGAACCATCGACAGCGAACGCGTCTTCGTCGACTCCACGGCATTCGATCCCATCGGCATCCACGCCGACCACCGCCGCCACGCAGGTCATCGTGACAGAAGAAGAGAAGAACGAGGACTGTCTGCCGCCTCCGATGCAGAACATCACAATCAACAACATCACGAACATGGAAGAGAAGGAAGCAAACGATGAATCAGGCGCCGCAGAGCCAGTAGAAGAGGCGATTCCGGAGAAAGTGGAGAAGACGCCCGAGGAGACGGCGAGATTCAAGAGATCTTATGTGCTGATGGAGCTGGTGGAGACGGAGCAGGACTACGTGCGCGATCTGACGTCAGTAGTCGAAGGATATATCGGAAATCTCGAGAAGATGGACTTGCCAGCAGATCTTGTCGGAAAGGATAAGATTATCTTTGCCAACATCGCACAGATTCTGGACTTCCACAAAGTGTGCTTCCTAAAAGAGATTGAAAAATGCACGGAAAACTACGAAGCAGCTGGAGCCGCATTTGTGAAGTACGAGAGACGGTTGCACACTCTGTACGTGAAGTACTGTCAGAACAAGCCAAAATCCGACTACCTGGTGTCGCAGGACGACTTCGAAGGATTCTTCGCCGAGACGAAAGCGAAACTGGGTCACAAAGTGGCACTGTGCGACCTGTTGATCAAGCCAGTGCAGAGAATCATGAAGTACCAGCTGCTGCTCAAGGATATTCTCAAGTTCACAGAAAGAGCCAAGGACCGGCCAGATGTGCTGAAGCAGGCGTTGCAGGTAAGGAGAGAACAGTGGCCGGACAGTTTGCGATTGATATTCATTTGCAGGTTATGCATGTCGTACCGAAAGCTTGCGATGACATGATGCAAGTGGGTCGACTACAGAACTTTGACGGAAATCTCGGAGCACAAGGGCGGCTCATCCATCAGGGAACCCTTCAGATCAGCGAGTCAGTCGCCGGAAACACTCAGAAGTCAAAGGACCGACGCATCTTTCTGTTCGAGCAGTCCGCAATCATCGCAGATCACATTCCACCGAAGAAGGAGTTCGGAAATCCGACCTACATCTTTAAGAATCAAATTATGGTAGGAGGACGAATTGTCATGTCTCTTGACTATAGTCTATAGCGAACCGTTAATTTCAGGTCAACAAGATGGTGTTCGAGGCAAACGTGGCAGATGATCCATTGCGATTCGTCATCAAGAGTTCCGACCCGTCACAGCCGACAAGTTTCATCGCGAATGCGCAGACGCAAGAGGAGAAGGATGAGTGGAACCGGAAGATCGGAGAGCAGCTGGACCAGCAAAAGCGACTGCTCGCGGCGCTCGTAGATCCGAAGCGATACATGGGCGGAAGCGACGATTTGTCGAGTGGCATGGGAAGCATGAGCTTGTAAGTCTATCAGAAATTTCTGTGATCCGATCATCAACATCAATTCGTGTTCTTCAGAGGCGCTCCGGGCGGCGGTGATAAGAAAGGAACTCCGTCGACTGCGGCAAAGTCAGCAGCCGCCACGTCGAAGAAGCCGGCGGAGTCTCCTAAGAAGGAGACCAAGTCGAAGTCGTTGTTCTCGTTCGGAAAGAAGCCGGCCAAGTCGCCGACGTCTCCGCCTCCGGTTGGAAATTCGAAATGAGTGCTCCGAGTGCCTAACACAACTTCCTAACCTACAGTAATCTCTGCCGTATCTCTCCTTCTCTTCTTCTCTCTTCCTGTCCATCTCTCTCTTATAGAGAGACTTCTCTTCTCTTTTCTCTCTCTCTCTCTCTCTCTCGTCGTTTCTTTTCGTTTTGTGTGAAGTCATTTTTGTGCTAGTCATTCTTGAGCTTTTCTGCAGGTGTTCTAGATTGTCCAGAGTCTCCTCACCCTCCCTTTCAACATTTTTTTTCATTTCCTCTAATCGTTTATGTCTGTTGTGTACGGGTTGATTGTCACTAACTCCTCTCCCCTAGGTCCCCCATGTATATCTCGCCCTCCTCCTGGATTACTTCCTCATTCGGACGCCCATTCTTCCTTTCTTGAGCCCAGTGATGTATATGAACTTATATCTGGAATGCTCCTCGAGCCAATTGAGTCCCTCTTCCTCCTCTTTTTGTACCGTCCTTCCTTCTCATGTCTGGCTATTTCTCGCTCGCGCATTTCTCTGATTCTCTTGGCTATTGTCCACCCATCCATAATATTTTTTCCTCTCTCACATCTCCATTCTTTTTTGTCTCATCCATCCATCCATTCATTCATTTTTCCTCTCATTTGTGTATTTTCGAATAAATTACTTTTGCTTGAAGTGGGAATTGGCATAGTGAATCACAGAAATGAACTTGGGTGCTGTGGGATGCGGTGCCCTAAACGAAAACTGAAAGAAAAAAACAACGAGAATGGGTTTCAGTTGGAAGCCGCCGCGGTGCGAAAGTTTCAGAAGGTCCGCGAGGATCAGGTGGATCTCGAGACTGACGAAAAGGTAAATCAGGAGGGAATTGGATGGGTTTGGGAGCAGAATAAAAGCAACTCCAATATCGTTTATTCAAGACTCTGTATCTCATTGCTCTTTGAAACATTGTGTGCATTCTATCAGTTGACCACTATCTCCACTAGCAACTGTGATTCATGGTCTTTTATAAACTGAAACCTTTTCAGGTTCTCGTATTGGATGTGAAAAACGGGTACGCGAAAATCCGAAAAAGCGACGGAACTACTGGAAAATGTCCGAATTACTTTTTGACAATGTCCGACATTCCCGGAGAGAACTTTGCCGAGCAGATACAGTAACCCTTTCCTTTCAGAATCTTCCAACCTCTTCTTCTTTTTCTTCTTCTAGGTATCGTCGAGAATGGCATCGACGAGTGGATGAAACGAATGTGCAGTTCAGAAGAGAAATCCCGAGTGCATTTGATGTTGCCACGTCCTCCACTCAACCGGACAATTTCGATGTATTTCTGGAGTTGTCGACGTGCGAACGGCCAGTGATTGTGGAGCAGTTGAAGGATATAGAAGCTGTGGAAGGGCACGACGTCGAAATGTGTCCTGTTATTTCCTCCAGTAGGACAAGCCATCACTTATAATCAGATGATAACTGTTCCAGAAGCCGACTTCACGGTTATTTGGCACGGACCGGCGGTCGATTCGAAGAGAGCGAGGATACAGACGAATCAGCTGAACAGTCGGCTTCTGATAAAGAACGTGAAGAAATGCGATGCGGGACCGTACTCGGTCATCGCCAGAAACTCGTTGGGAGTCACTTCCACAGTGGCTTTCCTCAACGTCATTTCTATTCCAGGTAACTCGAAATCATCAAACTTTCGCCAGATTTCCCTTTCCAGATCCTCCGACCGACTTCACAGTCAAAGTGACAGGTGACCACGAAGTCCGTCTGAAATGGAAGCGAGAGGAGGAGCTTAAGTACTGCATCGAGTTCCGGGCCTTCGGTACGCCATCCAGAGTACCTCTTCGAATATTATCTTTTTCTTTTCAGACGCCCCGGATTCTGAATCTTGGCAGATCGCCTCCACGAACATTGAAAAGACGCACGTTTCGCTGCGAAACTTTGCACGGAACAGTTACTCATTTAGAGTTTTTGCCTACAATACACGGGTCAGAAGCGATCCCTCTTGTTGCATTTGTGTTCTTTTCGATAGAAATCACAAAGGCAAACAATAAATGCGATTCCATTCTGAATAAATAAACACTCGTTCTAGCACATTATTTATTATCGGAACCAGAAAATGAGAGAAAAAAGCATCGGTGGAATCACAATGAAATGAGGGAAATGGACCAAATGGACAGAGTGCAGAACTCGTAAAGCAAGAGAGGGAAGCGGACAAGAGTCAGGTGGGGGCAGAGACCGTACATTATGATGGATAGGGCTGGAGAGGAGAAGGAAAGGATCGGAACCGTACGACATTATTGCTAAACGAGAAGGAAATTACAAAGGAGAAGGAGAAGAGGATCGGGGACGGACGGACATGTACCAGGAGAATAGAGATAAGAAAGTGGGGAGAGATGTACACAACATGGACAGTGGGAGAGACTATGATGAACCGAAAGTGAATAGAACTTATTCTTATTTTGGCGTCTCAAAAGTCTGGTAATTTCGCTCTACTGCAATTCTACGTGAAAACCCGGCTGCGGCCGCGAAATTTTCAATTTGGCACTGAGCGGTAGAGCGCGATTGCCAGACTTCTAGGGCTGCAATATTGTAAATATTATCATTATAATGGCGGTATGATAGAAAAAGAGAGCAGTGTTTGGGAAACCCCTTGACATGAAAGAATACAATTGGATTAAAAGTGACTCGTTCTAGTTGGCTTGTTAAACGCGTTTTCTTGGAAAAGATCGGGTTAGAAAAAGATGTGAAACCAACAAGGAAATCTTTTTTTTGGAAATTGAAGGTATTCGAGTGGAGACAAACAGCTAGACAACCTCGAGATGGAATCTTTCAACGGGGGGATGTTGATGGGTGAGATATATGAGAAGATACTTGGTTGACGCAAAGAGACTCACGCAATGTTGGTGATGGAAGAGTCGTACCGACTGATGTTGATCGATGCTTAGAGATCGGAAAGATTTATGACAAGTTTGAGATCCACGGTCCGGCAAGTTCGGCTGGGCTCTTGGTTCCGTTCGAGTCGAGCGACGGAGAGCGAGTCGACTTCTGGTTGTTGAGCAGCACGTTGAACGCGTTCCAGCTGTTCTTCTCCGGAATTTCCGACGACGAGGTCATCGAGCCGTTCGGAGATTCGAGGGAATGATCGCGTGGCGGGTACGGTTGGAAGGTGGGCGGCGGAGTCAGTCCGAACGGATCGACGGGCATCTGAACGACCTTCGGCGCAAGTACCTTCTTCACATCCCACTCTCCACAGTTCTCGAAGACGTCCACGTCGGTGAGAGGAGTCGGAGGAGACGGTTGACAGAAGTCCTTCTGAGATCTCTGGGGCTGATACGACGGGTGATTTGATCTATTCGACCGGCCCGAAGCATCGCTCGCCCAGTGTCCCATCGAGCTGAACACGTCTCCGCCGTCGCCAAGAGTGCCGAACTGAGGGGGTTGATTGAACTGTTGCGAAGTGAACGGCTGCAGACGGGATGGTGGTTGGAACTGCGGCGGCTTCTGACCGAACTGATGCTGTCCGTTCTGCCGTTGACTGCCGACATCGGCCCAGGACGGAGGTTGCCGGGAGCGGTTGAAGCCGAAAGACGACTTGAAGCTTCTTTCATCCCAGTTGTCGCCGCGGAGCTGCTGTTCCATTTGGAAGTGCTGCCGTTGCATGCGAGAAGTGTACTCGCACTCCTTCTGGACGTACATGGCCGCCTCGAAGCACTTGTTGGCAACCTCCGGGGGGTAGTGCTGGACGAAGTGATCCATGTTCATCCGCTGAGCCATTGTTCCCTTCGGACAGAGGGTTCCTGCAAAAAACATTGCTGCGGCTGATCGGAGAGATGTCAAAAGAAGAGGGGTGATGTACAATTTTCACTGACAGAAGATACACGGACGGAAAGAGAGTGAGAGTGAGCGAAAGACCGGGCAAAGGTGACCTGCACAGGCGATGTTGTCGGCCCCGCCCACTGTGTTATTTGCATGTCTGCCACTGCCTTTCCCGTCCACATCTTCCCCCTCTCTCTCTTTCTCTGAAACATCGAGAGGGAGAGAGAGAGAGAGTGGAGGAGATGAAGAGTGTGCAGAAAATGAGTGAAGTGCTAGTCTCACGATTCCCCAAATAATAGGAGGGATTACCGAGATACTAGTGGACAGGTGGTTCTTCTCCTGAAGACGTTAATTATTCTTGCATCACTCGTGGGATGGGGAATGACAACTCCAATATGATGATGAATAAGTGAGAGTGAAAGGACTGGGTCTATATGAATAATAAGGTGCTGAGCAACAGCAACAGCAGCAGCTACGCCCTATTGGGTCTTTTCTGGTAAACATCGGAAAGCGGCCGGAATCGCTGTGCACGATTTGTTTCGCAGAGGCGGCGAATATCGATCTTGCGTCGGCCATCACGCGACACAATCTCTCCCGAGAGCCACCAGTTTTATAACGAATCGACAGGGTTTTATGACGTGGCAGCCAGAGTGAACAACGGAACACCGTAACCCATGAGACGTGGCGTTTCGAAAGCGCGCTTTCTCGGCGATTTCTCCGTTTCGCAAGAGCGCATGAGGAAAAGGAAAAGGCAACAAGTGATAAAAGGGCGAGAAGAAGGAAAAAAGAGTGGAGGAGGAGGGGAGCGGGGAGCGCACAGACGAGAGGAATAATCGCGGGGGGAAACGACTGGAAACGGGCAGAGAAAAGAAAGAAAAGAAAAGGAAACGGGGAGGACGATTGGACAGTGGCTGCTCGCTCGCCCCTCTTTTTCTCTCAAATCTCTCTGTTCATCAATAACAACATTATTCCACACATTCGAAATTCGTGCTAATGTGTTTAATGAAATGAATTGAATCGATGCAACATTGTGGGCGGAAATAATCCCCCATTTCAGATCTCACGCCGACAAAAAGCCGTGTGTGGTCTGTCGGTCGGGTCACGAAGGGCGAAAAGACGAAAAAAGAGGAGAGAAAGAAGACGTCACTGCTGGACAGAAGAGGAGGAGGAGGAGTAAACAGAAGGGGAGGTCCCCGCCGACCCCGGAGGTCAACCCGCTCTCATTGTTTCCCAGAGAGTTTGATCTTGTGATAAGGAAGCACTGATCGACTCATTTGACCCTGAGAAGAGACGCCCACGCAATTTGGAGCAACGGTTGAATGGAATGGAAAGCGGGAAAACGATGTTTGATGCTGAGAAAGAGAGAGAGTTGAACTGAAAGCGAGATGCGTGTTTGGAGTGAGCACCGATATAAGGGGTAATTATTTTGCTTTGTTCATTCACTGAACAGCCCACTTGACATATGCACTTGACGGACTCGAGGGAGGACCGAAACCAGCATTCAAATGAAGATTTACTAGTCAGACCCGTCGGCCAAGCTTAGAAGTTTTCGAAAAAATGACCGATTACTCATAGCTTTTGAGTGGCTACGCAGCGAATTTGGCGACAACCTGCACATTTAACGTGTTGTTGGCGGTAATTCAAATGTTATTAGCCGCCGTTGCGGTTGACACTCCGTATGTCCCGTGCTGTAGTCATTCTTTCACAGAAACAAAAGTGCACGATAATCGGTGCGTTTATTTGTGTCAGCACCGTTTGCTTCTGAATTGGAACTAATTTGACAAAGAAAGTCGATCTTGCAAACCCCTTCTGATTCGTTTGCAATACCCCGTGAATTGAATTTGCTCAGCTCGCTCGCAGAGTCGCTGCCTCCTGCTTGCCATTCGCCCCCCAATAATCCATTAATGTTTTTGAGCAACCGCCACACGAGAGAGTGTGCTCTGTGAAGAGACGCATCCGAGGCGAGAGAGTTACAACACGGGAACAGCTGCCTTTCGTCCCCGCACGGGAGCCCGAACTTTCCGGAGAGAAAGATGTTGACCAAACAACAGAGAAGAAGATCGAAGCACGGCCATTTTGTGTGTTTATTTACAAAAACGACAAAAATCATATCATATCAGAAGGAGGCAAAAATATTATTAGAATATGAGAAGGTAACGAGTGCGTCTTCTTTCTGCTCTTCTTCATATAAAACGAAAGTGGGCTTGGCCAGAGAGGTGCGGAATCTTTTTCGGTTTTGAAGATTTTGAAGTTGGGGAAATGGAGGACGATGTTTAGGCGAATGGGTTCTGCTTTCCGGCCTTTTGGAGCTGAAACCACACGATTACTGTACTGGCAGCTTCCAGAAAACAGGCAACTTACGACTCTGCCGAGCGAGAGAAGAGTGACGCAGACGGAGAAGAGGTCGCGTCCTTCAACGAGCTCGACCGACTGGAACGTCTCCTCGTTCGGGACTCCTTGCTTCTTGGCAAACTCGACGAACGCGTTGATGTTCTCCATGCACGCGAACGTCGACACCGGCTTCTGGATCTTCTTGACCGAGCCGGCCTCGATTCCGTTGGCGAGCCTGAGAATCACAAAGTTCTGCGAGAAGATGTCCGCGTGAAAACTCACTTGCAAAGAAGGGATCCGTCCTTGAGAAGGTTGTAGAAGTTGTCGCGTTCTCCGGAAGTGGAGATGTTCTCTCCGGACGCCTTCTTGATCCATTCGAGCAGCAGAGTCGCCTCCTCCTTGATGAACTTGGAGTCTTGCTGCAATCAGACAACCCTTCCTTGCCATTAAACTGGAAATCAACGAACCTTCTGGCGGACGGCGAATCCGATTCCTCCGGCAGTGGTGCGGTTGGCCATGGTGCTTCGGTTGAGTCTTTGGAAGAGACAATGAGCTTGTGCGAGCCACGGGCAAGCTTTTATCAGATGCTCAAGCTCCGCCCCGTTTCCCGCGGAGCCAACTGGTCGATGGGATAGGAATCCCTCACAGATGCGGGGGAGAAGGCACTGCACTGCTGACGTCGTGTTTTGGGGCGGGGTGAGATGCAGACGAACGGACCGGGACAACGGGATCATGAGTCATTTGGACGGACGTTTCGAAATTCACGATCACTTTACACTGTTTTTTGTTAAAAATTTCGAAAGTTCCGGAATGTGTCAGAAGCTTCAAACATTTCCAGAACTTTCCGATCGAACAGAGAATCTTTCGCGCACAGATCAGTCACAAAAGTATATTTTTGTGGTTGACAGCTGCAAAAATAGCCGTACAACCCATTCAAAAACGGTCCCATCTGGATCCCATCTTCGCTTCGCCGTTCTTTTCGTCCTCCAGTGTAATGTTCCTTTGCTCTCCGAGTTCATCATCACGAACTGGAGCAGTCCTATTCGTCAAATCGTGACAAACTCCATCTGAAGAACTGGTTGACTGATAGGTTTGGAAATCGATAGGCAGGAAGAGGTGTCGTGAGATGATCTGAGCGGCGAAACAGCTGTCACGCTGGCGACCAACCCACTCAATTGTTGTTTTCGTGGAAAGTTTTCGAAAAAAAACTTGGAATCCTCTATTTACTGCATAAAACACTTTGAAAAAAAACCCCCACCAACAGAAACCAATGGAAAAGACGGGCGATCTATAATACAACAGACAACAATAAATAGAGGGAGCAGGTATGAGAAAGCGTGAAGATCACGGATATAGATAAATTATTCTAAAAACCATAACTAATTGATAGCAGCGAGTGCGAACTTGCGGGCAAGTTCGACGGCGTCGTCCAACCGATCCACGTTTTCTCCGGTCAGCTGAGCGTTCGCTTCCTTGCCACCCCCCTTTCCTCCGAGCACGGTGCACACCTCGTTCACCCATTCGTTGGCTTTTAGACCACCGCTCACCAGGCTCTGAAAAAGAACACATTAGTATCCGTTCATCACCCAGAATGAACAACCTTATCGACCTTGGCGAGACAGAGCACTTTTCCGGTGTCCTCGTTCACCGAGAATGCCATCACTGCCTTCGTGTCCTTGAGCAGCTTGAGAGCATTGTCGATTGCTTTGCTGTTCGCGTTCGAAGTGAAGACGTGGACGAGCACTGGCGGCTGCTCGGCTACAGCGGCGAGCTCCTTGGCCTCTCCAAGAACCTTCTCGGCAACTGCAGCCTGCTCAGCCTTGGCGTATCCGTCTAAAGTCTTCTGAAGGCCCTTGGCAGTCTCACGAATGGCGTCCTTCCGCCAGTAAGGCAGCTGAGCTCCGTTGGCTTCATCCACGATTTCTTGGATCTTCTTTTGAAGAGCCTTGAATTTTTCCTTGTTGGAAACGAGATCCTTGTTCTGAGCGACCTTCGATTCCTCAGCCAAACGAGTTTCCAGACGATCGGCTCTCGCAATTGCTCTCTCGGCCTCTGGTCCCGTCAATGCGACGATTCTCCGGATTCCTTTGGCGATGGCCTCCTCCGAAGAGATGACGATGCGACCGATATGAGACACGTTTTGGAGATGACTAAAGTTAAATATAAATTAGAAAGCATAAAAATGAGCAAGTGACTCACGTTCCTCCGCAGAACTCGACAGTTGTGTTCTGTCCCTCTTCGGCATCTGGATTCTGGAGCAGCTGCTCGACGGGGGTTCCGACAGCGACCACTCGGACTGGGTCCGGATAGGTTTCATCGAACATGGCACGGAGTCCCTTTATCTTCTTGGCATCTCCGAGTGGCGAGTTCTTCGCATACACTTGTCCCTTCGTGTCCACCAGCTGCTGGGCGTACTGTTCGGCCTCCTTCACCTGCTTGACGGTCATTGCGGCTTTGTTCGTGAAGTCGAACCGCATACGATCCGGAGCGACAAGAGATCCTTTCTGGTCCGAATCGGAGAGCACTTTACGAAGAGCATAGTTGAGCACGTGAGTTCCAGTGTGGTTCTTCATGATCAGCTGTTTTCTGTCTTCGTCGAATCGCTGATTGACTTGATCTCCAACGGCAAAGTTTCCTTCCGCGGATCCGACCAACACGATGTAACCTCCGCGAACTTGACTATTATTCACGTTAAACTCGCTCGACTCTTCGTTGACTTTCGTGAGCACTCCGACGTCGTAGATCTGTCCTCCCTGCTCAGCATAGAAATTGGTGCGATCCAGAAGAATGGCTCCCTCTTCACCAGCGACCAGCTGATCGACGAACTTTCCGTCGCGACGGATGGCGAGAATCTTTCCAACGCATGGCTCAAACTCTGAAATGTGACTATTCGCTACAATTTTTAATGGGAAAGCTTACTGTAGACAGCATTGGCACCTTCACCAGTGAAAGAGTAAGCGTACTTCGGCGAGTCGTCAGTGGTCGGCACTCCCTTCTGCTGCAGTTCAGCGAGAGCGTGCACATCCAGATCGAGTGTGTCACGGAACTTGCCAGCTCCAGCCGACGATGTTTCGATGGCCTTCTTGCGAGCCTCCTCGAAAGCCGAATTGTCCACAGACAGTCCTTTCTCTTCAGCCATCAGCTGAGTCAGATCGGCTGGGAATCCGTACGTGTCGTAGAGTCTCCAGGCAACGTCTCCTGGGAATGTCTTCGTGCCCTCTGGAAGAGAGGCGACAGCGCGTTGGAAAAGCACACGTCCACGGGACAACGTCTTCAGGAACTGTTTCTCTTCGTCGTTGATTATGTCCTTAACAGTTTCCGGGTCGCGATGCAATTCCGGGAAAGTCTCTCCGAGGATCGAGATGACAACAGGCACGAGAGCAGCAAAGAATCCTGGCTGAGCATTCAACTTCTCGGTTGCGTAGCGGACTCCACGACGAAGAATACGACGGAGGACGTATCCTCTTCCAGTGCTGTCTGGGCGTCCACCATCAGAAAGGGCAATGGTGAGAGTTCTGATGTGATCGGCAACGACACGGTAGGCCATATCGATTCCATCCTTGTCCTCGTCTCCGATCAGTCCGGTGTACTGGCGGACTCCGCTTCCCTTGTGGATGGCTTCGAAGATTGGCTGAAAGATGTCCGTGTCGTAGTTGCTCGTTTTTTCCTGCATAACAGCAATAAGACGCTCGAGTCCAAGACCGCAGTCGATGTGCTTGGCGGGCAGCGGCTTGAGAGCACCTCCTTCCTCGCGGTTGAACTGAATGAACACGAGATTCCAGATCTCAACGACCATCGGATCGTCGGCATTAACGAGATGAGATGCATCGCGTCCTCCAATGCGATCGTAGTGAATTTCAGAGCACGGTCCGCACGGTCCGACATCTCCCATCTCCCAGAAGTTGTCCTTCATTCCGAAGTTCAAGATTCGCTCATCCGGAACACTAAAGTAAGAAAATGAACAAAGGTACTCATAATTTGTGACGGTTTACCCAACGGATCTCCAGATTTCACGGGCCTCCGTATCAGCTGGAACTCCAGTTGCCTCGTCTCCTCCAAACACGGAGACGTAAAGTCTCTCGGCCGGAATTCCGTACACTTGAGTCAGAAGCTCCCAAGCCCAAGTGATAATTTCCTTCTGCAACAAATAATGTGTAAAACTTCAAACGCTGTATGTTATCCTACCTTGAAATAATCTCCGAAAGACCAGTTTCCGAGCATCTCGAAGTATGTGTGATGGTAGACATCTTTTCCGACGTCATCGAGATCATTGTGCTTTCCTCCAGCACGAATGCACTTTTGCGTGTTGACGGCTCTTCTCAACTTGGCCAGGTCGCTGTTAGGATCGGCAATTCCGAGGAAGAGCGGTTTGAACTGTAAATTGGAGACGGTTTCCCAACTGGAAACGTGAAATAATAGGAAATCACCTGGTTCATGCCTGCATTGGCGAACAAGAGAGTCGGGTCATCATGTGGGATGACGGACGACGAATGCACATAGGTGTGCTCCTTTTTCTCCTTGAAAAAGTTGATGAAAGTCGAGCGGACCTGCAAAGTTATCACCAATTATCGATTTTCAATTGAATAAAAAGTGTAACGAACCTCCGAGGCAGTCAATTGCTTCATGGTGACCCAAACAAGATGAGAATCTAAAGAAAAACTAAACAATTACTATGTTGAATAGATGAAAACCGAGAGAAAGTGAGATTATGACCGATTTCGCAACAAGCCACAGAGAACAGTAGGTGCAAAGAGAGAGCGCGCGCGGAAAGCTGTACAAAGAGGAAGAGGACGACCGCGCGGATGTGAAACTATTGAAAAAACAGGAATTCTATCGAATAAATGGGTGAAATGAAAGGAGGAAGCAAAAATACACGAGGGGGCGGAGCGTAATTGCAACTGCCGCACACTTTTTGCGCCCTCGCGCGAAACGAAACTTTTTGCGAGCTCCAAAATATTTTTGAAGCTTCTGATTACTGTTGAAAAAAAAAAGTTTCGACATTGGAATCGAAGTTGGCAGCGTGCCAAGGCCCGGCCTCCCAAACGCATATGCTGCGCGCGATTGTTGCAACATTGCCGCACGCTTTATTGTTCTTTGTTTTTGTCTTTATTTTTCGGCTAAATATCAGCAGAAATTTGGTTTTTTCCCATTTTTTACCCCTATTTATTCATTTCAATCGGCTTTTGCTATAAAAATCAACTTTGAAAACAGATTTATCGATTTTTAGCTTCAATTTTCGAACATTTCTTGATTTTGTGTTTTTCTCCTTTCGATTTCGGTGAATTTGAGAATTTTTAGGATTTCCACCTACGGAAAAGTCGAACAAGCAACAAAAGGGCATGGATTTCTTCTTTTCGTGTTAGTTTTTGACGTAACAATAATTTTCTCTCCGATCAACGTTTACAGACTCCACTCCTCCGCCGCCTTCTCCACTCCGCCGTCAGCACACAACGGAAAGTTGAAGAAGCATCTCCCGTTGGATGATTGGCACTAATAACAATTATTTTAGATGTATTTATAACGTTCTCCAATAAATTAAATGACATGACAAGTGTAAGAATGTTATTATCAGTGATATTCAATTTTTCTTCTCCTTTTTTTCCGGATTGAAGCGTCCACGGACTTTGGAAAAAAACGGTCGGAGAGAAAAATATCTTCGTTCCTCTTCAAACTAATACGACAAGTTTTTGTATACCGTTGTGTGCTGACGGCGGAGTGGAGAAGACGGCGGAGGAGTGAAGTCTGTAAACGTTGATCGGAGAGAAAATTATTGTTACGTCAAAAACTAACACGAAAAGAAGAAATCCATGCCCTTTTGTTGCTTGTTCGACTTTTCCGTAGGTGGAAATCCTGAAAATTCTCAAATTCACCGAAACCGAAAGGAGAAAAACACAAAATCAAGAAATGTTCGAAAATTCAAGCTAAAAATCGATAAATCTGTTTTCAAAGTTGATTTTTTATAGCAAAAGCCGATTGAAATGAATAAATAGGGGTAAAAAATGGGAAAAAACCAAATTTCTGCTGATTTTTAGCCGAAAAATAAAGACAAAAACGAAGAACAATAAAGCGTGCGGCAATTTTGCAACAATGGCGCGCAGCATATGCGTTTGAGAGGCCGGGCCTTGGCACGCTGCCAGCTTCGATTCCAATGTCGAAACTTTTTTTTTTCAACAGTAAGAAGTTCTGGACTTCATGAAGCTTTGCGAAGTTCACGAGCATGGGAAGCAAAAAGCGGTATTCAAAACGACTTCATTAAAATCTCTTAAAAGATTACAATCACTGCAATTTTTCTAATTAGATTGCAATTTTTTCTAATTAGATTGCAATGTCTTCTAATTAGATCGCAATCGAGTTTCCAGAGTTATCTGTAGCCGTCTCGTTTTTTTTTTCATTTCTACCCATGGGGTGCCCCTCTGACGTTATTGCAATGCAAGAAGTCAGCTCTTCCTCTCTTCCTCCCTCTGACGTTATTGCACCAAACACACTTATTCTGAAGCATGCCGAAAAACATTACAAATAATTGAAAATTTCGGCCGTGTAACACCGAGTTCTATTGAGAGGTTTCGATGGTTTCATTTCCTGAAGTGATAGCAATGAGCTTTGCGGGAAGCTCTCGAAATCCACAAATCTGGGGATCGGTTCGACAAGAAAATGTCAAACACAAGGATGGCGATGCTCAGACGTGCATTGATGTCGGACAGATAATGGAGAAAGTTCGGAGAGACAATTACGTGGCACGGCAATCTTTTCTGTGATGTTCAAAACGTTCTGAATATCTTTTCAGCGTCATCAGCAAGCATTGGAGCAGTCGGATAACATTGCGAACAACATTCAGAACTGGAAGAATTCGAACGATCAGGACATGAAGGAGGTCGGCTGAGAGCGGGTGAAATGCGAGTGACGGAAAGAGTTTTCAGCTGGGAAAGCAGATGGAATTGCTGCAAAGACGGAAAGAACAGATCCGGAAGAACTCGATGGAAATGCATTTTTTGGCGGATCAGTTGCGGCAGAAACTGGCCAGAATGCAGCAGACGAAGCAGATGAACGAGGCGAAGAACGGGCATGACGGTGAGTTGGGAACGGAAGACGTGGCGAATGAGAAAGATTCAGAAGCGATGCAATGCTGAACAGAGCGAAATAAAAGAAAACCGACTCAAAAGACAAACTGATCCCGATGAAATAAAACCTTCTATTTTATGTCTATGCCTGTTCTCTCCGTTTCCGTTCCCCAACCGGTTACCCGTTCTCATCCACAGATGAGTAACCACCCGTTTCCAGACCAATCACCACGCTCGTTCGGCCTTTTTCCTACCTTTTCCTCCGATTCTCCAATTTCGGACGTTTCCCTCCTAATGTGCCCAAATCCTATTGTGCTCGTCGTGGGCGCCTATCGTATTTCGGAGCAGCGAACACATGTTTACATGCAAAGAACGGGAGCAATACGGCCGTGGGCGGGTGAAGAACGACGGAAGATTCGCGAGCGAATATGTCTCATTTGTGGGCGCTCCATTCAGAATGTTCAGTTTCAAGATGAGCTCGTCTTTACTCACTCGGACCAAGCAGTGGGCCCGACCGACTGGAAGAGCTCACAGGTTCCCAGTTCTTTCATTAAAATTCCAAAGCTCAGAAACAGATTATTCTGATGAACTTGAGCTGTCTATCCAAATTAATGTTCTCTGAGATCATCGTGAAAGTGATCAAAGCATAGCTCTCTACTGGTTTTTCAAACTGCTCTGTCTCTCGCCGTTCCGGTTCCTCCCTTCTTCTCTCACTTTCATCCTTCCCAACTCCCATTCCCATTCAAAGGCGTACTCGTAAGTACTGTTCTCCGATCCAGTTGCTCTTTTCCTTCCGTAATTTCCCTCCCACCCTCTCAAAACATTTGCACGATTCCGCAGAAAGCATTCTTCCGATTCTCGAATCAAACGAAAACGAAACGAACGAGAAAAAGAAACAAAATACAAGAATAATTGGAAAAAAACGGGTGCCGAAAAGAAGAAAAAGGTGAAGAAGTCGACGGGCAAACACGAGAAAACACAGACAAAGGAGCGAGGGAAACGAGCGGCGGACAAGCGGACGAGCAGTTTGCGAAGGACACATTTGCGCATCGGCATGACCAACGGTAGGCGAGTGCACGCACTTTTTGAACTTGGAGTGCAGCTCATCCGACTTTCAGGTGATAATGTGTCGATTGTGACACTCGATCCGGTGGCGGACGGCATTCAGTTGCCGACGACTGTCACCATGCATCCGGAGGCACTGGAGCCCACCGACGAACGTCAATCTGCGGGAGCTCCGAGCCCGCCGCCGTTGCCTCAGAAGACGGCTATTATCACGCTCGATGCAACGAACATTCTTCAGGTAACTTAATCGGAAACTTAATGCTGCCGAAAATGTCTGGAAATCGCGTCCTACCGCTGAAATCTTCGCTGAAATGCAGTGCTAAACTAGAAAAAGTCGGTAGGTAGAGCGATTTTCCAGAATTCCGCAGCGTTTAGGCAAAAAACGTACAGTTTCGTAACGGTTTCATGAGTCACAATCACACTGTTGAGCCCCTACATTGTACTAGTTTATTTTTCTTCTGTTGTTGTTTTTTCTCCCCTTCTCCTTTCCGCCCTCCAATTTCATTTTCAACATGTGTCCTTCGATCCTCTCTTTTCCTCTTTTCCCCTCAATTGATCACCTCTCTCTGTCTCTATCTCTCTCCTCGCATTCCTGCTGTAAACCAGACAGATGCTCTCGGCAGTGGGGGCGGCTTTCCGTCTTCTTCTTCTTCTTTTCTGCTCCATCTCTTCTCACCTCTGTTTGCTTCTTTTTGTTGTTGTTGTGTTGTTTTACTCATAATAAGAAAGTTGCCGAAACTGTACGAACTGAGTCATCGCCGTACATTTTGTAAAATGTCCGATTGCAGGAAGAAGAAACTAACGTGAAATCGGGAAACAACAACGAAGAGAAGATGTACGATTCTCCGAGATACCAGACGACGACTACTGTAGTCGAGACGACCGAGTACATTTCGAATGACGGACCGGCAGTGCGGGTGAGCCTTCCGTCGCTTCCGTCCGTCCACTGCCCACCGTTTTCCAGATCGAAATTCCCCGTCTCGACTGTGAATACATCCGGACTCTCGGTGGAATCATGAAGGTCGTCTGCATCGTTCTCTGTCTTCTCACCTTCCTTTTCGTCATGATGGGCCCGGCTTACTACACCGGTACTCTCCGTTTTCCCTCCAAGATCCACCATCTTCTTCAGGCGTAGGGTGGGCGACGTTCGTCTCTTCCGTTGGAATCTTCGTCACCACTTCCCTGCTGACTCTCTATCTTTTCCGAGTCGTCGACACTCTTCCATCAGTTAACTGGATCGTTTGCGTGAGTCATAAACCTTATGGCTTATTGTAATATAAGAGTTCTTCAGGAGATGGTTTATTGCTTCGCCTGGACCGTTTTCTTCTTCATCGCCGCCTGTGTTTTAGCGGTCGCTTCTGCTCAATACCGTGGAACTTTCTCGTGGGCAATTGCTGCCGTCAGTGCTCTTCCATTTCTGATCCCTTCCAAACTCAATTTCTTTCGTTTCAGTTCTTCGCCTTCGGAGCCATGTGTGCCTATGGATTCGACTGTTATCTCAAGTTCCTTTCGTGGAAGAACGACGAAAGAGCGACGGGCGGTCCGAATCCGACGGTTATTCAGCAGCAGAGACGCAACTTCGTCTAGTCTCCCAATCAGTTTTCAACGCTTTTCACATTCCATTGCCTTTCTATGTTACTCAGTATTATATAAACTTTCGAAAAGTCGTCAAGAACAACCACGGTCTCCCACGACGCGAATGATTTCAATGGGGCGCACTTGCAACAGGCGGGCTGTGTCGATTTACGCGGCGGCCGATTAATTAATTTTCAACGGGAGTTCGCGTTCTTTCCATGTTTTCTGTACAATACACATATTTTTTTGTACGCCTGGAACCTGGATTCGAATAATTAGAGCACTAGCTACGTTTTGGTAACAGAAATCGCACATATCGTTGAGAATTAGCCGAGTTATTTCGATTCTTTAAATTCTGCAAAGAACGGTTTTCAACCAGTAAAATATTGTTTTCTAGACGTTTTTCAAGTCAAAAATAAAGAAATAAAGGTCGTAAACTCGAATTGAACTGCATTTTTAGACCTGCAAATTTTCAAAAGTTACAACGACACTCCGCACTGTGTTTAGCATTAGCGCCCTGGGAGACCGTGACAACTCGAGTGTCAACAGCGGAAAATCTAGAAACTGTCGGGACTTCTGGCTTTTCGTCCCTTTTTGTCACTCTAAAATAAAATAATCAGTGAGCTGAAAATTAAAGACACAAAACGCTTTTTTCACATCCCACACTCTCGCCGTTTTCGAATCCGCTGTTTTGACACGGCCGGTCTCACAGATGATTAATCAATTGATAGTCGATGGTGTACAAAATATGTGATTATGTCCTTATTAATGTGATCACACAACGAAAAACAATTTTCAAATTTTCGAATCTTTGCGGAACACTTCTTCAATTTTATCATTTTATTGTAAAACAAGAGCAATAGGATTCGAGATCATTTCACTTCAAACATTTTCGATAGTGATTTCTCGGGCTCCATTGATCACTCCTCTTCATTTTTTTTGGCGTTTTTTCTGCTGATTTTGTCGTAGACTTCGTCTAAGATTTCGTAACCCCCGTGCTTGCCTCCGTGGCCTTCGCCTTTGCTTCTCGCGGTTGCTTTTTTGATTTATTGACCGGCCGTTCCTTATCGTCTGCTTCTTTATGGTCTAATTCCAGCGGAACAATAGTGTTTCGTGAGTTCAGAATAACTCCGCGAGCGATCGATTCGCGCAAAAAATTGAAATCGACAAGCGTGTAGGCATTCGCATTCGACCGCCAAATCGGGTCGATCTGAAGAAGGGATAAAGAGTTTACGGAGCGGAAGTGGGGAGGGGCAACTCGCCTCACTGTCTTTGTAACGGAGAATCCAGCACGAGTTCTGATAGTTGATCGTCATCAAATCTTCTTTATTAGTTCGATACCAACTCCAGCACGCGTGGAACGGCATCTCGCAGTTGTACGTGTCCGCTTTCGGCTTCTCGGAGACGGTTCCGCCAAACAATTTGATGATTTTTTTCCATTTTTCCTTTTTTGCTGCAAAAGAGGCATGTCTTAATAGTGTTCAAGCTTTGCAGAGCTACGCGCAAGAGGTTCCTAGTTCGAATACAACAACTGCTAGCTGCTTTTCGCGGCAGTCAACGCAGACTGTCCCGTCGGCACGCGGAACACCTGCAATCACTCACCCGCTTCGTCTGTTTTCGTCGGCAGAATGGTGATGGTGACTCGGCACAAAAACTTGGGAAGGCCTTGATGTCGGTAGGTCTTGAGCCTGAGCAATGCGTCCCTTTCTGTGTATTTCCGGAATCGGATGTCCGTCAGAATGAAAGGATGATCCAATTGAATGTTATCCGTGTTGTCCAGGATCGCCAGCAACCATCTTTTCCCCATCAGATTGGCCAAGCTGCAATTGTTTTGAATACCCCCTGGGAACTTGGAATCTGGGCCCGCTTTGCGGAAAGTAAAGTTCAAGAAATATAGATAGAAAGAAAGAAACGGACAGACGCCGTTAGCTTTTTATTAATTAAGAATAATGACGATGATGATTTGATAAATGAATCTCACCTCGCAATCATTTCGTAGGCAAGGAAATCGTCATTCTCGGGCAGATAAAACTCTTGGAGGTTATTGTCATTTGTGTAGTTGGAAGAGACGACAATGTGCGTGAACGTGTCCAGATTCATACCCTCCTTGTAACCCCAAGTGATCTAAAATAAACTGTTTCTTCGGTATTTTAACAGCGGCGACAATACCTTGTCTTTGATTCTTGGCGTCAACTTCTTCATCTCAAATTTAGTCAGACAATTCGGGTCAAGCACCAGAACTTTGTACGTTCTCTTTTTATTTGGCGGAATCGTACGTTTCCTTTTCTTCTCACCATAATAGTCGTCGAATTCTGGCATGAATCCCTTGTTAGCACCCCACATATCCGCCGTGTCAGCTAGCGTGTCCGGTTGCGAAATGTCGGCGCCGTAGTCGCAGAACTTGAGGCCCCATGTCTTTTCTTTTCTGTCGACGAGCAGACGCAGAGCCGACCATTCATATTTATCGCACGTTGCGTCGATTAGCGCGCCTTCGTCCAACAGCTTCTGAACTTCTGCGAAGTTTTTATTCTCGACAGCTCTGTAGAGAGCCGTTTTGTTGTTTTTGTCTTTCTGGTTTATTGGCCAGCGGCTGTCTTGCAATTGCACGAAGTTGAATCGGTACCACTCTTCGGTGTACTTGTAGTCTGCAAGAAGAGAAACTTGTAAACTTTGTCTTCTCTTCGTGAAATCTACCCGGCTCTTCGTGCAAATACGGGTCATCCATAAATTGCATCTTTTTCTTTCTCTTCTTGCAAACCACCACGATTATAACTACGACGATGACGATCAGTCCGACACCACCACCAACCGCATACCAGGTCCAATCTCTGCACAAAACGTTTTCATATTGACTTCTTGGCGAGAATCACTCACGACCCGGTTTCCTGACTCTGTCCTTCACCGTTTTCGCCGCTCGGTGAACCTCTGCAACGTTTGATCAGAATTTGAGAGAAGAAACGCTTTGGAACAACATTTAACAGAGTTTGAGCAAACTTCGGGACGCGCAACCAACTTTTAGGTAAACGTCGCCGAAAATTCAAATATTGCTCAAATATTGATAAAATTTTGTTCAAAGGCTTAAAGTTTTACCGAGAGATTCCGAAATACACGTTGAAGTCATTCTGAAGTTGAGCCAAAGCTCTGGGCGTCTTCTGGAAGTTGGCATGCGCAAGCGACAGGTCGATCGGTTGCAGGAGCGCTTCGAGCGAGTCGGAAAGGCCTTGAAGGTCTTGATTTGGTTGAGCTCTTTTCCGTCGTGTCGTTTCGAAATGAAACATGGATTCTCTCAAGTTCCGCAAGTCGATCTGACCCGCAAAGTTCATATTTTCAGCCAACTTGTACACCTTCACAGCACTGTCCATACTTTTTGTAATTGTTGCGGTGTGCAAGACATTTTCCAAATTAGCCACATTGGCCAACAACTCCGTTAACTGCCTCTTGACAGCTGGAAACGTCTTCCAAGTCTTCTCAAGTTTCGCTTTCGTGGTGTTGTCCGTGATCAATGAAATCGCCGATTGAACAGTCGGCTCCGCGTTGATAATGAGTTCGACTTTACTTTTCAGCTGTTGAAATTGATATATCTGATTCAAGGACCCAGCTCCAGCTGCTGTCTGCAAAAGAGCGTCGAGCGAGGCTTCGGATTTGAAATTCTCGTAAAGTTGCGTAGAGTCTTCGGACTTGTTCGATTTCATGGCGATCGCAGTGACTGATATGGCATCGAACCGTTTCGCAGTTAAAGTGAAAGTGTTATAAATCTGAGAAACAGCGTCAACAACTTCGAGCTTCTTCACACTTTCTACTTCTTCGACAAACAGATTGAAGTAGATCAGGGGATTTACATCAAAAGAGGCGTTGATTGAACATGGTTCATTCTGTAATCCGGTATTCTTAATCCATTCTTGAGCTTCCTGCATTTTTGATATCAACTCACTAAGATTGTCCGTGATTTCCTTGTCTAACAGTGTCTTGTTGAAAATGGAAATAAACTTTTCTAGAATTGACGTTCCTTTCACATAACTGGTACTATTCTTATAATTTGCGAACTGCGCGTAATCCAAATTCTGAATGAAGTCGTTGAACGTTCCGAGCTCTTTAATGTCGGACTCCATGTCGTTCCATTCATCTAGGGTGTTGACGATGACTTCGATTTTATCGAGAATATTTGCCACCTTCTCGACAATGTTATCCAAATCTCCAAGTAAAGACGGAAGTGAAGTAGAACTGATGGTGATACATTTCGGGAGAATCGAAAGTTCCTCCACTTTCGTAACGCCTTTAATGTACTTTTCGATATTTTCGCAGAAATGCATCAGACGAGCAACATTGAATTTGGACGTCATCGAACCCAGCAGACTGCCGCCTACAACGATTGCTTCAAAGTTGGTTACAAGCTGTCCGATGTCTTTCAATCCAGTAATCAACTTGTCCAACGGGTTGCCTTGGTTCAGCAATTCGGCCATCATTCGATTTTCCAAGTCATCATAGATCTGTGAAAGATTACGATCGGATAGGAAAGCGGGAGCAATCGACGGAGTGCTCGACGTTTCGGAAAGATGCCGAATGAGGTTGCTCAACGACTCCAAGGCTTTTTTTAATTCTGCCTTGTTCACATCCTTCAGTTGTTTGAACTTCTCCAACTCGGCGAACATCGATTTCAAACTGCTCGACAGTCCAAACAATTGAGTTGCATTCGTGTACAACTTCTTCGTCACTTCGATCCCTTCTTTGACAGTAGACAGTTTTTTTTCATAGTTTTTCATTGCGAAAAAGCGACAAAACTCTTGTTTAACTAATTTGCTTTTGCGTATTTGTATAATGATGTCATTTAATACGTCCTTGTGCGTTTCAATTTCCCAAGTGATACTCTTGATTTCATTCAGAGCCTTTTCTGCTAAGTTTTCGGAAAATAATTTCCATGATTTTTTGCTAATTTGCATTATTGAAACATTCAAAGCGTCTCTCATTTTCGTTCGAGCCTCTGCCGGTATTCCTTCAATAGCCTGCAACCCGCTTTCAATAGCTGTTACATTCGCAATCTGAGTGGTCCCGATCGTTATATTATTGAGAGCGGAACCTAATTCCTCGAGCAGGGCGGTCAGGTTGGTCGATTGGATCGTGTGGAACTTCTGAACTGCTCCCTTGTCCTTGAGGTTCCAGATGCCGACGACGACGTCCTCGGCTGTCAGAGATCCGTCCAGTAATTTGTTTTGCAGGTAAATCACGTTCGTCACTCTGCCCAACGTCATCTGCCATCCCAATACTTTGCTCAGAGCTGTATCAGATCGTTCGAAGCGATTCGACGAAATCATATCTGTTTTTTGAAGATCATATTTTTCTGAAACCGACAGCGTTGTTTTCTGTGTTTTCACTAGACAATTCGAACCTTTAGAATTAAGTGTTGGCGTTGTTATAACAACAGCTAGAACGATGGAAAGCCAGTTAAACACTGAAACACGAGAATATTATACAGCTGGGTATAATTCTAAGGATTGTGGACTGATTCCCTCACAGGATCGCCCCACCAGTACATTTGGGTGCAAAAGTTTGGCAATCGCGCTTCACGTGAATTCAGTCAATTCCCACCTACGCTAAACAGCCGCACTGATAAAATATCTATAAGTCTCCCACCGGTTCAGAATCAGAAAACTCACTGCACTCAAAATTGATCGAATCTTTTGACGAACGAAGGCAATGTGGAAATAATTAATATAAATCAGGAATGACCAGCAAATGTACGGGAACGGGGAAGGACGATCAAAGTTCACGCTTTCAAAAGTTTCTTCCTCTCGACCTCCGCAGTGCACAGATTCCAGAAACAACGTTTGCAAAAAATTCATGTTCAAAAACAAAGTTATGCAAAAGAAACGGAAAAAACCGGGGTATCGTATCACAAACAGAAATTGACCAACAAAGAAATTAAGTCTGAAGGGGACTACGAATTCGGGGAAACAAAAAACGAAATGATAAAGGGTGATGAACAATAAGGAACCACACACAACACAAAGAACATAAAATACAGTTGACGCACAAAACGGGCGAATCCACCCGAATCGCGATCAAACTATTGTACTTTGAATCTGTTCTTGATATCGTGTGCGACGTAACAAGGATATTTATTTGATGAAAAGATTCACGCAAAAACAAATCAACGGAAAGGGAAAATCGATTAGAAAGGCTTGGCGAGATGAGCGATGATCTCAACCTTTCGCTGCTCAGTCATTTGGTTCTTGCGGATCAGTCCGTCTAGAATTCCCTCCATCGTCAGGAAACTGAAATCATCAGATTCTGAAGCTATAAAAGAAGTGCTCAGCGGATTTACCTCAGAAAGTTGAGCTTATCGGCGGCGAGGTTGGCGGTTGCGCCTTGCTGTCTGTCGAGCACGGCAATCGTGTCGGTCACATTCAAGTTCTCCTTTCGGACAGCTTCGGCTGTCTCTCGGATCGATTCTCCGGAAGTTACGACATCCTCGACAAGAAGAACAGTGCCGCCGGGCTGGTAAACTCCCTCGATGAGCTGCTTAGTTCCGTACGCCTTCGCCTCTTTTCTCTTCATCAGCATAGGCACGTTGAGAATGTCAGAAACGAGCTGAAATTGTTATGCATAACTCGAGAAACTCGCATTTCTTACCGTAGCTAGTGGAAGAGCAGCGTATGGAACTCCGACGACGTAGTCAAACTTGAGATTCTTGGCGACAATTTTGTCGCACATGGCCTGGGCAGCCATTCTCAAGACACGTGGCGAACTCATGATTCTACGCAAGTCGATGTAGATCGGAGTCATCTGGCCGGACTTCAGGTAGAACTCTCCGGTACGGAAGCACTCCATCTGGTAAAGCTCTTCGAAGAGCTCATTTTCCTGCACTGGGGCGGCGACTGGAGCCTTCACAACCACGCTATTCTCAATACTGTGACTTCCGTTGGCGGTGGCAGCAGTCATCTTTGAGTTCTGAAACAATTCGATTGAAGTGGCAATTTGAGAACTGGTTCTTGAAGTATCACGTGGTAAAAACCCAAAAAACAGACAAGACAAAAACAGATACTGATCGAATGTGATAATTTATGAAAAAGAACAAAAATGATATAACGGATACATTCTGACTAAACTATCTAACCTAAGAGCAACAAGTACTGTACAGAAAGATCGAGAAAGACATGAAAAATGCGCGCAGACAACCGTCTGATAACATTATCAATGGACGTGGCCGAAAGTGCACTGTCGTCGATCTTCAGACCGCAGACCAGTAAAACACAGTGCAGAGAGGCAGCGAAGCTATGGCCTTGGCGGCGCGATGGGGTAACTCTTCGGGATGCTCTTCCACTCCTTCTCCGTTCGCTTGTAGATCATCTGTCGGGTGAAGTGACCCATCTTCTGGTTCTCACGAAGCTCCTTCACGGCTTCTCTTTCTGCTGGCGCCTTCAGAATCTCTTCCAGATTGCATTCGATCTTTGGTTGAGAGAGTGTGTCCACTTGAATCAGATCTACTTGCACCTGAAAACAAAACTTAGAATTTGTCGTTGGGCTTATTGTCTGACAGTATCCAGATCGTGCGTTAAAATGGACTTCGTCTTTTGCTTTGATTCTCTTGACATGTGTGCTTTGAAAAGAAAAAAACTGAAAACGATCAATCAGCTCATAATTTCGGCGGTTTGTTCTAACTTTGAAGCGTAAACAGGCTCATTTGTTTGTTTGGCCAGTCGCTTGTACGGTAAATCTCTGTGTCCCAGTGATTCAACTTTTTCGATGACTGCCCCATGATCCAGCAATGTGTTTCCAGCTCGTGTCAGCGCCTTGACGAGATCGGCCTGAAACGGAAATGAAAATTTCCTTCCCAATCGTTCGCAGGTCAACCTTGGACAACGATCGTGTGATAACGCTAACTTCATAGAACGGCATTGCTTTCCTAATATTGCTCTGAAAGTTTCAAGATAACCTTTATGAATTCACATATTCGTAGTAAAAAGTTAAAAATAAAGGTGCTAACGTTTTCAGAATTTTTTCAAATGACGAAGCTTTGCATAAACGGTTTTTGTGCTGACGACAACATTTCGCTTTGGTCTGATACAAAATCAATCGACAGATAATTTTTTATACAATTTTTGTAATAAAAAAGTTCAAAATCTCCAATTTACAGACGGAAACATTACTTTTTCTGATAAAAATCACGAAAAATAAAAAGAAAAACGGCGCGGGTCTCGCCACGATTGTGTCGATTTACGAGCAAAATAGCATGTCCCTTTAAACGATGATATTTCTTTTTCAAACACACGACGGGAGACTTCAGTGTTCATTCATTTTCAGTACGATTTCGAAGTATTTCCGCAGTTTCTCGCTCAATTCTGTACTGTTAAGATATATTGAGCCTATTTTTGTCGTCTAGCGGTTACTTTAGCCGCAACGAATAAAGAAAACTTCTCATGTTGTTCGTTTTCAATGTTTTTCACTGAACAGAAATATTCGGAATTTGTCACCTAATTGCTTTTTTTGCAGCGAAATGGCCTCGAACAGCAAAGATGGAAGTGTCGCGACCGCCAAGCCTGTTGATGTGCTGAAACAGAAGGCCGGTGCTCATCATTGCCTCGGAAATGTGCACGCTAACCTCCCAGTCAACAAGGTCATTCCTGCTTGTTTCCTCAAACCCCTCTTGTTTTTCAGGTTACTGTTCATCCCCTGGTGCTTCTCAGTGTTGTTGATCACTTCAACCGAGTGTCCAAAACTCAAAGCGTGAAGCGTGTTGTCGGAGTGCTTCTCGGATCCATAAAGAAAGACAAAACGCTAGACATTGGAAACAGTTTTGCAGGTTATTTATTTCGAATTTTTGAAATTAGTACGAATACTTCAAATTGAAGAATGAAAAGTGTCAATCACACATCGTTTTACAATTCTTCCGAATTCTGAAAGACTTTCGTTTGTAGTAATTACAACGTTTTCAGTTCCATTCGACGAGGAGGACAAAGACAAAAACACTTGGTTCCTCGATATGGACTATCTTGAGAGCATGTACGGAATGTTCTACAAGGTTTGTTCATTCCGATGTTCTAATAGCTGTTTCTCTGTGCTTGAAGATAGCGAATGCAAACAGTTCTAATAGTCATACCCGAACAAAATGAAATTTCCAGGTTGCCGCCAAGGAGAAGATTGTCGGATGGTACCACACCGGCCCGAAACTGCACAAGGTATGTAAGGAGTCTACGCGACAGCGGCGAGGGCGCACTCTGCAGCGTCGTGGTAGCGCGCGCTATGCCTGCGTCTCTCGATGCCGGTTCGAACCCGCCATCGGGTTTGTGATGACCATTTACGGATCACTGGGCTCTGAATAACCATGAACCGATAATATCCGTTCTGATACCCGTTTTGCATTGTTTTAACATAATAGCGCATCAAACTGCTCAGAAGCTTTCACCAAATCTTTCAGAATGACATCGCCATTAATGAGCAACTGAAGAGATTCTGCCCCAATCCGGTGCTCGTCATTATTGACGCTGAGCCGAAAGATATTGGTCTGCCGACCGAGGCTTACATTGAAGTTCAGGAGGTCCACGATGTGAGAAAAGGATTCAAAGTTGAAGATGAATTATTTTGTTTTTTTTTTCAGGATGGAACCCCGCCAATAAAAACTTTCGAGCATGTTCCATCGGATATTGGAGCCGAGGAGGCTGAAGAAGTCGGAGTGGAGCACCTTCTGAGAGACATCAAGGACCAGACAGCCGGAACTCTTTCCCAGCGCATCACCGATCAGCTGATGGGTCTTCGTGGTTTGCAGTCGCAGCTCGCTTCCATTGAAAGATATCTGAACGATATCGCTCGTGGAAATCTTCCAATCAACCACCACGTCGTCTATTACGTACAGGAAGTGCTCAATCTGCTCCCGGATGTCACTAATCCGGACTACGTGATCTCGCAAAACGTGCAAACTAACGATCAGCTCATGTGCGTTTACATGGGATCGCTGGTCCGATCCGTTGTAGCTTTGCACAATTTGATCGATAACAAGGTTGGAATTACGGGAGTCTGCCTACTTTTCATCAATATTCTTTCAGATTGCACTTCAGAAGGCCGAGAAGGAACAGGAAAGTGGTGAAGCCGAAAAGAAGAAGGAAGAGAAAGACAAGAAGGAGAAGAAGGACGACAAGAAAGAGAAGGACTTCAAGGCATCGGCCCCGAGCACCCCGAAAAAGAAGTGATCATCGGACGACAAAACGATATCCCTTCTCTCACTTGCACCTCAATCTTTTTCCTCTCCCCGTTTTCAATGCATCTTATCCTTCTAATTTATTCGGTATTTTATTTGTGCATCAATGTAGCATTATACAATTCTCTTGAAGTTGACCTTCGTTTGTTGCAAAACCTGATTTCCTGATGGATTTATTCGGAAAAAAGAACAAATTCCCGTAAAGCAAAGGTATCACGAAGAAAGGCATGGCTTATTAAATAATTGAGAGTATCCTATTCTAAACTCAATTCATCGCTATTGCCCCTCGGTGTTCGCAGACGCAAACGAAAATTTCCTGAAATTAGGCTTGAGTCTGCAAATACCGAGGGGGCAAGAGCGGTAAATTGAGTATAGCAACCGTTTACAAATCCTTCTGTTGATGTTTGATGTAGATGCCCTCGGCGACCTTCCAGGCGCTTCCTCCAGTCACTGAATCCGTTCCAACGACCTCCCGTTGTCCGTGAATCGGCCGTCCAAATTGCTGGCCGGAGAGTGATAGATACGTGCTGGTGACCACGTGACGCAGTTTGAATTGCTGAATGGAAACGCTGACAAAAGCTATTGAAACGGGGGCAACAAACCTCGGATTCCACCCACTCATCTCCGTTGCAAATCACAGTCCAATCGTCGCCCGAATCACTTTCCGCCTCACTTCCGAACGCCGAAACTTCCTGAAATTCCGAATTTCCAGCTTATTTCCCCGCGCGCCTGGTCCCGACCTGATGGCTCTTGGAGAGAGGCGCGGTGAAGTGGTGCGAGTGGAGGAATGTGCCCGTGGTGAGGTGCTTCAGTCGGATCTTGTCTCCGCATCGGATCACATCTCCCCGATTGCATTGAGCGTTCAAAGCTGCAAGCACATGCCCAGTTTTTCTGTTTTGTATTCTTTCCGTTTCCTACCTGGGAATATCTGCCAGTGCGAGTTGATGTCGTCCGAGTTCTTGACGGCCGTCACCGATTGTTGGCCCGATCCGCTGCCGTATTTCACGTCGTGGGAGTGTAACCTTAATTTTTTATTCAAATAGTGCTTTTTCATTTATTATTTCTTGATAATTAGTATCTAGCAAAAGCTGTGGCTTTTCTAAACCCAAAGACCAATTTGTAGCAAGATTTCAGGTTGAACTATCAGAGTTGAACGAAATGACAGCCATTTTTGTTTAATCTCGTACCTGGAGCCGTCGTTCACATTCATAAACTTAAGAACACTGTAGCACGTCACAAACTCGTCATCGGCATATGCAAATGAGACCGAAAGTAGTAAACTGAATAAAATTGGCAATTTCGGCATTTTGTCACCTGAAATTGAAATTCGGTTAGAATTCGAGTATTTTTATAAGACGAGAGAGCAGAAAAGTGGGATGATTGGCTTCTAATTCAGTTTCAATGCACATATGGCAAAATCAACGTTGCATTACACTGCGAATGCGGCAGCAACGCCCTCACTCGCCGCTGCCGACTATAGACGGCGACCTTTGGAGTGTCGTACTTTCGCCCGGTTTAGCAGAAAGCAGCATTTTCGAGATTAGATTGTGACTAACTTTCTAATTAGATTAATATGGAATTGCCAGAGACGGGAATGGCGTTGCTGAATGGATTTTTCAAATAAGGAGCAAGCACAGACGGAGCAAAAATGAGCAGACAGCACGTAGATTTGACTTAATTGTAGTCTATGTCCACCGAAAACAATCTTTTTCGTTTCGAACCGCCCGATAAATAGAACACAGTCTTTTTGGTCACGCAATAAACAGCCTAACGGCCTCCTGGTCGGTCGGTTTCGAAGTGGTCAGCAAGTGCGCTCCACCGCATTACGCCGCTTATTTGAAATTTTGGAGGGAGTGACAAAATAGCGGAAAAACCAGAAATCGCGGATGCCAAAAGAGCGGAAACGACATCTCTTATTTTAGGACACTAAATTGCAATATATCTATTTTGAACACTTAAATTGAATAGTATCACAATTTATTGTAACAAAAATGTCCCAATCAGTCCAAAAAACGTCAGGATTTGAAATTTAATTGAATAAATGAAATTTAAGTTCGTTTCCGCTCTATTCTCATTTGTTTTCCGCTCTTTTGGCATCCCCGATTTTTGGTTTTTCCGCTATTTTGTCACCCTCTCAAAATTTGGCGCTACAACGGATTAGAACTTGAACGGAATAAAAATGTAACGAAATAGAACTCGTTTTTTAGTTGTTTTTTAGCGTTGGGAGTTCTATTTCGTAACAGTTCTATTCCGTTCAAGTTCTATTGCGTTGTAGCGACGAAATTTTTCGATCTCCGCTCAGGAATTTTCAATCCACGTTTTGCTCCACTTTTTTTATTATTATTCACGTGACCTGTCCTAATTTTTATCCCGTTTGCCAAATTTTAAATGTTCAGTATGGAACGGAACCGACGAACCACCAATATCGTCCCCGGACGAGTGAGTTGTATCCCGATCGCTACCTTAAAATAACCTCAGTTTTCAGCGTATGATCACAGACAAAGTAGCGTACCACAACGCAGGAATAGCTGAGGATCGATCGTACATGACCGAAGACACCTTTGTATGTAAACATTTTCGCTAATGGAATAACTATTATTTTTAGATCAAACATGCGTCGATGAATTCTACGCGTGACGACGATGAACGAAACTGGAAAAAAGAAGGGTTATCCGATAACGAAATTTTAAGCAGACAAGAAGCACGAGCTTACAAAAAGCATTCAGATGTAAGCGAATGAGAGAAACGTCGAAAAAAGTGGAATTATTCAGGCCGGAGCTCGCCTCGAGAGAGAAAAATTCGGAGCCAAGAATTTCGACGAGTTGATGAACTTGTCAGAGTACTCGGAACGTGAAAGTGATGATGAGAATGAGGAGAAAAACGAGAAAACAACAGAGAAAAGTCAAAAGAAGACTAACGCCTTTGCCATCCCCTCGCTCCCAAAACATTTGAGCGAAAAGTCAATGCTGAGTTCGCCGAATACTGCCACAAAAGGGGTTTGCAAAAAGAACCAGGCTGTGTTATGTTTTTGATTTACTTTTTTCAGAGCGGAAAAGCCGGGCTCAGTTGCTCAACGCCTGTCGGAGGAAAAGACGTTTCGATGCGTTCGTTGAGAACTCTGGACATTTCGCTTGTTGTCAATACGGACAAATTAGATTCGAGAAGAGTGGTGAGAGACTGTGAAAATTGAGATTACAGGGAGAAAATATTCAGACGGTACACAACAAGCAAGTGATCATTCCACCCTTGATTGAGCAGGATACCGAGTCGTCAGCGCAGAAGACACACACCATCGACAAGTCGCGGGACTCCGACCTGCAGGGGGCTTTTACAGTTCCTCAGGACAGTCTTCAGAAAACATTCACGAAAACCGACAGTCTCCAAGGAACATTCGTGAAAGAGACGGAGAGAGCGTCAATGGCTCATCTGACATTCTCAGAAAGCCCTCAAAGAATCCCGGTGAAAGAAGTGGAAGCGGCACAAGATGCTGAAAGTATTCAAGGCACTTTTACGAAAGAAGCTCGTGAGGAAGAAACGGAAAGTCTTCAAGGAGCCTTTGTGAAGCCATCTGACGCAGCTGGAGGAGACAACAATGAAAGTATGCATGGAACATTAGTTCTTACGGACAAGGTAATTAGATTAGAGTTCCCGCCTTTTCTCAGTGGTAATTTCCAGGACATCACTTCTTCGCCGACTCCTCAGAACAACTCGGCTCTTCGAGAAACGGTAAACGAAAAAGTTCCGATCATTGAGAACACTATCGAAGGAGGTGATAAAAAACGATCGAAAAAAGTGAGTCTGGAGGAAAGGAAGCAGCGTACAGCCAACATGACGAGCCAGTTGATGGAGTCCATGATGATCGACATGCCCTCTCCAGGAGCTATCAATTTCAAAACCTCCCGTAAGAAGATGAGACCAACTCTCGCGACGCCACCAAGATCAAAGATTGCAAGCCGACTGAGCACGGATTCGGACAAAGAGAAAACAATTGAAATGCTGTCGATAGCCGAGGAAGCAACGGTTGGTGTGGAGTCGAACGGAAATTCGTATGTCGACCCGGTCTCCGTGAATGGATCTCATATTTCGCCAATTCCCGAAAAAGACGAATCAATTGCCATGGACACTACATTGCAATTCACACCGAAGTGAATTTTCAATCGATTTCGAAGATATAACATTATGTTTTCAGGTCGAGTAGACGTAACATCAGCATTCGGGAAATGGAATCGGTAGAGCGTGTCCGGGCGCTGATGAAAAGTTCTGGGCGTATTTCGGCTCTACCCGCCACTCTCCATACGTCCGCATCTACGTCGAAATCTAATCACAACTATGCGAAACCAACTATCTCATCATTGGCGAAAAACATGAATATCGAGGAGTGCAACGAGTTGCTGAAAACCGAAAAATTGAACAGAATAACGACTCCGACTCATGCGCCGGTCAAAACTCCCAGCACAAGAAGACAAGTTGAGCACGAAGAAGACGAGGAAGAAGAGAAAGAGAAAGAAGATGAAGTGATGAAGACCATGGAAGAAAGAACGAGAACGCCAGCTTTGCGAGATGAGACTGAGAAAGTCGACGAAGAATCGAACAGCCGTTCGATGAGCAACGTGGAGGATGCGATGAATACTCTTTCTGTCAGAGACCAGCACAGAATGCTGGAAGACTTTGATTACGGATACGATGACCAACAGCAAGAAGATCTTGACCGTGAAGATTCGGACGATTCGTTGCCAGCTCCTAAGCAAATCAGGAGACCGAAACGAGGAGTGGCACTGCTCAGTGAGCCGCCAATTCATCGTTCCAATCTGAATTCCTAATTTCAGGTGATTCGATTTCTTCTGTGAACACTCCGGGAATCGAACGCCGTTCGAATAGATACAGAACCGTGAACAACAATACAGTGGTTAGCGACAGTTGGGTCTCTCAACATGATGATCCTCCCAGAGGTCGCAGACAGAGAACTCAACAGATGGGAATGCAACTTGCCAAGAGACAGATCAGTTAGTTTTCTCAAAGTTTCTTCATTAAATTGAAACGGTTTTCAGTCGAACCAGAGCGAGCTCCTGATGGTTTGAGACGGTCGACTCGTACTCGCATGAAGCCGGTCCGTTCGTGGCTCGGAGAGCAGGCGATCTACGTGCAGTCGCCGAGTGGAGGAAAACGATTGAAAGGAGTGAACGATGTGATAATCAAGGACAAACGCCTTTGCAAATTCAGAACTGCGGATGTGATTATGGCCACGGAAAGAGAGCAAAGAATGAAAGGTACGAAAATGGGACACAGGGAAAGAGACATTAATAGATGATAATTGCAGCCGCGAAGAAGGCTCGTGCGGCTGAAAGAAGGCGTCGTTTGGCACTGGATCAGAGCATGGGACGCAGGTTGAACGAGTCGCAGGACGAAATCGTCACTTCAGATGATGACGAATGAAGAGCTTGTGCAATAATATTTCGCTTTTCTGTATTCATTATTACTGCTTGATGCTGACCTCTTTTGTAAAAAAAATCGAATCGTGAAGATAAATGAACTGGGTTTTCTTATTCATTTGGTGTAGATTTCCGTTGTTGGAGAATCCTCAATCCGTACTTTTACCTTACGAAATCAAATCAGGAAGTGTGCTAATGTTGTTGATGTAGAAAACGGATCTCGCTCTGATTTCTAATGCCGATCATCTCTCCCTGTCTCTTATGATTCAGGTGATCCATCCAATTCGGTCTAATGGATTGCGTGTCCGGAGGTGTGCTGAGCCGTGTTTATCACTCGTTTCCGTCATAATCGGGCGGATAAATATGCGAGCGAGAGGGGTATAAATAAGGGGAAAACTAGAAGTATTCATGCACACCACCTCTCGTGCCGCCTGGTTTTGGCCACCTTCCCGATCCCTGCGTAAGTCATTTCCGCTCGTTTTGATGACTTAGAGTGCTCTTTTTGCGTACGATTTGCTGACATTTTGACCCGCTTACACCTGGTGAAAGGAGTGTTTTGTCCATTATTGCTCCAGGGCACACGTGATAACTCAGTACACGAAGAAACGGACTGATAAGAGAGAATTGCAACATTACACTCTCTACGGCCGTGCGCAACGCGCGGCAGCCTCAAAATGGCTATTATTCAGGATTATTGTGAGTTTTCGCTTTCAAATCCGTTAATCCTCGAGACGATCGTCCTCGTGATCAGTGAATAGCCGGCCGAATTGCGTAGAAAATTGGGCGGATTAGCCAGCCTTCGGGGGCTCATTTCAGTTGTTGCCCATCCCCAAATGTACACTGTTTTCTTGCTCCATCATGCCAGAAATCGCAGCCGAGGTCTAGAAGGTCAGTTTCCGAAGACCATAATTTATGGTCCATTAAATGATATCAGATGCATTTTATGCAATTTTTTAGAGTTTTGGTGAAAAAACTGATTTGATAAAGTCGTGCCGGCTACAGGAACATTCCGGAAAGAATGCCTCTCTGAACGACCTCAACCGTCCGTCCCCTCGTGGCTTTCTCTGCGTCTCCGCGCGGACCATCACAATGAGAAAGCACACAGTTCGGAGAGGGAGGAGACGGAGCGAGAAGACGACGTGGCGAGAATTTGATGTGTGCGCAATGGGCTTTCTCCCCATGCTCGCCCACAAATCGGCCATTTCCCTGCTTTTGTGACATCCTCCCCGGCCGGATTCTCACATTCTTTCTCTTTGGCTCTTGGCTACAGTCCGGATGATTCATTGAGCGAAAATAGAGAATCCTTCGCCATTATCTAAGTTTTCTCAAAACGTCCGCCCACTCACAAGATAAAAATCGAGCGGAAACAGTTGAAAGTTGGAATGCGGACTAACTTCCGATTATCATAATTCCTCGGCCACTCATACTTTTGTAGATCTTAATGGTTTCGTAGGCCTAAAGTACGTTTTTTCCCAAAACTTTGCAATTTCATTTCTTTTTACATAAAAACAAGTTAGTATTTCCCGATATAATTGAATTTTCCTTCTGAATTGAAGCGGCCGACTTTATTTTATGCAGAGGCCTCGAAAAATCTCAATAGAACCTTTTCACTTTGATACTTTCACTCGTCATTTTTATTTTCCCGCACTATTTCCGCGACTTGCGTCTCACACTTGACAGCTGATAAGCTCAATTTTTAGGCCAAATTGCGAATTTCACTCATCGCTTGCACACAAACGCGCCCCATCGCAAATTGTCGGAAGCGGCACTGTTGAAATTAGAACCGACCCGCCGCGTCCCGTCCATTTACTGCTTATTTCGCTACTAACCACGTGTTCTCGCACTTTCATGAAAATTATTTCGCAATGAAGCTAACATCTGCCATATTTGCCGCGTTTGGTATGTCAATGAGGGCTTTTCTATTTGAAAATCACTCGAATCCTCTAATTTTCTGCCTATTTCAGTTCGCAAAATGCCTTGCCGACCGATCGTGCTCTCTGGGCCTTCTGGCGGAGGAAAAAGCACAATTCTGACGAGAGCAATGAAGGAATACCCGAGTAGCTTCGCCTTCAGTGTTTCCCGTGAGTAAACTCGTGCGAAACCCGCTGAATTAATCATTTTTCGATACGACAAGACAGCCAAGGGAAGGAGAAGTGCACGGGAAGCACTACTATTTCACCGAGAAAGAAAAGATGCAAGAGATGATCAAAAACGGAGAGTTCCTCGAGTTTGCCACTTTCAGCGGCAACACCTACGGAACGAGGTGGGTTGTTTATCACTTTTTTCCTTATCAATCAAGCGTGCAATTGTTTTCAGCAAGAAGACCGTCGAAGAAATTGAAAACAGCGGGAGGATCTGTGTGCTGGACATCGAATTGCAGGGAGTTCGAAATATCAAAAACAGCCATCTGGATGCGAGATACATTCTGATCCGTGCTCCATCCATCAAACTGCTCGAAGAAAGACTGCGCGCAAGAGGATCCGAGACGGAAGAAAGTCTCCAGAAGCGTTTAAAGCATGCCGAGGAAGATCTCGTCGCAAGTGAGTCATTCCTTAATGCCGCGTCCAAAGTTCAAAGAAATCCCAGCAAAATCTGCGTGATTTCCGGGTTTTTTTTAAACTTTGGACGCGGCATAAAAGTTAATTATTAAATCTCGTGCTTCTAGTTGCCAATAATCCGACGCTCTTCGACCAAGTGATCGTGAACGACGACCTGGAGCGTGCCTACAAAGAATTCATCGATTTGCTCCGCGAGGACCTCGAGAAAACGACGAAAAAGTGATCGCGGAACCGTTTCCTTGATTTTTCGTAGCCATTCCCTCAGTTTCATATAATGATGAACTTCTTTGATGAGTGTCGCCGATTTTTATTGGTTGTGCTAGGTATTCGATCCTTCAGAACTCTCTTCTCTTCAATTTGGCTTTACTCGTTCTTCCCTCCGTATTTATTGTTCCCCGTTCAGTTTGTCACCCATTCACTCTTTGAAAACGTCTCGTTTTTGTGGTCTGTCAATTTAATTTCATAATAATGTTTTGTTACCTCCAGTTAATAAAAATGAAAATTAGTAAGGAGTGAGACAATTTCAATGCTGTAATCTGGCAGATAACCTATTTTGAAGTCTCCGTTCTAGAATGCTCTACTTACGTTATCTGTCTGCTCAGATGACAACGCGACTTCCACCACTTCCGGCTCTCCGTGACTTTATCCACATGTACCGTCTGAGGGCGAAAAAAATTCTATCGCAGAACTATCTGATGGACATGAACATCAACAGAAAAGTTCCAGAAAAGATAACGGAGAATAGCGTCGAGATTCCAAAAGTATTCAGATTGCGAAACACGCGAAAGTGACGGAGAACGACTGGGTAATCGAGATCGGACCGGGTCCCGGAGGAATCACGAGAGCGATTCTGGAAGCGGGCGCCGGCAGATTGGACGTCGTGGAAATAGACAGCAGATTCATTCCACCGCTGCAGGTTCGCGTCATTCTCTGATATTTGTCATCGGATGATAATCATTTAAAGACTGATGTGCCAACACTTTCGTGTACTAAAAGATAGTGTAGAATCGGAATCTAAACTGGAAGTTGGAAAGGAATTTTGTTGCAGCATCTCGCGGATGCTGCCGATTCTCGAATGTTCATCCATCACCAAGACGCTCTTCGTACAGAGATCGGCGACATTTGGAAGGTTCCACCACTCTCGCGAGCCATGAATTCCCTTCCATTTCAGAACGAATCCCTCCGTCCTCCTTCCGTTGACTGGTACGACTCCGCTCTTCCGGCCATGCATGCGATCGGCAACCTTCCGTTCAACATTGCTTCTCCCCTCATCATCAAGTAAATCACTACATCTTTCTCCTTTTCATTCCTTTCGATTCAGATATCTGCGTGACATGTCATATCACCGAGGCATCTGGCAGTACGGAAGAGTTCCTCTCACACTCACTTTCCAACTGGAAGTGGCTCAGAGACTGTGCTCCCCGATTGCCTGTGACACTCGTTCCCGTATTTCGATCATGGCTCAGTACGTTTCGGAGCCGAAGATGGTCTTCCAGATTCCCGGTATCGCTCGCGTTCCATTTCTCTTTCAAGCCCACAACTTTCAGGTTCTTGCTTCGTGCCGAGACCCAAAGTCGACGTCGGAGTGGTTCGATTCGAGCCACGCAAGACTCCGTTAGCCTCCGTTCCGTTCGAAGTGCTCGAAAAAGTGTGTCGACAAGTGTTTATCTATCGGCAGAAGTATGTGCAGAAGGGACTGAAGACTCTGTACCCTGAAGACCTGGAAGATGAGTTGGCGACCGAGTTGCTCCAGAAGTGCCGCGTGGATCCGACGACGACGTCGTTCCGGCTCGGCATCGAGCAGTTTGCCGACTTGGCCGACGGGTACTACGAGCAGTGTATTCGGTGAGACAACCAAAATATTTGAAAAGAAGGGGAAGAACGGTTGTTAACAGCTGACTGATTAGCAGGCAAATAAACACTGGGGTGGCAAATACGTGTACCACTGGAAATTTATAATTTAGATAAGAATTATCGGATTCTACCACTTCCTGCCCCGTTGCGAAACGTTGACACCAATAAGATAGAGGTAAACAGTATCACCCGTGACTTCCTGGAACTCAACCCGTCAGCGAGAATGCGCGTGATGAATGGGAAAGAATGAGAAGCAAATAGACTCATTTTCTTCCGCATTCTGAAACAATTTCGTGTGAAATCAGTGCGAATTAGTGGACGTTTGACACAAAAGAAAACAAATAGAAAGATTAGGTTTCGAGCATCAAAGATCGAAACAAACATGGCCGATGTGGCCCTTTCCTAAAAGCTCCTAAAAGCAAAAGTTCACTCTTTCAGACATCCCGGACTGTTTCTGTACGACCACACGAACAAGCAGCACACTCTCGAGAATCTGTCCAAAGAACCGAATGCCCTTCCTCCGGCACGTCCTGTTTTCGAAAAACCAAAGACGGTTTCAGAAGAGAAAAAGTGGTCACTCAAGGATTTCAGCGTCTCATAGTCATAAACAACAGTATTCAATGTAGTTTTCATAGATTTATTTGTTCAGTTTCAGAAAGTTTGTTAAATTGTTTTTTGTTATTGTTGAAAGAAATAGAGCATAATGAACGGGTGAATAGACGGAATTATGCGGTCACTTTGTTGATGTACTCCTTGAACTCGTCGAAGGTGATCTTGGAGTCTCCGTCCTTGTCGGCCTCCTTGATGACCTGGATGAGGAACTTGAGGTTCGTTCTGAACACCGGGTCCTTTTTGTCGTCCTTCTCGGCGCCCAAAAGCATGCAGACGACGTCGTCCTTGCTGATGAAGCCGCTCATGTCCTTGTCGTGCAGAGAGAACATCTCACGGAGCTCATGTTCTGAAATCGGGTTGGAAATTGGGTGGGGGGAGGGTCGGAACGGACTCACCCCAAGAAGCCATGGTGAAAGTAGATGGAGAGAATGAGCCGAAAGTCGGCAGGACCGTGGGGGCGGGAGGGATTCGCGAGTGCGCAAACAGAGCACCGAGGAGTCAAGATGTTGTGTTTTCGGATGCTTGTTTGCCCATCCACACGCTAATTTGAATTTCGAAAATATGTACTTTCGTAAGTGAGTGTCAAACAATCCGAAAGAATGAGTCAGCTGTTGCAGAAAATGGGAACCTCGACCGAGGAGCATTCCGGATTCCAGAAGAGGATTTCATTTCTGATCTGTTTACACTTTCTCTTTCTCTCTCATTCTCTCTCTCTCTCTCTCTCTCTCTCTCTCTCTCTTTCCACTCAGTTCACACCCATTTTTTGATCTTTCGACCGTGTTGTGTTTCAAAAGGACTTCTCGTGATTGGAGATAACCGTTTGGGCTTTCTCGTACTCTTCCACTCGAGGGTTCCACGAAGCGAGTGTCTGTGTCTCTTCACCTCCTCCACTCTCTCGTCGGTTTGTTTGTTTCGAAATGCACGGGCAGACGAGTATCCGGGAGAAATCCACGATGCGAAATTGGAAAAGGGGGCGGCGGAGACGGACTGTTATTTTTAGAGTCGGCAGAAATGTGCGGATGAATCCGATGTGTAATGAAGGAGCGCCAGTTATTCTTAAAGTCCAAATAACCAACGGACTGCTTCATTGCACATCAGAGACAATCTTTTGATCAGAATACCGAAGGAAGCGGGACGGAAAGAAGGAAGGAAACGGGAGAATGATTGTTCTGAAAGCGGCCGTTTCCTTTTATATTGTGGAAATGTATCCTCGTATCATGCCCCGATGTGTCAGGCCTACGAATACAATATCGGCTCGTTTTCAATACATTTTCGTTCGTTTCATGTCAGAACTCTAGTACGGATTCGAGAAATAGGAGAAAAGGAATAAATAGATGAAGAGTACGTTGCCTTGAATCAGCTGAGTTCTAGAACTGATACAAATTGAAAGTGGTACGATTGAGAACAGAGCGGTTCTGATTCGGGACATTATTTTCCGATTTGTTCTTTTCTGTTGTTGGTTGGCATACGATTCCCTACACTTTCCGTTTTTCTGCCGAGAAGCGTTATATATGTTTCGAACTCATTGGAACCGTGATCCGAATGGTCCCACACAACTCAGTCCCGATCGGTCTTTAGCTGATCCTCCAAAAGCAGTCGATGCTTATCCCTGACAGGTCGTCTAGGAGAGACGTGAAAATACTGTCCATTTCAGTTTCACGATCCCTCTGATCTTTCCGATCCTTTGAGCCCAGCCGACAGTTCCACCTACTACAGTCCACCCTAATTTCTGTTCGCACTTGTCGTTATAACCCCCCCGTTCACGTCATCGGGTCCGTACCGAGTGCACACAAAGACGGGCGGTCGAGATAACGGCACACCCGGCCGTTTTCTCCGCCATCGCATGCGGGTGTCCCGGACAGAATGCCGCGCGGCTCGGATACAGTGGTCCGTCCGTCGGACAGCTGTTCATCCGAATGGCGGTGGATTGAGTGAACACTTTATGAAGGGTTGTGATTTAAACTAGCAAATGGAAACAAGATATATATGGTCGACTATTTTGGGCCAAATTTACGAGGGTTTACAGCTGTCATCGTAAAACCGATTGGATCTATCTGAGGAATCAGGTTCCAAAGGCAGGATCCAGGTTCCATAATAATAAACAGGTTTCACGAATAAAGAGGTCCCAAATATCAAGAAAAGGGTGGTTCCAAGGAATATACAGGTAGACGGCATTTTTTGAAAATTGGATCCCGCCTTTTCTTGATATTTGGGACCTGTTTATTCGTGAAATCTGTTTATTATTATGGAACCTGTAAATCGACCTTGAGTCCTGATTATTATTGCTATTATTATTACTGCCTTTGGAACCTGATTACTCAGATAGAGCCGACCGTTTTTCTTCTGAACATCGTCGGCTACAGTGTTTAGTTGTGTGCATTTCTCGATTCTGTCACTTCACAGATTCTTTACCAGATAGACTGTGTCATCTATGACGTGAACAACTTGTCACATATCAGAAATACACAAACCTAACACATCGGAAGCACATAATCTTCCATTTATTCGCAGTCATCTGCCACGGAAACAATCACAGTTTGATCAACATTTGCAGCTTCTTCCCGGTTATCAATTTAATTTCCACGAAACTGTCCGTGTTCAATCGCCCATTCTCAAATTTAAAACTGTACAGCTGACGTCAATACGGTCATTTCAAGAGTTTTGTTCCGAAAAACTGATAAGTGACCGTCGATTGTGTTCGCGTCGGTACCAGTTGATAACCGTTTCTCGCCCGTTTCGGTCTCCCAACTTCCGGAATTACTGGGCGTTTCGAGTGGCGGGGATATGCGAAACGAAGATGCAAATGAGCGATTTCACTACGATCATACGTTGAAGGGCGGGCGAGAGAGCAGGCGGGAGGCGGAGACGTCGTCGTGCGGGAGGCGGACGTGAATTGGGCGCGCCTGTCAAAGAAATATGCACCGGTGTCTCCCTCGCTAGCTTTCTTTTTTGCGTGTTGTGTCGTTGTTGCATCGGGGGAAGACCGCCCCGTTGGTTGGGAAGCACCGCCCATCAGAAGGCAGTGTCTCTTCGAACGACGGACCAAACCACTCGACCTCCCCTCCCCGTTTGGTCCGCTTAGTCGGTCAACGGTAAGCACTCCCCTCTAGAGAGTCTCTTTCTGTTTGTTTGTTGTGTCTTCTGCCATCTCCAACTTCTACGGTACAGTCTTTTCAAAAGTCATCTGATTCCTCGCTTTGTACTCTTTCTTGTTTGGCCTCCAACTAAATACGTGCAGCACGTGTCAACAGTATCATTTCAATGACAAATGTTTTGTTATCACCCAGCACTTTCACCCCCACTTTCCCTTTTTTGTCTCTTATCGCGCTCGTCTCCATATTCATCACATTCGTCTCCAGTTTCAGCGATGACCACCAGTCCTCTCGGAGTTTTCGGAAATCTTCCGGCGGACTTGATCTCCGCTCTCTGCAAGCACCTCCAGATGGACGACGTCCTCACACTCTCCAAACTCGACAATCACCTCGGATTCCTTATCGAGGGCATTATCTACAAGGAGATCAAGCAAATTCGAATCGAAGTTCTTGAAGAAAGTGAGTGGATTAAAAAAAAAGTCAATCTTCCATTTCCAATCCTTTTCCAGACTCCTTCATTCACTTCGTTTACAATGACGGAAGAGTGACTAAGTTGAATTTGAGTCAACTCGACTGGATGGACATTGTGGAGCACGGAAAGTGCATCCATCATCTTGAATTGGACATTTCTCCCGAGCAGAGCACTTCTGATCTTTTTTCGGGGCTCAAAAAGGCATCTTTTGCTCTCCGCACGATCAAAATTAACATTCGTGAGAGCTCGGATAACAATGCGCACAGACTGAATACGGTCCACAAGGTGAGAACACTTTCAAATGATTCTTCTTCTATGTGAGTCCTTCCCAGAGATGCGCCGCCCTTGTTGTCCGCCACCGTGCCTCGATCCGTCATCTGGAGGTGTCCACTTCCGATGAGCAACGTGTCGCCGCCACGATGGACGGCGCCTCGATCCGCCTGAATTACGAACAGTCGAGAGCCCCGAAACCGAGCGAGAAGATGCAGCAGTCGACCAATTTCTACTTCGTGCTGAACATGTTCCACGACTTCCTCGACTGTAAGTATCTCTATTCTTATTGACACCTATTCATCCTTATTTCTAATTCCAGATCACTCGTTCACAAATGTCACTCTTGAAATCGGAAACAAGTTCGACGCGAACCTCGCTCTTCAGAAAGCGTCTCAAATTGCGATCCCGCACTCGAAGCGGAGAATTCTAGAGAATCTGACGATTGAATTCGGAAACTCGCTCAAAAAAATCGCGGAGGAGGAAATGAAGGAAGTGCTGCTGAAGCACGTGGATGAGTTTCACCTCAGCACTCCGAACCTCCAGCACTTCCACTGCAGTCTGCCACATGACGAGGTAACTAGAGGACAACTTCTTCCGAAATCATCCAACCCGTTGTCCTTTTCAGATCGATCTGTCCCAAGAGTTCCTCTCGCAACTGAACGAACCTGTCCGCAACGCGCGCAAATCTCCGAGCAGCCGCCCGTACAACTCTTCCATTTCTCTTCGTACCGTCAAATGCAAGTGAAAAGGATGAATCCTTTTTCCCAGGATTTGTATAATTGCAAAGAATACCAAGTGTATAATAATGTTTATCTATCTCTCTGATGCTCATGTCAACTGCCACCTTCTATAAACAATGTCTCTGTTTATGCTTCTAGTCACTCGAATGACACGTTATCTCGGTCTGAAAGCGTGACCGGAAGCCTTTGAGCACTTTGTGGCATCTCGATGCGAAAGGATCGGAGAAACTCGAAACGACTGGCGTGTTACACCTTGAACAGCTGACTTCTCAGACGGGGACAACCGGTCAGTATTTGCCTCTTTCCGCAGAGCCACTTTACTTCTCTTCTGCGAAATGGCCGACTCTATTGCTTCAATTGGCAATCGATACATTGACAACAATGGTAATCTGCCACGTGTTGGGCACTGTCACCCACTTGTCCCCCACTTTCAGATTCGGATATGCACTTTTTGCGTACATGGGCGGTCCGAAGGTGTCAGCACACCGATTGGGATGTTTGCGAACGAATCAGACTGTGCGAATTGCAAGAGGTACCGAATAAATTGAAAATAATGAAAACTGTTATGGAATTGAGGCGAGAGACCGGGCGGCGCAGATGGAGAAAACGATGAGGTGGTGGTCGAGTTGCACGGCCGAATGGAGAAATCGATGGAGGTGATAACAGCGGTTGTGGAGCCGCACGTTTATAATATTCGCTTGTTCAGTGCGGTGCGTGACGAACGGAATCGTGCTCGGGAAGAGGCTGAAACTCTCCGTCACAACTATGATCTTCTGCTCGTAAGACCCTTTTCTCTCTCCCAACGCAGAATGTTCTTTAACAGGAAGAGAAGCGTGCTCTCGCTGATCAGCTCTTCCACACGGACTCGGAAAGCGAAGAGACGCGAGCGGAGCTGCCGAAGACGGAAATTGACGGAACGAGACGGAACGCGGTCGTGCAGACGGTCCATTCGATTCCTTGCGATCCGCCGTCCATCCTCATTTCCAGCTACTCTTCGGCGCAGATCGAAGCCGTTCTCCGGGAGCCGAGCATCGAAGAAGCCGTCGAAACTGTTCATTTGGAGATAAACGAGCAGTTGAGGGCGGAGAACGAATTCCTGAAGGACCAGGCGAACGAGCTGCACAACTATCGGCAGAAGATCGAGACGGACGGGAAAACGATCGAGGAGCTGCGGCTGCGCATCCAGAGTATGGAACGGGAGTTGCTGACGGCGAAGAACTCAAAGAGAGCGAGCAGCTCGTGAGCGATCGATCGGATATGCACTGATACTTAAGTATTTATTGATGAATGAAACAGTTCAGTGGAAACAATGGGGACAGTGCACATAGTAATCATAACAAATACTGAAAACAGAGAGAACAGAGACGCGAGTATATTAGAACTTGGGGAACCGGTAAAACAGAATGGCTTCTTATTGAGATTCCTGCTCGGGAAGCTCACGATCAAACGATAGCAGTGGCTCTTCTTCGGAGCCCTTGCTCGAATTCGATGGCTAGAAAGAAAGGAATCGAAGTGAAGACCGTTTTTGCGAACAAACCGTAGGACTTTCGAGTAGCTGCGTGTACGAATCGGTATTGATCGGACTGATCGGCTCGTATTCATCGCTCTCTTCAATCTTCTCCATCGGCGCGTTCGGTATCTTCAATTTCAGCTTCTTCGAGTGATCAGCGTTTCTGAACGTTATTGTGCGTTTTTGTATCTAATCCGTTTCTAACTTTCCAGCGGTGAAACGTCCATTTCTTTCATGTTTCTCATGATGGGAATCCTTCTTATCCGAACATTCTTTTTCTGGGATTTCTTCACCGTCATGCACAATGATCAGTTCCCAGATGCTGTGAATGAGACCGTTGCATCTTTGATAATGCAGCATGTCAAAGACGATTTGGGCAAACAAATAGCCGTCGTTTCTGAATTCAAATGAACATTTTGCAAGTCGACTTTAATTTGAAACCCGAGATAATCAATCAGATGGTCTATTGGTCCTCTCGCTCCGAGATGCAAATTCTTATGTGGAAGACCGCATCGGAGTATGTAATACTGTTCGTTCTGGATGAAAAATTGGATTAGAATTCAGATTCCGATTAATATGCACTCACTCGAATAAGTCTTTTGAAGGTGAAACGACGATATCGAGGGCACAAAAGAATGAGAGTGAATTCGAGTGCGGAACAGAAACAGACGAGGATCACCAGGACGAGCCACCAGTAGAGAAAAAGGAACACTTTCGAATTCAGAAAGTTCGCTGAGAGAATGCACTGCGCAAACGTCGAGTTCGCTCCCGTATACATTTTCGTCTTTTTCGGCATTTTAGAAGCGACGGACATTCTCTGAAGATGAACTAATTCGTATAACTTCAGGGCTGGGCAAAAGACCGGCCCGGCTTTTTGAAGGCTTTTTAGACTTGCATTGAAGTATCTTGGGTCCATTTTTCAGACAGATCGTACTCTTTTTCGGAAAAAAAACGGCATTTTTGAACTATCAGCTACATATCTCGAGAGATAATAATCCGATCGGTCCGAAACTTCCATAAGAAAGCACCCAAGATACTTTGAAGTTGCGTAAGGTTTGCGCTAAAGTTGCTGTGTTTTACCGAGTCGATCAAAGTTTGGGTCTTATCTGCTAAAGTCTGGACCGGCCTTTTGTCCCTGTTTAATTCTCAACCATCACTGACCAATCTCTGAACTTCACAGCCGGTAACCAAAGTGAACTCTCCTATCAGCGGGTTGACGAACTTTCCGTACCAAATCGCGGACGTTGTCTGAAAACTGAAATGAAACGTGAGAACTAGACGGCTTCTTCACTTCGAATCCCCAGAAACGATTTCCGTCGGCGAAAAAGTCGGCGATCATATTGAATTGCCAGACAAAAAGTGCTAATCTGAGCCACTTCATGAGTGCGTAACACGCCAAAGTTCGAGACATTCCCATGGTGTGTTCACTGCAATTCTCGCAGATTTATCGGCGAATCGGTTCACAAGCGCTGACCGTTTCACTCTTATCCATTCCTGTACTTGGAGGGCCATTTTTCTGTCCGACCAGTCGGATTTCTCGAGAAGATCTGCGTCCTTGTCGGTGTTTGTGAGCTTCTCCAGCAGAGTCTCGACGTCTCGTCCGTAGAAAAAGTTAAGTCCGATAAACTTCCAGAAAAGAGCGGGGACGAGACAGAGCATCACTTGGAATAATACGATGTACGGGATGTACTGTACGAGAAATGAGAACCAGAAATTGAAAAATATCTGTTTCTTCTTACCATATAATATGCCGATTGGCCAGTTGTTTCGTTCAAAATTAACGTTCCGAGTTTGGGTCCGCGGTAGACAACTTTCCGGAATGACGTGTTCAATCGGTTCCCAAAGTAGCATATATTGTGGAAGTAATCGACGGATGAAGAGGGCCAATCGGCTGGAACCTGGCAAGTAATCGCCTGACCGAAGAATGGTTTTGCCATGAGAAGACACGCGATTCCGATCATAACGCAAACAGTCGTCTTGTGCAGAAGACGTTCCGTTTTGCTCTCCAGTCCATGAATGTGCAGGAATTGGGTCGTCAGAGTGATGACCGGCTTCATCGCATCAATCTATTTAGGGAACTACTTATGCAAAACTTGAATAAATTCAAATAAACGAGGTGTTGAGGACCGAGAGCTCCAGCACATGCAACACATCACTGATTTCTATGATTCATTGCACACGATTGGAAATAACGGATCGAAATCTGATTGACACATCAAAGGAATACAACGAAAAGCCTTCGGTTAAAAATTGGTGGATGCAATGCAATATTAACGCAATACGCGCATTTTACAGAGATTTCTGAAAAGGGAAACAATCTGATAAAACTGACAAAATACCTATCAGTTGGGAACATAGTACATGGTGAGGGGGAGCGTGAGACGGACACATTCAAAAGAAGGTAGGTATTTAACACGTATGTGAGTGAAGTGAGATGCTTGTAAACGACTTCATCATTCGCTGTCAACGTGGCACTTTCCCGGCGCCGGGGAGTAGCGATTCTTGTTGGACTCGGAACTTGTAGACGGCTGAAACTCAAAGCTTATGAAAATATGCTCTTAGACCGTATCCTACCATAGCGTGATCGATGAGTGGCGCTAAATCGTTGTCAATGAACTTTTGCTTATTTTTTTCGCATCTTAAACTTTTCATTCACTTTAATTTACAATTTTCTCCACTTACTTTCCTGCACGAAGTCGATCACCTCCGCCATCGAACTCGATGTAATCCACGGGAGACTTCACAGGTTTCTTCAGTTTCACCACGCCGCCTTCATATTCGTCGCTTTTCAGGACTATTATTCGGTAGAGTGAACTGGAGAAACAGCGCATAGCCACGACGCTGAGCGGCACGCTGCTGCACTGAAGGAGCAGGTATCCGTCGTTACTAAAAACTTGATTCTTAACAAAGGAAGCCCACGGCAAGACAATACCCGAGAGAATCTATGAAGAACTCGTAGGGGTCGCTGTCTCCGGGAATCACATTGCGCTGCTCACTTCCCGCTTGTCCGAAAAAGAACTCCTGAGTCTAAACAGATAAATCAAGAATGGAACCGTTTCTATGCCTTACCGGGAGCAGCGACTTAGTCGAATAGCGCTGATATCGTGGGACGAAGAGCATGACTGTGAACTGGACGGCGGAGAACAAGCTGACGAGCATCGCGAGAATGTACCACCAGTACAGAAAAAGAAATGCTTTCGAATTGATGAAGTTCTGCGGCAGAATGCAGCGCATTATGAATTCGTTGACAACTCCTCCCATTTGCTTAAAACAGCCTTTTCGTCGTCTAAATGTTATGGTTATCTCACCGCTCGATGAGTTTTGCATCCAACAATTTGAGGGAAAACTCCGCTGAATATATTTTTGTAGACGCCGTTTAGCAAATCGTAGGAAATCTGAAAGCTCAGATCAATAACACATAATTCAAAGGAACTCACGTGGACACCCCAAAGGAGCTCTCCGGAGGCGTAAATTCTTGCCATCATGTAAAACTGGAAAAGTAGCGAAATAAATGTGAGCCATTTCGTCGACACGTAAATCGTCATTGTAGTGAACGTTCCGAAACGTTCTCTTTTCTTGAGCTGCAGCCAACGTCGCGTTTTCACTGCATCCACGTCGTAGTCTTCACTTTTCAATCCGATCTTTTCGTCATCTTCCTTCGAAACAAGGCCGTGCACTATGTTCGAGAAATCTTTGCCGTAGAAGAAATAAAGACCGAAGAACTTCCAGATGACGGCCGGCAGAAGGCACATCGCCACTTGCAGAAGGATAATGAAAGGAGTCCACTGAAAACATTCTGTGCTCCAAAACTTCTATTCACTTCCTAACCTGATAATAAGTGACGGCGACTTCTTCTTTCGCGTTTTGATTGACAGACATCATGCCCTGATTTGCAGTTCGCTTGACGACTCTGAAATGACAGACTCTGGCATTTCGTTATTAATCTAATCGCAGTCTACTCGAGTTATACGGCGGCCTAATAAGATTGATATGACACCTAATTAGATTAATAAATTGTCTAGTTAGATTAATAAATATTCTAATTAGATTGATGTGTGCTCAAATCAAGTTTCACGCCAACCGTCTGCTGGCTCAAATCTCGATTGCGCCAAGAAAAAACAGTCGAATCTAATTAGGTCGCGTTTAGATCAGTAACTTTCTAATTAGATTAATATCGAATTGCCAGAGAGAAAACCCGTCTTTTCACTGAAAATTATTCAAATTACCCTTGATTCGGAATGCGCAATTTGTCCTGATAAAAGCAAAAATCGTGGAAGTAATTAGCCGACGAATCGGGCGTTTCTGGCATCATCAGACAGGTTATCGGCTGACCGAACAGTAGATTCGACGAGAGCATAAAGCAGAAGAAGAGCAGAATCTGCATTGTAGTTGTGTGAACAATCCGCTCCGCTCCATTGTCCCATTCGTGAAGTTGCAGGAATGGGTCAGTTAAGCTTTTGATCGCTCTGAATCCCATCTGAGAAAACATCATTTTAGACATTTCGTTTTTTCGAAACTCACTTTTCACGCTTTTCCTACTATAAGATTTGCGGATTGATAACTTTTTTCTGGTCAGTGCTCCCGAGGCGTAAAAAATTCGATGAATTGCTTGGAAAACGTGAGATCAGATTGCCATTTAAATTTTCCCGCTTAAAGTTTGATGCGCAGGTACAGTAATCAGCAGCGCGGGAAATTTGAAACAGTTCTGGAGAACTTGGATTCCGTTGAGCCCAGAGAACTATTCGATAGCTCCCGAAAACAATAGAAAAAAACCTGTTCAAAAAACTCAAAATACAAACTCATTTAATTGAAACTTTATAGGACAGTTCGGAAGATTTGCATAGATTTGCCTGAATCTAACAAGCTTCTGTGATATCGCACAACGTGGCATCGCTTTTGGTGATTTTTCTTCGATTTCGAAAAAAGAGACACTCTGTTTTACTAGATATTTCTTTTAACAGCAAGAGAATTCATCAATTCAACTATTCTATTTTCAGTTTACTGTGTTCTTTACAGGAACTTTTTGATGTCGTTTGAACTTTTCTTTTCGATGTCAAAGATCGCTGTTTGTACGATTTTGTATCAAATACATTTTTTTTTCCGCTTCTTTTCTCTTCGCGAAGTACTTCGGATTTTCTTTTCTGTCTTTGAGGTCCTCCATTTTCTGCATTATGTCGTACAGTCTGCCGTACTTGCGTACTTTCCGCGCGAAAAGTCATTTTTTAAAAAAGAAGACTCGTTCGCTCGTCTTTTTTTCTTTTTTCGCCGGATCAAGGATTATTCTTGCTTTTTACAGTATCGACGATGGAGGGAGAACTGTCGGGAATCAAAAATGAAAGACAGATCGCGTGGTTCGGATTCTCGGCCGTGTCATTCAACGATTGCGGTAAGAGTTAGATTTGTCTCCCTTATGAGTGCTGTTCATTTCAGTATTCAATGCCTTCGTGGATTCATGGGAAGAAGTGTGCAACGAGGAGTTCCGAGGCAAGCTGAAAAAGGTTTTACTGTCGATTTTTACAGAGTATGTCCATGCTAAATTTCTATCCGTTTTCAGTTCAATGAGAAGGCCCGAGTTGACTTCCTCTCGTTTCCTTTCCTGGACAAATCGATGGAGAAACTGTTCAAAATGATGAAGGTTTACTTATAATTTCATTTTTTCAATCTGATATTCTTTTTTCCAGAGATATTGTGTCTCCGACATTTTCAATCTTCCCGATTCAGTCACTCTCCCAGAATGCGTAAGTTATTATTTTCAATCGATATACAATGTTGAGATGTTCAGAAACAAATGCAAATTGCGGCGGCCAAGGAAGCAACAAAAAATCAAGCTCAGGCCGAGAAAGAGCTTGCCGCGAAGCTGGAACAGATCCGACTGGTATATAAATACTAATTTTCAGGCTAGCATCTCTACCCTTTTGCAGCTGCGAATCAAAATTGTCGAGCGAAGAAACCATATTGTTGCCGTGAACGAATCGATCGAAGTGTTGCACGAAATGGAAAAGGGCGAAGAGCAGCTGATAAAGCGGAAGAACAAGGTGCTCGACAGTCCCGCCCGGAAGATGTCCCCCGTCTAATCTGATAATTCCTTGTGTTCCTGTACTTTAACGACTACTCGTATCTCATTCCTTCTTCAATTATTACGAAAAAACAGAATCGAGAGCTTGTGTCTATTTGTTCGAGCTTGTGTTTATTTGTTTCTCCGAACTTCGGAGGAGAAGAATTGGTGACGAGCACTCGAATCACAGACAGCAACAGCAGAATAGCGCCATACAGCAGGCACCCGCGCAACAATCACTGAAATTCTGAATTCTCGTCACATTCTCTCGCAACTTTCACACTCACTCAGCTCTCGAGTTATGATTTCTGAAAATACCTGGTTTTTTCATGGAGACGGGACGATAACGTACCCGTGAACTATAACCGGTCCCGGTTGCGAAACGACGACGGGAGCTGGCGCAGCGTAGGCGGGTGCTCCATACGGAGAAGCATGGACAACAGTCGGAGTGTAGCCGGGAGCATACATATCAAACGAAACGAGGAAATAGTAGAAATGAGCAGAAAGCACGCGGAGGAAAGGGTCGCAATTTATTGAAAAAAAAAACAAAAACGATTAGAGAATCCGGAGAATACCCGATTTGAATGACAGGGGTAGGGGGTATTAGAAAAGTTGAAAGAAGAAAAAGGTCAATCCGGCAACCGATAGGAGCAAGACGAAGATAGCAGCGCCGAGCAGGCTCCTCCTCAACCTCCTGTTCGTCTTCACCGACACCGGCTTTCCCAGATCGAGCGTCGCCGTCGAGTGCTCCGGATCCAGCGCTTCGACTTTGTGGTCGGTCCCGTCCACGTGATCGCAAGCACATCCGAAGCAGAAAATGTGCTCTCCGTCCGTCAGTCTCTCCTCCCAATCCACGTAGTTCTGACTCTTGCACGTTGGACAGAAGTGTGTTCTGAAAAAAAGGGAAACGAATGAAACGAGAAGAGCGACTCCGAACTGACCGAGATTCCTGACACGTGCATTCCGGGTTGCCTTTCTTCTTTTCGAACAGCTCCAACAGATCAAGATTCGTCGGGATCTCCTCGTTCATGTTGATCTTTGTCCGGCACATCGGACACGTGTCGCCGGCGTTTGGGCGGTTCAGCCACTCGCTGAGACACGTGTAGCAGTACGTGTGTCTGCAGCCCTCCAAGATCTTTGGAAGATGCTTGAAGTCGTCTGGAAGAGGAAAAGAAAGTTGAGGGTAAGGGAAGAAAAGCGATTACCGAATCGGTGGAAGCAGATTCCGCATTCAAGACGGGAACTCATTGGTCTGAAAATTGGAAACGAATAAAGGAATTAGAGAGGCGAATGGGAAAGGGTATTAGAAGGGGAATGAATGTGCGCAGGAGGAGAGGGTACAGCTGTGAGCGCATCTGTGGGAGGTCTTATTGATTGGTGCGTTGGCCCGGTGTGTATGTCCTTTTTCTGCTCTTAGACTGTCGGGGCCGAGGGAAGAATCATCATGTATGGGAAGAGAGTGTGGTGAGAGTGAGAGGGGGAGAAGAAGAGAGAATCGGGCAAGTGGGTCATCCGAATTACTACTGTAACTGAGGCGAGGTCACAGAAGGAACTGAGCACTTGGAACAGGTCTTGTCCAAATTAAGATCGTTCCAGCTTACGCAATCGTACGCGACTACAAAAAGATTAAATGATGGTGCATCCCTGTCCCTCCCATGTATGAAACACATTTATTCAATAAAATGCAAAAGCGTTCATCAAGTGATTCGGCGAACAGTTCGAAGCGAAAGTTGAGAGTCGGAAGGGGAGTTTCCATGACTTCTTAGCAGACGCAGCAGCAACAGCAGCAGCTGAAATCATTGATTTCCTTTCCGATAATCTCCGTGCTCCACTCACTCATCGTTCTTGTTATTGTTCGAAGAGACAACGACAGTGGGACCTCTGAAACTCATCCAGATTTCGCTCCCATCTCTTTGGATGCGCCTTACGGTTGTTGGACAACTGGAGCGGCGATGACGGGAGTCATGACCGGGGCGGCCACCATGGGGGCCGGATACATCGGAGCAGCTACGACTGGAGTGGCAGCATACATTGAAAATTCGATGTCGAAATGAACACAGAAATATCGAAATGACTTGTTTATTCACATGCAATCAATGTTGACGCACTCACGCAATCATTTAGTATTGGGGGTTAGATGTTAATTTGTATTTGTGCAAAGTTAACGAAAACGTTTTTAGATATCCTCGTCGCTGTTCGATGGAAAACGGTGGCCTTTCTTAGAAGTCGTCGGCAGCAGACCTTCAGTGTCTCCGTGACGCGATCCGAATCCTTCGTTGGCAAAAGCGGAGAGGTGGTTCATGCGGGAACGTCTGCGGCAGCTTTTGCAGAGAATGTAGTAGACGAAAAGAACGAAGACGGCCGACAGTCCTCCGATCATCATCGACTTGAACTCCTGGTGTCTGTTCGAGATCTAAAAGTGATGCCGTTTCAATTGTCGTCTTCCTTCTTTTCAATTACCATCCACTCGTCGAACTCCATACGGACGCTGTCGAGGTAAGAACGCAGAGAGTCGATGTCTTCCTTGAGCTCCGTGCGAGTACGGGTGAGCAGGTCTGAAGAAGCACCGTTTCTCTGCGGATTGATTGTAATTTTCCTACCTTGAGTGGCTTGATCAGCGGTCATATTGGCAGCCGGGCCGACCGAACGGCTCTCTTGTTGCTCACCAAAGAATGGAACATGCGAATTCTGAAGAGCGGTGAACATTCCACTGAACACGTCTTCGATTCCACGAAGGAAACCGTCTGGCGATCTCTCATCCATCGAGTCCGTCTCGTTCCTGAAACGATGAAAATGAACACAACGCTTGAAGTCATGAATCCCACATGGTCATCGTCACTTTGAGGATGTCGCGCGACGTTTCGATTTCCTTTAGAGCCTCGCTAATCTCCCGTTCGATGGAATCTTTCTTGTCCAAACGGTGCGGCTCCGAATGCACTGATTTGGGCACGACTGCAGCTCCAATGACGATGATAGCGACGGCAGAGAGAATGAGAAAACGCATCTGGAAGGAGCGACGTTGAAAATAGAAAAACGGCAAATTTTGAAGAATGACTGGAAAACTAGAAAATTACCGAATCAATGCCATTGTTTTCTGCCTCACTCTGAAAATTTGCCCATTCGCGGGTTGGTCAAAAAAGCATGTTTAAAAAGTTGTTATGCACCTTTGAAGCTTTACCGTAATCCTCTCTCAATTGGTTCTCGATGAAATTTCTCTCTTTTTCGTCTTATTTGAGCTTTCAAAACATTCAGGTGCAATAATGAGCCGTCCATTTCGTCCGCTGTTTCCTGACAAGCAAGAGCGACAATCCGTTCCACTGCCAAAAAATCAAAATGTGCCAAATTGTCTATCCATAATCACGCCGCCGACTCAAAAAGTAAACTGAATTCCTCAGGAAACTCCATTGCAATCTAATTGAAGAAAATTTTATTTCAAACGAGTTCGCATTAGATTACAAATGTTTCTAATTAGATTGCAAAATCTTCTAATTAGATTGCAAAATGCTGTTACTAGATTACAAACTCTTCTAATTAGATTGCAATCGAGTTCCCAGAGTCATCGCTATAGCCCCTCGGTGTTCGCTGACTCAAGCAAAAATTTCTGAAATAAGGCTTGAATAAGCAAACACAGAGGGGGCAAGAGCGGTAAATTGAGTATATTGTGCCGACTGGAAGCTCTTCAGAACGAACTTTTTCAGCCACTTGCTCCGTTCCCGGCTACAACTGAGTGGACAGATCGAGTTCCAGTCCCATTGACCGTAAATAAAACTGAGTGGACAGATCGGGCTCCGATGTGGACCAATCCGCCGGTTCGTGCTATGCCGTCGCAAGATGTCCGTCGCACCGGAATAGATCATCTTTCATTCAATTCACATACCTCGGTTTTTGACAATTCCAAAACTCGCTACGATTTAAGAGGACCACGAAGCCGGGAGCAAAAACCGCCGATGATGACGAATGCAGAGAGAAAGAGACAAGCTCAAGGCCGGAACCAAGCACAGAAGCAGCAATCGAGAACTGCTGTGCAGGATGCAAAGAAACATGGCAACCATAGGGGCCGCAGGAAGAGTCCAAGTGGATCAAGGAAAGGATTGAGAAAGCAAATGGAGGAGTGTATAGAAGTGAATGTTCGCACGATTCAGACGAGTAGCCAAACGCGGAATGCACAAGCTAATAAGCATCGAGTTCCGATAAGAGAGCACCACCCGAGAAGAGAAGTCGAGCAGCAGAAGGTCTTGCATGAAATGCACCACATTGAAACAGATGTGAGAGATGAGCACGAGATGGTCAAAACATTGGAGACTGTTACTGTGAAACAGGAACAAAAACAAGTGAGAAAAAGGCAACGAATGAATATGATCGCACTAACTTATTTACAGGTCTCAAAGACTACTCCATTCTCCGAAAAACAAGGGCTCCAGCCGTTGGGAACGGAATCGGGGCCACCAGAATCAAATGTTCCCACTCAAGAAATCAGGAAGGCAGAAATAAAAGACAGTCATGTCCAAATGAAGCTTCCAGAGCAAGTAATCACTCCGCCGAAGAATATCTTGAAACAGAATACAGAAAAGGTGATTGCTCAGAAAATAGATTTTCAAGCAGTTGTGCAGACGGGGTGTAGGCTCATTGGAAGTAGAAGGTTCCAGTCCGTGAGTGACAACATTGTTTCCGTGAAAAAAGTGCGTTTTCAGATTGAGAAAGATCTCGGAATAGGTCAAACATCACCTTCGCCGCGAGTAAACTCCCGTCACTTTTCTTATTCTCCATCCACTAAAAGTGCCCGTGCCACGAAACCGTCCTCTCATCCAAAAATTCAAAAGAGTGCCGTGAAAAGTCCAGCTACTCCGTCTCCGTCTCCAAAACCATTCGAACCCGAGGACTACGTGAGATCAGTCCGTTTTCAGTTTTCATACTCTTCTTTCTGCAGGATCATTTAAAACAAACCAATGAAGTCATCGCGAATATCCAGAAAAATCGAGAGGAAGAAGCACTCAAAAAGAGACATTTGATGTTCCTCCCTACCGCTTTCTACGATAATTCATTCATCGCAACAACCATTCGTGTAATTTTCCTCTTCCGTTTCGATATTTAGTACTTTCCTTTTTTCCAGGATCTTTACAGAAAGTTCAAAGTGTCCGATGTTGTTGTTCACTGCGACAAAGACGGAAAACGACTCGGCTCTGGAACTATGCTGGTTTTCCCAGAATTCCGTAATAAAGTGAGAGACTATTCTCAGGATAGTGACTGGAACGGTGAGCACTTAGATGAACTGATCGAATTAATTGATTGACTTCAGCCCTGAAATTGATTCGATTGTGTGAACGATCACTTGAAGAGCATTCCGAGACGAACATCGACCTTTTCTTCCAGTTCTCTCATACCTGGACAGACGAAGACATCAAGGTAAGAGACAGAACGGTCATGTCAGATTCCATTTTATTTGCAGGAAAAGATCGAGAAAGGTTTCCATGCCACCTTTTTCCAAATAATCTACGACGAGTACGGAAACCGTTCAAGCTATGCGATCGTCTGCATGCAGTACAAAAACGCACTTTTACTCGACAAAATGCTGTATTTGAACGGATCCAGTAGGCGGCAAGTGAAGTGCTCAGACGAAAACCAAATTACAGAGTTCGACGCTACCCACAGACTCAAGCTGTTCGAGATCGCTACACCTTCAGCACGACCTTCCAAGTAGTTGAGTTCTGATAGTTCTATTGTTATTGTAATAACTTCTCTGAAACCCCGTTCGTTTCAAATAAAGTTCCACGTTTCTATTTCCTCTAGAACACTGGTCACAAGTGAATATGGGGAAGTTTTCCCTCATTTCATCACATTCAAAGTCTACTCGGAAAACAACTAAGACTAAATGGTGAGTGGTTGTCTCGGATGCTCGGATGCAACCGCTTCCAGCAGTTCCCCTACTCGTGGTTCTCTTCTGCCGTCTCGTCCTCTTTTCTGCCCGTCCATCTGCTCGGTATCTTTTACGTCTTCGTCGCGTTCAACTTCCGGCCGTCGCACAATTCTGACCGATCCTACCTCAAATACTGGTCCGTTTCGTTTTCCGTGTTTCCGTCCAATCAGTCACCCGTTCAGGTATCACTGCAATTGTCTCTTCCAGCTGAGTCTCGCCCTTCTCATGCTTCCGGAGATCCTGATCAGTCTGTTCAGTGGATGGCACTATTCCGTCTGTCATTCCGGTGCCCTTTACACAGGTATCTTCCCTTCTTCTCGCGTTCTCTTTTGTCCTTCTCTATCTTCTTCTTCAGGCGCTTTCTCCGGAAGTGTCGTCTTCCTCTGGACGTTCACCAAAGTGTCGGATCTGTTCGAAACGATGCTCCTCCTGTTCGACGGCCGCCGTCCGCTCACCCTTCACATCGTCCATCACTTCCTTTCTCTCTCCTACGCATTCACCTATTACTCTCTGAACTTTGCCATTCACAGGTGCCCTTCCCTCCTCTTTCTCTTCATTTTTCATTTCCTTTTCTTCCAGATGGATCGTTTTCTTCAACCTGTCAGCCCATGTCATTCTCTATGCTTATTTGTCCGGCTTCAAGATCCTTCAGAGATGGACTCCGTGCTGGGTGGCCGTGTGCTCTTCCCAAATGCTCCAACTTATTCTCCCGCTCATCGTCTCTCTTTCGGTGGCCGCCAAAATGGCGCGTGGATCACAGTGTGATGCGAATGCGCTTGGAATATTCGCTATCCAAATCGGTCTCTCCGCTCTCATCATAATTTTCGCCGACTTTTATTGGTCACGTCTCCTGGAGTTCCGTCGGAAGAATCTGAGAAAGAATCAAGAAGATCAAGATGAAGGATCGAAGAGTCCGGAAGTGGAATTGCCGAAACAAAGAGAGAGGTGAGAGCATCATGAGTTAAGGAATATGTTACTTTTTTTTCAGAAGGAGACCAACCGACGAGACCGTAATCTTCGAGAACGACTTCCCCGACTTGCGTTCCGTCATTTTCTCCCCATAAACTAACTTTTAAGAATTGAAATAAAGAAACATAGTTGACAAATTCGTAAACTGAGAGTTTTGTCAGATTGACACTAGAAGGATGACACTAGGGCATACAAAAATACTGGGGAATCAAATAAATGGGGTGAATGGGGATAGAATTGATTAAACTGGATGTCTCAGATGGCCTCCACCATCTTTTTCAGCTCGTCCAAGTCGAAACTCTCGTCGCGAGCGCATTCAATAAGCTTTTGGATCTTCGGATCGATCATCAGATTCGATGCGAACTTGTTGCTTTCCGCATACGCATTGCGAACCACCTGCTGATCAATTCCAGCAAGTTTGGCCGCGTAGAATCCGTACGACTTCGGACAGATTCCGGATTCGAGTTCGTACAAGAAAGTGACATCTTCCATCGTCGGATCCTCGTTGTTCTCTTTGTCGACGACACATTTCTGGAAAATAAAAAGTGAATTAAAGAGTGTGGCAACCAAGCCAAGCTACCATGTGAGCCAGTCTGACATTCGGATGATCGGTGAACGAATCACAGATCGAGTGATAGTGGGTGGAGAAGAAAGTGCGGCATCCGATCTCATCGGCCACGTTTTGCAAGACGGCTGAGGCAATGGCAGTTCCGTCGAACGTGCTCGTTCCTCGGCCGAGTTCATCAATGAGCAAAAGTGAATGGGCGGTCGCGTTCTTCAGCATGATGTCCGTTTCTTTCAATTCTATGAAGAACGTCGACTCTCCGCACATGATGCGGTCGTTCGCTCCGATTCGAGTGAAGATTCTGTCGATCGGAGAGAGACGCATGGAGACGGCGGGCACCATCGAACCCTGAGAGAACACGGATTAATCGGAAGAAAGAGGAAGGGGACTGACAATGTGAGCCAGAATTGCGAGAACGGCAGTCTGTCGCATCAACGTGGACTTTCCTCCCATGTTCGGTCCTGTCAACAGCATCACCGCCGCTTCCGACTCGCCCATCGTCGTGCTGTTTGCGATGAATGAAGTGGTTTGAGTGACTTCGTTTCGGGACTGAAGAGCGAGACACGGATGGACTCCTCGCTCGACTGCGATGAACGGTTTCGCGGCGGTGAAATCGAACTCCGGCATGCACATATCGAACGGAGAGGACTTGGAGAAAGTGGCAAGAGACACGAGGACGTCGAAGCAAGAAATGGATTTGACCGTCTCCAGCCAGATCGGGTTCTTCATTCCGAACTGCTCGAAGACTCGGCGCGTCGCATCGTCGCCCAGCTTGGCTTTCTCGCGCTCGGCCGCATCCAGAGAAGAGACGAGTTCTTCCGAATCGGGCGTTGAGTAGCGGATGAATCCCTTTCTGCGAGACTTCAATTCGAACGAAGATGAGACTTTCGTGTTTTCCGGCATTTCGAGAAGGTATTTCACTTTGCCCGAATCGACAAATTTGATCTGAATTAGAGATGATTTCGAGTTAGGACAAGGGGAATCCAACCGAGCAACTGTATTTCTTGGCCACCGTATCCTTGTACGAATTCAGCTCCTTCAGGCACTCTTTTACCCTCCTTGTCGCCGCATCGTACTCCTCGTCACAGCCCTCATTCGGCACAATCTTTCCGTCTTTCAACGCAATCGTTCTATCGAACATTTTCTAGAATACATTGATTACGTGTTGCGGAGCAACAATTCATACCTCGAAGTACAGAATATTCTCTTCGACCTCCTCCATCTGATCTTCCTTTCCGAGCAACTCGTCGAGCAGTTCGCATCCTTCTCCTTCTTGCTGCATCTTCATGTAATCTTTGCGGAGCTTGTTGCACAGTTTGAACCCATCGATGGCCGCCAGCAACTCTCCGATCTTTTTCTGATTTGTTTTCATCGAATCAAACATGATGGCGCGGCTGTCCGGATGTTTCTCAGCGCGATATTTCAGACCAATTGTGTGAATTCTGGAAATGTTTGATTGAGGGAGAATGTTTGAGGGAGAAATCAGGTTTTACTTCTGCAGTAGTCTATCCAGATCTGGAATCTTCTTCAAAGCGACAGTTGCTTTGTCAATGAACGACGTGGCATCAGATGACGACATCCATTTGATTGCATCCTGTCTGTGACGGAGCTTCACGGAATCACACGTCGGCTGGAGAAGCCAGGAACGGAGGAGACGGCGTCCGAACGGGGTGGAGCACTTGTTGATGACGTAGTAGAGAGAAGTCGAGTGGGAATCTCTTCCGTTCGGAACAATGTTCAAGTTCTCGAGAGCAGTTCCGTCCAGAATCAGATTCTTTCCACTCCAATCCATCTTCGCCTTTTCTTCGTTTTCGGACTTGATGCTGGTGGAGTCGTAAAGGGTCACATTGCGCATTGAGAGCATGTCGACGTCAATCAGACTGTCGCGCAGATACCAGACAATTGCGCCGAAAGCGGAGAAAGCGAGCTGATATTCTCTCGCCGCTTTCGGAAGAACACTCGATTCGTCGAGCATTCCTTTCAGAACAGCTGGCCATTCGGACGTATCTGAGCCGTAGTAGTCGTCTACAGATATGATTCGGACAACGTCATCAGCCGTAAGAAACTGCTTCTTGGCGAGAAGTTGCTCGCTGGGAACGGAGAACAGAATGCCGTTGAGAATGGCCTTCGTGGACGCAGAAGTGCAATTTCTCTCGGTGAGCGTCTGCACGACGATAACGTTGGCGAGGAGGGTGCGAAGTTGCGAACGGTAGTCATCGTCTTCGAATTGACCGATGCGAATGTGGGCGGTCGTGGTGTCGATCATACAGACTCCGTACGTCGACTTCCCCGTTTCCGAACACTGTAAATATGAAAATGTGCGATTGTGCTCTCTGATAATTGTCTCACATGCATCTCCTTGACAGCCAGCAAGTACTTCGCAGTTGGATCGAGAGTCGACGTCTCACTTCCCAAGTCGACTCCATCGAGTACTCCGTACGTCCTCGTTCCGTTCGACGTCACTCTGCACACTTCTCTCCGCACCACCTTGTCCTTGGCCTTCGTCTTCTGATTCCTCTCCTCGAGCATCTGCGGCGTCTCCGTCTGCTCGACACGTGCCACTTTGTACCCGTGATTCATCAGTTGATCAGCGAACTTAGAAGCGGCATGCTCGGGGAAGCCGGCGTGAGCGTACGAGCCTCGCATGAATGCGATGTTCAGTGCGCGAACTACTTCGACAGCGTCCATGTGGTACGTCTCGTAAAACTTGCCCACTTTGAACAGAATGATCGTATCAAAGTGCTGTGACTTGATCGTCCACCACTGCCGATGTCCCGGGGTCTGCTTCTGGTGGAAATCTGGCGGCACCCACAAAGTCTTCGGGTCGTACTCCGGATCGGAAGCCGGTCTTTTGTAAGCGTCGCGGATTTTCTCCGGTTTCAAGAATTCGAACGATTCGTGGTCGAATCTCTCCGACGTCTCCTCCTCTTTTTGTTTTCCGATCGCTCTCGACGACTTCTTCGTTCTCTCCCCCTCTCCTTCCATGATCTTCGTCATCTTCTCTTCGACGGCAGTCATCGAAACCTCGCCGATTTCGGCCATCTCTCTCTTCGATTTCCCAATCCCTGGAGTTCTCGACGTCTTCGGAGTGTCCTCTACTTGTTTTTTCTGTAATTTGTTTTCAATTTACTTCCCCCTTCCACTTCTCCAATTCTAACCGGAGTTTTCTGAACCTTCTTTCCTCGTTTCGGGGTGCTCTGTGGCGTGCTCTCGAACGTTTCTTCGCCTTCGTCACTCGCATTCTCATCGCTTTCCGACCCTTCCGATTCTGCATTCAACTCCTCCTCTTTCATCTCGTAATCTTCGTCTCCGCTGTCGTCCTCCGATTCAGAAGAAGACGAGACGACGACTTTCGCGCGTTTTGGAGTGTTCTTTGCAACTTTCACAGGCGAATTCTCACAGTTGATCGTTTGCGAGTTGCTTCTCTTAAGTACCTTCTTCTCCTCTGAAATAAGCAAAACCTTCTCATATTCTTCTTCGTTCTTCCTCTTACCATCCGCCTTTTTCATCTTTTTCTCAGTTTTCTCAATTCTCACTTTTTTTGCTTGGTTCTCTTCCGACTTTTCCTGTTTCGGAGTCTTCGAGAAGAACGACATTAGCGAGCTTTGCTTCGACATCTGCAATGATCAGTTGAGATGATGAAATGGAGAAAAGGAAAAGATAAAGAAAGCAATGCACTCCGTAGTCCTTCAGGAAACCACTATCAACGAGAGCTTGAAAAAGGGGAAGTAAACAAGGTTTTTCATTCTGACAGCTAAGAATAAACGACATAACAGATCTATTTAACAATTCATCGGCGGACATCATATCCCGCCTTCACATCGATTCTCGCCTTCTTATTCTGTGCCATCACTCGCCGCAAGTCACTCGCAAATGGATCCTTCTCGTCGTGACCTCTACAAAGTACACTATCAATAAGCAGTTCGATTTCTAGGCTTCATACGGGAAAAGATTGTCCACCCAAACGTTGATGATCGGAGTATTCGTGCGGACATCTGTTAGTGGAACTCCGAAAATTTTGGCTGCTTTCGCATTACCTGCCGCCTTTTTTATCTCTTTCAGCCATTTAGCATCGACACTCGTGCACCACGTGGAACATTCTGGCAAGTTATCAGAGAACATCGGAAGACTCGAAGAAGCCAGTTGCACGTTTTCCGCTTGGATTCTGTAGGAAAAAGGAATCAATGAGAAGGCGACGCATACGAACAATTCGACATCGATGGCAACAGCAGTCGACGCAGGAATTGAGAGAAGATCCGAGTCGGTCAGTTCTGAAAACTCAATTTTAACTCTTCAGTCTGTCTGACTCCCACTTTGTTTCTTCATTTCCGGTTCCTGTGAAGCCACAGTTGCCGACCGTCTCTTCGTTCCCGAAGACCCTTCGCGCGGACTTTTGTCGGTTTTCCGTTCCTTTGGAGTGCTCTTCTCATTCGGTTTGGCGGCTATTCCGCTGCTGTTCGCGTCGGGCGTCTCTTTCAGGGTCTCCGACTCTTCCGGCTTCTGTCTGACGATCCCGTTCTTCGCATCCACTTTTGCTGAAACTGATATATTTTCATTCGTTTCATTATTTTTCTGGTCACCTTGTTTCTTCTCCTCCTTGATCAGCTCGCAATGTTTGCAGTACGGAGTCGACGTTCTCCCGCTTTTCTTTTTCTTTTTTTCCGACTTCGTGCTATGGCAGTGGCCATGCTCTTCTTTTTTTCCCTCCTGCTGGCTCATTGTCTCCGCTGCCTTTTTGGATGGCTTCCGGGTTCTGTTCGATTTCTTAGATAACTCCGGATTCTCAGAGTTCGGAGTTTCACCCGGAGGATTCGCGCCGGAAGCCTTCAGAGGCGCTGGTTTTGTTTTCGGTGTTTCCGTCTGTTTTGTTGCAATTGCAGGGGAGGATTTCACAATCGGACTTAGACTGCTTGCAGCTATTTCAGTGTTCTCTGTGAGAATCTGTCCGTTTTCTGAGTTTTGTTGGACGGTTTTCTGTTTCCCTTTCGATGGAACTATTTTCGAATTGTTGAGATTCGGGGATTTGGCGGCCTTTTCAGTAATCTCTTTCTGAGGCAATTTCGGAGTTTCTAAACTAAGAAATTATGTACTAACCGGATTATTTTTTAAATACCAAGTTTTGGTACAGGATCTGATCTTTTTGGAGTTTCCACGGTTTTTGAACTTGGCGGACTTGCCGACTTTGGAACGTCTTCTCGTTTCAAAACGGGCAATTTCGGAGTTCCAGAACTCGATGGAACTGTAGTATTCGGAGCAGAAGTTCCCACTTTTGTCCGTCTTTTGATAGAGTCAGGTGCCTTTTGACCTTTAGGGAGCGGTTTAAGGAAGTCGGTTATTTTTGCTGAAAGTCGTAAATGTGACTATTTAAATAGATAATTTCAGCACACCATTTCGACCTTCTCTCTGTCCATTTTCGCTTCGAGTTATGATCGGCCTGTTCCCGGATCCCAATTCATCCTCAGCCACTTGAAACTGTGATGTTCTTGTTTTCACCTTTTGTTCCGAGCATTTCGGAGTTATTTTCCCAGATTTCATGAGACCCAGAGTGAGATGAGATCTTATGAGACTAGAGCTGGGCTGATTAGGCGTCGCACATTCAGTTTTGAACTGAAGTGGCTCTTTTTTCAGTGAGAGATGCTTCGGAGGAAGATGCGGAGTAGATTCACGGGTTTCTGGGAATTATTATAATTTTCATTCAACCCTAGCACTGTAACCTCTTTTAAGAGCGCTTGCTGACAGTAGGTTCTCAGTCGGAGCGGTCTCTCTTGAATCCCAAGGCATCTTCGGTTGTCTGGGTGGCAAAGGAGTGCTCTCTTCATCGTCATCGTCTTCTTCGTCTTCTTCGCTCGTTCCTTCCTCTTCATCACTCATTTCTTCATCGTCTGCGAACTCTCCACCTTCGCTTTCAGTCGCTTCTTCTGAAATTACTATTTGCTTTGATACATTCCGAAAAAGCGGAGTAACCATCGAAGAACGACGAGATTGTCGAGGATGTTGGATGCCTTCCACTTTCTTTTCTTCTGGAGGGACGACGCGCTTTCGGCTCATCCTCTACCTCTACGAAAACGTCATCATCCAGGTCTCTAAAAGAAAACAATGTTTATGAACTAGAAACAATAATGGTTTACTCTGAGAATCTGACTCGTCCTGAAGATCTTTCGGTGTACAGTGTAATATCTGTGAATTTCTTTGTCTTTCAGACCACAATTTTTTTTCTTTTCTCTCACCCTCACTACTCTCTCTGTTGGTTCTGCTTGTCGGTTCTTTTCTTGCGAATGCCTCCGATCTTCTCTGTTTCCGCCTGAACTTTTCATCCAACTCTCGACACTTTTTCAGTGCGTGACGGTCGCCATCAAATGAATCGATGGAGTTGCGCGGGGCGGAAATGAGACTTTTTCCGAATTGAGTGTCATTTCGGTACATTCTATTGATGAACGACTGCTGATGGCATCCAGCCATTGTTTCTGGGAAATAGAAATTGCCGTGGCAATCCACCTGAAAATGCGGACTTCTCCAGACAAAACTCGATTAGAACCGACCTCCACCTGAGTCTCTGGCAACCCCTTTCTTTCCTTTTCTGCGTACTTTTCCTCAATTCGTCGTATGTTGAACATGAACCTCTGTTGCGCCTTATCGAGTCCGCCTTTCAGGAAAACAGTCTCTTTGCGTACTGGTTCGATTTTCTCCTTTTTTACGTTTTCGGGAAACGGTTCTTCGTCGTAATCACTCGAGCTTTGTGCAGAACTGGGACATCTTAGCCGTCTCTCCTCACGAAGCCGTCGCATTTTCCGAATCTGTTGAGACTTTTCCTCGCGTAAATACTCAAGTTCCCGCTCTAATCGTGCCACCTCGTCGTCGTCCAAAATGCTCTAAGATTGATTAATTTTAATAACTTTCATGGAGAACGGGTACGTACCTCATCTTCTTTATCTGTCTCCATCCGCCTATATAAGACTTTCCGCACGGGATTTGCCTTGATGCGTGGCATTTTCTAGAAAAAAAAATCTTACTTGGTCGATAAATAACAGTAGTTTTGATTGAACGCTTTAAAAATAATTTCTGCCGCGGCCGCCTATGGGGTTATTCAGCGTATGTTTGTTTTCCGTTATTTTGCATCGCTGAATTGGGTTTTTTACCAAAAAAAACCGAACATGAATTAATTCGAATTAATTCAGCGATGTAAAGAAACGAAAAAAACGGAAAACAAACATACGCTGAATAGCCCCATAACCCCACTAGAAATTTAAACTTTGAAAACTCCAACTTTCCCGCATTGTCGTAAAATTCGATGTGAAGTACGTGGTAACATCACGACGTCAAACAGAGCGGGAGTTCGAATCCAGCGCGGAAAAATTAGGCTTCGCGAAGCTTTTCCATCATCTCTCGTTCTATTTTTGACTGAAGCTTTGTTTGAAAACTGATCAGATCGTTTTAACTGACTTTTCTAATTTTTTCTCATTTCAAGGTTAAATGAGGCTGGTTCCAAAGAGCCAATGCACCGGGGATAATCAGTTTCAAGACTTAATTCAAGATGTTACAAGTTATGTGTACAAATACGTCGATCTCATCAATGAATTACAAGAAGAAGTAGCTAAGCTGTTTATCGAAGAATACGGCGTTCAAGGACCGATCGACTTGAATTCAGTACCCAAAATTGCCCGAATCATGTCAAAATTCGCAACTTGTGAAAACTTTCGCAGAATCAAACATTATCCAAAGAGAATGCAGGTGTGTTCTTTGTTTTGTTCAGCCTTTCTCAATTATATTCTAGATGCTATTCAGTAGATGGCAAAAAGCTCGCAAAGAAGTGATGGAGTGCGGAAAGAGTCAAAGAAAGGAACTCTCGGTGATCCCGTCTAAACTCTCTTTCTACTATTTCTACAACGGAGAACTGTGCAAAGCGGTCGTCTGTCTTCTGGATTATGTGGAACTCGTTCAAGAAGACACTCTGGCGATGGAAGCTGCCATTCGTTGGATGATATTTCTCGGCGAAACCGAATTGGCTGAAAAAAAGATTAAAAAGTGGAAAATCGACGTCAGCTCAAAAGAATTAGTCGAGGCGACAAAACTCGGAATAGGATACATTAAAGCGAAGGAATTGCGAGAGGAAAACATGAAAAAACTAATCACTTTGCGAGACAAAGTCCGGCAGGATAACGTCCGATCGTTCCCAGGATACGAACTTTCATCCTACTTGCATTGGATCTGCTCAACTCTGAGCAACGTCCCTGTCACCTGGAATCTCGAAGGAATTGAGGTGAAGAGCTCGTTCTTTGCAAATTCTATTTTTCTTTTCAGTTCCCAGACCGTCTCTCACAACTTCAAGAGGCAACTGCAAAAGCCGATGCGATAATCAGAAATCGTGTTCCGGGTCTCGCCACATATCAGTTCGACAATTCGGTCAGCGCGTCCATTTGGCCGTTCCTCGAAGGAAAACATCACGGAACCCCGACGGAATACGGTTTATTATCTGCTTTTTTCCTTGGTTACTTCCTTTTTTGCCATTTCAGTTCATCTGGGCAGTGCAATCGCGTGGCACTTTGAAATGCGTCGAGAGTGGGCACTTGTAAACATCTCGACGGCACAGGGTCGTGATTCCGTGTCAGCAATGATTTTGAATCTTCGAACGGCTCTCAAATCGGTCTCGCTCTTCCGCATCATCCAAGCGGCTAATGGAATGGCCTACTACACGTCGGTTGTCGGGGAACCAGGATCCGACGAGAAGCTGAAGATCATGAAAGCCTCGTGTCTCAACTTGTGCTCCACTCAGCCGATCATTGTGCACTGCAGTACTCCGATAAAAAACAACGTTCCTTCGAGAGCTCAAACGCCGTGTTTCGGACGGAAAAGTGCGCCGCCCGTGGAGTGCGACACGCTCGTACAAGAAATCACCGACCAGATGGCCGAGCTCGAGCTGTAAGCGAAGAGTTCTCCTTCAGTTCACCGTTTTTCGCTTTCAGGATCAGTGAGCAGCCGTTCCATCCCATCACGAGTTCGTGCGAATGCGCCGTCTGTTTGCAGTATCAGACGAGCAGCACTTTCGCTGCCGAATATCAGTTTGCCTACAGTATTTACTCGGATTTTTCCCAGGAAACTATTAAGCAATTCAATGCTGAGTTTATGAAGATTCGCGAGAGAGATATGATGTGCCAAGCACTGATGCATCGGGATAGTTCGGTGAGACCGGTATGTTCAGAAATACTTGAAAAACAAGAAACGGACTCAATTTCAGAGACCAAATGTGATTCAGAATGAGGTGTTCGGATTGTGTGTAATTCAGTGGCTGATCCGGAAGATCGATGCGAAGAAGCCGGCCGATGAAGATAGTCTCGAAATATTCAAAAATGCTCTGAAGATTGTCAAGTATCTCCCTGGCCGTCATGCCGATCTCTTCCTCGCCGTCGCACAATTAGGTCGCCAACTAGAATTCCCGCAAGACTTCAACTACAGCTGGATGCAGCCTGTTGTCAGAAAACCACTCGTCAAAGTAGGACTTCTGAATGCGGTACATCACCTTTGTCTGATATGGTAAACCACTTTTCAAATGCAGGTTGACCTGTTCCGTGCTGTCTCTCCGTTTGGCCGTCGTGAAAAGTCTGCTGCCGAAGAGAGTAAACCTGTCAATGAGCAGCGATTCGAAGCTGCCAAACTGGCGATGCGAGATGAAATGCGTCGATACGGCCATGTTCTTTATCGGTGAGAGCATACCTCTTCCTCCTTCTTTATGTTTATTTCTTTAAGAGAATGGCGTTGCCGGATGTTCCCGTACATCGGACGAACTTCAGACAATCCGTGGGAAGCCGCTTACGCTTGGGCTGAATCGACGTCGATCGGATCCCGAAACGCAGTTCAGTCAAGACTTGAGAGGTGCCGAAAAGGACTGGTCACGATATCCGGACCGAATAGATTCAAAAAGTGCGTGGAAGCGATGCCGGACGACATGACACTGGTGCAAGTAGCGATGGCCGACAACAAGCAGATCTACCTGATCAAGTTGCATGCGGACCGCGAACCGATCATCATGCCGCTGGCCCATTTCTCCCAAGCAGTGGAACTCATGGACAAGTTCACTTTTCTATTGGAAGAGGACGAGCGAATTGCGAAGTATCCGGGTGAAATGTCTCCGGACGACTTCTGGAAAAAACGAAAGGCTGTTGACAACCGGATGATGCTGTTTGTCGAAGAGGTGCAGAAGAACTTCTTGGACGTGGCAGCGAGTCTGCTGATGCCGTCCGGAAGGCTGGGACCTGCGGCGACCGAACTTGCCGGAAAGCTTCATAGACTTTCGAAAGGAGGACTCCACTACGGAGAAGCAAAGGTGAGAAAATTCTAGGTTGCTGGCAATATAAAACACTTCTGCAGGAATTGGTTTACCTTTCCCGCTTGATGGACCCAAAGTCATGGGAAAAGCTGTGCCTCCGTTTCTGTGAGATGCGTACCAAAGATCCAAAGTTTGCCGAGTACCTGCCGTCATATCATTCGACGTGTCTCGATACATTGGACGAGGACAAGAAGAATAATAAGTCAGAGCCGGAATCAAGCAAGAAATACACGTACCTCGTCATCTGCCCAGTCAGTGGTTCTGTCTTCCCATGTGTTAACATTTCCTTTGTTCCAGCACTTGTCCCAGTTCTGTTGGGAACGTCTCCCGATCTTCCATGACTTCCCATATGTTGGGCGTCAAGTGTCGATACATTCTACTTTCAGTCAACTTGAAGCAATGAGAAACCAAGAGAAACAGGTTTGTCACCTGATTGCACCCTCACTCACACAATTTTCTCATTCAGATACCTCTTCAAATCGATGTACAGAACGCGTATTACGTGCTCGATCCCGAGAACAATCTCGGAGAAACGAAGCGAAGAATGCTCGAATACATTACCAAGTTCAGCACGTGGCAAGGAACGGTCGGAGCTGCTCCGAATTCTTCCGAGATCACAACGGCGCTCGCTAAATACGATGCATTCTTGTAAGTTTTGAGGCGTTTACTCGTGCAAAATCAGTTTGTCTGCAGCTATTTCGGACACGGATCAGGTTCTTCGGTGATGCCAAGGTCTGTTATCAAACACTCCACGTGCAATGCAATCAGTATGTTGATGGGATGTGGAAGGTAGATCATGCGAGTTTGATCGCTTGGTATTCGGAGTCATTTCAGCGTTCGCACTGTTCCACAAGCTCACGGCTTCGACGGAAAGTCTGCACTTCTAGACTACGCAATGGCAAAGTGTCCTCTGATTGTCGGCTGCCTCTGGACAGTGACTGACGGAGAAATCGATCGGTTCCTGATGCGAATGGTCGACGACTGCTTCGAAAAGACGCGAACTGCGACAGGAGTTGACAAGCTGCGTCAGTTGTCCGAAGCCATGTACGAGGCCCGCTCGAAGGCGAAGCTCAAGTATTTGACTGGCGCGGCCGTGGTCATGTACGGTTTGCCTGTTGTCTCCAAACAGAAGGAAGTTTCCAAAAAAGAGAATCTGCCGATTGAAGAGGATCGAGAATTGGTGGAGATTGCGACTCCAAAACGGTTAGCACAAACGCCGAAAACGGAGCGTGTTCTGAAGAAATCACAGCAAACTGAGGTAATCCCACAGACTTCGATGCATGCCGAATCTGCGTTGAAATCGGAAAGAATCAATGAGGCTGTTCCGAAGACACCAAAGCAATCAGAACACGTTCTCAAGACATCAGAGGAAGCGGAAAACATCCCGAAAACTCCGAAGCAGTCAAAAGTGGCCTCCAAAATTCAGAAAACCAACGAAGTTATTCCGAAAACTCCGAGACAATCCTCTTCGGCGTCGAAACTGCCGAAACAAGTTGATCTGAATCCGCGGACGCCACCGTGCCTGGCCGCTCCGAAAACACCGAGAGCCACGACGAGAAGTACTTTGAAGGCGGTCATTCCGACAGAAGACGAACTGGAGAAAAGCAGCGGAAGATCGATGAGAACTCGTTCTTCAGCGAGAACTCCTTCGAGATCTCGCCAAACTTGAGTTCAAACATGTAGCTTCTATCTTTTGTTTAATTCTAAATACCGGTCTTTCTGGCGTGTAAATTTATAATTCCTTCTGGTCAGCTAGCAAATAATTCTTGTCAAATAAATGGATGCTTTCAATTCAGCTGATGTTTATAGTCTACTTGATCGAGGAGGTTCCTGGAGAAGTAGTCGGTGACCGGTTTCACAGTTTCACGAATTCATAAAGGAGGGAGGACTGAAATTGAATCAATTTCTATTCGCCTCCTCTTCTTTCCTCACCACAATGGTTCTTTCGGACTGTATAGAAGCAGATGAGTGAGACGGCGATGAGCACGATGAGAATGATGGAGACGAGCGGTGCGAAGCCGCTGACCAGAAAGTTGACGATGGTGTCCTGGCCGACCGAACAGACTCGTTCGTCCCGCCCGTACGGACAGTTCGGACGGCCGTTGCACGCCAGCGATTTGGGCACGCAATTCTCATCGCCGCACGCAAAAAGGCCCACTTGGGTACAGTTTTTCACTGAAAATGCGAATTAGTGAGTGAAGAAGAACGGAGCAATACTTCGAGTGTACGAAGAAAAGAGGGCTGATATGGAAGTGGAGTTGAGGCTGCGAACATCGGAAAGATAGAAGCGTACGAACATTTCATTCGAAGGCGAGAACACGTCGTTGGCGGTGAGCCCGCAGAATCTGAACAAGAAGAAGAACTGATCGAGAAGAAGAGTTGGAAGGGGAACTGACCGTCTGAGGGGTTTATCGGAAGTGTCTCCGGAATACACTTCCACGAAATTATGAGCACACTGATTGGGAGCCTTCAGAGCAAACTCTTTCACATAAAAAGCGATGCGGAAGTTGGCGGGGACTGCGAGACGCCACACACAATCCAGAGTTCCAGAGGCGTTCCGAGGGAGGTTCGCGATGAGGTCTTTGGTGCGGATGAAACCGTCCAAGCCATTCAGATATTCCAGAAGGCATTCTGAAATAGACCAATTTGGAAAAGCATATGGTTCATCAGATTTGGTATTAGGGCATTTGATTGAAGTTTCTGCTTTTTAAGATTAGAGTTATATTGAAACGAGACCGGAAGTGTCCGAGATTCCGCAAAAAGTAGGCCAAAAGTCCAGGTCTAGAAAAGGCTCGAGGAAAGAAGCCGTTACCGTGGTTGTTGAACCGTCCGGTCTTGCTCGGAACAATGGCGTACTCGGCGGAGAATCCTTGGTACTCGAGCATCGCGTCCGAGCGGAAACGAATCCAGAGGAAGCCTGCATTTCAGATTTTCATTGCCTTTTCTCTCTCTCTCTCTCTCTCTCTCTCTCTCTCTCTCTCTTTCTCTCTCTCTCTCTCTTTGCCACCTGAAACCGCGCGAATCTCTCTCTTCGGCATTAGATCTCCGCAGAAACGGCCAATGAGCGGCGAGAAACCGTACCGTCCATCTCGGAATTCCTGCAAACAGTTCACATTTTCACAGTTGTCCGCTTTGCGAACGCACAATGAAATCGTTGGGACACTCTTCTCCAGCCTCTATTTTGTCGTACGTTGATTCGATCTGAAATGAGAAACGGGTCACGAAGAGTGTAATAAAAGAGATCCCCAAGGGGGCAAGCAAGAGAAGAAGAAAAAAATAGGAGCATACTTGGAATACGTGGTGGAATTTAACGATGACGTCGTGCTGAGGGCGAGAGTGAATGACTCGGACGCAGTCGACGTTCGGAGGATACCTGAAAGAAAAGGAACTGGACGGAAACCAGAGCTCATAAGGCCTTTTGCAGATTATCGAATGTTTTTCGAGGCCTGAACTCCAAATTTTAAACCAACTGGATCATTTACTCTCGATATGTGTGGATGGGACGCTGTAAAGGCAAACTCCGCAAAAACGCGGCCTTTCCGGCCTCAGACCACTATATCTCTAGAGTAAAAGATTCGTTCGATCCGTAACTTGGACCCAATATACTTTAACCCAGCCCTGAAGGAAACGCGAGAAAGATAACCTATCGGGGAAGTTGGGGGATGTGAAGATGTTAAAGTTCTGGAGTCCTATTCCTTTGATCGACATACACTGATCGAATTGCGGAGGAAGGTTGCCATTCGAAAGGGATACTGTAACATTCACTCCGTTTCCAATTTAGATTCCAATTCCAATTCAACTCACATAAGGCCAATACCGGCAGAAGGAATCGCATGAAGTGATAACATGCGCGAATGCTTGTTTGGCAATTCGACAGCTATTTGGATAATTGAGTCTGGAAAAATGGAAGGAAAGGATGGAGCAGAATGACAAAACAAGGGAAGTAATGAGTGAGGGAGAGGCGCCGACGGGCGGATTAGTGGGCTTCTGGAATCGACGATGAGCGGCGGATGAGTAATCGGAAAGGATCGGAGGGAGAAGAGCCGGAAGAGAAGGCGTGAAGGGTATGGTTATGAAGGTGTTCTCTGCTCGCTTTGCCCCTCCTTTCCCCTCTTTTTCGCCTCCTTCGGAATGCACAATGAAGGGGGGCGGAGGGTGACAGAAAAAGGAACGAAGAGTTTGGAAGGAGCAGAAAAAGTAGAAGCAGAAGAAGAAGAAGAAGAAGAAGGAGAAGAAGGATAAGTCGAGTTGAGCTTCGGAGAGAGATCAAGAGACGCAGAGCCCGGGCAAATTGAGTTTGCGAGGAGAATGGGCTCCAAATCGAGGGGACGGGAAGAGGAGCTGCTGCTCTGCCCGACGTTTTTGGCAGTAGATGAAGAATGGCCCATTAGGCGAATGGGACGGACGATTGGAAAAAGAAGAAGAAGAAGAAGAAGAGAAAGGTGGCAAGGGGGTGGCGGAAAGGAAGGAAATATCAAGGTTCAGTACTCGGATGCGCTTTCGAATGCACTTTGTGCAGCAGTCCAGACTTCAGAATGAGAATGCAAAGTGAATCACGGGGCTCCTCATAACCTTCACACTTTTTCTCGTTACGTATTCTATGCAAATCGAATCATAAACTTCTCTTTCTTTTACTTCCTTTTTCCGTTTTCTTTCTTCTTCTTGCTGAACTCGTTTTTTTTTTCAAAAATATTTTACTCGTAAGAAACAAGAAATTGTATAAAGAGTGATGTGAGTACGAGTGCTCGGAAGTGAATCTCGGCCGGACTATTAAGAGGCGACAATATCAGTCAAAATCTACAAAAATAAGTCAGACGTGGGGGATGGTTGGATTGTGGGAAGACGAAGAAGGAGAAGAAATGATTCATCAATGGGTTTATATATTCCAGATTTTACTTAGTTTTGTGGCTGTGCATTCACTGGCTGCTGCTGGAAATCGGCCGCTTCTTCCGGGAATTCGAGTTCCCAAATTCTCTTCAGATGCTTTCCTTTGACGTCGCGAGGAGTTCCGAAACCGGTCATTCCCTGGAAAAAACGAAGAAATGATTGAAAAGTGCAAACGGGTGGAAAAAAAGGGGGACAGGAGGCATCGCTACTACTACTAATCCGACGGTAAACACGGGGAATGAGGGGGAGACGGGCAATCAGTGATTATAACTGAACTCGCAACTCATTGACGCATCCCAACCGGTCTCATGCTTCCGAGCGCCGCTCCCCTAATCAACCATCACCTCCCGAGGGACCTCATAACCCAAACACACAAACGGGTTCTCTTTTTTGTTGATAACCAAGGACAAGGAACCACAAAGGAAGGACAAGAGACATTCTCAAAGCGAACAGAACCTTCTGACTCTCGTACTGATTAGTTCCGGACTGCAAACGGACGATGCCGTCGTGCGCCGAGTTGTCGGCCACTGCCCAGCGGGCTCCGTGCTCCGCGAACTCCACCTTCGTCTGCGTGTTTCGTGGCATTCCGAAGCCGGTCTTTCCCTGCAAACGAAGTGTCAGAACTGCACACTTACAGGTGTTAGTGAGGAAAGAAACGAGAGAGGTGGACAGACAAATTGACAGAACCGAAGAGGGGGGAAACCTTCTGAGACTCGAACTGATTCGTTCCCGATTGGAGTCGCACGATCGCGTCCGAATACTGCTTCTGTTCCTCGATCAACCATTGCTTGTCACGGTCGGCAAAGTCCACTTTGGTTTGCGTGTTGCGTGGCATTCCGAAGCCTGTTTTTCCCTGAAATACACATACACACGGAGACGTGGACACAGACAGGACAAATGGACAAGACACGACTACATAGAGTGACTTCTGACAGTGCTTGCACACATTACCTTAGTTGAAGGAAAGTTAGGGTGTGCAAGCACTACCAAACTGACTAAGTTGGGCCGATTGATACCGTAATCCCTCTCTCTCTCTCTCAAACTACAGTATCCCCTTGCCACTTTCAAAGTTCATTCGTCCTATTTCAAATGTCTCAATGATCCGATGCAATCTCTGATATCGGAAACGAATGATGAAATCTGCGGAGCCGCGTTTGTTTGGATTTCGAGATGAGCACTCTCTTTCTTTTCGCCCTCTTTCGCGCTCCCGTCAAAAGAGATCTCCGAGAGTTTACTGTTTTTTTTCTGTGAAAGCTCTCTTTTCTCTCGTTTTGCTCTCTTAGCACACACACACATATATCCGTGAAAGGTCGACTCACTCGCTGACTGTCGAACTGATTCGTTCCGGATTGCAATGGAACGATGGCGTCGGTCTGGCGGAGCTGACGGAGTGTCCATTTGCCTGAAAACTTGGAAATTGAGAGAGAACAAGTCTTTGCGGAATAAAGTTTTCATTCCATGAATTCTAGATGGATGGCAAGTATCCGATTTCTTCTCACAATCCCAAACTATACATGCATTCATTTGTTATTCCAGATATACTTCGCAATACGGAAAAGCTTTGAGAAGGAAAAGGAAAGAAATGGAGCATTTCTCAGAGTGGAACTCGATTTCAACACGAAAAGCGAATGCTTCCAAAACATTCGAAAGGATATCAAAACACAGCAAACATCCGTATCACTTTCCCCCCGTTGCCAGTACTCACCATCACGGGTTCTTCTCTCGAGAGACTCGGTGCTCGGAACCTCGACGGCGGCGATTTTGAGTCCAGCCTCTGAAATTATCCCTTCAGAAGAGACGCACATCCTTCGCGAGCTTACCTTGATTGGTCGGTGGCACTGGGGAAGCCATCTTCTTTGCAGTCGGAATAAGAGCAGGTGTGTGCTGCTCCCGAGACGGGGTTACTAACTGCTTTGCTTCGCTGCGTCGCCGCGCCGATACGAGAAACCTCCGACGGATGGGGGGCGGAGCCGGTGCGTGTGTTCGGTTCGCGCCGCTGCGTCTCCGGCAATCGCCGAGTGTCTCAGGAGGAGGAGGGCGAGGGCGCCCGGTTCGAGAATACACCCACAAGCACTTGTTTTATCGGGCAGACACAAAAAGTGAAAGAAGAAGAAAAAGAAGAGAGTTGGGAAGGAAGAGGGAGACCGTACCACAGGTGGGCGCTGCTGATTCATCGGTTCGTTTTTGCAGAAAGAAGAGCATGTTGGAGGCATGACGAAGTCAATTGGAAACATCTGGAGGCTCCGAAATGCCATTGAGTGTATGGAATGGAATGGCAGATGGATACTTCTGCTCTGCTCGTTTGAAGGGACGGGGCACATTGACACTTCCTGGTTCAACTGGAAAAGAACAAAAAGAATAGAAATAGTCAAGGTTGTGGTAAGTGATACTGTACGTGCACAGCTCGTGGGAAAGAGCGAATGTTCAGATTGCAGTGATGTTTGCTCAAAATGATCTGAAGGTCGGACACCAACGTGTAACCTATTTTTAGGTGTACTTTTCCTATGAAAATCCATGTATACGTTCTGAGTAATTACATTCCACTTTTCGGCACTCATCTCCCCCGTTTTTCCATGCATTTCGTACTGTGCTTGATTCTCGAATTCTCATTCCTCCTGTTTCCCTTTTTCAATCGAATTCATTGCAAATGTGCATGACATCACCATGGGATTTCCCCGTTTCTTTGGTTTTTTGTGTGTATGTTTCATGTCGAAAATCGAGGAGGCAACGGATCGGAGATCAAGAGCCCTGAGCCGGGGGAGGCGGAGGGACTCGACGTGTTTTGCCCCGTCATTCCAATCGGTTTCCCATCTGTTTTGTCGCCATTTCGACAACATCGGACCAACTGACGGCCCACACGTCAATTGGAAAGTGTGAGGTAACCGGAGGAACAAAAACAAAAGAAATAGGGACGGATTGCAAAACATTGGTGCTTAGTCAGCATCCAAAACATACAGGCAGCTTGACCTGGAAACGTGGGGCACCGGCTCGATGCCTCGTGGCACCGGTTACAAGTTGTTTGTTTGTTCTTCATTAGCCACTCGACGGACTGCCTCCTTCTCACATAACCTGCGGTAATTGGCGTGCCACCTCGGCTCTCATTCATCCACCTTTCTCGCGTACTGATATCAAATATCGATGCTCCAAACGTTTCGCGCCGTCGATGTCCCACAAAAACCAATTAAACGGGTGGAGTTTGGCTGTCGTTGAGCCGGCTCTTGCGCAAACACGCACAGAGTCTCTCGTGAAAAGATCCCCTATCCCTAGCACCACGCAATCCGAGCAATTTTTGAGAAGGACGAACTGTGAGGAGGCAATAGAGGCGGGACATTGAAAAGACGGAGAAAAATAGCTTTTGTATGTTGGTGATTACGATTATAATGAGGGGAAACAATGTCAAAGATCAAAATACCCGCATCTGAACATACTTAAAGGAGAGGGAAATGGACGTCGAGCTGGGGAACTGCGATACTTTTCAGCCCGTCGATCCGACCCATAAAATGCGAAGAGAGGGAGAAGTGCGATAAAACGTCTAGAAAAGGGATATTATACAAACTGGGGCAGGAGAGCTGAAGAAAAGGGGTAAAAAGAGCATGGTACACGAGTTGTTGGCGCTAGAAAATGTCATCTTCCTGATTGCTCCCCGAAGATGATGTCTGAAATATGAATCTCTTTATATCACAAGATTCCGTCGTAACTCGCCCTGCTGTCTCCACATAACTCCTTCAATAGGTCGGTTACTGTTGGCCTATTTTGCGTAAATCCGTTCTGCAGAAAGTAACGATGCGATAGTGCTCCTTTTGCAGTGAGACGGCGTTCCGGTGGATACCGAATGATCTCACGCAAGACATCAAGGCCATGGCCAGTCAGGTTGGACATCTCTTCCAGCTTGTTCAAATCGAAGGACCACTTTGGAAAGACGGCCTTGTAGTGCGGAAGTTCGACGACGCCTGGCCAATTCTGAAAAAAAACAGAAGGATCCTATTGGATTTTCATTTGACGATGAAGGATTACCCTGTCACTAGGCGTGCCTACAATCTCGAAAATCTTGAAAAGCTGAGATATCTCGCATTCTCCCGGAAACAGCGGCTTCGCGGACGCGATTTCTGCAAAGATACATCCGAGAGACCACATATCGAGTGACGTCGAGTAGCGTTGCGAGCCGAGAAGAATCTGAAATTACGAGAATTGATAAGTAGCAAAAAAGGTGGCAGATACCTCCGGTGGCCTGTACCAGAGAGTCACTACTTCGTGCGTGTAGTTGCGACTAGGGAATGAGAAACTTCTGAAAGAATAATGAAAAATGAGATACTACTAAAGCAATCTGTTGGCCACGAACCTGGCTAGCCCGAAATCTGCTATCTTGACAACTCCTGCGTCTGACACAAGGATATTCTGTGGTTTCAGATCCCGATGAACTATTCTCCGAAGATGACAATAGGACAGTGCGGAGAGTAATTGCCACATGAACGACTGCATCGAATAATCTTTTTTCTCTATTTCTGGAAACGAGCGACTCACTTTGACATAGTTTGAAGGCAGAACTCCGTGCGGTTCGACGATTTCCAGCAAATTTTTGAGATCTCGATCAATAAATTCAAATACCATATACAGTTTTCTGTCTGGAAAAGGAAAACATTGAGGCTACAACGTAATAGAACTCGCACGGAAAAGAACTGTTACGATACAGAACTCGCAACGTTAAAAAACAACTACGAGTTCTAGATATATCGTAACAGCTCTCTTCCGTGCAAGTTCTATTACATTGTAGCCTCAAAACTTTTTGAGATTAACTTAGGGCGAAAGTACTCACTTGCGTAGATGATATCGAATAGAGTGACAATGTTATCATGCTGTAAATCTTTTATGCACGAAATTTCGCGGAGACAAGTGCTTGGAATGCCTTCCTCGTCTCTGTCTGTTCTGATCATTTTGAGAGCACATTTGATGTTGTCCCGTACGTGGATCGCTTTGAAAACGACGCCGTACGTGCCTTCGCCGATTTGCCGCAAAGCCCGAAAACGACCCTGGAGGTCTCTTTCTGCAAAACAGTTCAGTTTGAGGAGGAGCGAAACAAGAAAACTCACCGGGGGCGACGTCCGACGGCATTTCGCGGTGTCGCCTGAAAGCTGTGGATTTTGATGACGAACGATTTTGAATTCCGTTTTCCCGCGCTACTTGCGATGCAGCGAAGACGCAGACTGTCAAACAAAGGGGTAAATGACACGGGCAGCAGGCTGGCTAGTGCTAATAACGACCATTTATGGCGGAGAGAACGGAGAGAAAGGGAGAGAAAGGCGAGGACGGTAAAAATGACATTGCAGAGGTTCAATGTGTCGAATGAAACAATTTTGAGTAGAACAAATATGCATAAGACAAAAGAGGTTAAAATAAGTGAAATAAGAAATTCCAAATCAAGATGAGCAGGATTTGTCTGGAACCTGTTTCGACTTCGATTAATTGATCCGGAGTCATCAAACGCGCTCTAATGTTAAATTTCTCTTACTCTCTGGCCATTTTGCAGTGTCTCGTATCAAAAAGTGCAAACTGGAACGAGTTCCTCGAAGATTTCAATTGAAAATGAAAGAGAAGAGATATATTGACGTTGAAATAGGTTCGACCCACAAAAAAGGAAATCCATAAATCTCGGCATCCAATTATTCTGTCTCTGTCTGCATTCGGAAATTCGCTATTAGCCGCCATACTCCCCTTCTTCAGATCGCTCACCAGATCTCCAGCTTCTTCTCTTTCTGCACTTTCTCTCCATTTCCAGATCGAAGCAAACCAGATGTCCTCGCTATTCTCCTTTCGTTTCGTCATGCGTTTCCTCGTAATTTGGCCTGATTTTATGGATTTTTTCCGTTACTTTACACACCGTCGGTTGGGAGAAAGGCGGGCTCTGGAGAACCCGAGATTTGAGCTTCTCGCACCAACTTGTAACACCTGATGAACGCATTTTTTGAGAGTATCTCTTCAATAAGACGAATGAGAGTGACCCTCTCGCGAGCTTCTCCAGATCACGAAGCGGCAGGGCGCGGTCAAACATCTTCCTGCCGCTGCTTCGGTCATTCGTTCCGTCGCGTCATTTGATTGATGCCAGCCCATATGCGTTCTGATCATTTTCCTGTTCTTTATTTCAGCGAACGACAGGCCGACTGCCGACGGTCCTCCATCGGATAGTTTGCGGGTGAGTTCATGCACTTGTCACCTTGCTCTGAGACGCTTTTCATCGGCCTCCCGAACCTTGGCCCCGGCAGTTAGCGGGTGCAGAAGTGGAGGAGCGGCAAGTGTAAGGAGGCGAAATTTATGGGGGAGGAACCTGGAAGATGGATAGAAGAACGGGTCGAACATCACTGGAACTTTTATGATTCCTTCTTTTCAGTCCGAATTCCTCCCATTCCTCACACTTCTCCTCTTCTTCTTCTTCCTTTTCTCAGTTCTCAGAATCCTTTGTTCTGTTCTTTGCACCTATCAGTTGACCAGCGCCAACTTTGCATGAGGTCTCACAGGATCTGGAAGAACTTTAAAAGGGAAAATAATGAAATGCGGATAATCAAGTTTTGGAATAACACAGTAATCCTTTTTGAGAAAAATCTTTCTCTAATTCTATTGGAACCTTTCGAAAGCGGTCTTTTCAGTTCAAAGCATAACCGTGCTTTGCTGCTCGCACTTCCTCATTCTCTCTGATCCATGATCGACAACTTGTCACCTCCCTCGCCCTTTCCACTTGTTCCCCTTGTGTGCTCTTCCCCTCAGACATTCTCCTTCGCCCGCGCACCTTCTGACTCATTCACGGACCGTCCATCCTCTGATCACTAATAAGTTGTCCAGTGTTTTGTCGCGCCGGGACCCTCTCCCCCGGCCGCTCCTCTGTTTTCTCCCCTCCAAACACTGTCTGCGTCTCCCTCGGCACTCACTGCCAACCTAAACACCTGACTCCTGATTTCTCCCCTTGTTGCACAATAGTCCTGAGTGGAGGAGGCTTCCGTCCTCTCTGCGCCTCTTCTCCTTCCGCACTCTTCTGACAGGATTCACAAGAATCGAGGAGCGGGAAGCGGACAGAGAGCCGTCGGAGAGCTCGGTGGACCGAGAGAAGCAGACGGCTCGGCTGATTTCAGAAACACCTACTGATATATTTAGTGTGTTCATTCATTCGTCTGATAGCCACTCCGCCCGTCGTCGTACATTATACACTCTTTTTTGTAATGTGACACCCCGATGAATGCCTCTGATTATCGCCGCGAAACGGCAAAAACGATCGCAAAGTGCGTGTATCCGAAAGAGTATTTTCCCTTTGCTTCTCTGATTTCCTCCAATCCATCAGCTGTCATAAGAATTTGGAGATGATGACAATGTGAACAGTTGCGAAACGAAATGCGATGATTACTGTAATTAGAAGACCTCACTTGCGTTCCACTCTGAAATCATCCTCATTTTAATTTAATTATAGAAGCCATTTCGTTGATAGCCATCTGATCGGAAGTGTCGGCAATTTATGTCATGAGAGTGTGACAATCCCATTGAAAATTCGAAATTGCCTTTTCGCCCCTTTAGTAACTATTCATTTGAGACATGGAAATTTGACAGAACGATTCAAAAATGCCATGAGGAGTCCAATATTCTGAGTTTTCTACATTTTGGCATATCTGTGTTTGCGTATTTATTTCTACGGGTTTCAAATTTTCTACGGGATTGTCACACTCTCTATGTCATCGGCAGTTACAGTATTGGTTCGTTTCCTCCCTATTTCCCAATTCTTTCCCACGCTAACCTCTTTCTCTTCCTCTTCTTCTTATGAGATCCCATTATTTTACTCGGAAGAGATTTACTTTCCATCAAAACAAACATCTGCTCGGCTCCTGAGCCACTTGGTGACACTGATGGGACCACTCATTGACTATCCGAAGAACTGCCAGTGCTTCCAGTTAACTCTGAGAATCTGCAGCCCCCTCCGTTTTTCCCTGTCTGTTCTGACCCACTCAACCGATCTCCAACCTTTTCCCCCACTCGTTTTCTTTAAATTGTAATCGCGATCCGCCCACGGATATTTGCTTTCCCTCTACTGCCGTTCAGTGCACCGTCAAAGAATGAAAAGATCGGCGGAATGAGTTGACAGTTCCAAACGTTTTCCCTTTTTTCCACTCATTCACTACATTTTCCATTTCAATTCATTTCATTGCAGATTTTGATCTTCAATCAATCATCTTTGGATCTTTCGAACTTGTTATTTCTGTAGAATATGTCTATTTATCAAAAGAGGTCAGCTAAATTTATTCTAATGAAAACAAAGGATGTATTAAGATGGTCTTCTGTCGGCAGTGGAGCCACTCCGTCATCCACAATCACCAGAAGCACACCCACCGCCACGAACGTTCTATCGAGTGGAGTCGAGCCATCGACAGTCGGCACCAGGTCAGTTATCTTTTTCTTCTTCTTCTTCTTCTCCTTCTTCTTCTTATTTTGATCGTTTCCGATTGCAGCTGGAACTCGGTGCGATGGAACAAGCCTTCGACGTCCTACCGAGCCAGCGTCGCCTCCCGATTCCAGAACAACTCGACGGCGGGCAATTCGAGCAGCAGTTACACTCCGCAGAGGTCGTCGAGGTGCGGTCCCTTGTCTCACATGTTGTCCGTCCCACCCTCACATTCTGCCTATTCATAATGTTTTGATAGTCGCCTTCGAAATAAAAATCGGCTGCGAAAGCTGCTCTGCGGCGGCGGCGGTGCCATCACCACCAGAACCACCACCGCCGTCCCCGGTGTAACATTCTGCCGGTTCGGGCCAAGAACCACATGGTCCCGAAACGTGGCGGACGGAAAGATTCAGTATTCTGGAGAGACGCAGAATCCAGAAGAAACGAGAGCCAATTCGTGTTTTTGTCAGCGAAAATCATTTTCCGTCCTTTCGAAGTGCTCCGCGTACATTTCCTGCCTGGAGGTGTTCCACACAAACATTTCCCATTTTCAGATTCTCGAGTGTGGCCGCGAAGAATGCTGCCGACGTTGCCAGGTGTGTTCCGAACTGTTACCACTAGAAGGTACGTCTTTTTTTCAGCATTGGACCGTCGGTAAGTGTTCGGGCATCACGATTCGATTCGTCGAATATGGCAAACAAGGAAAAGTACAGAAGCGAAGTGAGTCGATTGGGAAAAAAAGAAAATAAAAAGTGATGTTTGTCGTTTAGGCACGAGAACTTATCAACAAGTGGTCTAGTCGCGAACGGAACACTAACAGTAAGTGGGAATCTGATCGATGAGCAAAAGGAAAAAGCGTTGAGCTTTTTAGAGCTGTAAAATAGATAGAATAGATGTTTTTCGGGAGTCTGCAGGTGTGAAATATGCACACGTTACACCGGAATGGCTCCATCTTTCATGACTCTTACGCTGTTTGTGATGGGATCAGATCAACTTTACAATCGGCTCTTCGAGCATGAAAGCCCTCAATTATCTTGCGGGACTCCTGTCTACCTCTCCATTTCAGTCGCCAACACATATCGATCTCCAGCCACCCGGACAACTTTCCGATCTTCCGATTCCTTGGCCACTCCAGGAGCTGTCGGCTCTTCGAGTTCTGCTTATTCCAACACGGCATATCGAACATCCACATCCCTGACGCCCACTCGCCCAGTCATCACTCCGTCTTCCATCACATCTCGGTACTCGGCAGATCGGAAGAGCGTCCTCTCCCCGTCTCCGACTCCCATTCTACAGTAATTCTTCCCGTGTCCCTTTCCTACCCAATCTTGACTTTTCCAGCACGACGCCAAAAGCGGAGCGTCCGTGGCGACAGCGAATGGCCGAATCGTCGCGCATCCGATCGACTCTCGGCGACGACGTGAGTGAGGCGTACACGGCTCGCCGAGCCCGGCACGCTTCGTCGCGTCGCAGCTCGCTTTCGCAGGACGAGCTCTCCTCTTACGAGTCGACTCGTGTGCCTAGTTATAGTGCATTAGTTCAGCAGCCCCACTCGGTTAGTGTGCCCTTATTAGTTCCGTCGAGTAACACGTCTTCGCTTTTCAAATGAAACTTCCCTTAGTTGCACTCCTACTCGTGTTCAGCTACCACCAACTAACGTCTAACTAATGAGTTTCGGTAAAAATTTCAACCTTTTAACTTGCAGTATCGATCCAGACAGAGTTCGGTGGAAAGTTCAGTGTTTACTCCTTCCACGAGATTCACAACTTCGTCTTATGTACCGTATTCTCTTCGAAACCGAACGGAAGATCCGACGCCGACGACGACGACGACAACGCGAAACAGCGTGCTTGATAGAAGCACGTCTAGGTCGGGCATTCTCATCTTTACGGCAATAATGTCAATGACTATTAAGATCGAAATCTCCAACAAGGGACAATTTGCCAACACGAACCTCATCACAGGCTCTCAAAAATCCTTCGATTCGAGAATCGAGCAAGAAAAGAGACGCGGAAAAGCAGAGAAAACGAAGTGTGAAAGAAAGAAGTAAGTGAATGGGGCCATTAGAGAATTCAAACGAAGCACGCTTCCAGCAGCACGTCGGACTTCTCGACAGAACAGTCAGCAGGACAGCTCATCGGACGAGGAGATCAACCGATTAATGAGAAGTCGTTCGGGATCGCAAGTGAGGAGAAAACCGAGGAAGAAGAGTCAGGTGGAGACGGAGAAACTGGTGGTTGTGCAGCAGAAAGAGACTGTAATGGTGGGGGATCCGGACGGTCCGAATGCAATAGAAGAAAAGGCACGTTTCAGAACAAGTCGATGCAGTCGTCGATGTACGAGACGGGTCAGGAGGACGGCGCCCTTATCCAGTCTCTCTCTTCGCAGATAACAGAGTCCCTTACTGCGTTGGCAGTGGCTGCCGAGAGCGAAGGATTCCAATCGTGCGCGGCGTCTCCGCTTGCTCCGTCCGTCTCGAGGAGCAGTTCGAAGAATGGGGTGGTCAAGAATCAGATTATCAGTGAGTACGCACTTCTTTTCTCTCTTCATCTCTATTCCTTTCAGAGTCACCATCCCTGGTGGAAGTTCTGGGATTGCCACGTAGTGACTCAAAAACTAGTCTCAAGGTAAGTTTTCATTTCCGTTTTCCCTCTTTTTCCTTTCGAACTCACATAGCTAGTAGTAGTGGTTTGGTTCAGTTGAACGATCAAGTCGAGGAAGAGTCGCACAATGAACAACTAACCAACGACGTAGACGACTTCGAGGTAGTTCCCTTCTCTTCTTTCCGCGTGATTCTTCCGTCTTCCCTGTGTTCTTCTCCTCACGTTCTCCCTTCATTTCTAATCCTTTCCTTTTCCCAGCCATCTGAATCTTCCCGCATTGACGATGAGTCCCAGTACAGTGCCGTCGCTCATTTCAAACCTAATAAGGTATTCCGAACCGTCCGTTCTCTTTTTTACACACCTTGAAATATTTAATTAATCCGTTGCAGGTGAAGAGACTTGCTCCAGTACCCGGATTGTGGAAGTCGGGAGCCGAGAACGAAGAGTTCATTTCAAGAAACAAACGATTCGCAAAGTCGGTATCCACTAGTGTAGAAAGTTGCATGCGTTTGTGAGTACCCCGTACCACTCCGAATCGGCCTTGATCGCAAACATTTTCAAGCCAATTCGGAACCAGTTAGCATCAGAAAGTGGCCCTAGTTTCCGACTTTTCCACTTCTTCAGTTAACACTTTGTTACTCTCATTCTATCCGATTCCCTCTCTCCCTCAAGTTCGTTCTGTTCCCTCTCATTTTGATGAATTTCCAGAGAAAGTCAACACGGGGAGGTTGATATCGTGATGAAGGAAACAAGAGCGGAACAAGTGACGAAGCAACTGAAGGCGTCAGAGAAGAAGAAGCCGGTGGTGCTGAAAACGAAAGTGGAGCCAAAGTGCGAACCAGTGAAACAAGCAGACAAAAAGAAGGAAATCACTTCTCCGACGACGAAAACGGCAGCTAATCAGAAGGAGCCGTTGGCCGTGAAACCATCCGTTCAGAAGAAGGATGCCATTGCGACTACTCCAGTTCAAGCTAAACCAGCTCCTTCGGCCCCCGCAATTGCGCTATCTTCTAAAGTTCCAGTTGAGAAACCAAAAGAGGCAGTCAAACCAAAACCAGTAACTGTGAACGAAAAAGAGAAAGCGAGTGCTCCGACTGCTGCTCAGACCACCCCATTGTCACCGAAAATAGCAGCAGCTTCGAAGGTCGTTCCTGAAAAGGTTGCGAAACCAGTTGCGAGGGTGGTACCGGAGAAAGTGAAGGTTACTCCGGAAGAAACACCGAAGACGCAGACTGAGAAACCGAACGAAATTCTGGTTCCGGTGGTTGAAACGCCGAAAGAGACGGCTCTAAAACCCGGTGTGGAGAAGAAGAGAGTGGTGAGTTCCTGTGAATTTAGTAGTTTACAATTTGGAATGTTCAGTTGCTGAAAAAGAAGAGGATTGTTCCGATCGATGATGAGAAGAAAGGGGAAGCTCCAAAGCCGAAAGCTCTGAGTGAACAGAGCACGGAGATATCGAAGGTGTTCTCGAGAAAGGCATGGGGAGCTCAGAAGACTGAGAAAGTTATAAAAATGAGGAATGAGCTGAAAGGAAGTCTCCGGTGTAAAGCAGCGGGAAATGAGAAGGTGGAGCTGACGGATAGCTACAGGAGAAGAGCACAAGCTGAAAGAGCAACTGTAAGCGAGAAAAAGAAGATCGGAAGACGTTGGAAACATTGTGTTCAGGTTCTGGTGGACACCCCGGTCATCGATGTCAACCACAGTTCGGTTCAGTTGTCATTGCGGGAGAAACGAAAGAGAGTGTGAGTTCTCATGGATCACAATGATCGGGGATCTCCTTTCCGTTTTTTGTTCACACCCTCGCAATTCATGACTCTTTTCTGCGAAGTGTAAAGTCGTTCTTATAGGTTTTATGCTTCCGTGTGTTCTCTTCCTTTCTCTTTCCTCTGAAACTTCTTCTGCCTGACCCCACCCAACCGGCCCAATCTTTCCTTTGCATTACCTTTTCGTATTCTCTCTTTTCAGTGAGAAACCTGTTGAAGTGGCCGCGCCACAGCCACCGGCGCCTCCCTCCATAGCCGCCGAATCGGAAATGTCTCGTTCGGTGTCGGTGGCTTCGCGTGCTTCCGATACCCGAGCATCGATCATACTTGATGAGATGCGCGGCACGGAGGCGGCCGTGGAATGGACTCGCGATTTGGACGATGATGTGGAATTCGATCACTACGACGGCATCCTCGTGCTTCCGGACAAGTCGATCCTCGAGCAGTACATCTCACGCAAACGAGGGAAACTCGATCGCTACCGGGGACTCAGACCTTCTTCGATGTGTTCGTATGAGTCGAGCAGCTGTGCTTCGCCCTGTCCTTCTACCGTCTCCGAACTGTGTCTTCCTTCATCAGGTAAACAAAACATCCAAGTGCTTTTCCTCAAACATTCCCATCAGTTCTCGTCCACGAACCGCGACGAAGAGCTCTGAATAGTGCCGAACCGGCGGATCACTCAACGACTCCAGTGCCGTTGAACTCAACGCCACGTGGATTTTCAACCAAGAAGGCGGTTGCTCCCGTTGTCAAACCGGTGCCGTTCGAAGCTCCTAAGACGCTGTTCGAGAAAATGATCCAAGATCAAGCGAATCGGAATCGAACGGCCACAAACATCGGATCGGAAGTAAGTGATTTGAGAGTGTGAGAGAGGATGTTTCCGAGTAGAAAAGAAGAGAAAAAGATGTAATGAATCGGAATAGTACGAGACGGCGAACATGGGAGAGCGGGAGGCTGCAGAGAGAGAGAGAGAGAGCGATTCCTCTGCTGCTGATGATGAAGATGATGATGATATCGGTGTGGTGAGCAGGAGCGGCGTATCAGTGCGGAGAGCCCGGAGACGAGTGTAACGTATCAATCACCGCACTTCGGGGCTTCGGGCGAGCAGCATTGAGCCAGCAACAAGCAGGCTCATACACACTCTCTCGAATAGCCGACAAGTACGTGTGCTCTCCGATTCATTTGCCGTCTAATCGAATCTCCTTGTACTGAAACCACCGTATTCCACGTATTCATGCATGGCTAGAGATTATAACATTGTCCTGCGGGTGAGTGAGAGATCACGTGGAATGGAGAGACGTAGAGAGTAAGTGGGAGTCGGATGGCCGGGGCCCGTCCTTTGATTCCCGGAAGAGTCCGACAAATTGTCGACTGGCCGTCACTCGAATTTCAGCGGCGAAGCACACGAAAATGCAAAGGTGCGGCCGCAAATTTACGAAAAACGTTTTTCTTGATTACCAGATGTGCATTGAGAAGAAGAAGCATGAAAATATGAAAATGTCCGTGAGACGACGCTAGTAATATTGACTTGCGATCAAGCAGCTGATCCTTCCCGTTTTCATTCTGCGTGTAAACAAGACGCGAGTAGTGTACGTTTCAAGAGTCTCGCTTTTCGGTTTCCCCCACAGTTTCCCTACAGTTCCCCACGTTTTAGTTGTGCTCAGTGGACATTCACGTGCGTCCCATGCTCCGAACAGTTGCCAGTAGACTGCACAATCCCTCCAATCATTGGGGTTCATCATTATTCTTTCGGAATGGGATTATAATTCGCAGGCGCTGAGATGATCATCCATCCGTTTACGAATGCAAATCGACCGTTCCCCCTTTCCGTACTTTCTTTCTCCTTCCCCTCAGATTAATGGTGCATGTGATGAGACCTGCGGCCATGCGAGCCTCCTCATCATCCGCATCATCACCGTCTCGTCGTTTTCCATGTGATGATTGTTTTTCTAAAGTATTTTCTGCTTCTTCATCAGCTTGTGGCGCGTCTCCATGCCGCTCGGGAAGGCGGCGAACAAACAGTCGAAGAGCGAGAGAGTGCGAGACTCAGAGCAACTTACCGGACAGACAAAAAGTTGCCAGTCCTCTAAACGATTCTCATTTGCAGACACGCGATCAGTCGCCGCGACGTGGGTCACAGGAGGAAGGTTGGTTTCGCATTACGGTAGCTGGATTACGGTAGACTCTTGCAGGCATGTCAGCCATCTCGCAGCAGTTCACGGCGGCCGCGGCGGCTGGAAATTCTGCTCACGGCTCCGTCCGTTATGCTGCTCACATTCCCGTTCGGAATGGAGGTGAAGCGAGTGGAAGAATGAGTACGGGCAGTGTGGACAGTCAGCAGAGGTACGTGGAACCGAGGATCTTGCATGAAGATACAGTATATTTAGCGGCGGAACCCTCGACGTGGCATCCAAGAACATCGAGCAGGTGATTGACCAGGCACGCCATCGCCATCATCAACACCGAAGCAAGTTCAAAGAGGCAATCGACTACTTGGACCAGATCTTCGAGGATTTGAAGAAGGAGTGTGATGTGAGTGAAAAGAACGAACAGGCACTGGTGCACTAGACTCGTGCACGACACAAGGTCCGAGGTGTCATGGGGAGGGTGCACTTCGCAACCAAACTTTGGTGTCAAAGATCATTTCGAAAGAGGTATTCGGAAGAACATCCTTTCCGAATGCCTCGTTCATCGCGATGACTCATTTCTCTTCCGGGTGGCAAGTTCATGTTTTTTTCCAGCCGGACGATAAAAATAACAACGACGAGAACAACAAGCCATCGAGCGAGCAGCGGCAGAGCCTGCCGAACACCGCCGCTGCCTCATACGTGGCCGTGAAAAAGAAGCCGACTGTCGTCGCGACGTCATCATCCTCGGCCGGAAGGATCGCATCTGCGACCGATTCGAAGTAAGTCGTTCGTTCCGGGCGGCGGGTGCAATATCCCCGCGGTCTCAAGCCGTGCTGACTGCGGCTCCCCGTCCAGCACACTCTTTTGTCCCGTGATACATTACACACGACACAAGACCCGAGCAGGACACTGGTCGACCGAGCGACGCGCCGCCGTCCTTTCTCCATCACTTTTTCGACTTCTTTACTATTATTACCAACGTACGTCAACTCTTTTTCCAGAAAAGCCGCTGCTAAACAGTCGACGGTGACCGTGAAGCCGACTGCGATTCGTCAAAAGTCTTCGGAAACAGGAAACACGTCTTCGTTTGCCGCCGTTAAACCACCGAACAACAACGATCCAATTCAACAGGTGATTTGATTAGGATTACTGTAGAGAGCACGAAGAAGTGCCTAGAGTCTTCTGTGATCTCTCATTCTGAGAAGTACGACGTTCTCAACGCATAAACTTTATCGTTGTACTTACATCATAAAGTTCCGTCGTCGACATAAAATCCAAGTGAAACAGCGGATAAAGTGGATGATAAGTGCTCGGTTTGCAGGCACCGTCTCCCGTAGAAGTTATAATTCCAGTGAGGAAAGTCTCGCAAGGAGCCTATCAGCAAGAGGTTTCAGCGCTTTCGATTATCCTCATATAAAGAGCGTTTGCTTTCAGCCGACTGTTACTGAAACCATCGTTCTGGCCAAGAAAACAGATAAAATGGATTTCACTCGAAGGTGGTTGCACGACGATTTGCAGTCTCTCGCCTACCTGCCACCGGCCAACATTGCTCCGAACGCCGTCAGTTCGAGTACTTTCTCACCTTTCCTACCGTAATCTTTTCAGTCATACTACCAAGATCTGGACGAACATTCCCTCGGAAGTTGCAGTGCAGAAGTGGCCGCATTCAACACCGTCAAGGAGAAGAAGAACGGAAAGAGCTCGCGGAAAGTGTCCGATTCGTCGGACATGGTTCGTCCCCGCCCGTTCCGTCCTCAGCCCGTCTATCCGATGGTCGATGGCTACAACGGTCCGTCGGCCTTCGAACCGTTCTCCGCCCACACTCTGCCACGTGTCGCCTCCAACGATTACATTCCTAGTGAAATGAAGAGATCGGGCTCCCAGGACCCGTACAACACGCTCCGTTCTATGCGCTCCGAAGGCGACGGCTTCGACTCGTCGCGGCCGTCTCCGTCTGCGTTCCAGCAAGTCTCTCCGTTCAACAGGGGCGGCTCCATGCGTTCGTCCCTCCGATCGCTTCCCGATCACTCCCCCGTCAGACAACGCCTCGGACAGCGGAACAATTATGAAGAGCCAAAAGATCCGGTTCTCTCGATTGACCAATTGGTGGCCGAGCTGGAATTGAACACCGAAAACGTAAGTTCAAACTTTCTTTAAGAAACGTATAAATATCTTGTTTTCAGACTCTGTCCGCCGCCGACAAACGCCGCTCGTTCCCTACTTCGTTCGGAAGGCCAGTTCATCACGCACAACAACACCACGTGCCCAGTGATTACGAGAAGCCGAACAAATTCAGAGCAGAAATGAGGCATGTGCCGACGAGAGGAAGAGCTCAGAAGTAGGCACATGAATGGGGGCTGATATCACTTCGTTGCTTTTCAGTTTCGCCTCATCGGAACCAGTCGCCAAGCCTGCTGCCGTTGCCGTTTCGAAGGCTCCAGTTTACTCGCAGCCGACTGCTCACCGCCAGCAGAAGTCTTTGGACGAGGTGACGAACATGCTGAATCGGGCGGTCTCGCAGTTCGGAAACGATCAGAGACAGGCCCATCAGAACCCGTCCGTCTACAAACAACTGAGCCAGCAGTCGTTCGGATCGGCGCACAGTGGCAACGCGTTCGAGACGATCAACCAGGAGAAAATCAATCCAAGCCGTGTGGAGGCGATGCACAACATGTTCGAGAAGGGCACCGCCCCGACGTCTTGGAAGATGCAGCAGCCGCAAAAGGAGTCATTCGAGGAGCGGAATCAGGTGACTGACTTAGACAATTAGCCGTTCTGGTCTGCGGTGCGCCTCCCTTAGTGTCTAGAAGCTTGGCTTAGTTAGTCGGTGCAGTGTAACCATTCTGCCAAGATGACCAACCCGCACAGCTTCAAGTCGGACCCTCCCAATGATCACGCGGCCGCACTGACCTCATTTTGATGTCGCAAAGTGAGTGTTCAATTCCTGAACTGTGTACATCTGAGTATCCGATTGTAGCCGAAACGCTCATCTAATCCCGAACCGTCTCCATTTACAGAAGATGTCGCCGCTCCACGAAGCCACCTACGCTTCCCTCAACAGCTGTTCTCCGACGGTCCCTGCTCCGTCCACGAATGGCAACGGAATGGCTCGTAACTCTTCGCAGAATCACGTCGCCTACCACGAGTACACTCCCCAACTTCCCACCACTCAGCCCCCGCAAAGACCGCCTGGTTCGGCCAACTCGTCGCAGGGAGGCTACTACTCATCGAACAGTTCGGGTATCGGATCCGCTTATCCATCACAGCAACACCAACAACATCAGCAATATAATGTGAGCGGATGATGTTGAGCAATTTCAGATTTTGAATTGAACTGTTCAGAATCCACGACGCAGTCTGATAATCGACCAGCAGTCGATCTCCTCCAGAATGCCATCGGTGGAGAATGACGATGACGACGGGTTCTACGATAACATCGGAATTGTGAGCGACTGAATCCTCCTCGTCCCAAATGAGTCAGTCCTCAGTTTCAGTATGACGATCGTCGTTACTCGCGTGGCAGTGAACTGGAGAACTCCGCCTCGTTCCGCCAACTGCCTCCCGCTTCTTCTTCCTCCGGCCACAAGCACAACCGGATCGGCTCTTTCCTTCGAAAGATCGGAGGCGGATCCAGCAGACCGCCCGGCAGCGCAGCCAGTCTCATGTCTCTCAACAAGATTGCCAACGAGACAGTCATCAAGCCAGCGGGCCTGATGAAGAGCAACAGTCTGAGCACGGAGCCGTGGAAGAAGCAGGTGTTGGAGGCGAGCATGCCACGAGAAGGTGAGTGTCCGCTCTCAGATCTCGACAATATTCTCTCGTTTTCCAGCAAATAACAATCACAAAACCGGTCTCGGAGCTCGACTCAAAAACTCATTGTTCGGCTCCCGAAAACGATTGGACGGTTAATTTCCTGTTGTTTTTACGCCCATTTCATTTCATTATTGCCCCCTCAAAATATTGTACTTTTAGTTGCTCAAATCATGTTCAGTTGAAATGCGGTTTATCGTTCTTTCCCTTCTCCCTCTTCTATCCCATTTTCATTCAGTTTCTGTTGAGAAAACACTCTTCAAATGAGCCAGTTTTGAAGGTCTTTCCTCACTTTTCACCCACACGTATTGTTATTATATTTATCATGAATTTTCAAAAAATAGTTAGATCGTTTCACACAGAAAATTAACTTCGAATTACTGTAAAACAGATCTCGACGCGAAAAAAAACAAGGCATCAATAACTACCGTAACCTCTGGGTCTTAACGCGAAAAAGATCGCCTAAAAACAAGCGGTCGTCGAATTCGCAGTTTCTTGGCGCCCTTTCTCTCTATCTCTCCCCTGATTGCACGCACTCGCTCGGAACGAGGGCATCTGCCCTTCTCGGCGTCTCTTCATAACTTTTGACGGCTATCGCGTGATTCGCATTTTCTATGAACACTTCTTCTTCTTCTTCTTCTTCTTCTTGCGAATCTCCGCTTTGATTTCGATTGTTTTCGACAGTCATTTTCTTTGTATTCAACGGGAATCGCTCACTTTTTTCAATACTTCATTTCCCTCTATTCTCTCCAGGCAAATGACCGGCCCGGGCTTTTCGAGTGGGCCTAGTCTTTTGACTCAGTTTTGATAATTCCGATCAAACCCAAACTTTGCGAACTTCTCAGACTTTGATTGAAGTATTTGGGGACCAACTTCCGGATTATTTTATCTGGAGCTACATTGATCTAGGCTAAAAATCTCTGTATCTCCAGATCAGATGATCCAATCGGTCTGAAACTTTCAAGGTGGATACTCCAAGCGGGCACTGATAATCGTGCGAAGTGTGGGTCCGATCGGAGTTTTGCAAGTGGCCCAAAAGCCCTTTGTCCCGCCCTACTCATCCGTCATTATTGTTCCATTCACTTCCATCTCAAATCATTTCAGTCCACCTCATTTCCAAAATGAGTCGCCAGACGAAGGACTTGTCGGAAATGATGCCGTGCTGTCGGGTGTGTCTCGTCGAATTCGGTATCACCGGCTCCGCCTACCGTAACCATTTCCCTCTCCGTTTGCAGACAACGACAGTCACTCGTCGCGTCTTCTTTCCTGCGGACACACTCTCTGCCGCGAGTGTCTGTTCGGAATCAAGCACACCGGCAATGCGTATGCTGGATACAACCACTGGAGGAGCAAGTGTCCCACGTGCCGCGCCGTCATCGCTTCCGGATCCGCTCATCCCAGAAATTTCGATCTCGACGGTCAGTCCGCACTCTGAATCATCCTTCGACAAACATTAGATTCAGAAGCGTTGGACGTGATCAGGTACATGCAATTGACGAAAGCGGAGGAGGCGTGCTGCAAAGAATGCAAGAGTTGGCATCCGGTTAAGTCGTGAGTTTCAGTTGCACTTCTTATTTTTTGAATTCAACTTCCCTTCAGAATGCTGTTCTGCGTCTACTGTTACAGAGAAGCGTCTCCATATTGCACCGTCAATTCTGACGTACGCTTACAGTTTTCATCCCCGATAGCCCTAATTTCCAGGCACTCGTCTCCGTCGGCGATTTCCTTTTCTGCGGTCCATGTGCCATCGATGGTCACGTTCGGGAAGGTCACGAAGTGCAAAAGTACGCGAGGATCCATGTGAGCCAGCATCAGAAAAATGGGATCGAACTAATGTGAATTTAAGGAATCAATCAAGGAGAACATGGCGGAGGGAGATAAAGTGAGTGCCAGGGAGCTGGACGATGTGCTCGGCATAGATTGCGATTGCCATAGCAAAGTGAGTCTATTTACACAAGCAACCTCAAAAAAGGTGATGCTTCAGTTGTCCCAAGAAGAGACTCAGATGACGGAAGAGGAGGAACCGGAAGAAGAAGCCGACAACGAGTCGTCCCACGAAAACACTCCTCCGTCTTACATCCAAGTTCCTCCCATCTATGAGCACTACCCACCGGCTCAGCAGAGCCTATTAGCTGCGCAGCCACCGTTTCAGTTGATGTATCCATGGGGAACCGCCCAAGTGCAATACATTCGGCCGGTCCAGTTTCAGTTTCAATTTTATGGACCGTACGGAACGGCGATCCACACATGCATGGCGCCGAACCCCAACCAATACTACGTTAGTTTTTAAAAGCATTGAATATGAATTAACAGGTTTCTATTGACAGGCGTTCAATCTGCCACAGCCCACGACGAGTATGTCAATCCATATCCTTCCATGATTCATTTCCGCTTTTCTTTATTCTTTCTTCAAATGTGTCGTAATGTAATGTTAATTTTATGAGTTCAGAGAGAAAAACGAGTTATATACTTTAAATTTACACTTTCAGCTACTCAGGCTTCACTAACTTCGAATTCTTCTACGGCTTCTACAGCTTTCAATGTTCCGATTTTCATCTCAACTAGATGTCTCTTCACTTCCGCATTGATTTGCAGCTCTTGAATCACTTGGTCAGCCTGCAAAAAGAGCAAATGTTTAGCATTCCGCATTTTTCACCTCCTCCAAGGTATCTTGAAATGTTTTGACGACGAAATTGTGATCCGGATGCTCGCGATTCTCCATAACAATTTTTCCCATCTGCGATATTTTCTGAAAAACTTTGTACGTCATGAGTTTTAAAAAGTTCACGCCCATTGTCATATTCTACCAGAATATTCATGTATCCTTGGCACGTCTCCAGAAGCCCCGCAAACTTTTTATTCAACTCCGTTTTGCGTTTATCGACTCTGATCTGACCGATGAGCGACTCATACTTTGCCTGAACGACAAAATTCTTGAAGCACTCAAGTGAGTGAAAACCAGAACGTCAGCACACTTCACGACGGAATGCGGTCCAACGGCAACTCCTGAATGATTTTCTATACAGCATTGCGCGCAGATCGGGAGTGTTTCAAAATCGACGGCGTCGACGGCGTCCAACAGGCCGCCCATAAGTGCGCGCACGACTTCACAGCACTCCTGACAGCAGTACATTCTGAAAAGAAAGAATTGGGTGCAGAAGAAGTCGTAACAGCACACTTTTCGAGTGGTTTCTTAGCCGAGCAATCGTTGCACTGCATCTCTGATTTCTTTTCCGGAAACTCACTGCACTTGGTTTTCTCATCATTGTCGTTAACTTCCAGAAGATTTTTGAAGGTCTCCTGGCAATACGTGTTCGATCAATTAAAAGAAGCGCATATTTTACCTGATACTCTGTCTCCTGCGTCGCAATAAAACTTGCGATCTTGACCACGTGATTTGTCATTTTCTCGATCTCGTCTCCGATTCTTTTTGCAAATTCCTGCTGGATATCACTGGATTTCGCCTTCATCATCATCTCCGTCATTATTTCCACTTCCTGAGAATGAGAGAATCTTCTAACCTTCAGCTCTGTCCATTTTCACAACCTTATAGAACAGTTCGACAGTGGAATTGTGAAGAGCCCACCGCTCTTGCATCCTTTTCACCTGCTCCTCGAGGTCATTTTTCGAGGAATTTACAGCAGTAAAATAGCTTTCAAACTGGTATCCCGACTGAAAAAAGAGATGAAGGCCGAGAATTCGAACTGAAATTCCTACTGAAATCGGAAAGTACTGAACTATCTCGTGACGCAGCGACACGTGGCCACCGATGGCACAACTTCCGCACAAAGCGAGAGTCTTGACGTCCAATTCAGTCTCTGGATTGATGGTTCCAAGTACGTCATATTTGAATACATCCGAGACGCAGGTTCGGCACACGAACATTCTGAAAAAGCGGGAAGGGGTGATTTTCTGAACGTTTCAAAGATCCGAACGCGGATTCGTTCTCAATCTTCGCACACACGGTGCATTCCACTGGATTCGCGGGCCCAGGCGGCTTTTTGGGCTCTTCGCGAAGTTTTTTAATGACCGAAATAGCTTCTGAAAACAATTGTTTCCTAACACTTTTCCGATTTTTTTGCACCTTCTAAATTATAGTTTTTCGATGAAGTTCGGAAATTGACCAAATTCTGAAATGTTCGAGTTTTATTACTCTCCTTGCGTGCTCTGGCCACTGCTTACACGACACATCGGACAGAGTTCTTCGTTTCTAGATAGAAATTGTTTGACACAGGCATCGCAAACGCTGTGCCCGCATCCCAGACTCATCGGGGCGTGCCTATCGCTTTCTGAGACGGTAAAATAACAATTATTATTTTCGTATACTACCCATTTGAACTGACCGAATTCCTCTTGACAAACTGGACACGACGGCATCTCGACATTCGGCACCACAGAGATGGAAGCCATCCTAGACTTTCAGTCGGCAGTGACGGCGTGTTAGAAAAAAAAGAATGTCGGATAGATACAACGACAGAAATATTGGAACAATGAAAGAGCTCCTATCAATCAATATTTATTACCTTTAGTACAGAAGTCGAATATATTATTGGGGTTAAGACAGGTGTATTTGACACGATCAGGCTCTTTCTTTGAAGCGAGTTTTGATTGCGAACTTGTGAGAGAAATCGTTGAGAAACTTGGCTAAAAGCCGAGATCTTTCTTCGGTCATTCCATCCGGACAGGTGTAAATGAGCAGTTGGCGGTAAGTCATTCGAGCGACGTAATTGAAGATTTTGCTCAATTCATACTCGGACATCGGCACCATCTGTCCGTGCTCATTCGGGCAGCGCAAGTTGTCTTTCAAGTTTTTGAGATAGTCTCTGCGCAGCGTGCGCATCTCGGGTGATTCGAGTTTTATGTCTTTCGCCGACAGATCGTTCTCTTCCAGCCAGCGACGGGCCTTTGCGTGCACTTCTTCGTAACCATTGTACACGGTATTTTCGTTTGTCAAGATTTCTTGAACTTTCTAAAAAAAGTTGAATTAATACATGATTGAATAAATCAACTTACGTTGTCGAATTTAATGTCTACCAGCATTTCGGCGGCTTCTTCGACTTTCACATTCAGAAAGGCGACCTCGTCTTGAAGACGATCCATGTTCATTTTCTGGAGACTGACCAATTCTTCCAACTCCCCGATGTGCTTCTTCTCGTCAGTTTTCGATTCGATAAACCCTTTCACCATCTTTGCACATTCTAGAAAAAATTTTTTGAGCGTTCCACAAAAGTGCAAGAATACCTTCTAATTGGTAAATTCTGATAGTTTGATCAGTGGAGAATTCGATCTGAAATATAATTTGAGAACAATGAACTTTACTTGTATTTGGAAGCTTACTCGGCACACTGGACAGCTGAAAAATAGGAAAATAGTATAATAATTTACTAGCTGAAATGCTCACATAGGACTCCCTCTGCTCCGAATGGAAATTTCTTCGACGCAATAACGACACATGGTGTGTCCGCACGTGAGTGCTGCGGGAATGCGATTGGTCGAATCTGAAATGCGAGGATCGGAAAGTTCAGGAGGGTAAAAACAGACCATAATTGTTTAGACAGACGAGACAGTGGGGAACCTCCAAAATGTCCAGAGGCATTCTGCAAAAATCACATTTTCTGGAATTTGGTCGTCTCGAAAGGTGAAAACAATTTCTTGTGCTCAATTATGTCTGCTCAAAACACATAATTTTTCAGTGTTTTTTCTGAAGAAACCATTTCCGGGATCAGATACCGTTTGAAAGGTGCTACTTCAAAATAGGAAATGTCTCAGAATAGAAGTGTTTCGAAATACACAAAACTCAACGAGAAATTCCTTATTTGGAAACACTTTTATTCCGAGATATTTTTAATTTCAAAGTAGCACCATTTGATTGAAAAATATCTGAAACGAAACGAAATGCAAAACAAAACTTCGAAACGAATGGAAAACAAAACTGAGCAACATTTAGCGAAACTGTTTTTTCGTTGTGAGACCTTTGGCGAAAATCAAGTGTGCCTTTAAAACTACAGTTAGCAAAAAGTGCACAGAAAACAAGGTTTCAAGCGTGTATTTCATGATTTTATAATGGGAAAACACAAAAGCAACAGAAGAGCGTTTGGATATCTGATCGAGCTGCTCCGAATTAGCGGCTGTTCCCTTCCGTACAAATGCGAAACATCGTAGTCCTTTCTCGGAGTTGTTCTGAGGACAGTTTTTTAATGAATACTTCTCCTCCATCTTTACGTTTCACAAATGCCTGTGTATTTGCAAATGTTTGATTTGTACCGGACAACGGGGGCCAAGTAATCTGCCTGGTTCCTCAGTCCTTTCCGACACTCCACCCCTCTGCTCAAAACTGCTATCAGCATCGTCCGATTGTTCACCTCGAGAACACTTCCAGCACCACTGTCGCCCTGAATCAACGCGAAACAAGATTTTTTCGCAGCAGGGGTCGATTACCTTGCACGCCAGTTGTTTTCCAGTGTAACTGAGTGAGCAGAAAAACTTTTCAAACTCGCAGTTCTTATCGTACGTAATCTTTGAAAAACTCAGGCCGTTCATTTAAAAGCGGAATACTCACAATAACGGATTCGAAGCGAAGAACTCCGGTAGGAACAATATGATCATCAGCTGAAAGCAATCAACATCTGTGAGATTGGAAAGTGGAGAATTACGGTCGAATCCGAAGCCGTAAGTGGTCAGAGTGGTTCCTCGTTCAAGCCCGACCGAAGTCACTGAAATTGGATTGATAACATGGAAACTCTAAACTTGACTGACTGGGAATGCATGCTGGATGGATACTTCCCGAGAACAGAACGTCTCCGTCCAACTCCAGAATGGCGAAATCGTCGTGATCCATGGGCTCCGAACTCATTTCAGAACAGACGCCCGGGAGAATTACTCTTTGGGTGAACCTGGTCACCAGATCCGGACTAAGATTGATTGAAGCACACGCCTTTTCATTGCGACATTTCGTGGAAAAGTGAATTTCGGCCTTATCCGAGCCTCTTGGAACTATGAAATCTCTGAAATCCCATTCCATTCACCGCTTCGAACAGTTTCTCCCACTTTCCCTCGCAGTTTTTATAATCGATTCTCCGATCGTCCGAAACATAAGTGAACGATCCTTTTTCGAAATCATTCAGAAAACAGTGTCGAGCGGTGATGACGTGGCGAGAAGACACGAGAGTTCCCGTGCAGTGCATCAGACCGTCCGCTAAATTCAATGCTCGGATGAATGGAAGCTTTTGCCCGCCTCACTTCTGAACACATCGATCGCGACCGCCCATGGAGCATCAGTTGGCTCCGCTTTCACTCCGTTCATTACCTTTTGCTCTACTGAAAGTTTGCTCTCGAATTTAATTGGCTGAGTTCAGCCACGTCTCACTATTTTTGTGCCTTCCGCAAATCTGCTGAATCTGTTCGTTTTCCATCGACGATAGTTTCTCCCCGGCTATTCCGGCTATCACTAAACTTGCCAAAATACAGACGAAGTTCATTTCTTTTGCGCTAGGAAATGAAATTGAAGTGTCAGATTGCAGGAAGTCATGTGGATTGAATTAATCGCTAACGGAACAACTGATTTGGATAATCAACTTACGCTTTTCCCGGTTTATGACGTGTTTTTAAACTTTTTATTTCGCAACCTACTTGCTTTTCTATTTTCTGTTTTCTGTCATTTGTTTGAGTAGAGAAACTCCTCACTTTTTTCGAGCGCGCCTCAAATGTGTGCAATTCGACGTGGTGGTGTTTGCACAATTGGCGTAGTTTTGCCTGAATTTTAACCGTACTTCTCAACTTGAAATGCATTTTCACAGACGTTCCAGCAACATTTTCGGAATTATTTTGTTTGTAATAAATATATGTAAAGCTGTAGAGATATATTTTTTCATCTTGCTGTTCTCTCTTTTGACCTTAATTCTCTTTGTTTCGAATTACATCATGCGATTTCCTCATCTCACTTCGTTCTCTCTGACCAAGACTGCCCATGTTTCTTTTGCAATTTAAATTTCTTCAGAAATGTGGCGATTATGCCGCAAATCGCCGAGGCAGGCGAGAAATTCGTTTGATTTACTTATCAAATCGCGTCAATTCTCAACAAGTCCATTCAACTCGGCTAGAGATGATGTAATTTGACAGTTTAGGAGTGTCAAATTTATGTTATTAATTCTTAGAAGTCAGTTCTAAAGCAACACGAAGTTCTTCATCTTCTCGCCAAGGATCAGCGGTTCGAGGAGCGGTTTTTCGACCAAGTTCAGCAGACAGTGCGGTACTTCGCTTCGAAGCCGAATGATCTGAAGAAGTTCTTCAAGAGGGAACCCAAGAGCGATTCGTCTGCAGATAAGAAAGGTAATCTGCATTTAACTTATCGTAAAACTTGTTTGTCCATTTCAGAATCCTCTTCAAAAGATTCCAAAGAAAGCAGTGGAAAGAAGGGAGAAGACAGCAATCCATTCAGCCAATTGTAGGTCATTTCATTGATTTCACGCGAGAAACATTGTTTTCAGTCCGGGAGGATGGCAGCAGGTCGCAGTTTCCGTCGGAATCCTTGTTGCTCTCTATTTGTTCATGGACTACCAGTCGTACCGTGAAATCTCATGGAAAGAGTTCTACAGTGACTTTTTGGAGCCGGGACTTGTCGAAAGACTCGAAGTCGTTGACAAACGATGGGTTCGAGTTGTCAGTTCGTCCGGAAAGTATGCCGGAGTGAGTTGTTCTTGGAGAAACCCAGAAGACATAATCCGTTTCCAGCAAACCTGCTATTTCAACATCGGAAGTGTAGACAGCTTTGAACGCAGTCTTGGAGCTGCTCAAAATCATTTGCAGTATGATGCTGATCGTCAGATTCCTGTTCTTTACAAGTCGGAGTTCAATTTGTTAGTTCATTCCCCTATAATATTCTCCAACAATTCGGATTTTTAGCAAGCGAGAAATTCCGAATCTGATCAGCGTTGCGTTCCCGTTGTTGTTCGGTTACTACATCTACCGAATGCTGAAAGGAGGCGGAGCAGCTGGAGGAGCGGGAAGAGCCGGCGGAGGCGGACTCGGTGGAATGTTCGGCGGATTCGGACAGAGCACCGCTCGTCTCATCAACAGAGAAGATATTAAAGTAAAGTTCTCGGATGTTGCGGGATGCGAAGAGGCAAAAATCGAAATCATGGAGTTTGTAAATTTCCTGAAGAATCCTCAACAGTACAAAGATCTCGGAGCCAAGATTCCGAAAGGAGCCATTTTGACGGGACCGCCCGGAACAGGAAAGACGCTGCTCGCAAAGGCAACTGCCGGAGAAGCGAATGTGCCATTCATCACTGTCTCCGGATCGGAATTCCTCGAAATGTTCGTGGGAGTGGGACCGGCGAGAGTGAGAGACATGTTCTCGATGGCCAGGAAGAACTCCCCGTGCATTCTGTTCATCGATGAAATCGATGCGGTCGGAAGGAAACGAGGAGGAAAGGGAGGGATGGGAGGACACTCCGAGCAAGAGAACACGCTCAACCAACTGCTCGTCGAGATGGACGGATTCACAACCGACGAGTCTTCCGTCATCGTCATCGCCGCCACGAACAGAGTGGACATCCTCGATTCCGCCCTTCTCCGTCCCGGCCGTTTCGACAGACAGATCTACGTTCCGGTGCCAGACATCAAGGGACGTGCTTCCATCTTCCGTGTCCATCTCGGTCCGCTCAGAACTTCCCTCGACAAGACCACTCTTTCCCGTAAACTCGCCGCCCACACTCCCGGCTTCTCTGGAGCCGACATCTCGAATGTTTGCAATGAAGCCGCTCTGATTGCTGCCAGAGACGCCAACGATGAGATCTCGGCGAAACACTTTGAGCAGGCGATCGAAAGAGTCGTCGCTGGAATGGAGAAAAAGACGCAAGTACTGCAGAAGGAGGAGAAGAAAACGGTGGCGTACCACGAGGCGGGGCACGCCATCGCCGGATGGTTCCTGCAACACGCCGATCCGCTGCTCAAAGTGTCGATTATTCCACGAGGAAAGGGACTCGGATACGCACAATATCTGCCGAAAGAGCAGTATTTGTATTCGAAAGAACAACTCTTGGACAGGTGACAAAAATAGAGTGACATAAGAAAATAAATTGAAGTTCAGAATGTGCATGACACTCGGAGGACGGGTTGCCGAGGAGATATTCTTCGGAAGAATCACCACTGGTGCTCAGGACGATCTTCAGAAAGTGACACAAATGGCATATTCGCAGGTGAGTAACAGTTTATTCGAAGAAAATTCAATTCAATTGATTGGATCTTCTCATTCAAAAAGTCTGGAAAAGTGCGGTCGAACTGCTGCTGTCATTTCGGGACTTCTTCAATCGAGAACCGGCGCCTTTTTGTCGAGTGACTCTGTTAGTCCTTCGCAAATTGTTGAAGCAATTCCAGTGCTCGGATCCACGTTGCAAGTGCATTTGACGGGAGCGCCAGTCGTGAAAACTACTGCGAAGAGAAGAATAATGAAAAGAAACAGTTTGAATTGCATGGTGTCGGACGAATGAATGCGAGGCGTTTCGTTGTGTGCCGTGAGCTTTCTAGACATATGCAGCCGATTATGTTTTTGTTGTTTCGTCGAAATAGCGCCTAGACGGAAAGAGATCGCAGACGGAGACGGAAGGGAAGAGAGCAGAAAACATGTGTGCCGAAGAAACCATTTATATTATAGAACAATAAGTAAGGAAGGAACAAAGGGCGCGAGCATCAATGAGTTAAATAAATTAGGATGAATCCTAAAGTTATTTGCGGAGAGGAATAGTATAGGCGTATGGATAGTTGGCCGGGAACTGGAGATTATGTCTTGGCTGGGCTGGATCAAAAGGAGTGCTGGGCTGTTTCGATGAATCTTCTGGAGCCTTTAGCGACGAAGCATGTTGACCGGGGAATGGAACCTGTCCGTTAGAGCCCTGCTGGAAATGTACTGGTTCAATTAGAAAAGTTAATGTTCGCTTACGATTTCAATAACGACGCCATTTTCGGTCGGACGGAATTGGTTTGGGACGGCATATCCTCCTTGGTGGATGGGCGACAGGCATTGGGTTTTGCGGAGGAGCAGCGGGATGAGGACGGACTCGATCTGAAATGAGCAACGATTTCCTTAGCAATTCGTCGTTTTCAGTTAACGGACCAAAAATTTCAAGTCGTTAGTACGGCTATCATTTTTGGAAGATTCGCAAGAAGTGAGAAGAACTGGGAGCATTGAGTTGATGATATCGACGCGTCCTTTCGTTCTGAAAAACCGTATCTTCATGAGAATACCGACAGTGCATAGTATACATACTGTATACTCAATTCATCGCTCTTGCCCCTCGGTGTTTGCAGACTCAAGCCTAATTTCAGGAAATTTGGCTTGAGTCTGCAAACACCGAGGGGCAATAGCGATCAATTGAGTTTATCTTACATGCTTATCAGAAGTCTATTTTCGACCTCACGTTGAAGCAAAGCTTTCAAAGCATCTTCAGCGAATTTTTCTCTGTTAGCGTCTGTCAGAGTTAGGCTGACCAGTGCGTCGATTTCTGCATCGGTTACATTCTTGAGAGTTGCTGAAGAGGCGACGAACAAGGAAGAGACGGCAGCCAAAATGAGAATAATCTTCATGTTGAACAGGAAGAGCTGTGAAAGCTGATGTCCTTCCTTTCGTCGTCTCTTCATTTTTATACTCAGATGGGCGGGGTTGGGTGTCAGTGGTACCGATGGTACGTGAAAATAATGAATGAGTCAGATGAGCACGTCCAACATTACTCTATTGTATTCGTTCTCACTTATTGCCTATGGATACGATGGTTAGTCATTGGTCTGGAGTATACATTACGGATGTGCTCTCAACACAATGGAAATGATTTCTTTTCAGGTCGTCAAGTTTGGAATGAGCGAAAAGATCGGACCACTCTCGTTCGAGACGCCAGCTCCAGGAGAAATGGCCTTCGATAAGCCGTACTCTGAAGCCACGGCTCAGCTGATCGATCAAGAAGTAAACTGTTTGAAAATTGACGTGTTATCTACCAGAATCCGTTCCAGGTACGGGATTTGGTGATGAGTGCGCTGCGAAGAACGCGTGATCTGCTGCTCGAAAAGCGAACGGACATCGAAAAAGTTGCCTTGAGACTGCTCGAAAAGGAAATTCTTTCTCGCGAAGATCTGGTCGAACTGGTCGGAAAGAGGCCGTTCATCGAGAAGAACACGTATGAGGAGATGGTCTCAGGCACGGGAGGACTCGACGAAAACGTGGAGTTGCCGAAGGGACTCGAGAATTGGAACAAGGAAAGCGAGAAAAAGAAGGAGGAGTGATCGAAATCTCGTTAAATCCAATAAAGCACCGGATCTCGTTTCTTTTCGATTTCGGCTCCTGATCATAGGAACTTAGGATTGTAGACTTCAGCTAACCTCTTATTCGGAGAGCCATTTTCTGTTTTCTCTCACTCTCGCCCTTTTTGTTTTCTTTTCAGCATTGACTGGTATCACTTCCCTTTATCTTGTTTTTTGTTCCTGATCCCCGACTTTTATGAACTGTCTAGCATGATTCATTCTGTTTAGTCTTTGAAAATCGACCTGCTCTTTGTCTTAAAAAAATCATTTTCTCTTTCCTCCCCGATTGCATTTGTAAAAAGCATTTCGATTTGCCCTCATACTTTTCACAAATTCGGAAAACCTTCAAAACATCAGAGTTCAGATGAGTGGAAAAGGACGTGGAGGCGGCTCCTCGAATACGATGCGAAGTGTCGCCAATGCGTTGGGAATCGCCCGTTACGACATGGCCAAGATGTTGTCGCAACAGAAAGTCGAACCGCCCGAGCTTTATCCGGTAACTGTCGTACCAGGAGCCCCAGATAAAGACGGCCCATTTCAGAAGGTACAAAGGAATCCGGTCTCCCTGGAAATGACAACTGACATGCTTTACGTGTCACGACTGAAAGTGGAATTGGACCAGAGAATGCGTGACTCGCAGTTCTTTATCGAAGCGGAGAACGGCGACGAACTGAAGCGATACGTGGACAAATTCTCGACAATAAAAAGGGAAAAACTTGAGATTGGTAATTTGTCAATTAAGAAATTTAGGAAACCATGACTTCATTCAGATATGTCGCAAATGCCATCAGAGCTGGTGTGGCGCAGAGCTACAAAATCGCTGAAAGATCCGGCCGCGAAAAGACGGAAGATTATGAAGGAGGATCCGTCGGTTACTGAGAAGTTGGAGAAGCTGGCAGAGAAGGAAGGACAGAATAACGAGGACGAAGAGGAGGAGAAGCCGGACGAAGATGTGAGTGAAATGGAAAAAGAGCAGGAAACGGAAGGACATGGTTTCAGAACGAAACAGGAAGTGAGAAGTCGGCGGGAGAAGAGGAGGAAAATCCATTGTCGGACGATGATAATCAAGAAGAAGACAACGATTACATTTCGAATTACTTTGACAACGGAGAGGGATACGGGGACGGCGGAAGTGACGACAACATGGACGGCGACGAGTTCTGAATCTCTCTTTTTTCAACTCGTTTTTGTTATTTATCTTCTTGTTGTTATGCTTTCCATTTATTTTCGAATACGTTGTTGCTCTTTTTCAAATTACACGCAGGGTTCTATGAACTTTTAAACAAATTCATACTGATGATTTTAAATTGGGGAACTAGACGTGCGATCGCCCGGTTTACATTTACCCAAACATTATTTCTCGTAGTCTGTCAACAACTGCGCTCTAATGACAATACGAACGCACCGTTTTTGCGCGCATTTGAAAACCACTCGAATCTTGGCCCTGTACGTACAGGGCCTGTCCTCTTAATACTTCTGTACCTTGAGTGGTTCTGACAAATTCGATTAGTTTCAGATTTCCCATTGCAAATACTAACTGATTGCTGCCGGCCGCCATGGGGATTAAGGGACTTTCGCAGGTGATTGCGGATAACGCACCGTCTGCAATCAAAGTCAGCGAAATTAAAGCATTCTTTGGAAGAAAAGTGAGTTTTTTCTTGGGATTTACATTGTTTTTTATATCAAAAAAAGATCCGTTCGACACGAAGATTTCACAATATTCCAGGTGGCAATCGATGCGTCGATGTGTCTGTACCAGTTTCTAATTGCCGTACGTCAAGACGGATCTCAATTGCAAAGCGAAGACGGAGAAACGACGAGTCATCTGATGGGAATGTTCTACCGAACCATCCGGATGATCGATAACGGAATCAAGCCGGTCTACGTTTTCGACGGAAAACCGCCAGATATGAAGAGCGGAGAGCTCGAGAAGAGAACCGAACGACGTGCGGAAGCGGAGAAGGCATTGACGGAGGCGAAGGAAAAGGGCGAATTGAAAGATGTGGAGAAGTTCGAAAGAAGACTCGTCAAAGTGACGAAACAGCAAAACGAGGAAGTCAAGAAACTACTCGGTCTGATGGGGATCCCGGTGGTGGAGGCGCCGTGCGAGGCCGAAGCCCAATGCGCTCATCTCGTGAAGGCCGGAAAAGTGTACGGAACAGCCACGGAAGATATGGACGCACTCACCTTCGGATCGACTGTCCTCTTGAGGCACATGCTGGCTGCGGAATCGAAGAAGATCCCGATCAAGGAGTTCAACCTGGCCCGCGTGCTCGAAGATATGAAGCTGACTGAAGAGGAATTCATTGATCTGTGCATTCTGCTCGGATGCGATTACTGTGGAACCATCCGAGGTGTCGGACCGAAAAAGGCTGTCGAACTCATCAAACAGCACAAAAACATCGAGACCGTGCTCGAGCATCTCGACAAAACAGTGAGGAATCATTCAAAGTTCGGGCGCGATAATCGTCTTGCTTTCAGAAGTATCCACCTCCGGAGGATTGGCCATACAAACGTGCTCGTGAGCTCTTCCGTGAGCCGGATGTACAGAAGGGCGAAGACGTGGAACTGACGTGGAAAGAGCCGGACGTCGAGGGAATAGTACAGTTCATGTGCGGAGAGAAGAATTTCAAGTAGGTTCACACACCCATCCACCCGCTTTCATTTAAGTATTTCAGCGAGGAACGCATCCGATCGTCTCTAAACCGAATGCAAAAGAGCCGGAATGCGGGCACACAAGGACGCATCGACTCGTTTTTTAAAGTCTCGTCGCAAGTGCAATCTGTGACGGCGTCCAAAAGAAAAGCTCAGGAAGAAGCGGAGAAACAGAAGAAGGGCGGAAAGAAGGGAGCGCCGCCGAAGAAGAAGGCCAAGTAACCCGAATTCTCACGATCTCATACTCGATTGTCAAATATAGAACACCAATAAACACTGTTTTTGTCAAAATGAGTCCAATTCTTCTAACTGTTTTATTATTAAACTCATTTAGAGAAAACAAAACGAAGGAACCGGATGGAAATACAGTCATCATTCCTATTAATATTAACATGAACTCGTGCTACTTTGAGGAATTAAGGTTAAATTAAACAACAATTCAGGCTGATTATAATTATAAAACAAGTGTGGAAGCCTTCAGAATATAGCCTTCATGATTTCCACCAAAATGACTGGCCAAGTCTCGATGAGAGCGAAAATTGTGAGTCCGATCAGAATGATAATGATGATCCAGAGAAGGATCTGGAGACCGTAATAGTGCCAGAAGTACTTGATGCACGGTTTTATACGAGAGACGAGCCACGAGTTGGCCCACGCTTTTCGCTCGGGCTTCTCCAAATACGGACTCTGCAATGCGTTCTGTTCACAACGCTCCCGGCCCGAACACTCACGTGATTCGGTTCTGCCCGTTTCTTTCCGACTGGCTCTTGATCTGCTTCTTGTTGAGTGATGAGCATCATATCCATTTCGACGAGGCCCATTATCCATCGCGGATTGTCGCCCACATCATCATTCTTTTTCTTTGCATTTTGGGGCTCGTCCTGAAGTCAAGTCACCGAATTCGCTCGTATTTGAGTTGGACTCACGTGTGGATACTCATCAGTCAGCATCGGCCACCATCCGTAAACATTGCGTGCTTCGAACAGGTTGACAGTCTCATCGTATCCCTCTGGTTCGACAAATAGCTATAAAATTATAGATCGGCATCGTTGACTATTCGGGATCTGACCACTGGCTTCGGGAACGGCTTCTTCTTAATCTTTCTTCTTCCACAAAGACATTTGGTCTCGTAGCAGAAGATGCAGCATCTGCACAGGCATCCTCTGCTCGTGCAGCATTTCGGGCATTTCACTCGCTTCTTCCTCTTCTTCGTCGAATAGACGCCCACGTCAGCCGGCGAGCCGACGCCCTCTGGAAACAAATGAATGAGTTGGGAGCAATCAAATTTGCCTAACCAATGAAGTCCATAAGATCGAGTTCAACATCCCCAAGCAGTCTGTCCTTTCGGAATTTGTTCTTGTCCCACAGTTCGATGACAAGAATCGGGTCCACTAATTCCTCCACTGGCTTCCGGAACATTCTCGTTTTCGTGTACGCCACCACCTTCTTCTCCCATGGATTGTAATCGAAGTTCAGCAAGAAACGCCAGTTGAACTCACCGGATCCGTCGAGAACTCGGAAGTGCGTATCCGTCTTGTGGCCTTTCGTCATTCCGTTTATGAATGCTTTAACGTAGAGATCCGAGACAGGCTCTGCAAAGCTTCGTTTAACCGGAATGGCTCCGCGAACGTCCATGATAGCAATTCGGAGTTGGTAGTTGATCGGCTTGCGAGGAGTAATGTTGAATGGAGCAGGAATAGAACCATACTCTAGCTGAAATAACTTCTATAGAAGCTGGTACAAGTACGGATGACTTACAGGAAAGATGTCAACGAACATGCGGAGTTCTCCTTTTTGAATGCGGCCGCATTTGTCAGAGAAGAGAGGCCTTGACTCGACGTGCTCGGGCACCAGATTGATTTGTCTGAGAATGAAAAGGGCAATAGTCTCCAACTGCGTTCCCATGATCCTCAGCTTCGCAGCCCTTCTCAATTCTCCATCTGCTGTCTCGGCGTGTTTCTCGGCACTCGCCTTCTTCTTCATCTTTTCTCTGCTTCTTTGTTTTTCCCATTTCGCCTTCTCCTTCTCCATTTCTAGATCTTCCTCGTCCCAACTTTCAACCGATTGGTCTCCGTTTCCACTTAATTTCTCTGTTTTATCATCGCTTCCTTCCTTTCCTGCTTTTTGCCGTTGTCCATTCAGAATCGCAGCTTCTTCTCTGGAAAATTCGAGGTTTTACTGACAATTTGATGAAATGGAATATACTTTTCATTGGCACGGGCAACATCTGAAAACCAGAACGTGACCTTCTCGATTGTAATTCCACTTTCATCTCCTTTCTCCGACTTTCTCGTTTCGATTTTTGGCGTCGTCAACATCATTCTGTAGCAGTACCTGGAAAAGAAATTTCAAAATTTCATTGGTGACCACGACAAAGAAGACTAACGTTTTCAGAATCTCCAACGGCGTCATCTGATCTCTCCACTGCTGTTCTCCTTGCACAGTGAACTGAGAACTGAGCCCGCAAGTGGCTCTCCATTTCGTGAGAAGACGATTCTCCAAATCGATGGTTGTCGATCCAATTTCTTGATCGGAAAGGATTCTCCGTTTGTCCATAACGGTAATCTGAAGATCCTTTTCCAACGGAATCGTGACTGTCATGTCGAATCGTTCTCCGAATATCGGATCCGTGCACTCGGAACGGTAGTTCTTCTTCAGGTTCACCTTCTGACTTCCGCATCGCGCCTTCACGTACGAGTCGACCCGCCCCTTCCGTGCATTTGAAATGAGTCCGTTTGCCTCGATTATGTACACTCGGACGAGACATTTTGTGGGCCCGACGAAGTCAACGACGGGATTGATTGCTGCCGGATTCTTTCCTTCTTTCAGTTTTGAAATGAGCAGTCTGCATTTGAGCTCTCCTGCTTTTTCTTTTTCTTCTGGATCGTCGAAGTTGCCTTTCATCGACTTGACGAAGGGAAGAGTGTCCAAAAAGTCGGTGAAGTTGTTGTACCCGTTCATTTCTTCGAGAGGACGTCGGAAAACACGGAGATACTCCATTCCCGATCTGAAACAAAATTGATGTTCGAATCAAACGGAAACAAGCAGAATACTCTGGGTATCCAGGGGCTCTGTGGAATTGTGACATCGAAGAATAGTATCTGCTCCACCAGTCCAGAGGGACCATCGGATCCTTACAGAGCGTCGGCACTCGCACCATCTTCACCACTTTTTCATGTTCTTCTTCAATAACTGCTTCAAACGTATCCCATTTTTCAGTTTCATCGGCTTTGGTCTGAAATTCAAAATACGTTCGTCAGAGTTCATTATTTGTTTTTGTTACTTTTGGATTGATGTGTGAAATGTATTTGTGCAGATCGGATATCAGACACGATCCGACAAGTGGTTTTCTGTTAAACGACCTGGCATCGAACAGATTGATGATAAACGGAGGAGAGAGTTCGAGAGCAGAGGGAAGGATTACTTCGGCGAACACTATCATAGGCTCTGGGAAATTCGGGTTTTTGCGGACATCTTTCAGTGGTTCCAGAGTGAACTCTTGATCTCCGACAGTCAACTCGACGAAAGGACGGCGGACAGCGAGCAGCTGAATTAAAATTTGTCTGACGATCTTTCGCATCAAACGCACCTTGTGTTTTTTGAGATTTCTGACTCCCCAGCAGAGGAATTGGATGTGATATCGGTCGAACTGTGGCCGGAAGTCTGACGGGATCACTCTTCGATCTTTCGTGTTCGGCTTCGCACCCGGCTCCAATGGAAGGAAGTCCTTGTCCTCTTCCTCGAACAGTTCGAAACAAGCCAGCACTGTTCCTCTCGTCCGATTCTTCGGGAATCTCAACGGGAACCAACGCGGCGTGCCTCGAGAGTCCGTTGTTGAGCAGATCACCGTCGGCATCGCTTCGAATTGTCCCAGATTGGCTTCTTCGTTATTCGCACATTCTCCGACCACTTCCACAGACACCAGTGGCGGATATCGCATTATATCGCGAGTTCCTCCTGCCACCAGAATGTTTTTGAAAATGACGGTCTCGTTCCAAATCGGATTCTGCGAGTTGTCCACGAGAAGAGTTTGCTTAGTGTACTGAGCGAATGAGATGCGAACAAAAGCTCGGGAGCTGTCTTTGACGACGGGAAGCAAGTCGTTTGCCCACATGATGTAGCACCGCAGTTGCCATTTCACCGTCTGCATCTGGTATTCGTAGAGACGGAGGATCGAGGATACTGTATCGGGACTGTAACAGAGAAAATGGGAGCGGTTTCGAACAGAAATGACAAACTCTTTGGGTTCCACTTCCATCAGGTACCGTCGTCTTCGGATTGAGTCTGTTCTATCTTCCAAATCGTGATACGGCCCTCCTTTTTTCGAAGTGTACTAAGAAAGGAATATTTTGATTTTCTACCACACTATCTGCTTTACCTCCCAATGTTCGTCGCTTCCGAGTGTCGCACGGAACGTTTCAAAGTTGTCATGCTCTTTATTGTGCGTTGCGAGCTTCCGTTTTCTCTTGATACAACGAATTCTGAAGTTGTGATGCTCCTTCTCCTCACGATCAGTGACCACTCCTTCTCCGAAGAAAACGCCGTTCGTTGAGTACGTCCATCCTTTTTGGTCTCCTTTGTTTCTGAACTTATCCGGAACCCACGAAGAGACTTCCCATCCCTTCGCCGCCTGATAGTCCTTCTCTTTCAGTTCGTCTCCGTAGCAGTCGGTGTACTTCATTCGTTTCCACCCACTTTCCGTACGTTTCTCCACTTCGTATGCTTTGTCGTGCACCACCTGATTGCCCAGTTCTTGAACGAACATTGCATGAGTGTTGATGACTACCCAATGACCGACAGCATTCCATCCATCCACAATCTCTGGGCTTCCTTCAATCTTCTCCGCTTTTCCGTTCGGCAATACTTTCGACTCATTATCCTTCCATTTCATCGAGATTCCTTTCGTTTGCACTTCGTAAATTTCCATAAAGCGTCTCACTTCTGCCGGTTGCACGTATTCTTCCCATTTGGAGAGTTGAGCGCTTCGTCCAAACCACATTTTGGCATGGAGAACAGCCACAAACTGAAACATTATGCTCAAGATGTTTGGAAAACATTTGTTTCGCTCACTTCTTTTCTATTTCTTTGGTCTAGAAGAGTCGGCCACTGTATGTTGATTTGTCGCGTACGTCCACACCAATCACCAGACTGTGCTTCGTCTTCGGATTGGAAGATTTCGGAAATGGGGATTTTGGCGAAACCAATCAGTTTCCCGTGAGACATCATTTTGATGAGAACGGGAGGAGTGGTCAGCTGGACGTCTTCAGCCAGTTCCAATGTCAGCGATCTGATTTGAAGTAGCATCCTGAGCAGTTTCGCATCCACTTCTTCATCTGAATAATCCACGTTGAATGCTCCATTCTCGAAGTGCTCTTTCAGTTTCAGAATCTTCCGTTTACGCGACTCCAGAATGCTCCGGTCAAGGAAATTTCCTAGAGAGAGGTTGACACGACTGAAAAAAATTTTCAGGAAAAAGCTGAAACATATGTTATTCTTACTTTAAGAACTTGCTGCCCGAGTTAATCATCTGCTCCAGATAGTCTAATGATTCGATTCCGACCGATGCGACATGATCGATTGCTCCGTTTCCAATGCGTCTCACCTCCCAGATCATTCGATCCAACATATTCGTCATCTTCATCAGCACGTTGCTCATTTCGATGCGGTCTTCGATTTCCTCAAAAACGCCGTTGACTTCGACGACAGGGCGGAGGTTTCCCCACGGCATCGCAAAGTATTTGCATCCATCCCAATTGGGAACTGCCTAAAAAAATGTACTAGCGTAGGTGACGAAAAGACGAAAACTATTTGAACGTACAGGAAAAGTCGAGCTGTTGCCGAACTTGACATCAGCATTCAGGCTTCCAAAAGAACCGATCGACATGAGAATGGAGATAGGATCCGAGGCGAACTGCGGGTTGATCATGTTCAAAGCACTCATCGAGCAGTAGGCGTTGTAGTGCTCCGTGTTGTTCTGAATAAAGGCTGTCAGCTGATATGATATTTGTTTGATTCTGTACCATAAATCTCTCCGCTTCTTTTATGGCCGAATGTTCGAGATGCATCCGATTCTCGTTCGATTCTCCCATGTCTTCCATACACTCAACAGCCATGAAAAGACGGGCGATAAACCTGCTGCCATCATGCGGAGATCCTTTTTTCCCCTTGGTGAACAGACGGAAGCGCGTGACCGTTTCACAATCGAAAAGATTCAGAAAAGCGGGTCCGAACGAGGGAAGGAATCCTGCTTCTCCGGGCTCGTAGATCTTCCTCATCGGAATCTTTGCCTTGCCAATGCATGTCTTACTTCGTCCCTTTTTAGTGAATAAAGAAAAGGTAATCTGAAACACCGAATTTTGAAATCGAGTGAAACAAGCCGGAAACCTCGGAAATGACAGTTGGCCATTGAATCGGAATATACACTTCCTGCTGGAACTTTACAGACGCTGTGGTGGCATCATCCTCCAGATATGCTTCTTCCTGAGTCGTCTCTGACTTTTCATTGCCACATTCAACGACCACGTAGAACGCTTGTTTCTTTTTGATACTTTTTTCGTTTATAATTTTACGAATGAGATTTTCGATCGAGAAAAAGCGAATCTGAAATGGCGCTTGTCTGGAAGCGTTCGAAGTGAGTCACTACCTACTTTCAGAGTATAGTCACTCAAATGAGCTCCGCTCCAAATTTGCTCTTTTCCGTCGTCGTCGATTAGTTGAGGCGGAGATTCGTCGACGCGGTAGACTGAGAGGGAAACTTTGAGAAATCCGCAGTTCTCGCACGCAAAATCATCCGGTTCGTCCTCTTCGATGCCAGGGAATCCGAGCGCGATCCATTTTCCGATGACCGACCGATCGGGACAATGAATCACTTCCGAGAGGTAGCAAGAGAACTCTCCGATGTTCGTTTCACCCATTCTTGTCGGACGAACAAGCTGAATAAGAGAGGTTATGGTTATTTAGTAGGAAGAGAAGCCGATTACTCTGATAGTGAGAGTTTTTGCGGCGAGCTTCTCGAGTGGCTGCTTTTTGATCGTGTACAAAATATTCTGTCGCCATTTCGGAGTTGCATGCGTCACAGTTCGAGTCATTTTGGACTTTCCGTCAAATATAGTTCGCACACGATTGGAGCCTAATAAGACTCATAACATTCATTAACATCAATTCAATGTTACCTGTGCTAACATCCTTCGCTTCGATGACTCGAATAAGCACATTCCACGTGGCTGGTTTGTCAGTGTCGTGCAGCTTTCTCTTACCGAAGTTCTTTCCATCATCCGGCAAGAGTTCGATATCCGAATTATCATCAGACATTTCCTGAACAACTCTTCCATCACCACAACAGCCACGTATCGACAAACCGTTTGATCAGATTTTCCAGTTGCATTAGTGCTCATTGATTTGCTCGAATCATTGTCAGACTCGTCCTCGTTTTTATTCTGTTCGCCTCCTGTTTCCTGAAAAGTCGTTCGATTCGGAATAGAAACAATCAGCGTTCTCACCGCATCGCTCGATGATTCTCCACCACTCAGTTTCTGTTTGACTTTTTTCAGTTTTTCTTTGACTCGCATCGCAAAAAGTGTTTGTGTTTGTCTGGCATCATTGCCTCGAGCATTCGGTGACGTGGCATCAAAACGCAAGAAATGTCACGTATTTCATTACGCGTAAAAACAAAGAAGAAAGAGTGATTGTGTATTTAAGGAGTGTGCGCAGACGGAAGGACGCAGACACTGCACTGAAGACTACAGTAATACGTTTCGAAGTAACCGTATTTATGGCGGTCCAACATAAAAGAACTGGGCAGAATAGAACTGGGCAGAATAGAACCGCGACACAATAGAACAGCGACATAATAGAACTGTTTTTCTGTATTTATATGAGCATTTTGTCCGTACCGTTCAATTAACAATTTTTCGTCTCTCGAACAATTAAGCAGAAGATCACAGTTTATACGGTTATTTTTAATTTATACCTAGAAAATTGGTTTCCTTTCGTTTTTGATAGTACAATAAATTTATTTTCTTCTCAACGGTAACGAAAACCCACATGTGGGAAAAAATATTTTTTTTTTCATTTTTTTCGTTTTTTTACGTCAATAAACCCAATTCAGCGATGTAAAAAAATACGAAAGAAAAACGGAAAACAAAAATACGCTGAACAGCCCCATAACGTAAAGGTTTTTGTTGGATCGAGCAACATTGCATTCTCGAAAGCTCTAAATAAATTTTAACATTTTAGCCGATGGAGCGAACGAGCGAAGCAGAACTGGGAGTTTTACAGGAACGGGAAGTCATTGCGTTTAGGGAAAAGAAGCATGGTATTCAACCAATAATTTACTGTAAAAATAGAATAAATTACTATTGACGTGTTGCATATTAGAAGCAGATTAGATTGAAGTTCGGTCATCTAGGCAAGTTTTGGTCATCTGGGCAAGTGAATCGAACGTTGTAGATGAGCAATTTGAGTCTTCTGAATATCACAGACATTTCACGCTCAACCAAAAAACCATTACCAATTGAGCAATTTCTCGATCTTTTGCGGCTAGTTTATCTGAAAGAAGCAATACGGCGCCTGTCGGTTTCTCTTCTCGGTCCATCCGAAGTCTGAGTCTGTCGAACTTTTCATAGAGTGCCGAATAATCCCTCTCCATTTGAATCAGTTTCTCTTGACTCTCGATCAATCTGTCTTGAGTCTAAAATACTCATTATTTCAACTGTTCTTAGGTTCCTCAATCACTCACCAGTTGCAAACTTTCCTTCAACTGGTAATAATCGGTTCTATCTGATTTCGGAGCTCGATGAATCTCTTCGTTATATTTTTCGTCCACAGATGTCATCTTATCGACCAACTTCCGACTTGCTCTTCTCTCCGACACGACTTCCACAGTTGTTCGTGACGTGGTTACAAGAGACGAATTCGGGAAAACTGGAGACGAAGAAGAAGAAGAAGAAGAAGAAGAAGAAGAGGAAGAAGAGGAAGAAGAAAGAGCTACAATAGACGCTGTCCTGCTTCTTACAGATGACCGCCTTTCCTGTCCCGGCGGCTCGATTCGATCCGTCTGTACTTCTTTCGACTGACTGACTGGCTTGATGACTGTCAGGGATCGATTCGTCTCTTCTCGTGCTCTTCTCACTTTTTCCGTCATCGCCTCGTTGTTCTCCTTTCGAATCTTTTCAATTTCCTTCAAATGTCGAGTTTTCACCGTTTCCAGTTCCGATCTCGTCCGCATTAAATTTCGATTGACAGCAGAAAGTTCCTCGTTCTTCTTCGTCACGCTCCCTTCCAGTACTTCCACCCGTTGCTGCCATTCTCGTGTTATTTGGAGTTTAATTACCTCAGGATCAGTCTATTCACAGAAATAATTGAAAACTCGAAGTTATGTTTCGAACAACTCACCGTTTTCAGTTTCCTCTGCAATCTGTCGATCTCCGAACTGCGCAATCCCTGATCGTTCCTCATCGTCTCGATCACTTTCTCTCTCTTCTCCAACTTCTCCACAAACTCCTTCTCTCCTTGTTCTTTTTCTGAAAATGATCGGTGTTCTGATGCTCGTTTGTCCATCGCTTACTCCTCAATCTCTCCCTCAACGATGCGATCACTTCATCCTGTCGTTTCCTTTTTTCCCATTCGTCCGGTTCATTCTGTAATCCACCCCATTCTTTTGTGTTAATTATTTTCTCAACAACCTTATTATTCCTTTTTTCGGTCAGCTGCTTCAGTTTGTTCACCTCTATTTTCAACTCTTCGTTCGCGTTCCTCAATGTTCTGTTCGTACTTCTCAATCTGTCCAGCTCCACGCGCATGTCAGTCATTCTTCGCTCGTCGCTGTTCTCGTTATTCCTGCGGAAAGTCGACAACTCGGCGAGAGCGTCCTCCTTTATCTGCTCACAAGTGGCCATCAACTCTTTGTTCGCCTTTGTCAGCCTCTGAATTCTCGCCTTCAAATCTCTGATCTCTGCCTTCTGTCGCATGTTCTCTCCGTCCTTCGAGTCCGATTTGGCCACCAGCTCCTGCAGTAACTGCATCTCCTCCTCCTGAATCATCCCATTATTTCTCTCATTCCCATTCGACTCCTACCAATGGGTGAACTCTTTCCGATTTGCCCGACTTGGGCACTTCTTCCTCTTTGTTTGTGTTATTCAGGTGAGATGGAGGAGCCGGAGACGTGTCCCTTTCCGTCTGCACTTCTGCTTCCTGGTACTCTCTCCTCTCCTCTGTTCTCGCAGAATCCTTCTGTTCCTTGTTTTCATCGTTCGTCATCTTTTCCGACTTCATTCTTCGTATTTCATCCTCCAGCTCTCGGATCTTCCTTTGCGAGTCCCTCAGTCTTTCTTCTGTTTCTCGGTCTGGCACTTCTACTTCTTGTTGCACAATCTCCACCTTCTCGATCACCTGAATTTCTCCAAATGTGGTTCACTCCCCATGCTTCGCTCTCACCTGTACTCCTTCGTCGATCTTCTCTCTCAGCAGTTGCTTGTACCTCTCGATCGCCACCTCCTTCAGTTCCAACTGCTCTTTGTAGCCTTGTACAGCCAGTTGTGCTGACGTTTTGATCTCTTTGATCCTGTTCTCAAACGCCTCCACGTTATCCTGCACGATAGTTCGAACGATAACTCTTTCAGAAGAAGACGCTTCTGAATGGGCGATCATTTCATTTGAATTGTGAGCAGTGTGTGTTACCTGATGAAGAAGTCTCACTCTTTATGTCCATTTCGTAGTCGCTGTCTTTGTCCGGACTCTCCTCTCCGATCCTCTGCTCTATCACCGGATACTCATTCCCTCTCTGACTGTTCTCCGTTTTTTGATGTGATTCTCTCCTTCCCACTCCTCTGAACTCTTTCATGTCTTCCAAAGTGCTTATCAACTCGAGATTCCACTGCCGCAGTTCCCTCAGTTCGTCGTTCAACTCGGCCACTCTCTGCTCCTTCAGATGCACCATTCTCTCGAATTGTTTCGCCTTCGCACTCTGTTGAGACGCCCTGAAGAATGCCTGCTGCATCTGTCTCTCGGCCACTTCGTTGTTGTTCGGCACTTGGATTTCCCGACCGTCAAACGTAGACATCACTTCGCTGAAATTAAAAAGTGCTATTCTGATTCCAATACGTTTTCCTTTACTTAGCAGTTCGCAAAGCCCGAACTCTGAGAATTTCCGTCTCCGTCTCCTCTCTGATCTTCTCGATGTTTTCCATTTTCGAAGTAATCTCGGTTTCCTTCTGCCTCGCCTCGAATATGTTTGATCGGAGCAATTCCAATTGCTGCAGACTGACTGTTCCCATCGCCTGATCTCTCAACACCTGCCAATTCTTTATTCCAGCCCGTTCGTTTCCATTTCCTACCTTATTCTCCCTCTGCAACACGTTGATCACATTCCGAAGGGCCATCCGTTCCTGTCTGATTCTCTCCGAATCCCTCGCCGTCTCTGCGTCGAGTCCTCTCTGCTTCTTCTTCTCTCTCAAGTAGTCTCTCTCATTCTCTCTCAGCTCTCGAATTGTGCCGAGAAGACGTCGTTCGACTGCTCCGAGCACACTCTTCAAATCGCTTTCGTTCTCCACGTCCTCAATGAACTTCTTGAGTTCCTCGTTCTCCGCCTGAAGCATTGCTGCTTCCTGGTTCCAGAAGTCACTTTGATCCGACACAACATCAATCATTTTCTGAAAAGAGCAGGCATGAGAGCGCTCCGGTCCCTTTCAGATACCTTCAACATATTTTCCCTCGCCTCCATCTCTGCTTCCACGGGATTCTTCGCGAAGACAGCCAGTTCCGGGCGGGCCAGTTCCTCGTTGTTCGTCTCCACACCGGTGCTCTCCTTCATCACCCTCTTGTACTTCCTCATAAATTTGTCGTATTCCTCCGTCGGCACACTCTGCAGCACTCTCGTCTGCAGCTTTCCGATCTCAATTGTGGCCGCGTCCACTTCGTATTTCAGTTTGGTTATCGTCCGCTGAGCACTCACTTCGTGGTCTCTCAACATTTCCCTCGCCCTCTTCGAACTACCTTCCAACCGTTCCACTTTCGTTCTCAGAATGGTGCACTGTCGTGTGAATCTGAAACGAAACAGTCTCTTCCGAATGTGATTGTCTGACTCACCGCATTCGCTCCATTCGCTCTGTCACCAACATTCTCGTCGCCTCTCCCATTCGTCGCTCCAATTCCGTTCCGCCCATGTTAATGGATTCGACGAGTCTCTGGAGTTCCATCGATTCCGTGTCCTTCAGCTCGTTCAATGTCCTCTCCTCGACCATCAAATTCTCTTTTTTCAGTTTCCGAATATCCTCGTAAGCCATCTCCAATTGCGCTTTCATCTCTTGGTAGTTCCGTTGAGTTAGCTTCCATGACTTGTGAATTTCTGTCAGTTTCTCATCTTTGTACGATATTTCCTCCAGGAGCTGCATCAGTTCATAATAAAGATTCGAGATGAGCACGGCTTGCTGCGCCACATCGGAAAAGTCGGTGATCCGGGGAACAGTGGCTGTTTGCTCGGGTTGAAGGGGAACATTGGGACGAGCGCGTTCCGTTTGTGAAGGTAGATCTTCAATGACTCGTGGCGACGGCTTCGCAGGTGCTTTCGGCTCCACTTCTTTCGGTGTCGCATCCTTCTTGGACAAGAGAAGCATGTCTGGCCTCTTGATCACTCTCGGAGGCTTTGGCGTCACAATTGGCTGGTAGCTTCCTTCCGCATACCTGAATCAACTTCTCGTTCTCTTTTCAACAGTCTGTATCTCACCTTCCCAGCTCAATCTGCAGCAGTGTACAGTGGTGCTGCAACTTCTCTATCTGATCATCGCGGAACTTCATTTGCTTCTCCAGTCTACTGATTTCTTCTCTCGCAGATCCGAACTTTGCCTGTAACTCATTACGCTTTCAATTGTTGCCCCTCGTGACTTACGTCTTTCAGTCTGTTCAGCTCACTGAGCACATCTCCGTTGTTCTCATCCTTCTGTTCGATCGTGAATTGCATCTCCTCCATCGTCTTCTTCTGCTTCTCTTTCTCTTCATTCAATTGCTCCAACGAGTGCTCCAACTGCAGTATTCTCATCTGGAGAGTCGTCGTCTGATCCTGCCCAGGCACCTCCGCCATCGCCTCTCCGAACAGATTCCTCGCGAGCGTCGTCGCTTCCACGAGTTCCTTCTTCAGCTGCTCCAACTCTTGCTCCTTCTCTCCCGTCCTATCCTCCCTTATCATCAATCTCATCCTGTTTGATTCCTCCACCACTGCTCCGAGCTCTTCTTGCAATGTCCTGATGCGCTCTTCTCCTCGCTCGATCCGCTCTTTCTGCTCTTCTGATTCTGCTAGTCCTGTCGCAACTGACAGTTCTTTCAAGTCTTCTTCATTCAGAAACTTTGGAGCCAACATCTCAGCCACTTCCATCAAAAACTTCACTTTATCTTCAGGACTCCCAGTGAGCATCTTCTCCGCCGCCGAAATGCACTGTGGGATGTGCTCGACGAGTTCCTCCGGCAATATTTCAGTGAGTCGTCTGTTCTGGTTGTACAGCTCCTCCACTCTCAACTGACTCACTTCCAATCGGTTCGTCATGTCGGTGTATCTGAACGTGTTCAAATGTATTCAGTTGTCTTCTGATGGTACCTGAGAGCACTCTGCTCAATTATCCGCGTGGCTTCTTCGAGAGCACCGCTCACTCGGTCGATCTCTTGCCTCAGCTGCTCATTCTGCGTCACTACGGCCTGAAATGGACATTCCCACCCCATTCCTTCGTCTCATTGTCTCACCTGCATCTGTCTACTGATCGTGAGTACTTGTTCGTTTCTCATTTTCAGTTTCTTGCTCTCCCACTCGCCTCCAGTGTCTTCCGTTTTCGCCGACAGTCTTCTGTTCAACTCTCTGATCGTGTCTTCCAGTTGCGTTTTCTGAACAGAGCAAACATTCGAAGAGGAAACCAGGAGACAACTTGACCCACATGGTCGGAAAGGGCGTCTCTTTCCCTGGATAGGGTGTCGACTCTCGATGCGAGGTTCTCGAACCGGTCCCTCTGGTCCGCCATTTCCCGGTCTCTGTCCCGATTCGACTGCTGCAACTGTCTGTTTTCCTCCTTCAGACTGTCGATTTGTGCTCTGCAAATGCTCTTTCATTTCTTTTTATTTCCTCCTCTCGGCCGACCTAAATGCTTCCGTCGAGTCTCCAACGTCCGCTTTCGAAGTAATTCTGTCCCTGAGTGAATCGATTTCGGCATTCAACGCCGCCTTTTGCTCTTCCCACTGATCCTCCTTCTCCGCCATCTGCACGGCTTCATGCTCTGCCACGTCACGCAACTCTTCTGCCGCAGTGAACCCGAATCCCATCAGATACCGAGCACCATTATAAAGGAGCTCTATTTCGGGTTGGCTCTCGGAGCCCTCTATTTCATACTAAAGTTGTATTTTCTATTGAAATATCAAACAATTCACTCACCTCGGCCAACCGATCGTACCACGTCTTGACCTCCTCTTCTGTCGGACCATCCTTCTGCAGAAACTCCTCTAATTGTGGATAGCTAATTGCTGCCAACTGGGACATTGGAGCACAGAGTACAAGTGTGTGGGTGAGTGCAAAGTGGGCAAGATCGGTGTCGCCGCAAGTCGGTTGTCAAGGGAAACGAAGGAGTGAAAGGGCTCGGAGAGGGCCGAGAAGTCGTCCGGATCCGAGACGCCCTTACGCCTAATTGCGTGCTGCACTGCCGTAATCCGCCTCCGAAGCCAAACCAGTTGTAACCAATAACTCTGGCGGCGAAAGGATCACGAACAATATCCGTTTCCATTCATCCTCTGACACCGATGTTTTGACCGGTCTCTCTGTGCTGTAAAGTATCACATTGAGTCTGGATGGACATCTTTCCCAATTGGAAGGTGTGTTTGTTTTTTGCTAAATTTGATATTACCGTAGTCAACTACAAAATGGAGCTTTCTGTTGTTTGTTTGTACAACTGTTACTAACGTTTACAAACATTGGAATCGAATACATACAACTTTCGGTTTCATGGCACACTTTTCCCTTTTTGTGTTTGTTTGTCCTCAGTTCATTCGGCTGATAACTCCCGGCCGCTCCTCTTTCTTTCTTTCTAAATACCTCCATTGTTTCCTGTTTGCCTCACCCCCCCCCCCCCATTCTTCGCGCACTCTCTGTTTTCCATCCGTGTCCTCTCTCTTTCCTCTCTGTCTCTACTCATTCCTCTCTCTCTCTCTCTCCCTTTTCGAGGAAACTGCTCTCCGATCGATGTGCATCTTCATCTGCTTTTTTCTGGAATTCCCCTCTGAAATAGCTCCGTTTCGGCGCCCGACACGTGGTCGTTTTCCCCTCATTTATCGTGGAATCGAATCGATTTGCAGCCCGTCTGCGTCTCGTTTTCCTTTCAACTTTAAACATTTTGTTTTTTGTTTTTTGTATTCATTCATCGAATTCTAGAGAAAAATGGAGATGCACAGAGGAAAGCAAGGCCTTAAGAGGCAAAATCTTCGTATACTTCACTTCATTTTAGACTTATTCTGTAGCCAGGGAATGTTAGGTAAACGTGAAACACTGCCACGTCATACTGTTCACCCTCCTTTGACAATTTCCGCCCCGAAAGCTTCCTCTCTCTCTCTCTCTCTCTCTCTCTCTCTCTCTCTCTCTCCTTCTTTCTGTGTCAACTAGGTGGCAATCTCCTATCGATTCGATGTTTTCCGCTTCCTCCTAATCCAATTTTTCTTCCGTTTTCTCTCTCATTTCTCTCCTCCAATCGAGGTCATCTGCTCGATTTTCAAAGTTTTTCGTCTTTGCAGAAAACTGCTCGTTTCTCCTCTTTTTCGACGAATGGACGGGCCGAGAGGTTGAACGACGCAGGGAAACGAGAGCCAGAGAGAGAGCGAGAGCCAGAGAAAGTGAGTGTGGAATTGATGGACACGTGGGGGCACGACAATCATGTTTCACGCGGAAATGGAGCTGACTCTTGCAGAAGTTTGAATGCGACTACCTCCGTTCTCCGCTTCCACTCATCACTTGCTCGAGTCTTCGCCAGGCGACGATCCGGGTCCTTCGGGTACTCAACGCATCGATGACGTCTCTCATCTGTGTCCCTTCCCTTTTCAGAATCAATTGCACTACAAACACGGGTATCTGCTGCTGAGAAACTTGTCGCCGAAATCAGCGACGACAGCGACGACGAAGAGGAGCTTCACTTCAGAAGCGACAACGAGACGAATCCTAATCAAACATACAGAGAAATGGTACTCAGAATAGCGCTGATCGCGTTGCTCTACTATCCGTTGTCTATAGGACTGACCTTCTATCAAAAATGGTTCATAAAGGTAAATTCTCTTTTGTGGGGTTGGCCAGAAAACGATCGATACCCTTCCAGAACTATAAACTGCCTCTTCTGGTTGTGAGCGGCCACTACATCCTCAAATGGTTCTTCGCAGTGATCATCCGATTCGTTTACGAATGTGTCCGATCCCCGCGAATGCGAGTTTCGTTCCGAGACCAGATGAGATGGCTGGCTCCGATCGGAATCTGTGCGTCGATGGACATCGGACTCTCCAACTGGGCCCTCGAGTACGTGACCGTCAGTCTGTACACGATGGCCAAGTCCTCTTCCATCCTTTTCATCGTCGCGTTCGCCCTTCTGCTCCGGTTGGAAAGGTGGCGGAACTCTCTCGGATTCGAGACGGGACTCATCGCCGCCGGGCTCTTTCTGTTCACTTGGAAGTCTTCTCAGCTCGATCTGACCGGTCTCCTGCTCGTTGAGCTGGCAGCCGCTTGCACTGGAGTCCGGTGGACCGTCTCTCAGATGGTCATGCAAAGGGACGATTCTGCGGTCCGTCACCCGCTTGACATGGTCGCGCACGTCCAGCCGTGGATGATGATCCCGATCGTGCCGATGATTTGGCTGTTCGAGGGCGCCGAGATCAACTGGCAGTCCGTTTTCTCGTTCCAAGGAGTCTACGATCCGTGGACGGTGCTCGGTCTGATTGCCGGAGGAGGCCTTCTCGCGTTCTGCATGGAGATGAGTGGTGAGCTGCCGTAATCTGGGTGCCCTCCCTTAATGCCGTCGTCTTTCAGAGTATCTTCTATTGGTGAACACTTCCGGAATCACCCTGAACATCTTTGGAATTGTGAAGGAAGTGGCCACCCTGCTGCTCGCGCACCTCATCAACCAGGACACGCTCTCGGAAGTGAACATCTGCGGACTGATCCTGTGTCTCGCGGGAATGCTCCTGCACGGAATGAACAAAAGACGCCAAAGGTGAGTCCCGCCCCGCCTGTTTCTCTCTTTCAAACTCTGCCCGTGCAGGCTGATCCGCAGTCTCGCCGACGCCGATCATCAGTACTCTTTGCTTTCGAAATCGGTCTGATCTGTAAGAAAGTGCCGTTGTTCTCGTGTCCAGTCCCACTTCTTCTCCCCTGTTTTTCTCTCCTCGACCACCTTTCCTTTATTTCAGAGCTCCGCGAGCAGTTCATCATCCGCAATCTATTAAAAGCGACGATGCACGGAAGCTGCTGTCCTCCGAGGATCTTGATGCTTGAGTCCCTTCCCCATCCGATTCCCCCTTTTCCTCTGTTCGGGTTTTCTGTTTTTTTCTTTGTTTGTTCATTTTTTCTCGTCCCGCAATAAATGTTTATATTCATTTTTGACACCTTTTCGCCCATAAATACGGACATCTAAAATATTCTCGGATACAATAAATACGTAGAAAACCCGGTAGTTTCCGGGCGGGGCCTAACACAACTGTTATTAATGGTCATGAAAAAATGAAGATGGGAAGAGAGTTTATCACAGACCAATACATAAGCAAATACGATAAAATTTGAGGGGGGTGAAATTCATTCTAAAACCAAGAAGTATTCATATTTCGGTTAATAAGAGGGGAGGAAATGATGTTTCGGAAATCCCATTTTTTTCCAGCAAAGTCAAACGGAAAAGGCACGAGTAGTTTCTATAACAGGCGAAGAAGAAAAAGCAATCTAGGAAGCGACAAGCAAACTCTGACGTCCGGAAGAAAGAAGACGAATGCTTTCCGCATATGTACAAAAAATGAGCTGTGAATGTCAATGATGACTCGCAGAGACATCCCAAAAAAATTTCAGTCGGGGGAAATGGGTAAAAATATCACATTGTGAGGGAACAAAGAATTGAAGGGGAATCGAATTGAAAAAGGAAGACGATGTACGATTCGGAAAACAGAGAATAAAGAGACTGGAGAAGAAGACGCGGGAAGAGGAGAGTGGTACCGGTTTCGAGTTGATTACAGATTGAACGTACACGCATCGTGACCTGAAAGCAGAAGGATCTGACTATGAGTGAGAGAGAGAAAACGGAGAAACGTACCAGAGCTTACTTGCTGAACGCTTCGAACACCGCCCACATCACGTCATTTCCCTTCTTCTCCGCCTGCTGATCGTAGTCAAGGTCGAGCAGACTACGAACTCGTTTCATGGCGACCTGCAATGAACTCGTACTTGCATAGCTCTTCCGATTTTTTTGTCACCTCGTAATCCTGATCGGAGAGCGGAGCGAATGCGTTCTCGAGCACGTCACTAGCGTGAGCCAGCACGATCAGAGAAAGCATCTTCTTGTCCATGCGATGCACATCGTTCGTCCACTTTCCAAGCACGGCTTCCTGCACTTCCTTGATCAGTTTGGTCTTCTGATTTCCGTCTGACAGAGGGTGTGTCGTGATCTCGAACAACAGGAAATTCTGCTTGTCCGTAGTCAGAACGCCCTTCTCGACCAAATTTTTGGCGAGTCTCTCACGCACATTTCGCAGCTGATAACGCAATTTCAACGGATTCCACGTCTCTCCGGACAAATACTCGATCCAGCTGGTCACAGTCTCCGGCGGATTCGTCTCTTTCATGTGACGAAGAGCCTCATCCAGAATGACGTCTCCCGTCGGCTCGCTGCTTTTCACCGTGACCTGAAGAGAAATGGGAACGGTGATTATGACAAAAAAAGGCGGGGAGAACCTTTCGGTTGAGCAGATTCTTGCGACGCATGCCTCCACCTTCAAGCTGAATGCGTCCACGAAGCACAAGCTCAACGAGCACACACCCACGGAGTCCAGACGATATGCAGTCGTTCCAGAACGAGGTGTATCCCTCTCGATCCTTGAGCCCGAGCAGCAGAATCTGCTCCATCAGAGTCAGTCTCGTTCCTTTGTCATTGTCTTCCTGATCCGACGACTGTGCCGAATCGCCGCTTCCTTCGTCATTCTTCTCGGTGGTCGGCTGAAAACAAATATTTTTGTTTTCCAATTTCACTTGTTTCCAATAACCTCCTCAACCTTTTTGCGTCTCTGCACCAGTTGACCCTCTGACATATCCGATTATTAGAGTATTATATATCGAAACTGATGACAACTGGCGGAATGCGTTGATCCGAAACTTCTGAAATGAAAATTTTTGTTTTTTCGCGTGGTATGAAACTTTAAGAAGTTTAACACGAAAAAAACAACACGGAATCTCTTTCCCTCTAAGAATTTGCTTCCTACAGCTTTTCGCCTTCACTTTTCAGGGTAGAAAACATTCGAAATCGGCTAGTCATTCGAAGAATATGCTTCTTCCCAGATGATATCGAGGAACCAGTCCACGTCGTGGATGGAGCCTTCAGATCTTCGACAACGATAAACTTTGGAGACAAAGCGATGCGAGGACAGGATAAGCACGCCGTCGGACGGTGCACCCAAAGTCCAGCACGTCACCGTTTTTTAAGAATTCTAATAGAGGACTCGCCACGTTGCAAATCAGTAATCAATCGATATTGATGCGATGGAGATGAAAATGTGGCTTCCACAAAAGGGTGTCCGGACGCTCTTTTTTATATTTCTCACATCGCAACTTTATTGCGATGCGTCGCGTCCTTTCAACACAATACAAATGGAAAGCTCTCTTTCGGCTTGGCAAACAAACTTTTCGTTCCGTTTTAGTCAAAGAATACATCGAAAGAATACGCCGATTTTAAAAAGCTAAACTGAGAGTAGATTAACGAGATGACGTCATTACTGTCGTGGCTTCTTTTTTCGCTAGTACTAAGAAGTCGGATGACACGTTCGACAACTGAACACGATGAGAAAACGTTTCCATTTGAGCAGGACGAAGAGGGGACATTCGTCTTTTGTTTAGACAGCTTTACAGATCTCTCCTCAATGCACAAAATTTGGATGTTCAATGAGAATAAAAGCATCTGGTCACGTGAAACAGCTGAAAGAGCTTGTGATTGAAAGTTACGGAATGAGTGTGTAATGCGAAAGTTCTCGATCGGACTGATGGAGGTTGCTTATCAAAGGGCGTTGCTGGTGGGCTTTATCGGAGGAGAGGAAGAGCGGGAGGAAGAGCCACAGAAGTGATGATAGAATGAAGTGAACACATAGAAAAGTTGACGAAATATTGAACATATGAATAATTGTAATGAATAGTTTGGGCGGAAAGGGACGGAACGGGCCGCAAAGCCAGTATCGGGAGGGAGCGTTTCGATTGGAAATACGGGCAAAAGAGAGGCGAGAAGTGGGAGACGCCAGGAAGAAGAGGGTTGCGACGTGGCGAGAGAGGGAGCAGACGTAAAGGAGAGAGAGGAGAGAACCGAGAGACGAGAGAAACGAGGGACGAGCCGGACGGAGACCGGCGGAGAGAATGACGGACGGTGGCGGTGACGAAGCGACGACACACTTGTTTTAGGAAGACGTGTGAAGGGCTGGGAACATTTCACTTTCTCGACGGTTAAAAAAGTTAAGAGAGAGTAAAAGTACGAACGACTGCGAAAAATTGAAGTTCATACGACCTAATTAACCCATTTGCAATCATTCAGCGTTTTCTGAAGACAATCAGAAGCTGAAAACTGGAGAGACGCATTTTTATGGGATTTTAAATTATTCGGATCTCTTTGAAAATATAGAAACAGAGAGAATAGAAAGTGTATTTGACACGAAAGTTCATATTACGCTCCGATTCGCGTTGCCACGTCGATAAAATCGCAATAAATATCGGAGAGTACTTTTGAGGATCATGTGTTTTATTGCTTTTTGTAACTGCGTATTTTCGAACCAGGTAAATACGAAAACAGACAGGACGCGTTGCTCTAATTTAAAGAATTAGAACACTTTGATGAGGCTAAAAATATTAGCGGTACTGATAAACGGGAACAAATACAGAAGGAAATGCCTACAATAAATTAATAACCCGATTTACAGACTGAAAAATCAGCTGGAAAACAACACGTTCGAGGAAACACTTTAATTTTTCTTTATATTTCCATTGTTCGTGTGCAGTGGAGCGCACTTGCTGCAGAATGTGTGCACTCAAGCGGCGCGGTGTTTGCGGGCACTGCAGAGTAGCAAACGCGCTCTAATGCGAATCCGGAGCAAAAATTTGAGTGTTTACGGGCTCGAATTCAAATTTACTATTTCAGAATGAAACCACGCGACTCACTTGACGAAAGGAGAAGACAACTAACGTATTATACCTCCTGTACTGCCGGAACATGCCAGTGTGTCGGCTTCAGACCTGTTTTGAACCACGAAGACGAGGTCAATACTGAAAAATCGATGCCAAGTACAATTAAAACTAAATAGATTTCAGACTTTGGAACGGCGAGCAAGCAGAGCTGAAAGGGACAATGAGTACGCACCGATGATGAGAGATTTGGATGCGTTGGGAAGCGACGAGATGATAGAATGCCGGGTGTGCGGTCATTCCATAAGTAAGTTGATGAATTAGATTGAAGCACGAATTATATGTACTCTTTTGTTCAGCTTTCCATGCCGAATCAATAAAATCTCTGTCAGAAGATGAAGTAAGCATGTACGCGAATCGTATTTCTGATTTACGCGCCGTCTGCTCCGAGCTGAACGCGATAGAGTCTTCCAATCAGTCTCTTCAGGTAACCTAGTAATGGTCTGATATCTATAACGCAAAGATATTTCAGACACTGTACATGACAATGCAAGTTCTACTCAAATCGCTCCGAACCCTGACTCCAATCGACGCTCCCTTCATTGGAAAACCCAACTTCGAGCCAGATTCGTGCAGCCCGTACATCCTCGTCAAGAAGTTTATTGCCTCTCGGCCAGTTGACAATGCGTGAGTGTAATTTCCCGTCTCTCTGATTATTCCCCCAAAAAGTTCAGTGAAAAACAACGACTCGCGGAAATTGGAACTCTCATTCTGACCGAAATGAACCACTGGAAATTGGATACGTACGAGAAGTTGATGTCGAAGTGTAAGTGGAGAGATGTTCCGTTCAAGTTTCATTTGACGACTATTCAGTGAAAGAGCCACTGGAACAAGGCAGCTTCCGGTATATGTACCTCCGAATGGACTATTATGTCAACATGCCTCCCAAGTATCTTTCTTTCAAGCAGTATCAGGTGAACTATACAATTGCAACACTATTCTTATTAAAAAAAATATTCAGACAGTCGACATTTTCGGTGAAAAGTTCACGATTCTCTTCTGCGACTTCTTGATTAATGCGATGACGTCGAGCGGTTACAAGCCGTACGGAATCTCTGAAAACGATATTGAAGAGGTAGAATTTGTGTTTTAATAGGATTGATTTAACATATTTCAGAATATCGACGATTTGGTGGACTTTGTTGCAGAAATGAAGGCGTGGCTGAAAGGCGAAGAGCCTTCCTCAGAAGGACCATCGACTAGCCGTAGAAAGGAATCTGTAGGCCTGTCGATAGACGATATCGTTCTGAGATACGTGAAGAGAAAGAAGCCGTCGGACGAATCGGAGTGCTCATCGCCAAGAAACGCTTCTTCGTCAGAATCCGAAGCTCCACGTCGTCGCAAGAAGGATCGGGACTCCGTTCTGTCTTCCCAACCGTCCACCTCTTCAAGTGCCGCCAAGAAGTCTTCGGAGACGGAGGATTCCACAGCAGTTCTGAGGGCACTTATTCGAGCGATTAAACTCGACGGAGATATGGATGCTATGGAGATGAAAACAAAAATAGAGTTTGAAGCGTTGAACACGGAGGTCTCGCGAGGAATGAGCGCTCTACAGGAGGAGGAGTCCGGTCTCATCGAGTTCCGAGTCATCGGAAACGACCTCGATCCGTTCCAACATCACGAACAACTCGCGCAACTCGTCGAACTCCAGATTCTTTTCGGAGTCCAACTACCAAAGATGCCGAAAGATTACGTGACTCGCCTGATATTCGACTCTCGCCATCAGAATATGGTCATACTGAAAAAAGACGTCGGAGTGATAGGAGGCATCTGTTTTCGACAGTTTCCATCCCGCGGCTTCGTGGAGATTGTTTTCTGTGCGATCACTGCGATGGAGCAAGTAAAAGGATACGGTACACATCTGATGAATCACTGCAAAGATTACATGATCAAGAACAAGATCTACCACATGCTCACTTTTGCCGATGAATTTGCAATAGGATACTTCACGTGAGAAATTAACAGAAAAAGAAAAATTTGTGCAAGTTTTCAGAAAACAAGGTTTCTCTGATAAACTTGAAATAAATTCGGTAGTCTATCAGGGATGGATAAAAGAATACGAAGGAGCCACGTTGATGGGATGTCATCTTCATCCACAGTAAGAATGGCACAGAACGGAACTACTTCAGAGCTTTTCGTTTTTCAGAATTTCGTACACAAAGTTTCCTGATTTTTCGAAGGGCATTCAGGCATTGCACTGTGGATACAAACCGGAAAACGGATCAGAGAGCAGAGGGAAAGTGTTCGGAGGACTCGAGCACTTGTTCCGAGAGAGTGAGAACTATCATCGGACGATTTGAAACATTTCCAAAGCTTCTTGACTTTAGGTTCCCCACCGCTTCTGGAACTTCGCAAAGTACCTGGCACGGAGGCGCTGAAGATGAGTAAGAAGACGTGCTATCAACTGGATGAGCGGGACGACGACCTAGAGCCGAAGATTGCTTCAATTCTCAAAAAATTGAACGCCGACAAGAATGCGTGGCCGTTCGCGAAGCCCGTAGACGCCCGTGAAGTCCCCGAATACTACGATTTCACCCAGCATCCGATAGATCTGAAAACGATGCAGGACAAGTTGAAGCGAAAGGTTTACGTTCATGTGAGTCGACTCATTCTGACGAATATTACAAATCATTCATTTGCAGCAGCACTTATTCATCGCCGACTTGACAAGAATGTTCCAAAACTGTTACGCATTCAACGGAGTGACCACCGTCTACTATCGGATGGCGTACAAAATGAACGAATTGGCTCTAAAACTTCTGAAGATGTCCTTCCCTTACAGCTCTTTTTATCCGGATCTTCCTGCACGCAAACCCCACTGAATGAGCCTATTTCGTTTTGTAAATAACTAAACTAACTATTTATTTATTGCCTTCTGATCTCTATATGCATATATTCTTGATAAATAATAACAGATTTTATTGGGTGAAGAGACCGCAAATCAAATGAAGAAAGAGGTACCGGTATACATACAAACAGCTCAGTCTGAAACCTTTTGAAACCAATATGGTCTAAAGAATAAATGAAAAAAGAACTAGGAGACGACGATCAAATGACATAAATCGCAAGTTTTTGCACAATCACGAGCCATTGTCGATTGAGAAGTGCTGAAAAAGAGGAGAAGTTTAGGGAAGACATATCGGAGTTACCGGCAGATATTCGGAGAGGTTTGGAGCCAATACGCACAGCCGGAGAGCCGGTCGGAGCATTTCTCCTGGCGCAAACGGCTCAATTCAGTCTCCCGATCTAAATAGAGCACATTCGGAAAAAAGACGGAAAAAGAAGAAAAAGAAGAAGCATGAGGTGCAATGCACTAGCAACTACGGTAATCTTCATGCGATCAACAAACTTTTCGCCTCAGAAAACCAGTGTTTCCGCTCACGATTCTGCGAGTTAATTCTGAATATTCGATTTGATTTACTTCTGTTTGACCTGCAAGAATCAGAGTTTTCCCTCACTCACTCCGAGATGACTTCCATTGGCTGGCGACCTCGTCCAGCACGACGGTCACTCCCGCCCATGTCTCCTTGGCCGTCGGGACCAACTGATCCTTATCGAGAACGAATCCATTCCATTCTGAATTCGAAGAGAAATTCTATGAAGAATCGGAGCGGGAAGGACCTATGATACCTTCGTAACCGGGTCTCAGTTCGATTGTGTACGAGTACTTGATCTTTAGAGTTTCCTTCGCCCAATCGGTTGAACCGCCCGAGAATGCGTCTGTAAACGGAGAGGTGGGTGAAGAAGAAAACTAAACGTTTCGAAGGCTTTTTGAGGTCTGAACTTTTGACCCAGATAACCCGATCGGTCTGAAACTTGGACAATCCCAGTCCAAGAAGATTGCAAAGTTTGGGCCGATGTCGTTCAAAAGTTCAGGTCTCGAAAAGGCATGGAACGAACAGATAATTTCGGGTCCGGTGCCGTGGCGGTACTTGGTTCCGTACATTCTTCCGAGTTCTTGCACCGCCTTCGCAGCGACTCTTCTCTGAAAAACGGCATTTGCAATCATTCTCCTCTCGGATTCTCTTCACTCACAGTCTCGTCAATATCAGGAGCGTAGGTGAACTTTCTGTGAGAATACGAATAAATCCAGAGTTGCGAGTACGAATGGAGCGTGACGTAGGCCTCCATTCGTCCCTTCAGAGACAACAAGAACTGAGAATAGGCCCTGCAAATGGTGGATTCTTCTCTTCTGTCCCGACGTTCTCGTTCTCACTTGGACTCGGGCTCGCTGAATGCAGAAGAGCCGTGGTAAATCTCAGAGCACGGATAGCGGGAGGACCCGATTTCGGCGAATCGGAAGTCAAAGTTCCGGTTGAGGTCGACGCCCATGCAGCACGCATTTCGGGCTCCGTCGAACGCGCACGTCTTCGGGGAACGCGACTTTCTCCACATTCTCGCCTGAAAACAGCACAGATTGGACGGTGTGCTCGCAAGGAAATCGCTCACTCTCGGGTTGGTCTTGTCCGTTCGCGTGTATTCGTATCCGTCTGGATTCAGAACTGGAATTATGTAGATGACGAGGTTGTCGAGGTAATTCTGGATCTGTGGATCCTCCTCCCGACTGTTCACAATCTGAATTCACTCTTTTCTTTTCCCTACTCTAGGATGGGTCCGGTACCAGATTAATAAAGTAGGAGGCAGTGTGGATGGCGGCCCATTCTCTCGCGTGAATTCCCGCGTCGATCACCACAATCTTCTTGTCTGGGGTGTCTTTTCCGAACTTGAGACCCAGAATTTCTCTTCCTTCCACACTCGTTCCCACTTTTATGAGCTTCGCAATGTCCGGCATGTTCTCGGCGATTCTCTGAAGCCACGTGGAGAGCACCGAATACGAATAGTACTCTCCCATTCTGCAATGAACTCTCCATAAAAGAACGATAAAGTGAGTACCTGAGTCGGGAATGGAATCCGACGTCGTCGTGAAACCGTTTCAAGAAGACCTCCTCGTCAGATGTGTGAACGGCCAGATCGCCTTCCTTTTCTTCGAGAAGCGATTTCAAATCCTCGATCGCCACTTGAAATGTGTATCCGTGCTTCTCCAGATAACTGTGAAACTGCTCCGTGTGCTCCGGAGCCACCATTATGTCGACTGTTCCGTTGACCACACTGGGCGCGTGCCAGAAGTCGGCCCTTTCAGTGTCTGCAGTCTCGAACAAGCGGATCATTTGGAGCAATTGCTGATTGGTGGTAGGGAGAACACGGAATACTTTGAATGCTCCGTCGGAAGAGCAATGGCACTGAATGAGCAGGCAAGCGGCTAGAATCACCCGTAAAATCATCTGAAAGTGTGGTCATTGATGTATGAACGGCAACGAATTTGCGGAAGAGAAATGTTCAAGGAAGTGAGAGAGAGAGAGATGCGATTAGCTGAATGGTTTGCCATTCGGGGGCTGTACAAAGGTACGAAGCGCGTGTGACGGAGGCAGAATTACACCGTCCGCCGAGGGTGTCTGAAGGTTGCGAAGGCAAGGAAAGAGGTGGGAGAGACGTGGAAGGGGGAGAAGCAGAAGGTGTTCTGGGCCAACCTTTGAAGGAGATTACTGCGGATGGCAGAACACTGTGTTCATTTTCGAAAACAGCCCTGAAAAGGGGGAAAGAGTCAGAATGAATCGCCCTCACAGTGCCCTTATTTCTGCCAAGTGAAGATTGTCCAATTGTCAGAACCGGTCCCGAGACAAAAAAGGTCTCTGTACTAAAATCGAAAAGGGCCTTCCTTCTATCGTTGTCATTGTCATTTCGTTGGCGCGGTGGCGAGGAAAACGAAAGAAGAGGAGAAGGCTTGTTATCGAAATAAAAGTGACTGTGTTAACCTTGAGAAGAAAAAAAAACGGGCCGACGACGCAAAAGTGAAGGACTTGTTACGGAGGACGCGTGGGGGCGGCTTGTTAAGTTTCACGCCGTCTGATTTTGAACGAAAAGAGGCGAAGAGATGATCAGCGGATGGGAGCGAACAGAACTTGTCGGAGGAGGAGAATGACACAACACATTAGGACGTGAAATCGGCACGTCTTCTCATTATTCAGAACTTCAAGAGATCAGAGAATGCGTGGAGTGCAGTGTTGAGCGGGAATAGCTTCTGAAACGCTGAATATTCTTTCACGGAAAGAAAGAAGAACGAATCCTGGAAGACTGATACTGGTGGAGTACTACAGTACAATGCTGAGAGCTCGTTCCGTGCACTTCCCGTCCCTATCAACTCGTGGCATTTGGCATTTTCTCAAACGGCCAAAACAAGAGAAAGCTTATCAGCTGCACCCACATTCATTCCGTCCTACTTTTTATTGATAACTGCGGCTCTGTCCGAGTACGATCTTCTTCGAATCGCAACGATCTTCTTCATTCAAATGTGTGTTCGCCGCTGAAAGTGTAAGTGTGATGTGAGCGCGATAACCCCTCCAACCCTTTCCTCTCTTTCGCTCGAACCAGTTCCTTTTCGGTTCCAACCTGCAGAACATTATCTTCTTTCTGTCGGCCTTTGCTCTTCTGAGGGGTGCTCCCGATGCGAAAAGCACACAATCTGTGACGTCACAGTGAGCCATCTTCGGCGCTGTTTGTCACCTCCATCCGTCGTCGATGAGTAACTCTTTCGTTGTGGCCATTCCCGCACACACTGTTAGGCTTATCAAAAGTGGAAAAGCGAGAGAGAGAAGGAGAAAGAGAAGGAGAGAGAGAGGGTGACAGTGTGCCATTTTCAGTCGGTTCTTCGCAAACTTTCTTGCATTTTCTCTGATATCGATCGATGGGTCCGAAGCACTCTCATCACGAGAAGAAGGAGAAGAAGAGCAGCAATAACAATGTAAGCAAACCGGCAGTGGTCCTTGACGCCGACAGCGATCCCATTTTTCAGAAGAACTTTGGCCTCGGAGGTGAGTTTACCCGAAAAATGCCATGATTTCCAGTTAGTTTTGAAACTCTGCTTTCTAAAGCCAAGAAACATTACCGTAACCCTCTTTTCGTGACTTCGAATCCGAACGACTTCGTCCCGATTTTCTGTTTGTACAGACGTCATTTTGTGTTTTCTGTGCAACCGATCTCCGTCCAAATGTTTTATAGTCCTGTTTCTCGTTCGCTCCCAGTAGTCTCTGTTTTCAGAAAGACCAAAGATGCCGCCGGAATCGGATCTCCCTCCCGCTCTTCCAGCCAAACCTCCTCCTGCTCGGCCGACCGCATTACCCCAAATACCATTCCCTGCTCACGATCACAAACCGCCGGTCCCTCCTCCGAGGAGAGCCGATTCCAGTCTGGCTCCTCCGGTTCCCGCACATTCGAGTCAGTTCTCTTCCCTTTCCACTTTTCAGTTCTCACTCTCTTTCTTCAGATTCCTTCTCAGATCTTAGCCGTCATCCGTCCGCCACTTCCACAAAAAGTGCTCCGTCGTTGTGCTCTCCGAGGCCTCACTCGAGCTCTTCTCATTCGAACAGCGGTTCATTACAGTGCATGCACGGAGGTGAAAAGAGACTACAGTATTCCTGAAACCCTATGAACACTTTGAAGATCCGGAAGAGAAAATGTTGATTGTGGAGAGCAGGTTCCTCGCGCAAACTCGCGACGAAATCAGCGTCGAGGAGGGAGACGTGCTGTATTTGATTGAGCAGAGTAACAGGTATGCCACGTGGTTTTCTTTGTAAAGACGCCGTGCTGTCTCTCCCAGTGAATGGTGGTACGTTTCGAACAAGAACCGGCAAGTCAAAGGCCACGTTCCGAAGTCGCACGTGGTGTTCGCGGAAGTGCGAGAGCCCTGGTTCGCAGGCAACATCTCTTCGATAATGGCCGAGCAGAGGGTGATGCAGCCGGGCTTGCCGCTCGGAACTTTTCTGATTCGGGAGAACATCAAGAAGGGCACTTTCGTGCTCACAGTCCGAACTTCCGGTCAGTCCATTTCATTCCACTCTGGTTTCTGACCTACAGTCCCACATTTTTCAGACTACGAGCCCCCCGAAAGCCTACACAATCTACCGAAATCATAACGGTTTGGAGATGAGGGACACGAACGGCACCGTCATAATCAACTTCTCGTCCCTTCTGCAGCTCGTGAAGCATTTCAGTTGTCAGTTGACACTTTGTGAAAATTAATACAAAACTTATACGATACAGGCGAAAAAGCAACCGGGAGAAGTTCAAATTTACACAAAACTGACTCGAGCAGCTCCGCGGCTGGAGGAGCACGCGGAATACGCGACGATGCGGAGGTGGCAGGTGAACAGGAACGAAGTGAAAATGGTCAAAACGATAGGATCGGGACAGTTCGGAGAGGTGAGCGGACGGGCGGTTCGGGGGAAAGGAGAGGAAGAGAGGATTGCAGGTGCATCTGGCTAAGTGGCGGAGCATTGATGTGGCCGTGAAGATGCTGAAACCCGATCAGATGAAGCAGCTGGCAAACACACAGTTTCTAGAGTACGCACTGAATGAAAATTGAGCAACAGATAAAGAAAGAGAAGTGCATTTCAGAGAAGCAAAGACATTGACAAAACTGATGCATCCGAATGTTATCTGTCTTTTGGCGGTGTGCGCGATCGATCAGCCGTTCCTGATCATAACCGAGTACATGAAGAACGGCTCTTTGCTCGCGTGGCTGCATGCGCTCGCAAAGAAACTGCCAGACTTTCTGCTGATGAATCAGGAGACGGTGACGAAGAACGTGATGATCGGAGCGAGTATTGCCGCGCAGGTCGCCGCCGGAATGGACTATCTCTCCGCCAATCAGATTGTCCACCGCGACTTGGCGGCTCGGAATGTTCTCGTCGGAGAGATTTCCTCGAATGGAATTCCGTCGGTGAAGGTGGCAGACTTTGGATTGGCCAGGAAAACGGACAAGAGCAGTCGGAACTACGTGATGAAGACGGACAACGACATGCCCGTCAAATGGATGGCCCCGGAAGCGTTCCGAGATCAGATATTTAAGTAATCAACTGACGCCTTCTTACAGGTCAAAAGTTCTTGTTTCAGTCAAAAAACCGACGTCTGGTCGTACGGAATCCTTCTTTGGGAGATCGGAACACTCGGAAAGACGCCCTATCGCGGATGGGACGTCGAACGGACCTTCGAACGGCTCGAAGATGGATTCGTTCTGCCGAGGCCCGACATGGTGCCCGAGTACGTCTACGAAGATGCGTTCCGATTGTGTGTGCATTTGGATCCGAGCAAAAGACCCACTTTCGACCGTCTGTTAAAATACTTCGACGGCATAAACTCCGACAGTCTCACGGCATCCAAAGGCGTTTCTCGTCATTGATTCTCCCCACCTTCTCATTACTTCCCGGTTACAATTCTCTGTCTCCTTCTGTAAAAGAGTTTATGTCCGTTTAGTTACTGATGAAGAGAAAATAATTATGTTAGCCTCAAAACCTAACTACAAAAGAACTATGTATTATGTATAATCAAGAATTAGTAGCTGTAGAAATGGAAAAAACTAATATTGTTCTTGATAAACCTATCTACGTAGGCTTCGCTATCTTGGAGTTGAGTAAGTATTTGATGTACGATTTTCACTACAATATCATGCAAACGAAGTATGGATTTGAAAATGTTCAGTTGTGTTATCAAGATACTGACAGTCTCATATATGCCATCAAGACTGAAGATGCCTACAAAGACACTCAAATAGATATCTCTTTTCGAAGACATTTCGATTTCAGTGATTATCCGGAAGACCATGTGCTATACTCAGAAGAAAATAAAAAAGTTGTTGGAAAGTTCAAAGATGAACTAAATGGAAAAATTATGACTGAATTAGTTGCTCTCAAACCAAAACAATATGCCTATAAAGTACTTGATCCTAAAGAACCTGAAAAGAAAAAGTGTAAAGGTATCAAGAAGTGTATTGTGAAAAATGATCTAAAAGTTGATGACTATAGAGATTGTTTGTTTAATAATAAGGTTATTAGAAAGCAGCAGTATAATATTAGATCTGTGAAACACCAATTATATACACAGTGTCAGAATAAGATTGCTCTTAATGATGAACTTCAAGCAGAACATAAACGTTGTATAATTAATTGAAGAGAGTGATGCTGCTTCACTTTGTGTGTTTCTAGTTTGTAGCTAACAGAGTCCAAGCACAGAATTTCTGGCTGATAAAACATGATTGAAGCATTGCATATGAAGGTCAAAATCAGGCGATCAGAAGACTCATTTTGGATTGACAGGCTCTTTGGAATGCATTGTGATTGGCACACTTGTGCGTATAAAATGGCGTTGAAGACAGGCTGATAACCATCAACCAAGATGTTGTTCAAGCTTGCAACTCTTTATTGCATCATCATATCCGTTGAAGCGATTCACTCCGATTATGCGTCTTCCTGGTGGGAGTAAGTACTTTTCCAGGTTTTATTCATACACAAATTTCGCAATATTGATAATAGCTGATAATTTCTGCTACCCGTCCTGTGATGAATGCCCCGAAACTCTCGCAGAAATCGGATCGGTGAGAAATTTTTATATTTGTCATTATTCAAACGGCTTTGAACATTTTTTAGTTGGAGGGTTCAGCATAATACCCAAATTGAAGAAGTGTAACATAACCTGACATACAGCTAATAAACTAGGGCTCAAATGTTCTGTTCACTCAAAGTTGTGATCATTTTCAGCTGGTGAAGGGCACGTTGTTTAATATTGATGCTACCTCATACCGCCTCTGCGGACTTAATCGGCCTACAAAGAAGAGCTGCCTGGAAGTGAAAGATCTAGTGCTCTCAGTGATTGGGAAGATCAGTGATGAACTGTTCCCGAATCTGAAATCCAACACCAGTCGCAGCTTATCTTGCAGTCACCTCCTGGGCATTTGCGCCGACCAGTAAGCTTTAATGTCGAAATTAGTGAAGCTTTTTTGTCTTCATCACCATATAAAATGTTATGATTCTTGTTAGTATATTTATCTTTCAGTGATTCGGACGGAAAAGATCTGGAAAAAAATCAGTGGAGCTGTAACAGCTGTAACACTTTTCTAAACGCCGGACTCAGTGTAAGCATACGCTTTTTGTCAATGTCTTACCAATAATATGATAATGTAATGTTTCATACGGAACTGTCCCTCAAAAATGTGTTTGGTGTTCAATTGAACTTCTCATCCACTCACAGTAAAGCATTATAGATAGATAGTTAGATAGATATAGATATTTATCCTTCTTGTTAGTATATTTCAAAAAAACTAAAATTCAAAACATATTTTAGTTTCGATTTCATAATTATTCATTTTCAGGTTCTGAAAACCCCCCTGGAGGACATCAACCGAGCCGCGGCTACCTTTTTCTGCGGGGAGCAGCAGGAATGCAATTCAGAATTTATGACAGTTATCGAGATAACTGGTGTTCTGGGAAAGGTCATTAGGGAAAAGGTATGTATGTATGTCTTTTTTAAGGGAGTAAAACGAGATTAATCTAGCAATACCATTAAGATGATTGTTATGTAATCTGAGTAGCCTCTATAAAAAGATGACGAGAGAAAGAAAACAACAGACCAAAAAAAGCTAAAATCTCGATTTACAGCTCTTTTGATCAAAAAGAATTGACTTCGAAACCAAGTTTGTACAATTTCAGAAAGCGATTGATGAGGTCTGTCGCTCGGTCATGCTATGCAAGGGATAACACAACAATGCACACCATCATTATTTAGTTTCTTCTCATTAATGACTAAATGTTTCTTTCTGATAAATGACATTTGTATGCATGGGCTTTTGATCACAGTTTCAATCCAGTAAACACATTTATTCGACAAAAAAAGATCTGTAAATTTATAAAAATGTATTGATATACAGATTTCAAATAATTTAACAATATCTACATAAAAAACTATCCTTGAAGACTTTAACTGAGCCGCCTGCATTCGGGCTTTTCAAGAAGCATTTGATAAATGGCATGATTTACTTTGGGGTAAATGTCGTTAATATAATTGTAGATGATATAATCAACTGTTTTTCTGTCTAGTTTGCCTCCTAGGTTGACCGAAAGAATTTCTTGAAATTTACGCTTAAAAATAGTGCGAATAGTAGGAAAGCGCTTGTCCAAGAACGCGATAACGGGAGGGAAATTCTTTTCAAAAAAGTACTCGCTATCGAGACTTCTATCTTTGCTGCGCTCCCTCAAATCAAAGTATTCCTCCATGGTCAAGGCGGATGTTAGCTTGTCTGCACTCGGCTTTCTATAGTTTGTCCAGGGTCCTGGAGGAGCAAATCCGAGAGCAGCGCGCATTTCCGTCGACGCAATTATATCGGCCGCTTCGGTGATCAAATGATGATTAAAACACCGCGCGTGCAAGTGTCTTATTAAATTGCCTGACAGTTGCTCGTGCTCTAGAGGTGTGATGCAGGAAGCGGCAAGCTTGGTCAGATCGTCGTCAATGACGTAGAGTAGAGGAGATGATGTGGACGGCGGCTCATGCGCAGAGGAGAGGTTGGCTGATGTTGCTGCAGATATAGAAATGGAAGTAGCGATTCTATCTTTTAAAAAAATTTAGGCACTTGTTAAGACCGAAATCTAGACATTTTTATTTGTTACAAGCATACTTGCATGTATAATGCTCCAAATACAGAGACAGATGATGAGTGTAGTCAACATTCCTTCGGCTGGAAATATGTAGCGTACTTCAATGCATTCACGTATGAGAAGTACGTGTAAATAGTGCAGCGAAACAAATACGAACCAAGATTGACAATAGTGATATATGAAGATTTGAGAGGAAATATGAACAATTTTTGTAATAGTCGCTTCTAATATAAGAATATAATATGTGTGGTTATTATGAAACAGCCACCAGATTGAAGTAAAAGAAGGAAGAGAGATGTCACCATTCGATCGACCTATTTCTCTCTCACCCAATTCTAGACGGAAAGTGAAAGTCTCCTTCTCTCACACTCTAAACACGCCTGGATAGAGACAATTAGACTACTTCAAATAAACATTATCCTCTTTAAAAATTATTCATTTGTTGATTTTAATCGCTCATGAAAATTATGAGAATAAAACTGATACACAACAAAATTTAAATTAAAGATAACACGACTTTTTGAAAATCACATGTTTCAAGCATTTTCAAAACTAGAAGACAGAAATAACCACAAATATGTGTACCAAATTTTTGTATTTGAAATGTGGAGCATTCAATTACTTCTTTTTCTTTACCATTATTTTTTAAATAATTGACAACTTCATGAGGTGGATCTAATCCAAAGGAATCGAAGTAATAACTTTTTTCTTCCATCTTTTTATAGCAAACCCAATGAGTACCCTTATTATTCGAAGAATCAAGATTTACAATTCCAACTTCCTGGGAATGTATTTCATCTGGGAGACCGTCTCTCATAAAAACACCACGGAAATGTTTTATTTTCAACTCCTTCACGAGCTCTTCGAGGTCAAGATTTGTCAATGGCTTCAATTCTTTTCGGAGATTAATATTCTTCATTTATAACACCTAAAATATTCGAAAAATTAAAAATGGGCAAAATGGTCTGAAGGCATTTTGACCTAAAAAATGACATTTTTCGAAAATGACACATTTTCTGGTAATTAAGACACAAAATGGAGTAGTAAATGTTCAAAAATGATCGAAAAATGCAGAAAATCAAGTTTGGGCAAAAAGCTGTCCCAGCGTCAACATTTTATATACTACTCCCGCACACACTGTTAGGCTTATCAAAAGTGGAAAAGCGAGAGAGAGAAGGAGAAAGAGAAGGAGAGAGAGAGGGTGACAGTGTGCCATTTTCAGTCGGTTCTTCGCAAACTTTCTTGCATTTTCTCTGATATCGATCGATGGGTCCGAAGCACTCTCATCACGAGAAGAAGGAGAAGAAGAGCAGCAATAACAATGTAAGCAAACCGGCAGTGGTCCTTGACGCCGACAGCGATCCCATTTCAGAAGAACTTTGGCCTCGGAGGTGAGTTTACCCGAAAAATGCCATGATTTCCAGTTAGTTTTGAAACTCTGCTTTCTAAAGCCAAGAAACATTACCGTAACCCTCTTTTCGTGACTTCGAATCCGAACGACTTCGTCCCGATTTTCTGTTTGTACAGACGTCATTTTGTGTTTTCTGTGCAACCGATCTCCGTCCAAATGTTTTATAGTCCTGTTTCTCGTTCGCTCCCAGTAGTCTCTGTTTTCAGAAAGACCAAAGATGCCGCCGGAATCGGATCTCCCTCCCGCTCTTCCAGCCAAACCTCCTCCTGCTCGGCCGACCGCATTACCCCAAATACCATTCCCTGCTCACGATCACAAACCGCCGGTCCCTCCTCCGAGGAGAGCCGATTCCAGTCTGGCTCCTCCGGTTCCCGCACATTCGAGTCAGTTCTCTTCCCTTTCCACTTTTCAGTTCTCACTCTCTTTCTTCAGATTCCTTCTCAGATCTTAGCCGTCATCCGTCCGCCACTTCCACAAAAAGTGCTCCGTCGTTGTGCTCTCCGAGGCCTCACTCGAGCTCTTCTCATTCGAACAGCGGTTCATTACAGTGCATGCACGGAGGTGAAAGAGACTACAGTATTCCTGAAACCCTATGAACACTTTGAAGATCCGGAAGAGAAAATGTTGATTGTGGAGAGCAGGTTCCTCGCGCAAACTCGCGACGAAATCAGCGTCGAGGAGGGAGACGTGCTGTATTTGATTGAGCAGAGTAACAGGTATGCCACGTGGTTTTCTTTGTAAAGACGCCGTGCTGTCTCTCCCAGTGAATGGTGGTACGTTTCGAACAAGAACCGGCAAGTCAAAGGCCACGTTCCGAAGTCGCACGTGGTGTTCGCGGAAGTGCGAGAGCCCTGGTTCGCAGGCAACATCTCTTCGATAATGGCCGAGCAGAGGGTGATGCAGCCGGGCTTGCCGCTCGGAACTTTTCTGATTCGGGAGAACATCAAGAAGGGCACTTTCGTGCTCACAGTCCGAACTTCCGGTCAGTCCATTTCATTCCACTCTGGTTTCTGACCTACAGTCCCACATTTTCAGACTACGAGCCCCCGAAAGCCTACACAATCTACCGAAATCATAACGGTTTGGAGATGAGGGACACGAACGGCACCGTCATAATCAACTTCTCGTCCCTTCTGCAGCTCGTGAAGCATTTCAGTTGTCAGTTGACACTTTGTGAAAATTAATACAAAACTTATACGATACAGGCGAAAAGCAACCGGGAGAAGTTCAAATTTACACAAAACTGACTCGAGCAGCTCCGCGGCTGGAGGAGCACGCGGAATACGCGACGATGCGGAGGTGGCAGGTGAACAGGAACGAAGTGAAAATGGTCAAAACGATAGGATCGGGACAGTTCGGAGAGGTGAGCGGACGGGCGGTTCGGGGGAAAGGAGAGGAAGAGAGGATTGCAGGTGCATCTGGCTAAGTGGCGGAGCATTGATGTGGCCGTGAAGATGCTGAAACCCGATCAGATGAAGCAGCTGGCAAACACACAGTTTCTAGAGTACGCACTGAATGAAAATTGAGCAACAGATAAAGAAAGAGAAGTGCATTTCAGAGAAGCAAAGACATTGACAAAACTGATGCATCCGAATGTTATCTGTCTTTTGGCGGTGTGCGCGATCGATCAGCCGTTCCTGATCATAACCGAGTACATGAAGAACGGCTCTTTGCTCGCGTGGCTGCATGCGCTCGCAAAGAAACTGCCAGACTTTCTGCTGATGAATCAGGAGACGGTGACGAAGAACGTGATGATCGGAGCGAGTATTGCCGCGCAGGTCGCCGCCGGAATGGACTATCTCTCCGCCAATCAGATTGTCCACCGCGACTTGGCGGCTCGGAATGTTCTCGTCGGAGAGATTTCCTCGAATGGAATTCCGTCGGTGAAGGTGGCAGACTTTGGATTGGCCAGGAAAACGGACAAGAGCAGTCGGAACTACGTGATGAAGACGGACAACGACATGCCCGTCAAATGGATGGCCCCGGAAGCGTTCCGAGATCAGATATTCAAGTAATCAACTGACGCCTTCTTACAGGTCAAAAGTTCTTGTTTCAGTCAAAAAACCGACGTCCGGTCGTACGGAATCCTTCTTTGGGAGATCGGAACACTCGGAAAGACGCCCTATCGCGGATGGGACGTCGAACGGACATTCGAACGGCTCGAAGATGGATTCGTTCTGCTGAGGCCCGACATGGTGCCCGAGTACGTCTACGAAGATGCGTTCCGATTGTGTGTGCATCTGGATCCGAGCAAAAGACCCACTTTCGACCGTCTGTTAAAATACTTCGACGGCATAAACTCCGACAGTCTCACGGCATCCAAAGGCGTATCTCGTCATTGATTCTCCCCACCTTCTCATTACTTCCCGGTTGCAATTCTCTGTCTAATTCTGTATTCATTTTCTTATAAAATTTATCAGTGAACAGTACGATTTAATGTGAAATGAGTTGAGATTCTGAGCAGAGGAATTTGTCGTTTTCATTCATCCAGTATAGTCGGCATGATCGAAGAGTATCTGATCGTACGCCTCCGCTTTAACAGTGTTTCCTCCGAAGAAACGCCCGTCGAGAGCTGCCTTCGCTCTGTCCACTTGTAGCGAATCTGCGAATTTGACAAAGATCTTCACGAGTCCGCTCGCAGCAAAATTGGCGATAATGACGTTGTGAACGTTGCCGAATTTGCTGCATTCCTCCTTAATTTCGCTTTCCAGGTATTCATCAATGTCTTCTGGTTTGACCATATTACGGAGGACGAGGACACAAGAACGGTTCGTCCGCATCAATTTTGTCATCAGAAGGTGACGAGCGTCGTTTCCGCGGATTTCGAGGCCTTCCTGCGAAGCTAGGGATGCGTCCTCACTGTTCATAACTTCGTTTTTGAGCGCATCCGACATCTCTCCCGCCTTTGCAGCTGCGGCAAGTGCTTGAGCGGTATTCAACTGAAAACCCGATAAAATAAGGATTTCTGATCACTCACTCACCTTTGGCTGGATCTTTTTTCCCTCTTTCACTTTCTTCTGCTTTCGTTTCGGTTCTGCAGCTGCCGCCGCAGCCGCATCCTTTTTTTTAATGCTATTGGCCAGCATAAGTGCTCCTCCTCCGTCCATCAGAGCGAGAGCCATGCTTGCCACGTTGTCTCCTCCCCTACCGGGTCCCATGATCGCGAGCATCTTGCTCTCGTCCGTCTGATCTTCACTCCTCGGATCCTTCCAACCGAGATGATCTTCAAGTGCTCCAAATGTGACCGGATCTGCCATTCTTTGATTCTGAACAGCCTTTTGCTGATTCAACACCTGTGCCATTTTCTCTTCGAACGTCATCTGATTCAATTTATCTCTTTTTAACTTCTTTCTCTGCGAAGTCGACAGCTTGATTCTTCCTGCAGGAGCTCCGTGTCTGCTCTCTGCTATTTCGTCGTCGTCTTCTTCTTCGTCCATCGGCACAGTTTCCTCGACTTTTGGAACAATGAATGATGGTTTCGGAACGACTATTCCGATGCTGGGAGGAGCGATTAATCCGGGCGGAGCTACGAGACTGGGCACTGTCAGACCGGGGGCGGACACCACAACTGCCGGCTTCGGTTTGACTTCCTCTTCCTCTTCGATTTCCATTGGCTCTTCCTTGACGGCTTCAATAGCTGGTGTCGGGGGAAGCGGAGCAATTGTATTCGTTTCCACCTGTAAACAATGCAATGAACCGTTTCTTAATTGTTTTTCGATATTACCGTTTCTCTTTTCGGAGAGTGGACGTTCAGTTTGGAGTCGATATCAGTCGGAAGCGAAGAGGAAGGCGAACGGGACTGGGGAGCAGGACTGGCCCCTCTCGAGCCAGTTTCAGAAGGCGTTTTCTGAAAAAAAACAGATGAATCTGTAATCACTGAAGCCCAAAAACCATTTTAATGTCGCAGTTGCACGTGATATTCGGATAGAAAGTGTAGAGAAATTCAAAACATTTAAAGACCAGTCTAAGCTAACTTGGCAAAACCTCCGTTCCCACTCTTTTCCTTGCACGTACAATATTTGACAATAAAATGGTTTATTTGGGTCAAACGTGACAGGAAAGATCATTGTAATGTCGAATAAAACAAAATAATTATATAATTTTTTATCTCGGCGAGTTGGGGAAGAGGAGAGCACCTACCGGTGAGGAACCGGCCGCCGCTGCCTCTGCAGCCATCACTTTGGCAGTGATTGCAGCACACGCCACGGAGACACTCGCTGGAATCGCATTGACGGCCGTCGGTTGAAGATAGGAGAGCGCGTCTGGAGGTGTCACACATTTGCCGACCTGAAAGAATGCTGATTGACTACTGATACCTTCCCGGTCATTTCGGATTGTGTCTGAATTCTGTAAGAAAGTTAGAAAAAAAAACTAAACAGATCCGTAAAACAGAAAATGTGCTATTTAGCAACGTACTCTTAAGAACTGTCCTCCGAGATCGAACATGTTCATTCCCGCGATCGCTTCGCCCTGTGAGTTCTGGTTGTTGAATTCGATATATCCGAATCCGCGGTGACCACGTCCGGACGGACTGCGAGCCAGTTGGCACTTGACCACTTCTCCAAACGCTTCGAAAACACTTTTCAAATCAGTTTCTGACAAATCTGGATGAACAGAGGCCACATACACTCTGGAAAATCATCCGATTGTGACTTCAACAAGAATAAGTTTTACTACCTGAAGTATTTCTTTGCGTCTTTCTGCACCATATCAATGATTGGCTGTGCCTGTGGCATGTTCTGTGGCAGTCTCATTTCTTGGAACATCATTGAGTTCACTTTCAGATTGCGCCCTCCGAGCATTTGGCCGTTCATCGATTCCTGAGCAAGAAGAGCGGCTTCTGGAATCTCGTACTCAACGAAAGCGAACGTTTTGTGATGCTGAAAGTTAGTATTACAATTATTTTATGGGAAATGTGAAGTCTCACTCCAGTAGTTGGATCCCAACTCATATTTATCGATTTAATAGGACCGAATGGTTCGAACGCTTTTCTGAGCATATCTTCGCGGATTTCGAACGAAATCGATCCAACATAAATTCTGGACATTATGGAAAGTGCCTGAGCGTACATCTGCTGCTTTTGCTGCTAAAAATAAAAGCGTTACTAATTATCAGTGTATCAGACTTTACGTTTTCTTGTTGCTGCTTTTGCTGCCGTAGTAGAATCTGCTTGATAGAAATGTCCATCGCGTACTTTTTCGCCATCTGAATATCATCCTTCCTCTTCGAGCTCAATTTCGACAAACCAAGTCCAATTTTTTGCGCATCTTTTTTGCCACCGGGTCCAACGAAGACCTAAAAGACAAATATTGTTCGTCTTTGTTCACTTCCGATATGGATAACCTCTCCGTCTTGAGGAAGAACTGGCATGGGGACAGAGCTGGCTGGTTTGAAAGCAGGCATAGGTCGGTTCTCACTGTCGTCCACTTCCATGTTTGGAAGGCTGAAACCGCAGAAATTTTTGGACAATCGATTAGTAGAACAGAAAGAAAACGGATGAAAAATTATAAACGAGTACACAATTTTCTATTCATATCTCGAAACTACCCGATAAAAACAAAGAACAGCAATGCCGCAAAAATCGAATTTCGAAAACGCGTTCGACGTCTGTGGTGCAAGTGCGCTCAATGGATAAAAACAGGCGGAGCCTAATTCGCAAAGGCCTGGCATACTTTTCCTAATGTTTTTTCTTTCTGAATTGCCGAAGTCACAGGCACGTGGTCGATATTCAAATTTGAACAAAGTCCTGTAGTAATGTCAGGTCGCGGAAATGATTGGAGAGACTGCCAAAGGTAACTGTGCCGCCGTTCCGAATAATCTCAATGGAACTGTTCCAGAGAAAACAGACGTGAAAACGGATGTGACCGAGAAGATGGGAGCAGGTGAGAGAGCTCTAGAGCAAGAGTGCATTTTATGCATCACTTTCAGACCAAACGGCAACAGAATATCGGTCGCAAAGCATGTGTCCGGAAAAAAGCAACCATACATGCTTTTTCTATGTGATCAAGGCTACCGTCGGTTGGTATCCAGCTAAAACGTTCGAAAGTAGTCTGCTTTTTCAGATTCAGGAGCTTGAATAACGGCGAAAACTACGACAAAAACAATCAAAACCACTACGATCAGATGACACGTCTTTGGCGTGTATGTTTTAAATAATGCACCTTTCTGTGGGCTAATACCGCAATAATAGTGTCGCTTCAAAATAGAGATCACGAAACTCAAAATAATATAATCTTATTTCCGAGATTTAGGAGGTGTCACCGGAAAGACGTGCCGAGTACGTCAGAGAAGCCAAAGAGCACAATGCGAACAGACATCTGGTTCAGGTGAACTTTTGTTCTTAATTATTCTAGCTAATCTGGAAATTACAGCAAAAAAAGCAGCAAGACGATAGAAAAAATCGAAATGACAGACTTGTCCGGTCAGATTACGAACAAATTCGGAATGAGCATCTGGGGAGGGTTCAGGAAAAGCGGCGGGAGGCTATCCCAGAAACAGTAAAAATTCCGCCTCGATTCACAGAAACCCACGTCGCTGGAGATTTGGAAGTCCTGATAAAGAGAAATTTGGAAGCTCTAGAGATGAGTATTTATATGTTCCGTACAAAAAACCAAGGTTAGTTTTAAATACGATTCTTTCACGCAATCTCTTGTCTATCGTTTCAGCGAGCACTGTAAATCCGTTTCTCGATGAAAAATTTATTATGCATCTCATAACGGTGCTACCCTACGACTACAAGTACAAGCACCGTATTAACTGTATAACTAGTTACCCAGCCGAAGTCTGTATAACCACTTTCAACTTGCGAAACGGCGTCGTCTCGAACGACTCACGATTCGTTAGAATGGACGCCGCGTGGTATTGTCAAGAAGAGAGAATAGAAGATGAGAGCAGATGGAGTAAGTTTGCCATTTTATTTAAAGTTCGACATTTTACCCTTTAGCTGAATATCTTGGCATTTCGGATAGGGATATCGGAGAGGAGCCTTCGGAAGTGTACAAGTGGATAGCCGGAATTTTGGATCTGTCCGGTCCGATTCGAATTCTGTGCGATCGGCGTCAGTTCAACTTCGTGGTATGTCGGAGATCACACGTGTCGTTATGGTTTTCAATTTTTTCTTCAGATGTATGGCTTGAGAACTCTCGCGACTTACTCCGGACTCAATGCCTTGCATTGGCTCCACACGAACATTGTCTCGAAGTTGGTTCCGATTCAAGACTTCACAAGCCTTCTTCTGGACAAAACCCCACTCGACATCCCAATTACAAACAAGTGGAATCACCAGGGAGTCGAGAATTGCTTCGGAGTGAGCAAATTAATTTTTGAAATCTTTGAAACTGGTTGATATTTTAGGAGCACCGTTTGGTTCCGTTTTCCGACCGAGCTTTTGTTTGCGAGTTTCACAGTGATCTCCCGAGCACGAAGAAGTACATGTGTGCGAGAGCGCACAACGCTCGCTTACTGTAAGGAAACTGCTGCTTTCTGTGTATTTATTGAACTTTCAGTCACCATTTCTATTTTATTCTACACGCAAATTGCCTGCAAGACTTCCGTGCAGTTTTTTCTCCGACTACTCATGAACTATGCATCGAAGACAAAAACGACGAGAGCTTGCCTGAAATGTGAGCCGAAGTGTGCATTGCGAATTTGAACGTATGTTTTTAGCCAAATTGCCAGCACCGTTTCTCGATCGGTCGAAATCGAGTGTAGACAAGCAATGCGGGAAAGGAACGTCAATGTGGGCGAGGAAGAAGCGGTGCGTGTAGCCGAAGAGCGGATCGTCGAAGAAAATGCGGATGAGGGAGGGGACTCGATTTTCGCAAACTTGCCCAGTTAGTAACACTTTACGTTGCAAAGTATTTCAAACCGTTGTTCTAGATCACTTCATCAGTGGCTCCAGCTTCGTACCAAACCGTCCGGGTGCCCAAGCGATTGATATGCCGACTGCTGAAAATCCGGGTCCGAGCGAGCAGCGAGTTCCGAATTTTGTCTCAAATGTTGAGGTAATAGCAAACCAGGCTCCAATTGTTCGAAAACCGCACAGTTCAGCAGTGGTCGAAGAGTGAGAACTTTGTCTTCAAAATGGGAAACTTATCTATATTTCTAACAGATTTGCGATGAATTCTGATGACTACAAATTCCCGCCATTGAGAACAGTTGAAATCCTCGACAGAGAAACTAGCTATTCCCAGCATTTGAACATGCAGTTCGAAAAGGATACCTCTCGTGGATACACGCGGTACCGTTGCGTTTGATCGATATCTGTAGTTTGCTTTTTTCAGAGACAGCTATCGCTTGGAAATACGAAAATAGACGCATCTCATTTCAATTTCCCGACGGGCATCGTATATTCCACGAAACTTGACTACACAACAAACGCAGGGAACGCCAACTCATCCAAGCTAAATCAAATAAAGTGCATACATTTTCATTTTGATCGGTGAAACTAGTAATAAAACTACACTGTTCTATCGCGGATGCATAATTCCTCTTCCTCCGTCGACTTTCAGAAGTTGTCCGGTAGTGAACGAGCTCTTCTCGGACGCCAAAAACAAAATTGCCTCGGCCACTTCCGACGTGGTCCCCGGTCGTCCGAGAGCATGAGTCGTCTTGCTCTTCTCGAGAAACTGAAAGCGAAGAAAGCAAATTGACATTCTGCCTTTTTCGTCTCACCGCTGCGTAGGTTGCTTCGTCCTGTCCGGAAGTCCGATGGATGTTCGTGACGATGACTCCGGGACTGAAACATTCGTGATCTGAAGGAAAACGGCAGACGAACCCTTACCAGACAGCATTGACACGGACTCCGTTCGGAGCCATTTCGAGAGCCAAACACTTGGTGAACTGGTCGACTGCCGATTTGGTCATGCAATAGTAGGTGACTCCGGCGAACTGCGGCATCAAGTTCAGTTATTTCACTTACACTCGACTGGACTCACCGGACACGGTCCGTTGATACTGCTCACATTGACGACGGTCCCCTTCGTGGAGATTATATGCGGGAGGACGGCCCGAGTGAGACGAACCAGACTGCGCACATTCACGTTCATCAGCTCATCGAACACTTCAATTCCCGACTCGAGCACCGGTCCCGCGCGCAGAATTCCCGCCGAATTAATCTAAAGGGGAAGCAAGGAAGCATTCATCAGGAATTCGGACTTCAAGATCCCACCAAGGTGTCAATTCGTCCGAACTTTTGAATAGTCGCTTCGACGATCGCACTCGGAGCATTGTCGGCGCTCAATTCGATCGCAGTGATCAGCACCTGAGCCTTCATTATTTACAGTAAAAACCAATTGAACTCCTCACGTCTTCAGTCGAAATGCCTCCTTCGGAAACACAAAGGGCCGCGATCTCTTTAAGAGCGTCCGTGTTTCTTCCAGTCAAAGAGAGCTGATACTTGTGTTTTGCGAACAGAAGAGCGGTTCCACGGCCGATTCCCGAGCTGGCTCCTGAGGGAATTGACTATATTCCAATATAGCGAATGGAAACAAACCGGTGATGATAGCAACGGGCATTATGGAGGACTGACTGAAAACTATGGTATTTGAAGTAGACAAATGAACAAAAGTTATAAAGGGATCGGAACCTTTTAGGTCACAGAATGCTGAGCGAATCAGGAAAAGGAAGTTGCGTTCATTCTAAAGTACAATTATTGTACATTAAATTCTCTATTCACGATTTTTAAATAAATAAGACATTTCAGCGCGGATGCATGATTCCTCGTCCTCCGTCAACTCGGAGTAGCTCTCCGGTGGTGAAGGAGCTCCTCTCGGATGCCAGAAACAGAATCGCCTCGGCCACTTCGTCCGCATTTCCCGGCCGGCCGAGTGCGTGCGTCGTCTTGCTGCGCTCCAAAAACTGAAGAGACACTGTTTATAAAGGCATCGACGGCGCATCAAGGTCGTCTTACCGCGCTGTAGGTGACGTCGTCTTGGCCTGATGTGCGGTGCAGGTTGGTGACGGTGACCCCTGGACTGAAATGGCATTTTTTGAATGAATGATTGCAAATATTTAAAATTTTAATTGGGCCTACCAGACAGCATTGACACGGACTCCGTTCGGAGCCATTTCGAGGGCCAAACACTTGGTGAACTGGTCGACTGCCGATTTGGTCATGCAATAGTAGGTGACGTTCGGGAACTGAATTAACGGATAAACGGGAAGAAATTATGGATGACACTCACCGGACACGGTCCGTTGATACTGCTCACATTGACGACGGTCCCCTTCGTGGAGATTATGTGCGGAAGGGCGGCCCGAGTGAGACGAACCAGACTGCGCACATTCACGTTCATCAGCTCATCGAACACTTCAATTCCCGACTCGAGCACCGGTCCCGCGCGCAGAATTCCCGCCGAATTAATCTAAAGGGGAAGCAAGGAAGCATTCATCAGGAATTCGGACTTCAAGATCCCACCAAGGTGTCAATTCTTCCAAACTTCTGAACGGTCGCATCCACGATCGTTTTTGGCGCCTCTTCGGCGGCCAACTCGACGGCAGTCACGAGCACATCGTTCTTGTCGCTTCCCGCGCTGACAATCTGCCCCGCGAGCTCATTGAGAGCCGCCACGTTCCTTCCGGTCAACGACAATTTGTAGTTGTTTCTGGCGAGAAGAAGAGCTGCGGCGCGGCCGATTCCCGAACTCGCGCCTGTCGAAACGTTCTAATCAATCACTTTCACTTTCGATTACCTGTGACAATGGCGACCGGCATCGGAGATGGACGCGAGAAAGAAGACAAAGAACTGAAATAATTACACTGTAATAAGGGTATCCAAGAGATTATTTGGGAATAAAACTGAGAGGTGTAATTTGAAGAAAGTAAAGAATAGAGACGGAGAGATAAGAGACGAAACAAGGTGGAAAATTTTTTGACATCAAACACCATAAATGTCTCGATATAATTATCATATAATGCGAATCCCATTGAACGTTCATCCTGAAAACAAATTCCCTTTTTTCCCAAATTTTCTTTTGCCACGTCACAAGTAGGAAGCCGGCAGACAGATTCCTCTTTTGAATAGAACGAAAGTGCAATCAATCATTCGGAGACAGTTCTTCCCTCGACGGGGCGGAGTGTGTTCACATTCTCAAAGGAAAAAATCGACCGTGTTAAAAGGGAACGAAACGAATTGACGATTCTGTTTTTGCCATGTTCAAGACCGTCGTCTCGCTCGCTGTTCTCTGCATAGCCGTCGAAGGTAAACGCTTTCTATTCTCTCGCCTGATCCTCTCCCGATCTCTGATTTTCAGCGGGCTGCCCGGCCATCGCAAGCGTCTACTTGCCCGCCCGTGTTCGTTGTCCTCTGTGCGACTTCGTTTCCGTTTCTCAAGCGGTTTCTGGATCGGGAAACCAGCTCGCAATCAAGTGCCCCGCCTCTTCGGATGTCTGGTACTACAACGAGAAGGGAAATGAGTTTGTGACCCCGATGAGCAAAGTCGGATCGAAGGGAGTGCTCAAGTGCGACGGATCCAAGTGGAAGATCAGTGTGCCCGGACAGAGTCAGACGCTTTCCGCTTTCGCGTGTGGATCTTCTTGAAATACACCCATCTAACGATATCAGAGAAGTGGACTCAATGAAGTGTTTTCAAGCAATATCAATCTTATTGTATTCTATTTCATATATATCATTGAACAAAAAGAAGCAATAGAAGACGCATGACTGAATGAAAAAGCACAGTAAGTTGGCTAAAGAAAGCGAAAATTGAAGAGGAACTCGTAATGACACGGAAAAAGGTCATGAAAGGAATGGGGAAGCTCATTGCGGGATATTAACAAGATTCGTGGGGACGGTACTGATACTACATGCGTTTTTTTTTGAAAAATAAATTATTTGGTGTTGGGAGATTCGTATGACGTTTGGGTGAAGCCAGGGATATCGATTTGAACGGAAACCTCTTCACTTGAAGAGCGATGGTCTCGTTGCTTTGGGGTTTGGATGATGGCATCTGCGCGACTCTGAAAAAGTGAATTGGAACTTGTTGCGTCGCCCTCCTTCAGAGAACGAACCCTCACTCGGTTAACTCCTCAGTCTCACTCAGAGTTACTCACCCAGTCTACTCAGTTACTCACTCAGGTCTCAGAGTCTTACGCTGACTCTGATTTACCTCTCTCACCTATTCTACTACTATTCTGTCTACTCTACGGTTAAGTACTCCCCGGAATAAACCATTGTTTCCGCACAAACCCAAATCCGTAACAGAACTGAGAATCAAGATTCAGACGGTACCTTCTTGAACCTTTCTATCGTCTTTTTGTTATCTACAATTTGCAGTGCAGCAATGACGGAAGCGGCCAACGTGGCATCTAATGGATCGAGCACTGCTCGCTGAATTACTTTCGGTATCGTGTTCCGGTGATCGAAGATCTGAAATCTCTCCTTTTCATATTTTTCGATCCATTTACCAACCTGAAGTTTCTTCAGAATTTCATCTACAACTGGGGGCGTCCACTTGATTCGGTCTATAAATCGTACTTTCGGTTCCACTTTCCATTCCTTGCACGTGAATATTCTTGGATCCTTCGTATCTTCTGATGACACTGATTCTCTACTTGACGAGACTGCAGGCGAAGAGTTCGAGGAGGAGGAGTGCGTATTCGAGGTTTCCTTCAGATAACTTTTGAGCAGTTCCGGGAGGAATGACACTTGCGCGTTGAAGTTTGTTTCGATGGCGACCTCACTGAAGAAATCGCAGACGAAAGTGGTGAACACTTCCATCGGCATCTGGAACGCCGATTCGTACTTGTCGCCGTCATCCACTCCGTTTAATTGCTCCGAAGTCATTCTCGCGTCAAGACCTGGGAACTGGAAGAGTTCCATAACATTGTGGTTTGTGACGGGCGGTGATTCCGGAGTCTGTAAATAAGCTTGATTGCTTCGAATCAGATTGAGAAACTAACTCTCGAAGATCCAGGAGACCTGAACCGGCCGAACGAACTGGTACTAGCCGGTGACTTGGCAGTGCTCTCATTCACAGAGACTGGCGTCGGCACTGCTTCCTGCTCATTCGGCTTCTTCTTTTGCTCACTCGGACTGGACCCGATGATTTTCATGACGTCACCAATAAAGAATTCGAGAATATCTTCGGTTTTTTGGATTTGTCTTGAATTGTTGAAACGCGTCTGAACTCGGCAGACATTCGCTCGATTCTCCGTTTGGTTATTCTTTCGCGATCCGAGCTGCAGACGGAAGGTTTGCTTGAGAAGCGTGCCGATTTTCTGTTTTGTATCGTGATCCAAAAAGTCCATGCGTGCCTCCGGGTCGAATGCGATGCATGCGTCTCTGAGATGGAAGACCGCCCACGTGTCCGCGTTCATGTCTCCTTTCATCAGAACTAGCGAAATGCCTCCTGCTTTCAACTCCATATGCCCTCCGACTTTCGCTCCTTCTTTCTCCATCAATCCCATCAATTGTTCGTTCATCTGCATCTCGCCCATGTAATCGAGAACTTTTTCCCAGAAGTGAGTAGTAGGCTTCCTCGTTTCGGTCGGCACATTCGGATTTTTCTTGTATGTCGTCGTCGCATTGAAGTTTCCGAGCAGTATTCGCGAGTTTTTCAACTGCTCCTGAGAATGAAGATTTGGTGGATGTTTGGATGTGCTTCTTTTACTTACGTCGATGAACGATATCAATCGATGAACAATGGCTGCCACGTCATCAACCGTTGACTTGGTGATCACCACCTGCAGGTCTCTCCATGATGCTTGCACATTCATTCCCAACTCGGAAAGTGTAATCTGCAAATCTGCGCGATTCTTAAGTTTTTTTCATCTGGATCTTACGTAATCGCCTTCTTTTAATCCTTTGTAATAGTCATTCACTCGGAAACTCGGCATACTCCATTTTGCGATCAGAACCCGGCGACTCATCCATTCGATGTTGGCCGTAATCCATTCGAGTTTTATTTTGGCTTTGTTAACTGGCGGCCTCTTTACATCTGCTGACAGCGAATGTTCTCCGGATACTTTCAGATTGTTCAACTTGATAATTCCACTGATGGCTCCTTCACGAGCGCACAGTTCACTTGATCCTAGCACAAACGTGACGCTGACGTCCCTTTCGCTCAGCGAATTCAATTTCGCGTCTCCCCATAGCAGCCCTTTCGTCGCTTTCCACGTAGTTTTTCCCATTGTGTTGGACATGAATGCGGTCACTTCGAAGTCGTTCCACTGAATTGCAGCGAGAACTAGAGCCGTCCACGGTTTCTTTTGATGAGGGACAAGTCCACTGGAGGCTGTGCTCGCGGTACTGGCCGGAGGATGTAAATGCTTCGGATCCGTTGGGAATCGGCTCCTCGTCGTTCCGGTCAAGTCGCTGACATCGTCACGGGTCCGTGGAGCTGCTTGATCTCCGAAGAAGACGCGTCTCGCGATTGCCTCTCTGTACCAGGGTTTCGGGAACTGAATTAGTTCTCCAAGGCGTCGGAAGTTGTATTCGAAGGAAGCCTTGCTGATTTGGGAAGTGAACACGAACTGAACACGAAAAATTATGAAATTACGGTATTCTGTGAGAAACTTACGCGAACTTTGTTGTCCGGCTCGGTAAACGAATTCTTGTTTCTCGAAATGACAAACGAAAGTAGGTCGAGCGAGAGTTGCAGAGCTCTCGAAGAATCAAGTTCCGGCTCAAGGGGATTATAAATTTTGAGCATGAATCCCTTGAACTGCCCGGAAATGTGCATACCGCCCATGTAGTTGTCAATGTTATCTCTTGTGCGTTTCGAAGTGAGCTCAAGAGTAAGACGTGGCAGTGTGAGCAGGCAGTCCGCTTGCGCCTGACTCCTCGACGTCGGCTGCTTTCCATCAAATCGTATAGTGGAGCTCTGGACATCGAGGTAAAGGACAAAGTCTATTGGGAAGGCGGCAGTGTCCATCGCAACAATGTTGTGCACTTCGTGATTCGCTATAAAAGAAATACGCATTGATAGGATAATAAACAGAAAAACAGCTACCGTCGTTTTTGCCGTCATCAACGATGGAAGCTTCCTGCGTGAGATTCTGTGAATGGAACACAGCAGAAGGAGGCAGTGGCTCGAGAACTTGTTCCAGGTACGTGGCCAAATGAGGCGTCACCACGGTTTCTGTTGGCATCGAAGCCAAACCGACGAAAACGTAGAAGCATCCTCGCTTTGGCGGGGCCGTTTGGTTCAGCTTTCCGCTGAATGTCGTGTTGGCGAAGCGGGACTTTGAATGCAAGTCGTTGTACAATTGGTCAGCATCCCTCGCCAATCCCTTTGAAATCTTCTCCCGTCGGTCCTTATTGATATTGTACATCTCATCTGCCGTTCGTGCAGATGGATCCGAAACATGGTAAGCTTTGATTTCAACACTCGGAATGCTGAACGTGGTCGTCGTGATGACTTGCGGGTCGAATATAGATTTGATGTCTTTCGTACCGAGATTCAGTCGTTTGAGAGTGTCTCTGATTCCAGCTGAAATGATACCTATTAGGGGAAACGGTTAATTCTTTCAAACTCACGCAAAGGCAACTGCATGGCTCCTTCCTTCTTTCCTGTTCGAACCGTGCATGTTCCCGACGTGATGTTCACTTTCACATCCAAATTGAAGTTGACTGTTTCTGTGTCGTGAACTCCCGGATCTTGAGTCACATCTTCTGAGTACGGTCCGTTGGAAGCTCGAGCACTGGAGTTTCGCCTTGAACTTGGTCCCGTCTTACTCTGAGGAGGCGGAGTTTCCATGTGTTGTCTGCCAGCGTTCGCTCCTCTTTTAAACTTCTCTACCATATTACGTCGGAAAGCCTTGAAGCGAATCAACTCGTACTGTCGCAGCTTATGCTTTTCGGCTTCGATCTTTTTCGTCGAAACTCCGCGAGCAGCCATTTCAAAGACGGCTCTCGAGTGCTCGTGCATTTTGTTCTCCATCCACGGCACCTTCTCTTCTGCTTTCAAATTCTTCAGTTCTGCAGCTCCTTCCACTTTTTCTTCGTCCGAATCCAATCCTCGTTGGTCTTCCCATATCGAAATGTCATCATCGTCATCTTTTCCGATCATCGAGAAAGTGTTCACCATAAGCTTTGCGAGTTTTCCGATTCGAGTGTCCAAATCGATCTCGACACCCTGCATCTCAGCGGAAACGCTTAAAACCCATTTAGCCGGTCCTCCTCCGGATGATTCCGCTGTTGAGCACAGCTGATACGTTCCTTCTGGGAAGAAAATACAATTTGACTGATCGCTGTGAGCCGCGTCGAGGAAGCTTTGAGTGAGTGCTTGCTCGTCAAAGTGATCGATGAATGTGCACTTGAACCCGTTGAACGACGCCTTGCAGGTCAATTCTTTCTTGACAAGCACCGATAGTTCGGACTTCTGAAGGGAGATCACGAGAGCGGGCATTCCTTCGGTGACGTCGTGACTATAAAGCGGCATGCACATGTACATTCCGTTGTTGATGGCCAGTGACAAGTTCATATCGGCATCTTCGGCAATGTGGGTCGGTGAGAACATTCCGGCTGCTGGCAGACTCGCTTGCTTCTTCGTCGTCTTCTCCTGCACCACTTTCTCTCTTTCGTTCCTCCAGTAGTCGTACGTATTTTTGTAGTTGAGCCACAGTAGAATCGCCTTGTCGATAGCAGCAGCTTTGACGAGGAAGATTGGACGATTCAAAGAAATGTGGTAGGAATAGGAGCTGTTGACTACGTTCCTCTCTTTGTTTTCCACTCGAACTTGCGTCATGAACGTGGCATACTCCTGCAGATCTGTCAGAGTGTCGTCGTTTTGCACTGGCTTGATAATTTGTCCGAGTTTCGCATTGAAGTGCACGACGGCATTTCCGTAAATTCGTTCCTTCGATCCTTCTTCCTTGACAACCCACTTATTCGTCAATTCTCCTTCCAAACTGTCGATAGTAAGTCGGACTGCTGTCTGCGTGGGCGTAGCGGCCGTCAGTTGGAGCCATGGAACTGCTTTTTCTGGTGTTTGAGGGACTGCAGAGGGTGTCGCTCCTGTAAGATCACTGCTTGCGGCTGGTGTCAGAGCTCTGAGCAGTGTCTTGCTGTTTCTCGTCTCTTTTCCGTCCTTCTCTTTGTCCGTCTTCTCTTTCTCATTCTTTTCACTATTCGGTGGCTCTCTGGTTAAAACTTTGATCGAGAACAACAGCGGTGGCTTCTCGGAGAGCATCACATTGGCAGCATGTTGGACGGGCAGCAACAATTTCAGATTCGCAGCTGAGTTTGTTCTGTTGTTCAATGTTTGACTTTGCATCGGAGATCTTGTCGAGGTTGTGGCCGATGCGAATGAAGAAGAACGGATTCTGTTGATGAGAGCTGTGAGCTCAGTTCTGAACGAATGTTCGGCAAACATGAGTTGATTGAGCAGTTCAGTCGTGAATGTGTGGTTGACAGTGCCGAGGACGACGGTCATCTGAAGACTTCCTCCTTCTCGATAAACCAGCTTTTTGTCTGTACTCGGTTTGTGCGGAGCCGTCCCTTGTTCTGTTTGGAAGAGTCCGTTGCACTTCACTGATGGCAGCTGCAGCCGGAATGTTTCAGTTTTGCCGCCCTGTCCGGTAACGCAAAACTCGAAGAAGTGCTCGTCGAGAAGAATGGACCACTTGGCCTTGACGCCCGTGATTCCTTTGCTTGTTGCCCGATTGATTCGATATTTGGCCTGGAGACTCGGAAGCAATTGGATGTTCATTTCAATACTTGTCAGTTCGACTAGAAACTCCACAACCGCCACAGGAACTCTTCTTGCAATCTGTCCCTTTCCGCCCGTCGGATAGATCATTCCGGATACCGTACTGCTCGCATTGGATGGCAACTGCTTGAGTACAGTGCTCTGTCTGGCAGGGAGCGGAGATTCGAGTGACGAGGAGACGATTGACGAATGTCTCCGATCGGAAGCCTTGACGAGAAGGGGCTGATCATCTACGGGGAACGGGGTCGAGTTGCTCAACGGCGTGGAAGCGGGCTGAGCAGCCAATCGGTTCAGCTGCTGTTCCAGCTCTTTTCCGTGTCGCATGACGACGTCGTGCAGTGAATAGGCGGCCATCGGCATGTTTCCGTCAAGGGCTCCAAGGCGAAGAATGGCAGTCGTTGAAATGACGTTCGGACCGTGGAAGACGAGAGTTGTGTTGGAGCGGGATGGATTCATGTCCTTCGGTGGCTTCAAACTTCTGTAAGAAGTATACCGTTGTTGTATTCAGAAGAACAATATTTAACCTGTTGATGTTGAAACTGCTGGAATCGAGAGTACATCTCAGAATGTCCGACTTTTTGTTCGTGCTATCGGCTTCCGATAGGGTCAACTTCATTTTTCTGAAACTGATAACTCCTACTCAACGCTCATTTTTAATGCACTCACGTTAATGACAAAGATAAATCGTCAATCTTCTGTCCAGTCGCAGACGTCGATTTCTTCGTTAACGTCGCAGTTTTCTTCTCGTCTGCAGTCGTGACTACTGTAACCGTTGTCTGATGCGCGGACGGCAGATCGGGAAGCGGGTTCTTCGAATGAGAAACGTCAATTTGAGAAATTATGACGGAGACATAGAGGTCATTCAGGACGGACTCCAGAACGACAGATGATACGACGGCGCTTCCGTTCACCATGACTTTGACCTTTTCGACGTTCACTTCTTTGTTCGACTGCATTCTTTGCATGTGCTTTTCGTAGTCTCTGGTCATGTCCAACACCTTCTCATCCCATTCCGCAGTCGTGTCGTACTGAGTGTTCGTTGGGAAAACTTTTCCTTCATTTCTTGGTGTCTGAAATTTCCGCGATTCATTTTAAAGGCTAACATGTGCTCTTACAGATTCGGCCGCCAAATGCATTCTCAGTTCATTCTTGGCTTCCATCGCGACGCGCAGAACTAGTGAGAGTTCTTTTCCGAGTGAGACAGTCGCCATTCCGATCAGGAAGCGAATGCCCTCCACATTTCCACTGTAGTTGATATTCCATTGACCGTGGAGGGGCACTTTCCGTTTTTCGTCTCTCTCCATCTTCCACACCATTTCTCCGTTCACTGCCGCATTCCTTAATTGCATAACTTTCTGCTGGGCCGGAGTGATATACTGTCTCAAGTGATCCGTCGAACTCTTGATGCTTTTGGCCATCATTCGAACATCGACCTCTCTCAGAAGAACAGAATAATCCAGATGCCAGTGATCTTTTTCAACGCTGTCCAGAGTTGTCCATTGCAGTTGTGCCCATCTGTAGATGCTGTAGTAGTAAGCTTTCTGTTGAATGTCCATTGGATTTATGTATCCTTTCGGAGTGTGATCTTCCGTAACGACAGTGTCGCCACCGGCCAGTTTCCTCCGTCTCAGCGTGGATTCCCTTTGTGCATTCCTCATCCACGTATACAAGTCAACCTTCTCATCTTTCTTCGATACGGCCTCGAACTCCTCATCTTCTATTTTATCTTCGAATCCATCGTACGACCGCATGCCGGATTCCAGTTCTCTTCTCTCCATTTCCTGAAAATTCAGTTTGTTTTGTCGATTCGAATGTGAGATCCTACCACTTCTCCCATTTGCATTTTCGGGTCTTCTTCTGCATAACCATCTTCTCCGCCCTTCATCCTCAGTTTCCTCAGAAGCGGCGCTGGCGACATCCGTCCTCTCTTTTCTTTTGGTCTGAAAACATCAACTCTCTTCATCTTTACTCTCCTGTTTCACTTACAGATCGCTCTTTGCATCGATCACAACTCTCGTTTCTTTTCTCACAATTTCCTTCGTTTCCGGTAATTTGCGTCTTCCTCTCTTGCTCTTCGTCAGTGCCACGACTGCTGCTTCATCCGGTCGAGTCACCTTGAATTTGTCTGCATCTTCATACGACACTAACTTCAGTTCCTTTCCGACATCCGATTGCCAATGACTCAGAAGTGCCATCAACGCGGTTTTCCTAGTTTCTTCTACTTCGAATTCTGGACGGATATCTATCCGCCGATCGACCGCTTTCGGAGCATTTACGGCGTGAGCAAACCACCGAAAGAGTGTCTTCAGGAGAATACACGAAGGGCACGACGCCTGGTGGGCGCAGAGGACCCTCGTGCAAGCCATCCGATTCTTTCCGACCTTCACAGCAACCTTCTCCTCGGTGCAGTCCAGTGCCAACTTCAACACTTTCGCCATGGCAACACTCTTCCAGCACTCGACAGTGTGCAATATTTTCTCGATTGTGCGCACGAAGTTATCCGCCACACTGAGCCAGGATACCATGACAGGAGCGAGCGCTTCGTAGATCGGGAACTCATCTCCGGCCGTCAGTTCTTGAGGACGGGCCATCACGAGAGAAGTAGTCACGGAACCGATGTTAGCTTTCAGATAATGCTCGCAGAGCACTTTTTGTTTCTTTCTAATCGGAGCCGCTTCTTTGCTGTTAGTCGAATTCACTCCAAGCGTTGGAGTCTTGTTAAGAGGAGTGGCAGGTGAGTTAATCGGTGTAAGTGTTGTATTCGACTTAGTCGAAAGGAACATAATGATCGGTCGTCTCTCGAGGATGATGGATGTGTCGGAGATATTGAAATCGAGCATTACTCTCGGTTCGAGAGTGCTCATTCGCCTTGAAATGGAGCATTGATCCCAGTTGTTGGCAGTTGTCGTTGTTCCACTGCTTCCGAAGTCCGGCGCGTCCCGGTTCGTCAACTGGAGCAGCTGAATTGTGATGGCGCTTCCGTTCAATTGGTACAAAGTACTCGAGAGGTTCGAATTGTCAGCTGCGAGCAGTTGCGAGTCGACGAGTTCCGCAGAGTGTATCAGCTTGGACTGAATGAATGCTCGATCAATGAGGAAAAGAGCCATGTTGGCAGTGATATGGTCGTGTCGGTTCGACTTGAGCACATTTCTCTTCACGCCACACTGGAACAGTCCAACAGTCACACGTGGCAAGTCGATAGTGATATCTATTTCGGGAGGCTGCTCCGAATCGATATCTTCATCAGCAAAAAGACTTTCCGTCAATGGTTGTCTGTGCTTTTTCAGAACGCATTCACGGTAGCACATGTGAACGAGAAGACACGGGTTGATCGCCGAAATAGAATGTCTGGCCGCTGTGACGAGTCTCTCGGCCGCTTCGATGCCAATTGGAGTTACGAATAGGTCCATGGAAGTGGCTGCTACTCCACTGATCGCCAATCGTCTTTTTCGATCTCGTGCAGCATTGTACTCCACGTCTTGCTCGACGGGTTCTTTTTTGTCGACAACACTGAAGGCAATGCCCGACTTCTTCTTTGTCAGGAATCTGACTTCGTTCACTCCACGCGTTTTCGGGTCTTCTGTTATTTTCGTGGCCGGATGCTCTTGACACCATTCGAGAATGGCACCCGGTTCTCCGAATTGCGGTATGCGTATTTCAGACGGCATCTCCACGCGCACATTGTCGACGAACTCCGCGTAACTTGCAATTATTTCGGCAGACTGAAGAAGTCGGACTCCCGGCGCTTGTTGCGATTGAGCAGAGTGGAATGACTCGGTATCTGTCGACGATTCTTTTCTGATCGTGATTGCCACGTCCGCTCTTTTCGGTTTCTTGTAGAACATGTGCGTCTCGTTGCTCAGAATGGGTCTGTTTCTCCGGATGACACTTTGCATCACTTTCGGCTGGAGATTCGATCTCGTTTCGATGGCCGGCACGAAGAATTTCCGTTTTTCCATCGTTTCCATGAACGTTGATCCTCTGAAAACTCATGTTCACGCTAGAACGTTCCTCAAATTTTACTCACATTTCATCCACATCTCCGAAGAAACACGTGTTTCCAAAGCATGCGCATCCCCAAACGGAGTGATCCGCCCAAAGAAAATGGAGCCTCTTCGTGCTTGCGTCGTGCAATTTTACAAATTCCAGCCGTTCTTTTCCAATGTTCGGGGATTCACCACTCGCGTACGGCAGCTCGATGTCCAAGGAAACGCCCTCAATAGCGGCGGCCGCTCCTTCTATCCACACACTTTCTGGCTTCTCTCTAATCCGAACCGCCTGTCTAATGGATATTCCAGGCACGCGAACACACACGTGCTCCGTGAACCGTCCCTCGTGAGCATTGCACACTGTCACTCGCACTGGATCCGCTTTTATCTGAATTTTTATATTTTCAAAGTGATTGAATAACTATGCGTTCAAACCTGCAGAACCGTTTTTTCTTCTACAAAAGCGAGATCGACAGAGTCGACAGACACCCTGATCTGTCTGTATTTCATGACTTCCTCTGTCCGGCATGGCGCCAAGGACTCGTTTTTCTTCTTCCCAGCAACTGAACATGCTTGTGTGAGTTGTCCGTGCTGACAGAATTGCATTCTATCCGGCACTTTCGTAGCATCATCTGGAGAAAGAATGAAAATCAGAAGAGATTCGACGATTTGATGGAGAACAAGAGCCTGAACGTGAGATTATAAATGAACGATTGCGCGAAGAGCACTAACGTGTGCTGGGAAATCAAGCGTTCCGGCGATGTCTCCCACGAGAATCTCCATGATCCATCCGTATTCGACTAATCCCATGTTCCACGCGACCTCCTTCGCAGAGTACATCGCATGTCCTCGGAACTGGAATCCGGAGAGCGTGATGCAACCGGGACCAGAGCCGGTGCTCGACTTGTCCAGATATGCGCACGCGGGGCTCACTCCCACTTGGATCAACGCCTGTGTCTTCGTCTTTTTTACTTCCACTGCCACCTCCTCGACGAACACAACTGGAACCTTTTCAGGTTCGTATCCATCATCGACTGCCGGAGAGTAAATGAGCATTTCTGCTCGGATGTTGCACACACGGACTGTCACATCGACATCCATCGTCCGGAACCATTCGACTGGCTTCGCTCCGTTAGAATTGTTCTTATCGAAAGCCGCCTTCAGTTTTATGGTATCGTCGATTTTGTTTATTTCATCGTCGAGTGGCGTCATCTGGATTTAACAATTCGGAAGAAGTCTACTTCAAGTTTACTTACAGAATCGTACCATCCAAAATAATTGTTCTTCAACTCGAACAGCAGTTTTATGAGAAGTCCAGTAAACTTGACATCGCTCCCTTCAATGAGGATATCGACACCGAGGAAGTCCGGCTCGAGCTCCCACGGATGGTTGGCTGGCGGGGGAAGATAATCAGAAAGCACTGCGAATGGGATGTCCGATGGAATGTTCGCTTTGGTGACGAGGGGCCGATACTGATGATCAAAATCCATTTTGACGAGCTCTGTCCTCCACAACTCGAACCACGCGTCTCTATCGCGTGTGTGCGTGCCGTACTTAGACGGTGGGGCGTACGGATTGCATCGAGCAAGCCGGGAGAGAGCCGCTCGCATTGGGGCGGTCGCAGAATCGGGAGGGAATCTGAACAGGGGACATTGTTTGAGGGGACCAATATGTTTTACTTACTTAGCTCTCATCGCAACGCCCTTTTCTCCTTTCAACTCGTACTTCATCATTTGTGTCTGCGGAAGGAAATCGACAAATGGGAGCTCGCAATCGAACGAGAGTTTCTCTCCGACGATCGAAATCTCCACATTCTCCGCATTCATGTCTGCGGTATCCACCCAATTGGACTCATTCAAAAGCATCGTCACCTGAACTTGCAGTCGTGTCATACTTACTTTTAGAAGGAAAAGTCCAACCTCAAAACCGTCGACCACTTTCATGTGGTTATACACTCGGAACGGAACGAACTTCAATATATCGTTCGGTGCGTCGCCGATCCACTCGTTGATGAGATCAGTGATCAACCGTTTGTGGTCCCAAACGAACCAAGCGGACGCCTGGGTGAATGTGTAATCTAACTTCCACGTCTGTTCTCCGTTCCAGGTCAGCGGATAGACGAAGCTTCCATCTACACAAAACCTATGACATTCGATGAGCTTTGTGAACACTAATGAAGTCGTCGCTTCAAAACTGAAAAACGAACCAATTAGTATGTAGTCCTAAGAATAATATACTTTATAAACTCGGATCTCATGTTCCAATAAAACCCTTTTTCCGTGGTTATCCATAAAATCGACATCTAAAAAAGAGACAATATAATTCAGAATATCACAAAATGTCTTACATCGATATTACTTTCCGGTCCACATCTAGTTCGGATGCTTTCCAGCTGATCTCCCCGCATGAACCAGATGTCCATGCACGTCTCTTTTGTCAGAATAATCTTCGCATTATGCTTTACGTGTATTCTTTTCTGTCCTCTCAACGGCATCGATGTCGCATTCGCATTTTGATAATCAGCCGGGAAAAAGAAGTCATAAATCAAGAAGCGTTGCTGTTCCGCCCATGGACCGTACGACAAAACGGTGTTGCTTCCGAATCGCCACTCGGATTCCCAAACAGGCACTTTCGAAGTTATGCTCTGTGGCTCGTCTTCCGTCACATATCCTACAAAATAGAGATCGTCTGCAGGGAAGGGTCTGAAATCGTTACCTAGTAAATCCTGCTTGTACGTAAACTTTAGAGAAGCCGACTGGAGAAGAGGACATCCGTCGTTCCCGGTCGTTCGCGGCGGTTCTCTGTGCTTTGCTGTGAACTGGAACTCTTCGTTTTTAATGAGTGACACCGCCACGTTTTCCGTGTCTCCTTCGAAAGTGAGCTGCGCCCAGTCGTTGGCTGATTCGGTCACGTGAGTTTTGCCTTAAAAGTAAGACTTCTTTCAAGACAACTATAACTTGAATCATACTGCTAAGATTCTCGAATCGGGCCCAAAGAGCGTAGGGAAGATGCTTGTTGCCTACGAGAACACTACCGGCCGAAACTTCGATTTCAACAGTTCCCACTAAGTTCCACATGTTTTCATAAACAGAAGACGGTGGCGAACTGAAACTAGGCGCAACGTTTCGCGGAATTTCGTAGTGTCTCTTACGTGTCTGGCGGTTTGTTCGGTAGCCGTTTCGCGTCGTTCATATTTGTGAGCTCGAAAAACCAATCGAAACGACGAATACGAGAAATTTCCGCATACTTCGTCAGGTTGTTGTAAATGTGCACTTGAAGGCCGTTCAGGACGAGATGCAGCCGAGAGGCTCTTTTTCTGAAATTGACTTGATCTGGGCATACTTTTGAGACGAACGTACGTTTTGAGGTCCAGATGTCTATGTTCAACAGGCTTCCAGTACTTGAACAGAAGATGTCCATCGTTTACTTTGATGGTCATGTCGCCATCGTCATAGATCACGTTTAGAAACATTATCTTTCCGGCATGCAATCCAGATATTGAAATTCCGCCGATCTTGAAGTAGATTCCATTTTTTGAAAAGCGCATATATCTGAAGAGCAATGTTTTTGAGGTGTTAGGAGATACGATGACTTACTTGTCGATAATAAATGTGAAAAAGAGCCCGCTGACTCTGGAGAAAAAAAGGACTACGAATGTGCTCCATGCTAGGAAGAGTGTGATTGCACTCATCGTCACCCAGAACGACCCTTCATTCGGGTTGATGGCCGCATCGTCAATGTTTATGCGGATGTCGAATGATTCTGACATCTTTGGCTTAAACCCGTATCAGATTAACTGAAAATCGATTATTGGTGACTGATAAAAATGGAGAACATTGATGAAACTAGAGAAAATAAACACGGCAAGATTTATCGAAAAGCCCTATTATTAAAAAACTTAGCAAAAAAAAATAAAACTGCCGAACATGGATGAAATAGCAAGCGCGCTCTATCGCACGAGCTCGGTAAAGGGCGGCGTTTCCAAAAGCAAGCGGTCCTGCACGTTTTGAGATCAGCCGTCATAAAAAGATTGGCAAAACAAGACAAAAACACACAGAGCAAAGAGAAAAACAAGGCTTTTAAAACCCGAAACAGGTGCGCGGTTCGAACTTACGATTCTCAAAACCATCAGAAAGGTCACGTGTACATTCCTTATTTTCTTCGTCACTCTTGTTTCAGAAATGAAAATGTGGCCTGAAAAACAGAGAAAGAAAAAAAAAGAAATGAACAGGCTTCGAAAAAAAAACAGAAAGTTGCAACTCATGAGTACGTGTCCGTGACCGTTCAAAAAATTGTCATGGAAACTGACCAAAAACAAAGTCGATTTCGCGATCAGTTCCACCGAAGATCCCTGCCTAATATGTTCCAGTGCAACATAATCAGATGGGTTGCCATCCTTCTCGTAGCCAAACTCTTCTTTTTCATCGTCACAATAGATGGTTTTTTTCCCGTTCGAATCGGCATTTATTCCATTCTTTTTCAGCTAAAACTACTCCGGCCGTCTCGAAGTACAAGACAATGTTACCGTTGGACAATCTGAGTCTGAGCGTCTCCCAAACCCGTTTCAAGTGAGACCGCATCGCCTTCCTATGGATTGTTTTGCAATTTTCAGCCGGCTCGCAATCGGAGGGTCAATAAACTACTTGTTTTCCTTGATCAACCTCATCCTCGGACTTGTCAATTTTTACTTTATTTTCGGAAAAGTAGGGAACGAATCGATTCGATTGTTGACGAATCGCATCTTTTTCAGTACCGCACGCGCCTCCGCCAAACGACTGGAAAACTGGAAGCGGCGAGCACTGAGATGTCTAAACGGGAAATGCATCCGAAGATCAAGAGTCGGTGGTCCCCAGCCGTTGCGTTCGCGCTCAAAATTGTGCTTTTTCAGTGACCCTTTCTAGGGTGTTCCAGCCGGAAGGTGTCCCTCTCGAGACGCTGCTGCCCTTGCTCAAAGAGCCCAGTCCTCTTTTCGACGGGAGCAACGGTTTGCTGGATGGACAGAAAGAGGCGCGTCTCCGGAATCTGAAAGCCAAGGAGAAGGAGGGCGATGAGAAAAAGAAGAAAAATAAGAGCAAGTCTCCGAGTCCGGCATCGACCAACGACACAGGCGGCTCAAGTGCCATGCAGTCGACTCTTTCCGAAGTGAAAAAGACCAAATGAACGTTTATTAACAGTATTATGAGCACGAAACATGATTGTACATTACGTTCGGAGAGAAAAAAGTGTCATCCATTCAGCGGCCCACTGACCACCCCGCCGTTCCATACAGTTTTCACATTCGGAGGGTCCGCAGTGGAAGTGTTCACCGGGGCCAGAATGGCACTGGCCACACTTCCGACGGCGTTCGAGAGGGGAGCCGCTGCGTAGGAAGTGGCGTTGGACTCTCCTCCGATCAATTCCTTGGCGTCTACGATCAGTCCTCCGACGGCCGAAGTCACATTTCCAGCAATGGCGCCACCCGTGGAGTTGAGAAAAGAGCCCACCGCGGTTCCATTCAATTTTTCGTTTATCCATGTTTTAGAAGTGTTCACAAAGTTTCCTGATTCTATTTGTGTTCCATTCCAAGCATTGGTAAGGAATTCGCCCGTGCTGGAATCATTTGAGTTCTTCAATTTGTGCAGAGTCCAGCAAACCTGTTGACAGCGTCTCCGATCCACGTTTTCGTGCTGTTCAGGAAGGTTCCAGAGGTCTCATTTCCCGACGGAGACAACGAATTCCAGGCGTTCGAGAGGAATTCTCCAGTGCTGAAATGACTCATTCCGTCCTTCTTCTCTTTCACTCTTTTCATTCGCACCTGTCCCATTTGTCGTCTATCCAATTCTTGGTATTGTTTATGAACGATGTGTTGGAATTGAGGGTCTCATCGATAAAACTGCCAGTGCTGATGATGAATGTGGCCACCGGACTGGAAGAGTTCGCATCGGAGACACCTGCAATGACTTCCATTATTTATTTTCATTCCAACCCTCGATACTGTTTCCCAGGAAAGCCTTTGTGTCGTTGAAAAAGTCCCCGGTTGAGTTGATCACACTTCCAACGAGTCCACCCAGTGGCCGAGCGGTCGTAGTGGTCACGCCCTCAGAAGATGCTGTTGAGCTCGAGCTGACAGAGGACTGATCACTTCCGCCGAAGTTGTTGTTGATGACATCTGTTGTTGTTGATGACGGATAGACGACATCACGTATCGCCGGTTGGGAAGACTGTGTTTGAGTAGAAACAGGTGCTGATGAGTTGGAAGTGACGATCAGAGCTTCAATAACCGGCGGGTTTGTGTATGAACTGAGAGGACCTCCGACGATGGAATAGGACGGAACGGCGGCGACGTGTTGAGGGACCGTAGAAGTGAGAGAAATGGAGACAGAAGATGCAGTCGAACTGGTGGAGACAGAAGCTTCCGAGGTATGAGACACTTGTGAAGTCGCCGAGGAAGAGGGTACTACCGAGGAAGAGACAGGAGGCGGTGGAGGGGCCATGGTCACTGTTGGCAGGTTAAGAAATCCCAAGAGTGGTCCAGTGATCATTGCATGAGTTGGCGGGACGGTTCCTGCGGAAGTGGCGGCTGATTCTGGTGATGTAGTCGGAGTGGTTCCGAGTGTGAAACTATCTGGCGAGCTAGCAACGACCAAGGGACTTTTGGCGGTGGTGGCCGTCAGATACCAGAAATCGGAAAGAGTAAACGTCTCCGGACCACTCGGACTCATTTCGCCCATCGGACTTTCTGTTCCTTCATTGGCTTCCGCAGATGTGGCGATGGCTGCATCCGTCACAAGTGGATCTTCAGTGACAGGTAACGGCTTGACGGCGACAATGAGACCTGGTGTAGCTGCTCCCGAATCAGAGAGATGGATTGTAGTTGATGGGAGGGAGGAGGTTTTTTCTGTAGTCGTAGAACCGGTCGCCGGACTGGCAGGTGTCTGAGCAGAAGTCCCAGTGGTAGCCAACGGGGCCGGAGTTGATGTTCCCCAGACACTGACAGTTGGAGACATTGATGCCGCCGCTGTCGTACCCCAGACGCTTATTGTCGGCAGACTGTTCGTTCCAGAAGAGGTGGTTCCAGTGGTGCCCCATACACTGACAGGGGTCGGAGTAGGAGTTCCCCATGGGCTAGAAGAGCTTCCCGAACCACTAGTTGTGGGTGACCTACTAGCTGCAGTGACAGCAGTTGAAAGGGCACTCATGAGCATTGGAGTAATCGCTCCCACGTCTGCCAACCGTGTTGTTCCAAGTGGTGTGGAACCTCCAGCGGTTCCACTGATCGTAGACTGAGTGGTCCCGATCGTCGGATTCAAGTTTACAACTGGACTGACTGATGATGTCGTTGCGGTTCCCGCAGTTGCCAGTGTTGTCGCGAACACAGAAGGGAAGGCAGTGGGAGGTGCCGCGGGAATGTTCGAAACGTTCGGAGAGTAGTTTGACGGCCAGATGTAGCAGAGAGGGACCTGCGGGTACAGATAAGTCATTGGAAGTGGTGCAGAATCCGTAGTGTACACAGAATCTGCAAGGCCAATTCCGAACAGGGTCCTATTTTCTTGCCGTGTGCTCACCAATATCGTAAAACTGAAAATGTTTCCAGAGGGGCACCGAAGCACCACAATCTCCGAGTCTCTTCGCACAGTACACGGCTTCCCCCGTGTCCACGTATTCCTCGTACGGTCTGTTCGGTTCTTGCCCGGTCACAATCAGTTTATGGTCGCGGCGATCTGAAGGGTGAAAGACTGAAAGTCGGCAAGCAAGCAGGTGCGCATTTAGATGACTCACGAAAGTAGCCAGTTTGATTATCAAATACTTGCTGAAGCTTTACGAGACAGCTGCAAGCCGTGCTTTTCGGCGAAGTGAGCACCTTCCCGAGCACGCCTGACTGGTTGTACCCGGCTGAGGCAATGGACGGATCCGTGAGAGGGAGTGTCGTGTAGTAGTGATCTCGCTCGATACCATCTTTGTAATTATCGTACACATTTAAATCGGCGAGTGCCGAGAGAGGAGTGTCAAAGTTGAGAGTGCCGCAAGTGGGACGACTGGCCACTGAAACACATCATACGTCACACTCTGTCCCTTGCGGTTACCGGTTCCACTGGCCATCGGCCACGCGTAGCAGATTGGCATGAACTCCTGGTTGTAGCCGTCGTAAACGATGTCCTGTTCGAAAGAGTAGGCGTGGACTGGAAACGAGTGGAAATGCCGAAGGACTCGCGATTATCGGACTCACAGACTCCGCCGTTTGAGATTCGGTAGTATCGGTAGACCGGTACGGTAGCCCCGCAATAGCCATTGGTAGAGACACAAACGAGAGTGGTGATGTTGTCTTTTCTGCAAATTCAAAGCGGTAACTTGAGAATCAGGGTTCGGGAATGATAGATTACTCACACGTAATGAGAGGGCAGATAGAAGGCGTGATCCGTGTCGAAAAAGAGAATTGTGGATTCGTTTCCTTAAAAATATAATTTCCCTTTCTTATCTATGCTTCTAGTTACCTTGAAATGTATCAGTGTACCGATTGAGAGTAATCAGGCAAGTTTCGGGGCAAGCAGATTGGTTATTGGTGAGGAACCGGATCGGATCGGACACCTGATCGAACGAATTTGATGGCGCCGACGGGGCGATCTCGTAGGATACGTGATCATTTTCAAGAGCGAATTCGTTATTGTAGATCTGAACGATTTCTGCAAGCATCTGATATCAGATATTCATAACATTTCGGTAAAGGCGAGCGGGGCGAACTGACCGAGAGTGTCCGTTTCAGCGAGTTTCGCCGAAAAGCAATCTTGTGAATTAACTCGAGAAAGTGTTCGAATGAAGGCGAACAGCACAAATATGCGCACGGAACCCATCCGACCTCACTGTCCGTCGGCCAGGTTTCGCCTGAAAAGTGAAAGAGTGCTGGCTGCTCTGCAAAGGGGCGTCGCTTCGTTCATGGCAACAAAGTGAGCGCATTCGGAGTTCTCGGAATAGGGTATCACAAACAAAATAAACAAGTTTCCGGGAAGATTGGAAAGAGAGTTTTCGGTCGGAATTCGTTTATTTTAGCGGTCGAAAAGTTGTCGACGTGCTGGCTTCATGTGTTTTGGCGCGACGGAGACTGACGGATCAATCGAGAGGATTTGTAACGTATTTTTGAAATTTGACAGTCTTTGGCCGAACAAAAAAGGACAGAATCTCTAGTGAAACACAAGAGAAATGGAGAGATGCGTTCGGGGCAGACCAAAACAAGATTGGCCTGAAATGGCTGAAATGGGAAGAAAGGCTCCAATGATAATTCACATAAAACATTGCTCGTTGATTCGTTCACCCCGTCCATTTTCAATCTACCTTCTTTCCTTATTTTCGTGCTCTTTTTCTCGAGTCCAACTCCAAATAGTGTGCACCGACGCGCGATATCCGGTCCGTTTCGGCTGTGTCGAGCTTCCGTCGTTTCCATGACGTGGCAACGCGTCTCGCTTCGTTCGGGACGTCTGAGCCACCTGTCGCGGCTCCTCGTACCGCCGCCAATTGTCGTGCCACGGCACACTCGTCTTTTTTTATTCGTGTGCTCCTCCGGGCCTCAGAACTCCGTGTTTTTGTGTGTTTAGTGTGTATGTCAAACTGATGATCTATCGACGAGCGACACATGGGGACACCCCTCAACTTCTTCTCTCTTGTTTATATCAGTCGGAGAAAGAGAGAAAGAGAGAAAGAGAGAGAAAGAGAGAAGGAGCAGGTTCCCTTTATTTCTCTTTCTTCCGCATTACCATATTCCATTCGTTTTTGAAGCCCCCCCCAATTTATGTGCTAATTTCAATAAAATGGTAGCATTCTCAAGATGTTTGTGGAGCGGAAAAAGAAACAACAAACAAGAAGAGGAAGAAGAAGAAGAAGACGTTCTCTGTTCTCTGGGGAACAACCTGCTGGCCACATTCGGGCGACAAATTGAGCAATCCGGGCGCTCCGGGCTCATTTCTTCGCCGATGCGCACCCCATCATGCACTTGTTTCGACTCGTCTTTTTCGCGAAAATTGAGCGTGATGGATGTTTTTAGAGAGCTACTACCCCGCCTTACGAACTTTCTTTCTATGGTAGATTGGAAGGAACTGTTACTTGAAAACGATCAGAGATTGATCTCAGAAGATCCTATGAGATTCGATCGGAAAAAGCGCCCCGAAGCTTCTCGAACACTCGTTTTATTTGTTCTCCTATTATACCGTACTCCCTTCGCTTCCCTTTCATTTCCTTCTTCCTTCTCAAAATCCGAACAATCCTTTCACGACGATTTTTGCAGCTGCTCTTTTCATATGTGTTTCCGAGAAGGAAGTTTTGCGAAACGACACGAAATAAGTGTGTTCGGATTGGCGGATGATGATGACGGCCTCTCGGCGGCTCGTTTCTTCCCCTCCTCGCCCCCTATTTGTGAGTGTATTCGGCAGAGAATCTCCGGGGATTCAACCCTTTTGCTCGGACGGACGCCGCGGAGCCGCCTGCAGAGCCGACCGAAAAAACGCGGGCGCCCCTCAGACGACCCATTTTCGGACTCATTTCCGACATTACTCTCTCTTGTCACGTCTTCTCGATCTGCCGCACTCATTCAATCATCATTTGGTTTTCGGCTTAACTGTGTCTTCTGGCCCTCTCCTCCTCCTCCTCCCACCCCGTTTGAAATTCATCTTCTTCTTTTTCGTCTCCGCTCCTTTCTCGTCCGTTCCGCTGTTTCGCCGACGGCATCGAATTTCACAGCTTCCCAACTTTTGTCACGAACATTTTTTATTGCATTATTTCAATGTTACACCCTACAGATGAAGCCCTCTCTCTCTCTCTCTCTTTCCCTCCTTTCCTCTTCTCTTCATTTTTGCTTCTCTTTGCAAAGCTACCGTATTCCCGGCTCCCTTCTTTTTCAAAAGTGCATCGGAAAGGTCGTCTTCTCGAGTTACAAAGTGTTCGTTCTTGTGCTCCCTACCGTAATCCTTCCACTTTCCCTTTAAAAAAGAACAACATCAACAGCGGGCTGCTTTGGACGAGAGCAGTTGGCTCACGAATGGCGGGCAGGAAAAAGAGATTTCGGAAATTTGAAGGCAACCCGATACCTGGCGCATATACACGGGACTCCTCTGCTCCGCCCGTACGTGTGCTGTCCTTCCACGTCATTTGTCGCCCCGACCGGGTTTTGTTGGGAAATTAGTTTCGGCGAGGTGCTCGAAAGTGTCAAGTGATGTCACCGCAAGCCGTGTTTATTAAACATCGGAAGAGGACGCGGTGAAGAAGAAGAAGAAGAAGAAGAAGCAGAAGAAAAAGAAGACGATACCGATTTGCGAGGGGAGGAGAATGGCGCCACGAATGAATTATTCCGAAGAGTTAGACGTTGGGGGAAAGTTCTCTTACGAGGTGAATGCGCGCTCCGGAAGACCGAATCTGACCCTTGAAACGAAGAGCATTCAGACGCCGTCGTCGAGTGTTTTCGGAGTGCGCATGCAAGTGTGCTCCGTCCGCCACTTGCTCCACGGACTTAGTATCTTATCAACTTCTCTCTTCCCTATTTGCTTTCTCTCTCTCTTTCTTTCATGTTGACAAGTCGCCAGGTACACTTTCGTCACGTGGCAACTTCCCAATTAATTAGAAGACGTGGCTCTTCCTCTTTCAAAACGGAACCAGGTTCCCACGACTTCTTATCTCTTCTTCTTCTTCTTCTTCTTCTTCTTCTTCTCCTTCTTCCTCTTCATTCTTCATCATCAAAGCTCTTCATTGACTGACACACTTCTTTATTCTTTTCGTCGTTTGGCATTCCCGTTTCACAAAAAGTTCCCCTGAACCCTCTTGAATATTCATTTCTCTTTTCCAAACGTCTTCTAAAGACTCTTTTCCTTTGGATCAAAGATTGTCTGAAACAGTCTCTGTCCTCTCTCTCCCTGTCTCTCTCTCTCTCTCTCTCTCTCTCTCTCTCTCTCTCTCTCTCTCTTTCACTTTCACTTTCCTTTTAATTTCCGAAAGAGTGACCATTCGGACCCTTATTTCTTTTCACAAGTACCTCTTTTCCACAACACTCGAGAATCGTTCAAATGTCAAAAACTGTTCCCCGAGAATCCCTCTCTCGCTTTCACTCTTTCTCTCTCTCTCTCTCTCTCTCTCTCTCTCTCTCTCTCTCTCTCTTTCTCTTCTGAATCGTCCGTCAGCCACGGATAAATGTCCTTCATCGCCACCCATCTGCAACATTTCCACCCTATTTGCACACGATTCGATCGTAAAATTGGCCGTAAACTTTCAGTTTTCCGCCCGTTTCACACTCATCCCACCCATCCGCGCCAACCTTTTTTCACTCCCATTTTTTTTTAGATCTGAAATGGTTTTCAGTCTCGATCTAGTATATCTCCGGTGTGAATTATCCGATCTGTCTGAAACTCGAACCCAATATAATTCAATCCAAGCCTAAGAAGCCTGGAAGGTTAGGATCCGATCGGGACATTACAACCGTGCCAAAAATTCAGGCCTTGGTTTCAAAAACTCATGCCGCCTGCCATTTGGAAATGAAATGCGTCCCCCTCTAATCACCTAATTATGAAAAGTAGTAGAGCAGAAAAAATACATTATTAACGGTTCGAAGAGTCGCAAGACGTCACACCCAAAACAAGAGAGAAGACGTCAGAAGTGGACAGTGACTCGATGGCATTACGGATGAATGGGCACTGCTTTTCTCGGAAACTATCCCGCTCTGTTCTGCTCTCTCTCTCTCTCTCTCTCTCTCTCTCTCTCTCTCTCTCTCCCTTCACGTATGCCCGATCCCATTCCGACTTGTGATGCCCATTTCCGTACTCGCTCCAATCCCATTTCATTTCCGTACGCAGGTGTCCGCCCACCTAACTCGATTCGCTTCGCTTCCACTGCTCCATTTCCAATTAGCATCAGATCAGACCGCCTACTCCTATGTGAATGCGAGGAGCGACACGACACGTGATCTGCAGCCGCCGTCGTCGTCGCAGTTAGCTCTCTCCTCCTCCGTTTCCGGCCATGCGAGCGCCCGCAATCCGACGGCATCTCACTTATTATCGTTTCGTCGTTTGTCAATTCGTCCTAATCGCTCTCATCCAGCGGATAGACGCTCGTTCGATTGCACGCGGAGAGCATGTCGTGCACACTCCGTTGGGCACAATACGAGGAGTTGGCCAGGTGAGAGCTCCCGCCGTCTTCTTCCCGGCGAAACGCTTTCCTTCCAGACATTCGACGGGGCCAGAGTGTCCGCATTCCTGGGAGTTCCTTACGCGAAACCGCCGATCGGGTCGCGAAGGTTCAAAATGGCAGAGATGATAGATCGGTGGAGTGGGGAGCTGGAGGCGAGGACGCTGGCGAAGACGTGCTACCTCACGATCGACACGGCGTTCCCCCAGTTCCCCGGTGCTGAAATGTGGAATCCGCCAGGAGTGAGTGCTCGGAAACGAACATTCTTGAATCGGAACAACTGTTTGCAGGCGATATCTGAGGATTGCCTGAACATGAACATTTGGGTGCCGGAGGATCACGACGGATCAGTGATGGTGTGGATTTACGGCGGTGGATTCTTCAGTGGAACACCATCACTCGATCTGTACAGTGGATCCGTGCTCGCAGCAAAACAGAATACTATAGTGGTGAATGTGAACTACAGGTGAGCTACAATCGAATTTAAAGGAATGGAAGCAACGGGTGGATTTCAGGTTGGGTCCGTTCGGATTTCTGTACTTTGGAGACGATTCTCCAGTCCAGGGCAACATGGGATTGATGGATCAGCAGTTGGCACTCCGATGGGTCCACGAAAACATCGGAGCGTTCGGGGGAGACCGTTCGAGAGTCACTCTGTTCGGCGAATCTGCCGGCTCCGCATCAGCCACTGCTCACTTGTTTGCTCCAAACTCTCACAAGTACTTCAGAAACATCATTGCCAAGGTTTCCGTTTCATTTTCTGTCGATTTGCATCCATGACTTCGCTTCAGAGCGGTTCCATTATAAACTCGTGGGCCTCAGCGACTCCTCCAACCATGCTCGAACTGTCGCTCCGTCTCGCAAAAAAGGTGAACTGCACTTCTCCCGACATGAATGTTATCGCCAAGTGTCTACGAAGTGTTCCCGCCCATTTGGTCCAGGCGGAAGCCGACAATATCTCAGGAGACATCGGACCTCCGATGACATTTGCATTCGTTCCCGTCTCTTCCGATGCCAACTTCTTTCAAGTCAGTTCTTCCTTTCCTTTCTTCCTCGCTCAGCTTGTTCATTTCAGGGTGATGTCTTCCAAAAACTGACCAATAAACAGTTCAAAAAAGACGTGAACATAGTCTTCGGAAGTGTGAAGGACGAAGGAACCTACTGGCTTCCCTATTATATGTCGCTCCCCAAGTACGGATTCGCATTCAACCACACCATATCGGCGGAAGACCCCCACAACCGGGCCCTTATCACTCGGGAGCACTACGTAGAATCCATGAAGGCGTTCATGCCCTACTTTGCCGGTTCTCAACTCGTTCTGAACGCATTCATGAACTCTTATGAGCACGTTTCGACGAGCAATGTGCCCGAAGAACGGTACAGAGACGGAGTGGCTCGTTTCCTCGGAGACCTCTTTTTCACGTGCTCCCTCATTGATTTCGCAGATCTGATTTCTGATAACATTTTTGGAAATGTTTATATGTACTACTTTACGTACAGGTGAGAGCTCATCCAGTGATAGAAAGTAACAGATGAATACAGATCGAGTGCGAATCCGTGGCCGCGGTGGATGGGTGTAATGCATGGATATGAGATAGAATACGCGTTCGGACAACCATTCTGGAGGCCACATCTCTACGATCAGACCCAAGTGAACGACGAGAAGAGGCTGTCCTCCATCATAATGCAGATCTGGAGTAACTTTGCCAATACCGGGTTAGTCGAGTTGTTGGAGTGCACGTTTTAGAACACTTCGTTCAGAATCACCGATTCTTTCTGGCCGCGGTATAACAAGATTGAAAGAAAAGCTATAGAAATCGGCGAGAGCACGCTTCACGGAAAGCACCGAATAATTTCGGACGTTCACGGAAGCTTTTGTCGAATGATCGACGAGGCGAAGGCGTTCGTAAAACAGAAGAACGGTTAGATTGTCGGAATCCCCTACACGTGTCAAATCCATTATTTTCCAGCCAACGACTGTCGCTCCACTCGAAAATCGGAAGTTTCTTCCCTGGAAACGAGTGCATCCGTCTCCCCACTTTATATTTTCGTTGTTTCCCTTTCCATTGTCATCTCTTGTACTAAATTGTGATAATGTAGGTGTACCTTGCTGTTAATTCATTCTCCTGTTAGCTGTTGAACTCTTTTCCATTCGGATCTCAGTTTGTTCCGTTTCACTTTTCCCCTCCTCCGCTCTATCTCCGTCTTCTCATCGAATAGACTTCCTTCTTTCTCAAACGGCGTATCTTTTCATCAGTTATCAAATCCCTAGCGTTTCTGCATGGCTTTTCCCGTTTTGCCCTCCAAACAACCTTTCTTTTTGCTCATCGGAATCGCACTCTCTTTTGTAGTCGGTTTTCTGTCTTTCTGTGGAACAATGCTCTTAGTTTAGATTTTTAGTTTGAGCCTTTTTGACATTCAAATTTGGAGCTGTTCCAATAAAACTTACAAGGCTTCTTCATTGTTAATTGACCTATTTTAAAACAAGATAAACTTTCAGCTTGGCGAGAGTTTCATTAATTGAAAACTGCTTACGTGACCGCGGCCGGAAGCTTCGCGGTATTCCTCTTCCAGAGAAATATTGGAATTTTTTAAAAGCCAAATCAAGAGTTTCAATAGTAATTAAAGTCAACCTGGTTTTTTTTTCCTTTTTTATGCGCTTGGTTATTACCAGCAATTTATTATTAAAAGTTGAAGAGACAAACTACAATAAATACAAAACGTTAATCCAAAACAAGCCTCAACGTCTTTGAAAACATTTTTTTTGCATTTTCCGATTCTTGTTCTATCCAAGTTATTTCGGTTTTGATTCCCTCTATCTTGTATTTATCATCTCTTTCTTTTTCTATCTTTTCGCGAATGTCACCTAAATGCCATCTAAACGCCATCAAATCGAAATAATAAACGGCAATCGGAAACCAGTGCGCCCACAAACTTATCAGTTTTTCGGCGACGCGGCCGTCCTAGTGCGCCCTGACCAGTCCGCAAATGTCCGTCGCAGTGTGCATTCATACCCGAGGACACACCCCTTCCGCCCCTTCCTCAACTGTTTTTTGCCGTCCTCTCGTCGCCTCTCCGTCGTTCTCTTCTCTCTTACCGCTCAGTTTATAATCGGTGGACGATCCTAACGGTTACTTAGTTTTGCAGGGTATTCCGATGGCCGACTCACTCGGATTGCAGTCGCCGGATTCGTATTCGGAGAAACAGTGAGTTGAACTAATCGATTTTCAATAGAACGTAAGCGTTTTTGCAGTACAATCTCGAGAAAGACGTCGAACCTCAGTTTTGGAATCGGCACGAATGTCACGATTCAACTGAGTGCCCCGTCGGATGTGGATAATGGCCGGGAGAGGGATTCATCGAATGTTCATACCAAAGTGATTCTGGATCACAAAGGAGATGTGCGTGAATGAAGATGACCTCAACAAAATGGAAAACTTTTTCAGATACGCTACTTGCGCGGTCGCATTCTCACCTCGAATGGGCCGATCGTCGGTTTCCGTTCGATCCATGAATCCGTCGGCGAGTCGATGAATTTGATCAACCTGCAGTCGAAGCAAAGATATCGTTTCAAGGTTTTAAGGCTTTACTATTCTGTCATCAATCATTTCATTTCCAGGATTTCCCATACCGCACTGTTGACCTGGCGTTCGCTCAGCATCACAGGTTCCTCGCGGTTCTCAACGCTGATTTGAGTCTTTACATTTTCGAAGTTGGCACAAACTGCGATCCGTTAGTGTTAATTTTTTCGAGTTTGTATTCAAGATCTCTAAGTTTCAGGAAGAAATACTTGTCAATCACCAACTGGCCAACGTACGCTGCCAGTGGCAATCAGGAACATCCACGTCTCTCCTGGTGTCCGTACATACATTCAGATGACGAGGACGAAGAACCGAGTCACGTGGTCGCCGTCTTCTTCGTTAGTAATCGTTCATCTTTCTATTATTTTATTTAATTTTCAGGGACGACAAGTGTACATCGTCAATGTCGGAATTTTGAAAGACGCCGATTTGGGAGATACCATTGATTTCGATGACGCGCGGAAGGAAGAGGGCGGACTTTTCTTCTATGAATACCAAGACACCGGCAATGAGAGTTTCCGTATCACTTCCGTCTACATTGCTCCGGATTCCACCGCTGTGGCTATTGCAACGTCTGAAGGACCCGTTCAGTTCTTCACTTTCAACGAGGAGAAGAACGTTCTTGTAGAGGCCCATTGTTTCGAACCACGTGGATTCACTCGTCCGGGAGTCATCAATGACCTGATCTTCCTGGATGATCTGACCCCCGACCGAAAGGTCGTTCCGTTCTGGAGATTCTGTGTGGTCGTCTCAAATGACGGACGAAAGTTGGGCTTGTATGAGTGCCAGGGATCGAGATGTCTCGGACGCATCAGCTTTGAGACGACCCTCTCCGTGAACAAGTTTATTGCCGTCGGCGATCCCTCCGCCAGCTTCGTTCATCTTCTAGATGTGGATGGAATGGTTCGAAACCAGCGCAGAATACGACGTTTAATAGTTAAATTTCAGAATGTCTACAGTGTGGAGATCCTGAATCCGTTCCGTACAAACGAGTGTCCCCGGTTCATCGGCGTTACTCAGACTTCCTTCTGCCATCCCATCTTTGCTGTTGCTCCAATCTCCGCTAACACATTTGAGACTGGCAAGGCGTTTTCCGATCATTCAATTTTACTAATTATTTTTGTTTGTAGCCGAAGAATCTGGTGATGACTTGTTCAACAACAGCACCGAGGAAGAATCGGAGAACGGGGATGATGCTTCGGATGGTGAGGACAAGACGAAGCACAGGAAAATAAAGAGATACTTCGTCGCGATGGGCAAAAGAAGCATGGTCGAACTGCAGCTGACTCTCAAGCAAACAATCGCGTCGACCGTCAGCACTCCAGCAGAGCCTTCTGAAAAAGAGCCGAGTCCATCGGTGTACATCGAGACGGAAGAACCACAGAATGCTCCTGTTCAGGGACTCTTGATGCAAATGGCTCCAGTACCTTCCGGTCTCACTTTGGAGGCAGTCAATCAAAAATTAGACGACGTTCTTGGATATCTGGCAAGAATGGAAGCCGACAGAAAAGAGAGCAACGCGTGCTTCGTGCAGCAGATTACGTCCAGTTTCGGTAAGAGTTTCTCATGTAGTATAAAGATATCTATTTGATAAAAGGTTCAGATGAGAACATGCGCTTGCGCGAGGGATACATGCTGAATCGAGTCGAACAGATTGTCGAAAACGGTCGGCTCGACACAATTGCTGCCCTCCGAAATGGCTTCGTCAATATGAATACTCATATTGCCGAGACTGTACAAACAAGCGGAGTCGACACTGCAGAATACATCAGTCAGAGGGTAGGAAACTCCACGAGAAGCGCGCTCACCGAGTGCCTTCTCCCTTCATTCGAACGGAGCTGTGAAGTGCTTTTCGATCGACTCAATGAACATTTCAGACACGGAATCAATGAGGTCTGATAGCATTTTGGTACTATCTTGTCCAACTCTTGTTTTCAGTACCTAACAACGACGTCTCAGATGATTCAAGGAACTGCGATGGCTACGATGCAGATGGCTGCGCAGCAACAGCAGCAGAAAACGGAGATAGATCGCATCGCTCTTCTTCAAATGATAGAAACCAACCCAGATGCGGCTTTAGAAACGGTCAGTGTAAATTCGTGTTGAAAAGCGTCATTTGGCTGTATTTCAGGCACTGAACAAGGCCGACGCGAACCTTATCGTGTTTCTGTGTTCCCGAATCAATCCCGAAAAGATTTTAATTCCGGGGAGCCCGAAACTGAGTCAGAAGTGCTTGCTGGCTCTCGTTCAACAGTTATCGGTCGGATTGAGCAGAGATAAAGACCTCAAGTTCCGCTGGATCGAAATGATAATACCTGAAATCAACATGAATGACCCGGAGATTGCTCTTCTCGTGCCTCCAGTCGCTCAGCAACTTCTGATGGCTCTTCAAGGTAAACACGTGCATTTCAGTCACTTCCAACGTTAACTGTTTTCAGAATTGATCGACAGTTCGCCAGACGAGCAAGTGCGTCGTTACGTCCGCCTTCTCTATCAGATGACCCGTTCTTCACTTCTGAAATCTCACACGCCTTCCCAAAGAAGTTGTAAGTGTCTTTTCGTCTTGATGTAAGTCTTGATTTCCTATAGTTGCAGCCACTGCGACTCTTCCAAAGTTCATTCCCGACCACCCATCGACGCAGCAATGAGTCCCTCGTCTATTCGCTCAAATACCATCCGACTGCACCCCGTTAAATCTCAAATTCTCAGTTTTATCCCCCATTCGCCCCTAATCGTTATTGGCAAATTCACCCTTATTAACCTAAAAATAGGCTGGTCGAACAGGCGATTTTAGGCGCCTGCGCCTGCTTTTTCAGGCGCCTGTTTATTTTAGGCGCCTGTTCGACCAGCCTACCTACAAAAAACTAAAATGCTCAAAAAATATAGGTAGTGAATTGAAAAGGCTCTCCGTCGAGCCGAGTAGAAAAACACCACTGATTTGTGATTAGGACAGCCAGTTCCGATGCGAATCTTCAATGTACCATACCCGCTATAACCGCAATCTCCCCATCTAACTTATTTTACCAATTATTGTTTTATTATTACTTGATTCGAGTACGCTGTCAGACAAATTTTATAGCATAACCAATAAAAATGTGGTCTTTTAGACCATACAAAAAGCGCCTGAGGTGGGACGATATGTACATACAAAGAGAGTAGTGGGTCAATCAGTGAACAATAAATCTTCCGAGTTCTTCTCCAACGACAAAATCATCGTGCTGATGCGATGCTGAAATGAAAAGAGGGTCCGATCGGATGGTCTCGAATGCCAACTCACCAGTACCGCATTCACTTCTTCCAGTTGCTCTTGCTCCCGAACCCTTTCCGCGTGTGTTCGAGCACTGGAAATGTTGAATGATTTTAAACAGAAGAATGAAAAATAAACGTACATGGAGACAGCGAAAATCTTTTGAATCTGAACGTATCGGTCGAAAATGCGATAATTCAATCGGAGAAAATCGTGATAAAGGCGTTTTTCCTGTCGCATTCGTTGCCACCCCACAGGCTGAAATATCGGAAGTGCGCTCCACCGTACGGAACTAAACTCACGTCGAGAGCTGCTTGCGCGTCCATCACTTCCATCGATACGCCTAGAACATACTCGTGCTGCGCAAAAAGAAAAGATCTGAAAATCGATAATAATCGGGGAGAGGGTGAGGAAAAGAATTATATGAATATGGAAATGAAAGAAAGAAAGAGAGAGAGAGAGAGAGAGATATGATGATGGTTATCGGAACGAATTGCATTTGGTTCGGCAGCTGACCAGCGCCTCGCCGAATTCTTCCGAATATTCGACCAAATTCAACGCTTAAAGTGCTCGCCAAGCCGGCGGAGCCAATCAACGGAGAGCCTCGGAGCACAACGACAACAACTAGTAAGTATGCGGTTGCGAGTTGTAAAAAGAGGACGGACGGGCGGACAGCGGGACGGCGACACTTGGGAGAAGTGGTGGCACGTGGCAGAGCAGCAGCCAGAAGAAGTTATAATTCGAAAAGGAACGGAGGAACGGGGGAATGCGAGTGATAGGAGGCGGAAAACAACCAAGCGAACTGGTTGATATGCGACGGAGAATGGGGGAGGAAGGACACAAATGCAGGCAGCGAGCGACGTCTTCTGGGCCGGCATAATGGGTCACGCGGAAGGGAGGCGGACGGCCGCGGCAGATGGCTTCGCGGAGAGGCGGCCAGGGACCAACTCTTGCATGGCACTGCACGGCGAAGACGACGGTAATGGGTTGCAAATTGGAGTGCGAACGTGCCACTGACGGATCATCGGCGGATACAGACGTCGAGAGGCGTGGAATACTAACGACATCATCTTAATGAGAATGAGAGAGAAATAGAAAGACAAAGCGTATTAGGGAATGACCTCCTCCGCGCGGAAGCAGGCACCATCTGCTCTCGGCTGATCGGTGTCTCATTATGAGGACGAAACACAGTGTGTGTGTTTTTTTTAATGAAAGGGAAACGGAGAAAGCCGTTGCGAAGTGGGTGTTTGGAGTGAAAAAGGGGAGGCAGAGTACGCAAAAGCAAACAGGGAGACGGGGGGAAAAGCGAGCACTGATTCACTTGTTGGCAGTACGAAACGAAGCGAGGACGGAAGGGAATACGGGGTGCATTGTCTGCGAATTCGGACGCACTTCGATGAACTCACTCCTCCTCTTCTCCCACTCATAATTTTTGTTTGAAAGGAATTGTTAACGAGCGGGCAAGCTCTTATTCTCTTAATTCCAGTGTACTTTTATCCGACGGAAAAGTTCTCTGAACTTGAAGAAGACAGTGATGAAATATCATCTACATCAAATTCTATTTACGAAAGAAGAATCGTTTGCAACGCGACAGCAATGAATGATATATGAATGCGAAGACGTGGCACTGATTGTACAGAAGAAGAAGGAGAAGGAGAAGAAGGAGAATGAATGGGTCGATCAGAGAACGGGGGCTCATGGAACGGAATAACAAGGGAACGACACGTGAGTGCGGGCAAACAATGCAAAGTGAAATCGAATGCCATCCATCCGAATACAAAGAATGATCCACGTCTGTCACTGATCGATCGGCAACAAGTGTTCTTGCGAACACGAGAATAACAACAACATTCTAGTTGCAACTGGAATTTTTCTTCAGATGTTGAAAATTAGAATTGGAACAAGATGGTGGTATTATTAGTGGATTGGCGGGCAATCTTCTCCTCCTCCTCCTCCTCCTCCGGCGGTCGGGTTCATCGTCTCAGTTCACAACAACTCTTCCCCGTTCCCTCTGCGTCTCTCCATTCCTCGCACTCTCTCCGCGTGCTCATCTCTGATCTTTCGGTTTGTTGACTTTTCGTGGTGGGTGGCCATCCGAACCAACGGTCTGCGGAGTGACAATGAACATAAAATGTTTCCTTTCTTCGCTTTCCCTTTTTCCACATGGCACCACCTTCTTCCGTCTTGTGCCTGCTCTTCTAAAAGGAATTCTCCGATTTCTGATGGAACGGTTTCTCTCAATTATTTTAGGACGCCGAGGGTTGTTTCTCGCGACGTCGGAGCTCCGCAAATAATGCGGGAGCCGCGCGAGCGGTCGATTCGGGGCCGGCTCCTCGAGCAGCCGCAGCCTTCGCCCAAACCATTTGATCGGCGACTCTTTTGAACCACACTTGTCGTCCGCTAATCTCGGATTATCAGCTGTTACAACCACCATTTAGTGATCCGTGCGGTGAGCAATTGGGCTCTAACGAACATTAACTTTTCAAAGTTTTATTTTTTCACCGGACCTTTCAATACATTTTTACCAGAGTATTTCTGAGCGTTTGCTATAGCAGCTATTATAGTTAATTCTACTTCTCCTGATTTGTTCAAAGTTGGAACGGATCCGTATTCCATTACTGTATCGTGACAAATTTTGTTTTCCAAAACAGTCATAATCCTTTAAACGGGTTACGGTAATAGCGGTAAATGCTTCCGTTTTTTTCTTTACAAGTTAGTTTTTGTTAGTTTTTTGAAAGCTGATTGCTGACGGTTTTCACAAAGTTTACAAAATCGTTTAGTCAATTTTTCTCGCAAATCGTACATTTTCCCGAGAATTCGGATGTTGGAAGTATTCGAAGAATGTAATGCGATGCAATTCCCCATGCCCATTGACTCATTTTTCCAGTACTTCTCGAGCGTATTATTGTGTCTCGGAGGTCCCGTTTCGCTTGCCCCTTCCAATTATTCGTTCATTGCGAAACCAGCCGCCTTCTTCCTCCCTCTATTCCATGAGTTCGCGGTTCAGTCCAAAGCGAGAGCTCCTGCGAGCGACCGCGCACCGCATTCTCGCGCATTGTGAATGTCTGCGTCTCCGTTGTCCGCCACGATCTTCCGTCGCCGTATCTGCGCGCTGTTGTCTGTGTTTCGCGGTTCTCGGCGGAACTGGCGACCATCAAAATGGCGGCCATGTCGGTTCGTGCCCGGCCAGTCGTCCTCCCTCACCCCAATAGGCCTCTCCAAATTTTGCCTTTCACTCACTAAGCTTTAATCATGTCGTCTTTATGCTCAATTCTGCCTTTTTCATGCACTTTTAGCAGGCTCATCCGTCGCGAATCTGGCGCCGAAGACAGATGTGAGCGCATCTGTCGCCTCTTTCTCGTCCATTTTTCATCGAAATCCCCAGTGTGACTTTTCGGAAAAGGGTGAATACGCTCCTTCTTCTGCCGCCCTCCGCCAATTTCCTGCCTGGAAATCTGCCAGTTTCCTGCCTATTAATAGAAGCCGTGTCGGCAAACAGAGCGTTCGCCCTAAATTGGTTAGGTGTTTGAAGTTTGTTTCTGATCGAGTGCGTTATGAGTCACATTTCCGCCTCTTCGCACTCACTTTGGCAAACATTCGCCTTTTTTCGAGGAAACTTGAACCCGCAGTCATCACCCACAGATTGCGTCGTTCGCCGCTTCCATGCGGTGACTGGTAATGTATTCGTTATAATAAATTCAATGTATCCTCGTCCGGCCGCACACCTGTCCTCTCCCCTCACCCGCCACTCGTCCCAATTCTGTTTATTAGCAAACGAAACACACACACACATATACACTCGCATACATTCGTCCTCTCATTTCTGAGGCAGGATGGGTGAGGAGAAATGACGAAGTTTTTTGTTACAAAACTTAAATTACTGTTGTTGTTCGGAGACATTACACCTAGAGCGTCACGCGCGATTTCCCGCACCGCCACACTACTGTAGTGGTTCGGTTTCTTGCCTGAAGTCGCTCCATCTCGATCGTCTTTAGATTTCCTCCTGGTTTTCATTGTTTTGGCCGCGTTTTTCACAGGTCATCAACGGGAAAGCGTTCGAGTGATTGATCTAGCCGATACGAGGCGCGCCCGCTCCCATTGACCATTATGACTCATTGTTCGAAAACGCGAAATACCCGGCCAGACGTGTGCGGCCGAGTCGCCTGTTTCCCCCTGCAATGCCGCTCTTCCACGCAAACTATCTGTGGCTGGGTGCCCTTTTCATTCTTGCCATACTGATAACGTCGTCCACCCAAACATTTCTTATCGATTTTCAATTTCGACACTATTCTATTTATGTCACTCTGATCAAAACTTTCAGAATTGTATCGAACTTAACACTCCTTTCGTTCGTCCATATTCGATTCTCGAAAGAGGTGGAGGAGCGACTGTGAGAAATGGCACAAGTGGGCGAGGTTGGTGTATTTCGCAATTCTTTGCCTTTCTCGCGCGTTAAAACCCAAAATAGCGGACTCTTTGTTACACATATAAGTATTTCCTACTGGAATAAAAAAAATTTATCTTTGAAAATATCTCGAAAAAAGTGCTTTGTTTCAGACAGAAGTTGTTGCTGGAAACGTACGGGACATTGTGAATCGGTTGTCCAGGGACATGACTAATCGGAATCCATTCTCAGTCCATCAGCAGGTGGAGAGGAGAAGTGAGTGTTCACGGAAGCCATCCTTCATCCTCCGAATGATTTCAGCAACATCCGCTCCCTTTTCGCAACCACAATATCCCCTCTACATTGCGACTTTCCCCTACACTGCCACACAAATCGATGAGCTCTCATTCACTGTGGGAGACATTATCGAGGTGGGGTTAATGGGCTATTGTTTCGTGGAAAGAAATGGGTGCTTTGCAGTTGATAAGTGATGTCGAGGACGGGTGGAGCAAAGGTCGGCTCAAGTCTACCAGTGCAATCGGAATGTTCCCGACCAACTTTGTGAAATGTACGGTTCATTTTCTTTCCTCATCAGTTTAAAATCAGCCTACTTCAGCAGTCACGTCTTCCACAAACACGGCCTCTTCGACACCCTCCACGTCCAGTTCTCGGCCGAAAGCAAGCGAAGTTGTTATGCGGAGCGAGCCGAAAGCAATTGAAAGAACTCCATCGACAGTAATCATTCAATTAAAAACGAGCAAAACAAGCTGAAAATTCCAGATAATCTCCGATCAAATATCTCTTCCGAACCAGCCAAAAATCGTTCCCGTTGCCTCCACGCACACAGCGACGAGTGTCGAAGCGACTTCCGACATCAAAACAAAAGGTTTGTTTTTGCTTTTGCTTTCCACTGACCACATTCCAAATTCAAATAGCAATTTGACCCGGTTTTTGTCGGCCAGAAAAATTAAAAGAAACATTATAGAAATGGCTCGTGTCAAGTTTCAATACAATCCGCAGCACGACGATGAATTGGCGCTCGCAGAAGTGGACGTGCTCATTAACATCACCAGCAAGGCACATTCGCATTCTCCGCTTCCGACTAATCTTCTCATTTCTAGAATTGCGGCGACGCCGGTTGGTTTGAAGGCGAGTTGCACGGCAAAAAAGGCCTTTTCCCCGACAATTTCGTCGAATTGGTGCAAGTGCCGTTGAAGACCGAATCAGGAGCCAAGTACCCGATTTCCCGGCAGGCGACGCTCGTGTCCCACAGACCGCCTCCAGTCAATCCGCCGCAACCTGCTGTTCCCCCGAAACCTGCAAAAATCATATCGGTGAGCGTCTATCTCTTCTTCGTCTTCTTCTTCCCTTCCGGCCACGTGCTCTCTCTCTCTCTCTATCTCTCTCTATCTGAAAAGTCGTCTCGCGGCTCTTCTCTTCACTTTCTATCTTCCACCCACCCACAAGTTCTCGGCGCATTGAAATGAGGAAACACCGACGATTTGCCTCTTTCGAAAAATAAGCGTTTCGTCATTGTGTCGGCGCCTCCGTCTGCCTCATTTTCCCTCACACCTGCAATCATTCACATCGATTCCCATTTTCCCAGGCCGATTCGTCCATTTCGCCCACTTCGACGGTCCCTGCTTCCACTGCCGCTCCCTCCACAATGCCCTCCATCACGCCTTCTTCTACTCCAAACAGGAACCACTTTGCAGCTCTTCGTGAGAAAATGTCTACAGTATGCTGACCTCACGTGAGATTTCAATCTCACAAACGCTTTTTTTCAGAATTTGAAGGTGGTGGCACCGGAACAAGTATCGTCTGTACAGCTGAAACTAGCAGAGCAACGGGATCGTGCTTCGAGCGTTGAAGTGGCGGCAGGAGGAGACACGTCAGTCGACGCGAACGGAAGCGGAGATCAGGTCTCCGAGCTCCAGCACATTACCAAGAACCGTGCTCGGCCGCCGAAGAGTCGTCCTATGAGCATGGTCATGAATCGCAACCGGGTGAGTGTTCTATGCAAATCTAAGTGTTTTATTTTCGTAATTTAGTCTTCCGATGAGTCACCGTCCGGCCGTCTCAGCTCTCCAACCTCCGCTGCTTCCACCAATCCGATGTCTACTCCGATGTCTACTTCGATGTTCATCCCGGCAGCGGCGAAAGAGATCTTAATTCCGTCGAACAGCACGGCTCCTCCTTTCAAATCCGCCATCACTCCGGCTCCAATCGTCCCGCCATCCTCGGCCACCAAACCGGCTCTCCGTCCCATTGCCAGCACCTCCCTTCCTGAAACCAGTGGTAAGAGTGATTTCCGTCTGACCTCTCTTTCATTTATCCGTTTCAGATCCTGTGATCAGAAAGCTGGCATCGCCTGACAGCCAGAAATCTGCCGATTTGCCGACGTCATCGGATTTCGTGAGCCGCGTGGAGTACGACGCCTTGCTCGACCGTTTCCGTGCCCTCGAATCGAGAGTGCTCGCTCTGGAGAAGAGTCGCAATTTGTAGATGTAGTGCCCCGTAAAAGTCGTCTTCCTCCCGCGTGCAATATTGATTCTCGAGCAAGTATTCCTAGTGTGTCCGACGGTGGACCAATCCCTCAGCCGTTCTGTGATGCTTCTTTCCCGCCCACCCGATAGATTTCCTCTTTCTTTTTCTTCCGCTTCTCACACCGATTCGTTCGTTTTTATTCACTTATCACCGTGCTCTATCCCGTTTTTCGTAATTTTGCTTCTTTTTTTACATTGTTGCTCAAAAACGGCGTTGTCTTCCCCCATCCATAAAGCCACATTTCAACCAGTCAGGACCTGAAAATGTGTATCTCTTTGGTCCTTTTTCCCAGCCACTTTCCATTGGTTTATTGTTCCCTCCGCCCATCTAAATGCTATTGTGATTATCCTTGTATGCGTTGATTAAAGAAACACGTTCAAAGTTTTTCATCTCTAAATTCAATGGCATGTATTTTTGCAGTGTGACTTACTTATCATTGATTGTGTGACTTACTTATTATTAATTGTGTGACTTCTTCTAACTATTCATTCCAGAATGACCGTCAGAATCACCGACTATGATCACTTCAAGAACGTCTTCGAGGAGAAGAAATCGCAGCCTGTGATCCTTTTCTTCACTGCCTCCTGGTACATCTCATCAATTTCTGCTTCTTTTTGCACAGATTACCTTTCAGGTGTGGACCGTGTCAGCACGTCTATCCTGAAGTCGAAACTTTGTCGGCGGAGCACTTGGATCGTTTGACGTTTTTCAAGATCGATGTCGATGTCGATGAAAACGAGGAGTTGGTCAACCAATACGACATCAATTCAATGCCGACGTTCGTTCTGGTTGTCGACGGAGAAGTCAAGGAGCAGTTTAGTGGAGCCAATGTGGAGAAGCTTCGTCAGCTGGTCGCCAATGCTCTTGCATAAATTTCCCATAATTTCAAAGAAATGCATTGAATTGTCTCTCCTTTTGCCCAGTTTGAACAGTATCCTTTATTTTACGTTGGGGAAAGTAAACACGCTGTCATGAAAACACGTCGTTCTCCTTTTTGCTGTTCTGTTGCGGCGATTCCTATATTTTTGTCAGATTCCTCAGTCAACGCTTTCTTACCTGCAGTGCATCATGTCCGTGGTGATCAACGATGACGACCACTTCAAGAAAGTGTTCGAGGAGAAGAAAGGCAAGCCGATCATCCTATTTTTCACTGCCACTTGGTATCCGGAGGCTTCCTATTCTCCATCAGTTTCCGAATTGCAGGTGCGGTCCGTGTAAGCTCATGAAGCCGATCGTCGAGGAAAAGGCCAAAGAGAACGCCGGGCGATTCACTGTTCTTCTGATCGACGTAGACATCTGCGAGCAGGCCGTCGAACAGTATTCGATAGACTCGATGCCCACTTTCCTTTTGGTCATCAACGGAGAAATCAAGGATTCTTTCAGTTCGTACAGTCCGGGAAAATTCGCGGCTATGGCTGAAAAAGCGCTCAAGTAAACATTGCAGTGAGAGAGTTCTTCTTTTGTGATCGCTATCAACTTTCGCATAATTCCGTTTTCTAATAAAATTAATTCGTGATCAATTATCAAAATTAATTTCCGGAATGAGAAACATCCAAGGTATGTTCTGGAATGAGCATTTCGTTTCAGAACAATAGCGGATTTCCCTTTTCGCCCCAATTGTGCACTCAATTCGAGCGAATCCTTCTTTGAAGGGCCGAATAGATCATATGGCGCGCCACTTTTTCGCAAACTTTACGCAGCTTTTGCGCAAAGTTAGCGCAGCTTCTGCTGGCTAGTTGCTCAAAAGCTGCGTAAAGTCTGCGCAAAAGCTGCCAGTTTTAAAAGTTTGCCCAAATGCTGCATTAAAATGTTCAGTTTATTTCCACTTCATTCCTGCATGAAAAAACAATTTTATTTGGATAGTATAAAAACCAGAAAAAAGTACCATTTAGAGATCAGTGATTGTATAGTCTTCGTCACTTTCATAACTCAAAAAAGACACGTTGTTATCTATAAGTGAAAATGCAGGCGATGTAGGAGACACCATCCTCAAAATCTGAAATTCTCATCTACGAGTTATAGAATTCTCTGTTAACTCACTGAAACACTCTTCTGATTCATGAATCGGAGGAGTAACGGCCGTGTCTATGCCGCGTCTTTTCGCCTTCATCTAAATCAGAAAAGAATGTGATGTAGTACAAAAGTACGAGCATGTGAATCGCTCGAACATCTTAAATAATTGTGAAGTAGCTCGAATTCAAGTGATTTCATCCAAATTTTCAATAACACTCGCTTCTAAACGAAATCCAACCGAAATTTTGCTTGAAATGCGCTCGAACCGAGGAAATACGGAAAAAGATACGTAGTTTAAATTTGATAAGCAACAAAAAACAAACGAAACGCATAAAAACAAGCTGAAAAAAGCGAACAGTACTGAAAATGCAAAGTTTCCATAACAATTTCGACATGCCTTATAGTTTGCGCAAAAGCTTCGAGGACGCTTGTAGTTTGCGCAAAAGCTGCGAGAATCTTTAAAGTTTGTGCAAAAGATGCGAGAATCTTTAAAGTTTGCGCAAAAGTGACGCGCCTTTGCCGATCAACAAGAAAAACAACAAAAAGAGTGTTTGCGGCGAGAAAAACCGCCATCCAATTTGTCGCTCGGCGAGCAGAAGAAAAGGAAGAAGAAGTGCAAGAGAGCGGGGAAATCCCTCGTCTTGAATCATGACCGGAAGCAATCTCCTCTTCACAAACGCCTTCTTTTGCCCCTGGCTACGCTGTCTCCTTACGTGATTCTTCGTCTTTTTTTGCCGCCCTTCCCCGAGAAAGGTATATCACTTTGCAGTTGCTGTTTCGATCAGTTGATCAGCCTGGAGTGGTCAACAGAGGTCTCACGGGAATTCCCACAAAAGGTTTCATTTTCACATGATGTTTCTCTTTTATTCGGGTTTCTCTATTTTCAATAATTCATCGTACGACTTGGAAGTCAGGGACTTCTTTTGACATTCACTCATCACACGAAGCCCTTCTTCTGCTCTCAATAGGTGCAATCAAATTCCCATTTTGACGCTTTCTTTTCACTCCACTCCACTTCCCCATGACACCCCTGCATTCACGTGTTGACGGTTTGGAGACTACTGTTGACATCACGTGGGTTCTGGTAATGTTTATCGAAACTCTGTCGATAACATTCTTCACTTTGATTCACTCGAATTCACATTCGCACACGAAGAAGCGTGAATTAGGCCAGAAGAAGAGCGTCTTCTTCACTTTTGTTCCCACGTCTTCAGTTATTCTAGAATCACAAAAAGTAAACGTTTGCAAAAGAATAATGATGGGAGGCGCGTAGACCGGAGATCTCTCCCTCTCTTGCTCGTTGCTCCCCTTCTCTCGCTTCCGAGATGAGAGAAGCATGTTGAATCGGTCCGTCTATCATAACCTCATTCTCTCTTCTTTCCCATTCTTTGTCCTCTTTTTCATTTGTTTCTCCTCACCAGAATGGTCGTCTACAACTGCTTCGACGACGAGGACTTTCTTCGGAAATCTGAGCACGGAATCGGAAAACGAGCCATCTACTACTTTTATCTCGAAAAGTTATCGCATCCGCGTCCTGACCACAGTTCATTTCCGTTTTTAGCTGCCCCTCGTGCGTGCGCATCAAACCTCTTTTCGATGATTTGTGTAAGAAGTACGAAAAGACTGCGATCGTCTACACGTATCCCTATTACAACGACGACCAATGTGAGTCAAAGTATTCTGGCGAATGGTCAGCATAAACGGCGACATCTCTGTTTTTGCAGTGACTGGAGAGGCTTTCGAGGTCCGGCAAGTGCCCACTTTCGTCGTAATGGAGAACGGGTGAGTGGGGAGAATCAAACAGACACCGTCGAAATCGGAAAGGTTTCAGACATGAAGTGACCAGACACGTCGGAGCAGAGGACGACAAAGTGATAGAGCTCTTCGAGAAGTACGCTCAATAAATGCAAAACTGTGATTGTTAACTGCAATGTTCGTTTTCTTTTTTCCTTCAATAAAATTCTGGAGGGGAATGCCCCCTTGTACTTAAAACTTTGAATGTTCCGTGAACGAGTCGAATCATTGGAACATGGAACATTTTTGACGGATGAAATTTGGAAAAACGAAAAACAACGAAAAAGAACAATGATGTGAGATGTCTGTAGGCTGCGAATGCCGTTGAACACTCACCGGCAACTGGACAGTACACACCTAAAAAACTTCGAATGATGATGATTTTTAGATACCGCTTCTGATTATTTTCTCAAAACTTCTCTCATTTACTCACGTATGAGAAACCCGTGACCTTCCAAGTAGAGATGGAAGCTCTTTCGTGTGATCCTCTCCATTTCTATCCTCCGAATGTACAGACGCCTGCCGAACGAGGACTTGACAAGCCCTCCGGAGCTGAGCACTCAGTCGCTCAGTCCTCCGGAGACCCGAGATGCTCACACGGAAAAGCTGGTCTTGAGTCCGATAACCGAAATGACGGAAAGGTCAGTGAGAGGATACTCGGATCTAATTGGATGGAAACCGATTGCAGAATGTTCGCTTCTGATGCAAATCAAATGAAATTTTACCCTAATTCAAGACAAAATGATGATGTTCCCAATCAAGTGAGACGAACCGAATCTTGATTGGTGTCTTCGACGACATCTTTCAGACCGCTTTCGATCGAGAGCACCAGTTCTGCTCGAAGTATCTTACTCACTCGGAGAGAATATGCTTCCACTTCAAAAGGATGCTTAAGTGGAAGAAGAATCAATGGTGCAGCTTCGTGAAGAACCGGGTTCCGATCACCACGTGGCTTCCTCAGTACAGCTGGAAGACCAACATTCTCTTCGACTTTCTCGGTGGTCTAATGGTGTCGGTGATGAGTGTTCCACAGAGTGAGTCATCCTGGCATCACTGATCGAACATCCATCCTTGCACAGGTCTCGCGTATGGTATGCTGGTGGGAGTTCCACCTCGCAACGGACTGATCACTGGAATCATCGGCCCGCTCGTTTATTCCTTCTTCGGCACTTCGAGACACGCTTCCCCCGGTTCATTTGCGATCGTTTCCCTGATGGTCGGAGCAGTCGTCGGAAGTATGGAAGACACCGATCCCTTCCTGCTTCCCGTCCTCCCGTACGATGAAGTCTGTTGTCACCAGAACAGAACGCAAGTGTCGCCGGAAACGGCCGTCTTGCGGGCCGCCACCGTCACCCTCTTCGTCGGTTTCTTCCAGATCCTTTTCGGCCTGATGAACGCGGGTCTTTTGGCCGTCTGGCTCTCCGATCAGCTCGTGCAGGGGCTCATTTCAGGAGCGGCCGTCCATGTTCTCACTTCTCAATTGAAATCAATGACGGGAATATCCAAGGTGCCTCCGACGAACGAACCATTTCAGCACATACAGGTCAGTTCGGCATTCCCAGCATATCGAACTGCGTCGTTCCAGTTCTACTTGTGTTTCTCTCGTCAACTGGGAAATGTCGAGTTGCCTGCAACAGTGCTCTCACTCATCTGCGTCGTTCTTCTTCTCATTTCCTCACTTGTCATCGACCCAAAACTGTGCAAGATGATACCGATCAAGTTCCCGATGGAGCTGCTCCTCGTGATCGGAGGAACTCTTTTCGCCTTCTTCACCCAAGGATATCCGTCGTTAAAAATGAAAACTGTAGGCCCAGTGGATCAGGGATTCCCTCCGCTGGTGATTCCCGATCTGAGAGCCTTCTCGCAAATGATGGGACCGGCCATCTCCATCGCGATCATCTCCTTCGTCATCCACATATCCCTATGCAAACTGATCGCCAAAAAGAACCAGTACGTGATAAACTCGAATCAGGAGTGGTTTGCACTCGGACTGATGCACACGACTTCTTCGTTCTTCGGCTGTTTTGCCGGCGGCTCTTCTCTGGGACGCACAATGATGCAGGATAAATGCGGAACCAAATCGCAGCTCTCCACGATGATCTGCTCTTCGGTCATGCTCGGATTCGTGTTCGGCGCCTCAAAGTATATTGAGCACCTTCCGAAGCCGGTTCTCGCCTCGATTGTAGTCGTCGCCATGAAGGATCTCTTCATTCAAGTCTACCGCATTTCGCCGCTCAGAAAAAAAAGTTTCGTGGACTATGTAAGCATTAGAGGATCGAAACTAATGAGATCTCTTTCATTTCAGCTCATCTTCTCAACAACGTTCACCTCTGTTATCGTTTTCAATGTAAATTACGGACTGATAATCGGAGTCGTTTTCGAGTTGCTGACGGTCGTTCTGAGATCTCAATGGTATCAACCAAATGGGGATCCGAACGTGTGAGTTGTTTTTAGGGCGGACAGCACGATGTTGGGAAGAGTACAAGGAACGAATCACTTCCGACGGCTCGGACTCTACGGTACCGCGATGGACATCCCCGGAATCCAAGTGTTCCGATTCGATTCGCCGCTCTACTTTGCCAACGCGGAACTGTTTGTCGGCCGGCTCCATGACGCATGTGGACTGTTTCCCGTGATTGGTTTGTTGGAGAGAAATTGAAAAAGGTTAGAGTAATACGTTCAGTGAGAGAGCTGTCGAAAACGGAAAAGAACCGAAAAGACGGGGAGAACGGAACGGAAAAGAGCGACGAGGAGAGTCAGTTATTGGACAATCAGCAGATAAGTTCGAGGATTGGAACTAGACAATGTATTGGAAAGCACTCTTTTAGAGCTGGATGTGACTGCTCAACAGGTCAAAGTGCTGGACGAAATGCAACAGGAGGCGTCGAATGCAAACTTTGTGGGCACCACTTTCACCCATTTAATCATTGGTTTTCTGCGCGAACGAACATGCAATAGTCAAAATGATTTCCAGATTGTTCGGCCATATTGTACGTGGATTCAATGGGCAAGGAAGCACTTGTGGACGTGTACAACGACTACAAAACTGTCGGAATATCGGTGATGTTCGCGAACACGCAAGAGAGAGTTCGGCAGCTGATCGAAACGACGAAGTTCTTCGAGGAAGTGCCCGAGAATAGAATGTTTGTGAGTGTGGCGGATGCGGTGGAGCAGGCGGTTCGGGAGCAGCACAGAATGAAAGGAACTGTCACGAGAGTCAGTCAAGGCTTCCCGGCCTGATCTGACTCATTCGCAATGCTTTCAGCCGATACCTGCGCCTCCGAAGCCAGCCGTCGCACAGCCTGTGGCCAAATCAGTCGGACAGAAGTCTGCTCCTCTCGGCGATAACACTCTTCTCCCGGCCACGCAGAGCTTGGGTGAATATTGGTTATCTCTGAATCCCCATTTAATAGATTTGATTTGTTCAGCTTCTCTGGTAACTGGAGTCGACATTTCTGTGAAAGACAGCACTGCGAAGGAAGGAATCGTTCAGAGGAGGAGCCGAGTGCCGAGCCGATCGAGTGTGCATTGGGCCGATTTGGACAAAACTCAATAGGATCTTTTTGTTTTTTTTAAAGTTCTTTGTCATAAACTGATTGTATTCTTAACAATATTATTCTGGACAATTTATTTCAAATCTACCGTATCCACTAGAGAGGAAACGCACTCCAGGGATCCCGAGAAAAGAATGTATTCCTACACAAATATGGATACAACTTTACACAATGATATGTTCTGCTCGTTTCTGTTGTAATAGTTGCTTGAAACTTCCTCCATTTTCAGCTGAGGAACCCATTTTCCTATCTGCCGACGAGAGAGCGTGCAAAACGAAGAGAGTGCGAGAGCAGAGCGCGTTTCACGTGCTGACGCACTCTTCGTCGTGAAAATTGAAATATTTATTCTCTTTTTAATGCAATAATTACATTGCATCACTACACAATTTTTCCACAGAAATGCTCGGCGGTCGGCTGCTCGGCGTGCTCTGCACACGGAATTTAACAAAATGCTCAAACTTGATGGGCAGATTCACTCGGGACGGACTTCGAGACAGATTACGGCATCAGGAGATCAAAGAGCTCGCGAAACACCGAGATGTACAACAAATCAGTCTGAAACAGCCCATCGGTTCAGATTCCAGGTCGATCCGACCGATTTCAGACTTATGGAAAGTGGGTCGAACGGAATCAACAATCAAATATCGTTGTTTTGGTTTTTCAGGCTTTACGGTTTACACTCGCGACTGGAGCCACCACATTCACAATAGCGATAGTAGCAGAAGTAATTCAAAGGAAAAACGAAGAGGCAATGTCGCCGTCGAACGTCTTCGAAGCGGTGAGTATTCCGAAGCGTGGCGAGCGACACTTTTGGCCAAAGTCGAGTATTGTGCCCAAAAACAGAAAGACACGCCGCGGATTGCCTGTTTTTTGTAGGTAAAATACTATTTCGAACCTAAGGTTGAAGCCAGCTCCGAATACAAGCTGACCGCCGGCGAGAAGCACCTCGCTCTGCTCATCGGATTGAATGTGGCGGTAAGCAAGATCCGCCTGTTGAGCAAACCCTCAAAAAACGTCGATTCAGGTGTATCTTTTGTGGAAAAAGTCGTCGCTGAAACCATTCATGAATCGTTACTTCACGAACAGCTACGCATCGAAATCACTGTGCGCTCCGATGTTGCTGAGCGTCTTCTCACATTCTTCTATCATTCATCTCGGTCTCAACATGTACGTTTGATTATCTCACCCACTTTTCAAAACTTTCTCTTCGCAGGTATGTGCTCACGACATTCGCGCCACACATAATCGAAAAGTTCTTGGGCCCCGAGCAGTTCTGGGGATTCTATCTGACTGCTGCGGCCGTTTCCTCGCTCATCAGTCTCGTAGACAAAGCCGTGTCTCGGTCGCCGATCAGAGCTCTCGGCGCCAGCGGAGCCATTCTTGCAGTGCTCACTTACACGTGTATGCAGATCCCGGATGGTTAGTTCCAGTGGAAAACAACAAAGAATCGATTATTTGAAGCCCGTCTCTCGATTATATTCCTTCCGAGTTTGGAGTTCTCTGCAAAAAGCGCCGTCTACGGAGTCATCGCAATGGACCTTCTCGGAATTATTTTCAGGTGCGTCAATTCATTCTAACTTCGTCTAATTGTATATCTTCTACAGACTGCGAATCTTCGACCACGCCGCCCATCTCGGAGGTTCTCTGTTTGGAGTCGCCTATGCACTCTTCCTGCAAGAGGCGGTCTGGGACAAGTACGGAATGTGGATCGAATCGCTGATGTACAGCTCGGACGGCCGTCGATAATCACATTTAATCTTTCTGATTCCTAGTGTCATTTTGTCCAACGGGAATGACTACCAAGACAGAATTTCATCTTTGACGAGGTTTCGAAAACTTTTAGTGACATATTCGGCGATTCTCACTCAATCTTTATTCTTTCATTAAAAATGTTCAGGGAACTGTTACTTAGTAGAAAAAATTCTGGAAAGGCGCATGTTAAACTGCTGATGAGCAAAAGACAGAACGGCTGAATCCGAACTTCCGATTCTGACGGCGTCTGGCATTTCGTTATTAATCGAATCGTAGTTCACTCGAGTTATACGGCGGTCTAATTAGATTAACGTGACACCTAATTAGACTAATAAATCTTCTAGGTGGATTAATAAGTGTTCAAATCAAATTTCACGCCAGCCATTTGCTGGCTTACATCTCGATTGCGCTAAGAAATACACTCGAAGGCGTGAGTCTTACACAGGCAAACCGGCGTGGGTGAAATGAGCGCGAGGACGAAGACACCCACAACCGGCCCGCAATTCGGGGTCTGTACGTTCCATTTTTTGTATTTTTATTGAGATTCGCGATCAAATATAAGGAATGGTACAAAACAATGCAGAGGTTTTTTCAAGATGTTAAAATAGCACAAACTGAAATGATTAGTGCAAGAGGAAAGTTTGTGACTGAATAATATCAAAATGGTACAAGTAATTAGGCGAATTTGAGAGCTCTCGCCGCCTTGGACGGTCTCGGACTGTTCAACTTCGCGTATTGGGCGTTTGTCTGCTCTTTGAGCACGTGCTCCACTCTTTGAATTTCTTCGGTGACTAGCTCGTTGATCGCTTCCATATCATTTTCGACGAAACGAAGATATCTGAGAGGATAAATAATAGATTTTTACACTATCTATCGAAATGCTTACTTTTTGCCCATCAAAAGGACCTCCTTAGCGTACAACGGAGCAACTTCACACATTAGTCTCAGATGGTCAATAATGTCTGCAGTCGTGGATGTGTTCTGTGAACTGAACTTCACAAACTTTGCGACAACTTCCATTTCCATTGTCTGCGCAAGTTTCGCCGTAAAGTGGTTGCACACAATCCGGACGAATCTATCTTTCAGAAGATCCAAGCGCATCTTTCTCTTCTCCAATTCCTTGTCAACTCCTGCTTCCGCCGCCTTCTGCTTCGCTTCTCTTGCTCGGATCCTCTCGAGAAGCGTCATTCCTCCTTTACTCTCTTGCTCTTTCTTCATTTCGGAAAACTTCTTCGGAGATATCGGAACATTCCCTGCCGCCCCGGTCATAATTGCCTTGTTTGGGCTCTTTAGATCGGCATGAGCTTTTCGGAACGAAGACGGAAGGCTGACTGTGGCCACTTCAGAATACCTTTCCAGTGCCTCTTTCATTCCAATGTGCTCCGCACATCTCAAATGAGCGTTCGGTGCTTCTGGAAGTTTTTTCTGGGGGACCGGAGGGCAGTGTTCTTTCAGACTGAACAACGGATGCATTCTCTTGTGATTAGGCATTGCAGGATCTATAAAATACGTCAAATCAACAATGATTGTGCGCGGAATAAAAAACTTACATCCTTGTTCTGCCAGGAAGTTCGAATGATACTCCATAACAATGTTCGTCAATTTGTATCTCAGAACATGGGCGCGATCTCGCTGTCTTGCCGGATCCAGTCGTTTTTTCTCATCTAACTCTGGCTTTCTTGGAGCGGCTTGGACTGGCTTTCGTGGGCTTTTTATAGGAGACAAAAGCTTGCAAGGGAGGACCAGCGGAAGTTCTTCTCGGTCTTCGGAATGTGCACTTTCTTTGATAAATCCTCTCAGGTCTGAATTGAGAAATACATAATCGATTTCATGACATGTATTAGTCACCATCAACAAGATTCGGAATCACTTCCAGTTCGTACTTTCCTCCCTGTCCAAATGACTTCGGTTTTTCACGGAATTCCACTTGGAACGCTTCAGGATAAACATGCAGAATCTGCGAGAGATGCACTTCGTTAAAACTTCTTCCAGACGTATTCTTGAACAGTTCAGTGGCGATACATCTTCTATTCTGATTCAGAAGAATAGCGGTTATCTGAAATGGACAGAACGGACTCGAGACTTCGTGGGATATAAGGCTCTTACCTGATCAAAATGTTTGAAGGCGTCAACAAGTTTTTCATAGGAAACAGGCAGGTCGATTCGATTTCGGACTTTCTCCTGCACTTCCTCGATCAACTTGGACGGTTTGCGATATTCGGCAGCAATTCTCTTTCCTTCCTCTTCGTGGGCGTCGTCTTGCTCTTCACGAACCTTTTCCGCAGATTTTTGCGCATTGTATCTGGGAAATACGTACTCAGGAACGGACTTCTTTGGCGAGAACAATGAACGGGCGGCCTTTGGCTTCACTGGAGAAATGATGTCAACCACTTTCTTCTTCGGAGATTTCAAAGCTTCTGCGTGCTCGCGAACTTGCTTTGCTTTATTTTTCAAGTTTTGCTCATGGATTGCTTTGGCCGCTCCCTTTGCAGCGAGTCTGGCTTGCAAATCGGCCACGCTCCGGATCGTTTTCGTCTTTTTCTGATCTCCATTAGCTTCCATTAGCATCTCGATCGACGACTTTTCCGTGTTTGGTTGCTCGAGAATGACGTCATTTTCGACAGGAATGACAGGCTCTTCTTCTGGAAAGACAACTTCTTTCGACCTTTTCGGCGGTGTTCCAGTCACTTCCGGAGTCGATAATTCGGCTTGACGAGAAGGTGTCCGTGCACGAGAACGAGACGCCTGGAAAATACAATTTATGATAACCTGACTAAGCGAGCAATCAACCTTCTTCTCGAACAACGAAGCAATAGGGCCATCTGATTTTGCAGACGTTCCCTGCTTTGTTTTCACCTCAACAGCTTTCAATGTCTTCTTCGAAATAGTCTGTTGAGTGCCATCTTCCTCAATTATTTTTTTCTCTCCCCTGGTTCTTTCTGGTTTCCTGGTTGTCTGAAAACAATTCAATATATTAGTGTTTCATAAATATCTTGAACATACCTTGAAAAAGTCAGGTAGCACAGTTTGGGGAGTTTCAGACCTCGCCCGAGATCTAGTTACCCGAGAACTCATTTGAAAAACGTAAAATTTTAGATTTTGTGAGTAAAAATATAGAGCACAAAGATGCAGCGCGAACAGCAGAATTCAAACGTGCCAAAATTCCCGCACTTTTTGTGCGGTGGGGCGCGTTTGCATTACGCTGCGTCTCCAGAAACACACGCTCTCTCGTCGGGCTCTGTCCGTTCCAAATGCTGACAATTGGTCGGCGATCCACGTTTTCCGCCTCCGTTTCCGTTAAAAACAAGCTTATTAACAATCGTTTTGAATATTATTCAGATTAAAAAATGCTCTTCGATATTTAAACCTCAGATCACTTCACTTTCTAAGAGGTTTGAAGGTCGAAAATAATTATTTAATTAGTCGATAGCAAAATTTGTCTCTTTTTTCTCATTCCTTGTTTTCGTTTATTTCGATTTCTTCCTCACTCAAATCAATTTTTCCAGCCAACTACTCGCAATGCCTGTTATCAACGTCAAGGACGACGAAGACTTCAAGACGCAGCTCGCCGCAGCCGGTACCAAACCAGTCATTGTTGACTTCACTGCTGTCTGGTGCGGACCGTGCAAGATGATTGCGCCGGTGTTCGAGGCTCTCTCGAACCAGTATCTCGGAGCCACTTTCCTGAAAGTCGACGTCGACGTCTGCGAGGGCACTTGCGCGAGCTACGGAATTCAAGCGATGCCCACTTTCTTGGTCTTCGTTAACGGGTAATCATCAGTATAAATCTGACAGCAGAACAAACAATTCAATGCAGAGCCAAAGTGGAGATGAAGAAGGGAGCCGACAAAGAAGGTCTGGAAACTCTTGTCAAGAAGTACGCCCAAGACTCGACTTCCACTTCTCCCGTGGCCGGACAGAGCGATCTCACCTCTCTGATCGACAAGAAGCAGATGGAATGCTTGAACGGATGCGATGACACTCCCATCGACCGGTTCATCGAGGGAAACTGCAATCTCGTGTCGGATTGCGATGAGCAGCTTATAGTCTCGCTGCCATTCCATCAGCCAGTGAAAGTTCACTCTGTTCACATCAAAGGAGTTGGAGATCGCTCGCCGAAAAGAATTAAGGTGTTCACGAACCTCCCAAAAACCCTCGATTTCGACAATGCTTCTGGTCTCGAACCGGTCCAGCTTCTGGAATTCAACGATTCGGCCACGAACGGCGAAGGCCAGATTGTGCAACTGAAGTACGTGAAGTTCCAGAACGTTCAGAACATTCAGTTCTTCATCGAAGACAACATCGGAGGTGGCGAGGTACAGTTTTACTTTTCTATTTCGTAAACACATTCGAACACGTTGCAGGTGACTGAGCTCGTCAAGCTCACCGTCTTCGGAACTCCGCTCTCCGCAGTCAACATGAACGAGTTCAAGAGAGTGTCCGGAAAAGCCGGTGACGTCCACTAATACACTCGACTCCCGACGACGGCCAACGTCTTCATCTTGCTTCGAACACTTCGGATTTCCTTTTCTTCCCCGTTCTGTAAAATTTAAATTATTTCACATATTTTCACGACCCTTCAAATCGTATCCATAAACGCATTCAACTGATTCTCCTATTCGTGGCACTGAATGTATGTTCATTCAAGATACCTGTAGTTCTGAAATAGCAACAAGAAAGCAACGAATCGTTCCAGATGGACGTCGATCGTCTGATGCGGGACCTGACGGTCGATCAGCTGGAGAACATCCAGCAGAATCTAGAGTACGTGCCGTAAAATCTATCTTTCTAAGTTGAGGGGAGGGATTCGTTTTAGTGATTGAGAAAATCGAACTCGCTTTTCAGAAAAGAAATGGAAGGAAAGAGGGAAAACCTTCGTGAAATGGTCGGAAGACGTTATCGGGACGTGCTCGAAGCTTCTTCTGAAGTCCGTCACGTGTGCTCGCTGGCGGAAAAGCTGGCTGCGGACATCGCCAACACGAGAGTCAGCTACCAGTCGAACCATACCAGGTAAGCGAATGTGAGAGAATCACAAAAGCATTGATTGGATTCAGAATCGGAGACAGAGACGAACAAAAGGCCGGAGAGCATTTGATCGCCGTCAATTACTTAATATCGAGCATCGGCGGCGAAGGCGGAGAGCCTTTGGACGACGTCGTCGCTCTGTGCATGGTCGAACACCTCCAGAAGCAACTAATTAGTAATCATTCGTCTCCCATGGTCACTTTGAAAATAGTATTGACAACAGGCAAAAGTAATTTTTAGATTCACAAGATCGCAAGAGCTCTCACCAATAGAATCGTGGCAACACGCTCGGAACTTGAGCACCAGAACTCTGTGTCGCTTTCTGATATTTCTAGATTCGACTGGGCTACCAATCAGCTGGCGGCCATCGCTTTGCTCCAAGGGAAAGACATTGGTCAATTGCTGGACTTGTATCTAGATAAAAGATTCGAACACATCAACCAACTCATTGAAGATTCGGCCACCATTTTGAGCATTGTCGACGAAATCAAGAAGACATTGGCGGTTGTTGAAGAGCTTTTTATGCACGGAGAACTCATTCACGCCATTCATTCGGTCTGCAACGGACAGTACAGATGTGGTGAGGAAGATGAAATGAAAAATGTGTCTGAACGATCTGAAGTTGCCTACAGAGTTGATTCGCGAGATGTGTGCTGATCAGGCGTTTTCGTTTGAGAAGACAATCAACGATGACGTGGACAGAGTTTGGAGATATTTGAGAGAGAAATTGAGCGGAAGAGGCGCGGGAACACTGCCTACGCAAGTCGTCACTGAGAAATGCGCCGCCTGGATTGAGAAGTAACCGTTCACGTGTTGTTGTTTATTAACACGCTTTTTCTCAGGACGTGTGCTGTAACCCACAAACTTGTCGCCGAAGTCTGTGAATACTTTGACAACTTGGATCAGGTCATAGATCTCCTGCAAGCGATCACTGCTTCTTTGAAACAGGATTGGCCAAGGATCGGATCGAGTCGTTCGGTATACGACAAGCTGCTCCAGACAGCTGTAGTGGACAAGGCAAAGGTATCTTCGCCCCGTTCTATTATAACTTCGTTCAACATAATCTGCTTCCAGGTTTTACTTGTTCAAATGATAGAATCCATCGAGTTATCCGCCAAAAAACGCTTCGAATCGACCAGCGACGGCCCTCCGAGTGCGATTTTCGAGGAACGCTCTTACCGTCCCGACTCGCAGTCCCATATCGGAATATCGACTCAACTTTACAAGTGAGTAAATAACCCTCTTCATTCCGTCGCTCACCCTCTCTTTAACCTTCTACGGGTTGAATGACCTTCTCCGTAATCGGGACCACCCGATACATTCGTCCACGAGACAACAAGATGTTTTAAGGTGCGTCAAGACATTGTGGGAGTCGCTGGAGCAAGTAAACGAGAAGTGTGCGCAGTTTGAAACGATCTGTGCGCCGATGGCTGATATGGCCACTTCCAGTGCTCTCAAAGAGACAATGGCGAAGAATGTTCTCCAATTGCTGCTCAGACTGTGTGAATTGCATTCGGAGAACGACGGAGGATCTTCCCGGTTCCTGGCGAGAGCTCGTTTGGCTCTCGCTCTTATTCACTCAGAATCGTCGCTCGTTTGTACCCTTCTGGACAAGGATTCACAGAGAATCACCTCTCTGAATCAACGACTTCATTCAATTATAGAGCAAAACCTCGGGTGGGTTCTAGTTCATTTTCTACCATTTATTATAATCACACAGCGGTCTATTCAGCTATTCGAATCACAATTTAACACAGAAAATAAGGTTGAAGGAAGAAACGGGGAAGGTGAATATTACTGTATTGCAAAACGGGGAATCTATTGCATGGATGGGGAGAAGGGGCGGTATGAACATCACAGTTTGGTGCACCTAATGAGATTGTTGACTTGAGAGACGACAAACGAATAATGTGGTAGCAGCTGGAGGTGTCATAAAGAAACGACGGGAATGAACGGGCAAGCGAACGGGTATAAGGGCTATGAAGAATGGGCGACTGAGGTAAACGGAACCACGACTAGACTCAGGACTAATAGCGAAAAGAGAAAAAAACGGGGGGAACGTTGTAACAGGGAATCATTTCTGGTAGAGCAATCTAATGACTCTGAGAAGATGATTGAAGCATTTTTCACCGAAGCAACGACGGAAAAAGTATTCGTAGGCGTACGGCTCCTGCTGCACATTAGGCACCTGATTCATTTCGGTCTTGATATATTGTTTGGAACGCTCCAGCTCGTCAAGTTCTGGCCAGACATCGCAAATCGACTTGATCTTATAGTGGTTGGAAAGTGCGTTGGAGACTTCTTCCTGGGCGCCAAATCTATCCAAGTACGAGTCACGCATCACAACAACACTGCCAGGAGCGACGCATTCCAACAAAGCACGTTCCAAATCACCGACATTATGCTGAAGCCACAATAGTGAGCGTTTGTAAACTTTGGAAAATAACTCACCAATGGGAACTCAACAGACTTGATTTTGTCATCTGCCAAGGAAACAAACACAGTCCGTGTTGTGTAGTGGCGAGTTCTCCTGTTGCGCGTCTTGTTGCTCAGCTGTTCCGTTGACAATGTCTCAACAACTTCCACAATCTTGTGTGGTCCGCCAATTGGCACGTTAGAGGCAATGATTGTGTCACACCAGTTCTGGATGATATCCCTCATGAATCCAATTGTATTGTAGATGGTCTCCTCCACCAGTCGATTCTCTCCCATCAGTCTGTTATACTCGGTGATTGAAAGGCCTGGGTTCTCACACCAAATGAGCATAAAAATGAAGAACTTGTTAAGTGGCATTCGAGAGTAGAACAGGAAAGTTCCCTCGTACACCGAGATCTTCGTAATGATGCGCTTCTCGCGACGTTTCCGGCACGATCGACAACGCCACTGGAAATATGTGAATGAAAAAAGATAGAAACCGATGAGAACATACCACGAATCCATTGGCATGCTTGATCAAACTCATCAATTGGTCTTTCGGACAGTCTTGCACTCGACAAACTCGAGTGTTTGGGATAAGACCATAACGTGCTAAGAACTGGATTCTGAAATAAATATTCAAATTTCTGGTAAACTATCACTGCTAACTTACCCAAGTTTCGGATCTGAAAATATTTTCTGAAGAATTTCGCTGTCGAAGTCAACAGTAAGAACCTCTTCCGGTCCTGCCACTTCGGTACCGTCGAGAATTGTGAACTTTCCGCGGTCGGGACGGCTTCTGCAAACAGAATCCATTGTATAACTTCGATTTAAAACGACCTCTTTCTTACCCTGGTGTTTTTCTGATGGGTGTGTGTGTTCCACTGTTGGGTCTAGGAGGCGATGGATTCGGAAATCTTCCGTTTCCATTGGGAAACTGCAATCCAGCAAATACGTTTGTGTTGATTAGTGCGGACAAGTCAATTTTCATTTCGTCATCGCTGTTCACTTCCATGTCGTACTCTTCCTCATGATTTGTGGAAGACGCAAGAGCTGACAGAGCTTCAGATAGTGCAGAGTCCTGTAGCCCATGTGTGTTGGCGATCAGGTACTCGAGAGAGTTCATGGCTCAAATCACCTGAATAATTGGCGTTTGATGTCTTCTTGAACCGGAGAAAGTTCGGAAAATGTGATAAGCGAGTAACCGAAAGAGAGATAAGCGGAACGAGGAAGTGCATGGCACCGCGACCGGAGAGCGGTATGGTGAATTTTACAGTACGATAGCGGGCTGGCAGCAGCGGCCCTGAACAAATACTCTGACGCACTGCATCATAGAAGTTTGGGGACCGTGTGGAGCGATGCGGCAAACTTCGGTCGAAAAGAGAAACGATGAAAGAGGAAGAGAAATGGTCGAGGACATTTTGACTGGCTGGGCTGTTAGTTGAAACGGGAGTGGAGTGGCTGGTGCGCAGGAGAGGGGATCGACTAAACGGGGCCACGCCGAAGGGAAAACGGGAGAAGAGACCATTGAAGACAGGCAGTCAGTCGGGTGGCGGCTGCACGAACAGGTCTCCTCCTCCATCTCTTTCGGAAACTTCTCATTTTGCGCGATCTCTCCGTCGCCTCTACCGCACTACTCACGTCGAGAGACACTATACAAAGAGAGGACGAGGCGTACAGAGACACTTTTGTGTCCCTTTCCCGTCCCGATCCGTGTTTAATTGCAGACTGTCGGAATTGGTGCGCCGGTCCCTGTGTCGCCACGGTACTTCACAGCGAGGTGGTCCCCCTTCCGAAAACGCGCATTCACAATGATGCATTGTCGCGGCGGTCGGATTACCATGAGAGGGGGAACTTAGGAGTGAAATGGATGGGCTGAGAGGACTGAAATCGCGTGAAATGACTACGACGAAATGAAGCGGTTCTCCCTTCGGATGTACTGTTTTTTATGGGAAATAGAAAAGGCAGGCGGATTACGACGATTTCCACTGGGAATGCATGAAAAGAACACTGATGCCTTTTTTGGAAGGGAATAATATTGGTTTCACGAGAGAATATGGTAATTGCCTGTGACCAGTGGGTCCTAACTACTTTGAAATTATTAGTGGGATTAAAAAATAGAACTAGATGGAAAAGTTAGAAGCCGTTCGAAGCTTCGAGTGATGCCCCCTTCTTGTTCTAACATCTACGAAGAGTCAGTGTGAGTCAGTCTTAGTTTATACATATGCAACGGAAAAAAACGAGGTGTTTTGGCCGTCCGTCCGATCACCGGGTACACCGAAAAACGGCGGAAAGTGAGGGAGGCCACTGGCTGCCGATGGACGTTTCGGAAATGTTTGTCACCGCAGCAGCAGCAACCGGCGTGTACCACGACCCTTCGGAACAAAGGAAGTTGCCAGATGGAAGCGAGAGCTCCACTCCTGTCGGCGTAATGCGCGAAATGTCTGCCGACGGGCCGTTGATGCTTGTGCATGACAAAACTTTAAATCATCGCACAGACGAGCGAACTGACAACGGCACCGTCGCACCAACAAAAATGGGAAAGTGAACTGAGTGGGCTCTAATTGATGGCAATTTGTGGGCGTGTTCGTTGCGTTCCTCCCCCTCCTCTCCTATCTTCCGAAACTCGTGTCCGATGACTGCGTAACTGTCGGTTTTGGGACGGAAAGCGCAGCGCCGAGCGAGAGATAGCAGTAATAAATGGCAACATTCGGGAGAAGGAGCACTAGAGTCGGGTGTCACCGACAGAAAAAGTTGAGGTGAAAAAGACGATGGAGGGATGGAGGGCTGATAAGAGAAAAGAGGGAATTGAGGCAAGGACCACGGCCAGAACTGTTTGTATGATGTGGACAGATAGCGATGTTTGTGGGGGTGTCTGCCCATACCGTCGGACCTTGGAATCGGAACGATCTGCGCGTAAGACGAGGCTTGTTGTTGACGGCGCTGAATTGTGCGGGACGCACTTGTCGGCCTGCGCTCTTCGGTGTTTGTACTCGGGGCGGATGATGGTTCCGTCCGGTCGCTTTGTTTTTATTGATCGTTCCCGAACGCTTCACTTCTCGTTCGTTCCATCACCGAAATGGTTTTGGACGCAAACTGAGGGGAACCGGCGGACGGACGGAAAGAAGAGAAAGGGAGTACGCGCCCGTTATTTTTAGTCGGAGGACCGGCGAGGAACAAAGAGGACACCGAATTGCTATGCAAATCGTACCCCGAAGGCTCGCATTTATTGTCCAGTTTTGAAGGTCTTTGCAAAAAGGAATCAAAACGGATGACGTGGCACAGGCAAGCACCGTTGTCCCCTCTTATCACCTTGTTTGGTCCTCCGTGGCTTCAGTCGTGTTGCTGTAGTCTTTCATCGGAAGTACATTACTCCACTACATTTATGACAACCTCGAACCGGATGCGTTGGGAACCATAAGCTCCCAGAATCAAAAAAATGATTCTCAAGTATTTAGAACAGGCCTTCGGTTTTCGGAGGCCAACTTGAAAGAATGTCGAAAGGAACACTGTTGTTCGCCTGGCGACAGAGAAGGCGGCCCTTGTGGAGGGGCGAACCTCTGAAGTTGGAAGGTGAAATGGAAAATGTTGCGAATTTATTGTGGTCTCATTTCTCTGTTTCTCTCCGCTTACTGTACCGAAGTATTGTGTTGGCGCCCACCCGCGTCGCGACGAATCACATCGCGCAGCAACAGCACTCATGTGTTTCTATGCCCGAATGTCTATGTGCCCGCAGGCGGGACGGGCCGGAGGAAGACGGGACGTCTCTACGAATCCATCGCTATTTTGCGACGATCAGTGCGCTGGACCGTTCTCTCGATTCTTCTCTTTTCTCCATCTCTGTCGGTCTGAGTTTCTGTAGACAGCCGTCGCCCGAACTGATCCGCGCATTATTGTGTGTCTCTTCTCGAGTACGGACCTCGAGGGCCGACAGCGCTGTGCGCGCAAACCCGAAATATCGCACAGATCGAGGAAACGCCGACGATTTTCTACGGCGGCGCCGCAACCACCCATGTATACACAACCGGCCCCGCTTGCCCGCCGTTTCGATTCGTTTCTCCATAGGCCCCTCTCGCCCTCGTTGATCGCCGATTCCATTTCGATTGTGTGCGTGTTTGTGTGCGCCTCATCGGCCGAGTGGCGCTAGTTTCAGTACACCGGATGGCCGGGGCCCGTCATCACAGCGATGCTCTGAAACGTCGTGCGGCCAGCGGAGGACGCGAGAGAAACAGAACGGATGTGGCAGAGAAAAGTAAAGATAAAATGATGACGGGCAAGAAACTGTCACACATTCGCAGCATGACTCAATCTAAGAGCCCTAGCCCCTTTAGAACACACGGTAACATACGATGTAGAAATTACTGGCATTCTGTAATCTAGGAACAACCGACGATGGTATTATTTTTCGGAAATAGAAGGAAGACGAATGACGTGGCACTGTAGCTGTAGGTACCGTTAGAGTGTGGCGCTGCTGGTCTCTTGGGCCTCGCAAGAACGAAAGCAAATATTGAATTTTGTGTGCCTCTTTTCATAGACACGCACAAAAGGGTCTGTCTCGACAAAGTTGGTTCGCTGCGGGACTTCGAAGATCCGTATAGAGCCTAGTACTGGGGTCCTTCATTCCGAAAAAAGCGCTCTAGCATTAGGCGACGTTCTGATGCTCGCTCGCCATTTCCAGACGGGCTGCAACTCCTTGACACGTAAACTCTCTTTCCTCGGTGCGGCTTATCACAAGGAACCTTCCCGATTATTTGAAACGAGAGATGGAGAAATGCTACACAAAGTGCAGCCGTTGACGGACAGTATTGCTGACTTGCGATTGACACCGATAAGGTGCTTGTCACATGAAAGCGCGGGACAAATAGGTGTGCAAGTGTGCATCGAACCCCTCAACCAGCACGCAAAAATGGTTTTTGATGGCCGCGCCTCGCAAGCAAACAGCCTTGAAAATGAAAAGTTTTCGAAACGCGTTAGCGATTTTTGGGGCCGTGATCAAATGGCCAGAGAGTGGGCGGCACGATCGACGGACACTTTGTTGCACTTTGGGCACGGACCGAAGGACAACGAAATAATGGTATGAGGGGAATGTGAAAACGATGTTGATGGGGACTGCGTATGGCCGAAGGACTGTAATGCACATTTTACCAAATAGTATTGGGATAATGATCCCATTTAAATTGCACATTTAGATACGGTAATGAGCACGTGATTGGTTTAGAGAGACGAAGTTCTGTGAACAACTAAACACCTTCAAAATGCCACAATGACTTTTATTTTCTGACATTCGCTGTACGTCTAAATAGGAAAGTAGATAAAGGAATTTCACAGTGTTATACAGTACATGTTTTATCGAACTTTCAGTATCATGATATAAGACCCTGAAAAGCAACTCACCCGCTGATAATGTCACATTTCAAGTATCAGAAGCTGCTTTTCAGGCTGTAATTGAAAAGAACACGAGCCTTGACGGCTGCTGCTCAGTGACGAAGCGGTGTGAAGAGGACTCTGCTTTGCTCGCATAGAGCCCCTAATCTGGGCGCTGCCTATATCTGCTGATATGGGGGCTCGTTGTGTTTTCTGGTGACGACGGGGTCCTCGCCGTCGCCTTCTTCTTCGTCGCTTCGCCGGCCGAGGGGCCCCTTCCCTTCCGCGCACACCCCCTCTCCTTCCTTTCTCTTCTTCTACACCCAGTCTCTTCACCGGTCGACGGCCACACAAATCCAGCGGCGGCAACGAGAGAACGAGAAAGGGAGGCGCCGATATGTGATATACATATTTCGAATATATATAATAAGTCTCTAATCAGCTGTGGTAGTCGAGGCGGTAGAGAGCCGCCGCTGCATGCCGACGAGATAGCGTGGCAGATAGAGATGAAATGCACACACAACAACCATGGAAACGGGCCGTCGAAGGGTGACGGGCCCCGCTCGGCTTATCACTGCTTCTTTGGTTCGACGGCGCCGTCTCGCATAATACGCACATTTATATCGCTACAACGACGAGTTGTTTGGCGGGGCCGTAATTGGTGTGCGGATAGTGGAGCTCCAGCAACGGGGAAAAACAGCAAAACGAACAGGAGTTAGCGACGGTTCGGAGGGCCGTGAACAATACACCCCTCGTCTTGATTGGTTTTCTTCTGAAATGAAGGTGTTGGTAGTGGCCACCGACATCGTCAATCTCAAGGTTTCGGGTCGATAACATCGAAGAAAAATGGTCCTATCGCGGCGTGACGGTGCGAGAGAAAGTGGTGAGACGGGCTGTTCAAACCCGAAAAACATTGATACCTTTGAATTTGAAAATAGAGAGAATGAGGGACTTGGAAACTACAGGAAAACGGAATGAGCAAACTTCAACAAAAGAGAGAAAGACTGGTTCAACCCAGATTCCGACAAAGAGATGAATTTGGAAGGTATCCGCTTTGAGATCTGGACTGACTGAGATAATTGAGGGCTTACATTAAAGGAGAATATTAGAACTATTACTTTCGGCCTAACTCAACTATTATCTTTCAGAGAGTTTTGCAAAATTGTCATTGACGAGAATGTGACCGCCTCTAATCTGGCCGAGTATCTGGAGTCCTATCAAGGCGGAATGTACTCTCTAAGACTTGTCCTGGTAAATAACACACTTTCAATATTTCATTTCAATATCTTCGTCTAGGAATTCCAAACAGTCGATCTTCCGGACGTCGGAGAAGTTACCGTCCCGATCGCTCTTTCGCCTCCGATTCAATCCGTTCTGTTCGAGATATCGAGTCGTCTCGCGGAAGCATCGATTGCTCATCTGCTGACTAAAAAAATGCGAAAGCGCATTGATGAGTATGTGTCCGCTCGTTTTTCTCAAATAATTGGAAAACGCGTGGAAGAGCTGAAAGACGGGTGGAAGTTGCCGACCCGTTCGACTCTGCAAGTTCTATTTGACTGCCAACTTCTGAATGCCATGTTCCCAGGCGAAAAGTAATAAAGAATTGAAGTTAAGAGTACGTAGAAGTGTTATTCAGATTGCGAGCGGTTTGTTCGGCCATTGAATCTCATTTGGACCCGTTCGATGTTTCCCTGCTGTCTCCTCTGCTCGCCACGAATGTCAAACTTGTTTATATGAGAACCCAGGTACTGACAAGTCCCTATTGAGCATTTTCCATTCCGAAATGTTTAGGTTCTATTTTATTGTCTGGTGGCTGATACACTGTCCAACAAAGAAGTGCAGCTTCCGCAATCGTTCTCCAAGATTCAAGATTTGGCTGTGCACATCGAACAGCCGTCCAGGATTCCGACGATCCCGAGACTCGATAGAGCTGTGAGAAATTACTTCCCACGTGGTTGACAGCAACTGTTTACATTTCAGATGGGCGGCGACAAAAAGAACGGAACGTCACGATTGAAAAACAACAAGTATCTGGCGAATCCACAGCAACAAGGTACGGTTCCTCGCCTTCTTCACGTCGTAACTTTGCGTTTTCAGGATCCTCCAAGAGCACGCCTTCATTGAGCGCTTTCGTCGACAGAATCTCGACTAGCTGGTTTGGAGGAGCCAATAGTTGAGACAGCGAACAAACATAAATAATCTGGGTATTGTGTTATGGAAGGGATATAATTACTGTGATTTATGCTATTAATAACTGGGCTTCGCTTTTTGGGGATCCATTTTATTTTTTTTTTGTTTATGAATGCAATATGGAGACGATAAAAGGTTAAAATAAATGAAGGAAGAGGTTATTGTTGTTCCTTAGTCGCCAGACGCACTGATTCATCGATCAAACTACGGTCCGGTGGTATCAGAAGAACGACTACTTTCAGGTTGTTTGCGACCGTCTCGCGCCCTGTCTGTTCGCCGACTAATCACTGCTAAAACGCACTTGTTTGGGCCGATTTTGTGATTTCTTAGGCTGCACAGCGGAGCGAACGTAGGCGAGTTTTAATAGTTTCAAGTGAGGAAAAAAAAAGGTTTATTGTCCGTTCGGAAAACTATGAAAGAGAAGCGAGGAGCGGAGTGGTTGCAACGTGTTAAATCGGCAGTTTCCGATGGCTTCCGACGAGTTTGATCTTCTTTTCTTTTTTCTTTATTCTGTTCCTATGATTACCATCGGAAAATTGGAAACCTTTTTTCACTTCCATATTGAAATGCACTTCATCTTCAAAACAGTCGCCCGCGAGTTCGTCGAATCGCTTCGCCTCCCAGTCCGTCTCCTTTCCGACCTCCTTTTCCTTATTTCCATTGCGCAATACTCTCATAAGCCCTCTTCCGTGGATCGTCCGGAATCAATCGCCCATTCGCTGTTTTTGCGCCCTTCCGTTGTACTGGTAGACCGCACGGCAAACTCGTTTTCGCTTTTTCTGAATGACGGCGTTCGCTTCCGGGCGGTCGGAAGGAAGAAGCGCCCAAATTATAGGCTGATGAATGAATGTACACATGTCTTTTTTATTGCAGAAGACGAGGGGAGGAGTCGGTCTTTTCCGTCGAGACGTCATTCCGGCAGACACGCACCAGAATGCACCGCTTCCTTTGTTTGCTCCTTCTGGAGACGGCGTTCGCCTATGTGACTGTGACAAAGTACACGATCGGCAACAGGACGTACTACGAGAAGTTCGAGCAGCCGTGGTTCCGACACATGCATTACGACCACGATCCGGTCAGTCTCTTTCTTCTCTCCGCATTGCTCATAGTTACGGATTTCAGGTAAGTGTAGACGAGAAAGAGGAATCGGCCTTCGGAAAACATTACGTTCCCGAAGACGACGTGTTCGTCGCTCCAGATTGGAATGATCGCGAGATGAAGTACATGGGATGTCTGAACAGAACGTGCGTGTGCGGATACTACAATGGTACAGTAACCCAGTCCAGGTGCCAGCCAACCCGTATTTTTAGGAAATGTGAAAGATGGAGAGTGTATACTTCCGGGGGGAAAACTGTTAAAACGGGCGGTGCGACACGAATTGAGAACTATGAAGGATGAGGACAGGCGGATGATCGAGGACGCGTGGAATGCGATGAAGAAGAGCGGATTGTACAACAGAATCGGGAGGGTGCACAAGTATTCGGGCGTCCACTCGGGACCCGCGTTCACCCTTTGGCACAGGGAATTCCTGAAAAGGTGAGAAGAGAAAAGAACGAAAAGAAAATCACTAATTGTCAGACTCGAAATAGCCCTCCGCGATCACATGAAAAACCCGGACTTTGGTCTTCCGTTCTGGGATTCCACGCTCGATTCTTTGCTACCGGAGCCGAAGGACTCGATCGTGTTCTCGGAAATCTTCCTCGGCGAAGTGGACGATCACGGATTGGTGAAGAATGGACCGTACCATAACTGGGAGACGATGGAGGTGAGACTGATTCCAAAGGCCCGGATCTGATAGTGATTAACTCAGGGACGTGCGCAAATACTCCGAAACTTCGACGAAGACGAATCTGGGGAAATGCTGAACGACGCGAGAGTCGATTGGCTTGTGAACAACCCGGATATCAACATGATCCTCGGCGCGTCGATGCCTCTCAGCGTCCGTTTTCCCCGCTTCTGAATCCTTTTCTTCCATTTTTCCTATTCAGACATGCCCAATGAACCACACTCTAGATGCCAGGATGCTCGAGTTCTCGCATGATTATGTGCACTTTTTCGTCAGTGAGTCACTTGCTTCTCTTTCAAAAGCTTTCTGATTTTATTATCGTTCTCCAGACGGTGATATGAGTAAATCATACTCCTCTTCGAATGATGTTTGCTTCGTTTACCATCACGGAATGATTGATTGGATATTCGAGCAATGGAGACAGAATGTGCAAAGCAGGGAGGAAAGAGAATCTCAGTACCCAAAGAGCGACGAAAGATGTTTTCCGTTCTGGCACAACGGAGACAACTCGATGCCTCTTTTGCAGGTTTCGTAAAGAGTCACGAGAGTATTCAGATAGCATCTTATTTTTTCAGCCACTCAAGAATAAGGATGCACTGTCGAATGGATACACAGACTTCATGTACGAGTACGCGCCAAGAGCGACTTGCACGAAAGAGAGGCCGGACTGTGATTCCCCGTGAGCACATTTTTCGTCTTCTTCCCTGAACTGCTTTCTCAGATATCTCTTCTGCTACATTCCAACGAATGACGAACATCATCCGAGCTGTGTGAGCAAAGTGAAACGGAACGGAGACTGTCACGGCTTCGAGGATTACCCGATCTGTTACTGGGGACAGTGCGTCAACGGAAAGTGCGATGAAAGTGTGAAACCGACGAAGCCGCCGGCAGAGCAGTTTAAAAAGTTCGAGAAAAACATAGTTCCGTTTATTATGTGAAGACAATTTCTATGAATCTGGCAAATCTGATGTACAACCTAGCTCGCAAATTTCAGGTTTTAGAAAGCTTTTTTGGTGTTCACTCCCATGTCCGATCATTCTAGTCATTTGATTGTATGCTGAACGTTTCCAATTTTTTAATATATCGTTTGTTAGAAACTCAACTTGTTCAAAAACTGTTGTTTTCTGTTTTATCGCAGAAATTCAAGAATTTACAATATTGTACACGTTTTACTAATGAGAATAATTTTACGGCTTGGTGTCATCTTAAAAATCAAAAAATAGCAAATTTTTTTGCACCTGTGTCATTGACTGAGCGCTGAACTTTTAGAATTTTGAAAAAAATAGTTTACTGGAGACTTAACGTTCTTCAAAACCTGTATTTTTCCTATTTTATTGAGGAGTTTTACGAAGTTACAATCTTGTCCACGTAAAGTACACAGAATATACATTTGAATTGCCGCGCGCGGGTCTCGCCACGAAAACGTTTTCTTGGCTGTCTGCCGGTCGCTCTTCTCTTTTCTTTTTCACGCATCTAGCCTATTTTGTAAATTTTCCGTAAAAATAACTGGGTTGCAACAAAAATAAATAGTGAATTAAATTGTACTGATACATTTTATTGACTTCGTCAAAAAATTCTACCCAAATCGATTCCCTATCCTTCCAAAGATCGATTTTAACTCTTGGCATTTGTGATTCTGATCAATTCTATGGTTTCTCATGCGTATTTATTTTTTCTCATTTCATTTATAGTTTATTTGTAGCTGAGATGCTGGTCCTGTTCGAGGTCGCAGCCGGTTATGCGGTGTTTAAGCTCAGCAACGAGAAGACGCTGAAGAATGTTGAGAACATCTGGGAGGAATTCAAAACCGCCGAGAAGGCTCAAGAAAAGTAAGTTGTCCTGTTTGTTCACTTATATTATAGTTCGGTTTCAGTCTGCAGCTGGTGTCTTTCAAAAAGTTCAAGACCACTGCTGGAGCTGTCGAAGCCGCTTCTGAAATCACGGAAGGCAAACTGAGTAAGACTCTGAAGAAGCTTCTTAAGTCGAGCGTTGATGAGACCGAAAAACTGGCCGTCGGCGACGCCAAGCTCGGAAACTTGATCAAGGTTATTGATTGTAATAATTTACTTTTGCTCACTAAATTACTTTCAGGAGAAACTTTCCCTGAACTGCGTCCATGACAGCTCTATCAACGAGTTGATGAGAGGAGTTCGTGCTCATATTGATGAGTTGCTCGCTGAGCACAAGGAGGAAATGAATGCCATGAATTTGGCTGTTGCTCACTCACTCGCTCGCTACAAGGTCAAGTTCAACCCGGAAAAGATCGATACTATGATTGTCCAGGTATCTAACGTCCACAAGTATTGTTTTTCTAAAAGTTTATTTTGCAGGCCGTTTCTCTTCTTGATGACCTCGACAAGGAGCTCAACAACTACGTCATGCGTGTCCGGGAGTGGTACGGATGGCATTTCCCAGAGCTCGGAAAGATCATCCAGGATCATCAAGCGTATGCCAAGGTAACGCTAGTGTTGAGATAAAACAATCGAAACAAAATATGTTTTAGATTGTGAAGACTATTGGAATGCGTCAACAGGCAATCAACACCGACTTGTCTTCTATCCTTCCGGAAGATCTGGAAGAGAAGGTCAAGGAGGATGCTGAAATCTCCATGGGAACTGATATCTCGGAAATCGATCTCATCCACATCAAGGGTCTCTGCGAGCAGGTTATCGAACTCTCGCAATACCGGTATGTTTCGAAAGTGATCGAAAGTAATGAATAAAATTTATTTTCAGCGCTCAACTATTCGACTACCTCAAAAATCGTATGACTGCCCTCGCTCCGAATCTCACAGTTCTTCTCGGAGAGCTGGTCGGAGCTCGTTTGATCTCTCACGCTGGATCCCTTGTCTCGCTGGCTAAGGCTCCAGCTTCGACGATTCAGATCCTTGGAGCCGAAAAGGCACTTTTCCGTGCTCTCAAGACCAAGAAGGACACGCCGAAGTATGGACTGATTTATCATGCTCAGCTGATCACACAAGCCCCACCAAAGATCAAGGGAAAGGTAAAAAAATAGCATTTACTGATTTCAATCTTCACAAAATTAACTACACAGATGGCTCGCAAGCTTGCTGCCAAATGCTCGTTGGCCACCCGCATCGATGCTCTGTCCGACGAAACCATTAACAATGAAATCGGAATTGAGTGCCGCGCTGCCCTCGAGAACGTCCTTAGAACTGAGTCGGAACGCGGACCATCGAAGAAGCAGAACTTCGGAACACACAGACACGACAAGTACGAGTTCAAGAGCGAGACATACGAGTACGACGCTGCCGCTGATGCTCCGGCCAGTCGCAAGCACAAGCGGTTCGATGACAACGAAAACACGAATTCTGTCAAGAAGATGAAGATCGAAGAGGTGAAAGAGGAGGAGCCAGAGAAGAAAAAGAAGAAGAAGAAGAAGGAAGCCGAATCCGATGAGGAATAAATGTATAGGAGACGAGAGTGATAATCTTCTTTTTGTTGTGATTCGTCTTCTTGATGTTAAGCTACCTCCTTCGTAGTACAAGTTTGCGAAATCTGTATGTTCTTGTTGATTTGACTCGTTAATCTATGCCAGTATTCAATTTCATCGTCATTGTTAACATCTGTTATCACAAAAATCCCTCAACGACTATCCACAACCCACTTTTTATCGTAATCACTTGTTTCTTTCTTTTGTCTTTTTCCTTGTTGTTCCTTATTTTTGTTACGTTGTCGGTTTCGAAAAATGTTGAAATAAAACGAAAATTTGATGATGGAAAAAACACCTTTATCGGGAATGAGTCAACCCGTAACGACTTTTGGTAGTACATAAAAGAGAACTGATCCTAAGCGACTTGAGTATCTTGGCTATTATTCGGTCGGTTATTATGATAAGCGCACATCACTGAAGAAGCCTCCTGAGCAGATGAAGACGTTGGGCCGCCTGGAGGAAGTCGGAGGATTCGTTCAGTTCGTCGACGATGTCATCAGAAGGAGGCATCGATCCGGGCGGTCCAGCAGCAGAAAACGGAGATTCAGATGACGTTGGAATGGAAGGAGGAGCAGGTGGAGACGGAGAAGAAGAAGAAGAGGAAGAAGGAGGAGGGGCAGGAGACGTCGGCGGTGTGGACGGAGTGGAGAGGGCTGAAAGGAACGATTGCTCCGAAAGGAAGGGAAGGGACGGAGCACCTGCGATCACGTTCTCCTCAATCTGATGCAGCTGATGGTCTTCCGTCTGCGCGTTTATGTCCTCGAACTCCTCCTCCGGCACTGCAATCGTGATCGTCGTCGGCTCTTCTGAAGTAGTCGATGGTGCTTCTGTCGTTGTCGTCGTCGTCGTCGTTGTTGTTGTTGGCTCTGCAAACAGTTCCTCAGCACCCTCTTTCCGATTATACCCACCTTCCGTGCTCATCGTCGTCGTTTCCGTCGTCATCGTCACTTCTGGAGTTGTCGGTGTTTCCGTTGTTGTCGTCCGTCTTCTATGCGTCTGTCTTCTCGTCGCAAATGCCGGAAACAGCGACGTCGCTTCTAAATACCTCTCTTCCGTTTTCCCCCCGCGATTCCACTCTCACCTGTTTTCTGTGCCGTTGTCGTCGGCTCCTCAGTCGTCGTCACCGCCGTGTTCTCTTCTGTCGTCGTCGTCGTTTCTTGTGTAGCAGCCGTGGGCGGATTCGCCTCAAGAACTGCTCGCAGCACGGCTTCTTCTATGCTGTCGACGCGTGGAGCTGCTGTGCGGTGCTGTTGACCCGGCCGGATTCTGCGCGGACGATGAGTGGATGACGGGGGAACGGGGGAAGAAGACTCTGGAAAAGGAATTCTGAAAGGGGAAGAGAAACGGGAAAGAAAACCAATGACTGCCTGGAGAATGGCTGCTTCGATGTCGTCCACTCGCTTCTGATGGTTCACTTTTCGGAGCACCGCTTCTGAATCTAATGTTTCGAAAAAATAAGTATTTAGTTCAAACCTGAAGCGATGGTCTCAAGAGTAGTCGTAACTTCTGTTGTGCTCTGAGTCGTTGTCGGAATCGGTCTCGTCACTCTGCAAAAGATCGGCTACCTCATTCTATTGAACTCTTATTTATTAGCATCGGTTTCCAGTTAGTATCAAACCTATCGGGTTTAACTCGGTGAGTCAGTTGATGGCGGATCGGGGGGAATGGATGGTTAGAAGAAGGTCTCCGGAACTGTCCACGTGTCATCTGAGGCTTCCTTCGCAGGTTCAAGTTCAACTGCTGAACGATAATCGGACGGCGAAGAAGTCCTCCGGCTGATTTGATGGAAGTCGAATTGGACGAAGGAAGGCGCGGAGGGGATGGAGTCGTCGGAATGGTGGACGGAGGAGGAGGGGGAGGAGAAGGAAGAGGAGTGGTAGTGGTAAGGATCGGAGGCGTCGAAGGGGGTGCCGGAGGACGGAGGGACAGACGCATGTTGTTCTGGGGGAGACGACGGGCGGTCTGTAGCCGCCGCTGCTGGACAGATCCGAACGGTATCGGAGAGAGGGGAGCTCGGAGAGCGAAGGGACGGTTAGGGGGGACGGCAACCGCTCGGGGCATCCCTCCACGGACAAACGCCGGCTGGAGACGTGGCTGCTGCTGCCGCTGAATCGGCTGTTGTTGGAATCGGAACGGCTGCTGTCTCTGCTGTTGAAATGGCGCCGGCGGCTGCTGCCTTCTGGAAATGTTAGACTTGATTGTCGTTGTTCGTTGATTAGCACGCATGGTAGGTTTAGTGCGGGAAGAAGGCCGGATTCGTTTGCGAATGTGTGGGGGCACACGACGGGTTAGCGGAGCAACGGACGGTTGATGAGTGGTGGTTCGGACCGTAGAGGAGGACCTTTGACGGGTGCGGTGACGGTGGCTGATCTGACGGGCGAAGAGATTGCGATGGCGGAACAGAGGCGCCGACGTGAGGCTGAAAGACAGATTGAAGCACACGGAGGCGATGGGTACTGTAGTTCCAAGGGAACACCGTACTCCTGTCGGTGGGGCTAGGATGTTCAAAGAAGCGCGTAATTGCATGATTTCGCACAAATAATAGCACACTTCGAAACAGGAAATTCTCGACGCATTCCATTCCAGACTGTCATGAACATTAGCATTAACACTTCTCGATTTCAGTTTCTCTTTGTATGCATCGCTCTAATTGTTTTCCGGCTGAGATGACAGAACAGATGTTATCATAACCATTCAAGCAAGTTGTAACGCTTACACTGTCGGCCCGCCAATGTTCACTTCCCTTTTATATGTATATCATTCACAAGAGGGCACAGAACACGTCATTCTCGCATTTGGAAAGCTTTGAGCGGGTGGGTGCAAGAGAAGCGGGAATGGAAGGACTCACACAAAGTTGCGATTCTGTTGGAATGGAGGCTGAGGTTGGAACGGTTGCTGGAAGGGAAACCTCTTGGAAAGGCGCTCCGACTAGTCAGTTACCTGTTGTCTCACAAAAGCTGTCTGTCCATTCCCGTCGAAAACTTGTTGTGCCTGAAAACGAATTGAATCAAATTACCTAGAAAGAGTCACTCAAGAAGGCTTACCGTAACCACTGAAACTGCAAGTACGAAAAGGGATCCTGCTACGAAGTGCACACTTATTCGACGTTTTCTACCTCCATTCATCTGTAATATCGTTATGAACAGAATATGAACAACTAAAAGTGGGAAAACGCGAGGAAGGAAGGTGCGAAGCGTAGATATTTGTCTCTCTTTCCGAAAGAGGTTCTCCGCTTCTCCGACTGAATAAATGGTCAGGGAAGCAGCCAATTTCAGCAGGCAAACGGAGGTTGCCGTCGCGAGGGGTTGAGTGCGGGGCGAAACTTATTCTGCCGCCTCTCTTTCTCGCACGAACACCTTCTCTCTTCGATACTTTACACACTCGACGACGGAGATGCCAAATTGGAAGTTTGTCGTGCCGAAACAGGCGCACAGCGGTTTATCGATAGACGAATGTGATCACGCGAGTCCTCGGGAGTGTGACTCGTTCGGTGATTCGTTAATTGTCTGACTGGACGGAAATGACAGAGATGGACTGCTAATGAAGAAAAAGAGGTCTGGGGGTTTTCAGAAGGTTCAAACATAGACGACAAAGGTGGAAAGGGGCTGATCCCGGGAGGTGTCGCACTTTTCAGATGTAATTCTATCATTCTTGAATAGATCCTTCTTACAACTAAACTGGAGATTATCAGTTACACACTCCTCAAAATACGTTCGCAGTTCTCATAAATCTCTCCCAATCTCTATCGTACCTCGTGCCCGCGAACGCCTTCTTTTAACTTTTCCCGTCAAAGAAAACTTTCTTCTTATCTGTCTCTTGTTCAGGGAAAGTATCAAATTGAAAACAAAAGGAACAAATTAGCGGCGAAACGGAAAAAGAAAAAGAAGAAGAGGAAAAAGTTTGAAAGTGTGAAGCCAAGTGTCACACAAGGATCATCACTGAAAAGATGGGAATCGACAACTGAAATAAGAGCTTTTTTGTGGGCCGAATTTCAGACGATTAGAATCTTTCGAAACGCGAGTGAAGGTCAGCCTCCACTTGATATTGTAAAACCTATTTTCAGTCAGAGAGACAATGAAAGATGACCATGAAAACAAAAAACTATATTGTTCTCGGCCCGCTGGAAACGCCGCCGAAAGCCTTCTGACGACACACCTCTTTTGAAAGGGCAGATCGAGTGATAGTCGGGCGAAAGTGACGTTTATGAAGGTTCTGATGGATGGGATGGGGTCGAAATACTGGGCACGGTGTCCTAGGAACAATGCGAATCCGTGTGGACAATGGGAATGCCGTGGCCGCACTGTTCCGTTCTTTTCAAAGACTCCATACCGACCCATGCCGCGTTTCACCTCAATAAAGTCTAAAACATGCAAACGAGACTTCTTGCGGTGCCATTGAAAAGAGGAAGAAGCGCCGCGTGGCCATAAAAGTGTCGTTCCCATTTCGATGAAGTGACCCGTTGTTTGCTGGCACCCGGCCAGCCCTACCCTTCCTTTTTTATCACTGATGATCAAGGCCATTTTGTGGAAACTGCTTTGTTAGCAGAACCATGAAGAACCGTGAGAGAGAGGGGGGAGAAGCTGCAGCTGACCGAAAAATGACAGTGACGTGGCAAACAATGTCTCCGTTTCAGAATATCAGAATATGTACGACCGCCTGGTTTCAGTTTACAGGCATAATTTGATAAGATCAAGATCATCACTTTCCATTTCGACAAGCCGCCACTATTTTTTTGCTTTCACTTATCAGAACACAGAGATTTCTAGAAATACGGTACGGAGAGGAAAAGTGAAAAAATGAGAGAAACGCGGGAAAAGTTGCAAACAGTTTGAAGTGGCATTCTTTGAAAAACGTGTAGATAGATACTTGATATGCATCCGAAATGTTGAAGTGTTCCTCCCCTACTGAACTTTGATCGGGAATAAAAAGGGGAAAGAATTAAAAGAAGTTTCCGGTGAGATCTTTGATGACTGACGGATTTTAACGGACGGAAGTGACTTAATTATGCAGGAATAAAGTAATTGAACCAGTCGGAGAGCGGTTACTGTAGGCGGCAGAAAGTGAGAAAACAGACACCGTAAATACCGTGATAGAAGAGCAGTTCATTCAAAGCGACATATTTCAGCTGTCGGTAGAGATAACAGAAAGTTGTCAATTGATAAAATATACACAATGTCTATTTAAACAATTTATCAGTTAATAACTATTTGATATCTCTGCCGGCATCTGAGATATATTGTCCTGAACAAGCGGTACTAGGGTACCCTTCTATGACAGTACTTTGCAGAAGACACTGAAAAGTCAGAGGACAGGACGAGAGTAACAATAATAATAATAATAATACTAATAAGAAGAAGAACAAAAGTGCATGTGTTCCCCGGAAGAACAAGGGTAGTTAACTAGTTTGACGTGGCACTAGAGCCTCTTTCCACTTGAGATCGTCACCTTTCGTGGCATCCGACAGCCAATAAAAAACAGAAAAAAGAAGATGTGCGGGGGAGGGAAATGAGGAGTGTTTCGGGGCCGCTTCTTCTCCTTCTTCTTCTTCTTCTTCCCGCTAAAACCAACGTAGCGGGTTGTCGAATCGGCCGGTGGCAAATTGGTTTTCTGGCGGCGCAAAGAAGTGACCGAGCGAAGGCTTTTGATGGCAACAGAAGCTGAGACAGTTACACTTTGGTCGCTTATGATTTGTTGGGGGCAAGACAGAAGGTTAGCAAATCAAGAAAAGACTAAAGTTTCAGTGTTCACAGGTTGATAAAAGGGTTTTGCAGACGACGGGAAAGGCGTTAATGTCAGAAATGTCAGGTGACGGAAAAGGACTGAAAACCAATTGGCACTGAAAAGCACTCAGGGAGAATAAAGAATGAAAATGATGGACTTCAAGTGTTTTCACAAACGTTCAGAACCCAAGTACGACGCCAGAAACAAAAGTTTGAAAAGTTTGCATCAGAACAACTTACTGTAGAGGCCCTAGAGAACACGTATTTCTATCTTCCAAAATAACCTATTATGTACACTTTGAACACCCAAATATAGTAATGTCTCGCAAACTATAGAATCTTCCAGAGATCCAGAACGAATGGCCAAATTGGATGATCCACTGATTACCTTCGTTGTCCATTCGACACTTGTGTCTTTGGATTCCTCAGCCGAAACAGTTATCGGGGAAGAAGCCAGCTTTTGGGGATTCTTCAGGTTCCTTAACTTTGAACAATTATTATTCTTGTTAGGAAGTATTTCCAGTGAACATCTGATCTGGAGATACATTGTAAAGGTCTTTTTAGGACTTTTCAGGGCGAGCCAGGACTTTCGTTCCACAGATTATCACATTGAAAGTTTCTGCCTAATATTCAGTGATTTGCCGAAAAGCCGGATAATCGCAAGCTGATAAAAAGTCTGGACCTTTTGAAATAATGATCACAAAAAAAACATGAGGTTTTGCGAATAGTTGCCTGCTTATTTATTTGAGACCAAGTGGGCACTAACACAATATAACATTACAGTTGGTTAAATATGTTATAGTGAGAGTTGGCCTGACACTTTCATCCCTTAGCAAGACTAACAATCTGTGCCAGATAGGATATATTTATATGGGACAACCGAACTGAAAGCGTTCTGTGTCCGAATGAGGGTGAATGAGTACATTTGAGGAGGTTGAAGAGTGGAAACAGCTGCTCGGATCGGCTCATTCTTCCCGTTTCAAACCTTCGAATGCGCGTGCTTCCTGAGGTTTTCTGCCTTTGCAATTGTTTCAACATGCATGTAATTGGTTGTGAATGTGGTCGAATCAGTGTGGTCCAAACTCGTTAGGTAGTCATTCCGTCGTGCCCCTCCGCTCCCATCTCTCTCTCTCTCTCTCTCTCTCTCTCTCTCTCTCTCTCTCTCCTTCTCTCTATCTCTCTTTCTCTCTCTCTCTTTCTCTCTACTTCTGTCAATCCCCCTCTCGGTCTCTCTTTCTCTCTCCGTCTCTCCCTTCCGCTTCCACTCTTTCTCCCTTCTCTCCGTCTCCTCTGTCCGCCCACTGCTTGTGCGATTTCTTTGAATTTCTGCCAAACACACATGCGCGAGATGACCAACCACCGTTATATTTTTCCCTGATTTTATGAGTCATTCGTTTTCCAGTCTATCAGTTTTGCATTCCATTTCTCTACTTTCCTACTTTTTCGAGAGCAGTGTTTCTAGCCGAGTCATCGGATATTCACATTGAATTTATGTTGCGAGTTTGAAAGCCAAAGCGACAGCGAAAGTCTCAAGTTTGGTTTGTGGATTTTGAGAATTTTAAGGATTATGCTGGTTTCCTTTCGTTTTGAGCCTAATTAATGTGTTCTATAAAACATGTATTACTCGCTAGTTTTATATCAATATTAAATTGTCATCATTTCGGGCTCGCCCTCCGCCGGAAAACGCTAGTAGTCAGTCCATCGTTCACTTTAATGCCCCATAAAATAATATGTTTCTAATCGATGCGCCCTGTCTCTTCTTCTTCTTCTTTTTCTTCTTCTTCTTCTTCCTCTCCGTCGCCATCGCCTCTGCCGGTGGTGGTAACGACGGCGGCGGCACGAGGAGCAAGACGGAATACGCGCGTCGAATGAGAAGAGAAACAGCCACTTTACACTCTTGCTCCGCGAGCTCAGAGAGCCTGCTCCGCCGCTTTGCAGCACACTGAGGCGCAGGCGAGACGGGCACGCAGGAAGCCGGCAAGAACACAAAGTGCCCTCTGCCTTTTAGTCACCCTCGGCCGAACACAACAACCATCCCTTCCTCCTCCCCTTTCGGTCAGTTCCTCTTCCATTTTTGGCCACCGGAAAAAAACATTTCGAACTCTCTTGAGAGCCTCTTGATCTGTGTCCACTTGTCTTCTGTTCGTTTGCCTTCTCCTTCGTTTCATTTCAATTCAATCGAACTGTTGTTCAGGCAGGCGCCTTGCTGCTCCCCAACGATGGCGACGTCTTCGATGTCATCGTTGACGTCTTCATACCACACGACGGGGCTGCCTTCCAATTCGGTCGTGCCGCCGTTCGACGCCCGCAACCTGGAGATCAAGACGAAGTCGATTGAGCAGACGCTTATTCCGCTCGTCACTCAGGTATGAATGACATCAGCGCCGGAAGCGATTATGGCTATCCGTTCTGTTTCCGTCGTGTCACCACGGCCCATTTGGCACGCGAGTGTTTGTTTGTTTTGCAGATCACCACACTCGTCAACTACAAAGAGTCCTACTTGACAAGCGGAAAACCCAAATCCGAAAGGGCAATGAGGGCTGCATTGAAGGTACCAGGTAACCAGGAACAGGCCCCTTCAAAACTGTACAGTTCCAGATCGGAAGCGCCGTCGAAGCAGCCATCGAGAGGTTCGTGTGCGTGGGAGAGACGATAGCGGACGAGAACGCGGACATCCAGCCGGAAATGTACGACGCCTGCACGGAAGCGCGCCTTGCCGGTGAGATCTTTGCCCTTCGAGGAGCCTCTCCATCCGTGGGCACTAAATCCGCCCCTCTCCTTTGCGGGGATCACATTTCACCAAATCAAAGCACATCGAAAAGTGTTGCGTGATTACACAACGCCGGGTTCTTCCCGTATCGGAGAGAGCAACGAGCGGCTCGCCGACGCATGCACAAATCCGCGCGCGTATCCGATTACCCGCCTCCCTTCGGCTAAGAACCCAGCCATTCTTGTTGTTCCAGGCGCTTCGATGGCCAACCTGTCGTGTGCGTGCAACGAAGATCCGTCCTCGGTGGTGGACAAGGCCGTTCTCGTGAGAGCGAGCAGGCAACTTCTGAGCAGTGTGACGCGAGTGCTTCTGCTCGCGGACCGTGTCCTCGTGAAGCAAGTGCTCCGAGCGGAAGACAAGGTATGAAAAGGAAAACAGAAGGGAGACTCTCTCAATGATTTCAGATCGCCTTCTCCCTTTCGCGGCTCGAATCCACACGATCTTTCAATGATTTCGTCAAAGTGTTCGCGGTGTTCGGTGGAGAAATGGTCGAACTGGCGCATCGGAGCGGAGACCGACAGCACGATTTGAAGAGCGAAAAGAGGAAAGCACAGATGTCCGTGGCAAGGACGTCGCTCGAAAGACTCACTATGCTTCTGCTCACCTCCTCAAAAACATATCTCCGGCATCCTGACTGCGATTCGGCGCTTCAGTGTCGCGACGGAGTGTTCTGTCAGATGAAGTTGTCTCTCGAACTGATTGCCATTTGTGTCTGCGACGGAATCATCACAACTGACAAGAATCGGTACATTCAAGACGAGCCGGACATGCCGATAGACATTGCACTTCAGTTGACAGCCAACGCAGCCATCAAACAGCTCACTGTCAGTCTCTCCCCGCCCCTTATTTCCAGTTTTATAATATCAACTTCAGGAGATGTTGGAGATGATTCGAATGACGGTTCGGGTGGGCGCAGGAGTCCGGGAACGGATAGTTTCTGCCCTGGACGCCCTCTGCCAACTGACCCAGGACTTCACCGATTCCGCCTACACACCACATCATCAACGGGAGCAGATTCTCGATTTCCTCGAGGAGTGCCGCTTCGAAATGACCAATTTGATTCAACCAGATGAGAACGAGCAATTGGCTGCGAGCGGACTGGAAGTTACCGTTGAACGGCTGAACCGAAGGCTCAAAGATCTGAGCAAACAGCTGCAGATAGTTGCGATGGAGCAGATATCAGAAGTGTTGCGGGCCAACGAGGACCAGGTGTTGCTGTCGTCGATGAAGGCGTGCGCGGTGGCAGGAGACATCGACGGGGTGGAGAAGTACATGCACAAGTTCAGAGAGCACGCGGATCACATGCAAGAAGTCTGCCGCCTCCTCCACCACATCTCGATCACTGATGCTCTGCATGTCCACACAGGGCACGTCGAGCGAAATATGAGAGCTCTGGCTCCTCTGGTATACGGATACTTTGTGCCAATCTTAAGATATTCCCATTTGCAGACGATTCTCGCTGGAAGGACGCTCTGCGTGCATCCATCTTCTCGAATCGCCAGGGAGAACTTGGAAGTGTTCTGCGACACGTGGGGCCAAACCGTCAGTTGTGCATTGATTCGGCTGCCAACCGTTCTCTTTTGCAGGTGAACGATCTTTCCCGTGTGGCGAAGGAATCCGACGTGGCAGCGAACGGACGCGTGGCGGCGGAGAAGCAGGCGTACATGTCACTGCCTAGGCCAGGGGTGAGTAACAGTTCGGTCAGCCGTCGGAAGCATGAGGGTGACTCTTCTGACTCGTCGAACGAACTTCTTCCGAACGGAGGAAGAAGACCGAAGAAGCTGGGGATGGCTCCGACGCGTGTAGTTGATCAGACAGGTGACGAGGCGAGCAGCGACGAGGAACAGGCGGACAAACAGGAAGTGGAAGCCTTCCAGTACAGAATGAGTCTAATCATCGATGATCTGCAAAGTGACGTGGAAAGACGATGACTATGCTTCCTGCATGACTTCTTTTTCTTTTCTTCTCTGTTCCACTACCATCTTCTCTTTCTTTTCTTTCTATTTCTCTTCTGTGATGTGCTGTGTTCTTGTTGTGCCAAAATAAATGTTGTGCTGGTATGAGAAAGAGAGATCAAAAATGGAACTCTCGCTGATTTCAGAAGCACGGAACCACCCAGAAACCGTCGAAACCAATCACTTTGGATGTTGAGGTTGTCTCTTTTCCATTAAAACGAAAATATTCTTCTCTTTCAGGACCAACAAAAGATGGCCAAGGTGGGATTGGAAATGAAGCTGCTGACTTCGGAAGTGGACGCCGAAGCCGAAAAGTGGGACGAGTACGCCGAGAATGACATTGTGAAGCGGGCGAAAGCCATGTCCTCGATGGCCTACAACATGTACCTGTTCACCCGAGGAGACGGTCCTCTCAAGACCACGCACGATCTGTTCACGCAAGCCGAGTTCTTTGCCGAACAGGCCAATCAAATGTACCGAACGGTGCGGGAGTTCTCGTACGAAGTGCCCGGATCGGCCGAGAAGTCAGACCTGTCGGCGATTCTGGAGAGGATTCCACTGCACTGCCAGCAGCTTCAGGTGATGGTCAAGAGTCCGACGGTCGGGAAGACGGCCACGTTCGGAAAGGTCGACTCGGTTATCCAGGAAACGAAGAATCTGATGAACGAGATTGCGAAACTGGTGACTGCTTCATTCGTCTGCGCCACGAAGGTTAGTGTTTCGACCTGAAATGTACTGAATCCTCTTTCGAAACCGAACAGATTCTAATCAACGTATTCAGATGTTTGCTCAAGAATCCCAACAAGGGTAAGTTTGTCCCTAGCGCGATGAGTAGCTGCCCCTCCCTCAGTTACCCGAACTTTCCTTTCCCATCCTCCTCGCATTCGTGCGGCCAAGTCTTGTGTACTCTCTTGTGTTCGTCGAGTTCGCAAAAGAGAAATCTGAATCGGAAAGCGATTGATTAGGTTGCAATCTGTGCTCGTTCTGTACTAGCTGAATGTGTTCTGCAACCCATCCAACACCTCCCTTTTTCAGTACGAAATCGAGTTTCGCGGAGGTTCTGTCAATGGGCGGACGGGTGCCGACGGTGAAAGGACTAGTCGCGAATCGACTGTCAGTTGCCCCCTCTCGCCCCCTCTCCTCCAACTCAATGACTTCCAGGTTTGGCGCCGGACACCAAGCATCCGACGAGCCGCGCCGCCGACCGCTTCGCTCCTTTCCGCCAACAACTCATCAAGCATACACCTTTAGGTGCTCGTCCGACCCCTCCACTCATCCCTAATCCTCTTTTTTCAGCAGTACGATAGCGAGTTGAAATGGACTTCCCCCCGATCTCACTTTCCCTCTTTCTTTCCCCTTTCTCTCTCCGCCGTCCCGCGTTTCCATGTCATATTTGTTCTCTCTCTCACCTCGCCCTTTCATAAGCTTTCAAGAGCTTTCTGCGCCTTCCGGAATGACTTACTCCTACGAGAATGCTGGTTTATTTTCCTGTTTTTATAGTTGTTGACTACTAAAATAGTTGTTCATATCACTTCACTTGTTCAATTAACGGAAAGTAACATTCTTGAAGTTGACACTCTTGACGGCAGGATTCATGCTCTCCAGGTGCTCAATCAGATCGGTGATTCTGCTCGAAACGCCTAGCGGATTGAACGGCGCCTGAAAATTTCAATTTTGAAATCTAAATGGAAAAATGAAAGCCGCCCACATTAACAGGAATCTCAAAAAAGACGACGTCTTCCACCAAAGGCAATCCGAAAGTGACACGTTTTGTCGGGAGGATCCCCGGCAGCGGAGTGACCATCTGCTCAACGACAATGCTCTGAAAGCAACGGATTCTCTGGCCGAGCTTTCCCCGAACGGAGTCACCTTGGCCCTTCTCCCATTCACATCTACTTCATTGTTGTATTCCACATTCACCGACACGTGGTGTCTGCTCCGCATTCCGAACTCAAAGCGAGTCGTCGCGCCCATTGTCAGCAGGCTTCCGTTGCACAAAAAGTGCTCCAACTGGGAAAACTGATCGATTTTCAGAGTTCGGAACTTGCGATTCGATCCGTCCGACTGCTTCTGCGACGCCGTCACCATCTCATTTGTCCGCTCCATTTCAAGATTTTCATTGGTCATTTGTTGCAACTTGCTATAAAGCAGACTAAGATGCAGTAGGAGGAAATTATTTACAAACTTGAGAAATTGTTTCAACGGCATTTCCGTCTTGATTGTCATCCGAAGGAGTGAGCGGTATTTGATAGGAGGATCGGGCATCGAGAGACATTTGTGAATGACGTCAACGATGTCGGATTCAGTGAGTCGACGGCAGAAGAAGTGCAGATGATGGGGTCGGGCGTCGACCATCGAAACGGACGAGTTGATGAGCGAGAGCTCGGTGTCTGAAATAGAGTAATCACGGGTGTGCATTCGGAAGGCACCACCCACTCACCTCTGCTGGTCTGCTTCCACTTCTTCGACTTTTCGAAAATATTCCACATGAAAAACGTGGCCAGCTCCTGGTCCGAAGCCTTCCGAATGCGATCCATCAGATCGGTCGCCCCGTCCAGATTCGTTTTCTCTTCGATCGGACGGCGGAGACAGTCGTACTCCTCCAGAATCACTCCGTCGCTTCTCCGCGAGTGCTCGATAGGACTGATTCGCAAGAGAATCGGCGAGGCGACGGCACGCACCAGTTCCACATCCTCGACTTCACTCACTTCCTTCTTGAGTTCCTCATATTCAGCAACGAATTTGGTCGTCACCAGCTCTTCGAGCTCCAATTCCGAAAGCTCCGACCTCGAATCATCGTCGTTTTCTTCTTCGCGCAAAAGATTTTCCATCTCTTCTAACGGTTATTTTTGATGACGTTTATGTGTTGAATATAATTCCGAACATTGATAAACGATTCAATGAGTAAGTAGGCGGCCACGGAAAGAGGCGGTCAAGTAGGAATTCACACGATATCACTTACTTTTTCTTCCAAGAAGATCAGATCTCACGTGGTTTTCAATGTGTCTCCATCTTCGTTAATTGCCACGTCAGCAACATTTTGTGTTCAAATCCTACCGCCCATCCGATATGATTCTGGTAAAGTTCCTTTACGATCATTCATAGCAGCTTCTAGAATCCTTCCAGATCTTTTTTTCTACTTTAGCATTCTCTACAGTCATCGGAAGCACGTGCAACGGCTCCGTTCATTTATTCACGATTGCCGACGACATGTTGGTTGAGCACACCTGTCATTAGCATATTCACCATCTTCCAGAGACTTTCTTTCTATGGGAGGCGATGGAATCTTCCAAGTTTTCGGAGAAGACATCCTTCTCGTCAAAGAGGCCTTCCTTTCCTCCGATCCTTCCTGCCAACACAAGGCTGTTCCTCTTCGCCGAATACGGAACAACGCGTCGAATCTCAAAGAGGACTACATTGAGTTCGGAGCAGCGAAGAAGGTGCTCGAATCTCCGAACGAGTACACTTCTCACTTCTTTTTCTGCACAGTCCCCGTCAGTAACTCATTCGGCCATATGGTCAACATTCCGTACGGAAGGAGTGAGTATCCTCATTCAGAATCTCTCACTTCCTGTTCATGTTAAGGCTACAAAGTGATCTACTACCTAATTCCCTCGCTTGTCGTCGTCCTCTGCATGTCCGCCACTTTCTCCGGCCTCAATCTGGCCATCATGTCGTTCAGTATCAATGACCTCAAGGTTACATTTTCACAAATATCAGTATCCCATTTCGATGAATTCAGCTGATTCAAGAATGCGACACAGATCTGAAGAACCGCAAGAGAGCGCAAGACATTCTGCGGCTCCGTCGGAACAGCAATCTCGTTCTGTGCACGATTGTCTGCGGCAACTGTTTCTGCAACACTTCCATCACTATCCTCATAAACCAGCTCGGCGACCTGCTCGAATTCTCCGATTACTACTTCGTCGAACTGCTGGCCACTGGCCTCCTTCTCATCTTCACAGAGATTCTTCCCGCTCTCATTTGCACAAAGTCGGTTCGATTTTTAGTGTTTTGCAATCATCCGCAAATCGTAGAATTTAGAAACGCGTTGAAGTTTGCCAGTAAAATGCAATACTTCGTTATTTTCACCATCTGTATCACTCTGCCCATCAGTTTTCCCCTTTCCAAGATTCTGGATCGGGCACTGGGAAGAGAGGACGGTGGGGGAGAACTCAGAAGAAGAAAAGGGGAGAGAAAGGAATGCATTTGCAGCGGATGACACTCCAGTGGAAGTGGATTCAATGCAGTTGGACAACATGCGCGAGGAGGGATTCGACGAGTTCGATAACTTCAACGAAGTCAGGTACTAGCGGGGAGCCATGGTGGATTGATTGAATTGCAGAAGATGTGTTTCGTACGGAAGACGTTGGAACTGCGGCAGAAGAAAGCTGAAGACGTGATGACGAAGATCGACTCGGTGACGACGTTGGACAGCAAGCAGCCGGTGACGCACGCCTTCCTGAAACGCGTGCACAAAGAGGGACACTCCCGACTGCCGGTCGTCGAGAATGACGTTCGTTCGCAAGTTCATAAAAACACCGCACAAAAAGAGAAATTCAGATTTGCGGAGTGCTCATGATAAAGGATTTGTTGCTGTTGATGGACGACGAGGGCAGGGGGCTGAGCACGGATCTGACGGCAGGGACCATGCTCTGTGTGCTCGAGAAACGAAAAAGGGTATGGAATCAGTGGAGATGTGTGAGAACAAATGATTATTTCAGCACTGTTTTGTGATGAACACGTTGCCGATTCAGCAATTCATGATTGAACTGCAGCAGGGATGTACGATGGCGATAGTGGTGAAATACATGGGTGATGAGACGGAAGAGGAGGACGAGGAGGGAGAGTACGAAGTGATCGGAATCATCACTCTCGAGGACTACATGGAGGAGATCGTCGGCGAAATTTTGGACGAAAAGGACAAAGTTAACTTTTAAAGCAGACGAATCAGATCGATTTCAATTAACTACACTCAGCTAACTATGTGAATTCAGTTACTTTCTTCAAAAAAATAAATCATTCATATTTGCAAGACTTGTGATGACGTGGCATTTTTCTTTCTGAACCATTACGTGAGACCCGGGACCATCAAAAACACCATTTTGCAACATCGCAAAAGTGAAAAAAAATGGCGCTCGAAACTGTTCAAAGAAGAAGAATTCAAAAGGATTACGGTTTGTTCGCTGAAATTAAATTAAAACAGAATTGACGGTTTCAGACAACGCCGCCGGAGACAACTTCGTTAACATCTCGAAAAGTAATCGGCTGAGCTGTGAGGAAGATCCTCTGAACATGGACGGAATAGAGTCCCTCACTGGGCATCCGGAAGGTCGTTACTTCGGAGGCCTGATTGGCAACAAGGAAATCGTTGCGATGTCTCTGATGGCAGTGTCCTTGTACCTGATCAACGGGGAACATGCACAGACGGTGTGCACCGCCCTCACTTCCGTCCCGCCCGCCCTCTTCTCCTACCGAGTGCTCATCAGTTCTCAGACGAGCAAAGACGGATATGTGAGCTCTCTTTCCCTTTTCGATCACACAATGATTTCCCTCAGCACTCCATTCTTTTCTACTGGACTCTTTATGGTCTCCTGGCGCTCATCGATCAGTTCGTCGGCACCGCCCAAGGATACAATCTTTGCAAAGGCGGCCTCCTCGGATTCGTGTTTGTCCACGCAGTCCGCTCGAATTGGACCGCCGTTCCCCGCTCGTGGCAGTTCATCGAAGAGGCCAGTTCTCCTCTGCTCACTTCGATTTTCTCGAACTATGGATCCGACGGCTTCATCAAGAACAACAACTCGTCTGGATTCGTGCCGAGAACTCCGACGATGACGCACTTTTCGGACGACGACATGGAATACATGCTCCCCGAATCGAGTGAACCCGTTTTGGAGACCATGGATGTGAACACGGCCTGCAGTTTCGGACCTTCGTTGGCAATGCAGTCGACTCAGAACGTATCTCCTGGATTCGTGATGAAAACGGCGAAATTGAAGAGTCCGAGAGTGGAGAACACTCCGTCGTCGACCCTCAGAATGCGTCCGCAGCAGCGGTTCGAGACGATGTCCGCAATGACAATGACCTGTGGAGCTGCGGCGGACATCGTGACCGTTCCGTCTGAGCACATCACTTTCTCGGAAGACAGCCGAGAAGCGATGATCCGAGTGACGAATGTGTCCCCCCTGCACATCATGTTCGCCCTCAAGGTACTCTTTTTTCAAGTCACAGGCTCCATAGTCCCTTTCAGACTAACGCGGACGCCTATCTCATCGCAGCCCCCACCACTGGCATTCTGTTCAGCGGACAGACTATGGTCATGCGCGTCGGAGTGACGGACAACTACTTTGACGACTTCTCAGATCCGGGAGTCTCTATCGATAAGGTACAATATCCACTCACTTTCCCTTTTTCAACATTTTTCAGCTGGCAATCGACTACGCTTCGATCCCTCCGTCCCTCTCTTCCCTCGTCACTAAGTTCTCCCCGCAGGTTTTCCAATCGCAAAACCGTCGTCGTCACGCCATTCGTGTTTTCTATCAATGATGTTTTGTTGTACTTGCACACATCAATATTCTCTCGTTTATTTTTTTCAAAAATAAAATGAACTCGGCACTGTCTTTGTATCAAAAACCGCGGTTAACCGTGGTGCGCGCGCATTAAGGGAATATGGCCTAACATTCTGTCACGCTGGCCTAGAAATTCGTTTCGCGCGCTGATTTTTCAAAGCGCACGCTTCGTTTTCTGCTGTTTCAAATCAGAAATCCGTATCCTTTTTTTCTATATGTTTATCTTCTGTTTTCAGAAATGGTTGCTCATCGTTTGCCGGATTTCAAATCGAAATGGGCGATGGTTGTGACGGTCAAGGATTTTGACGAGAAGAAGCGAGCCGAGTTGGGGTCAGGAACTTTCCATTATCGTTTCAGTTTTCAGTTTTCCTTTTCAGAGATTTCGCTGAGTGGTTCATAGAAACTTTGAGATTGGAGGGAGCTTTCATCGGCCACTACTTCAATTACGAGGCAAGCATTGCACATCGTTATCGGATATAATTACAACATTTAGAGCTCGCCAGTGACTGTTGTCGAGACCGAACACAACAATTTCGAGTCGTGCACCAACGCGTATCAGAAAATTCATAAGGTTTTCGATTAGCGCGCATTTTAGGAATTAGAAAATTGATTTTCAGGAGCACCCTCAAGTCGTTCTAGTTGTTCATATTCTTCCGGAAACGAAATCTAAAGAGTACGAATGGATGAAGACCTTGGCCGCCAGGTAACTCGATTTTCCCACTCGCTACCTTAGAAGGCACATTCAGATACGGTTTCATTCGACAGGGAATTCTGTACGAGAACTGCGTCAACCGCTTCCAAAATCTTGATACGGAGCAGCATAGTGTCTTCCGGAACATGTGCCAGTGGATCTATCGCAGCGGAACCGCTATCGTGAGAAACGAGGGAAAGTAAGTCGAAAAGAAAATATTTTGCTATTCCAATAATACAATTTTAGTTGCTGTGGTCTTCTGCATGGAAAAGACTCCAAGCCAACTTTCGAAAAAGTTCTATTCAACAGTGAGGACATTAAGGATGCAGTCTTCAAAGTGCTTCATGAAGATGAAGAACCCAGAGGTTTCATCCATTCAAAGCTTTATAATCATTTAGCAATTGTCTTTCTTGTAGGAACTGAAGCGGAAAATCTTCTCAAAGTGAGCGGCTTCTCCGAATCTTTGAACGCATTCGGAGTCGCCCAACTGCTCACTCCGTATCGCGTCAACGGAGTCACTCTGACCGGACCTCATTCTGCCGTCGTGACTCTAGAGAACAAGTTCCAGGTCTATCAGGCGATGCAGGAGTTTAACGGGAAGCAAATCGATCGCAATCACAAACTGAACGTCACCAGCAGAGTTGTATCATCTCCGGCCGTCGAGGTGTCCCTTCCAATGTTCAAGGACCCGAAAAAGCATATCGAACGTCTGATGGGAAAACTCAAGATCTCTGCCTGAAAAACGTTCCCCCACCCACACTATGAATTCCCTCTGATCTTCCGATTCTCATGTTCTCGTTCTTTGATATCTCCCGATTTGCTCCGACCTCACTGGTTTCTTCGTGTTTTAAGTTATTCACTTTGTAATTCGTTCGTTCTTTTTGATAAATCTGTTTTTATTAAAAGTCAACTCTAAAAGACCCAGAGAATCTGTCTAAATCAGAAAGAGAACTATGGGGGGGGGGAGGGGGCGCTGGATGACGAAACGACGAGACGGTCAGAGAAAATGCTTTTTCTCTGACTGTCTCGTTTCTCTGCGTCTCGTCAATAATAATGACGACGATGAATCAAGAATTCTGAAATGTCTTCAATTACATGCTCACATTCTAGTTAACTCTCCTTAATTTCACAGAATGGAAGAAGGAACATCGTCCAGTCAAGACACCGAAAGACAGCAAAAACGAACTGTCGACAATCGATTGAATCTGACGGCGCGACGAGTCGAATATCAGCCCAAAGTGAAAATTCGTGAGAAAACGATACTTTAATCCTATTTTCAAAGTGTTTTGTTCAGCAAGAATACCGGAGCATCTACATGGCAGGTCGCCTCACTCAGTGCGAATTCCGATAATCCGACCTAAAATGCCGCCGAAGCCGACGGGCGCCGCCGTCCGACTCATAACCACCCCGCCGCCGATTGCTCCGAGCGTTTCGAATCCTCGGCCGTTGATTTCTTTGCTCGACCGGACTGAATTCCGAGATCGGAACCGAGTCGTCGTCCCTGTAACGCCGAATAAGCCGAAGAAACTGTACTATACGGAGCTGAATGAAATACGGAAAGAGTTCGGAATACCGGAAGCATTCGACGCTGCGAAGCCGAACACAATGAGCGGAGTTGGTGAGAAATGCTAAAAATTGGATGAGAATAGTTTACAATAGACATTTTCAGCGTTGGCGGAAAAATTACAAATGGTGCAACGACTTCGGGGTGAGAACAAGTTTCTTCGTGAATCGATCGAGAAGAAGAATGAAATGTGCCAGGCGCGGACGGAAGCGATCGAACAGCTTCAGAGAACGACGGCGGATACACTGGGTCACTGTCAAGTGCTGAGGGAAACACTGAATCAGGTGGTGACGGACACCGAACGGATAAGGAATCAAATGAGATGATTGTCATAACCAGAACACGCATGTTAGGGGAAGAGTAGACATTCTTTGTAGGTGCTATTATTGTATTTTTTCTTGCGTCGTGGTGTCTGGCGAACTAGGGAAATTAGGCGAGTGTCCGGTTTTCTCAGGTGCAAGCCGCATTTATGTCAAACTTCAATAAAGATAAAATAATTACATGATTAACAGCAAGCCTAAAGATCAGACAAAAAATAAAGCTAAACAACAAACTAGCAGTACAAACTACTACTGTTGTATCATCTTCGTGAGTACTTTTTTTTCTACACCTTTTCGAGCTTCTCCAACTGACTTAGAGATCTGAATTCTGATATTATCCACAGATCCGTCTGCATTCAGACAAACCTCAGTTCCGTCGGCGAGATGAGTCGGAACTCCTCTCTCGTTGAACTTCGAATACTTTCCCTCGTGTTCTCCCTGTTTGAACAAGTCCTCCGATCTGATCTTCGCGGCCACAGCTTTTTTCCGCTTCTTTTGTTCTTTCTCCGCCAGTCTCTGCTGCATTTGCATGAACAACGAAGTTCCTCCGATGTAGCTGATCACTGAGTTCGAATGAAGATCTTCCAATTGGATCCCGAGTGGTAACAGTGTCTTGCCTCTGAAATCGTCACAAATCTGAAATAAATTCATTTCAAGTTTCAGCGCTCGCACAAACCGTCAGAATGCTCTTTATTTTCTGTTTCTTTTTTTCGTAGCGAATGGAATTTCGAAATTCTGCAGAGATTCTGCGTGCGGATGAAAATAGCAGAGCTCATGTCGTTCCACCTTTCGAATTCGTCGTCCCCGAAACGAAAGATTGAATTGAGGTAGACAAACAATTCATTTTGCTCGGTTGTGGCATCACAATAAATAAATCTTATAAAACCGCCATTGACAGCAATCGTCAGAATCAGATACCCAGTAAATACGTTGAACAAAAAGAAAAAGAAATGGAAGAACGAACGGGGCAGGGGAAGGGAAACGAACAGGGAGGAAGGTAAACGAAACGGGCGAGCAATCTCTAGGGGAAAATAAAGCACATCATTAGAATTTTCGAAAGAACACACATGGATCAATCAATCAATAACATTAACAGCTAACAATAAATTATGAACCTGGAGAATTATTGGTCGGCTTTTTTCTGCTTCTTCTTCTGCGCTTCATACACCTTTTCGAGTTTCTTCAACTGACTTTTCGTGATCTGAATTCTGATATTATCCACAGATCCGTCTGCATTCGGACAAACCTCAGTTCCGTCGGCGAGATGAGTCGGAACTCCTCTCTCGTCAAACTTCGAATACTTTCCTTCGTGCTCTCCCTGCTTGAACAAGTCCTCCGGTCTGATCTTCGCGGCCACAGCTTCTTTCTCCGCTTTCTCGCGGACTTTCCGCTCCTTTTCAGTCTTTTCGACTTCTTTCCTCTTCTTTTCTGCTTCTTTCTGTTCCATTTCTCTGAGCAACGTGGCTCTGTCGACAAGCTTGATCGTCGTTTGGTTGTTCTTGTCCTCCAAACGAACTCCAAGTTCCGGAAGTTTCTTATCTCTCAGAACATCGCACTTCTGAAAAATTGAACTACTTGCCTGTTAATGCTTTCTTCAAGTAAACCTCAAGGATGCTGGTGACTCCGGACTGCTTGGCATCGTTGCGAACCTCCTCTCGGAAGTCGGCAAGTGTAGTCAGGTATGGCATCACCAACGCTTCCTTGTTGAACGACGTCGACTCTCCTTGATTCTCCCTGAACATCAATTGTACAGCTGTGAAAAAAAGCTTTCAACAGTCTTACTCGTCTTCCGATGTGAATCCAATGTCTTGGCTGCCCTGTGGAATGGCTCCGAACATCTTGAGCATTTTTGTCATGAACTCAGCAATGTCTCTGATTATCAGGCAGTTCGGAACAAGTCCTTCCTTCTCCTTCGTAATGATATAAGCGTTTCCGAGGCCGATGAGCTCACGGAACTTCTCAATGACAGTTCTCGTGTCGATTGAGTCACTCAGCGCAATGTCAACTTCCTCCTCAATTCTTTCAAAATCGTTCATCAATTTCAGCTCGTTTGCGTTGAACTTTTGGTATCCCTGGGAGCTTTCCGGCTTGTAGTGTCTTCTCAGATAATCTTTGACAAGCAGGAAGAACTCATTGGCGACTTTCTCGAACTGAATGGCTCTCTCCATGGTCGAATGGCTGTAGTCAAGTACATCTGCCCAGTTATGCATCAGGAAGAGCAGTCTAAGCTGACGAGGAGTGTACTGTTTCAGGGCCTCTCGGATCGTGATGAAGTTCTTCAGAGATTTGGACATCTTCATTCCCTGGATACGGAGAGTTCCGCAGTGCAAAAAGTAGTTCACCCAGTGCGGATCGTCGTAGTGCGCCTCCACTTGAGCGATTTCATTGTCGTGGTGCGGGAATTTGAGGTCGAATCCTCCGGCGTGAATGTCCAGTTTGTTTCCGCAGATGGCGGACGACATGACGGAGCACTCGATGTGCCATCCCGGCCGTCCATTTCCCCAGTCGGATTCCCAGTGTGGTTCTCCGTCCTTCGATGATTTCCAGAGAGCAAAGTCATTCGGACTGCGTTTCGCTTTGAGTTTCTCATCGGACATGCTCAGCTCGCCTTCTCCCTCCCGCATGTTCTTCATCAGCTCCTCGCTGTCATCTCCGTAGGCTTCCGGAACGAGCTTCGCGTAGAAGTGCTTCGGATTCTGCTCGAAAGCCTTCGTATCGAAATAGACACTTCCGTCTTGAGTAGCATACGCGTATCCGTTGTTGATGATAGTCCTCACGTACTTAATCACCTCCGGCACGTATTCAGAGACGCGAGTGAGCACATTGACAGGAAGCACGTTCAGACGAGCCATGTCGGCGAAGAATTCATTTTCGTAACTGAAATTACATCAATAGGTCAAAAGAGACTCTGAACCTGGATTACGTTTTGGCGAGTTGATCGAAAACACTGTGGTCTCTCACATCTTTTCCGTGGTTATGATCAAGCCACTCGGAAAGAACGTCACGCGATTCGTTGAGCAATTGACCCTAAAAGTTCAAATTGAGATAGTATTCTAGATCGTTCATTATAACAAGCCTTGGCGTTTTCAATTGCTATCGAGTCCTGGGCCTTCATGGCGGCTTCGAGAGCATCAGATTGGCCTTGAACCTTTCTGATCATCACTTCGAGCATCTTCTTCTTGTCCGGATCAACTTCCGTCTCGAACTTGGCTGTGAAGTGCTCCAACGCGGCGACGACATCTTCGCACACCTTAATCACAGACGGAGCCTGAGACTCGTCGAAATAGGATTTAAGCAGGTGACGCTGACGAGCTCTTTTTATGATTTTGTCATCCACGTCGGTGATGTTCATAATGAATTGAACGCGATAGCCGAAGTGATCTTTGAATACTCTTCGAAGAATATCAAGCGAGAGGTACGATCTCGCATGTCCCATATGGGCAGAATCGTAAACAGTAGGTCCACAGATGTACCATTTCACCTGAAAAGAAACGATTGAAAATAAGAAGAGTGCGGAAGGAGTGACTCACGTTCATTCCGTGATTGGGAACAAACTCTTCCTTCTGACGAGTCAGACTGTTGTAGATCTTGAGTGGAGGCCGAGGACTCGAGTTCTTCGGCTTCTCCCATTGTTTTTGAGTACGTTTTACCGCAACTGAAGCTATCATGAATTGTTGCATGAACATTATGTTCTTTTGACTAACCAGGTCTCAAATTAGGATCCATTTTTAGACAATACGAGTGGTTTCGGGTGGAAATCGTCTTAAAATTCGGTGCGACGAGCTTCGGATTGATCGTCGCGAAAAAGAGACGGACCAAGTGTTGGGAACGCGTTGCTGCTAGCTATGACAGAACGAAAAACGCCTGAAAAGAAGCGGGTTTGGCCTATTCGACGGTGGCGCGGCGCGGAGAGAAACGGACGAGAGCGTAGAGCGCAGACAACTAGATGGCTGTTTGCAGTTCGATGACAAGAACTGAACAGGGGACTATGAGAAGTGAAACACGGATTGATCCAGTGTTCATGAAAAAAAAAAGAAATTGGTAAGAGCAAGACCATGAGCTAATGAAGATCATGTGAACATTAAGATTATGAAATTTGCGGAGAGAAACAATGAATATGCGTATAAACTGTGTAAGGATGGATATCTCGAGAGAAGACAGACTGATGCTTATGGAAGACTTGTTTTGGGATGGGGAAAGAAAGGCTATCGATGGTTTTATTGCATTCCAAATATCAAATGACTTTAACAAGTAGAGGATGCAAAGTGCGTCTAGATAACAATGTTCAAAAAGAGCAACTTCCTCTCTTCGCTACATTCGGAACTTCGAAGAAAGGAACCACACAGATCAGTATGCTGACTTACTCAATTCAAGTGAGAGTTGCGTCACTGCCATCTGGTGATCGCTCCCGGAAGCATTGAGAGATGTCATCTCACTTGCAGACCTTTTCTTCAAGAAACGGCAGCATAAAACGGGTTTGTCACACGGAACTAAGTCTTATTTGGGGTCGCGTTATTATGAACTTGCCAGTATCTTTTCCTTATCAATCGCTGAATAGCAACACAAATTTCGATGCGTACGTGCTAATTCGGAGAAAAATGAGGTGGCGGTGACGTCATGAGAGGGTCAAGAACAGAATGAAAATGAGAATGGTGGAGTGGGGGTGGTCTCCGCCCGAAAAATGAAAACTCTTTACTACGCGCGAACCCAAATAACACTGATGAAAGGCGCGTTTTCTATTACATCATCTCTCAGCTGACTCTCGTTATACTCGCTCGTTGCAACTTTCCGGCCGTCTGTCGCCCGTACATTCTCGAGTACTTAACCGGCGAAAGGGAGCATCTTCTCAAGCGAATATCAATTTTCAGCCCATATGTGTCGCTGCCAATCAGTCGGAAGAATGATAAGCGACGAAACGACGAGATTGTTTCGCGGTCTTTGAAACCCTTTTCACTAATTCCGAACACAGGAATCGTCGATTATTCGAATTAGACATTTCGAGAAAATTATCACGCGGACAAACAGAGAAATTGGGCAATTTTTGATCATTTAAGGACTTTCGAAAGCAATGTGGATTAAAAAAAGTTTAATAGAATTCTCTGCGTCTCGTTCCGCGGAGAGCGAGCGGAAAGTGAACGATTGGTCACGAACCGCGTTCCTTTCGCACACAAACTAGCCAATGAAAAGGTCAGATAGAGGAGAATTTAATTTCCGATTTTCCAGTTCAGCTACGACGGGAAAATGATAGCGAGAATGAAAAAGCGATAAAATTGAAGAGGACGTTCGGAATTCCCACAGACAACTGCTCCACGTGGAAAAAATGTGTTTGAACAGACCCGGCTCGCTTATATTGCTGTCCAAACGAACAATAAACACAAAATGGGGCTGAGAGGCACGCCGTTAGCTTTTCACATTGCAAAACACGCCTACGCTTATGAAACAGATGATCTCTCCGCTTTAACATACAATCGGTACCAAGTAACAGAACACAAAAGTAAAATAGGGATGTACAATTTGTCAATTATCAACGAAAACGATCAACGTTTTAATAAGCACTCGATTTTATGCTCACAGCAATCTCAGCGGTAGCGAACGGAAACGCTCGGTTTACAGAAAAGTTGAAGATTGAAATAGGTGTTTATTTTGTGAGAGAATAAGGTTTTCAGAAAGAAAATTTTAAGATTTAGAAAGTGAAAAGTATCTTTGTTGGCGCCATACTTTTTGTACGCAAGCTTACGTCAGTTCCAAGACATTAGTGCAAACACCGATAAAATTTGGGAATTTGAACTTGTCTGAATTTCAGCAAAATTTATTTTTTTTAGTTTAAAAAAAGCGTCTGAAAATGCTCAGTCAAGGAGCGGGTATGGCGAGCGACGAAGAAAACGATAATACAAGTCAAATCACGAGAGAAGTAAGCGAAATTGCGAAACATTACAAAACCGAGCATCATTTCAGGAAGAGCGCCTCTCCTACGAGATCTATTATTACATCAACAACACCATTGTAAGTAGAAGAAAGAATGTGCAAAAACTCGAAAATAATAAACTTTTCAGTGCGAGAGAGGAGTTGTCAAAATCAGCGATTTGAAAAAAATCTATCAGAAAGCGGTTTCCAATGATAAATCGATCGCATTCAGACCGTTGCAGGACGTTCTCAAAACAATCAACGAGAATTTCATTCATTGGCAAGGATGGAGAGTAAGTGGCAAGAAGCGATCCATTGAGAAACACGTGCAGTGAAGAAAGGGAGAGAGCTCAGCACCGACCCGTAAACTTAGGCCTATTTCTGTGTGCCATGACTTCAAATACGTGTTCCGGCCAGGCTTTCGCGGTTCGCGGCCCCGGCCAAATGTCCTTAAATCCATCAACCTCCGAAATAATAACCGTTCCGTTTCAGGCCGTTCAATGCGACGACCGTATCACATACGTGGACGTTCACAAAAAGGGATCCGGCGGAGACACGCTTCCGAACGAGACGGAGCGGGTGATCGGAGTGCTGAAAAACGCCCTGATGTACGTGTTCGTGGCGACGAAGCCGAGTTCAAGGTTTCCGGGAGTCACCCACGAGGATCTCATGAATTATATGGTCGGTTTCCTTTTTTGTCTTTTCCAGATAGTTTCCAAATAGAAACCTTTCTCAGGAAAGTTCGCTTTCGACTTCTGCCGATCACAAATTGTCGCAAAGTCACATGGAACTGCTGAAAAAGCAAATCGCGCCGAACGCGCGTGCCGACTTCATCAGAAAGGGATATTTGACTTTCTCGAAGTCGGTGAACGAGAATGACGAGGAAGTCTTCCGTTACGAATGGGGACCGACCGCCCGACAGTCTGTTGATCCGACCGAACTCGTGCGTCTCTTCCAAAAACTGACGGGAATGTCTTCTTCGCAGCTGAAAGAGCAGACGGAAAGAGCGGTGGAAATGAAGACATATCAGTTGGATGCGGCTAAGGTGAGCTGTAAAGACCACGTCAAAATTGTTTCGTTAACTTCGCCTTTCAGAACGGCGTTGTCATTACAACCAGAGGAGGAAAATAGTAATCACCTGCGATCAAACTAACTATAAGTTCATTCAAGTAATTGATCTCATTCAGGCAGAAAGCACTTAAACAACAATAAAAGAAAAACAAAAAACACATGCAACAGATTATTAATTACACATGATGTTCAGTTCTAGACATTTCTCGGAGAATGGAGACGGGCTGCCAAGCCGAATATTCTGGCGACGGGTCCTTCGGCGAGAATGTTCTTCACACTTTGCACTCTTCCGTAGCTGCGAGAAGAGTTCGGAGTGTCTCCCTGACTTACTTCAGAGGAATCGCCGTCTAGAACTTTCTTCACACTTCCCACTCTGCCATAGTTGCGAGAAGTCTTCGGGGTGTGTTCTTGACTTTCTCCCGCGGATCTTTTATCGGAAACTTTCTTCACACTTCTCACTCGTCCATAGTTGCGGGAAGTTTTCGGAGTATGTTCCTGGCTTTCTCCTGCGGCTTCTTGAACAGCTTTCTTCACACTTGACCATCTTCCGTAGTTACGAGGAGATCTAGAAGAACGTTCCTGACTTCTGGGAGACTCGGAATGTTCTCGGATGGTGGCGACGCGTCCGAAGTTCGCAGAAAGTTCTTGCTCTTCTGTCTGTTGTTCAACTGGAGACGCTTCAGCGAGCTGGATTTCCACATTCTAAACATATTTTCAAAAAAGTCAACTAGAGACCTCGTTCACCTTCTTTCTCTCTTTTCTCCCAGTTTCCTCAATTTCATCCATCTCTTCGTCTTCTTCGTTGGCTACTTCAATTACTTGCTTCGCTTTATCGAGTTCCTTTCGAAGATGACGAGCACTCTTCTGGAAAAAACACGCTTAAAAAAGCCAGCTACTTTCCCAGTAAACCTTTTTCTGCTCTTTATTACCAGCATAAGTTCGCTTCTTCGATGACTCTTTTTGTCCTCTTCTAGTGGGTGTTTTCTTCTTTTCCAAACGTTTCTTTTGCGGACTTTCCGGTCTACGTTTTGAAGCACTGATTCGTTGTGATCTCTTCACCGTTTTTTCCTGATCCTCGGGGCTCTTGTGAGAATTTAATATCACCGGGGATCCATAAAGAACATCGACTGCTTCCGATGGAATGCCACGTATTTCATCCGAAGTGACATTCGGATTACAAATCATCGACTCAAGACGTTCGTTGTCACCAGCTAGAATGGCATCTGGAAAACTACCTACATCGAGACTCATTTCGCTTCCCACCTGATCCGTTCATGCTGACGTCGTCATTTTCCCCGATTACCAATGTGTTCCGACGTGTTCTCTCGACTTTCGGATGCTCATCACCGTAATCTTCCATATCCTCGTACAAGTCGGTGTGGTTTCTGAAAACAAGCTGAAGGTAGTCCTATTTCCAGAGTATTCACATTTCGGAAGCACTGCGTTGAAGAGGAGTGCCGTAGTCTTGATTCGTAACCATTTGGAACTGCGACGCAAACGACAGCGAGAACCTAGTAATATGCATGATTCAGTACTCTCTGAGAATTAAAAATTACCCATTATTGAACGGGAATGCCACTTCTCCGATTCCAATTTCATGAACGTTCACAAATTCTTCGACGGGTTCAAATCCTTCTACGAACTCGGGATCTGAAACTGAGCTGATTAATAAAAATTTTCAGATGTAGTATCAACCTCCGTGATAAGCGACTTTCAAAGAAGGAACCATTCCATCGGGAAGTGGGGAAAGATTACATAAGATCTTCTGAAGATCACTGAACAACTTGCAGAACTCTTGGCATGTCTGTTCCATGTTCTTGTAGTTGACAGTGAATTTAGTATTTCTTCTGCAAGGAAAAAGTACTCAAAACTGAGAACCATTATCAACAGCAGACCCATTGTAGCCAATTTGCGCGCTGGCGCCGCCGTTCGAATCGTACCGGAAACTCCAAACGAAAGCTTCGATGGGTTCAGTGTTCAACGTTTCCTCGACCACAATCGCGAGTTTCTGAATCAAGACAACAGTTTTAGATAGATTGATTCAAAACAAACTCGGAGGCGTCGTTCTCGAATCTCCGGATCGAGAGCATTCATTTTGAATGCCAATTTCTTTCCATCGACAGTTTCCTGATCCATCAAATAACCAGTAACGTCGCCTGAAATGTGTCTAATGTCAGGGTTCGTGAGAAGAATAACTTGCCGTAGACACGGAAAGAACGGAAATATCGTGAAGGAAGCAGGTTGCGCTCCCTCAGGATGGTGCAGTTGGCAACGTGGACGCAATTGGCAAGCAACTGCAGGGTGTAATTCGCATCTTCGTCGTACTTTGCAAACTCTTTTTTTTCAAAGAGGACCTAAAAAGCTAACTCATATCAAATTAAAATCATAAAAGTCTTACATTGATACCGATTTGTCCCGAACCCAAACATTCGTCTACATAATTGTTTGGAGAATTCATTTTTCAAGCTGAAGGGCAAATATTTGAAAAAATTGAAGAAAAAACTCAATTTTAAAAATGAGTTAGTGAATGCTACCGTAGTCTGGTCACTGTCGTCATGAGACCCGTAAAGACAGAAACGTAATGTTCCTTCCAAAGTGATACCTTCCAATTGGATCCAAGGCAGTTTTTCGCTGAATTCAGATGAAAAACGTTTCAAAAGTATCAAAAATAAAATTAAAAATTTTAGGCATTTTATTTAGTCCGAATCGTTCACAGATCGAGTAAATATTTTCCGCAATATCGTGCTTATTTCGAGATTGCAACTGATAGTTTCTACTTTGGAAAACTGAATTGAAACGCAATAGGCAAGAAGATGAACACATATGAATTCGGATTGTTTGTTCAAAACGGTCATCTGGAAGAATTGGCACGTGCAATAATGGACTCTGGGATAGAAAAACTGCAGGGATTCTTTTCGCTTTGCGCTCTCCACCTGCAAAGAGTTATGAGAAAACTGCTGTAAAAACGAATTAAATAACCTCTATAAAACATGCTTTCGGGATGTTCACTTTTTCATTAGTGAGTGTTCTCTTTCTCATAACCATTGCTTCATTTTTCCAATCGAAAACGGTCTTCTGGGTGAAATCTTCAAACTTCCTGACTTTGTTCCGTTTTCTTGTCGTATTTACTTTGAGCACGCGTACTTTTTCTGTTTCCATCAGCTGGATAGCCTGTTAAAAATAACTTTTCAAACTTGGTTAATATTTGAGCGTGTCTAACTAACCGTCGCCACAACTTCTGGCCTTACAATTCCTGCAAGCTCACACAGCTTTTCCAAGGGATCTTCCGAACAGGCGGCATCAGAAATTGTCTCCAGAAGAGTATGAAATTCAAAGTTTAAAGTTTAACTTTTTTTGGTGCTTACTTGTCTCAATATTTCAAGTGATTCCATTCCTCAAACCCAAATTTCGCGGAATTTTTCTCTGACCGCGTTTCTCCGCTCAGTGAAAATTCTCGGCCGTGCGCAGTGTACTTCTCGTGGAAAACACATTTTCCCGCTCTTCTGATTCACTCCGTTCGCTTTTCTCTCTTTTTCTACACAAAAGTTTACATTTCAGGTATTTTCTCCAAATAATGCATCGTCTCACAAGTGCTTCGATCCGAACTAAATCCACGCTTGCCGAGAAACTGAGATCAGCGGTTGGCGGTGCGGATTACGGAAAAACAAAACAAGTTTTTTCGGGATCGGCAACAGTCAAAGATGATAATGTAAGCACATTTTCATTCCCGTAATTGATTATTTTCTACAGGGCGAGGAGTTTCGTGAGCTTTACGTGATGCCGAAGCGAAAGCTGAGAGGCCAAACGCAGTTGGAGCAGGCGACCGGAAGAGCCGAAGTGAAGACGCGTAGTCGGACGGACCTGATGGACAGACTGGCAGAGAGACCTCCTCGCAGCGAAGAAATGGATCCGGAGCAGAAATGGTCGGATGTGTGGCCGGCGGCTCGAACGTTCGCAGCTAGTGTCGTTCCGCTCCCAGTCAGAATGGGCAGTCGGCCTGACGTTGAGAAAAGAGCGCCGTTCAAGAAAGAAGGAAATCTGGAGCTCGTTAAGATTCCCAATTTCCTTCATTTGACACCAGCGGCCATTCAAGAACATTGCGAAGCCATCAAAAGTACGTCTCGTTTCCTTTTTCTATCGTACAAACGTCAAAATTTCAGAATTCTGCACCCCTTTCCCTCCGGAGCTTTTAAATAATGCGAGTCTTTCAAAGACAGAGTTGCCGATCAGTTTGCAGTATAACACATACATCCATCAGGGAACGAAGATCGGAGACATTCGGAGCCGTGTCGTTACGATGAAGGTCGGCGTGGAAGCGTTGAATCTCACGGAGAAGGCGTTGGACAAGTTTATCCGATTGGTCGGCAATCGATACAACAAAAATACTAACGAGTTGACGATCATCACGGACAGATGCCACACGCGAAAGCAGAACGTCGATTACGCGTACTACCTGCTCACCGTTCTTTATCACGAAGCGAACAAAGTGGAACAATGGGACAGTCTCGCGGAGAGAGCCGATCATCTGAAGGTTGAATTCGAAGGATCGGCGACGAGGATTAAGCTGGTGGAACTGATTGAGAAGGCGAAAAGTGCGGAAGGATTGAAGTGCATGGCAGATGAGAAAACGGTGGAAAAGTTCGGAGAAATGTGGAAGGATTACCGGAATACCGAAGAGACCGTCGAGAAGACACGCGAGTACAGCAGACAAATGAAGGATTTGCTGGGAATCCAGAAAGCCGTTTAGACAATCCGTTCTCTCCCTTGTTTTAGTTTAGATTGTTATCGTGACGTTGTTGAGTAAAGTCTTGTATTTGATTAGTGGCCAAACGGGTAGAAGGGGATATTTCCCCGATGTAATTTATAATACACGAATGTTTGGTTCGCTATAAAACAGGGCGGTCTGCTAAACCTCGAGCGATACTATACACTATAATCGTTAATAGGTTATTAGCAAAACAATTTAAGAAATCATATAACAATTATGGGAGAGCTGGGAAGTGAATGAGTATGTGTACAATGCAAACTTATAAGCGAACAATTAGAGTGAAATAGTGTTAATGAGACCTACATGTGAGAATTTGAGTGCGAGGAAAGGGAATCAGGTGGAAACATTGCCAACTTGGCGGAAGATCGACTTTCCGCTGTCCGGAAGACGTCCCATTCTTTGGAGGATGATGTATTCGTCGTCGGCAGGAAGGGTCGCCGCTGTCGGCATTGTTTCGAACGGTCCCAGATAGCGAGACTGCGATCTAAAAGAAATGAGCTTCGATGGGCATCCAATGGGCAGTTCTCACTTTGCAAAGTACTCTCCGGGAGTGAGAAGTCCTCTGAAGTAGCGGTTGAAGTCCTTCGGAATGGCACGGACGCCCGGCAGCTGAGTTGGAGACAGTGGCCGACGGCGCAGATCAACCGCCGGCACCGGGGGAATGTTCTCCACGTCCATCGGATCGTTCTGCTGGATCGGCTGTCTGCGGATGACTGGCGTGCGTGCTCTCCGAGCAACTGCGTTCAATTGCCTCGCTGCTCTTCTCTCTGGGACGTTGATCGGCATGACGCGGTTGTTGTGACGTGGCGGCGTCCGACGCATCACTCTTCTAACCGGGGACGGCTCCCGAGGCGGCGGGCTCATAGATCTCTCGCGTGACCTGGAAATGGAATTTGATAACATGCACTTCAGTTCTCACTGCACATTCTATCCCAATCTTCGGTTTTGAGATCGGCGGCTCGAATCCATCCCTTCGGGAAACTCTGGAATGGATCCTCTGGTGGAGGCGATAGAAGGTCGGCTTCAATCTGAATTCAAAGTTTCGGTCATTGCGTTATTTTCCCAGCGGCCTTATTCAAACTTACAGCTCGCAATTGTTCCAAACGATGGTCGTGGACACGATTCATGATGATGGTGAGTTGGAGCAGTGAGAGGAAACGAGAATGAAACGAGGAGCAAAGAAACGCACCGAAGAAAAGAGAGTGACGAATCGAAAAACGCAGCCATTGTTCTTTTCCCGCGCATGGGAATTTTGGGCGCCTGGAAATTGGAGGGCCAAGATCAAAACCCTTTTCTGCTTTGGAAAAAAACGTTTGACAAATTAAAGAGCTGAACGGCAATTGAAAGATTTTTGTTTGTCTAGTTTTATATAATACTTTTCATTTTTTCCCATTTTTGTTGGCACACCGCTCTGTTTCCTGCTTTTTCGAGGCCATGCCAAAACAGCGGAATTCACGAAAACCGCGGATGCCAAAACCGCGGAAGCCAAAACCGCGGAAAAAAATGCCAAAACCGCGGAACCGTGCAGGCGCAATACTTGACGCGCATTTTCAGATTTCGGCGTTTATTGAATAGAAGGAATTGAAAATTGAATAGCATCAAACATGACAATTTGCAGAAAATAACTTTAAAAATTTATTTTGACGTATAAAAAAAGGCAGCAGTAAAGAAGGCAGTTTTGGGTAAAAAAAAGTCATCACCTTTTCGTTTGGTCGATTGAGATTAATCCGTTTGAAGTTTCCCCCCAAAAATGCGTTACTTGCAGTTTTTTTTCTGTAATTTTTGCTGTTCGATCGCTCAAGATGTTTGCTTTGTATTTATGCGATTTATCATTCTCAAAACCAATTTTGTGTGAAAACGGTCAGGAATGAGCAATATAAGGAGTGTGGTTTTCAGGCGGGGAAGACGAAAAAACGAAATACTTGGCGGAAGCCACGCCTATATTGTCAGCTCTGGAGGTGGCTACCCCTAGCCAGAACTGTTTGAACCGGAACCGTACTAAATCAGAAGCTATCTGCATGTGGTTTTTGTTACGAAAAGTCGTGTTGATTCGAGACAGTTCTGGCTCGGGGTAGCCTCCTCTGGAGACCGTGAAAAAAAAGATTTAAAAAATATTCTGCAAGTCCCAACTAAATGGGAAAACCCGGCAGGCACCACGAGCTTTTTCTATTCAGGACCACACATTCGCCGTGGAATTGCAGACAATAGAAATATGCTGATGATATCTGTCAAAATAATTTTAAATATAACTCTCATTTCCAATTTTTTTTCAGAACTTCCAAACTTCATTACTTTGTTTGATGCTATTAAATTTTCAATTCCTTCTATTCAATAAACGCCGAAATCTGAAAATGCGCGTCAAGTATTGCGCCTGCACGGTTCCGCGGTTTTGGCATTTTTTTCCGCGGTTTTGGCTTCCGCGGTTTTGGCATCCGCGGTTTTCGTGAATTCCGCTGTTTTGGCATGGCCTCGCTTTTTCGCTATGAATTTTCAAAAAATGTTAATACCATAGGACAATCGTGGCGGGAGCCTATGTGTCTATCGCTTTATGCGCCTTTAATTCAAGAGATTCACAACAACTTTTTTTTTTGTGTTTTGTCTTTTTTCTCTGAGAAAAACCGAAATTGTTGTGTATAGATGGCGCCGAGAACTAGAAATGCTGCTCGAAAAGCGAAATTATTGGAATTAACTGAACAAAAAGTCACATGCGAGATGGCTTCGGAAATCGAGAAAGACGACGTTCAGTCGATTAAAGCGCTTCCGACTGTGAAAATAGACGTGATCAAATATGACGAAGAGGAACAGATGGAAGAGGAAGAAGAAATTCAAGTGAGACAAATGGAACAAGAATCGGACAGCAATTCTGACAGCGGCAGTAGCGTCAGCAGCAGCAGTGTCGAGGACAGTGACGATGATTTCGAATGGGAAATGAGCACGTCTAAGATGAAAAAGAAGAAGAGGCACACAGATGACACCCAGGATTCTTCTGGTTTGGAGAGCGACGTCGATGGCAAGACCAAAAAGAAAAGAAATGTGAGTTGGAAGTTGGAAAGAAACACGAAAACTTGCATTTTAGATAATTGATCTGGAAGCTATCGAAAAAAGATTGGACAGAGACATCAAGCGGAAGAGGCTCCTCAAGAAACAGAAAAGAGCAGAGGGACAAGCGTCGGACGACGATGACCTAATCTGCGAATTCGAGTCGTCGAGAGTTCAGAAAAACAGGAAGAGAAGACTTTTCCGCCGAAAAATGGTAATATTTTGAATGTGATAAATTTTCATTAGCACTGAAACTATAGATCAAAGGACCCGGAGTGATTAAAAGAAGACGAATAAAAAGAACCAGCGTGGATGTGACTGCTGACTACACGTGCGACACTTTCTATGAATTCGGATCCACTGTCGAGGTAGAATGAAAGTTGCGATGCTGTTCTTAAATTGTTCCAGACGTTGACTACTGAAATTCAATGGGGCGACAAAAGGATAAATCAAAACGCGCTGAGAAAAGTTTTCAAAGAACTTAACCTTGAGGAGTGCGAATCGGACAACGAAGGTTTGGAGGAAGAAGATGAGACTGACTTGATCTCCCAAAATCTCAGTGTATGTACTGACGAGTTTGCTATCAATTCAATTCAAATTTCGAATCTCAAAATAGTTTTTTTTCAGTATTATCAAGATCGGGTTGCGAAAGAACGGATCAGCCAGATAAATAGCTTGAAAGTGAACCCATTCTCTGAGAAACTGGCCGGATACAAGTGGGCATTGCATTTATGACGTTATTTCAAACATGTTGGTATTTTTATAGCAGCCGTAGATCGACTCATGGACCCAGCCGCTCACTCGTTCAGAACTATCATCCAGATTCTCTGAACGAGGAAGGAGATCACAAAATGCCACAGGCACTAGTTTGGGAACGCCCATTCAAGTATGCATCAGAAGAAACAAGCTGGAATTCAAGTTTAATTTCACGGATTGCAGACACCTGGTTTACCAATCTTCTCAATTTGATACGAATGAGGAGACGAACGACTTTTTGGATAAACTTGCGAAGGAGAGAGAAAAGAACTTGGAGCGAGAGCTGCTGGAGGAGGTTATGCAGAGAGTGCACGAGAAGATATCCGACACCAAGTTTTCGCGTTTCAAGTTCTACTCCAACTACTGTTTCGAGCAGAAGCATTCAGTTCCTGGTCCGTCTTCCGTTCAGCTCAATTACGGAGACGAAATGTACGCCTACAAGAATCAAGAGGACGGCGACGAATTCAATGAACCGCTCGTTTTCGGCGCAAATGATTTCATGTAATAACTTCTGATCGTTGACGTATTTTGCTCGCATTTTTAACAGTTTTATTGTTTCCATTGACTTTTCTTCGAAGTATTGAGCTCGTTAAACTTTTATGCAGCAATAAACTGAGTACTATTTAACAGGTAGCAGTGCTCACAAGTCACAATCTGCAACAATTCGCAATGCTCTCTTTTCTCATTCGCCTCGTGTTCCTTTTCTCAATTCTTCTGGTGAGTGAGAAAATAACTAATCGAACGTTTATAATTCGTTTACAGGCTCTCTTCGTTTCGGCGGACGAATGCAAGGAAGTGAAGGACGGCGTTAACGTTTGTTGAATGGATTCTCAATAAACGGTTGATCGCTCCTCAGTTGCCCTCCACCGCATTCCGTCCCATTCCCGGCTTGACCAATTCCAGAGAGTGCTGCTCGCCCTCTTCCATTTTATACCGAATGACGGTTCCCTGAAAACTGAATTGCCTCGACACTTCCGAATCATTGTTCACTTTGTCTTTGTCGACGATCATCGCGGCGGCGTGATTTCGGAAGTTGTCGAGATAAGCGACTGCCGAGAACAGAGTGATAACCTCTTTCGGCTTGTTCAAGAAGCCGTCGTCGACCATTTGACGGCCTCGGATTATGCATTTCAGGTTGTGCTTCTTGCAGAAATCGGCCGCTTCTTGCTGAAAAAGAAAATACTGTTCCCAAATTCAGAAGCTGAGAATGCACTGCTTACCGCAGTGAACGAGGGCATTCCGTGCATGTCCTTTTGTGCTTCGTTCAGAATGAGCACGGACCACGCGGCTTCCATCATCATCTTCTTGTCGGCCACCGTCTGCATGCCCTTCTTCAGAGACATCAACTGCTTCAGTCCTCGCTCCCTCAGCACTGGTCCCGGCCCACCCGGCATACACAGTATTTTCCCGTTGAGGACCGCCCCGGCCGACATCGCATTGCACGCCTTCTTCATGTCGACGATGATCTCCTCGAGCTGCACCTCCTGGGAGATTCCTCTGAACGTCAGCCAATCCTTCACTTTCAACAACTCCATCGCAATCGACTCTTCGTGGTGTCCCTTCAGAAGGACCACTTTGCTCGGGAACAGAATCTTCATGGAGAACAGGAAGACGAGGCACTCCAGCTGGGCGAAGCCTCTTCCGATGTAACATCCGAGCATCACGTATGTCACCTCCGGCGGCATCTTCTTCGATTGGCTCATCAGAGTGATCATCGAGTCGCCTTCTCCGTGCAAAGGACCGAAAATGACGGAAGGACCCTGTGATAAAAGCTTCCGTTCTCCCGCACTCCCCTTTCATTCTCTTACAGCTACTTTCACAACCATTGGGTCCTTTTTCAACACTTCCAATATCTGTTTCATCAGTTTCATCAGAATCGCCGCGTTGTAGCGAGCCTTTGCGCCGCCCGGATTGTAATTCCGAATATACGTCCACAGGTTGTTGCTCAGTTTAGCTGAACCGCTCATTGAACGTTCTCGTCTCTTGCTCTCGTTACCGTAATCAATTTTCTCAACGTCTAAGTCCTCGGTAACATTGACAAATCTCTCGCATCCGTTCGCATCTTCATTCATCTCTTTTCTGAAATACCCCACTCAAGAATTCGCTTTCCGCCCTCGAAAGTTCACGTTTTACCTCGTTGCCTCGGCAAGACAATGCGCGCGAGAGGTTGTGTTCTTTGCTGTAATAAATCTGTAACTGTCTCTTTCCTTTTCCCATCTCATTTTCACACTCTTTCTCTTCGGGAACCCGTTTCTCGGTGGGCCGACGAGGACACTAGAAAACGCATTTTTAACGCTTTTTTCGACCAATTTTTTGTTGTTCCTCAGATTTTGAATTGACTAATTGTTCGTGTTTCTGGAAACTGGACGAATTGAGAGTGTCTCTGGATTCTTCTCAACTTGAATATGAAGTGGGCAAACTGACATCTTCAAATCTGTCCTCAATTAATATTCTTCATCACTATTCATTTCAATCCCATCACAAAACCCAAATAGTTTCTGTTCCGTTGGAATCTACGTCATTCCCGTAGCCTTCCCGTAGTCTCCAAACCGTAATCTTCTTCTTCTTCTTCTTCTTTTTTTTCTTCTTCATTCTTTCTCTCATTTCCCTTCCAATTACACCTTTTTCTCTTCTCGTGACCATCCAATCGGTTATTTACCCATTTCCAATCATCGGTCACCCATCCAGATGATCAAACGCCTTCTGCTTCTCTTCTCGTGCCACGTGGCACTGCTCTCAGCGGCGCCGTCGTCACGAATGTGCGCGTCGTTCGCAAAGTTCGCAGAGAGATGGAATCCGCTGCCAGAGACACTGCTCTCGTGGTCCAAGAACAATTGCGACAAGATCCAGCCGAGACCGAGAGACATGTCGTGCGAAGACGTCGTCCAGTTCGTCGCCGACTGCAACTTCAGTGGAGGCGGCCCGGGACCGGGCAAGTTGGCGGACACGACCAACCGGCAGGTGGCAGACACGTTCTATCAGAGAACCTACGAGAACTTTCCCCGAGTGCTTCCGAAGTACATTTATTACAATGAGAACACCGCCCGAGATTACGGTCAGTTTGGTAATTGGTACTATCCGAACTACTACCCGCCCACGTACCTCGGCTTCTTTGACGGAAGACCCGCCAGTATGGCTCAACTGGAGAACGATTACAAATTCGCTCGATCGGGCCACTACCCATACAACAGGTTCGCGAGGCAAAGAACTTTGAATAATGGGGTTGGAAGAGTTCAGAGCCGACAATATAATCAACATTGGCCTCCAACAAACGTATCTCCCCACTTGTCTTCATGATCTTTTCTACTGCGTCAGGGCTAGTACTGGCCAGAGACCACAGTCCTATTTGGTAAGAAGCGAGTCGTAATCGTCATCTGAAACATTCCTTCTCAGAACTACAAGGAGTACCGTCGTGACCAAGATGCGGCTGCCGAACAGATGTCGCAAAGGGATCAGGACATCAAGACTCTGCGTCGTCACCGTACGAGACATCACGATGAAGATGACGAGTAGACCAATGTTGCATAGTTTGTAATAACGCGCTCAAGTTGTTGTATCTATGTATGTTAATAAATCTTTGACCAAACTGTTTGCAATGTAAACTTTACACTCACTATGGAGTGTTTTCTAGTCAAATTGGTCTTTCGGAACGAGGCCTACATGAGTGATCTTAATGAGAGTATTTCGTTTTTTTCTTTAAATTTCGGTGCCGACCTACGAAACTCTAGAGAATAATTCATCTAAAACATGATCTTAGGATGTCTTTTGCACTAAAATTTGAATTATTTTCATGTCAGCAAATTTAGCTTGTGGAGATATACTACTAGGTGTTTTTCTCTAATTTCAGAGGGGTGAAAAGAGGGACTTCTGGTTGCTAGCTTTTAGTTTTTTAAAATCGATTGTATTAAATCAGAATTATGCTTTTTTTTAAATTTGACACAGAATTATACTTTTCTGTCGTGATGACGATGGCCTTCGCGAAGTCGGACTGCACTCCGATTCCCGTCTCTCTCGCTAAACAAGGGGCGGCGTTCTCGCGGATTGTCGTTGAGGATTCCTTCCTGTTATCGGGTCGCCAATCGTTTCACTTTTCTTTCGTGAAGAATTCCATCTAAAATTTCATCGCCAAGTTGGAAGCCGTACATTTTCAGGTAGGGAAACCTACAATGATTATCGAGGAACGAAAAAACCATGAGTTGGACCTCGAATCGGTCGATAAGGATTTGAGAATGGAGAAGGTGCGCCAGAGTTCGGAGAAACTTCAATGGGACCACTTCAGCAAATCGGTTCGGCGCAATTTGCTGGTAAGCTGAATCTAAAATAGTTTCATTTTAAACAATGTAATTTCAGGAAAAACGATATGCCCTCGATGCTCGCACGCGCCTTGATTTGCTCAGTTCTCTCGACTTTATGAGACAGAACATGCCGATCGACGAGACAACGACTGTCGCGCAAAAAGTGAAACAATTGGCTGACAGTTTGGGGTGAGCTCGTTGTGAACAGTTTATAGAAAGAGTTTTTCTGGTTTCAGAATACGCTGCATTGTCTCTATGTCGCCAGCGGGCTTTCTCATGAGAAGTGCGGACGTGACCATTGAAATTGGCGTTGTAGAGGAGAAAGTAAGTTGACAATATCTGTGAAGTAATTCGCAAATGTGCTTTATTAAGATCACTTCTTGCAAAATGGGTTACTTCGGCCAACCGCTGTTCGATGCTCCGGATGCATTGGCTCTAATGAAAGCGAACAAGTTCACGGATCTTCGTGATTCGATCGCCTCGATTATTGAGATTTTGCCGAAGGATATCTCAGTGTACGTTATTTATTCAATCGATAGTTTCAACAAGAACTGGCAAACTAGAAAAATGGTATCAAATTATGTAAGGGACCGAAGTTGTGAAAGCATAGAGACTGATAACGGCCACTGTGAGTATAATAGTAGATCGGATGTAGTGGATAGGCTGAGAGATCTTGTCCTGAGTGAGACGGATGAAACTGATGAGCAGAGTTCCAAATGCGATCTGAATCCGAAAATGTACGAGGGCAAACAAAAACAATCAATATTTACCAGTGGGAGATTCTTCGCCTCTTTAAGCTTCAAAGTTGGGGTGGAATTGACGGAATTGAACGTCCACAGCAGGAAAGTCGTGTAGAGACCGCCGGTGACGATGGAGAGCGAAGAGAGAGTGCGCCACGTGGTATTACGGGGAACCTGCACAATCGCCAAAGCGGCGGGCACCAGGTAGACGGGAACGTAAGCCCACCAGAACGGATTGACGGCGATTTGAAGAAGACCGCATCCAAACAGACCTAGCCCAAAGATAGCTTCGATCGATCGGAGAAGCATTCTGGAAGTAGATGGGATTTGACCACTTAGGGTATAAATAAGTTCAGAAGAACTGGTTGGAAAGCAAAAAAAAGTGGGCGAAGTAAAGGGAAACGAGTGTGAAGAGAAAAGTGAGACAGAGAGAGACGGAAAGAGACGGAGACGCAGAGGGGAACGCAGACGACGAACCAGCGCGCAATGTATGTTGTAGCATGATAACGGTGAATACAAAAACGAAGGTCATGAGCGGCCAGTGGGATGATAATCAGAGTGGAAATGAAAAATGGTTGCAGGAATGACAAGAATGCGTGCAAAGATGCCTTGAAAGCTCTCGAGCAGCTTCTGATTCGGGATGCCTCCGATTCTTCGTTCAATTCCATCAACACTAGCAAATACGGGTTCTATTCCCCACGCACAGAGCTCCGTCAAGGACGTCTTTATTACATGGCCGAGCCAATGTTCGTCCGCGTCTCCGGAAAAGAAATTAAATCTCATGCTGACAGCTCAGGTCCGATACTCCTTCTCTATCGATCTTCGTCATGTTCCCATTTCAGATCTCGACCACTTGCCATACATTGAAATTTCATTCGTGAAGCACGGGAAAATTTGCAGCCTCCCGGTGTTCAGTCACAGTGGAGAATGGACTCAATTCAACGACGCAAAAGTGTGCATCTGCATCCGTTTCAAGCACGGTTTTCTGTTCTCCCAGCACACGATCCGCAAGCTTGCCCAGACCGTTCCGAGATCTCCTTTAGTCCGTCATTATGTCAACTTCTATCGCTTCTTGACCGCTCGTCCGACCATCAAAGAGAATCTGGAAATGGTGACTCAATTCCCGGACGAATCGGATGTTCAGCAGAAATACGGTGTGGACTCAAGAAAACTGTCGAAAGAGGACGATTTGGTGGCAGTCGAAATGTTCCTCACTGATCTGAGAGACCTTCCGAAGTTGGTTGAAACTTTGAGAAGCGAGTGGATGCACGCCAGTCTCTGGGAGTCCATTTTGGCGATGTGCGAGCCGAAGCAAGGGATTCCGCAGAAAGAGGTGGACGCTGTGGACGTGCAGCTGATGCCCCGCCGCAGTGAATTCCAGTTGCAGTTCAACACGAAGTACGGGAGTATGACAAGTGAGTTTGAAACCAAGTTTTGTTGTTTTTCATTCGTTTTTTCTAGTGCAAATCGCCGAAAAGTCTCTGTGCAAATACGTTGTCAAAACAATTTGCCAGCTGACCGGAGAGTCGCCGTCCGAAGAGCTCGACAAAATACTCACTGAAAAACTGAACAGGTAGACTGGAGATTTCGAAGAGTTTATTCGAATCGCGTTCGTTTTAGCACCTGGAGCATTCCCGCCACGCTCACATTCGCCTTCTCCGAATTCGATTGCGAACTGATCAAAGTGTTTTCCCCACTCAAACCTATCAATTCATCAGATAACAGTTCTACTATTCATTTTGATAAACGTCACCAAGCTTGGTTGAATCCCAACACATCACAAATATCATTGGTCAAAAAGCAGACGGAAAAGCAGAAGGCGGTGGTTTTGGAACGGGGTGAGTAGATGAGTACCCAGTGCATTGATAAAAAGAGATTCAGGGCCTCCAGTAGAACCTACTAAATTGCATTATTCAAGAGAAGAGGACAAAGAGATTCAGGGGTCGCTGCTCTTCGATTACGGAGAAGTCGATTCTTACTTTGTGCAGACTACCACTGTCGGTAAAACAAAGGCTCTGCCAAGGGCGAAACCGGCCGAGCCGAATCCGTTGAGCAATATGGATATGATGTCAATGGATTTGGAAGGGGAACGGGCTAGGCTGAGCTTGGAAAGCAGTCGTCAGCAAGAAATGCAGAGAATGAGTCATCTGGAGTCCGCACGTATGCACATGAAGCAGTCCATCGGAGCCGCCCATGCCGTCGGGCTGGCCAGTCATCAGCCTTCGCCCTCTCCGGCGCCAGGTCCGATGAGACAGCACTCTTACACGATGGGCTTCGACCCGCCCGCACCGTACGATCCGAACATTCCGGCTAGCATTCAGTTCCCTGATCCTTTGGCATTTGGGAAGGGAAAGCCGAGAAAGTCGAGGGCCAAAAAGCAGCCAGGAGAAGAAGGAGCAGCTCCGGCAGGACGAGGAAAAGGACGGAAAGGACGTGGAGCAGCTGCTGTCGGGGGAGCCGGTGGGAGAAAGAGCACCGGAGTCACCGATAATCCGTTTGGCATGGATCAGATGCGACCGCCATTGCAAAGAAGTTTCAGTGACTTCCGTTAGTTCTTCGTTTCCGTTCTGAAGATTATAGCGTTCTGTTTTCAGCGGGTCAAATTAATCCTCAACACATGGCTCAATACCAGCAGATGCAAATGCAGCAGTTCCAGCAGAGTCAACAACTCCGAATGCATCAACAGCAGCAGCAGATGTCTCAGCAAATGCAATCTCCGCAGCATCCCGGAATACAAACTCCCAAGTACCCCCCGAATACTCTGGTTCCAGCTTATGCGGATGACGATTCTGGTAAGAAACTGAAAACCGGTTTCGGGTACTACTGTAAAGAATTGAAACAACTTATAGATGCAGATGACTGCGATCCTCCGCCGCCTCCGAAACCGGCGAATGCTCAGAGAGGGTCAGTTCCACCTCCACAACAACTGGGCAACCCGATGGTAGGCTATCCGGGAATGCCTCTCCAGAGCCCCAACCACTTCCCTCTCACTCCGTCTCCCCTTTCCGCTCCTCCTAAACCGTTCTCTCCGGAGCAACAGCACTTTGGAATGAAAATGCGGGAGAATGCGTATTGGAAGGAGGGCGAGCGGCTCGATGTGAAGCCCGATTTAAATCTTCTGAAGCAACAAGCAGCAGCGGCGGCTGCTTCTTCTGCTCCGGCTTCATCCTTCACAGCTCCTCATGCGCTCTCCGAGCCATCCACTTCGAGTGCTCCTGATCCTCTCAAACCTGCCCCGACCCCCAAAAAGAAATTGGGTCTCGAAGCGGCAATTTCAAAGATAAGGGGTCAGCAGGAACAAGCATTGGCTCAACAGAAACTGCAGCAGCAGCAGTCCCAGGAATCGGTAGGAGAGACACCTCAGCCGGTGTACGAACAATCGGCACCGCCCCTTCTGGCACCTCATCAAGTCGACAGAGCGAGGTACGAATAAAAGAAGAGTTCACAATAATTTATTTTTTTCAGAAATTTGATGAACGTCTTTGACGACGATGGGGATGATTCAGTTCAAGATGTGAAGCCGATGATGTCGGCCCTTCAGAAGGCACTTGCTGCTCCTCCCATAGAACCAACTTCCTCTGGATACAATCAGACCATGCCAAATCTAAAAAGAGAAGTCATAGACGAAGAACAAGAGAAGGAGAAGCTTGTTCTGAAGGTGATTCTGATGGCCACTAGCTGAAAAGATTCATGTGTTTCAGATACCGAAAACGATCAAATCGACGTCTGCTGAGTCACCAAGAACAAGAGTAAAGGAAGAGAGAAAGGATGATCGGAGAGACGAAAGGAAAGATAGAGAAAGGGACAAGGATAGAGAAAAGGATCGGGATGGGGATAGAGACAGAGACCGAGAAAGGGAGAAAGAGGAAAAAGCACAAAAGGAGAAGGAGAAGAAGGAGAGAGAAAGAGAAAGAAGAAGGCAAAGAGACAGAGAACGGGCGGAACAGAAACGTGCTGAAAAGGCGGAAGCAGCTGGAAAGAAGGACGATCCTTCCACGTCTTCATCGTCATCTTCAAAGAAAAGAAAACTAGATAAAAAGGATGAGAAGGATAGAAGAGAACCGGAAAAGAAGAAAGGAAAGACCGACTTCAAGACGACCAACAGTGTCTTGCCGACTAACAGCCTCAAGAGCTTTAGGATTCCAAAGGTTCGATCGAAACTACTTGCTTTAAACCGCCAATAATTGTTTTCAGAAAGAGACAGCAGTGGAAGACAAGAAGGAAACGAAGGAAGATGGCCCGAGCACGTCGACTTCCGGTCCTTCAGTTACACTCTCGGACTCTGTTCGGAAAGAGTCTACAAGCACTTCGGTCCCTCCGGTTTCTAGAAAAGAGTCGACGGTTTCGTCTGTACCGCCTCCTCTAACCCAACGGAAAGACTCTTTCTCATCTCTTTCCGGCCCCTTTCCGCCATCTGATCATCATCGCGAACCACCGATCAAGAAGAAACCATTGCCTCCCCCAACAGGAATGCCCCCTGGATTATATCCGGGACCGTCAAATATGGGTCCGAGTATGAGTGGGAGCCGAGGAGGAAACAACGGAAGTCGCAAGCCGATGCCACCGCCGCCTCCGTCCATGATGAGGTGGGTGCTTTGAAATCGCAGTTGCAATTTCTGTTATTCTTCATTGTTGAGCTTTTCCAGGGGACCACCGCCAGAACAAATGTACCGCGAGCGACCGGGCAGCATGCGTGGATTCCCGCCGTCTTCTCATTATCACGGAGGTGGCAGCAGCAGTAAACAAGTAGCTTCTTACGCTCAGGGAATTCCGCCCGGTATGGGACCGCCGATACCCAAATCGCACGGAAGCAACTATCAAGCGTCGCAGTGGGTCAGACCGCCCACGCACAGGGACTCGCACAGTTATCAGTCAGTTTTCGCTCGCGTTCGCTCTTTCTAACATGTTCCCGCACGTTTTGACTGCACAACCGCCACAATGATCAGTTTGCTTACTGCCTGCACATGAGAAGATTCGCTGAGAGTGCTAGAGCTTGCTAACAGAGAATGAATAAATTGTGTTCGATGCGTTATTTGAACCTCAGTTTTTTCAGTGGAATGCCATCCCTCGGACCCCCTCAAATCCAGCGAGACCCTCCGCCGCCGCCACCGCCGCAGATGATTCCATTGCCAAAGGATCCGCCAGTGCTACGCGAGAATCCCCCACGAGAACGGGAACGTACACATCGAACAGAAGAAGAAGGTCCGGACAGTCCGGAAGAAAGCACACTCCGTATAGACGAAGAGTAGAAAAGATCTCTCAGATTGCCTTATTTCGTTCGCATCATGACTTGGAGATACCATTGAAACACAATACTTATTATGTACAGCTAACCAATGTAAATTTTGACCTTTCCGTGTGATATAAATGATAACCAATTGTTCTTTGATTAGTCTGAAAAGTGGAAGGTTCATAGAATTCGGGTGCCGTATCGCATCACACATCGTGACTCTCTGCGTCTCTTGTTATTATGAATATCAAGTGATAGTGATAAGATGCCTCGTTTGTTTATAAATGTCCGCATTTGGCTGACTAGCAGTCATTCTGGCAATCATGTCTGGAGAAGGCAAAATCGCCATCGTCGGCAGGTTAGTCGCATTTCTTTCTTTTTTGCCGTCACCTGACCGTCCAGTTGCAGTGGTCTCGTCGGTTCCAGCTGGGCGACGATATTCGCCAGTTCTGGGTACAATGTTCAAATGTACGACATTTCGGAGAACCAACTCAAGACCGCCCTCGAAAATGTCGAGAGGAACCTTAGGAAACTTGACGTAAGCACTCGAATTAATCAGGAAATATTCTGATTTATGTTCTAGGAACACGGCCTCCGCAGAGGAAATCTTTCGGCCGAAGAGGCCCTTCAGCACGTCTCCGCCACCGTTTCGCTGGAAGAAGTAATGAACGACGCAGTTTACGTGCAGGAGTCCGCACTCGAAGACGTGAATTTCCGCATTGACTTCTACAAAAAACTCGATGCGCTGGCCGGGCCGAACACTATTTTGGCGAGTAGTACATCGACCATCCCTGCTTCCAAATTCACCGAGGGCCTCAAGAACAGGCACTGTCCGTCCTCCTCTTATCATGTGTTCACTATTTGCCTTGCAGAGAACGTTGTCTTATCGTGCACCCCGTGAACCCTCCGCTCTATCTCCCACTCACGGAGCTCGTTCCTGCTCCGTGGACCTCCCAGGACACTGTAGACAGAGCGGCGGAGATAATGAAATCAGTGAAGCAGCAGCCGGTGAAACTGAAGAAGGAGGTCCTCGGATTCGCTGTCAATCGATTGCAGTTTGCTCTTCTCGCGGAGACGTGGCGTCTCGTTGCTGATGACGTCATCGGAGTAAACGACATCGACACTGTTATGTCTGCCGGACTCGGCCCGCGCTACGCCTTCAATGGACCATGCGAAACGGTGCATCTGAATGCGTTCGGAGTCAGAGACTACTTCAGAAGATATAGATCCGGAGTGAGCACGGTACGTCAAAGCGAAGAAAACTCGAAATGATACAACCAATTAAACTTTCAGGTTCTAAATGATATGGGAGGAATTCCGGACTTCACAGATGAGTCTGTGATTCAGAAGTTAGAAGCAGAACTTGAGCCAAAGATGGGAACGGCCAACATTCGCGAGTTCCAAGCGGCTAGAGAAGCGAAGCTGGTTGAGATATCCAAACTGAAGAAGAGCTTGAATCTCTAGCTGAAGTAATTGTTTAATTCAGTATATGAAAATTCTCCACCAATGAATCCCTCGTTTCCTCTTGTTTTCTCGAGATGTCTTCAAAATCAAGATAACCGACGAACACGACACATTCTGTTGCACACACGTCGTAATCCGATAATGATCCGATGACGACCACGCGATAGAATCAGAATGACAAGACGGAAGAACTCTTGCGTAAAACTAGGCTGATTGCCAGTAATTTTAGAAGACGTCGAATGAATTCTAAATGGAAAAAAACACTGGCGAATTTAAAGATTAGAAACAATTCAGGAAGCAGAATTTGTTTTCCAGGATTCGATGAAATTTCGGCGCTACAACAGATTAGAACTTGAACGTAATAGAACTATTGCGAATTAGAATTCCCAACGCTAAAAAACAACTAGGAGTTCTAATTCGTAACAGTTCTACTCCGTTCAAGTTCTATTCCGAGGAATTCCGTTGTAGCGCCGAAATTTCTACGTGCCGTTCCGATTCCAGCGAAAGTGTGTGCGAAAAGAGGAGAGCATTGAGAGTTAGACGTTTTTCGTAAATCGACATCGTGGCGAGACCCGTTCAAGTTTTGGCGGCAGGATTTAAATTTAGCGTTGGAAGGAAATTCGTTTCGACCGCGGTGGCCCATTAACAGCTGACAATTTATCATCGTTCTCGTTGTTCTTAGCCCCGTTTTTTCGTTGAATGTCGGGTGAAGGTCGGCAAGATTTATTGTCTAGGTCGTTCAGAGTCTTTCCGTCAAAGAGTGTGTGAATGTTATCCGCTTTTTTGTGAATCTTTCCTGATCCTCTCGCCTGAAACTGATTTGAATTCTGCAGATGCAGCGTGCTCAGCCACCTACGGCGAGGACGAAATCGTCGGCTCACAAAAAGGAAAAAGCTCCGCCAGAGGTCCCTGCTGTCATCGTCGATACCGAACGACACATTTACTATGAAAAAGGAAAGTTCCTCGGAAAAGGCGGTTTTGCTCACTGCTACGAAATCAAAAACAAAGCGTCTGGGGAGATGCTTGCTGGAAAAGTTGTTCCGAAACATCTGTTGATGAAACAGTATCAAAGAGACAAAATGGCACAAGAAGTACAGATTCACCGCAATCTGTCTCACCGGAACGTCGTTAAGCTTTTCCATTTTTTCGAGGTTTGTAGTGCGTTGCCTTTTTGAAAAACTCTTCTGCTTAAGGATCGTCTGAATGTCTACATCACACTAGAACTTTGTCCGAGAAGATCTCTGATGGAACTTCACAAGCGTAGAAAGGCGGTAACTGAACCAGAAGCCCGTTATTTCACTTATCAAGTTGTGGAAGGAGTGCTTTATTTACATGATTTGAAAATTGTTCATCGAGATTTGAAGCTCGGTAACCTTTTCCTGAACGAAGACATGGAAGTAAGAATAGTTGTACTATTCTGTGGAAACGCAGGTTTCAGGTGAAAATCGGAGATTTCGGGTTGGCGACGACGGTCGAAAACGATGAGCGAAAGAAGACTCTTTGCGGGACTCCGAACTATATTGCTCGTAAGTCAAAGTATTCCGTCGGAATTCGAGAACCTCATTCATTTAGCTGAGGTACTGAACAAGATGGGACATTCGTTCGAAGTTGACATCTGGGCAATCGGATGCATTCTCTACATTTTACTCTTCGGACAACCGCCATTCGAGTCAAAGACGCTGGAGGTAAAAACAAAGAGCCGAAACTCATTCTTAACCCATTATCCTTCAGGAGACGTACTCTCGTATCAAACACAATAACTACACTATTCCGACGATCGCCAGTTCGACCTCATCGCAGCTCATTCGCAAGCTACTCGATCCCGTTCCAGTGAACCGCCCAAATGCGAGGGCCGTCTTCCGAGACAAGTTTTTCAGCAGTGGATTCATGCCGCCACGTCTTCCACTTTCGTGTCTCACAATGGTGCCAAAGTTCAACGATCAAGGCCCGACAGAGGAGAATAATCCGCCTGCTGGAAGTGCAGATTCGCGCGGTCCGCGAGTGGTCGGAAGAGCCAGTCTCTCAAGTATTCCCAATCATCGAACGACTGGAAATACGGACAGAGAGCGAGCTCAGAAGATGGCAGTAGAGGCGACGTTCCGAGAACCGACCGACTGCTATCTGTCTCAGTTGGCCGCTCAAGTGAACGATTTGCTCGCAAAGACGACTCCTGATGTGAGTGTGAGAATAATGAGGAAGCTCAATACGTCATTTTTAGATGGACGAGGCTGAAGCAGCCCTGGATACCTATCAGTCTCCGGAGGCATTGCCCGTCTTCTGGATCTCCAAATGGGTCGACTACTCGGACAAATACGGAATTGGATATCAATTGTGTGACAATTCGGTATTCGCAACCTCTCTGCTTTAATCATTATTTTGTTCGCTTAGGTCGGTGTTCTTTTCAACGACAACTCGCGCATTATGCTCGATTCCGCTGGAAATCAATTGACTTACATCGAGAAGAACAACACGGAACACTATTACAACATGGAACATTCGACGCCGCCACTACTACAAAAGAAGGTCACTTTGCTGCGATACTTCAGATCCTACATGAATGACCATTTGCTCAAGGCGGGAGAACGTGTTCACCAGAGGGTAATGGAGTGTCCGAGAGCAGCAAAAAGGGCATATTTTCAGGAAGGAGACGATCTCGCCCGTCTTCCCACTCTTCGTGTTTGGTTCCGAACGAAGTCTGCAATTGTGCTCCATCTCTCTAACGGAACTGTTCAAATAAATTTCTTCACTGTGAGCGGCTCCACTCGAATACAAATTTCTTGAAGTTGTTTTTTAGGATCACATCAAAATGATGATGTGCCCACTCATGCAAGCAGTCACATTCATCGACCAGAACAAGCGAATGCTCACTTATAAATTCTCAAATCTGGAGGTCAACGGATGTCCGGAGAAGTTTCTACACCGCATAAAGTACGCGAAGACGATGATCGAAAGACTGTCGAACGAGTCGCTAAAGGATGTGGCCAGAGTGGACGTGGGCGTGGTCATCGACGCCAAGAACCCTCCCCGTCAAATGACCGTTAATGTGGGAAGACTTCCGACGTCTTCGAGCAACGTCCGGATAACTTCTGCTGCCGAACCGTCCACTATTGTTGGATCTAGCTTGGCTCGTCGTCCCTTGTAAATGAATCTGTAATCAAAGATACCTGTCATTGCTCGGATCCCGTTTAGTTTATTCCCTCCTCTCCTCGGTTCTTGTTTCCTTCCCTTCTGAATTGTAACGTTCGAGTCAATCCCTTTTTATTATTGTTCCTATTTATAAACGCACTATTCCACACTGCATTTCCAATTGGCCCGTCTCATCATCTCGCTTCCTAATTTGCTGCCGGACAAACATGCTAGTGTTCATCACTAGACGAGCGTCTCTAATCGCATTTGAACACAACTAGCCATGCTCACTTCATCAACCGATTGTGCCACCCGATACGCGTGCTCCATGGAGACATAAAAAGGCACTCGTAATGATAACGGAAGAGGTCAGCAACGAGAGGAAAAGAAGAAGAGGAGGACGAGGAGCGGAAACGAGGGAGCCCCCAAAGTTTTGAAATCGTATCAAGCACTCTCTGTTTCCGCTTTTCGTCGACTTCGTCAAATCCGATTCACCTCCTTTCTCCGCGTGCCCTTCTTCACTTCTTCTCCTTCTTTCTGCAAGATACGAATCCATTGTATTTACCATTTACTCGGTTTGTGTGCTCTCCTTTGAAGGGGCGCCTCCGACGACTGTTCGTAATTGTGCAAACTTGTTTTATGAGTTCCGTCCGATTACCATCCAAAGATTATGTGCGCTCGTCGTGGGAAATTATCATAGAATGAACTCGTGATATTCGTTTCCCCGCCAGAAGAGTGTTATTCCATTTCCGCAGAATTCCAAAACGGTTTCCCCCAATTAGAGCTCTGTGGCTCTCCGGCTCCGGTCCCGTTGGCTTTCTCGAGTTACCCGTTCCTCAAGTGTTGTGTGACCGCCGTCCAGCCGGTCCCACTTTAACCCGTCCTCCACCTGGGACCTTCTCCCGGACACAAAAGGAATTAAAATGATGTATAGGCTCTCTTTCTGGAGCCCCGTTCGTTCGTTCCGCCCGTCAAATTATCCCGTCACTCTGCCCGACGCCGTCATCAATTTCCATTCCGATCGGTGCTCCCCCACAGGATCTCCGCTCCCTTCCGGCCTTTTCCCTCTCAAGTGCTCTGTTGCCCGACGACTTCAGTATTGTATTCCTTGCCTCCGAAAAAACATGTTTTGCGACTTGAGCATATCGAATTTCCTGCTCGTTTTCTGCCAACTTCCTGTGCATCTGTGCCCGCTTCTTCTGGGGGAGATCAATTTGTTTTTGCAACATTTCGAGTGCGTGTGCCGTCTGTCATGCACACAGGACTGTCCGCGTCTCTCCGTCTTCCACACTGTCTCGACAACATTTCCTTACAAGAGGTGCAGACTGTATGCTCAAATGCTCTCGATCCTCGACCTGACAACTCTTGGCACTTTTCCCTCGTTTTCGCTCACTCAAAAGGCACGACTGAGAGTGTTCCTTTTGCTAATTAATGCGTGCTCTTTCCTTTATTTTTTGCGGTTTCCTCAGGAAGGACCACTTGAATCTGGCCGCAAAGGACCGTTGCGCATGGCATTGAGCAGCTGTTTTCGGCACCCAAAAACGAGATCGAAAGGAACAATAACGGATTAGGGCCCGGAGGTCCCTGACCATTTGAATTTCGGATATAGTACATCTGAAGGATCCGCCGACCATTTCCCCCTTTACTTACTTTTGAAATCAAACAATGCGGGTCTTCCTTTTCCATTTTCCATCCAAACTTCTGATTATGCAAGAGGCTCTCCTGTCCGTCAAGCATTGTTTTCCCATCGGTGAGAAACGAGTCCTTTCCAATATTGACTCTGACCATGACGGGCGGCCTCATCCTCCCCTATCAGCAACTGTTTGAATGCCATTCCACTCGAATATCCTCTAGTATCCGTTTCGTTTGCCACGTGGCGCTGTCCGGTGTCCTCGGTTGTCCGGTCCTCGCACCAGGTTGTTGCCCAAACGAACAACCATGTGATTATCCTCACGATGCCCTTGCCGATAACCTCCTCCACTTCTTGTTCGTCGTTTTTCTTGCGTACTCATTTGCAAAGAGTGCGCCTGAATAAATTAGAAAACTCACTCTCCTCTCTCCCAAATACTTTTTTGTTTCTTTCCACCCCGAGGCGCTTTTTTTGGAAATCCGTGCGCTCCTCCTTCCTGTCGCACGACTACTTGTTTGCGTGTTTCCGAGAGGCCAGATGGCATCGAGGAGGCCAAGAAGACAATGTCGTCTTCACTCGATTATCAATCATAACTTGTTAGCGTCTTTCTCGCACCACCCGGCCGGCAGCAGCCTCAAGAACCATTTCGAGCGCCACCTGGTCGCATACAAACAAACACCGTCTCCCGTGACATTGATAGCCCTTTCCGGGGGCTTCATCCCTTGAGCACATGGTCGCTTTCTTCTTCGTCTTCTTCTTCTTCTTACTCGTGTGTTATTATTAATTGGCTCAAATCAAGCTTCCTTCTGCTTGCCTCATTAGACGCGCGCCCACAAAAACACGGCGGTCCGCAAAAGTTTTCTTTCTGTTTCCTACTACTCTCCATCCATTATCCGTGTTCCTGTCAACAAGAATCCATACTGTCAAATGTGACGTGGCCATTACCGAACCTGTGACACGTGTCATTATTTCAATGGGCAGGTGTTACTGTCAGAGAGCTAGTACTCTTGTTCACTGTATCCGGATTGGGTAACATATGGGATCGAGTGAGAAAACCTTGTAGGTGACACGTTCATTGTCTCCGAATTACGAGAATTACCACCTTCTGCACTAATCCAGGCACCAAGATCATTGACCGTTCCAGTGGTTTTCCCACGGAAGAGCCTCGTGCGATGGGCACAACTGATAGACGCATGTTTTCTGACATATTTGATTGTGACGTGGCAGATGTCTTCCCTGGCAGGTTCTATTTTCATTATCGCTCTCTTCCCACATGATTTATGGCTCCCCAACATCTGGATCTGATTTCCCTCGATTCCTCCTCAAATCCTGTCCATCTTTTGGCACCTGTACTCTTTTATTCCCTTCTAAAATACTCATGTCGTCTACTAATTTACGATCGCCGCAAGCAGCAAAACCCCATAAAAGTGGGCATGTTTTCACTTATCACCGGCCGCCATTACGCAATCAAATTATTTTGTGCCAAAAATTGAATTGAGCGAGCGAAACATTCGCGTGATAAGAAAGTGGTTGGGCACCATTTCAGCAGTACATTCTCGCACAGAAGTCACTTACTTGTTGGGCCCGCCCGTTTTGACTGCGAACTGCGAACCGGTTGGGAATGAAGGAATGATAAGACGAATTGATCTGATTTGCGACGTCTTCGCCCTGCCACCCCTTCCCTCTCTCGCTTCTTCTCACACATCGATTTGTCGGCCGACACTTGCAACCTTAATTAGTAGGGTGTACACGTTTAGCTGACCGTATGCACAGTGCCCCAACACTCAATTGTCTCGCATTTCAAAGCGGCCCCCGCACGGGCGGACTGTAATTAAGGACAGAGACCGGACCGAAATGTGACACTTTGGGTGGAGGACTGTGCGATCATTTCGCAACATTTCCACAGTAATTGATATCTCACACCTACTCTTCTTCTTCTTCTTTTTCTTCTTCTACTTCTTCTACTTCTTCATGCTTCTATCCCATCTCAAAAACGCGTTCATCACACTTTCTATTAACTTGTCTGCAATTACCGCCCGGTCCCCATTGTCCCTGGACCTCCGCCTCTTCTCGATTCGCCCGGAGCCCCTCGCTCGGCCATCCGTATTCTGTCACTTTTTCGTCATTATTCGTTCCTCCGTTGACCTGTTTCCTTCTGAAATCCCTCTCAATTATCCCTCTTTTTTGCCCATCTTTCTCACTTCCCCTCCGTTATCCGGCCCGATTATACGGTCGTTCATCAGAAAGTGTGTACATAACATATGAGTGTCCCTCCGGCCCGTTCGGTTTTTTGCTGGTTTCTAATCAAAAAGTCACTTTTCGGATGTCTAACTTTGTGACTAATTTCTCCGCGTCTCCAAGTTTCTCGCACTCTTTCTCTCTCTTTCGCTGGCCTTTCTCGTCAAAAGTTTATGTTTGCGTTGATTACTAACACTGAAATACGGACTGACAGGCGGCTACTGTACTGCCTTCCTTCCCTCCTTTCCTTCTTTTCCCCTTTTCTCCTCTTTCATCACCTCCTCCATAATTATGTTTCTCGGCAGTTTTGTAACGGAAAAATGAGATGAGCCGGGGCAATTACGGCTCTTCCAATTATTTTCGATCGTCGTCATTTGAAAAACGGGAAACGGCGGATGCGTTCCCATCGATCCATCGTCCCTTTGTCCCGTTTCTTTCGGTTGCCATATGACCCGAAATGGACACGAATATACTGTAGAAAAGGGGGCGAGGAGGACAATGACATGAAAAATTGATAGCATGTGGAAGAGAAGGAAAGGGGGAGTACGGTGTGTAACAGAAACGGGTAAAGAAGACAAATTATCAATTCGATGGGTAAGGTTTCGTGTCATTCGGAGGTTTTGCGGTCTTTGAAATCAATTCGCACTAGTTTTCTTTGGCAGAAACTCAGTGTGCTCTACCATCAAAACTACAGTACTCTTTTCAACTCCTTCCGTTTTCAATTTCGCGCACAACCCTTCTTTCCTCGTTCTATTCAATTCGGCGCCCTTTTGACATGTTTGACGTGCATCCGCCCAATCAAAAAAAAAAAGGGAGAAGCGGCGCGGCGCGGCGTCCATTTGAGCTGCGCATTGTTTTGTGCACGCTCCTGTTTGCTCGCACTTCTGCCGCCCTTCCCGTCGAGAGGCCCGGCGAGAGCATTCCACGGTTTATCCAGTGCTCGAGATGATTTACATATTTCACACTATCCTGTCACTCTTCTCGCCAGTCTCTGTCCACTTCATTTTGCCCTTTTTCCAATGTTTATGAATATGAATAACGATTGGATTACTCGCAGAACAGCAGACGCCAGTGTCTTCTTACCAGGTATCCCCCAACCAGTTTCCCATCAAAAGTTATGTAGATCGACCTGATAACCTTCTGACTGACTGCCTCTCTATTGTGCACTAAAAGGTTAAAACTCTTTCATCTTTCCGCCCCTAAACCGTACCGATTTGCTATTATTGCCATGAGCTCATTGTTAATCCCTAAATTGCCCACATCCGGTCGCTTGACTTTTTTCAATCGTCGGTCTCTTTTTTGTTCTGAGCTCGCCGGATCCGACTCCATTTAATTACTGTCATGCAATCCCTTGGGCATACCGAACGGACACATTAATTGTCTTTTTTGGCCAATTAAAAGAGCATGAGTCTGGAAACTTCTGCTCTGTAACTCTTATCAGCTTGCGAAGTTCTTTGCGTGCAACCAGGTGGTTCCAGTGGTCCGTGCTCCCTGCGCGTGGGCGTGTCCTCCTCCCTCCCATCCGTCCCGCCCTTTTTATCGCCCTTCTTCATCTGCTGCCGTCGCATTCGCGGATATAACCACCAAACAAACGCTAAAATACGGATAATGATATTGTAAAACTGTACCCGTCTCGTGTTCGAGTCAAAACAAATCAATTTGTTTCTCCGAATTCCCTTCTCATTTTCAATCTTCTCTCTCTTTCTCTCTCTCTCTCCGTTTATTGCTCCGCCCGTCCGTACTACAACTCTCTCTCCCTCTCTTTCTGGTTATGACTGAACACATTCCCCCCGTGTCCTATCTCATTCCAATCTCGACTCGAAGTGGCTCTCAGAAAGAGAGAGAGAGAGAGAGCAGTTGGAAGCGTGAAAAGTTTCAAGATATCTGCTCTCTTTTTGGCGCCTCCTGGGAAATATACCCTCCAACAAGTTGGCCGCTCCTCCTCCTTCGGGTTCGCCCCATCAATCCCACTTCGCATCATTCCCTCGTCCCATTCCTCATCTTTTGCTTCCTCCTCCAATCACTCCTTTTCCAGCTCTCTCCACAATGAGTTCGAACGGCTCTCGTTATCGGTTAAGTGTCGTATTGGTCGTGTTGCTGGTGCTCAGCAACGGAGCGTTCGCCTGTCAGTCTGGATGTAAATGTCCCACAAAAACGACGGCCGTCTGCAAAGGTATATAAATATATCCGATTGTAAATCTCTCGACAAAGGGAACCGCCCGAAACAAGTGTTTGTTGGGGGTCGAGAAGCCGTAAAAGTGTGCCACTAGATGCATATCTCTGTCGTCCGCCTGACGCTTACTTTTTCTCTTCTTTAGGCTCTTCACTCCGATCCATTCCGATCCTCCTGGATCCCCGAACCACAGTTCTTGATCTCTCGGACAACCGAATCTCCAGACTGTCCTCCGACGAATTGAGTCTTTATCCGAGTAAGTCATTCTCTCCTTTTTTAATGTCTTCCACCATAATTCTTCGTCGTCCCGATTCTTATCTTTGTCACCATTTTAACGCCGTATTGTCCTTCCACTCGCCCCTAAAAATGCTTGCGACCTTTTCTCGCCGGGATTTATGGGCGTCATCCGTTCTCTCCGCGCGGAGGTCCTTCCGTGCTTCTCAGTTTTCCGTGCTTGTGTAATTCGGCGCAGCGAGCCATTCGAGGACAAGTCCCGCTCGAGTGGATAATGGAATTTTGAAGATGATGTTCCTAACCCGAAATGGGAGGAGCAGAATGAGGAGGAGAAGCGTTTTCAGAATGAATAATTCGATTGTTGAGTGGATAGAATAGAGGGAACACGACAGGAATTCACGATGACCGCCTCGCTTTGAAGTGCTCCGACCATCGAGCTCTCCGGGGAGCCGCATAGATTTTTGAGAGATATGGCACAAAGTGATTTAGATTAATTACTTATCAATTGCCAATTTGATCCAATTAGAATCAACAAAAGATTCAAAGCTGGCCGATAATGTCCCCCGGGGACCTCTCCGACCTCCTAATGCACCGTCCGTTCATTGTCAAGTGTCCTGTCCATCGGCATTGTTATGAGCCCTTTCGGCAGCATTCAACAGGTTTCCGACCGTCCGGAAAAGTTGCGTAACCGGCTTCTTTTTGGCGGTTTCTGCCACTTAGCACCTCTGCGTTGGGCCCGAAAACGGAGAAGAAAACCGATAAATCAAATGGCGAAAGAACGGATAATCATATAATCGGGAGGAGGTCTCTCCGACTAATCCGCGCGAAATTCCGTTCATTCTTTTGCCCTTGACCAAGTCATCGGACACTAAAAGAAGAAGAGAACGGACGGGAGGAAAGTCAAGTGTGTGAGAATACAAATTAGAATAATAATAATAATGACAACAATAAGAAGTCGACAAAGTGAATTCTATTAGGACCCGACCCCTTCCCGTTTATACACAAGGCCAGAACTTTTGGCCAGATTTCGAGATTTCGCGCGTACTCGAATGGACATTATGCACTTGAGAAGGGAGAGAGCAAAAGAGAAGAGAGCTTTATGCAAATTTGATTGACATTATTCGCGAGTCCATGCATTACAAAAAAGTTTTCGAATAGGGCGTCCTTAGGGAACATGCCCGTGTGATAAGTCGTCCGGAAGCCTCCCGAAGGGACTTCCAACCTATTTTCAATCCGTATTGTTTGTCAACTCAGCGCCGATTGATAAATGAGCGGGGGCGCCTAATTGTTTTTTTTTGGGTGGGAACGGGTCCCAACGGACCGGCCGTTCCGTCGATCGTTTCAAATTCTCAGCTCGGAGCACATCCATTCGGCCTCGGGAAGAGTGACGCAACCCGCTAATTATGGACGGTCTGACCCGTACCGTAGGCCCACTGTAATTTATGTCTTAGCATTCAAATCTATTCATAGGCCGTAAACCTGACCCATAATCCTTTGAAATAAGCAACAGTAACCACCTGGCATCTGCTGGAGCCGCGAGTAAATCCTCTCTTCTTTTCAGACCTCGAACAACTGATTCTGCGGAACAATTCGATCACTCATCTGTCCGCCGACGTGTTCGCTTCTCTGCCGTCCCTCCGATCTCTCGATCTCTCTGCGAACAGTCTGCTCTCTCTTCCGAACGACGTCTTCTCGAAACTGAAGAATCTAAAGGTAAGTCAACCGTCGAATGACTCGATTAGTGGAGCTGCGACCCGGTCTCTTAATTATTAATTGGCCGGACAGCTTCTGGCGACAACTTGATTGACACATGATTTCCGTATTCTAATGAGTAGTAGGTAATGAAAGGACATCTGCGTGTTCGGAGGGACATCCCGGCTGCCAGATGCGCCTTGTCCTCTCCAAAAAACAATGGACCAAATGCAATTGTCATCTGAGAAGTTCCCTTGCAGACGCTGATCATCTCGTCGAACGACGTGCAACTCGGACCGGAATGCTTCTCGGGACTCGGCCAATTGCACACTCTCTCCCTCGCCGACAACCGTCTCTCTTTCCTTCCTCCCTCAGTTCTCAAGCCACTTTCGGGACTTCGCAGTCTGGATCTTTCTGCCAACAAACTGCTCTCTATGCCGGCTTCTGTTTTGAATAATCTCGGAGGACTTCACACTCTCAAGTTGAGACAGAATCTGTTGTCAAGTGTAAGAGGACGTACTAGTGGGAAAGACCTTGAATTGTTAAATTTCAGCTCGAAACCGGAATGTTTTTGGCGCAAAAAGAGTTGAAGCTGTTGGATGTGAGTGAGAATCTGATCGGAGACATCGAGGAAGGGGCGCTGTACGGACTGGAGAAGCTCGAGACGCTCAATCTGACCAACAATCAGCTGGTCCGTCTGCCCGGCAACACGTGGTCCCTTCCTTCCCTCCGCTGCCTCGACCTTTCTTCCAACTTGTTCGTCTCCCTCGAGACTGCTTCTTTCGACGGCCTGCCATCTCTACAGTACCTCAACATTTCCCACTCTAGAAATCTCAAGACTATCCAGGTACTTTCCCTTTCCCCTCTCTTCCCTCTTTCAATCCACTTCTTTTCAGATGGCTTCTTTCGTGCAGCTTTCTTCTCTCCACTGGCTTTCTCTCGCTTCTTCTGCTCTCGCCCACATCCATCAGTCTGCCTTCAATCCGATCCCTCCGCTCTCTTATTTGGATCTCTCTCACAATGAGCTCCGCCACGTGGCTCCTGGAATGCTCCAATGGCATAACATCCGCAACCTCCATCTCGCTCACAACGACTGGCAATGCTCGTGTGATCTGCGTGCTTCTAACCTCCGTCCACGCGACGATGCCAAGTGTTCTGGCCCTGAGAACCTGGTCGGAGCCCCTCTGAATGAGCTGAACTCGTGCAGCATCCTTGGTGGACTGCTCATTCCCTTCCTGCTCGTCCTCTTCATTCTGCTCCTCGCTCTCGTTATCCTGGCTCTCGCCTGCAAACGCCCAACGAAGAGTTCCACCTCCGCGAAGAACCGTGCTTTCTACAACGATCAACTGATCGCCGCTCTCAATTCGCACAAAGAATACTCGTTCGACTGCCATTCGCCGTACACGATGAGCTCCGAGGACTCCCGGGATTCGGCCTACGAGTCGCCGACTTCTGCCCTCATGCCACGTCGTCCGCCACCGTCCTGCCCGCCGCCGCCAAGGCTTCTCACTCTTCCACGTGGCGGGCCCACTTACGGTCCTCCTCCAGTCATGCCCACGCTCCTCCGAAACTCGAACGATCCTTACTTGATTCCCAAATCACAAGTGCCCATAACAAGGCTCTAAGCTGTTTTCTTTTCTTTCTCGCATCCCCGGTGCTTTTCCCCCACTGGTGCTTGGCTTCGGCTTGCCATTCTCCCGTATTGTTCCGTATGGTTTCTCTCTTTTTCCATTACGAGGTAATCTCTCAGGTTGTGTATCTTAGTTGTTGTTTGAACGAAACTAATAAAGCCATGAATAAGCTCTTTCCGAATATATATTTTAAACATTTAATTTATAAACTGAAATCCTAAACCGTGTTTTTATCCTTATTACTTGCTTTTCAGGAATTTACTCATTTTGGCCATACTGTACACGATAGACCGCGTGATTCCGGCCGAGAAAGCGTTTTTAGTAGTTTGCGAGAACGAAACCGGACGGATGATTCCTCCGATTGCCGTTTCGACAGTTGCGGCTACGTCATGACGATGTGCCAGAGAGAAGATCACCTGGAAATGTGGCATTGCGTCCAGTTGTTTTCTGCAAACTGACCTCTTCGGCATCCCGTTGTCTCTTCTGTGCTCTGTTCATATTCTTCTGAATCCGATTGAGCACTTCAGAAGGCAGAAGATTGAGCCGATGGTAAATGGCGGCCGTCGATCCGTCCTGGACCGCCTTTTCCGGAGTCATTACTGAAAGCCTAGCGTCGTCGTTCATCAAAGGCTCGTAGACACGCAAAAGCTCTTCGTAATTTCCTTCTACAATCTTCTCCACCTTCTTCTTGTCTTCTCCGACGATCATTCGGAAGTCTCCTGTGTACGAGAGTCCGACAATCTTGTGAAAAAGTTGTTTGAGCGAGAACGATTCGGGCAGGAGAAGAAGCGCCGAATGGAGGGCGGACAGTCTGTTCTGCGACACCAGATCGCACATATCTTCGTTCGGTTTTATCACTTCCAGCACTGGTTTATGAAGACGTCCGGCGACGTAAATCCACCTCCAGTCGAGCAGATCCTGTTTGGCATTTTCGTACGAAATCACTCCGTATTTGATTTTTCGTTTACCGACGTTCACGTGCGTGTTGTAGTAGACTCGGGCGGCGAAATTGCACTGAATCTTCTCGAGCATTCGGGGACCAATCAGTCGGAGAAGACTGTAATGCTGCGGATTCCGGGCGACGTTCTCGCGGTGAAACTCCTGCGCGTCCTTCGTGACGACGATGAAATCGACCATCTTCTCCGATTTGTTCTCGTTCTTCTGCTGGATGGCTCCTGAAGCGACGTCTTCTGACTACGATTCTAAATGGTTCGCTCACCTGATCCGTACGCAAACGCATATTGGATCGTCTCCGTCGGCAGAACACTGATCAGTTCCTTGTACTCGTCCATCGCCCTGCAATCAATTGATTTCCTCTCACACGTGAGAGCGAAAGCACGGCCACGACCTTGCTTTCATTCAAGTATTTAGGATGTGGCAATTGGTTTCCCCCTTTTGTTCATTCCAAAATAAACATGATTCCGTTAAAAAAGTTCATTATGTCGAGCAGAATCGGGAAAAGATAGAGGACAAAATGAGAACGGCAAAAAGATCAGAGTAGGGAGAGGACCTAACCGAAACAAAATGAATAAGGGAAAGAAAGGAAATTGGAAAGGGGATCGTGTAGGGCAAAATCGAGGGGTGACAGATAGAATAAAAAATGTTTCAATAATTAGAGCACATGAAAAGGAAGTTGGTCGATCTACTCGAGGTGGTCGCGGACCTCGTTGGCGAGCTTTCCGGCGGCGTTGTTGACCTTGTTGGTGAGGTTGCTGATCTTCGAGTCGATGACTCCGGAGTGCTTGGTGACGAATGGCTGGATGAATCTGTAAAAAACGGACTAAATTGAAGAAAACTTATCAGACTCATGATTTACCTATGGTAGAGCTTGCTGGCTCCGAGGAAGGACGGCAGGTAAAGGTAGAGGAGGAAGAGAGACTTGAAGAGCCAGTAGACGGGGAAGACGGACACGATTTGAACGGAGAAGAACTCCAGAACAGAGAGAATGGCGAAAACGACCCAGTAGGTGAGCCATTGAGTGTCATCTTCCTTGTTGCTCGACTCGATGGCCTTGATGCTGAAAATCAAACATTTTATTACTGAATTGAATTCAAAGCATTCCACTTTACTGTTTGCATTCAATCGTGATTCATATGATTCAGTTTTATAGTTTCCCTACCTCATGTAAGCTGGATAAACGAAACCCATAAAGTTGCAGACGAGTTGAGCCGAGTGTCCGAAGACGAGGTAGAGAGCCTGGAGTCCGAGCACGCCAAGCACGAGGTGGAGTCTCTTGACGCCGGTCTTCTGCTCAACAGTGGCGAGCACATTGGTGACAGTGCTCGGCTCGTGGAGCTGCTTGTCAATATCGTCGAGAACCTTTTGGGCTTGCGGTGGCACTGGCATTTTCCTGAAAATTCAAATTTAGGTGAGAATTCTTTGGAGATGGAAAATAAGAGTGACGAATGTGAGAGCGGTTTCGTGAAAAGCGAGTCTCATGAAACGAAGGAACGAAGCGACGAAGTTATCAAGGATGCGAATGCGACACGTCTCTTAGCGGATGGAATTGCGAAATTGTCAATAGGGTACACAAGCAAAATTGAATCATGGGGTCGCGTCTTTATGCGTTTTTTGCCGTACAGAGAGGGCACGGCGCGCACACATCACATTCAAATGCGCCCGTTTTCTTCTTCTCCTCTGTTGCTGCTGCCGGACTGCCTACCACCTCTCGTTGCGTTGTTTTGTGTGCAGTGGCCGGAGCGATCGAACGAAAGCGGCAAGCCGAGCGAGAGAAGAGACGCTGATAACGGGGCGGTGTGTTCCCGGGAGACACGAAAAGAAGAGCGAGCAGAGGAACGAACGGGCGACGGACACACTGATCGATCGATGATAGTAAGAGAGGCGGGGCGCCGGCAAGGGCACAATCCGCCGCATTTGTGACTCGTCATTGGAACAACGTCACAGTGACAGTACGGAAGAGAACAAAGTACGAGAGGGCGAAACGGGCGGAACATTCGAGATCGCAAGAGACGGGATAAGAGCGCCGAGGTGGGTAGATCACGGAGATATTCAATTACTAAAGTGAGGTCTGCTTTCGCGATCATGTTTTCGAATAATTTGAGAGCGAATTGGAAGGTTAGGAGAGTAAGGTTTGAAAAGAGCACGCATTGGCACCTTTGCTCACGTAGTATCTCCCAGATGTCAGAGAAAACGGAAAGATAGTTTGTGAACGAAAAACGCAGATCGTAAAGTGGGCCGCGAGATGATAGGGTGCCGAACAACTTTTGAAATTTTTGAGAAACTGGGAGAAGCAGGGAAAGAGATAAAAAAGAAAGACGAAGGGAAAGAAGAGTCTTCTTTTTGTCGCCAAGTAGAAGGAAACGCAAGAGGAAGGCGGAAAACAGCAGAGAGTCGTTGAGACCGCACATAGTGGAAAGACGGCGGGCAGACACACATACACACGAATATCGCAACTCGAGTCTCTTTTTTTCTCTGGGTTCACCCACTTTCTACCGTGTTTCGCGTGTTTTTGTTGTTGTATTCCAACTGGCTTCTATCCGTCTTTCCGTCCCACTCTGCCTTCATTCAGCGGAGAAAAACGGGGCTGAAAACAAGGAAGACGAAATCAGAGTGGCTACGGGCAGTTTGCTGTCTGACAAACGCCAATAAGGAAAAAAGAAAACAAACAGGTTGGAGAGTTGAGTACACTTTTCGTATCGACACTTTACAAAGTGCCCTCTTATCACAGTTGTTTTCTGTCAGCAGCTCAAATTTCACGTGAATTCTCATTGACTGGTGAAGTAACACTCACATTCACCAGGGGGAAGCGGGCGCAAAGAGCGAAAGGAAATGAAGTGGACGTCCTAATCATATTGAGGAAACACTGAGCAAGGCGATTAAGGTGAAAGGGAAGGGAGCAAAGAGCGAAAGCGAAACGACACAAAAGATGTTGAAGACTAGAATCGATAGGCTAGTGCGGGTGGGAAACAAAGAAGCTGGAGAGGCGGAAGTTCTAACCACTGGTAACAAGCTTAAATGAGCAATACCAATAACACATTTATTTGCTGAATGAAAATCGGAAAACATTGGACAGGGAGGATAGTTGTGCAGAATTCGTCCAAATTACAATGAGAAAGTGAAACAGAGATCCGTTCTCAGGCGATACGCTCCTTGGGCTCCATGATGACGACCGAGTTGCCGCGAATGACGGTCATTCCGATGCTGATTGGATCACCGGACTTCGGGTATTCGATGGCCTCCTGAAAGACAAGAATAAATTCAAATATTCTAAGCAGGAGAAAAGAGTATTACGTCGATGACCATGTTCATGAACGGGTCGAATCCGCGGAGAATTCCGGACACATGGCGGTTTCCGTTCAGCTTCAGATCCATCTCCTTGTCCATGAACTTCTTGAGCTCTGGCGGGTGCGTCTTACTCATATTGCTGAAAGTCAACTGTTTGTAATGTTCGTAGTTATGGAAAACGTTATAAAGTAATATTTTAAATGAGAAGAGAAAATTCGGGCATAAACTTGCATAAACTGGTCAAGAAAAATTGGAGAACATTTCAGTGTTTAATTTTGATATACTTTAAAGCCAAACAACCAACAGAAATACATTCAAAATAAACGAAAAAGAACCATCGAGGTGCAGTCCCGCATATATTTTCGAAAATCGCTTTGTCTGCACTCGAAGTGTACGCGCACCCGAAACGACGACATATAGCGTACAGAAAATTGTCGACCGTAGTAAAAATATATATCAGCGGGAGCTTTTTGGAAGCTTTTCGACAGATTATTGCTCTGTTCCAAGCTTCTTAACAGCCCTTATTTCCCTGTTATGGTGAAAAGCAAAAGCTGCTATCACATTTTAGTCGCTCAGAACTTTTTATCTAATATCAGCGTCGATGGCAGCCACCAGGACACGAATCTTCGAATATTCCAAACAAAAGGACTTCCAAAGGTTTTCCATGCAAAACTTTCCATATAAACATGTTGATTCTTAAGTTACCATCAGAGAAAAAGATTTCAAATGGCGCCAGTTCAACAGCTACAGTTCGCAACAACGAATCGGTCGTTTCCCTGGGAACTTCCGCCTCCTTTGGAGAGAGATTGGTTAGAAACGGTTCTGTGCTGTGATTTTTAAAGATCTTTTTTAGAGTTCTTCTCATTTGCCACTGGAAAACTCGGACAGTGAACAACATGCCATTCTCTTGAATAACAACTTCAAAGAAACACCTCAGAAAAAGTGTGCATTCAGATACTGAGAGAGAGAGAGACGAGTTTTAAATTGTCGTTTCAGGACGTCCATATTCCGAAGAATCGCAAAAATAATGAGCTCCGATGATGTGATATACTCGATGACGGCGACGAACAGTCGAACTCCGATTCTTGAAGAAAGCGCCAACAGGGAAGAAATCGGGCTTATCGGTGAGTTTAATGCTCTCTTTCATCTTCAAAACCAATATAACATCCGGTGCCTTCAGAAATTCGCGCGGATTCCCCTTCGTGTACTTCGAACCAGTTCAGTTTCCTGAAAAGGCTGAAAAGCACGATCACACATGCGGACAGGTAAGCCGGAGAGAAATGGCGTCTCCCGACCCACTAATATAGTCTAACTCCGTGTCCTGGACTAACCCATTTTCAGGTATTACGTATGCAGTGCCTCCAATGACCTCCCCTTCGCCGTCTTTTCCTATCTTCCCACTAATAACGACTACATCGATCCTCTGGCTCCAATCTTTGCCAACGTCATCGTCACGAAGAAGAAGTTTCGGTCGAAGTCAATTTTCGGAAGGTTTAGAATAGTTTACTCACTTTTCCGATGTCTTCTCAACACATAATTGTCAAATGGATTCTGCAAACAGACATATTTTCAGTTCCGATCGTATGCGCCATCAGTCTCACGCCTCATTCGAAGAACTTCGTCCATATGTTTTTCGCGATTCTGAAGACCAAGTCATTCTGGGACAAATGCGAAGAAGAAGGAATCCATCGCCGTTTTTCACTCTTTTCGATAAACCACTTGTGCAACTTTCCCGTAAAGATCGTAGAGTAAGTCATCCCGATATCGAAGCAACTTATTATAGCGGCACCGCACAGAAATGGCGCTCTGTTGATAAAATCTTTTTGCAGTGCAAATTTAGCGACCTCGGGGCCGAGTTTGAAAAGTTAGGCCACGTTTTCAGTAGAAAATTACTTCGCGGCCTAGAAATTCGTCCAGATTGCGAACAGCGCGCCCTTTCTGTCCGGTGCCCCTATAATATAGTGTTATTCAGGAGAGTTTTCGAAATGGAGATGTCTCCGAAGACATATTCGGAGAAAGCATGGAAGTTCCTCAGTCCGTCAATCGGGATCCAAGTTACGAAAGAGGCGGATCCCTAGATGACAAGTACGAGTTGGACGTCAGTCGATCGGACGATCCACTGGAAGTGGCGGAGGAATACGATCCGAACGCGTTCACTGTTCTTGGAGTCGGAAAGAGAACAGTGATCAGGCATGATGGGTTCGTGGCGAGCACTCTACACTGCGAGTTGGCGGACCGCACGAAAAGCACGATGAACGAGGACTTCGAAGTCAAATACCCGATCATTCATTTGACATTGAGCAAGATGAAAAGTCTAAAGAAAGAGATGACGCAACTGGCGAAGGCGAATGAAATCGACGTGTTCACTCTAGCCATTGCTTTCGTTCACTTTGAAAGAATAGTTGGAAAAGTCAGAACGTTGCTGCTGTGAGCTCTTTAAAACGGCTGTTTTTCAGGGTCTTATCTCGAAAACGAATAGGAAATGCGTGGCCGGAGCCGCACTTTTGATATCCCTCAAAATGAACGACTACAGCAAATCGACGATCAAATCGTACATTGAACAAGCGGAAGATCAGCTCCGTGAGGCGAAGTCCGATCTTCTGGCCTATGAACTGCCTCTCTGCTCGGCTCTGCAATTCCGTTTGCAACCGACAATCGAAGAGATCCAGCCACACGTAGACAGACTTCAGTTTGAGCTGTAAATAGAACGAATAGGGCACAAATTCATGATTCTAGTCAGATCTTTTGAATAAAGCAGGGCTGATTCTTTTCAATTCTCTATCATTTGCTTGTTCGTTAAGTGTGTTCTTATTCACCTTCATATATCTCATGATTTCGAAATGCTTTTCTTTTTATTAATGTGCCTGTTTTCCAGAGAATGTCGCAGTTCGAATCCTTCTATCAAGATGTGAGTTTATTCGTATTCCTTCAGTTCCTCTCTAACTTCCCTTTGCAGCTCAAATCGACGGAGCAGCAGGATGCCGTCCTCACCTCCGATCAGCAAATCGAACGTCTCCTGAAGCCCGGCTCCACGTATCTCAATCTGAATCCGTACGAAGTGCTCCAGATCGACATCGAGACAGACATCGAAGCGGCGAAGAAGAAGTACAAGAAGCTGTCGCTGCTTGTTCACCCCGATAAGAACCCGGAAGATCGCGAGAAAGCAGACAAGGCATTCGACATTGTGAAGAAGGCGATCAAGCAGTTGGAGGATCCAATGGAGGTGAACCGCTGCAAGGACTGTTATACAGAGGCAAAGGCCAGATTGGCGATTGTGGTGAGGAGGATTGAGTGGTATGAGAAACACGGGTATGAGTTGCAGATGTCGGAAAAGAAGAGAAAACTTCGAAAAGACGGAAAGGAAGACACGATAGACGAGGACGATCCGGCTGGATACAAGAAGGCGTTGTGGATCACTGTGACGAAAGTGTTCGCGGACAGAGAGAAGAAGAGAAAGGCACTCGAGGAGCGCGCGAATGAGGAGAAGTTAGTGCGGGAGCAAGACTGGGATATAAAGAGAATGATTTCAGACGTCGAGCCACTGAGGCAATGACGCAAGCTGCCGAGAAGAGAAAACTGGCGGAAGAGTTCGCGAAGAACTACGAGGAATCGCGAGACGAACGGTCGGGAAGCTGGCGGAACTTCCAGGCGAAAAAAGCAAAGAAGGAGGACAAAGGAAAAACGATGAAGGGCGCCGCATTCAAACCGCCGAAGATAAAGCTGCAAAAGTAAACAATTGATCTCTTCCGATAATTTTATTTTGCTCCTTCTTATCATCATGAATAAACTATGCAAATCACTTCACGCGCACGTGTACTTTTAGGCACCGATCGCTAAAAACCGAAAGTAATCAGTTCGTATTTTCTGAAATCATCTGAGAGAACCACTGACGTGGTAAGTTTGAGGGAAAAGAGAAAATCTGGAGACTGAAATTAAGAGATCAGAAGTCAAAATGGGCAAAATCGAGACATGGGAGCTGGTGGAACGGACGGACGACACGATGACGTTTCTGTTCAAACGACGCGCGTTCCAAGAGGGAAAATACCCGCAGAACACGGAGAAGAAGAAAGATCAGCAGGGAACGGACCGTGGATTGGACACGCAAACCCGCGAGGTCATCGCCAATCTCCAGCAACTCAATTCGCAGATCCGACGCAGATTTCAATTCGAGGAAGAGCCAATTCAGAAGGGAAAAGCGGTGAAAGAAGTGCGACGCGACCATACCGGACTGTGAGCTCTCTCGCTCCCTTTCGGATTACCTCTCATAATTTATTTCAGTCCGCTCGACCATCCGTTGGCGAGAACTCCGTATCCGAATGCGACGACGATGGCGAAAAGAGCCAAAGCGAGGGCGATAATGAACGAACTCGCGAGGAAAATCAACGAGGAAAGACAGAAGCAGGAGAAGGAGAAAGAAGGAAAAAAGAAGACGGAGGAGGAATCGGCGAGTTGCGATGAGTCTTCATCGAACAAATCTTCGAAATCAGCAAAGCGCAAAACCAAGAAACCCACCGGAAACTCTACGAAAAGCGCCAAAAGTGTGAAAAGCTCTGCGAGCTCCAACAAGTTAGTGCTCTCTGATCGGCATAGAATGAAAGAAAGATTGTAGAGCGATGGGCTGTGACAAGTGTCGCAGTTGCCAGAAGTGCATTGAGAAGTGCTCGCAGAAACACGTGGCAGAGCAAGCGGTGACCGACAAAGAGAGAGAGGAGTTTCTCGAGGGAATCATGAAGCTCAGAAAGAAGATTCAGAAGCCTGAGGTTATCAGATTTGCAGAAATCTTCATTGTCTTTTGATTACTTGCAGAGAAGCCGCGAAAAGATGACGAAGTCTCCGTATGACGTCACTCAGAGCACATCGGAAGCGACGGTCGGAAAGAGCAAGAAGGAGAAGAAGAAAAAGAACACTTCGAACGAATAGGGCCCTTCACAGTTATAAAATCTTTTCTTTTCGATCGTCAAAACGGAACACATTTTATTAGAAACAATCATCTGAAAATGAAACAATAACCCGTTTCGGATAGTAAAGAGAATTAGTGATTGGAGGGTTCTCAGTGGATCGAACGAGACGAGGCGAGTAGTGCAGATCATCGGTTTGTCATGGGCGAGTGAGGTTGGGAGGGGGGCGATGCCGGGCTCGACGCGTGCTCAGACGACCTTGCTGGGTCTCCACACCGTCTGCGGATTCGTCGTCATTTGCATGTAGACCGGGGGCTGCGGCGGTGGAGCTGTGGGGGGCTCGAGCAACGGACGAGTCGAGGGCTCGAGTGGACCCTGGAAGAGATACTGTGAGAAAGGGATGGGCGCCGAGGGACAAACCTTGACGGGAGCCGAGGAGCACATTCCACAGAAGATGAAGTTCTTCCAGGAGTGGACGGTTTTGGCCGAGAGCACCCACATCAGGCACGAGAAGCCGGTGGTGAGGCTCGAAAGGACGGCGGCCATGTAGATCTCTGCTTGCGGAGCCGCTGGGCGAGGACAGGCTCCCGACTGCATCTTGCAGTCGATGGTCACTCGAGTCCACTGGGTCAGGATCATGAACTTGTAGGACTCGCAGACAAGTTCGACGATGTTCGGGAGCATGAAAAGAGCACAGAAGAAGCCCATTTTAACCATTAACTTTTCGAGTTTCGAAGTATCGGTTCCCTGGAAAATAGTGAAAGAGTGTGAGAAGTACAAAAGGGAATCTCACCCGTGTTCGGAAACTGATTCTCTCTCTGCACATGCTGGCGAATCCTCCGACAATGAAACACGTTCCGATGACAATGCAGATGGTGCGTGGAACAATAACAAACCAGAGAAGGGCGATCGAATTGAGGTTTCCGACCGAGCACAGAGCAGTCAGTTCGCTCGCGTCCACTTTGTTGAAGATCAGAACGATGATGGTGGCGAGGGAGGAAAGTCCCCAAGCGACGAAATGAACGTAGCTGCTGCATGCTTCAATTCCTTCGGGCACCCACTTGCGGCCTCCGCTCAGGTATCTGGAAAGAAGAGAAGGTTGCCATCTGGTGGCCGTTCCCAGGCACGGATTATGACGTGATCCGGGCGGGTAATCGACTCACAGCGTAAAAGAGAACATCAACCACCAAAGGGCGGCCGCCGTGCTGAAGAAGTAGTTGAGGAGGAAGGAGGCAAGACAGTACGAATTGTCGAAAGTGCCAATCGAAAGGTATGATCTTCCATTGCCCAGAGCATGACAGGAACGTATGGGAGCATCGAGAAGCAGTGGAAAGAGATAAGGAAGAGTAGAGAGGAAGAGGCACAGCGAGAGGTAGAAGACACATCTGAAAAGAGAGAAAGTACGGGTTGGTTGCTGATCCCTCGTTTCCCATAACGCTCAGAATGGAGACACTGCAACAGCTTGTCCCCCAAGTGACTCATTCCCTTCTTGTTATTACCCTCTTTCCCTCTCCCCTTGTTGTCTTATAATGACGAACCTCTCCGGAAAGCGGAACCTTTTTCGGTCGATGGCAAACGTCAAAAACGAGAAGAGAGCGACTCCTGCATTAGCGGCGGCGAACCAAACCGACCACGAACGGACCATATGCTGTAATTAACTGGTGAGCCGGAGTGCTTTGAAAGGTGAAAAAGGATACCTTATTGTCCGGACTGAACATCACGTCGGAGCCACATGCGAACGCGCAATGCGACTTTGGATCGTGCGGATCCACGTCGACGAGATCACTTGGACAGGCGGTTGGCTTGCGGGGAACCGAGAAGACTCCCGATCCGCCGACACTCGAGTCGTCGTTCTCTTCAGTCGGTTTCATGCACAACGTGGGCGGCTCCGGGAACTTTTCACAGTTCAGAGGCTCCGGCCATTCCATATCAAACTCCTTGAGAATCGAAAAGCAGTCTCTTTTTACCTGCAAAACGAACGGTCGCGTGTGCTGCTTCTGCTGCTAATCCTTTGCACAAACAATGCGACGCCATCTGGCAGCTGTTTACAATCCGTACGGACAAGACAGTCAACTTTTTCCTATTATGATTGATGCCTCCACCTGCCTTGCTCGGCGCGTAATGAGCCGAGCGAAGAGAGGGAAGCTTGCCTAATTGGGCACGGAAACGCAGCTGGGCGGGGGAAACAGGTGGGAGCGGAAGCCACGCGAGTCACATTAAAATCATCTGGAGAGAGAGCGAATAAGAAAGGATTGAAAATGAGAAGGAGATGCTTATTCAGGGGGAGCATAATGCGCTGAAACGGAACGGTTGGGCACCGTGCCAAACCGAAATTTACTTTTCAACCTCCTTTGTCGCGTCACAATCGCCTCACCTCTTCACAGACCGATTTACAGCTGGTCACCGCCTGCGGAATGCTATTCGGGCACATTGGCGCGAAGACCGAGCAGATGAAGAAGTGGATTTGCGGATGGCATTTTGTCTTCCACAGCGGCTTGAAATGCTCCGTGTGTGTTTGCAGCTGAAATCATTGAAATGCATGTATACACTCTGAGAGTCTCTTTCTCCTTCCCATCCACTCATTCTTTTTCGTCCCGGCTCCCTTTGTTGTGCTCCCAAAATGCAATTAGAGACCACCCGATCGCCCGGCCGTTTCTTTCCCTTTCCACCCCCGGAGCTCCTCTGTTTCGAAATGCAAATGTGATGAGAATAGAGAAACGGAGAACGGGAGGTCGTAAAACGGGCCTGGGGGATGACCGAGCCCCGGCGAAATTAGAAACATGTTTCGGACTTTCTTTTCATTTATGCCGCCGCTGTGATTCGATAATTCGTTATCAGAACCGATGGTTATCAGTGTGGTTGGCACTTGAATCGGGCCATAAAAACTTACGCGAGAGTGCAAACACGACGCCGGCTGAAAAACATGATTTTCCCTCCCTTGTCGTACCAACTACAGTAAGAAAACGAATGGTTTCTCCCTTTTAAGGCCAACCTCTTCCCCCTCTCACAGCCATATTTTTCCCTGGATCCTTCCATTCATTCATCCCTTTGTCTCATTTCGTCTTCCGAGAGAGCGTGTGCACCCGAGAGTGCGCAGAAATGCGCCGAGACGAGAAAAATGGTGCTCTTTGAAGTCGCCGCCGGCGCCAGTCCAGGTCGTCCTTCTATTTTTCCCCCCCCCCCCAAAAAATTCGGTTCTTTCCCATCACGTCGCCTCAAAAATAGGATCGATGGCGGCGAGGTTTGGCGGGAGGGAGAGCGACGAATGGATGCAAATCGGTGCGCCGAATATGGAAATGAGCGCTCACCGTGTGCTGATCGTTATGAAGAATTGTGTTGAAAGAGTAGGTGTAGTTGTACGGAAGATCCTTGCAAAGATCTATGTCAATTGGGACGCATTTTCCCTTGCCCGCCTGCAAAACAATTACATTGAGAAGAGGTTTCTCTCTCTCGATCGAAAAGCGGCTCTTCCATTCAATCCCGGAAATAGGGGTTTGAATGAGAAACTGACCTCGTTGAAGATTGATGGCGTGGCAAGAGGAATGAAGAGTAGGAATAGGAAAAGGACCATCGGATGGCGGAGAAAAGAGCTGAAGAGCTGCAAAGTTACGAAATAATTAGAGTCAATTACGAAAAGAGAAGACCGAGAAAGACGACGAAAACATTGAAGAATTGGGGAAGGAAAATGGAAAAAGTTGAGAAGAGATGGATGGAAATGGACACCGGGACGGGCAAAACGGTTGGCTGATAATCAGTGAGAACTAATTGTGGTAGACATGATGGCTTCTGGCGAGTGATAAGAAGTTTCAAATCAAGGGAAGAGCAGGGAAGAGCTTCTCATCCAAAAAAACTAAGAAGGCAATCGGCTGGTTGACAGAGCGGGAGGGGCGGGACGCATACAAACAGACCGTCTGCCCATCTGCATCTCTCTGCTCTTCGTGCCCTATCTGGCCCCGCCCCTTCCATTTCCAGGATTTGGGTGGAAGAGTGCTGATGAGGGGGACCGGGAGCTTCAGAAGAAAGAAAGAAAGAAAGGAAGGCTCCGGGCAAACAGGACAATATTTCAACGGCGAAAATTAGTTGAGGCGGTTGTCCGGGCACAACAGGGATGTGCCTGGATGTGCGATCTCTTTTCTAATGTCTTGATTTATTAGGTTCGTCGGGGGAGACGTCGTCTCCGCATCTTATTCTTCCCCTCGTCCGATCGATGATGATGATGCGTCTGCCGGAGAGTTTAAGAGATTTATGACGCTGGTCGACCCGTGTCATAGCGATATGTTGTGTATACGAAACATGTATCAGAGGACGAATTGATACGGAAACATCTGGATGGAGAGAAGAAGTTCGCGAGGGGCGAGAGAGAGGGAGAGAGAGAGAAAGAGGAATGGGTGACCGGTGGGGAGGAGCACGGAAAGGTGGAAGGGTGGCGGCGACCGGCAGGGAATGACTGGTACAATTGACAAATAGGGAACGAGAGAGAGAGAGACAGACGAATAACTTTTTTGAATTTGAATGATTGCGCGGCAAGGTTCGAGAACACGGGAACGGGCAATGAGGCGTGCGACCATTCACAGACAAATGGATTTCCACAAAAACATTCCCATTAAAGTTGACGTATTTGCATTCGAAAAGTAAAGTGGGGAATGAGTGCCACAAAGGTGATTTCCGAACGCAATTGGAAAGCATGAAGTCACAAGTTAATCTGAGGTCCGGATACTTCGAACTGTGTCTTCTAATTGAGTGGGACACAATGAAGCGTTCCTGTTCTTACTGTCCAATATATGGCCACAAAAATGTGAAGATGGAGAAGAGGAACTGATGACTAGTACGAGTGCAAACAGACGAAAGAAGGGGCAAAACGACGAAGAAGTTGGAGGGGAGGAACCGCAAAAAGGGAAGACGGAAACACGCTCCCAGTCATGTCGGTCATCATATCCGTCCGACGAAAAGTGCGCGGTATGACGGTGATAGGGGTGAGGTTGGCACGCGTGACGACTAAAGAGAAAGAGGGAATTCGAACGAGGCGGGAAAAGAAAGGCATTCAAATGGACGAGTGTTATCTGCCAACGAACCCCATAAATTCTCGCGCCGGACCGAAGAAAGGGACGCCGAGCGCGAGATAAAGGGGATAAATCAGCCGATTAGGGGACCGGGGAAGCGTAGATCAGAGCGGGGGTGCGCGAGCGAATCGATGACGGTCAGGGGAAGAAACAGAAGAAGGAGAAGTGAGTTAGCCGTCGCCCATCAGGGCCTCTCCCACTGGCCCCACCGAATCTGTGTTGGGGTTGCTGCTGGTGTCGTTCTGATCGCTTCTCAGATAGCATTCGGACTGCGGAGGGTCACAGAGACAAGTGGCCAGAGAGCGTGCGAATCGCGGAGGGCGCCCGAAAGCAATAAAAATGTGTGTATGTGTATGGCTATAAATCGTGGCGAATGGCGCGCGTGGTCCTGCGTGCACCCACCAACACCCCGACGGAGACGGACGGACGGACGGACGGACGGCGAGGAGACACATTGATTATGGGCCATGAACTTTTGAGAATGGGAGGAGACCGATGGAGACGTCGTTTCGAAGGTGTCTGTTTTTGTTGTGAGAAGGACGCGCTGATTTGCATCGCGGCAGCACACTTAATTGAAATTTCATGAAGGTCTCCGAATCTTGCAGACACGATCTGTTGACATCTTCATCTTTGGAAAAAAAACTCGAGAAAAACATAGGTGAGCGAGGGGCGAGAGCCATCGGAGACCTCATAAACGAGACGGACACTCATTTGCCCGGCTGCCGACAGATGGACTGCATGTCTGGATCCGCGGATCCGATTGTCCGATGATGTTACACTGACAGTAACGATGAGATTCGGATGAATCGCTTATTGTGTTCACTTCATTAAGCATAAAGTGTCTGACTGAAAAACGGAAACACGATTGTGTGATTGTCTTCGGAAGTGTATTGCTATTGTCTTCGTAATTTCCATGGCAAAATGACTTTGCCAGATTACGGTACTAAACCCAACTTGTTCGCATATCTTACCGTTCCACGTGGCTTCTCCCGGAAGACGTTGCCAACCAGTTGTTTCTGATCAACATCAATTGGCCAAAAAGGTGTGAAAAAAGAAAGAAAACTTTCGCTTTTTTATGTGTTTCGGACTAGAACCTATGTAAAAACAGAAGAATGGAATAAGAAATGAGAAGAACGAAAAGAAAAGAAGGTGAAGGGGAAAACGAAACCGGAAGGAAGGGACAATCGAGCGAATCGACGACTTTTGAGCACACGAAGTGACGGGAGACGGCTGGATTCAGCAGCTGCAAAGAGAAGAGTTGAAGGGAGATTTCAAGGGAAACTAATTGGAGTACCTGGGCGCATATTTCGTGGTCTCCGGGTATCCGTTTCAGAGGGATGTTCATCTCTCTCCACCCCTCCACCGCAAACGTTCCCAAGTAGTCCGCGTGGATTTTCGTGGATCCTTCGAAGATTCTGTACGTCAGACTGACACTGCTGGCTGCAAAGTTCCAGTCGTCGGCAAAGTGAATCAGAAGGTTTGTGGTGTCACAGCCATCCAATCTGAACATGGCAATGCTTCAAAAGTTCCAGAGGGGTTCCGTGAACTCACTTCGTGTCCAGCTTCAGAAGTCTCTTCAACCAGACGTGCTCCGAACCGTTCCTTCTCATTTCTTCGCTCATTTTTACAATAAAGTTTTGTGTATCATTTGCCCAGTAAGTCCCTGAATAAGAATTAGATCAATCTAGTTGTGTCCACAACCTTTTTGGATAACATACCGTACTCTCCGTTTCTAAAGGTCTCGTATCGAATCGTCGATGTCCATTCAACCTGGTACCACTCGTTGGAGGTGAACTTACAAGCCACGTACTCCTGAAACAAAAAAACGACCGTCAGATGTTGCCCTGATCGGCGCAGTTACCGGATAATCAGTCGGTACACTGACGATCGGGCACTCCTGATTTGTCGAGTTGAATTCTATTCTTTTCTGATGCTCCACTCCCATGTTCATTCCTTGCGACAACTTGAACAAATGCCTCGAAATGCTCGTCTGGCAAGTCTCGTATCCTCCGAGATCCGGCGATATCCTGTACTCTGTTTGGTATCCTTTGAACGTGAGTCTGCACGAATGGGCAGTTGCCAGCTGGCGCCACGAGATTGAGACTCGACTCTGAAGAGACGTTGTCGATTGGAGGTCCCTGATCTCTTCCCTGGATAGAAATGAGTATGAAATCGGAGAAGAGCGGGGCTGTCCTACCGTATTCCCTTATCAGATCGAAGTGTAACGCAGAACTGTACCGGATAGGAGAAGAACTGAAACAGAAGAATTGTGAATGGAAGCAGGAAGGAGAACTTGCATTCATGTTAGCATGTGAATAAGTGGGAACATGAGAGCAGAGGTAGACAGAAAGATCCTTAACGATTTCCGAGTTGATGAGTCGGGCATGGCACAGAGAGCCCGTGAAGAGCATGAAACGGAGCAAGAGGCGGCTCATCTTTCATGGCATTCCGAGAGAAATCTGAAAATGAAGACGTGGCAGAGCAAGAGAAAGAGCAAAGTTTCGGGGGTGTGAAGCGAGGAGAGAGAAGTCGGCGGTAGGGCGGCGACGACAACGAACAAATGAATAAATGCAATTAAGAAGCGTAGTGTATACACACATCCCTATGTATGTCCCCGAAAAGAAGACAATGTGGTCCATCAGAAGGAAGAGAGACCGCCAAGATACGCTATGTTTGGTGTAATTCGGTTATTGGGTGAAATGTTGCAGGAGCCGAGACGGAGTTGCGCAACGTTTTAGCTGTACGTTTTGGTGCCAATTAGAACGAGGAAAAGGACTTGATCAAATCGGATAACTTTTGGGTTCCGACTTGCCACTAAGGGGGAGGTTATCATAATGGAAGATGAAGCGGAGGAACGGAGCTCTTCTGGAGAGCAAGAGAATCAGTTCAATTCGTCGGTGCTCGGAAGAAGACTAATATACGAAGAACTCGTTGATTGAATCTCCGAGGAACTCCCTGGAGATGGGAGAAAAAAACGACTTCGAGGTGCGAATGAGCGGGGCAAGAAAACAGAAATCGGATTAGAAGAATTGTACTTTTAGTTGGGCAATAGCATCCTGCACAAAGTGTGGAAAGTGAGGGAAAAGCGATGGGGGCACGTCCTCTATCATGGACGACGATCAGTGAGTTGGCGGAAGCGAAAGAGCAACGCTCGGCTCCTCCGGACAGCTTTGATTGCCACCCCATCAGTGTTTTGGACTGCGCGCCCCAAGAGGAAGGGGTCCCTCTCGGTCTCATTAACATGTTTGCTAATCCGCCGTTTCAATTCGATTTGTGACATATTGTCAAGTGGGCGGTCGAGAGGGAAAAAAAACGAAGAGAATGGAAGGGAAGGAATAGTAATTAGAAGGATGTGAATAGAAGAAAACGGAGGAAGACTGGCGGTGCCGATGAGAAAGTATGCATTCGGAATGAACTTGTCATATCCAACAAGTACGATTTCTGGGAAAGCTGGAAGTGTAGTCCTAGTTGCCGCAAAAGACGCAATTATTCATTCAGCACACTAAATTGTTCCCCAACGGCTTCTTAAAAACGTCTCTGGAGCGTTCCGCGCGATCGAGTGCAGGGAATTTCTGATCGCTGGCAGCCAAGAAGCGTAAGAACTTACGGCATACCACTCTTTAGAGTAAGTTATTGATAAGTTATAGAGCTCTATAACTTATTTTTTCTCATTTTCAGCACTCCGTTTCATCCAGAATGCGCCGCCATCAACCGGAACCGGACAACGACATCCTTCTCCTTTCTCCTCATCGGCTTTCATTAAAATCCAATGATTACTGTTCAATTGTTATTACATTAATTGTTGGTTATCGATAAATCGATTTTGTCACGCAATCGACCCCGGTTTCCCTGAAAAAGGGCGTCAAATCGGCGTCGGCACCTTTTTTCCTGAGGAGAGCCTTGGGAGGAAGAACATATTAAAATGAGCGTTCGGCAATCGTTCTCTCCGAAGAAACCTGTTATTTCAGTTTCCATCTCTTCTGTTGCAGCAGTTTTTAAAAGAGTTGTTTCCTTTTCCGTCGGTTGTTTATTTGCATCATTCGCACGCCCTCCGGCCTCTCCCTTTCGGCACTGTCGACATGCTCTTTCGATTCGGTGACGTCGTTTGTTTGTCGACTACGAATCGGATTACTTTCAGACTCTTGCCGATCTCTGAAAGTCATTCGCACCGTCCGTGCCATCATCATTATTCCACCCGCATTGCACGTTGGCTCCACGTTGTCTGTTACTCGAAAAGAGCCGGTCCAGTTCGCAAACCGTTTGCTGTTTACACGCGGAATCTCGAGAGCCGAGAGCCCCCACGTAGACGGATCACAGAATCGAGCCACCGTGTTCTTGTTTGAACAATGGCCTGATCTCTCGCTTATTTCGATGTTCTTGCCCATTATGACGTGGCTTTGCTCTCACTCTCAGTGATCATTTGAAAAGAGACGTTTTGCGCTGAGCTCTCATTTCCTTGCAGTTCCTTGAAAGTCAGCCAGTGCAGTCTTGCATTTATCGATTCATTCTTCTCATAATAATCACGAGTGATCGCAGGCTGAACTCTCCGTAATCAGAATGTCAGTGACTCACCTGTGTCGGACCGCCCATTCGGCCATTTCGCTCCCGCATACTCTCCATTTTAAAAGTGTTCTCAGTGCTCACAGATCGCAACATTTCGCCCTCGCACCGGCTCTGTTTGACCTGCTCTCTCCGTCGTTACTATCCTGCTTTTGCCCCGTTTATTTGTGTATTTATTCGTTTTCTCTTTTTCTTTCGAACAAGTTGGGAGCAATCCATGCTAATATTATGGCAGACAGTTGCCTTCTGATTGTTCAAATATTTGATACGCACCCAACACACTAATATTGAGTACAACACACGCCGTGTTGATTCTCTGGAGCCATCCAGAATCTTTCTGTTTGTTTTCTTTGTTTTTGCTCCCTCCAATTGTGCTGGGAAAACTGACGGTTACCGCCCAAAAACGTTCCTTGAGAATCATCTTTTGAACTTTCAAATCCTCGGTCTCCCTTGAGTTGAAATCAAATGTTTCCACACACTTGATACCCCTTTCAGAAAACTTTTGTTCGAAAAATATAATAAAAAGTTGAAAAGTGGGAAAACAAAGAGCATTTTAATGTGCTCGGCGGCAAGCCGTTTCCCGTTTCTCTCAAGAGTTCGTAGATCTTTGCTCAGGCGATCGGTTAGGCAGATTCCCGCCACTTTCAGAAGTGCTTTTCCCCGAGGCGCTCTCAGAATTGGAGTGAGAAGAAGGCGTCGCGGGACGTCCGTTGTTGTTTTGTCAGCCGTTCCTTTTACTCTGATATAAAATGTGTTTTTTGTGCTCTCCACCCGTCTTCTCATATGTTCCGACTTCTTTTTTCCCCTCTTCTTCTTCTTCTTCTTACTCGTTTATTGCTTCTTCCTCCCCCAAGTATACTGGCCCCATTTCCACTCATTTGCCTACAAACTTCTTCATCTCCCTCTTCTTCTTCTCCTTCTTCTGGTTCCCCAACTCATCAGTAGCTATTGACCGGAGGATCCTGACGAGTGTCTGTTGTTGTTTTCGGCTGATCCTCCAGATGTTTGCACCGGACCCGTTTGACCCGCCGGCCGGTGTCGTCCGCGGTGCCACTCACATGACCGCCCTTCTTCCCGCTTGTTATTCTCTCTCGTGCCCTTGCTGAAATCAACATCTGAAACGGACATTTGGCGCAAAACAAATCCGTTCTCAAAATCGGTTCGTTTCTATTTCCATATGATGATCCGCCTACCCTCGGCGCGTTCTTCAGACTGATAAATCGGTCGGGAATGTGCTGTTCCCGGGCGAAAGTGAGTGCTCCGGAACTCGATGTTTTCAAAACAAAAGGGAACAGTTGGTACTTTGTACCTTTTGGTCGTTTTCTGAGCGGGAACGAGAAGAAACACTTCGCATTTTTCGAAAGTTGCAATCCTTTTGTACCCAAAATGCAAAGAATGACCAGCAAGAAACAAGGTCAGAATCTGTTTGATTCTTCAAACAAGTACGTGCCGATAAATCAGAATTCAGAGGAGTAGCTACGATCCCTAGGGGGTGATCTGAAAGTCTCAAAGTTCGGTGATTCCTGATTGAGTCACTTTAACTTTTATGACTGCCCGGAATGGAAGGCAATCAGGGAGATCGCGACCACTTTGCGAGCCATTTCCCGTATTTTCCGTCCAATTTGGCGGCTGCACTGAATGTTGTTGTCAATTTCTAGTCATCTGATCTCTTTCAATTCCGATTCTCATTGATCCCACCCTTTTGACAGTCGAATTGCCAGCCTTTTATCCCGGCGGCTTCAAGGGTCGCGTCGACTGTTCTCTGCAACCTTAAGACTTGTTGGGTGGTCGTGGTCCAGGCCTCCGAGGCGGATAATATTGCGATGATGATGTTTCCTCTATTACTGCTACTTTGCGGTCATTTTCTCCAAAGATGCAGTATATCGTACTCTACATAAGTATCATCATCATCAATCTTATCATCACAAGACTTTTAGAACCTGGGCCACTACGTCATCATTTAGTGATCTTTATTTTGTGAACTTGACTTTGATAGGTTGTCGCGTTTCGTAAACCGTCGTCACAAAGTATATCTTTTCGTATAGCTGTTGAATGGGAAACCGGGGGAAAGTACACGAGAAGCAGCTGACGAGCAGCCGGCCATGTTTCTGGAAAACATGAATCACGAAGCTAGAAGTTCTCACAAGTGGCTACAGATAAAAGCATGAGACTGAACGATTCTCCGGCTCACTCGGGGCTTCTAGAACGCTCCCCCGTCAACATTGACTATTCTCATTTCCCGACAAAACAGAATATTCGCCGACTGACTAGTGAGCAAGCAACCGGAATGTTTTCCCATTCAATCTCTAATGTTTCAAAAACCACAAACCATGCGACCTGCGGAACTTTTCCGACTTAGATTGGGTCTGGAACCGCACTTCCACGTGTCACACGCGTCCCCCCGATCGCCTTTTTTGTTTTGAATGCTTTCAATTCCACCGCAATCAGTCAGTCGCTCAAATCTGATTATTTTCGGTTCTCAAATGATGAAAAGTGTTGTCCTCGGCACATTCCGAACGTGTCGAAACAGCTGGACTTGCCAATTGGCGCCGTGTGATGATTTGTGCAGAAATCAAAACATCGCTGATTCTTCCTGAGGTAATTTTCGGCAAGTTGCCGCGGGAGCAGCAACGGTAGAAAGGTAGAAGCAAGGAAGTAGCAAGGCATCAGCGCGTATCAAGCACCGAATCGGCACCCTTCCAGCAATTTGCCGCAGAAAACGGCACTGATGCCGATTCTTGCGGCAACTTGCCGAAAATTATCCTTTCTGTGTTTGCTGTTCATAATATCATATTTGCTGAGGAGGTCATGGTATTGTTTTCGACAGCGAATCGAGACACCTTCATTCATTCGCCTCCTTCTTGTTGTGTTTTTTGCCTCCTCCTTTTCTTCGTGACTTTCGGTCCTGGTTGATAAGGGCGGGATGTTTGATTCGACGGTGTCCGACTGATACTAATCGAACATGACACCACTGTTCCCCCGGATCTTTGCGACTTCTGAAAAGGACGTGATCGATGGCAGCGAGGGGTGAAAGTCACAAAGTATTCTTCTTCTTCTCATTCTTTCCTTTTCAAGGGGACACGCTTCGACGCTTCCGTCCCTGTCTACCTCTTCTTCTTCTTCTTCTTCTTCTTCTTCTTCTTCATCTCTTTTCCTACCTGATTCACCTCCTCGTACCCTCATATCCGATTTCCGAAAGTGCATTGTCTCTGCGCTTCGGCGTGGCTCACAGACTCCAAACTACACTAGATATCTCATCATTTTTCCGTTTTCTTCTTCTTCTTCTTCTTCTTCTTTTTTTCATCTTCCTCTTTTTCCGCTTTACACTCCGGGATATCCATGAAACTGAGGAGTGACCTCGAAGAAAAAAGGAGAAGAATAGCGAAGACGATAAAATGGGTCTCTCCCTCTCTCTCTCTTTATGTTTCTCGAATGCAGACGCCAAGTACGCATCAAAGACCGCCTGGGAGCCTCTTCTAATTCTATTATTCATGGCTCTTTTCCGAATGAGTCTATGCCACGTGACACCCTCAAATTGATTCGTTCTGGGCGGCTCATTCACCTCTTTTTCATCTAATAACTCCCACAAAACAGCCCGATCTCTGCGCCTCCTCACTTTTATCCTTCCTGACGCCTGCCAACGTGTTCTTGACAACAAACAACCTTAGAAAAGAGAAAAAGAATAAAAGGGACGGAAAGATGTTGTGTCTTTCTGCCACTGTCGCAGCCTTCTTCTCTCTCTCTCTCTCTCTCTCTCTCTCTCCTTCTCTCTGGTTTCTGATTCTTCGAGAACAATCATTTATCATTGCGGCTTTCGTCGCGAATTAATGGCCGATACGAACGCGAACTTTCTTTCCGATGGCCACAAAACACTAGGATTCGGCAGACGCAAAGCCGTTTTCCATGAGAAATGACCTCGACAACTGGCAGCTTTTCCCGCACAAACATCTGCCAATCTGATTAAAGTCACGAGACTGGCAGCGGATCCAAGTCCCATTTGATACTCGCTTTGTGCTCTTTTGGGCTCCGGGCTCCGGGCACCTCAAAAAATCACAGTGATATTAGATTTCCAGAGCACACGGAGCCATGTGAAAGGTCCGGAAACATCTGTCCCATGGAGACATTCAGTTCTGATTGATTGTGCGAGAACGACCCACCGCACTCCCGTCATTCGTTCGCCAATCGACTTTTGCTCCTTTCAGGGAAAAACAAGCAAAGAGCGTGTTCTGCAAAATGCGTTCGCCGTTCTCTCTCTCTCTCTCTCTCTCTCTCTTCGCCCGTTTCCATTCAGGTCGAAAGGCATTAGCGGAAAACACGTGATGCCACGTCTCCGAAATTCCGCGAGCTCTTACCGACCACAGATCACAATGGATGTGTCTGGTGCGTGCCACGTGTAACATTTCGGCCCCGCTCCGTTCGTCATGTGTCGTTGTTTTCTCCCCTCCAATCAACAATTGTTTTGCGCCTTCTCTGCGTCTCGCAACGACTCCTCGCTCCCCACTGATATAATCCAGCTCATTTTCCGGCAAATCCTCGTCAACTTTCCATATCTTTTTGCCCCATTTCCCCTTTCTAATCGACGTGCTCACTGGTCAACTGACCGCCTGCTGACCAGGTGCCTCTTCTCTAAACAAACCCTTCCGCGAGCATGCACGTGTTCTCTGAACCGCTTCCGTTTTTTGCACTTTCGGTATCTCCTTCTGGAATCTGCAAATCCCCGGAGAGATTGGTGGGCGAGCGGCTCCGTTTCTCCTCGTGACAAAAAAATGACGGATCGGCGACGTTTCGGCACCAAAAATAAACCTCGTTTCGCTTCCGTTTCCCCCGAATAGCACCTCCCTCGCGGATGCTTCCTCGACAAAACGCTCTGAAATGTTTTGAGATGACGCGGCGGGTTTACTGTAGGAGAACGAGAAGCATTCTGAGATCTATTTTCAGAATGGCATGTTCAGAATTTCTCTTTTCCAGACCAAGAAGCAGATAGGCAATCGCCTACTTGCCCTATAAAAAGTCGCCTTCTGTGACTGTCAACGGATTAATCTTCCGATTCCCCCGGACGCCTTCCAGTCCACCTTTTCCGCATTATTTTCTGTTGGAACTGTTCTTCTTCGCCACCGTAATTCCCTCGACAACCTTCACAATTCTCGGATGTTCCGCATCGCAGTCAGCCACAAGTCAGTTCCATCGCCCATGTGACTTTTGGAAGTATTATTGCGAAATCTCATCTTTTTCTTTGAAAACCGTCGTCGCACACCCAAAACGTACCGGGGTCATTCTGCTGATCTTCTCTTTTTCTCTCCGTCTCCTCCGCACTCCTTTCTCCCAGATGTTTGTCGAAATCTGAATATGTGTCTGGCCTGTCTCGGTCTCTGCTCCCATGATTCCTGACCGTCTCCTCGTTGTTATTGTCGCAAGAGACGCCCGGGGGCCTGTGCATGTTTGTCTTTTCGAAAGCTGCTCCTCTCCATGTGTTTCATTTCGTTTTTCATAATGATGGTATTTTGGCAGCGCCTCCTGTCTGTCCATTTGACCTACTTTCGGCGTTCAGTCCATTTCTGCTCAAAAATCGAAAGAGTATTTGTTCAATGCCCAGAATAATATGTATGTAAAATGCTCGCGGGCTCCCTCCATCCTAATGTTTACTTTTTCTCTTTATATGGTTGAAACTTGAGAACGCACCGGCTCTGTCCCCAATGGCACGTACTCAAAATAGAATGAGAGAGTGACGTGGCAGAGAAGGGCTCTTCCAGATCACCGCGTTTACTCCGCGTCTTGTCAGTTCGAAAGGCCACCGCTACTCTACTGAAACCCGAGATGAGCTGCTCTCTTCTGGTCAACGACCACCCGCTCCCTCTCTTGCATTGTTTGACATTTCGTGCCCTTCGGACCCGCTCAAAAAACGAAGATTCGTATAGACGGGCGGTCGGAGGAGGTCCTGTCTTCATCTTCATCTCCCTTCCCTCCACTTCCTGGTTCTTTTCTATCAGCCCCGCGAGCAGTCCTCTCTTCCGTTATCAGTAGGCCGGCCAGCCAGTCAACCACTTCATCGAATTATCAAACAGCGCCATTGTTTCCTTACGAAGGGTACAAAAGAACTGTACGTGTGTGTGTGTGTGTGTGTCTGTTTAAGAGGAGACAATGCCGATGTGTAGTCGTCTTGTCATTGAGCTTCGGTCCTTCTCTGGGCTCTATTTCGGGCGCTTCTCTTATCTTGTTTTGTTTAATTCTCTTCGCTCATTGTTCCACGTCATAACTTTACGGTCATAAAGTGTCACAGTGATCACTGAAACAGACTGTCTCAGAAAACGACCGTCTTTCGGACCTTTTGTGATTTGGTCTGCGGACGGCGGGGGGTGGTCGTACGACGTGATCGTTTGGTTCTGCCACGTCATATAACCGTATTCGACCAATTCGTTTTCGCTTTTCCCATCAACGCTAATTTTTGTGAGAATTTGTGTGTTATGGGGTTGGCGGAAACGAGAATAAGACAATAAGGAGAGGGATACTGTAGCGGTGCCACGTCATCAATTTGAATATAAATGAAACATCTAGACTGAAGTTCACACTGTCCGCAGATGTTGGTTTGACAACTGCTGCGTCGCGGGAAGGGACGAAAGATAGAGCGTCAGATGTTTGAAAGAGTGGAAGAGCCAAGTGTTTCACAGAAATTTTCTGGGTCAATGTATGCTGTCAGATCACTGCATTCGTATCGTGATATCATTAAGACTCCTTCGAAAAATTCTCAAAAAAAAAAACACAGAAAACAAGCTTGTTAGAAAACAGATGTCTGTTTTATTGATGCTTGTTGACTTGAGTTCTCTTCAGAAGAGTGCACGTCTCGAATGCTCTTTCAAAGTCTGAAACTGCCAATTATTCTGCTCTCCCACTCAATTGTTGCAGTTCCAGACGTGAACCCATCACTCATAACATCATCATGATGCTCCCCTCTTCCGTGCTCCATCCTGCAATCGTTTTGCTCAGTTCACCCAACCTTTTGCCCTTCAAGCCGTTCTTCTCCTTCTTCTCTTTTGGCTTCGACTGGAGAAGCGACAGGGGAGAAGGAGGAGCCAACGTGTGTTCCTCGCCGTCTCGTTTCTCCGTTTCTCTCGCCGTCTTCTCCCGCCTTCTTTTGCCTTCTCTATCAGTATTATGGGGTCTCATTCAGTCGGATTCCCTCCTCCCTCTTCACATCTTTAACTCTATGTTTCTTTCAGATTATGGATGATATAGCTGTTCCGATCGCTTCTACTTCCGGCGGTGCCGACGATTCAGTCATCGCCTTCCAGTATCCGTGGGCGCTCAAAGTGTGCCAAAGGTGAGTGGCGTCCCTTTCGATCATTTGCTCTTTCGGCATTCCGACGTGGCACTAGTGGCGGATAGTACCAGTTCCCGGCCTCTTCTCCCGCTTTCCTTTTCGATGTGCACTCGTCTCAAACACATTTCAAACCGATTTCACCGCCCCGGTTAGCCTCAGTCAGTCATGTTTACTTCTCGGAAAGCGGCGCATGCTCTCAGTCTGTTTTTTCGGTTTGTTTGTAGTCTGAATTGCGCCTCCCAGTCTGCTACGGGAACGGGTTACTGTAGTGATACTCGTCGACCAACAAAGAGGCGAAAAAGTGACCGTATCCAGGGAGAGGGCGAAAAGTGAAAGTTATTGTTGACGACGCGAAATTGTTCTGATAAAACAGTTTTCCCAGTAATAATCGAATTGATAAGGAGGCGAAAAGACGATGAAATGGGGAGACGAGGAGGTGCTGCCGCATCAAAAACCATCGGGGAGGACAAAAGATCGGAGAGGGCTTGAAAAGGCATAGACTGTTGAGTGTGGGAGCCACACCAAACACCACCTTATGTATGCTTTTCCGTTGCAGACAAATCGAGGACGAGTCGATTCTTCTGAATGTGTCGCGGCCGTTCTCAACCTCGTACAAACATGTGCAGTTCACATGGGCACTCCGACTCACCGACGAGTACGTGCTGTCCAGCAACGGTGAGTTATGACCCTTTCTCCCTTCTTCTCTCTGTTCTAGTTTGTTCTATTTTATTTTGACACCTCTCACTTATTTCGCCCCTTTTCTGAAACATGTTTTCGTTACGGTGAAGCTGGAACAGTGTGTAAAAAGCGGCTGCTTGTTTGGTCTTCGGACCCTTTTCGTTCCCGTGACGTCATCGGACCCTCGGGTCGGTTGAATTCGGGCGCCGGAGTGGCAGTATCTGTGGCGCCAGGTGTAACACACACACACCTCACGGCTGTCCATCTATCACCCAGTGCACTTTTGGGCGCGTCTCCGATCACATGACTGACCCGCTTCGCTCTGTAATCTTTGTGCTTCCAGCTGCCGTCGACTCGAATCGCCACGTGCTGCTGCATCTCTACTACAAAGAGGGACCGTGCGCCGAGGTAGACGTCGAGGAAGTCCGTGCTCAGATCCTCGACCCGGCCACCAACGAGACTCTCTTCTCCGGTCTCATCCTCACCGGCGGAAAGTTCACGAGAGGCAGTGGATGGCCGATCCACGTGGACAAAGAGGGAAGGGCCGAGTTCACAGAGTTCCTGCACAAAAAGGTCGATTCGAATCTGTTGGTTGTGGTGGAAATCCGCATGAAAGAGTCTCATTTCGAGCCTTTGAATTATCTTCCGGACGTGGAAACCGCCTTCTCCAGGACTACGCAGATCATCGAAAAGGCCGTTCACAAGTTCGTGGACGATGTGATCAACGGAAAGATTCGCATTCCGGATCTGGAGCACGTCGACGAGAAGGTACCCCCTTTTTTTCCTCAGTTGATTGATTGAATTCGCATTGTTTTGCAGCAAGCCGACAACGACAAATTCTCGGTGCACCGGCTGATTTTCATCTACGGCGTGGATACGGTGTGCCGCGAAATCTCAGAGAACGACCAGCAGAGCGAGATCTGCGAACAACTCGTGCGAAATGTAAGTGTTTTGGTGCCGGCCGTCTGGAAGCTTTTTCTATATGCGCCACTTGAAATTCTGATTATACTGCTCTGTTTTTGTGTGAAATCCGAGGAGCGCAAGGCCAGACCATCATATGGTATAAACATGTTTTTGTTCCGATATTTGGGAGCAAAAGCCGCGAGCCGGGCGCACACGTCTGGAAAGCATACATGCAGATGGAACACAGATGCAAAATGGGGAAGTGGAGGGGTCGGGTTACGGAAAACAGATTGATTCCGGGATCATGATGACGTCCGTTCGGCTACAGTAATCCTCGTGGGTTCTAGTTGACTAATGCTGCCTTTCTTTCCGCTTCATTGAACTCGTCCTCTTCCAGTTGACTCGCTCTTCCACTATTTCTATTTTGATCCGATTGCCACCAGTAATCAGACACCTCCTTCTCCTCTTTCACCTGAAAAACAGTAAATACGAATCTGATTGATGCTATTCTCTCCTGCAGTTTTCGCCCATTCTGAAATTGATACTCTTGGTTTTCATGTCACGAATCTCAAATTATTCTTTTTGCAGACGTTCGCCCATGTCTACTTCGAACGAGTGCTCTCACGTGAAATTAAATTCTTCGATGACTTCGTTACGCTCGTCGAAGGACTCACTTACGCTCATCTGCCGGCTCTCCGCAAGGAAGTCGAGAGGTTTATCTGCCAGGAAGTGATCCAGGTACCCGTTGCCCATCCAGCTTCCTCGTGTACCGTCATCTTCAGATTCAGTCCGAAATGGATCCATCTTTTGCGAAGAAATTGCTGCTCGTTTCGGAAAAGTACAACCTCGAAGTGCTCAAAATGGTGATCAACGGATTCCTCGTCGACCAGATCATTGGCAATTCGAATCCGCCGAAAGAACTTGTCAATATAAAACACGAACTGCAGCAAATGGCGCATGAAATGTAGGTGGTCACGTGCAAAGAGCAAGATCTCATCCGTGTTCATTTTGCAGACAGGAGAGCGAAAACATCGAGAACCTCGTGGGTACGGTAGTGACCGATCTGCAGGAACTGACCCGCCGAGTCCGCCGAGTCTCGCTCTCCCACTCGCCATCGCAGTCATCGCATAGCAGGTAAAAAACGAGAGAGTGTGATGCAATCAGGACGGTTGTTGCGGCAGGAAAAAAGCAAGGAATGGACGGACATTCGCGTGCGATTCACATGAATTCCACGGCCGCTGCAAACACTTTTTGTTTTTCCAAAGTCGAGGAATCACAAGATTCAATTAGAGAAACTTTTTTGAAGAGGGGTCGGGAAAGTGACAGCACATGCCCCGGGAGCAATTTTTTGAGAGACAGCTTGGTCCTCCTCCAACAAAAACCGTCCCACAGTGTCAGGGAAAGAACAACTTTGACCAAAACGGAATTCCATTTCAGTTCCCCATTGGCCACGCCCACAAATGGCAGCGGGTCCCCATCGGTTCCGGCGCCGTTCGATTCGCCGACGAGCCGCTTCAAAAGAGTTTCGCTCGCCTAAACGCCTTCGTTTCGGTTCCCTCCCCCGCGTATATTGTACTCACACGTGTCTATATATAACAATATAACGTGTAAATGCCTCCTCCTTCTTTTTCTTCTTCTTCTTCTTTTGCTGTTCGTTTTTTTCTCGTGCTTTTAGCTGACAATCGCTTCTTCCTCATCTGGAGTAATTTAAAGACTTTTCCGTCTCTACCACCTCATGCAATATTACCTCCCTCTCTAATTGTTTCCTCGCATTTGTTCGTTAGTTTGTCATCGCCACCTTTTTATTCTTCTTCTTTTCTCCGTCTACTTGTTACTCTGCAACTGCCTATTCTGCGTAGCCTTTGTACATAGGCCACAATTGGTAGGCTCTCAATTCTGTCCGTTTCTTTTCGTCCCACAACTCGAATCCTCTCGGTTCTTCAAATGCTTTTTCGCTCGGTTAGAATACTTTCCTTGGTTGTACCCCTTACTCTTATTCTTTTTTTTCTGTAAATGAAACTGAATGCATTTTCGAAATGACACCAGAAGCCAACCCAAAAATAACTTTATTACTCTAGACGGCATCCAAATAAATACATAACGAACATACATAACGTACATAATACATAACGGAGAACATTTGCAGTGTCTTCCAGTTTCAATTCAAGTTTATCCTTGAGAATAATTGGAACGAAAAAAAAGAAGTTATTTGGGGTTAATTGGAAATGATGTCATATGTTGATGTGGAATGTCCAAAAAATGAAAGAGAAATAGAGAGAGAGAGAGAGAGAGAGAGAGAGAGAGAGAGAGTGAGATAGAGCTATTCATATTTGATTTAGAAGAAGACGATGTGTTCATCCGCATCCACCGCATCCGCCACACCCTCCGCAGCCTCCGCATCCACCGCAAGCTCCACAGGCTCCGCACGCTCCACAAGCCCCGCATGCCGCTCCGTCGCAACCGACTCCGCACATCAGAAGAGGAGCAATCTCACATCCTCCTGGAAGAACACAAGTCTTCAGTCACAATTAGACTCTTGAGCTCACCGAGTCCGTCCTGATCGGCGGAGAGGAGTAATCTGTTCGTCGGCAGCTGTCTACCGTATCCACACGCCAGAGTGAGCGGCCATTTGTGAGCCTGATGGCCGACTGAGGTGCTGTCGTTCCGAGAACGGACTTTGTCGGGATTGCAGAGAACGAAGAGAGTGGAGACGCAGAAGATGCTGGCGATCTGCTCGGCCGTGTTCGTCGATCGGCATTCTATTCGTTTTCCGGGCAAACGAGCTTGTGCGTCTAGAATTTTAGACTGATATTTGAGAAAGACGCAACCAAGAACCAACCGCCAATGAGGAAAAGTGTGGAGCTGTCGGCGGAAGGAACTTCCAGCTTCTGAACGGTATTCTTGAGCAGATTGAACGCGTCGATGTGGAGACGTCCCGGGTTGCCGGGCTTGGCCTTCTGGCCCTTCGTCGCCGATTGTTTCCTACAGAATCCGGACCATCTTCCTTTGATTATCGCGTAATCGCCCTCTTTATTCACAATCACAAACGCTCTTTCTTCGGCATTCGACAGATGAGGAAGGAACTGAAAAGGAGAGAATTATGAAAGAATTAATGAAAACGACTCACGGGTACCAGGTTATTGTCAAGTTGATCACGGCTCGGAAGGGAATCTGCTCCGATCAAATGAGCCATCGAAAGGAGGCGTTGCTCTCGGCCGTACACGAGAATCATGGAGAGGAGCAGCGGGGCCGAATGGATCACCTGCACTGTGTACTTGGTTCCGTCCCGAGTGTCGACCATGCTGCAAAAAGGGAGTGGAAATGCTTGACTATCTGAGACCGACTAACGGAAATGTGACAATCCCGTAGAAATAAGTACGCGAACACAGATACGTCAAAATGCAGAAAATTCAGAATATTGGACTCCTCATGGCATTTTTTTAATCGTTCTGTCAAATTTTCATGTCTCAAATGAATAGTTACTAAAGGGGCGAAAAAGGCAATCAAAAATGAGTCAAAACAGTGTACGTGTACCTTGCATTAGGCCCTGCCCATTTCTACGCGATTTGACATTTTTCTACGGGAATTAACTCTACGGGTTTCGAATTTTCTACGGGATTGTCACACTCAGCGACTAACCTATGAGTGGCCATGTGAACAGTCGAATTGGCATTCAGAGATCCCCGATTCAAAGAGGCGCACTGAGCGAGATATGCGAGATGGGAATCGGCAGACAATGGCCTCTCCAAGAAGTCGCCGACCAGCAACTGGAGTTCTCTGTTCAGATTCACACTCGTCGTCACATTCACTTTGGCAGTGAAATCGGCCGACTCCTTCGACGCCTTCAACTGCAATTCTGCCACGTTGTGAGCACTTTTCGAGTTGCTCGGTGGGAGCAACTGGTCCAGAGAAGCTTTTCCGATCAGTTTGATGAGATCCTTCCTTTGCAGGAACATCTTGTCGAAGATTTCCAACTCGACGGTCAACTCTTTCGCAGCACGACGTTCAAATGGAAACTTGACGATTGAAGCACACGCCGAGCTCTCAGTCGGCTGCCAAACAAGCGAGAATCCTGACTTTGTGACCTGTTTCTGAGAGAGATCCGCATTGAAAGTGGTCACTTTCTTGTTTCCATAGCACAATTTCAGCCTCAATTGCTCTCGTTGAACAGGAATATCCTTCAATGAAATCGACGGAACATGGATGTCTCCGTACGAAATGCATGCCAGATCCTGAGATTCGAAGCCGAGGAACGCAGGTGCATTGTGGCCCCTGAACATGCATCCTCTCCTCCAGAATGGCTCTTCGAAGTGCGTCGTCCACACCTTCTTTGTGAGTGCTTCTCCTTTCAAAAGTTTGCTGCCCTTCGTCCGGTCGTTCACAGTGTCGTCGTGCTTCAGAAGAGATCCGAAAATGGCGGTGCAGTCCCTGAGGTAGCTGGAAGGATGAACCTGAAAACAAGCCATTTGGGGCCGCTTTTTTAGCACCGCATCAATATTTTATGAGACCGAGGAGACCGAATTGTCTGAAAAAGGGAATGGACGAAGAATGGGCACTTTTCGGGAACAGAAATGGGCACTTTTCGGGAGAATTACTCGAAAAATGGACTCGGTGGTTGAGATTCATTTAGGAAAAAATTGAGAGGTTTTTCTCGGAAAATGTTTGATGTGGAAGTTGTTTACGATGTGCAGAAGACGCGTGGAGTGTCCACGAATAATACTCGGAAAGCCAGAAGTGACGTGTTCCGGCTTCTCCTCCTTCTTCTTCATCTTGTTCTTCTTTTCCTTAACTCACCTGATGAGTGTGCCAAATGATGTCAAAGTCGTAGCACGGCGTCAGGAACTGATCCGAGTACGTCTGTTTGAGCAGCAAGAACTGAATGTACCGCTTGACGGACTCCGAAAGGAACTTGGCGGAAGTGTAGTGCGGCAGAGAGACCTGGAAGCAAAGAAAGGATCCCTTCTCGAAACGACAACTGCCCTCGAGATAATCGACGTATAATCGAACGATTGACACTTGGCAAACGAGGGAGATATTTTTGCTGAGCTGCGAGAAGAATCTTGTCTGTCTGAGAGCAGCCTTCGCCTTCGCATCAAAGTGATTGATGGAGCGGCGCGGACGCAGTGTATGGGGCGAGAGGAAAAGCGAGACAAGCGGCTAATTGGTCAATAAGTTATTTTAACACTAGTACGAAGTTTTGATTGATCGTAAGGCAGTCTATCGTTTCTGAGGGAAAAACAGAGGGAGAGAGGATCACAACTGGCCCAGGAATTCTCAGAAATGACTGATCAATGAACTGTTTACTCTATTGCGATCTGAGCTCTCACCTGATAGTTGAAATTCCTCTGCCTCTGGACAGCGCCCGCAATGTCGTAGTTGCATTTTGTCTTGTAAGGCGTGGGCGGTGCCTGGCTGGCCAGAAAGTCGTAAGGCTCGGGGCTACAGTACGAATCCCATGCGCGGACGCTGCTGTCGTACCTGCAACAGCCGGGGATCGTTCGCCGGTCCCTCTTTGTCGTACCTCTTCTGAATCTCATCCGACGACAGCAATTTGTGGTCGATTACTTTGCCGACGAGCTTCTCGCAGTCCTGCAAATCGCTCAAATTGCCCAAATTTCCACAGACTCTATTCTAATCCGGCCAATTGGCGCCACCATTCCGATATACACACCCCGCGGGTCAGTCAGTGTGTTTATGTATAAACATAACAAGTGTCGCCCCTCCGTACCAAGGGCATCCGCATATGCCCCAAGGGAAAGAGATCGTGGCGAGAAGCATGTTGCCAACTTGTGTTTTGCGCGCTCTTCACTCCCCCTCCCCCTCTTTTTCCTCCTGCTCCGTCACGGATAAAAGCAAAGATGACTCGGGCAGATCTTGCTCATTGGGCGGTCTCTCCGGGAGTACGAACACCCAAAAGTAGCAGTAAATCCATCAGAGCTCGGCGCCTCCGAAAACAACAACGGCTCGAGGCGAGGGCCATCGTAATCCTTTCGGACGGACATAAACTCAGAAGTCTCTCACGCACCGCGCAATGGGGGTCCACCTGTATACGAACTTGTGCAGTCATTACGTGAAGCCCACACGGGCTCTTCTCACCGACGAGTCTCATTTTTCAATGTCATACAAATCTGCGTCTCTGAGACCTCGTTTACTCTCTTGTCACTCTTTGATATGTGATACTTGATGCATTTTTGAGATGCCTTAGCGCAAAAGGTTCCGGAAATCAGAATGTGTCACGCACCTCCTGGTAATGAATGGGACTGAGCATGTGCGTGTGCCACACCCAATGCACGTCCAACGGAGGAATCACATTCAGGTCGGGATGGGCGGCCTGGAAGAAGGACGAAGGCTCAAAGGATCAACAGATCGATCACTCACTTGCATCGGCAGCCAGTAGGTTTCATATCTTCGCAGGGCGTGGTTCACGACGTCTGGCTCGTAGAGCAACGGAGCCTTGCGGTCAATCATTCGCAGGAAGTTGGCTTCTCTCTGAAAAGTTCGAAACTCGATCTATTGGTCCTCCGTGCACGTGTGAAACCGCACACTTTTCTGCTCTTTTCTGACCTTTCCACCGCTTTTCTCGATTTTCGATGTGAGATAAATCCACCGTAATCCACTTGAATTGCCCCATAAATTTCGGTTTTCCATACCCGTGCCCGTTCAATTGAGCCCAGGAATTGAGCAGGAAAAAGGGATAGAGAAAAGAAAAGACGACGGAATTTTAGTGGGCTCATAAAATTGAAGGGCGGACTTATTGAAGGGAGGCTCACCAGACGGATGAGTCCGACGGATATTCAATTGAAATTGCCTGTCATTCCTCAAAACTGACGTTCTCTTCCGTCAGCACTGTGCTCCGAGCTCCGAGCTCATTGAGCTTCGAGCAGTTTGAACTCGACCGCCCTCATTTTCTTTATCCAGTTGTCGCCTTTGGCGCGACAAAAGAGGCGCCAACTGAATTCTTGATTGAGTCGACCGACTGCGATCTCTCCTTTCTGCACGCTGTCTCAACCAACCGAATTAGACTCAACGGGCTCGTCGGGCCCCGGTTTTCGTGCACAATGTGCCAGCCGAAAGCGAAAAGATGGGACGAAAGAGAGCGAGACGAAGAAGAACGTCGGTTCGATTAGGTTTTGGTACGAAAAAGGAAAGAACGATGGAGCTAACCGGATTGAGGTGTGCTCTGATTGGAAGTATTTTGAGGTGATCAGTGAGCAAGCACGCTCCGCTGCACTAATGGAACTTCAATTGTGCATTGGTATGGGTTTTTAGTGTCCCCCGCACATCTAAATTGCATCATTTTGTGGGTGCTCGTACCTGAGCCGCCACTACCAAATCGACGGTAATCGCCGCTGACATTTGCGCGGGCGTCGAGCGGAGTGTCGCCGCGGTCGCGTAATCCGGAGGTGAGGTCGTCGTCGTTCCGGAACCACTCGGCGGGGAAGTCGTGTCCATTTCATCGTGTTGCAGGGATTTGGTCCCGTTCCGAGTCATTTTCTGCTCAATTTCAGACGGTTCCACTCGGTCACCGCGACCGCGAGCCGTCGGATACGGAAGTATTTTGAAGGTGCTGGACGGGCGAGCAACCGAAAAGGATGAACTCTTTTCTGGAATTACGAGGTGCTGTTTTCCCTAGAGCACGATAATCGGATTTGTGAAAAATTGGAGAAACGGGAAAGACGCAGAGAAAGTGCAAAGAAAGAAGTGTATGGGGGCGAAGAAGTCAGTTGAGTGGAACCCTTCGGAGAGCCGGATCTCGGCACGCTTTTGTGCTCCACTTGAGAGCAACGAGGTGCAGTTTGTAAGTGAAATTAGAAGGAAAAAGAGGAAGACAACACAACGAATTGATATCAATTGGGGGTGAGAAGAACAGAAGTGACGGGGGCCTGCGGAGGGGCCTGGCCAGCAGCGAGTGTGAAGAAGAAAAAGAGGAAAAAGGAGAAGAAGCGGCAGGAAAGTAGGAGGAGAATCGGGGCGAAGGGAGAGAAGAAGCGAAGGGACCACGCAGAAGCACACGAGCGGAAAACGAGAAAAAGCGAGGGGGACGGGCGAAGGCAGGGACGCCGCGGCACCCGAGAGCCACGCCCCGGACATCAGACCGAGCAGGCAGGCGGGCAGAGAGCAGCTCTTGGAATGGAAGGTGTCCAGGTGGGAAGCGAAGGAGCGAAAGGTTGTGAAATGGAGTGAGTCGGACGTTTATGTGTGATGAAATCGGACTACAGGGAAATCAAGGCCAGTACCTTCCGGGCTCTTCTCACAGAAATGAACTTTAGAATAGGTTCTTGGATGAACTCTGACACATTCTGTTGATTTTGATAAGAGCCTCCGATCGATATTCGAAGCATCTTAGACTCTGGACATTCAGACTAGAATTCTTTGACCTCCTCGACTGCTCTCCAGATTCCCACGGAAGCACAAAGTCCACTTCGCCCGTCCAGCCTGATCATTTTTGCATTCATTTCCCGGGCCAAAGATTCGCTCCTTTGAGTTCCCAAGTGTCATGATTTGTGTGGTGCGAGCCGGCATGTGACAGGTTTGAAACCTTTGAAGTGGCCCATTCGGATCCTTTCGAATGGGCTCCCCCAACTGCTCTGGGAACCTTTTTGCTTTGCTTTCTTTACAAACTCGAGCCATTCTGCACATTTTCATTACAGTCGGCGGCCGCCAGAAGGGCCATCAAGTCGAAATGTATCCGCAATGAGGATCGAAGGAGACGAAGAGCACAAGAAAAAAGAAGAAGAAGAAGGGGGGAGGTAGAATTCAATTTCGAGGGCTCACCGACCCGCAAAGAAGGTTCTTTTTTGTGGAATTGGCGGGATTTTGACGATTTGATGTGGCAGGTTTATGGGCCCTTCCGCATGCTAAATATAAGCGCGTGCTTTCGAAATTTGAAATGAACTTTCAAGATTTTGGAACGAATTTGAGAAGGGAACGGGACGAAAAGGGCAAAAACGGTTAGAAAGTTCGGCGACAATATTGACTGAACAGCCAATTTGATAAGGTTTTTCTTCTCCAATGAGTGATGTTTTCATGGACAGAAAGGGATATTATTTATAGGCATTTTTAGAGACAAATATTCACAAATAACAAAGATTATTCTAGAATCAGACGATAGGATCGGCCCAGACGCAGTCCTCCTCGATCTTCAGATTGTACTTGCTTCCGGCGTTCTTGTACTGCGAAGTGACGACGCGGAACCATCCGTCCTCTCCCCACGGCTGTCCCCACGAGTTCCTTCCGATCCAGTACTCGACTCCGGTCGTCTGGTCGACTCCCCATCCGTGCACCGAAATAATATGGTCGATGTCCTCGTCGGTCACCTCCTTGTAGACCCCTCCGTCGTAGGTCTCGAAGGCTTTCGTGGCGGCGATTCCGCAGGCGATCGGTCCTTTGTGGTAGATCTCGGCCTTCATCTTTTCGTAGCCACTGACGGATCCGTATTCGGAGACCTTGTACAGAGTGAAGTTCTTGATGGAGAAGCACTCTCCTGGCCAGCACGAACCGCATCGGTTGTACGGATCACACTCTGCAACGTCATCGGCATAGATTTCATAGTTCCCGTTTTGCTGCCCTCCCTCCCTTCTTACTTCCGTCTCTAGCCTGGTAGTTGTTGCATGTCTCATGCGGAATTCCGTGCTCGTGAGCGTACTTGTAGACACCGCCCGGCTCTCCGCCCATCACACAAGTTCCTGCTCCGGAGCAGTCGATCACTTCTTGGACTGACAGGTACGCTTGTGGCCACGCGTTTTTGCGCTTGATATTGATACGGTCGGCCAGAGCACTTGTTGCTCCTGAAAATGACATTCTGTTGAATTGAAACAGAATGTGAACAGTGTGTCACTTACCGAAAGCCCAGCACGATCCGCAGTCTGAAAAATTAAACTTTCATTGGCAGAATTATAACCTTTTTCCATCGAAGAGGGCGGTCGTGAGCATAAACCCCGCCCCCTCCGCACAAAACATAGCGGGTGGCGGAACCCGTGAGGTGTCGGCTGCTGCGTGCATTGACCTTCCCAGTCATTACACTCTCTTTAACTCTGGTTCCTCTGCATTTGACCGTGAAAATCTTTCGCCTTTTACTAAAGATTTCCGTGCAAAGGAGCAAACATTGAGTATTACAACCAATTTTTGGAGCCTCCTCGAAAGAGCGGGGCAAAATAATTAGAAAGTACTCACATTGTGGGATGTGCTGGTTTCTGTCAGCGGAGGCGTAGTTGACTCCATTGGCGTTTCTCCAATCCCAGGTCTTTGGAAGATCCTCCGAGTCGAATTCATCAGTCTCGTAGATTCTGTCATTTTTCCTGGAATATGATGGAATACAGTGCAAGCCCGGAAGCCCAAAGTCTTACTTGTGCTCGTAGACGCGTCCAGTTTGTTTGTAGCATCCCTTGAGGTTGTATCGGTTGCGATTGCTGTACTTTTTCACTTTGTGTTGGAGCGAAGATGCAAGAATGGCGACAGCACAGAGTGCGAGAAGGAGCACGAAGGTTCGCATCTCGAGCCGGAGGACACGAGTCGACTGGCCAGGTTTTAGGTCGCGGGAAGGGGAGGAGAATAACAATCAGTGCAGTGGACAGCGGGGCGTTATCAGGTGACTGAATGGGTAGATAAAATTTTGGTGACAAGGAGAGAAAAGACGTGCGTCTCGGTGTCACTCGGCGAAAGAACGAGAGGGAAAAACGGAGAGAGGTCGCCGCGGAAAATTCATTTATTTGGGACAACGGAACGATTTTTAGGCATTTAGTCTTTTCAGGAAGTCGTCGCAGGCAATCGGAGTGACGATCGGGCCGCGGACTTGACAACTGAAAGTGGAAATGGACGTCCACGGGGCTCTTGCACTTCGGAAAGCACTCACACATTTCTGTGGATGCACGTGCTTGTCAGGCTGACGAGAGTGGCACGGGAGGTGATCGAATCGTCCGTTCTAGAGATGACTTCGCATTGGGCGATTTGAACGGTCCACGTGGTCTGGAGAAGGTTTTAATGGAAAAGGTGGGGGAGAGACGTACCGTTTGGAGAAGACGCCCGCTGGAATCAACGGACGCCTTCAGAGTTATGCCGGGGCTCTGTTTCGTGGCCGCTCCGGCAGTCAACGTGGCTTCCGCGGCATGTGTTTCCGAGCAGAAGACGGTCAGAAACAGGAAGAAGAAGAAGAGGGAATTCATGTTTGGAGGAGCGGAACGAGCCGTTCTTCCCTTTTGTACGCTTCCTTTCACTTCCTGTTTTTTTTCGATTCGTTTCTCTTTCGACGTGGCTCCGAATGTTTCCTTCCGTTTTCACATCCAGATTCCACTTCCTCTTCCCGCTTTTGTGACCGCCAATTTTGAATCATGTGCGCTAGAAAGACGACAAAATGGTCATTTCTTATCGCCTTTGACCTGTCCTGTCAATTCCATTTCGAAACCCAAATTCAAACATCAAATGAGCAGTGACGGGGAAAAGAAATTCGAACGAATGGAATGCCTCATTTTATGACGTGGAAAACGTGATTGGGTTTTTTGTGTGACGTGGCAATTCGTTCGAATTCTGGACTCGTCGAAAGGGACTTTCAACTCAACGTCGTTTGATCAGACGACCTTCGTTTTGTGTTCAAATATCAGAATTCTTATCTCGGTTGACCCAGTTAATGACCGCTCGTTGGGCTCCGCAATGATGAGAGGAATGCATTCGAACCGATTTGATATGCGGAAGGAGGAAGACGATTCAAACATTGTAGAAGAACTGGCACAAAAGAATTCAATTTGGTCAGAGGATTTGATTGAGAAATCTAGAAATGAGAGGAATCTGGGCGAGTTGGCACAGGAACGAGAACTGACAAGTGGATTCGGAGGTGAACTAGGCTTCGACGTTTTGAACCGGACCTCTCAAATCGAAGTTTATTACTGCAGACGCACAACAAGATGAGCTCAGTCCTCCTTCTTCGACTTCTTGTCCTTGTCTTTGTCCTCGTCCTCTCCGCTCTTCTTCTCTCCGTCCTCTTTCTTCTTCTTCTCGTCCTTCTTCTCGTCCTTCTTCTCATCCTTCTCGTCCTTCTTTTCGTCCTTCTCCTCTTTCTTTTCCTCCTTCTTCTTCTTTTTGTCTTTCTCGTCCTTTTCGCTCAGCGTTTTGTTGAACTCGCTGTTCTCGATCACCTTGTTCCAGGTTTTGTAGTCGCCTTTGTTCTCCTTCTTCTTCTCGCCCAACTGAACAATGAAAAGTCAACCGAGTTCTGGAATTCATCGTTTCAGACTCACCTCGCCCTTGCGATTCGCCTCCTGATCTCTGGGTTTGAGCGCGTCGAACGTGTCCTCTTGCTTCTCTTTCTCCTTCTTTCCGCTCTTCTCCGCCTCCTTCTTCTCCGGCTCCTTCATTTCGCTCGCCTTCTTGTCTTTCTTGTCCATTCCGGACGCAGTTGCTCCGGCAGCCGCCTCCTGGTTCGTTTTCTTTTCGGAAGGAGCTCCCGGCGGTGGAGGTGGAGCCACTGGAGCAGCCAGAGATTTGACCGGCGCGGGAGCCACGGCCGCTTTTTTCGGCTTCGATTTGCATTGAATCAGTAGGAAGATGGACGCGATCCAACTGTCAAAAAATCTGTTGAAAACGGAGAAAATGAAGAACAAAGGATTACCCGGTGGCGAGGTGAACAAGAAGAGACACAGATTGAAGGATCATGTTGCGATGCACCGATGCAATGTTCGACCGAATCGGAATTTACTCTTCGGGATGTGATGGATATCTGGTTGATAGATGAGCGACGAAGACGACGACTCGATGTGTGATCGAGAGAGAAATGATGCATTTATGCGAGTGGGACGGGGGAAATGGAGGGGCGACGATGAAGTTCGGACGGAGTTCACGGGAAAGGAGAACGAAGATTCTGGTTACCTATCTCTCTTTTCATGCTCTAAACGAGAAATGCAGTTGAACCGATTTATTATGTAAAAGGGGAAGACATTTCAAATTTTGCAGAATAATAATAACCCGTAATTGGCATAAAAACAATCAATTTGGGAGGAGGATTTGGTTGGGAAATGGGGAAATTAAGGCGAGCAGAAGGAGATAGAAAGCGGGTTGGCACATTGCGAACGACAATGAAAAAGAGATGTATCCGGGAGGGAAAATGTGCGATTAACCGGTCCGTGACAGATGAGGATCAAATCAGAAAACAAGGAATAGAAGGGGAGAAAAGAGAACAGAATCTCAGTCGTCGTTGACTAGAACAAGGGGCGCGTGCGAGTCAGCTGCTCTCCGGGAGGGAATCTGATCGGAAGCGTTCGAATGCGTCCTTTTCACTATCGCCGCTTCGGCAGGCTGATCGATCGAAGGGACCAAAATGGAGACCATCTGAAAGGGAACGAATGAGGGCACGGAACCCCTGGCGACTCACCGATTCTCTGTAAATCTTGACTCTGTGCGAGGGAATGTCTCTGTACGCCTGCAGATCGGTGTCGTCCGTTCCGATCGAGCCATCCTCGTCCATCGAAACTCCGCCCAGACTGTCTCTTCGCATTTTGACTGGCGCATAGTCCGGACTGTCCCTCATAATTGTTCTTTGCGATCCACTATCCGTCCGTCTCATCGAGCGTTGGCGCAGAATACACCAGTAACAAATGATGCACATGAGGATGAGCAAACAGAGAAGGACAGTGAGGAAGAGGGAGTAGAGGAGCCAGCGAGCGGATACTGGAAGAAAATATTGAAAAGAGGAAAAGCGTGGACAACTTGCAAAGCTGCTCCGGCTCGATGATATCGGCAGTGAAATCGACGACTTCTCCGTGCGGAGACGACTCGAGGACGGGAGATCCGTTCGACTCTGGGTCGACGATTGGTTTCTGCCACAGAGAATCATCAAGAACTCCCGTTTTGGACAGGTCCGGCGCACGGAATTGGAACGGAAGAAGCTGTGAATGCAAGTCGACCTGATGGATGACGTTGAACGGATTCAGGACGGCGAAGTGCTCATCGTACTCGTACGAGAGGCCTAAGTCTGCAAAAATGAAATGTCGAACTGTATGTGCGCTTTTTGAGTTACCGTGAACAATCACTGAACTCCACTCGTCCGTCGTCTCGGCGGCAGCGACCGAAACATTGTTGAGAACGAGCTTTCCTATGTCAGAGACCACCGTGTGCCAGCCATCGATCTGAGAAGGCCATTGAGAACAGAGATGGGCGAACGGCGACGGTAAGCGTTTTGGCGCGAAAATCACTCAAACTTTTGCGACTTTCGGGTTACGGTGTCGATCATTTCGGCTGTGCGATTTAATTTCAAGCCAAACGCCCCGACACAGCTAAAGTGAAGGACACCGTATCCCGAAAATCGCGGCGGAGCCGCCGAAAAGGCTTTAGTGAATTCGCACTAGTCGCTTTTCCCGCGTGGTCGCTACGCTCCGCGCCAATCTCTGGTTGAGAATGCAATGGAAAAGAGTAGAACTTACATAGAGATCGTACTTTTTGGCCGAGTGTCGAGTTCCCATTGGAGTGCGTCTTTGCAGCTGGAGGAGGTGAACACGGTCATCAAGAAGATCGAGTTGACCTGGAAAGAGTGACGTGGGATCAGTCGGAAATCCATTTGAACTCACGAGAAGCACTTTCTTGTCCGTGAAGCTTCACATGGACAGAACCTTCCGTATCCACGATTATATTGAACCTGAAATCAGCATTATAACTTCAAAACTCATTGAGCAGCCACTCACAGTGTCTCTCTGTGCGAATTGAACTCCACGATAGTCTGTGCTTGCTTGACCTGCTTCGGAAGTGCAAACTTGAGCCACACTTTGCTGAGCACTGCTTTCGTGTTCTGCACATCGAGCACAATCTGACTCTGTGACAAGAAAGCAGTGGAAAGGACGATCGGAGTGGCATCTGAAACTGGTTTTTAATTTAATCCAACGCTGTAATAGTTACCTAGCTTCTTCTCACAGTTGCCTTCGGAGGAGTTGAACTGGAAGGCGTCCGCACAGTCACAGATCATCGGAGACGACTGCAAAGGTCCCTGGTAACGGCATCTCGTGCTATCGGAGCACGTGGGAACACAACTTTGACAGTCTTTCCGCACTGCGAACGCGTTCACGTCGGAGGGCTCGTTGAGCATCGCATTCTTCTGAACATCGTAACTCGCCGACAGATCCATCTTTGCTCCCCGGACAAAGATGTCCTTTACACATCCTCTAAGCACTGGCACCTTCTCTCGTGTGTTTTCAAAGTACTTTTGCTCGGCTTCCATTCTGTACAGCCCTCTCCGCTTCTTTTCGTGCCATGTCCCACCGACGAACAGGCCTGCCCCGTGAGATATTTGTGGAATCGCGTAGACTTCCGCCAGACTGACATTCGAGGATTGTCGAAGACGGCAGATGGAAGAGTCCACGGCCAGATACATTTCGTCGGCGGCTCCCCAAAGGATCGCCTGGACCCATTCATCTCTTCCGAATCCGCGGCCGTTCTTGATTGTGCACCCGGAGCACTCTTCATCTTCCTCGTGCGTGCAATAAACGGCGGAGATCGCATCATAGTGATAATAAACTTGAAGACGTCCCTTCGCGTTTGTATTCTGCCAGTATCCAAAGAAGATCAATCCGACGTCAGAATCAGATTTGAAGCTAGCGGAGAGGGCAGGAAGGGCCGCTTTGTTGGAATCCACGTCGAACGCGTCGTCGAAGTGAAGGAAGGACAGTCTGTCGAGGTCTCTCCGCAGGGTGAATGCGCCCTCCTCGTCGCTGTCACACTTGCTGAGCCCTTCGAATACTCCGCTCAACTTGGTGCACCCACAGCCGATACACATCGCGTGAGTGCTCACAGTCCTACAAAACTTCCGATCGTAACATACATTCGCATTCTTTTCCGGATGGCAGTCAATTAAAGAACTCACTCTTGCAGTCGCTTCTGCGGTTTGTCGAAACTGTACATGCAGTCGTCGTTTGTGTCAGTCGGATCGATCAATTGAATATTTCCGTTGACGGCGATCGTGAGGGTGACAGTTCTGAAAGTAGGAGGGGTACTTCCGGTGACATCATCCAACACTTACTTGTCTATTTTATCGTACAACGACTTGATCAACTCAATCTCCCGACTATTGTCAATCTTCACAAAGTGTTTATCAGGCTCACTGTGTTTCACAACCACAGTATGCCAGGTGGAATCCGAAAGATGACCAACAGCTACCGGAAGATCGAGGTCACTCCGAATGAAGAAGTCGTTCTCCAGTCGGAATTCAGAATTGGTGGAACCGCATCGAAGAGAGAAGAGGGTCTGGTTGGTGGAGTCCGTCTTGAAAGCGAACGCGTAGCTCCACTCAAGGTTGGCCTCCAGATCCACTTCGAACTTTCCCTGAACGAGGCACTCCGGCTGAGGAACATGCTTGCAAAGAAGACGAGTTGTGGTAACTGTCGGGTTGGAATCGTAGTCTTCTTCATCTGGAATCAAGTGACGGACGCCTGCGAACGCCTCGTCGAAGAAAAAGTCTTGGCGTTCATCTGAATTTGAGAGAATTAGAGAATAGCTGAGACGACTGTGAGCCCACCTCCACTGTACTCGATTCTCGTCGTTTCATTGAGAAGGGAAACCACTCGGATCGCTCCTTTTCCTGCTTCCGGAGTGTTTTTCCAGGTGACAGTCAGAGTCTGAGTGCATTGCGAGCGACGGACGATTTCACGGAGATGATATAGGTCCAGCACTCTGAAACTTCCGTCTGAAGAATACTTCGAAAAAGTGAGCACTCACTGGAAGTTGACAGATTTCTTGCCCATGACCTGATAAGGATTCTCTAGAGCCGAGTGGACTTCTGTGAATGCCACATCATTCTCAAATGTGCATTGGACGATCGAAGGAACCGACGAATGATGGCCGGCAATCGGAAGGACAGAACTAATGCGGAAGCCAGCGAGAAAGTGGTTGTAGCAAGAGAAGCGGGGCTGGATTTCGGCTGAAATAATGAAAGTTAGAATCCGAGCAGGAGAGTGTGACAATCCCGTAGAATAATGTCTCGAAACCCGTAGAAATAAGTACGCAAACACAGATACGCCAAAATGCAGAAAACTCAGAATATTGGACTCCTCAAGGAATTTTTTAATCGTTCTGTCAAATTTTCATGTCGCGCCCATTTCTACGGGATTTGACATTTTTCTACGGGATTTGACTCTACGGGTTTTGTAATCCACGGGTTTCATATTTTCTATGGGATTGTCACACTTTCCCGAGCAGTTTTGGCACGAACCTTGTACTAAAGCTGCTATTGAAACTAGTGCGACGACGAGGCGCAACGGATTATTCCTCCGCCTCTCGCGCATTTCTGACGGGTAAAAAGAAGATTTGAAACCTGAAAAAAGGGAAAAAATGAACTGGCAGTGGATGAAAGTGTCCTCCGGGGACGGAAGAAGATGAAAAGTTTCGATATTCGGGACGGATAATCGCGCGTTTCCGAGGGAGAAAACGGGTGGATACGGGTGAGCACGGAAGCTGAAGCGGAAACGGAACGCAACAACAAATTAGGAGGCAGAAAGGGGAGCCAATTAATCAGAGATTGATAATATTTATGATGAGGGCGTCAGAGAAGGAGCAGAGGGAAGGGGAGAATGGATTAGAAGGACCGTTGGAGAAGGGTTAAAAAGGGAAGAGTTTGTCACGAATCGCTTAATAAATCATCGGACCCTGCGGTGCAGGTCATCGTGTGGCAGCACAAAAAAGGAGAAAAAAGAGTTTGAAGAATGAGGAGAAATGGAAGAAAAGACAGTGATCAAAGGAAAGAGGACGAGCTGCATTCGATCGTGGGAAAGATGATTCGAAAGAAAAATGGAACGAATTATTCAGAAGGGAATGGGATTCCGGATGCAGAAAAGGAGGGGTCAACAAAAACATTTGAACTAGAGGGGAGCGAGAGCGACAGAACAGAGATACGGTAGTTGCAGTGTGTAGTGACAACTTTCAGTAGAAATGATACTTTTGTTGACCGTGTTCAGTCCATGTCCGGCCATTGTTGTGAGAACTTTGCAGAATGAAATTCCATCTCAAGTGCCACGTCACACTTTAAGAACACAAAGAATGCATTTCATACGAACGAATGTTTTCCTTTTATGGAACTCTTTTTCGTCTCGTTTCTTTTCCCTTTCACACAATGACTCATCCGTATAATACAGGCAATCCTTTCCGGAAAAGGGAAGAAGAAACAGGTCGAAAGGAAGAGGAGAGAGTCCCTGTGCTCATAATAAGAAGAAGAATGAGTACAAAGGGAAAGGGAGGTGCCAAGGAATCTCTGGCTATGTCACTTTGAAGTTTTAATTATGAAGAGTAGTAGTGGATGATAAGTGCGAAAGGAAATGAATAGAAGAGAGAAAAGAGTGTGGGGGAGCGAGAGAAGCAGAGACAAAGAAGGTTAACTTGGACGAAGAGCAACAGGCTGGACTCCGGGTTTTGATGTGAATAAATTAGGATTAAAAGTGAGGGGAGCGTGCGGAATCAGCGATCCCCAGGGATGCGAGGAGTGTCCGAAAAGTTTGAATTTCCAAGTGAAATCCTATTGTTGAAGTTGTTTGGACGAGTGATTAGGCGCTGATACGGCGGAGCAAACAATCGAAATCATGCTCGCCCACGTCGTTTTTTTTGCGCTTTTCGGCCTATATTTCGAAATCAGCGAAAAAACTGTGGGGTGAATTAATGAGAAATGAAGCGGGCTGAGGGAGACAAAAAGTAACGCTTGATGCCAGCCAAAAGTGCAAATAGAGGTGCGCGCCCCGTGCGGTGGCCAGGAGAAGCAGCGTTTTCGAAAAGTGTGTCAACAGTTTAGCAAATAGATTTGGCACTACTAAGTACTTGGCAAACAGTATATCACCTATTGGGATGATACCAGAGAGCACAGGATTACATTTGAAGCAGAAGGGGTCCGGAGGAGAAGCGAGAGGAAGATGGAGTTGGCAAAAAATGAGAAGTGGACAAAAGGTAAATATGTAAAAGGAAATGATAAGGGAAGGGAAGGGAGTGATTGGGGAGAAGGGGAGAACATGCACAAACATGTTGACGCGGATAGACGGACGGACGAAGCGAACGAGCGGAGCGGACGGCCCGTAAAACAGTTTTACGGATGGAAAGAATGGAGAGTACGGTAGGCTCACTTATGAATTAGTCTTCAGAATAGAACAGTTTGTCAACGATAAAAGGATGTCTTTCGAAATGTCAATATTATCAATTTCAAGAAGTTTACAGGTCAGTGCGGGTCATGATGGTTGCCATACACAGCTCAAATGCACTTGAAACTTCCATATCGGGGAAGGGAAATGAATGAAAGGGCGAAACGTGTCAAAGGGAATAGTTATGCATGTATAAAACCGGCAAAATATGTGATGTGTGAGCCAATTTCGGAGAAGTGGAAGCGGAGAGAAACGAGGGGCGTGGGAGCGGAAAACCAACAGAAATTGCAGCTAATTCGGAATGAAATCGGCATTTTGGACACATAAAAATAAACGATTTTTTTAAGGGGAGACATGCGGAATACGTTATCTAAGACGACAAAAGAGGTCAGTGAGCCAATGTGTACCGTATTGTGCAAGAGGTACGAAAGCAAGCAAAGAGGTCTCACACATTGTGGCGTAATCCCGCAGCCAGACGAGGCCAGGTAATATTGGCTGCAATCTCCCGGGGCCGTCTTAAGAGCGATATGAATTATTTGGAGGAGAAGCCGAGAAAATGATCGAACCGGGAAGGAGAGCGGAAATGATGAGCGAGCGGAGGAGGGAGCAGGTGACAATTTGCATGAATTATACAGCCGACCGTTTGAGGCACACCGACCATATGCACTATTCCGTATTGTTGTTGACGTTTATGAATTGACGACGACCAGGGACCGTCCAGATTGGAAACACTTTTACAAGACGCAAACATTTGCGTCCGCCACCCTTGCAACACCTTTGAGCGAAAGGACTGACCTCCAATGAAGGCAGGTAAGAAGATGTCGTGGGAGGCGAAACGATCATTATGAGTGACACCAATTTGGGGCGGATCAAGTGACGACGGCGGACAGGCGGCTGGGTGCAACAATAACGGTGCGCCAGCCGACAGATGGTCAAAAGCCGACCGGAAAACGGGTTTCCACTGGCCGCCGGAGGGGATCTAAGTAGATTGGAACGAAGAAGAGTACCTGCTGTCAGGTCAGATCGGACGAAGGGCTCTTTCGATGAATGGGATGCAAGTTGAGAGGTTTTATGTGAAACGAGTGACGATTCACCAAGCCCTAAGTCTGTAGAAGTCCTTCCTTACTTCCAAACCAAACCGCAAACAAGTTGAGATAAAATCTGTGTGACACTTGGCAACTCGTCCCGTCCGTATACACCCGAAACGAGCCCGTCGCATGTCTCCTTGCGCCCCTCTTGCCCCCCTAATTACAGGTGTCACTATGCGGTCTGCGTGTCTGTCACTTCGGATGCGTGTCATTCGGAATGCCAATCGGGAAGAGAAAAAGGTTTCCCGCACTCTCGATCACTTGGCATCGCGCCAGAAGCGATGGATGACAGGTCATGGTGTGAAAAATTGATGTTCGGCGGCGATAAAAAGAGTTTTGCCGACGCCGCCGCCGCCCGACAGTACACCCAGGGAAAGTGCCCGGATGATGAACATGTTCCCTGTCAGATGTCAGCTGAGATAGCTGCAAAACGGGACGGAATGAGTGAGACGGTCTCTACGAAATACGAGCCGTTGGCCGCCAAAATATGCAAATTTGGGAGAAGAAGAAGAGTTTGAAACCGGCGGGAAGTACATACGGCAGGGTGTCGAATTCTCGAAAACATTGCCACCATTATGTTTGGGACATACACGCAGACAAGGTTTGTGTAATTCGCGAGTGAAGAAACTGACTGCATCTGTCGAACATCACCCGCATTGTTCGAAGTTTACGAAGCATGCGGAAAGTTGGTTTTTTGACAGACGAAGACAAACACAAAAATTGACGAGGAATGGCGAGGATGGCAGTGAAGTTTTATTCGCGGCAATAAGATTGATATTATGATCGGGGGGAGCATCTGAACGAAGAAGAAGAAGAAGAAGAAGAGAAGATCGGGGGGAGATGATGAGGGGGACAGATTAAGAAAGTGTCAGCGGATGGGTGGATACTGTCTATCAACGGAAAATGAAACGAATTACGCAAGAGATAGATTGGAGTGAGTGACACCGTTTGAAAACATCTGGCTCCCCGTGCCTGAGGTCAACTGGGACGGACACAGAGGTGTTTGTTGCTCGAAACAATTGAAGAGAACGTGTCCGTAAATGGTACGGAGGTGACTAATGACTCGCGAGCACACCGTCCGTGATTGTTCCGGATCATGCGGGCGGAAGTGAATCGGAAGAGGAGGCGAAGACGATGATGATGACGATGACGTTTATGATGAGCGGGGACAATTCAAACAGGGCGCCGGGCTCTTGGAACAGTGCCAAGGTGCGTAAGAGAGATGGAGAGAAAGAAAGGTGACCGATGGGCGCACCGTGTCATTTTATGGCTTTTTGTCACCGCTCTCTCTCTCTCTCTCTCTCCTTCCCTTTGTGTATTCCTTCTTCCGAAGAGTGTTTGTCCTTTTTAGGGAGGAAAAAGGGGCGCCTAGGAAACATGCAAATATGCGGATTCATAATAATAATACAAATTAATGTGTCCGATCGATTTGGTGATAAAAGCGATGAATTCGACAGTGATTAGCGAGACGCATTAGCGCATTATGACAGGTTCAAAGGACCGAGCGGAGGAAAGGGAGGGGAGGGAAAGAAGATAGTGCTCGGCGGGATGGACATGGGAACGGAGCAGACGCCGACAAAGGAACACGCTATTTTCGAATGCTAATGAAGTTTTATGTACAGTTGATGGTCGTTCCAACTCAAAAACCGACTATTGTGGTGATGATGGAAAGTGAGCCTAATTAGGGTGGGAATGGGCAGTAGATCACCCGTGCCAATTAGCGGGGGACGGATGAATCAAGGTGAATTCTCTTTTGGAATGGAAGCCGAAAGAGTTCGGCCTTCATAAACACATTAGGCTTGCCGTGGTAGCGCAAAAAACTCATTATCCATTCGTTCGTTTCCCATTCCGACCGTTTTTTCCAGTCGAACCTTTTCCGATTAATCCTCACTTTTGACAGTCCTCATCCGATTGAATAGGAAAAGCATCAGAGAAGAAGAGATGGGGGGTGGGAGACAAAAAAGAGTGAAAAGTTGGAAGGAAAAAGGAGAAGGCAGAGGACGGGGTGGAATCAAGAATGAGCCTTCCGCCGGAGAGAAGCAGCTCATTTGTGATTCGATTTTGGGCAGAGAGAAACCG